ACGAATTTCATTGTTTAACCGTGCGATCCAGCATATGGGCATTCAAACGCTACGCTAGAGAAATTTAACCAAATTTTTGGAGATAGAAAGTCGGATGAAAAACGTTATTCATCTCGTGCACAATCGACTCTAAAAATAGAATCAACCACCGAAAAATAAAACACAAAGAAGGACTCGACTTTTCTTTGGCTATCATTTTCCCATAGTCTTATGAAGCCCACCAGTGCGTAAAATGTTTTACGTAACTTTTTCAACAGCACAAAGCCTTTCCGCTACTAGGAATTCAACATAACTTTCAACAAAAAATCTGAACAAAAAAAGGCAGTTGGGTGATCAAGCCCGTGATCAGCCACATCTACAATTTGGCCACTCCAGTGTTCAAAGAAAACGATACGGTTTCGAACTTGAGAAGGCTAGGCCAGAGCAGCGACAACTCTACCACTCGGCCAGACGAGAGACATGTGGCTCCATTGACAATATGTCATGAGTTTGGGACAGAATAGCATTATCGCTGTCTATTACCTCGGTCTAACAATACATATAGTTTCTTTGAGTACTGCTTTGTGACCATGTCTTTGCAAAGATGAAGTCAGGGACATACTTGACGTCCCTTTCGCCCTATGAAATTGTTAGGCAAGTCATTTTCTAAAGACGAAGACAAATAAAGCATACAAAATCAGGCATTGCCGTATGGTGAAATAAGCACAATAAAAACGCGCATGTTCGTGGTGGAAATTATTAGGAAATTTTGAAATTCTTATCTCCCTCTTCATAAAGACATATACTCGAATCCAACACGTCTCCCTCTCAATGGTAAATGTCAGAACTTAAACTCACCAACATCTAATGCTTCCGACTAATTGTGCATGATTAAGCCACATGATTTGCATAATACCATAGAACAATGGTCAGTTACCATTTGCATTTTACGTATATTTAATGGCGAAAGAACAAAGTTTTCTGTCCAGGAAATCTAACTATTGTTTTCATGAGGAAATAAAAAGATATCTGGTAATTTGTTCATATACGAAAAATAAATGTTAAAACAATCATGTCCACATGGAGCAAATTCATACTGCCATGCATAGCACTGTACATAAAGATATTATTCACTTCAAATAGCTAAAATATCTAAGATGCACATGGTTAACAGATGTGGTTCATATAAGATGGAACAAGACAAGTAAAACACATTCGAAACCTTTATGGTTGTGCGAATCAAAGTTGGAGCCTTGACTGGAGTAAAGAGAAGAATCGTTAATTTCCTGCTCTCGCCGAAAGACGCCTCATTTTATTGTTAGGACGTATTGATAAACTATGTTTATCGGTTTGTTTATAGATATTACAAAAAAATGAAGATTCATAGTTATTATACAATTTCAAACGTTGCCTAAACGTATGCACCAGTGAAAACCTTTATAATCGTCAGTTTTGAGTCTTTTGACGATGATATCTAAAACTGTTCCTTTATTATCTGCACACCTTTGGTCAGGTAGGTGACGTCACTACATATGGTCTTAGATTTCAACACTCATAAATTTTTTTTAAGTAGAGTTTTTGTAAAATGCACGAAAAAAACGTTCAAATACAAGTTCCGAATCAATGACGTAACGGGAAGATTAATTTAGCTCAAGCAAAGAGCTCGCCCGACTTCAGTGCACTAGTTCTAGCCCGACAAAGAGCTTTGCCTATATTTTTCAAAAAAAGTTTTATAGATAAAAACGAAGTTATTTCAGCTCATTTACTCGCATTCACATTTCCCTGTCACCTCTGTCTATCATCAACCGCCATCCCTTATCTTTTAGACGTTTCTCCAAATTGAACGATGACTTCACTGAACTTAGAAAAGCATTGAATATTTCCTGGAGACGAACGGGATTTCACTCAGGACGTCGAAGGGAGAAGGCACGTACGGTACACCGTAGACACTTCTACTGTTGGTGGACGATGCATAACAGAAAATGGGGCTTTTTACTTATTTTGGTTAACATTTCCAACATGAACACACTAGTTATTGTTATTTTGGATAAGTTGTAATAGATGTTTTATAATTTGTTCAAGATGCGACAAATGAATGTTAAAACAATCAAGTGGAACGAATAAAAAATGGCATGTGCAACAGCATGTATAAAGATAATGTTCACTTCAAGTTTTTGGCACTTATGCACTACGAGGCGTCACGGTAAACACTCGTCGTTCATATAAAGAGTTCAACAAAATTACAAAAAGGCGAAAATTAATAGAAAGGAAAGTTTCATTCCAAGCAGCTTTATCATTCAAGACGGGTGGATGGGCCGTGACAGGTAAAACATGCCTCTTCGACACCAACTTCATGCAAATGAACTAAACACTGTTTGGTTAAATTGGCTTTTACTTTGCGAGTGAGGAAGAATCTACGAAGAAGTAGCTAGTGTACACTCACTTCCTGACTGATTAAACTAGAGCAACAGCTATGAAGATCAGAACCTCCTTTAAGGAATCAAGAAGTGAAACATCACTGTACTATTATCCACAAAACCACAAACTTTCTGACCACCCCATTTTACAAATTTACATTTCACAACTTCTTCGGAAACAAAACTTCATTGCTATCTTTCTTTGCAATTTAGATTTTCTGATTCAAGCAATGCAAGGCATACTTAGTGACCCTGGATTCACCATCCACAGAAATATACCATACAAAATCGAACTGTTCTCGAAGGAGATAAGGCGAAATTAAACTTCTCACGAACGCAAACACATAAGCTTTCAGTGCGAGTTGAATTTTAAACTAAGCCGCAAAAACACGCAAATTAGAGGAAAAACACCTTTTTACTCGAGTGTTACTAAACGACTCGTTGTATCTTTAAAAGCCCCAAATAAGGAAGAATTTAGAAATTCAGCTTTAGCTGCTTGATAACAAATGATCAGAAATCTATCGCCTTATAATCAATGGTGTAGAATAAATTATTTAGCTACCTTCTTCTTCTATCGTTTCGTTTTTATTACTCGAGGCTTCTTAAGAGAAAAAATAACCACTCGTGCACCGTTTCAATTAGTGTTGGACTGTTGGCATTATATTCCATATACATACACTTTGCTTCTCTTCACGTTATCAGCAAAATTATCCGAACAAACTAGGCTCCACCTCGTTGGCACTGACTGTAAGTAGACAATTTCTTCATACTCTCTACTCGCTCAGCAAAAGATGAAGGCTCTTTTTTTTTGCCGGGTAAACTATTTAAATTTTTTCAGCAAAAACAGGAAAGCATCAGTATATGCAGAATTCAAATCAGTGTTTTCAATTACGCATACGACACGAGGGATTTTATTGCTTTTCACTTTTTGGTGAAGAAACAAAACTAGCAAATATCTCACCTGTGAGAAGCGATATGATTCTTTTTGCGGACTTTACAGTATCCGACGATTGAATAATATGTTTGCACTTTAAAGAAATGCAAAAAGATATAAAAGATCAAAGACCAAAGACCACCATAGACTCGCCTGTCGACAGACATGTTTGACTTCGTGTTGACTTGTTTGTTTGAATTGCAAATTTTATTTCAACTGAAGGCGGAAAAATCACACCAGGGGGAGGTGAAAATTTTTTTCTGCAAAGCAGTTATTTCAGCGGAAATAATAAGCGAAAAGCAGAAACGGGTAAGTTTGCCGCCATTTTTTTGATGCCATAACCTTTATACCCGACGTCACATGATGATGTCATACTTACGTGAGTAGATGGTTTGGTGCAGACACAGTTAAGCCAGGCTGAGTGCCTTGGAGTTCAGGTTCATTCTTCAACCTGCTCCTTTATGAACCTGACCACCAATTGTCTGCACCCGATCACACCAATTAATTGATGGAAAAAGCAACAAAAACAAAAAAAAATACTGCTGTTAACTCTGCAAGCGTGCTCGCTAATGACATGCACCTTACTGTATCATATTAACTAATACTGCGTGCTAACCGCAGGGTGTGGTCGGCACTAGATCATGGTCAACTAACGTACGCGCCCACATATTATTCTTATTATGTCAGCGGTAAGTAAGAATTGACGAATATTCATGTTTCATTTTACGAATGATTTTACCGCACTACATATTGCGTTTGCATATGGCAATAAGGCAAATTGGCAATAGAGAAAGCGATAAAAGATTTCAAAGATTTCAATTCAATTTTGGTCAGATGTACTTTCTTTAAAATGTCTGCCTTGCAGAAGTAATGGATTGATAGTACTTTGCTGGACCTAAGGAGAACAATGTAATGTTATAAAGTAGAAATGGACTCTATTTGTATTATAGATATGATATTAAATATTTTCCTGTTATTTGTAGTACTAATAAAAATTATTATAGATACAACATACATGATAAACACACCCATCTAGATTCGTATCTTCAAATTTTTTTCCAAGCTTCCTGCATAATAATATAAAGTTTGTGTGTTTAATGTGTTTGACTGTTTGTCCATACTTGCTTGTAATTTTCTGATTTGAGTTAATACACAGGTGTGGTAACTTTTTAAACTTTGTTAAAGTTATTGTCAGGAAATTTTGAAAACTCATTGCCTCCAGCAGTGCCATCCACACAGTGAACCAACATCTAACTTAAGTGCTCATTAAATGAAATGGGTGGTTTTCAAATGAGCAAATTGATTTATCATGAAAAATTGATAGGTGATCATAGTACAGGTGCAGCCAGATTGAATGTAAAGTTGTGATATCAATCACATTAGCTAATTCATATGTTCCTGAAAATACTTTACAACAAGAAATGGTGACAATATATCTTAACATGTAACACTGGGTATTCTCTACATTCAACTCTGGCAAAAATTTTAACATTGAATCTCTGAGCACCAAAATAAATTCTATTATGGAAAAACAGATTGTTCAGAAAAACCTTTGAGCATATAATTCCTTCCATTGTCAAAGGATTTTTCGAACAGTTTAAAAGGCTCCCACCTGCTTTTGTTATGCTTGTGGCATAGACCCAGTGCTGTAGAACATAACTTGCCGTAGATGAAACACTCTCAAATAGTGAAATGTAATTGTAAAAAGTCATTGCATGATGTCATAGTGTTTGCAAATAATATTACCACTTAACATGAACAAGTTTCTTTATCAATTTTGTAAACTAAAAATCTTTGTCAGGTTGGGGTGCTCTGTGCTCTGCAATGACCATCCATAATTTCATGAAGAATGCTCAATTTCCATGCACCCACCTCCCTAACAGCATTGAATGCACCATTTCTTGATTTTATGGTCATATGAGAAGATACAATGCATTTGGCTATGTTTTTCGAGCAACAAAAAATTCACATTTTCCTACATTGTAAAATTGCAACTTGCCATACGTATATTCTATGAGAATCTAAACATAAAAAGCGCGGGAAATCATCATGGAATTGTTGCCAAATGCTAGTTCAAAAATGGAGTTTCCAGTTGTTGTCACTTGGAAAGTTAATGTTTTAAAGTTTTCCAATTCACATCTTTTGAGGTATGCACTGCCGTTGTTTTTCTTATGTGTCCGATCAAATGTTTGTTACATCGTTGTTGCTGTCTTCATATCCCAAAATTAGGACATGGATTCCATATCAGAAGTCCTGAACATCATCAGTCAAGAGAATCCACTGTGGAAACCTAAAAACATAATGGTTGATTTTTCATTAGCTGAAATTGGAAATTGGAGCAATCAAACAGTGTATTCCAAGTAAGACGAAACAAAGCAATAGCCTTTTTTGAAGAAAATGTTTTTGCGATTTTCATCGAGAGAAGGCGTGGAACGAATGGATTAATTAAGCGCAGTAATGGAACGTATCTTTACAAACATGAGTTATTACAACTGCTGCGAAATATTGCAAATAGCACAAGTCAAATCGCATTACAGAAAATCATTGATGCATTGAAAAACAGCCATCTGTGGAAAGAATCGCTGCAACTGCAGAAATACTTTGATGAACTTTGGGGATTACACTTGCAGGTATTAATCTCTTCTATTTTATGCGTTTTAATATCAGTACGCTAAACTGCTCAAAACTGATACTACCTATCTAACCTATGTGTGTTTATATAAATATATACATTACTTTTCTAGAAATGGGTCCGTTTTTACAGGGATGAATCGTTGTTGCCATTTATACAAACAACGGAGTGGAAAGGCAAAATAACTGGTTAAAGGATTCATATTTAGAGGACAGACGAAATCATTCGATAAGTGATCTCGTCAATATATTACTCACACAGTTCCTGCCTGATAGCTACAAAAGTATTGTGCATACTGTTTTTTTATAAGATGTTCGCAATCAGTGAGCTTTAACGATAATCAAAAAGTATAAGTGTACTTACAATTTTCTCTTTATAGATATAAGGAACAGAATATCAAATCATCCGATTCAGACATGACTTTCTTTCCACAACAGATTATTGCTCCAACTAAATCCAAAATGTTAGAAATAAGTGTGTTAAAAAAGCCAAACAAATTCAGGATGAGCTTTACATTTTGGATGATGAGAAAGTTTTGGACAAAACCCTGGAGATGTTACAAGAGGTAATACAATACACAAGAAAAAATCATCCTGAGGAAAATGGAATTTCATTGAAAAACAAGTCTTTATCTCCAAAAAAGAAACAAATTTTAAAAAGTAGGTCACAATCTGTTTTGCCAAAACAAAAATGCAAGTGGTGTCCAGGTAAACAAGTGGGAAGAGCAAGTGATTTAAAAAGTGAAAAGATTGAAGTATTTGAAGAGAAGCTTGAAAAAGAAGAGAAGCATGAGAAATGCAAATTACAAGTAATTGAAGAGCAACTAGCAAAAAAGATGAAAATGAAGAACAATGAGAAAATTGAAAATTCTGAGGAGTGTTGGGTAGATATTCAAGGAATAAAGTTGTCATATGCTCAGAAAGACGTGCTTCTAAATCTAAATGGATGGCTTTCAGATGACCATATTGATGCAGCACAGAAATTAATAGGTGATCTTGGTACCGGAGTGGGAGGTCTAAACACAGTCGTAGCAGTCACATACAGTAACAAACTCATAAATATTCCTGAAAATATCACCCAAGCAATTCAATGTCATAATATTGGTCCCCACTGGGTGGTTTCTACATCCATAACTGGTGAAATAGTAGTCTTTGAATCTATGAGTACCAACCTGAATTCATCATTAAAAAGGCAACTCCAGAATGTTTACAAAAACCTTCAAGAACAGGATGGTTCTTTAAACGTCAAAGTGATTCTCCAACAACATCAAAAAGGATCATCAGATTGTGGTCTTTTTGCTGTGGCAAATGCTGTTGCTTTGGCTAATGGTGTGAACCCTTGCTCTGTTACCTGGATGCAGAAGAAGATGCTAGTGCATCTGGTCAAATGCTTTGAAGAACAAAAAATCGAGATGTTTCCCCACATTGAGAATGCAATGCAAACCTGCCATTCAAAAAATTATATTCTCTGAGAATATAGTAATTGTAAGCATCTAACATAAAAATAATCATGTATCGCTTCACTTTTGCTTGCAAACATCTACACTGTAATTGTTCAAATTGGAGCCCCTTGACAAATCATGTATGTATATATCTGTAAATAGTATTAAACAAAATTAACATTTTCTGTTTGTGAATCATGGACATGGTATTTATTTTTACAAATAACTGGGGACATAAAACTAATACAGTCTAGATAATGTAAAAATAATAAATTTACCTTATAAATTTTACACAGTTGTGTAGCGCGCCCGGAAGATAGTTTGGTTTAGAAATCTGTTGTTTTTACAGTTAGTGAACAAAGAAATAATTGTATAGCAGAGCTAAATAAAACGGGCTGGATACGCCACAGTTACGTTCATTGTATATTGTTCATTGCTTCATCGAGTATCGTTATGATGTTTTAAAATCGTTGAGCATGTGACAATATATGTAAAATACAAAGAATACAAAACAATAAATGTGTAAAAAAGTAAAACTGTCCAAACCTGAAATCGAAAAAAGAATTCTTCTCGTCATTTAGCCGCATATCGGTTAAATACGCATATGAAACTTGTTATTCTCAATGGTTATTCTATATTTTAGTGGTTTGTCACAGCTTATAGGTAATTACCATTGGTAATTCATATACATGAATATTCGTCAACTGTTACTTACCGCTAAAATATTAAGAATAATATGTGGGCGCGTACGTTAGTTGACCATGATCTAGTGCCGACCGCAGGGTGTCTCATGCCCAGACCTGCGCGCTGTTCCTTGGCTATTAACCTTGGTTATTGCATAACCTCATTAAAAATTACAAACAAGCTATGAAATATTTATATAGCTCTTAACTAAAGCTTCAGAAATGCACAATTACGTATTCGATGCATATAAAAAGCAAAACTTGAGTTTTTTTTTGTTGAAATCAAGCAAGTTTGTTTTATGGGAAAACACCAATGACACCTTGCCTGGGAGATGTAAATTTCCGCTTTGTGTCAGTTGTCTTTGTAAATAACTTGCGCCGTGTTGCATGGTTTACTTATAGCACAGACTGGGTTAATTTTGCCAAATACAGACTATTTCATCTTCTAAACTGCTTTAATATCAAATCATTCATATTTATTTTCAGAAGAAAACTATGTCTGATTGTTCGAAAGCGCGAAAAACTTGGAGGAATTCTTCACTCGCGCATCAAATTATTCAACATGTTGAATAACTAGCGTAAATGCGCGTCACAGATATCCGAAAGCATTAAAAATCCTATTGATATTCGCTGTGCCTGCAAAAAACATCAAGCATACTTGATACACGAGTAACGATTGAACGAGAGATGAAACTCAGTAAATTTGCTTGTCCCAGTAAAAAAGCCATGCACGGACTTATGTACAAGTAACCAATTTGGCCCAGAGCCCTCTATTTGTTATTTACAAATAGAGGGCTCTATTTAGGGCAGCTTAACTCTCGTGTGTTGCAGGATTTAAAAATCCAGGCTCATTTTCCACCAAAATGATAATGTTTACATACTTCACCTATAGCGCCATAAACCCTGGAGTAATAATGTCGATAAATCTCTAATCTCTTCTTATCAAAAGACTTATTCATTGTTTCGTAGTGTCCTTGGTAGTCGTGTTCATGTGAAGCGCGCATGCGTTCTATAATTATCCCAACCTCGTGTTCCTTGAATAATCCCGTATTTTTACTCTCAATTAATTTACCAAATAATATTACTCGTCGCATGCCCAGAATGGATATTATGTAAGTCTAATCTAACTATAAACTGGATTATCCTCAGATAAAAACACGTGGTTTGTTAGTTAACTTACTGCGACTCGTTATTTTTGTAGAAGAAAGGCACAATCGCACTATATTTCCTTTTGTGTTTTATTTGGATCGATATGCATTCAGTGAATTCAAAATTAATTCCAGTATTTAAGTAATGTACAATCTAATAAGTACTTATATTAGTAGAAGTATTTTATAAAGATGTTTGCTTGATCCTTTAGCAAATGCGATGCAACAGCTCGTCAAATTGCTCTATGGTGGACTTGGATGGTCCATACGGAGGTCAAATCAAACCTTCAATTGCGCAATATTTGCAGTGCCAAACACTGACAAAAATCAAAATATTTTATAAATGTTGATGAGTAAAATGAACTGCATTCATGTGACAAAATTTGGACCAATCATTGCTTAGTATTTTTGAGATATTTGAGATAATTGAGTTCCACGTGAGGGAATTTACACAGTTCAAAAGTATAATTTGACTTAGTCAAAGTGCGAAGTATCATTTGCAGAGCTGAAATCAGTCGCTGTTATTCAACTCTTATTTCTCGTTTCAGCACTGCTAAAGAGCCGATTTACTAACTTCATTTATTATAGACCATTGACTTAGTAATATGAACGGTTTTTCTAGTAAGGAAACGTTCCTCTTCACATCCGAATCCGTAGGCGAAGGACACCCAGGTTTGTAGCACTTGCTCGAACCATGATATCGCATGTGTTTGCATTTTTCAATTGTATTTTTTCATTGTACAACGACGTCGTCATGCATTTTTTTAAAACATTTTTGCAACTGTCGTCTGTGGTAACCAATTTGAATTTATCAACGTGGTACAATACAGTCCGTTTGTATTTATATAATATCATATGATATACATAGTATCAGCTACTGGTATTAGCGTCTTGTGCCGCTATTTATTGATTTTGTGTTAGTATTTCACATAAATTTCATTTCGATAGATAAGATATGTGATCAAGTTTCAGATGCTGTTCTGGATGCTCATCTGGCTCAGGACCCTTATGCCAAGGTTGCTTGTGGTATGTATGTCTTGTAAAGAACCCTGTATCCACTTTTGCCTGCGGAATGCTGAGATTAATATTGATCACTTGTTATTTAAATTGGCTTAGACCACTATTTCAGATCATTTGTAGAGATAGTGTGTATGCATCTTGGGAGCAGGTGGTCTTTATGAATAGGTCTTTGTGAAGCACTCACACCAGTAGGCTTGTGGAGAATTACACTTAAAAACTGGAGGCTCATTCCATAATGACATAGTTTCATTCAGTTTGAATTGGAGATCCACAATCTTTAAATTGACCACTGATTATTAGGATATGTTTTTTTATAGAATCCGCATCAAAAACTGGTATGATCATGGTGTTTGGGGAAATAACTTCCAATGCTAATGTTGACTATCAGAAAATTGTTCGTGATACCATCAAGCGGATTGGTTATGATGATAGTAATAAAGGTAAAAATGATGTGTCTCAATCTTTCAAAATTTGTTATTTTGTACAATACAGAAACGTTTATTTGACAAGAAAGTTAAAGCATTTTTCTTTTTTTAGGGTTTGATTACAAAACATGCAACGTTTTAGTGGCTGTTGAGCAACAAAGTCCTGACATTGCTGCAGGTGTTTATGTTGGACGCAAAGATGAGGACTTAGGAGCAGGGGACCAAGGACTTATGTTTGGTTATGCAACAGATGAAACTGAGGAGTTGATGCCTTTGACAGTTGTTCTTTCACATAAATTAAATCAAAAGATGTCGGAGTGTCGTAATGATGGGTCTATTCCATGGTTGCGTCCTGATACGAAGACACAAGTGACTGTTGAGTATAAGCAAGGTAGCAGTGAACTTGTACCTTTGCGGGTCCATACGGTTGTTGTATCAGCACAGCATGCTGAAGAAGTTACTACGGAAGAATTACGTAAAGTTCTGATGGAGAAAGTTGTGAAGGCAAGTGGAGATATATTTATTGTTTAAGCAAACATTGAACATTGTCGCTTTGCCAACTTCATTAAAGGTGACAATCATTCTGAAGACATTGTGGTCTCAACACCCCTCCATCACCCCAGTAGTATTAAAGTCTTCATTTAAAAGGAATGCATGTTCAATAGTCAGTACAACTGAATGGTGTTTGTTCAAATTTGGATGTTGTTTCACAAAGAAAAACAGGGCAAATTTCAAGCTATTTATGTATATGTAGAAGGTGATCCCCGCTAAATACTTGGATAACGACACTGTTTACCATATACAACCTTCTGGCCGATTTGTTGTTGGTGGACCTCAAGGGGATGCTGGCCTGACTGGACGCAAGATCATTGTAGATACGTATGGTGGTTGGGGTGCACATGGTGGTGGTGCATTTTCAGGAAAAGATGCATCGAAGGTAGTTTACTTTAATCTTATGAGCTTTGTCTTTTTGTTAAAATCATCACCTTACTAACTTCTTTACCTTTTCAATGCTTGAATTTTTGCCTAAAATAACTTTTTTGCCCATTGGAAAGCCATGTATTTATTGCCAAAGTGTATTAACCAATGAAAATGACTGAAGAGATGCTCTATATATTGTGTTTTTAAATTATATTTCTTTCTTCATTTTCTTGATAAAATAAAGGAAGTCTCTCATTTCTGGCTTAAAAGTGTTAGTACTGTGACGATATGCAATTTGTTTTACATTCTGTTCAATTTAGGTGGACAGATCAGGAGCATATGCAGCAAGATGGGCTGCTAAGTCGCTTGTTGCTGCAAAGCTATGTAAGCGCTGCCTGATACAAGTTTCATATGCAATTGGTGTAGCAGAACCGTTATCTATCACAGTTTTTTCTTACGGTACTGGCTCCAAGAGTGATAGCGAGTTGTTGGAAATTGTCAAGAAAAATTTTGATTTTAGGCCTGGTGTCATGGTGAGGTATGTAGATTTGTGTCATTGGAGGCTTTGTCTATCTTGAATGAAATTGTGAAATCATTTTGACATAGCAGATTGTAAGAATTATTTGTTTTGCAACACAGGGAATTGAAATTAAGGCGTCCAATTTTCGAAAAGACATGCACTTATGGACATTTCAAGGCTGGTAAAGATTTCACCTGGGAACATCCAAAAAAGCTAACATTTTAGCGTGAATCAAGTCATAAATTCATAAATTGAACTTTCATAAATGCTAGGTCAATTGTTTTAAAATCATACTTTATAATTAAAGGAAGCAAAATTTTATTTCATATAAGGGAATTTTGGAATATAGAGGGCATATGTAAGCATTGTTATGTGTTTAACATAAATGCGTTTCGACCCTTTCCAGGGAGGGGTATTTCAAAGTTAATAATTATATTGTTTTATGTGGCAATAGCTCATAAATTTAATCAGGAAATTTAGCTTGGAAATTTACTTTGTCTGGAATGGAATCAATGCATTCATAATTATGTGTTGAATATATTCCCCATGGTAATATAAACAAGTAAATTATGACTAGTTTTCTTTAGACTTCTTGCAAAAACATAACCTATATGACTAACTGAACAGGTCAAAAACTGAGGTGCTGGCAGGGGGAATGCTCCCTCACAAAATTTCTCATACTAAGTTGTTTATTACATGTAACTGAAAATGTCAGTCATGTAAAACAATGTGTAAAAGATTTAAGTTACATTTTGGGGATGTTTTGCCTCTCCCCTCCCCCCCCAAAAAATAAAATCCTGCTGGTACCACTGGGGAAAGACCATGTTGTTAAGAACTGGTTGCATTCTACTTCTCATCTGTTTTGGGAAGTTGAGCAATAAGCCATGAATAAATGCATACAAAATCATTCTATAAACTTGGGTTGATCAATGTGATCATGAGGCAATAGTTGGCACAGTCTAAGGAATGAGAATGAATCATTTTGCTAGGCAAATTGCTTACGAAAAACACAGCATGATCATCTTAAAGTAGTACTGTACAAATTTAGAAATAATTAGCTATGTGGTGTTCATTTATTACACAATGGACTTAGGGTCTGTCTTTGTTGGTAAGTTTCTCGATCAGTTCTTGCAAAGGTGTGAGCTCGCGTTTTTCAACAAGGCTGAATTCTTGCACAAAAAATATGAAATGTTTGAATGAAGTGTTGAGATGTGCCTCCTCACCAAGATCAACAACATGTTGAAAATGCGAATGATATATATGAGCATATACTCTGAACAGTCGCTTAAGAATGGTCTTGGCAATTTGCAGGAAATTCTTTGGAAATGGAACTCCTGTAGAGTGCAATAAACTTTGTCAATCCATACACATGTTATAAATCACATAGACATGAACTTGTCTAGGCTTACCAATTTTTGAAGGAAAAAGTGTTTCATCATCAAGCTGGTCTTGCACCCATGACATCAGGTAATCAATATACTTTGGGGCACTACATTTGATTGGTCTCTTTATGGTTTGTCCATCTGCCCAGTGGTACTCGTACCTTTATAATTTTTTAATGGATAAGATAAGGCAGCATAATTATGCTATATAATCCAATGCATATTGGCAAATAAAGCACCTGTGTGGAATTTGCTTTGGTAAAATTTGAGGTTTCAAATTCAAAACAAACGTTTGGCCTTTTGTTGAAGCAAAACAAAGCAGAATGGTCAATAAATTATACATGAAAACTGACCGCAAAGTATGTACTTATAGGTCTTTTCATTAATTATGGTTGAGATCATTTCCACTTATAACTGAGCAAAGGCAATAAAGGGGTAGTCGATAAAGAAACAAGTAATAATAAAAACAATGACACAGACATTCTGGGGTAACTCCACGGAAGTAACAATCAATCATTGGAATGACGCTAACGCATCAGTTAAAAGTATTGTTAAGCACACGGAAACGGCACTGAGGAAAAAACTATTTCTAATACACTTACTTCGGTCCGGCCGACATAACCGGGCAAGACTCTGCCGTGCAGAACTCTGTTATTGTTCCGTAAAGCATGTTGATTTGGTTGAAGAAATCCACGGCTAGAAATAGGAGAGTTTACGTTAATGATTCCATTTTCTACTTATTTCATTTAGAACACCTTGATAACATAACAATCATCTTATCTTTTGTGGTTAAATGGAAATTATACTAAACAAAAACATTTCTAACGTTCAGCGGATGCCTTGATAACACAATCAATACTTCGTCCATCGTATAAAAAAACAAAGAACGTGTTTTCCAGTCAGTCAATCCCATTATTCGACTTACTATTTACAGCAACCCATTCGTTCAAATCTTCTCCATCAGGTAAAACGACTGCTAATCTTAGATTACCACTGCCTAATGTGGCCGCTGCGTGTTTCATCAAATCATATTGATGTGTCCCTTCTGGAATATTCTTCTTTGGTTTGAAAGTCTTCGTAGACCTGCTCCCACTACAACACGAAGAAAGATAGGGATAAAAATGCGATTAATTGACAAAACCTAAAAGCGAAAATAAACACATTCTGGTTTCACCGTAAAAGCGATAGTGTATAGTGTTTTAGGATTTGTAATTTTGGGAAATCGGTAATCACAATGGCACTACAACAAACGCTCTACTTACAAGAGGAAGCTCATGTCCACTTCGATTTGCGTTGATCCTGGTCAGTATGATAAAACACGACAAAATCAGTTAAATTAGTAAAGTTTTGGGCAAGAATTCAACAATGAAATGGTCAACAACAGAGAACGAAATGCAGAGTCGTAGTGACGTCATGACGGGAAATGTAAAAATGTCTGTGATACTTCCTTTAGGTTGGGTCAGTGAGGATATTGTATTCCTTTTATCAATGGAAAATTTATCAATCGAAGTTGTCGTAAGGTTGTCGAAACAAATTAATAGCAGCTATTACAAATTAAAGCATACTTTTTCAAGTAATTTTGCAACAAAAATGATAAATTTTCCAACAAGCGCAAAATTTAATCCTGTCTTAAAATAAAAGTGGGAAAATATGCAGAAATGCAGTCCAGTTCACAATCGGTCAGTAGCGTTGCTATTAACAGGAGGCTCCGTTTCGTCTTCAGGGGTCATTTATAAATTTATATTAAGTTTACAGACAGTGGCTTTTTACAAAAGTTCTGGAGCATTTATATCATATACCAAAAAACTTGAAAGCTAAGAATACATTGTATGTGCAGTGCCAGAGATTTTTCAGAATATCCATGATTTGAATGCTTAATTTATTGATAACACCTACAGCAGTAGCCATGGTGATATGGCCGAATTTAACCCTCGGGTGATGGTCGGTCAAGTTCGGAAAAACAAATAATTAAATAATTAGTACTCTTACAACTCAGGCGTTGCATGAGCTGCTGTCGATATCGAGTAATTTTTTTGTAGCAGAGGTTTTTCTTACGTTTTCGCAACCATCTATCTCGAAATTTGGTATGTTCGTATTTTGTCTTTATTTTGTTGAAAAATTCCGAGGAAAAGTTTGATTTTGCTCGGGCGTTTGCTTGTGAAAAAGGACTATTTGAACACCATTTTCCCGCTTCTCTACAACAAGCGTTCTCTACAAACAAGCTCCTTTCTACTCTTTTTCAGAAAATGATCAAGGAAGAGACAGATGACTACATAATTCGAGCGAGGGGTCTGCCATGGTCTGCTACGAAACAAGATATCGAAAAGTTTTTCTCTGGTATGACATGTCAGGGCTTTTATTTTTGCCCGTACTTTGCTGAAGACAATCAAGACATTTTCTTTTCTTCAGGCTCCGAGATTACTGGAGGCGCTGAAAACGGTATTCACTTTACTTATTCACACGACGGCCGTCCTAGTGGGGAGTGTTTTGTTGAGTTCACTTCTCCGGGTGACTATGAAAGGTGGGTAGTTAAGCTTTGATCCTCTTTCTGACAATTGCCTCAAGTCAGTCTTTATAATATCAAAGTTTTTGGATTATAGTTGTGATTTTGGCTTGGCCTACGTGTGAATAGAAACAGTGCTGAAATTATTTGGGGGTAATAGAAGAAAATTAGCAGAAAAGTAGGTGAAAAATCACCCTGGCAGGTGACTCTAAGTCAATGTTTTTCATAAGTAGTATTTACATGCACGCTTGGGGACCCTAGTAGTAGGATTACCTTATCAAATTAATAGGATTACCCTAGCAGTAGGGCTATGTTCATGTGAAACATGGTCAACCTTTCACTAGGGTTGTGTTCACATCACATGACTCAACACAATAAAATTATGAAATATGAGTTGGTGGGTAACAAAGTTTTTGAGATGGAAATGAAGTCCTTGACCCTGGAATACTTATTCTTTATTACAAAAAACTCAGTTTGTATGAAATTATGTTACAATCAAACGATTGTCTGAAGCTTTATACTGAAGTTTGGATCTATACAAATGTGTTACAGAAACATTGTCATATTGTATAAAGTAAGTGTGGTTGCACATTTTGAAATTGTTGAACTTCAATCATCATTTGTCATGTATATTTGGATGTATTACATGATATAGAGTTCATCTAACACATGCCATTTGACAACACAAAGTTTTGAATATCAACCAGTACTGTTTATAGCATTGCCCACTTGTCATAACTTACAATTTAACTCTTTTTAATTCTTTAAATGAAATTTTTTTTATTGGAAACTAGAGAAAATTTAATTGTGAATTGTTTTTTCTTGAATTTCCCATTAGTTCATCTTGCATTACACAGTCCGTGCTGTGGTGGTAAATATGTTTATTTCCAGCTCACTTCTTTCAAACTTGAAGAAGCTTTTTGCACCAAAAAAACAGATCTAACATCTCAACATTGTGCTTTTAGCTTGGATAAAGTGATATTTTCTACATTCCTATTATTGTTACTTTAACATCAAAATCACACGATAATGTTTTTGCCAAAAAAATGTATTCTATTCTTGGTGTGCAAGTAGCATAATGGTCACCATGTTGGATGGCTTTTACAAAAAATTCCTTATTTAAAGTGCAAATGTTATCCAATATGGGGAAAATTCTATTGTTATGTCACTCACAGGGGAGTGATTACTCACCACCTACATAGGATTTTCATTTATCTTGAATAATTTCCTGTTATTGTGCTTTATTATGATGATCACAGTAGTGAATGGAAAGAGAGTAAACATCATTTTGAAAAATGTGTGACTAAAAGCTTTGTTACAAATGTCAAATTGTGACGGTGTCATAATGAAGCTAATAATATACAAATGCGATAAGTTAAAAAAATCAGTAGTTGCTATTTTTCATTATGAAATCAATACCTTCTCACTGAACATGAAGCATTAAGTGGAAATTCTGTTTAATTAGCACTTCAACAAAGGTGTCAACTATTTTTAAAGGGCTCTTGCAAAGAACAAGGAACACATGGGAAAGAGATATGTTGAGGTGTTTGAAGCAAAACGAAATGAGATGGAGTGGGCTTGTAAACGAGAACAAGGAAACATGGACGATCATGACAACAGAGTCGTTCGACTCAGAGGTTTACCATACGGATGCTCCAAAGAGGAGGTGGCTAATTTTTTCAAAGGTTTGTTTCTTTTATGTTTTGGTTTACTGAGCCTAAGAATGAGCACTTCAAGCAAACAGCTTGTTCATTATATGATAAAGCAGATTGACCATGCATGCAAAAATTTTTACCAGTTTCATTCAGATGAGCTTAAACACTCCCCTTCTGTTGCATTTAAATTAATGCCTCACTGTGATAAAGATTTGTGGGGATAAGAATTATTTTGCTAATAAGCACGATATTATTGCCATTTTCTTGACAAATGTAGGGCTAATAAGTTAGTTGTAGTCATGTCAGGGTTTGTTTTGAAACAATCACTCCCTCTCTGACAATTTAAGAATGTTCTTGCCATGGGTGGTAGGTATTTTTTATTTTCTCTTGCCATCCCACCAGTAATTTGAAAGTGGGATGACATTGGATGGCAATCTTTCCCAAAGTCTGTTATCGTATTAGAATGTATAGCAACTCCCTTTACTGATAACCACTTTAACAAACTGAACATATCATGTGTGAAGAAATAAAGCTTTGTTGTATATGATGATCAAAAACTTTTTAATTGTGCTTAGTACTAAAATGACAAACAATGAGTTTTTTAAATTTAAGTGCACATTACTTGATATAAATTTTTTAAAATTTTATTTATTCATACATATTAATTAATTATGTGATAACTCTTGGCGACGGGCATAGTACCATTATTGGTTTGCAATTTATTAATGTACAATTTATGAATTAAAAGTTTTTAGTTTCTTTAATATTATTTATTTTGCTCTACTCAAAAGGCTAAGGTACTTCACTTCACTGCACATCTTACACAATATTTATTTCATGGGGGGGGGGAGGGATGCCCGTATCAGGTCAGACCCAGATAAAAAAGTAAAGTAGGAAAAAATCCTGGCTATATAGGACATCTTGAGATTACAAATATAAATCAACACAAGATGTGAAGAAAACAGTTTTATTTGCATCCTTGTATTGATTTAAATTTTGTAATCTCACTATGTCCTGCATACTCAGAATTTGTTTTTTACTTGAAGTTAGTTCTTGTTGTGGTATTTACAAATTTTCGTTTAATTCATCTTTCCCTATGTTTTGATGTTGTTGAGCCCTTTTGAGATCTTTCTTTGATTATACAGTTTCTCTATGATTTGGGTTTCCCATTGCCAATAACTTTATTTCTATGTGTGTATTATTGGTTGGTTAAGGATTGGAGATAGCACCCAATGGGATAACGATTGCCTTAGATGAAGAAGGGAAGATCACGGGGGATGCTTATGTGGAGTTTGCATCTGCGGACATTGCTAGTCAAGCGATGAACAAACACAAGGAAAAGATTGGGCACAGGTTGGGTGGAGGTTTTGACTGGGTATGGGAACCTCCTTTTATGGTGGTGGGGTATAGTATGAAATTAATTGTGAGGTTCTTCTCAAAGCTTAACGGTGAGGGAAACAAGCATCTAAATGTTAATGAACTATTTTATAAATGTGAAAATCATACTGGTATTTGTTTATATTCCATGAAAGTCTATTGACAGCAATATGATGGATGAAAAAATCATATGATATTTGCAGAATTGGAAATTTTGATTGTAATTGAGAATTTTATTGTTTTGGTGAATAATGATCATAGAAAAACTATTTAAGTAAGGCTAAAGGGAATGCAAAGGATGTCTTGATCTGAGTGATGTGTAATTTGACATCACTAATTGGCAAATCCTTTGTTGAAATGTCAGTCTTATAATTACAGGTATATTGAGATCTTTCACAGCACAATTCAGGAGGCTCGTTCTGCCATGATGCCCAGGCCGCGGCCTTTAATGGCTGCCCGATTTGGACCATATGATCGAAAAGGCTTTGGAGGAGGTGGTCCTGGGTTTGGGGGTCGTGCTAGTGGTTTTGAAAGAAGGTATGGCTGCATTATTGTTGATCAAATATTGATTTGATTTATTGTAATCATAATTATTAAATGTGATTTAGGTATCGTGGTGGGGGAAGAGGAGGATATAGTGGAATGCGAAGTGGTAGAGATGATTCTGGAGGGTTTGGGAGGAGTAGTGGTGGGTTTGGGTCTAGTAGTGGTTCAGGGGGAGGATTATCCAAAAGTACAACTGGCCACTGTATTCACATGAGAGGTTTGCCATTCTCAGCGACAGAAAATGATGTGAAGCAATGGTTTATGCCTTTGAATCCTGTAAATGTGAGGATGGAGTTTGAAATTAGTGGCTCTGGTCAAAGGAGGTCACGCGGAGAGGCTGATGTAGATTTTGCTACAGAAGCTGATGCTAAAGCTGCAATGGCTAAAGACAAACAGAATATGGGTATGTAGGCCAAAGCAACAGATTCTTCAAATAATTTTTATTTATGATTTATAATGATTTTGTGTGCAGTGAATGAACCAACACAGTTTGGTGTCAGTTGAAAATTGCTATGAATGTTAGGCGTGGGTAGTATTGCAAGGATCAACTAAGCCAAATATTCTTGATTTTCATGGGGATGACTGATGTCAGCAATCAGCAATTTTCTTGTTGATAATAAATTTCACCCAATTTGTTATAAATTATACAATAGATTAATGATTGTTTCAGGACATCGTTATATTGAGTTGTTCTTAAGATCTGAATTTAATGGTGGGACTAGTGGTGGTGGTGACTGGAGCACTGGAGACCAGCCTTTCTTCTCAGGCAATGGGATGAATTTTTCAAATCATAGTGGAGGTAAAGTATTTTCATTTTGACAGAGCTGTGTGATCAGCTCAATTTGGGGCAAATAGTCATGTATTCATGTCATAAATCATGAAAAGGCAATTGATTTCAAACGAAGTTAGTATGGCATAACATGCAAATATAAATATTTGCCATCCATATATGAGCTGGCTATGCCACTGTGACACACTGTAATTTTAACTGAACAATTGTTACAAATTTTTTTTTATTTTTTAAGTGTTTGGCAACAATGGAAATTCGTCAGCTGGAGGGTTCAACCCTACACCTGGTGCTGGTGGTTACAATAGTGGTGGGTATGGTGGATCTTCTAATAACTATGGTGGCTCAAATACCAGCTATGGTGGAGGGTACGGTGGTTCACAAAGCAGTGGAATGGTGGGCAACACAGGATTTTTTGGGATCACAGGTGGTCAGCAAGGTGGGCAGAGTGCAGCAATGATGGGTTCTGGCATGTTTGGTGGTCAACAGGGGGGGATAAATAGCCAAACTGCAGGTGCTTATAATGCAGGAGGTGCATCTGCAGGAGCATTCTCTTCCACTGCATCTGGTGCATTTAACTCATCATCTAACTACTATGGACAAAATACCAAGACTGGGATGGTCTCTTATCCTTCTCAATATTAATTATGAAAAACCATGTTGTAAATAACTTTAAATCGTGTTTGTATTTACTTTTGAAATATACTTTCTTTGATGATTTGCAAAATTATGCAGGAATTTAACCTATCGGGCTTTAAGTCCTGGGAAATCGCACCACGGATTAAATTTACAAAATGGTCGTTAGGAATTAGTTTGGAAGTTTGGAATTAGCACATTTTTCCACCATTGTATTTTTAGAAGAAAAATTTTAAAATTACTTTTGTTTCTCAGAATCCCAAATATGTAGTTGCTTGTGTAGCACCGTTTTGAAATGGCTTCATTTGATGAACGGGAGGCTGAAGCAATTGCTTCGAATTGGGTTCAAAATTTACGATTCCGTTTTGCAAGAATGGGACTAAATTACCACAACGAAGGCAATGTAAGTCAAGAATTGAGCGAAGTATCCACTTGCCAAGTTCTGAAGGATAGCGTCAAGGTAATCGGACAGAAGCAAGAATGCGGTTTTGACGATAACGGAATGTGTCGTAAAAGCTACGTTAGTATTGCGTCCAATACCAGAAAATCAGTCGAGAAATTAAGTGATTATGACATTGCTTCTGCACGAAGTAGCTTAAGTAAGGTGAATTTGAAAAGCCTGCGAGAAAAAAGGATTAATTTTTTTGAGCAAAATAACAAGTCTCGTGTGACTAACGTCAATGGTTGTGCTACCGAGTCTGAAATACCAACTTTAGATCATGGATTCGACGTTAAAGCTGAAATACGTGACACTCATCACCGAAATAATGGTGCTCTGGAAGAAAGTACTTCAAATGACCACCGCACTCTGTTTGAATTGGGGAGTAATGGGGAATCAACTCTGGAAGATGGCGATAAGGACAACCACTTGTATTTTACTCGTCAAAATGCATTTGGATCAAACAAATTTGATTCAGATGTGGAAAATGTATCTTGTCCAAAGCAAGAAGAAGATCTGGAAGTAAATGAAGCTGGTGTCTTTTCAATAGATATTGCAGAATACTCAGGTGCGAATAATGCACATCTAACTCAAACTTCAAAGCATGAAACTGAGATTGGTGATTTTTTTGATGAAGACAGTGACTCTGATTATACAGTAGATGATCCGGTCGCAAGGCACGCAAGCCCAAGAATGGAGAGTCATCTAAATTGGAGTGAATTTCTTTCCATGTCGAATGCTACAATGTCTCCTCTAGGACAGTCCATTTCTCCTCCGGTCCCTCAGATTACTGGAGCATTGTATCATGAATTTGTTTCAAGTGAGGAAGAGATGTTTCGTTCTTCGAAAAAATCTCAAACAAAAGATGGTAATAGGGAGAAGCAGCTGCATCAAAGACCAAGATCTTTCTCTCAACCCAGCACCCCCAGAGATTGCTCGGAAATGTGTGTGATGTCGTCTGTATGTTATTGTGCCTGTCTTGATGATAGTTGTGTGTGTGGGTTGAGCCATTTGAAGGACATTGAATTAAGTGAATGTGATTTTCAAAATTGCGGTGTGAATGGTTCATCAAAAATGGATATTTTTAGCTTCAAGTGTGATGATGTATTCAATATGAAATGTTCGAATGAGTCTGTTATTGCATCTGGCAGTTTGTCGCCCAACAATATTCCCCAAGGCAATACAGGAAATTTTCAAGAGGTAATGTTTTGTCCTAACTGTAATGAAAGGAACAATGCTGCCAAGAATTTTTGCGCTCACTGTGGGTCATCATTTTTTGATATGAGACCCTTTAGCAGTAAAATGTTTAGTTTAAATGATGGAAAACGAGACTTGGAGCTGCACGCAAAGCTTAGAAATAATAATAGGCATGAAACTTCAAATCCTAACCCGGAATCTAATTTTATTCAAAACAAATCATTTGTGGTGCAAAAAGGCAACATTAAAAGTGACATAAGGAAAACCAATGTCCACCAGAAACAAAATGGTCGCCGATGGGAAAAGTCCAATTTAGCTTGGACTACCTACAAGAATAGTCATTTGTCCAAGCCATCTAGCATCAATCAAGAAACAAGAGTCTCTGCGAAAGGCAAAAAGTATTCAAAACAGGCAAACGAGGCATCCAGACCTGTTTCTTGCAAGAAGTTTGATCGGCAGCTTGACTCTGTTGCTCTAACAGGAATTAATCCAGGGAGTTTACCAAAGTCGTACAAGTTTCAAGAGTTTAAAAAGAAGAAAGCTAACGTGTTAGATGAAGTTGTTGATGGACTGGTAAGAGCATATATGTATATTATATATACATTCTAAATTAAGTTTAAGGATTGGTAATCCAAGCATATTTAATGTATAAAAATAAAAGTTTCTTCAGATTGTATAAATTATAGACATTATATAAATTATATAAATTATATACATACTAAATTATAGTATACTGATGCTGGTCAAACATACCACACATCAAGTTGGCTTATGAATGCCATGTTACGTGACATTCCAATAGGGTGCTCTCAAATTTTTGTTAGGTTTTAAATTCTTTGCTTTCTCAAGGTGTTTGATGTACTTGCTTGACGTTTAAAGATACTTTCTGTAGTGTATATTTAGCCCAATCATGCAACTTTCCCCTTTCTTACAGACTTTAAAAGGCATCAAAGCTGCGAAGAAATCAATGAATGACAACAAGTTTAGAGAAAAAGGTTCGCCTCGTGTGATTGTGCTTCTTGCACGCTTAGCAGATATGATTTCGTTTAATTCTTCTGACATAAATAGATAAGATTCTGTTTTCAACTTTTTTGACGTCAAATAGATAAATTTTGTTTTTAACTTTCCTCACATCATATAGATAAGTTTTTTGCTCTAACTTTTTGCACATCAAATACATAAGATTTTGTCTTTATTTCTAGTCGCCAAATCCAAGCTTGATTGTCACGTGGTAAGGCTATGGAACATGGGCACTTACGAAATATTTAATTGTTTTCTTAAAAATTTCTTATTTTAGAAATGATAATATTTTTTAAATTGCCGTGAAAATTTTTTTATAATCTATAGTGTGACTCAATTGTAAAACAGAGATTTTGTCGTGGTAACAAATTCGAATATCGCCTTAAAAAGAGCGAAGGGTTTCGTGATTTTTATTTTCTTTCAGTCCATTCACCATGGCAATTGCTCTTTTTAACGTGATTCAATTCTATTGAAAATCGCTATTCAAATACACTTCTTACGACTGGTAGAAGTGATTGCAATGAAAATCGAAATTTTTTGTTAAATGAAAGCTCATTCTAAGCGTAATTTTATATTTCCCCCTTTCTTTTTATTGTCTTGACAGATCCAGTCAACTTCTAACGAATCAACGTCGTACTTGTGTCTCCCCGATGAAATCATCTTGAGAATACTGTGCCATCTCTCGCATTCCGATTTGGTTAAGTGTTCGCTTGTCTGCCGTCAGCTGCAACGTATTTCACAGGATGAAATTTTGTGTGAGTACATAGATGTGATTCCTTCTGCATCTCTAGGAAATTTAAAACTAAAAGGGTCGAGCCACCTCAGTTTATGAGTTACTCGTTGGAGCAAGGGTGGATTATCCAGCAGGCTGAGTACAGGCACGGGCTTTCGAGAGGCCCTTTGTGTGTGGACATAATTAGGATTTGAACGTTTTTGCTATTCCGGGCTAGCTAAATGTGCTTAACTTAGATTATTCATGCTGTTGAAAACCTTACATGCAATCGAATGCAGAGGAAAAATGGCTTTCGTACTATCTACTGTTCAAATGCGCAATGCTGAGAACTCGTGAAGTTTTTGCTTTTCCTATTTCCCTCGCCATGTCAATAATTTTCGAAATTTCGTTTTAACTTTAAAATGAACTTTTCCCATTTTTTTACCCTATGGGGTTACAAACAAGAAATGCAAAGCAAAGGAAAACTGAACTTAGTAGGAGGAATAGGTATCGCTTAAAGGCCTTTAACTTTGTCTTAGCCTACAGGCCTCGTAATTCGAAGTCTGCCACTGCGTTGGAGTAAGACTGCATAAAATTAGAGATGTTTCCTTATGGACTTCTAAGAAGAAAATTTAAAAAGACTAAGCTATATACTAAATAAAAATGGTTAAGGTTTTTTGTTGAAGTAAGACTGCTTCGATAAGAGCTCAATAATTCTCGGAGAACAGTTAAGATTTGAGCGACCGGATCAAAAAAAATAATACATACGCTAATTTATATTGAAAATACCTTTTGAACAATACTGTCTGTTAAGAATTTCTAAAGAATAAAATTTGACCAATCGAGTTGCACGTAAGATGTTTCATCCGCCACCGAGAGAGATGATAGGTTAGCGAAATCTCTTCAGTCGTTGGAGTCCGTCCATATTCCATAAAATTTTAAGAATACTCTATGTCTTATGTCAATATTCTTTTTGCAACATCGAGTATTTACAAATCAAGGGAGGACCATCGTATTGACGAGAAATCACAGCATCAACGATGAGACAATGGAGAAGATTGGAGCGAAGAAACCTATCAGCTTAAGCTTCATTAAATGTCGTGGCAACGACGTGACAGCCAATGGCTTGCGTGAGCTCTTTCGACGCTGTGCAGCAAGTCTGCAGGTAAAATCAACTAAACTCGCTCATTAGTAAGTTTTCGTCAAGTAAAGTTAATAAGAGTGCTTATGACACCAAATTTTACCAATTATTCAGCTGAGGAGAGAATAGAATATTTTAGTTATTTGTTTCCAGTGATAATTAATTCTTCGCCAGGCAAATATCATTGCTGTGAAATTCGCAGTTTGTTATGTGTTGTCGGAAATAGCTGTTTTCATCGACGCTTGTTAGTGAAATTCCTAACTTTCTCACCCTTATACACATATTCTTCGACACGAATTGTAACAAAAGTACACAATTCATTAAAGTGTTGTACTTTTGCATTGTCCGTTTTATTATGCTGGACATGTTACAATCCAGATGATATTACGTATGCAAATGATTTCATTGTATTTATATATACTTATTAAAAACCGTAAATATTTCTACAAGGAAAAAGAACAAACACAGTTCAACTAAAGAAGTGATCAAGTCATTTGACATGGCTTTGCATAATATAAATCCTACAATAATCCTACAATATTTGCATATGAATTAGGATTTGTATTATGTATAATCTCTGATGATGGCTTTGGAATATGGTCTTTGCATCGCAATCAAAAAAAGTGTGTTATAAAATTTACGTTATGTAAACTTCGTAGTATTTTATTTTTATCGTCAATTTCGCATTCGACCGTCCACCACAAACTCTGTACTTTGTTTAAGAGGCATGGTACAAAATAAAGATCTAGTCGTGATAAGGAATTCAAATATACTTTAAAAGAAATTTCAGATACAATTGTGCGTGACAGTCTTAAAAACTGTCTGAAACCCTTGCATTTAACTGAAAGTTGCATATCACGAAGCAATTCGGCAGAATTCCACTCAGGCGCTACGCTTACTCTTTAAACATTAGTAAACCTGCCTTGATAGCATGGTAAAAAAGGGATTTTTGTTGATGTATAATGAAGGCTAGTTGTTGTGTGCCTTGTAGGAATTGAATTTCATCGGTTGTAATGGCGGCCAACTGATTGGCGAGAGTATCCTACTTCACGTTGCTTTACGTTGTAACAGACTGCGGTCAGTGGACGCGAGCTGGAGTAACGTCGGTGACAATGGTGTCGAAGCTCTGGTCCTGAACGTTGAACGGCTGGAATCTTTGTCCCTGAATGGCTGTCAGGCAATCACGGATCGTTCTTTAAAAGTCGTTGCCGACAAGCATGGCAAAAGGTATTAAAAAACGGTCTTTGTTGCGCTCACAAGGCTTGTTAGCATCGACTGAACCTGTCCATTTTCTCTGATTTTGTATAGTTTAAGATGCTTCGAAATATTTGGTTGCTTTAATGTTTCTGCTTCGGCAATCAAACGTCTCGGTCAAAAATGTTTAAATTTACAGACGCTGAACCTTGGTCAGTGCCATAAGGTATTTGATTCACATGATTACATTTATTTTTCATAAAATATGAACTTTCAAGGTGACCACCAGTTGTTCTCTGCGTTTTTTTATGTATTTATTGGATTGGCGTTTAGATAACAAGTGCCGATATTGGACGTTTGGTTTCGCATTTGGGGTCGATTGTCAATCTCGATTTGCGAGGCTGTAAAAAGGTTTGGATCATCGCTAAACAGGTTTCAATACTGCCATTGACTGATGTTTTTCTTTTTTCTTCTTTCACGTCACAAGGCTCGTGATGCCTGTGTGAAGACTATCGTCGAACATTGTCCTTACCTCGTCAACCTGGTTCTGGCCAACTGTCCTTTGATTACAGACGAATCGATGTCTGTCATCGCCACGAATCTTACCACTGTCAGGTTGGAAAAAGCATATGAAACTCGTGACTCGAGACCAAATGTAGCATGTGTTATTGAATCGGACGGTATAGATTGGAATTTGTTCAGTATCGAAATTTTAACTGTGCATTTTGCTTATAAGTGCTAAAAAACGAAGCTGAAAAGGCTTGCGGTTTTTCATCGGTTCAAACAGCTGTGGCCGACTTAAAACTAGGAAGCCACTGTCCACTGAGCATGATTTAAATTCTCCCCGAAAAAAGGAAAGCGGACTTAGGACTAACTAAATTGATATACAACGATACCCTTATGTAGATCGATCCATAATTTATATTATTAGAAGCTATGAAGCATTCGCTATACGAAGGTTCAGTAGTCTCTTCAGTAATACCACTATCCATCCTTGGAACAACTCTCACCCCTACTCGCCGATAATTCTATAGAAGACATTACTTTCTTACTAGTGACCTTTTTCAAAGAAGCATACAGTTTTTATTATGCAATGTACCTTATTTTATAGTATGAGGATTTGTATTATGATGGTTCTCTGATGATAGTTTATGTTGCAAAGGCGAAAATATTACATGTTTGTGATGTAGCTCATTCGGAATAGTGCAGTCCCGCGAGAAGAACTGTTGATGTTAGTATTTACTGATTAGAGACAACCTCGGCGCTAGTCATCTTCACAGTCAATACCTACACTACCCTGGACAATCTACATCCACAAACATGAAACGATTCACCCGGGCACAAACCATTCACTTTAAAAGCAAAATTTTGTCGCAAATTGTACGTATTTTTTTGATATTACCATTTACCATCATGCACCGGGTGACATCGAATAATGAATTTATCTGTCAGAACTCTCTTTGAGGTACCAATTGTGATATTTTTCTAATGCATATGTTTATTTTTTAACTGCAGGTATCTTGACGTTTGCGGCTGTGTGAAGGTCACCGACAACGGCGTGAAAGCTCTTGCTCATTCTTGTAATCGCCTGAACTCGTTGGATTTGAGTTCCACCAGTATCACAAAGAAAAGGTTTGAAAAATTATAACACAGTATCCAAAACGTGAAGCTAAGATGACATTGACAATACCTAACGACACTGAGCAAGAACAGTTTTTAACCACAAATTATGCGAACACTTACCTTTTGTTGGAACGAGTCTAAGTTCAAATTTTATCATACAAAAACAAGCCAAAAACAACCGAGTCTTGTTTATTTAAACGCGCCAAAACTAATACGAATTTGATCCGTGTTTATGCAAGCATACTTGTCAACCGCTCAATTTTTGACTCTATCGAGTTCTGCCGTGAGGGAATGTGATTTACCTGTGATGTAATATAAAGTCAGAGCAAGATTACAACTCGTGCTATTTTTCTTTGAAACAGTGTGATGCTGCTGGCGAATTATTGCAGCCAAAATTTACAGTCGTTGAAGTTGAGTTTTTGTGTTGACGTAACGGACGAGAGCGTGTCGCGGCTCGTGAAACACTGCAAAAGGTATGATTGCATGATGCATATATTTCAATATTTCTCAACTTCAATTCTGCCGATTTCTTCATGTTCAACTAAGAACTCTCGTTGCTCAAACGAACTTTGATAACACTCCAGTTTTTCGTCCGTAGTTTTGTGATTTTAATGTGCATGGTTGGGATGAACCCGACACAATATTTTTTTGCTGGGTCGAGGCTCTAGTTTGGTGGCGTAGGTAACGGTTACTATATGGTTTTTATGGCGTCGCTGTGTCTGACTTTTGAGTGTCTGTTTTTTTGTCATATGATAAACTTGTCGTAGTTTCGTAGTTACGCATTTCCCAGCGGCAAGGCACCAATTGTTAGTCGTACTTTTTTATGATGACTTTCTGTTTAAACTTTGCAACCTCGACCCCCGACCCTCTGCTCCCCCCAACATCTGCCCTTGTTTTCTTCTTCAAATCCTTCCATTCTTCTTCAAATTCTTCCATCATACATTGTGCAATGTGTTTTTGCTTTATTGAAGAATGAAGATACTTCATCTTTACGGCTGTAAAAGATTGCGTAATTTAAAAGCTTTACAGAAACTTAACAAATCACTGAAATTGGAGTTTTAGAGTTCGTCGAAGTCACGTGTTGAAATGTTGTGCAAAAATGGATGAAATGTGTGTATAATACTTTTGAATAAGCCTTTTTTCTGCCAGAACTTCTTGATAAATAAGTAGCGTATGTCTGTAGGAAGATATAATGATTATTTCTCTGAAGGTCTCAAAGACTCTAAATGTGTGAAAATTGATGTCAACAATTCTCATCGCGTATAAATGGAATTGACACTAAAAGAAATTGTTAAATACGTATGATTGTAGTTAAAATATATTTTATTTTGCTGGGGCAAGGGTCAATTTTCTACGCCTGCTTTCTGTTCTATCGTGCCCATTTGGACAGGTGCTGATTTTCGATAGCATTAAGGTTGAAATCTGTGCTCTCAATGCAAGGGTCGGTCAATATATATAGATTCATATACATACAAGGCATTATACAAAACAAAATGCTGCCTTAAATGATAGGCTGTAGCCAATTCATCTTTAATCATTAGTCGTCAAGTCTGTGAAAGAATTGATAGCTACGGTCATTGCTTTCATAATTCCACATGGAAAAAATTACATGAAATTCTTGGAATTATCAAAAGCTATTATCAATATTTTATCAAAAGTTCTGAGATTTATTTTTCATAGCTTATCACTCATGTCTCAATAGTGGTAATGTCATTTCTATCTCAGTCGTGTCCAATTATTTTTCCACAAACCGCTACAAAAGACAGCTTTCAAACGTTCTTATGCCGACGTCTAAAAAAGTCCTTCACTTGAAATTGTCGCGGCAAGGTCTGCCATGTGGGAAATTGTTATTTAATTTTGTGTTTTTCGACGAATTTTAAGAGTTGTTCCGGCGATAACTAATGCCAAAGGGGAGGCACTTTTTAATGGAAAACGTTCTAGTACTTCAGGGATTTTGTATGGATAGAATTAGCGGAATAATGTCGAGTTTTCAAAGCGAAAGGGCTCAATTGAACTACGACCGACGAACAACGAGATGTGTATTTTGGTGAGTGTGAATAAAGTTTTTATTTCAGTACATACATTTTTATTTTGTCTTCACAGCATGAATCATTGATATTTATACAATACTTTCGAATATATTTTGATATACAATGATATACGTTACAACTGCAGTTAGGGCATTATTTTTAAAGGAGCGACCGCAGAATTACATTTAAAATGGCGAGCGCGATTCCAAACAAACTACAGAATTTGACTGGAAGAATTTAGGAATTCGCCCACCACAATTTTTATGTATTTTGCTCAAGCAAGATGGGTGAATGCCATATTTCAGTGCGCCTACTATGAAAAATGAACTTTCTATACGTCAATGTGTTTTTGTGTATTCTTTGCCTCTATGCTTATCTATGATCCTGATATGATAATCTATGATCTTGAAATCATTAATCTGTGATCCTTATATGAATATCTGTGATCCTTATTTGATCGGTCAATGGCACAGGGTGTATGTACCATTGCATTCTAGATAGCTCAATGCTCTTGCATTGCTGCTATTCAATGGCGATTCAATTTTCGGCGCCATTTCTCATAACTCAAGCTTAGCAGTCTCGCTAAATGTCAAATTTTCAAAACTAATCAGCTGCGAATTCGCTCTTGGATCGTTTCATATGCATGAGTGGCAGCGTTGTGTTGTTTTGCTTAACAACCTCTGTCCTAAATTTCTTCTGGTGCGCAACCCAAAGCTGGGTTATGTCAATGTTCTTATTTGATATATAGCTTTAATATGTAGCGAGAGAGTAGGTATTATATATTATATAATATATGTTATACGATGTATGTAGCAAAATGAAAACATTGCATAGTATGTGCAATATATAATATATAACACTTACTTCTGAAATCTATATTCAAATGTCGTCAGTTTTATAGAAAAGTGCAATATGGAACTGCATAGTGCGTCTAATTACTACTATTTTTAACACTACCGCAAGCTGCGGTCGGTTATTGCAACAGCCATTGGCACGTCTTTGGTGCAAATTTTTTCAGTAAGTGCACATCCATTTCGTTATTCTTTGTATCATTGAGTAAAACCATTACATCTTGAAATTGTGTTCCGTTGCAGCAACGTTTAGTTGGTGTTTGAGCCGCGATCGAATGACTATTTCCCAACAAATGTGTCATGGCTGTCGGTAGGCACACGTCAGCGCACTGTTTCATTTTGAATTTCGTCGGTTTCACGACCACAAGTCGTTCGCTAATTTTCATGTTTTTCAACTGTACGTTTTTCTCATTTACCTTGCATAGCAACTTTGGGTTCGGATCGTTTCTGCTGCTGGTGTCGGTGTTCGCAACGGTCTGACGGCTTGCTTTTCGAACGCGTCTGTTTTGGGCATTGCTCGTTGCCGAGTTGAGAGAGTTCTCGATAAGGAAACGCCACGCGAGAAGAGTTGTAGAATGCTCCGATGCGTACAATATCATGTACGGAGAATTTCCATTTGGGAAATTGGTAAACGGATTCGTCTTTGCCGGCTTGCCCTTGCGGTAGATTTCGACAAGGAGTCCCTCGTTCGAGCTGTGATTTTTCACCCATTTGTTCGTCCATTTATTCAAAGATAGTACCTGCCAGCCGCGATTGAATGCTGGAACAATGAACTTTCTCACGAGCTTTCCGCTGTGGATGTCAATGAATTTCAAGGTGTATGGTTTGAAGCGAGTTTTGTCGTTGCCATCACCAGGTGTCATGTATAAATGTATCTCGTCCCTTGTAACGGTCCAACTGTCTTTCACAATCTCTAGGTTGAACTCGATTTTCATACTCGATTCGGATTCAATTGTTGTAACTATTGAAGAAATGCATACAACGTTATAATAGGCTTTCTTTTCCTGTCGAACAATAAGGATGTTTCTAAAGGTTTGTTTTAAACTATGCTGGAGCGGATTTGACTCATTTGAGATCAGGGACGCCGTAAGAGTGTTATTGGGAGGGGTAATTTTCGTATGTTCATGTTTTACTTTATTACTTTCTATTGAAATCAATTGTGATTACGGATTATAAAATATGAATATAGCCCCCACACACAACCCAATTATCAATTTGCCGCGATGGACACGGTCAGAATTTGCCCTTTTGTTAAATAAAGTACAAGTACAACGCAGCGCATAGTTAACCGATATCTTAGGGGAGGGGGCAAAAATTGGAAAATATCAGGGGCATACTCAGGGCACAAATGTACCCAAACCCGCTTAAATGTACCCAAACCCTTTTTGTTTTCTGCTTGAAAACTCGGGGCACTAAAACTTGTCACTCGATAAATCTCTGTGGCGAAATTGCCGTTGCCTACAGTCGGGCGTTCAATCTGAGTTTCAATTGAATTTCTAATTTGAACTTCCATTCGAAAGTTCTTGACATCACGAGCTCTTATGATAACGATAATGTCACTAATTGGCAACGATCGGATTTTTGAGTCCTCCTCCATTTAATCAACTACCAGTTGTTGATCTTCTCTTTTCGCTGAAGAGCGTCTAAAGTAAATTAACTTTATTTATACTGGATAGCTTATGTTTTTCGTGAGGCATTGTTATCTTAAGGCCAAATCCCAAAATGAAATCTATATTCGAATCTTATTATAGACGTATTTTGTAACGCCAAACAGTTACGGAATGTTAGGTAAGCGTTTGCATTTATTTTTCTTGGCAACTGTCTACGTTAGTATATAAATGGCATAAAAAATGACAAATTTAGACTCTGCTGTATATTTGGGACTCTATGCTTTGTATGTGGGCGATTTTCAACTTTCATTGTCCGTTCTATTCAATTCCACTTGTGACTTAAGTCGAATAAAGCGGTTTGCACTTTTAGATTAGAAGCGCAAGACTGTTGTTTCAAGGCTAACATGGGTAATTAGCGTGTCGTTTGCATCGTGGCTTAATGTTGATCTGAAAATACCATAGTGATTATGTTGTCTTATCTGAACTTGACATTTCTTAAGAATCAGATCGGGCTGCTTTATCGTCTGCATATTCTTCTAATGTTCCAACTTAGGTGCACCACTTGAAAACACTATAAATAAATCTGCTAGCGTAGCAGCAACGGCCACAGTCAGACAATTTAGTCGTAGACGTAGGTCAGCCTGCGTCATGTCACGAATGGGACGAAATTTTCTCGTTAGTTAGCAGTGTCGAAAAAATAGTTAAATTTAAGCGAGACAGACCGACAGACAATGTTTGTGATCAGCACGCAATATATGCTAATTAGCGGCGTCACAGGACACTACCCCCTTTGAATTTTGTTCATCGTCATGTTAAATTGACGTCATGCTATATCACTACTAGCGTCACTCGTAGTTTGACCTGCTTTTAGCAAGTTGTGCGTTTTGAACAAGCCTGGATTTTCTACTAAGATGAACTCATGATATAACAGACCAATAGAACAACCTCTCATTTTGCTATGTCATCGTGAAATTTTTCATTTCAGTAATTTCAACTCATTTTCAGTGGGGTTTCAACATAATTTCGAATAACGGTAAGGCGATGAAGGAACTCCTCTCTTAAGAAATATCTTGTAGACGTCCTAAACAATATCCTCTAGAAGTCAGATTCTAAGTTTGCCACAACAATAAGTGCAATGGAGCACGTTTGTGACAAATGGCCGAGACACTGAGAGGAGATTGACGCAATAGGATTTCTAAATTCGAAGTAAATTTTCTTTAAGCTGTTTTCTTAGTGATCTCATTATAAATTCACTATCGTCAAGTAAACATTATTTTTATATTTTTGCATAAGTTTGTTCTCGAAATTCGACTCTTCATCATATCCATTGCCCAACTACCTGAAACAAGCATCGAACCCGTGAGTTTCGCAAAAACTATAAATTATTACTCATAGCTATGCCATGAAGTGTTAATCCTTCAACTAAAAGCAATTAATTTTAGAGTAATGTTAACACTGTTACCCTTGGACTGTATTGGTAACTTACATTATGCAATGTACAGTTGTATAATTCTATTTCGACGGGGCGCTTGGCCGTATTCCATTTTTATATTATGTACTCACGCCCATTAATCATGAACCCCCAATGGAGATATGGATATTTTGATATTAGAAATTTTGATGAAATTTTGCTATTGATTATAATCAATCCTATACGACTCTTTTATGTATGGGACATACGAGGTCGATTTTGTGTGGAATTCTTAGTTGACATTTTCTCTGGTCTCTAAATATTGCCTAACCTCGTCCTTTCTGCGGGAAGTTTACTGTTGAAAGGCTTGGTTACTTCTTTATCATCTATTTAGTACTTTTTTCTTCAATACTTTTTTTTGCCATCATTGTCATCAAATCGATTATAGAAACCAGCAGATACAGTTGCAATGTTTGCTTATGCGGACTATATATCAGCTTATCTGTAGAGAAGTTTGAAAATGTTTATAGAGCAAGAACACGACTTAGCTGTGGCATTTCAGCTATTGCTGACTGTCAGTCTGCCTATCAAGAGATTTCAAAATGCTTATGGAGAAATAGCACGACTTAGCTGTGGCATTTCAGCTATGGCTGACTGTCAGTCTGGTTATCAAGAGATTTCAAAATGTTTATGGAGAAATAGCACGACTAAGCTGTGGCATTTCAGCTATTGCTGACTGTCTGTCTGGTTATCAAGAGATTTCAAAATGTTTATGGAGAAATAGCACGACCTAGCTGTGGCATTTCAGCTTTTTCTGACTTTCAGCGGCAGTTTGGCTTTCAAGAGATTCGAAAATGTTTATGGCGCAATAGCACAACTAAGTCCAATGTTTCTATAATTAGCTGTTTGTGACAGAAATCACGCTCTCTCCAGACTACGCCTTTTTTTAATGGATACTTCCTTCTCAAAATTATGGTTTTTTATCCCTATAATAACGGCAACCTTTGAGACGCATGTGTTTCTTGTGGTTAGCTTATTTATTGTGGTTTGCGCAATCTCCAATCTGACCAATGTGTAGCTCTATGTCATTAATAGGATAGGCTGATTGTGTGTAATGAATTATGAATCAGAGCGCTGCGAAAACTTTTCATGCATTGTGCATTGGCAACAACCGAGGAAATTATAGCTTCCCTGCCAATACGATGCTTCTTTTCCTTTTTAAAAACACCAAACACACAATTTTTGAGACGCGTGGGAGATTGTCAGAAGCCAATTAAGTAGTTGTATTTTGTGGTCCCTCTTCTGATTGGTTCGCTATTTTCGGGGAAATAGTGCGCAGACGGGAAGGTTGTGGCGAGATCACACACACATGCAACTACTCATAGACAGTGTACTGATAATGATAGCACAACTGATTGCATACGCGTGGGATGACAGCGATCTCATGTCGACGTTATTAGGCACAACGACTTTTAAATTGGATTACATTAACTGTTTTTAGGACCAACAGGTAATGCCCTTCATTATGAGCATTAGAGCTTGAAGTTATGTCGTTTGATGATTCTATAATTTAGATCTTGTTTTCCCTCTTAACACCAGACAGATCTCCTTTCGTAGCTACAGCCAGCTATTCCCTTTCTTTCAATTTGGTGCTCATAACACAAGAGCCGAAGTCAAGTCTTTATAATCTCGCCTAATCATGTTTGCGCGTGCTCTAAAAATGGCACATTTTTCGAATTTCCAAAATTTTCCCTCTTCATGTACAACTGATAAGTCCCTCTTTAGAGCGAGTTTAAGGAACAAAACAAGTAATTAGTATTTATTGCAACATTGACGAACGAAATCCTAATCAAGTTTGAATATGCCCTCTTAATTCAACAAACTTGCTCATATCCGCATCTTTTGTGGTTTTCAACCCTCACCAGAGAATTTGCTATGTATCTTGTCGCGTGCGTTGTGTGTTGTGTGCATGAGTTTGACAAATATTTTGGTGCACTTAATTAGCGCGTGTGTGTATACGACATCGTGTTGTATTAAACTAATTGCGAAAACAGTTAGGTAGTTTCGAAAACAAACGAAAGGCCACTGGTCGGTATACAAAACAAAATTTTGTCCACATGCATTCTTACAAATGTCATAGGACTCATGTGGCTAATTCAGTTATAACTTCGACGAGAAATTTCATCGGCAAAAAGAGCAACGTCATAATAACCTCTTAAATTTTCTCCCCGTCGAGTTCTGTAATTGCGACAATATTTATCAACTTTTCAGTGCCGGGCAACCTAAGACATAACATAATGTTCACAAACCTGATGGAAGACCTCTGATGGTGTTCGCTGAATGCGGTATTCCCGTTTTCCTGCTTGTCAACTTCTTGTACAAGCTCATCATGTAGAGTGGCATTCGTTTGTTGAAAGTCCGTACCGTTCTTTTGACGAACGCTCGCTCCGTCGCGTTTTGGCTCCGATTTTGACGGTTGGTATTACCGTTTATGGCGTCCAGTATACGCATTGCGCTCACGATTGTGAGAAAGCAGAGAAGGGACAGAGAACGGACTGATGATAACTTAGTCGCGTACATCGTGAGTCGTATTCTGCTCGGTCGTCTTTTGCTTTTCGTTGTGTTCGAAATGATCGTCTTAAATGATTAACTTGTCTCCTGGTCTCCTTCTACAAAAGAAAACACTTCCAATTAATCCACTCCAAAAATATTCTTACACGATAATCCCGTTTCAGTCTCCATTTTTAATGGAATTATCTTATCGCAAGTACAATATTATGTCAAATCTTCTCAAATGATGACATGTGCTCATGTCACGTTTTCCACAGTATATCATTTGAAAATATTTCGATCGCTTTCTTCATCGTGACGACTCTACAGTCCTTTGGTAGCTATAACAAGTGTGGATGAAGTTGCTTGCTGATTTTCTAAGTTGTTCTAACACGAAAATTTTTTTAACCTTTTTTTTTCTTTCTACTCCCAGGAGCAATGCTGCCGCATATATTCAGTTGGGAACCTTTTCAACAACACGCCGAATTTCCGTCATTTATAATTCCACACATGCAAAACATGTCAAACGTATTAAGTCTTATTGCTGCGACAGACAGCATTAGTAAAGTAGAAAATTTACTTCACACAAAATTTGGATTGGAGTACACCTGCTAATTTCTTCGTTTATTGCATGAACTACAAACCGCATCTTAAAGATTTTTTTGACATAATGAAGACGATAAAATCCGGCGATGATACGTTTGTGTTGGTTTGTGTTAAAAGTGAAATACCTTCTACGATCCTTTAGAGATCTCTCGACCTTTAAGATTGTGCTCTTGGATGTAAATCCTGCGTGGGTTTATCTTTCGTGTTATGCAAGACTCTTGAGTCTTATCGTCTGTCTTGGGTGAGTTGTGTTCGAATGTTCACATCGATAGAACGACGCACTTTATAAACTTACCGCAAAGTACACGTCGGAAGTGTGTGATGACTAAGAGGATTAAATTTTTCTAAGTACAAAAATAAAGTTATTTGTCTTTTGTATATTATGTACTTTGTTCGCGATTTATCATCAACAGATAACACAAATCGTCTTTTAACCCCCCACACAATTTAAGGATTTTGAATGAAGTGGAAGGATTTTGGCAATTCTATCTCTTCAAAGGAGCAAATGGCCTGTTTGTTTTATGATGCTTGCTGGTCGTTGTGGTGTTGAGGTATCGTGACACTTATGAAAAATGACCTGTTTTAATCAAGATGTAAAGTGAAGAGAATCTCGATTATCGATGGAAAATACCTTTGACACGGGGTCATTATCGACCCGAAGACTGCACTGCGCATGTCCCATGTTGAAAAATGCCCACGTAAAGTAAAGAGTGTGGCGGTTTTTGAGGTTTGAACGAAAACACGTCAGCATCTATAAATATTTGTTGTTAGACTTCCTTTCTCTGATTGGAATCTACGTTGGGTATACAAAACGTCAACGTTGAATCAGCCTCATCCGAGTATCATGGGAAAAATGCTTTGGGAAGCGATAAAATCTACGATAAATAGTCTTGCTAAACATTTAAGACTGATGTGAATAACGTTTCGATTTTTCCTTCCTTCTCGATTTGAGTTTTCTTATTAAAGTTCTTGTCCTGTAAACGGAACTGGCAAAATGCCAGTCACAAAAAAATACCCGTTTTCTGTTGCGTCTGCTATCGTGCATTTAGTCTGTATATGCATCATGCGAATAATGTCCACATCACATGGTATGTAAAATCGGAACTTCATCAATAAACAACGTGTTTACACCTTCCAATTTAGGTCACGGACCTATGACCACTTAAAGAAAGCGACAACATTTTTTTCTGCTTGTGAAAGTTGTAAGAAGTTAATTCCTTCTCTTTTCTGTATATTTTGCCCACGTGGCTTTAGTAGATTTCGCGCCCATGGTCTTTTTGTATATTTTTTAAGTGTTTGACAGATGAAAAACGTGTTAATATGAAAATTTAGCTTCGTCATATTCAACTGTCGCGCGATCTATTCCGTTCTAGAATAACCAGAGAGCACTGTGGCTGTTCTGTTTTTTTACAAATAACTGGATACCCAACGTGGTATGTAACTGCCCACAATGCGCAAAACAAACATCTCGATATTTCGACATGGGGCTTTCGTCAAGAGAGCTGGTGTTAAGAGTATTAGTTTTGTACCATTAGTCTCTTGACCCTCATGTAAAAGCTTCGAGAATTTTCTTGCATATTTTCGGAAGTTACTAAGGCACATTTGATTCCCACAGTTCTTCTCCATAATATTGTTTTTGGCAACCAAATGAACTTCCATATAGAAGTCATTTCGAAGAGGTCGACTTTATACGCTGTATATGAGACGAGGTTTTTTATACTATTCAATGAAAGATCTCCTAAAGACGTCATGAAAGTCTCTTTTTAACATTAACGTAATTGTTTTTTGTCAACTTCTGGAACCATGCGATACCTATTACGTATATTAGAAAAGGTACGGTCAGGCTCGTTTCAAACGTCGCATTTTACATGCGCCGAATGCATTTAAAACAATAGAAAATGAGATAAAATTCCTCATTATCTTTTGTTTTAAATGCATTCGGCTCATGTAAAATGTGACGTTTGAAACAGGCCTCAGTCTTGTAACTTTTAACTCACTGTGGAGCTATATTCCGTTCACTTGAGTATCTCGTACATAAAGTAAACTACTAGCATGGTTTATTCAAACATTGGAGGAGAGAATCATAACCGAAACTAGGTGTTGCAACTTTGATGAAGCATTAACGAGGTTCTTTGTATGGTACACGGGTTTGACTCGAGTCGAGACGATCGAAGAGATGCTTTCCTTTGAATATTTTTCTAAATTTCGAGTTTCGTTGGCGTTTGATACTGTGATTCATCAAAATGCTACTATACAAAAAGTTTCTGAGCCACTTCGTGATATCGTATTGCGTATAGCAAACTCGCAGGCTTAGTAATGCTAAGTAAATTTGATATCATAAGCATTATTCTTTTCTGAAGAAATCCATTGTTTTTATAATGAGTAATCTTCGAAAAATTTACATAGAATGACTAAACTCACGAGTTGGCTGCGCCACCAATCTTGAAGTGTCAACAAACCACGGCAATAGTTGACAAAGTTATGAAGAGAAATGATCAAATCAAAATCAGATTTATTATTTCTCAGAGTGACAAACACAACTCGGCTTACGTAACTGCTCTTTCATTTCATACAAGACCGGAATGCCTGTGTCTGCGCCTGCGCATTACGCAACTTTTTAATGGTATTAGGCAACTATTTCACACGTAGTTATTGAAAAAATTAATTGGAATTCTTTAAATTTTTTTATTATTCAAGATTGATGCTTCATTGTGTAATACATCTATTCGAATCCACGCATCTCGTCCATTTTTTGTTGTGGGCATAAAGTTTCGTATGTCATCGCTTTGTGAAGTTGAGCGGGACTGGCACTGGTTTGAGATTTGGTACTTTTACAGGTAGTTATAGAGAACAACACGGAGTTGAGATTGGAACAGAAATTTGTCTAAAGAAATTAATTTCTTCGTTGACTGGATATTTTCAATGTCTTTTCTTCCGTGTCCTTCCATCTTTTCCTGCGAGCTTCTTTTACAAAACTTCCATTATTGTCTGTATCGACGAAGCCTGTTGATAACGCATTCTTTGCTCTTTGCTTCTCGTTTGAAATGTAGTTGATAAACTCTAGCCACGAGCGGAAAACACGAGAAGCAAATACTCTGACTTGAGTCTCTTTTCAACATTCACTGACAAATTGTCGCGGTCAAAGTCCACAATCCTGCTAATTATTGCTGATGGTAGAATTAACCTTAAAATTTCAGCATAGAGACAATCGCTGAGTATTTTGTTCATCCTTAACCCCGAACTTTCGTTGAAATAGTCAGGTTTCACCAAATCAACGCCTGTTTATGTTTTGGAGGTACCTGGAGGACCGTGTCTCTGGGATCCAGTGATATTTTAGTTTATACTTTGCAATGAAGTTTTCAGGCTTCACACCATGCATATCAACATCTGTTTACATCTTTTTGGACATGCTTAAAGAATCGTGTCTCAGGACCCCGTGTTCTTAACAGTTGATAACTTTTGATGAAAGGATCACCAAGTTCTTTAGTACCAGATCGTGTGTCCGATGAAATTGTCAGGTCTCACTAGATCAACATCTATTTACATCTTTCTGGAGATTCCTGCAGAATCGTGACTCTATCTTGTAGCCAGTATATCAAACACAAAGAGTATCCAAAGAAAACAGACATTCAATTGTGAAACTGCTCAAAATTTCCTAAATACGTTTAAGAAGTAGAAGGTTTAATGGAGATGGACTGTATGCGCAGAGTCGAGGAAAACTGCTCAAAATTTCCTAAATACGTTTTAAAAATGGAAGGTTTAATGGAGATGGACTGTAAGCGTAGAGTCGAGGAAAAAATATGCGAAAAGAAATGTTTCAGATCAGGGGTGTTGCACTTTTGACAACATCAGAAGTGCCGTGGGAGCGAAATTTAGCTGATATCGTTCAGGTTCAGCATATTCTATGCTTGAACGCGTTATTTGTGTTATTCATTACTGTACTGTAAGATTTCACACGTTTTACTTAAGTCCTAGCCCGTCAATTACACGACTGAACTTACGTTTTTACTGACGTTGAAAGTTCTTTCTTACACATTGTTGAAAGTTCTTTCTTACAAGCTATACCATATATTAAGCCGATACACATTTTGCATTTTGCTACACCTTCAATGACCTTACAAACAATGTGAAAATCGTTCACACCAGTCAAAGGTGAGATTGTTCAGCTATAAGTGACGATGGTCATTACGTTAGTAACGATAGACGCTCTTGTAAAAAGGATAGTCTGAGAGTTCACATGATTGGGTGCTAATCTTGAAAAATTTCTGCTATTTGCCTCTGGCGGCAGTCGGTATTGTTTAACGAGATCATGAGGGTCAATGCTGCTTATTAATCTGAATGGAGAGTATTAGATGCAAGAGGACAGTCATGGTGACAGTGGCGGATACTAAGGGAACAGGCTGGTGAGCCCCATCCAATAATTTAAAAGTCTAAAATCGTGCACTTACTACAACTTAACACATCTATATGCAACGTAACTGTCGTATTCAATAATGATTATTTGATAAACTTCTATATTGTACACATCCCACCAGCATACACTACCTTAATTCTTCACTTGATTGCAGTGGCAAGTAGTTTCACGACTTTGTGTGCCCCAATCAATATAATGTCGTGTTTACTTCGTGTGATGGAACGAACGACGCACTTTAGGGGTCGTCCATTTTGTACGTACTCTTATGAATGAAGGAGGGTGTATATAATGAATGACACATTTACGTGCAGTAAAGGGGAGGGGATAAGCTGCTGTTTCGTAGAATAACATTTTGGAATCCAATTTCTGGTCCCACGAGCAGGCTTACACTTTCTATATATATTTCATGGATTATGTATGTTAAAAACTGGCTAAGATAACAGAAACCAGCAAGCTGAGTATCAATTGAGCAGTGGTTATAAAAAAGCTGACTTTTGCCCGATCTTAAAAACTAACACATCTGTAGAGGGGAGGGGTGTGGTTGGCCTATTATTGTACATTTACGTAAGAAAGAGGGGGGGTGAAAGAGAGCTTTGCTTGAAATTCTGAAAGTTTTGATTACGTGCTCAAGGGACCCCTAAAATCACGTTTTCAATATAATTAGAAATCATATTTTTTGTTTCATCTTGTCGACGTCTTCCAATCCTGAATCCTTTTGGAGAAAATTCGTTGAGAAAATCCTCTAATCATTTGAAAATGCATTCGATCTCTGTTGCACGACATGGTAAACAATCTATGCATGTAATCGCATGGATCAACTTGAAGTTTTTCGCCTTTGGGGGAAAGAAGTTTAAACTATCTGATGAACGACAAAGAAGTACTTGACGGCCACGCCTAGCAAAATGGTGTGACGTTTGTCGTCTATATCGTATAGTAAGCCTTTCATAAACAAATATGTTGTTGCTATGAGTGAACAACGAAATATCTACAAAGCTGAAGAAAATCTACGAGCTAGCTACGCCTCTGTTCGGATCAGACTGACTGTCAATTTTGTTACGTGAAGTCCCGAGCAAAACAAAGGTGAACATACACATAAAATATTCATCTTCGTGTTAGAGCTTTCGTGAGTCCACAGTTTGTGATGAAATAGCGTGGGTGATGGTGCAATTTCAATAGTATGTCAACGTTTCAAGTTTCCAAGCACTAAAGTGTTGTTATATTCACACAGCGTGCTTATTTTGGATTTATGTAAAATAGTGTGGGTGATGATGTGTAATTTCAATGGTATTTAAACTTTCAAGTTTCCAAGCACTAAGGTATTTTATATTCACAGCGTGCTTATTCTGGATTTATATTTACTGTTTAAGTAAGTGATTTGGCAGCGTGTCTGCTGTAAATGTTTATTTGGCGTCACGAAAAACAGGTTAATTACAACCGGAGGTTAGTAAATTTAATTATGAAATTTAATTATGAGATTTTTTATTACTTGTGCATGGAATGTGTGAAAGGTGTGGTTCATTGTAATTATTGTCTTTTTGCAAACGCTGTGCGTAAATAAGTCTTTTATTTGGCGCTGTAGAAGTATGTGGGCGTGGAGCTAAAGGCCCGAACCCCCTCTTCACCAATCTTTGGAAAAGTGCTGAGCCCCTCTTCAAAAATCTTTGGGAAAGTTCAGAGCCCCTTCTTTTAAAACATTTTCAAAGCAAGTGTACTGCTAAAACTATTAAAATGTCGTCATTGATAAATCGCCGCCAGACAAGTCTTGTTTCAATTTCATCTGTTAAATGTGAATAATGATTATTACATGTTGTAAATGTAGATCGTCCAGGTTGGCATAGTCCCGAGGACTGTTTTTGTTGTTGTTGACTGACGTTTCGACAACCTTAGCGGTAGCCATCTTAAAGGTTGTCGAAACGTCAGTCAACAACAACAAAAACAGTCCTTCTCAGGACTATACCAACCTGGACGATCTACATTTACAAACATGTAACGATACTCCCGAGTTCAAACCATTTACTTTAATAATGATTATATTGAAATACTCGGAGAGACTGTATCACTGCTATAGAATCGTTGTATGCATTGCAGTCTAGTATATAATACGCCGAAATGCATAAGCTACTCGTGTATTTTACAAACATTTACTCAAATCCTTTCATTCCGTGTCCTTGAAAAGATGACAAGTCTACACAAGAGTAGAGAGCCAGACGCTACAAGTCCACACAAGAGTAGAGAGCCAGACGCTACAAGTCCACACAAGAGTAGAGAGCCAGACGCTACAAGTCCACACAAGAGTAGAGAGCCAGACGCTATAAGTCCACACAAGAGTAGAGAGCCAGACGCTACAAGTCCACACAAAAGTAGAGAGCCAGACGCTATAAGTCCACACAAAAGTAGAGAGCCAGACGCTATAAGTCCACACAAAAGTAGAGAGCCAGACGCTACAAGTCCACACAAAGTAGAGAGCCAGACGCTACAAGTCCACACAAAAGTAGAGAGCCAGACGCTACAAGTCCACACAAAAGTAGAGAGCCAGACGCTATAAGTCCACACAAAAGTAGAGAGCCAGACGCTACAAGTCCACACAAAAGTAGAGAGCCAGACGCTACAAGTCCACACAAAAGTAGAGAGCTAGACGCTACAAGTCCACACAAAAGTAGAGAGCCAGACGCTACAAGTCCACACAAAAGTAGAGAGCCAGACGCTACAAGTCCACACAAAAGTAGAGAGCCAGACGCTACAAGTCCACACAAAAGTAGAGAGCCAGACGCTACAAGTCCACACAAAAGTAGAGAGCCAGACGCTACAAGTCCACACAAAAGTAGAGAGCCAGACGCTACAGTACCGGGTTTGTGACCGATAAAGCCGTTTTAGATTGAAAAGATTTGAGTAAATTGTCGTATAATGCATGAATAGGTTATACCATTCAGCGTGATGTACTTTTGCCGCTCTGAAGACGACAATCATAGCATTGCAGTCTGGTAGCAGTGTCGTATGTGACTTGTCCGACTTTATACATACATCTGCGTGAAATTATTTCGCTACGATACCTACTTTGGTCAATTATGAAGTTATAATTATTCTGCCATTCACTCAGTTAAATTTTAAATAGCTGTCAAAAGCTATGGTTTGCAACAAATGGTCTAATTTCAATGCCGAATGTTACCTTTTTTAAGACCCTGTCATGAGGTTGTAAGTGAAAGTTTTAATGCTTAAACCGATCACATATAGCTGTATAATGCACAGAGGTTCTGCTCGAAAACTGGTCATAAGTTTAGTTGTGAATATGTATGATGTCATACGATGACGTCACCCATTCTAAACAACGTCACGCCTTCATCTCGGGAGAGCGCGTGAAGCAATTTTAGTCGGCGAGTTTAGTCTTCAATAACGCGAAACATTCAAAATGAAAGAGTTCATGTCATTTGCTCGAAAATGAAGTTATTATTTATTTGAAAATTATGTTATTCAACAAAAGCAGAATGTCCGTCCATTAACCATTGTAACTATCGAGGGAATCTTCTTCGGCAGAACTTCAAATCCTTTGATCTTCTGTTTAACTTCCGTACGAGAGGCGCGAAGTCTTTCTGAAGGAAACCAGTTTTCTTGTTGATGACGAATTCTTTGCTTTTTGTCTTGCGTCCAATGAAAACGTATTTGCCGTTCACTTGAAGTTCTGTGTTGTTGCAGCGACATTTGGTGTAATCTGGCACGCGAATCAATACTTCATTGTTCTTTGTGAACTTCGTGTACTCGGATCGTGGCTTGAATCGCTTTTCGACATTCACTAACACGTTGTCACCGTGGAAGCTTAGAATTTTACCAATGATCGCTGTTGGAGGAATCAATGTTTAAAATTTTAGCACGGAGAGATTAGATAATAGTTCGGGTTTTCGTTCAAAATTACATGAAGGATCGCGTCTCATCGATTCAGTTTTGTCGCAGTTAAATTTTTTGTACACGCACTTATATGATGAATTTATAAATTCCACAAGTTTCTACATAACAACTTACCAAACTTGTTCCGCTTTTCGCAAAAACTCTTCAGAACTAGTTTTTTCCCAGACTGAGGGCATCTCGCGCATTCACGCAGACTCCTTCTCGAGGTTGGAGCCACTGTTGTCGTAGCATTTGTTTTTACGACGGTTGTTGGCGTTACTAGGAATGGAATAAAAAGATAAAATCTTTCAAAGTCGGATAAAGTGGAAAAACATAACTCTCGTCACAGTTATGGATAAACGTACCGCATTCTCCCTCGTATTTAAATTCAATGACTTTCTTCAATTCACAACCAGCTCTTTTCATCTCACAGCGATTGCCATATGTAACGTTATCGGTGCCACATACAGGTCTGTATTCTCTCGTACACACTATATCACATACACATTTTGCTTCACCCCCAATGACCTTGCAAACTCCGTTAAAATCACAGCTTTTGCTTCCACAAATGTCAATGTTGGTTGCCTTGAGTATGTCCACCTCTAGGTGATGATGTTTCATTAAGTTAGTAATGATAAAAGCTCTTGTAGGAAGACTAGTCTGAGAGTTATATGATCAGGTGCTAATTCTGAAAAATCCATGTAATTTGCCTCTGTTTATATGAATCCTAAAGATTCATATTATTATTATTCTTTGATGAAGCTTTGTCTTTGGTTGAAGTCGTCATTTAATGAAATAACGCTGGAGGCTCATTGCTGACAACAATAACATGCATTTGGTTATTCTAAGTGGATACTGGAGGATGTGAGTTGATAAAAATTTGATAATTTTATATGGATAGTGGTGGATGCGAGTGGATAGTCATTTTAATGATGGGCGATAGTATATGATGGAACATATTTCATTTATATTCATAATAACGACAATCATAGAAAGGAAGCGAGGTCATAATTTTGCTGACAAAAGATCTAGGTATAATTGTATGTAATCAAAAAGACGTCGCTTTTCTATAAAATTTTTCGTAAGAATTTATGTTCCACGTTTAAATTTTCGAAAAATTGCTAAGTTTTGCCCGGATAAGGAAACCACGACAAGAAACGATGGATAATTGGGGATAATTGTGTATAAAGTAAATAGTTTGAACCCGGGAGTATCGTAACATGTTTGTGGATGAAGATCGTCCAGGTTAATAGAGTCCTGAGAAGGACTGTGGGTATTGATGTAGACTGAGATTTGACAACCTTAGCGGTAGTCATCTTCAGAGTCAAATGTGATGACATATGATGATTGTGTATCTTGATGATACCTACCGCAAGGACCTTTATTCTGAATGGTTATAATCTTTTTTTGTTCACAAGCTCTCGACTTCATAACGCAGAGATTACGATACATTTTGTTGTCGTCGCCACAAACAGGACGGTAAATGAGCGGACATGCCTTATCACAGACACACGTCGCGGTCCCATTCACATCAACACATCGTCCAAATTCACAAGGTGGGGCAAATACACATGCGCTGAGGGGCACCACTGTTGTATCTGTGAATAAGTACAATTGAATATAAATGAAATGGTTGACGTACGTCGCAAACAGTTCTCATTGAAAAGTTGTGGGAATGAAATTTTGTTTTATGACTTAGCAGACATTGAAGTAGTCATGTCACAACTCCAGTGCAGCATTTTGTGATATAAAAATCTCCAACTATTTTCTTACCGCATTCGCCATACTTTACAACTGTAAGGTTTTCTTGGGTGTTACATGATTCGACTTTCATATTGCACTTATTGCTGTACGTTTTGCCATCTGACGCACATACAGGATTATATTCAAGGGTGCAGAATTGTGGACATTCACATAAGTGTTCGCCGTTCTCCTGAGGAACGCAGGTCGCATAAAAATCACATTGCACCGAATCACATGGATTTGATTGCGTTGCTGAAAAAGAACGTAAATACTTAGCCGTTCAGTCAAATTTTCCCTCCTTTGTCACTTTTCATTATCATTGAGCCCGGGAGTATCGTAACATGTTTTTGGATGAAGATCGTCCAGGTTAATAGAGTCCTGAGAAGGACTGTGGGTATTGATGTAGACTGACATTGCGACAACCTTAGCGGTAGTCATCTTCAGAGTCAAGTGTGATGACATATGATGATTGTGTATCTTGATGATACCTACCGCAAGGACCTTTATTCTGCATTGTTATAATCTTTTTTTCTTCACAAGCTCTCAACTTCATAACGCAGAGATTAAGATACGTTTCGTTGTCGTCGCCACAAACGGGACTGTGAATAAACGGACATGCCTTATCACAGACACACGTCACGGTCCCATTCACATCAACACATCGTCCAAATTCACAAGGTGGAGCAGAATCACATGCGCTGAGCGGCACCACTGTTGTATCTGCAGATAATATACAATTGAATATAAATGAAATGGTTGACGTACGTCGCAAACAAGTCTCATTGAAAAGTTGTGGGAATGAAATTTTGTTTTATGACTTAGCAGACATTGAAGTAGTCTTGTCACAACTCCAGTGCAGCATTTTGCGGTATAAAAATCTCTAATTCAATCGTGTTCTCCATAATGGTATATTTTTTATTCGAAATAATACAAACTCTTCATGACTCGGGGAAATTAATGATTTCCTACAAAAATAGTCATCTTGCCGTGTTCTAAAAGGTTCGCTTCTCACGAAGAGCAAAACTATTTTCTTACCACATTCTCCATACTTTACAACTGTAAGTTTTTCTTGGGTGTTACATGATTCGACTTTCATATTGCACTTATTGCTGTACGTCTTGCCATCTGACGCACATACAGGATTATATTCAAGGGTGCAGAATTGTGGACATTCACATAAGTGTTCGCCGTTCTCCTGAGGAACGCAACTTGCATAAAAATCACATTGCACCGAATCACATGGATTTGATTGCGTTGCTGAAAAAGAATGTAAATATTTAGCTGGTCCTCATCGAAGTTGATGGTTGAACTATATGTATCTCTCAAAAGCAGATGAATATTTCTTGCTTACCAATATTACTGCAGTTTGGTTTTACAAATCTTCGTTTAGTGCCTGGAATCTTCTCTCCTTTTCGAGTTACGCACCAGCAATAACCACTTCCTTCGTGGCATTGTATAGGACTAAAGCTTCCGTCTTTTTCGCAACTCGGTTTCCAACTTTTAGAAAGGTTAGCATTGAAATCGTCCAGTTTCTTCTGGTATTTTGATTTGAATCCTGCAGGCATGAAGAAAAAGCACAGTAAATTACTTGCTGGGCGCACGTACAGCTGTCTCAATTATGAAAAGAGAAGCGCCTCATAATGCCCTGGAGTGGGACAGTAAAGTGACAACCTCTCTAATGATGTGTCATAGGCAAAGTGAAGAAGATGATCAGTAAATTGCTTGCTAATTATATTTGATGGCACCTAAAATATTAAATATGCTAAAATATTAACTATTTTAAAATATTAATTATGCTGCTAGGAAGTGTTACTTCTGACGATTTAGATGATTTCATTTGTATGTCACCATTCATGATCATTCAAATTCCCACCCTCCTCTATGTTACACTTCATCATCATTTAAAGATCATTACTCCTTATCATTGGAGTATTATCCTTTACCATCTGTCCCATGCCGATATGACGCTTTCAAAGTTGCGATAGCCGCCTTTGCATTGTTCGTATAGGGATCGAAAGCTACTTTTAAGGATAATGATTAGCAAACGAACAAAAAATAATGGTTAAAAGCACGGAGATTCGACAAAATAAAAAAAGTCTTCACCTTCACTACAGTTTAGGTCTTTTGATCGTGTTTTTGTTCCCTCGATACTATATCCTTCACCGTCAACACACCAACAGTAGCCTGTGGATGGATTACATTGCTTACTGCTGTAGCTGCCATCTTCTTCACACTGAGGTACAAACACTCCAAACAACAACAGTAGGCCTTTTCTTTTAGCGTCTCGTTCTTGTTCACATTTTGACTTCGCTTTTGCTAGATAGAATGGCAAGCTTTTAGTGTCAGTGGTCGAAGCGTTTTTTTTTGCGATATATTTTCATGCAGTCTTTGAAATGCAGTTTGCAATACGTCCAAAATTTAGAAATTCAAGTGGAAAATAATTTTCCAACCAGAGACGTAATAATCATTTCTAGGCTTTTTAGGTTGGCATCTCATATATCAAGCGTGTCAAGAGTTGACATTAAGCATGTTAGGACTGATGAACACTTAATGCTTTGCAATGGAGCTGATAGCTGTTTAAGAAATAAAAGACGTTCACTACGAAAGAACTGGCTAATGCGAAGCAAGGAGACATTTGGGAGAACTCGAGAGCAGATAAGTGCAAAGAGTACTCAAAAACATCTACGAGGTTTGCATAAGCCGAAAAACATCTTTCATTTTTTTCCCGTAAAATAACAATAATGCAAAAGAGGTAAATTAAAATAAAACGTTTCAATTTTTTCTTTAACATGTACTTATGATTGGTTTGCAAATTCACTTCGAGCGATTTAATTTACTGAGCTCAGATCGGTTTCCTCGGGTTAATGCAAATTCAGCTGTACACCAATCAGCGCACGGCTTATATTAAAGAAGATTGAAATACAAGTATAAGAACAGGCCTTCACCTTCAGTACAGTTTACGCCTCCTGCACGTGTAAGAGTTTCCGCAATTTTCTCTCCTTCACTGTCAACACACCAACAGTAGCCTGTGGATGGATGACATTGTACGTCACTGTAGCTACCATCTTCTTCACACTGTGGTAAAAACGCACCCAGCAAGTCTGGGTCGGATAATACAGCGTCTCTTTCTTCTTCACATTTTGACTTCTCTTTGACTAGATAGATTGATAAACTATTACAATGATGTTTATAACTGCTGTAATTGGTCCGTAATTCTTGCATATTTCAAATATAGGAAGTTTCAATAGCTGACTCGATGTATGTCGTGTTGGGACTGATGGACATTTTAAAGGATGATGATTAGTTACAGAGGTGGTAGCATGGAGGGACTGCCCAGCCATCAAAATTTCCTGCACTGTGGTTTAGATATACGTAACATAAAAATGACAGTTATCTAAAACAGTGCGTAATACAGGTACGTGAAATTTTGGGGTGTTTAACCCCCCCCCCTCCCCCCGCCCAAATAAAATAATGTAGGCATCACTGATTAATTGATGGATAACATTGCTCAAAAAGACTCAAACACATTAAAAAAATCTTCACCTTCACTGCAGTTCAGATTTTTTGAACCTGTTTCTGTTCCCTTAATTTCATCCCCTTCACTGTCAACACACCAACAGTAGCCTGTGGATGGATGACATTGCTTTCTGCTGTAGCTGCCATCTTCTTCACACTGTGGTACATACACTCCCAACAAAAAAAGCAGGCCAACTGATTTAGCGTCTCTTTCTGTTTCACACTTTGACTTCGCTTTGGCTAGATAAAATGGTAAGCTTTTAGTATTAGCTTTGATGTCCTTGCAATTGCAATTGAAACGACAAGAGTCTTTATTGTTGGCTTTCGATCACACAAGTTTGAATGGACAAATGAGTAGTTTGTACTGTAATAGATAGACATTGTAAATCAAAACAAAAACACAGTTCAAAAAAAGGTGTTCACCTTCACTACAGTCCATTTCCTCTGCACGTGTTTCTGTTCCCACAATTTTTTCTCCTTCACCGTCAACACACCAACAGTAGCCTGTGGATGGATGACATTGCTTTCTGCTGTAGCTACCATCTTCTTCACACTGTGGTACAAAACTTCCAATCAACAACGTGCCATTTGATTTAGCATCTCTTTCTTTTTCACATTTGGACTTTGCTTTGTCTATAAATAAAATGGTAAACTGTCATGATGAGACTTATTTGTGCATTAGCCACATGGTCCGCTCTCCTTGCGTATCTGAAATATTGGGAATTAAAATACTGGCTCAACCTACAATGCCGACATTTCAAACCCAAATATGTAGGCTCGGGTCCAAAAGTATTTTTACGTAATTATAATCTCGTGATTTTTCCCATCTATAACGCATAAAAATTTCCTAAGTAGATGTTGTTCTCTTTTATGGTATTTTTTATTTGACATAATGCACAGTAAGTGACTCAAAGAAAATAAACCATTTCCTACAAAAAATTATCTTGTTGTGTTCAAAAACGTTTTGTGGACAAAGTTCCGTTGCTGTTTGCGGAGTCTCTCGACAACGACCAATAAAACTATTTTCTTACCACATTGGCCATACTTTACAACTATAAGTTTCTTTTGGGTGTTACATGATTTGACTTTCATATTGCACTTATTGCTGTACGTTTTGCCATCTGACGCACATACAGGATCATATTCACGGGTGCAGAATTGTGGACATTCACATAAGTGTTCGCCGTTCTCCTGAGGAACGCAGGTCGCATAAAAATCACATTGCACCGAATCACATGGATTTGATTGCGTTCCTGAGAAAGAAAGTAAATATTTAGTCCTTCATAGTCTTGACAACCTCAACAAAAGACATTCAGATATTATTTTTTCGGGTATCGAGGAAAATTTTTTTTTCATATGATAAAGTGAATGACTATACATTTATTTAAAATCGTGGCCAGAGATTTGCAGTACAACAACATGAAATGACATGTGTTCACCTTCACTACAGTTCATTTCCTCTGCACGTGTTTCTGTTCCCACAATTTTCTCTCCTTCACCGTCAACACACCAACAGTAGCCTGTGGATGGATGACATTGTACGTCACTGTAGCTACCATCTTCTTCACATTGTGGTACAAAACTTCCAATCAACAACGTGCCATTTGATTTAGCATCTCTTTCTTTTTCACATTTGGACTTCGCTTTGGCTAGATAGAATGATCAACTATCATAATGAGACTCGAAACTATCATTATATGATCGGTTGTTCTAGTGTATTTTTTATTCAGAAGTTCAAATCACTGGTTTATGTTGTTCGTGTTTGGAGACATGAGCATTTTAGAGGATGCTGATCAGCTGATAGATCAAAATGGGGGAGGGAGACACAAACAACATGAAATGACATGTGTTCACCTTCACTACAGTTCATTTCCTCTTCACGTGTTTCTGTTCCCACAATTTTCTCTCCTTCACCGTCAACACACCAACAGTAGCCTGTGGATGGATGGCATTGTTTGTCACTGTAGCTACCATCTTCTTCACACTGTGGTACAAAACTTCCAATCAACAACGTGTCATTTGATTTAGCATCTCTTTCTTTTTCACATTTGGACTTTGCTTGGTCTATAAATAAAATGGTAAACTATCATTATGAGACTTATTTGTGCATTAGCCACATGGTCCGCTCTCCTTGCGTATCTGAAATATTGGGAATTAAAATACTGGCTCAACCTACAATGCCGAATTTCAAACCCAAATATGTAGGTTCGGGTCCAAAAGTATTTTTTACGTAATTATCATCTCGTGATTTTTCCCATCTATAACGCATAAAAATTTCCTAAGTAGATGTTGTTTTCTTTTATGGTATTTTTTATTTGACATAACGCAGATTCAGTGACTCAAAGAAAATAAACCATTTCCTACAAAAAATAATCTTGTTGTGTTCAAAAACATTTTCTGGACCAAATTCCTTTGCTGTTTGCCGTGTCTCTCGACAACGACCAATAAAACTATTTTCTTACCACATTGGCCATACTTTACAACTGTTAGTTTCTTTTGGGTGTTACATGATTTAACTTTCATATTGCACTTATTGCTGTACGTCTGACCATCTGACGCACATACAGGATTATATTCAAGGGTGCAGAGTTGTGGACATTCACATAAGTGTTCGCCGTTCTCCTGAGGAACGCAGGTCGCATAAAAATCACATTGCACCGAATCACATGGATTTGATTGCGTTCCTGAGAAAAAAAGTAAATATTTAGTCCTTCATAGTCTTGACAACCTCAACAAAAGACATTCAGATATTATTTTTTCGGGTATCGAGGAAAATTTTTTTTTGCATATGATAAAGTGAAGGACTATACATTTATTTAAAATCGTGGCCAGAGATTTGCGGTACAACAACATGAAATGACATGTGTTCACCTTCACTACAGTTTATTTCCTCTGCACGTGTTTCTGTTCCCACAATTTTCTCTCCTTCACCGTCAACACACCAACAGTAGCCTGTGGATGGATGACATTGTTTGTCACTGTAGCTACCGTCTTGTTCACATTGTGGTACAAAACTTCCAATCAACAACGTGTCATTTGATTTAGCATCTCTTTCTTTTTCACATTTGGACTTCCCTTTGGCTAGATAGAATGATCAACTATCATAATGAGACTCGCAACTATCATTATATGATCGGTTGTTCTTGTGCATTTTTTATTCAGAAGTTCAAATCACTGGCTTTATGTTGTTCGTGTTTGGAGATATGAACATTTTAGAGGATGCTGATCAGCTGATAGATCAAAATGGGGGATGGAGACACAAACAATATGAAATGACATGTGTTCACCTTCACTACAGTCCATTTCCTCTGCACGTGCTTCTGTTCCCACAATTTTCTCTCCTTCACCGTCAACACACCAACAGTAGCCTGTGGATGGATGACATTGTTTGTCACTGTAGCTACCATCTTCTTCACATTGTGGTACAAAACTTCCAATCAACAACGTGTCATTTGATTTAGCATCTCTTTCTTTTTCACATTTGGACTTCGCTTTGGCTAGATAGAATGATCAACTATCATAATGAGACTCGAAACTATCATTATATGATCGGTTGTTCTAGTGTATTTTTTATTCAGAAGTTCAAATCACTGGCTTTATGTTGTTCGTGTTTGGAGATATGAACATTTTAGAGGATGCTGATCAGCTGATAGATCAAAATGGGGGAGGGAGACACAAACAACATAAAATGATATGTGTTCACCTTCACTACAGTCCATTTCCTCTGCACGTGTTTCTGTTCCCACAATTTTTTCTCCTTCACCGTCAACACACCAACAGTAGCCTGTGGATGGATGACATTGTTTGTCACTGTAGCTACCATCTTCTTCACACTGTGGTACAAAACTTCCAATCAAAAACGTGCCATTTGATTTAGCATCTCTTTCTTTCTCACATTTGGACTTTGCTTTGTCTATAAATAAAATGGTAAACTATCATTATGAGACTCATTTGTGCATTAGCCACATGGTCCGCTCTCCTTGCGTATCTGAAATATTGGGAATTAAAATACTGGCTCAACCTACAATGCCGACATTTCAAACCCAAATATGTAGGTTCGGTCCAAAAGTATTTCTACGTAATTATAATCTCGTGATTTTTCCCATCTATAACGCATAAAAATTTCCTAAGTAGATGTTGTTCTCTTTTATGGTATTTTTTATTTGACATAACGCACAGTAAGTGACTCAAAGAAAATAAACCATTTCCTACAAAAAATTATCTTGTTGTGTTCAAAAACGTTTTGTGGACAAAGTTCCGTTGCTGTTTGCGGAGTCTCTCGACAACGACCAATAAAACTATTTTCTTACCACATTGGCCATACTTTACAACTATAAGTTTCTTTTGGGTGTTACATGATTTGACTTTCATATTGCACTTATTGCTGTACGTCTTGCCATCTGACGCACAAACAGGATTATATTCACGGGTGCAGAATTGTGGACATTCACATAAGTGTTCGCCGTTCTCCTGAGGAACGCAGGTCGCATAAAAATCACATTGCACCGAATCACATGGATTTGATTGCGTTCCTGAGAAAGAAAGTAAATATTTAGTCCTTCATAGTCTTGACAACCTCAACAAAAGACATTCAGATATTATTTTTTCGGGTATCGAGGAAAATTTTTTTTTGCATATGATAAAGTGAATGACTATACATTTATTTAAAATCGTGGCCAGAGATTTGCGGTACAACAACATGAAATGACATGTGTTCACCTTCACTACAGTTCATTTCCTCTTCACGTGTTTCTGTTCCCACAATTTTCTCTCCTTCACCGTCAACACACCAACAGTAGCCTGTGGATGGATGACATTGTTTGTCACTGTAGCTACCATCTTCTTCACATTGTGGTACAAAACTTCCAACCAACAACGTGCCATTTGATTTAGCATCTCTTTCTTTTTCACATTTGGACTTCGCTTTGGCTTTAAATAAAATGGCAAACTATTATTATGCGACTCACACTTTTCATCATTTGCACATTCCGCTCTTCTTGTGTGTCTCAAAGATCGTGAGTTTAAATTTCAAACTTAACCTAAATGGCGACATTTCAAACCCAAATGTGGAGGTTCGGGTCAAAAAGTATTTTTTACCTAATTATAATCTCGTTATTTTTCCCACACATTTATAAAGCATAAAAATTTCTAAGTAGATCTTGTTCTCTTTCATGGTATTATTTATTGAACATAACGCAGATGCAACGACTCACGAGGAAATTAGTGATTTCATACAAAAAAAATCACCTTTTGTGTTCTAAATGTTTCGCGGACCTAAGCCCTTTTTTTTCACGAGCAATAAACTATTTTCTTACCACATTGGCCATACTTTACAACTGTAAGGTTTTCTTGGGTGTTACATGATTCGACTTTCATATTGCACTTATTGCTGTACGTCTTGCCATCTGACGCACATACAGGATTATATTCACGGGTGCAGAATTGTGGACATTCACATAAGTGTTCGCCGTTCTCCTGAGGAACGCAGATTGCATAAAACTCACATTGCACCGAATCACATGGATTTGATTGCGTTGCTGAAAAAGAAAGTAAATATTTAGTCCTTCATAGTCTTGACGACATCAATGAAAGACATTCAGATATTATTTTTTCAGGTATCGAGAAAATGTTTCTTTGCATATGATAAAGTGAATGAATGTATATTTGTCGTGTTGGTACTGTTGGAAATTGTAGAGGATGATGATCAGCTCATGGACAAAACTGGGAGATGGAGACCCAACAACATGAAATAACATGTGTTCACCTTCACTACAATTTAGATCCCCTGAACGTGTTTCTGTTCCTAAAATATCATCTCCTTCACCGTCAACACACCAACAGTAGCCCGTGGATGGACTACATTGTTTACTGCTGTAGCTGCCATCTTCTTCACACTGTGGTACAAACTGTCCAAGCAATGGTGGGCCAGATAATAAAGCGTCTCTTTCTTCTTCACATTTTGACTTCTTTTCAACTAAACGAAAGTATGCGCTCTTTGTTTAGAAAACAGTTGTCGTTTTCTTTTATTTCTTTTGCAAATACCTTCAAAGATATCAGGCAATTGTGTTGTAGTTTCGAGCTCTACGTCTGGTTTTTCCGTTGTTGAAACTTCTGATGGATCATCACAAAGGTCTTCTGCGCCCTTAGTGGTTTCACCTATCACCACTCCATCTTTATCCACACACCAACAGGTTTCTTTAAAACCGTAGCATTGAGAACGTTTGTAAGTTCCGTCGATGTTACATTTGGGTTCAAAGCCTGCGGATAATGACGGATTATTGATGGCCCAATCACGTTGTCTTTCGCACTTCGTCTTGTTGCTCGTCTTCTTGCTCGAGTCTAAAAGAATGCACAAAAATGCAGGGCGCTTGACATAAAAACTACTGCGGCAAAAAGCTGTTTGCGTATATAAAAGCAAACCAAAAAGTTAAAACAACTAACTACGGCACATACTCCTTATTTTCTAATCCCAATAACGGCCATGGGATGCAATAACAACGACGTTTGGGCAGAACTATCATTATCTTGATGAAAATGACAGAAATACCATTTTACGTATACCGAATACAATTAATTTACTTGACATTAAATAAAATCTTGTCTTAACTTGTATATTATTGTATGTTATACTTCAGTATACGCGCCTGAGAGAGTTTGTCACTGTAAATTTATGGAACTGAAAAGGTTGATGTTATGCAATGGCTAAACAAGAAACCAGATTTGAACGTTATGGAAAACATACAACACAACTAAATCTTTCGTGGCAACGGTGGCAAATGGCTACATTCCCGTCGCTTTTCGACAAAGGGATAAGCAAAGAATCACTGAAAATTCAATACGTTTTTGACAATCTCCCCCCTCCTCTCCTCCCCAAACTTTTTAATGTCTCTACCACGCCCAAGCTAGTGTACATTGATATTGTATAGAGAATATGTGTAACCGTCAGGGGTGCGTAATGATAACAGTAGATTGCTGAAATGTTTATTTTCACGTGTCAAAACATAAAATTACCTGCTACCAATGGTACCTGACCATGAGCATTTCATTACGATTACATTTTGTCGTTATCTATTCAGTTATACATAAAGCGTCGTAGGAGGTGTCCTGCACTGCAACTTTTAGATTTATTAGAAATTCATGCCGTATATTTCAACAGGCTTTTGTACAAAGAAAGCCTTTTTAGCCATTTGCAACAAAACCAAAAGGAACAACGCTGCTCGAAGAAGTTAAATATATATATGTATATATAATAAGCGAATTGATACATGCCTTAGTTAGTAAACGAGCTCTGCTATACTTCAATGAGATTGGTTTGCTTCGTATAGCTTGGAATTAAAGACCAATGAATTCCTTGCTTCGATATTTAGTACAGTGTATCGGTATTTAAAGTATTTTACGTCCTAATTATTACACTACGTTAACACGTTACCCATGGTCAGCGGCATAGCTATTTTTTTCGATACAGCCCAGCCGAAAAGATCCTCTTTAACAGGTTGTGAAGTACATTAACGATCGATATTTTTGGTATTTCATCAAGATAGCTATAGTTTTAATGCATTATGAAATTACTTTTCATACCGCATTCTCCATCTTTAACTTTAGTAATCAAAGTCTCATTCTCACAAGAGGTGACCTGCATCATACATAAGTTGAGATGGGTAACGTTGTCAGACCCACAAACAGGCTGCCATTCAGCTGTACAAAACGTGGGACATTCACACGTGGCTTTGTTGTCGTCACTTGTCACGCACGTTGCATAGTTTTCACATTTCTTATTACGACATGGATCTTTAAACATACGTAAAAGTATATTTCACATTCAGAGCGAAGATTGAATGGAATTTATAGCATAAAACATACCGCGTCACGAATACGGTATTCGGTGCGTTTAATGCTGAATCCATATCATGAAAAACTCTGGTAATCTAGACAGGGATGGATCTGGAATGGTTTTGTAGGGGGTGCTATAGTTTCAATAAGATGTCCTTAAGTCAGTCAACTTTGAGTTAAATTTCGGTGACTCCTTTGTGAGTGCCATTATGTCGTTCACATGGCAGACTTTTTGTGGATTTGTTTTGAGACGCTGGGAAATGTGTAGTTCGATAGTTCTCGTAGCTTAATTTGTTGGTATATTAGTATATCGTTGGGAAATTTGCACTCCCTGCACCACTTTTAGCCAAGGCTATAATGGTGTGCACTACCTGCACCCTTCCCCTAAATCAATCCCTGAATCTTGAGCATTGAAATATGGAATTCGGGGCGTGAAAAACGGAGTCTGGACAATTGAAATACGGAATTTACCACATAAAATAGTAAATTCAAATCATGCAAATCTCCACGCTCTCCAGAAGAACAAATGTAACCATACCTTCAGCATCACATTCTCCATCCTTGACTTTCGTAATCAAAGTCTTAGTTTTGCAAGAAGTGAGTCGCATCATACATAAGTTTGAGTAACTAACATTGTCGGAACCACAAACAGGTCGATAGTCATCTGTACATATCTGGGGGCATTTACACGTAGCCGTATTGTCGTCTATCTTCACGCATTTTGCATGGTATTCACATACCTTGTTAAGACATGGATCTTAAAAACATATTCAAAAGTTTCATGCTCATTTCAAATTGATATTTTCATACTGCACAACACAAGTTATCTTACCGCAATCCTCCTCGTCGCTGTTATCCCCACAATTGTCGACACCGTTGCATTTCATGACAGAAGGAATGCATTTTTTCACCGAACGACATTGAAACTTGTTGGAGTCCCGACAAGATGCTTTGGGCTCTGAAAGGCAATTGTTACAATATTATTAAAAAGTTCTTTGCACTGATCAGCACTCGACTTCTCCCAAAGCTATTCTCGGTTTACATAAACCTGTGAAAACACACTAAACATCTTTTACTCTTTAAATGGCAGAGGCCGTTTAGTTGCTGGCACAAATACAAGCTCATTTCTCGATTCCTTGCCTACTGACTTCTCTTTCATACCGTGTTCCTCACTGCAGGTCTCCTGGCATTCCGCTTTTGTGAAATAATTGTTTCCGTTTCCCCCGCATCCGCCAAACGTAAACCTTTGGCAGCGTTTCTCGGTACTGTTGTAGTACCATCGTGGAAACGAGGCACGACATCTTCCCACGATTTTTGGCAGTGAACACACGTCGACTAAAATTGAGGTATGTTCAAGTTATGTCTGAATGACTACAAACTCCCTGCTACCAACAATACTTCAGTGGCGCATTCAACCGATAAGTCTTACGCTCTAAAAGTTCACTCTCACCGAGGGGGTCTTCAAACTCAACTCATAACTATTCGAAGACGGTATTTTTACGTCTCCGATTGCTTGATTTGAAATATTGTAAGAAATACTCCAATAATCGCTGGAGAAATGACTTCGCCATTGACGAGGGAAAGCGCGATTTTTATGTCGTGAATGTGATCGTGATTGAGCTTTTAGAATGCGTGCGTTAGTCCTGCTATGTAAATTTTATGACATTTTAACGACATACGCGTGTTAGTCCTGCTATGTAAATTTAAGGTCATTTTTAGAACATAACGTGTTAGTCCTGCTGTGTAAATTTTAGGACATTTTAAGGACATACGCGTGTTAGTCCTGCTGTGTAAATTTAAGGTCATTTTTAGAACATACGCGTGTTAGTCCTGCTGTGTAAATTTTAGGTCATTTTAAGAATATACGCGTGTTAGTCCTGCTATATAAATTTCAAGTTATTTTAAGAACATACGGGCGATAGTCCTGCTGTGTAAATTTAAGTGAGGGGCTAGGCTCGTTACGTCCCAGCCACTATTTTGGAGAGTGCTTTATGCAGTTGTACATGCTCTCGAGCAAGAAATAACTATTCTCACCTGAGGTTGAACAGAATTCAAAACAACGCTCATAGTTCATAAAATTATTGCCGTTTCCTCCTTTACCACGGTATACAAAACCATCGCAGACTCCGGTTTTTTCGTCAAAGAAATACCTCACCTCGAAACCGCCACCGTAACCACCGTCTTTTGGTTGCGAGCAAATCTCGTGGATATCTAATGTAAGAGAAAAAAGGTATTCTGTTTGTAATGAAAGGGCATTGTTTATTCTTTGAGGCAAAAGGTTCAAGTTCATTGATTTATCTTCCATCAACCTAACACATAATCACGGATAGTTCAATTTCTCATATACCAACCAAACTACCACACAAGCATAGATAATTCAAATTCATTGATTTAATTCAAGCTCATCAAAAGTGATGCACCTTCTGGTTCATTCAAAAAAGGATTTACACTTTAGCACAATGAGTTTAAGTGACTTTCGTGAATATAAAGAATATAAAGAAATGTGTATGAAGAACGTAGAAGCTCACCTACGACATCTGGTCGTTTAGAGTGGACAATCGCCGTGCGGCATTCATTCACCCCGCAACCACTGTCACAACATTTCTTTTCTCCGGGACAGTCTGAATCGGAACCGTTGCAGGGAGGAGCCAGAATTTTCACTGCGCAGTTTACCAATTCATCCAAGGGTGGACAAGTTTCAACGTTTTCTGCACTAGATGCTGATAAATTCATTTGTCATTTAGTCTTGCGTATGGGAAACTTCTTGTATGTATGAAAAAAAAACTTGAACTTTGGTTCAATTGAAGTTCACAGGCTCGAGCATTTAAAATTGGGTTTTGTCTTTTAAGTTAATAGGAATTTAAAAGTTACTTCGAACTACCACTTGACAAAACTTGAAGCCACCAATTCAACAAGTCTCAAAAAGTAAGTGTCGTCGATAGGGGGCTAACATGTTTGGGACTAAGTAACAATTCATTCAAAATATTATGGTTTTACGTTAATTTTTTTACGGAGAATAATTCCATTTCATGTTTCACGAAACGCAAAGTTAAGCTTAAACTCAACCTACCTCTCGATATGGGTTGAATTTAACCCAAGTTAAACCTGGGGTTAGTGGTGTTTACACGCAAAAAAATTAACCCGGGTTAAACCCACCTATATGTATATTACACTGGATAACACATCAATGTATAAAATATAGTAATCCAGTCTAATATACATATCAGTGGTTAAACCCGGTGTTAGTTTATGTCGTGTGAATAGGGCTTAAGATTCCGAATACATTCAAATGAGAAATAAAAGTTAAGCTCCGATGTTTTCTCCGCAAATTGTGAGAAAGTTGCTCCAATCAACAAAGCGCTCGCGATGAATACACCATTACTATAACGTGGCTAGATTCATATTATAGGCATTTTTGGCAATTTTAATGCCATAATTAATGGCAATAGAGGATTTTGGCTGTTGACGTCATTGCAACGTTTGTTGACATCATGCAACCATGAACGAAAGACGGTGTTAATCTTTAAATTTGAACTTTCTGTATTTTAATAACTCGATCTACATAGTTCAATTGTATCATCTATATTAATTTTTTGCATTATGAGTTCGGAAGACGATAAGACAATACCAAGTCCAAGTTTGACGTAAATGACAAATTAGGATCGTAAGTGACAAATTAGTATCTAGAGATCACAGAGACAAGGTCAAAGTTGTCTAATGTTTTTGTCATACCATACTGCAAAATGTAGTATGTAGAAAAATAGGTGTATGGCTGATTGTGACAATAAAAAACTATGCACAGTCACAATCCTACATACGCCTATTTTTTTATGTACCACATATCGCAGTATAGCTTACATTGTATTCGTTGCCTTTGCCTGGCAGTATGACAAAAACATTACACAACTTTGACCTATCATTTTGTCACTAAGGTTTCTAGCGGCGCGTCCTCTAGTGAAGTCCAGAAGCAGATCGTAGGCTAAAAACGGCTCAGAGTAAATACAGCTTCAAGATTGTGTTTCCGACTTCAACTATCTCCAACTACGGTGAACTATTATCTACCATCGGAGTATATTTTATGCATGAACTTGTTGGAGCGCTATCAATTCGAATCAAAATCTTGCGCGCATGCGCTTAAAGTACTTCCCAGTGGTCACCTGGGTGTAAACCTTCTAGAAGATTAAGGAGACGTAAATGGTGGATCATCTTTCACGTTGTTGGATGAAATAGTTCATTACGTACGAGGTGTTAAATCGGGCCAACAAAACATGCCTTCGTTAACCTAGCATTGTCCCTGCATTAGTTTCAACTCGTGAGCACTACTTAACTGTTCATCATAGTGTGCTCGTGGGCACTTCAGAATGTACTTCATAAAAAAGAACAATCTATCACGTTTCAAGCAGTTTCAACATCTCTTTTCCTATAGGTACAACGAAATATAATCAGAGGTTTAGAAAAGTCTCCCGACGCCGAGGATAGAATTCTGAATGCTGGTATTCCTAAACGGGTGTTTTGCTTGAAAAATTCCTTAACACATTGACCTTTCGACGGACCTCTTCATCGTCATCCCCTTTCAACGCTGCGGCAACTCGCCAAACGCGCGCAAAAACATTGATATAATTTTAATGGGTCAATTTTGCGTCAATAACTTGAAAGTACATTTAAATCGCTATTGCACGATAGTGCAAACATAATTTACGAGTAATCGCAGAGACCAAGTCAAAGTTTTTGAGTTATCTATCTATTCATATTGAATGCAAACGACGCTAGAGGCAAAAGCATTGGATTGTATAAAAAACATCGTTATTTTAAAATGAAATGTTTATTTATATACATATGTACGTTATACACAAGTTTCGTACACGAATTGTCCTTTCACAAAAGTTCAAGCATATTGGAATGTTGCGCCCTTCATCATGCACGAAGTAAAATCGGTAGAGTTTCGGAGCAGACTTACCGTTCACTTTTTTCAGTGAATTACAGATGAAAAGAAAGGCGACTAACCATAAAATCTTCATCTTCGTGTTACAGCCTACGTGATTGATGAAAGAGTGTTGGAAATGTTGCGATTTCAATGGTTTATCAACGTCTCGAATTTCCAAGCACAAAAGTGTTGATATGATCACACTACTCTGGATCTTATACATTATCACCTTCGGTATCCCAGACGACAGTGCGACCGGACTTCAGTGACGTCACTTAAACATCTGTTGCTGATAGAGGGATTTGACGAGGCCAGTGTGTCCTCTTTGTAGGGAAACAATTTTAGATATTCATTGTAGGGCTGCTCCGTAGGCGAATCCTTGGCCAGGGCTAACGTTTTTTTTCTCGAGATGTGTGAAAATTCATCACGACATACCACCGTACTTTTTAGTAAAAAAAGTCCTGTTGTGTGTTATTTGACACATTGATCAAGTCATTGTTATCTTGATAATGAAATAAGCTACAAAACAACTCGATCAGATGCATTGTTTTCTTTCGAAATCCGTGAAAATCCACGAGTTATATAAACAACTCGTCCGCGAGATTGTCTAATTTAATCTGTTATTGTCGCGAAATAGGATTGAAGAGATTAGGTGGGAAATGCTCTTAAACGCAAACTACATATGGTCACTGCTCTTTTTTCAAGAGGTCAGCTGCCAAATCGTCAAGCAAACGGCTTCAAAGGCACGCATATGAACGCAACCTCATGCGAGAACATTCGCATATTAATGATGACACGTGATCACTGGAAACCTAGTTAGGCGATGGCGTCATCAATATGGATTGCATTGATCCATATATTATACATACACATCGCTGTGCTACTTGGTTTAAGAACGCTAGATTACTGATTGCGGTCATCCGCAAAAAATTCAATAGAATAAACGTAATGTTTGTTTTCCTATACAGTCCCACGGTGCTGTTTCACCTTGTTTTACACACCCAACCCACATTGCCCTATCTAACCCAAGCTACCCCCACTTTAAAAGGTTACATTCTATTCTTCAGTTCATGCTGTAATTGTGATGGTTCGAAAACACCATACTCCGTGACTATACCCCCCGTTATTAGTCGAGCAGGGGTCACATCAAATGCAGGGTTCCAACATTGAATGCCCAAGGCAGCAATCGAGTGGCCCAAAAGATGGGTAAGCTCCTTTGGGGGTCTTTCTTCTATCTTTATGTTGTCTCCAGTTATGCAATCAAGATCCACAGATGTAGAGGGAGCAGCTACATAGAAAGGCACCTTGTGATGCTTGGCTAAAATCGAAAATAACATGAGTTAAATATGATTATAATCATATAAATTGGGGATCATGGAGGGCAGTGCATGATTGACTCCATTGCTTCACATAGTATGTAAACCATTGTACAAAATTTTCTAATAGATTATCAACTCCTATGCTCTTAACTTCCAATCCCCCAACCTCTGTTCACCTGAAATAGCCAATTGATAGGTTCCAATCTTATTTGCTGTGTCACCATTTGCTGCGATCCTGTCGGCACCAACAATAACAACCGAAACATTTCTTTCCTTCAATGTAATTGCTGCCATCGAGTCTGCAATTAAGGTGGCTGGGATGCAGTCATGAACTAATTCATATGCAGTCAGCCTTGAGCCTTGGTTGTAAGGTCGTGTCTCTGTGCAATAAACATGTTTTAGTACATCCTGATGGTGTAGGGCTCGTACAACACCCAGAGCTGTTCCATATCCTGCCGTAGCCAGAGATCCTGTGTTGCAATGTGTTAGCACGACAACATCCTTTTCTGTTACATTCTTCAAGATGTGTTCGCAACCGAAACAACCGATTGCTTTGTTATCGGCAATATCTTTCGCAACCATGCGCTCAACTTCATCAATAAAGTTCAATTTTACTTCTTCTACAGTCAATGAACGATCCATTTTCACAAACTGTGTTAGTTTATCTCGAGCTGTCTTCATATTGACGGCAGTCGGCCTTGCCGTGACGAGGTACTCCAGTTTCGATTCAATCCAAACAATTAAACTGTCAATTGTATCGAAATGCTGAGTAAAAAGCTCCACTGCAAGGCTCAAACATCCGACGATGGCAATGGCCGGCGCGCCTCGCACCTATGCAGAAAATTATCTAACTTAAATCTGACAAGAGCAGGCAATGCAATGGTGGTTTGAAATATTAATCTTGGTGCAGTATCGTGTGTATGGTCATGGTGTACTGTAGTTTACCTTCATTTCTTTGATCGCTTGCCATCCGTCATTCGTGGTATTTAACTGCTCATATATTGCTTGATTAGGTAACAGTAGTTGATTTAAGATTCGTAGATGTCCGCGAGTGTATTTAATCGCTTCTAGACTCATGTTTTCAATCACTTATGTTAGATATATCGAATCCGTCTCAAGTCCTGTTTTGGGCCAAAATAATAGATATTCATTGTCTGTCAATGTTTACTTGGTCCCAGGACCCGTGGACTCCTTTTAACGATAAAACCAGCAGAGGGCCAGTGGTATAAACGTTAAATTAAACCATGAAGCATTTAAAACATAAATTTGTGGTTGTGTGAATGATTTATTGTTCAAAATATAAGTTTTATAGTAGTGGATAGCATCGAATTCTTTAACGTTCCATAAACATTCTTGGTATAAAACATTCTTTTACATCAGGCGTCTCTGGTAGTCCTGGGGGCAAGGCAGGCGACGGTATCGCAACTGGCAATGACCGCTGACTCAGTTCAGACTGTACCGTTCTCATGTTGTCCATCATATGATTAGGAAGCGCGGGAGGACCTGGCGGCTTTCCAAGGGGTATTGGGGTATAATGTTGGGATTGACTGAACGCTGGCATAGGTGCTGGATTACTTGCAGCTTTCTGTCTTTCTTTCATGTTTGAAATATACTAAATTCAAACAACCTTTAACATTTAGACACACAAAATAACATCAAACTATTGATTATTATTATCACATGTAATTATTAGTAATTGTTTTAGATATCTTCTGAGTTTACCTGATCCAAAATTTCTCGTGTTTCTTTCGTAAGAGGAGCGTGCGAGAATCTGCAGTTGTTGCCATTTGCACAAAATTTGCTTTGATGGTGGAACATACAGGGGAACTCCTCTAAATTGGATAATTAATAATTACTCATGATGAAATGCATGAGATTGTAAATGTCGTCAGCTAAAATGACTACATGTTACACTGTAGTAAGTCACGGAGAATGTATGCTATACTGTAGTCAGTCATAGAGATTGTATGCTATCCTGTAGTCAGTCATAGAGATTGTATGCTATACTGTAGTCAGTCATAGAGAATGTATGTTATACTGTAGTCAGTCATAAAGATTGTATGTTATACTGTAGTCAGTCATAGAGAATGTATGTTATACTGTAGTCAGTCAGAGAGAATGTATGTTATACTGTAGTCAGTCATAGAGAATGTATGTTATACTGTAGTCAGTCATAGAGAATGTATGTTTTACTGTAGTCAGTCATAGAGAATGTATGTTATACTGTAGTCAGTCATAGAAATTGTATGTTATACTGTAGTCAGTCATAGAGAATGTATGTTATACTGTAGTAAGTCTGTATGTTATACTGTAGTCAGTCATAGAGAATGTATTGTAGTCAGTATAGAAATTGTATGTTATACTGTAGTCAGTCATAGAGATTGTATGTTATACTGTAGTCAGTCATAGAGAATGTATGTTATACTGTAGTGTCTTAGAAAATGTATACTGTAGTCAGTCATAGAGAATGTATGTTATACTGTAGTCAGTCATAGAAAATGTATGTTATACTGTAGTCAGTATAGAGAATGTATGTTATACTGTAGTCAGTCATAGAAAATGTATGTTATACTGTAGTCAGTCATAGAGAATGTATGTTATACTGTAGTCAGTCATAGAAATTGTATGTTATACTGTAGTCAGTCATAGAGAATGTATGTTATACTGTAGTAAGTCATAGAAAATGTATACTGTATCATAGAGAATGTACTGTAGTCAGTCATAGAAATTGTATGTTATACTGTAGTCAGTCATAGAGAATGTATGTTATACTGTAGTAAGTCATAGAAAATGTATGTTATACTGTAGTCAGTCATAGAGAATGTATGTTATACTGTAGTCAGTCATAGAAAATGTATGTTATACTGTAGTCAGTCATAGAGAATGTATGTTATACTGTAGTCAGTCATAGAAAATGTATATTATACTGTAGTCAGTCATAGAAAATGTATGTGATACTGTAGTCAGTCATAGAGAATGTATGCTATACTGTAGTCAGTCATAGAAAATGTAAATTATACTGTAGTCAGTCATAGAGATTGTATGTTATGTAGTCAGTCATAGAGTGTATGTTATACTGTAGTCAGTCATAGAGACTGTATGCTATACTGTAGTCAGACATAGAGATTGTATGTTATACTGTAGTCAGTCATAGAGATTGTATGCTATACTGTAGTCAGTCATAGAGATTGTATGTTTACTGTAGTCAGTCATGGAGATTGTATGTTATACTGTAGTCAGTCATAGAGTGTATGTTATACTGTAGTCAGTCATAGAGATTGTATGCTATACTGCAGTCAGTCATAAGAGACTGTACGTTATACTGTAGTCAGTCATAGAGATTGTATGCCATACTGTAGTCAGTCATAGATAATTAGAGATGACGATGTATGCTAAAACTAGCGTGATAGCTTGTTACAAACATTGTATGGTGTAAACTTTCATCAGTCATATAAATTGACCATATATATACCATGCATTCTCGGGCACATTCCGTCTTCATTTTTCATACATACTCTTGTCGAATGATAAGGGCACAACTCTTTGATTTTTTCGTGTCTATAGAGACACGTCCCACCCTGAAAATTACAACCATAGAAGAATAGTTAGTTGCCTGATATTGTATTTAAAGTGACAATGGCGCATCATTTTCTATGTTCTTTAACTTAAAGGATTTTGTAACGATTTAAATCCATTAGCAGCCGACAATTTCTCGAAGTACAATAGGAAACACAGTCTGAAGAAAAGGTCAATATTTGAGACACACAAACATTTTTAAACACTAATACCGTAGAGTCTCGAAATTAGTCGCCCAGGCTGGAGACTGGGCATCAGACTGTACTTTTTCTTGGGTGCATGTTTCTTCCTACACTTGTGATGACATTCTTTCAAACATTTATGTTCGCATGCTAAAACGTCTTGCGCCAATTGAAGCTGTCGTGATGTGTAATTTAGATTGATAACTTTTCGAGGTGGATGGTTTCCAACCGTACACATTTTAAAATCATGTTTATTTTCACTGTCACGCTAAAACCCGCTTGCGTCTGGTCTAAAAGTTTTTTCGTGATTCGACTTAATCGCACACATGACATAAACAAAAGTGAGGCGTGCGTAAATTAGGAAACGACAGACCCTAAAGTACCTCATTTATATGTACCATCCACTTTATCATAAATCTTATTGAAGTAAAAATTTCTCGTGTCATCGAAAACATCGAAAACTTTCTCCCGCTAAGAGGCATACATACATACTCTGGCGCATTTTCCTTCCTTGTAGAAGGTGCAGGAGGCAGGTTCTTGTTGGATTTGCTGTGATTTCTGCTGTTGGTATTGATGCTGGTGCTGTTGTGTTCTGTCCTGTTTTTTCCTTTTGATCAACAATTCCGATGTCGTCTTCTTCTTTTTCTTTTTTTCTCGAGATCGACTCTCTACATCGTGAAGAAAAAAAGTTTCCATATCATATTGTCGTACCCACCTTGGGAAAATATACGAATGACTGTATGCAAATGAAGAAGGCGAAAACTTTAGTAAAGCACGTACTTTTCTGCTTTTCAGACAACTCCTATAGAAGAAAAGAGAAAACTACCATTTATGCTATTTTCTTCATCTAATCAAGGTAAGTGAAAAATATTGAATATCACAACCAGTGAGTGGCATTGCTCGAGAGGGAACCGAGGAGTACCCGTCTCCCGGTTATTCCAAGGACCAATTTGATTTTCCTTTTAAATAGGGGATGTGTACGATTTCAAACAACCATTTAAATACTCGCTTCCTGTAAACGTACACACATAACAAAGTCAATATAATAAAATGGAACTTTGGAGAATCGATGCCGATAAGATAAAGTTGAATACACTTGTTCACAATTAATACAAAAGCAGCCCGCCTACAAATTTGTGGCTTTTAGATTTTGGTAAAATCTGTCTGTGAGAAATAGCGTTCTATAGAACCTACTAAAATATTTTGAAGGGGACACTAACTACCATTGAGGTCTCGTGGCTCTGCATCGTCCCTCCCCCTAGTATGAGCAGCCTGGAGACAACACTGATTACAACTATTTGTACTTTTTACAACACAACGTTGGATTATGCTCGTTGTGGACTACCCCCCCTCCCCAAACACTAATTTTCAACCTTTTGAGCGACTGTTACGTCTAAGGTTCCATCAACCATCGACAGCAAACTACGCGTCTCGTCTTTCATAATGACAACAGCCTCATCCTGTTGTCCTTCGGAGCATTTTGCTTTGCGTGATGTTTCTTCCCCGGGTCGTCTTTCATAGATCTCTTCACAAAGAGATTTTGATCGGGTTCGAACCGTGCTACCCATCCTATCTTCACGGTTGTGTTTATGATGATATCTTCCAGGAAATGACTGGTTTAAAACAGAATGGTTTTCTCTTCTACTGTTATTACGCTCGCAATCCCTTAGCGACTTCTTGCAGTTGCTCGTGGATTGAGCAAATTCTCGTTGACGTCTAAATGAAGTATTTCCTCTACCATTTCTCGAATGTGTACCACTCCGATCTTGTCTCTTGTCAATTAACGCTTTAGAACGTTGGTGGTTGAAACGAAGCGAGTCAGACGACCCTCTTTCATGGCTTGACCTGGACCTCGTGATCCTTCCCTTATAAGTTTTGGACTTTCGGTCACTTTTTTGGCGCTAAAATAAAAGCAAGCATGATATTTTTTAGGATTTGCATTTTCCCCCGATCTCAAATCGACGATTTTTCTAAAATAAGAAGGAGAGATAAAGAATACGGGTTAATTCATCATCTCAACAAGACCTTTTTTTTCCGCTTCCTCGATTTCGTGTTCTTCTTGTGCTCACCAACATGCGTCTCATTCCATGAACAAATACCGAACGAATCTTTCCGAAATGTCTCAGCATCATCTTGTAATGGTTCTTCTTCCATGTTTTTCAGTTCAAGGATATTTTCCACTGGAATTTTACTCGTTGTGCTTTGCATCTTACCTGCAATATTTTCGTTGCCATTTTCGACTTCAAAGCCTGAAAAACAATGACACATGTACGTAAATTCAAAGGATTATGAATCGAGGATCGTGAATTGAGGACTACGAATCCTTCGTTCACTCAACTTACCCTTTTCATGATTAAATTTGCCATTTCTAAACTTCTTACCATGATTTTGAATGAAGTCAAATGATAAGGTGTTGTTTTCCTCCGAGCTCGATTCGCTTGATAAACTCAGGCACCGCGGTCTTTTGCGAAGTCGTCGGCGTGAAGCTGAACTTGGTTCATCATCACTTTCCATATCTATCACTAAATCACCGACTGGACTTTCCACGTCGGCCACATTGAGGTTTCAACAGCGCGAGAATTTGGTTGGTCGTCAAACTTCGTCTCATCTTCGGAAATTTCGGTTAAACTAGTCTCCTTATCGTTTGAAATCACCGCGAACCTTTTCTCTTTATCCTCTGAAAAAGCATCGGGACTTATCTCTTTATCTTCCAAAATCTCAGACGAATGAATCGCTTTATCTCTTAAAATAACAGACGGATAGATCTTCGTATCTTTTGAAATCTTAGTAGCATTTATCTCTTTATCTTTTGAAGTAGCGTCCGGATTTATCTCTTTGTCGCTTGATATCCTAATAGAATGTACGTCCTTCTCTGACTTAACTTCCAAAATATCGTTTTGCTTTAACTTCTCATCACTTTTAACCACGGTTTTAATGGCGCGAGCACCGTGGTGTTTTTGCACCAAATCGAGCACAACGTCATCGGAAAGCATGGCATTTCCAGCATACAGGGACGGGACGTTTTTAAATAACACCGCGTTAGCAACATCCTTATCGGAGTCAGTGATTTCAATGAAAGTGAGTTCATTTCTCACATGTTTCACTTCACCTGGATCATGATCAGATCTAATGTTCGATGACACTGATGAAGGGTCACCCTGTTTTACCACAACAACGTGTTTTTTATCAGCTTGTTCAACCGAATCAGGCCGAACTCCGCACTGCCGTCGAAATGCTTCGGATTTTGATCTAACATCGTCATTATGAATGATCCCTTGATCCCTTTCCGAGATAATTTCATTAACTTCTTCCCCTGTTGGACTGGCGGGCTTTTTAGAACGCCTTCTGTCTTCATCGCGGCTATCAAGTGAAGGGTAATATTCATTTTGTGATCCACCGTCGCTGCTATCACAGATATCCCCATAGTTCAATTGCAATGAGTTTAATGCAGCACTGCCAACGCGTTTCTGAATGTCCTTCGTTGTTCCTTTATCACACGTAGAAGCTCTGCTACAGTTCGCGTTTTTACTGTCTTCAGGTAAAGTTACCTGAGCTTTGATGTTTGATGTAGAGTTTTTTCCATCATTAGTAAGACCAAACTTACTTGCATTAGAATATTTATTTCGTATTCTCTCCGCCATCACATTCTTTGCAATGGAAGGAACCTGTCTACGACCAGGAGAACAAATGGTAGATGCATTTCTTTTCATCAACAGCCTTTCCTTGTGGCTTGCTTAGTCGGTCAGGAGTGAGTAAACCACTAATGCGTGCAAGCTTACAATCATTCTCACCAATATCCTGAACAATTGGTAAGGTATGGGAATTTATTTCTGTGCTCTTATCATTGTTTGCCCTCACATTTGCGCTTTCCTTTTCTCCACATTGCCCATTGATTTTTGACTTGACTTTCTCTGAAGATTGATTCACATACAAGATGCCATCATTGAGTTGAAGGGAGGACTGTTTCTTCACAGTTGTTGTTTGCTTGATCTCTGGAACCGATAAACTGTTAATGTTCTGGCCATTTTTCGTATCTTTCATTGTCAAGGAAGAACAACTGCTGTTTGTTGATTTATACGATTCATGATTGCCACACAACAAATCTTCCTTTTCTGCATTTATTTTCATTTTACCATGCAAGGAACCTTTGTTCTCAAACTTTCTTCTCTTGCCTCTTTCTCCACTTCTCGCTAAAATATCATCCAGAATATTTCCACCATCATCATTGAAAGTTGATGTGTTTGCTCCATTGAACACAGGAGTTAAAGCACGTGCCTCAGAAGGAGAACGGACATTGACAGGCATTGATACCAGAAAACCACCTTTCATAACTTTTCGTGTCTTTGGTTTTTGTTGTTTAGGAGTGGAACCAGTCCGATCATTCATCATCACAGCTCCTTTGGGCATTCTTTGCCCAGTGAACTCTGTTTGTTGAGGGGTAACATTGGGTATGTTGGGATGTGTGGCTACTTCTGTTGTGGTTTTGGACAGCACTTGCTGCTGTGATGGAGTAGCAGTGCCCATCAGCTGGGATTGTTTTTTCTTGGCTTCATTCAAGCTTGCAATGGTGTACATAAAACTCTGAATACTCGGTCGACCCTTCCATTGATAGAGGGGCGAACGATGCACGGAATCGAGTTCGCTCACAATTTCTTCCTTTTGCAATTTTAACACGCACACTGCAAGGTCTCTTTCGTTCGATGAATTTATTAAGCTATTTGCTTTCACATCCGTATCGGCAATCAGAGGAGGTGGATTTCGGATAGCTTCTTCCAGATTAAAGCTGAAAATCATCATTTTAACTGTCGTAGAAGATGTTTTAATCTGTTTTGGATTGTTTTTGATTGTATTTGTATATTCAATATGTGCGCCTCCTATAAAATTGAACAGCGGTATATTTGATGTGTTGATGTATGAGATAAATGCTGTGGTAATTCCTTAAATAATTCCATATTATTCTATTATTTCTTTCCAACAGAAACAAGTTGTGGAAAATGAGTGGTGGCGTGTATGGAGGAGGTATTTTATTGTGAATTTTCGTTCATTTTACCCTTCCTTTGGAGAGTTCAATTTGGCGAGATCAATTATTTTCCTTTCGCTATTCGCAGACGAAGTGGGGGCTCTCGTCTTTGATGTTGGATCAACTTCATTTCGTGCTGGATTTGCCGGTGAAGATGCTCCTAAGGTGAAGTGGCATGATGTAGTGGCGATAAATTCAATGTGTTTCAAAATGTACTCAACAAGTGTTCGTATTGATTATTCTCTTACTCTCATGACTGTACTCTGTCAAATTTTGCTTTAACTACACGTGCATGATTGGCAGAACTTGTGTGATGACAAAATAAACACAACTGGACATATCAACATTTTGCATATTTAAGGCAAAACATATACAAGAAAATTCCACGTTCACAGAAATCAAATCAAGTAGAACAAAGGATATCACTTTCTTTTGGTGTTTTTCCTCAAAACAACTTATTCAGCATTATTTCTTGCAATTTCAATTTCTAGAATGGCTATGAAGTTTAGTTGTTAAATAAAATAAAATGTGTTTCAGCTTTTAATTTTCTAAATGATTTCTATATATAAGATTGTAGATGGTTGTATGGGCACTTTGACTTTATCAACATTGAACTTTTTCTGAATAAACTTGCGTACATTGTTATTCTATTGCACTAGTGACTTAATAGAATCCATATTTTGTTTACTAATTCATGATTAGTTTTTCTCATTGAAAGTTGTATTGACTAAACAAAATTTCAAACCTAAGAAAATAGCATAATGCTTTACGCAACAACTATAAATAATAACAACCTTATTTAACAACATTTGAATGTTAATTTTCTACTCCTCTTCCTTGTAAAAGACACAAGTCTATTCATAAGTAGAGAGCCTTATCCATGCGCTACAATCCTGGACTTGTGACCAGTATAGCAGAGTTAAAAGGTGAAAGATTTATCATAGATTAATCAACTGAATAATTCTGTTCATTTTTGTTTGAAAGTATGCCAAACAGTTCATATGGACAAAGCTCAAATTCCATATTAAATAATCCAATGTTAATGTTAGAAAATACATCATTGCCCATCAGTGAAAGCATGAAAGGTTAACATTCAAATATTGTTGGATAAGATCGTTATTGTTTATAGTTGTTTGTTAAAGCATTATGCTATTTTCTTGTGTTGTTTAATAACATTCTGACTATTTTGCCTTATTTCAAACCTAGTTTGGTTTGTTTTCAAAAATGTTTGCTGCATGCAAAGCACTGTGTGTGTCTTCATCATTATGAGTTTCAATACTTCTGAAAATCACGCTGCTTTTTATGTGTCAGAATTTGACAATTTTTACTAACAAAATACTGCTAGCATAATGTTACTCAGAAGAATATAAGCGTAGAAGAAGAACAATTTGCGCTTGCCCAAAAAATGTTGTGATCTATCTCAAACACATTGGGTTTGTTAACTGCTAAAACATTCTATGTTAAAAGACATATGAAAACATAAGTTGCCCAACCTAAACATTGCCTTTATATTTATATTTTTTATGTTGTAGGCTGATGTTCCAACATTTATTGGTGTAATTGAGGACTGCAGTAAGACAGAAATACAAATGGAAACTGATGAGATGGGTATGTTTGTCCATTTGTTTGAAACTACTAAAGCATTTTCATGTTTCCACTTTTTGTTTATGACATTTGGCATGAATGAGTGAAACCCATATTTACCCTTAGTAATCCCTTTAGCATTCCTAGGTACACTGTTACTATTCATTGGAGCACCATATATTTTATCTACAATTGCTCCTACAGAAGTGAGGAGTATATAAGAAATGTGTGTGTTTTAATTCAATAACAATTATCCTTTCTTTCTCACAGGTGAGAAATCGGGACCATTGACAGCAAAAAAATATTTCATTGGAACAAACTCTCTTCATGTTCCTCGTGAGAACATGGAGGTTGTCAGTCCTCTTAAAGATGCAACCAGTAAGATGCTTGTGTGATATTCATAATTACACAAATGTGACCATGTGATATTCATAATTACACAAATGTGACCGTGTGATATTCATAATTACACAAATGTGACCGTGTGATATTCATAATTACACAAATGTGACCATGTGATATTCATAATTACACAAATGTGACCATGTGATATTCATAATTACACAAATGTGACCATGTGATATTCATAATTACACAAATGTGACCGTGTGATATTCATAATTACACAAATGTGACCGTGTGATATTCATAATTACACGAATGTGACCATGTGATATTCATAATTACACAAATGTGACAAAACCTTGTCATTGTCTCCATTTTCATATAGTCGAAGATTGGGATATGTTTGAGAATCTTTTGGAACATGTCTATAAACGTCACATCAGATCCGATCCTTCACTACATCCAGTCCTCATGTCAGAGGCGTCGGTAGGACATCGCGAATCTTTTTTACCGGTCGTTTGAAATGAAGCAGCTCACATAAGCCGACATTTATGTCTGCGCATTTACATTCACTTCTTGACCAAACGGTTTTCTTCGATGCATTAGAAGATATTGCATTTTTATTTTGATTCAAGAAGTCATCTTCGCTAACACTTTTCCTGTTAAAAAGAAAAAATTTTTCTGGTGTTTTTGTGATTAAATACTTACGCACGGGACATTGCTGAATTACCAGAAAATTTCGTTTTTGAAATACAGCATGTCTGATTTACCTGAAGTGCAACCTGAAATACCAACTGTGCATGTTTGTTGATGTGCATCGTTGTCGAAACGACAATCGACATCGACGCGAAAATTCCTTTACAGGACTCTACTAAACAAGACGATCTACATCTATAAACATGTAACGATACTCCCGTTTTCAAACCGTTCAATTCGGTTTCGGAGTTTGGCCATGATAGTGCTGCCTTCCTAGCTACTTGTTCAAGCGGTTGAGAAAATATGGGTTTGTTTATCTTGTCTTTATTGCCATCTAACGAAGACCACCATCCGTCCTATACGCAACTGGCTTACTTTGATTTCTCTTCAGTTTGCTTCAGTTTTGATCTGTGACAAAGTTTTCAGTGAGATAATTGTATAACGTCCTATTTTATAGTGGAATGCACGGGCAAAACGAGAGAAAACGACCGAACTGATGTTCGAAAAATATGATATCCCAGCATTCTTTATGTGCAAAGATGCCGTTCTGACGAGCTTTGCGCATGGTCGCAATACGGGTCTCGTTATCCATTCGGGCAGCAATTTGACGAGTGCAATACCTGTTCAAGATGGATACGTTTTACAGCAAGCCATCGTGAAGTCGCCTTTGGCTGGTGATTTTGTCTCTGCGCAGTGTCGTAGTATGTTTGAGGAAAAAAACATAGAAATCGTCCCACCATATCTGATTGCGACCAAAGTTAGTTGTACCACGAACGCAAACATTTCTTACATGTTTACTCAAAGTCGGTCTTTTTGTGTGTATTTTGTGTAGGAGGCTGTCAAAGAGGGCGAGGCTCCTGTATTCACGAAGAAAAGTTTCAAGAATATCACAAAGTCCTTCCATAATTACATGACTAAAGTAAGGAAGAGTTATTCGCTTACGAATTATCGTCGATCTTTCGAATATGCAAACTATTCGAGAATTTTAGAACTCTTTTATAGCAAGCTATTCAACACTTAACTCTTTTCATGGCAAACTATTCAATCTTTAACTCCTTTTAGAGTAAATTTTTTAACAAAGTTTTCAAAACTCTTTTCAAACCAAATTATTCAAGACTTCTTAAACTCTCTTATAGCTAACTATTCAACACTTTTTAAACTCTTTTTAGAGCAAATTTTTCAACAAAACTTTCAAAACTCTTTTTATAGCAAATCATTCAAGATTTTCAGGCCAGCACTCTTCAAGTTTCAGATGGACCATTTGACGACAGGTCTGTGTATTGTAGATAGGACTTCGTAAAAACTCGAATATCCTTCAACGTCCTTGAATTTGATGTATTGAAAAATTGAAGGCCTTTGAACTACTTGAATTTATCAAGATGTGCTTGAGAGTACTTGAATGCAAATTTTATTTATGGAATATTGTAAATACGCCATCACACTACTTTCTTTTCGAAAGTGCAGTTGAAATTGCATCGGTGACCTTTATTGCACAAAAAGGAATTCGTGTGTTATAGGGTTAATGCCAGAATGCCAAAGGGTTGATGTCAGCATTTTAAAGGGTTAATGTCAGAATGCCAAAGGGTTGATGTCAGCATGTTAAAGGGTTAATGTCAGAATGCCAAAGGTTGATGTCAGCATGTTAAAGGGTTAATGTCGGAATGCAAAGGGTTGATGTCAGCATGCCAAAGGGTTGATGTCAGCATGTTAAAGGGTTAATGTCAGAATGCCAAAGGGTTGATGTCAGCATGCTAAAGGGTTAATGTCAGAATGCCAAAGGGTTAATATCAGCATGTTAAAGGGTTAATGTCAGAATGCCAAAGGGTTGATATCAGCATGCTAAAGGGTTAATGTCAGAATGCCAAAGAGTTAATGTCAGAATGCCAAAGGGTTTATGTCAGCATGCTAAAGGGTTGATGTCAGAATGCCAAAGGGTTGATGTCAGCATGCTTTTGTCAGAATGCCAAAATATGTCCTGCCAAAGTGCTGATGTCATCACTAAAGCATTGATGTCAGAATGCCCATGTTTTTCCACTTTTCATTTCAACTGTGTCCTATGTTTTAGAATTTCGCGTCACTTTAGCATTGTACGAACCCTGTTTTTATAAGCTATCATATCAACTGTTCCTATGTTTTAGTTTATTCGGGAGTATTCCCACAAATCATTACGAGTTCCCCAATGGTTATAACTACAGCTATGGTGTGGAGAGATTTCGTTTATGCGAGGGATTGTTTGATCCAAGTAATGTCAAGGCGAGTGAAGCATTTCTTGGTTTTTTTTAATCAAACACAGTACTGTGATGTATAAAGTGTGATATCAAAATGGTGTAATTTATGTACATTAGAGTAATCCAATGAATATCATTTGAATATCGCGCTGCATCGCAGTTTTATGAAGTAGAACATGAGATTTGTCGGGAAAAACGACAACGCTCTGTGTAAATGATGCATTGTGGCGACGGATTCCGGACTTCAAAGCTTGAATTTTGCCGGATTTCGGATTTAATCAGTTTACCCGATTTAAAAGAATATTTGATACCCAATTGATATTGACAACTTTTCAGATTTTTTTTGCAATTTATTGTTTTTCACTATGCGTCTTTTCATGTTTTCAAACAATAAATTAGGATGTACATCAACCTTTTAAATTTGCAAATGACGAGAGTATTTCGATATATTATTTCATATACATCACCTGTTACAAGTGTTTCAGTTGTTGTGTGTACTAGAATATCTTAATATTCCCAAGTCTTTTCATTTTCTAGGGTATTGAAGGTAGCACAGCAATGGGTATTACACAAGTTGCTACTACAAGTATTGGCATGTGCGATATTGACATGAGACCTGTAAGTGAAACCCAAATCGAGTGATCGTGCGCTCGTTAGTGTTCTCTTTGAGTGATTGTGGGCTCGTTTGTGTTTTCTTTTAATGATCGTGGGCTCATTGGTTTTCTCTTCGAGTAATCGTTGGCTCATTGGTTTTCTCTTTGAGTGATCTTGGGCTCATTGGTTTTCTTTGAGTGATCTTGGGCTCATTGGTTTTCTTTGAGTGATCTTGGGCTCATTGGTTTTCTTTTTGAGTGATCGTGAGCTCATTGGTTTTCTCTTTGAGTGATCGTGAGCTCATTGGTTTTCTCTTTGAGTGATCTTGGGCTCATTGGTTTTCTCTTTGAGTGATCGTTCGCTCATCGGTCTTCTTTTCGAAAATTTTACAAATTTTAGTGAGCTATTTCATGATGTGACTGACTTGAGCAGCGTATTTAGAAAGGCGTCTTCTTACATTTCCAGGGTACATACACCATCATGGTCTGAAATTTTTCTTCCATTTTTTTATTAGAGTTTGTTCAGTAACATCATTGTTAGCGGAGGTAATACGTTATTAAATGGTTTTGTCGACCGTCTCAATCAAGAACTTGCTTCAAAAGTGCCCGCGGTATGCTGTCGTCTTTAACATGCTGCTAACGTTGCCGTTTATGTCCGCGGTAATTTATTTATTTATTTGACAACTTTATTTCATCAGAGTGCAAGACTTAAAGTGATTTCACACAATTCAACGTTGGAAAGAAGGTTTAGCTCGTGGATTGGCGGTTCTATTTTGGCCTCTTTGGTATGTCTGAGCTTACTTTTACTGTTTGCTATGTTCAACCTATCACTTTATGTCAATCTTCGAAAGATTTCTATCTTAGAGAGATGTTCGCCTTAGGGAGATGTTCGTTTTAGAGAAATGTCTGCATTAGAGAGATGTTTGCCTTTAGAGAGGATTCTGTATTATAAAGATGTGCACCTTAGAGACGTGTGCGTCTTACAAACATGTTTGCCTTAGAGAGGTGGCTGCTCTTAAGAGATTTCTACATTAGAGAGATGTTTGCCTTAGAGAGGTGGCTGACTTACGGAGATGTCTGCATTAGAGAGATGTGTGCCTTAGAGAGGTGGCTGCTTTATAGAAATTTCTACATTAGAGAGATGTTTGCTTTAAAGAGGTGGCTGCCTTACAAAGATGTCTACATAAGAGAGATGTTTGCCTTAGAGATGACTGCCTTACAGAGATTTCTGCATTAGAGAGATGTTTGCTTTAGAGAGATGACTGCCTTACAGAGATTTCTGCATTAGAGAGAGGTTTGCCTTAGAGAGGTGGCTGCCTTACAAAGATGTCTACATAAGAGAGATGTTTGCCTTAGAGAGGTGGCTGCCTTACAGAGATGTCTGCATTACAGAGAGGTTTGCCTTAGAGATGATTGAGGATTCCTGTATTAGAGATGTTCTCCCTAGAGATGTGTTCCTTAGAGAGGTGCTCGCCTTAAAGAAGTATCTTCTCAGTCTCTTATACGTACACGTTCAACTGTTGAACATCGATTGTGCAAAGTATAACTGGGATGTAACATTTTTTCACTTTCGATCTCTATGATTGTTGGACAACGCAATACGAGCCGAAAATCAACGTAATTGATATTTCCTTAGGGTTCTTTTCAACAAATGTGGATTTCCAAGCAAGAGTATGAGGAACACGGAAAGAGTTGCGTCGAGAGAAAATGTCCTTGATAAGATTATATCAGATAAGTCCGCTGCCTAAAAGGATTTTTAATGTCGTTTATGTCCTTCGAAACAGAGGTATGTCGGCAACTCATTACGAAATGACACCGAGTATACACTGCTTCCCGATATCCTTTGGAACGATTTCATGTACAACTTCTCTTTTGAAGATACTTTTGATTTAGTCATGATCGAGGAACCGAGAGAAGTTTTTAGGACTTTCTTTTTTAGAAAATCTTCACGACGTTTGTATGGTTACGATGACGTAACGTAGTTGTTGTAGCTACTGGATTTGGTCGTAAGTCGCGTAATGAACTCACTGGTGTCCGTTGTGAGCATACCGAATCGTTTAAATGAACCGATTTTTCATTCCTCAGTAAATACATACCTAATACGTACATATGAATGGGTTTTCTGATTGGGGGAATTTGATTAGCATTTCCTTAACGTATTGTATAATTTATTTCGAGTCAATCAAAATCCTGGTCACATACGTAAATACCGACCCTCATTCGTCAGATGCCTCATTTGCAATACAAATAAAATTCCAATACGAACAACTTCATACTATTTCGTGCGCGCACACCCTCCCTCACCCCAATGAATTCAGCTACTGCAAACGGCAAAGTCCGAGAGGGATATATTTGTAGAAAAAACAAGTTATGAAACGTGAGGAACATGAGATGGTACATGTTAAGGACCATGCAGTGAGGTTAGGAAAGAACCGATAAGTACCATTAGCTTCAGTAGCTTGAAGAGACAAAGTTTTGACCACAGATATTTTTTTGGCTACAGGTTGAAAACATGTTTGAAGACAATGGAACATAACGAATGTTCACATAAAAACTCCACGTGGATTATGATTTATCTACAGGATATAGGAAGTCTTAGAGCCTGTTCATATGAGCCGGGCTGGCCCGCTTTACCGGGCTAGCCAGGCAGTAGCAGATCTCGCCTCTTTTAGTAATTAAATTTAATTTCAAAATTGATTCATATGAGAGGCGGGCTGGCCCGTCTTGCCGGGATCTCGCTTGAGCGAGATGGGATCTCGGCATAAACGGGTTCATGTGAATGCACGTAGGCGGGCTAGCCCTGCATGCCGGGCCAAACATCGTACTAGTGCGCATGCTCATAAAATTCAATTCGATGCAAAATAGAGGGCAAGCAGAACAACAACTTTTAGTGGACCATAGACTAATGCTTAAAATCAATGAGCTTCTTTCAGCTTATAAAAGTAACATGAAATACCTGGATTTGGACTTTTATGTTGCGTGCGTCATTAATTATTTCTGTACTTGCCGGGCCAGCCCGCCTCGTGTGAATCAAATAATAAACTGGCCCGGCAAAGCGGGCCGGGCCGGCTCATATGAACAGGCCCTTAGAGTTTAGATTTCCCATATGAAAAGTGCTCTATGCGTGTAAGCAGAGCGTAAATATAGAGATAGCGGAAAAAATTCTCAAAACTACAATTTCATCCGGACAAGCCTCTTTCGTGATATCTCGTTCTTCAATATATATGTATTGCAAGCTGTTTTTAACCGGTACAATGCCAACAATTTGTGTCAAACATTTTATTTTGTTATTTTGCAATAAACAATGTAAGACAGGGAAGCGATTCCGAAGTTTGAATCAACCAACAGCATTTCCAAGTTCGGAGGAAGCTTGCCAGCACACAAGAATTTGGGCTTTTTTTGACTGAATGCATTGGTTTGGATGGCGCAACATGTTGAATGTCCACTATTGGAATGGCAATGAGTATTTGTATAAGAAAGGCAACGCTTAACGTTAAGTGCAATTTGATGGGGTGACTCAAATGTACATGATGCGTACCTATTTTTATGCGATAACAGTTTCGCCCGTATGTTTCAAGAGACAGGCAGACACTCTGTAATTTAATGCTACAGCAAAGGGTTAATAACACTTTGCAGGCTTCAACGTGAACTCGTTTGCACTTGGCATCGTGGCATTTGCTTTTTTCTGTTTATTATAATTCCAAATCGCATTGATCTGCGTGCATTTTTGCAAGCGCATGCACTAAGGTTTGCTGTTATTCCACCTTACCTGACGTTGAGGCAATTTCTTCACCGTTCATCTGATTTCTTATCGTCTTCACAGCTTGATTGGGACGATTTCACGGAAAATGGTGGAGCAAGTAAACAATTCTATGGTCAATATCTTTCGTCCGGATGGCAATGGTGTTGTACCGCACGATCTTTCTAGCGCTGAAGGGTAAGTCGATATGAAATCGCTTAACTAATTTTGCATTTAGACTCGTGCAATTTTTCTGTGTTTTGTTCGACTCGTGTTGTCGCGAAGCATCCGCATGCGGGCAAATTAGATAATATGCATAAGCACGTATACCAAACATAGGTATATGCACAACTTAGTTTGCACAGTTAGTTTGCGTTTATTTGCGTTAGTCGTTTTAATTACCTAAATGACATTTAAGAAATAAAAGATGTTTACTGTGTTTGCACAGGCTTATGCAGTCCTCGGAGACGTTTGTGAGAACTCTTGAGCAGGTACAACTGATATGCTCTCAAGTTCTCCCAAAGGTCTCCTCGGTTTGCATAAGCCTGAACAAACACAGTAAACATCTTTTATTTCTTTTATAAAATAAAATAATGCGAAAAAGACAAACATTTTAATTTTTCCTCTAAAATGTATTCATGATTGATTTGATTGATTGAGCTCAGATGTGTTTTGCTCAGGCTAATAATACAGCTCTAGACCTATCAGCGCACGCGTTTCATTGTGTTTATTTTATAAAATCTTGTCATGAATAATAATCACTTGCACGCTCACTCTCTAAACACGCATGCAATAAAGCCTGTCTGCTCGGAGACAAAATTAATTTCGTTCCCTTTTAAGACAAGTTTGAAACCTTTGCTATCTTGTCGCTTAAAGCTCTATTCATGCATGCAAGGGCATTCATTGCATGCATGCATAATTATTTCATTTTCACCATAAGTCATTAGAGACGTGGCAAGCCCGCAAGTTCCCTGCTGTGTTAATTTCAGATGACTAGCACATCATTTATTTCTTTAGAAATGTCTTGTTATCTTTTAGTGATTGAGCAGGGAGATGTTCACATAGTGCGACCTTTTCGGCAAGAAAGTTTGCCTAATTTGTCGAGTGACGTACATTTATAATTTGGACCATTTCACATTTGTTAGTGGCAGGAGCGCATTAAAATTTATGCGTGAGCGCAGTATAGGGAAGGGAATATACAGGGCGTCCACTTCTTGTGCAACAGACTACTGGCTGTGGTTAGCCATTTCATTGTTCCTATTGGTCAGAAAGTGTCATTTACCGGCTGCCACTATGGTAATGACATGCGTAAAGTATACGCGGCACGAAAAAGTTCAATGGAGTGACTCTTCACTTTATTCATTATACTGTGGCGTGATGTTGTCGGAAATGCGTACTTTTCGACCTTTAACTTTCACACAAAAATTGAATGTTTGAAATTTCATTGCATGCACAACTATTCGTACGAAAGTTCCTCCGAAGACTGACTCCTTGTCTGTGTGTTTGCTCATTGCGTTTCATTGATATATGTGACCCCTGTGCATAAAACAAAAAACGAAGGCCCATATTATTTGTTGTAATATAATACCATTGTATTTACTAATTTAATTATCACATGTTGAAATGGAGGAAATTCTTGAAATTTTCCCAGCGCGCGACCTGACCCATTTTACCCGTGACCCGCGAGCGTTCCACTCGGCAGTCACTTCCAACGGTAAGAGCATGCAATGAAATGCACGAATTTCATTGTTAATGTTTTATTCAATTGGGAATTGGCCGAGTAAGAGTTTTTTCACGCACAGTGTTCATGCAGTATGATTATATTAGGATGTATTAGCAAAGAATAGAGAATATATAGAAGGGCAACTCGCGTCGGTAACCTTTAATGGTAAGCGTGGCGCGCAGTTTGTTTCGCGCATACCGGAAATGTGACGGCCGCCATTACTCTGGCCAGTAAAGTGTACAACATTTATGCATGAGTCAATTCCAAGCGTTACCATCCCCCCCCCGGGATACCCCTGGAGACCTTTCTCGGGGGTCGGGAATTTGCTCGTTAAAGAGATGCTCGGGAGCCGGGTATTTACTCCGGCAATAATACCCACGGGGATTTGATACCATTTGAGTACGCGAGTCGCGACTATGATTTCAATTAATCGCGACATTAAGTACCGATTCCCATCTCCTGGTATCCAGACGGACCATCGTGTGGTTTTTTTCCTTACCCAGTTGCTGATGTAAAGAGACCTTGGGGAGGGGAGGATTGCGAAACATGCACGGGAGTTTGCTATGGGCATTATGTCACCGATGTGTCAGAGCTGCTAAATTTATATGCAGTTGGCAAAGCTATAAGGAGCCCGCCGCCGTCTGAAATACTGGCAGACTTTCACAAGAATCACAGTGGTGGATGTGTAGAGGATACTGACATAAGCATGCTTGCTAAGAAATGTTTGCTGTCAACCAAGGATGTTAAATTGTGGCTTCAATACTTGACGCAAATTTCTGTGAACAGGAAAAGAGGTGCTGGAAAAGCAAAAGCAACAAGAGAAAAGCGGAGCAAGGGAAAGTAACTCAGGAACGAATTTCTTTTACTACATTTATTTTTTATAGGATCTCTCATATATCTTGCTTAATAAGTATTAAAAAGTGTTCCTAATTTTCGTAATTTAAAATTACTTGGTCCCGGAGCGGGGCATTTGCCATTGGCAGCTTGCCCGGGGGCTGAGTATTTGCCTTCTTGCCTTTCCCCGGCAGCGGGGAAATTGAACTATTAAAACGAAAAAAATCAAATGCCCGGCCATATTCCCGGGGGAGGGGGGGATGGTAACTCTTGGAATTGACTCATGCATTACTATGAAAATATATAGAGTGGAAGCCGTAAAGTGGGTTAAAATGTAGATTTTTTGAGCTGTTGGCTGTTTTTGGCATCTTTTTGAAAGAAATTGAAATAAAAAGGCAAGTATTTTGTATATATCATGTAACAAATGCATTTATTTAATATATTTATAGCGAAATTCAGTCGGAAAGCTTGAACAGGTTCTGAGGTTCACAAGTCCTCAATGAACTTGGATGTATTACATGTTAAATATATTATTGTGATATAAAAAGCTTTTGTTTTCAATTTAGTTTTATAAAAGACAAAAAATTATATGCACAAAGCCCTCAAAGGTGTGTGACTTTAATGTACTTTCTGTCTTTCTTTTTAGTTGTTGCGAATATGCGGTTCGCAAATTTTATGTCGTAATAAATGCGCATTCTTACAAAAAGTTTCTGCAAGAACTCAAATGGGAATTCCGTACAGTAATCAAATTCCTTTGGTATGGACTTGACGGTGTCTAATATACTTCGACCAACACCTTCGCTCTTTGTGTAGACAGAAAACGTCTTAATAAATGTGTCTTCAAGTTTGATGATGTATTCCAGATAAGGAGAAGATGGTGATTGTAGTCCTCCTAAATCAGATTTCTTTTCATCGAATGCTTTAAAGTGGCAGAATAACTTTCTGCTATCATCCAGTTCTGTAGATGAAAGAGCATTGGTGCATTTCAGACAAGAGTGGAGTTTGAAACCCTTCATTAGAAGAAAACCAGACACATATGCAATGGCATTTTCCCTCATTATGTTAGTAACAACATTTGGCTCCTTGTAGTCAGTAGGACCAATTGCTAAAATTTGTGGTTGCGGAGGTGGAAAGACTTGAACCGTTTTCTTCTGGCTGACTTTATTCTTTGCAACATTTTTGGAATACTCAACCAGCATAGAATCAAGGTCGTTTTCACAATTTCCAGATGAAGAGGTTAGAAGGGAACTGAAGAAAAGCTTTCTAAATGCTTGCATAAATTGGGTTGGAGTGGGGTTATCACTATTGCCTCCCTGGCGACGAATAGTACCAAAAAAATTTTCTAGTGGGTCAGTATTTAGTCGTCTGGTAAAAAAAACTTAAACTGATGCACTGATCGTAATGTTTCCCATATCGAGATGATGGCTTTAAGTGTCACTAACCAGCCATGCAGACACTTAACTCTACCAGTGACATCTTTATTCCCTTGGAACACTTTCAATTTTTTGATGAAATTGATGCTTTCCTTCAGAAATTCAATGTGGAATGATTTTTCATTGATGGCACATCTAAGTTTTTTACTCGTTTGCAACATGGAACTGTTTACACAGTCAAAAATAGAATCAAATTTGGAAACAAATTCTGAAGCTCCAATTGCAGAGGAAGGAAGACCACCCATACTCACATATGTACAAATTCCTGCGGCCACAGTGTAACTTAAAACTTGAGTGGCATATTTGACTTTCATTTTGTCAAGATTATTTGGGTGGATGTGTTTGTCCGTTAATTTATGTGCAAGCCTTGTGTGAAGTGAACTGTCTTTGTTATAAAATTGTTCAATATCATTCCACGAAGCAGCAAGGCCATCAAACTTAAAGGTGTATTTCATCAGGTTGTTTCGAACACACTTCATTAGATGAGGGGGATCAAACATGAGATGGTAAGTTCTTTTGTTATAAGTAAACCACAGTTTGTCAGGGGTTACTTCCAAACGGTTGGCAAAACTATGAAAATTGGAACCCATGTCGGATATTACCACCAATACATTTAGACCAATTTGCTCCCATTTGTCTAGGGCCTCTTAAAGAACATCTTCCAAAATTTCAGTTGGGCATCCTCCATTGGCAAGCACATAACCAAGAGGCTGTTTCCACCTACCAGAAATACTTTTTGTCAATAGAACCATTGCAGTAGTTGCCACCTTGTTTGTTCGGAATCCTGAACCAAAATCTTCTAAACCAAGGACTCTATCTTTGGGAATGCTGTATTGTAGATTGAAATCTCATCCATACAAAAAGTGCACAACCTTTCCATTGGATCCATCTGAGAAACTTTCTGCTATAGAGTATTGACTGTGGCCTGTGATATCCCTGTTTCTGTTGGTACTCTAGATATGTAATTTCGAAGAGAGGTCTTGCTTGGTAAAATAAACAGTTTTGACAACAGCCGATATGCTTTCCCACTTGCATGGTACAAAGAAATTGCCATGGATTTCATTTCAGATGAATATCGTCTTCCTTTTTTCTTGGCTATATGTAACTTTATCTGTGTTCTTACAAAATTTGCCAAATGATCAGGCAGTTTCTTGAGAGCATTTTCTAGTACTTGTTGATGTGTTGCCTTGTTCTTCACTATCTTGTTCAATTTTGTGTTCAATCTCCTGATTTTTCCTTGTTTAGATCTGATCACCATTTTTTGCTTTTTTTTCCTTGGTGTATTGTTGGTGAGGCTAGTGCTGGTTTGACAACAGAAATCTAATGTTCTTGTTCGTGACAAATTTTCTTGGTGCCCTTTAAATTCACATAAAAACAATTTGTCCTTTGATTAATTTATTGTATCTAGTGCAAAACTTATACTTTTACTACCGTACTAGTCTTGAGTGATGTTGAAGAATTAATTTTAAATGTATTATTAAATATACCTTGCTTTTCCGTTGTATCGTCAGTTTCCATTATTTCTTGATCAGGGCTATCACAAACACTTTCTTGAACTATTAGCAACAAATTAATTTTATCAACGAACTTATTTCTGTTGTTAAAATGTTAACAATTGTGATAAGATTTTAAAAGAAGTGTGTGAAAAACATAAAAACTGAAAACTATCTGCAAGGATGGGTTTTCCTCATATCATTGTCTTAAATAAAGCTAAGGCATAATTCCAGAGAAACAATTTACAATATGTAATTTTGAGAAAATGAATGGAAAAAGAGCACGTCGTAAAATGTAGACGGTTTTCAAAAGTTTTTGCATTGTCATATAATTTGAATTTCTCTATCATACCTTCAGTTGCTTTCGATTTTCTTATCAGCTTCTGTCTCTTGGCTGAAAAAAAGAACACAGCACAAAAATTATGCTCTAAAGGACTTAAGAAAATAAAAATAATTGAATTACCTTTAGTGGCAATATCGGTGGTATTCCTTCGTAGAATTCGTCGCTTTTGACGTACAGTTGGTGGTTTGTTTGGAATGTCGAAAATCATGGGCTTTGCTGCAGGATTTATTTGCCTTTTTTGACTATTAGTAAACATGCAGTCTTCGAAGTGTTAGGAGCATAACCGGCAATTCTTGTACAAGTATTCGGTATTTTTATTTCGCAGATCTTCGCGCCTGGAAAGTTGTACTCATTCTTTCGATCTATAGACGTTTTGCGTTATACATTATACTTTATTCAGAGATGGATATAAGAGAGGGGTGTGCAGCCCTCCTAGCTTAAGCTAGATGGGGGTGCAGAAGAAATGCTAATTTCTCTATAAATATTGGTATACTAAACAATTAAGCTGAAGAAATTGTGATCAATGTTTAATAGAGCACCCTTACAAAAACCACCCAATCATAATAAAAACGTAATAGAATTTAACAAAGTTTAACATGCTACTGCAACAAGTAGCCACTAAAATCTAATCCAACATACTAAAACTACATAACACAAGACACTTGCAACATAATCCTCACTTGAGAACTGAATGCCAAAATAACAACTAGAAAAAAATATCAGAAAATCAATCATAACTATTGGTAATAAATTTAATAGAGCACAAATCACAGCAAGGCAAAATTTATAAATAAGGCAAACAGAGTGTATACCTCACTAAAACTACATTTGGTATTAAAAATGCCCAACTATTAACATTTTAACATTTCACTCATGCTTAAAATGATAAACAAACCCTCCATGGTTTGAAACTGAATGTTGCAAATTATTATCAGTTATAATTCACACACAAGCATCATGAATCATTATTGGATTACTTGGTTAGCTGGTTGATTAACTTAATTTATAGTTTAGCAAGTTGGCAAGTTGCAACCTGAAATATTACAGCGTTGGTACAAGTAAAACTCTGACAAGTTTGTGTTTTAAATAATACATTTATAATAACACCTCGAAAGTTTGAAATTTATAATTCAGAATGGACAAAAACGTAAGAGATTTTACTTCTGGACTTCTATTCACCTAACATACTGACAACTCTATAGCAGTAAAATAAACACCCTACATTGAAACATGTAATTTTTACCAATAAAAAACCTTTACGGACTTGCTAGCAATTAAATAATAGTCTCTCACCTTATTTCTTTCACGTTTTGTCACAAAATTCCATGATCTTCCAAAACAGTTTGCATTTTAGGCGATTATTATCCCAAAATCGCACTTTTCCAATATTATTTTATAGCACGCCAGCGTCAAGTTACTGGCCAGAGTAATGGGTTAGCACTATTTTCCACCCAGCAAACCGCCCTTTACTTTACACAATCGTTAATAAATTAAAGATGGCGGCTAATGGGAAAGAACCAAAAGCTAAAAGGAAACCGTGCATGCACTGGTGCTAGGTCGTTTTGAGATGGCGAGTAATTTTATATTTTTATAATACAGTTTTTAATATCAACATATGAAAATATTTACAGATAAATGTTGCAGTATAAATTTTCATGCAACCACCTTAAGTTATAAACTTATAATCCAGGCTGGAAAATATGTCGTTTTTCGACGATTGTGTAAAATATTATATAAAATATTATATTGTGTAAAATATTAGATTGTGTAAAATATTATATTGTGTAAAATATTATATTTCAAAGTAAAGGGCGGTTTGCTGGGTGGAAAATAGTGCTAACCAGAGTAATGGCGGACGTAACGCATGCGCACAAAAAATATGCCACGCACGCGTTTCACCCATTGAGACCCTTGAGGTCTTATAGAGCTCAAGGGTCTCAATGGGTGAAATCCGGAGAAACTTTTATCTTTTATGTATATATATATATATATTAACTACAGTAGTAAAAGTTAAGACTTTTTTTATTATATTTATTATGTTTAATTGTTGTCCTCAACCACGTGTGATGCCGGGTTGTGCGCCCCATTGAAACTCGAAGCGAGGGTTAATATGCGCAAGGTTCAGAGTACACTGAGTCAGATGGCTATCGAAGTCACTCAATTTTCGCAACTTCTACAGCTCTGAGGAAATTTCAACAGCATAGACGCGATTGATTATTCGACTTATGTCGGACTGGTAAAAATTCGACAGTGAAAATTGCTTCTTTACAACGCCAAACGAAGATGTCGTTACTCGTGAGCAAAAATTACGCTACTACGTGTAAGGAGGCTGAAATAACCGGAAACATTTTCATGGAAATATGTCAGCAGCACTCATGAGGGTACATTTAGGAAAAACACCCTTTCTTCAAAAATAGAAAACGTAGCCACAACGGAGTGTGTATAGGCCAAAAAATGAAGGTCTCTGTACGGTGAAATTTTATCATCACTTCTTCGCTTTTGTGGGCTTTCTTTTTAAATTTTCACCATTTGCCGATAATCTGACTTGGTCAGGGCGTCAGGATTTCAAGAAAAAAACTGTTGAAGGCATCTGCTGCATACAATGAGTCCGTTTCACAGACCACGAAAGATCACAAATTGAAGGGCGGAGCAAATATTCATATATAAACGCTTCGCTTTATAAGTTTACATGTTTACATGTTTCTATAGATATCAACAGTGATTACTGAATATTCGTATCTAGAACGTTGATGGCAGGGGGGGATATATAATATATCCATATTTTCAGTTGTGCCGACTTTTGAAATTGAATTGGCTTTCAAAACAAATCAGTCGGGCACAAATGAATGTATGAATATACAACCTCCTCCCCGTAATTCTAGATACGGCCTTGATATAACACATGAATATGACAATGTGCTCCGGCAGTGATCGATTACGCGGTCCCTGTGTTAGTGATTCATCCGTGTTTCTTTGAATCAAGACACAGGCGCAAACATAATGCTGCATTCAGTAGCGAAGCCAGCCCGTTTTTTACTCCTATAATGCAAATATTTTTCTGCTTAACCACTGGAAAACAATGAAAAATTTGAATTATAGGAGTTATAGGAGTAAAAGATCAGGCTGACTTCCCCACTGGCTGCATTGCAATACGAACAGTACAAAAAAACGCGATACGCTATATTGCGCATTTTACCACTCAACCATAGTGTGTACATTTGCGCACAAAATTTACATAGCCAGTAAAATCACATGCGTGCATGGTTGTGTAAATATACATCGTTTCACGTGTAAACGCCGCCCTTCATGCTCCCTCATTCCACTGAGCGAACATTTTCTCATACGTACATATTTAGATACTCGATACACACACACTCGGCGAATCTTCATATGAAGAGCAAAATTAACGCCACCACTAGCTGAATATAATTGCGTGGAGCGAAATAAAATATAAAACGACAATAAGAGTCGATATGTTATTCACCTTTCGCAGCTGATATTAAAGGTAATATTGAAGTTTACCGTACCAAAGAAATAGAAACACGGGTCGGGAACAGGTTATTGACACGGAGCATCAACCGCCACGTTCGATGTAACGACTACAACGAGCAAACTGAAGCGAGATTGTGTAACGTCACTACACCGTGTGGCAGAACAATTCCATTTAAACCGACGGGTTATCACACCAGGAAATATGAACTTTGAAGGAAGCCGTCGTCACACACTAATACCATAGAATAGAGAATATATAGAAGGGCAACTCGCAGGTAAATTTTCAAACTTATATATATATATATATATGCCAAAGTGTATTTGGTCGATGTAGCATCGCAACATAAGGTAATAAATATTTTGACGCCACGCCCCCAAGGTTTCTACCCCACAGTTATTATATGGTGTTGTGTCCGACTGGTTTCTTTTGAAAGCGTTTGTGTTTTCCAAGATATCAATGAAACACTTACGTCTCCGACTGGAGCTTGCTGACTGGTTAAGGGCTGGACTGACGTAACCTAACCTAACCTAAATTTAATTTGTTACTGTTCCCGAGGCATTTCAAACAACGTTGATGTAATGGAACACGAGCGATTTACTTCGATAGAAAACGGGGAGGATATTGGTCTCAGTTGTCTGGACAATAAACACACGACCAGTGCGGCTGCGAAGTCCGATGGAAAAATTTCCCTGATTGAAAATGATGTCGAGCGAGAAAAATGGTCGAATAAAGTGGACTTCATGTTATCCATCATTGGCTACTGTGTTGGTTTAGGAAATGTCTGGCGGTACGTAAAGCTTTGATCGCGCTCAGTTTTGTATTAAAATGCCTCTGAAAACGAAAATTCTTCTATATACGTTATGATCTCGTTGAACGGAACATATAAATTGAAAGCCGACTTCCTACAACAGTTAACGAATATCTGTTTTCAATCTCGAGATATTGAAGTGCTTGTAATGTTCACTTCACCCAGCCGTTGACGTCGAATTGCGGCAGTGTGGTGCGCTTCATCGCAAAATTTCAAAATATCAGTTTCATTTTTGTGGCAAGTTTTTCATGAAATACTTGAACATATACATACCTAGAACATATACATACCTAGAACATATACATACCTAGAACGAAGGGATATCTGCCCGTGTGAAGTGACATATTAGCTGACATACCTGCTAATTCACAAGTTCTCATTATGCAATGTGACATCACTGTTTTTTCGAGAGGAAGCTCGTACAAATGCTTCAATAGTAAAGTAGAGAATTTGTCGTGTTGGCAAACCTGAAAATCGTTTTAAAGATAGCATTTTCTATGATTGATGGTCAAAATAACCTAAGAGCTCTTAGAAGAACTGTTTTACGACCAAAAAAGCAACCAAACAGACAGCACCTACCCAATATCTCCACAAAGAAAGGAAATTAGCATGGAATGTTTAAGAAAGTCTATCTATACTCGTGAATACACTTTAAATAGTAACGAATTTCCTTTCGTTGTCAGTTTAACGTTTGACGTTGAAGTATTAGCTCTGACTCCGGGGCAAGACAAATTAGACAATTCTGTCTTACAAATCGTCATTCGAATAGCCGGCTATTCCAATTATGGAAGTCTTTGTGTTTGTGAATTACGATCATCCCGAGTCTTAACATGTCATTCGAGTATCGACGTTCTAGATTCATTGACTATTTTTTTGCCGTTGCATGTTTATTCTGCTGTGTTATTTTATTGGAAAAATAAATCAAATCGCCCAACAGTGAAGACAGATCGTCAAGTACTTGCTAACATAATGAATCACAACTGAAAAACCATGAGTAAATATCGAATAAAATGATATTTTCCGTTTTACTTTCTCTCGCTCCCTACGCTAGCTAAACTAAAAAAGATCGTCATGATTGGAGTAGCCTGAAAAACCCATGTTTAATATTGCACTGTGGCTCATATAAAGTCCACATTTAAGCTTGCACTGTGGCATTTTGAGGCTTTTCCTTAGTGACGATTCCCTATTTTTCATCCTTCAGGTTTCCGTACTTATGCTACGCCAATGGAGGAGGTAAAAATCACAATTCATGGACAATATGCCGGTACTGGTAATACTGTATAATGATCCAATGTTGATTCTTTTTTAAGCAACTTTCTTGATTCCGTATTTCCTCATGTTGGCATTGTGTGGCATTCCCATGATGCTCACGGAGTTTAGTCTGGGACAATATCTGAGTCTGGCACCACCGTCAATGTTTTCCACCATCTGCCGTATGTCCAAAGGTCCGTTTAACCCTTCTTGAATGTGCGTGCATTATCCCGACGTATCCATGATTGTCATTTTCTTCGCCTTAGGTGTTGGCATGGCAATGATGATGATTTCGTTTCTTGTTTCCATCTACTACAATGTCATTATATGTTGGTCCATTGTTTATCTTGTTAGCTCGTTCGCCAAGGATGTTCCTTGGAAGGACTGTGATCCCAAATGGGCTAGCACGCGATGCAGGTACGTTCTTTTATGGCTCAAATTGTTTCTATTACAATCTATCGATTGTCTTAATTGCGCACAGACTAGCAGTTTGGCATCAGCTGCGGAAAATGAAATTTTCAGAAATTTGAATCAATATTAACTTCACTTATAGTAAGAAGTCGTCAAAGCTCAAATAATAAACTATCAAATTATGCTTGTTTAGGAGAGGGCTTATTAATGTAACATCAAGTACTGTAACTCGTGTTGTATCATAAGACATGCTGATACGCCCTCTTATGCTTATGCTAAAATTCTTGTGTTTTAGTTACAGATTATCAATTGCGTTTACGTCAAAATTTTACGGCATGTTTTTTATCATCGCTGTACTCTTAATGATGAATTGTAATGGTCAAGATGTTTTATGTTTCCTTTGGCGTGCCCCTTTAGTCCCTTGCCACTGGCCTGTAACCAGGCTGACCACGGCCGTAGCTAGAACGTTGATTGAGCGGGCGGGGGGAGTGTTTGTTCATATGTTAAGTTGTTTCCGATTGATTTCTTTTGAAAATTATTTGGCTTCGATAGAAATCAGTGAGGCAGAACTGAATATATGAACTTACTCCCCCCACCACCCAGTCAACGTTCTAACTACGGTCCTGAGGCTGACCCTCCCTCTCGTGGGACCTATCTTAAAATTCCCTGCTGTGATATGCTTTCTATTGCTTTGTAATGCGTATTGATTTTTCCCATGGCAATAATTTTGACGAATGTGTCTTTTCAGCAACGTCACAACGAGGCGAAACGTAAACAATCGCCTTAAAAACTGTGTTAATGGAACTCTAAAACTCAATGAAACAAACATCGTCGACTGCAAATCAGACGAGTTTAAGCTAATTCCTTCATCGTTGGAATACTTTAAGTATGTTACATAGAATTTCAAGTGAATGAGAGTCACTGAGTGTATAGAATAGACAGGGAAATTACCCTAAATTTTGCTTTTTACTGTAGTAAACACTGAATTACTAACCCTAAATTTTGCTTTTGACTGTACAAAACACTGAATTAGTTAACCTAAATTTTGCTTTTGACTGCACTAAACACTGAATTAGTTAACCTAAATTTTGCTTTTGACTGTACTAAACACTGAATTAGTTAACCCAAATTTCCCTTTTGACTGTACTAAACACTGAATTGGTTACCCTAAATTTTGCTTTTGACTGTACTAAACACTGAATTAGTTAACCTAAATTTTGCTTTTGACTGTACTAAACACTGAATTAGTTAACCTAAATTTTGCTTTCGACTGTATTAAACACTGAATTGGTTACCCTAAATTTTGCTTTTGACTGACTAAACACTGAATTAGTTAACATAAATTTTGCTTTTGACTGTACTAAACACTTAATTAGTTAACCTAAATTTTGCTTTTGACTGTACTGAACACTTAATTAGTTACCCAAAATTTTGCTTTTGACTGTACTGAACACTGAATTAGAACAGATAATCTCTAGTTGAAACAGTTTTGAACTGATGAACATATGCCTTGATGAACAAAGTTAGTTTTAGTGTATATTTTTGCCTGTGGTATAGGAGTTATGATAAAGTTGAAATAAAGTCAGTAGGGTTTTTCGTCACGAACTCAGGATGAATAGGAATAAGGATGTGACCATATGAAGCATAAACTGATTTTTCATCTTAAACTTCATGTTAGCAACTACGTTCTTGGCAAGACAGCTGGCATCGACGATATGGGGGACTTTCGTTGGAAGATCTGTTTGTCGTTGATATTTTGCTGGACGGTTGTGTTTTTGTGTTTGTTCAAGGGCGTGAAAACCTCGGGAAAGGTGCGATCTTTTTATACGCACATCGTGGGACATTCCAACTGCCATAAAAACAGTTATTGTTTCATCTCTGTTTTTTCATATGTTTATATTTAGGTCGTTTGGGTGACGGCCACGATGCCGTACATCGTTCTTTTCATACTATTTGTTCGTGGGGTGACACTGGAAGGAGCGGGGATCGGAATCAAGTATTACCTCACTCCAAAATGGAAGAAGTTGATTGACGTGAAGGTGAGCGAAGTGCTGCGATCACGATGTTCGTAATGAAACCGACGATCTTATAGTTTGAACGAGTTTCCTTGTGTGATGTAGGTTTGGGTTGCCGCAGCGTCGCAGATATTTTATTCGCTCGGCGTTGGTTGGGGAACCGTCTTGGTATATGGAAGCTACAACAAGTTTAATAACAATTGCGTGTTGTAAGTCTAAAATTTCATATCTAACTGTTATTACTGGGTATCTATGTATTATCTGTTGATGAAGGATAGCCTGATTAGATCAATGGAATGTTTTCACTTATTCCTCCTTCATCAACCTAACAATGAAGGAAACGGCCATGTTGCTCTTCTAAGCAAAAGATCTTCTTTGAAATTCTTTGACCAACATGATCTATGACTTCGACTGAAAACGCTCTATTAGGCAACAGTGTGGAACACTCGCACGTTTCATTAGCTTGTACCTTGAACCAATAATGAACCCTGAATAGCTAGGTACACAAATACAGACCCGATGTTGAGAGATGGATACAAATGCACTTTTCAGAGATCCTATGTTTCGGGAAAGTTTCTGGAAATGGTTTTAGGGTGAAGTTATTTCCTAAATTAGCGTTTTCTCCAAAGTGAGTTTTGTATTTTTTTAGCGATGCCATTCTCGTCAGCTGTATCAACTGTGGTAGCAGTTTTTTTGCTGGTTTTGTCGTGTTCAGTGTTCTCGGTTTCATGGCGAATCAACTGAACGAAGACATAGATAAAGTGGCGACGTCAGGTTGAGTTACATTCCTCTGCTCCGACTGTTTTATCAAGTTCTTTCCGGTTTTGCTGGCATTTTCCAGTGCTATGATGTCATAACAAGGGCGTCCTTAGATCTTCCCGTGGTGGGATACATCAATGTTTAAGCGAGCCCATTCCTTTTTTTTCCATGCTATGTAAATGGTGTTCACTCACTGTAAAAAATAGATTCCTAAAGAAATGAATAATGCCAATGTCAAAAATATACATCGTATACAAATTTGCTGGCTAGCTACGCCACTGGTATATGTTATACCATGGCGTTGGTACACCGTCATGGCTTAAGTGAATTTCACATACATAAACGAAATCGTAGGCAGACCATGCCCGACCATGGCCTATATGTTTTGCAAAGTACTGATTCACGTTTCTAAAAACGATTGCCCCTGTTTCAACAGGTGAAATGTGTCGAATGACATACAAATTTGCTGAAATCAATTGCGCTTCGATTCTTCTAGTGAAATTTTAAATAGCTTCACGAATGCTGCTTGCGCGTTTGTCAAGATCATATGTTCCTCCCTATCTAGTTCGTCAATTGTTGCATGCAGTCTCACGATCGCCGCATCGTACGTCCAAAATAATTTTCTCTATTTCCAGGACCCGGCTTGGCCTTCAACGTTTACCCGGAAGCGATTTCTAAACTACCGATTTCACCGTTGTGGGCAATTTTGTTCTTCTTTATGTTGTTTACGTTGGGATTAGACAGTCAGGTAAACATATCGCACGAAAATAAAATTAGGTGTACTGCAGTTTTGAGCTTTGAAAGATTATTGTCCCTTGGGTATGCATAAAGAACAGTTTAGTAAGCCGGGTGTACATTGGTCGGCGCAACAATGAAGGTTGAGATGGCAAAGCTATTTTCACTTTTTACTGAAATTAGCTTTTTTCGCATGTGGAAATAATGAAATAAGAATTTCATTTTAGCCTCTCTACTTGTAAAAGTGATGCGCTGCCCCTTATGTGTGCAACATAATAATCTCAAAGAAAGTTATGATGGATTGATAAGCGAGCAATGCCACTGGAAGTGGAAGAATACCTCAGAGCTGACAGAGCTATCCTCAACGATTAAGTTTGTTTTAGTTCAAATTTCTGCGCGCATGCCACATTGCATCATTACAAGAGATGATCACGGACTCCATGAAGAACAGTTAAGAACTTATAGAATGAACATCCCCAAAAAAGTACTAGAGGTGTTCCATGTACTGGGGCCCGACTTTAGTCGTGTCTTTATTTGATAGTTTTAACAGTTTCTGTACTGACTTTTTACGCATATTACACTAAAGGTGGTCTGGGGTGTGTCTGCATTCCTATACCCACACCCCCCCATAATTTGACGTCGTTTAATTCGTTGTTTAGTTTGGTACGCTGGAATGCATCATTGCAGGTGTTTCAGACGAATGGGGAGGATTTTTCAAGAGACGTAAATCGTTGTTCACTCTATTGATTTGTCTTTCGTTGTTCATTTTCGGTCTCCTTATTTGCACAGGGGTGAGTTTATCCCAGCTTATCCCTTTACTTCCTGATGAAAAACTGAATACCCGTCTTTATTGAAAACTAATTACATATTCGTGTTTCCTGTGTTTTTTCTTCTCCCGACTTGTTTTTGTTTCGTTTTAAAAGATATTAGTCAGACATGGTGATGTAAAATAGAAAGCTGTTCGTTCTCCACTTTTAAAAATCTTAAATTTGCTTTCTGTCAATGTTCAACAGGGCGGAATTTACATCCTCAATCTTCTAGATTATCAATCAGGAGGCATCTCCCTGATATTTCTCGCTCTAATCGAAATCCTGACCGTCGGCTGGGCTTACGGTTAGTCAGTGGATCAAAATCACCTTTGATGTACATCTTTCTCGAAACTGAATACGGCGGCACCTTTTTTCCCATCACTTAGGAGCGAATCGTTTGGCGGGCAATATCGAGAAAATGATTGGTCGACGTCCTCCGATGTATTTTGTGATTTGTTGGAAGTTCATCACTCCTGCGCTGTTGTTTGTGAGTAGAAGTGAATGTAGCTCTAGGGCTACCAAAATTTGACATAAGCAATTTAACTAGTCCCAATCTTTCCACGCGCGGTTCAAACATAGTTCATTTGTGGCAGCACGGGACTTGACTGTAAAATCGGCTTTCATGCAAGTCGAAGCATGTTTATCTTCATTATTTATCGACATTATTTATCTACATAATTTATTTACAGCGGTATATTTAGATCAACGTACCAAACTAATTTTAAAAACAGTTATTTTTTTGCCTACTTCCCATAACTATGATAGGTTTCTTATGCGGAAAGATTTTACGTATGCAATCGCGTGTTGAAATACTTTTTCTTGCTGTCAATATTTTTTAAACAATAGAAGAAACTTCTAGATAAATTTCGCGGTCATTTTTAGGCCATTTTACTGTCAACAATCATCCAATGGGAAGGCATCTCATTGGACAAATACCAGTACCCGGCATGGGCCGAGTTTATTGGTTGGTTGGTTGCCTTGCTCTCTATGATACTCATTCCTGGCTTCGCCATCAATGAGGTCTATCGTGCTGATGGCATCACTTTAAAACAGGTGAGATATTAATGATTTAGAACCCAATCCTCTAGATGTCTAACTACCGTGTGAAGTTGTTTTTTCCATCTCTTTGGAGCCGATCGTTTGGCAGGCAATAGAGAACTGCCAAATGTTTGGAAATACTTATTAAATTTTTTTCAATTCGTTTCTTCACGCTTCAGATGAGTACGCATGATTATCTTCACATTCGGCTGCTTTAGATCCTTGTCAGGGCTGCTAGCATTCAACTCGTGGTTTTGTTCCGTCTTTTCGTTTTATAAAGAGATCTGTCGAATCCCTGTTCCCCAGTTCCCTCGTTCAAATTGCTGTTCTGTTTTTTTATCCATTCTACCACTGTAGCTTTTATATCGTAAGAACATCCAAATTGTGTACACCTTATGAATATTTTGAGCACTACTTTAGCCCTGCTTTACAGCAGGTAACGAGATGATCAAGTCAGTCATTCATTTGTGCAAATGCCTGTTCGTTGCGTTTTTCTTAGAAAATCTCAAACGCTTGGCAACCCAATAATGATCTGATCAGAGAGATAGAAGAACGTCAAGTAGAAGAGATGGCCGACGTTTCACTAGTTAAAGACAAGATTTAATCAAGCATTGGTAATGTAAGCGCTTAAAACAGCATTTATCCTCACGCCTTGTTCATGTTATGTCGCGTAAATGTTTATCTGGTGCTTGGACTTGTAAAGACGATTATTTTTTACTTCCTGGAAATTATGTAAATTTATGATATGCGAAATTATTACAGCGACGCATGCGCCTGCTCTTGGGCTGGACAATTTGGTCGAGAGTTAGAAAAAAATTTCTCGAAGACGGAGAATCTTGCCCCAGTGATAGCATAATTCGGGAGCAACATAATATTGGCCAATTTGTACGTGGTACTGTATGCATGAATAGAATACAACAAACACGACAGTTAATTCCTCCTTGTAGATTTTAATAATTGTCTATTGTTTATTGGACGAAGAATTATTCACATGACGGAATTCACAGTTTCGACAACCTTAGTCAGTAAACTTCAACAACCAACAGTCCTTCTCTGGACTCTACTGACCGGAATGAGTTGAGTTTGCAAGATGTATTTGTTTGTCAAGAAAGTATGTATATCATCTGAAGTTGTCTCCCGGGAAGGAATTTTGGACCAGTCGGTAACACTTCCTGAAGATTGAAAAATGTACAAAAGTTTTATCTTGATCTATAGTGCCACAACAAGAGGAAGAACTAGGCGTACTTTTCTCACAAACGACTATCTCTAATTCTAACGTCCGTAACCAGATAAGATAACTTTCCCAGTCTGTCTGTATGCTAGGATTGGTTGTGGTGTGGCAAAAATGACTGCCAGCTTCGTGGAGTACAAAAGATTATCAACGTTTTGTTTTATTTCTTAAAGTCCGAACATCTGAGGTAATGATTGAGCAAAATGATCATTTGAAACAGCTCCAACAATTTATTGTTCTTTTTTATATTTTTAAACGACAACCTTATGCACAGTGTTATTTTAGATTATACATCTTTACTGAATGGTGCTATCAGCGTTCTAATCATCAAATTCTCTAACTGCTACGTATGGTATCTTCAACAAATCAAATAATTTCCATTTCTTTTAATTCTTTTCATCGTTTGCAGTATCATCTCTCGATGGCTAAGAAGTGCATAAAGTCTGCCTTGTTTTCAATAGGTGTTCTGGTTGGTCGGCCAAGATTTTTTCTGGAGCCGACGTTACATAGTATCTCAAGCATTGCCGGACCATCGTTCTCTCGTAGTGCCGTCACTCCCGCAGATATTTCCTCGGGAGTTGATGCTCTAAATGCCTAAAAGATTTAGAGTTATTTAATGATTTGCAAGCAAAGTCGATACATTCCTTACTGTTTCATTTGATGAGAAACATCAAGCGCTATAACGAGAAACCTACAACCATTTGGTCGATTCGGTTCTACGACTGGCAAAATCTCCTAATAATTTAAAAAGGAAGAAAACCTGATCTCACCATTTTATAACCGCAGGCCTCCGCCAGTCGTGGAATATGAAACTTGTCCAAGTTTTGAGCTTCTGTCGGTTGAGCTCCCACGGAATCATGAGCACCATTATTGATAACGATGTGTTTGAAATTTGGAACGTCTTGCTGACCTATCGTTGCCAAGTTACCCATGTGCATGATGAGAGCTCCATCACCATCCAGGCAAAACACCTGAGGACAGGCAAACAATTAGTTGACAACCAAGAAAGCTACATAGTAACTCGAGGTTTACTTGAAAGTCTCTTCATAACTAACAATGAAAGGATTTTGATATGCTCAAGAACTCAACAATTGCACATCGATCCGTACAATAGATACCTGTCTTTTCTTTTTCTTTTTTGCAATGCCAAGTGCAATAGCAGAGGCATGGCCCATGCTTCCAACACACAGAAAATCTTTTTCGTGCCCTTGACATTTTGCCACTCTGTACTCAAACAGTTCGCGTGACAACATGCCTGTGGTTCCCACAACAACATCTCTATCATGAAGATTGTCCACAATGCATTTCAGACATTCTTCACGGTTTAGCATAAACCTAGACACCATATGAATAGGGTTATGTAATCATACTAGAAATTGCCAACTTGACATATATATTCACCTTTGATCCGGCGGTGGAAGTTTGTGTGGCAAGAACGTTTGCCTTTTTACTAATAAACAATATGGTCCTTTTGAAGTTTGCATGTATTTTTTAGCAGTGTAGATTGCCTGCCCAGATAAAGAATGTTTCATAATTTAAATAAGTGAGATAAGGGCTAGATTCCATATGTCGAGATTTTAAATAAAGTGTACCTGTTCAGCACCTTCTTGGTAGTCTGGAAGAACTTGAAACGGAATGCCACAGGATGCTAAGAAAAGACCATTGGTAGTTTATTAGATTACAGATTTGATGTTTGAATACCTCAACTGTCCTTGGGACTAACCGAGTAAGCCAGGTGTTGCTTGACCTTGATGAAGATGTTGCGGTTCGTCTCGTTTCCCTGGCTCACCTCGCCAACCAACTAGGAGCAACATGGGTATGCTATAGACAGCTGGAACTGCCAAGGACATCAGTGGATTGACTATATTACCAAGACCAGAATTCTAACAAATGAAAAGCACTATTGTTAAGCTGCCTCTTTATTTTGGTCTCCCAGAAAACTTTGTTTTTTACCTGTAAGTAGACAAGGGCAGGTTTGTGGGTGGCCATGTGGTATCCAGCAGCCATTGCCACTGCGCTACCTTCATTACTGGTGATCACATGGTCCTCAGACTTTGCAGTTGAAGTAACATAAGCACAGAAGTCCTTCAACAAAGAGTCAGGAACCCCGCAGAAGAAATCTATGCCATGAATCTTCAGGCTTTCATAGAAATCTTTTGGGTCGAGAAAATCTCTAACAAGTTCGGTGAACTGACCCACTTCCTCATTACGTTTTTGTTGTTCTTCAATCTATAATAAGAAAGTTAAAATTTTTGAGATATGCATGACTTAAAACATTGAAACTGCAAGAGTTGGGGTAGCTAGAAAAGGTGAGGTAGCTGGCCCAGTCAAGCCAAAGGCAAGGAGATGCATAGGTACAGAGTGTAACAAAAAGTTGCAACACTTTGAATCACCCAACTGATTTTTTGATTTTGATTTTGTATGATTCAGCATTGATTGTCCTCAAGGAGGTGTAATTGCCATTGAAAGGAATTTCATGTTTTAGATTTGCATCGTGCAATAGTTGCAATTCGAATGACAGCTATAACGTTAGCAGTTAGTCAATGGCAGTTCATTATAATAATGCTACTGAGTAGATTCATGACTTTATGATTTATAGGAAGGAATTTATATCATTTTATTCCCTTATTTCCATTACAATTAAACTATAATAAACAAGTAAGGTCACTTAGGTGCACTTGAAATGATCTACTGGCAAAGAATCCAAGACAGTTTTTAATTAGTTTGAATAAATTTATTGGTTGGTGCATCCATAGAGAAAAAATTGCAAACTGTTAACGATTCCTCGCAGGAATAAATAATCAACAATACATCATAGGTTATTTTACTTTATTGGCAAACATCAACGTTAACGAATTCTTGGAGAATCGCATCGTAGTTAAAAAATGCGAATGAAGGGAGTGGCTTTATATAATCAAAGACCAAGAACGTACAAATCAATATCGAGTTCAACAAAGAAAAAGTATTTTTTTGTTACTTACTTGTTGTGCGGGGTCCACTTCCTGCAAGAACGAAAACGTGATTAATTGGTTTCACTCACAAATGCAATTATTAACATACAGGTGTAAAATGCAATACTTTCCTAACCTGCCTGTGTGCACTTGTTACAGAAAAGTTTCGTGATTTCGGAGTAGCCTAGTTAAAAGTAAAGAGATTGCGAAAATTTGTCCAATTTTAAAATTATTTGAGACTAGAAATGCTTACAAATAAGCGCGAAACCCTTCTTAAAACTATCTGGAAATTCGTATTAATACTGACAAGAGCCATGATGCGTGATAAAGAAAAAGATTATTTGCAATATTTTCTGCCATACAAAAACAACAAAACCAATCTCCTGTGGCTGTGACTTGATGATTTTATTATTATACTAATGGACGTATCACGAGATAACGTGGCATTACAGCAATCAGGAGGGAGCGAAACGAAATAGTAGTTATCGCTCTAAGTCCCCTCCTGATAATAATTTCTAAACTAGACAAACATAACTTTTTGACTTTTTTAAAACCTGCTTGTTGGTTTTCCTCATTTATCTCACAATATTTTCATCCTGGGAGTTTCAAACGTTGCTCAGTGTAGCCTTGTAAAAAGCACTGCGCCTTGCTTGTCGACACCAAAGTAAAGATTTCGTTTCTCTTCGCGAAAGAACCACTACTACTGTTGCCTGTTGGGGAAGATTTTCTCGTCAATACAAATCAATTTTGTTGGTGAATTTCTAAATGCGATTATCATGACTTTGATGACATTATTTGGATGCATTTTGATTGCATTTGGTCCGGCGACTGTCATATTTATTATCGCAATCGCACGCGATCACTTTCACGTTATTATAATGATATCAAGGTCGGTTTTTTGATATTTTCCCTTCATACTCATGTACAAGTGACATTTTGGTCTCTTACAAGTTACAATTACTTTGTACTGTGGTCACCTATATCGTTTTCAACTTGCACCTCCGTCGTTCCATCTCCCTTTGATTTGTTTTCGTAGCGCTTTCGTTTGGTTGCTCTCCTTGCTGTTGTCATCCGTATGGTGGACAGTCATCTCTCCTCTGAAAACGAAACTTGCTTTTGCTGTGACATTTTCTGTCTTATTTCAAGAGGTGTTTCGCTGTGCCTTTTTTTTATTGATCAAGTAAGTGAAAAGTTGCTTTCGTGCCATCTCCATATCGTTGCCCGCCTGCTAAAACTATATAACATTTGTGCCTAAAACCTTTATCATCTGTGACCTACTTTTTCCAATCACTAGACATCAATGTGTGGGATTCTGACCACCCATACTGAAAATTTTGAAGTTCTTCATCATTACTATTATCAACTTTACCTCATCATTTAGAGCAAACTTTCAAATTAAATTTCCATGTTCAGCAAGACCCTTTTCTATTTCAGGAAAGCTGAAGAAAGCGAGCTGGTTTTGCTGGCATCTAATTCGTCAGTGCTGTTTAAACACAAGACTGCTTTTGGTAAGTTAATATTTTTAAACATGGTGTTTTTTTAGTATCCATTTGAATATGGTTTTAGACTTTGGTATCCTTCGGATAATCTAGTAGCCAAAATATGGAAACATAACTAATTGGTTTATTCAAAATCGTGGCCAGAGATTTGCCAGGCGGAAAGCAAATTTTCAATATGAACATAATAGCCCAACATATGACTTTTAAAAAAACCATCACAATAATAAAATAAAGAAAGATAAAAGGTTTTTTATTAATAACGTTTCGTCTTTAACTTAAGACATCTTCAGATTATTTGAGATAAATTATATACATGAGGTTTTAAATAGAAGCATATATTACATTACAGGGTGTTAAATTACATGTGAGGGGAGTAGGATGTTTAGATGACGGAATTAAATGAGAAGGGCAGTATATTAAAGAAGGTGAAGGGGAATTGAGTTGCCTTGGGTTGCCACCTTGGGTGTTAAGGGATGGTTAGGCAACCCAAGGCAACTCAATTCCCCTTCACCTTCTTTAATATACTGCCCTTCTCATTTAATTCTGTCATCTAAACATCCTACTCCCCTCACATGTAATTTAACACCCTGTAATGTAATATATGCTTCTATTTAAAACCTCATGTATATAATTTATCTCAAATAATCTGAAGATGTCTTAAGTTAAAGACGAAATGTTATTAATAAAAAAACCTTTTACCTTTCTTTATTTTATTTTTTGGTGCCTTTTTAAAAGTCTTATGTTGGGCTATTATGTTCACATTGATAATTGGCTTTTCTTACCCCATGGTCTGATACAACATTACCCATGGCTTACTCACATTGGTTTATGAAAAATCCAGAAGTTCCTTGCAAAATCCTAAAAGGAATTTTTGAATGAACTATTTAAACGAAAGGATTAGTGAAATTGTAAAAATGTGGTATCTCATCTGGATGCAAGCGAAGTAAACTTGCTCTCCAAAACAAATTTTTGCTGTCCTGTGCATATTGAGATGCCCTAAGATTTTAGACCCTGTTTTATGGTGTGCAGTATTGTTACTAAAGAATCATGATTATCATATGCCTGGGAACTAGTCATCCTCTTCCACTGATAACTCAATATTATGTTACCATCATTCCGTGATGGGTATTATTTGTGTAAATTAATAGACCAAAAGGAAGCGGATGAAGTTTAGAAAAGATCTAGTTACATACTTGCAGCTCTTGTATGCTAAATTATTGTGAAACTTGTGATTAGCAATCAGCTTGCAAAGTAGCAATTTAATTACTCCTATTACAAAAAGTTATCCAATTTCTCAACAGCATCAGGCTTGGGTTATGGCATCATGAGTGGTCTATTTGCCATGGTGAATGTACTTGCCGACATTACTGGTCCTGGTTCGCCAGGCCTTAATGGAGAATCACCACAGTTCTTGATTATATCAGGTTGGTAATTGTGATGGCAGATGTTTTTAACTGCATTAATAAACTAAAATGTTTTTCTTGACTTTTCAGCACTTTTGACGTGTGCTTTTATATTGTTGAATATATTTTGGGGAGTCATTTGGTTTGAAAGCTGCAGTCAAAAAAAATATGCTTATCTTATAGTTGTCGTTTGTTCTCATCTTTTCGTCTCTTTAATGGTACGTATGTTGTCCATCTATTTATCATTGTGCTACATCAAGTGTGACTTGCAATGCTAAAGTTTATATATGCCAGTTGTGCTGGGAATTGGTTGAGTTTCACAATCGATCATTTGCAATAGCCCTACTGATCAATTGTCTATTATGATGAAAAAATGCACCTACACGTATTTCTCACCTGGTACATAGAACTCAAAGTGATGGCTCAAACGTTTTTAAACTCTTTTTAATGTCATGCTTTAGAACTTAGCAGTCCACTAGAAAAGACGATATTTAATTTATATTATTGATTACACAATTGCCTATGGGTAATTGATTGTTGCGTCTCCTTGAACTTTTTGATCAACCTTTGATTATGATTGCCCACCACTGTATTCCAGTAGTTACATTTGACTAAAAGAGCGTGCTTGAAGTCGGGATATGGCCTGTTCCGAACTAGAGTACTTTGATGAAAACCTTCCCAGTTGGTTCATCAACATAGTGGCTTCCCTGAATGACTAGAGGGATGATGGCTAGTCTTTCAGTTTGAATCGTCTTATGTAAACGAATGAAGTGTTTAGAGCTGTCAGAGCCATCCTGATATGTTTAAATGATGTTGCTATTTTCAAATTTTTTTTAGACATTGCTCAACAAGAAGAAAAATTATCTTGGCTCCATGTTGTCCGTGTATTTAGTTCTTGTTTTTATCTCTGCAATGGCATTTAAAGTGGCGGGTGGAAGCTTACGAAACATTCACTCTGCTTGTTCTAAAAAATTACCATCTCACTTGGATGAAGAAGTTTCTGTTGTCAGTCCAACAACTTAAGATTGCACTCAAGGAATATGGTCGGATACAAACAGGTATTTTTGGTTATGAAGAGATCATGTAAATAAATCGTAAATCCAAACTTGTGTCTGTGTGTTTACGTTTATTCATACTTTAGTACACGTCAAAATTGTGAAGCAAGTTTTTTTTTAGCACGGAGAATTTTCACCAACAACACACAAAATCCTGACCAAATGCGATATCTTTCATAAATTATCTTATAACTTAACATCTACAATTTGATTTTACACCTGTAAATTTAAAGTAGTTTGCTATATGCTCAACCTGGCTCTAATGCATTGATCAATTCGGTATCGTCTGTGTTTAGTTGTGCTACTGAATTTTGGAAGTTATTTTCAGAAGTTGCAGGAGACGAGTCTTCATCGTTATCTGCGATCTCGGTAGGTGATTGAACAGCCGTAAGAACATCCTTAGAAATGTCTTGTGAAGGTGGCATTTCTGTTGTTGCATTTGTGGAATTTGATGTTGCTTTTATTTGGTTAAGAGTTGCTTTAGTCGCTTGGGCAAACTTCTTTGCATCTGCAATTGAACGATTGCAATTACGCTAAACCCGCTTTGATTCGTTGAATATCTGAGTGATTTATATGTACCTTCTAGAACGGACTGCTTTTCTTGCAGAAGCAATGCTTTTTCATCAGCTAGAAAAATTCTATTCATCATGACGACTTCGGCTGACGGTACATCACGCTGACACAAAAAAAGATTTATCATGTGGGATTAATTCAAGAATTGGATTCCATGAAATTATGTTCGGCTAGACAAAGTGCAGTCACCTGCATATCTTTGAGCAACAACTGTCTGTACTTATTCACCATCTTGTCACTCTTGTTCGTAAGCTGCACGGCTAACTTGTCCAATAACATGTTGGCTAGAATGATAAGGGACATCTACAGTCGATGAAAGAGTTGAGCGTGAAGAAATGACACATCGCCCTACCTTTGTTTTGCATCTTGGCATTGGGACTTGGTTCTGAGAAGATGTGGTATGGCGTCAGCCTTGTTACAGCATCCTTGTGGGACTTGAATGCCTTATGCACATCGGTAAAACAAGCATCATTTTGATCTTTTTCAAGAGATAGTTTAATCCTTGAGAAGAAGGTATGTTTCATTAATTTGAGAATTGATCACGATCATATTAACAAAATTTTTGTTGGCGAATGAACAAAGCAACATGTACAACACCTCTTAGCAAGCTTGGTTTCTTTCGTCTCCACAGTTTTAGAAGGACGTTTTGCACTTTTGCTCTCCTAAAAAAAACACAAAATAGAAGTTATAGCCCTGGGCCATATGTTTATGTTATATCAACTCATTACTGACAGGAACAGAGTCAAGTAAATCTAGTTTAATACCCGTTTAGTACTTGACTGACTGGAATAGAGTCAAGTATATCTAGTTTAATACCTGTTTAGTACTTGGAGTCTTCGAAGACAGTGACACAACTTTAGGTATGCTCTTGAAAACAAAGACATGATATGAAGGAGGACTCTTATACTTATCCAATGTGTTACTTAAAATGCAAGATGAACATTTTTAACAATCATTTTGAGTACCTTGCTTATTGACGTTGTCACAGAAGACCGAGCTGTTGTGCTGGTAGAGGCCACAACTGGAGATGCTGTCACCAGTTTCCCTTGAATACTCAAATTTTTGCTGGCAAGTTGGGCTTGAATTTGTCGAAATTGTTCTTGCGTGATAAGTATAGGGCGCCCTTCCTTAGTCTGAAGCAATACCTTGGTCTCTCCTGCAGCCATTGACTGAGTGGACACTCGGTCGTTTTGCAATATCACAACTTTTTGTTGTGTGTTAGGAGCTTTCTGTTCAGGTTTCTGAGATGTTGTGGTTTGGCCCGTGGTAACTTGCACCACCGGACTAGCTGATGCTATGTTGATGGTTTTGGCCGTAGTTTGCCCGAGTTGATTTAATGAGGTGACAATGTTGGATTTCTGTGTATGGGTGAGGGTTGCACTTTTTCTCACTGTTGAAGGTTTTTGAAGATGACCAATGGTGAGCGATGGCCTTTGGTTGGTTGCTTTTGGAGTTTGAATTTCGTTTAGTTTTGTCATTGTAGCTACAGACAATGGTGCTTGAGAAGTGGACAGTTTGGTAACAGTTGTTGGTGCTGTTTTATTATGTATATTCAGCTGTTTCAATTGCTTAGCCACTATGGGATTTTTTTCCAAAAATTGGTTGAGCTGTTTTGAGTTAATTGCTTCCTTTAGTTGATTTGCTAAGTTCGTTGTGTTCATGGATTGCTGCAAAGTGACTGCAACCTCTTGTTTAGTAGATTGTTGGTTGGCTTGAGTATCAATGGATTGTACAACTTTGTTTTGAAAGGCAAAAATGTTCTGTTGCTGTGTCTTTGCAAGTTGCGATTGTTGTTGTTGCTGTTGCAAAGACTGATGCTGAAGTTGCGCTCGAGCTTGTAGAGCTTGTTGCACCAGAGGGTTTTGTTGTAAGAGTATCTTCAGTTGATTTTGTTGGGCAGCTTTTTGCTTTGTGGTTAATATTTCTTGGGCTGATAGTTTGATGTCCTGATTATTTGCCAAAAGACTTTGTACAAATTGCAAATTCCCCTGTTTATTGATTTCAGCGTTACCAATTGATATCTGCTCAGGCTTTGGAGCAATTTGTCTTGGCTGCGACTGGACAAGGTTTGCCAGAACTGTCTTATTGGCAGGTTGGCTTGAAGTTGCTTGTTTCAACTGTGACACACTCAGTGTACTCAAGTCTTGTTTGGATAAGTTCTGTGGTCCCTTAGTTCCAACAGTGAATGTACTTGTGATAGGTTGCTTAGCCATTATTCCAGGAGTGACTTGGTTTCCGATTTTTGATTGAGTCATAACAATTTTTGGCCGGATAGCAACCAATTGTTGCTGCCCCTTGATGGCACTTGCACGTAACCCTTGTGTCATAAGACCACCCTGTATTGTCACTTGTGATCCCGCAGACCCACTCAGACCCTTTGGCCTTAAAATGGGCAAGGGTGAGCCCTTAGGCTTACTAGTTTGGGGTCTAAGATTTGCTGGAGGACTTGATAGAAATGTAGGCAAGGTCGATGGTTGAGTTTGGGAATTGACAATTTGAGCTGATGGTGATCCATGTTTTCCAGATGAAAAAGTTGTTTGCATTGCGTTAACATAACTGGGTGATAATGGTATACTAGAGCCAATTCCAATCATCTCGGTCAAGCCAACTCCTGATATATTAGGATTAGTTGCAACAGGTAAGTTAGCATTTGTTGCGTTTGCAGTGATTCCACTTTGTTGAGTGATTGTGGAAAGGTTGCTACATGTTTTAATGTTGCTATGTGTCAAACCATTCTGTGCGGTTGATAGCTGCTTGCTTAAATTGCTTCCTTCCTCAGCGTAAACTTCTGAAAGCCTTGTTACTTTATTCAAGTCTTCTCCGGATGTAGGTGGCATACCCTTGTTAGAAGGGATTTTAGAATCATCATTTTGCACCGTGCTTTTGGACGATTTCTAAATTGACATACACTCATTTTAATAGACAGTAAATTAATTTTTCGATTTTGCAACATCTTGGATGATAAGATGTTCTACAGATCAACATGCAAATATATTTTACAAAAATATTATCTATTCTTGGGCAGTAGAATTTAATTCAACAATCACATACAAACTTGCTTTCCAATTCATTTACTATATAAAGGAACATTCTATTTTATCAGCCAAGCCAGAACAGAAGAGTATAAGTGTTTTTGCTAAGATTTGGAGGCAGAAAGCTGGAAAATATCAATTCAAGGCCAGACTCAATGGCACAAATGTACCCAAACGCCTTAAATTCTGCTACTTTTTTGTCATCTGTCTAACAACTCATGGGCACTAGACAAATCTTGTGGGCAAAATTGCTCTTCTCTGCAGTCTGGCAGCCAAGTATATCAAGTTTAAAAATACTTACATGGCTGGTTTCATCGATTATTGGTGATATACTTTCGTCAACAAAGGCAATCTAAAATCAACCCAAATACAACAATTTTATGACAAATTAAGCCAGCTTTTCAATGACACTAACATCAGACTGATTAACATTCAAATAACTAACACAAACCATATCATGGGGTTTACCTGACTTGAGCTTCTGAAAAATTCTTTTAGGGCTTGAGGATCACTAAATCAGTTAAAAATCAAAATTATAATCGCATTTCATCGTATTTCTATCACATTAAATCAGTAAAAATTCTGTAATAAATTATATTATAATATATGTTAAATATTCACCTAATCACGTCTAATAAACACTTCCCATCATCCATCGCAACGCGAAGTCCGCTGCATTCTTTCTAGAAAAGATGAATTTCTGAGTGTACAAAACTTTACTGAGCTTCAAAAAACATTTAGGTATACTGTAGTGACAGTGGGCAATCGATTTTCGGGAATGTGACACCACCGCAACCAAATTTTACCGAATTTTATGAGTTATTATATCCGTGTGTTTAACTACCGTAATAACACATGACATCAGATTTATTACAATATAACCATAGAATATAGCGATCAACCTGTTGGGCGAATTAGAGGAATACTCCCTAGCAATTTCACAACAATTTAAGGGAAATCTACCCCCAAAATATGCATTTTCCAACACTTTACGGCCCAAAACATAAGTATATGGTGATAACCTAGTAATGGCCGACACAAAATTCTAAGTTTTTCGTTGATGTCAGGCCTACCCGATAGCATTACCTTGTTCCCCAGACAGCAGAGGCCCTTTTGTTTTCTCTAACTCGGCGAAGATCCCGTTTCGCCAATTTTCTTGGCCGAAATTTCAAAGCCACGCGTTCGGCGCCAGTCGTATTTTTTCGATTCCAGCCAATACGATGTGGGGACTCCGAACCCTGATAATATGACGTCATTTCACTTCCGCAATGGGCCAATGGCATGTTTTTGCTCGGAAAAGTCTGGAACTATGAGTTGTAAATTTTTGATAAGTTCACTTCTAGTTTACATCAACATTTTTTCATAGACTTATATAATTACAATTTATACAACTGTTGGGAAACATTAAGTACTATGTGCACTTGATTTCAAAGCCCGGGAAAGGATAGAGCTCTAACTATTGTAATAGTACAAATAAAAAAGCGATTATTTATTATTTACATAGTTTATTTGCTATGTTTTCTGATGAATGTTCCTGAATGGAGAAGGATCAACAAAACACCAGTGCCTGTATGTTCCATATAGATTCGAGCGTGTTTAGAGCGTGGTTGCCACGCGCGGACTCTTCTTGTTGAAATCATCGAAATTCGGGGACGCCATAATGGTTTCCCAGGGCCAAAGTTATTGTAAGGGGATGCCACCTCAAGAGTCAGGGGCAAAAACATCGTCCTCTCTTCTCCCAGAAACAGGTATATTTTGTTTCCTTGTGAAAATTTTGTTTACTTCTAAACTCGAAATTTCATTTACTTTAAACTACCCATTTCTCGTATTTGTTTTTGATATGGAAATAGTTCCTGCTTTTGAACTCAAAGTTTTCTTTTAACTCGATTTCCTCAATCGAAACCGCAAGCTTTTATTGTCCTACGTGCACAGAAAGTGTAGATAGTGTGGTAACGTTTGACTAAGACAGTCAGTGTGACAGTGGAACAAGTGGATTTATTTAAACGCGTCAATATTTTCTTTCCTTTATGGCTTATTATGCAGTAGAAGTCACAGACTATTCTAAAGTGTGAATTGCATTTTGTCTGTTGTGTAGATAATTGTGACGATAAAATAGGTGAAGGCATTCATGATGACCCTCCCCACAATGAAGACGATATCAATGACATGCCGGCACAAAATGATTCTAACGAGGAATCCTGCCATAATGACAATTGTCAAGCAGAAAATGATGATGACTCAAGCAGTACCATACAAGACCATGTCCTGGCCATTGACATTCCACAGCAATTACAAGTATCGCTGAAGACCCAAAGCCTCACTAATCAAATGCTGCTGTCCGGGGTGCAGACAATCCCTGAGCAGCTGCCTCTCATATTGACCGAAGGGGATGCAGAAGAGCATGAGTCACTGACAATCATTGCTGGAAGTGAACAACTTCAGGTGTTTTTCTTTGAAATCTTCAACATGTATTTATGATTTAAACTTTCATCACACTATATTTTCAAATCAATTTAGACTGTATCAACACAGGCTGTCCTCGAAGCCAACTTGACATTAAGCTCCACAAGTACTGGAATGATGGTGTTAGCATCTGGTACTAGCCTATCACCTTCAGGGCAACTCATACAGCTTGGGCCTGCAAATGTTTTGGTCTTGCAAAGTTTGGATGCCAATGATCAAGAATTTCAATCAAGTCCAATTATTGTGCAAGCAGATGAGCAATCAAAAATCTCAGTAACAGATGGAAAGACGGTATTAATGATGTTATCTTTTCGAAACTTTTGTTTGATTGAACTATTCCCAGCATTAAGAGTGCTGTGCAGTCTTCAGATAATTTTTATATATTGTATGCGAAAGCAGCATTTTCAACCCATCATTCCTATAAGGCTGTTCTCCTGAAAAATCCCTATGTATTGTAGTTGATTTTGATAATGTGTTCAATGTTTTCTTATATTAGACAGTTATTAGTTGTGCTTTGTATGCAATTTAAGGTGTTTCTCATCCTTAAATTTGTCAAAAATGCTCTTGAAAGCCCTTGATAAGTGCTTGATTTCATTACTTTTACACAGTATAAACCTATATTAAACCATCATATACAAAGAATAGCGTAGCCAGTTCATTTTCACTCATACAATGCAAATATTTTTGTGCTAAATCGCTGGAAAAACAACAGTTTGAATTAACTATCTTAAAAAATTAATGATTATTTGTGCGAAAAATTTGTGTTGTAGGAGCACAAAGCTTTCCCACTGGTCATATACCATCATTTATTATCGTCATTGTCACCATGTACCAACTCACATGCAATAATAAACCATCATATCCCATCATATCCCATCATTATTGGTGGAGGGTGTAAGCCTCTGTACCTATTCATTGCAGTGATCCTTTATCCTAGGATTTGAGTGAAGGCAAGTCTACCAACAAGGAATATAAGTGTCCCGAGCCTGGATGCTCTAAAGTTGCTCCAACTGCATCAAAACTGAAGCTACACATGCTTTCGCATACTGGTGACAGACCTCACAAGGTATTTTGCATTATTTACTTGTTAACTTTGAGAATTGGAGAAGTTAAATTTCGTCCTTGCAGCTGCAAGTCTACCATGTCAGTCTACCAGTCAGTCTACCATGTCAGTCTACCATGTCAGTCTACCATGTTCTCGTGGAAATAACCAATCTCTTTTTATTTAGTGTACTTATGTCGGTTGTGACTGGGCATTCACCACCGCGTACAAACTAAAGCGGCATTTACGTGGCCATACTGGTGAAAAGCCGTTTATTGTAAGTGAAAAATGAATAACTAAGATTCTGGTTTCTAGACTGTTTTAAAGAAAATAAGAAATGATTATAGTGATGAATATCAGAATGTGTAAAATTATCCAAGGAAAGCGGTTTCTGTGAAAGTTTTTCGTGTTATATTTCACTGAGCTCGTAGTTTCTCATGGATTATTCATTTTAATTTTAAATTGTTGCAATTAGTATTTGTTTTGAAAATGATTATTTCCATAAAAAGTAAATATAGATGTTTTCGTAGTTGGGAACTGATTTAGGGAGCTCCCTGCCTTGTGATTGGCTATCTTTTTTCTTGTGTCACGAAAATTGTGTATTTCTTTTTACAAGTGTTGATTTTGCAGTGAGTTTTTTGTCTCTCAGCTTTATTAAAGCGATTCCTAAGGGTAAAGTTTGTTATTTTTCTGATTGAAGATATTTTTTATCAAGTATTTCATATTTTGTACAGTGTGAAATAAACAACTGTGGGAAGACGTTCACGACAACCTACAACCTTAGGACCCACCAGAAGGCTCACATCCGGGAGCAGTCCAACATATGTTCGTTCCCAGGCTGTGGCTTGAGTTTCACCACCACGCACAGGCTCGAAGCGCACGAGAAAAAACATGTCGTATCTCAGGAGATCCATACGTGTGTCGTCGACGGCTGTGGGAAAGTGTTCAAGTCTTTATCTTATTATAATGCGCATCTCAAAACGCATAGCGGAGAGCGTCCACACGCTTGCACTTTTGAGGGCTGCGGTAAGAGTTTCACTAAAGCATCAAAATTGAAACTTCATATAAGGACGCACACTGGCGAAAGGCCCTTTGTCTGCGAGGAAGAGGTAAGTCTATGAGATGCGGTGTGGGTGTCAAGAGGTTAGCTGTGAGAGAGGGAGGGCATAATCTCACTTTTTCCATAGACAAGCAATTAGGTAAAATTCTGCATCTGGCTATTTTGGCTGCTTAGTTTTGTGTTGGCTACTTGTTGCCTTTTTAGCGTAGGTATCTTTGCCCAAAGATGGGAACAATCTTTAAATTATATAAAATATAAGAACCACGAAATCGTGTGTCTGTGTAGATGATTATGGACACAGCTCAGAACGAGAACAGTCTTTTCACAGCATGAGTTATAAACAAGAATAATGTGTGTCAGTGTAGGTAATGACAAAAAAACATCAGTGATTGCCCGGAATTATTAAAAAAATTATATTCAAACAATGACAACGCTTTTAGCGAGTCTAGAGAATGATATTTTGTTAACTACAAACCACATTCTTCCAGGGTTGCAATTGGTCATTTACCAGTGCTTATAAACTGAAGCGTCACATGATGAAACATAGCGGCGAGCGACCGTTTACTTGTCCATATAGCGGTTGTGGCAAGTCATTCACTCGTGCCAGTCACATGAGGACGCACGAGCTGTCTCACACTGGGGAAAAGCCTTTCTCGTGTACTTTTGAAGGTGAGTAACGGTCGGTGAACTGGTTTGAACCCGGGAGTATCGTTACATGTTTGAAGATGTAACGTTACATGTTTGTACATGTTTGTAGATGACCATCTAACGCTAACTGCAGTCCGCCATCTTTGAAGCCGAAAATGAAGCTGACTTTTTAGAACTTTCATCCTATTATTTTGAAAAATTATCAACGATATACATAATATATGAGGCACAAATTGCCTTGATGAATTTCACCACTCGGTAATAGACCGAAAAACTCGGATATAAATGTACCGTAGCCGACTTCAAAATGGCTTATAGAACAAGTGTTGAAGTTGTGGTCCCAGTTCATATTTGCAGTTCACTTGTTATGTTTTAGTGTGTAGAAATTCATGTTTTGATCATTGCGCAATTTGCGTTATGATTTATGTAAATCATAATTAATGACATCATATTTTTTGCAGGGGTGGTGTTAAAAATTTTAGGGGGGTGAACTGGTGAGGAAGTGACGTAAAACAATGTAAGCGTATAGAATTTAGGACGGTCTAGTAGCGCAGTCATCGAAGATTGTGAAGAAAGTTGAAATTTTAACCTGAAAAACTCAGTTCAACTGTACTACTGATTTGTTTTGCTAATAATTGGATGAGTTAAAATGTGTTTTTTTACAGGAGTGAACAATTTATTTGAGGGGGGCGAAATCTGATGTTTTGGGTGACACCCCCCTCCTCCGCACTCTCCTCAGTAAATCCGTCCCTGATTAATGTACAGCTAATCATGATTTACGTAAAACATAGGTAATGTACAGCTACACGGACATTATAATTTACAAATCTTCTGTACAGGTTGTGGGAAAAGTTTCACGACTGCCAGTACCTTGGCTGTTCATATGCGAAAACATGCGAGCGACAAACCGTTTGGATGCAGTGTGGAAGGCTGTGACAGGTCCTATACTACCGCTGCCAATTTGAGACTGCATCAAAAACGACACGAGGAGAAGACCGCGACCAAGGACAATGATATGACTCGCGTTCAAACGAGTGGTGAGTTGTTTTGTAGTGTGATGATTCTTACCATCTAGCTTATTTTAGGGTACGGATGAATTGTCGATTTTATGCGTGAAGACCTTGGGATTGTGTGTTCATATTTGTTAACGGCATTTCATTTAGACCACGCAAGTTCAATTCATTTTGTCGAAATCGGTGGAGTTAACTCCGTTGTAGCTACCAGTCCGAGCTCGGTTGCTAGCACTCCCTACTCGGTTATGCACTCTTTCTCAGGAGAGGATTTCGGCTCCGAAGATGTTCCATCGTTAACCGTCGTGCATTATTCGAGTGAGGAAACTTTCCCGCCATCCACATCCGTTTCAGACTCATCGCATGGCATTTGCTTTCCTTTTGCAAGCCGCGATACATTTGCCACCTCGTCGCATGGCAACGTCTCATTAACTACTGGCACGCCACTTGCATCACCGGGTGCTCATTACGTGCAGGCAAGCATCGACGTCAGTGTTTCTGATGAACTGGGAGCGAGCTCGAGGAGTTCTGAACAACTGACCGCAGAGCAATACGACGATGGTAATTTTATTGTTCGGAAAACAAACTCCGGTAGCGAAGGGTATTCTGTTGAACAAAGACATGCTCAACCATCGAATTCCAACAATCAACATTACATGGTCGAAGAAGATCATGACAGTCCTAGTTACATCGTACCGGGACAAAACTCCCTCAACGAGGGTTACATTGTCCGAGAATCATCCCCAAACTCAGCGGAGTATGTTGTTGAAGTGGAGGAATCCCGTACCGCAACCTTTGTGAAACAGGCTTCTTCAACTCACGAGTACGTTACCCGGGAACAAAGCTCTCACGGGAAAAAATCCTCGGAAGAGTTTGCCTTGCCAACAATGGTTGTGTTCACGTCGTCGGAAAACGGAACTAGCACGGTAGACACCGAAGAGGAAGATCGCACAGTTGATATTGCACGTGATGTTTCTGACACAACCGACAACAACGTGGGCGCGTTGAGCTTAAGACAACGCAGTGAGTCGACGTCGATAGCACAATTTGCTCCGCCATCTGTGATATTTCAAGTAAGCAACTACGTGTTCTTTTAATATTTAGTATGGAAGTCGTTTTCAATATCAGCCTTAACCTTTGTTACTCCTGTCATTGATTCTACGATTCAATTACATAAATTCAAAAGTGGTACATGCTTGCCGAAATGCATGTTGTAAATAATATTCGCGGAACATTTTGTTGTAGACTGAAGACATAGAGAGGAGAGATAATGTTGCAAAAGAATCTCATGACTGTCAAGCCAATATCGATGTTGGTATGAAGGAACCTCAAAACTCCTCACTTTCAATCGAGCGCTCGAACGCTACCTTGCACGACCCTCCAAATCTTGGCATCACTCTTGCTTTGTCCGATGAAATGGACAAATCTCCCGTGTCCCCATTTATTCCGCATCATTCTCTAGACCACGAAAGTACAATAAATATTCAAGACTTGAGGTAGTTTCGAGAAGATCGTGATGCTTTGCGAAATTTCTTCGAATGCTCGTTTTGTAACAGATGATGATGTGTCTTGTAAATTTTACATCCGTATGTTCAGCGAATTGTGCACGCTGCTCATTATCGGTCTATAGCTTAATGGGTGATTTACTAATAAATATGATAATGCTCCCGTCAATAGTTCATTTTTTGGAAGTCGCCCTCATTCCCCCTCTGTACTCATCCCCTTTTAATGGAAAGTAGCATTTCTTTGCACATTCATCCAAGGCAAGAGCTACTTACAATTTAGTTTGTGTAAAGTTGTTTTATGTCGATACTGCCGAGATTTTTTAGCTTCTATAAACACTTGCCATCGGCATAAAATTTTAGAAACACAAAATTATACAAATTCCTAATAGAGATTTCTCTCGTTTTTTGGATGCAAATGCATGTTCTACTTTACTAGTTTCTATTGAAATCGATTATTAGTACGGATTATACAATATGAGTATGTGAATATGACACTCCCTCCCCCCAAAGTATCAATCTTCTACCCTCCTTGTCCTGACAAAACAAGTCCATATTTCCCCCAATCGTAATCTACGATTATCCACGGATGGGATATGGGATTGGTGTCTGAAATGTCCAACAAACGATTAAATACGACGAGTGACGACATAAACACTGTACTGCGCATGGTCTCGCGTGGAGTCATCCCCGCATTAAGCGCGTGCGGAAATTAAATATGCCATAATAATAAAGAACTTGACGCCGCCATGTTTTTGCTAAAATAAAAGTAAAATATCGATGTCCAAATTAAGCCGAAACACCGAGTAAATTAAGAGAAAACAGGTAAGGGTTTTTTTTTGGTTGTGTTTACTAGATTATTTTCGAAAATCTACAAAAATATGCGGTGTTTGCTATTTTAAAATATCAAACTGTAGTTATAATTTTACCGTAGTAATTCGCAATGTAAACAATCGTTCAAAGTGCGTTAAATGGTGTTTTGTTTTTTCGAACCATTTTATGCGAAGGGTGCTTTTGCCATAGCGTGATTACCTTCAATCAAATGCCTTTAGAGAAACGACCGAAATGTCAATATTTCATGAGCAATGCTCCTCCAATTATTATTGAGCTTCGCGATAACATACAACATGCTTCTTACATAAAAACGGAAGACCTTACAGTCCGACCAGGAAAACAGTCTCTTAGCGCTTCATCGTCGGATTATAGGTGAAAATAAAATCACTCTCAAGTGTGTTGAAAGTTTGTGAGAAAAAAGCGAGTGGATTTTGTGGTAGTTCGTATAAAAATGTCGAACGTAAGTATCCCGAAAGGACGTTTGCTGGTATCATGAAATCTTGCAAGCGTGTCCTTTCCAAAGATTTAACAACGCCTAGTGTGCAGTTGATGAGCCACTCTCGAAGCTAAGCTTTGCTGTGTTTTAGCACATTTTATGTACATACACATCATCGTTTTAGTGCTCACGGTTTTTGAAACTATATCTTGCACTATTCTCGGCAAGAATCGGTTTCAACTGCCCGCCAATAATTCGCCATTATGTTTTTTTTTTCATAAATATGTATTGTAATCATTACACTCGCTGCGATATTTATTTTTGAAAAGGCTTCTCATGTGGTTTTCTGATAGGCGTGTAGACTTGCATCAGCTCTGCTATTTTCGATGTGTCGGTAAATCTCACTAGCATTAAAACTTTGTGCAGTTTTGGCATCGCATTTTCTCATGTAATTTCCTCGACTGCTTTCACACACTTTTTATTTCAAAATGACCGCTCTTCTCTGAGTATTTTGCTTGCGATATTAATTTGACATGCAGTTGAATTGTATATATAGTCATTTCCGGATATATTTCAGTCGTGTATCCAAAAATATTTGTTTTTTTATTTTTGTGCGTGATTTGTCAAAATATGTGCCACATCTTTCGAGTTTCGCGTTTTACCGAAGTCCTGGCTTTGGGTATATAAGCCCTGACAATTTCAAAATTTTTACATTTCGGATGTTGGTGTTGTTTTACACTGATCAGCATAAAAAATTCATCAAGTGATTTTTGATCTCTCTTGAAGCTTGATTTATTACTGACGAGGTGTGATGGTCCCTTCCCTTCGCTTTGTTTTCTTTAATAACGTAGCGTTGTGATCTGAGATATTTATGGAATTTTATTTAGTTCAAAGTGATGAGTGATGATTTTGAAAATAGCCATCTTGTGTTGTGTTTGTGAGGTACGTTTAATGATTAAATTTCTCCCACATCATTTTTTCCTTTTCAACATGACCTGATTGTGAAAATTTTCCAGGCTGGAACTTTATTCCCCGAAAAGCAACATCTTTAGATGAAATGGGGGACACTGTGAGTACATCAAATAATCCTTACTGTATTGTAACCAGCTGTGTTTTGCGATGTTTGTCAAGTGGCTTTCTCAGAATTTGAGAAAGTTGTTTCTTTGTTTTAGAATGAGGGTAGCCCAGCTGCAGGGTCAGATGTGAGCGATGAGCCAAGTCTGATACAGTATAGGTCAAAACGTCGTTGTGTTGTTGAACGAGAAAAAGAAGAAGAAGGAGTGGTGGGAAGAAGAGGATGTTTTATCAGATGAAGACGATCAAGGTGATTTTGGTAAGTATTGAGAGTTTATTGAATTAAATGAATTCAATTCCGGGAACCTTATACATTATTTCTATATGTTAAATTCCATTTTGTAGCTTTGATGATTGTATTTCTCCATGTGCTCTGTAGCTATCTTTTTAAATTATTTCTAAATTATAGACTCTGATGGCTCCGATGGTCCAAGGAGACCAAAACAGCGCAAGAAAATGATGATTCCCACAGCTCTTCGTCCACCACCCAATCGCATATTTATGTTCTCTACTGAGCTGGCAAATCGTGCAGCAGAAGCTGTGGCTCAGGGTCGTGTTCCATCTATAGTTGCTTACCACATGGCTCAACCAAAAAACCAGCCTTACTTGAGATTGCAACCACGAAGCAATTCAGATTTCATGATGAATCCATCAGGCAGTGTTGACTATCGGTTTCGCAACCTTCCAAAACATATGGATACAATGTTCGGAGGGGGCTGTCTCCCAGGTATGTCCGCAATGGGAATGCCCCCTAGATTCAATGCTGTCCCCCAGTTTGGGCAGTATTTAAAACAACAACAACAAATAGAATCAAGAAATACATTGGCGGTAGATGAACTGCAACAAATGATGTTTGGCACAAGCAATGGTACACCTAAAGGTGTGTTCCCCCCTGCTGGAATGCATCATATGATGGATGATCAGGGTGGTGCACGACCACGAATTGCTGGCGGATATCCTGGCCCACTACCATCAACCTTTGGTCAGCAGCAGATGTTCATGAACAGTCATAACTACAGATTGCAGCCAAATTTCCCAGTGGATCAAATTCAACCTCAAGGGGGCGCATCAGTGATTACATCACAAGCTATTTCAGGATCAGGTATGCTACCAAGCATGGATTCACCAGGACATCAAAGGGAATTAGCACAAGATGAATCTTTAAAATATGAGCAAAAGTCGGAAAGCGATGAAAACCCGTCGATAGCAACTGATCGTAAACAAATCATTTCTCCAAATCAACCACCAATTCTTCAGCAACAGCATCAATTATCACCCACACCACAACCACCCACACAGGCAAATGCACCCCATTTACCTGTATTATCCCCAAGCTCAAGTCTCTCATCTTCGTCTCCTCTTGGTTCAACAATCCGTAGTCCACCACCTTACTCTGCCAATCATCCCACTGATCTCAACACTCTTCCCGGTGCCAGCTCCATTGGCGCTCCCTCACCAACAAATACAAATTCACCGCAGACACCTCATGGTCCATTGACCCCTCGTCTTTCAAACACTATTGGATCACCAAAAGATGGAGAGCGCTCTCCATTTTCTCCTGGTTCTCTACCAACGACTTCTGGCTATTCTAATCAACAAGTCATGCATCAGAACATTCGAGATGCAAGCATGAAAATGACCAGGCATTCTCCAATTTCAGAAAAACCAGATGACATTTTAACAAATAAAAACATTCCACCCGGTTTTGTGCCAAGTGACATGAGACTACCAACATATGCAGGACAAAGGCCTAATTCATTGCACCTCATGAAGAATATGTCTCCTCTTGCTGCACTTCCTCCAAATAAGAGCACTTTCCTTGGAAGAAGTGGTGTAGTGGGTAGATCTCTGATGGGGATGCCTCCTGATCAAGTAAATTATCCTTCAAAGTTTTCCGTGGAAAGCCTAACTGCACCTGCAAAAGAAGAACTTTTCTATCATCAACGATTTCCTATGCAGCCTGGCAATGCTTATGCAGCTGCAGCTGCTTACTCTCAGCAACCAGGACTTTATTACACCGGTAACAAATTTCTACCAGGGATGTTGGGGCAGGGACAGTATCAGTTCCCATCACACCTTCAGCCATCGCCTCAACAGTTTTTCCCATCAAACATGCCCCCACAGATGTACCCCCCACACGGTCCATTTTCAATCCATCATACTGGTAATCGTGATGCAGGAATGTAATCAATGAATAAAGATGACTACTTACGGTAATCTATGTGATCCTTGGCCCTACAAAAACTTGTTGGTATATGGACTGTACCTTTAGAAAAGTATACATATAAACGGTCAAAGTGTCATGAACCTGTCGCCACACACGCGGAGAATGTATGGTGGTAAAGAGATCAAATTATGTTTTATCATAGATATCTCCTGTGAATATATTTTAGAATCTGGAGATTTTTAAGGAAAAAAAGCTTAGTGATTTGATTGAAGATATAGAGCTGCGAGATTGGGATTGTTCGGCAGTATTATCTTTTGGAATTTGGGATGGGATAGCAGCGTTTAATATTCGGTTACTGTTTAGGTTTTTATATTTTATAGGCAAAAGAGAGAGAATGTTCTTGTCTTTGTAAATCGCTCTATTGATCCTTTGGACTGTCAAGGAAAAGAATTAATAGCTATCCATAAAAATTCGTGAAACGGGCGAAGTTTTAGTTGAAATAAAGTAAAATTTCAGTTTTTTTGACGTCGGTGTGTTGCAGATTTTGAATAGTATTTTGTTGTCAAAATTTTGTTGTCAAATTTGCATGGGAATGATAGGTTTCGTTGACAAACTCCTCTGTCCATTTATTGTGTATTTCCTGTTGTCCATTTCCTCCACGCACGCAATGCGACTTCCGGTCGTAGGAATTAATCGTTCTCGAATAACGGTGAATATTTACTCCTCCCATTGAAAAAACTTGGAATACGACCGTTTCTGTTGTCAACTGTGTGGAAAAGAACAAGCAGTATGCCTGTATTTCATACAAAAACCATCGAGTCTATATTGGAACCTGTTGCCCAACAGGTACGACAAAAAGTTTTTCTCGATTTTGTGAAATTTGTCAAAGTTAAATAACTGTTGAAATTGTGTCGCGTTTTACTTGGAGATTAGAGCAAAAGTCTGTTACTGTTATCTGTAGAAAATTATCTAAATACAGTTCGTTTCTCTAGTTCTGTATGTTTTCGAACAGTATTGTGTCAATTGCGGTTAATTGGAAACATGAAGTTCGCAGTCTTCGTCCTAGTTAGCAACTTCAAGCAAATCATCTCTAACCTGTGTTATGTTGTAGTGAACTGTCCGAGCTTACTATTTGCTGTCAAATGCGCTGTAAAAGCGTATGTATGTGCTCAAAAATAAGTAACACATTCTAGGCATGTTTCATCGTCCATTCACTCCGCTCTTTATAAACATGTACACCACTTTACGTATTGGCAACTCGTGTGCCGTTGTTTGTTCAGTTAAATGTTTTATGGACGGAATATGCTAAAACCACAAAAATATTTGCTGATAATTATGTCTGCAATTTATGCAATAGTTTATGCCGCTCATTGTTTAGTAAAATGTGCATTTGCTTGCGGCAGGGCAACCATTCCATTGTTAAGTAGTTTTTCAAAGCTGTCATTTAAGAAGACCATCAAAATTGAGTAATAATATCCTTCTCGTACTGTGAGTGAATTGCTTCATTAGGGCCATTGAAAATATATGCTAATGTGACATTTGTGTTGCGTGTTTTTTTTTGTAAAATGGAAGCCTTACCGAGTCTTTGCCTTAACAATTTCTGTGGATTTTATGCTCTTTCGTTGTAGGTCTCTCAACTTGTCATCCTTCATGAAGAGACAGAAGGTGGACTGGCCATGCCAGATCTCTCTGCTCCAGTGCAAGCTGTCAGTGCTGCAGTACAAAATCTTGTGCTAGTGAGTGAAAATTTCTTTGTTGTTGTCCTCATGTTTTATCCTCTACTTCAATGCCTTGCTAATCAATTAATTGTTTCATTGAAAAACTTGAACAAAAGGTTGGAAAACAAACTATGGAAGACAGTAAAGATGCAATATTGAAACAGGAAATGCCACTATCTTTCACCCGTGTTGAGGAATCATCGATACTGTTGGTTGGGGCCACGCAAATATTTAAGAATGATCCCACATCTGTAGAAGGACGAAAGAAATTGCTCGATGGAGCACGGGGTAAGGAGCTTTATCTTTTGATGAATACATTTATTTATCTTCTATACATGCTTGATGACAAATAATCAATGACTAATACATGCACCACAGGGGAGGGGGTGATGTGGTATGGCCCCCACTTTTCCATTGATATGCAATTTATTGGGTAAAATTTAATGTGTTCTTGAGCTTCCCCAAACACTTTTGAACAGGCTTCATGCATAGAGTTTGATATTTTGAAGGCAGCTAAAATTTGAGAGCAAGAAAGGCAGAAGCTGAAGGACAACGTGTGTCCGGCAAAGCAATTTTGTTTGAAAAGTGTTGCACCAGGCAACATGATGGTAGAAAATGAGTGTGTAACAGGGAAGATAATGGTAGTGAACATTGAACTTGAGATTATAAACCTAAGTAGAATTTTGGTTTTGTTAAAGTGGCGTGGCACCTGATGAGAAATTTGCCAAAATGCATCTAGTAATTTCATCTAGGTTTTCGTCTCCTCTTTGAAAAATTACTTGATCATTCTTCACCATGACATGTATGCTGTTCACAGAAATACTTCAGAGAAATACTTGAATTATTTTAAAGTCTCCCCATGCGTGGTCTATTTCAGAGAATTGCCATCAAGGGCGAGGAATGTTTCGTTGATACCATAGTCTCTTTTGTAGGGATCCTTTCCGGTACATCTGCAATGCTCTTAACTTTTGACGAGGGCGAAGTTCGCAAGATTGTGGCTGTCTGTCGCGGTGTCATCAAATATCTCAGTCAGGTCGCCGAGCTCGTTGATAGAATGGAAGACTTGATAACGTTTGTCAAGAACCTCAGTCCTGGCGTAACGAACATGGCCAAACAAGTGGAAGCACGTGCCAAGGAACTCACGCATGTTGCACACGCCGAGATTTTGGAACAACGTGTTGCGAGCGTGAAGAAAATAATCCCCTCGCTAATTTCTTCAATTAAAGCGTTCGTGACAACAGGAGCAGGTAAGGCACTCTTGTCCATTGAACTAAATATGTATCTGGATGGCTACCTTAAGATTAACCATGCCTGTACTTGCACGAGCCAAATGTTATTAAAGCAGGCATTTTAGCATTGCTTGCTTCAACTAAGGCCGGAGGGAGCATTCTAGTCGTGCTCAGTTAAATGGTACAGTCGTTTTTCTTTTAGCGTTTCTTCAAGGTAATCATCCTTTTCTATTAGAAGCTTTGGCCTTAAGTTTTTCACAGTAAATGAAAAAATTTAGTATTGTCAATTTAGATCAAGTTGTAACTTTTTTCAAAATTTAGCAATCACCACATCAAGGATTGATCCACTATGCCTTTATTGGGAAAGGGGGGAGTTCTCTGGTTAGGGTTAGGGTTAGGATTAGATTTTGGTGGCCACTTAAATTCTGTTACCTTTGTATTATGATTCGGATATTTTTTGAGTTGTACTCCATTCAACACAAATTGTTGGTATATTGGTATTTTGAAGGGAAATTGGCACCCGTTCCCTAAATCCATCTCTGCATAACGTTCTTATGAATGTTGATTGAGAAGTTTCTGACGATAACAAGAAATTATAGGCTTGCTTGCCAATGACCGCTAATTAAAATATTAAGTGATTCGACGAATGGCAAAAATATTTTCTATTGTTATTTTCTAAGGGGGCTCAAAAGGAGTCGAACAACAACGACTCTTGTTTGTCGTGTTTTGCCGTCAAAAGAATAATCTCTTGAACTTATCCCTGTTTTGAACGTCACCTTCCCGTTTTTGGGGATGATATCGTTCTTTCTTGTTTTCACTCTAAATGGAAGTAAAGATTTTTAGTTTCGTTAAAGGGGGTGTGGTTGGTGGATCTCTGAAGCCTGGTCCTTACTTACGACATAAGCATAAGCACAATGTTCTCAGGACTGTGTGATCTTATTATGCTTAGGATTATGAATATTGCAGGTTTTTGCAAGTGCGAACCAGGCTTTGGTTTTAGTTTTCAACAGTTCTTTTTAGAACTACTTAGTTATCATTTACCTTGGCGCGAACATACGCATTTGAAACAGTATTTAAATATATTACCACAAATAAGTGTGTGTTTGTCGTTGCCTATCGAAGGTTCTCCTGGACGTTCCGAAGCCATGGCCAATCGAAATTACATCGTCGAAAAGATGTTTGCCGACATTGAAGAAATCATCCGGGTCCTCCAGTTAACGACTTACGACGAAGATGAAGGAGATGATCCGATCAACGACATGAAGAAAGCGGCTTCGATTATCAACAACAAAATGGAGCTTGCTAATTCGTGGCTCAATGATCCCAATGCCGATGCCGGAGGACTTGGTAAACGCCGTCTGCTTATTTCTTTCATTGATCGATACACGGACTGTGGTTTTAAGCCTGTTTTCCACTAGCCACCTATTGTAACGTATCGTAGCAAAACGTAACAGGGCGCATGCGTGCTTATGAATTTAATGGTCAATAGGCGCAAGCACGCATGCGTCATGTTACGTTTTGCTACGATACGTTACGATACGTGGCAAGTGGAAACAGGCTTTACTTCCACGCAAAAGTTTCACTGAATACGTTTCGTATGACTTTCTATCTATTTCATATCAATAACCACACTCTTCGAAAGGCATGACCATTTTCAAATGCTTTACTCTATTTCAGGTGAGTCGGCTGTCCGAAACATCATCAACCAAGGGCGCCAAGCTGCCGCATCTGCCATGGACCCGGAGAAATCTCGTATTGAGAAAGTTTGTAATGAGCTTGATAGACTCCTCGACGAAATTGCCGCAATGCGAAGAGCAGGAAAGGTTTCTTGTATTTCTTTCATCGTAATTGTAACTCGTGCCTCTGTAAAGATATCGTTGAACCACAATCTAGTTTCAACTGACTCCGGCCATATTCTTCTCACTTCATGTAATCATGATTCAAATTTTCGCGATTTTATTCATCTAGGGCACAAGTCCGGAAGCACAAAGCCTAGCGAGGCAAATTCAAGACAAGCTCGGTGTGCTACAAAATGATATCGAGGACGCTATTCAACATCAGGCCATCACGGGTGGGAAAAAACCCAACATCACGTTTGCTGGCAAAAGAGATCAGGTTCAGGATTGGTTGCACAATCCATCTGGTGATCCATCCGGATTAGGTTGGTGATATTTCAATATTTTTTCCTTGTGTGGAGTGTTCTTCGAAAAGCTTCATTTTCATGGTTTATCGATATTATCTGTATTATGTAATGACACTGTCCCAACACCACACTTCTTCGTTGGTTTTCTTGTCCGGGAAGCTTTCTGATTTTTATTCATTGTTTATTTGTTACTACCCTAGTTTATATTTATACTGTTTATTTGTTACTACCTACATTGACACAGATTATGTTGGTTTATATCATGTTCGTATTATGAGTTGTGTGTAAAGATTATTCTTGTTCTCTGTTGTTCATTCATCACCTTCTACACTGACATACGTTATCTTAGTTTATATTTTACGTAGTGTAAAGACTGTTCTCATTCTCTGTTGTCCATTAATCACCACCTACACTGACATACGTTATCTTAGTTTATATTTTACATAGTGTAAAGACTGTTCTCATTCTCTGTTGTCTATTAATCACCACCTACACTGACATACGTTATCTTAGTTTATATTTTACATAGTGTAAAGACTGTTCTCATTCTCTTTGTCTATTAATCACCACCTACACTGACATACGTTATCTTAGTTTATATTTTACATAGTGTAAAGACTGTTCTCATTCTCTATTGTCTATTAATCACCACCTACACTGACATACGTTATCTTAGTTTATATTTTACATAGTGTAAAGACTGTTCTCATTCTCTATTGTTCATTCATCACTACCTACACTGATACACGTTATCTTAGTTTACCGCTGTACGTAGCGTGAAGTTTGATTTCGTTCTCAGTTGCCACGCTATAACACAGGCTCTTTATACAATTGCAGCACAACAAGCAATTGCACAATGCGTGCAAGACGCAAGAAATTTCGCAAAGGGTCTGAGAGGTCCTGAGAGAGAAGAGATTTTGAATCTTGCTGATGATGTTGAACGTTTGTCGAAAAGACTTGCTGATCTTAAACGAGAAGGAAAGGTACGACCACGAACTTCTTTGGGGGGATTTTAAAGACGGTGGGGTGGCGTTGAGGGACAGGGATGGATCCACGATGGTTAAACAGGGTTGCTCTAGTTTGGATTATTGGATTAGACTTTGATGGCAAATTGGTGTCTTAAAACGTTAGACTTTATGTTATTATTTAACTTCTGTTGCTATTTTATTGTGGTTATGGGATTTTTCAAGTGTGCTCCATTAAAAATTAATCACAATTGCCTTTGGTTAATTGTATGCTGTATTACGATTTTTTTCGGTACATTTACACTTTCCAACACCCCCCTTTAGCTGTCCCTAAATTTATCACTGCCTGAGCGAGGATATAATCCAAGACTTAGCTGTATGGCGCTGCTGAAGAATGATAACTAAAGAAGCATTAAACCTTGTTTTTTGTTTACATGCAAGCGTTTTCGGGTTGTAGGGTAACTCTCCCGAAGCAAACGAAGTAGCTCGTCAACTGGAAGGCAAATTGAACGATTTGGAACAGGCTTTGCTACGCGCTGTTGCTAAACGCGTCGGTGATGATTTTGTGGATGTTGAAGGGCCGCTTAAACATCTCGAACGTGCTGCGAAAGCTCCTCTCGGTAAATTTACTTGGAAAATTTCGACTACTGAGTTCACGGGATTCATCTGCAGTCATTTTTCTCCGTTATTTTTCAGGTGCTCCAAATCGCGACGCGGAGTTTTCCGAAAAAGCCGCAAATTTCGTGGAACACGGGAAGAAACTCGCTGACACGGCCAGTCTCGTTGCAAACTTCGGCTCATCATCCGCCGACAAACAATTGCTGGATCAAATCAATGACGCAGGGCAAGAGGTATTGTTTAGATTGGATTATTTTTCCAACATCAAGTTATTAGGTGAGAGTGAAGTCTTCACTGTGAGCGTCAAACTCATTTCCGCTGGAGAACAAGAATTGGAAATATTGGTTATTTGTTTTATGACTCTGAAGATGACTTCCGCTAAGGTTGTCGAAACGTCAGTCAACAACAACAAAAACAGTCCTTCTTAGGACTATACCAACCTGGACGATCTACATTTACAAACATGTAACGATACTCCCGGGTTCAAACCATTTACTTTGATACAATTTTGATAGCAACAGTAATTTTTGTTATTTAACCGATCAGGTTCGCCAGCTTACCCCTCAGGTCGCTCATGCCGCCCGTGTACTCTTGAATAACCCCAACAATCCTAACGCACAAGAGCATTTTGATGAAATGAAGAAGCAATGGAGTGATCGAGCCCATTTACTCACAGAACTTGTGGATCAGGGAACTGATCGAGTTCAATTCTTGGAGGCTTCAGGTATCGCACAGTTTTACCCTTTATTGCCAGTGAAAAGTCATTTGATCATTTCAAAAAGATAAAATGTTTTTTGAATCGATCAAAATGAGCTGACAACCGTTTTTAATCACAGAGGCTGCTATTAAAAAAGATATTGATGACCTCAAGGCTGCTGTCGAGGACCATAATCCACAGGTAAAAATGTTTAGTTAACGTTTGTGGTTACATCTCGACATCTCGGAGCAGCGGACAAAGGGACTATAGCCCCCTCCCTTCCCCGCTGAATAATTTAGGCGACTTTTTTAATTTTTGACATTTCGCCCCCGAATTACCAACTTGCACTCAAATTTGCATACCATGCCAATGTGTTCTGTCTCGCAGGAAGTTGCCGAGAAAACGTCAAGTGCCGCAAGAAGAGCAAATCGCGTTGTCACCGTTGCTCAAATGGAGCTTGATAATTCTGAGGATCCACGATACGTGGCGATCTTGAGCATTCCCTTGAATGATCTGGCAGACGGTACGTCTCTTTAAGTTTCTGACTTACATTTAAAACTTGACTTTTCTTTATTTGCCATTGAAACCATAAACTATTTTCTTCGGTGATTTTTGACATTTTTCTATAGATATAACGCCGTTCGTGAACGTTGCCAAAAATGTTGCCACAAATCCCAATGATGTTGATGGCCGAAGGAAACTGTCGGAGTCTTCTCAAAAGGTGATACAGGTTGCACGAAGCCTAGATCCGACTGCGCGAAGTTTTGGTATTGTGGGTCCTGGGGCGGGTTGAGTCCGTACGGCAGAGCTGTTCCTAGGATAACGACTTTTGTATTTGTATTTTGTTCGCGAGAATGAAATTTTGTCATATTTCAGTTGATTGTGCAATCGAAGATTGGAAGCAATAACCCAATCCGTGCTTCGTGCAGTCCGCTCCTTGACAGTAAATTTCATTTCTTTAGTGTTATTTTACGACAAGCTCCATGGAAAAACTATACATTTGCTTCGGAAGATTTTTCGTTTGCGATTTTCAAATGCTAATTTGTTTGCTTGCCATCGTTTTTCGAGACGACAATGCTTCGTATCAATATTTGTTTTACGAACACTCGATGTTCCTCACATTCAATAACGATTCCCATTTTTTCTGAATTGGTTAACACGCTTAAACTTTAGCCCAATATCGTAGCATGGAAGTATAATTTTTTATCGCAGTGTTCTTTCCTGCAATTCCAACTACTCCCCCCCCCAACCCGATGAAGGTTTATTCCTTCAGCTCGAACAATTTTAATCGACTTCATTTATCCAGATCAATGATTCGGTCAGCAGTATCCGTAAAGCCGTTGCTGAAAACACGATGGGCGAACCGGAGCCCGATTTCCCGCCTCCTCCACCGGAACTTGAAGATATCATACAGGATGTTCAAAAGGTCAATTTTGCTGAAGAAGCCCCGGCTCCCCCCAGGCCACCTTCTCCTTCTGCAGATGTAGTTCCACCTCGTCCACCACCACCTGCCGAAGCACCTATGGATGCCCAAGTCGTGGAGATGTTACAGCGCCCCTGAAGATAACAGGATTGCGGTAAGTGCAGGGTGGGTGGGGGTTCATCGAATATTTCATTACTAGGGGTTTTTAGATTGTACTTTCGTATGGATGACCTGTCCTTGCAGATGGCTGCTCATCAACTACACAGAGAGACAGTACGCTGGGAGGAACAAGGCAATGATTTAGTTGCAGCGGCTAAGAAACTCGCCGTGTTGTTTGCGAAGATTGCACAATTTATGAGGTAACCACGGTCTATTTTTCACTCCCGACCATGTCGTTTTGAAAATGTACGGTATTCTTTGTTTACAACTGACCTCCTCGGAAAATGTGTTTTTCTCACGTAGGCTGGTGCCCGTGTGTAAAACAATAAGGTTGCGTTAACACTATAGCGGATTCGCACATCATGACATCTTCATTTGCTATAAAGGGGTAACTCTTCGAACTTAGTGCTGATCGAGTTGGTCGATTTAGTCAATTTAATTGTGTTTCTGACATTGAACGTTGTCCTCGCCTTTAAGACATAAAAATTTAACATGCTCCGATAGTAATCTGGTACTGTGTATACGAGGCCTAAATATGCAGTTTGCAACTTGATAAACGATAATTTTTTTCCTTTGTATTCTATGCTTTAGTTCGATTGTACTGGATTTTACTACATAGAATTAGTTATATGGATTACATAACTTATGTAGCATTATTACTGGTTTGAAATTTGTGCGAAATTACCATCAGTTCGCTTTGCCATGTTTAGTGAAGACGAGGATGGGAAAACACGTTCGAAGAAGGAGCTGATTGAGTTGGCCAAGTTGATTGCAAAGGAGAGCAAAGAAGTTGTAAAACTGTCAAGAGAAATGGCAAATAAATGCACGGATAAGTCTATGAGGAAAAATCTTCTCACCGTCATAGATCGCATTCCAACAATCAGTACGCAACTCAAGATCGTGGCGACCGTTAAAGCCACCATGATTGGTGCTGATGGTACGTGTAACTTGTACGGCCTTTTTCCCCGTATTAAGTAATATGAACATAACTAACAGTATGCCTTTCGGAAGTAGAAATGTGCAGGGTGTATAGAAACTGCAACCCCGCAGGGTGCACCTTTAGAAGTGATATTGTTGATCTCTATGTTCGGACTGGATGAACAAATACACAAAGGACTTACATAAGTAACATAATGTATTTTTAAGCACTATTAAGAAAAACTTAATAACGCAGACTAACCTAGTAACGATATTTCTAATGCTATGACTAAAGGAATGCAATAGCCAAAATCTCTTTCACTGACATTTGTCTAAACCCAATAACTCAAGATGTCATACACGTGCTAGCTTTGCAAGTGATTGGAAAGGTTAGTTACATCTCTGTCAATTCAGGCTACCTACATGTACGCTCTGCGCACCTATTTTTTGACATGTGCAAAAGATACGGTCAAGGTAGTTTCATCATGCAGAAGGAAAAAGGGTTTCTTAGCTACTTTCTTTGTTTCGTATAGACGATGCTGCTGACCAGGAGGCAACAGAATCTTTAGTAGGTTGCGCGGAAAATCTCATGTCCGCTGTCCGTCAGACCGTGCGCGAAAGCGAGGGCGTTGGTGTGAAGATACGAAGCGACTTAGTTCACGGTGTCAAGTTTGTTCGACGTCAATGAATCAACGAGAGACTTTAACATGACGAACGAAAGTTGATATTTTTTTATTATGAATATTTTTCACCACTTGTTGTAGAAGGATTGTGGTGATTTTTTAACGGAATAGTATTGAAACAGCTGCAAGTTGTTATTTTTGTGGAAGATCTAACATGTCTGCTGTTGCCTAACATAGTAAAAACAGAGGGGAAAAAACAATATACAGAATTTGAATTATATACTTTGTGTCTGATATTTTGAAGTGGGTAATTTGGCAAAAAGAGTACAAAGTCTTTAACATACAGAAAGTCAGCTCCGGTGATGTCCCCGGTCAGATTTTTGTCAGAATCTTCTTTTTCCCATTGCGTTTAGTCATGCATCACGCACAAATATTGTTTGCTTGTTCGAGGTGCAATATTTCGAAAAACCTTTCAAACTTTTGACTGTAGCAGAGTAAGACCTAACTTTTACTCCTACGAGGCAAAATATTTTACATTTCTGTAGAAAAATAATTCCGTTCATTGAACCCGAAAATATTTGCATTCTAGCACTAAAAAACGGACTTTCTTTGCCTACTGGTCGTTGATGTCCAGCGCTAAAAATATTTTTCGTGCACTTGTCTTAAACAAGATTTTCTGGCATAGAAATCACAAAAATTGTGGATTTCTTTTAAGGGCACATTTTCAACGCGTTCTGCATTTAAATTTACTTAATTACAAGTAATTAGTCACATAAGAGTTCAAAAGAAGGCAATTAGAACAGCTATTGTGACGTCACAATGGCCACTTCTTAACTCTATTCACAAAGCGATTACTTGATTGAAAAATAAAATTCTCGGACAGCAGTAAACGAATATTAGACGTCAATCTGGTTTAGTATAGGTTCTTGGTCTTGGTAATGTAATGGCGTTATGTGCGTGGTCTTATGTAGTGATATTGCTCGCCTGTTTATGTGTTCCTGTTCACTGTTGGTGGCCTTTCGAATCAGGGACGGTAACGGATCCTCCGACGAAAGTTAAAAAAGAAAATGGTGGAAAAACTGGCGAGTTTTTACGCAACAGCCCCGTCCCGTTTGAAATGTCTGTCGCAGAACAAAAATTTTTGGCCGAAGCACAACGATACATGGGTGACATGGCCGCTTTGGATCAATGTCATCAAGTTGTGAGTTCTTAACGGGTTTTTTTTTACGAATTTCACGATGTTTTCGCTTGAACGAAATTCGCCTCTAGTATTTTTAATTGTGTATTACATGTTATTTTGCACTCAAATGATTTGTTTGCACACTTAGGAGTATTTTAGATTCAATAATTCAATTTGTTGTTTTACTTTGTGTCGAGATATTAGTTCTTATTGGAATAGTTTAGGCTTTAATAACCGTTACAGACCTGAACGCCGTGTAGAGGTCTACTGTTCTCTTATCCGAAGCGTACGCACTTACTCAACAACGCAAAACTTGTACGCAGTAAATCAAGCAGTGTTATCGCCTTCTTCGTCATCTTGTTTCGTTTGAAGTGCTTTTGTCAGTAAATAAGATTAGGCCAAAAAATTTGTAGCAAATTTCGCGCTCGTGAAACACTTCTATATTCCAGTGTCTGTGTGTAAACAAAATCTGATCGCAAGAAATCATTTTGAAATCATCTATGCTTGTGATTGCCCTAATTTACCTCTCTCTTCTCAGATAATCACTCGATTGAGAAAATCGTGTCACGAGCTTGGAGAAGAAGAAATTGGCAAACTTGCCGTATCTTTATTCAATTGTCAGTCAAAGGCCGAAGGAAGACCCTTGTTTTACTGTTCATCGGAGATGGTAAGCAAGTTTCTCAAGTTTAAAATAAATTACACGTGGTAAAGATGGTTGTGCACTGTAATGGTACGGGGGCTTGATGATAGCGATGTGGATGTTATGGTAAAATGGGATGTGTTATAGGATGAAGTTGGATGTCTTATGAAAAAGTAGAAGATTTCAAAACGTCCATAAAACTAAACATACCATCAAAATATCTCAATGATGTGTGTAGGAATATTTTAGCATCGTCTGTTTTGTCAAAGAGGGCAATTAGAAAACAAATCTCGAAACCATGATAGCGTTTTGCAAACTGATCCTTGATTTTAACCTCTTGCGCGAAGAAAGTGAGTGCTATATGATATGGTATGGGGTGCAATGATACATTTTGAGGTATAATGATACAATGTGGGATGTAATGGTACAATTGAGGTATAATTATACAGTGCAGGTTGTAATGATACATTTTGAGGTATAATTGTGAAATAAATGGTACAGTTTTGGGTGTAATGGTATAAAAGAACTCTAACTGACTGTTTTAGAGCCTGCGAGATTGTACTTCAGGAATGGATCCAGATGCATGGAATGCGTATCATATTATCAGCAATCGTGCAAGATCCGTATGTTACGCCACAAGGAATACACAGTTCCGTCTCAAGACTGAATATCTCGTTAATAAACTGGCAGTGACTGCCGGTGATCAAATGAACTTCCTCGAGAAACTGCAGGTTACTTAGTCCCATACTGTCCCATAGTTCCCTACTTTCATCACGTGATGTTGTTTTCTCCATTGTTAATACGTACAATCACGACGATTTGAATTTTCTTGGCCTGTGTTTCTTCTAGATAGGCCAAGAAAATTTAAACCAAGCCACTAAGGGAACGTTGAATCGACTCACAAGTGGCCATAAGGATTTGATTAAAGAGCAAGTGAAAATACGAAATGACTTTGGACAAGTGAGCAGCGAGTTGACGACAAAACTGAAAGACAACATGGCGGCCTTGGATTACGAAAAACGAGTAATCCAGGAAGCAGAGAAGCAACTTTCTTCGATGACATATAAAATTTCCTCAATGTTTGGTACTGAGAATAGCACGTTTTAGATTATCACATGTACTTTTCTGGGACTTTTAGGGTGTGTTTTGTTTGTGTCGCGTGAGAGTCCGGGTCTGTTGTACCATTAAAGTAAACGAATAGTTTCGCTTTGCAAAGCAGTACGTTGTGATCAAACCATTGGATTTAACATTTCCTTTAGCTAGCACAAGCGCAGAAATCCGTTCACAGGAGGAAAAGCGAAAGATGGAACATGCTGCAGTAGTGGAGGATCTTGGTGAGATCAAAGAAAAGACTGTGAATACTTGGAAGTTGATTGGTAAGTTGTCGGGGAGGGAGGATCAGCAGGAAGACACTCATGACCTTTCTCGCTCACTGTACTTCAGATGACAAGACGACCGAGATTCGTGATCATCAGGATGAGACGCTAAGCCATCATAAAAATATTATTGATAATTTACGAAGATTAAACAGCACAATTGGAATCATTATCAATGTAAGAGATTTCACGTTCGGTCTCAAGTTAAAGACCCGACGTTTTAGTTTGATGCTTTCGCAGTTTGTTATACAGTAGTCGAATACTTGGCATTTTTTTCTTAGTCAATAGAGGAGTTTGAAACAAAGTTTGACGAACGCTTGACCTGGTTGGCAGCGCAATTCGGAGGGACTGATAACAAACTGGCTTGCCTAACCACGTGTTTGGGTCATTTCATCTTTTTCGTTGCCATTACGTTGTTTGTGATTTTCATCAATGGTCCATCGATATCCCGCGTCTTCACGCTTATCCTTGTTCCCTTCAATGCCCTGATCGAAATCAGACTGATGGCTGGAATGTCGTATCTCACGATGACCATGTTAATCATGGCTGTGATAGTTGGTAAGTTCGAAGGACCAGATGTAATAATTGGCAGGAGATATTTGAGGGTCGAGCGGTACGAATAACGAGACAATATTCGCTTTACAGGTCATTATGCGATGGAAGTGTCTCAAAAGAAGGCGAGAGCTTTGAAAACAGGAATATCGAATTTGAAATCTTTGCCGCAAACAGGAATGAGTTACATCGACAGACTGCACGAACCCGAGAATCTTGGATCTTGTACACCCATACGCGCAGGTGAAGGGAATTGCAGTTTCTTCAATGCCGACCGAGGTAAGGAATGACTTCATACGCGGCAAATTTTATCATATGAACTTAAATGTACTTGGTAACGCATCGGACGATACTTTGAATATTTCATATTTAGATTCGCCATCTAATGCTTGGACTAGCGAGATAAACAGGTCGTCGACACCAAAGACCTCCCGTTCCTCTCATCAATTCCCTTCGGTCAATCCAACAGACCCAGATATGGTTAAACGTCAACTAAACACGACAGCCGACCAGTCCACCAACACTGCAATATCGACCACCTTAAATAGCACGCCATCGAAACGTAACCTTTATATAAGGCGATGCGGTGCCATCACGAAGCAAGGTTCCGCCTGCAAACGTAAGGTCAGCAGGACAGCGGTTGCTTGCGATCTACACCGCAGTTGATGATGGAATGGAGAGCGCTAGCGAGAGCTTGTCAGCTGCTCTATGTCAGAACAATATTCCATCTCACGTTTTCAACTGAAATGTTTTGATAAAAAGGTGTAATATTGTATATATTGTTTAATGTATGTATATAAATATAAAAATGTAAATAAAAATTCCTGTCGATAGAAGTGTTGTGGGTTAATTTGTTAATGAAATTGCATTTTATATCAACACGAGGGGTATTCATATCTAAAACATACTTTTTGGTTGCCATTTTATTGGAGTCGTCATTTCAAAAAAGTCATCACTTTATGAGAGTGTTCTACCTTTGTGTCTACCTTTATGTCTACCTTTATGTCTACCTTTGTGTCTACCGTTGTGTCTATCTTTACGTCTACCTTTATGTCTACCTTTATGTCTACCTTTATGTCTACCTTTATGTCTACCTTTATGTCTACCTTTATGTCTACCTTTATGTTTACCTTTATGTCTAACTTTATGTCTACCTTTATGTCTACCTTTATATTTACTTTTATGTTTACCTTTGTGTCTACCTTTATGTCTACCTTTATGTCTCCCTTTGTCCCTTTATGTTTACCTACCTATGTCTACCTTTGTCTTCCTTTGTTTTACCTTTTTGTTCCTTTGTGTCTTTATGTCTACCTTTGTCTACCTTTGTGTCTACCTTTGTGTCTACCTTTATGTCTACCTTTGTGTCTACTTTATGTCTACCTTTGTGTCTACCTTTGTGTCTACCTTTGTGTCTACCTTTGGTCTACCTTTATGTCTACCTTTGTTTACCTTTATGTTTACCTTTGTGTACCTTTATGTCTACCTTTATGTCTCCTTTATTGACGTTTGTGTCTACTTTTGTCTATTTGGGTCTGCTTGTGTCTACTTTTATTTCTGTTTGTCTACCTTTATGTCTACCTTTAGTCTACCTTTATGTTTACCTTCTTTTGTCTGTTTGTGTTGCTTCATGCCTTTTATGTCTACTGCTTTTATGTCTTCACCTGTTTTGTCCTTTCTACCTTTATGTCTACCTTTGTCTACCTTTATGTCTACCTTTGTGTCTACCTTTGTGTCTACCTTTGTGTCTACCTTTGTGTCTACCTTTGTGTCTACCTTTATGTCTACCTGTCTACCTTTGTGTCTACCTTTGTGTCTACCTTTATGTCTACCTTTATGTCTACCTTTGTGTCTACCTTTGTGTCAACCTTTATGTCTACCTTTATGTCTACCTTTTTCATTAGTGTCGCTTTTTCATAGGAGACGATATTTGACAAATTTATTAATTGACAAACATGTAAGACCATAGAGATTACAAATAATATTATAAGATATAAATAATACTTTATTTATAACCTCTATGCGCAAGACGATATTTGAAGTTTCCACAGTTCGCCCCAGTCCTACGTACCTGTGTCCCTGTGTTGAGCACAAAATCAAGTGATTTTAGCAGATGGAAATCAATATAAACGCTGGCGCCAATTCCTCGGACTCGCGCCAATTTTGAATGTTGATAATGGCAGCGTGATCGCAGTGTGTAGCTGACTATACTATGCCGCTGTACCAGCAGAAAAAATACATCTTGAACTCTCGCCCGAAGGACCTAAAGCCAGAAGAAGAAGTATTTATTGTTCAACAAACGAAAGAATGCTTCAGAGATTATAAGTATCTTTCTTATATTAATTAGTCCAACATGACGATTACTATATAGAGTATTTGTGGTCGACTTAATTGTGCATAATGATCTACCCGTTTATTCTAAAACCGTCAGTTTTCTTCACAAAATAATCCAGGGATTATATAGCCAAAGTATTTACGTACAGTTCACAGCAATGGTCGTGTGAGGTTACTGGCAAAGATGGTCTTACTTACAGCGAAGCTGTTTCTTCTGAGCGAGAAGCTTCCAAACTTCATGTTCAATCCTTAAAGGAGAACATGAAATGCATCACAAATGCTGCCAAAAAGGGTATGATTATATGCTATGTGTCTAGCTTTAGGACATTGGCCATCACAGATGCGTTTTCAATTGTGAAAATTATGGACTAGTTGGGATGATCACAATTAGGAAAATGTTGCTAAAATAATCGGTGATATGTGTGAATCCTGTAACATCCTATATCCAGTAATTTTTGCCTGATAATTACCAGATAATGTGAAAACTATATTCAAGATTAACTAGACAGGGTGCAGAATATCTGTTTAGCTTGAAACAGAAATTTGCACTTTGATATCAATCATTCACACCCAGGGGTTGATAGCAAAGCAAATTTAAGTGATGTAGCTGTAAGCATATGCTAGCCAGCAAAACTATTTATCTATGTATAGTTATAAATATTTGTTATTTGAGAATGACGTTAACATGTTACAAAATTAGCGTTTATATGACAGTGGTAAAGTTCTGAATGTATTTTGTTTGCAATGTTTACAAAGCTTGACCAGCTAATAAGCCTATTATCTGGTATCTGCTTATCATTTTTTCTTTACTGGTATCGGTATACTGCCGTATGGCACTATTCTGTATCAGGCAAAGTAGTACTGAGCACATCCCTTTTGCATTGTATTGAGAGTTATTAAAATCTCACTTTTTTTTGGGGGGGAGGGGGGAATGAGCACATGTGAATCTAATATTTTAGATCTTCTAATGCTTTTGTCAGCATTATATTTGAGTGAAGTGTATGCTTCAGACCAAAGTGTTTTAGTTATCTTTAATACATGCAAACCCATCATGTATTTGTATACTGATAGTGGCTGTCTTTAAAAATGTCTCAGAAGGCTTTTCACCCATTTCAAGAATTGCTTTTGGAGTCTAAACAAATTGAAATGGTTATCAACTTGCCCACAGGGAGGATAAGGAATAGCCTGAGACTGAAACTCAAACAGGGCAAAGATCATATCTGTGATGATCTTTCATCTGATTTTACTTTTCATTTTTTTTGCAATATCAACACGTTGAATTTGATAGCAGGAACAGTTAACCCGCCACTTGCTTTCACCCTTTACTGGATCAACAATGTTTCTTTTTTGTTCTTTTTTCTGTAGGAGAAAGATCGGATAAGAAAGTAAATATTCGCTTGGAAATACAGGGATGAATCTACAATGGTTTTGTAAGGATGGGGGTGCTCTAGTTTGGATTAGATTTTCGTGGCTTTGTGTTGCCATAGCATGTCAGGCCTTTTTTTGTTAAATTCTGTTATCTTTTTATCATGATTGGAAGTTTCACGATATCGCACTTCTAGGGAGATTGATATTTTCTAGGGAAATTTGAACCCATCCTTCACTCTCCTTAGTCAAGGCTAGGGACGTGTGTACTCCTCAGCACCCCCTCCCCCCAAACCACCCCTAAGGAAATACATTCATGCTGACTCATCACAATTCTCTAATTCAGAATCCTTTGCAGAGCTCCCTCAGTACAATATCTGGACCAAACGCGAACAAAAGAACATTCGATAAAGTTTTGTCCAGGACAGCGGGCAAAGATCTCACGCAGCGGACTCTGACGTGTTTTGCGAAAAACACAGGGCATTCCAAACAGCTGATTTGCAATTCTAAACCGATCAAACAAGTTGTCAAATCTGGCGCCAAGCGCAAAGGCAGCCCAGAAGTTGAAATTTTGCTTGAACTGAAACTAAAATCCAAATCAGACTTGTCATCGCCAAAAGATACAAGTGCCAAAGAAAAGACGAAGAAGGCGAAAAAGTTGACGACATTCCAAACGCATTTTGATGTTGACGATGCAAAGAGCAATTCTACCAAGGTATAGCTCGTTCAAGGTCTCGCACGCAAAGCGTTAAAACCCGAACTATAAGTTCCTGAATTTTTTCTTTCTACATTTAGAACGTTCATTCAAATGAGAAGGAGTTGAAAATAATCAAGAAAAATGCTTCCAAAGGACAGCAAACGTTGTCTCAAATGTAAGGATTGTATATACGTACAAGGGGTGAGGAATGGCGGCGGTACTCTTTTTCATTCGGACAAAAAGAGAAATGATCCTTCTTGTCTGATCGAAGGACCGTATTTTGTCACAAACACAAATAAACTTTTTTCCTGATTTTGGGTTGGGGAATTCCTTTGATGCAATTTTGTTAGTCATTAGCTGTTTATGCTCAAAAAACAGATCATGTTAGAATTTTTCATTTTTGACAAAATACTTCTGATGTTCGGACCTCATTAGTTCGAGTGAAGAAGCGAATTGAGAGAGAGAGAGAAGTATTTTGCCATATCTTTCTTGTACTCTTCTCTCTCATTCTCTCTTTGCATCATGACGAGATGAGCATGAAAATCGTAGAAATCATCGATCTGGTTTTCATAAAATATTTCTTGTTTTAGGTTCAAAAATTCGTCCTTAAACGATGCAGACATCAAACGGGAAGTGGGGAAAGTTCGAAGCAAGACCGTCACTTATTCCAATCAAGGGTATCTACTTAATGTGTTTGGCTAAGACTGCTGTGGTACGATTCTCTTTAATAGGGCCTGCATGCATTATAACATGTCAATTTGCCTATTTCAGTTTAAATTAGGATTACGGGATGTTGTATTTCATGTATTTTTCGTTACTTTTTCGTATCAAAGCTCACAGCGTTTGACATTTGTTAAAACAACATAGATAACGTCAATTTTCGTTGGTCACACACGGGATGTAGCACATGTGCCTTTGTATCTCGAAAAGGGTTGTGGAAAACTGTCAAAGCATATGTTTTTTGAAAGTTACCATAGTTACCAAGTTACCATGTCTATGCTTGAAGCGAAAAATGCATTGTGAAATTTCACACCTTTACTATAGGGAAAGAGCAAGGAATGGAAATAGAAAACCACTCGTGACTGTGAGTTCAATGCATTTATGTACTATGAAAAATATCGGATACATTTTTTATTTTGGTTTTTTACCTTTCGTTTGGCAGACTTTTTCTAAAAGTCATTTCGCCGCGAAAGTCTCGCTGTCGCCATCGTTGAAACCCGTCAATGTTCCCGAGGAGCTGAGAAAAGAATACGGAGATCTTTTGATGATAACAGAGTTCGTGTATTTTTACGGAAAATTTCTGTCTCAAGATCGAGACATCGTCCACTCCAGGTGAGGAAGAGATCACGCGCGTCATTTAGTTTGAAATTGATATTCGAGAAAGGCAAGGGGGACGTTATTTTTCATTTTTAGACCAGTTGGTCTTCGGTTTGATGAACGAGCAAAGCAAGATCTTCGAGGGTGTTTTGTCCGGTTTTCTTCGGGTGCTGCTGAAAGACCTTGGTCAAAAGAAGATGGTGAAAGAGGTTTGCTATAAACATCAGTCGACAGTTGCCTTCATTGAACTAAATATGTAACTGGACGACTACCTTTGTGCTAACATGTTTTTACTTGTAGCTATGAAGCATGCGCAAACTACTTCTCTAGAACTTTCACGCGTGGAAAGATTAAAACTAGTTGAACTGCTGCCTTCAAATTTTGGCAATTGGTAGCCTTCCTGTTATATTACTTCAATTGTCCGCACTGTCGATATTTTTAATGACGTTTCCAAGACTAATTCGCGCGTTCGCTTTCGCCTTCACTCCCTTTAGTTTGCAGACTTGGGAATTAATCTAACTGATATGCCAGTATCGGAGAAAAATGTATTCGAACTTACTCGATTGTATTTGAAATATCGTGCCGACAACGAAGAATTGAGAGGAAATTTTAACGATGCAGGAGTTGGACAGTCGGTAGGGAACAAATCGTACAGGATTTACGTGTGTACGACTTTTGTTGATGATCAATCCACTTTGAAGCGGAAGTTTGAATCGAGTATTGATGAGGTTTTTTTGTCTTTCAGCTACGAAATCTGATAGATTTATGTGGAGATGATTTGTCTCTTGCGATTCCAGCGACAAAGCTGCGGGTAAGGAGAAAACACTCCTCCCTTTATTCACCGCGCAGAATACATATTGCATGTCCTCTATTTTGCCCCCAGTCTCACTTTGGCCCCCCTCTTAAAATCCTTCAATTCGAATACACCCCCATCTTCTATTTATCCTCCAGTCTCAGTAAATTGATAAATCACGAGGAAATCAACTTCACCTCACCAAACACGAACGCTATTTAAGCTTTATCTATTTTATTTGTTTCAAAGTAACGAATGTTAAAGTCAAAATGATCACTTGCTTTGAGTCGAAATTTCAGACGAGATCATAGTCATGACTGCCTCGATCGTCGCGCATCCTCTACTTGAAAATGGTGATGTGGGCATGTGGCTTGTACGTTTTGATAATCTATCGTTTCAGATTTTGCTTTACATGTGCGAAGAGATCATAACGAGCGAGCTGTTTTATTCTCATTTTCAAAGTCTCGATGCAGACAGACGACAAACATGGTGGGTGTTGTGCTTCCAGCAATCCTTGTTTACGTTCATGTTCTCGAGTTTTTTTGCCTTGTGGAATTGCCATGTGGATGATAGAACTTGTGCTCATGATTCTAGGGTTGAAAAGTTCCAGGCTTATTCTGAAATTCGCGAACTTGTGGCCGAGCAAAAGAAGCTGAAGGATTTTGAACGCTCACAGAAAGAAATCGACGGATTTTTGGTATGTTGTTTTTTTATAGTAAATGAGATGTTTTACCTCATCGTTATAATCAGTGATTTTGTTTAGGCTGTTGCGGTATATCGAAATATCGATAAATATCGGGTTTTAATATCGGTTTATCGATATTGGTTTTTTCGGTATATCAATATATCGATATACCGAAAATATCGAAAAAAATACCGAAATATTCGGTGTTACGATATATTTAGTTTTTATAGATAGTTTTAATGTTTTTAATGGCTTTATAGCGGTTTTTAAATGCTTTTCTATACTATTAGACAGTCTTGTCCCTATCACACGTGCGCGGCAACTGTTGGCTAAGTTTTAACAATTTGATCTATGAGTCATAAATAGCGCGCGGCAATTGTTGGGTAAGTTTCAATTTGATCTGGCTATGAGTCATCGCCATCAAGACTATAAATAACGGAAAAAAAATATCGATATTGGTTTTTTCTCAATACTGCAACAGCCTAATTTAGCTACTATGTACCTGAAGACTAGATCGTTATTCTAATTCTTTTAGGACAATTTCAACGAGAACGATAGAGGTAAGTTGATTATGAGTTTATCTTAGAAAAAGGTCGAACGTTTTCTTCCATGATGTTCTACCGAGTCATATTACACCTTTGCTCTTCCACCGTGAAAATACCTTGTTCTTAGGCGTCATTACGAAGGAACCATCTACCGGTGATTCCGCACATAAAGTAAACGTAAATAACTGTAGCAAGAAAATGAAGAACTCGGTCGGAAGAAAACGTTTAACGAAGCGTCAAGAAATGGCGGCAAAACATAAAATCGAGAAAGAAATATACGAAGAGAAGCGCCGTGTCGGGTAGAAAACCAAACAGTTCCAATTTGACGTGATGCATTCGCAGTTAATCTACTATAGTGATTTCAAAAGAAAATGAATTATTTGAATCTTTTTCCTCTAGTGAATTGTTGAATCGGAAACGACTGAAAGCAGAACGATGCGCGGTAAAATGTCCATTGCAGTTCTCTTCACTCAGTTCAGTTTGATGAATGTTTGAATTTTTCCACAGACGCTTTTTCTACGTTATATCTGTAGCTCGTGATGTTTTCAACCATTTTTCCATCTTGAAATGTTTCTTTTCAAATTCAGTGTATTTTTGTGATTCGCGACTTTTTCCAGGAACATAACAAGACCGAAAATTGAGGAGAGGCGCAATACTCTTTATGCAAGCTCTGTTGTTTAAAGTTTATTTGAAATCATTCGTTTTCCACGCACTATAACATATTCGTACATGGAAGACCCACCTCCCAATTGTCGATCTTCCTACGTCCGTGTTCTATAGTCCTAAACATTTCTGTGCTTCCATGCTTGAGTTGTATTTTACTTTGCAGGAAACAATCAAGCAAGTCCAATATTGTCGTCGTTTGAAGCCCCTGGGAATGGACCATAATGGAAGTTTGTATTGGCTTCTTCACTCCAATAACAAAGTTTTATACGTAGAGAAGACGGTCGAAGGCACCCAAGGCAATTGTGCGAACGACGATCATCCGAATGCGGATTTTTCTAAGTAAGTTCCTATTTGGTATTGTGAGTGTTAGTGTATATATAGCTTAAACTGCAGACTCCGTGAGTGGATAAATGTCCACTCCTGGTTTACCATTAAGCAAGTCTCATTCTGGTTTACTAATAACTCTTTAAATGTTTTTATTAAAATCCGTTCATTCATACAAAAAAGAAACACTCGACATGTTGAAATGCTCGTTTTTGATTTAAAGCATTTTCGCTAAACGATACACTCGTCATTCGTCAAAGAACACCAATGTATGACCATCTACCCCGTTTTCATTATGATGTAAATAAAACCACTCGATGATAGAAAAAGTTAAAGAGCTCGATGATAAAATTTTAAACACAAAAAATTGAGAGGAAATTATATGATTTCATTTTCAACGCTTTCTCTGCATTCTCGTGTTGACTTCAAATACTTAAATTATTTTGATTTGTGATGGGCTCTCGAACTGCCATACAGACTTATTTCTGTTTCTATCTGTAGTGGCTCTGTTTGGTTCTTTTATGACTTAACGGTGCAGGAGTTGAAGCGCCTCGTGAATTCTTTAACCTCTCAAAACGAAGACGAACGAGCATTGCGGCTACGGCTAAACTCTATGGAAAAAACGAGATGGAACTTTTCAGAAACAGGTTGGAACACTTTGACATTAATTTTTCGTGATTTTATTATTAGGGTCGTTTCGCTTTCGGAAAGGTGGTCACGTGGCCAATTGGATCAAAACTGAACTAATACAAAACCATCGTGAATGAACTTTTTCTTTGAGTTTTTCCACTTCTTTGTTCCCCCTCGGGTGAATCTCCGATGATTCACGGGGTGATAAAGAGATTCAGCCTATGAACAACTAGTGTGTATCAGAATGCTAGAGGTTATAGATATGTACATTCCCCAACCTGAACTAATGTATATTTTTGAACAAGTCAAGGGCGGCTTATGCCCCAGTCTTCAGGCAAAATGTGGCCTTGTATGTCAGGAGTGCGAGATATTGGAATCATAGTTATCCTCAGCACCCGCAAATAACTGGAGCTAACTGAAAACCGTATCAAAAGAGCTCTTTGAAAAGTATACAAACACCACACAAAATGAAAGTTCCCCCATCGATAAATAATTGCGTGCGTCAAATGAATGAATCGCGGTCAGCTCTAAAAGGCCAAAGGCGATTGCTCAATTTTTATACGAAAACCTGGGCACTCTTCAAACTGCTTTTCAAGATGACGGTTAAGAAGGATTAATGTTGCTGAATAGTGAGTGAAAATGATGATACTACTATTCGATGCTTGAGTAATGACGATATCGTATTGAGTACAATAATATAATATATTAATCCTAACACGGTTTATATGCACATGAAAAACATGTGACTTGAGTTCGAGATTTGAACTCGGGATACTAGTCCGCTGCTCTACCTGTTGAGCTACCAAGCCCACAGGGATTGGAGACAAGTCAAATCTCTTTTAAACTGCGTATGGAAGAGAGATTCTCGCCACTATAGCAGTTTAATGGATGGCACCGTGTATTGAGTACGATACGTCTTTGAGTAACACGAATAATCTCATTCTTCACTTGGCAGTTAGCAAGTGACCACGATTTTAATTTGTGCTTTGTTTAATTATCTGAGAATAGTTCATTTGGAATTGACAACTAAATTCTTATTCCTTTTTGAATGGTGTTAAATTTAAATTTCTCGCGCCTTTAGCATATTGCAATATTTATACAGACCATAATGTTGTTTGTTTGTCCTTTTGGCTTCGAATTAATAACATTGAAGAGTTAGCGTACGTAGCTAGTTCCTATAATACGACTTTATACACGGCCCGCTAAAATATTTCGTTCTGATGCCAGCCAAAAAAAACTTATACGTATACAGGCATGTGGTGCATCCTTTTAGTGAAATCTTTGTGTTTGTTTGTATCATATCAAAGCCATAGTATCTTGATAATTTTTTGTATTCCAGAAAATCCGAAAGGCCCATGTCATTTTGCGAAGAAGTCTTGTTTGAACCACTCCTTTGCTTAAAAGAAGTGAGAATTACAACATTTCATTTGGAATATTTTTAATTTCTGCCCTTGCATGTTACAAATGTGAAATGATGGGTTTTTATCTACAGGAAATGTGTGATTTAGCCAGTCGTCTCGTCAAAGGTGCTGCTGCAAACGTTTCCAATTTAGTTGATTGGAGCGCGAACGTGAAGATGGCAAAGTCTTCGAAAGATTTGGTAAATATCTATCTGCTCCAGGGGATTATGGGGACAGAGGAGTTTTACAAATAAATATACGTCGAAAAGCTAGTTGATCGTTGCTTTTACTGAAAGGTTTGATGCGAAAGGAAGATGAAAAGTCTTTACTTCCTGTCCTTGCAAAGGTTAATTTGTCAGAATTCAACGTATTTCGAGGGTTATATCAGTTTTTAATAACTACAATGTAATGATCATGTTTTCGAAGATCGCTGTCCAAACTCTTATTCGCGATTTTTCGACTAGTTTGTTGCCGACCTTTATTCAATTTTTGTTTAGATGCCTTTGGCGCTCGAGTTGGCTTCCTCCGTAAGTTTTGGGAATCTGTGGAGCGAGTTGCATGATCGCGAGAAATGGTTGACGGAGGACTGGACTCGTGCTGTGAAAGAAGCAACGAGTATACCAAGGCTAAGATATTGTGTTGCTGTTCTTGACTATTGCATCATGTGGGAGCGTTGCTCAGTTTTTTTGGTAAGATGTTGTTGCTGTTGAAAATTGTCTTTCAACTGTCATTTTATTCATTTATTTTGCCTACCTGAAATCCTGTACTTAACTAACTTTATTTACACTGGACAACGTTATCAATTCTAAACAGTTCCATGTACTTAGCGATCCTAACTTCGTTTAAAATATACAACTTTATCGTATCCAAACTGTTCTGTGTACCTTAAGATCCATCGGGGTTCGTGTGTTATTCAAATCCGATTCAAACTAACCCCGGAAGAAATCTCCTCTTGTTGTTTTTCTACAGCAATAACCTAAACTCTTTCCGTATTTGTTAAGAAATGTAAAGTATGCCGAAGGAAAGGTGGTGCTATGGCGGTCTGTGGGAAATGTCATTCTGGATACCACGTGGTTTGTTTGAGACCATCATTGGAGGTGATCCCACCGGACGATTGGCTATGTCCTACATGTCGGGTAAGTTGCTGTGTATTATTACGTGATACATAAAGAATGGTCAAAAATCTTCACAATTTTCCCATCTCCTCGACAGCCTAAAGAACGCGGTTGTCGACGATCCACGAAAACGGTAAGAGTCTTAGTGAAGTGTATGTTTGAATCCGGGAGTATCGTTACGTAATTGTTTATGTAGATCGTCCAGTTTAGTGCAATCCTGTGAAGGTGTGTTGGTGTCAGCGTAGATGTCGACACGTCAGTTGATTCTAATACCAACAGTCTTTACCTGGAAGATCTAAATCAAGAAATATGCAATGAGTTTTTCTATTACAAGATTAATGCAATGACCATTAAATTTTGTGAACGTTGGGACAAAGAATAAACGTCCTTTTGCTTACAGCACTTAAAAAGCTGTGTTATGACATAAATTTGATTTAACTCGATAACGCTGGATCTAACCAGAATATACAACTCGTGACTATTGCACATTGTTATGCGTTTACGTCACGTTCAAACGCTCATTTCTCCGTCAATAATCTATGAAAATGTTTAAGCTACTCGGTACATCGATATTTTCTGACAGCGAATCATTCTATTCGTTGTTTTTTGACGCCCGATTTAAACTTCAGCCTGACGAACCCGTGGATGATGGACAAGAGGAGACAGTTGTGGATAATCATGACTTTTGTGACGTATGTGGTGGTGACGGGGAACTGGTGTGTTGTGATAACTGTCCTAATGTGTACCACAAAGAATGTCACGATCCCCCATTAAGAAATATTCCAAGGTAGATATAGCGTCATACTTCACTATTTGCTCGCATTACATATTTTGCTTTTTGGAGTCATTCGCAGTGTTATTTCGTATTTTTTCATGTTTCAGAGGTTTTTGGAAGTGTCGTAGCTGCCATGGACGACGTCCAACCGCTATAAAATACACGCCTCGCGTTGAAGAAGACGAAGACGACGAATTCTCTGACTTTGAGAGTTCAGACGATGAGACAGGAGATGATGGCTCATACATGAAAACCGAATCAGACGGCGAGAAGAGCGGATCAGAAGTGGACCAAGCATACGGTGAATGCGACGAGAATCCTTCATCAGGCAAACGGCGAAAGAAAAGAAAATAAATCCTTTTTCACGTTCTACATGTTTCAAGTCAATGGAACTGAACGTACTACTGTTTATTATTACTATCAAACGTATTGGCGTTTTGATTGTATATGTGTGAAAATTCACCAGCAAATGATGTAGTGTAGCTCACTTAAAGTTTACCTTTCGTTGAATTTTTATTTGTCACGAGGCTGACTGTTTTCGTGCACAGTTATACATAAATTTAAGAAGTATATACAGGAATGTTGGTTGTATATGGAGAAACAGTTGTATGCAGTGCATGAAATCCAACTACAGTTCCAGTTTATATATTTCAAAATACATTATATGTATGTGAGAATCGACGGGTAAAGTGTGTGATAGTTGCTAACGTATCAGATCGTTTTTCTTAAGCCTAGCTCACACGAATGAAATAAGCATAAGCACAAGCTGAAACAATAGATAAAGCAAAGATAATCAACGAAGCATAGGGCAGAAGTATGTAGACATTAGCGCACGCATAAGAAAAGAGTTAAGCTGAAAGAAGAACAAAAGATTTAAATAAAATTCCGATATCTTTGTCTTTGTAAACCTGCAGAGTAAAAGAAACAAAACTCATAGCGTTCATGCCAATTTTGCTCATGTGAATCAGGCATTCAAACTCAAACGTGTTTTACAAATGATTAATAAAATTACGTTGCTATGAAGAAAGAACATGTAGCTCTTCCATACCTATTGTATTCAGGATTGAATTTCATAGATATACGGTTATTTATTCAAGTACGGACAATGAATGTTAAACAATTGATGTGGAACAAAGACACAATGACATGCATAAAGATATTATTGTTTTGGCACTTATGAACTACGAGGCGTCATGGTAAGAAGTTACCGTTCATATAAAACTAGACAAGACCACAGAAAGTCGACAAGGATAACCGAATGAAAAGATTTCTGGTTGTGGAAAGGAAAGTAAGTTTTAGGAAAAGACCACGAGTATTCTGGATTTTCTGCCCAATACGAAAGACGGCAAGAAGTTAAGATAAAACACCACGCTGATGGCAAAACTACGTCAGCGTTGATAGTGAGGAGGAATTAACTAATGATTGAAAGGGACTCTAGACAAGGATTGCACAAAGATTATAAACTTTCAAAGCAGAATCACAACGACGTCTACCGAAAAATTTGTTGACAATTGAGGCATCGTATCATATCTAAGCATTTAATAGGCATGCTGCTGTCATAGAAAATATCACATCGAGTACCAGCGTAAAGGCCGACTTCCATTCAGTACAGATTGTCGCGCGATCGACTTTTTGCGATCACTTTCTTTTCAATTGTAAGTTTTCAACCAGAACAGTTTCACACTGCTGCACACAAATGAAAAGAAAGTGATCGCAAAAAGTCGATCGCGCGACAATGTGCACTGAATGGAGGAATTTTCCCGTCAATCAGCATTAACGCTACGGTGTAGAAATTGCAGAACGCCGTCTGAGTTATACCCAATGGATTTTTTTCCTCTTCACAGTATTAAGTGAGAATGTTGCTGAGTCGTCAAACATATGATCAAAATGAAAAATATAAACATGGTTGATATGTTTTCGATGTCCATAAGCTCCTTGTAGTCCGTCTAGATTCCATTTGAAGAAGTTGCTAGTTTGGCTAATAACTGATGCACAACATGGATTTGTAAAAGTGCCATCCTCATCTTTGGCTACGACTAATGTCCTTGAATTAATGAAACAAATACTGGCAGTATTTGCTAAAGAATTCGTTATTGCTTGACCGTAAGGAACTGTGCTGCATTCGTGAACATTTTTATATGGACATATCTACCTACTTGTCTCTATGTTTTTTTTCGATAGAACTTATTCTGGGCTATTACTATCGTATGTATTCCTCATGTATGACAAAACTTGAAATTATGTGTCATTTATACGCTAACATTTTTTCTACACCTCATTTTTACGATTATGATTTTTGGTTTATGCATTCTCTTTAGCTCGAAGCTCTTCTATAATCCTGGCTTAGTACCTTTAATAACCTTTTTTGAATTAGTTACTACAAAGCTTATCGTTTGTTTAAATTATTTAATTAAGCGATTTTTTGGGCCGCCTATGGTAGGGGCCAAGTTCTTTACAAAATAGTGATATAAAAAATCGAGCAGCAGGCCAAAATCTGATCCAAACTGGGGCACCCACCCCCCTAAAAAAAATCCAACCTCGATGAATCCCTAGTTGAGCAATGTTCTTCTAAGTAAATAAACAGATTGAAAACAGTTAGTTTAAACGTTAGCCGCAGAACAATCCTCGAGTTGATAATACAAACACAACGCGATAATCTATTATATATAACAGGAAAATTATACATAAAACACCGCTTAGCAGAACACCACTAGGGGGGGGGGTTACATTATTTTGATATTATCTAAAAACTTACGTTATCACAAGTTTCCATTAAAAGATTAACGAGACAAAGAGCGAGCCAAAACTGAGAAACCGTCGATTGAACTGCAAAATTTTTATGCCATGGTTGGTTGCCGCCATAAGAAAATTTTTTAAAACGGCCTACTACGTCATACTCTGATACCTTTATGCTCCCCTCCATCCCCTTACAATCATATCAAGATGGCGACCTTAGAAGACAAAGCGATCTGGGATGACGGAGAGGTTTGTCTAAGATTTGTTCAGTCTTTGTCGTATTATTACATGATTTTTAAGTGAGCATTTTATTTTCCACTTGAAGAAGTTATTTAAACTGTACATTTTACGCAGGAAATCGATGTTGAGCTACAACGCATGTCAACTGATGAAATATCAAGTCGAACGAGACTACTGGACAACGACATAAAAGTACGGTAGAATTTTTTTGACCATCCACATATTACGCTATGCACTTAAAACGACATTTAATCTTGTAGGCTGTACGTTATAGATCAGCAAATCTGATGATGCTTTTGATTTTATCATAAGTTATTGTACTTATTGACGTTGTAAATAATGAAATTCACGTTTTCGAGGTTTAAATCACAGCAACTGAATTTTTTCACTGTATTAATGTAACTTTTGCATGTTATTGAAGCTTTGTTTGCTTTTCTTGAAGTAATTGTGGGAGACTCTTTTAAATCTTTTATGGCAATTTCTCTCATTTTCCAATCACCTGCCAATGGGATTGAAATAATCATTTATTTGAAACAATTTGGAGCTTCTGTTCGGCTAATTTTCATGCGTCAATTTGAAAAAAATGTCATATTTATGTGTGATGCAACTCTATGCTTATTTTGTGGGTTTGGTACAGTGGGTACAACCCATTGAATGTGAAAAAAGTTAGTTTTGAAAAAATATTTATTCTTATGAGAATTAAAAATTACTGAGTTTAGGTTTAAGATACAGTATACATAGCAAGTTTTATTTTTGCACATTTCATGTGTTAAGCTTAACTTTTGTTGCAATAACTTTTTTTGCTATAATGTGTGTTTGATTTTGTTATTTTGTGATAAAGATTTTGGATTTACCAATTTGAAAGTTTGTTATGCAACATGAACCTTAACAACGTACACTTGCTCCCAAGAGAAATTGTGAGTTTTTGTTTTCCAAAAGTCTCAGTTGAGGGAAACTTTGCTAAAGATTCGAGGAAAAACAACATTGACTAATTTCCCCAGGGAGTGTACACTAAGCATTTTGTTGTATAAGAACAAAGATCAAAGATTTTAACAGACTTGCAATAAAATCAAAATCTTTTGGTGAGATTCGTCTTAGGAAATTTCATTTTAAAATGTTATAAGGATAACCATAGCATTTTCAGTCGACTTTTGAGTGTTGTCTGAATTCTGTTACTTGTTGAATTTCATTGCTTAATAAGCTCAAGAAATGTTTTTTCTAGTGTTTGACTATATAGCTGTTTTATTTGTTATGATATTAAAATGAGCGGGCAACAATTTTTCACTTATTTCCCTAGCAGGAGACATTGCATTTATTTTAAGTCATGTGACTACAAATGAACCAATCACTTTCAATGTACACAGCACCCATGTAACTTTACATTTTGTTGTTTTTTCAGATCATGAAAAGCGAGATAATGCGTGTTAGCCATGAGCAACAAGCAATGAAGGATAAAATAAAGGTTTCAAGCCATACCCTCAAAAAATGATCAAATAATTAACACAGATTTACCACCATTGTAATCATTTTACAGGAGAACTCAGAAAAGATAAAAGTGAACAAAACTTTGCCATACTTGGTCTCGAATGTGATTGAGGTGAATTAGATCAACATGCCTCTATGTTTGTTGTGGTTTTAGTTAGTTTGAGAACCCCAGCACAGGTTTGTTTGAAATGAAACGAGACATCATTTATTTTTAATTATCAAGAAAATGTGTATGATTTTTCAAATGAAGACTTGATTTCACTTAGAATCTAGAAAATTGCCTGATTAAATGCTTTCTTAAAATTTACATAAGATTTTGAGTTGACAATTTTTTTCACTTTATGGTCTATTTGAGGCTTGATGATGCAATAGTAAAAACTCCCCTCCCTGACAATCTAGTCTCTCGTATTTGTATGAAATAGTCCATAAAATCTCATCTTTGCTATTTGTTTAGTTGTTGGAGGTTGATCCACAGGAGCAAGTATGTGGAGAGTTTGTAGAAAAGGGAGAGGTTGTATGTTAATTGTTAAAGGTGTTTTTTCATTTCAGGCAGAGGAAGAAGGTGCAAATGTCGATTTGGATTCTCAGCGAAAAGGAAAATGTGCAGTGATAAAGACATCAACTAGACAAGTACTATGATAAACTGCTTTTTATCTGTTTGCTTCTCTTTAATTTTGAGGGCTCTTTTTGCTTCTTTAGACATACTTTTTGCCAGTCATTGGCTTAGTGGATCCTGAAGAATTAAAACCTGGAGACCTAATTGTATGTCATCTTTTATTATAAAATAAACACATTAAAACGCGTGCGCTGATTGTTCTAGATCTGTGTTTGCATTTGCTTGTGCAAAACGATCTGAGCACAACAAATCCAATCATTCAATCAATCAAAGAGAATTTGCAAATCAATCATGAACACTCGTTAGAAGAATATTAAAACATTTTATTTGTTTCGCATTATTGTTATTTTATAAAAGAAATAAAAGACGTTTTTCGTCTTTGCACAGGCCTATGCAAACCTCGGAGACGTTTGCGAGAGCTCTCGAGCAGGTGCAACCCTCGACCTTCGGTCTCGGACTTGCACTGATCTATTCTCGAGTTCTCCCAAAGGTCTCCTCAGTTTGCATAAGCCTGTGCAAACAGTAAACATGTTTTATTTTTTAAATATTATCCCAGTATGAGTTAGTACGGAGTGTTTTATCACCTTCCTGTAGCTCAATAAATGTCCAAAAAGGTGGCATCAGCCTGGGTCATTTCTTTCATCGTTGTAGCCGCTAACCAAACATTCATGTAGGCTCAATAAATGTCCAAAAAGGTGGCATCAGCCTGGGTCATTTCTTTCATCGTTGTAGCCGCTAACCAAACATTCATGTTGGCTCAAATTTTGCTGTTTTCCAACTTTGTTCAATCATCATCAAGTCTGTCGTGTGCACTTCAATATTTTTTTATCAAAAAACGAAAACTCTTAGGTTTTCAGCAACAATTGCCTTTGTATTACAAGCTTTCACGAACTAGTCAAAAGGAATTCATTGTAGATATTTTGACATATTGCTAAAATTAGTCAAATATCAGCTTTTCAATCAATAAAAAACACAAAATAGGCACTTTTAATACTATATATTTTACACATACATTCTATCAGCAAGAGGCATTTATTTGTTTAAAGAACACGAGAGGGAAAATCTGGAATGTCGCCTAATTCTCCCCAGGATTTGCATCCTCAAAAGAAAATAAGAGATAGTGGCTGTCGGAGACTTGACATTTTTCAACATGAAAAAAATCTTTCGCCCACAGTGGTAGCAAAGCTGAAACCGGCCTTTTTGGATGCACGATTGCTTAAAAAGCCCTCCAGATATTTCTTTCTTGATAATTTGATAATCTAAATATATATTTACCATGTAATGACGATGAACTATTAACTAACTCATTTCTGTCACACTGTTGCATTGTGGTCATGTAGGGTGTCAATAAAGACTCGTACCTCATCCTTGAGAAGTTGCCAACAGAATATGATTCACGAGTGAAGGCGATGGAGCTTGATGAAAGACCAACAGAACAGTATAGTGACATTGGGGGACTTGACACACAAATACAAGAGGTAGTGGGGACTGGGGACGAAGGATGTTTGTTATAGTGATATTGGAGGACTTGACCGTTGACCTGACACACGTGCAAAAGAGACTGGGGATGAAGTATGTTTGTTATTGAATACGCACTCGCGAGTCTCCTGATCAATCGTATTTTTATATTACTGTCTTGCAAAAAGCTGTCTTGTTTGCATCGTGTGTAGTCAATGGTCTAGTCCTCCATTATCACTATAACGTAGCGCGCAACGAACGTTCTAACTTTTCAACCTACTACATGCATGGAAAAGTATTGTGAATTTAACTTCAGCCAATACGATATAAAGTGAATAACTTCAGTCAGATGATTAAGTCGAACATTCATGTACGTAGACTAAAGATGAATGTAGATGTAGATCGTCCAGGTTGGTATAGTCCTGAGAAGGACTGTTTTTGTTATTGTTGACTATATAGTGATATATAGTGACTATATAGTCAACAACAAAAAAAACAGTCCTTCTCAGGACTATACCAATCTGGACGATCTACATTTACAAACATGTAACGATACTCCCGGGCTCAAACCATTTACTTTATTACTAAAGATGAACTCGTCTAACTTTTTTATTGTTATAGCTCATCGAAGCTTGTGTTCTTCCTCTAACCCACAAAGATCGTTTTGAAAACTTAGGAATTAAACCGCCTAAAGGTAAATGACGTCATCTTTCAGTCGACATTGATAAGCGACCTCGTAATGGTTGTCAAGCGGTTTTGTCCCTGTTTCATTGTCAGGTGTTTTACTTTACGGACCACCCGGTACTGGTAAGACTTTGATGGCAAGAGCGTGTGCTGCACAAACCAAGGTATGTCATGTCTTCGCTATTCTATTAATGGAGAACTCGTGAAGTATTTGGGGGGGGGCTGGTATTATGGCGACATATTTTATCGATATTATATCGCATTAAATTCGGTATATACATTTTTTTCATCTTTTATGTATTGTAGTCAACATTTTTGAAGCTTGCTGGACCTCAACTGGTGCAGGTATGTACATGTATATTTTGATGAATGAATGATACGTGATCACTCCTCCCTCCCCCCCCTCTGTTTCCGCCATATTCGATATCTTTCAAATACGTAAAGCTGTTTTTTTTCGTTCCGATTATATTTTTGTTTTGTATACCTCCTAGATCAATTACGTAGTTCCTTGTGTATAGGAAAGCAGCGTAGAACATGTGTATTCATATGGTCCAATTTACAAATAACTAACCATGAACGAAAAAAGCTTTTCGTGGTCTAAAAGAAAAATAAATTTTAATTTTAAGGACTCGACAACTAAGGACTAATGTTAACGATTCAATGACGTTTCCTTTTATGATTTATTCTTGCATATCAAACATTTTCATTTTCCATAAAAGAATTTTTGCCGACCTCGATAATTCATGATTTAGATGTTTATTGGTGACGGAGCGAAGCTTGTCCGTGACGCATTTGCCTTGGCGAAAGAAAAAGCGCCCGCGATCATTTTTATTGATGAACTAGATGCTATCGGAACGAAGAGATTTGATAGCGAGAAAGCTGGTGATAGAGAGGTACATATGTTCACAGAGGTAGAGTAGAGGGTCATCTGTCATGGAGATACAGCATTTCCTCTCCCAAATGGAAGTGTGTTTACCATTTCACCTGACATTAGCTTATCAAAAGCTGAAACAAGTGGATCTCTGTTCAATCAAACGCGTTGTGTACAATTTTATTGCATCTTGTTCATTCTAGTGCATGAAATACGTTACAGCAGTTTCACGCGATTCGTGACCCCTATCCGTATTCTATAATGAAAATACTGAGTGTAATCGAAGTTTGTTTTATGTCGGATTAAGGTTCAAAGAACTATGTTGGAGTTGCTAAATCAAATGGATGGCTTCAGTTCTCAGTTGGATATAAAGGTGATTCGGGAGGACAAATTTTTTCCAAACTGTAAAAAATTCTTTACCATTGTCCCATTCGTCTATCTCAGGTTATCGCTGCAACGAATCGTGTTGATATTCTTGATCCAGCTCTATTGAGATCAGGTAAAGCAGGCGATAACATTCTTGACTGCCACGCACCACCTAAGTTTGATCGTTCAAATACCACTTTCAAATTAATTTTTCGGTATTTCTCAATGTCGACGCCATCGTATCAATTCGCTCGGGGTTGATGAATGACGATGAAAAGTATTTGCAATCGAGATAAGTCTCTCGATGATCCCTCTCAAATTGTGCGTTTCTAGCCACGCGTGCTCCAATCTATCAAAACACAACGCAGTCTTTTTCTTGGTCTCACGTGCCTAATTTTATGACAAAATTCGCAGTGTTAGAATACTTAAGTTTTGAGAACTTTCTGTATCGTTTGAGTACTTTGAATGAAAACAGTTGAAGCGTTTTGATGCAGTTCTGGAGCCCCTCGTTATAGCCTGGTAACTAATACATAGAGCAGTGGTCAGCGAATATTACCAAGTGCTCTCACTTGCCTATAGAACGGCATTCGCCTTGAGTGATTCTTATATAGATTTCCCAACATCATGTCTTGGCTGCATGGTCATTTGAAAATCCTGTCTCATCCATCACCATCTCTTGTTTCAGGTCGTTTTGATCGTAAAATCGAGTTTCCACATCCCAATGAAGAAGCTAGAGCTAGAATTTTACAAATTCATTCAAGGAAAATGAACGTGAGGTATTCCTTTCATGAATGATGAGCACTATCTTTATTTTGAGAGGGCGATTTGTGCGAATATTTATGTATTTGTTATAGCATTATAGATAAAATGATGTGCATATAGAATTCACCGCACTTTTCCCATTTTTTCGAGACTTTTTCAACCGTTTCTAAGTTCCTGCGTGCGACTCTTGTATAGAGTGTTTTTGCCTCAAATCGTCAGCCGCGATCTCTTGTGGAATGACGATCTGCGAACTCAGAAACATCAAACATTGATCGGATGTTGTCCTATCTAGTGAACTATTTTGTCACGTTCTCGTATCATTAGCCGGATCTTGTGCCTCTTCTTCTCTTGTATTTATTATGCGTGCATATTCACAATTCGCTCTGTTAAGTTTTTTTTTTCGTTCATTTTCAGCTCTGATGTGAACTATGAGGAATTGTCACGATGCACAGATGATTTCAATGGCGCACAATGCAAAGCTGTTTGCGTTGAAGCGGTGAGATGCGAATGCATGTCTCTCGCCTTCGTATTTGCTGAGTGTTTCTTGACTAAAACCAAAGTCTTTTTGTATTGTTGTACGCATTCTGTTGATTATTTTACTGTTCGAGGCGAAATTCCCGCAAGTAGCCTCAAAGACATCTGTTTCCTTTCTCTATTGCAGGGAATGATCGCTTTGAGACGAGGAGCCGTCGAGGTTGGCCATGAAGATTATATGGATGGTAAGAATTGCTAAAAATATCTTTAAAAGCGTAATATCTCAAGCGGTAGTAATTGTTACATCGAACACGCATTGTTACTGAAGTCTTGATTGTAGTTAATTGCCATTTTCTATATCAACAAAATACAATGACATCATTGGCGTCATGGTTTGCTCTAAAGCAACTAAATCAAAGATGCATTTTCCATTTTTAGGCATACTGGAAGTCCAAGCAAAGAAGAAAGCAAATTTGGCGTATTACGCCTAGAGGAAGAGCAGATGGTAAAGTGATGTTTAGGAATTTGTTTGCAATATAAATATCGTGAAGCATTTACGAGGACGTCTTTGACAACTTAAGCGTTGATTGTTTGAAACGCTTTTGTTTACAGAGTATTTCGCGAACTACTATTTTGTATTAATGAGGAACAATAACTTTGTTTGCGACACACGAAAAACGTAAAATGTGACGCTGGAGAATTTTACCAAAATCGTCTCTTTATTTGAATTTTTCATTCGAGTATAATATATACATACTTTCTCACCTTTCATACAACGAAAGTTACTTCAAACTCATAAAAACTGAGCATTAATAGATTTTCCCAACAGAATGCTAACATGTGCATGGCCATCTTCAGTCATTGTATAAGCACCATACGTCACTTAGGGAGTGCAAGGTATTTCTTGTCTGGATACAAAGATTGATGTTGATTTCTCAGTTAGAATCTTAACTTACTGTCCGCCCTTTTACTCTATCGGGGGGAGAGTGTTTTCCGGAATGGTTTTAGTTGAATGGCGAATCAATGACGTGAGATGACCTTTAGTATGTTAGCTTTCTGTGTTTATACGCTCTCCTAAAATCAAGAGAAACATACGTAACATAAACAAAGTCTGATTTTTATAATCGGCTCTAAGGTGCAATGAATTGCTGTAAATCTTCAAACCAGCGGTCGTCGTCCTGAAGTTCATTGAGAACATCATCAAGTGAGACCGCCGCCGTATCTGATTGTGTTGTCGTATTTTTAAGACACGAGGAATTTTGGTGGACGACGACAGTGCAATCAGTTTGTGTTGTTGACTTAATGCAACTGTGATTTTTCATGAGGTTTTGGAGTTCAGCGATCTCCTTTTTCAATTTAATGATCTCCTTTTGCAATCCTTGATTTTTTTGATCGTAGTTCTCTATTTTCTACGCGAAAAAAGATTCCGGTCAAAATCGTTGTGTCGACACTCGTTTACATTGAGTGTAATTCGATGAAGATAATGTGTGACTTCTATCGCTTACCTCTCGGTACTTTTGCATCACTTTTCGTTTCTTTAAGCGGCATTTCTTCGCCGCTTCACGGTTCTTTTCCCGTCGTACTCGCATATCTTCGGGGATTTCACCTTGTAAAGGCTATAATATCGTAAAGAAAACCAAGTTTCACAATGCTTTGTTAGCTTGCGAAAATTAGCCGCCATCAATTTTCAAAATCCGTTTACCTTACGTCTTTTTTTCGGCACAATTCTAAAATTATCGATGACCGGCATAAATTGTCCTTTTTTTATTCTTTTAACTCGTATAGCTTGCTGTAGTAAATCCTTACACGGTCTTGGCTTCGTTGTCGCCTGTCAATATGGATAACATAAATATCTCTAATTGTATATTCAACTTCTTTCAATCAAAATATTTCCTTCCATTCATTTTCTACTTCTAAAATAGTTCATAGTGCTAAGTACTACTAACCCAGTTCGATAAATAACTCATTCCACCCACTCTCAAACACTGGCTTTCGTGTATTGGCAGCACAGAGTTGCAATCCAAGTGAAAGCCGTTGCAATTTTCTGGTGATGAGCTACAGTTAAAGTTCAGAGCGTTGTTTCCATTTGGCAGAAAGTCGTAATTCAACTGGGACTGCGCTTCGAAGGTTTCCATCATTCTGTCGGTATCCTCGTACGGTAGTATTCGCTATCTGCTCTCTTCGCTGTCGTTGGCATTTAACTAAAGTGGTGTCGAGTTGTATCAACTTATAAACAAAAACTTTTTGGACTTTCCCAAAAATACTCTTCCAGGAAAACCGATAACGATCAACGTATTCGCCGGATGCTTTAATTGCCGCCGCTACTAGCTTAGAAAGAAATGTTACGCGTGTAAAACATATGTCGCTCAAAGAATTCTTTGTTTTTGTTGTAAATTGAAATTTTACTTATAGCTAAATCATCGCGGCAGGATTGTCGTTGCAGAACCGGAGTATTTTGTTGGAGTAATTGAGCGAGTTTGGTACATTTGCATTTTGTTGATTTTCACTTCCGACTTCCACTTCAGGGGTTTGTCGAATTGCAAGATACTATTTATAAATCCCCTAATTACGTAATGCTATAGTTCGGTTCGAAATAAATTCATTATTATCAAACGAAGATGAATTACAAGAATTGAGCCCTAGTCTCTAGAAACCCATTTACTTTCTAATCCTACGTTCCTGCCCCTACTTGAACGTTTTATAGTTAGAAGTTTTCTACGAATTGTTCGGTTTATGCAATTGAGTTATAAATCTACGTAGTTTTGAGATACATGAAATATTTTTGGAGCTGCAGAAAACTCTTGGAGTTGTGGTTAAGTAGGACCTTAAGAACACGTGTAGCGATGTAAGCTGATTACGGTAAGTCTGTTTCGATGTTGTCGATAAGGATTTATCATCACCCGCATTCACCCCATACGAAATATATTTTAGGTATGTCGTAAGCCTTGAATGCCATGGCGGCGTTAATCCGGACGCTGATCATCACGAAATTCTGTACTATTCGAATTTTCGAAATGAACTGTTTTAAGGCATTCATATTATGCATTGGTTTGTGCTTGTTAAACACGAAATGCAGCGAAAAACCTCTAATAAAAATTTAATGCCAAAGAGACGAATACAAGCAAAATACCTGTTACTTTAAGATGAATACAGAAATTCTCATAACCCTATTTCCCACGTTAATTGGTTAATATGTAAAAAGACTTTTACTATTGGCTCGTGTTGTATTTGTGGTTTTCGCGTCCGAATCAAACGCATGCGCGCACTGCATGTAAACAAAAAATCGAACTCCCACGCTATGTAAAGTTTAAGCGTTGTGGCTGTTTAAATGCACTTTTCTCTTTGTAAGCGGGTTTTGTTATGGGAAAGAAGATTGTCGTGACTTTAGTTTCTTTGCTTGTTGCCGTCTTTGCTTACATTTACCCTACTTTAAAGCGAAATTATGTGAAATTTGTTCATCCGAAAGTTATTTTAGCTGTCAAATTTGGCAAATGGGTAGCGAATTTCACGATTTTTGGCAGATACATTCCCTGGCGATTTGTACTGCCTGTGGCTGGTGTTCTCTTGTTATTGCTGTACATCAGGGTGAGTGAAAAACGTTTCTTAACAGCGAAGGGACAACTATAAGCTTGTAGTATGAGTAAATACAATATTATGCGATTAGTTCCTGATGTTTGCACTTAGAGTTCAAGTAGTAAATTTTTATCTGTTACGTCGAAAAATTCCTATTCCCATGGAATATTTTGAAACATTTTTGCTTAAATTAAATACAATATGTTTGCCACTGCAACAAAATTAGTTTATCTTGTCTTAATTTGCTACCTAATTATTATTCACGAATGACGTACGAATTTAACGACGCGAATCGTGTGACTATAATCCATTCTTACCCGTATAGCGACGAAGGAAAAAATTACGAAAACTCAAAGAAGAAGAAGAGAGGAAAAAAGCCGAGCGTGCTGCTCAGTACAAAGCCCTCGGGAGTCCCGTTTTGACTCCAGAGCAAGGTTCGTGTTTCTGTGAATTCTGCTAATGTTGGATGTAATTACCAGAGGCGCGTATTATGGGGGCGTTTGGCGGTTTCAAAACCCACAGGTTTTGTAAAATGTACATAAAAAGTTGGTTAAAAAGAGGAGAAAAGAGTAGTTCAGGCTTGTGGACTTTTATATCAAATACAAACTCTGTAAAATTCAGTCCCAAAATGTAGAACACTCCCAAAAAAATTTTTGGATGTGCACTTTAGGTTAATATTTTTTATTTTTCTGTGTTTGGTTATTCTCATGTGATATGCATCCCTTTTGCCATTTGTTTAATTGATTTTTGTGAAGTTGCCTATGGGAGGTGGTGGTGACCCGCTTTTCTCTCATTTTTAATATTATCCCGAGTGTGAGTTTGTTAGAATCTGTTAGCCAAGCCTGATGTTGAGAAATCATCTGATATGTTGAGTGCTAAGATTAAAAATATGTCGACTTATGTAAGACGCATGCGTAAGGAAGTTGGTAAGAAGTACGAACGGAATAATGACGGTAACCATACTAACTTAGTTTATATTCTCCTTCGTTGGAAAGTAAGCCTCGTTCTGGTGTTCAAAGTTTTTTTTTGTTAGTATTTGCACAGTGTAAATTGTATGTCGTTGTGAATACGATATCCGTATACACCTTGTTTATGATCTCGATTCTGGGCACTAATCTCGATTTGGAATCGTATATTGCATCCAAAACACCTGCCTGGTTTTGCAAAGCCGGCTGTTGTTTTTTGTCTCGTTGAAAATTATGGGGAACGTGTGAATGTCTAATATTTGGAGGAACTTGTAGTATTTAACAATATTTATCGAAGAAGCTATTCATCCGGAATGGAAAAGGATTCTTTGGATCAAGGGTTTACACTTCTTTTGACTGAGTTGACGTACGAATTGATTCGAAGTAAGCGTCTGTTCATAATAACCGTTGTCATAGGGCTTATGCTTTTCAGTTCATATTTCATCATACATAGTCTTTCTTTTTCTCCGAAAGATCAAAGTTCTAGTTATCAGTGTTGATTTAGGACTTGCATGGTTGAGAAGAGTATCCGAGGCTTCGAATCTCGACAATTTAATCCCCGCTAATGACGAGAATGATACAGTCTGAAATAAAACGAAGAATGTTTTCGTTAATTATATAGCGCAGATTGACTAGTCTATCGGTGTTTTTTTTGCAAATGAAGAAGTGTTGAAGCTTCACACTAAAAACTATTCCCGACATCATTCAGTCTGGCTGTCTTTATGATACCAATCATATGTCATATTTTCAGCACAAAAACACCTTGCTGATCTTCAGAAGCGACTGGATACGACGGAACGCACGATGCAACTGGTGATGAAGCAAATGGAGACTGTCACACAGTGTCTTGCGAGAACTTTGGAAAACGATGCATCGGGAGACGCATCGGAAATCAACGATGGGCTCAAACTCATGAAAGAAAGTAACGTATGAAGATTCGCGGACATTGTGTAGCTAGATAGATATTTTTTGTAATGTCAATTTTTTTCGGTAAATTATTGAATAAGTTGTAGGTGAAGTGTTGTATTTATAATCTGTTATAACCGAGTTTAAGTGAATATGATAGACGAATTTTGTAACTAGGGAGACTTTCTGTCGAGCTTAGATTTTCATTTAGATTTTACGCGCGCAATAGTACGATAAAAGTGCCAAAATGTTCATCATTAGGCTGGAAAATTTTCACGTATTCGGCCTTTAATCGTATGGTCTTCGTTTGCGGAAGAATTTAAGCGACCTTCAACAAAGAGTAGCTGTATGAAATTGCACAAAGAAACATTTAATTTGTAAATATTTATCTATTAAATATTTATCCATCGTGTAGTGTAATTAAAGTATAATCTCATTAAATTATTTCTTATATATAGCTAATGACTCGATTAAAACGTTTCAGATTTGTTGTGAAAAAATATGAGACGATAGCAGCGACTGAAATCATATCATGTTCCACATGCGGCAAATTTTGGATATTTTTTTTTTGGAAAAAGTGCTCTTGAACAGCATATCATGCAATGGCTTGACAACTTTCCCTCCGAAATTTAAGTCTAAAAGCTCCAAATGTCATTCAAAATACGTCGTTTTTCAGCAACACTGTCAACACTCCATACCGTTCCTTGTTTTTCTAGGTAAAGATGATTTGTCAATTGATTTGTTGAAAATGTATTTTCCAAACTGAAACCAGTGCTTTATAGAGAGTGTCAAGTAATTTTTTGACAGTCGACTTATAACGGAAGTCGGATCATTTTCTATTTCAACGAACATCTTTATGTAATGCTTCATAAAAGGATAATGAGTTGATTCTTTCAACAACAGTTCTTCTTTGCTGGTGTTTTTTAATCTCTTTGTTTAAAAGCTATAGAAACCTCGACAGTTTCCTTCCTTAAATTTTTTTAATGTTTCACTTTTTCTTTTAAACGCCGTTCCAATTGAGAAAAATGCAAGATAGTAGTGCCAAGCAAGACATGGAAAGATGACAAAAACTGTAATGAAATCGAAAACTAATGTCAGAAATCTAGTGGAAAATGAGACACCGAAAATAATTTGGAAACTCGTATCGAGCTAGGTGAAATGTTGATTGCTCTGGCTGGGGGAAACTGAGAGCGAAGCGAATGGCAAATGCTCTTCGGTAAATGTTTAAGATATTTTTGGCACTTGAATAATGATACTGTATAACAGCAATACGTGTTATTATTTGTTACTATGGATAACAATCGTGATAAAAATCCGAAAAAATATTCAAAATTGTGTACAACAATAATAACCGTCATAACAACTCTCTCTATGTGTATAACTTACTTTCCATAATTGCGGGCTCGTATTTCATAGTTCTAGATATGGTTCTTTATTCTATGGAATTGGTGGAATAATCAGCGGTCAACAACATCAGTCAACAACAGCGAGCCTTATGATGAGCCCCCCTTGAAATCATTATTAATTATAATATTTATCTTTATTGTTTTGAGCAATCGGGAGGGTGTTCAAAAAATGTCTTTGATGCACGTGTGAACAAAAATTGTAACATGGAGGCAATGCCGACCGATATTTTCCCATATGTTTACAAATTTTTGCTGCAAAACAAGTTGCCAAAGACAGCAAAGTGTTTGCTGAAAGAAGTTAAAGAGGTAGAGTGTCCTAGTTCGTAGTTAGTTTCAATGATCAGTCTGATTTAACTTCATACAAGAATATTACATTTTCTTACGGTCAGGATGACTCAGGAACGAATTTTTGAAGGTATCTAATAATGTAATTTCCCAGGGCATTCCTTTCTAATTTCCAACATTTACCTTTTTAAACGCCACCATTTTGAATTTATATTCAAACTATGTGATAAGTATATGCCTGAATACGAATACAATGTTTGATATTTGGACTACCCAATAATTTATTTTCTGCCAGTTTGTCATTAGAAACATCCAGTGAAAGATATCTTAGATGCCTTTAGTGGATGTAGTAGACTATTGTCAACACTTGACCATGTACTGTTTATGTGTATGTGTGCAACCTGTTGACTTGATGTTTATCCATTAGAGAAAAATATCCTTGGTTAAAATAGAATTTAATCCATTACTAGGTGTTTAAAGGCCTTGATATAGATTTTGCCATAGTTGAAGCTAACAGCCAAGAGTATACTTGCTTCACAAGCATTTTGAATAAAAAAAACTGTAGGCCACATTTAGTTCAACTGGAAGAACAACTTGGGCTTGCAAGAATTGAAAAGTGCAATCATATTTTTTATAATTTCAATGGTTGTTTAATTTACTTCACAATTATTTACTTCATTTCTTCTCCTTTAGGAAATTGCAATACCATCAACGACTGACTCGATCGTTGAATGGTATCAAGTGTTTTTAGAGTAAGTTGAAATCATATTCCTAATATGTGCTTGTTATGTAACTACCTTTACACATGTTACAAATTTGTGAGATCTTTATTTGTGATTTCAAGTGTCAGAAAAAACAATAAGAAAAATGAGAAAAAAGTTGCCAAAGCACAGAGGAATGAATCTTCAAGCTCCAGTTCAGAAAGCAGTTCAGAAAGTGAAAATGGTTGGTTTAAATGTTATTGTGCTTTTTTAATAGCTGTTGCAATTGATAATTCAATTGAAACTGAACTCAACATTCTTCCTTTGTTCATTTTGCATTAAACAACATAAAATTGGCGTTTACATACAAGAAGGAGATAAAAGCATCAACAAGTCAAATAGATCACAGGGTATGAAAATGGAAGTTGATGAATCATTTGATAGTGGATCAGCAAGGAATGAGAATGTCACAAAGGGCAAAGAAAATGGCAAAAAGAAGCAATTGAAGCCAAAAGCTTTGAGCAGTAAACGAAATAATGTTAAGAAAAAAAATGATAGCTCAGCATCAAGCAGTGATGATAGTAGTGATGACAGTGACGATGATGAGAAAATCATTGAGGGCAAAACAAAGGAAGACATGAAAAATTTGGCTAGGAATAAAGAGAGAAAAACAGTCATTATGAAAGTTGGAAAAAATAATGAAAAAAAAGCAACGAAGAAAGGGACTGTGACAAAGGCGAAGGAAGAAGAATCCAGCAGTGATTCATCTGAGGATAGTTCAAAAGATGAGGGTAAGGCGAATACTGGAAAAAAAAACAACAAAAGATTGTAACAAAACGAAGGAACAAGAATCTAGCAGTGATTCATCTGAGGATAGTTCTGAAGATGAGGGCAAGCGAATGCTGGAAAACGATGAAAACAACCAACAAAGAAAGGATTGTAACGAAAGGAAAATCCAGCAGTGATTCATCTGAGGATAGTTCTGAAGATGAGGGCAAGGCGAATGCTGGAAAATGATGAAAACAACCAACAAAGAAAGGGATTGTAACAAAGACGAAGGAACAAGAATCTAGCAGTGATTCATCTGAGGATAGTTCTGAAGATGAGGGTAAGGCGAATGCTGGAAAAAATGATGAAAAACAACCAACAAAGAAAGGGATTGTAACAAAGACGAAGGAACAAGAATCTAGCAGTGATTCATCTGAGGATAGTTCTGAAGATGAGGGGCAAATGCGAATGATGAAAAAAACCAACAAAGAAAGGGATTGTAACAAAGACGAAGGAACAAGAATCTAGCAGTGATTCATCTGAGGATAGTTCTGAAGATGAGGGTAAGGCGAAAAAAATGATGAAAACAACCAACAAAGAAAGGATTGTAACAAAGACGAAGGAACAAGAATCTAGCAGTGATTCATCTGAGGATAGTTCTGAAGATGAGGGCAAGGCGAAAAAAATGATGAAAACAACCAACAAAGAAAGGGATTGTAACAAAGACGAAGGAAAAAGAATCCAGCAGTGATTCATCTGAGGATAGTTCAGAAGATGAGGGCAAGGCGAATGCTGGAAAAAATGATGAAAAACAACCAACAAAGAAAGGGATTGTAACAAAGACGAAGGAACAAGAATCTAGCAGTGATTCATCTGAGGATAGTTCTGAAGATGAGGGCAAGGCGAATGCTGGAAACAACGATGAAAAACAACCAACAAAAAACAGGACTGTGACAAATACGAAGGAAGAAGATTCTAGTAGTGTTTCATCTGAGGATGGTTCTGAAGATGAGGGCAAGGCGAATGCTGGAAAAAATGATGTAAAACAACCAACGAAGAAAGGGATTGTGACAAAGACGAAGGGAGACGAATCTAGCAGTAATTCATCTGAGGATAGTTCTGAAGATGAGGGCAAGGCGAATGCTGGAAAAAATGATGAAAAACAATCAACAAATAAAGGGATTGTAACAAAGCCGAAGGAAGAAGAATTCAGCAGTGATTCATCTGAGGATAGTTCAGAAGATGAGGGTAAGGCTAATGCTGGAAAAAATGATGAAAAACAACCAACAAATAAAGGGATTGTAACAAAGACGAAGGAACAAGAATCCAGCAGTGATTCATCTGAGGATAGTTTAGAAGATGAGGGCAAGGCGAATGCTGAAAAAAACGATAAAAAACAAGAAACGAGGAAAGAGACTGTAAAAAAAGCAAAAGAAGGCGGGAAAACAAAAGGACTGAAAAGAAAACGAACAAGTTCAGATGATGACAGTTCTGAAGATAGCGAGACTCAAGCGAAGGGTAAATACCTTTCGAAAAGGTATTGTGAGACTTTTTGATTGTAATAACGACATTAATAGAATGTAACTTCACCAGCTGTCCTAATAAAATGTTTCATATTTTTTTAATGTAGCGAGATGTCCACGAACAGTGAAACTACTGATTTCTCTGTAAGATTTTCCCTTCATTTTCAATGTCGCAATAAATACTTGAATGCGATCCATGTGATCAACAGATCATTAACCTGTTTATTTCTATTTTCATTGCAGTTCAATAAAAATCACAGTTTAAACAGTCTCAGTAAGTTGCAAGAGTTAAACTTTCTTTGGATTTGTTTCTTTTTCCAGTTTTAGAAATACAGTTGAGCCCTCACAACTCGAACTCGTTTAAGCTCGAACTCCCGCTAAGCTAACTCAAAGTAAATCCAATCCCACTCCGTCCGCGGGCAACTATCTCTCGATAGCGCAAAACGCGTTTAAGGGTGAATCTCAAGGGTTGGAATTTTATCAGTCGAAAGTGTACATTCGACTTGAAGTGTAAATAAACAAGAAAATTGCTAATTCTTTCTTCATTGGGGTTTGGTTACTGTGTATTTTATTGTTTTGAACCATAAAGATTTTCTTCTATAATGCGATCCTAAAATTGTACGCTATAATGTAACCAGGCATGGAGATTGTGTGCTCATTGGAATCAATTTATAGATACGTCCACTCCAAATACCACAGCGAAGCCGGCAAAGAAAGCGAAACAGAGTGTTTGTATTAAATTTTGGTCGTATTGAAGTCTACGTTCATGTTCTCTGTTTCATAAATATCTCTTTTGCAGAACACTGCTCCATCGCCATTTCGAAGAGTTGTCTCAGAAAGCATAATCGTCGACGCCAAACTTAAGGATAACAGTTTCGAAGCGAAGGTTAGGATGGAATTATGGATGATTGTAGAAAAGCTAATACGTATATAGAAGAAAGGAAAGCTAAGAATTATCTTGAAACCCAAGATTCCGTACCTCATACACAGTTGAGAGTAATAATTTCTCGGATCGTTATCTCATATTTTTAGCCTTATTGGTATTTCTATTTTTAACTCTGTCACCATTTTTCTCCTTTAGAAAGGATCTACCGGTAGCTGGGGAGAAAAAGCCAACAAAGATCTAAAATTTGTTAAAGGTAATTGCTCATTTTATTTAGTTCAGTTCTTCATGAATAAGAGATGGCCACAGGGCTTAAATTTTCATGGCATATGTTTGATTACCACTTTTAAGAAAATGAAAATAAGTAATGACATGTTTGTTATTTTAATAACTGTGTATGTATAGCTTTTTTTGATGGTTTCAACTGAAACTAATTATGCTGTTTCGGTAATGAATCTCGCAAAAATTTCATTATGCTATGCTTTTCTGAGTGATATGCCAAAGTTGATTTGTGAAGATCAAAGCTGCACAGAAATCAAAAAAATATTTATTTGACAACAAAAAAAGTCTTTCATCAACTTTGTTTGCACAGGCTTATGAAAACCGAAAGTCCGAGACCGAAGGTCGAGGGTTGCACCTGCTAGTGAGTTCTCACAAACATCTCCGAGGTTTGCATGAGCCTGTGGATACACGAAAAGCATCTTTCATTTCTTTAAAGGCGAATTCGTTAGAATTGAAAAATCAGCATTGATACAAGTTATGTCGTTGAAATAAAAGCCAGTTGTATGGTACTGTTTCTCTCGTAGGCAAATCTTTCAGACATGAGAAGACGAAGAAAAAGCGGGGTAGTTATCGTGGGGGACAAATTGATAAAACTGTGAATTCGATCAAATTTGACAGTGATTGAGGTTTTTTGTTTTCATGTATTATAAAACGATGAATATTTTATGTTGTATTTTGCAATATGGTGAACTTTTTAGTCAATAATCCAGTATGTATGGAATATACAACTCTATTTACTTGTTTGGTGTATTTTGTCCATTACTACATTTATCATTGTGGAATGTGGATGCTAAGGTGCAGACGACGGGTTGAGCCCGATTCCCATTTAACTACCTTTGAGCATGGGCGCGTATAGTTATCTAAATCATCGACAGCCTGACCCAATATGTCTGCATCTTAATACCCTGAGCTTAATTCGATGTAACATCAAAAAAGAATCAAATATATTATTCTGTTCTCCGATGCAACCTGTTGATAATGACAGCTTGATGATATGTCAATTACATGCAGTATACATAGCATGGATATGTTTCTTGTTTTCAGTCTGCGCGTCCCTTTCCTAACTGTACTGTACTTTTTCTCATTAAAAGTGAGTGGACAGTTAATTCCGACACGTTGAATCTATACGTCTAATTTTATGCACTGTAATCTAGTAAAAATCCCGAGTATCGTTGTCACGTTGCAATTGATATCCAAAGACTTCCTAAGAATCCTATTTCTCGCTTTCGTTTCCAGCCCCCACCCCCACCACATGATAGAAATTCGTCTCTGCCAATCCATTTTTCCCAGAAATTGGCCTTAGAAGTAAAAAAAATCCCCAGGCTTATTTTCTAAAGTAGAAAAAACCCCAACTGCCAAGAAAAAATTCCCCAAAATTACACCCCAGGTTGGTAGCTTTGTGACGTATAAATATCAATTGTTGTTTACGGTTCACAGTTCCGTGGACTTTAATTCCCCGATAACCGCATGACTCGCAGTCTGTATGTTACTCATAAACGCATTACAATTTCTCCAAAATAAGCACTCGAAAATTCAGCAGGTTTTCTTATTCTGGAATTGAAAATGTCTTTGATGCAAGCGACGTGTTTTATAGGAACACTTTATTCGTGTTATCTTTCCTTCACGCTTATTAAGTTTGTTCTATCTGTGTTGAAAACGATGCTTCTTGGTGGCTCAATCGAGTTTCGTCGATATGGTAGCTGGGCAGGTAAATGATTTGTGCCGCGTTGAATTTATTTGTTCATTGAATTGTGCCGTGTGTATCGCAGTCGTGTAAGTTTTTTTTCAATGTACGTAGTCGTTACTGGATGCACCGACGGTATTGGTAAGGAATATGCGAGACAGGTATGTGTTGCAAATAAAAACATAAATTAACAGAACCTCACAGAACTCTTCATGCTGACAGTGAGTAATTTTACAATAGCTGGCGGCCAAAGGACTCAACATAGTTCTCATGAGTCGTACAAAAGAGAAACTTGAGGCAGTTGCAGTTGAAATTGGTAAATATGTGGCTGTGTTTGCATGACTGCAAGTTCAAGCACTCGAAAATTTCTAAAATAAACGTTTGCATTTACCAGGAAGATTTGTTTGCATCCTCAATATCTTATTAAAAAAAGTCTTTCTCTTAGTGTCTAAACTCTGACATTCAACAGGATTCATTGCTGGCAAAATTTATGGGATAATTTGTAACCTTGACAGTAACAGCTAGCTATTTCTCTTGATAGAGAAAGACTACAATGTTGAGACAAAGATAATTCAAGTGGATTTTTCTGGTGGACATGAGATTTATGATGCAGTATTGAAGGAATTAGATGGATTAGATATTGGAGTTTTAGGTTTGTTGACAATATTCTGCTATGGTCATTGGACTTGAGAAATTTGGGTCTGAGAGGGAAGGACAATGTATATGGTCTTAGGATCTTTGAAAATAAATGACACATTCACCTGGAAAATTTCTTCTCATTTTATGCCAAGTTTTCGTAAACATTGTTGTTTCTTTATGTAGTTAATAATGTCGGAGCCTCTGTTTCTTTCCCGGAATATTTTCATGATATTTCCGTTGAGGTATGTGAGCCATGATGTGCTTGTTGATGATCATAATTACATTGATGCTATGCCACTAATTAAAAGGGATAAAACACCAACAAATTCAAAAAATTTGCCACTTTCATCTGTTGACAGAATGCTTATTGCTCTTTGTTCATATTCATGACAAATAAATGTGCTGTGTTCTATTCAAAGGCAGATCAAAAGAATGGCATTAGGGGTGGTCACCTAGGGCCTTGCAAAACTATTTTTTATGGATATACCGCCTTCATGTTGCTACAGCAACACCAAAAAATCTGAACACGGAAGACCGAATTTGTCAATGCAACATGAGCCTTCATGCCCAGTTTCAAGTGCTTCCCTTAAGTGTTGATTTTGTATTTTGTTATGGATTCTGAATCGGATCAAATTTCACATTGGTAAAATAAATTGCAAGAAAACTTTTGACTAATTGTTGTAAGGAGGTCATTATAGAAAAATACTCTTATAAAATGCTTAGTGAGTTGTTTCAAAATAAGGCAATAACTTTCTAATGAAATTACTACATCAGACTACTGTCATTTTTTGTCAATCAGTTGGAAGGTGTATGTCTACTTTTGTGCTATTTGTGCATCCTTCAATATCCTTAAGTATCCAACATTGGCCAACTAATTTTGAATTCATGTGATAATTGTCTTTGAAAGGTCATTTGGAGACAGGTGAATGTCAATGTCATGTCGTGTGCAATGGTGAGGTGTTTTTCTTTGGTAAATATTTGTTTACAAAGTAGCAAAAGGTAATTTTTTTTTTTTTGCCACAGTTGACTCGAATGATCATACCATCAATGCTTGAAAGGTAAGAAGTCATCATTTGTAAAGTATTAAACCATCAACTGTTTTGATATTTAATGTTATTTTGTCTTACTTTCAGTCTACTTCTTCTTTTAGAAAGAAAGGCATCATAATCAATGTATCATCAGCCAGTGGCCAATTCCCTATGCCACTAACTGGTGCTTATGGGGCTACTAAGGTACACTTGAGGATGATTGTGTTGTCAATGATTAGGTGGCTAGGATTTTTTCAGCCTACAGCCTTGGTAAATTTTTTGACAAATTTTATTTACATTATAGTCATTTGTGGATAGATTCTCGAAAAATTTACACAATGAGTACAATGATAAAGGCTTGATTATTCAGGTACGGATCTTTCTATTGATATTCAAAGGGTATTGAAATGTGTTTGGGGGTATCTTGTCAATGGCAATGGTGTTGTATTACGTATGTATGATTTGCAGGGATTATATGCCATATTGTTGTCTATCATAAAGATTGAATGTTATACTATAGGGAGTGTATGATGTACTGTAGTCATTCATAGAAATTGTATGTTATATTGTAGTCAGTCATAGAGATTGTATGTTTTACTGTAGTCAGTCATAGAGATTGTATGTTATACTGTAGTCAGTCATAGAGATTGTATGTTATAGTGTAGTCAGTCATAGAGATTGTATGTTATAGTGTAGTCAGTCATAGAGATCGTATGTTATATTGTAGTCAGTCATAGAGAATGTATGTTATACTGTAGTCAGTCATAGAGATTGTATGTTATACTGTAGTCAGTCATAGAAATTGTATGCTATAGTGTAGTCAGTCATAGAAATTGTATGTTATACTGTAGTCAGTCATAGAGATTGTATGTTTTACTGTAGTCAGTCGTAGAGAATGTATGCTATACTGTAGTCAGTCATAGAGATTGTATGTTATACTGTAGTCACTCATAGAGAATGTATATTATACTGTAGTCAGTCGTAGAGATTGTATGTTATACTGTAGTCAGTCATAGAGAATGTATGCTATACTGTAGTCACTCATAGAGATTGTATGTTATACTGTAGTCACTCATAGAGATTGTATGTTATACTGTGGTCAGTCATAGTGAATGTATCTTATACTGTAGTCAGTCATAGAGAATATATGTTATACTGTAGTCAGTCATAGAGAATGTATATTATACTGTAGTCAGTCATAGAGATTGTATGTTATACTGTAGTCAGTTGTAGAGAATGTATGTTATACTGTAGTCAGTCATAGAGATTGTATGTTATACTGTATTCAGTCATAGAGAATGTATGCTATACTGTAGTCAGTCATAGAGATTGTATGTTATACTGTAGTCACTCATAGAGAATGTATGTTATACTGTGGTCAGTCATAGAGAATGTATGTTATACTGAAATCAGTCATAGAGAATGTATTTTATACTGTAGTCAGTCATAGAGATTGTATGTTATACTGTAGTCAATCATAGAGAGTGTATGTTATACTGTGGTCAGTCATAGAGAATGTATGTTATACTGTAGTCAGTCATAAAGATTGTATGCTATACTGTAGTCAATCATAGAGATTGTATGTTATACTGTATTCAATCATAAAGATTGTATATTATACTGTAGTCAATCGTAGAGATTGTATGCTATACTGTAGTCAGTCATAGAGATTGTATGTTATACTGTATTCAATCATAAAGATTGTATGTTATACTGTAGTCAGTCATGGAGAGTGTATGCTATACTGTAGTCAGTCGTAGAGAATGTATGTTATACTGTAGTCAGTCATAGAGATTGTATGTTATACTGTAGTCAGTCATAGAGAATGTATGCTATACTGTAGTCAGTCATAGAGATTGTATGTTATACTGCAGTCACTCATAGAGAATGTATGTTATACTGTGGTCAGTCATAGAGAATGTATGTTATACTTTAGTCAGTCATAGAGATTGTATGTTATACTGTAGTCAGTCATAGAGAGTTGTGTTTGTAGTCAGTCATAGAGATGTATGTTACTGTAGTCATCAAAGATTGTATGTTATACTGTAGTCAGTCATAGAGATTGTATGTTATACTGTAGTCAGTCATAGAGATTGTATGTTATACTGTAGTCAGTCATAGAGATTGTATGTTATAGTGTAGTCAGTCATAGAGATTGTATGTTATACTGTAGTCAGTCATAGAGATGTATGTTATACTGTAGTCAGTCATAGAGATTGTATGTTATACTGTAGTCAGTCATAGAAATTGTATGTTATACTGTAGTCAGTCATAGAAATTGTATGTTATACTGTAGTCAGTCATAGAGTTGTATGTTATACTGTAGTCAGTCGTAGAGAATGTATGCTATACTGTAGTCAGTCATAGAGATTGTATGTTATACTGTAGTCAGTCATAGAGAATGTATGTTATACTGTAGTCAGTCATAGAGATTGTATGTTATACTGTAGTCAGTCATAGAGATGTATGTTATACTGTAGTCACTCATAGAGATGTATGTTATACTGTAGTCAGTCATAGAGATTGTATGTTATACTGTGGTCAGTCATAGAGAATGTATCTTATACTGTAGTCAGTCATAGAGAATATATGTTATACTGTAGTCAGTCATAGAGAATGTATGTTATACTGTAGTCAGTCATAGAGATTGTATGTTATACTGTAGTCAGTCATAGAGAATGTATGTTATACTGTAGTCAGTCATAGAGATTGTATGTTATACTGTAGTCAGTCATAGAGAATGTATGCTATACTGTAGTCAGTCATAGAGATTGTATGTTATACTGTAGTCAGTCATAGAGAATGTATGTTATACTGTGGTCAGTCATAGAGAATGTATGTTATACTGAAATCAGTCATAGAGAATGTATTTTATACTGTAGTCAGTCATAGAGATTGTATGTTATACTGTAGTCAATCATAGAGAGTGTATGTTATACTGTAGTCAGTCATAGAGAATGTATGTTATACTGTAGTCAGTCATAAAGATTGTATGTTATACTGTAGTCAATCATAGAGATTGTATGTTATACTGTATTCAATCATAAAGATTGTATATACTGTAGTCAATCATAGAGATTGTATGCTATACTGTAGTCAGTCATAGAGATTGTATGTTATACTGTAGTCAATCATAAAGATTGTATGTTATACTGTAGTCAGTCATAGAGAGTGTATGCTATACTGTAGTCAGTCTAGAAATGTATGTTATACTGTAGTCAGTCATAGAATTGTATGTTATACTGTAGTCAGTCATAGAGAATGTATGCTATACTGTAGTCAGTCATAGAGATTGTATGTTATACTGCAGTCACTCATAGAGAATGTATGTTATACTGTGGTCAGTCATAGAGAATGTATGTTATACTGAAATCAGTCATAGAGAATGTATTTTATACTTTAGTCAGTCATAGAGATTGTATGTTATACTGTAGTCAGTCATAGAGAGTGTATGTTTTACTGTAGTCAGTCATAGAGATTGTATGTTATACTGTATTCAATCATAAAGATTGTATGTTATACTGTAGTCAATCATAGAGATTGTATGCTATACTGTAGTCAGTCATAGAGATTGTATGTTATACTGTATTCAATCATAAAGATTGTATGTTATACTGTAGTCAATCATAGAGATTGTATGCTATACTGTAGTCAGTCATAGAGATTGTATGTTATACTGTATTCAATCATAAAGATTGTATGTTATACTGTAGTCAGTTATAGAAAATGTATGTTATACTGTTGTCAGTCATAGAGTGTATGTTATACTGTAATCAGTTGTAGAGACTGTATGCTATACTGTAGTCAGTCATAGAGATTGTATGCCATACTGTAGTCAGTCATAGAGAATGTATGTTATACTGTAGTCAGTCATAGAGAATGTATGCTATACTGTAGTCAGTCATAGAGATTGTATGTTATACTGTAGTCAGTCATAGAGATTGTATGTTATACTGTAGTCAGTCATAGAGAATGTATGTTATACTGTAGTCAGTTATAGAGACTGTATGTTATACTGTAGTCAGTCATAGAGAATGTGTGTTATACTGTAGTCAGTCATAGAGATTCTATGTTATATTGTAGTCAGTCATAGAGAATGTATGTTATACTGTAGTTAGTCATAGAGAGTGTATGTTATACTGTAGTCAGTCATAGAGAATGTATGGTATACTGTAGTCAGTCATAGAATTGTGTTATTGTAGTCAGTCATAGAGATGTATGTTATACTGTAGTCAGTCATAGAGATTGTATGTTATACTGTAGTCAGTCATAGAGAATGTATGTTATACTGTGGTCAGTCATAGAGAATGTATGTTATACTGTAGTCAGTCATAGAGAATGTATGTTATACTGTAGTCAGTCATAGAGAATGTATGTTATACTGTGGTCAGTCATAGAGAATGTATGTTATACTGTAGTCATAGAGAATGTATGTTATACTGTAGTCAGTCATAGTGAATGTATGTTATACTGTGGTCAGTCATAGAGAATGTATGTTATACTGTGGTCAGTCATAGAGAATGTATGTTATACTGTAGTCAGTCATAGAGAATGTATGTTATACTGTGGTCAGTCATAGAGAATGTATGTTATACTGTAGTAAGTCATAGAGAAAGTATGTTATACTGTGGTCAGTCATAGAGAATGTATGTTATACTGTAGTAAGTCATAGAGAAAGTATGTTATACTGTAGTAAGTCATAGAAAATGTATGTTATACTGTAGTCAGTCATAGAGAATGTATGTTATACTGTGGTCAGTCATAGAGAATGTATGTTATACTGTAGTCAGTCATAGAGAATGTATGTTATACTGTGGTCAGTCATAGAGAATGTATGTTATACTGTAGTAAGTCATAGAGAAAGTATGTTATACTGTAGTAAGTCATAGAAAATGTATGTTATACTGTAGTCAGTCATAGAGAAAGTATGTTATACTGTGGTCAGTCATAGAGAATGTATGTTATGCTGTAGTCAGTCATAGAGAATGTATGTTATACTGTAGTCAGTCATAGAGAATGTATGTTATACTGTGGTCAGTCATAGAATGTATGTTATACTGTAGTGAGAATGTATGTTATACTGTGGTCAGTCATAGAGAATGTATGTTATACTGAAATCAGTCATAGAGAATGTATTTCTGTAGTCAGTCATAGAGATTGTATGTTATACTGTAGTCAATCATAGAGAGTGTATGTTATACTGTGGTCAGTCATAGAGAATGTATGTTATACTGTAGTCAGTCATAAAGATTGTATGCTATACTGTAGTCAATCATAGAATTGTATGTTATACTGTATTCAATCATAAAGATTGTATATTATACTGTAGTCAATCGTTTGTATGCTATACTGTAGTCAGTCATAGAGATGTATGTTATACTGTATAATCATAAAGATTGTATGTTATACTGTAGTCAGTCATGGAAGTGTATGCTATACTGTAGTCAGTCATAGAGAATGTATGTTATACTGTAGTCAGTCATAGAGATTGTATATACTGTAGTCAGTCATAGAGAATGTATGTATACTGTAGTCAGTCATAGTGTATGTTATACTGCAGTCACTCATAGAGAATGTATGTTATACTGTGGTCAGTCATAGAGATGTATGTTATACTGAAATCAGTCATAGAGAATGTATTTTATACTTTCAGTCATAGAGATTGTATGTTATACTGTAGTCAGTCATAGAGAGTGTATGTTTACTGTAGTCAGTCATAGAGATTGTATGTTATACTGTATTCAATCATAAAGATTGTGTTTTACTGTAGTCAGTCATAGAGATTGTGTTATACTGTAGTCAGTCATAGAGATTGTATGTTATAGTGTAGTCAGTCATAGAGATTGTATGTTATAGTGTAGTCACATTATATTGTAGTCAGTCATAGAGAATGTATGTTATACTGTAGTCAGTCATAGAGATTGTATGTTATACTGTAGTCAGTCATAGAAATTGTATGCTATAGTGTAGTCAGTCATAGAAATTGTATGTTATACTGTAGTCAGTCATAGAGATTGTATGTTTTACTGTAGTCATTCAGAGAATGTATGCTATACTGTAGTCAGTCATAGAGTTGTATGTTATACTGTAGTCACTCATAGAGAATGTATATTATACTGTAGTCAGTCGTAGAGATTTTATGTTATACTGTAGTCAGTCATAGAGATGTATGCTATACTGTAGTCACTCATAGAGATTGTATGTTATACTGTAGTCAGTCATAGAGATTGTATGTTATACTGTGGTCAGTCATAGTGATGTATCTTATACTGTAGTCAGTCATAGAGAATATATGTTATACTGTAGTCAGTCATAGAGAATGTATTTATACTGTAGTAGTCATAGAGATTGTATGTTATACTGTAGTCAGTTGTAGAGAATGTATGTTATACTGTAGTCAGTCATAGAGATTGTATGTTATACTGTATTCAGTCATAGAAATGTATGCTATACTGTAGTCAGTCATAGAGATTGTATGTTATACTGTAGTCAGTCATAGAGAATGTATGTTATACTGTGGTCAGTCATAGAGAATGTATGTTATACTGAAATCAGTCATAGAGAATGTATTTTATACTGTAGTCAGTCATAGAGATTGTATGTTATACTGTAGTCAATCATAGAGTGTATGTTATACTGTGGTCAGTCATAGAGAATGTATGTTATACTGTAGTCAGTCATAAGATTGTATGCTATACTGTAGTCAATCATAGAGATTGTATGTTATACTGTATTCAATCATAAAGATGTATATTATACTGTAGTCAATCATAGAGATTGTATGCTATACTGTAGTCAGTCATAGAGATTGTATGTTATACTGTATTCAATCATAAAGATTGTATGTTATACTGTAGTCAGTCATGGAGAGTGTATGTTATACTGTAGTCAGTCATAGAGAATGTATGTTATACTGTAGTCAGTCATGTATGTTATACTGTAGTCAGTCATAGATTACTGTAGTCAGTCAGTGAATGTCATTGTATACTGTGGTCAGTCATAGAGAATGTATGTTATACTGAAATCAGTCATAGAGAATGTATTTTATACTGTAGTCAGTCATAGAGATTGTATGTTATACTGTAGTCAGTCATAGAGAGTGTATGTTTACTGTAGTCAGTCATAGAGATTGTATGTTATACTGTATTCAATCATAAAGATTGTATGTTATACTGTAGTCAATCATAGAGATTGTATGCTATACTGTAGTCAGTCATAGAGATTGTATGTTATACTGTATTCAATCATAAAGATTGTATGTTATACTGTAGTCAATCATAGAGATTGTATGCTATACTGTAGTCAGTCATAGAGATTGTATGTTATACTGTATTCAATCATAAAGATTGTATGTTATACTGTAGTCAGTTATAGAAAATGTATGTTATACTGTTGTCAGTCATAGAGTGTATGTTATACTGTAATCAGTTATAGAGACTGTATGCTATACTGTAGTCAGTCATAGAGATTGTATGTTATACTGTAGTCAGTCATAGAGAATGTATGTTATACTGTAGTCAGTCATAGAGAATGTATGCTATACTGTAGTCAGTCATAGAGATTGTATGTTATACTGTAGTCAGTCATAGAGATTGTATGTTATACTGTAGTCAGTCATAGAGAATGTATGTTATACTGTAGTCAGTCATAGAGATTGTATGTTATACTGTAGTCAGTCATAGAGATGTATGTTATACTGTAGTCAGTCATAGAGATTGTATGTTATACTGTAGTCAGTCATAGAGAATGTATGTTATACTGTAGTTAGTCATAGAGTGTATGTTATACTGTAGTCAGTCATAGAGATTGTATGTTATACTGTAGTCAGTCATAGAGATTGTATGTTATACTGTAGTCAGTCATAGAGATTGTATGTTATACTGTAGTCAGTCATAGAGATGTATGTTATACTGTAGTCAGTCATAGAGAATGTATGTTATACTGTAGTCAGTCATAGAGATGTATGTTATACTGTAGTCAGTCATAGAGATGTATGTTATACTGTAGTCAGTCATAGAGAATGTATGTTATACTGTAGTCAGTCATAGAGAATGTATGTTATACTGTAGTCAGTCATAGAGAATGTATGTTATACTGTAGTCAGTCATAGAGAATGTATGTTATACTGTAGTCAGTCATAGAGAATGTATGTTATACTGTAGTCAGTCATAGAGAATGTATGTTATACTGTAGTCAGTCATAGAGAATGTATGTTATACTGTAGTCAGTCATAGAGAATGTATGTTATACTGTAGTCAGTCATAGAGTATGTTATACTGTAGTCAGTCATAGAGAATGTATGTTATACTGTAGTCAGTCATAGAGAAAGTATGTTATACTGTAGTCAGTCATAGAGAATGTATGTTATACTGTAGTCAGTCATAGAGAATGTATGTTATACTGTGGTCAGTCATAGAGAATGTATGTTATACTGTAGTCAGTCATAGAGAATGTATGTTATACTGTAGTCAGTCATAGAGAATGTATGTTATACTGTAGTCAGTCATAGAAAGTATGTTATACTGTAGTAGTCATAGAAAATGTATATACTGTAGTCAGTCATAGGTATGTTATACTGTAGTCAGTCATAGAGATGTATGTTATACTGTAGTCAGTCATAGAGTGTATGTTATACTGTAGTCAGTCATAGAGAATGTATGTTATACTGTGGTCAGTCATAGAGAATGTATGTTATACTGTAGTCAGTCATAGAGAATGTATGTTATACTGTAGTAAGTCATAGAGATTGTAATCCAAGGCTGCTGCTATGAAATCTCTTAGAATTCTCGAACAAAACAGTCGTATCAAAACGTCAGTCAATACCATTTAGGAATTTACAAATAACCACTGGTGTGGTGTCATCTGCAAACGCTTGTTTTCTACAGTTGTGGATGAAAAATTTTGGCAAAATGTTTTGGTTTAGTAAGAAATTTCAATTTTTGAAATTCGTTGCGAGAAAGTAAAACACTTTATCCGTGCCTGCCCTATGCCACGTGTAATATTAGTTAGACATAAAGATTGTTCACTTTCTGAAAAATTTCATTAGTTGAAAACTATTCATCTTCGTTCCAGAATGTTTTTCCATTCGTCGTCGCAACAAAAATGTCCGGTGTGAAAAGGGAAAGTCTGCTCACCCCTTTTCCTGAAACTTATGTTGCGAGCGTTCTCGGTAAAGTCGGAGTCGCCAAGGAATGTTTTGGGTATTGGCCGCACGAGTTGCAGGTAAAAATAATTCTCAGTTTTATTTTTAACAATTGTGAACGAGACCTGCCAACACACGCGGTTTTATCCGTTTCATACACAGTTTGGTTGACTAATCTCCACATGATGATGTTGATTTTTGTGATGAAATTTTCCTGGATGTTCTTTAACATTTTTTTGGAAATAAACATATCTCCCTTCGTGTTTTGCTAAGAAATTGTCTGAAATTTTGAGTTCACCAGCTTTTCGACTTGATCGGGATTTCGCATTAGTAGCTAATGCTATTTCGATTGTGATGATAGAGTTAAGTTTTGATTAACTAATGCTGATAGGGTTGGCGCACTGTGATCATTTCGATGCCCGAATGATCAGTGTGCTAAGCTCAAGGGTGCAGAAAGTATTGTCAGCAACGTGAACATATTGCATGTCTTTGTTATTAGCACAAATACTTTTCTAGTCCTAGGGAATTTGACATAACTTCTAACTGCTAAACATTCACAGAAATGCATCATTAGGATTATGGAGTGGTCCTGCATCGAAACTTTCTAATCTTAGGGGCTGATTACATGAACCCGGGTAGCCGGGATTCAGCCAAGCGTTATATGATTCTGGCAAATGGAAACGTTTCAATACTTATCATCACATAAATCTTCTTGAGAAATTCCACAATATATTCTGATTTAATAACTACGCAAAACATTCAAAATTCAAACAACCAATTTGGCCTGATTTGAGAATTACAACAGGAACAACTTATTTAACAAACATTTGTAATTTTTAACCTTGAAGTTTTGGCCCCTTTCAATCCCTCGAAATCATTTCACGCCTCACCGAATCCCGGTTAACCGGGATCATGTAAACAGCCCCTAAAGGTATTCTTTTTTCGAAACACTTTGTACAAAGCGTGAGTACGACATGTTTATTCTACAATTGAATATGTACGAACGTTCGTCCTCCCCCCCCCAATCAACGCTCTTTTGACGGTCCCGTTAGTCTACCGCACATCAATTCGGAAAATCTGCAGATATTTTGCAAAAAAATCCAGATTTTTAAAAATTTTTTTACTATCTCCATTAGCTGAAACCCTGGTTGGCAGGTCTGCCTTCGACAACCATGAGCGATTCCAGGCGTCACCATGCGATCACGTGATAATTGTTTTTCGTATCTTAGGCATTTATTACAATGTTGCTGCCTGAGTGGTTACAAGTGAAGATAGTCATGAATGTGAGCAAACGATTGCGAGCAAGAGCTCTGAAAAAACGCGAAGCAAAAAAGGATTCGTAAGAATTGATGAAAGAACTGCATGCCGGTTGACGTATAAAATTGTCTTCATTTGCTCATACGTTATTTAAACTAGACTGACTTGCTGATTCCGTATTGATTTTTTTCTGATAACTACGGCTTCGATTAGGACAATTCTTACCACAATTAGTCTAATTACGAATGTTTCAATATTAGAACAAGAAAACTCGTCGCGTGCGTGCCTGCACGCTGTCCTGAGTCGATATGAATTAAGTTTATTGAATATTTGCGAATAAATGTCTGTGGTGTTTATGTGAACATTTCCTGTTGATTTAGGATAGCAACGGAACGATTTTTAATTTCATTGTATTGCTTCGTACTAGGGTCGGGTTCCCCGAGGCGGTGACCATATAAACCTATTGTTTTCCACTTTTTGTGCAAGTAATTGATTTGCAACTTGAAACCAAACGAAAAGCTAAGCGTTACGTTTCGGATTGCTTGCGTCTGATTGGTTCCGCTGACGTAAAGTAGGTTAATTTCCTCTTCCAACCACGTGATTGCGTTGGAAGTCGTATGCACTATGCAGTAAAATTTTCATACTTGATCATTTTGTTCTTTGAACGCAACGAACGCCTTGTTCTCCTTAACCAACGTTACCGAACATGGTAGATTTTTTGACTACGGTCTCTGAGGGATCGGGAAAGGCACAGACAGACAAACTGCGACAAAATGGCCACGAAGAATATGGAGAAAAGTATCGTGTGGATCGTCGAAAATTGGAGCTTATGTTACGTGGTAAGTACAGGCTTTTCATCAATGAAATTTTTCCTACGGCCGTCTTAGGTTTGACAGTTATGTACACTAAGTTAACTCGACCGTCATGGCCGTAGAGTTAGTGAAGTTGATTCATTTTGATTTTGCTTTTCGAGGAAGTTCTATCATTTAAATGTCGTTATGCTGCACGATTCCCGTCGTGTCCATATCATTTGCATAAAATGCGTCGCCCAGCTCTACCGTGCCATCGTGAACGGTGTGATGTAGAGAAAGGCGCCCGGTCTTGGTTGTATTTGTGTGCAGCGAATGCAAATAAAACACATGTCATCGCTTGATCATTGTTTATTATTCAGTTTATTTGTTTCCACCCGTCTCAATCCCAAATGAGAATTCGAAATATCTTGTGCTTCGCATTGTCGAATACTTTCTCGTGATATTCGACTTAACTTTTACGAATTTTTCATCCTGAGACACGATACCTTTTGTGCTAGACTTGTGGCTGATTCTCGTAAAAGCGACGGTGTGATGTCGAAGTGATTTCTGTCACAATTGGTTCATGACATAATTCTGGTTTTTTTTCGTTCTCCGAAGAATTCACAATATTCCATCACGCTATTTCTCGCGGCTTTAAAAGTTTATGTGCAAGAATTCGCTTGCACAATATGCTTTGTAAGCATTGAACGGTGTGTTGGACAGTTTGCATGACACAAATATCTTATTACCCTTTGCCCACATTTCAATCGTGTTTTGAAAAGTGCATCGAGCCGCAGATTTTTGAATTTTCGCATTTTGAATTTCTTTTGCTCAAAAATTAATGTTCCTTTGTAGTTTAAGCGTCTTGTTTTTTCATTCAGATACAGGGGACGAGACCGGCTTGACCGCCGAAGTTTATTTTGGACAGGTGAGCGTGAATTCGTGCTTACATGTACAAAATTATTCTGGCAATTTCCACGGACTGTTAGAATGGGACGGCATTTTCATTTCTTTCCAGGTCATGCGCGAAACGTCCACGGTAATCCACTGGCCTTCGAAGTTGAAAATCGGAGCAAAGTCCAAAAAAGGTTTTTCTATTGTGTATTTCCATCTACTTCAATTGCTATTGTTCAAAATATTGAACGATGAAACTTGAGATACGTGTGGAGTTGTTGGTTATTTTTTTAACGCATGTGCTTTTCAACTTTTTAAACTGAACTAGTGCAAGGAAAGTCCTAAGGCAGGCTATATTGCTACCTCTAGCTGATCGTTGTACTCTTTTTTGGGTTCTGTTTGCTTTGAAACCAATCTGAAAGCAAATTGCGTAGATTTCCTTGTCAATGTTCCAAAATTCGATTAAAATTTCAATCTGGGGGACATTTTATGCGTATTAGAAGCGTTTTTTCAAATTTAGGTTTCCTGAAAGTTAGCGGGCGTTTTTCAACTGGCGTTGGCGGTTTTCAATCGTAATTGGTTCCAAGGAACAACAAAGAAATTTTCTCTCCGGAAATGCGCGATTGTATCAGGTGTCGATGTCATGTATTCCATAATTGCTCGAATGCGTTAGTCTTAACTTGATTGCGTTCCTACTGTTTTCGCATAAAGCATCCAATTGTAGAATGTCAAACGGTGAAATTCCTTATGCGTTTATTGCGATCGCCATTGTTTTGCTCACATGCAGCTAATTAGAATAATATGCGTCGCGCATGTTTTTCGTGTGTCATTCTCATCAATTTACGAAATCGATTATCAGATCAAGTTCTCGGATATAGCTTGCTGGTGCTTTTCGAAAACAATTCGGTTTCTTCGGATCCATCGAAATTGAGCTTTTCTACTCTTCATAGCTCGGCGCGTTTGTACAATAATCCTCTAAAACGGCGGAAACGAGTGCACTTTGTCGAGAAAACAATGGGGTTTCTTCCAAGGTCGAGAAAAGTCGCGTTGCTTCATTTGGATGATGCTTTGCTCTGGCTGAAAATGCATCATCGAAAAACGACATAACATTTCGTTTGCTTTTTATTTTCTACTTATTTGCGGGAATATCATTTCCAGGATCTCTTCGGAGAGTTTTGTAAACTCATTTCGTTAATGAAAAACACTTCAAACCGTGCTCCTGTGCATCATAAAACAAACATGTCCATCCTTATTAGGTCATGCGTCCGATAGCAACGAGCTTTTCTCGGGTGTTTTGATTGCCTGTTTTGCAACGTGTCCTCGTGCACCGTCGCATCTCGGCAACAGCCCTGTCGAAATGTTTCCAAGGGCGTCGACAACTAATCCAATGACTTTAAGGGCGAGCGAACGTAAAAAAAACGCCTTGGCTGTTTTTAAGTTAAGTGCGAACGATTACACTAGAACCCAGGACACTCTAAATAGAAAGGTGTCATAAGCACCCGTGCTCATTTCTAACGTGTAATTTCTCCTGCCGCTGCACAACAGTACTTTATTGAGCGCAACAACAACACCCCCTTCTCGCCTAAAATACACTATCCGAAATAATTCGTGTGATCTGTTGACCGACCCCCGTGACCTCATTGTTTTTTTGGAAACAAACCGAAAATCTTGAACATCTTGGTGCTAGACGACGGCAGCCATGCATTTTATGCAAAAAACATCTTTCCCTGACACTAAGCCGTCGAAAGAATACGTTGACCCTGACGCATGGGATGCAAATATTTGATGTTGTTTGCGTAAAATAATCAACATACCACGCGTGCAAATTTCAAATCCCTGTCACTCGCGATGACACCATAATGGTTTAAGGAAATGATGCTGACGTCATGGAAAAATGAAAAACAACTGTGTGTTTGCTGTGTAACGTTTTTTCGAGTGAAAACTCGTGGGGGGGAGGGGGGTAGTTGAAAGGAGTTGTAACGTGTAAAAGCCACAACCAGTGATGTGCGGAAAAGAAGTCATTTTATGTTGAATTATAGAAAATGCTTTCACTGCGAACGGGAAGTATGTTTCCGAGAAACAATTTCCTATTTATTTTGTATTGGAATTAAGCCTTCTTGCGTGGGATGGATATGCGCACGATCACAAATGAAAACATTAGCACTATAAATGCTTCTACGCGACGCGTTTTCCGTTACGTAAGTAATTCGCCGTGTAGAACAATACATCAAGATAGGACGATTCTCTATCGTTTACAAGAAACGCGGCTTTCAACATATCCACGGCTATCAGTCACCGCGGTATCAATTCCCATGTAATCTGTCAATCTAAACATTCCTCCAGGGTTATTTTTAGCGTAATAACTGTCACTGTCTCATCAAATTACCCAGCTGCCTTGTGATATCTCAGAAATAATATCCAAAAACAAAGACATATCATTTTTATGGATTTAATCGTCTTGTCATTATTTGCTATTGACAAGATAAGTCTTTCGAAGCTTTCGAGCGATTTAATCCGGACGCGCGGTCATATGATTCAGCTTTGCTCCCTGTTGATATGAACAAGCTGCGTTGCATCTCAGAAAAATACCCAATTTAGGTTGTCGTTGAATTGACAATTTTCCCCTCCCATATTGTGGGCAATAATGACCTCGGGAACATTCTTTAGACCGAAAAATGATTGCTTGCGTTTGCATCAAGCTATTTTTGCTTTGTAATGACTGTGCTGTCTCCCCAGTGTGACGATATATGCCAGATCGGTCGAATGGGCTTAAACACACTCCCCCCCGTTCTAAATTATGCGACTGTATAAATCAGGTGGGAGAGTCAAGATCAAGCTCATCAGACCAAATTTAGTAAAAAAGAGTGCAGATTGACCAAACTGGGTCTCCGGGAATTCGAAGTGACATCGTCTCCCCGGAGTTATCTTAATTTCCGATTCTCCAACGCAGTTTACCCTATGACGTCAGACGTAACGCGAGTTTTTGCGATTGATTGATGTGTGATTCGTTATTTCCAGATCCCCACATACGAATTGCCGGCGAGCCTGAAAATATCAAGAAAGCTAAAGATATGGTGGCGGTGCGCTTGGAATCAAAGGTAAACCGATCGCCATTTAATGCGGTACAAAAACTTCACATGATCGACTGTCGTCTGCGCGTGCGCGTTATGGAACCGTAAGAAGCTGTTACATGACGCGGAGTCGCATTACATTGCTACTTTATGGTCTCGTTTTTATCGGGATGTTTCCAAACACACACTTGTGTTAAATATTCATGATCTACATTCAAAAATTGCCCACAGTGTCGAAAGAAAGTCCCAATGAGACTCGAAATGTGAGTGATCTTGCGTTTGTAATTTCAAACAACGAGTGCCGAGAAGGGGATGTCCGAGTAGGAATCCAATTTATTGTATTCAATCGATTATTTGTCTTGTTATTGATTGATTGATTGATCAACTTTTTTAAACACATTAGCCTTTTCAACAACTTCTGGGAGGTGTAAGATATTAAAATTAGATATTTTTGTCGTGACAGTAATGATGATAATTTGATTTGACCAGCACTTGGTGAATGATCTGCCATATTTATCGGTCTGATTTTTCGTTTTTAAACTATAAAGTAGCTTCGCCTATTAGCGACTGTTTAATTATTCTAGGTTATGTATGCTTCAGCTCTGAAATGAATACGAAACATAAATTAAGCATATTTTAAAAGATTTGAATGGTGTTAAATGTTTTGGTGGCGACGTGAATTTTTTATTTGACATCTAGTTCCACTCCTTTTCCTCGTTTTAAGATCATCATCATTAATTTAATTGAGGGGGTTAATATGCACAAGTACATGTTAAGTTTCGTGCAAACGCTCTCAACATGTTGAGTCTTGAAATGATATCACGTAGGATCATGGGATAAGATAATCCGCGACGCCTAGAAACTGCGTATGTTGTAATACAGCTGTATATACGGCTCAGTGACAAGCTCGACATTGTAGAGTGTGCTCTTTAAATGCTGATTGTTGAGGTGCGCTTTGCGACAGCAAGTTCAAGCTTCTCTCAACAACGCTCAAAACCACACGATACACCTCAACCACTGATCTCGAAATAAGACTGGATCAAAATGGCGTCGGTGGCTTCAAAATTTGTTTACTAAAAATATAGAGTTGCTTGATCCAGTCTTTTTTCGAGATCAGTGCCCTCGACTCTCCTCAACGGAGTGTGCAAATGATTTGAACATGTTGAGTCCACAATGTTGAGAGCGTCAGCACGCAGCTTCTTATCCATAAGAAACAAATAATTTCGGAGAAACTTAATCGGGCAAAACGTACGCATGTGAATATCACACCCACCCTACCCTCCCTCGATTATCGAGCTAGCTACGCCTCAATCGTGTGTAGCTTGAGTCATGTGACGAAACTATAATCCAAAAAGCTACCGCGATGGCCATGATGAAAATGTCATCATCAACATGTCTTTCCCGAATTCTTATTTTATGTTCGGTTTTCAGGCGAATCGCGTGACGCTAAAAATGGACGTGTCTCATACGGACCACTCGCATATTATCGGAAGACGCGGACAAAGTATCAACAGAGGTAAAAATTACTTTACCGTGCTTTTAATTGGAAGGGTTTTTTCGGCGTTAATAGGACTGTCGAAGGACCTGGCTAGGTAGCTTAAAGGGTTTTGTAGTATCTCGTGGATTCGTTCATTCAAAGTTTTCAAAGTTTTCATAGTTTTCAATCAATAAGGGTTAGTCTTACCAAATCACCTGAAAATTTTTGAAAGAATGAATCTATCCTTATAAGAGCGAAGTTATTTCAGCCTTGTTAAAAAAGAAGTTTGATCATCCGGGAGCGGTTGTTCGAAGCCTGGGTGGCAAGTTTTCAGTTGTTACGAGAATCTCTTGAAAAGCAAAGAGCTATTCAAGAGTAACAACTACAAGAGTACTTAACTGCTAATCAGGAATTTCAACAAAGTGAAATGTCGATTGAAGGAAATTTAATCACCTTTTTTTCCAAGACGCTTAAAAAGTCGTTAACCAATGGAGAGCTTTGTCTGGGCTTATCACAACTATACCCAGACCTCAGGGTTCGGACTTTTAGCTGTTGACGTCCCGATCCCCGGATGTCCGGATGTCCGATGTATAAGTACACATAAATATCATTCTACCTTCTGAATTTTTTGCCCGTAGTTATGGAGGATACAAACTGCCACATACATTTTCCCGACTCAAACAGGGGAACCACAAGTGTCGAGAAAAGCAATCAGGTATCTTGTCTTTTTCATTGTTCATTGAGTGGTATCGTCTGTCGTCATCGTTACGTTTGCGGTTTTGTGGGCTGTGATAGATTAACGTGATTTTTTCTGCCAATGGATTTCTACCTTCTGTTTTCTATGTAGGTCTCCATAACTGGACAACCTGAAGGAGTAGAGCGGGCAAGGTTCATCATCAGGGTAAAGGATCGCATTTATTATTCTTCTAACACGACACTAAAAGAAAATTCCTCCGAGATGTATTCTTATAAGTTCTAATTGACACACCTCCTGAACCCCCTCTAGTCCTAGCTAGGATGGGTGCACATCCATCCACACCCCTCCCCTAAACACATCCAGTCATCCATCCACATCCCTCTCCCAAACACATCTATCCCCATCAATTCCCTGGACACATCTATCCACACCCATCCTTTGAACACATCACAGTGCTCCTAATGAAGCGACGAGACTTCCATCATTTCACTGTTTATTGATGTTTTGTTTTCTCATTCAGTCGATGTTACCACTTGTCGTGTATGTCGAAATTCCTTACTACGATAACGTTTTCATGCAAGTCGATTCATCATCTCCGCCAATACAGGCCATTCAGCAGAAGTACGACGTCACTTTTATCGTTAATGGGGTAGGTGTTTTACAAGGCAAGTTTGTTCGAAGAAACCACAGTCTTGAGGCTCTGCGTATGGATTAACCGTGTACGAGACCTTGTTTCATGTTTGTAGACGTAGATCGTCAAGTTTAGTAGAGTCCTGAGAAGGATTGTTGGTGTTGATGTTGACCGACGTTTCGACAACCTTAGCGGTAGTCATCGCCAGAGTCGAAGACGACAATCGCTAAGGTTGTCGAAACGTCAGTCAACAGCAACAAAAACAGTCCTTCTCACGAATATACAAACCTGGACGATCTACATCTACAAACATGTAACGATACTCCCGGGTTCAAACCATTTACTTTATTAAAACCATGTTTCCTTGTTTAGTCCTCATTTGACTGAGAATGATGCTCAATCATCCTATAGAATTTTAACCTCACAGTTGAAAGGCATATACAAAGCAAATGTATCGAAAATTCTATGCAGTAAAACGCCGCGTATAAGAGCCCGGAGTTAAAGAACTCGTCGGGTTAACTTTTTTATTCATGCCCCACTCTATGTAAGGACCTGTTGAGGTTAGAATTTCAAACGAGGTCATATTTTATTTTCATCACGCTAGGATAGATACCAAAAAGTAAAAATTACAGCTAAAAATAAATGAAGTCCCTATTCACATAGTGATGATAATGACTTAGTAGTCAGATTCCTAGATGAGGCAAATATTTTGTAACATAGGGTTGGTTTGTGAGAGCACGTACTGCATGTAATTTCAAATATTACTTGGGCATGACGATATAAATATTTTCTAAACCAACCGAAAAGGAGTCATTTTTCTTTACAAAATATGGACCAATTAAAAAAGGGCCTAATATCGCGACGAGCACCATTTATATAAGAACCTGTTTAGGCCAGCTTGAAAAATCCAACTTCTTACATGCGGTGTTTTACTATATCGCGAAGCGTAGTAGTGGCTCTCACAGGATCGCGTTAATACCAATGTCGGTGACGTTATGTGGAGGAAAGTAGGAAAACAGTATAATTTCGAGAACATATTGAAAGACTTTCAAGAAGTTGACATCAACTGCCTTCGTTTCCTTGCGGTTCTGGCAGTTTTATATATTTTTCTTCAAATATCATTACCGACATTGATGTTTCTACTTCTTGCAGCTCTGTAAGAATCTTTATGTATGTAGAATTGAATGTAGTGACCATGACAAGTTACTTCAATTTGCTTTGTCTTGAATAGAGATCTCAGATTGGTGTGATTGTAGCTGTTAGAGGAAGCCAATACGCAGTCGAAGCAATGAAGGTATAAAAGTGTAGACCATTGAACTAAAATACATGGAACGCTACCTGATAAATGAAGCCAAATCTTACACCCCGACACGCGATATCACACCCAGACACGAGTGTGTAGTTTTTCGAGATTCTCTCGCGGAGTGAAAATTGATTGAGTACAACACGCGTGGCTGGGTGTAAGATTTGGCTTCAAAAAATTATCAGGCTTTTCTATTACAGGTAGCGTTCCATGTATTTCAGTTCAATGGTGTAGACAGATTGTGCGCATTGAATCTGAGCTTTTAAATGCTGTACTTTGTTTTTTATCGAACTTAGGAAGCCATCATATGTTTAGCTAAACATCTCACTGGTGCTGTCGATGTAACCCAGGTTCGTTTTGTTTTGATGTGATGACTCATCATGATTCATGTTCAAGCTCCATATTTGTTCACGTGACGTGCATGGCGTCTACTACTTCTTGTACGATGTCGACCAAGCCAATACATCTTAGTTCTGTTAAAAATATTTTGCTCAAAATATGTTGCGTTACCTCTTACAGGATACGGTTCAGGTAAATTAAGGTCGGCAGACGACAAACATCAGAGAAGATTCAGTTGTGTGGCACTGTATAGAAACAAACAATAATCCCACTGTTGAAATTTTTCTCGTAGCGCATATCTTATTACTCATGTGCTTATCATAGTGGAAGCAAGTAAATTGCATTTTCTGTCCACTTGGAAATGTGAGTTGACTAGCCGCAGTCAGCAATCTAATTAAATGTACAACAGCCACTCGCACAGCGAAGTGAGAGTACTGTTTGTTTCTATACTGTGTCTGCGTGTGTTTTCGCGAATTACGATTCGGATAAATTTAGGTCAACAAGAAGAAAAGATTCGTTTGTCCCCAAAAAAACAACGGCAGCACCTTAATTTCCATTCGACACGAGTATGAAAGTGCTCGATTCCTTGAGTGCTTGTTTTCTTTAAAGTGAAGCTTGGAATAATATTTTGAAGCATATATTTTAACAACTTCCTATATTCCAACGCCATCATCAGAGAATCAGTATTTCCCCCTCCCTCTCTCCGATGTGTTCTTTGTCATGACGTTGTATAGATTCTGCAGAGTTTTTCCTTTTGAGGGGAGGGTGGAATCTTTAATTTCCAATGATTTCTCCTATATGATTACCCATGATTAAAAACAATTGCAAACGTGCGTTCAATTTTAATAATAACGTTGCTTGTGATCTTTCCATGCAATCGGTGCATCCTTGATGCGAATTCTTTATTTCAAGCTCAGGCTCGAACAACAATTATAGTATTTAGTGTTGAACTTTATTCTCAGTGAATGCTGTAGAGCAATCCTTGAAGCGTTGTCATCGCCCGTTCATCCACCTAATGTCATAGCTCATGTCATAGCTGATGTCATAGCCCATCGTTCATCTACCCGTTGTCATCGCCCGTTCATCTACTTACACATTTCCTTTCTCTCTCCCTTTCCTAGATACTAAATTATGCTCAACTGCATCTTGACGTTGCACCGCAGCATCACATGTTTGTCGTCGGACGATCCGCTCGTAATATTCGTGAGATAATGGAAGAGACTGGCGCGAAGATCGATTTGCCAAGTCCCACTTTGAGCACGCGTACCGGCGTCATAATCATATCCGGACCGATTCATGCTGTCATACAGGCCAGAGCCTTGCTTGTGGTAAGTTTGCGTTTAGCTAAATTCTCTTTCTGATGGTAAAGTGCTAAATTAAGTGAGACTTTGCATTTCGTACGTTTTAAACACGGAATTGAAGCATAACTATTGAACTTTTGCATAATGTCATTTGTTTTTTCAATTTGCATTCGGTTTGTTTCAAATCACAACTAAAACTTTAAATTTAAGACATTTAGGTATGGGCTGCCATGCATTTGAAGACATTTAGCCAAGGCTTGCCATGCATTTGAAGACATTTAACCAAGGCCTGCCATACAGTTAAAGACATTTAACCAAGGCTTGCCATGCAGTTGAAGACATTTAACCAAGGCTTGCCATGCAGTTGAAGACATTTAGCCAAGGCTTGCCATGCAGTTGAAGACATTTAGCCCAAGCTTGCCATGCAGTTAAAGACATTTAGCCAAGGCTTGCCATGCAGTTAAAGACATTTAACCAAGGCTTGCCATACAGTTGAAGGCATTTAACCAAGGCTTGCCATGCAGTTGAAGACATTTAGCCAAGGCTTGCCATGCAGTTGAAGACATTTAGCCAAGGCTTGCCATGCATTTGAAGACATTTAGCCAAGGCTTGCCATACATTTGAAGACATTTAGCCAAGGCTTGCCGTGCATTTGAAGACATTTAGCCAAGGCTTGCCATGCATTTGAAGACATTTAGCCAAGGCTTGCCATGCATTTGAAGACATTTAGCCAAGGCTTGCCATGCATTTGAAGACATTTAGCCAAGGCTTGCCATGCAGTTGAAGACATTTAGCCGAGGGCTACTTTGCAGTCGAAGACATACAACCACGGTTCACCATGCAACTGCAGACATTTAGCTACAAATTACCATGCTATTTAAAACACTAAGCTTTACGGGTTTGCATGCCATTCAAGGCATCCAGCTACAGGCTTAAGCTTGAATTATTCATGAAAAATTCATAGCATCATCAAAGCAGTGTAAAATTATTTTAAAAGTTCCAATTAAGACGCATTTACTTGGATCGAACTTTCTTTGACGCCTCGCTTTTATCTGTAATATCCGCCTGTTTTTGTTTTAAACTGTTGATATTGTTATGTGGATGACGTCATATTGTATTATCTTACCAGGATTATCTACCATTACTTTTGATGTTCGATTTAAAAGAAGAGGAGGCCGAACAATTTGCAGAGCAACCAGGTTTTGATAAACATTATCCGCTTTATATATGGATTGAATTATGATTCAAACTTTGGTGGCCTCCCTCACAGAAGTGGTGGCACCATCTCCCCACCACTCTCCACCACTCTCCACCACTTATTTTACCGAAGCAATTTTTTATTAATCCATGAACTCGACAAAAACGTCCTTAAATTATTGTGGTCGATTATGACAATGTGTGTTGTATTACAATTGATATAAATTTTAAGATGCATATTCTTTGCCGTTCGAACACGAACTCCCTGGGAGGGGCACCAAAAGACATGTTAAAACCGATCCCGGTCACACTGCTGGTGCATGTTAAGATTGTCATTGTTTAAAACGGTATTTTGGGACATTTGTCATTACAGAACGTCTCAAGCAGATTGAAGATAAGTTTATGGTATCCATAACCATAAAACCTAAACCGAAGCAGACAAGTAAGGTATGTAAGGGATGCCTAAATGACATTTCATGTTTCCTCCAGCAGACAAGATCACATACATAGATACATAACTGGTTTATTAATTTCTAAAAATTGCACATGAATTCAAGCCGAATTCGATTTGATAACGTACTAATTACTACAGGTTACTGTATGGTGATACTTGTAAGTATAACCATGGCTAGTTAATTCTATAGGATGATTGAGCATCATTCTCAGTCAAATGAGGACTAAACAAGGAAACGTGGTTTTAATAAAGTAAATGGTTTGAACCCGGGAGTATCGTTACATGTTTGTAGATGTAGATCGTCCAGGTTGGTATAGTCCTGAGAAGGACTGTTTTAGTTGTTGTTGACTGACGTTTCGACAACCTTAGTCATCTTCAGAGTCATCTTTGACTCATCTATGGCTCTAAAGATGACAACCGCTAAGGTTGTCGAAACGTCAGTCAACAACAACAAAAACAGTCCTTCTCTCGACTATACCAACCTGGACGATCTACATCTACAAACATGTTACGTGCTTTTCTTACATCAGAATTTTTTTCATCTTCGGTAAAAATTTGTGCAATTTATGCGACGGAGTTCTATCGTTATTATTGACAGTCGCTGACGATCAAGACCAAGGAAAAGAATTCGAGGAATCTTTACCTTACTCGCTTACAAATCATGGGTGGCTCTATTTACTCGCCATCAATACAGCCGAATTTACCGAGTGATGTATTTTTGCCGCTTTCATATTATTCGTTGAACCCGACGAGCACCTTCTCTCCGCTGCCATCTCCCACTCCTAATTCTGATAGGTCAGAATCTCCCTCATCTTTCTCCCACCGGCAGACGCCTCCGCCCCCGCCTCTAAATCAAGGTCGTCCCCCTCCGGGTTTTGACATATCGCGTCAAAATCGTTCTGTCAGCTTCAACGATGGAGACTATCACAGGAAAACAAAATCGTCCGAAATGGGTTTGGGAACAAGTGTGCGGAATGCTGTGTCTGAAAAAGGTTTGTGTTTAGTTATGCTATAGCCCATTTCCAAAACCCCCTTTTTTTGCGATGCATTACTCTCGCAAGAAACATCATATTGCTAGCTTTTCCTGTTTATCGTACGTTTAAAGAGCTGCATCTTACACAAACTATTATGGTTTAGCAATTGCTTAAGATCTCATGCTCTTATAATATTTTTTTTTAATTTCATGTCGAAATTTTACCGTTGAAGCGGCATTGAAATATTCAGCGTTTGAATTTCTTTAGGGTCGCCAAATAACTCGCTGAATTTGAGCTCGCCGCGTCGTAATTCAGAACCTCAGACTTACTCCGATGACATATGGAAACCAGCTTCTTCTGATGTCATACAACCCAAAGCTCTCGGCCCGCCTAGTTCCAGTTCTTCCACGGTCCCTTCTGGTTCGTCACGGTTTGCTTTTCTGGAGGGGGTGATAAATGCCAGGTAAGAACGCCTCCTCCCTACCCTCCCCCAACCAATTTCATGTTTCCACTAATTAGATGAATATTTTGCCTGTCGTAGGTCCAGTCAACTTCTTGATTCTCATGGCTCTAATCAAAGCAGTTCTTTTAGCTCGTTTGCGTCAGCGTAAGTGTTTCATTGTGCGTAAGTGCCAAAACATTAGTTGACAAGTTACCCAACATGAAATAGAAGTAACATGATTAACTAGTGGATTCTCCTCTTGCTTTAGTTACAGCTTTGCAATGGTTAAACATTCTGTTAATTAAGCAAATCAGTCTGCGACGTGGATGATAATTATTGCTGTCTAACATTACTAGATACACTATGAACAGTTCTTTTTGACTGCGTGACTTTAAAATAGACAGAACTATCGCGTGCATGGATCCAGTTTAGTTTGGAGTTCCCCTGAGATATGATTGTTGCTATAGATCTCTATGAAGAACAGTTTAAATGCTACTTAACCATCTTAAATTTGTTCAGCTATCACTACCAGAAGTTTAGTTTAGGTTTAATCCAATGGCGACTCGGGATTGACACTTAAAGCAAAAAGAATTAGAACTTATCAACTTTATTTCCTCTCTTTCAGATCTTTTAATCTGGATCGATGTTTGGAAACGGAACCGCAGAAAAAGGTTTGTGATGCTTGTCGATTATTCTATCTCATACAGCTTTATATTCATTACCGCATCGCTTCTGCAGTTTCAAGATTACGAGAGAAAAATGATTTTGTCAACAGAGAGTAAGTCTGCGATGAGATATGTTTTTCTTTTTTTTATCGTTTACATCAGAAGAGAACAAGTGTTTAACAAATTTCGTTTTTCTATCCCTTGTAGTTCGCTCCAGAGAAATGGTCCATCCGGAAGTTCGAATACCTACGGACGAATGGAGTGGTTTGCATCTCTCAAAGTCTGCCGATTTTGAAGCACTCAGGAAGTCCGAGGTTTACTTTGATCCTGCAATTGATATTTTTTCGAAGCACTACGGAAACTATAGTGGACTTAGTTACATCAGCGAATATTGCTTCGGTGCTGTTGTACTGTTATGCGTTGTATTATCGTGACATTTTTTGTATTTCAGCTATCAAAGAAGAGTAAGGAAGGATCGAAAGATGTACCGATATCTTTAAACGAGGTACGGCATGTATCATGTAACTTAAAACGCATTTTCGTACCTACCAGATCTCGACTCGTGAACATTAGAAACAAACTTACAAAGTAAATGGTTTGAACCCGAGAGTATCGTTACATGTTTTTTGGTGTAGATCGTCCAGGTTAGTATAGTCCTGAGAAGGACGGTTTTTGTTGTGGTTGACTGACGTTTCGACAACCTTAGTGGTAGTCATCTTCTTAGCGATAGTCATCAGCAGTAGACATTTGACTCTGAAGATAACTACCGCTAAGGTTGTCGAAACGTCAGTGAACAACAACAAAAACAGTCCTTCTCAGGACTATACTAACCTGGACGATCTACATCTACAAACATGAAACAAACAGATGCCGATCATGTGGAGTATCAGATGTGGTTTGAACTCATGGTAAAGATCGCTTTTTTAATTTTCAAACGACGAATTGTCTTTGGTTTTAGCATCGAACACGAATAAGGTGTTTTTGATTTTGTTTTTATCTGCGGTTATCACATATACAGACGTATTCAAGAGCTCCTTAAAGACTTAAACCTAGCATCTTAAGATCGCGCTATTCAAACGTAGATAACTCCATTAGTTTCATATGGTTTTTATCCAGCCAAAGGCCAAACCGAGGTTGCTGAATGGTCGAATGGACAGAGATCCTAGTGCATCCATGCAGGTAGAAATTTTTGTTTTCCAAACTTCTCCTGTGCAGTTGATTTTAATTTCAGGGCAATATTCTCCCGGGCATGGAGTCATTTTGGTCACAGTATAATAAATATACAGTGGGGTTGCATTGAATATTGTCGTGTCACGCATATCTTATTAAGCATGTGATTATTTTTCCGACCAATAAGATTACTGGCTTTGCTAACGGCAGCCAGTAATCAGCTATTTATACAACGAAGTGTCCCTACTGTAAATTCCCTATACTGCATCTTGCTGTTGCATGTACGACATAAACTAAATCGGTGAGAATGTCCTTTTGCTATGCATTGGTTACAATATATTGAAGTATTAAAGTAAATGGTTTGAACTCGGGAGTATCGTTACATGTTTGTAAATGTAGATTGTCCAGGTTGGTATAGTCCTGAGAAGGACTGTTTTTGTTGTTGTTGACTGACGTTTCGACAACCTTACCGGTAGTCATCTTCAGATGTAAGACAACAACAACAAAAACAGTCCTTCTCAGGACTATATCAACCTGGACGATCTACATTTACAAACATATATTGAAGTATTAGCCTGTTAAGTTTCTACCAATGAAAATAGAAATGCATTTTCGAAATCGATGGTAGTGTTATGATTTCTTTCCAATGCAGGTTCTTAGTGGAAGATTGTCCATGGAAAACGACCGTAAGTTGCTTGCTAATGTTCTCTTTGGGGGTTATTCGTGACGATATTAATGACGTATTCGTTATTGTGACGTATTCATTATTGAGGCATATCACATTTCACGAAACAACGTTAATGACGTCACTTTCATTATTGAGGCATATCACATTCACGATATAACATTAATGACGTCACTTTCATTATTGAGACATATCACATTTCACGAAACAACGTTAATGACGTCACTTTCATTATTGAAGCATATCACATTTCACGAGACAACATTAATGACGTCACTTTCATTATTGAGGCATATCACATTTCACGAAACAACGTTAATGACGTCACTTTCATAATTGAAGCATATCACATTTCAGGAGACAACATTAAACACGAGAAATCACATTTGTTAAACGTCACATTATTGATATCACATTTGACAAACATTAATGCAATTGAGGCATATCATCGAAAATCTCCTTTTTGTTATGTTGAGATCGTCTTTCATGTTGAGACATCACATTTCACGAAACAACGTTAATTTTTCATTTGTTGGTTTTACCGACGTTGCATTTGAATGGAATTTCACAACGTTTCTTCAATGTGTCATTTAGCACTTTTTTCATATCCATTTCACGAAACAACGCGTCACTTTCATTATTGAAATATCACATTTACGACAACATTAATGACGTCACTTTCTTTATTGAGGCATATCACATTTCACGAAACAACGTTAATGACGTCACTTTCATAATTATTTTCACACAACATAATACGTCACTTTCATTATTGAGACATATCACATTTCACGAAACAACGTCGTCACTTTCATTATTGAAGCATATCACATTTTACGAGCAACTTAATGACGTCACTTATTGAGGCATATCATTTCACGAAACTTAATGACGTACTTTCATAATGGAAGCATATTTTCACGAGACAACATTAATCGTCACTATTATTCATATGTTGAAATTAAAACTTTCATTATTGAAATATAAATTTCACGCACATTAATGACGACCATCACACGAGTGACACTTTCATGCCAACATTAGGTTTTGGCATTCTTTCCCATTAGACGTCATTTTCATTATAATATCATTTCCGATCTTTGTGTAAAGGGGGTTTATCTTTAAATACGTGCTAACCTCAAGTGTCGCGTTGCTGGTTGCAGTAACGTTAAGCGCATGCGTGTTGCATTGCGACCTGATGCGCTCACCGGTCATCAACATTTCTTCATTCGAATCGGGAAATTTCTTCCGTTTTATTTTCATCGAGATTAAACTCAATAAGCAAACTGTTGCGAAACAAAGCTTCGCAAGCTGAAAGATTTTTACAATGCATCTTTGCTTGATTTTTCATATTTCGTTCACTTGAAAACCGCGTTTGTTTACCTATCCACGTTTGCCGTTCTCAATATGAATGTTCTTAAGTGCACGTTTTAACGGTACGTGGTAAAAATAGCTGTGTAAATAAACGCGTTTTCATGTAGTCAACGTTTTTAACGGTCAACGGCATTCGCTCGTATTCAAACTTCAGTTTAAAGTTTTCCTACTTATCTGTCCGTAAAATTGGGAGACGAATTATGTTAGTAGCAACTTGAAATATGTCGATTCAAATGTTCGAAAAACAGCACTATTACAACTACAGTGAAATTTGCTTTGTCATTTATTGTTGTGAGTGTTTCCTAGGCGACAGTCAAAACACCAATCAAAGCAATGATAACGCTTCAACCACGATGTCTGGTGAGTATATTTGGATTTTTTTTTGTTTTTGTGTCATTTTCGCGTGGTTACAGATATTGGCTAAGTATGATAATTTGTTCTCCAGGTTTGGATAATGTGTTGAAACTTTATGGCATTGACGATTTGTCTGATCAGTTCAAGAAATTGGAGGTACGCAAGGCTTTAGGATAGCCAACCGAAGTTGTGTTACGTCATACGCATTATGACACGTGATGCGAGTTGATCTCTCATGATTTACCTCTAAAGTGGTTTGAGATTGCTATTTCGCCACCTTCGAGTTGAAATCATTGGCGTGCAACACAGAAAAGTGGCGATTTTATCTGTTATCTTGTGTGAAATGTGCAATGGTGAAAGTGTCTTTTCTTTATTTTATCCTTTGTTCTCTTGTAGATAACAAGTTTGGACGTTTTTTTGACACTAAATAAAGAAGACTTGAAGGAGGCGGGATTCGAACCTCTCGGCGTCAGAAAGAAAATCGAAAATGCGATTGAAGGTTTGCATTTGCCAATTGCTGTTGATTGTAGCGACTTGTAGTTTTGTCAGATAAATTCAACTCGCTGTGGATGAAGTCACGGATGCAAAAATATCCGGTCATGCTTCAAGGGATTCGGGGCACGTCGAAAATTCCCCGCAGTTTTATTCAATGATTGAGGGATGGAGGGGGCATCCTGCCACTCTCCCCCCCCCCCATTTTATTAATGTCCATCTTTCTTTTCAATGGCTGCAATTTAAAATATACGATCCCTGCGATAAGGCCTTTCACTCGTGCATTTTCTAGATATGAAGAGCGCCAAAAAAGTTGTTGTACGAAACGCTATTATGGCGAGAGCGATCAACTACCAAACGTTCCAGCCACTACAACTCAATTCTCAAAGTGGACGTTTTTAACACGTGTTTCAAGTCCTCCCTTTTTGGACGAAGTCTGTCGTCATCGGCCGCCCGGCAGCATTTGCGTTCGAAAACAATGTAGCTGAAGAAGCTGTGAGTAAAGCCGCTGTCAATTTGTGTGTTAGTGTCGTGGGCTCGTTATTTATTTGCGTGGGTTATGAACCTTTGAAAGTCTGAGTGTCCAAGCAAACGCCTTGTGATCATCAACTCTTTTGAACACTTCGCTGTTTTGGTTTGAATTGTTTTTGTTTGTGTGGGTTCTTGCCAAAGGAAATAGTCGTATTCTCCATGTGTTTCAGTTAGTTTGTTAAAAAGATACGAATCAATGGCAACTCTTAATATTTTCATGTTCGTCGCTTGATTTGTAAGCGAAAGGAAGTATATATATATATACATATGCGAGGGACCACAGTGAAAACGTTTCGGGTTGTCCATTGTTTGGTATCACTTCATATAAATTGCAGTTATCATATATCATGGCAAGTGTTTAACGGTAGTTTAAAATGTTTATAAAAATAGCTATAGTCCTAGCGTTTTAGGATGATAGAACTGTTAAGGAATGTCGATCATTGTGCGCTGTCCAAATCGGTGTTCTTGCAAAGACTTCTAGTATTTTAGACCTTGCAAAGACTTCTGGTATTTTAGACCACCAAGTCAGTGTCTGGAGAAGCTAAGATTAAATTTTTACTATACTTCTTAGCACTATCTTGTTATTTTTTAATGAAGCTATTGGTCATTTGTTCTCCAAAATAGAAGATATTTCGAGGAAAAAAGTTCAATTGTTGGGGGTTTTTTTAGCCTGTCAGTGTGTGTGTGTTTTTTTGTGTTGGTACTTCTGTGCTTACCGATTGTAATAGCATTACGTTTCCAAAGAAATGAATGATAAAAATTGGTAAATTCGACGTGTCAAGAAGAAAGTTCCAATCCGTATGCACCTCATTTATGAGGTGTTTGATTCTCACCTAAATATTATGGTCGTCTTTCTCACGACTTTCCTGTGGTTTTGCCATAGTATTGATTTTGAAGCTTATGTATATTTGTGAAATTTATGTGTGTTTTTCTTTATGCCATAACAACAAAGTTTTGTTCATCGAAACATCTTTGCGTATTTCTGCTGCCTTCGACGAATCCGGACTAAGGGGCTGTTCACATGAGCCCAGCTAACCGGGATTCAGCAAGACGTGAAATGATTTTGAGATATTGAAAGGAGTAAAAACTTTAAACGCAAAACTTCTTTATAAGTCAGTCATTTTAGTTGTAAGTTTCAAATCTGGCCTAATTTTTTGTTTTCATTTTAAATGTTTTGTGAATTTGCAAATTCCGAACATAGAGAAATTGCATAAATAACTTTTTTGTTTTGAAGGAATTAATGTTTTCCATTTGCTAAAATGATTAAACGCTTCGCTGAATCCCGTCTACCCGGGCTCATATGAACAGGCCCTAAACTTATAAATCTATTTTTTTGCACTGAAAATATTGCATCGCGGGCGAAATCTATTCGTGACTACTAAGGCCACGGAATGCAATGTACTACGTGACGTAATTACGCAAGTTGTCTATTCTCCGTGAGTATGTCAAAATAGGACACATCTCAGATGAGGACCCCTCTCGCAAGCAGATGTCGGCCATGGCCTCCGCTTAACGTCAAAGTCGACAGTGGGTGCAAAGTATTCTGTGATGGCTTCTGATCGTACAGTTAAACTTCTAATATTCAAGATTACAAGCTTATCTCAGTGACCCAATATCTTTTATATTGTAAAGCAGGGCAGATATCATGAATATTAAGTAGAACTTTTTTCTTGATACTCCTTACATTCTTGATTTACAACTAATCTCCTAAGATTTATCACGTTTTCGCCAAAGTCATCTCCACAACAGCTGTCATTTGCACAAGAACACGAACTTGTTGGTTGCTTGGTTTAGCAAAAATCTGTTCACAAATCTGAGGTATGATAAAGCCCGTAAACTCTTTATACCACTTTATACCACTTCATACTTTTATATCCTTAATAACAAACTATCATGAAGTAATTTCTGAAATGAAACATGGCGTCAAAAAACACAAATTTAATATTTTATTTTAATTTTGTGCACATGATGTTGTAGTTGTCTGTTTTCGAATTTACAGTCAGTTAACACGGAGAACATTCATTTGATTTGCTGCTTTTAGTTTGCTTCGTCATTGGGATGGAGATGTTTGGCGTCCTGTTTTATATCACTGATTTCAGTTGGCATTTCAGATTAACGATGATAACCTAGCCATCGCAGATGCTTCTTTGAACTGTAAGTGGGGCAGATATCGCGAGAGTATTCATAATAGCAATAAAAAATGTTGACATATCATACTTTTATTTCAAATTTATTGTGAACACATGTTTATCGTGAAACATTTCTGTACAGCCCCCGCGTGTCCCGCCCATGAACACAAACTACGTTACGTTCGATTTCTTGGCATACAACGACGGCCACGCGTGAAAATATTAAATAGAATATATTAGATGTACATGTTTTCAATATTTTTGTTGTATATGATTCGTTTGGTGTCTGGGTTATTCTCTCAATATTCCAGCAAAATCGTTCGCTTCGTCTGAACTTAATGTAGGTATTCTCGATCGCTCGTGATCTATGAACAAAAATTCCATTATTTATGTTACTAAGAACGCAATACACAAATCTAAAGGTCGAACAACTTCGTACTAAAATATACTTAAATGTCGTTAGAACGTCGTTGATATTTTCACTCACGTTCATCTGCGTCTCTTCGCCTCCTCCACAGACGAGGAGGGACAGATTCTCTCGTTCTTCGCTTAGTTTTGATCTTTTCCAAAAGTTGTTTTAATGCCTTGTCATCGTTTGCGGTTCTTACAGTTGCGAAATTATAGAGTAACGTCAAGAGCAGAAGAATATGACCATATAGAAAGACGTTCTTCATCTGGAAAATTCGATATAGTTATTAGACGATTTTGCTGGCAAACTGATCAGCATTAACTTGCCTGAAGATTGCCGTATTTTTGAGGCAATGTTCAAGTTCATTTATCTACATCGTGTTTTTAAGATTTAAGTTGTTTGACTTTGTCTGATTGTTTCAGCGGATTCCTAAAAACTCTACTTTTCGTCGAAGCATTTTGTGAACTTTCAATTTACAGCTTTTACTTGCAAATGTAGCAGCCGTTTGCTCGTTCCATTATAGAAAACGTAGAATGAGCGCAATAGCAGGCATGTTTCTACGCGGCAAATAAAATTCATATCACAACTAAATTGCTCGCTTCGAGACGAGACGAGACGAAAGATTTCAACGCATTTACCGCCCGGGCCCCGGTAGTCATTCGTTCGTCGCTTGCTCACGTGAATGTTCGATTACTCCTAACAACATAGCACTTCCTTAAATTTTAGTAACTGGTTTGATTTTTTTTTCGTCTACGTGGGTTTTAGCTTATTCGTTCAATATTATATTATCATAGCGATCTTACCTTCGCGATCTTCACCAAGAGGTCCACCTGACTAAATGATGTTCAAACTTATGAGGCTATTTGTAGATAACCAACCGCCTACTTATTGTCTATCTGTCGTCGAATAAAAACGCCTATTTGCTGCGGTTTCCTTTAGTCAAATGAATGTTAAACATGTTTAAACTCTAGGAAGCCGCTGGGAAAACCGTTTTTCATTATATTTACATAATCGATTGCGATTGGCAAATGACGTTCAGCAGCACTTAACAAACTGAAATCATGGCTGTACCGACTTTCCTAATCAGAGCATAATTGAAACGATTTTGCGGTATCAGTTTCGTTAGGCCGCTATATTTATGCATACTGAGTCGTCCGCAAAGTCAGATATATAGACTATCGCCTCAGCTATACAGGCTGTATCAAAAACTGCTCATCTATGAAATCGTCCTATGAATTGGAATGAATCACTTATAATTGATCCCCGAAGACGTCTAAACGCCATTGAAAACAAAAATGCGTACGAATTGTGGCTATTGTACTTTGCAAATTCGAAGCGTAAAATTTATTTCAATCGCGTTTTCTTATTCTTTTAGCGATCAATTATTCCCGAATCGTGCAGATTTTAAACGTCGGCCGATGTCAAAGACGAACAGCTTTTGAGACCTAACCCTGCGCGTTTTGTATACTCCCGTTAACATTGCTTGGTTTGTGATAATTTTTCCTAATCGCCTTTCCCATGCAGGCAATCCGGTGCACGCGTCGAAAGCAATATCCTCACGATGCGAAATGATGAACATATATGCTGGGCGTAACTGGGCGTAGATAATACGCGACGCAAATTAACGCCTACGTGAAAAAACTTTAGGAAGGCATGCGCCAGAACATATCCAACATTTACTGGGGTTTTTTTTACATGACAGATGTATCTGCTCATTTAATTAAAAATACGTCTCTGTCACTGCATGAAGGTTTTTTTTTCTCTAGCAGTGTTGCCAGCAGGCTAATCTGAGAAGATCTAAAACAGCATGCATGAGACGTGCCAGCTGGCCATACTGCTATACTTGTAGGAAAACACTGCTACAGCTATTCAGCAATGTTTTCCTAAAGGATCGCCATTATTCACTTCTTTAGAAATCTCCGGTTCTCGCATTCAGCGAGGAGAAAAATATTTACATAGCGGGAGTAAAGAGTACAGAGTGCGTTTTCCTTTTTATTGATTTATTATATTCATTAAATGACAACTTTTTATCTACTGTTAATCATAAAATTGCTTAAAGAGTTTGTTTATTAGTAATGTACTGTACATATAATCTCAGATTAGCACGAAAACCTAATCTTAATGAACTAAGACTAGCACAACTAGGGATATAAACTCTTTCAAAAATCGATTATTTTTTTAATATGAGTTAGGAATTTTTAGTGCGTCGATTTATGCACTAAAAACAAAAGAGAATAACTTCTAGATTTCTTAATGAAAAGGAGACCTTTTTAGCAGACCTAATGGTTCAAATTTCAATGTGTTGTTGCGCAGATTTTTCAGTCATTTTAGGTTCCCGGGTTGCACACAAGCTTTTGTAGTTGTAACAAAGATGGCTATCACAATAGTTGACAATATTTTACACATTTATAGACCTTGCGGGGAGCAAGAATTTTTCCAGGGGGGGCTGGCCACTGGCCCCTCTCGCTACATCGCTATTGAAGCGTGGAGCTTTTCACGTGCCGAATGCATTTGAAGCAAAAGATAGCGAGTGTTGATTCGTTTTCATATGAATTTTAATGTTTGCAACAGGACTGGGATTAAAATGAGTTGGATTGGTTTGCCGAACACTACATTGTGAATGGTTTGTCTGAGTTTATGCAGTCGGAAATGACATATTTTGCTAATTGAATGTTCAACAATTGTCATCCTGTAGTTTCAATCTATTTTGCTCGAAAGCAGAAAAATCAAGAAGAATGTCTGCGAATGAGCTACAAGTCAGTGCCCACCAGCACACAACAGTGACGTGACACTAGTGAGACAAATAGAGCAATAAGAAAGCCAACCTAAAGTCACTGGGACAAAATTAGTACATTGAAATGTGTCCCTCTAAAAATTTCTTATTTTGATGGCTGATGAGAAGGGCGGGCAAAGCTGATGGAGAGAAAGTTTTTACCGAAAAAATAGCCACAATTGGTGTTTTGCGTGGAAGCAATTCAGCCATATTGGCTGTCTGATGAACGAACAACATTCTATGGCACGAAAATTTATACCGAGTCTCTATCATCGCAATATTTACCAGTAAATGCCCTTTCAATTATTATCTCTGTAGACATGTCCCGAAGTTGTAAAGCCACATTTGTGAGATGAAGATGGCCGCTGTATTTCTATGAGAATGTTCCGTTGTACAAACACTTCTACTTGCTCATTTTGATGGCGGGCACGGGAGAAATTTTCTCTGTTGAAATAACTTGGAAGAGGAGATATTGAAGAAAAATCATCAATTCCAAACTTGCACACAAACCAATGGATTTACTGGCAAAGAATGGTGCAAGTGGAGAGAAATCGTTGAGGACTATATACATATACAGGTTAATGAGCCATCTTTTATTGCAAATTTTCACTGTATAGACTGTATAACACTACCGGCCGTCATTTTTTGGTCCCCTATGTAAATTTCAGACGTTCTGATTGTTCATCTCCCCATGAATCTATAATCTTACCACGAAAGGACGAAGAAAAGTTTGCACAGAAGGACCAAATTTTGCTGGGGCTGGCTACGCCATTATCTTCTCAAATCGGTCTCTTCTTATGGAGTGCGGCGAGTAGCGGATCTTGCGGGTACGTCTGACTGGAAATCAGTTGATAGGTCTGTCAGTTATAAACTATCGTTCATTGAGATCCTGTGTGGATAAACACCAATGACTTAGAACCCAGTCTACCAGACATCTTACTCCGCCAAAATTCTTCAGTTGTTTCATCTTGAAAGGTGCAAAACTGATTAAATTTAAGGCTAATATCTGCTTTTCCTGAGTTAATATGTTAAAATGTTCGATAGAATTGTTTTTCAAGCTTTCTTTTAACCTGTTTTTCACTTTGAGTTAAGCTTTTTGCCACCTTTCAAGATGGAGTCTCTGCCTCACCTTGACATAATAGTCAGACATCGAGAGGATTGGATTCTAAATCATCGTATTTGGTAATGTTTCACATCCAAGCAGTAAAGATGTGTTACTATTGGAGGAAGTAAAACTAAATATCTCTCATGAATTGATGCAAGTGCATGATAACTTTTGTCACCACAGGAAGCCTAAACTTAAATACAAGAATTGTATTTAAATAATACATCCATCGAGGGTTTTCTTTTTCAAAAATACGAAGGAAATTGTATTATGTTGATTTAATTTGCGCATTGATCAATCAAGTAAACCAGGCATACTGATGTTTACCAATCTTCAATTGTGCGAACACAACATATAGCGAAACATTGTACCTTTTTGATCAAAGCAATCGCTTACTGTGTATAATTTCAGCATTATATAAATATCATTGAGAGACGTTGAGTTTTTTTGTTTGTAATTTAAAACGTCGCAAATATTATCGAATCAGTTATTGCAAAATGTATTCCAGGGGATTGATAACGACGATCTGACCGAGCATTTTAGTAAGAGAAATAGAGTTGCCAATAGCGTAGAAATTGAACTGCAAGTTTAATTTTTCCTGCAGCCACTGTTAAAGAGATTACGCAGTTGTTGTTTTGCAACAAACACGTCCATGAATGGTAATATTTGCAGGTAGATGCTATAAATAAACGAAGACAATTGTTTTAATATGAATCTAGCTGTGCAGTATTCTGCTGTTTGTGTTGTTCACAACAGAGAGAGCTTATGTAAAGGAAAACGAAGGATATTGGAGTGCATGCGGGGGTCATATTGTTCAATTTAGCCATAAGACATGCTCGCAATTTCTTCAATGTTGTGTCTATAGCGAGAAAGATGTTCTGTTTTTGCATCTAAGTCATTGTTTGAAGATGATTCAGCCTTTCAAGCACGGTCTTTACTATCAAGAAATCTACTAAATACGACGAGTAGCTTCGGACGAAGTGGTTTTCATGTTCTCGGCTGGAAAAGATTTCTAGAAAAATCATTCGTGTTTTTACACTTTGATCTATACGATATTGCATCATTTACAGTATTGCAGTAAACTGTTATAACTCTAGCTGTAACGGTTTGTCCATCAACGAAACAGTTGTTTATAAGATTATTGATAGCTAAACTGTGAACATCTGGGGCCTTCCAACAACAGGCAAGTTGATCTGTGTATGATTAAAATAATCTCGTCCGTGGACACGTATCGCTTGCCGTTTGTCACAGTTGCGTCGACTGACGAAAAACGACCTCATTTAACTGAGAAATATTTGTTGAAGAAATTAGGTGATTGTCTTCAGGCAGTTCCTTTTTTTATTCGCTTGAGGTATGTAACATATATAGCGTGTCCTGCTGTCATGATGTGCTTTGTTAACGCCATTCGGCAGAATTTTTCATCACATTAAAAATGACATATGAACAGTGTACAACTCAAGGAAACAAATGTTACTTGAGGGAGAAGAATTCGCCGATAAGCTCTAATCAATGCTTGTCGAGATTTAAGGTTTAGGGATCCTGTAACGCGTATTTTATCCGATCACTACTCAGACGTCGCTGTTTGATCGATGAAAAACTCGCTGGTTCGAGTTACTGCGTCGTTTGCGCATGATTGTCGACAATCTGTCGGAAGTTGATAAGAGTTCCAGTTAAAGTTACAATTCATAGAATCGCTTGATTATCCAAACCTTGTTTCCGCAAATGTCAAGCGATTAATAACGAATTTCAGCATGTCGTCACTCCCACTGTTCTTATGGTTGTCTCTCAAAATAACACATTCTCATTACGAAACGACGGCATTCTCTCCCGCAATCTTTCTATGCCATTATACAATCCTTAGTTTTAGCATGTTTACCGAGTGCTTACGCTGTAGTGTATGTTCTAAGGTTTGAGGGATTTCTTCACTTGATCAAGTCAATCTGATTTTTTGAAATCTCCCATTTGGGTGAATGTTACACACTAACACCTCCGCACCCCCGTGTTTGTTACTGCGCTTTGTAAGAAATATGGAAAGATATTTGTCGTTAAGCGATGGAAGTTACAAATGTGTCGTTTAGACATTGAAAGACACATGTAATTTACGCACTGGAAAGGTGTCATTGACACATAGAAAGACACGTGACATTCAGACATGGAAAGACGAGTGTCATTTACTCATAGGAAAAGCTGTCATTGACACATTTAAAGACACGTGTCGTTTATACATAGGAAAAGGCGTCATTGAAAAATGGAAAGAGCTGTGTCGTTTAGACATGGAAAAATGTTTCATTTAGACATATAGCCTGTTCAATAGTGGGGGTGGAAGGATAATAACATGAAAACTGATACTCTTTAGGACGTTGAGTTTTACCCGATAAAGTTCTTGTTGTCAAAGTAATATGTACTGAATTTGCTTCTCACCATTAATGACGCTTGTAGATGTTATCGATTCATAAAGTTTTCACTATTAATACATTTTTATTGTTTAACAGGTCTTACAAGTACGAGCGCTGCACTTGAAAGGATTTTTGTTCGCTGGTAATTCAGTTGTCCAGCTCTTCAACATATCTATACAGGATTGGTGAGTTGGATTTTTATGTTGGCGAATGTTAATGATGCTATGTAGTGGATGTTGGTGAATATTGGACTTTATGTTCGACACGAAATTGAATGAAATTCTTAAAACCACCCCATATACGGCTACTCCTAGCTTTCAAATCAATGCTTTTTGTTTTCATCGCGTTTTCAAAGAAGTTATTTATTCAATGAACCACGCATTCATAAAGTTTTGCCAAATAATTATATACAAAAATGTAGTTTTTGCTCATACTAATAGCCATCCTTCTCAACATAATCCAATACTCCAGTGTCAATTAAGTGGCTTGTGAATACTTCAATTCATGTTTGTCGCTTTGATTGTGCGCCGAAACGTAATTTAATGAGTTGAGTGAGTTTATAAACGATTTCAAATTAAAATTCGACTGAGTTGTGGAGAAGATTTGCGATGTAATAGTAAACAATTGAAAACAATTTTTGAAACAATTGAACTCAAACTGAGACAATTTCTGGAAATAAAGGCCCTACACAGTGCAAACAACCATTTTTCATCTAAGTTACTTATGACATTGAAAACAGCTCGTTTGTACGAAAATCTCCATTACAGCGTCGCAAAAATATTTCGTGTGGAATGAGGCGAAATGGGCCAAAAAGTGGATTTGAGAGGCAGGTCTTCAGCCACAAGGCCCAGTGGCGGATCCAGACTACGTCAAAATAAATTACTGCAGCACATTCCTAAACTCTTTAGAGGCTAACCCATTGGTAAAATTATATTCTTTAGAAATTAAAAACCAATCGTGATTTTCTTAATGTAATTTAAATTTAGAATTGAGGAGCTTTAATTTATTTTGACGTACATTGGATCCACCACTGACAAGGCCTGTACGTTATAGCTATAGATTCCGTGATTTCATCATTATAATTAATGCATTTCTTCTCGTGCAGCTTTCAACAGAAATGCATGCAAATTTTATCTGTCGTGCTGTTTCAGTCGATTTCTTTACTGTCGTCATGGCGTTTTAAGTTGCAAAACCATATAATTTGGGTAAAATTGTTAAAACACTACAGGAGAAACGATCTTTGTTAATTCTTCAACATATTGCCTAATAATGGTTTTTTGAATTGCTATGTAAATTTTTCTATTATTCTAATCATACCAAGCCAATTTACTTAAGGTTTTTCAATCTGGATGTGTAGAATGTCTTACCCAAAACTGTAAAATTATAATCGAGCAGCGGTTGTGAGTTTGTTTCGCAATTTCCTCTTATTCCGACGTCGAGCAATCGGCAATTTAATCGAGCTCGTTTATGCGCAAATTGTCTTCATGGGTCGTAAAATTACAATATCAACCTGTATGCACTAAAAGTATTGTTCTTTCAAGAAGAGCTTTTTACATAATGAGATGGAAATGTCACATAACAATAAACTATCGCTACATGGCAATTATTGCTGAGCGGCCTCTTTGAGACATAGAGAGAAGATTTATATGGCGTACCAATAAATTTTAAGCAGCTGGCGCTCTCGTTCGATTGCATTTGATGTGGTTTCATTTATTTCTGCTGATTAACTGCTTTTATTCGCAAAATACGTGAAAAGGTCTTTTTTATTTTAGACGAACCGAAGGAGCTCGTATAGCTAGGTGAGACTCCAGGAATCCCTCATGATTGAGGGAAATGGCCAACACTACAAATGAGAGCGTAGTTTACAACCAAGAGAGTAATGGGATCTTCAAGCCCGTGTACGACTCCTTACTCATCGCTCTGGCCTTTTTTATTATTGCTATAAACGTTCTTGTCGTTTATTTGTTTCTGAGGAAAGATTATTTGCGCACGAAGACGAACAGTTTCCTCGTTAGTCTGGCATTTTCTGATCTTCTGACAGGAATTGTAGCCATCCCTTTTTATTTGTATTGTTCGCTCACTCTCAAACCCGCGGTAAGCTATAGCGTGTTCTATGCATCATACTACTTTCGGAAAAGTAGAAGAAGTTCGAATGAGGCCAATTGGCTTTTCCGCTTAGTTTTTACGTTCAACGGTTCATCAAACTTTCATTCACTGTTGTAGCTCCACAATATTAGTTATGCAGAGCTTGTAGATGTGCTATTATATGAAACCTAGAGTATATAGAGAGAGAAAGACACCGAAGTATACACAACAAGAAAAGAAAGTTTTCTTCCGGATATACTATTATAAATTCTAAATGAATGAATCCAGGATAATTAAACACAGCATTACTTCGACTAAAGTTAATTTGCAAACTGCTATGCGAACTAAGAACGAGGCTGCGATTACACTATACCCGGATTCGCTCAACACGACATCTTCATTTGCTTTAAAGGGGTAACTGTACGGAGTAAAAGCTTATTAAGCTGAGAGATTTAGTCTATTTGATTGTGTTTCTGACGTTGAACAATTTCACTGCCTTTTAATGTAAAGAATATTCAACCTACTACGATAGCAATCCGGTATAGTGTAAACGGAACCTGAGATGACTCTATTGATGCTTTAACGAAGGAGCTATCGCCTCTTGAATGCAAAAACACCCAATTTCGACATTAGCATCAAAAAGTTGTATAATCAGGTTCACTCCCTATTCAGTATCGTTACACGTCGTGAAGCTGTTGAAAGTTTGCCCAGATTAAGTTATCAAAGCATGATGATCGCAATTGGGCTTTTAGGCCGGGATTCTTTCACGAAGCACTTATAATAATTTACTTAGAAACTTTCTTTTTGTGTGTTGTGTTTACATGTATGAAGCTCAGGAGCGTAGCCAGCCCGCAAGTTTGGTCGTGCTATGTAAATCTTTCTGTGTTCACTCACTGTAAAAACAATAGATTTCTAAAGAAATGAATAATGATAATGGTCTTGAATTTACATAGCATGACCAAATTAGCGGGCTGGCTACGCCACTGATGAAGCTCATAAAGTCATGCCGTTATGTGCGGAGCGTAACCTTACACAATTTCATGTAGAGACTGCATGAGTATGTTTTATCCTACACACGAAGTCTAAAACTATTTCTACCATTCTGTGTAGATTTGCATTGCCTCAGGCGCATTGTATCGTTGCATCGCAGTGTCCACTATGGCTCACATTATGGTCGTAACCCTTGAGAGATATATTGTTGTGATGTACCCAATGAGGTAGGGTATTTATGTTATTCACTGCCTATATGCTGACACATGTTATCCTAATTAGACACTGTTAATCCTAGTTATCATATTCCTTGTTGAACAATGTTAGTCCTTAAGTTATTCTAGGTAAACGCTTTTTAGTATGAATTTTTGTTATCGTATTTAAATGCTCTTGATCCTTGCTATCCTAGTAGAGCAATGTTAATCCTTGAGTAAACGCTATTAATTTTTATCTTAGTTAAATACTGTTAATACTTGTTATTCTAGTGAAACATTGTTGATCCTTGTTATCCTAGTGAAACAATGTTTATCTCTGTTATCCTAGTTAAACACTATCAATCCTTGTTATCCTAGTTGAGCGCTGTTAATCCTAGTTGTCCTAGTGAAACAATGTTAATCCTTGTTATTCTAGTTGTACAATGTTAATCCTGGTTATCCCAGTTGAGCAATGTTAATCCATGATATCCTAGATAAATACTTTCAAGTTTCAATCCTTTCTATCATAGTTAAACAATGTTAATCCTTGTCATCCTAGACTCGTTGGATTCTTAAATTCTTTCCGGAAAGCATTTGTCTTGTTATCTTATTTTTGAGGGTGTGATGTCAGCTACAATGCCTTTACATATTATTATAATTACATATTTCTCTCCTCACCCCATTGTCAACTTCTCCCCTTCACTCAATTTCTAGATATTACAGAATGGTTACAAAGACGCGTGTTTGTATATGCATAGCTGTCGTATGGCTCTTTTCGATCTTCTACTCTACGATCCAATTCTCTTGGCTCGACGTCGACAATCACAATATCACGGAAATTGGCGAAAACATTATCTATGAAAAGCCATACAATATAACGGGTGTATTTCTCTGCTTTTCAATTCCGCTGTGCGTAATGATCCTGTGTTTTGCACGTATGTTTTGCGTGATTCGTCGTCAGGTAGGGAGGATCCAAAAGCAGGCGGAACTGTCTGCAGACCCTAGGAGCGTATCGATAGCTTCTGATAAACGCGCGTTGATCATATTTTTCACGATGTTGTGCGTGTACACGTTATGCTGGCTGACGTGGTATTTGACGTTGTTTCAAGTCGCGATGAGAAAAAATGTCATCCTTCCCGAGAAGGTCGCCGATGTGTTCGACTTCCTAAGGTTCGGTACTAGTCTTTTTAATCCTTTGCTGTACACTTTTCTGAAGATGGATTTTCGTCGTGCTGTTTGCTCGCTGTACAGCAATACTCGCGCGAGTTCTATTCGGGACAGATGTGGTCGGTCAACTCATCTGAGAATGACATCATTTTCCACGGACATAAGAGGAAGAAAAAGCCTTACTCCTTTAAATGGCGCCATTGACGGCCTGACAAGCAGAGATTTTGTTGAGCAAAGTGACTTTGAAAATCACGAACTTATAAGTAGCGTTTAATAAACCAATGGCTAGTAATGCAGTGACGTAGCAGCTCGCATGTTTGATCCAGTGTTATGTAAATATTTTGTTGCTCCTCACAGTAGCGTAGACAAAATTTTCTGTCAAGGGGTGGGGAGGCTAGTCAAAGGGAAGGGTGACATAGCTGTCCTTCAAACAATATAATATATATGTAAAACATAACATTTTATAAGGGTCAGAATTTTCCCTTGCTCGCGTCCCCTTCTGGCTACGTCACCAGCTCTTCACTCACTGCAAAAACAATAGATTTCTAAAGAAATAATACTGATGACATGCAATTTACATAGCATGACCAAAACCTGCAGGTTGGCCACATTGGCTAAATTTGTTAGTCGTTTATTAGTTTATGCTTCATATATTATTGCTGAGGAAGTACAAGCCTTCAAGGCATTTGTATTTCTTTTATTCGTATTGTATTTTCACTATTTTGGTTGTTAAAAATAGCCAAGTGAGAAGAACGAAATTCTTCAACTTTGCGTAACTGTGTGCACAAACGGAAATTATTGGCAAAAGAATAAGTGACGTTTTAATGTTAAAAAATTATATGTTTTGTTGCTATAACTTTCCTTTCTCGAAAATTTAACTCGTCTTTTCTGAAAAGATATTGGTCCATGGTTGCTCCTGCTTCATCCTATTTTAAACAACAGACCGACCAGTACGATATACACTAATGTAAAATATCTTTTATATTAAGGAGTTGGACATATAATTTGAAATTGGTTTCCTGCACACCCACGCCAATTTGAGCACGGTAGGATTTTCCTCACTTTCGTTACCATACCACGCCCGACCACTCCAATATTGGGCAATATTGGGAAAAAGTGAAAATAAGACTGCATACTTAACATTTTCGGGGTCTGATCTGGGCCTAGCTGCGGGTAGCAGTGTCGTAGATTGTCGTGCTAGTTCGGAAATCATCGGTTCATAGCAACAACGAAGAAAGCGTTTATACAAAAGTTATAAACAGAATATATATATATATATATGCATATGTTTTGTAAAACATTCATTTTCTGTACGTGAGATTTCATGAAGAGTAAGTTGAGCCATGAACAACATGCTTGTTCCTGTTTTTACTTTGAAACTTGGCCAAAAAATCCATCAGAAACGTGTGACGATTGGCAAATTTGACGGACAGAGATGTTGTCTTGCTGCTGCAACAACAGCAGGGAAGGTTAGTGGTTGAAGATAGATCAGTTGGAGATTACTTTCTATTTTTTGACGCATGCCAAAGGATATTAGTCATCAGAGTTGAACTGGAAAGTTTATAAATGGCATTTCAAATGCCCAGCAAATCAATCAATTCAGACAATTCTTGACTATATTGGGTACACTTATAGAATGCCCTGCCACAAACACCGTCGACAACAATCAGGCAAGGTTATGACAAGGAAAAGGTTATGATTTGGGTCATGCTTGCAGATAGTTAAGCATGTGGCAGGGTCTTCTATAATTGCATATTGTAGTTATAGTACAGTTCAATACTCAAGAACTATTTGGATGCAATTTTCACTTTGCAAATATTGAGGTTGTAAGGGATGTGATATGGCGTATAATTTTTCTAAAATGGAGTCTGGGGAAGTAAGCATGCTCCCATTTTTGTCACTCTTCAACACTCGAAAATAAAAATACTGAATCAAAAGGACTAACTTTAAATGCATTATGTCAATTTAAAGAAATTCATTCATGATTGCAGTGGCATAGCCATGGTTTTCTGCCAAGGCGAGGCATAATGGTTGATTAAACAATGTAGTATAAGTAAAATATAATATTTTAGGGGGCTTCTTATAGGGCGGAGGGGGGGGGCTATGTTACTATCACATTGTGTGATGAGCAAGATTGTTTGAGGAATTTGTACCTTGCCAAAGCTGTGGAATATATTTGTGTTTTGAAATGTGTCCACAGGGAAAGTTTCTAAAGTAGTTTTTCCATCTAGTTGTTTGTACACAATCCTCACAGTCGTATTACTGAAGGCGGTCGAGTGACGACTCTCAATACTGATCTCAGCTTGCTGAATATTAATCAACAAGTGTCCGCAGTATGTGCTGGTCAGTTGGGCAAAATGGAGAGGGATGTGTTGGTCATTGGTACTCCTACAAATATCCTAGCATATGATGTCCAGAAGAATTCTGATTTATTCTACAAAGATGTGAGTTCTTATTAATGATTTTTTGTCCCAATTTGTGGCAAGACAGGTATCTGTACTTTTTTCCTGAAAACGACTTATTTCATGCATGACTATAGGTTCCTGATGGTGTTAATGCGTTGACGATTGGTCAACTGGGCTCCACAAATACAATGCTTGCAGTTGCTGGTGGAAACTGCTCTCTTCAAGGTTTCGATGTTGAAGGAAACGACTTGTATTGGACTGTAAGTGAGAAGCACAGTTTGGATTTTATAGACCACTTGTTGCGTAGCGACGAGTTCCATTATCTAGCAACATGACTGCGAGCATGCGCAGAATTAGCTATACGCCATCTTTACGGCAGTTTCATGTGAAATGTGCTTCTGTCGAAAAATTTACCCCTTCGAGTTTCACGCTACTTTGGCAAGAAGGACTGGGTACCAATTGACGAACGTCATTTAGGACCAGACCGCAATGTTTTATGGTAAAGCAGGCTTCCATGACAAAACAAACTACAAAGCTTCATCGTACCACGCAGGCACACGGGAGAACAACCAGTGATTTAGCCTGCCTTGCCCTACAGAGTTTTAACGACAAGTCGGGATAAAGACAACAAATGCTTATTATATCACCATCTGACAGTTTTAATATCGCCATTTATACCATAATATATACATTTTTGATATCGCCACAGAGCATACAATAGCATTGCCTTCGAAGAATCATGTACATGAGCTTACCTATTTTTACTACTTAGGTGACGGGCGATAATGTTAGCTCATTGGCTCTTTGTGATTTCACTGGCGATGGTCGGAATGAGGTACACTCATTGATTCATATGGATTCGCATTTACCCATCTCGATCACCTGATCATTCAATTCTGTTCGCCTATTTCATAGCTTCTTGTAGGATCCGAAGATTTTGACATACGCGTGTTTAAGGACGACGAGATGATTAGCGAAATGACGGAGACAGAGTCGATCACGTGTCTTTGTCCTCTCGGCGGTAATAGATTCGGTTACGCATTGTCTAATGGCACTGTCGGTGTGTACGAGAAATCAAACAGGCTTTGGAGGATTAAAGTATGCAGCTCAGTTTGAAATTACGTATATTTTACTGTGCACAGCTGAAGGATATAAACATAGAAAAACGCTGCGGGTCGAAAACTGCATTTTTGAGTTTCTTTCATTGATGTTGTTCCATGTTCTCGTGTAATCAGAATGTCCATTTTTGTCGCTCTCTTTCCTCGACTGTGATTAAGGTTTTCGTACTTTTGATGTCGAAGTGGCTTGTCAAAAGAAATTGGGAACAGAATTATTAAAGTTTAAAGTCCGATCCATCTTGTTTAACGTTAGAATCGGTTCTCTTACAGTCGAAGAATCAAGCAATCGCCTTGTGTAGTTACGATCTTAATGGCGACGGAATCGACGAACTGATCACAGGTTGGAGCAATGGAAAGGTAGAATCATTGTCTTTATTATAAATGATCGACATTTGTTGAGCTGGCGACAGGGCAGGATTTGTCTTATTTCCTTTTTATCTTATGCATGCGTGTGGACTGGATAAACTGATTGTTTATTTTTTCTGCAGCAAAATTAGCCAATATTAACAACTTAAGAATATTAACAATATTAACAATATTAACACTTGCATTGACTGTATGGCTAAATATAAAACCACGGCTATGGCCTTTTTTACACCACAATGACCCCGTTCCCTCTCCGTAAGATATTTGCTTTTTCGCCACGATTCGATATTCCTGATATTACACTTTATCAAGTCTGGTCATGCAGTTCAATCTGTCCTTGTTCGATCATTATAATAGTTTCATTATTCGTCGAGCTAGTTACATTGTTCTTGTCGACGATCTCAGGTTGATGCAAGAAATGACAAAACAGGAGAGGTGATTTTCAAAGACAATCTACCGACATCTCTGGCCGGTGTTCTTAAAGGTGATTACAGAATGGATGGAATGGAAGAACTGATCTGTTGCTCCGTTGACGGCGAAGGTTTGTCATCCTTCTTTGGACCGATGCATTCAAGTGAATATATGCAGAGTTTTAAAGGAATTCCGTGTCCATTTTTAGTTCGCGGTTACTTACCAGCTTCGCCGCAGTTCAGTGATAATTTGATGGGCGTGGACGTAGCTCAGGAAGCTTTGAGGGATCTCACTCAAAAACGACAACATTTGCTACTCGAGCTAAAAAACTACGAAGAGAATATGAAGGTTTGGCTTTTTCGAAGCAATTCATCTATTTATTCGTTTATTATTTATTTATGTAGTTGTTTGTTTATTTATGTATATTCGAAAACAACGTGCTGTAAATGCAACACAGATGACTACGAAATGACAGGGAACATGCAACAGCTTTCGCCAGTTACAGCAGTCCTTTAAACATAACTTTACGATGTTGCTAGAGACTTTTCTTGAATTGACTAAGGCTGATATATAATTCGTTTCGCACTTCTTGGTTTCAATAAGCCTGTGAAGACACAGTAAACATTTTTTTATTTCTCTTAAGTGACATGAAATGTTTTCATGTTTTCTTCGAAAGATTTCCTTTTAACTGTAGCGTCACTTCTTTTGAAAGTTTTTGACTTCAGGCTTTTATGTTGAGACGTTTTCACTCGTTTGACGTTTTAATGGAAACTGTAGGACAATATTAAGCTTGTTTGAATATTATGAAAGTCCGAAATATCTCAGCAACAAATTTTGGAATCATAATTCTTCCAAGAAAGTTTCAAAATTGAATTCCTTCAATTGACACAATTGATTTTACGTCATGGGTATTTAAAATCATTGACGAAGCCAACCCGATTATAGCAGGGCTAAAACTTGCGGGCTGGCTTCACTACCGCTTAAACTTAGCAGTGGTGTAAAACGTCATCGGTTATAATTTCACTCTTTAAGGTCAGTCAATCAATGCAGTCCAGCGGAGTTGTCAATGTCGACCAATCAAAACTTGGCATTATTCCCGCCAATACTCAACTGCAGACGTCGCTTCAAGTGAGTTCGGGCTCCGAGCATGTTCCAGCCTCGGTGGAGCTGGCAATTTCTACGAGCAACGAGATGATCATCCGGGCAGTCATGATATTTGCCGAAGGGATCTTCGATGGAGAATGTCACGTGGTGCATCCTCTTCCGGCTAACCTTAGCAGTAGTCTTGCGATCCCCATTATCCCTCCACGTGATTACCCTGTCGACTTACACGTCAAAGCTTTCGTTGGGACAAGGACAAGGTAATCATTGAGTGATGTATGTAGTTGAAGCCTTGTTTACCGGATTGCTATCGGTGCAGATTCAATTGGCTTGTGTGAAAAGTCAGTGATGACGGCTGATGTAAGAAACGCAACTAAATAGACCAAACCTTTCAATTTGATTTACTCAAAACCGTTATTCCGTAAACGCCAACGAGGATATTATGATAAGCGAATCCGGTGTAGTGCTAAGGCAACCTGTGGTTTGGATTTCCTTCGATGGCGGTGTCGGATGCAGCCCCATTTTTAACTTCAGTTTTTGTATTTGATTGTCACAACTGTGTTTATTTGATGGAAAAACAACTATTCAAATGAATTTAATAAAGAAATGAATAATCATTTTGCTGAACATTTTTTTGAAGAGCAGGATTAATTTCGTGGACGGGCTTCGTCCGTGTTCAACAACCACGCTAGATCAATACCAGATGAAGGAAAACTGGTATTTTTTAGATGAACAATTCAAAACTGCCTCACTTACCCAACTGTAACAACTATCTACCAATAAGAGGTCGTTCTTACTGAATTTCATGGGAAAAGGTTTAAAATATCATCAAACCAACCATCATTTAAGAAATAAAAGATATCTACTGTGTTTGCACAGACTAATGCAAACCGAGGAGACCTTTAGGAGAACTCTAAAGCTGATCAGTGCGAGTCGGGGACCGAAGGTCGAGGGTTTTGTTACAAACGTCTTTTCTCTAACATGTATTGATTGGTTTGCAAGTTCTCGTCGATTGATTTAATTGATTGACCTCAAATCCGAGTTTGCACAGGTCGAGGCCCCAACTCAGCTGTATATAGACTAATCACCGCACGCGTTATATTGTTGTGATTTAAATGCATTTTTTTCAGCTCGCAATTTCATGTGTTCGAAGTAACTCGTCAGCTCCCGCGGTGAGTACGATCAATATTTTCATAAAATTGCTCTTGTGGCTATTACGAACTGGCGTTGGCATCGAATTCTTACCTAGATTTGCTCTGTACAAATTGTCATCTGGCAATGTCGTGGAACCGAAGTCAAGTGTTTCCTTTCACATCAACGATAGAGTCAACAGAGTAAGCTTAGCGCAAGCAACAATACATTACCTGGTGCCGGTTGCACGAAGACCGGATAGCGTTATCCATTGGATAGTGAAATTTTTCAATCTTGTAAAAAAGTTGTTTATATTTTCCTTACGACATAGAAATTTTTGTAATCTTTGAAGCCATATTTTCTTTTAGTGAAATTTATAAATTTTATATTTTTCTCTTTTGAGAGGTTTTTGCAACGTTCGAAAAAATTTGCTATCCAGTGGATAAGCGCTATCTGGTTTTTGTGCAACCGGCCCCAGGACATACTTTCGTAACTACGCTATTGGGTTTTGAATTTTCGACACACTATGGAACTATTTTTGCTGTTTTTTTCAAAGGTTGTTTTATGGATCAATCAAAACTTCCTTCTCGTCGACGAGATTGAAGCATCAAATGGACAACTGGATGTTGCATTTCAATCGTTGCGGACCAAAATCCCTTTGATCATCAGAATGCAGCAAAACGGAAATGTACGCAACGCATCGGCGTTTCATTTTTGTTTTCATAGACGGAGGGGTGGTGGGTACTTTCTCGATCGCGGAATTAGGATCTCTATAAACTTGTGTATTATGTATTTCGATTGATTCCGATGGAAGTCATAATGTGATACAACAAAGTTCAATTCTGTGTTGATCGAATCAAGCTATTCATCTTTTTCTGCGCATTGAGTAATCGGCAATTTTTCGCTAGATTACGGTGAGGACCGACGACATGGAACTAGCCGCTGACATAGTTCAAGCTTTGTCGACATTTCTCAAAATTGAGGTAAGCACTTGCCTTTCCTTTCCTGAACGACCAACGCCGTGATGTATGGGAGCTCCGTGTGATTATAGGAGTTGCAGACGACAGCAGATTTTCCATATCAAATGGAGGAACTTCAGAACTTATTGCAAAAGGTAAAGGATGTTGTTATTATAATTTCGTAGAAGCACTATCGCCAATGCGCATTTTATGTAAAACACCAATTTTTTGAAAATAGACAATTGATTGAGGGGGTAAATGTTCAGTTGTGCCCGAATAACTTCGCCAATTCACTTCCTAAAGATCACCACTGTATATATGATTATTCACTCCTCACCCAATTATCGTTATAGCTACGTACAATATTAGTGCGTTTAGGGTCTTTGTAAAAGAAAAAAGAAGACGTCTTGTCAGGAAATCAAGTATCATATTACACTGCTCTGCACACTCGTCTTGAACGTCACGTCTTTTGACCTAAATGTTTATCGTTTTCACAGGTTGACGAATTACATTCTGCCGCACAAAAATTGACAGCTGAAATGGCTGATCATTCTAATCTGATACGAAGTTTGGTCGTCAGAGCTGAAGACGCCAGAATAATGGGAGATATGTAAGACGAGTTTGAACTTTATCCATACTGTAAATCGCCTATTATCGACACGTGACCTCTCGGATAGTCCTATCATCTCTTACATATCTATCTAGTTCTGGTTGACACCGGTTTTTAGATAACTCTATAGGTTGCTAGGTAACTCATATGGTTCTTGACGTCATTATGTTCTTGGATAACCCTATATAACCCTATATAACACTATATGTTTTTAGATCTTTATCTGTGCTTAGATACATCAATTCTTAGATAACTGTATGAGTTGTTAGATAGCTGTATCTGTTCATAGACAACTCTACCAGTTCTTAGATTACTCTCTCGGTTCTAAGATACCCTTATCTGTTCCTAGAGAACCTTACCTGTTCTTGGATGACTCTATCACTTCTCAGATAACTTGATCCGATCATCACATAATCCCATATCGGTTCTTAGTTAACCTTATCTGTTCGTACATAACTGTATCAGTTCTTCTAGATAATACTAAGAATTCCCAGATAAGTTCCCTGAATGTTTTTAAAGAAAAACAAGATAACGATACAATGTCTTGACCGTGGTGATTTATTATTCGACAGGAAAAACATGAGACGCGGGTATATGGAACTGTACGATTTAAACCGTGATTTGGTCAACGGTTACAAAATACGCTGCAATAACCACAGCGAACTTTTAAGTTGTTTGAAAATGGTCAATCAAGTTATACAGAGGGCTGGGAATCTTCGTGGTAAGTCTGTCGTTATAACTGACAGTCTACCGTAGTTATCGTCTAGTCGTTATAACTATCAGTCCACCGTAGCTAGCGTCTAGTCGTTATAACTATCAGTCTACCGTAGCTAGCGTCTAGTCGTTATAACTGTCAGTCTACCGTTGCTAGCGTCTAGTCGTTATAACTATCAGTCTACCGTAGCTAGCGTCTAGTCATTAGCTTGATAGGAATTATCTACTTCTCGTTTTGTTTTTTTGACTAAGATTAAGACAAAATATCTTTTGTAAAATCTTGGATGATTTATGTGAGTATTTCGCGTAAAATTCTGCCATAACCATCCCACTGAGCCTGTATTAGAGAATGCCTGTTGACAATGAGAAATCTCGTATTCTCGTTGGCATTATTTGAGCCATCATAATTCATAACAAGAAAAGAACTTTGTTATGGTTGCCGTTGTTGACGCTCAACTCGTTCTCAGTGCATTTGCAAAAGCTCTCTAAAATTGCGTCGTTATAAGCATTACGTGTAATGACGCAGTCAGCTTCTGTTCAAACTACGAACGAATGTGTTTTAATCAGTGATTGCTTTGTTTTGCAGTTGGTAAATACAAGGCGAATATGATTTCATCATGTCGACAGGCCATCAAGTCGAATAACATGTCTTCGCTTTATAAAATCATGACGGCTGGCGGACAGTGATATTGAACCTTCGTGCGTGTCAGAATTCACTTCCATGTGCATTGATCGACTTGCGTGCATCGATGTCTATGCTTGCGTGCCACTATTCGAGCCAACATTCCCGAGTGCTGCCTCATTGTCTGCGCTCAGCGCTTACTTCGCGAACTCATTCTCGGTGAGAATGGAAATGAAAGTCTTTGTTTCCTTGTGAATGTTATTTGTCTTAGGAGGGACAGTGGCTATTTCTACTTATGTCATTACTCGAGAAAACTTGGAGTAAGCTAATTGTATTACAACATTTCATAGCTCTGGACAAGTTATTTAATTTCTTCTTGAGATGCGAAAATTGATCATCACTTTACTTTTTGATCCCAAGTTACTACAGGCAGAAAACCCTACTAAACTAGCCATGTTAGCTCACGCTTGTTACATAGAGTTCTGGCAAAACCAGCTATGCACGCAGAAGTTAAAAATACAAGAAAGGGGCTTTTGTTTCCCCTTTAAATAATGATTACGATATTGTTGATTTGTTAGCTGATATCGTAGTCATACTATCGAGTATAGTTTGCATTTTTTCAAACAAGTGACATGACGATACAAACTCAAGAGCTAGTACTTCGTGTTTGACGAGTAGCGTCACGATGACATGGGAATTCATGGGAACAAGCTGCATTATAACTTTAACTACAAACGCAAACACCACTTTGGGACTGAAATTTCATTTTCACTCATCGATGATCTGATATCCAAAACGTTATGAGAATTTATGTTTATAAAAAAAGAACACTTAACACACGATGATGGAAAAAATTTGACTTTCATTTCAATTGTATCGTCACTGACTATTGCCCCTAAGGCTTGCGAAACATTCACAATCATATGGGACAAAAATGCATCTTTGCAAGTGATTATGCGTACTGTTCATTCTTCCAAGTCTCCTCTTCCAACCTGCAACCTGTTGGTTTAACGTCCGTCGAAATACGTTCCTCTTTCAAAATCGGATTTTCTATTGCACGCACAAGATTACTCTAAAAACTGTCAACTTAAGTAGATTGGCGATGTATTAAATAATGTATGTGTTTGGTTATAGCATTCTTGTCATGAACATGTCGCAATGGTTAACGAGATAGGGATAGACTCTTTTCCTTTCTCCGCTGATCCAAAATCGAAAGTCAGGCAAGCAAAATGGCGCGTCCGTGGCCAAAGTATATAGAGCTTTTGCCCGACATGCCGATTTAGTATCGCCATGTCAAAATCGAGCATTACCATTATTCATTTCTGAAGAAATTTTTTGTTTATACAGTCAGTAAACATCGAGACGTTTGCATAGCTGGGAAAAACCTACTGGTTTTTGCTAGGAGTAGGCGTGCTTAGAATATTCATATCTTGTTGAAGCTCTTCAGTATCTAGAAGCTTGGTAAAATATTTCAAATTTCAAATTGGCCACACCTATACGCTATACACATGAGAAATGGAAAATCTGTCTTTCTAATCATGGTAAAAAAACACGCTATGTGCTCAATTACTTATCAAAAACATGAGTCATGGCGTATGCTTCTCTCACCACACGTGACTTTCTGCTTCATTTTTTCCTGCTAGAAATGTTGCTTCAACTTATTCAAGTTATTTTACGATCAGCACGTGCTTTTGACGAAAATAAAATAAAGGGTTCAGTATTGAGTGGGTTGGATTTGTGTCAATTTTGATTTTCGTGCCCTACTCGCCTAAAGTGCCATATCTCAAGAGTAAACGTCATTTTTTTCTACGCCAATATCAATAAATGACGCGTAATAAGGCACTTTGTAGTCGTCTGCAAACTGATTGGATGCAGCAGACAATTGAAACTAGGATTAGCCAATAAGGATGCTTGTGCTTGGCGGAGCATTTGAAGTCGCCAACCGCCATGTTGGAATTGTCCTGTTGAAGATTTGTGTTGAAAATAAAAGCGTTTTATTGATATCCGACAATCATTTGTACCAACGTGGAGAGATTGTTGTAGAGTCCTACAATGGCCAGGTCATATAGGTGAGTTCGTTATTTTCCGTTATTCAACGATTAACTTTTGTTATGGCGGGATTGTCTGATAAATAGTTTGCATATTTGACTGTAGTATGCTAGTGGTATGTGTCTAGTTCGTGATATCAGGCTGTACTTGTAAATTTTTTCCCGAGGCATAATTTAACATTGTCTTCAAATAATTCTTTACACAGTTGGCTTGACAAAGCACAGCATTCTCCAATGGTCCACGAGCATTGTGGAGAAATTATGCATGCCACAGTGACAAATGTATATTGTTAATGCTTGGCGCCCTTGTATAGGACTGCTCTTGTTCTATACCGATGTAATTTATGGTTTAAGCACAGATTGAGAGCAATTGGTACAAATGTACACTCAGATATATCTCTTCCGAATGGCTTTAACATTTTTATTGAAATAAAGTTTAATGAGGCAAAATCATTGGCTGTTTATTGTATCATTGTGATTTCACCAATCTGCACCCACAAAAGCACTCATTGATAAAAGTATGGAACAGTTGCTAGTTACTATCATTCATTACTGTGGAGGGCCTCCTAATTCTTGCATGTAACAATCATTCACTTTTTGTAGTGAAACCGAATCAGATTTTGGTGGTTGTTCGTCATTAAGCGAGCAGGAATGCTGTGGTGGAAACATTCTTGATAAGCAAATCAAAAGGATAAACAAGGGTCGTTGGACAAAGGTGGAGGTAATATTAATATTGATTGACAATGGGATTTGATTTTTGTGGACATTCAGAGTAAACGACTTTTTCAAAGTGCTTACTGCAACTGTAGACAATGACAGTTAGAATACAAGCATTGTCATTCAAAGTCTTGTTCTTGCTTCTTTCTTGTTTGACTGTTTATTTGACAAGTTGGCTCGAAAATGTTTTGGTTAAAATGTGAAACCTCTGCACAGGCTGGTGAATTTTTATTTGTGCGAAGTTTCGTTTGGCTTTTTGTTCCATATTGGTGAGCCAGCATTGGAACAAAGCTCATTTGTTAATTTTGTAAATTTTTAATTTTGTCAGTTTATTGTAACTGCACCTCAGCAGTAATAGCAACACCGGACTTTAATTACACAACTGCTATTTCCCATACTAACACAACTATATTCATCTCTAAATGTACAGCAAATTCTCTATGAAACATTGTGAACTGCAGTAAAGTATAACTTTTCATGGGCCACAAGCTAACTATATTCATGATGTCAGTCGTCAACCCAGTAGGAACTTTTGCATTATGATGCAAATTTTTCCTGCAAAATTATTCACATCTTTAGAAAATTAATTCAATTCATTGTTTTTCCAGTGAATGAGCACGACGAAAAATTTGCATTATTTAATTAAAAAACAGGCTCGCTTCGTTCTTGCATGTTTTTGGTTCTGAGTGAACGTTGTTTCCAAATTGATTTCCTTCGATAGAAAATTGTGAATTTTATCACCGACTCCATCTTACGTGACGTGTACAGCATTGTTTGTGCTGAGTAGTCCCAGTCTTTTGAGTTGAGCGAAGACATCGTTGACGTTAGGGTGTCCTGGTTTAAATTGTGGTAAAATATTACTTGACAGCTTGTCCTCGTCGAAGGGCTAAGCCGGGTGTAGAAAAAAACAGCTTGATGGGAGTGACAAATGTTGACTGGTGATCTGTTTTTGACAAGCGAGAATGTTCCAGTGATATATCATAGCACTGTATAGCTCTGACTAATTAATTTAATTATCTTAATCCAAATCATCGCGAAACATCCGAAACCCCCGTCTTTGTTCGTTTTTCAATGTCAAACTCGTGGCATTATAGGCATAGACGAAAGTTTTCGCCACGAGGTTTCGACTCTTTGCAAAACCATTTATTAACGGATCGGTTAACGGATCAAGTTGAGAAGCGTGTGAAAAGCACATTTGTAGGTAGCAGAAGTGTGCTTTGAATTTGACATTCTCGTTTAGTCGTTTTGTCATCCTACTCTTTCGATGATGACATTGCCAAAAATGATAATTCTCCTCCTTAAACCATTGACAGAAACCAGTCGGCAAATGAAGTTTTATTTGCGCATTGTCAAGTGTCTCATGTGAAAATAGACAAACGAGACGTGCTTTGAATTTTTTACTCATCGTAAAATTTAAAAATACTGCCTCGAACGGGTGGTTCGCTTTTTCAATTGCTTGTTCTCATCGCAACGCTTTGGTTAATTTGTTCTGTAGAAGTAGAAGTACTGTAGGTTTCGAAACCCCTGCAGAAGTAGTTTTTGGATTTCAAAAACTATACACTGGCGGTCTTGCAACTTTACTTATTTTAATCTCTAAACCATTCCATTTATTGAGTATTTCTCTTACTGCATTTTACATCGTCAATTAAAGTAAAATTGTGTGATTTTTGACTATTGCATTGGTCCATAAAAGTTAAAGATCGCGATGCCAGATTGGCAGAGAAATTTAAGGTATCTGCGCCTGCGTATTATATCTCAGGTGGACAACAAATTAACGGCGGAGATTTTGCATGAACTGTCTTATGGACTATAGTGTGGATTTATCGTAAAAGCTGTGCCGCCTTAAATGAAGGAGTAGAAACTGTTATAAACCAAAATTTCAATGAGACTCTTATGATTTTACGGCCACGCAAAGAATGGAATATCGTGCAGCTCCGTAGAAAGGGATTATAGGATGAAACAGAGGATACGATTTTCCAGTGGTAGGACACGCTTTGTTTGCGTGAACGAGTCACATGAACGCACTTGAGTGCTCGGCACACAAAGTCTTCTGATTTAATTGTGGCGTGTTTCCTGTTTGTCTTTTCTCGAGTGGGGGTCTTTCATGATATATTGATCGTTTGGTTGATTTTGAAAGAAGGACCTTGCTTGCGCGTGACACGCACTTGCGTGTAGGGTTTTCATTTATCAGAACAGATTATTACACTGTAGTATTTTGATACCAGCTGTATAGAAAGGCCCCGGCCTTACAATTGTCTGAAGTCACAATCAATACAAGCAACCTTACGTTAGTTGTAAACAAAGACGTTAAATTTTATATTTAGACGTTAAATTTATATCAAAGAAGGCCGTCGGAAGTCAATTACGTAATTGGATGGTTGGAAATCCAAAGATGTGTGACCGTATTTTAAAAAGATCGGGAAGAAAGAAAGTGTGGCATGTTAGACCGTAAATTAATTGAAGGCGCTGCCTGACCTGTCGTCCCCAACCCCCCCCTCCCCCGCTCTCGACAGGCCCTTTTCACGTTTTTACGATGCTTGAAAGGTTTTGTGCTCATTTTTTTGCTTCGATTTTATTGACGGTGATAAAGTCGATTGCGTTTTTTTCATACTAGAGAAACGTGTTCCGCAGAACTTTTCATATCCCGTTCGCTTTCCTAGCAATAGATGATGAGGAATCCGGAACTCGTTATCTTTCGTCTCTAATGAATTCTGTGCTTGAAAATTCAACGCCTAAAGTCCCTCTCGCGTCGAGAGAAGCAAATCAAACAAATAATCTTCAACGGTCCTTCGAATCATTTCTGATTGAAAGGACTCGTTGGAAATCAACATGGCGCCATAGCTTTTATTACCGTCAACTGGAATTTGTCGATAATTACAAATGTACAATCAAATTATTATTATTTACATTTATTTAAACACGGTAGTATCTCAACTTGGATCCTAAAATACAACTACATATCAAAAATAAAAAAGTTGATTTTCAGATAGCCGTGTAATAAAATAAAATTAAAAAGGATACTACATCTAGGTAAAAAATAAAAAAATAAACAAAAAAAAACAAAGTATGAGCTATATAAAAATAAATTTATGATCGGGTTATTGGTAAACCCGAGAGCAAACATTTACACTTTCAAACGACTCTCCGTTGACATCAATCGACATTTAGTATCATGTCCTTTTGTCACCTGTAGGACGACAAACTGAAGCAACTCGCGGAAGGCGATGGCTCCGATGATTGGGCAAAGATCGCTAGCCATTTCAAAGATAGAAGCGAACATCAATGCCAGCATCGTTGGGAGAAAGTCTTGGATCCTGAACTTGTAAAAGGTTCATGGACGAAAGAGGTGCAGACATAAATCCATGAATTTCGGTGTTAATAAAGCTCCGGCTCCGATATATTCAGGTGGTGATGGAACGTGTTTTTCTTAACTTTAGGAAGACGAACGCGTCGTTGAATTGGTAGAGAGGTTTGGTCCAAAACGCTGGTCGACCATTGCTCAACATCTACCAGGTAGAATCGGCAAGCAATGTCGAGAGAGGTGGCACAATCATCTCAATCCAGACATAAAGAAGTCCGCGTGGACCGAAGAAGAGGACAGGATCATATACGATGCTCATCTGCGCATGGGCAACAAATGGGCTGAAATTGCCAAGATGGTTCCGGGGCGGACAGATAATGCGATCAAGAATCACTGGAACTCCACCATGAAGAAACGAGTTGAGGCTCTTGGTTATGAGGAGTATAAGGAGAACAGATACAGAACTGTGAGTACATTTGTGTACCTCAATGATCACCCGCATTCTCGTCCATTTATTTTTATAGTAATTCTTCGACGATATTTTTCTATTTATGAGTTTCATCAAAGCAGTCCCACTCATCTGACAACACTTGAATAGGCTTTTTGTTTGCTTTTCTTTAATGAGATCATTGTGTTTTGTTTAGCATTTTATAAATCAGTAAACACTCTCTCACATACACACAAGAATCCCCTTGCTTAGACTTCGCACTCCTTACATTCCACAGCAATCTTATATAATGAACAGACACATACACACACACTCACACACACTCACATACACACAAGCATCCTTTGCTTGGACTTAGTACTCCTTCGCATCCACAGCAATCTTATCTAATGAACAGACACACACACTCACACACACTCACATACACACAAGCATTCCTTTACTTGGACTTAGTACTCCTTCGCATCCACAGCAATCTTATCTAATGAACAGACACACACAGTCACACACACTCACATACACACAAGAATCCCTTTACTTGTACTTAGTACTCCTTTGCATCCACAGCAATCTTATCTAATGAACAGACACACAGTCACACACACTCACATACACACAAGAATCCCTTTACTTGTACTTAGTACTCCTTTGCATCCACAGCAATCTTATCTAATGAACAGATACACACAGTCACACACACTCACATACACACAAGAATCCCTTTACTTGTACTTAGTACTCCTTTGCATCCACAGCAAATGAACAGACACACACAGTCACACACACTCACATACACACAAGAATCCCTTTACTTGTACTTAGTACTCCTTTGCATCCATCTTATCTAATGAACAGACACACAGTCACACACTCACATACACACAAGCATCCCTTTACTTGTACTTAGTACTCCTTTGCATCCACAGCAATCTTATCAATCATAAAACACAGAAAGGTAAGTTCTTATCATCGACAATGTCTCCGTCATTTAAAGTGCTTATCATCGACAATGTCTCCGTCATTTAAAGTGCTTTAGGGAACTTTAGGGAATCATTTAGTATCCACAACCATCACTACGGGGTTCGAACCATTCACTATGGAATTTGAATTGTTGACACTTGCATGGAATTTCACATTGTCGAAATTTTTCATGTCAGGAAAGCAGCGTTTCACGTGTTGTGAACGTTTTTCATTTCAGATAAACAAAGAGACGATTGGTTACAGTGTCAGTTTCAAGGATGTCAAGTTGATGCGCAACAGATTCTTCAATCTCAAAATCTTTTGGCGAACGATATTTTAAATGGACAACAATCCACCCAACAATTGCTTACTTCTCTGAGTGATGGTAGAACAGTCAACACGCCATGGTTCGTTATTGTTCTGTTCGTTTATATATAGAGCTCAAATTTCTTTTCTGCAGTGACGTTGGATCAAATGATTCTTTCTGAATCACTCGAGTCTGCCCTTTTTAAAGCAGTTTAGAATCGTTAGAGCTGTTTAGTATGATGAAGGTTATTTTACTCGGGAAAGGGAGAGGGTTGAGGAAGAAAACTGAAACATTTGATCATTACTGGATCTTTAGGTAGATGAGTTTAGAAATTATAGAGTTATTCACATTGAATAAAAAGAAGTGTAAAAGTTAATGTCTTTCGTGTTAAAAATAAATCTATTAGAGTTGAAGAACACCGAATCCCCTCGTAGAAGAGTCTAAATTTCCAGCTGTCGACTGCAAGGTTGGTTCATTTCAATTGTCTATAAACTTGTATTCTTTAGTACCAGAGAAAACAATGCTCTCGCGCCAGCGCAACGCGATCCAACACAGACGATGAATAATGCCGACATTTTGTCACCATTACAAACGATCCCCGACGAATTTTACGATCTCGATCACCAGCCTTGGACGGGAATCAGCGGTTTTAGTGGTCAATACAGTCCCGATCCTCGAACTTTGAAAGAGAAGTGGGAATCTGCTGGAATGTTCGGTATATATACTCATTTATATGCTTATTATATTGAATTTTTCCCTTCGTTTGTTTTCTATGATTTTGACTTGTTTTAAATGACTTTAAATACTCTGAATTCAGTCATGAGACATTGTTCTGGTGTAATTGGTCCATGTATAAATTATTAATTAGCAGGAAACATTACCTCCACACAAGTCCCTACCTCCCTCCCTAGATAAGTAATAACTGCTACGTGTATGAATCCCAACCGGTATCTCAAAGTCCAACTGCGATTGCTCTTTTTGATACGATAATCCGAGCAATCTTTAATCTCTAACACGAAAAAGATGACTACCAACGCATATTGTTTCTGAACAGTGAGTGAATCTGATGATACAAGTTTTTAATGGTATTTTTGAAATCGGATGTTTTTGAATTCAAGAGACGATACATCCTTCATTGTAAGCACGAGTGATGTCGTTCATCACATGGCATTTAGCAAATTACCTCAAGTCTAAGTGGTACTGTGTTTAATTATTTGGGATTCCTTCATTTAAAATTCAAAACAAAAAATCTGAAGTGCGGTCTCTTGTGCAGTGTTTGTAAAGAATGCTAATGAATGAGATTACATGCTGGTGTGCCATCCTAATCAGCATCCATCTCCTTATCGTGTTTAACTCTTTACTTCCCAAGTTTTTTCGTCCTTTGACTTTTGGATTGCTTCATTGCATGATGTTGCCATACGACAACCTTGAGAGAAATGGGTTAATACCACGTCGCTTGATATGATCGATTTCATAGGGTAGAATTCTTTTGAATTATTATTGAGTTTTCGAAGGTTTGTGAAATAACGTTAAGGAATATTTCACATTGCCGTTTGATTTTAGTATTTTTACGTCATCGAGCGTGGTTTCGAGGCTATCGTTGTTTGATTGCATTTTGTCAATATTGACGTTCTGGTTTTTAGGTTGTCGCATCGACGGTAAAACAATCGCTTCCCTTTACAATACTAACGGTTCTTGGTAGGTCAATGCTCGCTTATGCGTTTTGGATAGTTTTCATAGATATAAATATGTGTTGTTTGCCTTACAAGCTCGTTGATACCGATTACGTCGTCGCTTGCAACAAATCGCTTTCGAACACCACCGGCTATTTTGAGGAAAGGAAAGAAACGACGTGTATCCTTTATTTATTGCTCTTTTCAAGTTGTATTTATTTAAAGATGCGGACAGGACTGCAGTGGCGGATCTAGGCTAGGTCGAAATAAATTACAGAAGCTCATTTTCGATGTAAAGGAACTTTTTTAACAACGCTGTCGGTTGAAAATTTCCAAGAAAGACTAAAGTACTCCCTATTGGATTTCCAAGAAAGTATTGCAAGATGGCAATACATTTTCATTGATGTATTTCGAGCTACGCTATATCCGCTGCTACTGGACAGCTGCAAAAAGATACATTTTCTGACATAGCAGTTATTTCATAAGATTTCGTGAAGTCTAGATCGGGCTAGAAGAGCAAAAAGAGTAGGAGTTCTCTTCGCAGGGAAGCGCGTGGAATTATTTAGTTGGAGTGCTCATGCATTGCGTAGAGACAGTTTCACGAGCGCAGCTAGTTTGGATTTAGCGAGGGCTTAACTTTTTAGAGCCCCAACTTTTCCCAATTCGTTGTTTTTTGGCTTCCTGTTTGTGATATATTTTCACGCAGGGCACCAGAGTGTTAAATGTTTTGACAAATGGAAATAGATTCAAGCATTAAACACTGGGCGTTTTCCATATACTTTTAATATACATAACATACAAAGCCGCACGATGCTGCTAACTTCGCTCAAAACCATCCTTAACTTGTTTTCCCAGCGTAGCGATAGAAACTTTTTATCCGGGTGTTCGAATTCTCTCAATTCGTCGGTATCGTCGCTCAACTCCACCTTGGAGGTCACACCTCAGAAGACTCCAATCAAATCTCTACCATTCTCTCCTTCGCAGTTCTTCAACAGTCCAATCGCCATACGAGATGGCACGACATTATGTAGCTCGACTCCTTCCTCGACGCGACCCACGCTGACATCGACACCCGTTCAATCGCAAGATCGTTTGAACACTCCGAAGGTCGACGTTAGTCACTCGTTGATGACACCCACAATACGACGATCCATTCTCAACAGTCCACGTACACCAACGCCGTTCAAAGAAGCTCTTGCTAACCTGCAATCGTCCTCTTTGGTGAGTTATCTTTCAAGAAATTGTCCGACATATTACGTGTGTGAAATTGCCTTACTGTGATTTTTCATAAGAAAATCAACCCTTGAGACTGCGGTGCGATTTTCAAAAAAGAATTAAAAACTTTTTCATCAACTGAAAACGATTGTAGCTATTTTGTGGCGTTGAACACCAGTTTCTTCAGCGCAGTTGTGATTTTGATTACCTTGCAGAACAACAATAGCCGATGACGGCAATTGTCTGCTTGCTATTTTTAAAATTTTATTGTGTGATTGAATTTATGGCCGGCAATTATCAACGTTGCATTTTTGTCTCATTTATTCTTCAACAGTAAGATTTCATTGCTGTAACGTTTTTGTAAGAATGACGAGCTACGAACCGACAATAATAGGTTTACTTGTCGGGAGTGCTACTTTTTTGTCCACCCCCTCCTGTATTTTGACCAACACCACGGCGAAGTAGTATACGGTTGCATTGTGCGAAATTCCGTCGCGGTTGAGAAATGATATCGTTTTAGGAATCACTCGAACATATATATTTCTAACGTTGAAATAATTGTTTTCCAAGTCTATACAGGCCACGAGCAATCGTCTGGAACAAGACATTACGGAGATTATTGAACGTGACGAGGCCGAAGCTGCCAAGGAAATCATTCCTTCGATTGAAGATGACAATTGCTCCCGCGTCAACATACACCAGGGTTTGGAAAAGTCCTGTCAGCCTGTCTTACCGCAATCTATGGCGGAAGCGTTTCTTAGTAACAGCGAATCAATCATGTCGTCAACTCCTACTGATCTCATGTCGTCATCGTCCGGCCACACTGATATGGTATGCGTTGGGTTTTCTATTGGTTTTAAACTCTTTATGTTAAACTGGAGTTCTGTATAGAAATAACTGGATTGTCCAGTTTACTTATGTTTAGGTTTTCTTCTGAAGAAACTGCAGCCAACACTATACTTAACACTTAATCATCTATCGTATGGATCTCTACGAATAGCCAGTTTCTTAGGTTTTTCCTGTTTACATTATTCAGTGAATTTAGGTGGCTAACAGTTTTGTTTTGATTGCAGTTTAACGAGAGTCAAGTATTGATCGAGTTTCATAATTTTATTGTCTTTGTTTTTGTCAGGATTTAGAAAACAACGTGCTGAACGTCTCCTACATGTCTCCTCTATCCACCTCGGCGGTCAAACCGCGCGACGTTTTTAGTGTCGGGGAAGATCTCGTAACGCCGAGCAAAACTCTGGAATACAGCAGCCATTTTAACAATCCTTATAATCAAATGCTGAGCTTGGCTGCAGCCATCGAAAATAGTCCTGTGGAGGTTTGTCAATTCTATGGAGTGCTTCGTGTTTTTCAATTGCCCGTTGTACATGTCTGATTTGTCATATTCTTTGGAAATATTTCACCGTTTACATTATCACCTTTGAACATGATAGTTCACCGTTTTACATGATAGTTCACCGTTGTACATGATAGTTTACAGTTGTACATGATAGTTTACAGTTGTACATGATAGTTCACCGTTGTATATGATAGTTCACAGTTGTACCTGATAGTTCACCGTTGCACGTGATAGTTCACCGTTGCGCGTGATAGTTCACAGTTGTACATGTTAGTTCACAGTTGTACATGATAGTTTACCGTTGTACATGATAGTTAACCGTTGTACATGATAATTCACCGTTGTACATTATAATTCACCTTTGTACATGATAGTTCACTCATGTACATGAAAGCTCACCGTTGTATGTGATATGTCATGTTTTGTTTTGTTTTTTAGAACATTTCAACAAAATTTCCTAACTTCTTGACGTTCGAAACTCCTACTGGAAATAGAAGCTTTTTTTTCAAGGTCAGTTTTTTATAACTATCATTTTGATTGTGATAACTAGAATCTTTTCAGTTTTTATTTCACTTTCACAATTGTGCTCAAAACTCAAGATTTCTTGTATACACGAACTATTTGAGAATCTAAGAGAAGAGTGAACAAGTTGTTTGAAGCTGGGGGGTAGGAAATTTTATCTCTTGTGTAGCGGCTGCGCTTGCATGTCGAAACATGCGAAATAATGGTTGAATTTTCTCAACATTTATGCATCTCGTTTTTTGGAATGTAATTGTGAACTTTCTCGAAACATTTCAAACGATTGATTCTTGCAATTCACGCACTTTGCAGACGTTCCAAGAGGTGATGTGTGGACAAACGGAAGATCAGAAAATTGTTACGGAACAGGCGAGGCAATTTATCCATCGGACAGCTCGCTCGTTAAAATTTACACCTCATTTAACGCACGAACCGGAGATGACCGTGGTTTGAAGGATATATCTTGAGGGTAAACTGAATGCGAGCAAAATTGAAAGTTATTTAATGACACAATGCACGAAGGCCGGATAATGGAGTCCGACATCCATTCCTAGTCGATAATTTAATGTTATCGATCAAACCAAATGCACGAAAGCAGGGTATTGGAGTCCAATATCTGTTTCCGGTCGATAATTTAATGTTATCGATTAAACCAAATGCACGAAAGCAGGGTATTGGAGTCCAATATCTGTTTCCGGTCGATAATTTAATGTTATCGATTAAACCAAATGCACGAAAGCAGGGTATTGGAGTCCAATATCTGTTTCCGGTCGATAATTTAATGTTATCGATCAAAGCTTATGCATGAAAGCCGAGTATTGGAGTCCAATGTCCATTGCTTGTTGATAATTCAAAGTTATTCATCAAAGCAAATACACGAAGGCCAAGTAGTTGACTCCAATATTTATTACATACCTATAATTTAAAGATGGACGATATGAAACACATCCCGATTACTCAATGTTAATAGCATGTGCATTTATGTTTGAGATAAACATTCGTATAAGATGGACATTTTATTAGGGGATCTTTTTTTTATACGGAATCCTATGGATAGTCAATTGTTCGAGTTTACTATATGAATTTTCTTTATCTGTTTGAAACTTTTGTATCTGTAAAATAACGCCTTGCATGTTCGTCTAGATGTTTAGTTTATGGCTTTTGATTTGTCTACCTATCGGTTATCGCTATCCAGGTATCGTAGAAACGCCTTCTGGTGTATCCGTTTATAATTTTATTGCAAATACCGAGTGTGATGCATTAATGTGACCGCAGGAATCACTAGTGCAGACTTACCGTAACCTTTCGCGAAAAAATATAGTATAAAGCAAATTCCGAAAAAGCAAGAGATCTTGAGATTGCAAAATATGCATCTAAACAAGACGAGAAGTGAACTGTAAATTTTCGACTTTATTTCAGTCATCCTCAGACAGAATGATATTTAAAACCATACATACACATATATATTTAATTTTCGACTTTATTTCAGTCATCCTCAGACAGAATGATATTAAAACCATACATACACAATATCATTCTGTCTGAGGATGATTTTGAAATAAAGTCGTAAACTTACAGTTCACTTCTCGTCTTGTTTTGATGCATATTTTGCAATCTCAAGATGTCTTGCTTTTTCGGAATTTGCTTTATACTATATTTCTTCAAATTGTCGGCTGGTCATGGTTTTGGCGAAAAAATCATAGAAAATGAATCGTCAAATATTTCACCGTTGTCTCGCGTTACAAATGCTCATAACACCAGCTCTGTCTAATTTCCTTAATTCATGAAATATTGCCGTATAAAAGGTCGTATTATAGGTTGACGTACCAAGGTATTGGCTTACACCGTTCAAAGTACTCCATATATTGTCGTACCAGCCGACAAAATAAAGCGAAACAACGAATGTCGTACTTAGTAATGCACGAAGTGTTGTAATAAAGGTATTTGTCGATTTAAATTTCATTTGTCGATTATGGCCACTGTAAAATCTCGCAAGGAACAAATTTTGCACGATCGCAAAAGTTTCGATGCGGCTTTGCCGAAATTAATTGAACAAGCAATGGAAGATATGATGGGCGAAACCTCCGATGCCATGTTGCATCTTGAGAAGGTATTCGAGTTGTTTGTTTTTTTGCATTCATTTCAATGTTTCCAATTCCTAAACGAATTTCCTTCTTATCTCTTGTAGAACATCAAGTATAATGTCCTTGGAGGTAAAGAGAAGTGCCTGGCTTCTTAGGTCTTTCTAATTATCAGAAGTTTGGTCTATCTCGACACTTATGTGCGAGCCAAAAGTATCTCCGTTTCCGAATCCAATGTTGGCAGAAACATTGATGGTTGTCTTTTCTTTTCAGGTAAAATGAATCGAGGAATGACAGTGCTGTCAACTTGGAGACTGTTGCTAGGTGATAAAACACCTAGTGATGACGAGTATTTTTTGGCTATTGTGCTGGTGCTCCTGTATTCTCTGTACTGGTGTTCTCTCCTTCTTTTCTTTCTTCTTTATTCCCTTCTTTCTTCCTTTCTTTCTTCCTTTCTTTCTTGCTTTCTTCCTTGCTTTCCTCTTATTTTCTTTCTTGCTTTCTTTCTTTCCTTCTTTCTTTCTTTCTTTCTTTCTTCCTTTCTTGCTTTCTTCTTTTTCTTTCTTTTCTTAAAGTTCAACTATTAACAGTTCCATCCGAGCTTAACGACAAAAACTATTACCAGTTATCGTTGCGTTTTATTCCTAATTTTGTAACCAGTCACAGTTACACAAGTCACGTTAAAAAACAATCAATTTGCCGTTACAGTTGATCAGAAAAATTAACGCTTGCATATAACGAGTCACTTGTAATGAAGTTACTTGCAGGATTGCCTTCAACATGTTTTGTGTCTTCTCGTTGTATATTTTATAGCTTCAAGCATGCTTCTTAGTCTCCGACGATGTCATGGATCAGTCATTAACGAGACGTGGAAAACCGTGCTGGTTTAGACAGGTATGCTTTGTCCAAATGTTCGAAGCCTTTAATGCAACCTAAATTTTTCCCTCTTTGATTTCAGGAAGGTATTGGTTTCATTGCTGTCAACGATGCTTTAATGTTGGAATCAATGGTGTACCGATTGATCAACTATAATTTCATTGAAAAAGATTGCTATTCGAACATTATTCGTGTAGTTCACGAGGTATACCCGAAGTGCCGACGAGTGTCTACGAATTTTGTTTGATTCGAGCTTTCGAATAGTCTTCGTCATAATTTAGGCGATGTATCAAACGGAAATTGGTCAAACACTCGATATGACTACCAAACCAGAAGAGAATTTTGCGAACTTTACTTTGGAGGCGTATGTATGACATATACTGTTTTTCAAAATTGGTCGTTGGCTTGTCTCTCAAATTTCACGTTTTGTTGGGAAACTGCTGACCAATATGACTTTGCAGCAGTGCTCATACAAAACTTGAATGTTATCGAATGCTTCATTCTCTTAATGTTTGCCTGTTCAACAGATACAAGGCTATTGTGAAGTGGAAAACATCTTTCTATTCATTTTATTTGCCTGTGGCACTCGCGATGTACATGGTAAATGATTTTCTTCAAATCAACTACACGTTGCGGACAAGCGTTAAATTTTGTTCACTCTCTTTCGCTATTGTTAGCACAATTTGACCGACGCCGGGCTTCACGATATTGCCAGGGAGATCTTGCTGGAAATGGGGGAGTTTTTCCAAATCCAGGTGAGTTTTTGAATTGACGACGTTTTTCGTTGAGTGGTGTATGATGCTCTGAGTGTTGCTCAAACAACAGGACGACTATCTTGATTGCTACGGCGATCCGGCAATCACGGGAAAAGTTGGAACGGATATTGAAGAAATGAAGTGTTCTTGGCTGCTCGTTCAGGCTTTGCTGAGAGTTGATGGAACGCAGAGGAAAGTTCTTAAGGTGAAAGGGGTTGCGTTGAACTTAATCCTTGTGTGATCATTTCTCTTCAAACGATTGCGGTGTTTCAGGGTCTCGTTGAAATTGTCTTAGGCCGTTTAGATAAAGCCACATATTTCATTTATCTTGCTTTCTTTCTGTCTTTCTTTCTTTCCTTTTTTCTTTCTGTTTTTCTTTCTTTCTTTCTTATTCATGTTTTTGTTCTATCCTTTACAGGAAAACTACGGTGTGAATGATCCCGCTGCCGTTGCAAAGGTGAAAGACATATACTCAAAGTTGGATTTAAAATCCGTATATCACAAGTACGAAGACGTTAGTTATGATAAATTAATGAAAATGATCGAGAAAGCTCCTAGCGATTTGCCTAAGGAAATATTCACAGAACTTGCCTCGAAATTATACAAGAGGGACAAGTAACGATTTCTAAATAACTTTAACTTATATTTTGAAAATCATAGACTTACGCTCCAAAAGTATTTCTTCGATCAAAATTTAATGACTTAATGTTTGATGAATAGATTTAATGACAACGATTACGACATTAAACTTTAAAATGTCCTTCAGTTGTTTAATCAAGTTGCATAAAGAATCATACAAGTCCATAGACACTATGGTGGATGGCAAATTTCTTTAAAGTACTGTTTAGATGCATCACTGTTTACATGTTGATGGCTTCTAAGCAGCTCTTCTTAAGATCTCTGCCATTCTCATCTTCGACGTTTTTCAAAAGTATAGTCAAATTTCTTTACAATGACACAAGGCCTTTGATTTTATTTTTTACAATTCAACACGAGTCATACAACAATTTTAAAGTCAACGTACATTAAATAAGATGCAGTAGAGAAAAATGTTATCCCAGTATCCAAGTCTAGCTCTAGTACCAGGTCTCTAATTTTGATGTTTGCTCCAGATATTAGTGACCAAGGAAATTTCAGGCGGAAAGCGAACTATACATCAAAGCCTAGGGGAGTGGTTTGAAAAACTATCCAATACAAAGTTATAGAAAAGATCATTACGTGCTGCAAATACACATGGGTCATGACTAACATTTAAATAACCCGCACTACTTACATAATGAAGACGAAGCGTTGGCTTTGATATTTATAAATAGAATGTTGATATCAGTTGACAACAGGTGATAAAATGGATATAACTCGTCAATGTGTATCATTATACATTCATGTCTCCTGGACATGGATATTTTACCGAAATGTTCTAAACATTGCTTAGTTTTAAAGTTCTTTTTCCCATTATCGAAATTGATCTCGAGGCAAACCAGACCACTTACTTACACATTAAAACGACGCATCAATGCAGGTAAGTTTTAACGTTTATCTTGTAAAATTATGTGAAAATATGTTCGTATTTAATGAGTGTATATTCACGGTGATTTTGAATGTCGAATATTCACCTATTGACTCTATTGTAATTGTATTAATTCCAGACAATTACTAATTACTTTCGATGAAAACTATTGTAATCTTTTTTATGTTTGCATTGCCTTGTCATTCGTTTGTGATAGCTAAGAATTTATTATTGAAAATGCTTGAAGCTCAAAGTTTTTGCATCTAGTTCTATATTAAACCGAAGCTATGCTCGTGAGCATATGGTTATATGTATGTTAAACTTTCTATGAGAAACTTTGACGCTGTCATCATCAAAGTACGATTTTTTTATTCATAAATCCTTAAGTCATTCAATTTATGTGCTGTGGTATCTCTTGCAAATATCAAAATTGATATGAAATTAATCCAAGGTCAGGGTTAGTTAGATTAGATTTATCCTCCAAGACATCAAAGTATGTTCTACTGGCCTTATGGGCATTGTGTTTTAGATCTTATAACAAAGATGACTAAAACAAACAAACACTCTGTTAATTTCGAAAATTTCATAATGTTCATATGATAATCTGCTTAATTATAGTGAAGTTGATCCTATTATCACACCAAGATCTTGTTTTCTGTTGTCCATTGTGTCAAATCCTTGCTAAAACCAAGGATTTAGCAATCCTTGCTAAATCCTTGCAAAAGCCAATTTAAAAGAGAAAGTGGAAGGTTTGGGATATTGGAACTCAGATTTTCATTTGATTTTCACAATTATTTCTTATTGTATTTAGGTGAGACCAATCTCACAATGAATAATACACCAAGAAAGAATGTGTCAATATCGGATAAGAAGAAACTGAACGAAGCTTTGCCGCGTATAATTGATCAAATTATTGCCCCTTTTCCAACACAGACAAGAGATGCAATGGAACACTACAAAAAGGTACAGTTATTGAGCAGATGACATGCAGTTGTGCCAGCAATCAATGATGGGCAATCACTCTGCTCTCAAATATTTTCATCAGTATGTAGTTTTCATTTGTACCATTACAAGTAGAAATAAGTGTACTATGTAAGAGACATTATTGCTCACCCTGCCCCCAATCAAGAAAAAGTTTCTGGCATCACTCACTGGTTACATTGTTTGAATAATGGTAAAACATGGTATTGGTTATTTGCTACAATATATCATGGAGGCAGGGCCATGTAATTCTTGAGTGCACGACCATCATTTATCTCCTTCATCCTCTACCTTCCTTCTGCACCACTTTGTACACCTTTGTATTTGACATGGATTTTATTGTAATGTATTTCTTTCTTGCTTTTCATTTCAGTCTGTCATGTACAATGTATTGGGAGGTACTGTTGTTTTTTCTGCCATATTGCATTACTGCTCTACCGAAAGTAGATGTAGTTTCGTGATCTTGTTGTTTATATCAAGGTAAAATGAATCGTGCCATGACTGTCCTGGCAACATGGAGACTTCTTCGCGGGGACTCAACTCCAAATGATGAAGAACTTTTCTCTGTGATTGTTTTAGCCTGGTGTATTGAATTGGTGAGCTATGATCTGCATTGTTGTACCTCTACAAGTACTCAAGTTCAACATATAACTGTTATGACATGAAGTATTTAATACTTGCTACTCGTTTTTGCACATATTGCGCGCTGTCCATATTGAGCCCTCTTTACGTTGAAGACAGTCTCCATTCGTAGGATTAACATTGATTGTGTAGGTTTGATCCGTGATCCGTCCACGTTTTAAACATTTATTGTAAGTGCTGGGATTTTCCAATTATTTTGTAAAAATCCGTTTGTTTCCTGGTTTAATGGTAAAATTACTAGCTGACTACCATTGGCTAATCAATGATTGAACCAATGCTTCTCATCAAATTCACATTCCATACTCACACTTCCTTCGAAGTTATATTATCACGCACACATAAATAAATAGAGCTGCAGTTGGCTTGTGTACAGTGATATTTCGAATTTGCTATTAATTCGAAATATTACTGAGCAGAGCGAAAAACTGTCTTGTTTGTTTCTCAAATATTGAGTTGAACCTTTATTCGTAGTATGTTTCTCCTTATACTTAATCGTTAAACTCGGGATAAATTACATCTTTGCTCTTTGAGGTTGAATGAAACAAATCCTCTGTTTGTTTAGTTGCAAGCGTCTTTCCTCGTTGCTGATGACGTCATGGACCAATCAACAACGCGCCGCGGGAAGCCGTGCTGGTACAAAAAGGCAAGCGCGAGATCCTTTCGTGATCATATCTCTTTCTTGTGTCCAAATTTAGCTCAACTCCTTACTGTAGGAAGATGTAGGTCTGAGTGCCATCAACGACGCCTTCATGTTGGAGTCTTCCGTCTATAAGCTCGTCGATTTGCATTTTCGCGGCAAGAAATGTTATCCCGACATAATTTCTTTGTTCCATGAAGTAAGAAATATTCTGTGATGTAGGCAAGGGGTAAAACAGGTTAAAGCTACTGTTATTGTTTTTCAGCCTTATTCGAGTCTTCTCATTTTGTTTACATAGACGGTGTTTCAGACGGAGGTTGGTCAGACGCTCGATATGATAACGAAACCCGGTGATGCTTTTTGTAATTTCACCATTGACAGGTATTCGACGTTGTGTTTGATGTGTTCCTTACCAACTCCTGGTGAGCGTTTTTACCCTTTTCAAACCGTTTTCCTCCCGAAACTTCAAATGAAAAGTTAAGGTAAAAGATAACATTGAAGGACATCCTGAACACCACAATGTTTGCTCCTCAATTTTAAGACAAGACTAGTCACCAAGTCAATGTGTTTTAGAGTCTATTACGTTTAGCGACATAGATTAACTGTCATTCAAAATTGCTCGTAATATTTCACGAATGTAGTCAGATAATCATTTATTTTTCAATTGGACGCGGTTTCAACTAACACATTCTAGTGAATTGTCCGACATTGCTTTTATCCATTTAGGTACAAGTCTATAGTCACGTGGAAAACTGCTTATTACTCGTTCTATCTTCCTGTTGCTGCTGCTATGTTTATGGTAATTACATAAAGTATATTCATGCATTATTTCTCGGAGTTGTTGACATAGAAAGGAACAGCGAGAAACTGAAGATGTCGAGAAATTTTCCGGCGTCGAGTCGAAAATATAGACGTGGAGAGACTTTGTGGGAGGTTGGCGCTGTTGCAGTCATTTGTATTTATTTGGAATTTTTGTTTTGGTCTTTGAAGGTTGGCATTACTGAGGGGGAGATTCACGAAAAAGCGAAAGAAATTTTAATGGAAATGGGAGAATTTTTTCAAATTCAGGTTTGCTCATTGAAGAATATCGTCGTTTCAAGTTCGTTATTTTTTTCTTACGCAGTAAATACCGTGTTAAAAAATCATTTGGTTACTAAATAGTTATACACTCAAAGATCAAACATTTAAAGGGTTTAGGTGAAGTTCATGCATATTTAAATTAAATTAAGGACGATTATCTCGACTGCTACGGAGACCCCGACGTTACTGGAAAAGTTGGAACGGACATCGAAGACGAAAAATGCTCTTGGCTTCTGGTACAAGCGTTACAGAAGGTCGATGAGGAACAATTGGGGATATTGAAGGTATGGTAATACACGAACACTTCTTTCCAGAGATATTTAACTTTGTCTGTTATTTAAATGTCATAACTACGACAAACCGTAATGTTTTAGAAAGGATCTTTTTCAGCATGTTTTATTTATTATTCACATCTGGAACAGTTCAATGCAAACACGCGTTGATGATTATGTTTATGAAAAATTGTTTAACTGTTGGATGTTGCGAAAACTATTTCCCGAGGCTTGTCGCGTAATGTGATGTAGTACTTGCAATGCATGCTTATATAATAAACAAGCTCAAGTATCTCCAGCAACTCGCAAACAAACACAACTGAAGATGTGAAGTGATTTTGTATGGTCCTTGTTGAAAAATTTCAATGCTGCAAATTCAAATACTGGGTCCTTTTGTGCATGCCATTTTTGTGTATGCTTTTATTCGACATACTGTACCTCCAGCCTCGTTTTAATATCCCCCCCCCCTTCTAATAATCCTTCCATTTTTTGTGTCAAAATTTCAGAAAAAATTGTAGTAATGTGCTTAAGTTTTCATGCATTTACCGGACTGGGTATTTTAATAAATAAGAATAAATATTGAAGTGTGAAACTTTATTTGCTCCCCAGGCTCTTTCGACATCCCCATCTAATAATCCCCCACTTGAAAGGTTGCAAAATAAAAGCAAAATTTACTCCTAGGGGATTTAATGGAAGAAATACGGTAGTATAAGCATTTGATGATTGTTTCCATCCCACACGCTGTCTTTGTGTTTACTTGGGAAAACTATGGGTAAACAAAGGTTTTCACGATACTCTAACGTTGCTCGTTACTTGGGAAAACTATGGGTAAACAAGGGTTTGTCACGATACTCTAACGTTGCTCGTTACTTGGGAAAACTATGGGTAAACAAAGGTTTGTCACGATACTCTAACGTTGCTCGTTACTTGGGAAAACTATGGGTAAACAAAGGTTTTTCACGATACACTAACGTTGCTCGTTACTTGGGAAAACTATGGGTAAACAAAGGTTTGTCACGATACTCTAACGTTGCTCGTTACTTGGGAAAACTATGGGTAAACAAAGGTTTGTCACGATACTCTAACGTTGCTCGTTACTTGGGAAAACTATGGGTAAACAAAGGTTTTTCACGATACTAACGTTGCTCGTTACTTGGGAAAACTATGGGTAAACAAAGGTTTGTCACGATACACTAACGTTGCTCGTTACTTAAAACTATGGGTAAACAAAGGTTTGTCACAATACTCTAACGTTGCTCGTTACTTGGGAAAACTATGGGTAAACAAAGGTTTTTCACGATACACTAACGTTGCTCGTTACTTGGGAAAACTATGGGTAAACAAAGGTTTTCACGATACACTAACGTTGCTGGTTACTTGGGAAAACTATGGGTAAACAAAGGTTTTTCACGATACTCTAACATTGCTGGTTACTTGGGAAAACTATGGGTAAACAAAGGTTTTCACGATACAACTTGCTGGTTAAAAACGTTTTTTCACGATACACTAACGTTGCTCGTTACTTGGGAAAACTATGGGTAAACAAAGGTTTGTCACGATACACTAACGTTGCTGGTTACTTGGGAAAACTATGGTAAACAAGGTTTTCACGATACACTAACGTTGCTCGTTACTTGGGAAAACTATGGGTAAACAAAGGTTTTTCACGATACACTAACGTTGCTCGTTACTTGGGAAAACTATGGGTAAACAAAGGTTTTTCACGATACTCTAACGTTGCTCGTTACTTGGGAAAACTATGGGTAAACAAGAGTTTTTCACGATACACTAACGTTGCTCGTTACTTTTAGGTGAACTACGGTGTCAATGATCCCGCTGCAGTTGCGAAGGTGAAAGACATATACTCGAAGTTGGATTTAAAATCCGTATATCACAAGTACGAAGACGTTAGTTACGATAAATTAATGAAAATGATCGAGAAAGCTCCTAGCGATTTGCCAAAGGAAATATTTACAGAACTTGCCTCGAAAATATACAAGAGGAACAAATAACGAATTAAGATGTAATTACCAAGTGGGAAATGGCGAACTTTTATGTTTTCAGTTTGGGATAACGTCAACTTCAATTAGTTTTATGTCTGTTTGAAACCATTCAAACCTTCGCCATGACACTAATGAATTGGGACTGCGCAGGTTACGCGCAATTTGTCAATCAGTAGGTGGTTGGATAGAAATTTCTTTCAATCAAGAACCACGCCGGCCTGCAGAGTCAGTCCCACTATGTAAACTTTTAATTAGCCATGTCAATGATGGCTACGTTGTTGCTTTCGAACGATGTGTGGAGAAATCAATGAGAATTTGCGAATCATGTACATAATTTAGCTTGTGTTTAGTGGTGAAACAAGGGGTCGGCTCTGTAGATATGAGTTATTCTTCTTGTTTTCAGGACGACGTCATTCTTTTGAAAGAATGGTTTGAGTTGGAGTTAGAGTACGACTTAAATGATCAATTTTATTGACGTCTTCCTCAGGCAATCCTTTTGAGACATTGGCAGATCCAGGGTTCGGTAAAATTATAATCACAAAAGTTGTCCATTCATTTAGATTTGAAAACGCACTACAAGGAGATTAAGGTTTCACGTAAGGTTTCACTCTTTGAAAGTTCACAGCCATTAAATAGCATTGTTATCCTGATATTTTTGAATACAAAATTGGCTGCCCAATTTTATATTTCGTAACCCTGGATACGCCACTGTTCGCGAGAGACGGCTTTCGTTCGTACAACTCGGTTCGACGAACTGGGAGTTTTTAAGTATTTTGATTAATGTAAATAAACTTGATACTCACTGGAAGTGAGAAAAGTTTACTTGATTTCGTGATTCGCAAATCAAGGGCGTAGAAAGTCATGGATTTCTGCGTGTGCGTAATTTTCTGTGTGTGAGTATCTCTTATAGGAAGGGCACTTTCACAAATCTCACACAAATTTAACGTCTTATTGAACGTTGATAATGTATCGAATGCCATGATTTAGGTGTACCGAATTTTCAAATACATGAACAGACCCTTCACTTTGACACGATGCTTTTAAAAGAAGTTTCATCACAAGTGTAACTTTCGTGAGTTATCACACGGTGAGCATGGAACACCCAGTCACTCACAACTTTAAAAGCTTCCAAAGCGCCTGTCATACATAATAACGCGAACGAGAAATTTATGTGACCTAAGTTTGCTTTTGATTCATATCTTTTGTCGACACCGAGGTGAGTTTTGATCTATTCGCGATTCTCCCTTTTTTCGAAAAGTTATTTGCTGTCCACGGCGTGCTGAGCGCTCCCTGTTCTTGTTGCGAATTTCGATAAACGCGTTCGAAAGAAACTCTGTAAACGATCTGTCCAATTCTAAGTTAAATGTAGCGTTTTTTGTAGCAATCAACGACCTAATTAGAACCCGTGTGTGCGGTATGAATGGAAATAATGAAAAAATAATATTCCTTATTCAATTTGTGTTTGAACAGCGCATTAAACAAGCACGTTGTTATTTTTTCTGTGGGAGCGAGAGCAGCTGCTGTGCGCAAAATGATTTTTGATGAAATTGTATAACGCTGAGAGGATTGTGGACGCCGGGCCAAAAATATTACGTTTCACGATCATCGTGATCTTCTGAATGATCAAGTTAAAGTTTGTGCCATCTCCTAAGAAAATTCAATAAGTCTAAACATTACCTCGTTCTCGACCTTTAAAATACTCGAGTTAATTTGGAGCCGGTCCGAAACGTCCGTAACCAAGTTTACATTGGAAGGTGATGCAAGCAAAGCAGGGTCGTCCACGCAACAGAATTTCTTCGATGGACGCGAATTTCTCAGGAAACGATGACCAGCCAGGCAACGGTTATTGTTACGACAAATTCGGTAGGATACATGTCATTTTCTTGTTCAAACATTTCCATATTTGCCCCTGCAGATAATTGTAGTAAAATCCACGCGTTTCCCGATCTAGTTTAGTTAAGTTCAACAATCAAGTGTCGAGGCTGCATCTATTTCCAACATTAACAAATCATACAGTCATTCTAACTTTAGATACGTCCGCTTCATCGAACGACTTGTGCAAACCGGATTCGCCTTGCAAACAACGTCAAACATTGGAGACTTTGAAATGGTTTGTTGTCCACGAGTCTTTTCAACTATAGGCAGATCGGCTCTAAATGTTCTTTTTCAGTTTAAAATAGGTTTTATTCACTACTAACGTTCATGCGCTGTTTGTGATGAAATGCGTACAAGTGATATATTTTTTCCAGGCTTTCAGAAAACTATGAGCTCGTTGATGGTGTTTGTGTGCCAAGATGTGTTCTTTACACTCATTATTTGGATTATTGTAAAAGGGAAAATTTCTCGCCAGTTAGTTCGGCATCATTCGGCAAAGTAAGCAAGCTCCACGTATTATATATATATTAGCCATGCAGTCGACCACATCATCTAGGAATTACTAAAAATGACTGTCTGTTTTTGAGGCATCTCGCACCATCCATTTTTTCGTTTTTCCCCTTGCAGTTAGTGCGTCAAAAGTTTCCAAAGCTCACCACAAGAAGATTGGGAACAAGAGGACAATCAAAGTAAGAGAATTGCAAATATATGGTTAGTACAGTCCCCGAAAAGGACTGTTGTTGCTAGTATTGACTGACGTCAAGGTTGGAGCAGTCCTGAGATAGGCTGCTTGTGTTAGCATAGTGCTGAATGACGTCCAGTTTAGTAAAGTCCCTAGAAAGTTTCTTGGTATTTGTATGTTGACTCGCGTTTCGACATCCTTAACGGTATAGTCATCTTCATTGTCAAAAGAAAAAAATGCATATTGACTAACACCAACAGTCCTTAGGATTGTGCTGAACTGGACATCTACAAGCATGTATCGATACTCTCTGCTTCAGACTATTCACATTGAACCTCAAGTCCCGTTTTCGATGCCAAATAACCAACTTTCGTGGATAAACATCATTCTTTGATTTAATTGTCAATTCTTGTCGCCCTGTATTTACAGAATTAAGCGATGTTTACCTTTGATTTTCAGGTATCATTATTATGGTATATCGATTAAAGAATCTTCTGTATATTACCACTCAGTATATTCTGGAAATACGAGTTCCAGGTCAGATGCAGCAGTTTGTGAAAGTCTTTATCGGGTCGCAGATGCTCTTTTTCGTTTGATTTTTGTCGTGCAGCTATTTGCCTTTAATTTTCCCTTTTCGTGGCTCTTTCTCCATAACTGAATAATTTACTTTTAGGGGTTCGTTTTTCGCGGAGAGAAAGAAGGTGGGCGGTTTACGTTATTGGAATACTGATGTGTTTTAAAGCAATTACATAAGTTAGACACATGCAAAGGTAGATACAAAATAGAGAAAAAGGTTAGACACAAAGGTAGACAAAAATGTAGACATAAAGGTAGACGTAAAGGTAGATACAAAGGTAGACACAAAGGTAGACATAAAGGTAGACACAAAGGTAGACGCAAAGGTAGACAAAGGTAGACACAATGCTAAACATAAAGGTAGACACAAAGGTGAACATAAAGGTAAACATAAAGGTAGACATAAAGGTAGAACCAAAGGTAGACACAAAGGTAAACATAAAAGTAGACACAAAGATTGACACTAAGCCTGCTTGCTTGACAAAATTCAAGCAATGTTACATTTGTTGAACAATTTTAAGGTTCACGCATATTTTGTATGCTGCTAAAATTTTAGAGAAATTCTAGCACGTTTTCTTCTGACAAGGAAACACGCAACACCTTGCCGAAATTTCCAAATGCAGCTGATATGATTCTCAAAGATGGTTTATCTGTCGATAAAGTGAGTCAATACACTTTATTTTTTTCATACAAAGATTTTTTTTAGTTTTTACTTGATTTTATATCTAGTATTTGTCTAGAGCAAAATTCATTGTGCTCGAACATATCTTCAGAAGGAGAAATTTAGAGAGTTCAAAGCTCTTGGAAATATTCTTGTTTATTTCTGTAGGTTGACACATTCATTGTTATGTATCGCACGCATTGTCAACGTTTGCTGGATTCCGTTATGAATGCAAACTTTAACGAGGTAATTTACATTTATTGTCTGGCTTCCCACGGGATAAAAACATCTGTGATTATTCACATCGTATTCTCACTCGTCACTGGTTCGTTGTTGATTATTAATAAAGCGGATCTTGGAAGGCGAAGATGAAAAAAAACGAAAACTTCAGGACACTAATTCTTTATTTGTTGATTGCTGGATGAGCTTTTACGAGTTCTTTCGCCAGCTGTTTGATTTGTTCCTCACGCAAACCTCTCGTTATCTCTCCCACAGTCCTATCATTATCCTATCATTATCCTCCTGCAACCTTCTCAAAATTCTCCACACAGTCCTATCATCCTCTCTCACGCAATCCTATCATCATCCTTTATTCACTCCTCTCGTCATCCCTCGTGACGATAGACATGATGAAGACAATTATATTTGGCAAATAAACACAATGAAACGCGTGCGGTGATTGGTCTAGAGCTGTGTTTGCATTAGCCTGTGCAAAACACATCTGAGCTCAACCAATCAAATCAATCAAATCAATCAGTCAAAGAGAATTTGCAAATCGATCATGAATACATTTTAGAAGAAAAATTAACGTTTACTTAAAATTTTGTCTGTTTCGCATTATTGTTATTTTATAAAAGAAATAAAAGATGTTTTTCGTGTTTGCACTGGCTTATGCAAACCTCGGAGACGTTTGTGAAAATTCTCGAGTTCTCCCAAAGGTGTCCTCGGTTTGCATAAACCTGTGCAAACACAGTAAACATCTTTTATTTCTTAAATGAAAGAAAAGACAAAAGTTATAAACTTTGTAACTCGAGATTTTTTATCCAACAGTTCACACTTTTCCCGTGTTTTTGATTTTTGATAGTTAAAGTTTTTGTAAGAACATTGTTTTTTTTATTTCTCCAGAATCTTTTACTTTTCTTTCCTGCGTTTTTATTTCAACACACGAATCGTATTTTTGTTGATTTTTTCTTCAGGTTCATAAATTATTGCTCCATTTTTGGGGTGGAATGCCTACACACATGGCACAAGTATTGCAGAGCGATGCCGTCGTTGATGTTATCATCGTTTGTGACTCGTTGCTGTATAGGATCCTTACTGATATACTAGTACCCTCTTCCGTCCTGGATATCCCTGAAAGGTAGCGTCCGTCCTTATCGATATTAATCCTTCTGGCTAAATGAATTTGACGCTGTAATAAGAGGCTTCGTTGTTTGTGTTTTTTACAGTTTTTTGGTTGAGATACAAGACTTTGCTGAAAATTTTGTTGTCTCTCTTCTGTCGTGTTTGGAGAACGTTTCTGTGATTTTACGAAGTAAAAAGTTACAAGGTTTGGAAGACTAAAGACTTAAGAATTCTTCGACTGTTTTCGTGCATGCTTGCCGTGTTCTTTAAATCTAATCTCTTTCGTATTCTAGTGGCAAAGAATTTTTCTAGAGTTTTGAAGAGAAACATGGCATTCATTACTTTAGCTCAGGTGAGCACTTCAAGTTGAAGTGGTCAATGTTGGATTTCTACTGATGAGCAGTTTATATTCAATTGAGATATCCAATATATGTGAAGTTGCTTGATCCTGTTGTACTTCGTAACGTTAAAAACGTTTGCTTGTTTTAATTGTGTACGTTCATATTTTGTTCAGGCTGCTCGACCTGTACTTCTTTCTTATGATTCAATGTCGGCTATCATGGACGAATTTCGTTCTTTGGATATGAAATCAATTTTAACTCAACTTTTATTTTTGACTGAATGTGAAAGCACAGATGTCGGCTTATTAATGATGCGTAAGTCATCTCATTTACTAAATATAATGTCTGTTCCAAAGAATGCCTAGTGTGAAGTGTTGTCTGTTCCAGAGAATTTGACCAGATGTTTTAAAAATTGATTATAATACTACAATAGTGTTGGATGAGTTTGAGCGTATCTTGGTGAAACAGGCTCCAATCGAAGCCTATACTGAATGGCTGGAAGGCATCTTTGAGGAGTACGTTTTGAAGGATACGGTAAGAGTTGGAATAGGGGTTGGCATTAATGTTTTCGTTTTAATGCAATCTTTTCACATCTCATCTCAATGTGATTTTACGTTGTTTATCAGTGTCAAGAAAACCATTCGTTGGAAAGTTTGGCAAAGAAATCAAAATCATTTTTAACGAAGTGGGCGTTCGTCACCTCGCGTATTTTGCAAGAGATGACGTTGAACGCGGCGCCAAACTTTGGTAAGAATACATACATTTCTTGTTGTATCTTGTGGTATACTGTTGTATCTTGTTGTATACTGTTGTATCTTGTTGTAACTTGCTGTATCATGTTGTATCTTTTTGTATACTGTTGTATCTTGTTGTATCTTGTGACATACTGTTGTATCTTGTTGTAACTTGCTGTATCTTGTTGTATCATGTTGTATCTTGTTGTACACGTTTTATGGTTGGTCATTTAGTGGAGAAACGATCCTACCTTATCCTACTAAAGATTTGTTGTTTTGTACGAATAACTGCACAAAAATGGAAACGTTGAAGTGAAACTTGATATCTTTGTTTCAGGCACATTTCAACTGATTGTGATGATTTTTGAGGAGTACATTCTCTTGATTATCGAGAGAGAAATGATATCACTCATTGACAAAGGTCTCCAATGCCGCATTTCTTTGCATTTGAAGAAATCTTTCACCGATGATCGAGCTGATTTTGACTGCATTCAAATGTTTGGTTCATCAAACAACGACACGGTCGAAAATTTCACAGAGAAGCTAAATCGAAAAGAGACATATTTTCAACAAACACTTGGTGATATCGATCGCGAAATAAACCGATCTTGGTACAACGAAGATTCATTTCAAAAAGATGTAAATTTCGGTCAGTTACAGGGATTTCTGCCCACCAGGAATACTTCCTTCCATCCCAATCAAATCCATGTCCTCCATCGGAGTCACCATTCTTCGTCATCAGAAGCAACTCAAACCAGACAGAATAACACAGCGACGATTTTATTTTCACAAAACGCACAACATTGCTTTCAAGGGCGAACTTGCTTTGACGGTGACGTCAGCAATGAGAACGAGCATCGCCTATCTTGCAATACTATTGTTTATAACGGATTTCGAGCTTCAAATTACCGCGAGGAACTTGCATCACACTGTACAGGAGTCGAAAACTCAAATGTGAGTCAATCCTTTCATCGTGATGCTCAAGGCCCAGTAAATCATTTCGCCAGATCATATGAGATGAGCGAAGTTCAGCAGAACAAAATTCATTATTACGAAGGTCAGGATCAAAGTCACTTTACCGGAGTTCAGGATCCACCACTCTTTCCCTCCGTCAACGCAGTTATTCAATGTCATTCCACGTTTGACGTACACCAGCCTCAGACTGGCGAATCTCAAGTGGTGGACTCAAATCTGATCAATGATTATTTCAAACATACTGAATTCGATAATTCTGAAGATTTTCAAACATCACAGCCTGCTTACAAAGCCTTCAATTCACAAAGAAATTATTCTCTTTACCCCGAGACCTTTTTACCACCAATCAGTCAACTGACTTCGCAGCTTACCACCAATCAGTGAACTGACTTTGCAGCTTACCACCAATCAGTGAACTGACTTTGCAGCTTACCACTAATCAGTCAACTGACTTTGCAGCTTACCACCAATCAGTGAACTGTCTTTGCAGCCTACCACCAATCAGTCAACTGTCTTTGCAGCTTATCACCAATCAGTGAACTGACTTTGCAGCTTACCACCAATCAGTTAACTGACTTTGCAGCTTACCACCAATCAGTGAACTGTCTTTGCAGCTTACCACCAATCAGTCAACTGTCTTTGCAGCTTACCACCAATCAGTGAACTGACTTTGCAGCTTACCACCAATCAGTGAACTGACTTTGCAGCTTACCACCAATCAGTGAACTGACTTTGCAGCTTACCACCAATCAGTGAACTGACTTTGCAGCTTACCACCAATCAGTGAACTGACCTTGCAGCTTACCACCAATCAGTGAACTGACTTTGCAGCTTACCACCAATCAGTGAACTGACTTTGCAGCTTACCACCAATCAGTCAACTGCCTTTGCAGAGGGTTCAAACCAAGCTGAACCTAATGCTTCAACCATGGGCGTACGAAGGGAGGAGACATATTCATATCCAGTTTTTGTTCTTCTGGTTAATAGAGTTCGATTTAAATTATTTCAAATGCTATGATTACATTGCGTTGGACTTGTGGAAAACCTCTTTTATTGTATGAGAAGAAATTTTTCATGAATTGCTTAGTTGACTTTCAAGTACTTAATGGATGCAATTGGTTTTTAAAGAAGCCTCGATTTAAGTAAGGGTCAGAGCATAATCAAATGTGTTCTATGGGATGTACAGAGGTGTATTGCCAAAATTTTAACATCTGTGGGGGGGGCTCTTTGATATACTTATGTTACCACTGCTGAATATACTCTCCGATTTATATTACTAATACTAATACTACAACAAGGGGGGTGAAGACTCCAAAATCCCCTCCCTGTGTATTTTAATAATGTTGCACGAGTGATCATAACAGTCTTACAGAATGATCAATGATCTCCCTTCACGAGGGAATTAAGAAATACAACGCGCTTCATTTAATTGGCTCATTGGATATCTGTGAGTATAATCATATACTGGAGTTCATTCAGTGAAATTCTTCATTTTGAGTTTCAATAACGACGAGGATGGGACACAGAAGCACGCTTGTTCCCAAGTACAAATGCGCACGCAATTTGTTTTTACTCGTGAGAATATCAGATTCCTCGCAAGCGTGTTGTGGAAGAGGGAAATGAAGAGACTTGCTCTTACTCCATGGCAGTAGAGGTAACTGCTTAAGCATGGTTGAAGTTGGTTTTAATAATTTAATTTTTGAATTACTAACTTTACATGTGCATGATGGTTATTGAGTCTGTAATGAGCGTATCTTAATTTTAATATAAATATGGTTTTACAGTAGCAGTACTTTCATGATTTTTTAAATCAAGCCATCCACGGAGTAAAAATATTTTCTCCGAATAGTTTTGACCTGATTTTGAAGCCCCACACTGTGAGTGTGACGGAGCTTTTAGAACAAGGGGGTTGGAAACTGTCTTCATTGCATAGAATCCAGTAGTGACTCTGTATAAAGTTGTTAATGATGGAGCCATGCTACTGATATATTTGCTGTCCATTGCATGCTTCTTGTTTTGTTTACTGTAACTTGGATATTTCCAACACGTCAAAACCCTCATCAACACTTGATGAATGAATTTCAGACGCTACTTGTTACGTGATGTACAGCTCTCGGGCTTTTTTAATAATTTCTCAGCGTAAGTAGACTACATTTCGCTAGTAAATGTTTCTTATAGTTCGTTGCACAATACACAATGCATGAAAAAAAGCAAAGGCTCAGCATTTCTGAAAAAACTTAATCCATGTGAGCGATATACTTCATTTTATACAGCAGCGGATCTAGGGGTAGTCACAGCGAGCAGCAGCGAGCAACATAAATTAAAGCTTCTTAATTTTAAATTCATAGCGCTTTCAGAAAAGCACTAGTGGTTTTGAATTTCTAAAGAATTTAATTTCCCCAATGGACTTGTCTCTGAAGGGCTTAGAAATGAAAATTTATTCCAGAATGTGCAGCAGTAATTTATTTTGACTAACCCTAGATCCGCCGCTGATTTTATACTAATAAAACGAATCAATGTAGCCGTCGTCTACATTTCCTTTACACTATATTACATAAAAGTAATCTATTTCACATATTTCTCAACTTTTTATTGTTATGTAAAGGAAAATGTCTTATACCTACTGGGGGGGGCAAAAATCCATCAGTGGGGGGCAGAATGTAAGGCTGGGAGGCCTTCGCCCCCAGTTATATAGTTAAAAAAGGCCCTGACAGCTTTCTTGTATACGGAAAGTTGATTTTGTGAGAGACGGTGGTTATTCGCTTATTATGAATTCCAAACAGTCACTGCACTACAATTGACTGGATTATGGCGGTTATCATTAACTTGATTTGAAGTCCATCCTGACTCGAGGAGTGAACGCATTTGACGGTATATTCTGCTTCGAACAATGTACAAAAATAGACTTTTCCTTTGGTGCATAGATATGTAAAAAGTCTTGTTTGTTGTGGCCTATATTGGCCACCTTCCCAAAAATAAAATCGTGCAAAAACTTCTTTGTTAGGGAAATTAAAGCACAGATTCTTGCATAACTTAAAGTAAACAATCTAAGGCAATAACTTTATACGACTTTTGAATTACGAGAGAGACGCCAAGCGATAAATCTTTATCTATAACAACACTACGTCCGTCTTGATTTGTAAATTGGCTGCGAATTAAATTTTTTGCCGGCGTTCGGAAGCATATCCAGGTATTAGAGAGTCTCTCTTTGCTTCATTCAAACGTCTACTGAAATATATCGTTTTCGTCGAAATTGGTAAATTCGAATCCACCAAAGTTGTGCTAAAGACTGTTTAAATCTTCCATTGTCACTCGTCTCAGTGGAAATTACAAAGAAATTTTGTAGGATAACAAGAGTATAGTAAAAGTTGGTGCATCATAAACGGTAAGCGGTTTAATACATCTTTATTACATCATACATTCTTACCAGCTTTCTAAAAGGTTGCTTGTATGTTTAACTATACATCGATATTCTTTGCTTTTTCTTTCTTGGTCGTTGAAAAATAGTCCAACAGCCTTGCTCGTCATGACTTTGGGGAACAAATCTTCGGTTTGTCTTCAATTTTTCCTTTACTTTGCGACCGAAATATTTAATCTCCTGACCGACGTCGGCTTGTACATCGACAGCTCAAGCATTCTCTCCGAATGTGACGACGTCATTGACATGAAAAACTCGAGTGAACTCAACGGCGTTGGGGATTCAGTGAAATGTTCCGATGGAGGAAACTTCACTTCGAGCGCTCTGAAGAACGCCAAAACGGATTTGATCATACTACAGTTGACTCTGGCCGGATTCTTCGTCTGTGGCGCTGTGTTGTTTATCTCTCAAGTCGTTATCTACTGTAAATATTTCAAGGCCGCACGAAGTCACTCCTTTGAGTACGACTGTGAAAACTCGGAGTTCTTAAAAAGTTTCTATAAAATTCACGGTTTCATTTTGGGCTTTGGCACCATTCTTCACGACATTCCAGTCGGGCTGATCGTTGTCGAGCTTTGCGTTCTTGTATGGCAACAACCAAACTGCTGGGAATGTGTCAAAATATTTTCCTCGACAAGTTTCTCAGAAGTCTCGCTCTCAAAAACCAATCTTTGGCTGGGAATAAAACTGGGCTCATTGGCGCCGATAACGTTTTATAAAGGTATACATGAATGACGTTATGCGTATTTACAGGGTTCAGTTTTTGTGGAGTGTTTTTCCTGGTGTATTTTTGAGTAGATATACGTTTTACGTAAAATGGTTAAGCTCATAAAATAGATGAAAGTCCTCAACGATCGTATTGCAAGAACAAATAGTAAGAATTGTAAAAAGTTTGCAGACTATTTCATCCTTGTACAACTACACCGGTTGTGATACATATACGTAACCACGAGACAAAACAAAGTTATCCCTAGACAAACATTTTTTTAATTCTATGTAAATAAATCCCAGATAATTCAGGATAGCCCAAATTAGACTTGAGGTGATTTTTTGCCAAATGCCATGTGAAGAATGGGATCGCTCGTGCCATAAAAAAACGTGTCGCCTCTTGAACTGAAAACTACCCAATTTCGAAATTAGCTCTGAATAGTAGTATGATACTAGTAGCAGTTTCATTCACTACCCGGCATCATTATTCGATGGTAACCGTCATCTTGTAAAGCAGTTTTGAAAAATGCACAGATTATTGTAACAAAAACAGGACAATCCCATTGGGCTTGATACATTTAGCACTTACAGTAGTTTACCTACGGGGGGAAACTTTCTTTTTGTCACCGACTCTTTGATCGTTTAGGTATGCTTCCACTTTTCATGTGGATTGGTGGCCCGTTCTGTGGCATGGATTGCTATATATGTCGTGTGTGTACTGTGCTTCCTAGTGGATTTCTTGCCACTGTGCTGTTGCTGACCCCAATCTGTGGTGTGATTACGTACCGACTCGAGCCGATTGCAACAGGCATTGATAACAGTGTTGTCAGCACTGTCTGGTCGATTGGACTTATATTCTGGGTTATAGCAATTATTATCGGCATCTTTCTTTGCGTGTGCTGCGTGCCAGCTTGTCGAGTTTGCTGTTTCAGATACGGCATATGCAAATGGTGTGGGTTGGACTGCTGTGGCCTGGGGAAGACTGACCGCGAGGAGAAGAAGGATAAAGCCGAGGCGTAGCTTTGGCGTAAATCTGTAGCTTTATAAGTCTGTTGCTTCATGGTGATCATGAAGGTAGCGTGATTGGCTACTCGTGAAATGTACGACAAATTGAAAAACATCCACTGTTTGCCTTCTTGCGCTCAGGTAGTCGTCATTGTTTAGGGTCTTTCGATGCCTTGACGGATTTTGATTATGTATTCAGCTTAACTACAAAACCTTTATTTTTTAAATACCTTGACGGTCATGAAATACTTGTTGCCAAATGTAGAGTAATTATTAAGCTTTAACGATTGTTTGTAGAAAGATATTTTACACGAAATTTGATGGTAGCGTCTTAATTAATTCTATGTATAGCATATGGTAGAGAACAATCCTTCCACTCTGTAAAGTTGATCTTCTGTTTGAAACCGTAATGAACGCAAATTTATGGTTGCACTTTCAGACATAATACAAATGACATTCGACATCTTTCATTAGTTCAAAATTCACTGCACAACGTGTGAAAAACTGAGCCTTGTGCACAACGTAAAATATTTGTAGTTGAAACAAAAAAGCGAAACTAACCAAATTTAAACGGTCAACATTTTTTAAAAAACAGTTCATGCATGTAGGCACATCGTTGTGCGTACATTGTTATAGGTAAATGATAAGTGCGTCATTGTATAGGTACATTATAAGTACGTAATTTTTGTCATTTTAAAAGTTCTGTTCAATGAAAATATTTTTGCTAATATTATTGAAATCGCAAAAGTTTCGTTTCATGGACAATTTAATTAAAGATCATCGTCAGTATTTCTGCTCGCAGGTGCAGAAACAGTTTAATTAAATGATTGGCAACAAGCCATTGAGATTACGTCTGTTGCTGCTGTTAAGTTTATATCTATTCAGGTGGTATTACGCCCTTAAATTCCTCAAATCACAAGCCGACATTGTGACAAATCTCAACATATTCAAATAAAATGTGGGCGAAAACAAAACATAAAACATTTCCGTAAACTTGTCAATGAGATAGCAAACATTTTGTCGAAGATATTGATTTTCATTGCATGTCTGCCTTTATTGTATTTTGAGAGTCCTAATTAAGAAAGGTTCCTTCCAATTTTTAAACATAAACACTCAATATAACACCGAATATGGCCAGCTCTAATTAGCTGAATGTGTCTCACAGTTGAAATGAAGATTTCGTTGTTATCATTATTACTGTGAGACGATTTAAAGTGCTTTTAAAAACAATCCACAAAAGTTTCCTATCTCTTCCAAGTTGGAGGTCATTTTTGCATTATCCCATCAGCTGGCCAGCCTTAAATATTTCAGGCAGGGATTATTAATGCAATTGTCCTTGATTGTTAGCACAGCTTGAAGGCGATATGTTGAGCAAATAACATGCTGTTATTTTGTACTCAAACATCACAAGAGGCCAAACGTGGCTAGATGATTGTTGTTCGACTGGATGGTGGTTTTACAGGGTTCATTCATTGATAAATCTGCTTAAATAGAAGATTGTTGCCTTGTTGACATCTGCGATCAAGAAACACGACAAACAAGAGAATTTAATTATCACTTTTACCATTGGCACGTAGGGTGTTGTGACACCAAAAAAATCCAGTGAATTATTCAGTATGTACTACAACTACAATCGTTTTGATTGTTGTTTTCGTGTCAGCTTCGCTCAGTTTGAAGACAACAACTTATTGCTGGAGAAATTAATCAATTCATGCGCGTCAGCTAATGTCATTTTGCGCGTTTTATGATAATTTTTATACAGTGGGGGCATGGAAAGATTTTCGAAGTGGATATGTCAAAAAATGTGACTGGCCTTCGAGTTCATGAAATACTTTAAAAAACATCAACCCATCAAAGCATATCACATTAAGGACGCATTACGGACATCGATGAACTGTTTCAAGTCTTTTCATATCCGTTTGGAGCTGCGTGCTCTCTATGATTTCCATCAATTAAAATCTTAATTAACTAAATTGCATCTCCCGCCTTCGTTTTAGAGACACGAGACGATGGTATTTGCGCACGAAAACGATATTTTATTAGGAACGAGAAACGGTATTGAGCTCAACTGAGACATTGGAAGAGAGAACGACTTTCTGGAGAAGTTGTAAAGGTAGAGGAATGTAATCGAAGTCTTTTTATATAGCTACAAAACCAACGACAATTGAAACCATCTAAAATATCTGCAAAACGTCTTCGGCATTTTAATATGTTTCTCTTCGCACTGTGTTTTAGATAAGCTCGTGTTATAGAATACTTGATTTGGTATTTTTCAATGTTTTTCATTAATATTGCACGGCAAAAACAACGTACAAAGGTCGAGTTCTTGCCCCACTAAATACTAAACGTTGCATGTATTTGTGTTTTGTTTTGGTCATTTGTACTTACAAATTACTTCGCCAAACGATAGAAAGGAAGAATTGCAACAAAGCAAAAATATTTTGATTCTTTGTGTTTTTCAAAGGGTTTGTTCGTCTTTGAAATGAAATTCAAAACTTGTTGTTGTTGACTTGGAGGAGGTCGACCAAAAAAACACCAAAGTTTGAAAAAAAGAAACGTGTTTCTATACGTTTAGTACAGTTGAAGGTCGTTCGTCTCACATGGAAAATTTTTTATCAACATGCAGACACCCGTTGCATTCAGAAACTTCGCATTCTGCATCAAAAATTAAATGGAATTCCATGCCGGATATTTTGACTATTCACAAAACCAACATTCAATCTTTTTCATCATTCAGCTTTCGTCGACTTCTCCATTCAAAATCGCTACATATCGTCATAAGTTAATTAAATAACGACAAGTGTATCTTTGTCCGAAATTTTTGTTGCTGTTCCCGAGCTAGAACGCATACAACAAATACTACGGCAATGCCATTACTAGACTTTGAATAACATTGTATTCCTCTAAAGTAGTCATAGGGTTAACTGCTAAGCGGCGTTTATAAGTTGACATTCAATAAAATCAGATGGGCTTGATTTTCGTTAATCGTCACCACGAAATCTTCTATTTATTGTAACACGAGAAGGATGAGCTTTGATTACAAGACTGTTTTCGCGTGACTGCGCTATTGTGCACGGTTGTCGATGAGGTTGTTGAGTTGCTTTGAACATTTGCTTATATTGTTAATCTCTAAACAAGGAAAGAGCCAATCAACGACGATAAAGGTGGACGCGATGAACAACTCTGGAGGGATCTTGTCAGAAGTACGACGCGACAATCTGACCGCTCAGTTTCAAGAGCCGAGAGGCGTGAAGTTTGCACGGATTGTTATCGAGATATTGATTAGCGTTTTTGGAGTTTTTGGTAATACTCTTGTGTGCATGGCTATATGGAGGAACAAACGTCTCCAGAATATAGGTAACATATTCATATTTAATCTTTCCATCGCTGACTTGGGTGTTCTGCTAATGTGTTTACCGCTGTTAATACTGAATGCCGACCTCAATTTCTCTTGGCCATTCGGGGATATGGGATGTAAGCTCCTACTTCCACTGACTGATGTATTTTACGGAGTTTCCATCGGTTCTATTGTTGCTATTTCGTTCCATCGCTATCGTTTGATAGTTCACTGCATGGACCATCAGATGAGTGCAAGAAAAGCGAAACTTATCGTGGCTTTTATTTGGGTGAGTGTAAGACATTTCACTCGAATGTCAGTCATTACATTTGCTCTCTGAATTTGAGATGATCGATGTTGAACGGATCTCAAAAAAACATGTATGATGTCATCCGAAATTTTTTAGATTGCCTAGGAAAGCGCCATTGCCATGGTGAAGAGTCGAAAATGAGAGTTCCCAGGAGCTCTGAAAACGAAGGGAAACCTTAGAAAACCATGCACAGGCTTGCGTTCTCTCACTATTGGCTTTTAGAACAAATGGGAACCTGAGAACCCCTATCTTTGCCAATTCACCATGGCAATTGCGCTTTTCCAAAAAAATAGTTAAAGTTGTGATAAGTCTCCGCGACAAACTTTTCTTCTTCTTATTTTTTAGATAATATCTTACGTTCTTTTTGTTTTACCTCTGCATTTTGTTGTGGAGCTCAAAACAAAGGATGGCAGGAGTTTTTGCGCCCCTGTTTGGGAACGAGAAATTTACCGTCAACTCCACGTTGCTTTCGTTTCTCTGTTATTTTATGTGCTTCCGCTGGCGTTGATCGTGGGCACCTACGCGCGTATTCGGCGTCAACTTCGCGGCGATCCTTTTCTTCGCTCTCTACTTCGACACGACTCGACGAACTCGGCAAAAATTCGTCTCGATCAAAACAACAAAGCCTTAAAAATTTTGACGCCGGTCGTGGTCACGTTTTCCATTTTGATGTTTCCTATCAACGCAATACGATTAGCTGCAGCGTTCGGTAAGGATTTGCATGTGAACTTCGCTCATCTTAGGCTGGTTTACAATATCAGTGTATTGCTTCTGCTGACGAACAGCTCTATTAACTGCATCATATACGCGGTGGTGAACAACGACTTTCGCAAGGAGTTCAAGCGGATTTTAAGCTGTTGTGCTCTTAAACGCACGAGGCTCACGATTTCAAGAACGAGTCCAAAAAAGTATTCGATGTATTCCTCCACTGATCCTAAGACTGTAGAAGAAACTGTTTGTGCCGACAACGACTCGGTTTTCTTATATGATTCCCGAGACGAGTTAAGGAAACCTGTCCGCACTGAAAAATTGTTGAAGGATTTGAGTCGTTATGAAGTGAGGCGTTTGATGGAGGACAATGATTACGTGGATTCCGTGTGTTATTGCTCGTACGGAGAGAGTGTATCTATTGTTGTGAGATAATATATGTACAGGTTTTACAGTCTAAGCAGCATAATGCAAGATTGGTTTTATGAAATGCAACATAACATAAACTGCAACATAAGTTTGACAAAGACATAAAGGGCATGGCTAATATATAAATTTTACACAGCGTATAACATATTTAACTACACAACATAGGTTTTACAAAGTTAAAACTGGCTTGACTACAAAATATGTTTTACACATTGAAAACAAGCTTAGTTACAACATAGGTTCTATACACAGTGAAAACAGGCTTAATATACAACATAGGTTCTACACAGTGAAAACAGGCTTAACTACAACATAGGTAATACACAGTAAAAACAAGGCAACTACAACTTAAGTTTTACACATTGAAAACATGAAGGCAACTACGTACAACATTGAGGTTTTATACGATGTTAAAAATTTTTATCGATCAATACCAATGACACTACTATTTACTTGCGCAAATGTATCATATTTTTGTAAATTAAACCGTATATCAAAAACTATTACCATGCAGTTACAACATAAGCTGTGAAATTTTACCAATTTACCTGACTAATATACTGAACATCGCGATGCTGTATTACTTTTGACCCTTGGGCTGTTGGTGTTCGTATCAAGCGTGTATGGGGCTTTGATTTTTTACTGGGTAGTTCAGAGGCATAGCGTATCCAACTTCAATTGACTTGAGTAATATAAAATGATCTGTAAAATAGTTCAAGATTACGAGTCCGAGATTATTACACTAATCATTACAACATAACAGTTTGAGTATTGTCTATGTTAGAGCAGTCCTGGGAAGGACTGTTGGTGTTTGTATTGACGGACGTCTTGACTTTCTTAGTGGTAGCCACGACATTTACTCCCTCTTCACAGACGATGTACTTAGAATGTCGAAAATCATTCAATACAATGTGTCACAAGTTTTTCTAAGGACTGCACTAACCTGGACAACCAGCATTCACAAACATGTACCCATACTCGCGGGTTCTGATTCAAACCATTCATTTTGAAACTAGAAAAGCTATAATTAGAGTCGATTGATGTAAATAATACTTCACTGTCTTCACTAGCACTTTGGTAATGACGGTTTTTTGTCATATTGTGGCTTCAAATTTGTTCCTCAGTGGCAGATCTAGGGTACGTCAAAAAAAATTACTCCAGCACATTTTCACATGTATTTACATTTCTAAGTACCTTGGGGGCAAATCCATTGGTAAAATTATATTCTTTAGAAATTCAAAACAAATAGTGTTTTTTCTAAAAGTACTTTCTATGAAGAATTGACATTACAGAGGGAAAGAAAAACAAGAAAGTGAGTCTCATTTAAAGGTGATGAAACAAGGACTTTTTCGAATGCCATCCCATGTGAAATGGCGGCTTTTTCAAATGTCGTTTCCAATGAAATGGTGCGTTTTTCTGAAAGAAGGAACTCAAGTAGATTTATAGCTTCACTTTATTAACATCAACTTCATCAAACACTTCCATAAGTTCAATGGTTTAAATAGTTTTTTCTGATATGCACTCGGAAGTTACTTCGTGTCGCTCAAACTTTTGCAAACGCAACTGCTGGAACGAAATAGACTTCAAAGAGAACGAGTATTTTTCATGTATTTAAACAGTACTTTGCCATAGAATGTTTTCGGTTTCCTGTTGAACTGTAGTATTCAACGTTTCTTTCGTGTAGTTTTTAGAGCAATTTCTTTTGGTGAAAGATGAATTGATTGTATGGAATGATGTTAACAGACGCAAGAGTTCAATTATAGGAGGGTCGGATGTGAGGTGGGTTATGACTGATGATGCCTCCATCCAAAAATAACTGTTGTAATTAGGTTGAAATGTTGTAAAAATTTACTTTAATGTGTCTTATAGGAAAGTAAACGGTTTGAACCATGGAGTATCGTTACATGTTTGTAGATGTAGGTCGTTAAGGCTCCTACTGTTGGTGTTGATTGAAAGTCATTTTCAGAGTCATTGTAAGAAGATGGAGAGTCGATCGACCATAACCAACGTTAACACGAACAGTCCTTCTCGGGACTGCCCCACCACGGACGATCTGATGATTGGACATATACCATCAAACTTCGGAAGGATGGCAGTCACAGTCTCTCATTTTGACGGATGGTATGTTGCAATAGAAATGTTTACGTCACGCGTAGTACGAAATAAGCACACTTAGAATTTCAAAACAGCACGAAACAATTGTACTCAGAAAAGATGTACCGAGTTTCACTATTTCTTCTTCAATTTTGGCTGGCATTTGTAAACGCTGACCAAGGTACGGTTCAAAGTTTTGATATAGATTTATTTTGCTGCTATTCAATCGAATTTTTGCTCATAATAACTGCGAAGGTAATTTTACCGTGTTGTGGTGTGTGATTTTGGTGAAACATATCTTCCATTTTTTATGAAATCTGCTCAGCTATCGTTAAGGATTTACCCTAGAATTTATAAAATTCGTTACAGCAAGCGAAAGTTAGGGCATGGAATGGTTTAGAATGTCTTAACATCCAGCGTGTTTTACGAATTGTAAAAATATTTTGTTGAGATAGACGGATTGTCTGTGACATGTCAGAAGGATTAAATTCTTTGGTAGATTGCAGATGAAGCTGTTGTGTTTGTTAGTTTATGTTGATAATGTATTAGATGAAAGTAATTTCTTCGAGTACGTTTTACATTTATTATTTGAATACATGCGTATATCGAAAAATTATTTTACAATCTGTTCGCTGTGCTGTCATTTCAAAGAGAACTTTTATTGAAAAGATGTTTGGTTGAAATTTGCCCTGAATGCCCATTGGCCTTTTTTTTGTGTACATACAATCTTGTCGGTATTTGCTGATGTTGAAATTGGTTTGGCAGTTTCATGTACATTGACTCTACCTTTATTGCAACCACCAGCATTCAAGAAAGGTTGAGCATTAGTTTATTCTTCTAGTACGTTTACTACCCACTAGATTTGCCAGTTATTAATCCTAAGAAGTTAGAAAATTATCTTCGGCATCGTTGGAACCTATTTCCTGATCAATGTGAACATTAAAACAATGCCAGTAAATGTTTTGTGACATGGATCTTTTGTGTTATGATAACCAGAAGATGTTAAAGTTATCAGAAAAAATATTTTAGCCATAATTATTGTTGTCGTACTCCTATCATAATATTTTTTCTCGGGAGCGACTCGATGCTCATTTGACAGGAGGGTGTGAAATTTTTAAGGGGTGGAGTGCATTGTTATCCTAGCTAAAGTTGTAAGGGGCCTCAGGCTATTGTGGATTTTTAGGCTTACCAATGAGTGAACCTTGCATAATGAATGTGTTATTAGCTTTTTAAATTTTTATCTATTTTGTTATTGTTAATGAGTGCACATTTAGTAATTTATTTCAATTTAATGTTTCAATGAAAATGCGCATTGTAATAACTCAATTGCAAATGGTGGTGGTATAAAATATGTAACTGCTTTTGAAATGACAAGTTCTACTTTTACTTTGTCTTACTGTACAATTTCATAGCTCTAATGCTGGTATATTAATGGACTACATTACATAATACTATTTTAGAATTATTCTTGGGGGGTACTAGAGAATTTTGGAGGGCTGTGCACCCACCTGCACCCCCCTGAAAATCAGCTCCTGGATTTATATATTATAATTTGTTATCTTTATGTGAAGGTAACACGACGAAGTTGAAGTGTGTATGTTCAGAAGAATATTGCCCCCCGAATCATGTCAACTACACTTGCGAGACACATGGTAACTGCTTTAGCCAACTGAAGATTGATGAAGACACGTACGAAGAGGTGAAGAACTACGGCTGCCTGCCACCCGAACCAAGTGGAAAGGTTGCGATTTTTCACTGCAAACGCAGCGAGGCACGTGAACTGGAAGAAAGGAACTCTGTTTCGTGTTGCCACGAGCGGGATTTCTGCAACAGGCATCTGAAACCAACGCTAAAACCAACACGAAAATCAAATGGTAATGAGCTAAGTACGTACTCGTTGCTCTTATGGAATAAAAGAAAATTCCATTCGATAAATACTACTTTTCTTTGTTGTTTTTTTTTAGATGAGGGCTCGTCCAAGGGAATAACAAATGTTATCATCGCTTTGGTTGTTTCTGTTTCAATTTGCGTTGTTATTTTTGTCGTCATCATTGTTTGTTATTGGAGGTAATGAAGTTCCGTGATATTCACCCGAAATCCTTCTTTTTATGGAGTAATTTTTGCAACCTGTGACCTGCCGTTCGATTTTGCTCTATAGACATGTCAATTATAAGAGATATGAAGAAGTAAAGAAGAACGGATGGCACGTTGTATCGAATCAACAGACCATTTTTCAGATGCTTGAAGAAACAGGCGGAAGTGACTTTGGTTTACCCAAATTGGTAAGTTATCCCCTCGCATCCACATGTATACACCTGGGGAGGTTTGGGGAACTTGCGCGCACACAGTGCAACGGGCGAAGCTTTTTGAAGGTGGAATTCGCCAGGTTGCTCTTACATCAACATTTTTTTCACATTTCAATTTTACCGTTGAACGCTATAGTCTTCATTTAGTTATTGTAGGCGATTGTCCGTCGCTCTTCCCAGCCCCCCTCTCTTCCTCCTTTTCCACTGCCCTGTCGCACTTAATTTATAATGGAGTATAAATAAACAAATAACTGTTCGAGTCTAAAATTTATTCATTGTTTACTGTCGTCACGCAACTTTTGCTAGCAAACAGTTCACTTCAAACAACTTTGTTTTCGTAAATTGATGAAAAAAAAGCAAATGTCGTATTCATTGCCAATAACTTTTTCATTTTTGCTGTACAACAAGCGCAACAGTCATGTGAGTTTCACTAAAATATGCTTGAGTTGAGAAAGAGGAATTTCTCGCTCTTTGGATAAAACCCCTTCGAAGACTGTACAACAATGTCATTACCCTGTTATAGACACAGCGCACCATAGCGAGACAGGTGCAGCAGACGAGACTCATTGGTACCGGACAGTTCAGCCGTGTTTTTGAGGGTTTATGGCGTAACAACAAGGTGACCGTGAGGATCTACCAATCAAGAGACGAGTTTGTCTGGCTAAAAGAATGTAACTTTTACGAAAACATGAGACGTCACGACAACATTTTGGCTTTCATTGCGTCTGATCGTCTGGGCGCTCCGTCGGCCACTGAGCTCTACCTGATTACGGAGTATTGTGCTCATGGATCCCTGTTTGAGTATCTTCGATCCCAACATGTCCTCAGCAAGAAAGACTTGCTTCGTATGGCGGGCTCAATTGCCACCGGTCTCGCTTATCTTCACGTCGAAGTCATGGGAACGTACAAGAAATGTGCCATTGCTCATAGAAATCTCACTTCGAAAGGCGTATTTGTCAAGAAAGGTGGTATATGCGCCATTGGACATTTCGCTCTTGCCCTCAAATCATCGGAAGAATGCACAGAGAAAGATGTCAGTGCTAATCCCAAGCAGCCATCGAGGCGGTATATTGCCCCCGAGGTTTTGGATGAGAGCATAGTACCGGGTGATTGCGCCCACGTCGCTCTCTTAAAAGCGGATATGTATGCTCTCGGATTGGTCTTGTGGGAGATAGCATTCAGGACGGAGTCCGAAGGTAAGAGCTTACAGTCTTTTTTCTTGTTGGAAACGCGAATATTAGATTCATACGTATCTCATAAATATATAAATATGGACGAATTATAATAATAACGGGGAAATGAGATCAATTAATGGGGAGCGTGTTACAAACTAAATATTGTGTTGTATCTAAAAACTTGAACATTTTAACTTTTGTTATTTTCAAACGTTTATTTGCATTGGTTTGTGTCAGGAATTCAAGAACCAAGTCAGTTGCCTTATGAAGATATGGTGAGCGCCAATCCTAGTGTTGATGAAATGAGAAAGGTTGTTTGTGTCGAGAAGCGAAGACCGCCAATTCTGAATCGTTGGTATCGTGATAAGGTAAACCACAGTAAGGCACATTGTGCTTTACATTTACTGACGTGTCATCTTTACTTAACTGCTTTACGTGCTTTTTGCTTCAGGCGTCGTGCATCACCCTTGTTTTATTCATTTCTTTATTGCGCATTGCAAATATATTATATACATTTATGCTTGTAGTGTGTTTATTTTCTTTATACTTATATTTATATTGATGTGGAAATAGGAAATTTTGCAAACCTTCTGAAACTTTACTTGCTTTTCCATGCAGAATCTACTGTCAAAGTGCATGGGATTTTTATCTCAGGGCCCAATCTTTAGTTCTTGTGCTGTGATTTTACCTTGCGTTCCGAGGGCATGATGTGGACTTGTTACTCAGTAAATTTTAACTTTAGTACGTATATGTATATTATTAGATGTTCCTCGTCCAGGTTAGTGCAGTGCTGAGAAGGAATGTTGGTGTTTGTGTTGATCTGATGAAGTCCTCGGTACTGCCCTTACCTGAACAATCAACATCTAAAGCGATTATTGGCTCAAACCATTCCCTTTATCAACTTATTGTATGTCCGTTCAATATTGTTGTGAATGTTTTCGAATCGCTCAATGGGAAGAAAATCTGATTTCTTTAATTTATATTTTTTCAGAAGAGAGTTGTCAAACAACTTTCTAATATCGTTAATTTTAAACGCACTGAAGCAAAGATACATGCTATAGATTCTGTATCTAGATTTTTACGTCTTCTAGCAAGAATTGAAATCATTCTAAAATGTTTTTAGGCTATGCGACAAGTAAGCAAGCTAGTAGAGGAGTGCTGGAACCATAATCCAGATGCCAGACTTCCTGTTTTACGTGTTCAGAAAACTTTGTGTAAAATTGAAGAGACGTTGGTGAAGGAGAAAGCTATTCAGGTAAATATATTAAATTTTGGTTTTTATAGCCGTTTGCCAAATAGAAAAAAAATATGAGCAACATTTTCATTTTTTTTTTGTAGCAGGCCAAGTTTTTTTTGCCCGCCAATTTTATTTTTAAGGAGCCAAAATTTTATAACATTTTACTTGGTATAGTTGTTTCCATCGCAATCACTGCCCGAAGAAATTTCAAATTGAAGTTAACTTATGGTAACATAAGCAAATAAACGAAACGTAGCTTGAGTTAATTTTGACTTGAAAATTTAATTTGTTCCCCACCTACCATCTCTAAAATATGGCCTGCAGTTTTGGCCATAGGCAGACAGCTATTTTGAGCAGGTGGCGAATTACTAAGCAGGCTAAATAGGCTGAAGCCTACAGGCCCGGTATTTCGAGAGGCGCGTTGTATCTACACATAATTAGTTTTTCGTTTTTGTCATTCCGGACTAGCTCATTGTTCTTAATTTAGACCACTTATGATGTTAAAAACCGTACGATCTACTGTTCAAATGCACGATGCTCAAAACTTGTGAAGTAGTGGGTTTTCCCAGTTTTAACTTTCAATTTATTCCTTTTTGTTGATACTATGAGTTACAAAAAAACAAGCTGGGAAATGGAAAGGCAAAGGAGCGTAGGGAACGCGAAAGTCATCTGAACTTGGTGGAAGGAATAGATATCTGACTTAAAGTCCAACAATTTTGTCCTAGCTTAAACGCTCCGTATTAGTAATCCGTCACTGTTTTAATCCCAGGCCGTTAGGCGCATCTGTGCCCAGTTTGATAGGTTTTTCTATTTGATGATTTTCTGAAAACAATCACATTTTTTTCTTTTGTCGATTACAGGTGGTATGAATGATCATTCTATAAACAATACACCTCTGTGTATGATCAAACTCATTCATTTGTCCTCGAAAAGCTGGTTGACACGAGCGACATAACGGCATCTCATTTTCTTACTATTATATTGCATATTAATACGGTTATGTAACTGGCCGAATCACATGCAAGAAATATGTCTACATACAAGAGAATCGACCTACGTTGAAAACATCTTGTGGTGTTATGTCGTTGTGTTGGTTTGTGGAAACTAGGCTTACGGGACGAGAGAATAGGAAAGTCCATGTCTCTCATCAGATTTATGGGTCAGACGTCCAAGGAGCTTGGAAAAGACGTTACATCTTATTGTTTGTAAATACGACTCACGTGACCAATGACGTGAAACTGAATTGTTAAAAGCACGTTTTTGTGGTTTTCCTGTCAATAGTTTCATATGTGTAGGATATTATCCTAATGTAAATTTACTTGTTCTTAAGTGAGTGCGAGAGAGCACATATTGATTACGTATTTTTGTATTGTGTGTACATAACGTATCTGTTATATATATATATATATATATAGAAGTAATGTTTTAATCGTATGCGCTTCGTAGTTACCTCCGTCGTGGCAACAATCTATTCTGCTTGTGTGTTTTTCTCTTCCTTATAGGTGTCCTACGTAGATGTTCAATGGTTGAAGTGTTGATCGCACCTGCTGTTAAATGTCGTAAAATTGCGGTTTTTGCCAACCGTGTTTTTTTAAATCAACGAGCGTTCAAAATTGTCCTGCTCAATCCTTACATTTTCCGGGAGCCGGCCGTGACTTTGACCTTTCTTCCGTACCTATTTGTAGAGTGACGAGAGGCAACAGTGACGATGACCATATGACCGGACGATGATGTATGTCGTATTTTGTTTTAATCGTATATCAGTTGGCGCGTATTTGTCAACTTTGGTAAATGCTCAGCAGTAAACAAAGCCGAATTCACTTGGTACTTTATCAATACTAGGATATTACTGAAGAACATTTTCGCTTATTTATCGACGTGTTACAGTTTGATGAACGGAGGCGTGATGGAGGACAAACATCGTGAAGTTTTGAGAGCGAACAGAATGAAAATCGTTCGTGATTTGGATGTTGACAATGCTACATCATTCTTGTATTCGAAAAGCATCCTATCAGAAAATGATCGCGACGAGATTAAAGCGAATAAAACATTTCAATCTAAAAGTGACAAACTCTTGGATATTCTTCCGAGGCGAGGACCCGAAGCGTTTGGTGTTTTTGTGAAATTTCTCGATGAAAATCAACCATTCTTGAGTAAATACCTGAAACCCGATACAGGTTTGCAAGGTTCGTTGACAAAAGCAAAGTAAAAGAGGATTATTTTACTTACGAGGTTGATGTATCCTTATAAATTTAAATTAAGTAGTTATGACTTTTGAAATTGCTACTTATCTTTTCCCGGAAAGGAAATCGTTAAGGGATTCATCTCATTAACTCGATTTAGGAGTGGTGAGGCGATGTGTAGTTCCATTGTCTATACCGATTTTACGCACGTTAAACAGCTCGATAATTACATGGCGAATGTATATGCCTGTAAAAATCAACGAAAAAACAATGGGTTCATTTCAAAGGAAGTTAATACGTCATAACTTGCAAATGGGAATACTTGCCCCAGTTAGTCACTGCCCGAACAAGGCGACATTTCTCGACATCTGAAAACAAAATCGGTTAACTGACGAGTTCTGTTCGGTGGAAAGCAGTTTGCTTTCATCACGCCGGTCGCGCGTGCCAATCCTTTTGTTTCACCATTTTGGCAAGTAAAGAAATTGTTCCACTTTCGAAAAAAATTGGTCAAGATGTCATATACTTTGAATATAAAATGTTGAGAAACGTGCAATTGAAACTGCCGAAAGCCATAAGCCTGTCGGAAACATTTATTATAATGCGTCACGGCCTTTTGATCAGTGTTGATTTAGGAGTCGTTGACAAATATTTTTTGTTCTCTAATTGCGGACATGTACAACGATGCGGGGGGTGGAGACAAGGAGGGTAACCATCAGTTTGCGACGAAAACGAAAATTAGGACGAAAGCTGATGTATTTTTTAGCTTAAACAATACACTTTAACAATACACTATGTTCCCGGTGTAAAAGTCATCACGGGTCGATTTTTGAAGAATTTGATGTTTGAAGTTTACCTAAAAAACTTGTTTTTAGTTAAATACACAAAGTATGACGTCTTTCACTAATTCATCATTGGCTGTTGAAGCAAGTTACTCAGCGAATTTCGTAGACCGAGAATTTAGTGGTCTGCCATGGAAGAGAAGGGAGGGTTCTACACAATCGCGGTAGAATTCTGCGATTTCCCGACGAAATCTATTTCGTCGATTTTATTAAACCTAAAGGGAACGGGAGGTCCGGGATAAAAATTCTGTTAAATTATAGTTATTGGAATGACTAGTCTCCAGGTCTTATATGTCCACCTCCAATAACTCAAGGATGAAATATTTCCAAATTGTTGTTATGAAGGTACAAAGCAACCCGTGGATAATATGGATGGTCCATATTTTAATCTCGCTAGTGAAACGTTTCCCAAAGAAACAGAGGAAGAGATAAAATACGAAAGTTGTTCGAACACCAGCGGTATAAACAACAGTAGCTGTACACAAGAAGATGGGAAATGGCCATGGAAAGCAAATAAAGGTAGTACTTTCAAGAAATACGGTTGAATACGAGAGTCCCGCTTTAATTACCAAGCTCTGAGGATAGTTTTACTGTTTTATTATCAGAATTTTAGGTTGTCTCGTTATTTATTTCAGTGATATTTGCCGGATCATATTACTTTAAGAGTTTAAGGTTGGGTGCTGGGGAAAACTTCGACTCACTCCAATAAATTAGGAAGAAAACGTTGCGTACCATATTGATGTTTGCAAGTTGCAAGTTGCTACCAACTCTTCAGTTCGACAAATTAGTGATGAGATGATTGGTTGGTTTATCGTAGAGAAATCAAAATTGCTTGCTCGTTTTCAAAAGATCAATGAGCCAGTATAAGTTAAATGAGCACGTCAAGTTGACTTTTGCAGACAAATATGAACGAAACGAGTGTATTTCCGCATTTGTGAAGTTCAAAAATCTTCTGCTAGTTAACCGAATTGCCGATTTTTGCAATCAACTCATCTGTAAATCATATAGCCAAAAAAATTACTTATGATTCAATGTAGAGGTCAATCGTGCAGCACACAAGGATGACAAAACTGATATAAAAAAGAATTTGCAACCTAAACATTCTTCCAGTCATAAAGATGCTATCGCAAGGGATTATATGTACTCAATGACACACAGTCCACGTGGCGAAGCATTCATCATCAACAATAAAAATTTCTTAAAGGAATCAGGAATGCAAAAATACCCACGTAAGGGTACTGACGTTGATCGTGATGCTTTATACGGACTGTTTACGGCCTTGGGTTTTAACACCACAGTTTATAACGACCTAACCACCAAACAAATCATGGAACTTTTTCATCATTATGCCTCAATGGATCACTCAAATTATGATTGCATAATCTGTGCTGTTTTGTCTCATGGTGAAGAGGGGCTTTTTTATGGTACTGATGGCACAATTCTAATCAAAGATTTGACGAGTGTGTTTCAAGGGCGTCTTCCTGGCAAACCGAAACTATTCTTTTTTCAAGCCTGCCAAGGTAGGTTAGTTTTCACTGTAATTGTATCCGCTTTCATTCATCTAAAGCGAAAATATGTGTTGTGTACTTTATCAAGGAAATGATTATATGGATGGGACAGATGCGGTAGATGGAGCACTTGATGAAATTGATGGAAAAGGGAACGAAAAAAGTACAATTCCTCTTGAGGCAGATTTTATGTATGCATATTCCACTGTACCAGGCTACTATTCATGGCGCAACTCTGTCAAAGGCTCTTGGTTTGTTCAGGCCATCGATTCTGTCTTCCGCAAGTACGTTAAGTCAATGGATCTTCTCAGAATGATGACGCGCGTGAATTGTGAAGTGGCTAAACAGAAGTCAAACACAAATGAAAACTATTCCGACAACAAGAAACAGATTCCTTCAATTATCTCACAGCTGCGCAAGGAAGTTTACTTCTTTCCTGAAAATGTTTTGGAGGGTCAGCCGTAAAATTTATGTTTTGATTTGTTTGGATATTTTTTTGCATTGGCTTGAATGATTCATATGATCTCCACTGTACATATGAAATGATATGTAAGGTAACAGTCGCAATTTGCTTTTTGCAGCTTGCACAATCTAATCTATGTTGAGCACAACAATATAACAGTTGCACTTCACAGTTTGCATTAACTGTTCTGTGCATTTTCTGGTTTTTTCTTTCCCCGTTTTCTTGGCAACGGAGAGATATTTGTAAACCTTCGAAGAGTGTTAAAAGGAATTAAATAATCCACAATAATCATATCTATAAACACGTGACAAGAATGACGTTGCATTTTATACACGTTCCCTGTGTATTAATGCTTTTTTATGTAATCAACCTAAAATATTCTTTTAGATTAAAATCGTTATACATTATTATGGAGTGACAAGCGACTTCTCCTATGAAGTACTATAAATGTTAGATAGGGTAAAAGCCAATGAAAGTTGAGAAATAAATGATTTGTAGGGCAGAAATACGAAAATGTATTTTGTCTGTCTAGTATATAACTGTAAGTAGCAAAGTAATAGAAAGCAAGTTGCGAAAAAAAACGCTCAGGTTTCTGACGATAAACTTGATTGTTTACTTCAAAAAGCAATATGGAAGAAATGTCCGCTGAATACGACGTCAAGATATTCATGGTAAAATAAATATAGGGTTTTTGATGTGGAAGCTCTGGGTTTTTGAGCATTCAACCAATCAATACCCGTTTTTTAAAAGGCTGTTTTATATGATGTATAGTGCAAATGTCTGCTAGCTTCATGCAAATATTTTTTCTCAAATTATTATGATTTTTTCTCTGATTATTTTTTCTCATTGTTGGGAATTGTTGGGAATTAATTTCAAATGGCAAACGAAAGAAAAGTCAGGCAATAACTTGACACAGGCAATCAAAAATCCTAACACTCTCCTTCTCAGGATTGGTAGTTGGCATGACTTGGAGAAAATAATTTTGGCAGATGTCAAAGAAACAAAAAATTGCGTGTTTTTTTTCAACCCTGGTTGTTTAAATTGTTCTAATATTGCACTTTCTTCCTCTAGTCTTAGGTCTTTACGTTATCTTTTCACCGAGGTTCTAGCGTACCTATTTTTTGAAAGACGATGACCAGAGGACTGTACATCAGGCGTAGTTGGACGCGTATTTCCAGGCTTTGGTAAGCTCGCAACAGAAAAGAAAGCGGGAATTTCTTCGTATTTCACGAATATTAGGATATTATTGAATGTGGTAAATAGTTACCTACATATTGGGAATAATCTAGTAGTTTGTTTTACATGTATTCTTCGTAGACGTTTCTCATATAATTAAGCGCAATGGTTGTGATGTTGATTGTATTTGCTGTCAAATGTGCAGATAGCGGTTTTCGCAAACTGTGTAATTTACATTCATTAAACAGTTCATCGAATCCCATAATTCTCCTGCTGTGCTCAACAATTAGATTTTCCGATCATACGATTTTGACGTTTGTTCACGTACCTATTTTTAGAGTGACAAAGAATGGATGACCATATGGAGCGTACGTCAACATTGTGACGTATAGTTGGACACGTATTTGCAGCGTCGGTATATTCTCAGCAGATAGCGGAAATTTTGTCATATTACACCAAAATTTGGTTTGGCTAAAAGAAAAGTTGGGTTTGTTAAGCATCGTTACAGATTAAGTAGACAAACGTAATGGAGAAGAAACATCGTGATGTTTTGAAAGAGTACAGAATGGAAATCGTTCGTGATTTGGATGTTGACAAAGCTACATCATTCTTGTATTCGAAAAGCATCCTATCAGAAAATGATCGTGACAAGATTAAAGCGATTAAAACATTGGAATCTAAAAGTGAGGAGCTCTTGGATATGCTTCCAAGTCGAGGACCGGACGCGTTTGGTTTTTTTGTGGAATTTCTCGATAAAAATCAATCATTTTGGGTGATTTATTGAAATCTTACAAAGGTTCAACAGGTCAGTTTAGATAATAAAAACACGAGCATTATTTTACCCATAAGGTTAATGGTTGTTTAACCTTAGGTTATGGATAGCGAATATTCGAGCTTAGGTTTAGCTAACACTGATTCGATAGTTGCTTATTGCGTTACTAAAGCTGCAGATGTACATGGACGACAAACGTTTCCCCCCTTTCTAACACGCACCTTAGTGGCGTAGCCATCTAGATAATTTTGCGGCAAATGTTCGTATTTGCATGTTGAAATCCATAAAAAAACAATTGTTTTCAAACGAAGTTGGTAATACGGCATAATATTCAATTATGAATACTTGCTCCCAAAATAATCGAGCTGCACGAACGAGGCGACATTTCTCAACAAAATCGTAAACCTGATGAGTTCCTATATTCTATATACGAATTACGATAAATATTTAATGTAATTTAGTTTCGTAGTAAACAATTAGCTTTCACTTCCACTTTCGCTGGAAGCGAGGGCTCACCCTCTGTTTCATCATTTTGGCAAATACTGAAGTTACGTCACTTTCAAAAAAAACTCAAGTTGCCATACTTTAAATATAAAAAGTTGATAAACATACAAACTGCAGAAGGTCAATAACCCGGTCATAAATATTGTCTTAAAGTGTCAAGTGGGAAAAATACAAACAAAAACACGACGTTTACTCTGGTTGCCGTCGAGGAATACATTTTCGGTAATCGCGGATATGCACCCGCGATGTGGGAATTGCTCGAGTCTCAAGGAGAGTAGCCATTGTCTACGATAAAAAAAAATTAGGACAAAAGCTGACTTAAGGCGGAAACCGAAAAAAATGGCGAAAACCGAAAAATATAGTGGTCTGCGATGGAGGAGAGGCGAGGGCTCTACTCAATAGCGTTAGAAGTCTGCCATAACCAGATGAAATCTATTTTGTCGACGGTTTCTAACTCCAATGACAATGCCGATGGCCGTTTGTTGAAAAAAGTGCCGATCATCGGCTTACTTTCATTTACTTCCATAAGAACTATAGGAAACTAGGGTTTTGGGATGAAAAATTATAGGAAATTATAATAATTTAAATGACTCCCTCGTCCAGGTCCAAGGTATATGCCCACCTCCAATAACTCAAAAATTCTTTTTCAAAAGTATTTCCAAATTGTTGTTATTAAAGGTACAAAGCAACCAGTTGATAATGTAGATGCTCCAGCGCGTGATCTCGATGATGAAAAGTCTCCTAAAGAAACTGACGAAGAATTAAAACATGAGAACTCCCAGAACACTTTTGGTAAAACCACTAGTAGCTCTACACAAGAAGATGGGAAATGTTCTAAATTGATTCCTAAACCGAATGAAGGTAATTGAAAACATTCATGTACCACTAGAGTTTAATGACCTCGTCAAGTTGACTTTTCACAACCAAATATGAACAAAGCAAGTGTATTTCTACTTTTCTGAAGTTAAAAAAATCCTCTGCTGATTAAATGAATTGCCAATTCATTTGTAAATCATATAGTAAAAAGAAGCTTATATTGATTATGGTTTAATGTAGAAGTTAATCCAAAGTCGCACGAAAACGACAAAGATGATAAAGAAAAGAACTTGATACCTGAATACTTTTCCAGTCATAAGGATGTTATCACAAGGGATTATATGTACTCAATGTCACACAGTCCACGTGGCGAAGCATTCATCATCAACAATAAAAATTTCTTAAAGGAATCAGGAATGCAAGAATACCCACGTAATGGTACTGACGTTGATCGTGATGCTTTATACGTACTGTTTACGAAATTGGGTTTTATAACCATAGCTTATGACGACCAAACCACGAAGCAAATCATGGAACTTTTTCGTGATTATGCCTCAATGGATCACTCAAAACATGATTGCATAATCTGTGCTGTTTTGACTCATGGTGAAGAGGGGCTTTTTTATGGTACTGATGGCACAATTCCAATCAAAGAATTGACGAGTGTGTTTCGAGGATGTCTTCCTGGCAAACCCAAATTATTCTTTTTTCAAGCTTGTCAAGGTAGGTTAGTTTTCACTTTTCACTATAATAGTATCCATCTTTCATTTTTTAGTGAAGAATATAATGCGTGTTTTTTATAAAGGTTTGAAATATATGGAAGGGATTGATCTGAAGGATGGAAAAGATGAAATTGACGCAAAAGAGAAAATTGACGCAAAAGATGAAATTGACGCCCCAGGGAACAACAAAATTACGCTTCCTCTTGAAGCAGATTTTATGTATGCATATTCTACTGTACCAGGCTACTATTCATGGCGCAACTCTATCAAAGGCTCTTGGTTTGTTCAAGCCATCGTTTCCGTATTCCAAAAGTATGCATCTTCAACGGATCTTCTTAGAATGATGACGCTCGTGAATTGTGAAGTGGCAAAACAGAAGTCCTACACAAATGATTACTTCTCCGATAACAAGAAACAGATTTCTTCAATCGTCTCGCAGTTGCGCAAGAAAGTCTACTTCTTTCCTGAACATGTTTTCGACGATCAGCCGTAAAGTTCATGTTTTGATTTGTATGGATATTTTTCATGCTACTAGTGACTTTTCATTAACTTTTTTATGTATGGTGATGTTAAGATGGTGAGTTGGACTATAAATCTGAGGGAAAAATTTCCTGAAATGATTCAAATGTCTGTATAATTAATTCACAATAGAAAAATATTTTGAGCACGACTGATTTCACGTAACCGTTTACACAAACTTTTTCTGCATTTTTCTGTTTATGTCCTTTCGCATGAAGATGAAATCTACCTTTTCTAGGCAAGGGAGAGCTATTGATTAAACTTTGATGTGATAAAAGGAATTAGTTAATCTACAATGATCATATCTATAGACAAGTGACTGGAATAAAGTTACATTTTATGCATGTTCACTGTGTATTAATGTTTTTAATGTTATCAAGTTTACAATATCCTGTTATATTAAAATCCTCATACACACCATTATGGGTTGACTGTCGATTTCTACCGTGATGCACTAAATATATGATGGGGTAAAAGTGCAATGACAAGTGAGAAATAAGTGATTTGTATAACTGAAATACGGAAATGTATTTTGTCTGTCTAGTATATAACTGCAAGGAGTAAATAAGAGAAAGCAAGTTGATAAAAAAAGCACTCAAGTTTCTGACGATAAACTTGATTTTTTACTTCAAAAGGCAATTTTGGAGTAGTTTCCACAAAGTCGTTTGCTTTTTAACACTCGGGTTTTTGAAATGGAAACTCTATGTTTTTGAGCATTAGAATACCCGTGTTTTTTAAAAGTCTGTTTTGTATGATGTATAGTGCAAATGTCTGCTGGCTTCATGCAAATATTTCTTCTCTGATTAGCTTTTGTTTTTTCTAACTGTTGGGAATTATACAGCACGGATGCCAAACTAATTTCAATGGAACATGAATTTTTTGAGTTTTTTGCATTGTTCCAATATTGCCCATTCTTGCTCTACCGTTAGGTTTTTCCGTCTTCTGGTCACCCGAGGTCCTGGCGTTTCTTTTTTTAGTGACGATGACCAGATGACCGGAACTCGACTTAGTGACGTAAGTAATATGATGCACTGATATGATGTCGAATTATGTTCCCAGCCAACAGGAAGGAGAGCGGAAATTTCTTTGTGTTTCACGAATACTAGGATATTATTGAAGAGCTTTTTTGCGTGTTACAGTTGATGAACGAAAACGTAATGGAGGACAAACATCGTGAAGTTTTGAGAGCGAACAGAATGGAAATCGTTCGTGATTTGGATGTGGACAATGCTACATCATTCTTGTATTCGAAAAGCATCCTATCAGAAAATGATCGTGACGAGATTAAAGCAATTAAAACATTGCAATCTAAAAGTGAGAAACTCTTGGATATTCTTCCGAGGCGAGGACCCGAAGCGTTTGGTGTTTTTGTGAAATTTCTCGATGAAAATCAACCATTCTTGATTAAATACCTGAAATCCGATACAGGTTTGCAAGGTTTGTTGACAAAAACAAAACGTGAGCATTGTAAATTTTACGTGAGCGGTTAATGATGGTTGTTTAACCGAATGAATTAAGGAGTTATAATTTTAATTTCATTAATTTATACGATTTGTTACAGACAGACTTAGCTTTTAAGATTGCTATTTTTGCGGGGAGGAAATTACTCGTATGTGGAAATTTTTGACATAAATCTTTTCAAACTGTTGTTATAAAGGTTCAAAGCAACTTGTGGATATTTGGGATGGACCATCACACAGCCTCGATGATAAAAAGCTTCCCCACGAAACTGATGAAGAGTTAAAACCTAAGACGTTTGATGACACCAGTGTTAAACCAGGAATGGGTTCAGCACATCAAGATGGGAAGGGTTCATGGACACCAAATCAAGGTAGTATTTTCCATAAATGTGGTAAAATATTCAAGGTCTGCTTTCACAAAGCCAAGAATAGTGTTTTGATGTATCAGAATTTCAGACTGCATCGGTGTTAAATTAAATGATGGCTACCAAGTCATACTATTTCAATCATTTAGTGTTTGGTTCTAGGAAAAACCCAAACCAATAAATAGTGAAGTAATGTGGGACAGAAATACGAAAATGTATTTTGTCTGTCTAGTATATAGCTGTAAGTAGCAAAGTAATAGAAAGCAAGTTGCGAAAAAAAACGCTCAGGTCTCTGACGATAAACTTGATTGTTTACTTCAAAAAGCAATATTAAAGAAATTTTCCGCTGAATACGACGTTAAGATATATATGATAAAATAAATATAGGTCCAATAAAATAGCTAAACATCCATTGAGCAGAGTCGTTTGCTTTTTAACACTTGGGTTTTTGATGCGGAAGCTCAGGGTTTTTGATGCGGAAGCTCTGGGTTTTTGATGTGGAAGCTCTGGGTTTTTTGATGTGGAAACTCTGGGTTTTCGAGCATGCAACCATTCAATACCTTGTTTTTTAAAAGGCTGATTTATATGATGTATAGTGCATATTTCTGTTAGCTTCATGCAAATATTTTTTCTCAAATTACTGTGATTATTTTCTCTGATTATTTTTTCTAATTGTTGGGAATTGTAAACCACGGATGCTAAACTAATTTCAAATGACAAACGAAAGAAAAGTCAGGCAATAACTTGACACAGGCAATCAAAAATCCTTTCACTCTCCTTCTCAGGATTGGTAGTTGGCATGACTCGGAGAAAATAATTTTGGCAGATGTCAAAGTACAAAAAATTGCGTGTTTTTTTTCAACCCTGGTTGTTTAAATTGTTCTAATGTTGCACTTTCTTCCTCTAGTCTTAGGTCTTTACGTTATCTGGTCACCGAGGTTCTAGCGTACCTATTTTTTGAAAGACGATGACCAGAGGACTGTACATCTAGCGTAGTTGGACGCGTATTTCCAGGCTTTGGTAAGCTCGCAACAGAAAAGAAAGCGGGAATTTCTTCGTATTTCACGAATATTAAGATATTATTGAATGTGGTAAATAGTTACCTACATATTGGGAATAATCTAGTAGTTTGTTTTACATGTATTCTTCGTAGACGTTTCTCATATAATTAAGCGCAATGGTTGTGATGTTGCTTGTATTTGCTGTCAAATGTGCAGATAGCGGTTTTCGCCAATGGTGTATTTTACATTCATTAAACAGTTCATCGAATCCCATAATTGTCCTGCTGTGCTCAACAATTAGATTTTCCGATCATACGATTTTGACATTTGTTCACGTACCTATTTTTAGAGTGACAAAGAATGGATGACCATATGGAGCGGACGTCAACATTGTGATGTATAGTTGGACACGTATTTGCAGCGTCGGTAAATTCTCAGCAGATAGCGGAAATTTTTTCATATTACACCAAAATTTGGTTTATTTGAAAGAAAAGCTGGGTTTGCTAAACATCGTTACAGATTAATTAGACAAACGTGATGGAGGACAAACATCGTGAAGTTTTAAAAGCGTACAAAATAGAAATCGTTCGTGATTTGGATGTTGACAATGCTACATCATTCTTGTATGCGAAAAGCATCCTATCAGAAAAACAGTTTAACAAGATTAAAGCGATACCAGTACACCAAGATAAAAGTGAGGAGCTTTTGGATACTCTTCCAAGTCGAGGACCGGAGGCGTTTGGTTTTTTCTGGAATTTCTCAATAAAAATCAATCATTTTTGGGTGATTTATTGAAATCTTACAAAGGTTCAACAGGTCAGCTTAGATAATAAAAACACGAGCATTATTTTACCCATAAAGTTAATGGATGTTTAACCTTAGGTTATAGATAGCGGATATTCAGGCTTAGGTTTACCTAATACTGTTTCCATAGTTGCTTATTGCGTTACTAAAGCTGCAGATGTACATGGACGACAAACGTTCTCCCCTTTCAAACACGCACCTTAGTGGCGTAGCCATCTAGATATTTTTGCGGCAAATGTTCGTATTTGCATGTTGAAATCCATAAAAAAAACAATTGTTTTCAAACGAAGTTGGTAATACGGCATAATATCCTAACATGAATACTTGCTCCCCAAATAATCGAGCTGCACGAACGAGGCGACATGTCTCAACAGAATCGTGAACCTGATGAGATTCGATATTCTATATACGAATTACGATAAATATTTAAATGTAATTTACTTTTGTAGTAAACAATTAGTGTTCACTTTTACTTTTGCTGGAAGCGAGGGCTCATCCTCTGTTTCATCATTTTGGCAAATACTGAAGTTACGCCACTTTCAAAAAAAACCTCAAGTGGCCATACTTTAAATATAAAAAGTTGAGAAACATACAAACTGCAGAAAGACGATAACCCGGTCATAAATATTGTCTTAAAGTGTCAAGCGTGAAAATAAAAAAAAAACACGACGTTCACTCTGGGGACCGTCGACGAATACATTTCGGTAATCGCGGTTATGCACTCGCGATGTGGGAAATGCTTAAGTCTCGAGGGGAGTAGCCATTGTCTGCAATAAAAACAAAAATTTAGCACAAAAGCTGACTTAAGACGGAAACCAAAACAAAAAATTTAGCGAAAACCGAAAAATATAGTGGTCTGCGATAGAGGAGAGGTGAGGGCTCAACTCAATAGCGTTAGAAGTCTGACGCTTATTTCGCCATAATCAGACGAAAACTTTTTGTCGGTTTCTAACTCCAATTACAATGCCGATGGCCGATTGTTGAAAAAAGTGCCGATCATCGGCTTACTTTCATTTACTTCCATAAGAACTATAGGAAACTAGGGTTTTGGGATGAAAAATTATAGGAAATTATAATAATTTGAATAACTCCTCGCCCAGGTACTAGCTATATCCCCACCTTCAATAACTCAAAAAATCTATTTCAAAAGTATTTCCAAATTGTTGTTATTAAAGGTACAAAGCAACCAGTTGATAATGTAGATGCTCCATCGCGTAATCTCGATGATGAAAAGTCTCCTGAAGAAACTGACGAAGAGTTAAAACATGAGAACTCCCCAAACACTATTGGTAAAACCACCAGTATCTGTACACAAGAAGATGGGAAATGGTTTAAATGGCGGCTTCCTAAACCGAATGAAGGTAATTGAAAACATTCATGTACCACTAGAGTTTAATGACCTCGTCAAGTTGACTTTTCGCAAACAAATATGAACAAAGCAGGTGTATTTCTACTTTTCTGAAGTTAAAAAATTCCTCTGCTAATTAACTGAATTGCCAATTCATTTGTAAATCATATAGTAAAAAGAAGCTTATATTGATTATGGTTTAATGTAGAAGTTAATCCAAAGTCCCACGAAAACAACGAAGATGACAAAAAAAGAATTTGATATCTGAATACTTTTCCAGTCATAAAGATGTTATTGCAAGGGATTATATGTACTCAATGACACACAGTCCACGTGGCATAGCATTCATCATCAACAATAAAAATTTCTTAAAGGAATCAGGAATGCAAAAATACCCATGTAAGGGTACTGACGTTGATCGTGATGCTTTACACAAACTGTTTGAGGCCTTGGGTTTTCACACCACAGTTTATAACGACCTAGCCACCAAGCAAATCATGGAACTTTTTCATCATTATACCTCAATGGATCACTCAAAACATGATTGCATAATCTGTGCTCTTTTGACTCATGGTGAAGAGGGGCTTTTTTATGGTACTGATGGCACAATTCCCATCAAAGAATCGACGAGTGTGTTTCGAGGACGTCTTCCTGGCAAACCGAAACTATTCTTTTTTTAAGCTTGTCAAGGTAGGTTAGTTTTCACTTTTCACTATAATAATATCCATCTTTAATTTTTTAGTGAAGACAATAATGCGTGTTTTGTTTAAAGGTTTCGAATATATTGAGGGGATTGATCAGAAAGACGGAGGAAGTCATTATGAGAACAACAAAATTACGCTTCCTTGTGAGGCAGATTTTATGTATGCTTATTCTTCTGTACCAGGCTACTATTCATGGCGCAACTCTGCCAAAGGCTCTTGGTTTGTTCAAGCCATCGTTTCTGTCTTCCGCAAGTATTCTAAGTCAATGGATCTTCTCAGAATGATGACGCGCGTGAATTGTGAAGTGGCTAAACAGAAGTCAAACACAAATGAAGACTATTCCGACAACAAGAAACAGATTCCTTCAATTATCTCACAGCTGCGTAAGGAACTTTACTTCTTTCCTGAAAATGTTTTAGAGGGTCAGCCGTAAATTTTATGTTTTGATTTGTTTGGATAGTTTTTTGTATTGGCTTGAATGATTCAAGTGTTTAAGTACTTTAGGGAGTGTTTACATGAATCCTGAATGATTTTCAATTCCAATCGAAACGTGATGTCAATCCACGTTTACATGGGAAATCAACACAAATATTGACATTTCGTAGGAATTTTGAATTTTGAAGATAACGAACTTAAACATTATAACAACCCTTTTCTTTTCTTTCGTTTCTAAGTTAATATAGCTTAATGCTTGCATGAAACTAATTGTTGCCTTTTTTCGTACTCATTTTAGCCTATTTAGCCGCCTTATTTGCTTACGAGCTTCAATTTCCCAGAAGACAATACACATGATGCATGCGTGCTTTGTCATTAATCACAATATCATTCCAGAATGAAACTCAATACGCGTTTACATGAGGTTAAAACTAAATTTCGATCCGGAATGAATTTCGATGAAGAATGAAAATAGGAATGAACTCGATCTGGATCGAGTTGTAGCTCATTCCGGATTCATGTAAACATGTGATAAGATTTCTTTTAAAATGGAATAAGTTCATCCCGGATTCATGTAAACACCCCCTTAGTATGATCTCCGCTGTTCATGTGAAGTGATATGTAAGGTAACAGTCGCAATTTGCTTTTTGCAGCTTGCACAATCTAATCTATGTTGAGCACAACCATATTTCAGTTGCACTTTGCAGTTTGCATTAACTGTTCTGTGCATTTTCTGGTTTTTTTTCTTTTCCCATTTTCTCGGCAACGGAGAGATATTTGTAAACCTTCAAAGAGTGTTAAAAGGAATTAAATAATCCACAATAATCATATCTATAGACACGTGAAAAGAATGACGTTGCATTTTATACACGTTCCCTGTGTATTAATGCTTTTTTATGTAATCAACCTAAAATATTCTTTTAGATTAAAATCGTTATACATTATTATGGAGTGACAAGCGACTTCTCCTATGAAGTACTATAAATGTAGGATAGGGTAAAAGCCAATGAAAATTGAGAAATAAATTATTTGTAGTACAGAAATACGAAAATGTATTTTGTCTGTCTAGTACATAGCTGTAAGTAGCAAAGTAATAGAAAGCGAGTTGCGAAAAAAAAACGCTCAGGTTTCTGACGATAAACTTGATTGTTTACTTCAAAAAGCAATATTGAAGAAATTTCCGCTGAATACGACGTCAAGATATTTATGGTAAAATAAATATAGGTCCAAATAAAATAGCTAAACGTCCATTGAGCAGAGTCGTTTGCTTTTTAACACTTGGGTTTTTGATGCGGAAGCTCTGGGTTTTTTGATGCGGAAGCTCTGGGTTTTGATGCGGAAGCTCTGGGTTTTTGATGTGGAAGCTCTGGGTTTTGAGCATTCAACCAATCAATACCCGTGTTTTTTAAAAGGCTGTTTTTATATGATTTATAGTGCAAATGTCTGTTAGCTTCATGCAAATATATTTTTCTCGAATTATCATGAGTTTTTTCTCTGATTATTTTTTCTAATTGTTGGGAGTTGTAGACCACGGATTCTCAACTAATTTCAAATGGCAAACGAAAGAAAAGTCAGGCAATAACTTGACACGGATGCTAAACTAATTTCAAATGGCAAACGAAAGAAAAGTCAGGCAATAACTTGACACAGATGCTAAACTAATTTCAAATGGCAAACGAAAGAAAAGTCAGGCAATAACTTGACACGGATGCTAAACTAATTTCAAATGGCAAACGAAAGAAAAGTCAGGCAATAACTTGACACGGATGCTAAACTAATTTCAAATGGCAAACGAAAGAAAAGTCAGGCAATAACTTGACACGGATGCTAAACTAATTTCAAATGGCAAACGAAAGAAAAGTCAGGCAATAACTTGACGCAGACAATCAAAAATCCTTACACTCTCCTTCTCAGGATTGATAGTTGGCATGACTCGGAGAAAATAATTTTGGCAGATGTCAAAGTACAAAAAATTACGTGTTTTTTTCAACCCTGGTTGTTTAAATTGTTCTAATATTGCACTTTCTTGCTCTAGTCTTAGGTCTTTACGTTATCTGGTCACCGAGGTTCTAGCGTACCTATTTTTTGAAAGACGATGACCAGAGGACTGTACATCTAGCGTAGTTGGACGTGTATTTCCAGGCTTTGGTAAGCTCGCAACAGAAAAGAAAGCGGGAATTTCTTCGTATTTCACGAATATTAAGATATTATTGAATGTGGTAAATAGTTACCTACATATTGGGAATAATCTAGTAGTTTGTTTTACATGTATTCTTCGTAGACGTTTCTCATATAATTAAGCGCAATGGTTGTGATGTTGCTTGTATTTGCTGTCAAATGTGCAGATAGCGGTTTTCGCCAACCGTGTATTTTACATTCATTAAACAGTTCATCGAATCCCATAATTCTCCTGCTGTGCTCAACAATTAGATTTTCCGATCATACGATTTTGACGTTTGTTCACGTACCTATTTTTAGAGTGACAAAGAATGGATGACCATATGGAGCGTACGTCAACATTGTGACGTATAGTTGGACACGTATTTGCAGCGTCGGTATATTCTCAGCAGATAGCGGAAATTTTGTCATATTACACCAAAATTTGGTTTGGCTAAAAGAAAAGTTGGGTTTTCTAAGCATCGTTACAGATTAAGTAGACAAACGTAATGGAGAAGAAACATCGTGATGTTTTGAAAGAGTACAGAATGGACATCGTTCCTGATTTGGATGTTGACAAAGCTACATCATTCTTGTATTCGAAAAGCATCCTATCAGAAAATGATCGTGACAAGATTAAAGCGATTAAAACATTGGAATCTAAAAGTGAGGAGCTCTTGGATATGCTTCCAAGTCGAGGACCGGACGCGTTTGGTTTTTTTGTGGAATTTCTCGATAAAAATCAATCATTTTTGGGTGATTTATTGAAATCTTACAAAGGTTCAACAGGTCAGTTTAGATAATAAAAACACGAGCATTATTTTACCCATAAGGTTAATGGTTGTTTAACCTTAGGTTATGGATAGCGAATATTCGAGCTTAGGTTTAGCTAACACTGATTCGATAGTTGCTTATTGCGTTACTAAAGCTGCAGATGTACATGGACGACAAACGTTTCCCCCTTTCTAACACGCACCTTAGTGGCGTAGCCATCTAGATAATTTTGCGGCAAATGTTCGTATTTGCATGTTGAAATCCATAAAAAAACAATTGTTTTCAAACGAAGTTGGTAATACGGCATAATATCCAATTATGAATACTTGCTCCCAAAATAATCGAGCTGCACGAACGAGGCGACATTTCTCAACAAAATCGTAAACCTGATGAGTTCCTATATTCTATATACGAATTACGATAAATATTTAATGTAATTTAGTTTCGTAGTAAACAATTAGCTTTCACTTCCACTTTCGCTGGAAGCGAGGGCTCACCCTCTGTTTCATCATTTTGGCAAATACTGAAGTTACGTCACTTTCAAAAAAAACTCAAGTTGCCATACTTTAAATATAAAAAGTTGATAAACATACAAACTGCAGAAGGTCAATAACCCGGTCATAAATATTGTCTTAAAGTGTCAAGTGGGAAAAATAAAAACAAAAACACGACGTTTACTCTGGTAGCCGTCGAGGAATACATTTTCGGTAATCGCGGATATGCACCCGCGATGTGGGGAATGCTCGAGTCTCAAGGAGAGTAGCCATTGTCTACGATAAAAAAAAATTAGGACAAAAGCTGACTTAAGGCGGAAACCGAAAAAAATGGCGAAAACCGAAAAATATAGTGGTCTGCGATAGAGGAGAAGTGAGGGCTCTACTCAATAGCGTTAGAAGTCTGCCATAACCAGATGAAATCTATTTTGTCGACGGTTTCTAACTCCAATGACAATGCCGATGGCCGTTTGTTGAAAAAAGTGCCGATCATCGGCTTACTTTCATTTACTTCCATAAGAACTATAGGAAACTAGGGTTTTGGGATGAAAAATTATAGGAAATTATAATAATTTGAATGACTCCCTCGTCCAGGTCCTAGCTATATGCCCACCTCCAATAACTCTAAAAATCTTTTTCAAAAGTATTTCCAAATTGTTGTTATTAAAGGTACAAAGCAACCAGTTGATAATGTAGATGCTCCATCGCGTAATCTCGATGATGAAAAGTCTCCTAAAGAAACTGACGAAGAGTTAAAACATGAGAACTCCCAGAACACTATTGGTAAAACCACTAGTAGCTCTACACAAGAAGATGGGAAATGTTCTAAATTGATTCCTAAACCGAATGAAGGTAATTGAAAACATTCATGTACCACTAGAGTTTAATGACCTCGTCAAGTTGACTTTTCACAACCAAATATGAACAAAGCAAGTGTATTTCTACTTTTCTGAAGTTAAAAAAATCCTCTGCTAATTAAATGAATTGCCAATTCATTTGTAAATCATATAGTAAAAAGAAGCTTATATTGATTATGGTTTAATGTAGAAGTTAATCCAAAGTCGCACGAAAACGACAAAGATGATAAAGAAAAGAATTTGATACCTGAATACTTTTCCAGTCATAAGGATGTTATCGCAAGGGATTATATGTACTCAATGACACACAGTCCACGTGGCGAAGCATTCATCATCAACAATAAAAATTTCTTAAAGGAATCAGGAATGCAAGAATACCCACGTAATGGTACTGACGTTGATCGTGATGCTTTATACGGACTGTTTACGGCCTTGGGTTTTAAAACCAAGGCTTATAACGACCAAACCACGAAGCAAATCATGAAACTTTTTCATCGTTATGCCTCCAGGGATCACTCAAAGCATGATTGCGTAATCTGTGCTGTCTTGACTCATGGTGAAGAGGGGCTTTTTTATGGTACTGATGGCACAATTCCAATCAAAGAATTGACGAGTGTGTTTCGAGGATGTCTTCCTGGCAAACCCAAATTATTCTTTTTTCAAGCTTGTCAAGGTAGGTTAGTTTTCACTTTTCACTATAATAGTATCCATCTTTCATTTTTTAGTGAAGAATATAAGGCGTGTTTTTTATAAAGGTTTGAAATATATGGAGGGGATTGATCTGAAGGATGGAAAAGATGAAATTGACGCAAAAGAGAAAATTGACGCAAAAGATGAAATTGACGCCCCAGGGAACAACAAAATTACGCTTCCTCTTGAAGCAGATTTTATGTATGCATATTCTACTGTACCAGGCTACTATTCATGGCGCAACTCTATCAAAGGCTCTTGGTTTGTTCAAGCCATCGTTTCCGTATTCCAAAAGTATGCATCTTCAACGGATCTTCTTAGAATGATGACGCTCGTGAATTGTGAAGTGGCAAAACAGAAGTCCTACACAAATGATTACTTCTCCGATAACAAGAAACAGATTTCTTCAATCGTCTCGCAGTTGCGCAAGAAAGTCTACTTCTTTCCTGAACATGTTTTCGACGATCAGCCGTAAAGTTCATGTTTTGATTTGTATGGATATTTTTCATGCTACTAGTGACTTTTCATTAACTTTTTTTTATGTATGGTGATGTTAAGATGGTGAGTTGGACTATAAATCTGAGGGAAAAATTTCCTGAAATGATTCAAATGTCTGTATAATTAATTCACAATAGAAAAAATATTTTGAGCACGACTGATTTCACGTAACCGTTTACACAAACTTTTTTCTGCATTTTTCTGTTTATGTCCTTTCGCATGAAGATGAAATCTACCTTTTCTAGGCAAGGGAGAGCTATTGATTAAACTTTGATGTGATAAAAGGTATTAGTTAATCTACAATGGATCATATCTATAGACACGTGACTGGAATAAAGTTACATTTTATGCATGTTCACTGTGTATTAATGTTTTTAATGTTATCAAGTTTACAATATCCTGTTATATTAAAATCCTCATACACACCATTATGGGTTGACTGTCGATTTCTACCGTGATGCACTAAATATATGATGGGGTAAAAGTGCAATGACAAGTGAGAAATAAGTGATTTGTATGACTGAAATACGGAAATGTATTTTGTTTGTCTAGTATATAACTGCAAGGAGTAAATAAGAGAAAGCAAGCTGATAAAAAAGAACACACTCGTGTTTCTGACGATAAACTTGATTTTTTACTTCAAAAGGCAATTTTCCACTAAATACGACGTTAAGATGTTTAAAGGTAAAATAAATAGAATTTTAAACAAATAACATTCATTGAGCAAAAGTCGTTTGCTTTTGAGCATTAGAATACCCGTGTTTTTTAAAAGGCTGTTTTGTATGATGTATAGTGCAAATGTCTGCTGGCTTCATGCAAATATTTCTTCTCTGATTAGCTTTTGTTTTTCTAACTGTTGGGAATTATACAGCACGGATGCCAAACCAATTTCAATGGAACATGAATTTTTTGAGTTTTTTTGCAATGTTCCAGTATTGGCCATTCTTGCTCTACCTTTAGGTTTTTCCGTCTTCTGGTCACCCAGCCCGAGGTCCTTAGCGTTTCTATTTTTAATGACGGTGACCAGATGACCGGAACTCGACTTAGTGACGTAGTAGTATGATGCACTGATATGATGTCGAATTTTGTTCGCAACAGCCAACAGAAAGGAGAGCGGAAATTTCTTAGTGTTTCACGAATACTAGGATATTATTGAAGAGCTTTTTCGCGTGTTACAGTTTGATAAACGAAGACGTAATGGAGGACAAACATCGTGAAGTTTTGAAAGCGAACAGAATGGAAATCGTTCGTGATTTGGATGTTGACAATGCTACATCATTCTTGTATTCGAAAAGCATCCTATCAGAAAATGATCGTGACGAGATTAAAGCGATTAAAACATTGCAATCTAAAAGTGAGAAACTCTTGGATACTCTTCCGAGGCGAGGACCCGAAGCGTTTGGTGTTTTTGTGAAATTCCTCGATGAAACTCAACCATTCTTGAGTAAATACCTGAAACTCGATACAGGTTTGCAAGGTTTGTTGACAAAAACAAAACGTAAGCATTGTAGGTTTTACGTGAGCGGTTAATGATGGTTGTTTAACCGAATAAATTAAGTAGTTTTAATTTGAAATCATTAATTTATAAGATTTGTTACAGACAGACTTAGCTTTTAAGATTGCTATTTTTGCGGGGAGGAAATTACTCGTATGTGGAAATTTTTGACATAAATCTTTTCAAACTGTTGTTATAAAGGTTCAAAGCAACTTGTGGATATTCGGGATGGACCATCACACAGCCTCGATGATAAAAAGCTTCCCCAAGAAACTGATGAAGAGTTAAAACCTAAGACGTTTGATGACACCAGTGTTAAACCAGGAAATGGTTCAGCACATCAAGATGGGAAGGGTTCATGGACACCAAATCAAGGTAGTATTTTCCATAAATGTCTTAAAATATTCAAGGTCTGCTTTCACAAAGCCAAGAAAAGTGTTTTGATGTATCAGAATTTCAGACTGCGTCGGTGTTAAATTAAATGATGGCTACCAAGTCATACTATTTCAATCATTTAGTGTTTGGTTCTTGGAAAAACCCAAACCAATAAATTATGAAGCAATGTCACCTTTTGTATTCAAATGATTTTGACAGCCAACTCTACGGTTTTCTGCAATGGCTTCAGTAAATGTTCGAGTCTCATAGAGATGGGATGATTAATTGCCTCCTTATAGAAAAATCAGAATTACATACTATTTTTTTCACTTTGAAACTTTCAATTGTTTGTGTTGAAGGAGTTTATTTTAATGAGAAATGCAAGTGCAAAACATCAGTTGGCAAACAGAGGTTTACCAAGTTATAAATTATGTTGATAGACATTGTTAGTGGTGATGGTAATATACACTTTAGATGTTACAAATTAAAACGGATTCTGGTTATAGACATCCTGCTTTCTTAATATTCAAGACAATACAAGAGTTTAAACACAGAGTAGGTAATATTTCGTCTTTATTGCAAAGACATTGTCAAAACAAGCTGTGAAACATTTATATCGTTATTTACAAGTGGAAGTAACAGTTACATAATTAAGGAAGTTACGAGACTAAAAAGTTGGGGAATATTTATATTTAGAAGGAGGACAATTTCTTGCAATCCTTATTCTTATTCCAATTATAAATATTTCCCAACTGTTAAGTCTTGTAGCTTCCTTACATACGTAACTATTACATCCGCTTGTAACAAAACACAACACATAAACAACATTTGTATACCGGCCAGTGTTAATCCCCACCAGGGGGGTTGACCGGTCCATGAATTTTTCTACGCCAAACATCTCTATCTCTCGCCATATCTCTCGTTATACCCATCGCCTTCATATCACTGTTCACAGCATCCATCCATCTCTTTCTCGGTCCACCTCGTTTGCGGACTCCATCAACATTCATTGTAAATAACCATGTAAATGTTTCACAGTATGCCTTGTAATTTATTGGTCTCATGATGTCTTTGGAATGAAGAGGAAATATTACCTACTTTGCATTTTAACTCTTGCTGTATTGTGAATATCAAGAAAACAGGATGTCTATAATTGGAATCTGTTTTATTTTGTATTATCTAAAGTTGTCTGCTTGTCACGCTTATTTGTGATGCACATTGGAATGCTAACTCCAATACTAGTTCTTTTGGCCATTTTGAAGGTTTTACAATGCATTTTATCTGCATTGTAAGGTGAACTTACATTGCTCGTATGCAAAATTGCTGAATCGTGGCAGTTTGTGCAACTCCCTTTCTATTGCTGTTAATTTTTATAAATGTTATCATGAAACTTCTAAACACTGAAAACATTGCTGAGATTTTAGTTTTAAAGTATGGCGGCAAGGTTTGCATTTCAGTTCATGTTTTAGTTCACTGGTTCGTACTTTTCCATAATTAGAAAGAGATACTACAATAAATTGAATGAGCTTAAAGAGTTGACCTTTGCAAGCAAGTATTTGAATAAAACAAGATACAAGGACTTTCACCCCCTCATCTGTAAACCAGGTCACAAATCTGTTTTAAAATGTGGGGGGGGGGGTAGGGGGTGCTCTGGATTTCTCACAATGTAGCATTAGGTAGTTTTCCTAATATGCTTCATTGATTTTTGAAATCCCCCCAGGATTGTCAATGATAATCATATTTTAAAAAGCTTAAATTCATTTTGATTCGATGTAGAGGTTGAACCTATCGTGCGCAAAGATGATGAGGGTGATGGAAGAAAGCGTCTGCAAAAAGGCAAACATTCCTCATCTCATAAAGATGTTATCGCAATGGATGATATATACTCAATGACACACAGTCCACGTGGCGAAGCATTCATCATCAACAATAAAATTTTTTTAGAGAGATCAGGAATGCAAAAATACCCACGTAATGGTACTGACGTTGATCGTGATGCTTTATACGAACTGTTTACGGCCTTGGGTTTTAAAACCACAGTTTATAACGACCAAACCACCAAGCAAATCGTGGACCTTTTTCATCGTTATGCCTCAATGGATCACTCAAATTATGATTGCATAATCTGTGCTGTTTTGACTCATGGTGAAGAGGGGCTTTTTTATGGTACTGATGGCACAATTCCAATCAAAGAATTGACGAGTGTGTTTCGAGGGCGTCTTCCTGGCAAACCCAAATTATTCTTTTTTCAAGCTTGTCAAGGTAGGTTAGTTTTTTCTTTTCACTATAATAGTTCCATCTTTAATTTTTTAGTGAAGAATATAATGCGTGTTTTTTATAAAGGTTTCGAATATATGGAGGGGATTGATCTGAAAGACGGAGGAAGTCCGGTTGAAGCAAAAGATGAAATTGACGCCCCAGGAAACAACAAAATTACGCTTCCTCTTGAGGCAGATTTTATGTATGCATATTCTACTGTACCAGGCTACTATTCATGGCGCAACTCTGCCAAAGGCTCTTGGTTTGTTCAAGCCATCGATTCCGTATTCCGAAAGTATGCGATTTCAACGGATCTTCTTAGAATGATGACGCGCGTGAATTGTGAAGTGGCAAAACAAAAGTCCTACACAAATGAATACTTCTCCGACAACAAGAAACAGATTCCTTCAATCGTGTCGCAGTTGCGAAAGGAACTTTACTTCTTTCCTGAACATGTTCTGGAGGGTCAGCCATAAAATTCGTATTTTGGTTTGTTTTATATTTTCCATGCAACTATGGATTAACATTTAACATATTGAAGTGTAGCTTTTTTTTACATTTGCAGATGTGGATGGTGATATGAAAGACGGCAAGAGGAAAACGACATTCAAGAAAAATAAATGTCTTGTTTCCTGAGTCGATTCAGGTGTTTGATAATTTATCATAATATATGAACTTTCTTGTGGCACTTTTTTAGGCGATGACACACTAGGCGGGTTTTGTCTTCATGGCTATGGGACAAAAAGCTGGTTTGGTTGGAAGCAATTGAAATTTGTATCAGTTGCACAGAGCATATTGCAGCTTTCTCAATCAGAAAATGTTTTTTGAGCACTACAAATTGCACTTTACACTAACTTCGTTTTAGTGTTATTTTTCTTTGCGATGAAGATGAAGTCTACCTTAGCAGCGAAGAGCTGTTTGTGAACTATTAATTCACTGTTGAAGTATACGATGGGCCAAAAGCCAACGAAAGATATGAGAAATGAATGATTTGTTGAACTGAAATACTAAAATGTTATACGTATGTAATTTGTCAATTTGATAATGACTATTGCATTTTCAAATTGAACATTTCTTGTTTTCGAAAATAATATAGTAAATATTTTGCACAAGTCACACGTGCACATGTGAACTAGCTTCAAAGTTCAAGTCGATATGTCTTCTCTGTTTATCGTATCCATCTCGTGTTCTGCTCATTGTCTGGAATTATGCCCTAAAAACCCTCGTATATGAGCTGGTTTCAATAAAAACCGTAAAAATCAAGCTTTCCTTGTCCCCCCCCCCCTCGGAGTCGTTCGTTTCGTAGAGGAGGCCGTATGCGCACATTAATGGTACATTGGCATACGTATAGCGGGAAGAGGGGGGGGGGATATCTGCAAACGAATGACATTTTGTAATCTAATTTTGGTTGTTCCATTAGCTGTTGTGCATCTCAATAACCGGCAAAGATAATAGAATCAGCAAGCTTAGTATCAATTGAAATTTCCGTATTTAAAAGCTCACTTTTTCCGAGTTTAAAGACTGCAAGATATGGTAATTTGAAATTGGTGTACGAAGGAGAGTGGGCGAGTTGTCAAATATTGTACATTTATTTACTAAGGGGGAGGGGATGGTTGACTGGTTAGTAGGAGAGTTTGGATACGTTCATAATGAATGAGCCCTTCTCCGTCATTTTTTTGGGCGTGTGGTGTTGAGAGATTTACTGGATCGCTGAAGATCGAGTATTTGTTTTGTTTTGTCAAAGCAACAAAAAAGTACTCGTTTCCTGCTGCTTATAAACTTAGAAATTGCACGCCTATTGTTTTGTCATCAACCATATAAGGTAAACGTATGACGTTTGTGGCTTTGCCGGATGCTGTGTGTAATAAAACTTCCTGTTAAACATCCAATATTTCGATTTCGCCCATTTGTCACTTAGTTCAAATTCTCCCACTCGTTGTATTGTTTTTTGAAAAATGTCTGGCGGCGAGGACTTTCTCCTGGAAGAAGACGGAAAGTTTGACGAAGTTGATCCTGTTGTTCAAGATGTACTTGACGTCGAGAACAACGAGAAGTCGGATGATAAATTGCCGGAATTAGAAGGATCCGATGAAACTATCGACAATGAACGAACTTCGGCAAGGTAATAGAAAGCAACATTTGATTATGCTTGAAGAAGTTTATGGCAAAGGTCAGTTAAAGAATATGTTAACGTAGAATTAGTGGAAGACAGGGCGTTAGGTTCTGTCAATGACAACTGTTCACCGGCTTTCGCGTTTGTTTTGGTGCTCTCGGCCGGGGTTTTCATAATTTTATGCACAAGTAGTGAGTTTGTTTTATTGATATTGTGTTTTAATAAATTGAAGTAAGATAATCATTTTAATTTGTTATTTATTATGATAGTCTATAAGGCATGTCAAAGCTGTGTGCTAAGGAATTGTCCCGTACAATATCTGACCATTGTCAAATGTTATAGGTTTAACTATTAAAGTCGTGAAGAAATAAGATTAAAAGCGTTTCCTGATTACGTTCACCTCACCTTGATAAATTGCTTATGACATTAAATTTATTAAAATATGCCTCGAAGCAAGTTGTTGTGAAACAGCGATATTTTATTTACTTAAATTTATTGCGTAACGACTCTAGTTCACACATCTGTCTTCAAAGCCATCGTGACATGAAGTGGAGTTTAGGGATATCATAACGTTAGCATAACTTTAAAACTTAAAACAGATCATGTTAAAATAGAATTGTTCTCGTGTTACAGACTGCGTGTTAAAGCATGGTAAAAGGCTTTCAGACTTGCATGACTTGAATCATATGTGTTCCGTCAATACAAATGCAATTTGCTTTTAAAAATATGCACTTTGTTTCAAACTATTTAGTATTCTCGAGAACGTTCAGCGTGTTAAATTGAGAACAAGCCCATTTCAAAATGTGCTTTACCGTATATAGTATATAAAGGAATATATTGCATATAATGACGTCATTCACTATTTTTCAACATCTTTCGGGAGTACAATCGTGGGAAAACGTACGTTTATGTACGTCTTTTATTTCCTGCACAGGCTACAAGATTTGGTTTGCAAGTTGCTTTTTCCTCGATAGCTGTTTTGTTTACAGTTTCCAAACAAACAATGTCTCATTAGCGTCAAGATACGGGTTGTATTTGAGTAATGTTTGCTTGATCTTTGTGCTGTGAAATTGTAACCATTCAGAGCTCAGAAACTGATGTCCGAATAGAAATTTCATTGTATTTAATCGATGATATCTCTCGTAATTCTTCTAAACAACAGTCGAAATTATGCAATTATGTAATTATGTTCAGTACATTATTGATCTCAGTCTTTTTGTCTTTCAGCTTTTATGTCTTGCTAACAAAGGACATCCGAGATAATTTCGTCACCCTATAATAAAAATAGCAACGAACAATCTTTGCTCGAAAAGTATTAGAACTGGAATGCTGTCAGGAATATTTTTGCCTTACCGAATGTACCATGTACCTCAATATTCCTTGCTGTTCTTTGTGATCCTCTTCAGATTAATAGTGCATGAGACATGAATGTGCAAATAAGCGAAGTTTCTAGTGACATTTATGTTATCGTTTATCTTGCAGCGACGGTAAAATCGCGTCAGACGAACTCCCGCATTCGGAAAACACAAGTTCTTTCAGGGCGAGATTTGAGTCGGAGCAAAGTGAAAAAGAAGAAAATGAAGAAAATCCTCGTGAGGAAGGAAGGACTCGGCGATTGACCGAAGGCGACGATGGTCCAATTGAAGGCATTGCCATGACAGCAGCCAATAAATTCGAGCAAGGTGGGACCGCTGGGTGGAACGACTTTAACGCACGAGTAAATTACCGCATGTTGAGCCCGCGTAACAATTTAGTGCAAAATATAGCATGCTGGTGTAATCTGAAGTATCTCTAAATTTAACTGAACAAGATGTCGTCAATTATTGCAATCATGTTTGTGTTATAGGAAATGACTCCAGCATATCTGAAGAGGAGAATCATAGAATCAAGGAAGATTTGAACAGCGTGGAGTGTGGAACCGCCGCTGCCAGGAGAAAGGCTCTCGAGGACTATGCTGAAGAGACAAAGAAATCTCATGCAAGCAGCTCTCACGTGCTCGAGGACGATGCGCTGGTTTTGCAAGCGGGCAAAGCAGCGAATACTCGCGCTGAACTCGAAAAACTGTCTTCGGTCGATAAAGTTTTTGAAAAACCTGTTGACAAAAATATTCCCAAATCTGGCACGGCCTCTGCACAACGTGCGATGTTCGAAGAGCGAGCGAAAAAGGCATCTATCGATGAGGGTAAGGGATAGAACTGCTCCGTAAGCAGGGCTTTGTCCTGTGGGTTTCACCAACTTACGTGCGTCATCGGGATTCAGGAAATGACGCAAACATGTTTATGACGTCATGTTCACAAAAATCGAATAACAAAGAACTTTCTTGAACTTTTTTCTAGCTCCCAGACAGCATGCCCGAACAGCGCGACGTAGTAAATGGCCTGAGCCCAACACGAACTACCGCCACCGTCGTGGGGATTTGAGGAAAAGTGTGACAACGGATGACGAAGAGAGCACAAGTAATGTCGACAGGGAAAATGCAAAGGTATTTATGCTTGGTAGATTATAAAACTATCCCCACTTCAGTTTAACTTGCTCATTTTGAAACTTATGCTGCATAGTCTTTGGACATGATCTCATTTTCCGCCCTCCTCCTTCTGTGTTCTTGAGGGTTTTTGTCTTCAAGGCACGTTCTTTCAGACTATCTTCCTAATTCTTTCTTCTGGTTTTTCCCCGCATCCGACGTACTTTTTTTCTCGTTCTTTCTCTATAGACACTTCCCCCCCCCCACACACTAGTGGTTACTTCTTTTAACTTCGTCGTAAGTGTAACGTGTCCTTGTGGTCTCGCCGTACATCATTCTTTTCTTCCCTGTCGCATTCAAAAATTTTTTGTATTTTCTTTTGATTCCCAACGCTCTGATCGTATAGCATTACAGACGTAAAAATTGTGGTGTGTATGTTTTCTTTTGGTCTCGTTCATGTTCTTTATCATTTAAGACTGACTTCACTTTTCTTCACGTTGGCGCTCACTCTTGCCCGTACGGCCTCCTTTATTATCAATCATGTCTTGAAACACTGGTTTATAGCCATAAATCACTTTTGTGTCTGATAATCTCCATAATCCTTGGTAAGATTTTCGAAGATTCATTTTTTGCATCACAAATACAGCGCTTGCTTGCAAAACGTGTGCTTATCCCTGCTGGAGTGATGAAATGTTTTAGTGCTATCTCAATATGAGATAATGAAAGCTGAATTTTCAGGAGTCAACCGGTATCTCTTGGGATTTTAATTCATTATTCTATAGGTCTCGGTTATCGGTTAAGGAACTAGCTATGTATATTCAAATTATGATTTTGCTTACCAGCGCCACCAGCTTTGTAGCTGGTAGTCTGCATTTTTGAGCTAAGGTAGTGTGTATGAAGACTCGATGTGGACGTGTCTCTTATTACTTTTAGAATATCGAGAAGTCTCGTCGATATTTGGAGGTCAACGAAGACACGGCAAACTTTATTAGTCCTGGGGAGAGTTCCAGTGACGAAGCGCTCAAGTCTCCCGTAAAAACAGCAGAGATTCGTCATAAATTTGTGAAAATGCTATCAAACGAGGACGAAAGAGCAGCTTCGCCAGAAGATGATCTCGTCCCGATCGTGGGAACTGCGCGCAATCTCCGTGCAAAATTTGAAGCAAAGAAAGATGAGACTCGAATCCATTCAAAACAACCTAGCATCGTTCAGCATTCTGGACGTGCATCACGCGTGAAGGAGAGGTTTGAAAGCGGCGAGGTTACACAAAGACCCGTCTCGGACGTCGTCGACGGGAGTCTGAATACGAGTCCTGAGGAGCCGTCACAAGACATAGACCATAGAGGACAGAGTTCAAATGTACAGAATCCCGACGTCGACGAAACAAACACGATGTCTCGCAGTGCCAAGGAATTGAAGAATCGTTTTGAAAATCCATCTCAGACTACCCCAGTTGTGAAGAGGAACTTTGTTGTGGTGAGATTATTTTGAATTTCTTGTTTGTTTTGTTTGTGTTTGATAACCTGTTCACTGCTTGTCTTTCATTCGTTTGTTTGATGTCTGACATTTCCCTATGTTTATTTATATATTGTACGCGGCCATCAAACGATTTTGAAATGTTGTAGGTTTTACCGTCGTTTGGTTTCCATGTCTTTTGTGGAAGTCACGAAGCGAATTTGTTAAAATTTTTATTCCGATGTATACGTCAAAGTTAATACTACCCTCGCGATACATTTATATTGACAATGGTGTATTGGTTTATGATTAACTTTTTAGCCGATATTAATTGTTCACTTACAAGTTCGCCTCTACGATTTCACACGAAAATACGGCAAACGAACGAAACATCTTCCGTATGAGAATATGGGAAACTGATTATTGTATCTATTTTTTTTTCATATAATCACATTTGTCTATTTGATATTCTTTCCCTTGATTAAAGCTTCTAGAAATATAGCGGCTAAGTGGTCTGTTGCATCTTCAATATTGCAAGCCTGTTTATGATATTTTGTCAGTTTGTTTTAGTAATGAGCGCAAAGTCCCCCAACCGCGTTTATTGATGTCGTAATATTTTCAAAGTTAAAGGGCAAATGAATTTACATCAGTGAATTCCATCAAAGAATCGACAGGCATGATTTTAAAGGGTATATACATCGATTGCGTTCTGTTTAGACATCGTCTCTCCTACGGAAGTGGTTTCCGTTCAGTTGCTTGGTAAAGGCATGCCATCAGTCTGTTTTTCCCGCTTGCTTTGTTTTAAACTGAGGTGAATTATAATTGCTGCACGATTTCTTTCAATTGCGAACTTTAAAGGAAACATGTTGCAATATTATGAGCAATAATCAACGTCAGCGTGTAGGAACAATGAAGCGCTGGTGCATTCCGGTTTCGAAAAGCTACTTGAAATTCTTCCGGTATATTTTGAATTTGTGGAACGCGGATACGGACTGACGGAATGTCATGGACGAATGAGCAAGTACGGACTGAGGAAAATTACGTAAGGGCTACGTACAGGTCAAATCATATCTTATTACACATGTATTTTAAGATTTATCCATGTCCTTGGAGAAAAACGTTCTTCTCATTCCATTTTATAAGACATTAGTCGGTCCGACCGTTTTTGTACATCGACCTGTGATCATTCGTCAGTGCTGCGTATTTGCTTTTTCACCAAAACCTTCATGGTGATCATTCGTGGAATTCTAGTTTGAAAAAACATTTGTTCAGTTAATCTTCTAATCCAATGTCAAGTTAATGCGATATGATCGCATCGTGCATTATTGAACTGTGATAAATTAGTCCGTGTGACTGTTTGAAACGTATTTGACAGTAGATTAAAGAGTATGTTGAATCATGGAGTGTTGTTGTGAAGGATGCTCGATTTACTAATTGTTTTGGGAAGTGAGCTTCATTGAGCACGGATCACAATTGGTTCTTTGCCATTGTATGGTACATTAATAATAAAATAGAGAATGAACATTTTAGATAAACGACAACATTTTTCAATTTTATCTTTTTTGTGTTTGTTTACGTATAGCGCTTCGTTAAGTTTGAGGGTGAATGGAGATTTGGCAGTGTCTATGATAGTAAAACAGGAGGTGGTGTATATAGATTTGCATTCCGGATTTTGTAGATGCTTATGAAAGTGAGAGGTTTTGTCGGAAGTTGTGTGTTCTTTGATCTTTTGGCTAAATGTGGGTGGTTTCCCCAATATAGTAAAGAACACACCAACTCCGACAAAACCTCTTACGTTCATAAACATCTACAATAAATCCGGAATGCAAATCTAAAAACACCACATCCTGTTTTACTATCATAGACATTGCCAAATCTTCATTCACCCTCAAACTTAGAGGAGCACTATACATACACAAGCATAAACCTGACTTGAATACAAAGGTCCAACATTTTAACACCATTTTAAAACTTTAACTTCGTAATTATTTTTTTAAAACAATTTTTAAAACAATTTTGTGTATTAATATTTAGTAGGAAAATTTGCACCCCTCCTTCACTCCTCTAGCCGAGGGTGGTGGTGCGCGCCACTCCCATAAATCCATCCATGATGTGATGTCTGTACTGTAGCATATCAAACAGAAGTGTTGCTATGTGTGATATTTTTTCTCGTCTGTTTGTAGCGTCCAAAACAAGCTGGGAATGACATCGCGTCCAGATTCAATAAACCGGGAAACGCTTCAAATAAGTGCAAAGTTTGCGATAAAACTGTTTACCCGATGGAAATGATCAAAGCTGACGGCATGATCTTTCACAAAAAATGCTTCAAATGCGCGGAATGCAAGGCGACCTTGAGGTAAATGTCTTTTCGCGCTATGACGTAGAAACTTTTTGGGGTACTGGGGAATAAATCGTGAAACGAGGAGTTCGCGACAACTTCCACGACAGAAGAAATGTATTGAGCCTGTAAGCTGAATATATAAAACATGGTTTGTCGAAGTGAACAGTTTTCCATCAATTGTTCTCGTTAGGTTGGGTAATTATGCTGCGCTGCAAGGCCAGTTTTACTGTAAGCCTCATTTCAAGCAACTGTTCAAAAAGAAAGGCAACTATGACGAAGGATTTGGTCGGCAGCAGCACAAAAAAAATTGGGAAGCAAAACCCCAAGACGAAGATCAGAAAGCAGAAGAGGTGGAGGAGGTATAATGTGTAATACTATATGTAATCTAATTTTGTGTTGTCATGAGGGATGATCTGGTGTTGAATTCTACTCCCTGTGTATTCCTGTCTATTTTCTTAATCACTTTTATCAGTAATGATTTAATGTTGAAATCTATGTACTTGTACACTGCGGGTCTGTTGTTGTCATTGTTGATGACCTGATGATTTTTAATGTTGGGTGGTCAGATGTTGGAACTCGAATCATTGTATACTTCAGTCTATTGTCTTCATCAGGATTGGTCTGATCAGGGAACTGGAGTCCTTGTTTTCCCTAATCTAGTGTCTTTTTCAGGCGTGGTCTGATGTTTTACCCTGAGTATTTGTAAAACCTATTCTAGTTTTGACGTCGGCGATGATCTGATGTTGAAACCCGAGTCCTTGTATACTCTAATCTGGTTTCTTCATCTGGCATGATCTAATATGCAATAATTTTGTTTCGCAGGTTGACGGTAGCGCAAAGGTAAATGGGAAGGTAAATGGCCACTCCGTGGAAAATGGGAATGGCTTCCCCGAGGGAAATGGCTATGACAACCCCGAGGAAAATGGATCACTCGTAAATTGAGCAAACGAATGGATTAACCTCAACACATGACGATGTTGATGTTATTGTTAGTTGAATCTTTCGAATGGTATTATTATTAGAAGATTGCGAAAATTCAAGCGATGTAATGAAGTTAGGTGAAGGTATGAATTTGTTTCAGAAGATTTATACCATTTCATCACCGTGATAACATTTTATTTTTTATTTATTAAACGAAATCTTGACATAAATGTAGTTGATTTACACTTCGCTTCAGTTCATAATAGTCTCCAATAAATAGACCGTTATGCATCTGTCGCGGAGAAGTTCTGCAATCACGATGTGCAGTCAAAGACGCCATGAAAATAGCGTTAACATGTCTAGATATGTTGATGAATGGATGATTCCATGGCATTTTTCATGTTATTTTCACGACGTCTTAGATGGCACGTCCTTTTTCCTCAAAATAATTATGATGAACACTGCACCCTTAAGGAACGTTGTGATTAACTTTAAAGAAAGTAATTCCTTCGTTGTATGGATTGAGCAATATAATCTTCAGTTGAACTATAGCTATTTATTACGAAACAATACACTTTTACGTGCGTTGTTTTTTAGTGGTTCGACCGTAAATTGAAATAAAATACAATTCAATACATACGGTATCTATACCTAGAAAATACGTTGAACTGAATAAATTCGTTAAGTTATAAACGACCTTAAAGTTGTGCCAAGGTAGGAATTCTACTATGGAAAAAACTTAACTTTTTGGATTCTCGTATTTTTTTTGGTAGAGAATAAAAGTCGAGGTAATACACTAACATTTTGCTTCAAATATTTATTGAACGAATTTACAATTGTACATGAAGTGTCTTTGAATGAGCGGAAAGATGTAGCTATGACTTCAAACATGAAATGTTTTTCGAGTTTTCCTGTAGCCAATGGTGTTATCTCCGTTTTCATCTAAGTCTTTCAACCTATGAATTGGTTTTTGTCTTCGAGTAAAACATTTCCAGCGGCTTGTTCACTTTCCAATACTAAAAAGAATGCGTCAACTGTGTCAGTGTTAGGTTATTTTCAATACCGAATACCATTCACGTTCGTATAATGAATTGCTCCTTCGTGTCGAACGTTTTACCTTCTCGTTGACGTTTTCCAAACTCATGTTTCCTGGCAGTTCCTATGAAAAAATGGAAGGAGAAATATTGTCGCAAGGAGCTTTGGGAAGAAAATCGAAAGTCGACAGGCTTTCTTACCGTAAATTGTCCCGGTGTTGTTGCAATGTATATGGTGTAAGCTTCTTCCTCATTTTCAAATTCTGCAAATTGAAATTTTGAAATTGAAGCAACGTTGTACCAATCTGAAGACTGTTTGGTTTTTCAAAATCTAAACCTTTCTCTCCGACGTCAAGTTTGAGTCGTATGGATAAGTATCTCGACAAATGGTCGACTAAAGTCAAGAAAAAGAGAAGTATAAGATTTTATATCAAGTACACACACCAACATACATTACAACGTGAACGAGGTAATTTTAACCAGTAGCAATTGCTGTCGTCTTAATGTATCTGGTCTGTTTTCGTATTGTTTCCGCGTCGTGATCCTTTGGATGCGGTTTGAACACAAGCTCAATTTCCTAAAGTGTCAAACAAATACTGAATCATGTTGTACTATTTCAGGGAAGTTTGTCGAATTTGAAAAATAACATAATAATGTTATAGTTTCTTTTTTAAGCGCGAACTGATACTAAACGAGGGAATATATTTGCTTCAAAGCTGAAAGGTGACTTTTTCGCCTAACAATGTTTTTCTGTAGGTAATGAATATCAACCTTTGATTTTAGCTTCATGCAACGAACTGTCGTACTTACATCGGCAACATCGTCCATTTCTTTGCCTGGTAAGGTCACTGATTCCATCAACTCTGCGAAAGGTAAAATGCATCAAAGTTTTGTAAGGGCAATATGACGTGAAGATTGTCAATGAAAAGAGTGAATATGAAACTTACAATAAATTGAAGTGTTTATCCACTTAAAATGATACAGATTCAATATCTAAGTATAGAGGAGAGAAGATGCGTCAATGATCACTCACTTTCACCCTCCTGGTTCCCATCGGCCTCATCCACAGTTTTCAGGCGTTTTGCTTTGGGACTGTCAGTGGTGATGTTTGGTGATTGGCTGGACAATGTAGAGCCTGATGCAACTTGAGTGGGCTCTGGAAGGAGAGAATATAAAGATTGTGGAAACAAAGTATGTTTTCATTGGTCAATCAGCAAATCTGTCACCGGAATAAGGTTCCACAATCTATGGTCAGATTTACTGGCAAATGTGGCTCGAATTGAAATTCCAAACTTACCAGGCATAGGCTGTTGTTCTTCATTAGACAATTTACGCTAAAGCAAATTGAATATGATTGCTGTATTGCTGACTAGAACATAATAAACAGGAAAGTTTCAGAACTTTCAAATTACTCACAACTCTTTGGGCTCGATTCATTGCTTGTTGTTTCAGACCTTCTTCTATACTACTGGTCAGTGCCTGTTGATTATGATGCTTACTCAGTTTTTGAAGAACTTGCTCCTATAAAAATGTAAATGATTCATATGGTGTCATGAAAAGAGTCTTTTAAATTTTAGAGTGCTATGTGAAAGACTTCGGTGACTGACCTGATGTGCTTCATACTCTTCCCGATCCGGATAGATCTGAATTAGAAAGAAATGATGATCACAACATGCCTTATGCATGAAATTAACATGAGTTAAAGCGAACCTTTGCAATCAAGGCATCAAAGTTCGGATCGGGTCTGAGAGACCTTTTGGAGACCAACTTCTTACGACATGTGGGACACTCTTTGTTGCTGGTAAGGAGTCACATATAAATAACCAAAGTCCAACCCAATGGCATTAAGCTAAATTAAGTATCATTTCATACCCACTTCTGAGGGCAGTTATAATACAGTCTTGACAAAATCTGTGTAGGCACTGACAAATTAATGATAAATTCTGTTGAGCATGACATGTACAAACACAATAGATACTAGATCCAGGCTCTTTCTGCCACCCAAATCTTACATGCATGTTGTCGTGTAAACAATAGTCGTACTGAGTTATGGTAAAGGTAATTAATGCAAATGCTTGCCTCTTTCGTTGTCATTGTATTTTTAACATATCGAGACATATGGACACATGAGTTCACTGTGCAGGCTACGAGGAGATATTGTGATCTCAGTATCATCCGTGATTGCTTCCTGTGGCGTTCTGTGGAGCTCGTACAAGCTCAGATCTGAAGAATTGAAGAAGGAAAGGTAGTCCAGAAGTTTTGTAAATAGCAATCTTCATTATTAACAGAGCGATGCTCAAGTGATTTATTTACCCCACGATTTTGGTTGAACAAGTTGCTGGCTGCTTGCTTGTGAAGCCATAATACTAATATTCAGTTTAGGAAATTTACAAAAAAAGATAAAATCGTAGGAAAAAAAGCATGAAACAAAGAATAGTGCCAACAGTGCCAGCCTGTTTGCAGGCTAATTAGTATTCTTACTTCACACAGAGGGTCTGGTTGTTTAAAATCCTAACTCCTAATTTTTCCATTTTAAACATTTTGTGTGTAACAGTGTGTTGAGAATCATGATGATAAACATCGATTGAGTTTTGACTAATTTTGAAGATTGTCGATTCTCACTTCTAACTGTAAAAATTGAACTATTTCATTTTGTCCCGTGCGGAAGCTGTGGATTCCAATTTCAAGATGGCGGATTGATTGTATAACATTATTACCACTGATTATTACATGCACAAAGATGCCATTCACAAAATGTCTCTGTTTGGGAGCTTTTCTTGCGGGAAACTTAAAAAAGGTATGGCTCTTACAATGAAATTATTGAGAGAACACATAATATATGAGGTGGAAACTCCAACATTTCCTTCATCTAATCGCATTACAATAAACAGAAAGTCAGAAACAAGCAAAACAACTCATAATGAATAGTGATAGATAGACCAAACATTTGGAGGAAAGTCAAGCCACGTGTAATTCACTATCTAAAACATTTTCAAAACGCATAATTAACATCGACATACCGAAACAGAAATGTCACTGTCAGGGATATATTTTTAGTGGGAAGTTGTAAGATATGTACAGTTTTTGTAGTTTCTGCTTATTACAAAAGTTTGCTCAGTCATTTTGTTATTACTGCAGAGGAAAAGATGGACCTTAATACCACATCATAGGGATTATGGAGCAGAGGTCATGAAAATAGGGAATATACTGTGCAAGACTGCCCACTGTTAGCAGCCATTGAGTTGAATTTAAAAATAGCATTATTATCCTAGGAGGAGGAGATGAAAATTTCTGGTGTATCTCTCATTGCTGATTGATGGATAATTATGAAATAATCAGTACCATTGGCCGTGGTGCATCAGGAAAGGTGTTTTTGGTTCGAAGTTGCAAAGACCATAGGTGAGTGCGCTTTTGATCTGTGACATTTTTTTATTATTTCAGTCATGAAAAGTTTATTTTCTTGTAAAATTGTTACTTGAATATTTTTCAGACAGTATGCTATGAAACAGATCATTCTTAATTCAAAATCCAATACGAAAGAATCAGTTCTGAAGGAAGCAAGGTACACTCTTTGTGATGCATACTTGTAGCATGAGGTGGAGTTTGTGCACACTTCCCTCGAAGAGAGTGTTCAAGTTTCCAGAGACAGAATCTTGAAACAAGGATATAATTGTTGAGACTGCTAGGCAAGGAAGTTAGAGATGGCTGCTTTGGTATGTATTTAGAAGGATGTTGATGGGTATAATATGTGTGAAGGAATTAAAGATAGATGTTTGAGATGGTTAGATCATGTATTGAGCAGGATGTTGTTGAGTGTCTGAAATAAGTAGGGGAAAAAGGAAGCAGAAATTGAGTCAAAGAGAATTTGGTGAAGGAATGTTGTAAAGCATGTGTGAACCTTAAGGATGCAAATGACCAACTGTAAGGTTGTGAAGTTGCACAAATTATGAAAGAGAAGTCAATGACTACTTAAAAAAGTTTTAGATCTCGACTTATTAAAATGATAATGATGATGTTTAACAAATAAACCAGGATGGTTTTCAAAAGTTGGTAGTTTTTTTTTGAGCTTTAACTATTTTGATCTCTGTTTTTAGGATCCTTTCCAAACTGAAGCATCCTCACATTGTGACTTGTTATGAATTTTTCTTTGATGAGCGTGAAGAATGTTTGTCTATTATTCAGGTATTGTCTTGGTTTATTCTACATTTGTGTCGTTTGTTTCGGTTCTTTTATTCAAAAATGAAGAATAATACAAATGTACTTGTTCAATCGTGAATATGGTGGGGAAGTTGGGGACGAGACGCCCTAAACTTTGCGTAGTTCAACCAAAGCCAACGTGTGCTTGTTTTGTTTGTGTATTTGCGATATGTGATATTGCAGTGTACTCCGCTGGGACAGACTGCTCACTGCAGGCTCGTTTACGACCGTCATTTTTCTAATATTTCTAAATGGACTCATTTCGTTAGGGTGTTTCGTGCAAGTTGAACAGAAAAATAAAATTGAACAGAAAAATAAAACCGAAACTATCGGTTCTTTGGCGCGTATAATGTATTCGGTGCGTAAAAAGGACCAAAAGAGCCATTTTTGGTTGACCGCACATTTTTGGCGGTCCGCAAACACAGTTAAGGGATGGGTTTAGGGGAGTGGTGTATGTAAGTGGGGATGGAGCGGGATGCGCATCCCTCTAGCTTTGGAAAGATCGGGTGCAGGAGGGGTGCTAACAAACTTCGTACGAAATTTACGACAAAATTTTGAAAACATTGTGCGAACTTCGTTTACCATCTGAACGTTTTGACACGAGAAGCGAACGAAGTTCGTCCTGGGTATCTTTTCTTTCAAGAATTGCTCGATACGTGAGATTTAAATAACAAAAAGTTATGTAATATGTTTGGCTACGTACGGTTGCCTACTTGTGCCTTCAGGCGTTAGTAATAAACTGCACATTCCCCAAAGTCTCGCACATTCCCCAAGGTCTCGCACATTCCCCAAGGTCTCGCACATTCCCCAAGGTCTCGCACATTCCTCAAGGTCTCGCACATTCTCCAAGGTCTCGCACATTCCTCAAGGTCTCGCACATTCCCCAAGGTCTAGCACATTCCCCAAGATCTAGCACACAACAGTGTCTGTCGTGAATGAAATAACGATATCCACAAAGCAGACACGGAAAGCTAAAACAAAGTAGATTGACCTAACGACATCTTATTTAAACTGTGAAGCATTTACAACATCGGTATTGGCAATATTATATTTTGGTTTATTCACGATGTTTTATGCCAATTGAAAACCGCGCGATGTCTTTTAACAGGATTATTGCGATTGTGGAAACTTGGAGGATCAGATATTTTTGAAAAAAGAGGTTAAATTTTACGTTTGTATATATTGTAACAGTGAATTCAAGTGCTCTTGTTTTCCAAGCTCAAAAACATTGCGAGAATGGAATTGTTTTCTACGAATGATTTTATTTGTCTTTTTCTTAGAAACATAAGAACATCGAAGAAGATCAAATAATGGAGGTGAGGATTGAAAACTGATTTTCTTTAATCTTCCGATCGAGGTTTCGTCTTTAGCGAACTTTTCTCATTTAACAATTGAAATTATTCGTTTCTTAAGTGGTTTGTTCAAATACTCATGGCTGTTCAATATATTCACTCAAAAAAGATCTTGCACAGGTATAAATTAGCAGTACAATCAATTTTTTTATAAAATAACAACAATAAAACGCGTGCGCTGATTGGTCTTTAGCTGTATTTGCGTTAGCCTATGGAAACAGATCTGAGCTCAACCAATCAAAGCAATCAAATAAAATAGCAATAATAAAACGCGTGCGCTTATTGGTCTTTAGCTTTGTTAGCGTTAGCCTATGGAAACAGATCTGAGCTCAACCAATCAAAGCAATCAATTTTTTTTATAAAATAGCAACAATAAAACGCGTGCGCTTATTGGTCTTTAGCTTTGTTAGCGTTAGCCTGAGGAAACAGATCTGAGCTGAACCAATCAAAACAATCAATTTTTTTTTATAAAATAACCACAATAAACGCGTGCGCTGATTGGTCTTTAGCTGTGTTTGCGTTAGCCTATGGAAACAGATCTGAGTTGAACAATCAAATCATTGAAAGAGAATTTGCTAATCAATCATGAGTACATATTAGAAGAAAAATTCAAAACGTTAGTTTTAAATTTATCTGTTTCGCATTATTGTTATTTTATGAAAGAAATGAAAGATGTTTACTGTGTTTGCACAGGCTTATGCAAACATCGGTGACGTTTGGAGAACTCTCGAGAAGGTTCAAACCCTTGCACTGATGTTCTCTCGAGCTTACTCGAAGGTCGTCTCAGTTTACATAAGCTTGAGCAAACACAGCAAACATCTTTTATTTTTTAATTCAAAATTTCAGTCGAACCTCTATTTACGAATTTCTCTCGTAAGTGGATTTGGGTTTTGCCAATATATCCTTACCTCTCACAACCTCACTCAAGCAGGCACCTCTCGTAAGCAGACACTGGTCAGGTCGTCGTCTCCCCTGAGGTGTGTCCGCTAACGGGAGGTTCGATTGTACTTTTAAGGCAGACCACATCGCTTGTATTTTCTTTAGAGATTTAAAGACACAGAATGTCTTCTTGAGCAAAAGTAATATCATCAAGATTGGTAAATGAGCATTTACGCTTATTGTCATTAATGATGCTTCACAGGCCGTTATATATGTTTTTAGTATAGTCGCTGAATAAATGTGAAATTCAAGTATGTGTAATTTATTTCGAATGAACAATATGAACAACGGTACTAATTGCATATGTTGGAAGGAGATTTTTTACGAAGTAATATTTTCAAATCTGCTCTGTTTCGACAGTCGGAATAGGGTTTGATTTCCTTCCTCGGCGTGAACTTCTTTTCGTCAGTTGGGATTTTGTTTCCATGTACGGCTTATCAAATTCTTTATTTACAGGAGATTTTGGAATTGCGAGAGTAATGGAGAACACGTTGGATATGGCGGAAACATGCTGCGGTACTCCTTGCTATTTGAGTCCAGAGTTATGTCAAGATTTACCTTACACCTCAAAGGCAGATATCTGGGTTGGTATCTTGCTAGGCATACATACCAATTTTTTGTGGTGTGTATCGTAATAATAGTGCAATATAGGTGTGTGTTTGATAGTCAACGTACGTAGCCAATGCTGTGGTATCTATAGTACATTGTGAGCGTGTGTTTGATAGTCAACGTACGTAGCCAATTGCTGTGGTATCTATAGTACATTGTGACTGTGTGTTCGATAGTCAACGTACGTAGCCAATTGCTGTGGTATCTATAGTATATTGTGGGTGTGTGTTTGATAGTCAACGTAGCCAATTGCTGTGGTATCTATAGTACATTGTGAGCGTGTGTTTGATAGTCAACGTAGGCAATTGCTGTGGTATCTATAGTACATTGTGAGTGTGTGTTTGATAGTCAACGTAGCCAATTGCTGTAGTATTTATAGTACATTGTGAGTGTGTGTTTCATAGTCAACGTATGTAGCCAATTGCTGTGGTATCTATAAAACATTGTGAGCGTGTGTTTGATAGTCAACGTAGCCAATTGCTGTAGTATTTATAGTACATTGTGAGCGTGGGTGTAATAGTCCACGACTCAACGTAGCCAATTGCTGTGTTATCTATTTTACAATGTGGGTTTGATAGTCACCCGTCCACATACGAGAAGTTTGATGCGCACGACCATGAAACACGGCTTACAACGTACCGTACTGTGACACTAACTTTATTTAGACTACATACTGTATATATAGTGAACTACTTCATGTTGCATTAAGATTTATAACTTTATTCCACTTTAGGCTCTTGGCTGTTTGCTTTACGAGTTATGCTGTTTGCGTCCTGCTTTCAGTGCTGGCAATATCGTGAGCCTGTTTTACAAAATCGTGTCTGGAGAGTTTGAGGTCAGACACATACGTAATAAGAAAAGTTCGAGCTTATTTGTGTAGCACTGGTTTACTATTGATGTTTTTAGCCTTTACCATCGATGTATAGTGAGGACCTTGCAAAAATTATTTCTCAAATGATGCTGAAATCACCAGAAGAAAGGCCAAGGTTAGGAGACAGATCAGAAATCCTTATCTGGGTGCCTAAATAATCATTTACCTAAGAACAGTAACGGTCAGCTGGTGTTCAGTGAGGCTTTAAATGATATTTGGCAAGCGCTACTTTCATCGTCTTACAAACTAACTGTAACGTGTTCATTATATTCTTATAGTATGAATTTACAGAGTAGTACACAACGATAGCTAATTTGCATTTATTTAAAAATGTTGGAGGAAATAAGTTAGTCTTAAATGAAGTGCTCGATACTTCTTATTTTATGGCAGAAGTAGCGGCTCCTTCAATGCTTCGGCATCATTTTCACATCTCGATGAACTCCGGAAATGTAGTAAAGATTCCACAATGCAACCGAAGCAAGAATTTTTATTGGTTCATCTATTTTCACTAGCAATCTTCCGTCTACATTGTCCAAATTTAGTTATCTTTTCTATTATCAAAGTCTTCATTTTGATTTTCAATATTTATGTTGCGTTATGTTATATTTTTTTTCAGTACTTCATATAAGTAATAATGTGCTGTTGTACTTTCAGCGCCGCGTCAATTCTCGATGCACAATACGTAAAGCATTATTTATCGCTGTTTAGTGATGGAAAACAGAATTCAAAAGAGCAGCAACGGTTGGTAGCTTAGACGAACAAATTCCTAATTTCCTTACCTTTTTTCTTTTCAAACTCAATCATCTTTCATTTTTCTATTTGTTTATTATTGGTCTTGTATACCATTATTTAGCTTTAGACCATCATCCATCCATCCATCCATCCATCCATCCATCCATCCATCCATCCATCCATCCATCCATCCATCCATCCATCCATCCATCCATCCATCCATCCATCCATCCATCCATCCATCCATCCATCCATCCATCCATCCATCCATCCATCCATCCATCCTTCCATCCATCCATCCATCCATCCATCTATCCATCCATCCATCCATTCCATCCATCCATTCATCCATCCATCCATTCGATCCATTCATTTATTCGTTCCATTCATTCAATTTACTGGTTGTAGAAAAAATCCACATTTGTAGTGGTGGAACTTGACATTATAGATTTTATAGATTAAAAGGTGATTCGATAAATATGAATCTTGAACAAAATTGATATTTTCATAGTTCTAGTGATGAGGCTTGTCGTAGCTCAAGTCAAGACCAACGACCTTCAATCCTGTCTCACGATGAGCCAAGCTGTCCTGAATATCCCCATGATTTTGAGGCGTCGTCATCGAACGATGAACGTGAATATTCGGACGACTTTGACGATACGGATGAATCTGTGAAGGAACCGTTGGCAGCTAGTGAGGGAGACTGTTCGGCGAGTAAAGTTTGTGTAAAAATGGAGAGTTATTCCGATGAAGAATTTGAGTCTGATTCCGAGGTATTCTAACATGCATTGTTTTTCATAATACGCTCGATGTTAAGCCTGGTCCTCGCTTGTGCATAAAAGTAAAGTATCCTCACTTGCTTGAACTACAATAAGCACAAGCATAAGCATAAATACGCATAAGAAGCGCAAAGAGTTTTGATGATCTTGTGCTCATGCTTTTGTCGCAAGTGAGGAACAGGCTTTGCGTCAGACCCCCCCCCCAATCTTTCAACCCTCGTATTAATTGCCAACAAACTATTTATCTTGCACAAATAACGCCAATTATGTTGTCTTATTTTCTGAAAGTTATACCACTCCCATAGCACATTCAATTCCTTTATAAAACAGTCCGTACAAGATGTGCTTACTTCAGCGCTCGCCGATCAAGATTTACAAGGTTCGGTAAAATTTTGATGGTTGTCAGTTTTTCATATGAATCTTTTGAAAGCATTTTTTCTTATTTTGTTGCCATCGTTGTAATATTCGTTGACATATTTGTGTTGTTAGTTGACGAAGAAACGGTAGAAGATGATGATTACCATCTGACAACAAGAACGTGATGTTACAACGCAGTAAGTCATTGTATATAGTTCTCGTGCTGTCTGTAATGAAAAAATACACAGTAGTACTCATTTGGCGCATCTACCGACGGGTGTCCCATAAAAGGAGGCCTTCAGGAATCTGTGAATTTTACTGCCTGACCTATTTTGAACCCTCCATTATTTGGTTTATTTGTTCAGATTTTCTTTAAGATGTTACGTCAAACTCCCATTAGTAGACGGGCTTTCTTGCTTTTGACAAAGATATGTAATGCATGCACGTTGATCACAATATTTTACGCATTGGTGAGCTTCACAAAACGATAGGCTAATGATAGATACATCCTTAGATCTGTTTAGTTGGCGAAAGCAAATTCGCGTTTTTCTTTGTAAACATTTTGGAAGCACTATTTCATTCGGTGGTTTATGCTATTTGTTGAGTCGATTGAATAGCGCTTTTCATACGACTTTCTAACTTTAAAAATTTTATTAAATTTCTCTAGCGTAGCGTTTGATTGCGATGTGCTGGATCGCACGGATTAACAATGAAACTAGTCGACATCTGTGAATTTAACTGCATTAGGAATGGAACTTTTGATCACGAAGAAACCTTTTAAAGAATTTTCTTGCTCCTTACCGCAAGTCAATGGTTATTCTGTAGTTTATCTTTGATAACAAAGCCATGATGGTGAAGTCTGTCACGTTAGTGTTAACTAGCGAAAACACCTGAACTATTATACGTTCAATTTTTTTGGACTTATCAACTACGAGACGTCATTGCAAACGTAAGTACATGCCACGTACTTTAAAGATTTGTGCTTGTACAAAGCAAAGTTTGTAAACTGAGGTAAAGGATGAGTACCGTCAAATTTTTACTCATTACTAAAAGCATTCGAATTTGATCGCTGATGTGTTGGATGGAGCTATCTCACGTATAAACAGGCAAAGTCGACAACATCTGTTAATGTAACAACAAAATGAATGTAACATTGCGCAAAACCACCTGCTATAAAGTCAAAGGATGGTTATTTCGGTGATTTGTTTAAGTACGAACAATGAATGTTCAACAAATAAACAATCATGTGGAACAAATACTTCATGACATACGTAAAACCACGCTTATAAAGATATTATGAACAGTTAAAATAATTTCTATTACTGAGTTTTTAGAGAATGGAATGCGACACTTAGTATAAATTCAGAAAAAAAAACACGCTCTCCGATAAGAATGATGAAGGAGAAAGGAGGAGGAGAGCGAATAAAAAAAGAGATAGGCTCTCACTCAAATAACCACTCTTAAATACACTAAGTCTTTTGATAAAATTTCTTTATGACTCCTTGCGATCAGGGAGTTATTTTTTAAAATTTTAATAGTCAGGAAAGTCAAGAGCAAACAGAACGCCCTTATATTTCCCTTCTTACCACCTGGCATTCAATCCCCAGTTCGACTGTTTGTTCTCCCACCTGCCGCTTACACCAAGGTATGTTGTCAGAGGGGCGAATCAAGAATCTTCTGCACAGGAGGTCAGCGATGGCCAGTCAAGCTATACACTGAACATCGAAAGCTTATAGTTTTTTGGCGTATTTTCTCATTTTTTTAAACTTTGAAGTGTTCGTAGTCAATTTAATGGCGTTGGAGGATTATTTAACTTGTCTGTTTAGGCTTAGCTAACGTAGTTTTTACCATCATGCATAAGAGTATTGTAATGGCTTTTACAAAAACACACAATTCTTGCAGAATTAACGCTAACTAACTTTAGCAAGGCGCATACGACTGCTGAAAAATCGTTCACTTTTCTTGTGGTAAGAAATCATGTCAAAAGTGTGCGCTCAAGAAGGAAAAGTTCATTGAAAAGTTCGTTTCGTCTTCGTCATCCTCATCTTGTCGTCATGACAACCTATTGTGGCGGATAGTTTAAATATTCAATATGGCTGAAGGATAATGATCCACTGTGATAATGAATTTAGGCGATATCACTCTAATTTGCCGTCTTTAAGCTTTGATTCTGTCTTTGAAGATGACGAGAGGTCAGGAAATACACCTTTGCCACACGACGTATGTAATTCGTGTTTGTGTTTGCTAAATATTGCTTTTTTAAGGCGGCATTATTTTCAACTTCGACAGAGGAACTTGGCTTCTCTTTGCTCGGCATGTTCGCAGGCGTAAGTTATATTTTTTGTTTCACGATAGTAATTACTTTCCTTTGCTTATTGTTTCGTATGAAAGTCTAACGAAAATATATCTTGTCTACTCAAATTCAATTTACAAGCCATAAACAAAACAAACTGTATGAAACATTTCGTTTTTATTTTAAAGTCATCATTATCTCCTATGATAGTTTATGTATGTTCTATTTAGTGTGTATTTTGTGTCGATATTAAAACAAGTAAACAAAGCCATTGCAGATAAGCCGACTGTAAGTATTGCTGTGTATTTCAATTTGTTCCATGTATAATTTGCATTTTTATATTGTTTAGAATGAGTACATGGTAACTCGAGATGGCAAAAATGATCTAAAGATCGGTATCGTTGGTTTTGGCCGACTTGGAAAACAGTTAGCGGTCATTTTGTTAGATCTTGGTATGTAATCATTTTAATACTTTGAATAGATTGTTGCCTGATAAACAGATTTTCTTGGTATGTACAGTTTTTTAACCGCCTAGAGAAACGGTTCGCACACCTCTAAAAGTTGCCATACTTTACTCCTAACATAAATAGTCATGTCTAATTGCATGAGTTTAGCTTTACAATGTTTAGAGTGTACGTGTGGTGCTATTATAGCTTGTTTTCTTGGTCTTGCTACTGCCTCAAGTGGCTCTGCCTGCATCAATTTTTTCGGATTTATATGAAAATGTTAAGAACTCAAGCAATCCACCTTTCCGACAGTGGACACACGTGTCTAAAATACGAGATCAAATTGCAAAATTCGGAGAATCAAATAATCGGACATAGTATTGTTTATGTAGAATAGTGGCAATAAAATGGTTAGGAGATGCTTTTGAGTTTTGGGGCATTTGTGAATATGATTCTTTAGCTGTTCAGGACGATTATTTATAAAGTTAGAAGGCATAACAGTAAATTTTAACCATCTTGAGTTAGAAAAAAGCATAACGATCGAAGGAAAGCTTGAATACTGGCATATTGTCACGCTAATGACTTTTTTGTTAGGATTGTTACGGCGTTTACGGCGTGACTTGAGAATATCCAGGACGGATTCCGGCTGCATAAAGCGCAAAAAATCAAGTCATACAAATTTTTGAACTTTTATTTTTATTACGTGTTGGTCTTGCTGTCTTATAATCACTAATCATTATTATTATTGATGGATGAAATCTCTCTAAAACTGGCTTTTCAGATTCATTTACAAGTTATATACGTAAAATGGAATTTTAAACTGTAGTTATTAATCACGACGCTAAATGATAACATAAAACATTGTCTTATTATGAATATGTGTTAATTGTATTTAAATGCAGTGATGAATCTCATCTGGAATCTCATGATCGAATCGAATCATAAATATCGAATCATAAATATCATCATAAATATCATACAACAGTTAAAAAAAATTCTATGACTTGCAATTTTCTTCGCTCGGATCTGCAGCTAACATCGGATCTGGATATTCTTTGGTAGGGTGGTTTCTTAGAACGAAAGGCATACGATATGCATTTACGTAATAAACTGGACGGCTGTCTCTTGCGATCAAAAGAAGTCCTTTGAATGCGAAAAGTGTACTGTTTAATCACAAAATTACTTGAGAAGTGAAGTTACTTTCTGGATTGAATCATGAAAATAGAAATTATTATCTAAAATGAATTAAAATTTTATGACATAAAGGCTCAATTTAGCCGATACAAATGGCTTGGCTTATTGAATGTTATCTTTGTAAAAAGTAGTATTAAAAAAGTATATAATCCCCTTTTCCCATGAAGCCCATGTGGGCTTTCGTTCATGATGAGAGAGTTACATTGTATAAGGAAGCTGTCGTTCATCACGAAAGAGTTATGAGAAAGTTACATTGTAAAACGTAGCAAGTAAAAAACGTATAAACACGCTTAAAGTTGGTTTAAATTATAAGTCAAAAAGGCAGAAGTTTTTTGAACCTTTGTAGCATCCTTGGATGTACTATTTTCACGAGAACAACTCCAGTAAGAACAAAAAGATGAAATTCGAAAGCAAAAAACCCCGTTTTCGGGCCATGCTTCCCGATACCTTCTTAAGCGTAAGGCACTAGAACGCCGCATGTTAACGTTTCGGTAGGAGATTTCGGCCCCTCCACGCTATCCTACTTGGGAGATGCAATAGCAAGTTTCCGCCCATCAGACCCCGAGATCACCTGCGATAGGCTTTGCTCGGGGTACGCAGGGAGAGTGCGGTCGCGACCGAAGTCTGGGCCCCTAAGCCACTGCATACTATATCGCACCCAGCTTCCACTGCTAGTTGACATCTACTATATGAAGTTTTAGCTTTATATATATATACATAAATTCAAAGCCTTACGAAAGTTGTGGTATTATTAAAGTCACTGCTGCGCATGCCCAGATGATTTCTTTGATAATTTGTGACTAATTGAGCTAATTGCCACAAATGTAGGGCAAGTACACATAGTAAGTCGTTGCCATGACTACGAACAATTGGTCGAGTGAACTGCGCATGCTCGAGCGCATGCGCAGATGATTTCTCTATTAAAATCTTACTAAGCATGCTATTTACTTCAAAATCGGTTCTAGTAGATGCAGTTGGTCGTTGTCATGACCATGAACTTTGGCATCTAGTCAAGTCGACTGCGCATGCGCAAATGATTTATTTGAAAATTCATGACGCCATTTGTATGACTCGCTCCTGCAGCTTGGGGAAGCCTTTTTTGTTTTTATCACAAATGATGTCATACTGTGTATGTATAACTGAATAAAGAAGTGTTGAACGTAATGTATTTGTTAAATAGATCACGTAGTAAATGAAATGTTGGGTGTATAATCATAAAACACTCTAAAATAAAAACAATAAAACGCGTGTGGTGATTGGTCAATAGCCGTATTTGCATTAGCCCGTGCACACCGATCTCAGCTCAACCAATCAAATCAATCAAATAAAAGAGAATTTGCAAATCAACCCAAAGGTCTCCTCGGTTTTTATTTCTTAAATGTATATGTATGTACATATATGTTTATATTGTTATTTTCTAGGTGTCATAAAGCCATCTGATTTGTACATTTCAACTAGATGTCCCGAGGGCTTGGAAAAATTCCAGAATGAAGGCATATGTTGTTGCTTTGATAATGCCCTGGTAAACTGAACTCCATTTTTTATCCATATTATTTTTCTCGTGTTTAATAGTTTTTTTATGCTATTTTGAAAGGTTTGCAAAACTGCGGACGTCCTCTTTCTCTGTTGCTTGCCTTCGCAGCTCAACACCGTGGCCAAGGTATGGTAAGAGCATAAACGACTTTATCTTATGTCATTTTTTCGTGAGTGTGTGTTCAATTATTGATGACTCTTGCTTGAATTATTAAGCCCTTAATAACCGAGCTTGAGGTCTTTACGGAGAAATAACGGACCGAGGTCTTTTTGTACAGACCGAGCCCGTAGGGCGCAGCCTAAGACAGTATAGATCAAGTAATAAAGTGAATGGTTTGAACCCGGGAGTATCGTTACATGTTTGTAGATGTAGATCGTCCAGGTTAGAAAGTCAAGTGACTTCGAAGATGACTACCGCTATGGTTGTAGAAACGTCAGTCAACATCGACATTCTTTTCAGAACTCTACTAACCTGAACGATCTACATCTACAAACATGTATACATCATGTAATCAAAAATCATCCTCAGTCCTTAATACTGTTGATTTTTAGGACATGCAAGGTCTGCTCAGTGATACCATTGTTTACTCCTTTGTGTCTGGCGTCTCCCAAGCACGAATACGACAATTGTTGAAATGTGGAAATGTCATCCAAACAACTCTCGTATCTTTATCACGATGACTTGTGCTTGTACATAAATTGTATGCTTTCCCACTTTACCTCGATCTATTGCGATTATCGAGAACTGTAAAGTCGAGGGAGTCGACAAAATGAACGATCGAAGCGTATGATCACAATTTTGGCTAGTTCGGGCACGGTACAATTCGTTTATACAAACTTAGAGTTTCTTGAAATCGATTTTTCTTAACTCGATGATAACCATCAGCTATTCAAATCGAATTGTGATCCGATTTTTGAGGAATCTACGCCTTGGAAATTTGGAAGAGATGTGAGTGCTGGGATTTTTAGAGTATTTCTGCTTGAGGAATTAAAAAACCTGAAAAACAAATAGTGAAAATTGAGCATGCAGATCGATAGACCAGGTCGACATTCTCGGATCCATTCCACGTCAAGACCCAATCCACGAAATTTTGTAAAATCTCTGCTTTTATAAACAGGTCAACTACACTGCGGAATATTCCGTAATACAACCCCCCAGCAAGGAACTCACCCTTAAACCCGAGCTTCTTAAACACTACAAACAAGCTCTGCAAAATACTTATGATGCAGGGGACCCTAGAACTTGGGAAGTGCATTTGTTTGTTTTGTAACACGTGTCTTGATCTGCCGAGTGCTGTTGTGTTTTCTATATAACGATTTTATGTTTTTACATGAGATTTTCAGCGATCGCCTTAAAAGGCGCAAGCTGTTGCGATTTTCCTTCTGTATAAATAGCAATGTTAAATAAATGAGTAAATACTTTAAGGTTTTATAAATATTCAACACCTTTCTCCCGTTTACCATATGTGTGTTAATTGGTCAATTAATTATATTACATCGACATATACTCTTGTGTATAAATGTCTTGACTATGGTATTTCTAGTGCCAGTCTTTTGTACCATCACTAATGATATATTGCTTGACTAATTCATCGATTCTTATCAACAGGTGAGAGAAAGTCTGGCGGATCCAAAATGCATCGTCGAAACATCTCCCCTTTGTCAAAGTAAGAGCGATGAAAAAAGTTTTGTCGAGTTGTTGGCTTGGGGCAATTAAATCCTTAAAACATGGATACTAAATTTGATTTTTCAAGTTAAACAAAAGTATTTTTTAAGTTTTAAATGTTCTCTACTGACAATGGTCATTTTCTCACATTATCCCCCAAGTGGCGATGGTCATTTACTCGTGTTTCCTCCCCCCTCACTGACAATAGTCATTTACTCATGTTATTCTCCCCCCCCCCCGCTGGCGATGGTTAGTTACTCATGTTATCCCCCAATTGTCGATGGTCATTTACTCGTGTTTCCTCCCCACTGACAATGGTCATTTACTCGTGTTTCCTCCCCACTGACAATGGTCATTTACTCGTGTTTCACTGACAATAGTCATTTACTCATGTTATCCCCCCTGTAGAGTCTTTGCTCGAAATGGATTACCAGTTAATTGAAAGTTACGTGCATGCGTTGATGAATAAATGTATAAGAAAAGATGTGAAAGAAAAGGAGAAAAGTATAAGGTCGAGTTTCGTAACTCTACGACTCAAATTGCTTTTTACGTCTCGTCTTCTTTATACTACTTGATAAATATTCAGTTCAGACTCGTCTCATTTTTCAGCATCTGTATGTCAGTTTTACTTGGTGAGAGTTCTTCCACTTCCGAATTCAAAGATATTTTGTTGGACATCATGAAGAAGAAAACAGACATTAAGTTAGTGTATTTTGACGTGTATTTCTATCTATACTTAATTCATTCGACGCACTAAAAGGTCGGCGTTTGAACTTATTCTTGTGGACAAACAATTTTTTTCTATTCAAGAGAACCTCCCAACGTGACACGAGTTCAAACCAGTTCCCATCACGACTCAATAAGAGACCGAATCATGGAAAACGAAGCGTTCAGAAACGCGTTCACCGAGCAATATGTCAAAGTTGTACAACTGTAAGTGTTTGTTCATAACATTAGTTCCCAGTAACAAGCCTGTCCCTTCATAAAGTTTGTTCCCGCGGTAACATAGCCAAGCCCGTTAATAACATTAGTTTGCAGTAACGTAGTCATTGCGTTCATAACATTAGTTTTCAGTAACGTAGTCATTGCGTTCATAACTTTAGTTTCCAGTATCGCAATCGGCGCGTTAATAACATTAGTTTCCAGTAACGTTGTCAGCCCGCAACTTCAGTCCAGTTTTTATGAAAACTTCAAAGGAACACAGCACGTCCATTAAAATGATTATATTTATTTTGATGAGAAATTGACAGAAATTTATTTTTACACATATGAAGTCCAAAATATTCGTTAAGCACTTGTTAAGAATTTTCTCAATTTTAAAATTGATATTCTTCGTGTTTTCACGTGTACACTGCGTCGCCTTCGCTATCGAAACTGTTGAATGGAGGAAGGCGGTCTTTTTATAGAGCTGGAATGAGAGCACCCCCATCCCAAACCTCTCTCAGTACTCAACCTATATACAACATCATATAGCGGTATATCACAGCGCTCTACGTATAAAAATAACATGTTGGATAAGTATAAGTAGATCAACAGAACTTGATAAAATATAGACAGACATGAGAAAGTTTTCAGTTTGAGACGATGTTATCAGGCTCTTATGATGTGTCAATCGTCAAGAAAGATGTAGCTACGTCAATGATCGTCTCAATCTAGACTCCGACTTAAGGTGTACCTATGAAATGGGATATAATAATCATCATCCGCTCGGTTCAACTCATCGGGCATGTTTCTTTTCCTCTGCCATGCTTGCAGTTTGTCGCTTTTTTCCTCTTGGCGAACCGCGTCGTTCACTTCTTTATAGAACTCGATAAAATACGGCGGGTACTTTTTTTCCATCTTTCGAAATGCTGTCTCACTTATGTTCAGCTCTCTCTTTCCGAGGGAAATGGTAATTCGAATTCCGACACGACCACGACTATCTTTCTGCGGATGGTTTCTTCTCCAATCTATAAAGGAAATTGTTTGAAAATTGTCTTTCCCAATATGAGGTCGATTGTTGACCTCCTTGACTTAAAATGTGGAACTATATGAACGGCAAGCTAAAATCATTTCTTTAGTTCATGCGGCACTGCTCTTGGAATGCAAACCACGTTGAAGTTAAGATTCTCAAGCGAACTGTGGTGAAATTACTCAACCCAAATAAACCCCAGGGATATTGTACTACTTACGTAAACGGCTAGTGAAGTTCCAGCTCTCGAGTAACTCGTAGGGAAGTTGTACTATAGTCTACGTAATTAAACTGCAGTGAAGTTGTAGTTCCTGTAAATAAACCACAGTGAAATTGTACTGCCTACGTGGATTGCAGTTAAGTCGTACTTCCTTAGTATATCGGAGGGAAGTTGTGCTTCCTAAGTAAACCAGAGGAAGGTTGTACAACGAAGTTATGCTGCAGTGAATAACTTGATATAAATATTTTGCAGTAGCGCCGTACTTTTTAAAAAGACCACAGTGAAATTGTGCTTCCTATGTAAATCGCAGTGAAGTTGTACTTCTTAAGTTAATCAGAGGAAGGTTGTACTACTTAAGTTAAACTAGCGAAATTGTAGCTATACTTCCCAAGGAAGGGGACTTGTTAAGTGAAGTTGTACTTTGCGCATGCACCATGACTTGATTGTTCTGTCTCTCTTTTTACCTGAAATATTCAACGTTTTCCATCCGAACTCCTTCGTCGAAAACTTGAACACGTTAATCTTCCTTTGACTGTACAAGTCGAAAATCTTCACCAAATACAGTTTGGTAGACATTGTCACGTGTCTCTTCGCCGTCTTCATCATGAAAAGTCGCAACTCGTCCTCCATCCACTTGGAACCCTTTTCCGCTCCTTTGAAACTGTTGTTTTTGAAGATGAGTTTGATGGACCTCTTCTTCATCATTATTTCTACACATTGAAGAAAAGTTTTCGAAGTTAGTTGCCTTTGAAACTATCAGTTGGCGATTTAGATCATGCGTCATTGATGCGCACCTTCATTGCATAATTACATACCGTAAATGATTGCAAGGAATGGTTCGTGCATTTATTATAAAGATTACATGGTGAAATGTTTTTATTAGAACGGGAATATTGTATAATATACCAAAGTTTATACGGCTCTTGATTGTATGGCACACATCAATTTTCAATGTGTACGAGTGAAAATCCTTATATTTCGTAAAACACCACGTATTTTATTCATATACCTAGGATTAACTGCAGTTTACTTAGAAAAGTTATCTCTCCAATCTCACATTTCTATTGCTAAACGGCCGATGCCCTACCGTGTTTGTGACCTCACCATACTTTATCCTCGTGTAGGGCATCTAAAAATACTCCAGATGCTGACGTCTTTCATGTCTTTACTTGACATGTCAGAATTCATCAGTCGCAAATCTTGTTGTAAATACGTCTTAGCCTTGTCAAATACGGCGGGCATTTTGTATTTAGATAAGTTACCAAACTACCCTTGACGTAAGAACTGTATTCATGGCTGCGTTTGTTGCGGTAGTACAAACCAAGTAACCAACTTCACTCTATATACTAAATCTATTTATATGCTTTTCTTATGGCTATTTGCCACATCCACGCTCTAGTCGTTTCAGTCATTTTATTGGTTTCTATCGCGCAATCTGATTGGACAGAGCCCTATATATGTATCTGCGACAGAGATATAGACGACTCAATAAGAACACAGGGAACAACGACGCGATTCGACGCAATTATATAAGAACCCGTCTTTAAAGATTCACTAGGGATAATATATTATTGATTCTATACCTGAAAGATGAAGTAGTTTAATGCACACGTGTTTCTCTGACTATCAAGCAAAACTTTTCTTCCTAGTAATCAAGTTGGGTTTATCTATCATCTATCAAAAACTTTCTGCGAATCAAATTTTTGCGGATTCAGTTTTTTGTTCAGAACATTTTTCTTTTTCCTTCTTCTTTTATTCGGTTGACAAATATTTACAGATGTCTTCCGCCAGTCGGCAGGAATGTTCCAAATACAAATGATTTTAAATATATGAACTCTCATTAGTAAGTTCACACGTCTAGGTTGTTCTAATGCGAGGCAGTGGCATATCAAGAACGCGGGAAGGGGCGAATTATTTTGACTGAACAAACAGGATTTCCTTGAACAGTGCACTTCTTCCAAAATCAACAAAATCTGGATTTTTCCTGAACGTAAAATCTTTGCAAATGTTTGTAAAAGAGTCGATAGCTTGTCGCCGTCGTGAACTGTGAGAAGTATGTCCACTTATAGTCAACAACAAGCCCCTGTCTCCATTAAACGTGGAAAAGATTTTGAATTACGTATTTAGAAATGGTTGACATGGAACTTTGAATTTGACCGTGCTCGTGGCAGTATCATGTGGTCAACCCTTGCAATTCGTGCAGTTTACCACACAGTTGAGACGATAGATTATTGCGACCAGAACGCAGAGCGCTGATGTGGTTTTGTAAACATCATTTGTTAATCAGATAATACATTGAATACGGATCGACTTCAATCGCTACCTACGGCAAAATTAATTGACTTGACAAATGAATTTTACTTACAAGGCACTATCTTGTTGATTTAAGCCTGCCGTCCAAACAAAATGTGATACGTTGATGGCGAGAGATGGAGACAAAAAACAATCATTAGTACATTGTCAACGCCGCTCCACCCTTCGAGGAAAACATGCTTGGGTGTTGAGATTATCTCTAAGTGGTCTCCCATTTTAAAATGATATATTTGACATGTCCATATATGCTGAAAAGCTACTTATCGCAAGACAGCAAGTCCGATAAACTTTGGAGAGTTTTTGAGATCGAGTTCTAATCGATTGAGAAGCTTGCGGTGTTGTGAATGATTGAAAAAATTTTTGTGAAAAGGGAATCGTATATGTTGCTTGTGTCCCCACTCCCCTAGAGATTGACTGTAGTGTATTGCACTTCATTGACCGGCCCCTAGATGTCGATCTTTTAATATTGATCTACGCGAGTGAAATGGTTCTTAACTTCTTATAACTAAGACTAAATAGCGGATACGGTTGCTATAGATCGTTTTGTCCTTCGATCTTTCTATCGTCACAATCACTGGCCTGCGTAAACAGAATTAAACGAGTCTTGATGCCATTTGCTAAAAGTGTTGTATACGCAGAAATTCTCTTCCAAAATGTAGATTATTGACGCGCACTTCAAGTGCGCGCAATCGTAAAATAATTTGCATAAACGACGCGCCTTTTCCGAGAGAGCTCTCAATTGAGTATTCCGGGCTTAACGCAGGCGTTTGATACTTTGAAAATCTGAACAATGGAATCGCATTTCTCGACGCAATGCATTGCATTTTGGTGCTTGAAAAACGCAAGATGTGTCGTTACTGAGAAGAGAAATCCGGTTTGTTATGTGCTCCGAGCATGTAGAGCTTTGAAAACCATTGGCCGACTTTGTTGTACTACATTACGAATTGCTAGATTTTAGAGTAAATGAAAACAACGGGCATGCGATTGCGTTAGCGTTTATGAGAGAATGCAGCTTACTTACTGGGAAAGATGCATTGTAGATTTATTTTCTTCTCGTGTTTCATGATTTCCGTGTACAACTGAACAACGTATTTTAGGATTGACTTGTGGGTCTTGCGTGCTGGTACTCCGTGAGGCTGCAGGGGATTGGATTGACTCTTTCGTTTATCTTTTATGAAGAACGCGTCAACTGCGGCCATGGATACGAAAAGGAACAAAAACAGCGCTCTCATAGTTCGCGTTTCTCTTTTGAAATCGTAAATATGATTGATTGAGTGTGTGCTCCCTCTTGCTTGAGTCTGTGCAAATTATGTTAACGTGTTTGACCTCGTCGTTTATATACCCTTGCTGATGGCTGCATGCCCGTCGCAAAGCGGAAACATTTTCGGGAATTTAAAAGATAGCAATCATTTAGTATTAATCTGTGGCACTTAAATAAAGAATCCACCTTTAACGACATATGGACAACAAGACGGGGGGGGCGACGCGTGAGTGTGGAATCGCCAGTAAGTCGAACCTGCCCTTCATAGGAGGTTTTTGAAAAGTTTGAAGGGCATATAAACGTTCAGTTTGTGCAGCGTGCGAATACTTTTGAAGCTATATGCTTTCGCAATACATGATCGTTTATCACGTGAGATATATTTTACATCACGCGTGTTGGCCTGTGCGTATAAGTAACTTTTCCACAGCAGATATGGGAACTTATTTTAATCTGGCTCCATTAAAGATTACACATGCTAAGGAAGGACATTCATCTTTAAGTAATCCGACCCACCCATGTTGTTTCATACAAAAGTGCAACTATTTCAAGGTTTCCTCCCTTCTCATAGACGTGAAACGCGCTGTTTTTGGTGTCGTAGAAAAAACTCTGATTTTAGAAGTTGCGGATGACAAAAAACTCTGATTTTAGAAGTCGCGCTGTTTTTGGTGTCGTAGAAAAAACTCTGATTTTAGAAGTTGCGGATGTAATTCTATGCTCGCTGTGTGATAACTCACGAAAGCTAAACTAGTAAACTTCTCTTAACGGCATCATGTCAAAAGGACCTGTTCATGTATTTGAAAATTCGTTGCACCTAAAGTCATGGTGTTCAATATACCTCGTAACGTTCAAGTAAGAAGCTAAATTTTTGAGTGTCCTTCATATAAAGGAACTCCCACACTGCAAAAATTTTGGATGTCTGGACATGCAGACATGATGGCTTTCTATAAGCCCTTGCTAAAAGTTCAAAAATCTCAAATGATTTTCACGGCTTCACGCAAGTGATTCAGATTGCAACCCACCCACCCCCTACGCCGTTAATGTCATGTTTAGACTTTATTGATGTTTTCGACTACCAACACTGTCTCACTAATAAAATATTATTGGATTCTTTGTTGAAGGTGCAGCAACTTGGAATCTTGGAATAGATTTCCTATAGAATAGATATGCAGAAGAATGATGACGAGTAGTTATCTTGAACTATTTCCTAATTCTTTTACTCGACGATTGGTATTTTGCTAGTGTGTGGACCTTTCATGGTCGTTTGCGCATTGTGTGTGCGACATTTACCAGTTCATGACGTGTGGGAACTTTTTTGTTAAGTATCAGCTGGAAAAGATGGTATGTACTCGTGAAATTCCAGACGCAATGTTAGAGCGGCCAAGCCTGCAGGATTGCGTAGCTGGCATTCCGTTTGACGTAAGTTCAGCGACTGTTGAGCTATGCTGTTGTACGGTCACGCAATACAAGGACACGTTGAATTGAAACCGCAATTGTTTGTATAGATAATGTTGACATCGGTAAGCGTAGAATGAGAGTAATTATACCGACGTTTATTAACAGTGTTACATTTCCTGTGACGACATGTTAAGTTAATCTATTGTTTACATTATGTTTACGACAAGAAAAAGCAAAAATCTAAATCCTACTGACTTTGTTTACTTAACCGACACTTGCGCTCTTCTTCCTGAAGATCCAGAAGCGAAGGGCATCCCTGCAGTTGACCCCTGCATTGGTATAGGGTCCGCTTTAGAGGTTTGTCCATTTTCTTTCAACGAACTATTCGTCTGATTCCGGAACGTGATCGACCTACGTCGATGAAATGATCCGTTCTCTCGAGATATTCTTCACAATGGCTATCATCCAAACACAAAAAACCAATTACGATCGTAATTACGACTCTTTAAGTCCAAACATATGTAGTTTCCGTCGCCAGTTCGGTATTCCTGCAATTTTAACCTTGCTACTCTACTTTCGTACACCAGATGGCATCAAAAGGCCGATGTAATAAAAATTCAACGTTGCGTATCGTTAGAAATAGAACCCAAACTGTATGCGAACATTTCAGCTGAACCAGTTTCAAACAGCCCTTTCATTGATATTCTTTAATTGAGCCGTAGAAGGATGCGTATGTACCGATGCACTATGCTGCTGATTTTTCGTTGAACTGTCTCGAAGATTGCATAAACAAAATTTTCTTAGATGGGTAATAGATCCTATGTATATATTCGTTGTTTCAACTGAGTGTTGCGTCAACATACGTACGCAAACTGAGTATGGCTGTTTCATTTTGACGAATTTCTGGGGTTGGATCGTTAATTTGATAACAATTCAAAACAGCTGGTCTCAGTTTTGCACTCAGTGCGTACTGAATCATTTTTAAGACATGATATTTCGCATTATCGACAGATGGAAACAGTATGATTCGATGTTTTCCTTACTCTGGCAATATGGTACGGAGCATAATATGTGTGCCTGTATCTATCGAGTTTTCGACTTTTTGTCTTTTTTAATTTTTATTAAGCCAAGTGTAAAATCCTGTTTATAGTTAGCTCAGTACTATCATCGTTTATATAGAGTGTGTAGAATATGTTGAAAGTTTATCATCTTTTTGATTGTCCTTCCATACGATGGATTTCTTTCTTTGAGAAAGAGTTTCAGGTAGAAATGGCAAAATGCCGACAAAGATTGTGAAGAAAGATGATCAATACTCCAGAAACAAGTTGCGATACTTAAGCCATTCTCTTTAGTTCTTACAATATCACGAAGAAAGAAACTTCGGCTTATTGTTGTCGGGAACATTTTTTTTCTAAATAAGTTCGATGTATATGAATCTATATTGCGTGACATAACCGCGGGGGGCTCTCTTACCGCAATTATTTGGCTTGCCTCTCGAATGTAGACATCTACTAGTAATCATCACCTCCGTAGTTCCTCGTCGTTTTTGAACAGATTTGTTGATGCGCAAAAGATATCTTTATGCCGTGTGTATATATTAGTATATGTTTTTGTCTGGAATATATTTCGCTTGTTCCACTCGTTATTACTTGTGTCTTCAATGCAAACTATAGTTTAGGGCACTCACAAGTTACACTTTTACACTTCAGGAGAGTGTCCATTTATTTTGAAAGAATTTCAATTGATCTACCGAAGATTTTTGATGGTGTTTGCTAAGCTTTGTATCAAATATTCATTTCCGTGTTATGTTCATCTATAGGTTTTTTTTTCGTTTCTAGATGCTTTCAGAAGATTTCTATTACATGTTGAAGGAAATCTGCTTAGCGTGAGGAGATTATTGAACTCGTTTCAGAGTTTCGTCCTTAAAGGAGAAAATGATAGAGCTAAAAGCAAAGCTCTTAATATAAAAATGCCAAGTTTTAAGCGTTGAAAGAACTTGAAGCAATGATTTTTAAATCGAGTTTTCAATTTCAAAACCTCACTGCAAATGAAAATGAGAAAGTGATTTCTTTTAAACACAATTATAAGTAATTTGCTGGGTTAACTTAGTTTAATGTTAGTGTGGTACTTTCTCGTGAAAGCGGTGTAGTCTTTCGGTTGTCCAAGAAATATTTAGTCTTCTTTCACCATTTTTCTCACTGACATCTTTCTGCGAACTGGGTATTTTTAAAATATCTACTTTTTCACAGAGCAACTTTTCTTCGGGGCGAATGAAAACCGTTTGCAGTAATAGATGATGTCTTTATATATATAAGTATATGTTTGAAATTACTATTCAAGTTTTTTTTTTATCTGGCGTTGTTTGCCATCCCTTCATGCGTGGACAAACTGGGACAAACCAAACCACCATATTGTGTGTACAAGACATTGTCAGCTCCTAAAATATTTTTAACAAACGAACAAATATACCTTCTTGTCAGTTCTTCCCGTTCTTCCTAATAAAACTCTTCTGACGTTCTTTTAAAGATGTCAGTTTGAGCGATGAGAACAAGTTAAGCTGTAAACCCAGTAACCCTCATGAATCAATACCATAAGTGAATGCATTCACATAGAAAAGTGGACTTTTACCGAGCTCAATGGCATCGTCTTCACTCGCCCAAAAAACTTGGGAAATGGAAAACAACATGGAATTTGTTTCGAGTGTTGATGCCATATTTTCTTATAATGGACAGGAGCAACAAGAGATTCTAAGTGCGAAGCCATGGACCAAGGAGTGAGTGTTAAAAACAATATTATATCATGACTGTAGTTGTACAAAGTACTGCTACTGGCATAATTGAGTTGAGAGTTATTTGATTTGATATCACTTAATTCAGCTATTATATCCGACGTGCTACCTCTATTAAATACATCTTGTGAAAATTCCTCTTATATCTACTCTATAAATCTATCAATGAAAAAGATTCAATAACTTTTTTTATTAATAAGAATAAGTAGAGCATTATGATATTGAACCTGAATTATTCATTGTGGATTGCATAAATAACACGTTGTTTGCTGCTGTTATTTTTAGTCCACACTATTTCAAAAACATCAAAATCTCCGCATTGGCTCTGCTTAAAATGGTATGAGATGATGCAGGTTTTTCCCACAAACTTTGTCGTTGTGTCTTGTCATGTGTATTCCATCTATGTCACTCTCTGTCTGACATCAGGTGATGCATGCAAGATCTGGAGGAAATTTGGAAGTGATGGGTTTGATGTTGGGGAAGGTTGATGGTAGCACGATGATAGTAATGGATTCATTTGCTCTGCCCGTGGAGGGGACTGAGACACGAGTGAATGCTCAAGCACAAGCTTATGAATATATGGCAGCATACATAGAATCTGCGAAGACAGTAGGCTTATCACTTTTCCTTTAAAATGTAGGTTATCCGTTGATAGGTTATATGCATTCTTATGTTACTATGCCATAGGTTGGTCGTCTTGAGAATGCTATAGGATGGTATCATAGTCACCCGGGATATGGTTGTTGGTTATCTGGAATTGATGTTGGTACTCAGATGGTCACGCAACAGTTCCAAGAACCATTTGTTGCAATTGTGGTAGGTTCTTTGTAAATTTTGACCTACAAGACATTTTTACAACTTCCAAAGACAAACTCTGCTCACTTCTATCTGCAGATTGATCCAACAAGAACTATTTCAGCTGGTCGTGTGAACCTTGGTGCATTCAGAACATATCCCAAGGTGCTCTCTGCTATGGTATTATGAAGGATGGAATGAAGAGTGTAAACTAACATGTTTTGACCTGCTACCTAGGGTTACAAACCACCAGATGAAGGACCTTCGGAATATCAAACTATTCCTTTGAGCAAAATTGAAGATTTTGGAGTTCATTGCAAACAGTGTGTGATTGATTAGCTTTGTTTTGAGCCACACTCCCGACTAAAATTACAATGTTAACTTTCTCTCTTACGTTTCAGGTATTATTCATTGGAAGTGTCCTATTTTAAGTCATCTTTAGATAAGCGTTTATTAGACATGTTATGGAATAAATACTGGGTCAACACGCTCTCATCTTGCACGCTTCTTACAGTAAGACTTTTTTCTATGGCGTACGTAATCCCTAGTGTGAATTTCCCCATGTGCCGTCCTAAACATCGTCATTCTATTTGTTTTATGAAGAACTCGAACTACACGACACAGCAAATTTCAGATCTTTCCGAGAAACTTGAGCAAGCTGAAAATCAGGTTATTGACTTTAAGGGTTGTCAAAATTTTTGTTGTTTTTGGTTAACTGTGTCGATGAAACACCCTGATTGGTGGTCTGTGTAATGTAGGTCGGACGAACGCCCGGATATCTGCACGGGGGAGATAGTGAAAAAAGAGAAGAAGGCAAATTATCTAAAGCCAGCAAGGACAGGTTGGTGTCAAATTTTATAGTTAATATAATAGTTTTATTTGCTGATAAACTAGATTGAATTTCCCCAAAACTTTGTGGAAATCATCTATGTACGTATTGTCAATGTATCGCGATGATAAGATCGTACGAGAGATTTCAGCAGTTTCGTTTAGCTTGGTCAACTAAGGGGGTGTTCACATTGAGTCAGGAAGGACTTTCGATCCGGAATGAACTCATTCCATTTTAAAAGAAATCCTATTGCATGTTTACATGAATCCGGAATGAGCTACAACTCGATCCGGATCGAGTTCATTCCTATTTTCGTTCCGGATCGAAATTTAGTGTTAACCTTCATGTAAACCGAATTGAGTTTCATTCTGGAATGAGATTGTGATTAATGACGAAGCACGCATCCACCATGCGTGTTGTCTTCTGGGAAATAGAAGCTCTAAAGCAAATAAGGCTGCTAAGTGTGCTAAAATGAGAGCGAAGAAAAGCAACTATTAGTTTCATGCAAGCATTAAGCTGTATTAACGCAGAAACAGTAGAAAAGAAAAGGGTTGTTATGATGTTTATGTTAGTTATCTTCAAAATTCCTGCGTAATGTCAATCCTTGTGTTGATTTCCCCTGTAAACACGGATTAACATCACGTTTAGATCGGGATTGAAAGTCATTCCTGATTCATGTAAACACCCTCTAATGGAAAGGTAAAATAAAGCCAAGTCACGTAGCTATCAGCATATATTCATTCATGATTTCTTTCGGCTGTGAATTCGGCGCGTGATAAAATTCACATGAGCCCGGTATCCGGGATTCAGCGAAGCGTTACATAAATCATTTTGGCAAATGGAAAAGATTAAGCACTTCACAACAAAAAACTTATTTGAACAGTTTCTCCATGCTCTGACTTTGTAAATTCATAAAACCTTTAAAATGAAAACGAATAATTTAGTCTGGTTTGAAAATTACAAATACAATGACTTACGACGCTTAAGAAAAGGTTATAAGTTTTGCGCTTGAAGTTTTTACCTCTTTAAATGACTCAAAATCATTTCACGCCTCGCTGAAGCCCGGTTACCGGGCTCATGTGTACAGCCCCTCACAAGATTACGATGAATTTCAAAGGTCACGAAATATCTTCGCGAAACACATTTCATCCTTTGATACACCGGTGACGTCATGACGTGAAGGGGAAAGCTCTGTCTGGGAATATGGTTTCACGAGGTCTTAGAAATGAATTCGATACGGACTGATGGAGTTAGCCCCGAATGTTTTGTTTGTCGACAACGCTATTCGTCATTCGTTAATATGCGTATTTATTGAAAAGCGAATATACATTTACCGATATTTAGCTAGATATTTTGTATCGTCAAGCAGTTTAATTCAAAAATTCGTAAAAACTTTAATTTGTCGTTTCCCATCCCGACTATGCATTCTCCACATTCCAATCTCATAAGCCGATTAATTTTTCAGCTCGAAGACTACAATCGAATCAATCCACGGACTCATGTCGCAAGTGATCAAGAACACTCTATTCAACCAGGTGAAGTCGACAAAATTGACAGCCAAGTAGGTCAGACGAGACGTTTTTTTATTCACGAGATAAATAAATGGACGTGCGTCGCCATGATTTAAATCCTCTTAAGGTTTTTTTTTCTGGACAAGTCCGACATATGACAAATGGTTTGTGATAAAAACTGATAATTCTACAAAGTATTTTTCGATAGTGTAAAACTTCCTTACAATAATCCTCTCTCTGAACTATTGAATGTTTAACGCTCCGAGTGCGAATTTTCTCGAGAGGATTTTCGCCTTTTGGGTTGTTTTAATCATAAAAATTTTTCCTAGCGTTTTTGGCCTGCTGCCATCTCATAATACGATATAGATGCCAACATTGTAATGCTTATCTACAGTTCTTTGTGATCCTCTGTTAATTTTTTTTGCGTATTCGCCTCCTTTCGTAAATTGTCTAAGATTTTGGCCGCGTCGTATCTTTGTTTCTCGTCGTAGCGCTGATCAAGCGTGAACCAGATGGGTAAAGCGCATCGAATGCCCTGCTTAATTCCTAGAACTCCGTGTAGATTTTCGAAACCAGCCGAAAATGCCACCATGCGTCCACATCTTGGCTTCACAATTGCCTGATAAAGACAAGTATTTGTAATCGTAGTTTTTCAAAGGATGTAGTTTTTCATACATTTATTATATATACATTTTTCTTTCAGAGATCCAGCAAAAATCGTCTCTATTTATGTGTAACGGCTCTAAGAAACACAAATTGAGCTAACTATAATGTTACACTGTCCCTTCTTTTCTGTTTTAGTGTTCCAGAAGTGGCGAAACCAGGGCTAATTTTACTCCTGCCAAGAAAATATTTGAGCAAAACCTTTTTTTTTCATCTCCGGCTTCAAGTTCCTATAAATCATGTTAAGCCGGAACTAGCTGTATTATACAGCATACTTGATAATGAATTACTAAAGGCTAAAATTTCACCTGTCTAATTTCTTCTAATTGTAAACGTAAATTAATCAAAAAATGAAGTGCGGTTATTAATTTTGACGCAACCTAGATCTGCCACTTTTACTTATCTCTAAAACCCTAAACTCTAGAACCCTGATTTCCAATCTCCACTAAGATCATCTTTCATAGTCCAATGTCAATGTCAAATATGAATAGTCGTTATGGCGAAACTAACATACCTCGATGGTTTGATTTTTTCCCGCGAAGACAAACTGCCCTCCGGCGAAGTCATCATTCAGGTAAAGAATAGCGCTTTAAAATAAATTAGTTGAAGATAACAAGAAGATTGCTTCCATTTATCTATTTCCACCACACCAACTCACCTGTAATCTCTCCACGTATAAGCCGGATGCTCTTTGCGACAAGTGACGTTTTCGCCATTATGTTTCAGAATGCAGTTGTCCGAATGGACGGGGTGGCTGATGTGAATGCCCTTGGATGGTTGCTCTAAACGGACCAAAACGGAGCATTAGGTGAGAGAAATTGCATTGGGTACGAGTCGTTGAATTTAATGTGCCCTCTCTCACTTGAATTGGCGAGACTCTGTTTCTTGATTCGAAAGGAACAGCTTAGGATTGATGGGAACACTAAGGCACAGGGATGGATTTACTGCGGTTTCAGGCGCGGAAGGGTGCTCTCCTCTTACCACTCTTGATAAGAGGGTGTGTAGGATGGGTGCTAATTTCATTTTGAAATTTAATATATCGAGGAATTAAGACAAAGCATATGTGATTTGTGAATAACAGAGCACTCCTCGAAAAGATAGCTCGCAACCATGTCATAAAAGAAACAGAATTTGGCGAAAAACTTTGATATGGCACCGTAACATACGCTAAGTTTCGACCGCAATCCACTTTAAACTAGAGCACCACCACCACCCCCCACCACCACCCCTCCCCCAAACAGAGCTGTCCTCTGTCTATGCCTGCTTGAAGACATTGTAGAATTTACCTGAACGGGCTCTTCTGCAGACCAGATGTGTATAACTGAAGTAAAGTGGTGTCGATAGTCGAAAGTATGCCTCAGTTATAATTCGCGCTTTTTCACTCAGATTCATGTACAGTTCAGCTTTCTCTAAGCTTGTGTCACCTTTTGCTGCAGCCTTTAAAACAATGGAAAATTTTGTTAATTTACCGTTTTCTTTGTGACACTGCAAGACACGCTTTTCACCACTTACCCACGTAGCATTGTTCACATTTACCCCTAAAAATTCCTCTTTTTTCGTGTGAGGACTAGGGTTATCCTTGTATCCATCACCTGCGTGACCCAGTGTCTGCAACAACATTTCATTACTGTTTGCTGCATTCAACTATATCTATGCGTGAGATCATTGAATTGATCACATGACTGGAAGGCTATCTTTTAAGTGAAAATTCTTGCATTTGCGTGAATTCAAATTTTACCTCCAGAACGCGTGTGTGTCTGTTAGCCGTGCGTGAAAAGATTGGGACTAGGTTAATTGCTGACGAGGAATTTTTGCCTAATGTAGCCTTTCAGTTATGTTCAGTTCAATGACCTAAACATGACTGTTTACCATTCCTAATTCGGTGAGTTTTTTACATTCATCTTCGCTCGCTAAACCATCGAACACCACACGATACGTTCCGTTTAGCTCCCCTTCAAACATCGTCAGTTTGGCATCCTTCAAAATGTGAATTTTTGAGTTAGACCGAGAAAGTCCGAATTTAAAGTAAAATCGCCTAACGAAATTATGGCACGTTAGTTAACCTGAAAGCGCTCGTTTTCTTGTAAAAATTTTTCGATAGTTTCTTTGGCTGGCGATGGAAATCGTTTATAAGGCTCATCCTTGAATTCTTCCTCGTTTTTAGACTGCTCTTCCTCCGCATTGCTTGGTGGTCTCTCATCTGGGTACTGACCAGTCTTCTGAAATGTCTAAATTGGCAATTATTATATGAGTTGTCATCTTTTTCAAACGACGTCGACACCAGGACTCTCGGACAGGACACCTTCGCTTAATGACAAACTAATGTTTTTGTTGCAAGATATGCTGAGCAGGTGAGTGGAATTTATCTGTTGTATTCCCCCCCTGAACATTTCTTCATCAGAATCTTATGTTCCGAAATGCGAATCAATGGAAATAGCGCTTATGTATAGGCGGTGTTGTTGACTTCGTTGTTATGTGCTTGTAGATGAAGATGGTCCATGTTAGTAGAGTCCTGAGAAGAACTGTTAGTGTTCTTGTTTATTGCCGTTTCGATTACTTTAGCAGCTCTGACTCTAAAGATGACTGCCGCTATGATTGTCGAAACGTCAGTTAACATCAACACCAACATTTTTTCTTAGGACTTTACTAAAATGGACGGTCTACAAACATGTGAGGATGCTCCCGGGCTCAAACCATTCACTATGTAGTTATAGCTGTAGATAAAAAGTTTATTTTGTCTGTAACATTATGAAGAGAAAATACTCGCAGTCGCAGCTGCAGTGAAAACTACCATGCCATAGTCAAGTGGCTTTTGCAAATGTAGCAAATATACTTCGCACGTTCTACCTCATAAGTTGTATCGGCAAGATCCTCTGTCCCTTTGTATTCTTCATCCAAGTCGAGCAAATACGCTTTGACTTCAAACAGCAGCTCCATTTGAGATTTGATGTCTTCGTAAAAATATTTCGCTTCCTAAAATGTCAAAAAAGTTGTAGAAGATGATGATGGTATTTTCTTCAATTGACGATGACGATGACGATTGCCTTCCATTGACGATGAAAGATGATCAAAGAAGTGCCTTCAGTTGAAGATAAAAGATGGTAAAGGGATTGTTTCAGTTGACCATGAAAGATGGTAAAGGGAATTGCGTTCAGTTGAGGATATAAGATAGTGAAGGGATTGCCTTCAGTTGATAAAGAAAGATGATGAAAGGAGTGCCTTCAGTTGAGGATAAAAGATGATAAAGGAATTGTCTTCAGTTGATGATGAAAGATGATGAAGAGACTGCCTTCAGTTTACAATGAAATATGGTAAAGGGATTGCCTTCAGTTTACTATGAAATATGGTAAAGGGATTGCCTTCAGTTTACAATGAAATATGGTAAAAGGATTGGTTCAGTTGACCATGAAAGATGGTAAAGGGATTAAGTTCAGTTTACAAATGATACTGTTACGACACCCCTACGAATCTCACATTTTTCTGTGGTTGACTGCATTTTTTTTCTTAGGCCTGCTTTATAACAGAAACAAAAATTGAAATAAGAAATATTTATCAGGAATTAGAAATTAGAAAGACTCGATTGCTCAGAAAACAAGCAAAAACGTTACATAGCACGTTTACAACGCTTAATAAAAGAGGTTCGCTTACCTCCCGCGGTGCTATTTGGTCAGTGGCGATGCCTTTCCCTTCGTAATAGTCGAGATTGGAGCGCACTCGGTCATTGAGAGGATTTAACATAACGGTTGTTACTGCACATGGCAACGCGTCGTCTTGACGACCAACTATAAAGGTGGAGGAACTAAGACACGGATCACATGTGACCGTTTAAACAAGGCAGGCGACTTACGTTGTATATACGAGAAATGAAGGAAGTCGTATTGCTTGCTTAAGTATCCCTCTTGGGGATAGTTGAACATCATTGATAATTTTCTTGGACAGTCGAGGGTACATAACAACAACTGCATGTGATATCCATAGATGCCCCCTCTTATATACTGTTGCCTGTCGTCCACCTCTACCTCGCAGAGACATTTACACTCGTTATATGCTCTGGTGTACTCTTTGATGGATTCTTCGAAATATTCAACAGACTTCTCCCAATCTTTTGCGTTATAAGCCCTGCGACCTTTCTCGTACAGCTCGTGATGCTCTATGGGAGCCAAGCTTTCAATGTCATCGAACACAATGTCCTGTAACTCCGGCAGATCTCCGTAGTACTTCATGTTGTCTTTCATCTGCTCATCAGTCGGATTCAAACGGAGATAGGTGGACGCTGCTTGTACTGCCATTCTGTTATTACCGTGCTTTGAATAAAATATATTAAAAAAAATATATTAAAATATGTTAAAATATAAACGTATTACTATGGGAATGAAGACAACTGTCGTCTGTGGAATGTTTCCGAAGCAATGTTTAGTGATAAAAAAGTGGCGTTAACTTCAGACTTATCGAAACTTAGGAATTTTCTTACAACATGTTGATCGATTATAGTTTAGTGTATAGCTTGTCACATACTTAAGTGCATTATCTCTATTGCTTATGTCATTCTAATATGGGGGCAGCTCATTGAATTTTCCGTTAAAAATCTCCCATCTACAATTGAAAGTTTCCACAAGGTAGCTGCCCACCTTATGATATGCGTACTGCATGTAGCTGTAAGGAATTCTGTCATCGAACCGACGGCGTACGTGTTTGGAAACTTCAAGTCTGTTTCCCATCTTTCCCAGCATACAGGCACTCGTGCAGTTTCTCTTGAAGCTCAGGTAGCGAAGGTATTCTATTGAATACGATTCAGTTCGCGTTTTAAAATCGTTCTTGCATTTCTGTTGACACTCAATCGTGTATTTTCTTTCATTTTGCCAATCTTCGATGGCCTCGTTGAATTTCGCAAGTGCATTCTCCCAATCTTCTTTGTTATAGAGGCGCATGGCGTCAGCAAAGAGTTCATCGTAAGCCGGGTTCACCTGAACACTGGAGGAAATATCGTCGCAGTTTATGCTTATTGTCGCGAGAAAACCAACAATAACTTGTAAAATATACACGCGCTCTCTCATTTTCGATGTGCAAATCTTCTCTTTACTACAAATATCTGAATACACGAACGGCTAATATCAAAAATGTATGAAATTTTACACAGACAAGCATTGTTTGGTTATTCAAGCTCTTCCTCTTTGACATTCAACCTCTCTTCGTGTTCAAAGTCTTTGACTTTCAAAAGTGGGTAATTTCCGGCTTGCATTATAATGGCACGATTGTCAGTATTTGCGCGCGTTTTTTTGTAGTCGATTAACGTGTTTTTATCAAAGAGTTTGCGGTTTGAAAAGATTTCTTTTCTCGGCCATTTGTTGAAGTGCAAAATTACAACATTTCCAGCAAATATATAAGTTGCGTGTTGGACAATTCCACTTAAATAACACAAATGAGAGAGACGTTCCTTTCTTCTTCTTGTAAGCTGTTGCGTTTTCGCTTCGCAGCGTCAGGGCTACAACTTAACAGTTTTTTTGCCCGAGAAAGACCGTTGCTGTTGCTTTTTGAAGGGTCGCCAAAGCTATAAAACACTCCCCCGAACATGGTTCAGTAAAGCGTTCATTTTCCATTCAGATCAGTTGAAAGTTGAAACGCACTTTTTCCTCGACAGACACGCGACAGCACAGCAAACGTCAATTGACTCGAAGCTTTTTTTTCCCATTCGATATTTTGCAACGACCAATGTTTCGCGGAAGCGCTTTTGTCAAAGTATTTTTATCAATATCGATGTTGTATGTAATTATACGCTTGAACTGATTCATAATTTGTACGTTTTGATACTAGCGACGCAGGTATCCAATCGGAAAAATCACTAGAAGTTATTTTCACGCAAGTGACACAACAACAGCTGCGAACTGAGATTTCTCTCTCAATGGTGCTTTACCATTTATCTTTGCGTGATTTGTTTTTTTTGGTTTTGGATGCAATAACGTAGTCAATTTAAGAATCTTTTAAGAATGATTCGACAATGATCTCAGTACATGACGTAATTGATTTTTGCACACAATACCTGTTCCTCCGTCGCGTGATGACGTGATGGAGAGAGAAGAAAAGATTAAAAGGCGAGAGCCTGCCCTGGGTACTAATGTCCGTAGCGTGAACGAGAAAATAAAAAGTGAAAGCGTTTGCGCTTCTAAGTGTGTTGACCCGATAGGATAGATTTTTGCGCTCGGCAAGTAATCTTTTTAAGTTCTTCTCGAGTATTTGCTTTCACTCAATAGAATCCTCCTTTTGATTTACGATATTTCTCCCCCGTTCGTTTTTACTGTCTTGCTTACGACGGTTGAAATCGCCCGGATCAAATGGGATTAGTTTCAACGCAAACATTTCTCCATTTGTGTTGCTATGTAAAGTTTAGCGCAGTTTCAAGAGAAACTTTGCATGAAAATGGTGACGTTCAATTGCTGATTCCACGAATGTAGCTTTACGGCATCATTAAAACATATACAAAGTTGGCTTTTTACAATTTTGACAGTCTCTATGGAAAAACAAATCATTTCTCTTACATTCGTAGAATACCTTGGCAATGCTCTCTCGTGTTTACGTAGTGATTTATGATTTATACAGCTACGTGTCTGTTTGCATGTGCAAACGCCAGTTGCTGATCGCGACGAAAAGAGATGCAGTGTGAAAACATTTTTTATTATTCAGGCGGGATCTCGTTGAAGATGTCTTGGTGGGAAAGTTTCTGGTTTGTCTATGTCCTCTCCGTGGTAACCTTCGTAGGTAAGGTCGTTTTCAGCTTATTTCTCACCTACTTCTAAGCTTCGTGTCGTTATGAACACATAGAGTCGTTCGGTTATGGGTTTGAGGTCTTAAAATTAGCTCTAACTACGGTTGAAATGTCGTGAGTTTCCTTTGCAGGCGACAATTGTCTGTCTGATGACTTTGTTTCTAAAATTCATTAAAGACGTACCCGTTAGATGAAGTTATTCCAATGCTGATTGCTTTAAATGTTTAGGATGTATTGCTTATGCTTACCGGTTTATGTATGTGTGCCTTCTTCGACTTATCAAGGCTTTTCAATGAAATTTATGGAATAGAATCCCGAAATTAAATATCTCGCGCAATTCCATGAAGTCAGTAACGTCTTAAACCCGAAAGTTTCTAGAGATCAATATCTAGGTTCGGATAACAATGAAAATTTCTAGTTTACAATGAATCGTTTTCTACATTTTATTCTATTCTAAATATTTGGCTAGTTGCAGCTAGCCTGGATAGGGCCAATTGTAGCCAGGTTAAATATAGGGCCAGTTGCAGCTAGCCTGGATAGGGCCAATTGTAGCCAGCTTAAATATAGGGCTAGTTGCAGCTAGCCTGGATAGCCAATTGTAGCCAGCTTAAATATAGGGCCAGTTGCAGCTAGCCTGGATAGGGCCAATTGTAGCCAGCTTAAATATAGGGCTAGTTGCAGCTAGCCTGGATAGGCCAATTGTAGCCAGCTTAAATATAGGGCTAGTTGCAGCTAGCCTGGATAGGGCCAATTGTAGCCAGCTTAAATATAGGGCTAGTTGCAGCTACCCTGGATAGGACCAATTGTAGCAAGCTTAAATATAGGGCTAGTTGCAGCTAGCCTGGATAGGGCCTATTGTAGCCAGCTTAAATATAGGGTTAGTTGCAGCTAGCCTGGATAGGGCCAATTGTAGCCAGCTTAAATATAGGGTTAGTTGCAGCTAGCCTGGATAGGGCCAATTGTAGCCAGCTTAAATATAGGGCCAGTTGCAGCTAGCCTGGATAGGGCCAATTGTAGCCAGCTTAAATATAGGGCTAGTTGCAGCTACCCTGGATAGGGCCAATTGTAGCCAGCTTAAATATAGGGCCAGTTGCAGCTAGCCTGGATAGGGCCAATTGTAGCCAGCTTAAATATAGGGCCAGTTGCAGCTACCCTGGATAGGGCCAATTGTAGCCAGCTTAAATATAGGGCCAGTTGCAGCTAGCCTGGATAGGACCAGTTGTAGCCAGCCCTAAATATAGGGCCAACTGCAGCTAGCTGAGATATAGGGCCAGCAAGTTGCAGCTGGCCTGAATTTTTGGCGCTTGTAGCTAGCTCGGATAGGGCCAATTGCAGCTAGCCTAGCTACTATCAGTGATCGTGTCTTATGGCCTCTATTTAGGGCTTTAAGGGTTCAATAGAATGAAATTTAATTTTAAGGCTCATTTTTGCGGAAAACAACCATCTTTTGTACGCTAGGAAAGTCACTTAACAATGGAGAAGGATACCTGGCGCTCGTGCAACCTGCCCTTTGTGTCTTCAACTCTTTTAATTAAATGATGTACAATGGGATGTTTTCATAATCTTGCCTTAAGTGGACTTTTTTTCCTTGATCCTCACGATTTCTTCTATTCATTAGCTGGATTGGATATCAAAGACTACTCGGATGCCATAGAAGTCACGGAAGAACAAAATAAGGAAAGTGCGTTTGATCTGCTGACGTTTAATTCTCGTTGAATCTGCTTTTAATCCGATCTTTTTTCAATCCAATTTTCTTATTTACAAGCAAATGAAACTGAATTGGGCTATATAGCTTTATTCATACTGGATAGCTTAATCACGCAGGCCCGCAACATGATAATATCCTGTGTATTTATTTAGCATGGGTTATCGAAAACACATCTCCTGGGATAAGTGGTTCACTTTCGTACAAATTATCGCCAGCGGGCAGAGATTACGAAACCTATAAAAAGTTCTTCATTGTTCAAATCAACGACACTCATGCGTTGCTCAAACTAAATTTTAGTTTCAACTTTGAGGTAAGATCGATGAAAACATTTCCAATATGTGGTCTTCGAAAGATTGGCATGAATGGCGAAGTGTTAGCGAGGAATGTTTTATTATTATACAGTATAGTGAAGTCAGTCTTAGTTTTACTTCTATACAAAGCAGATATTCCTCTGTTCATTTACTAGAAAACAATGAATGAAATGAATATAGTCTGAGCACTGTAATAAATACTCTCATAAATAAAACAAATGAGGTGATTGGTCAATAGCTGTGTGTTTGCATTAGCCTGTGCAAACCGATATGAGCTCAACCAATTAAATCAATTTTGCGTTGTTTTTTCAATTCGGGCTAGCTTTGCTCTACGATTATCGCGTTGAAAAATTCTTTTTCTTTATTAATTGAAAGGACGCATACACAAAGGATCAGAAGATGAAGATTGAAAGTTATAATAATCTCGTAAGGATGATGTGTTTTTCAGCTTGCGTGTTGGTATCATTGATTGGGATGTCGTTGTTTTATTTAGGGAGATAGCGCTGGAGTGTTAACGCTTACTGTTAGTATCATAGATATCAACGATTTTCGTCCCGTGTTCTTAAACCTTCCTGCAACAATCAACTTGAGCGAGGTGAGGTCTTGTATGTCATATCACTAACTCTAGGAATTGTACCGGGGCAAGTTGTTCATTCTACACACAACGTCAAGTTGCAAACTTTTTTTGCCGAAGTCATATTTTTCAGTTTTGGAATTTTTGCTTAAAACTACTATTTTGTCCACTGTTCTGTTCTGTATTCGTTGCCCAAATCAATTGACAAAAAATCAAAACGACTCATAAAATGTTAAATAGTTTTAAGTGCTCAATAAAAAGTTTGACTGTTTTTAAAATTAGTTACTTAGATTCTTTTCTCTTTTTCTCGAAACTTCCAAAATGACTAGGGTATAAAAGTAATATGTTCATTGATTTCGACGAAAGTTTTTAACCAACACTTTCGTTGAAAATTCCGAATAAAAGGAGTTTTTAGCAGTTTTCCGAGGCATAGCCCCTCTTTTTATTTGGTCATCACTGTGCAGACAGACTGGCAATTTACTCACATTAAAAACAGTAGATTTCTATAGACATTAATAATAACTAGGCCTTGAACATTGCATCGCTGCACTAAAACTTGCTCGCTGGCAAATGCCGCCGGCAATACTTCTAATTTGCCTCAGAAAATCTCGCTTCCGTGATTTTTGAAAAAAACCCCGCTAACTTTATTTATTGCAGGCGAGGAACTAATATAAGCCCATTTTTTGTTTCGGCTTTCAACAATTTAGTCATGACTGTTGTGTTTTAGGCACTCTGCGTTGGATCTAAATTTTTCACCGTGAAAGGCAAAGATGACGATGCTGGTAAATCAGGGACCAATAAACATAACGCAATCACTTTCTCTATAGTCGATGGAAATGTTGTAAGTAGGTTTTATTATTGCCTTATGAACAACGCATTGAACCAAAATATGTGAAACGCTACCTGTAAGACAAAACCCTAATAATTTTTTGAAGCCGTGATTTTACCCCAGACACGCGAGATTTTACCCCAGACTCGCGTGTGTAGTCATAAATTATGATAAATTTTCACCCCTCGAGAGAATCTCGAAACACTACACACGCGTGTCTGGGTGTAAGATTTGGCTTCAATTATTTGCTTCAGGTAGCGTTCCATGTATTTTAGTTCAGTGGAACAACGTATCGACAATAAGCGCCAGCGATAGTCCAAGATGGTCGATTGATAATTTGTTTATGAATGAAATGAATTTTCTCTCCTTTCCTTGGGATGAAAATAAACAAAGAGAGCATTAATTTCTTTTCAATTGGGCACCCAACATGTCGGATGGATCGTGTAAGAACGCTCAATTTCACTTGTATTCCAAGCTTGGATTTTTTAACATTAGATTCACATTATTCATATTCCAGTAGCATAGCGAGCTGGATTAATGGAAGGGGGGGGTGGGGGGGGGTGTCGCGTTTTCATTTATGCGTGTTTTATACAGCATATATACTGTGCTGTTTTATAACATCAAGCAAAGGATTTTACATTGCGTAAGTCAAGCCGTGGAAAGCAATTGTGAATTTTTTCCGGTCTGGTGACAAATCTAAAAATTTCCTTGAAAATCTTATTTGCCATTGTAGATACCAAGTATAACCTAACTAGCTCTGAATGTTGGTGTGTTGAAAGTTTTCTTCATAACTACCTCGGTCACAGCTCCTATTCACTGTTGCAAAATATGCATGCTTTTCATGGCGCAAAGCAATTGTTTCGCTTGAAGCTTTTTAGCGAAGTATTCCTTAAGCTTGGTAAAAAAAATTACCTGCGTGATGATCACGCTGTTTTCTCGTTATATAGTATCGCTTCCACGCACTGCAATCTTGCCAATACTTTTTTTCAATAATATTAGGATGGTGTGTTCTTGATAGAGGATGAAACTCAAAAATCTGCACTTTTGAAACTTAAACATCGCGTGGATTACGATGTAGGACCCACGATGTACAATCTCACAATCAACGCAACTGTAAGTGTTGATGGTTGTTGAATTTTGGAGAGTAGGGTTCTCATTGTTTGCTTTTTCAAACATTTGTAATTTTTGCATTGTAGTTTTCAACCATAGATAACATGGTGTTAGTGTATTTATAAAGAACCAAGTGGAAGCACAATGTATAGTAAAAGCAGCACTTCTCGCACTTTTTAACCGAAGTCTCTTCGTCGAGACAAGAGAGATACTTGTAGGGTTGATTATACGTAATTCATCTTACACTTCATCCTAACTTTGCTTAACTTTCTGCATTTATACATTGTGCATCAGCACTAAATGGTTCGCGAAGATCTATAAATGTTTTGCAAACGCTGATGTGAGTCATTTCACCAAGAAGCAGACAATTACGTACCATCAAAAGTTCAACCAATGTCCTTCACTCGGTAGTCCAGAAAATTAATTGTGTGAACATGGCAGTTTTTTATTTCATTTTATACGATCAAAAATTAGACAAGTGGCCTCTGGTCAGTGTTGTAAATAGGCAGTCATAGCTGAGTTTTTGATTGCATTTCTTACAGGACTATCGTAAAGGAGTCAACGAGGAAAATGCTCTCTGGTCGTTATCGTATCTTGTCGTGCATATAACTGACGTTGACGATCAGTCAGCGGTCTTCACTCGAAATTTGTACCAAGTCTCTTTGCCCGAGGACAGCTCGACGGTAAATGATGCAATCTTTATTGGTGAATAATTCTCGTGATTTGTTCTCAATTTGGCTTTCTTATGTCGATTCCAAGGGAACTTTGGCTGCATCGGTTCTCGCCATGGATAAAGACAAAACTGAAATAGGGAAAATAAAATATGGGATAGTTGACGGTAAGATAGTAGTTCCTAAATCTCTTTTAGTCATTTTCTTTCTTTATGACATGTACTTCACAAAAATCACCGTTCCATTGTATGCAATGCAAATTATGTCAACATTTTCCTGCTACGTCCTGGCTATTTTATGATTCCTTTTCCAGCTAGCAATCCCGGTGATACTTTTGCCATTAATGAAACGAGCGGTGAAATAAGGCTTGTTGGCACTCTTAATCGAAATAACCGATCGTTTTTCGCATTACTTGTGTTGGTAAGTCGATGCAAATGTAATGTTTATTTTTTCTTCATCTTTGTCGTTTCTTTTCTAACCCTCGTCTTTTCTCATTCTCAAGGCCAATACAACCTATCATGATCCCACATATACCCAGGTGCTCATCGTCGTTAAAGACGCGAACGTTAATTCACCCAAATTCATCTCCAATCTGTACTCGGCTCGAGTGGCGGAGAATGCTGAAATAGGGACTCTTGTGCTTGTGGTGCAGGCAAACGACGCCGATGAGGTACGTTCCACGCATGTTCAGTTGCATGGTTGTGGACAATTCCATCAATATTATGATCAAAACGTAATAGTTGGCTTGATAAACCATCCATCTGCATCATCGGCATTCGGAGGACATTCTTCAATTTAGTAAAGTTTTTTTATGTAAGGCTGTTATCATCGTTAGAAAAGAAAATTTCTCAATATGTTGTTTGTAATTGCTTAAAATTGTATTCGTTGACAGCACCAGGTAAGTGTGAGAGAGGAAGAGCAGACTTGTAGATAAGTGTAAGATTATCGTTAGGTCACGTTTATGAAATATTTCTTCTTTCATGCATTCGCCACTACTCGATCACTCGTACGTTCGTGCTAAATGGTAAGTTATCAACTTAGCTTGTCGTTTCATGATTAAATACGGACTTATTGTTATGCAACCGAGGTAATATGCTGTGTTGACTTTGCGGTTGAAAAAAATATGAGTCAATTTAGATATTTTGGAACATTATAGAACTTGTTGCTGCTTTTATCGTTTTTGTCGAGGTTAAGTAATGTGATCAGAATATGTGGATATAAAAGGTCAGAGGAAAAGTTCAGAGCATTGTCAAAGTAACGGCATTGTGGACAAGTGTACAACATGTTGAGATATTGGGACTGAGGACTAATATACAATATGTTGATGTGATGAGACTGAGGAGTGGTGAAGAATATGTTGAGATGATGAAACTGAGTAACAGTTTGGAATATGTTGAAGTATTGGGACTGTGGAAAAGTTGAAAATACGTTGAGATGATGGGACTGAGGGGTAATGTACAATATGTTAAGGTGACGAGACTGAGGAGTGGTGAAGAATATGTTGAAATATTGGGACTGCGGAAAAGTTGAGAATACGTTGGGATGATGGGACTGAGGACTAATGTACAATATGTTGAAATGATGAGACTGAGGAACAGTTTGGAATATGTTGAAATATTGGGACTGTGAAAAAGTTTAGAATACGTTGAGATGATGGGACTGTTGGTCAGATTGGAATATTTTGAGATGTTATGACAGTGGAAAAGTTCAGAATATGTGTTGAACGTTGGGACTGTGGGTCAGTTTGGAATACATATGTTGAGTTGAGGAGGATGAGGATCACTTTGGAATAAGTTGTGACAATGGGAGCGAGGAACGGAGTGTGTTAACAAAACACGACAGTTGGAATTTGGCAGCTTTTTAAATTAAATTAAGTTTTATTTCCTAATTTTACATCATTCATTTTGCCTTCACGTTTTATTCATCGTGTGATTGACCATTTAAACTTTGCATGAAACATTGTAATGCAAGCTGTAAAATATACGTGCAATAACACGTTCAATTGTGTGGTTGAAATTGAGGTGATTGACCATTTAAACTTTGCATGAAACATTGTAATGCAAGCTGTAAAATATACGTGCAATAACACGTTCAATTGTGAGGTTGAAATTGAGGTGATTGACCATTTAAACTTTGCATGAAACATTGTAATGCAAGCTGTAAAATATACGTGCAATAACACGTTCAATTGTGTGGTTGAAATTGAGGTGATTGACCATTTAAACTTTGCATGAAACATTGTAATGCAAGCTGTAAAATATACGTGCAATAACACGTTCAATTGTGTGGTTGAAATTGAGGAAACAATATCTCTTCAACAATTTTTTTCAGGGCAATAATTCGGTCCTTGGTTATTCTCTCGGAAACGTTGATTCCAGCTCATTTTACGTGATTACTATTGGCTCTCTTGGATTTGTTTATGTCAACGCAACGTTGGATTATGTCGAGAAAAACATTTATAATTTTACAGTGAGTCTTCGTTATGAATCCTACAACGTTTCCAGCTTTTGTAGTTTGTACGTATTTTTTACATTATTCAAGTAAAGAGAGTATTTACGAAGTAAATCGATTATCAGACGTACGATGGCTGTCGTACTGATAAATGCAGTGATCAGAAACCTTTCAAGAATGTCTTGTCGCTGTTCGTTTCCTTTTACCTGCCCCCTTTTGAATAAAAATGTCTTCAAATCGATATTGTTGAAAATCGTGAGAAAATGTTTAGCGCGTTTGACAAATTTAAGAGATTGATTTCGGCCCGTATTAATTTTAACTTACGATGTGCTTTTTAACACTAGGATATCCCTTTATTTGCCACCCCCTCCTCCGTCCTTCGTCCTTTTAATTTGCAGGCTCTCAAAAAAGCTTGTCTCTTCGCTTGTATTTTTGTAGATTATTTAATGTTAAATGTTCGGCATTTCAAACCATTCACTCCATTGAAAAGTATACCAGAAAAGCTTGAAAAACTCACAATATATCTCATTGTCAATGTGCATGGTAATACATCGATGTACATTGAAATACATCGATGTACATTGAAATACATCGATATACATCTGCACTATTATACGTCACTATATTAGTATTATGTGTTTTATCATTTCCCATTTCGTCATTTTCCACCAGGTCACCGCGACAGAACTCTACACGCAAGAAAAGTTCTTTGACACTTCCGTAATCGTACTGCGCGTATTCGAAGTGCCCGAAAATGAAAACAGTCCAGTATTCAATCAGTCAACTCGTTCAGTGACGGTCACCGAGAATTCTTTACCAGCGAGAATTCTTCAGGTATTGAAAGTTTTGAAATATTGAATGAAAGTTTTCAACCTTCCCATTCGTTTATATCCGTAATCGATTTCGGTTTCCTCCAGGTCTCCGCGACAGACAAAGATCAAGGGGAGTTTGCGCGAATTGCTTACTCAATCATTGACGGATCTCTCGGAAAATTCACGATCGATAACGTAACTGGATGGATAAATACGACGTCACCATTGGATAGAGAAGATAAAGATGAATATCGTCTGTCTGTCAGGGCTGTTGATGGTAGGATGAGGGTAGCAAAGGATCTCAATTCTCTTTGTGTTGTTACATCGTCATACATTATACATATTTAGGTGGTGAATTTACGCGTCATGCAGACGTAACTGTCGTTGTAACAGTCCTTGATTCGAATGATCATTCACCAGTATTTTTGGCCAATAACTACACAGGATCGGTTGTTGAAAACAGTAACCTTGACAACATCATTCTAGCCGTCCAATCAAGAGATTTTGATGAGGTATGGGTATTGAATAAGCAACGATGGCTATAGCTCACTCAAATATTATCCTAACTTTTTTAACCCGCAGGGTATCAACGCTTTATTTGAATATTCCATCATTGGGGGTGATGCGAAATTTTCTGTTGTGACAGAAGGAGAAATCGGTTACATCAAAGTCAATGGTAGCTTCGATTATGAAACAAGAAAAGCGTTTAGATTTTTGGTAATCGTGAATTATTCATCAGTTTATCAAGTGCAACAAACATTGAACTTGTTGCCGAATTACTTTGACTGTTTTTTAGCTTTCGTAATCGTTACTAACTGTCGTTTTTGAATACGTTGTAAAGGTCGTTGCTACGGAAACTGCAACCACAGAGCGGCGCAGAAGTAATGCTTCTGTATTTGTGACGGTTATTGATGTCAATGATAATGCTCCTGTTTTCTCGCCGGTCAGCGGTTATGTTGCAACGATTTTCGAGAACAAGCCCAATGGAACACCAGTGGTTAACGTAAGACAAAATAAATTATTGATCGTGCGCCATCGTTTCAGAAAGGGAAGGTGCTTTTGTAATCATTTGGATGTGACATAGAGTTCCAACATCTGTCCATTATTTACATTCAAGGCATTTCAATTCAAAATGCATGCACACTCTAATTGGCCGAAGTTTTAAACCTCTACTACCGTACTTCTTCTATTTAGCCCCAGAGAGAAGTTATTTTGCAACTGTTTAAATGGGGGATTATTAGAGGAGGGGGGGGAGGAGGCTAAAATGAGGCTGGAGGCTAAATAGAGGAAATACGGTAAACTGTGCAGTCTCCTGCTTGCTCCCGCCTCCTTTCCATCTGTGACAAAGTAGCATGTCTCTACACTCCCACATACACAACCTCCCTCCTTAAATCCTTGCTATGTCTTAGCTTCTGAATATAAATTTCTCACTTACGACAGGCGAGTGCAACTGATGCAGACGATCATGTTTATGGTGAGATAACGTTTAGTCTACTGACGTCATCTTTCCCATTCCGGATTAATCCAAATACGGGAGAGATTGTGAGCGATGGAATTCTTGATTATGAAAGCCGACGTGGTTATAATTTGACGGTACAAGCTAGTGATGGTAAGTTAGTACATGTTTACGTTGATTTTTAGTGCGATGTTTCCTTGCAAAAATCAGAATTAATCGGTAGTTAATGGAGAAATGAAATAAATATATGAAACATTTCATGGCTGATGCACATTACGAGTGAAATAATAGTGGTTTTTTTTTAAACTTGGCACTTTCCTTGGATACTTAGTTGCTTCCCTTTGTTGAGCTAAACGCTTTAGATTTGAGTTGTCGACTGAGACTATCTTTCGTCCAGTGTGAACGGGCTATTTGATACGACGATTTTTTTTACAGTATTTACGCTAATAGCGTAGTTTCTTCTGCTTTTTATTATGTGCTTCTATTGTTGAAACATTGACTGTAAAAATAGTGCGACTTCGACAACTCGATTATATTTGAATGTGAAAACAAGCCTGCTTCACAAGAACAAGGAGCAGTTGCATTCGCAGTTTTCACAAATTTATTTTTGTTGGGTTACGAATAAAAAAATAATCAAGTGGTCAAAGTCACCCTGTTGTCAAGATCTTTCCCAGTTTACGGTACTGTGTCATGAACCTAGGGGTTGTCTTTTGTAACTTTAGGTGGCCAACCAGCTCTAATATCATACGCTCCTGTTTTTGTTAATGTTGTCGATGTTAACGATAATCCTCCTAAGTTTCTCCAGACCAACTACGTCGTTAATATAAACGAGAACACGAATATTGGGACAGCGGTCTTGACTGTGACGGCGATCGACGATGATGAGGTAAGGAAGGGACCCTAAATTTTTGAGTTTTTTGAATTTCTCTTATCGTTTTTGGAACTCTTAGGGACCTTTTCCCGGTAGTTTGGTGCTCCCGGTTTCGCCCCAACTGACAATATTTACGACTAACATCTGCTTTTGCTGAGTTCATATAGAGGTGCAAAGTTGATGGTCTAGGTTTGATTCTTGAAATGTTTGATAGGATATTTTTTAAACTTTCTTTCAATTTATTTTTCAAATTGAGTTTTGCTTTTTGCCACCTTTCAAGATGGCGTCCTTGCTTCACGCTGGCCTCACGTTGACACGGTTGTTAGATATCTAGAGATTGGGTTCTAAATAATTGCTTCTGCCACGTTTTTCTACGATGTTGAACGCCATTTTTCTTCCTTATTATCAAGGGATCAAATTCAAAGATTACCTACTCCATTTGCGGTGGCGATGACCTGTTTAAAGTGGACTCTAATGGAGTGATATTGGTGAACGGTACGTTGGACTATGAGATGAACACCTCATTGAAACTCACGGTGTTTGCCGAAGAGAGTTTGACGAATGAGAAGTTCAGGGCGAACTGTTCCGTGGAGGTGATTCTGAATGATGTGAATGAATACGACCCGGTTTTTCTTGAAGAAAGTTACTTCGCTACAATATATGAAAACGAAGAAGTAGGAGCGACAATTGCTCAGGTAGGGCGTTGATGTGTTGATGATGTCTTTCGTAAAGTTGCTTGGAAATTTTAATTTGTAACCTTGCTTGTACAAAATTAAAAGTTAAACTTGGCTTGAAGCGTCTTTCGCCTTGCCCACCCCTACCCTTTGCCAAAAGATAACTTGATTTTTTTTTGTTTAAGGTAAAAGCCTCCGATCAAGATGGACGTTTCAGCAGCATAAAATATTTTATCATTTCTGGTAATCTCGATGGATATTTCACGATGAATCAAACGTCCGGTCTTGTCAGGACGAATACGTCTTTCGATTACGAGTCGATGAATCATCACTTTTTCTTGATAGTGCAAGCATCTGATGGTGAGTGCGATTTTTTGCACAAAGAATTTTTAGATTATAGCGCTGAGTTAAACGATTAGGTTAAGTGAAATGATAAAGCGATGCAGTATAAATTAGTTGGTTTGTCATATTTTCCTTTATTAGTTGTACTAAATCTTCATGGTCTTTACTTATTGACGAGTAAATCATTAAGAACTGATTAAATTATTCAGTAGAATCCTCTAGTATTAGATTTACTTTCTTAAGTTTGAGTTGTCGACTGAGCATGTCTTCCAGTGTAGACATACTACAGGGTGCAATCAGTGCTGTAGAACTAAATTTATTAGAGGGGGGCTCTCTTGACAAAGCTGAAGCCATGAAATTTCGAAAATTTACCCATTTCAAAGGTAGAAGGGGGGCTCCTCCCCGAAGCGCCCCCCCCCACTTCTACAGCACTGGGTGCAACGATTTTTCTGGTTGATTTGAAGTATTACAGTGATAGCGTTGTTTTCTCTGCTTTTCATTATGTCTTTTAATTGTTGAAACATTGTACTGTGGTTGTTAAGAACTGATGATATCGTTCATTAAAATCAGCCATTGCTTCTGTCAATTCTAAGACGTGTCATCAAACTTTTTGTCAGATGGAAATCCAAACAGGACATCTCGAACGTTTCTTGTTATTAACATGAAGGACCGAAACGACAATTTCCCTGTGTTTTTGAAATCTTCGTACAACGCCACAATACCCGAGAATCTTCCCCCAAAGACTGTTGTGCTGACTGTCAAAGCGGTCGACCACGACGTTGTAAGTTCAATATGAAACCACGCACATACAAAACAACACGACTAAGTTTTAAAAATTGTCACGTGACATCGATGGGCATTTTCGGGCTATCTCGGTTTGCTCTGAAAGTCCGTCAACTTTTACAGCTTTTAAAGCTCTGTGACCCACTTGATGGATGGGACACGATGGATTATTCCCTAATTATTATGTATTATATATGTATATTTATTACTGGCGATTGTTGCTCCTTATCTGAGAAGTAGCTACACCTCATTTGCTTTTCACGTTTAGAATACGAGCAACTCCGACTTGCGTTATTTTGTTTTGAATTCGGATGCGAAGTTCGACGTAGATTCCTTAACCGGTCAGATATTTGTGAACGGATCTTTAGATTTCGAAGCTCAAGAGAATTACGAGTTTCAGGTAGGCTCATGAAGACTTACTTTATGTTCTTTGTCGTTATTACATCTGTTTAGTTCGAAATTTTTTATCGTACATACGTAGGTGATTGCGGAGGAGTCTTCGAACAAACTACAACATAAAGCGTCGGTATTCCTCAGTTTGTCCGATGTGAATGAGTATGATCCAGTCTTTAACAACACTGCTTATGTTGTAAACGTCAGCGAAGGAAGCTCAGCGATTGGATCGCCTGTTGTTCGGGTAAACTTCCTGTTAGCATTTCAGTGTAGGGAACGACAACTAGTAGTTGCGTATTTGTTAGCTACGTAAGAAAGCCTTTATGAAGGAAGAGCGGTTACAACCCAGATATGCGAGCTGAAATTTTACTTGTGCATGTATGATAATGAATGTATAGCAGCCTTTGTCATCGGTATCTCATGTTTGCAGGTGGCTGCGATGGATAATGATGGTTATTTCAACCAGTTGTCGTACAGCATTTTACCTGCATTGGATCACGGCAGTTTTTCAATCGACAACAGCTCTGGTCTCGTACGCACTGCTGTTGAACTGGACCGCGAGAGACAGGAGAAGCTCATATTGATCGTTGAAGCAAAGGACAGTAAGTTACTGTTTGTATGGGAATTAACTGCCTTAAATGTTATGTTTAAGTTTGCTTTTAACTTACAGACGGTATTTTCCAGCGAAAATCACAAGTCACTGTAGTAATTGATGTCATAGATTCAAATGACCACATTCCAGTGTTTACGGAGAGCAGTTACAATGCGACGATACCAGAGAATCTTGCTATTGGCTCTTCATTTCTTACTGTAAAAGCATATGACGTTGACGTCGGTTCTAACGCCTACTTTCAGTACCGTATCCTTGGTTACGAAGAAACGTTTGACATTTCCATTGATGGCGTTATCTCGACAAAAACTGTATTGGATTTTGAAAATATGACAACGTACACGTTTTTGGTAAGCGGAGACAGTTTTGTATGATGATACATTGTGAAGCATGAAAGATGGATAGAGTTATTTTGTGAAAGTTTTTTCGTCATTTGGAAACATTCATTGTCCGATTTTTGAGTAATGTACGACTAATTTTCATGTTTTCCATGGTGTCTAGTTTCCTTCATTCACCGTAGTTTTAGCTTTTATGTTTTCCATGGTGTCTAATTTTCTTCATTCACCGTAGTTTTAGCTTTTATGTTTTCCATGGTGTCTAGTTTTCTTCATTCACCATAGTTTTGGCTTTTATGTTTTCCATGGTGTCTAATTTTCTTCATTCACCGAAGTTTTAACTTCTATGTTTTCCATGGTGTCTAGTTTTCTTCATTCACCGTAGTTTTAGCTTTTATGTTTTCCATGGTGTCTAATTTCCTTCATTCACCGTAGTTTTAGGCCCCGTTTACACTATACCGGATTGCTATCGTAGCAGGTTGAATATTCTTTATATTAAAAGGCAGTGAAATTGTTCAACGTCAGAAACACAATCAAATAAACTAAATCTGTCAGCTTAATAAGCTTTTACTCCGAACAGTTACCCCTTTAAAGCAAGTGAAGATGTCGTGATCAGCGAGTCCGGTGTAGTGTAAACGCAGCCTTAGCTTTTACGTTTTCCATGGTGTCTAATTTTCTTCATTCACCGTAGTTTTAGCTTTTATGTTTTCCATGGTGTCTAGTTTTCTTCATTCACCATGGTGTTCTACTTTTCTCCTCCTCTACGAGAAATGCGAGCGCTGAAAAATTATCCACTGCGTAATCCTTCTTGCTCTTTTTATAAAACGTTCAAGGCATCCTTTCCTTTCAAGGTTGTTGCAAACGAAAGAAACAGTTCTGCTCAACCAAATGCGACGGTTACTGTTAACATTGAAGATGTGAACGAGTATAATCCTGTGTTTGATCAACCGCACTACTCCACAAATATTTCAGAAAATACTCCCAATGGAACTTTTGTTCTCAAGGTGACGACTCTTTTGTATTCTTTACGTTAAACGAAAGATGGAAATGATTATGAAGAAGATGCGTCATTGCAAGATTGAAAGACCTCGTGTTTTTGTTGTGTTTTTTTTTTATCTCATCCTGTAGGTGTCTGCAAATGATGCCGATGGCTACTATCATCAGATATCCTATTCTATCCTATTTGGAGACGATGACCGTTTTATGATCAATTCGACGACTGGAGTGATCGAGACTAAAGACGAATTAGATCGAGAGGTCAGATCGTCTTATACGCTCATCATACGTGGACAAGACGGTAAGTGTAATGATTAAAAACCATTCAAAAATATTTCTGGACTCTTTAAATGACCATATCCCTTTTAAAATGGTACAGTACATATCACATTGTCATCGTAATGACGATGTGAATAGACACTCGTCGACTTCATTCCATTTGTATCTCTTTTTTACGAATTTTCGTTTCATTTCACAGACTTATCAGTAAGATAACATATTTCTATGCTTCCCAAATATACAGTAGAATTGCCCAAAATCTCTACATTGAACGAAACTCAAGCTTTTATTACTGCGGTTGACTCCTCACCCCCAGTCCCCCCGTCTTGTATGCAAATGATCTCTTGTTCGACAAGAATCCTTGCACTACCAGTCTTGCCATTTATTTCTATAGATGGCCCGTCCCCAGGTCGCGTGGCCGAGACCATCGTGGTTGTGAACATCTTGGATATGAATGATCATGCTCCGACATTATTCCAGACGCATTATAGTGCATATGTGTTTGAAAATGCCGCCGTTAATTCTACTGTTTTGACGGTTTATGCGTCCGATTTAGACAAGGTTGGAAAGAAAATATTTATAATTTATTTACGAGAGCTACATGAGAAATTATGGTCGTAAACATTTTATTTTCTTATTCGGAATTCAACGACCAATTTCCCCTCTCCCTTTTCCCTTTTTTCTCGTGGTCTATCGCGAATGGATGGTTTTGATAGCAAGTAATTTTTCCTTGCAGAGACCATGTTGTATTTGTTTTCACGCTGTTTTTCACTTTAAAACATTAAGGGCAAGAACGGCGACTTTTCGTACGAGTTGGTCGGTTGTGATGGTTTGTTTTCTATCATAAAAATTGGAAATATTGGTGAAATTTTGGTCGATGGTGTTTTGGATTTTGAAAAGAACAAGACATTCCAGTTTCACGTGAGTCTTTCTCATTTCGTTACTTAGGACTTGACTTGATTTCTGAAACTGCTTGTTCTCATATATTAACATTCTGTGATGGGGCCAGCCCGCAAATTTGGGTCATTTCTGCGTATTGTTTTCAGGTTGTGGCCAAGGAAACCCTTACGTCAGAGCGGAGAGAATCGAACGCCTCCGTTGATGTCATCTTGATGGATGTGAATGATAACGCACCTGTTTTTGCAAAAGATTTTTACGAAGTTAGCGTTCAAGAATCTCCCAGATTTCCTCAGTCAGTTGGCACTGTAAGTTTGCATGCTTTATGAAGCAGAAAAAAAATATGAAAACATTCGTCTTTGGGATAATTTACATGATCATGCAGTAATCTACACAGCACCATGCTGCACATGGAAAAAACCTACTTCATATGATGCGATTATTTCATATGATGTGACTTTGGTCTGTATATCATTGTACAAATTCTGCTCTGGGCATTTGAGGATACACATCAGGAGCCGATTGCATGAAGTCTGGATAGCGTTTATTCATTGGATAGCAAAAATTTTCAAACTTATAAAAAAGGTGTTTATATTTTTCATATGACAAAAAAATTTCGTAACCTTCGAAACAACATTTTATTTCATTGATTGCTCAGTTCGAATCGTATGTTTTTTGCTTTTTAAAATGTTTTGTAAAAGCTTAGAAAAATTGCTATCCAGTGGATAGTAAAAATTTTCAAACTTTTAAAAAAGATGTTTTTATTTTTTTACGACAAAGAAATTTTGTAATCCTCGAAACAGTATTTTATTTCAGTGATTGCAAAGTTCAAATCATATATTTTTCTCTTATAAGAGATTTTTTTAACGTTGAGAAAAATTTGCTATCCAGTGGATAGCGCTATTCGGCCTTCGTGTAACCAGCCCCAAGATGCAAATGCTGCTTTGAGCATTTGTAGTTACAAATGAGAATGCCCACAACGATACAAAGGAGGATACACTTGAGGATAAAAAGTGTTTTTGTTTGCTTGGTCATGCATTCAGCATCGCCCAAAATAATTGTTCGGATACCCGCAATATTCGGAGTCGAGGTGTCTCGCAAATTTGGCTTCTTGCTTGAACGTTTACGACATATTGAATGCCAGGTTTTAAGTGTGCGAAGTTTTCCATGTAATGATTCAGGCTTTTCACTTTGACATGATTGCAGTTGAAAGAAAACAAGATTAAAAATAATCAAGCGCAAGCAGTGCGAGGGTGGAACACTCGCGACTTTCATAAGCTTCCAAAGCTCTTACCCGTGTTTAGTTCGCAGTGAGATTGGCCTTTGGTTTAGTTTTGACTCTGATTACTTCATTTCCAGCAAAAAATTATTATCTTACACGTACTCTTTCGTATGCGTATACCCACTTATACCCACTTATATACCTCTTTCCTTTTTAAGGCGACTGCGCACGACAAAGATTCCGAGAGATTCGGCGAAATAATCTACTCGATTTTCCAAGGAAATGAAAATGCCAACTTTACCATCGACAGCAAGACCGGAGAGGTGAAGACGGGCGCGGCCTTAAATCGAGAAATGAGAGACAGCTATTTGTTGACCATTGAAGCGCAAGATGGTAGGCAATGTCTTGATCAAACTTTATTGAGTTAATGTCGTATTGATATCCACACTGATATGTTTGTGTCAGGTGGTCTCCCTCCTCGTAAAGCCATATCCACAATGCTGGTGACTGTGACCGATAGCAATGAGGAGCCGCCGTATTTTGTCGATACACCATACACGGCAAGAATTGTTGAAAATACAGAGTATGTTTCATCTGTGATTTTTAAAGTAAGTGAAAACACAACTGCAGTGCGTTGAAGTACAACAGTCTTCCCATGTAAAACTTGTTTGAGGATTAATCAATTCATGAAGAAAACCTGAATTGGGAAGGGGGGGGGGTGTGGGCTCATAGTCATACATGCATGTTGTAATTCGTAGAAAACAATAGATTTCAAAGGAACTGAATACAGCATATCATTTATTTATGAATATGAGCCTACCCCCCCCCCCTCTCCCCCAATTTGCAATAGTACGGCAGCACTTGAACTGCTCTTCCTACAAAACCATCTCTTATTGATCACCTCGTCCCACTGAGTCAATTGACTTTATTAACACCGAGTACCTATATACCTGTTCTAATTTGTTCTTTCTAAAATTTATCTAAGAATCCTTTATACTTAGTAGCTTTTTCTGTTGCAAACCGGTTTTCTTTCAAGACATTTGGTTTAAATTATCTCTTATTGATTACTGCCAATCTTAACTCATTCACAGGTAAACGCAATTGATCCAGATCTAATGTCATTGAAATATAGTATGGAAAATAGTTCTAGTTTTGAAGTGGATTCCGTGTCTGGTGTCATTAGTGCAAACGGTCAGTTTGATCGTGAAACCCAATCGATTTACAATCTCACTGTCATTGCTGTTGATCAAGGTGGATTGAACGCTACTGCTCTAGGTACTTTAAGTTTCCATTTGTCGTTAAATGATTGCTTGCTTGCTTCCCCTCTATTTTCGTAACTGAATATTTATTCTTTCTGTTTAGTCATCATAACCGTCCAAGATGTAAATGACAACACACCTCAGTTCGCACACACTCCTTACCAAGTCAGTCTCTCCGACAACACAAGTATTGGAGTTGACGTTTTGAGAATACAAGCCATTGACCTTGACGCTGCTCATAACGGCGAGATAATCTATTTCCTAGTCGATACCGAAGGAAAGTTTCTTATTAACCAAACAACAGGTACCGTAACTGACTGACCACAGTATAACATACAATCTCTATGACTGACCACAGTATAACATACATTTTCTATGACTAACTACAGTATAACATACACTCTCTATGACTGACTAAAGTATAACATACATTCTCTATGACTGACTACAGTATAACATACAATCTCTATGATTGACTACAGTATAACATACAATCTCTATGACTGACCACAGTATAACATACAATCTCTATGACTGACCACAGTGTAAGATACAATCTCTATGACTGACTACAGTATAACATACAATCTCTGACTGACTACAGTATAACATACATTTTCTATGACTAACTACAGTATAACATACACTCTCTATGACTGACTAAAGTATAACATACATTCTCTATGACTGACTACAGTATAACATACAATCTCTATGATTGACTACAGTATAACATACAATCTCTATGACTGACCACAGTATAACATACAATCTCTATGACTGACTACAGTATAAGATACAATCTCTAGGACTGACTACACTATAACATACATTCTCTATGACTGACTACAGTATAACATACAATCTCTATGACTGACTACACTATAACATACATTCTCTATGACTGACTACAGTATAACATACAATCTCTATGACTGACTACAGTATAACATACAATCTCTATGACTAACTACAGTATAACATACAATCTCTACAACTGACTACAGTATAACATACAATCTCTACAACTGACTACAGTATAACATACAATCTCTACAACTGACTACAGTATAACATACAATCTCTACAACTGACCACAGTATAACATACAATCTCTATGACTGACTACAGTATAACATACAATCTCTACAACTGACTACAGTATAACATACAATCTCTACAACTGACTACAGTATAACATACAATCTCTACAACTGACTACAGTATAACATACAATCTCTACAACTGACCACAGTATAACATACAATCTCTATGACTGACTACAGTATAACATACAATCTCTATAACTGACTACAGTATAACATACAATCTCTACAACTGACCACAGTATAACATACAATCTCTATGACTGACTACAGTATAACATACAATCTCTACAACTGACTACAGTACAACATACAATCTCTATGACTGTCTACAATATAAAGTACAATCTCTATAACTGACCACGGAGTAAAGTAAAGAATCTCTAGTAAGTGGCTATTGCACGTTTTCTTTTTTTTGTCGTTCATATTAAGGTGCAGTGTCTGTCTCTGGTCTACTAGACAGCCAGGAAAAGTCTCTTTACGTAATGAAAGTATTAGCCAGTGACCGCGGAATACCGTTTGCTCGAATCAACTCTACTACACTTACGGTCAACTTAACCGATGACAGAAATCATGCACCAAAGTTTCTTGACGTCGCTTGGATAGCTTCACTGTACGAGAGCCTGGAACCGACGTTTGTTGTCAATGTTGAAGCACTTGATCCGGATTCTGGGGTGCTGGGAGTAATTTCGTATAGTATTACTAGTAAGCATAACGATGATTTCGGTGTTATCTTCATTAAAATACAAAACACTGATTTTTGACAGTGTTCAAAACATTCTTTGTGGGAAATTTTGAGTATATGTAATGCTCGTGGAAATTACTACTCAAAAATACTTGCTCGTTCAGCTATTCACCCGAACAATGTTCTCCGTACGATTGAAGTGAATAAATATCTTACTTCTTTTTTGTCAGAAGTACTTAAATATCTATTTAGGCGGCAACAGATACAATGCATTCACGGTCAACGCAACGGGAGCAATATATTCAGCCATGAAGTTAGACTATGAGAATCGTACCCAGAGAACATTTGATTTGATTGTGATGGCAAGGGATAGCCTGGGGTTAACGGACACTACTCAGGTCAGAATTACTGTCGTTGACGTCAACGATAACCCGCCAGCGATTATCAACTTACCAGAACCCGCAGTCTTTAATATTAGCGGTAGCACTCGCAAAGGTAAGCGTTGATACATGTTTGGTATAAGTTCTGTTGTTTTCTTGTTATGTTCAGCGGGTTATTATCGCTTTAAATTTATTTCCCCCCTATGCTGGCCTCCTGTCTATCAATATCCCTATATGTAGTACTGTGTACTAACGTGTATTCTAAATCTCATTGTCTCAGGATCTTTCATTTATGTTCTCGAAGCCGAAGATCTCGATTCGGATGATTCGGGTCGTTTTGAATTTCACGGCGTTGCTGTTCCTGATAACTTGACTGTAGATCAAAGTTCTGGGGTGATTAAAGCCAAAACAAACCTGGACAGCTCTCACTTGTCAAGGTTCGTTATACGTGAATCTTGGATATTTGTAACTAAATATGGCATTAAATCTCCATAACTGACTACAGTATAACATACACTCTTTATGACTGACTACAGTATAACATACACTCTCTGTGACTGACTACTGTATAACATACAATCTTTATAACTGACTACAGGATTACATACAATCTCTATTACTGACTACAGTATAAGATACAATCTCTATGACTGACTACAGTATAACATACAATCTTTATGACTGACTGCAGTATAGCATACAATCTCTATGACTGACTACAGTATAACATACACTCTCTATGACTGACTACAGTATAGCATACAATCTCTATGACTGACTACAGTATAACATACACTCTCTATGACTGACTACAGTATAACATACAATCTCTATGACTGACTACAGTATAAGATACAATCTCTATGACTGACTACAGTATAACGTACAATCTCTACGACTGACTACAGTATAACACACAATCTCTAGGACTGACTACACTATAGCATACAATCTCTATGACAGATTACATCATAGCGTATACAACTTTGCCGTTCTTGTCATGTGTTGTTTTCTAGCATCTTGTTCACTGTCTACGTCAAAGATAAAGGAAATCCAAGCCTCGCGAGCTTTAACTACACCATCAAATTTAACATCATAGTCGATCCTGTAGCAGATCCATTCCTTCTGCCAACGCTGACACAGACGAGCGTCTTCGAAAACGCATCATTGAATGACATCGTAGTTAGAGTAAATTCATCTCAGCGTGCAGATAATTTTACGATATTGATTGAACTTCCACGCGCTGGATTCTTTCGAATCGACCATCAAGTGAGTTTCGTATAATCATTGAGTATCACTTTATCCATCTCTATACATCTATATCTATCTCTATAGCACTATACCCATCTCTATAGCGCCATATCATTCTCTATAGCACCATATCCATCTCTATTGCACCATATCCATCTCTATAGCACCATATCCATCTATATAGCGCCATATCCATCTCTATAGCGCCATATTCCATCTCTTTTGCGATACATATCCATCTCTACACTTTATCCATCTCTATAGCAGTCTATCTATCTCTATAGTACTATATCAATATCTATAGTACTATATCATTGTCTATAGCACTATATATCCATTTCTATAGCACCATATCCATCTCTATACATATTATACTGATCTTTATTTCACGTACTTTAGGGTAATATTTATTTGACGAAGATACTAGATCACGAAACAATAGATGGCTTTAGCCTTCTGGTAATGTCTACAAAACACAAAGAACAAGCGTTTGGATTTGTAAGTTTGCTGAGGCTAAGTCACTCTGGGATTAATCTCTTACTTACGTTATCCAACCTTCCAGGTTTCCGTCATTGTGAAGGATGTTAATGACGAGAGTCCGACGTTCCAGTTTTCTCATTACGAAGTTCAGTTGGATGAAAATCTACCCCCAGCTACAACTGTCTTATTTCTCCACGCTATTGATGGAGACGTGCAGGATACGGTAGCATACTAGTTCATTTTAATGGATCGAGGGCATTCCATTTTTGATATATGCAGTCCGAAACTGCAATTCACTTTCAAGCGAAATCAGTCGGACAGTGCTGAATGTATGAAAATTCACTCCCCCCCCCGCAATTAGCGTTCCATTTTTGGCCCTGACATTATGTACATAAAATGTTCACAAAATATATAGATGCATGAAATAGTTCGTCTTTGATTAAATTTCCTAGCGAGATGGCATTTTCTTAATTTTCAAAGGTTCATCTCATCACCACCAAAAACGCCATGTGCGGAAAGGGAATCATAGTTGAGAAATCGTGCAGTAAATGTGGCTTTTTGATCACAACGATCTCTTTTAGATTTCATATTTTATTCACTCTGGTAATACGGGAAATGCTTTTAACGTATCGACGAAAGGAGAAATCCAGATTGCCACACCACCCGATTATGAAAAGGCGCCATTCTATAATTTAACTGTAAGTAACTCTGTGCTCGACGTCAAAACATGTCGGGAAAATGTAATCACCTTTTCAAACGCTTGGGAAAATCGTCGTGTGTAATCTAAGTTGAGCTTTATTTCAATTTTGAAGGTTATTGCTAGCGATGGTGTTAATACAGGTGCGACTTTCGTTGAGTTGAATGTTCTTAATGTTAACGACAACGTTCCACGATTCTTCAATTCATCTTACACTTTGAACTTGCCCGAGGTAACGAGCCGTTCGTGAATGTCCTTCAAAAATACCTTCATCTCGTGTGTATGAGATGTGACGACATATGACGTAGAACCGTAGCTGTAGTCACAATTATCACATCGTTCAATAGGATACACCAGGAGGTTCTGTCGTGTTACAAGTTTCAGCATCGGACGAAGATGGAGATGATGTCGTGTACTCCATTTCTGGTACTGTGACAGTTATTTTAGATTGCACGTCGGGATTTTCCAAATATTTTCTCATTCAAGTACGAGAGCTTTTACTCTTCCAGGTGACAATGGAAAATTCAACATCGACCCACTCACTGGCGTTCTCACAACAACGGACGATCCTGTTGATTTTGAGGAAACTTCGTTCTACGTGTTGAACACTACAGCCAGTGATCGCGGAGGACGAAAGGTGCCTGTTCTAGTTTTAACTAAACAGACGCATTAGCTGTGATGTTGTTGACGCATTAGCTGTGATGTTGTTGACTCATAAGCTCCGATGTTGTTCACTGTGATGTAAACAGACGCATTAGCTGTGATGTTGTTGACGCATAAGCTGTGATGTTGTTCACTGTGATGTAAACAGACGCATTAGCTGTGATGTTGTTGACGCATTAGCTGTGATGTTGTTGACGCATTAGCTGTGATGTTGTTGACGCATTAGCTGTGATGTTGTTGACGCATTAGCTGTGATGTTGTTGACGCATAAGCTCCGATGTTGTTCACTGTGATGTAAACAGACGCATTAGCTGTGATGTTGTTGACGCATTAGCTGAGATGTTGTTGACTCATTAGCTGTGATGTTGTTGACGCATTAGCTGTGATGTTGTTGACGCATTAGCTGTGATGTTGTTGACGCATTAGCTGTGATGTTGTTGACGCATAAGCTCCGATGTTGTTCACTGTGATGTAAACAGACGCATTAGCTGTGATGTTGTTCACTGTGATGTAAACAGACGCATTAGCTGTGATGTTGTTCACTGTGATGTAAACAGACGCATTAGCTCTGATGTTGTTCACTGTGATGTAAACAGACGCATTAGCTCTGATGTTGTTCACTGTGATGTAAACAGACGCATTAGCTCTGATGTTGTTCACTGTGATGTAAACAGACGCATTAGCTCTGATGTTGTTTACTGTGATGTAAACAGACGCATTAGCTGTGATGTTGTTCATTGTGATGTAAACAGACGCATTAGCTGTGATGTTACACACACGCAAATGGTTAAAAGGGGTTGTGTGAGCATTTTTGAAAAATCTTTCGTATAAATTGCTAGCTGCGAAAACTTTGCACAAATGAACCTACGTGCATGAAAAATCAATATATGAAATTTCGGCCCGACTATCTAATTTAAAGTTAAGATAACGAGGTATTCGAGTCAAAGTATGAGGTCATGAAAGCAGCACAAGCGACTGTCAAAGCGTGCAATTCTCCGAACGTTTTTGTTCCTAAACGTGGTACGGTAATGGTTTATGTAAGGATCTTTGTTTATTAAAAGATTTTGGCTGCTTCAAATTAATTTGAACGATTTTTCAAAAATACCAGCATATACGTCCAAGTACACCCCTTTAGTAGATGTTTATTAATTTTTAGTCCTCTGTCAAAATCCTCATCAACATCACTGACTCAAACGATAATAGACCGGTGTTTTCAAAACAAACATATAACGTCACGATAGCTGAAAACTTCCGTGGAGCGATTTCTTCCCTCGCCATCGATGCCACTGATCTTGATTCTGGAAAAAATGGTAAAGTGTCGTTTTCGATCGTTGACGGACGCATTGGATTTTCTATCGACTCGAATACGGTACGACAGGGGACCGCTTGGGATTAGTGTGAATATTATTAAAGTGTGCGAACGAGTTGTATCTCGATACGATGGTTTGTATCAGCTTGTTTTTATGTTTTCATTAGGGACGGATCAATGTGACGAAAGCTATTGACGTGGATACCTCTGGAGTAACTACTGATCTTTATTGCCGGGGGGTGTTGGTTTTTACTATTAAAGCATCTGACGATGGCAAACCTCAGCTTTTTGATGTTGTAACGGTATGAATTGACATTCGTGAGCTCGCAAGTTTTCAATATCGTACCACCATTCGTGTACTTACAGATTTTCAATGTCGTACCACCATTCATGTACTTACAGATTTTCAATGTCGTACCACCATTCGTGTACTTACAGATTTTCAATGTCGTACCACCATTCGTGTACTTACAGATTTTCAATGTCGTACCACCATTCGTGTACTTACAGATTTTCATTGTTGTACCACCATTCGTGTACTTACAGATTTTCAATGTCGTACCACCATTCGTGTACTTACAGATTTTCAATGTCGTACCACCATTCGTGTACTTACAGATTTTCAATGTCGTACCACCATTCGTGTACTTACAGATTTTCATTGTTGTACCACCATTCGTGTACTTACAGATTTTCAATGTCGTACCACCATTCGTGTACTTACAGATTTTCAATGTCGTACCACCATTCGTGTACTTACAGATTTTCAATGTCGTACCACCATTCGTGTACTTACAGATTTTCATTGTTGTACCACCATTCGTGTACTTACAGATTTTCAATGTCGTACCACCATTCGTGTACCTACAGATTTTCAATGTCGTACCACCATTCGTGTACTTACAGATTTTCAATGTCGTACCACCATTCGTGTACTTACAGATTTTCAATGTCGTACCATCATTCGTGTACTTACAGATTTTCAATGTCGTACCATCATTCGTGTACTTATAGATTTTCAATGTCGTACCACCATTCATGTACTTACAGATTTTCAATGTCGTACCACCATTCGTGTACTTACAGATTTTCAATGTCTTACCATCATTCGTGTACTTACAGATTTTCAATGTCGTACCACCATTCGTGTACTTATAGATTTTCAATGTCGTACCATCATTCGTGTACTTATAGATTTTTAATGTCGTACCACCATTCGTGTACTTACAGAACATCCTTGTTCTACCCACATACTCGTTCTTAGAGGATATCTGTCTACTGGCCAAACCACAACAACAATACAAATGTACTACTTATATACACAGCATTGTTGTTTCTTATCAAGGTGAAAGTATTTGTCTTGGATGTTAACGACAATGCTCCGAGTTTTTCCCGATCTTCTTACTATGATGTCGTGTCCGTGTTGGCAACCGGTACCATTCTACGTGTCAGGGCAAATGACGACGATTGCGGATCGAATGGCGAGATTCGGTACTCTCTTTCTACAGGTTTCTGTCATCCGTTGATCACGTGATAAGTGCAAGGGATTGTAAAGCTTGCAATTCTTGTGTTTTTTTTTCAGTAAACGACAGCAGTATCTTTGCGATCGATGATAAAACGGGAAATATCAACGCCACCAAGTCACTGGTAAGAAAACCACACGAAATGCATAGACTCCACTTCTCTTGCCCTTGTTTATCATCAAACAATGTTCTTTCACGATCTTATAGGAAGATGGCGAAGGCGTTTATTTGCTCGAAGTTAGAGCATCGAATTTTGTGTTTCCCAATTTTTCCAGTGATGTCTTAGTGACGATCACTGTTATTGACAGCAGGAATAATCCACCGAGTTTTGTCAAAGATCACTATTTGTTCGTAGTGTCCGAGGGCGCGGGGATTGGTACCAACATCGGTATGGTCCACGCTTTTGATGTTGATCAGGTACTATATGATTAAAGAATTAAGAGTGAACTGTAGGACGTGAACTAAATAACATTTTCATAGAATGAAAGTGGAGTGTTCATCTACACGTTGGAAGATCGTGGCAACGTATTGCCTTTCACCATCCATCCACTATCAGGAAATATTACCCTTGTGCGAGGACTGGACCGAGAGATACAGGAAAACTTTACTGTGAGTCATTTGACCATAAAACGGCTGTTTTTCAATCATTTTGTGCGTCATGTTTTTCAAATTTTTAGTTCGTTGTGATAGCCGAAGATTTTAGCTCCCCACGATTGCAACGCTCAGCAACCGTTGACGTCATTGTTGATGACGTCAACGACAAGATTCCAAAATTTGAACATGATTTACAGAGGTGAATGTGTTTTAGTTTTTGTTTGTACAGAGGATTGAACTTGTTGATGCAAACAGAACACGAAAAGAAAGACCCCCTCCCCGAGATATATGGCTGTAAACTCTAAATGAATGAATCCCAGATAATTAAATACAGCACCGCTTAGACTGAAGGTAACTTGCTAAAATTGCCATGTGAAGAATATGGTCACTCGTGCTTTTGAATAAGGACGTATCGTCTCATGCATTCAAAAACACCCAAATTCAAAATTAGGATTAAAAGGTAGTATATCATCATTTTCACTCACTATTCAGCAACATTACTCCTTCTTTATTCCAAAGCCATCATCAGAGATTATACAAACAGGATTTAGGATTACATAAATCCTAAATCCTGTAAAGTAGGATTTAGTCCTTCTTAATTATCATTTTGTAAAGCAGTTTAAAGATTGCCCAGATTATCGTATCAAAACAGAAACATCGCAATTGGGCTTCAGAGACAGACTGGGATTCATTCATCTTGGCGAGAAGGGAGGAGAGGGAACTTTCTTTTTTGTTTTGTGTGTTGTAATAAGAATGGTTATGTATGCGTCTTTGTTAGTTACGTTTGAACCACAATTGACTCAACGTTTTTAGTCGGCCGCAGAGAGTTAGTCTTAATTGCCCTTCACAAACCAGTCGATTTTTATTTTGTCATCCTCGCCACTTTTCTTTCACAACAGGTTTACTATCCCGGAAAATATTTCTGTAAATTCATTGGTGTGTACCGTAAATGCTGTTGATTTGGACAAGGAACGATTTGGAGAGCCTACATACATTATACACAGCGGTAACGGTGCGGGATATTTTCGAATCGATAATGCCACTGGTGAAATATATCTTTCAAAATCTCTGGATAGAGAGACCATTAACGTCCACACACTTGTCGTGTATGCTTACAATTATGGTGGTGATACCTCGCGAAAACGACGGGATCTTGGTAAGTAATTCATCTATTTTCAACTGCTCTTCCTACAGATATGATTCGTAAAGTAGTTAAACTTTATTTGTATACCTCTTTAAATGAGATCTACTAAGTATTAACTGTTGTTGATAAGTGCTATCAGAGGCCTCTATTTGGAGAGTTGGGACGCCGGAAGTAAAATTGCTTAGCGTTCGCCATTTTAGTTCCAAAAGCCAGCAAATATACTGGCTTTGTGCCAGCTATATTTCAGCAAATATAGCTCATTAAATGGTGGAGAGACAAATTTTCTGTTGTGTTTTCTTATTCATGAATAGACAGCGATTCCTACCTTTGGAATTCAGTTGTTTATAGATTTCATAATAATAGGAAAGCATTTATTTAATGCAGTGGATGTAATTTATACACCTTTAATACTGTTTTTGCCCCAAGGGAGCACGTATGTTTCTCTTCTTTATCGCTTTGATTGGCACTATTATAACCCAACATAAAATCATTGTAAACATTTTTTTATAATTTATCTCTCCTACGTCAAAAATGATTATAGTTTGCGCTATTGGAAGCAAAATGGCGGCTAGATGCCCATGTGACCCTATTTACCTAATTACCTTGATCATAATGCGAAATGCAGAGAACAATACGTGCCCCAACTCTTATAAATACAGGGCTCTGAGTTCTACTACAGAAAGAAATCAACCAACTATATTTGTTTTGGATAGTTCATCAGTTTTAAACTGATTTTCATGGAGATTCACTATTATAACCCAACATAAAATCATTGTAAACATTTTTTATAATTTATCCTCACTTCAAAATGATTGATTATCGTTTGCTTATTGGAGGAACCAGCTAGATGCCCATGTGACCCTATTTATCCTAATTTCCTTGATTGCAGAGAAATGTGACACTGGCGTTACAGGGCTCTGAGTTCTACTACGATCAAACAATCATTCCATACTATATTTGTACGGTAGTGATAATTCATCAGATTTATACAACTGATTTTCATGGAAATTCCAATCATATCTTATCGATCCGGAACTATGAGCACACCATAAAGCATTGCTTTTCGTTTATTGAGTTGTTCATCATTTCTAAGCCTTTTCCTTTAAGGGATCCAGCAATGATACACTTCTTTTGGTTTACATTTAGTTTATCTTTTTTGCTTGCAGTCCGAACTTTTGATGCGTTGACGGTGAAGAAGTCATTTTGCCAATTATAACGATAATATTGCATAGGAAAATCATCGAAACAATTTACATTTCCAGTGATGCATTTAACTGTAAAAACTTTATGTTGAGCACTTGAGCATTTTGTCATAGATCGAACGTGCTTTTTTACGTTGTTAAAGATGGCGAATTTCTCACTCAAGCAAAAATGCTAAGGTACGTTTTGCCAATCTGTAGAGCCCATCTCAAATGCTAGAGTTCATCTCAATTGCGTGGGCTTCGGGTGGGTTTTTACTCGTAACGTTTCTACCCTTTTTAGCTTGATATTGGAATATTGCGAAGCGAACAAAGAACATGCCAATCTTGCCTGTTTATGTGGAAGAAGCAGTGTCTTGAAGGGAGAAGATGAAATCACCGTCGTCGAAATGATGTTGTTACTAATGGGGGTGTTTGTGGGTATTGGTGGTCTACTGGGTATATTTCTCTTGTGCTGTTTAAGAAGGTGGTAATATCTCTACTTGTATGTGTGCTGTACAAAACGAGGATTTTTTCGAATTTTTTTTTGTTTTTTTTTTCCTTGGAAGGAAACGTTTCATGCCAGTAGGCGACACAAGTGACTGTGTCCTACCACAGAAAGCAGTATCTCTCGATGGAAAACAGCAACTGTGAGTAAAATTATTGTGCGACTTAAAGCAACGTCTGGGAACAGATTTCATTCAGAAAGCTCGTACGATTTTTTAAAGTCCTTAAAATTGAAAATGTTGAAAAATTATGTGAATACCCGATGATCCCCAGATCACAATAATCTTAAATCTAAAGCATGTCTTAGTCCAAACCACAATTCTCTCTCGTGCTTGAAGCATTCGTAGTACTTAACCATACACTTCAGACGTGCCTTTCATTTACATTCAACTTTTTTACATCTCTATTTCATCTTTCATCGCATTTTCTGTTTTCTTCCCCAGCAGTCAAGAAGATAATGATCCCGAACGCGTGAGTAGTAACCAAAACATTGTTTCCACTTTCAATTATTGATGCATCCTTAACGATCGTCCACCGTTATAGAGGTCTGGGGACGGTGAACTACGTATTTACTACGAGGAAACTTCATTACACTCCGCTGAAGAAGCAGCCACGGCATTGTCGACATTCGCCGTTGAAATCGAGAAGGAAGAGGCTATTGCTAAAGTGCATGCTTACATGAATCAGGCTTTGATTGATGACGAGAGTTCCGACTCCTTTACGGATAGCTCCGAAGATGAGGAACCTCGCGAGGCAGTGATGGAACCGCCCGGAACGAATGGGGACTATACAAAGCCTGTTGTTTCAAATTACACCATCACCAACATATGATGTCTTGCAGGCTTGATCTGATCATCTGAAGAACGCGGTTTGATTGATTTATTGATGTATTGATTGACAGATTTTTGTGACAAATCTTCCCACAAAGGGGGAAAAATGAAGCGTATGAAAATGCCTGTTCTTATCCTATAAAGGTCCATATTCTTTGTTGACTTTTCTATTTTATGTCGTAAAAAATAAAACCTTATAGATGACAGTTCTTAGATGTCATTTACTAGATGTCATTCTTGTAAATGCCAGTTCTAACAAGAACTGTTGAAAACCAAAAATTAAGAAAAACGGTGCCTCATTAGGGATACGTCTGCTTGAGAAAAATCTACTTATATCTATATAAAAAAATGTACTAATAAATTGAGACAAGAAATTGGATGATGTCATTGGAATTACACATGAACCCAAATATTTGCGAGAGATGTGTAACTCCTTTCAATTTTTGTAAAATGTTTAAAAAGTAACCAACTGTAGGATTTAAAAAAAAATCGTTAAAAACAAATTCCGAAGAAACAAGACATCTTGAGATTAGCTACAAAATATGAATCTGAACAAGACGAGAAGTGAACTGTGAATTTTCGCCTTTATTTCAAAGTCATCCTCAGACAGTCATCTTCTTCTACAGTCTCCCTCTGTCTGAGGATGATTTTGAAATAAAGTCGAAAATTCATAGTTCACTTCTCGTCTTGTTCTGATTCCTATTTTGTAGTCTCAATTTATTCGACAGAACTTTTAAAGTGACATGTATTTTATAAAACAGTTTGTGCATATCTCTTTTCATTCTCAAGATATCGAAGTTTTTGTAATGACAGATTTTCGCAACTTTTGGCGTCATTTTGCATAGTGAATCGCTGCAAAGTTTCAAATATCCTTTAGTTTCTAGGCAATTTTTGTTTGAAATGATCAGACAGTTCTTTTTGCCATTAATTCTTCACAATGAAGGGAACTCTGTTCGATTGAAGTAACATATCAGCAAACATATCTGCCGTTTCAAATTCTTGTTATGCAATGCGACATCGCAAGTTGTGTGAGGCGTACATTACACAAACTTCAAAACCTTGAGAATGAAAAGTGATATGAATGAACTGTTTTTTGGACATATGCTGTCAGTTTGAAAGTTCTGTTCAATTAAAATATAATCTAAATAGCACAATTTTCGAGTCTCATGCCTTTAAACAAATAACATCAAGGTAGGATGTTATGTTTGTACACTAAGGAAACAAAATTTGTTGAACATGGTTTGATTGAAGGATTGCCGTTCATTGTATCAGTTTGATGGTAATGTACGTAAAGGTTTACAAAAAACCTTTCTTTAAATTCAGCTGTTCATTGTCACAGAGAACCGACGTTTCTTGCTGTAGTGTTGGTAAGTATGCCATTGAAACTGGGTGTCTGTAAAGAATGAAGACGACAACACCATTGCGTCACGTCTCTCACACGTCACACGTACGTCATATACATTGCTAGGTTACTTCTACAGACGTCGGTTCTCGAAAGTAAAGATTTTGATAACTTCTTTGTGGGAGACTGGTGACATGTCAGAAATGTTCGATTCAATTGACTGTTATCATATCAATCATCAAATAGTCATGTTTGTAGATGTAGATCGTCCAGGTTAGTAAAGTCTTGAGAAGGACTGTTGATGTTGATGTAACCTGACGTTTCGACAACCTTAGCGGTAGTTATCTTACTTGACTTCAAAGAAAACTACCGCTAAAGATGTCAACATCAACAACAACAGTCCTTCTTAGGACTATACTAACCTGGACGATCTACATCTACAAACATGTAACTATCGATACTCCCGGGCTGAAACCATTTACTTTATTACGATCAAATAATCATGCTCGGAACAAAAGTTTGCTGACTAAGTGTCTGAACATAATTTCCTGTGCCAATTGACAAAAGTCTCTTTACAAAGCAGTATTGACGCGTATTTTGATTTCCTATCGCACCATATGATCACTACAAATTTATTACGATTTAATTTCTCTCGACTATAGAGCATTTCTTCAGACATTTTACGACAACAATTGTTTTTTTTAATTTCTGCACCAGTATCTTAATTAGCGTCGTTGTTAATCTGTCGCTGCTTACGAGCTTGGGCTTCACTTGTTATCTCCTAATTGTGCCGAATGAGCAGTATTTCTTTCAGTACTGCACGTAGCTTGGGACATTGATATGTAGTACTGTAGATTGGGACATTGATATGTAGTACTGTTTATTGGCACATTGTTATGTAGTACTGTAGATTGGGACATTGATATGTAGTACTGTAGACTGGGACATTGATATGTACTACTTTGGGTTAAGACACTATGCATGTAGTACTGTACAACCTACATTACTACATGCATATCTCTGATATCAGTGTCCCAAGCTACGTGCAGTTTTGCACGAAATACTGCTCATTAGGCACATTTACAAGATGACTAATGAAGTACAAGATTAACTTGCCAATCTCGGGGACCGCTGGTCAAGCAACGACATCAATCAAGCTACTGGTCTACTGGTGCTAAAATTAAATTAAAAACAGTGAATTGACAGTGAATTGTCTGCTAAGCTGATCAACACATCGGTGTCAATCATTCTCGTGTTTCGAGTTTGTAGGATTTTCGATCGTTATAAAGTCACAGTCTTGGATGTTTTACTATGTGAGAGTTATATGTTTGTAAATGATGATCGTCCAGGTTAATAAAGTCCTGAGAAGGACTGTTTTTGTTGTTAATGACTGACGTTTCGACAACCTTAGCGGTAGTCATTTGACTCTGAAGATGACTACCGCTAAGGTTGTCGAAACGTCAGTCAACAACAACAAAAACAGTCCTTCTCAGGACTTTATTAACCTGGACGATCATCATTTACAAACATATAACGGTACTCCCGGGTTCAAACCATTTACTTTATGTGAGAGTTCTCATTGAAAATGATTATGATGCTCACACGAATTCTTGATACATGCGTCACCAATCCACTTAGACAAGTTTTACACTGTCGTCTTTGTTTGGATGAATTTCAAGTGTATGTGTCGAGTTACTTGTCATTGAGATTGCAAAATGCCTCAGGCATGCGTGCAATGATCTATAAATTAGGAAAGGAAAATCTAAGACCTTAATTTTCTAGGATCTTTTTTACAGACAGTACGAAACGTCGATAATCATCATCGGTTTCAATCTGTTCCACTTGACTAACAGTCATATTTGCGCTAGAACAGACGATGAACGAAGAAATTCAACGATGCATGCGACCGATTGTCCACACATACACAAGAACAGACAATGTCAACATGAAGACAGCACCGGATCCATTAATGAAAACATGTGCGCGAATTGCCTATTTGCGCATTCATTTTGTAGTGTGTACAATCAAGCATCTTGAAATGGTATATATGGTCAAAAGTTATCGATCGCGAATTTTTCTTATGTACAAATCAATTAAACCAGCTAACAAGGAGAAAAAAATCCATACTACTTATACTTGAGTAAACCGATTAAAATAGGAAGAGAAACCTTTTTCAAAATAGCAAATACCATGGTGAATGGTGATAATAACAATGTACATTGTACTTGCTATTTTGAAATCTATTTTTAAGTTTGTCACCACGACAAAGTCTCTGTTTCATTATTTAAGGGGCTGTTCACATGAGCCCAGCTAACCGGGATTCAGCGAGACGTGAAATGATTTTGAGATATTGAAAGAAGTAAAAACTCTAAACGCAAAACTTACAATCTTTCTTATAAGTCATGAGTCATTTTAGTTGTATTTTTCAAATCTGGCCTAATTATTTGTTTTCATTTTAAAGGTTTTGCGAATTTGCAAATTCAGAACATAGGGAAATTGCTTAAATAACTTTTTTGTTGTGAAGGAATTAATCTTTTCCATTTGCTAAAATGATTAAACGCTTCGCTGAATCCCGGCTACCCGGGCTCATGTGAACAGGCCCTAAGAAACCTTTTTGTGGGTAAACATCCCGTCAAACGTCAATGTGCACTGATTTGCATTCACCGTTTGATCGATCATGCATTTAACCCAATGAAATGTCGCTGTACTTACTAAATTGTGAGTTGTCATCGTTGTATGTCACAGGTGTTGCTTTGTCTTTGTTAGATCGATAAACAGCAGCACATCGTTTTTTTACCGAAGGAGATTTGCTCATTCTGCGAGTAAAGAGATCCAGAGCACGTAGTCACGGATTGCGCAGGTTTGCTATTGATTCAATTATATACCATTCATCATCTTGTTGAGTGCTTGGGTTATTGAAATCTCTCGTGTATTGTCGTCATTGTGCTTGAATGTTTAATTTGCTGGGAAACAAGTTGCAGAAAGCCAACGTGTGCTACAATCTTAATCTTTTTACTACTGTTTGGTTGTGTTTGTGAAATAGCGTCTGTACAACATTGAGCTTTCAACTGTGAAACAAAGATCGTAGTTGTTTTCAATTGACGTAAATTGACTGGACAAGCATTGTTTCAAAAGTGGTCAGAAAGATACCAGTCCGAATAAATCACAACCTCTTCACGCGAAGTCATCGGAAAATATAGATTTCATCGATAGGAAAAAGACAAAAACATCTTCACTGTCTCAACATTCTCACGCTTGAATTGTACAGCTCGAAGCCAAAATAAATCACCAAACGATATCATCAATCATGCATCAAAATTCGGAAGAAAAGATCGCAGCGCGGACTTTGCAAAAGCTATTCTTAAGGCTCTTTTCCACTCGTCACAAAACGTACTCGCAAGCTCGCAGCGAGCTTACCATGACTTGCAGCATAGTTAAATCAATTGAACAAAATTTTTTGATCGCGCGAACAGACTCGCAAGCTCGCAACGAGAGCATTTTGCGATGAGTGGAAAAGAGCCTTAGGCATTCAGTTCTGATTGTCTTTTATGAGGAAACTTTTAGATTTACGAAGGGATAAGAATCACTTATCACTAGACCGCTACCTAATGTCCACCCTCCCCGTCACCCAATGTCCATCTTCCCCTACAGAGGAGTAACCAGAACGTTAATTGGGGGGTGCATGTTCATATATTCCGTTGTGCCCTAATGATTTCTTTTGAAAGTGATATGAATTTCAAATGAAATCAGTAGGGCACAATTGAATATATGAATATACACACCCCAATTAACGTTCTAGTTACGCCTCTGTTCCCCTAACACCTAATCTTCCCCTCCCCACCCCACCGCCTAACCTCCATACCAGCAATCGTTATTTCGACATCCAGTTCTTATGCAGGATTTTAGTGCGATGATCTCAAAGAAGGCGCTCCATGCAATTGCTGCTACAATAAAATAATCATCATGTGCGTCTCAAAGACTCTGAAATCAACTATTGTTACTAAATTTCCAATTTTAGATATAGGTTATACTGAAACTATACTTAACAAACTCATTTGGTTGGCTCCTAATGATTAGATCGTACCAAAGTCTTTGTGTTCAAGCAAACTTGCGGCAATCATGCATGCGTGACTTTATTAATGTAAATCCTTGTCTTTTAACCGTCCTACGATGAAGATCCGACTTGGCTAAAACCGATTGCGGTCTTTATTTATTTGCAGATATTTGCGATTTTCTTTTTGATCACGGTCAACTTATGTTTTAGTCTAGTACTGAAGTAAATCGTGAAGTATCCTACTAACATCATGGCACACCTTGATATGAATTTGTAACTGAGCCATCCTTGTCTTAACTCGGAGCTTTTACGCTTACGTTCTCGGAACAAAATTTATTGTGCGCTTCAGAAAGCCGTTTACCTAATAGAAAGTTTATAGAAAAACAATTTTGTGCAAGGGAGCAAGTCGTCCTGACCAGCCAATTTGAAAAGTGAACGTGATTAAAAGTTTTAAGTTGTTAACATCGTCCGATTTTCAACCGCGTAGCAACTTGACTCACAGTATCTTTTTGTCCTGAATCCACGATATAGAAAATGCACAATACGGGTATGTTTTAATGGTCTTACCCATGAATGATTGTAATAAGTTTTGCTGATTTATTCGCTTTCGAAGCGAGATGAAGCAAATTCAACTTTACTGGTGAGATGTGTTTTCTTGTCAAAATACATCTGTCTTTGACAAATGTCACGCGTGCAAATTCATCTTTGTAATCAGGCCTTTGGAGAAGTGTTACAGCTCACATATTATCCGTGTGTATATGTTAACATGCCTTATAACACTGTTTTGTTTTTCATTCAGCGATGGGAAGAACGACTTTCTGTTTCCATCTTGCTTTCTTTGTGTTGATAAACATCAATTTGGCAACAAGCAATCCTCTGCCATCGTGGCTATCAGGTACAGCACGCATCAATGTCCTTAAAAGATACTGAATCCATTGTGGATGCCAAATTTTGTGCACTAGCAGATTTATCTTGGCTTGTCTTTCAGGTTACTGCAGTCCGAATCCATGTAAAAATGGCGGTGTTTGTACGTCACAGGTATTTTACTATACGTGCAAGTGTGGTAGCGGTTGGAAAGGAAAAGACTGTACAATAAAAGGTACACGAAATTTGAGAAAATTCGCGCATTGCTGCGCGCGCTAGTTCATCTTCGATTGTTTTAGCCATATCTGCATTATATAGTGAAACCTTGTGAGTCATCTCCTTGCGAAAACGGTGGTACGTGTAACAATGTCAATGACGCGAAGTTCAATTGTAGCTGCAGAGATGGGTTTCTCGGAGATACTTGCGGAAAAAAAAGTACAGTGAACTTTTTGTTATATTCTCATAGATTTTCGCGGGATCCTTAATGACTAATCTTTTCCTCGGTTCGGTCAGCGTGATCCGAACTATATATATTCCTGTATAAGAGTAGCACATGCTGCTCACGATTATCAACGACTGATATTTATAAAGACTGGATAATGCAACCTAATTCTGGTGCCTAGAAAATTTTGAAGCCAACTTTCGACAGCGGCGGCCACATTGGACTATCCACTTCTAGTATATATTTTATAATAATTTTCATCATATTTTGTATTCCTGTTATTTTCTCTTTCAGAAATCGTGCCAAAATTTTTATTATTATATTTAAGCAACGTGAGAAGATTTCTATATGAAATTGAGTTTTTGCCCAAACCGTTCTATTGCAGTCTTGTCGTCATAATAATTTTTTTTGTCCCAAGAGTAAAACATGATCCGAAATAAATGCAGGAATAGCAGTTTGTTATCTAAAAACTGAAAAAGTGCATCGTCCAATATGGCCGCCAACCGGTTTTAAGTCAAGCACTAAGTTATTGTTATCCAGTTTTATACATATCAGTGTTCTCAACACGATTCCTTATGCGTTTTAGCTTTATGTGAAAATCCTCTCGATGTTTTGTTCATCGTCGACACATCAAGTTGGCAGTACACGAGTGACTTTGATCACATCAGGAACTTCATTTTCAGCGTCGTTGATTGGATGAACATCTCCGATACGGCTACCCAACTGGGAGTGCTTCCTTTTACGTACAAGGTAAGGATCGTGGGGGATGAGAGAAGATCAAGGCATGAAAAAATTTCTTTGGCAACTCTAAACAATCAATATTTTTGTGATAGAAATACACCAAACCTTTATTCCTGCCAAATGCCTATGAGAATGTAACGTCGTTGAAATCCGCTTTGAGGAAACTTGTCCGGTCGCCACCTTATGCTTTTATTGGTTACGAGGGCAATCTTGCCTATGCTCTGCAGATAGCAAATGAGAAGGTTAGTTACATGTCTTTTTTCGGTTGTTTTGTTTGTTCATAACGAAGTCAGTCCGAGCTTTTTTCGTGCTATTTCGGTACCAGTTCACTGAAAAACAACTGCCGACGTTAACCGTTGTTTTACGTGACTTTCCTCAAAATTGCACGCGTCTTTTCAGGTATTTCCAACCGGTTCTCAGAGGCCAAATGCTGCTAAAGCGGTCGTTATAGTATCCGCTCAGAAACCCTTGGACAGCATAGCAAATGCGTATAAGGCGGCTAACGAACTTAGAGCGAAAGGAGTGAAGGTCTTTGTTGTGGAAGTACTCGCTCCCATCATGTCGTCGGATTTTGCTCTGAGAGAAAAAACATTGAGGGAACTTGCCAATAAGACAAATGTGATTGCAGCGGTTTACTCCAAATTGGTTGATCATGCGCGTCAACTTTCCAATGTATTATGTCAAAGTAAGGATACGTTCTTCGTATGTTAACTATGAGTGACCGTGAGGAATCTGTTTGGATATGTATGTATGTCAAAGTAAGCATACGTTCTTCGTATGTTAACTATGAGTGACCGTGAGGAATCTGTTTGGATATGTATGTATGTCAAAGTAAGCATACGTTCTTCGTATGTTAACTATGAGTGACCAAGGGAATCTGTTTGGATATGTATGTTAAGTTGTGGTTATTTGTTGATAACCGACCTGTTTATACTTTTTCAAAACACGTTTCTTCGAGACAACCTTTGAAGAGGATGTGGCGAATTCTCAATGGCGTGTTGAAACTGCTTTTGAGTACATATTGAAAAATACCTACTGTTTTTGTGTTAAACTCTTAAATAGTATCCAAAAATCCTTGCGATGAAGCCAATTGTGGTGAACAGAAGAAATGCATCTACGACAAAGACAAGACCTCGTGTGTATGCAAACATCCCGGATGTGATGGTACGTCGAGTAATCTTGCGATCTGCTCTGGTGACGTGGTGTGACGTCAATTAACGTTTCACCGTCGCCATCGAAAAATGTTTATTTTGAATAAACATAAAAAAATTGGACGAGATAGGAAAAACTTGAACTCAGTGAACTTAAAATTGTCATAAGTATACAGGTTTTTACAACCTTATAATTTTTAAAAATTTTGGTTTTTAGTTCATCCTTGTGATAAGACCCAGTCGCCATGTAAAAATGGCGGTCTTTGTGAGAAAGATGGCAATAATTTCACATGTGATTGTAGCGAAGAGTGGGCTGGAGATACGTGTGAACAAAAAGGTATATAGTCCACCTTCCGATCACATTATAAAATAGCACGTTTGCGTAAATTTTCTGCTCGAACTTTATTTCAGTTCATCCATGTGAAAAATCGACAACTCCGTGTAAAAATGGTGCGCTGTGTGAAAAAAATGGAGAGCTTTTTGTGTGCAATTGTACCGAAGATTTTACTGGAAAAACCTGTGAAGAAGAAGGTAAAAAAATTATCTTTGCAAAGCATCAAATGACATGACGACAAAGAAAAAATTATCAATACTCCTTTGTAGTTCATCCATGTGACAAGGGTAAAGGACCGTGTGAAAATGACGGAGTTTGTGAAAAAGATGGAGATGGATTCAAATGTAAATGTGATGAAGATTTCACAGGAGATAAATGCGAGGAAAAAGGTAAAAGGAAAAAAACACTTACAATCAAGCAAACTATTTCACTATGAGGAAAGAATTAAAATCTTGTTGGTCTCGCCATTGGTCTCTAGTTCATCCATGCGTTCATCGTATTTATAACAAAGTAAGGATACGTTCTTCGTGTGTTAACTATGAGTGACCGTGAGGAATCTGTTTGGATATGTATGTATGTCAAAGTAAGGATACGTTCTTCGTATGTTAACTATGGGTGACCGTGAGGAATCTGTTTGGATATGTATGTATGTCAAAGTAAGGATACGTTCTTCGTATGTTAACTATGAGTGACCGTGAGGAATCTGTTTGGATATGTATGTATTTATGTCAAAGTAAGGATACGTTCTTCGTATGTTAACTATTAGTGACCGTGAGGAATCTGTTTGGATATTTATGTATTTATGTCAAAGTAAGGATACGTTCTTCGTATGTTAACTATCTTTGCAAAGCATCAAATGACATGACGACAAAGAAAAAGTTATCAATACTCCTTTGTAGTTCATCCATGTGACAAGGGTAAAGGACCGTGTGAAAATGACGGAGTTTGTGAAAAAGATGGAGATGGATTCAAATGTAAATGTGATGAAGATTTCACAGGAGATAAATGCGAGGAAAAAGGTAAAAGGAAAAAAACACTTACAATCAAGCAAACTATTTCACTATGAGAAAAATATTGAAATCTTGTTGGTCTCGCCATTGGTCTCTAGTTCATCCATGCGACAAAGGTGCAGGACCGTGTAAAAACAGCGGAGTTTGTGAAAAAGATGAGAATGGATTTGAATGTAATTGCAGTGAAGATTTCAGCGGAAATACTTGCGAGGAAAAAGGTAAAAAAGACAAAAAATTTTGACGGAGGCAACTTCTTTTAAAAAAGGAAAGTCACAAATGTTTTGGTTGTTAGTTCATCCTTGTGACAAGGCCGAATCACCATGTAAAAACAACGGTCTTTGTAAAAAGGATTTTAATGGTTTTACATGTGATTGTGACGAAGATTGGACTGGGGATACTTGTGAACAAAAAGGTTTTTATGATTTTTATTTTTATTTTTAACTTTCACTAATGTCCACTTTAAATTTGTTGCTCAAACTTTGCTTCAGTTCATCCATGTGAAAAGAAAACGACACCGTGTAAAAATGGCGCTCTTTGTGAGAAAGACGGAGATGTTTTTGTGTGCCAGTGCACTGCAGATTTTACTGGAAAAACCTGTGAAGAAAAAGGTAAAACGATCATGGTTGGAGTAATATTTTTGTGCTGTTAGGGAATGATAAATATTTTTCTTCAGTTCATCCATGCGACAAAGGTAAAGGACCGTGTGAAAATGACGGAGTTTGTGAAAAAAATGGAGGTGGATTCAAATGTAAATGTAATGAAGATTTTACAGGAGATAAATGTGAAAAAAAAGGTAAACGCATTGAAAGTTTTATGGTGCAACGAATCTTGCTGATCTATATGACCAAACCACAAGTAAAGCACTGGCTCTCGTCTGATCACCAAAGTTAAGCCTTGTTGGGGGAAGTTAGTATTCTGATAGGTGACTGCCTAGGAATACTTCCAGTTGTAGATATTTTTAGAGACATATCTGTTATAAATAAGTAATATATATGGGGTACGTCATAGTAAATTATTGCACCTCAATTTAGGACATATTTCCAATTTTACATTTCCAAATTCATTACTGACAACTAGTCTTGTTTTGGAGCTAGGCTATAATTTATTTTTACTAACACTGTATGCTCTACTAAACTATACTGGAAAATTCAAACTTTATTTCAGTTCATCCATGTGAAAAATCGACAACTCCGTGTAAAAATGGTGCGCTGTGTGAAAAAAATGGAGAGGTTTTTGTGTGCAATTGTACCGAAGATTTTACTGGAAAAACCTGTGAAGAAGAAGGTAAAAAAATTATCTTTGCAAAGCATCAAATGACATGACGACAAAGAAAAAATTATCAATACTCCTTTGTAGTTCATCCATGTGACAAGGGTAAAGGACCGTGTGAAAATGACGGAGTTTGTGAAAAAGATGGAGATGGATTCAAATGTAAATGTGATGAAGATTTCACAGGAGATAAATGCGAGGAAAAAGGTAAAAAGAAAAAAACAATTACAATCAAACAAACTATTTCACTATGAGAAAAATATTGAAATCTTGTTGGTCTCGCCATTGGTCTCTAGTTCATCCATGCGACAAAGGTGCAGGACCGTGTAAAAACAGTGGAGTTTGTGAAAAAGATGGCGATGGATTTGAATGTAATTGCAGTGAAGATTTCAGCGGAAATACTTGCGAGGAAAAAGGTAAAAAAGACAAAAAATTTTGACGGTGGCAACTTCTTTTAAAAAAGGAAAGTCACAAATGTTTTGGTTGTTGGTTCATCCTTGTGACAAAGGCAATGGACCATGTGAAAATGGCGGAGCTTGCCAAAAAGAAGGAGAGGCATTTAAGTGTAATTGTAGTGAAGATTTCACTGGAGAACTATGCGAGGAAAAGGGTAAATGGAATAAATATTTCAAGCGGGATTAATCAGACTGAGAAATTTTTGAATTTTTTATTATAGTTCATCCTTGTGACAAGGCCGAATCACCATGTAAAAACAACGGTCTTTGTAAAAAAGATTTTAATGGTTTTACATGTGATTGTGACGAAGATTGGACTGGGGATACTTGTGAACAAAAAGGTTTTTATGATTTTTATTTTTATTTTTAACTTTCACTAATGTCCATTTTAAATTTGTTGCTCAAACTTTGCTTCAGTTCATCCATGTGAAAAGAAAACGACACCGTGTAAAAATGGCGCTCTTTGTGAGAAAGACGGAGATGTTTTTGTGTGCCAGTGCACTGCAGATTTTACTGGAAAAACCTGTGAAGAAAAAGGTAAAAGAATCATGGTTGGAGTAATATTTTTGTGCTGTAAGGGAATGATAAATATTTTTCTTCAGTTCATCCATGCGACAAAGGTAAAGGACCGTGTGAAAATGACGGAGTTTGTGAAAAAAATGGAGGTGGATTCAAATGTAAATGTAATGAAGATTTTACAGGAGATAAATGTGAAAAAAAAGGTAAACGCATTGAAAGTTTTATCGTGCAACGAAACTTGCTAATCTATAGACCAAACCACAAGTAAAGCACTGGTTCTCGTCTGATCACCAAAGTTAAGCCTTGTTGGAGGAAGTTAGTACTCTGATGGGTGACTGCCTAGGAATACTTCCAGTTGTAGATATTTTTAGAGACATATCTGTTATAAATAAGTAATATATATAGGGTACGTCATAGTAAATTATTGCACCTCAATTTAGGACATATTTCCAATTTTACACTTCCAAATTCATTACTGACAACTAGTCTTGTTTTGGAGCTAGGCTATAATTTATTTTTACTAACACTGTATGCTCTACTAAACTATACTGGAAAATTCAAACTTTATTTCAGTTCATCCTTGTGACAAGATCAATTCCCCGTGCAAAAATAACGGTCTTTGTAAAAAAGATTTTAATGGTTTTACATGCGATTGTGGCGAAGATTGGACTGGAGATATTTGTGAACAAAAAGGTATCGGCTACATCTTGTTAATCCCGCGGTTTTTTTAATTTTTTTTCTTAATTTTTCATTGAATTATAATTCAGTTCATCCGTGTGATAAGACAACGACACCGTGTAAAAATGGCGCTCTCTGCGAAAAAGATGGAGATGTTTTTGTGTGCCAGTGTAATGCGAATTTCACTGGAAAAACCTGTGAAGAAAAAGGTGAGAAGAAATTTTACCTTCTGATCATGAATGACATTGCACGAAAAAAAGATCGATACTTTTTTATCTTCAAGTTCATCCGTGCGACAAAGGCGAAGGACCGTGCGAAAATAGCGGAGTTTGTGAAAAAATTGGAGAAGGATTTAAATGTAAATGTAGCGAAGATTTCACCGGAGAAAAATGCGAGAAGAAAGGTAAACCGACAAAAATCTTAATGGTGCGACGAACAAGAATGGAAACTTTGATGTTGTTTTTTCTTTAGTTCATCCTTGTGACAAGGCCAAATCTCCTTGTAAAAATAACGGTCTTTGTAAAAAAGATGGCGAGTACTTCACATGTGATTGCGACGAAGACTGGACCGGACATACTTGTGAACAAAAAGGTGTTAATTATTTTGTTCCATCTCATCTTCAACTCGACTTATATTTATTTATTCTGTTTGAACATAAATACAGTCCATCCTTGCGATAAGAAGACGACACCTTGTAAAAATAGCGCTGTTTGTGAAAAACACGGTGATGTTTTTGTCTGCAATTGTACTGGAGATTTCACTGGAGCCACCTGTGAAAAAAAAAGTAAGAAAAGTCGCGTTTTCTAAAATGAACGTCCGTGCAAAAATCACTGATTTTAAGTTCTTGGCTTTAGTCCATCCATGTGACAAAGTTGACGGACCGTGTAAAAATGGCGGAGTTTGTGAAAGAGAAGAAGATGGATTTCAATGTAAATGTGGCGAGGACTTTGCTGGAGATACTTGCGAGAAGAAAGGTAAAAGAAGCAAAGCATTATAATGAAGTCGACTATTTTACCAAAGTCTGAAATTTGTTATTTGTTAGTTCATCCTTGCAACAAAGTTCAAGGACCGTGTAAAAATGGCGGAGCGTGTGAAAAAGATGGAGATGGATTTAAATGTAATTGTAGCGTATTTTTTGCTGGAGATACTTGCGCAAAAAGAGGTAAACAAGTAGAAGTATTTTTTCTCGCGCAAACTATCTACATTTTCAAAATCATCCCCAAAACTTGATTTTTAGTTCATCCTTGTGACATGGTTAAGTCTCCGTGTAAAAATGGAGGTCTTTGTGAAAAAGATGGCGATAATTTCACATGTGATTGTAGCGAAGATTGGACTGGAGACACTTGTGAACAAAAAGGTTTTTTATGGTGTTTGTTTTAGATTTTCATCTACATGTACATTAAATTTGTTGCTCAAAATTTCAATGTAGTTCATCCATGTGAAAAGAAAACTACACCGTGTAAAAATGGCGCTCTTTGTGAGAAAGACGGAGATGTTTTTGTTTGCAATTGTACTGCAGATTTTACTGGAAAAACCTGTGAAGAAAAAGGTAGAAAGAGTACGGTTAAAAGAATTTTTTAGTACACAAGGTAGTGATAGATGTTTTTCTTTAGTTCATCCATGTGACAAAGGCAAAGGACCTTGTAAAAATGACGGAATTTGTGAAAAAAATGGGGATGGATTTAAATGTAAATGTAGCGAAGATTATACCGGAATTATATGCGCGACGAAAGGTAAAATAATGAAATATTTTTAGTTAGAATTTTTATTTTCAATGCAAAGTAGCGTAACGAAATTTCGTATTACAGTTCATCCTTGTGACAAAGCAAAGTCTCCGTGCAAAAACAACGGTCTTTGTAAAAAAGATTTTAATGGTTTTACGTGTGATTGTAGCGAAGATTGGACTGGAAATACATGTCAACAAAAAGGTTTTTATAAGGATTATTTTAAACTTTCACTGAGAGGCGTAATTGACTTGTAGTTTACACTTTGATTTAGTCCATCCATGTGATAAAAAAACGACACCGTGTAAAAATGGTGCACTGTGTGAAAAAGATGGAGATGTTTTTGTGTGCAATTGTACTGCAAATTTTACAGGAAAAACTTGTAAAGAAAAAGGTGAAAACATCCTTTCGTAGACTTACATAAGGAAAAAGTAAAACTGATATAAATGTTTTTCCTCTAGTTCATCCTTGTGACAAAGGTGCGGGACCGTGTAAAAATGGCGGAGTTTGTGAAAAAGACGGCGATAGATTTAAATGTAAATGCGATGAAAACTTCACTGGATTTAAATGCGAGGAAAAAGGTGAGGCTAAATGAATTACTCTTGTTTAAGAATTGTAGCTACTTAAGTGCTAGAAAAATTTTTTTGAAAATATTTCTGTTTAGTACATCCTTGTGACAAAGCTACAACACCATGCAAAAACAAAGGCCTTTGTATAAAACATTTTGATGATTTTACATGTGATTGTAGCATTGATTGGACCGGACATACTTGTGAACGAAAAGGTGCTCATGTGTTTATTTAATAATTTTACTGACATTGATATTAAATTAGTTTCTATAAACCTTCTTTCAGTTCATCCATGTGAGAAAAAAACGACACCGTGTAAAAATGGCGCACTCTGTAAGAAAAATGGAGATGTTTTTGTTTGCCAGTGTACTGCAGATTATGTTGGAAAAACCTGTGAAGAAAAAGGTAGCAAGAATACGGTTGAAATAATATTTTTGCGCAGTTAAAGAATTATAAATGCTTGTTTTTAGTTCATCCATGTGACAAAGGTAAAGGACCGTGTAAAAATGGCGGAGTTTGCGAAAAAGACGGCGATAGATTTAAATGTAAATGTGACAAAGATTATACTGGAGATATATGCGAGGAGAAAGGTGAAATTACTGGAAAACCTATAGCATTACTGGTGGGATAAACAGAAAACGTTAATAATAAAAAATTTCCTGTTTAGTTCATCCTTGTGACAAGGCCAAGTCTCTGTGTAAAAACAACGGTCTTTGTAAAAATGATGGTGATGGTTTTACATGTGATTGTGATGAAGATTGGACCGGAGATACTTGTGAACAAAAGGGTATGTATGGTGTTTATTAAAAATTTTCGCGAAGATGCATGATAAATTTGTCGCTCAAACTCCAATGTAGTTCATCCTTGTGAAAAGAAAACGACGCCGTGTAAAAATGGCGCTCTTTGTGAGAAAGATGGAGATGTTTTTGTGTGCAATTGTACGGAAAATTTCTCTGGAAAGACCTGTGAAGAAAAAGGTGGAAAGATCACGGTTTAATAATTTTATCGTATAATGAGATATTTAATTGTTCGTCTTTAGTCCACCCGTGCGACAAAGCCAAAGGACCTTGTAAAAATGGCGGAGTTTGTGAAAAAGAAGGAGATGGGTTTAAGTGTAAATGCAATGAAGATTTCACTGGAGATACTTGCGAGAAGAAAGGTAGAAATACTAAAGTATGCGTAATTGAAAATTGTGTTTGTAAGTGAAAGAATACATTAAAAACAAATAAGAGAAAAAACATGTGAAGAAAGTGGTCAAAAATATTCTTCTGTTTAACTAATGTTTCTCTCTAGCCCATCCATGTGACAAGGGTAAAGGACCGTGTAAAAACGACGGAGTCTGTGAAAAAGATGGAGATGAATTTAAATGTAAATGTAGTAAGGACTTCACTGGAGATATATGCGAGGATAAAGGTAAAATCAATGAAATATCAATGCTTGGAAATTGTAATGGAAAAATTTTAAAATATTTGTTTTTAGTGCATCCATGTGACAAGGCCGAATCACCATGTAAAAATAATGGTCTTTGTAAAAAAGATGGCGATTGTTTTACGTGTGATTGTAGCGAAGATTGGACAGGAGATATTTGTGAAATAAAAGGTTTTTATAGTTTTCGTTTTTTAAACTTTCACTAACATTCAAATTAAATTTGTTGCTTTGAACTTACTTCAGTTCATCCGTGTAATAAGAAAACGACACCGTGTAAAAATGGCGCTCTTTGTAAGAAAAATGGAGATGTTTTTGTCTGCCAGTGTACTGCAGATTTTACTGGGAAAACCTGTGAAGAAAAAGGTAGAACGCGATCATCGTTGAAGTAATATTTTTATGCGATCAGGAAGTGACAAATGTTTCTCTTTAGTCCATCCATGTGACAAGGGTAAAGGACCGTGTAAAAACGACGGAGTCTGTGAAAAAGACGGAGGTGGATTTAAATGCAAATGTAGTATAAATTTCTCAGGAGATAAATGCGAGAAAAAAGGTAAGAGTGATAATCACTACCAAGATAAAGACTGTTATTGGAGTAATTCTTTGGCGTTTATCCATAGTCCATCCGTGTGACCTACCCGTCAACCCGTGTAAAAATAATGGATTTTGTAATAAAATTGGAAGGAAATTTAAGTGCGATTGTTGTGAAGACTTCACTGGACCAACTTGTGAGATTAAAGGTAACAGTTTAATGAAACAATCGTGATTCGCGAGTTCATGTTCCTTCCTAAATTGTGCTCTTCTTCAATTTTAAGTACATCCCTGTGATAAACCAAACTCGCCATGTAAAAACGGTGGTCTCTGTGTAAAGAAGGGGGATGGTTTTCAATGTAATTGTGGAAAAGGTTGGACTGGGGATGTTTGCGGAAAAAAAGGTATTTAACTTATACGTGATGTCAATTCTGTCAAAGTCGTTTATTCGCTATTATTAAGCTTTGGAATCCATGTGATATAATACATTTGTTGGCTCCGGTTTCATCTGCTTATTACAGTTTAGCACTTTTATAGAAGTTCTCTAAGTGAAATGAACAAAGGTTTCGAATACCGGGCAATTCAATGTAGCCGAGCTTGAAATTGCTGATATAACTACGTAATGGAAGGGAAAACGTCAGGCTGAATCAAGGGGATTCGATTTTGGCTAAAAATAACTTATAACTAAGCTTAGACATATTTTTGTGTTAAATCTCGTTTACGCAAGTCATCGTTTAATGTCAATGCCTTTCTCAGCTCGGAAATCACACGTATACAATGGTGTTCGTTCATTATGAAAATGTTTCATCCGTGTTGCTCGATAGTAATCAGTTTTCCTTTTATCTACCATTGTCAGTCTCCTCCTGTAAAGGCTTCGGTTGCAAGAATGGTGGAAAATGTATTCTTGGGAATAAAGGAAAGCCGTCGTGCCGATGTAAGACTGGTTTTTCGGGAAAGAAGTGCGAAAATAAAGGTATCTTTACGGAGATGATTTGTTAATGAAAAAAAGTGAAAGGGCAATCCGTCCTGTGATTGCTAAAGAAGAAACAACTTTTTCTTTCTTTTCATTCCCTCTCTGGGAGTAATCCTAGTTGACTTTATCTCTTATAGCATACGCAATCGGCTTTTACAAGTTTACGACTAAAGCTTATGTGAAAACAGTCATCCGACAAACGATGTCCAAAATGTCAGTTTGTTTCCGCGTGTTTACAATGGGCAGGCGACCATACATGTTCATAATGAGCTACACCGTGAAGGGTGTGCAGCGGTTTGCTTTATCAAAGCGTAAAAATGGCTTAGGCGTGCGCTTGAACGGGAAACTGGTTGTGTAAGTAAAGTTTTTCGTTCTTGCCATCTCTTTGCTTGCGTCATGCAGTAAATGAACTAACCAATGGCGTTCGTAGGGTTGAGAAAGCGGTTATAAATGACCGGAGATGCCATCACGTTTGTTTCACGTGGCAATCATCCGATGGCAACTATGCTTTCTATTTGGATGGAAAAAGTATCGTCAACAAAAAAGGACTGAGTAAAGGCAGACCCTTACCTGGAGGTGGCGTACTGTCGTTGGCCCAACGCCGGCCTAGACTAAAATTTCTTAGGGTTGCACTTCTCAGATTGCGGTTTGTCGGCAAGATCAATGATCTCAACATCTGGAACAGAGTTCTTTCTGCTAAAGAAGTAAAGAGAATTGAGAAATGCGGGTCTACAGCTGTAGGAAATGTAAAGTCCTGGTCGGACTTCAAAATCAAAATGCAAAAACGTTCGCAAAGAAAATACGCCAAATACGTTTTCAATGGCGTGTGTCCTAAAAATTGCTAAGATGTGTTAGACTGATTGGCTAAGGATAACGATCACCTGTGCCTTGTTTCGTATTTGACTGTTTACGTAGATGCTAAATTGGATGACTTAAACTTTTTTCATAATAAAAATGGCCAAATCTTTTTTTCAAAGCGTCACTTCAACCTCTTTCAACTTCTGTTTTACATGCATGCCAGGGCCGAGAAGTCTTTCAAGGATCGCTTGCAAGATCGATAGATCGATGTGCATTTTCGTCTTTATTTTAAAGTCATCCTCAGACAGTCATCTTCTTCTACAGTCTCCCTCTGTATGAGAATGATTTTGAAATAAAGTCGAAAATTCACAGCTCACTTCTCGTTTTGTTCTGATTCATATTTTGTAGTCTCAATTCATTCGACAGAACTTTTAAAGTGACATGTATTTTATAAAACAGTTTGTGCATATCTCTTTTCATTCTCAAGATATCGACGTTTTCGTAGTGACCGATTTTCACAACTTTTAGCGTCATTTTGCATAGTGAATCGCTGCAAATTTTCAAATATCCTTTAGTTTCTAGGCAATTTTTGTTTGAAATGATAAGACTGTTGTATAATTTAGGATATTTCATTTATATTTTTTATTGCATGCCAGATTTTATAAGTTCCCATGCAGAGTTTTATGTGTGCCAAAATTATAATTAAAAATTAGGGTGTATATACTTAACACTTCCTAAGTATTTTCTCTCTTAATTAATTCATGTTGTAGTAGTGCACGTAAGTCACGAAATGTAAACATATAAATAGACTCAAATTTGTAATAGTTGAAGAGATTGTGTAGATTGTTCATTGCTAATAAACTCCATAAAACAAACCGAATCAGAGTGCAGATCAATTTTCTGGACGAACTCAGTGAATTCTGCGACAAAGACAGCTCTTTTTGCCATTAATTCTTCACAATGAAGGGAAATCTGCTCGATTGAAGTAACATATCAGCAAACATATCTGCCGTTTCAAATTCTCGTTATGCAATGCGACATCGCAAGTTGTGTGAGGCGTACATTACACAAACTTCAAAATCTTGAGAATGAAAAGTGATATGAATGAACTGTTTTTGAACATACGCTGTCATGTTCAAAGTTCTGTTCAATTAAAATATAATCTAAATAGCACAATTTTCGAGTCTTATGCCTTTAAACAAATAACATCAAGATAGGATGTTATGTTTGTACGCTAAGGCAGCACAATTTGGTTGAACATGGTTTGATTGAATGATTGCCGTTCATTGTATCACGTTTTCACGTTTTTATTGTTCATTGTTTATTCAATCTACGTAAAGGTTTACAAAAAACCTTTCTTTAAATTCAGCTGTTCATTGTCGCAGAGAACCGACGTTTCTTGCTGTAGTGTTGGTAAGTATGCCATTGAAACTGGGTGTCTGTAAAGAATGAAGACGACAACACCATTGGATCACGTCTCTCACACGTCACACGTACGTCATATACATTGCGAGGTTACTTCTACAGACGTCGGTTCTCGAAAGTAAAGATTTTGATAACTTCTTTGTGGGAGACTGGTGACATGTCAGAAATGTTCGATTCAATTGACTGTTATCATATCAATCATCGAATAATCATGTTTATAGATGTAGATCGTCCAGGCTAGTAAAGTCTTGAGAAGGACTGTTGATGTTGATGTTGATGTAGAATGACGTTTCAAGAACCTTAGCGGTAGTTATCTTACTTGACTTCAAAGAGGGTAAACATCCCGTTAAACGTCAATGTGCACTGATTTGCATTCACCGTTCGATCGATCATGCGTTTAACTCAATGAAATGTCGCTGTACTTACTAAATTGTGAGTTGTCATCGTTGTATGTCACAGGTGTTGCTTTGTCTTTGGTAGATCGAAAAACAGCAACACATCGTTTTTTCTACCGAAGGAGATTTTTTCATTCTGCTGGTAAAGAGATCCAGAGCACGTAGTCACGGATTGCGCAGGTTTGCTTTTTATTTAATTTTTCACCATTTTTCGTCTTGTTGAGTTCTTGGGTTGTTGAAGTCATCGTGTATTGTCGTCATTGTGCTTGAGTGTTTAATTTGCTTGGAAACAAGTTTCAGAAAGCCAACGTGTGTTACCATCTTATTCTACTTACTACTGTTTGGTTGTGTTTGTGAAATAGCGTCTGTACAACATTGAGCTTTCAACTGTGAAACAAAGATAGTAGTTGTTTTCAATTGACGTAAATTGACTGGACAAGCATTGTTTCAAAAGTGGTCAGAAAGATACCAGTCCGAATAAATCGCATCCTCTTCTCGCGAAGCCTTCGGAAAATATAGATTTCATCGATAGGAAAAAAGACAAAAACATCTTCACTGTCTCAACATTCTCACGTTTGAATTGTACAGCTCGAAGCCAAAATAAATCAGCAAACGATATCATCAATCATGCATCAAAATTCGGAAAAAAAGATCGCAGCGCGGACTTTGCAAAAGCTATTCTTAAGGCTCTTTTCCATTCGTCGCAAAACGTACTCGCAAGCTTGCTGCGAGTGCCTGCGAGTTACTCGCAGCGAGCTTACCATGACTTGCAGCATAGTTAAATTATTTGAACAAATTTTTTTGATCGCGCGAACAAACTCGCAAGCTCGCAGCGAGAGCATTTTGCGATGAGTGGAAAAGAGCCTTTAGGCATTTAGTTCTGATTGTGAAACAGAGACTTTGTCGTGGTGACAAACTTAAAGATGGATTTCAAAATAGCAAATACCATGGCGAATGGTGATATTAACAATGTAATAGTTCTTAAAAGAACTGTTTTAACCAGAACACTAACCCAACAATTCAAAGGAACCGTTATTTACAGCTAGAAAGAGACATGCATTTCGGCAGACTACTCGTCAGGTGTCAACGTCTGCTAAATAAGAACCTCCAAACCATGCTATATTTATAACGTTACAAAAGGTCAATGTCATCCCTATTTTTAGAGATGACACTTAAAACAGAGACACATTAAACACGTAATCCTTTTGTCGGCATAGGACAGGATTAGTCAATTTAATTAAAACCGACTCCATGACGCGTAGCTGGAATAACGAGCGACATTTTTTAATAATTCTAAAGTTTTCATCAGAATAAGTGATTTGAATTTCAAAAGAAATCAGTTGGGCACAATTGAATATATGAATATACACACCCCAAATTAACGTTCTAGTTACGCCTATGTTCCCCTAACACCTAATCTTCCCCTCCCCACCCCACTGCCTAACCTCCATGCTGGCAATCGTTATTTCAACATCCAGTTCTTATGCAAAATTTTAGTGCGATGATCTCAAAGAATGCGTTCCACGCAGTTGCTGCTACAATAAAATAATCATCATGTGCGTCTCAAAGACTCCGAAATCAACTATTGTTACTAAATTTCCAATTGTAGATATAGGTTATACTGAAACTATACTTAACAAACTCATTTGCTTGGCTCCTAATGATTAGATCGTACCAAGGTCTTTGTGTTCAAGCAAACTTGCGGCAATCATGCATGCGTGACTTTATTAAATCCTTGTCTTTTAACCATCCTACGATAAAGATCTGACTTGCCTAAAACCGATTGCGGTCTTTATTTATTTGCAGATATTTCCGATTTTCTTTATGATTACGGTCAACTTATGTTTTAGTCTAGTACTGACGTACATCTTGAAATATCCAACTAACATCATGGCACACCTTGGTATGAATTTGTAACTGAGCCATCCTTGTCTTATCTCGGAGCTTTTACGCTTACGCTCTCGGAACAAAATTTATTGTGCGCTTCAGAAAGCCGTTTACCTAATAGAAAGTTTATAGAAAAACAATTTTGTGTAAGGGAGCAAGTCGTCCTGACTAGCCAATTTGAAAAGTGAACGTGATTAAAAGTTTTAAGTTTTTAACATCGTCCGATTTTCAGCCGCGTAGCAACATGACTCACAGTATCTTTTTGTCCTGAATCCACGATATAGAAAATGCACAATACGGGTATGTTTTAATGGTCTTACCCATGAATGATTGTAGCAAGTCGTCTTAACTAGCCAATTTGAAAAGTGAACGTGATTAAAAGTTTCAAGTTTTTAACATCGTCCGATTTTCAACCGCGTAGCAACTTGACTCACAGTATCTTTTTGTCCTGAATCCACGATATAGAAAATGCACAATACGGGTATGTTTTAATGGTCTTACCCATGAATGATTGTAGTAAGTTTTGCTGATTTATTCGCTTTCGAAGCGAGATGAAGCAACTTCAACTTTACTGGTGAGATGTGTTTTCTTTTTGTCAAAATACATCTGTCTTTGACAAATGTCACGCGTGCAAATTTCACCTTTGTAATCAGGCCTTTGGAGAAGTGTTACAGCTCACATTTATTCCTTGTGTATATGTTAACATGCCGTTTTGTTTTTCATTCAGCGATGGGAAGAACGACTTTCTGTTTCCATCTTGCTTTCTTTGTGTTGATGAACATCAATTTGGCAACAAGCAATCCTCTGCCATCGTGGTTATCAGGTACAGCACGCATCAATGTCCTTAAAAGATACTGAATCCATTGTGGATGCCAAATTTTGTTCACTAGCAAATGTATCTTGGCTTGTTTTTCAGGTTACTGCAGTCCGAATCCATGTAAAAATGGCGGTGTTTGTACGTCACTGGTATTTTACTATACGTGCAAGTGTGGTAGCGGTTGGAAAGGAAAAGACTGTACAATAAAAGGTACACGAAATTTGAGAAAATTCGCGCATTGCTGCGCGCGCTAGTTCATCTTCGATTGTTTTAACCATATCTGCATTATATAGTGAAACCTTGTGACTCATCTCCTTGCGAAAACGGTGGTACGTGTAACAACGTCAATGACGCGAATTTCGATTGTAGCTGCAAAGATGGGTTTCTCGGAGATACTTGCGGGAAAAGAAGTACAGTGAACTTTTTGTTATATTCTCATAGATTTTCGCGGGATCCTTAATGACTAATCTTTTCCTCGGTTCGGTCAGCGTGATCCGAACTATATATATTCCTGTATGACAGTAGCACATATATATATAAAGACTGGATAACGCAACCTAATTCTGGTTCCCTAGAAAATTTTGAAGCCAACTTTCGAGAGCGGCGGCCATATTGGACTATCCACTTCTAGTATATATTTTATAATGAATTTTTATCATATTTTGTATTCCTGTTATTTTCTCTTTCAGAAATCGTGCCAAAACTTTTATTATTATATTTAAGCAACGGGAGAAGATTTCTATATGAAATTTAGTTTTTGAATTTTTGCCCAAACCGTTCTATTGCAGTCTTGTCGTCATAATAATTCTTTTTTGTCCCAAGAGTGAAACATATGATCCGAAATAAATGCAAGAATAGCAGTTTGTTATCTAAAAACTGAAAAAGTGCATCGTCCAATATGGCCGCCACCCGGTTTCAAGTCAAGCACTAAGTTGTTGTTATCCAGTTTTATACATATCAGTGTTCTCAACACGATTCCTTATGCGTTTTAGCTTTATGTGAAAATCCTCTCGATGTTTTGTTCATCGTCGACACATCAAGTTGGCAGTACACGAGTAACTTTGATCACATCAGGAACTTCATTTTCAGCGTCGTTGATTGGATGAACATCTCCGATACGGCTACCCAAGTGGGAGTGCTTCCTTTTACGTACAAGGTAAGGTTTGTGGGGGGTGAGAGAAGATCAATACATGAAAAAATTTTCTCTGGCAACTCTAAACAATCACGATTTTTGTGATAGAAATACACCAAACCTTTATTCCTGCCAAATGCCTATGAGAACGTGGTGTCGTTGAAATCCGCTTTGAGGAAACTTGTCCGGTCGCCACCTTATGCTTTTATTGGTTACGAGGGCAATCTTGCCTATGCTCTGCAGATAGCAAATGAGAAGGTCAGTTACATGTCTTTTTTCGGTTGTTTTGTTTGTTCATAACGAAGTCAGTCCGAGCTTTTTTCGTGCTATTTCGGTACTAGCTCACTGAAAAACAACTGCCGACGTTAACCGTTGTTTCACGTGACTTTCCTCAAAATTGCACGCGTCTTTTCAGGTATTTCCAACCGGTTCTCAGAGGCCAAATGCTGCTAAAGCGGTCGTGATAGTATCCGCTCAGAAACCCTTGGACAGCATAGCAAATGCGTATAAAGCGGCTAACGAACTTAGAGCGAAAGGAGTGAAGGTCTTTGTTGTGGAAGTACTCGCTCCCATCATGTCGTCGGATTTTGCTCTGAGAGAAAAAACATTGAGAGAACTTGCCAATAAGACAAATGTGATTGCAGCGGTTTACTCCAAATTGGTTGATCATGCGCGTCAACTTTCCAATGTATTATGTCAAAGTAAGGATACGTTCTTCGTATGTTAACTATTAGTGACCGTGAGGAATCTGTTTGGATATGTATGTTAAGTTGTGGTTATTTGTTGATAACCGACCTGTTTATACTTTTTCAAAACACGTTTCTTCGAGACAACCTTTGAAGAGGATGTGGCGAATTCTCAATGGCTTGTTGAAACTGCTTTTAAGTACATATTGAAAAATACCTACTGTTTCTGTGTCAAACTCTCTTAAATAGTATCCAAAAATCCTTGCGATGAAGCCAATTGTGGTGAACAGAAGAAATGCATCTACGACAAAGACAAGACCTCGTGTGTATGCAAACATCCCGGATGTGATGGTACGTCGAGTAATCTTGCGATCTGCTCTGGTGACGTGGTGTGACGTCAATTAACGTTTCACCGTCGCCATCGAAAAATGTTTATTTTGAATAAACATAAAAAAATTGGACGAGATAGGAAAAACTTAAGCTCAGTGAACTTAAAATTGTCATAAGTATACAGGTTTTTACACCCGTTGTAATTTTTAAAAATTTTGGTTTTTAGTTCATCCTTGCGATAAGACCCAGTCGCCATGTAAAAATGGCGGTCTTTGTGAGAAAGATGGCGATAATTTCACATGTGATTGTAGCGAAGATTGGGTTGGAGATACCTGTGAACAAAAAGGTTTATAGTCCACCTTCCGATCACATTATAAAGTAACACGTTTGCGTAAATTTTCTGCTCGAACTTTATTTCAGTTCATCCGTGTGAAAAATCGACAACTCCGTGTAAAAATGATGCGCTGTGTGAAAAAAATGGAGAGCTTTTTGTGTGCAATTGTACCGAAGATTTTACTGGAAAAACCTGTGAAGAAGAAGGTAAAAAAATTATCTTTGCAAAGCATCAAATGACATGACGACAAAGAAAAAGTTATCAATACTCCTTTGTAGTTCATCCATGTGACAAGGGTAAAGGACCGTGTGAAAATGACGGAGTTTGTGAAAAAGATGGTGATGGATTCAAATGTAAATGTGATGAAGATTTCACAGGAGATAAATGCGAGGAAAAAGGTAAAAGGAAAAAAACACTTACAATCAATCAAACTATTTCACTATGAGAAAAATATTGAAATCTTGTTGGTCTCGCCATTGGTCTCTAGTTCATCCATGCGACAAAGGTGCAGGACCGTGTAAAAACAGCGGAGTTTGTGAAAAAGATGAGGATGGATTTGAATGTAATTGCAGTGAAGATTTCAGCGGAAATACTTGCGAGGAAAAAGGTAAAAAAGACAAAAAATTTTGACGGAGGCAACTTCTTTTAAAAAAGGAAAATCACAAATGTTTTGGTTGTTAGTTCATCCTTGTGACAAAGGCAATGGACCATGTGAAAATGGCGGAGCTTGCCAAAAAGAAGGAGAGGCATTTAAGTGTAATTGTAGTGAAGATTTCACTGGAGAACTATGCGAGAAAAAGGGTAAATGGAATAAATATTTCAAGCGGGATTAATCAGACTGAGAAATTTTTGAATTTTTTATTATAGTTCATCCTTGTGACAAGGCCGAATCACCATGTAAAAACAACGGTCTTTGTAAAAAAGATTTTAATGGTTTTACATGTGATTGTGACGAAGATTGGACTGGGGATACTTGTGAACAAAAAGGTTTTTATAATTTTTATTTTTAACTTTCACTAATGTCCATTTTAAATTTGTTGCTCAAACTTTGCTTCAGTTCATCCATGTGAAAAGAAAACGACACCGTGTAAAAATGGCGCTCTTTGTGAGAAAGACGGAGATGTTTTTGTGTGCCAGTGCACTGCAGATTTTACTGGAAAAACCTGTGAAGAAAAAGGTAAAACGATCATGGTTGGAGTAATATTTTTGTGCTGTTAGGGAATGATAAATATTTTTCTTCAGTTCATCCATGCGACAAAGGTAAAGGACCGTGTGAAAATGACGGAGTTTGTGAAAAAAATGGAGGTGGATTCAAATGTAAATGTAATGAAGATTTTACAGGAGATAAATGTGAAAAAAAAGGTAAACGCATTGAAAGTTTTATCGTGCAACGAAACTTGCTGATCTATATGACCAAACCACAAGTAAAGCACTGGTTCTCTTCTGAACACTTAAGTTAAGCCTTGTTGGGGGAAGTTAGTACTCGGATGGGTGACTGCCTAGGAATACTTCCAGTTGTAGATATTTTTAAGGACATATCTGTTATAAATAAGTAAATTATATAGGGTACGTCATAGTAAATTATTGCACCTCAATTCAGGACATATTTCCAATTTTACATTTCCAAATTCATTACTGACAACTAGTCTTGTTTTGGAGCTAGGCTATAATTTATTTTTACTAACACTGTATGCTCTACTAAACTATACTGGAAAATTCAAACTTTATTTCAGTTCATCCATGTGAAAAATCGACAACTCCGTGTAAAAATGGTGCGCTGTGTGAAAAAAATGGAGAGCTTTTTGTGTGCAATTGTACCGAAGATTTTACAGGAAAAACCTGTGAAGAAGAAGGTAAAAAAAATTATCTTTGCAAAGCATCAAATGACATGACGACAAAGAAAAAGTTATCAATACTCCTTTGTAGTTCATCCATGTGACAAGGGTAAAGGACCGTGTGAAAATGACGGAGTTTGTGAAAAAAATGGGGATGGATTTAAATGTAAATGTATCGAAGATTATACCGGAATTATATGCGCGACAAAAGGTAAAATAGTGAAATATTTTTAGTTAGAGTTTTTATTTTCAATGCAAAGTAGCGTAACGAAATTTTGTATTGCAGTTCATCCTTGTGACAAAGCAAAGTCTCCGTGCAAAAACAACGGTCTTTGTAAAAAAGATTTTAATGGTTTTACGTGTGATTGTAGCGAAGATTGGACTGGAAATACATGTCAACAAAAAGGTTTTTATAATGATTATTTTAAATTTTCACTGAGAGGCGTAATTGACTTGTAGTTTACACTTTGATTCAGTCCATCCATGTGATAAAAAAACGACACCGTGTAAAAATGGTGCACTGTGTGAAAAAGATGGAGATGTTTTTGTGTGCAGCTGTACTGCAAATTTCACAGGAAAAACTTGTGAAGAAAAAGGTGAAAACATCCTTTCGTAGACTTACATAAGGAAAAAGTAAAACTGATATAAATGTTTTTCTTCTAGTTCATCCATGTGACAAAGGTGCGGGACCGTGTAAAAATGGCGGAGTTTATGAAAAAGACGGCGATAGATTTAAATGTAAATGCAATGAAAACTTCACTGGATTTAAATGCAAGGAAAAAGGTGAGGCTAAATGAAATACTCTTTTTTAAGAATTGTAGCTAATTAAGTGCTAAAAAAATTTTTTTGAAAATATTTCTGTTTAGTACATCCTTGTGACAAAGCTACAACACCATGCAAAAACAAAGGCCTTTGTATAAAACATTTTGATGATTTTACATGTGATTGTAGCATGGATTGGACAGGACATACTTGTGAACGAAAAGGTGCTCATGTGTTTATTTAATAATTTTACTGACATTGATATTAAATTAGTTTCTATAAACCATCTTTCAGTTCATCCATGTGAGAAAAAAACGACACCGTGTAAAAATGGCGCACTCTGTAAGAAAAATGGAGATGTTTTTGTTTGCCAGTGTACTGCAGATTATGCTGGAAAAACCTGTGAAGAAAAAGGTAGCAAGAGTACGGTTGAAATGATATTTTTGCGCAATAAGAGAATTATAATGCTTGTTTTTAGTTCATCCATGTGACAAAGATAAAGGACCGTGTAAAAATGGCGGAGAGTGTGAAAAAGACGGCGATAGATTTAAATGTAAATGTGACAAAGATTATACTGGAGATGTATGCGAGGAGAAAGGTGAAATCAATGAAATATCAATGCTTGGAAATTGTAATGGAAAAATTTTAAAATATTTGTTTTTAGTGCATCCATGTGACAAGGCCGAATCACCATGTAAAAATAATGGTCTTTGTAAGAAAGATGGCGATTGTTTTACGTGTGATTGTAGCGAAGATTGGACAGGAGATATTTGTGAAATAAAAGGTTTTTATAGTTTTCGTTTTTTAAACTTTCACTAACATTCAAATTAAATTTGTTGCTTTGAACTTACTTCAGTTCACCCGTGTAATAAGAAAACGACACCGTGTAAAAATGGCGCTCTTTGTAAGAAAAATGGAGATGTTTTTGTCTGCAAGTGTACTGCAGATTTTACTGGGAAAACCTGTGAAGAAAAAGGTAGAACGCGATCATCGTTGAAGTAATATTTTTATGCGATCAGGAAGTGACAAATGTTTCTCTTTAGTCCATCCATGTGACAAGGGTAAAGGACCGTGTAAAAACCACGGAGTCTGTGAAAAAGACCGAGGTGGATTTAAATGCAAATGTAGTATAAATTTCTCAGGAGATAAATGCGAGAAAAAAGGTAAGAGTGATAATCACTACCAAGTTAAAGACTGTTATTGGAGTAATTCTTTGGCGTTTATCCATAGTCCATCCGTGTGATCTACCCGTCAACCCGTGTAAAAATAATGGATTTTGTAATAAAATTGGAAGGAAATTTAAGTGCGATTGTTGTGAAGACTTCACTGGACCAACTTGTGAGATTAAAGGTAACAGTTTAATGAAACAATCGTGATTCGCGAGTTCATGTTCCTTCCCAAATTGTGCTCTTCTTCAATTTTAAGTACATCCCTGTGATAAACCAAACTCGCCATGTAAAAACGGTGGTCTCTGTGTAAAGAAGGGGGATGGTTTTCAATGTAATTGTGGAAAAGGTTGGACTGGGGATGCTTGCGGAAAAAAAGGTATTTAACTTATACGTGATTTCAATTCTTTCAAAGTCGCTTATTCGCTATTATTAAGCTTTGGAATCCATATGATATAATACATTTGTTGGCTCCGGTTTCATCTGCTTATTACAGTTTAGCACTTTTATAGAAGTTCTCTAAGTGAAATGAAAAAAGGTTTCAAATAGCGGGCAATTCAATGTAGCCGAGCTTGAAATTGCTGATATAACTGCGTAATGGAAGGGAAAACGTCAGGCTGAATCAAGGGGGTTCGATTTTGGCTAAAAATAACTTATAACTAAGCTTAGACATATTTTTGTGTTAAATCTCGTTTACGCAAGTCATCGTTTAATGTCAATGCCTTTCTCAGCTCGGAAATCACACGTATACAATGGTGTTCGTTCATTATGAAAATGTTTCATCCGTGTTGCTCGATAGTAATCAGTTTTCCTTTTATCTACCATTGTCAGTCTCCGCATGCAAAGGCTTCGGTTGCAAGAATGGTGGAAAATGTATTCTTGGGAATAAAGGAAAGCCGTTGTGCCGATGTAAGACTGGTTTTTCGGGAAAGAAGTGCGAAAATAAAGGTATCTTTACGGAGATGATTTGCTAATGAAAAAAAGTGAAAGGGCAATCCATCCTGTGATTGCTAAAGATGAAACATAACTCTTTCTTTCTTTTAATTCCCTCTCTGGGAGTAATCCTAGTTGACTTTATCTCTTATAGCATACGCAATCGGCTTTTACAAGTTTACGACTAAAGCTTATGTGAAAACAGTCATCCGACAAACGATGTCCAAAATGTCAGTTTGTTTCCGCGTGTTTACAATGGGCAGGCGACCATACATGTTCATAATGAGCTACACCGTGAAGGGTGTGCAGCGGTTTGCTTTATCAAAGCATAAAAATGGCTTAGGCGTGCGCTTGAACGGGAAACTGGTGGTGTAAGTAAAGTTTTTCCTTCTTGCCATCTCTTTGCTTGCGTCATGCAGTGAATGAACTAACCAATCTCGTTCGTAGGGTTAAGAAAGCGGTTATAAATGACCGGAGATGCCATCACGTTTGTTTCACGTGGCAATCGTCCGATGGCAACTATGCTTTCTATTTGGATGGAAAAAGCATCGTCAACAAAAACGGACTGAGTAAAGGCAGACCCTTACCTGGAGGTGGCGTACTGTCGTTGGCCCAACGCCGGCCTAGATTAAAATTTCTTAGGCTTGCACTTCTCAAATTGCGGTTTGTCGGCAAGATCAATGATCTCAACATCTGGAACAGAGTTCTTTCTGCTAAAGAAGTAAAGAGAATTGAGAAATGCGGGTCTACAGCTGTAGGAAATGTAAAGTCCTGGTCGGACTTCAAAATCAAAAAGCAAAAACGTTCGCAAAGAAAATACGCCAAATACGTTTTCAATGGCGTGTGTCCTAAAAATTGCTAAGATGTGTTAGACAGATTGGCTAAGGATAACGATCACCTGTGCCTTGTTTTGTATTTGACTGTTTACGTAGATGCTAAATTGGATGACTTAAACTTTTTTCATAATAAAAATGGCTAAATCTATTTTTCAAAGCGTCACTTCAACCTCTGTTTTACATGCATGCCAGGGCCGAGAAGTCTTTCAAGGATCGCTTGCAAGATCGATATTCTAGGAAGGGAGGGAGGGAGGGGTAATGTTCATATATATGCATTTTCTACTTTATTTTTTTCAGTTGAAATTGATGGTGGTTATGTATTGGGTTGAGCAGAATTGCTTTGATAACAACAGCTCTTGATGACAAAAAGCAGAATAATTTTGTTTACATTGCCAAATTCGTCAATGAAGATGGAACTGTTCCATAGAGCAAACAAGGTACTAAAGCTGAACACTTTCTGGTTAATGCCTAGCATTTAAGAACACCTTGAACATTACGGATAACATTTCCTTTAGTTGAAGACTTATTAAAAACTTGTTAAGGCTAAAGTTAGGAAACACCACCTTTTTTTAACGTAATTTATTTTTGATCTAGTTCAGAAGTGAAAACGCAACGCTTGGGGTTTGGTAATGCAAAGCTTAAACACCACCGTTTCCCTTGTGTTTTCTTTAACATTGTTTTAAATCTTCTCCAGGAAAACGCCACCAGAGTGGCAGCACGAACAAGACCTGGAATTCGTTGTTAACGCTTCATTTCCACGATCAATCATGATACAATGATATATACAGTTCAGTGGGTTTTGTTGACACACGTACAATCTTGGAATTCGTTTTAAACACAAAGAAGAAGAAATAGAAACTACAAAAAGAAACATTCATAAAATCATCTTGAAGAAAACGCTCCCGATAAAGATGCAAAGTAGACCTTTAGCGTCGATTCATGATCAGAAGACTTGATGTAACCTGATCATTATACGGTTTGACGCAAGTGGTGTTAAAAATTTTAATGCATATTTATTTATATTTAAATTTATATTATATAGGTGTTGGTTGCTTTCTGGTGAAATAATTCAGTCGTGGGCAGTTATACGTCTTGGAGTAAAAAAAGAGGTGTTTTTCATCAGCAAGTCAACTCTTCCAAATAAAAAAAGGCTATTTACAGGTATGATATATATATATATATATATATCGACATCATCAACTTACTGTAAGACCTTCAAGGTTAAAATTTTGCTTGTTCTACTGTGAAGCACATATCACTATGTACAACAGAGCTTGAATTGGATTGTTGTTTCGGCAAAATCGTGCATCACTAAACGTTCAGTTTACTTTAAACCAAATTTGTAGGAGTTGTTAAAACACTGTACATATTCCTTTCAAACAAATATATTGCTGTGAGAAAGGAAAAAAAGCTGGGTTTTCGGAACTCCTTATTAATTTTACTCAGCATGTTGAACAACAAAATTACACGTCATACAATGTATTGGTACTAGGAATCCATCTTGCTTTTATAGTTTGGTTTGTAGTTTGATCTCAAGTGAAAGTTTTGAAACCTACACGTTTTCCGTAAATTGATTACCCCTTGATGGTAATTTCTTCTCGAAATATTGATGTCGAACGATTGATTTTAGTCCGCGATGATTTAAATTGAGTGACTTGATTTTGAGTAATTTTGGAATTCGACGACGCTACTTGTGAAGTGGAACGAGCTCGACCCAACCTTATGATGTTATTTTGATGATATTAAAGAACCAGTAAAAACAAAATTTTGCTTTTTGCTGTTTAAATTATATTTTCAAAGAAGAGAACTCTTAAAAGGACAGTGGACTTTCCAAAACAGTTTAGTCGTATCATATCTCTTTTCTTTCTCAAGATGTTGAAGTTTTGTGATGTCCGATTTATACAGGAAGTGACGTCACATTGCATAATAAGAGTTTGAATTATTGAGATTACTGTTTGCGTGTTACATCAACCTGACAGAGTGCCTGTCGTTCTGAAGTGTTGATGGGATTAAGGTCTGCCATTTGACGTCACGTTCTCTTGAAATTGGACATAACAAATCTTCAATATCTTGAGAATGAAAAGAGATGGCGACTAAACTGTTTTAAATGTCCTCTGTCATTTCACGAGTTCCTTTCCATGAAACTCTAACAGTAATCTCCCTACACCCTGGCCTGTCAGTGCATGCAAGATGGATGTAGTTGCTCGCCACTGAGTATTTTCTCAGAGGTGGTAATCTTTGATTGTGCGAGGAAGGAAAATATTTGTGGACAATCCATGTGTGGGTCTTGCTAAGAAAACGTTGGGTCACATGAAGAGTGCCGCTCGAGTCAGAGACGTTGTCCTGCTTTTGCACACGAAATTTCTAAGAACATTTTGATTGTGCGTCCATTTTGCTTGCAATATTGTGGCTGCTTGTTCTCAAGTGTGGTATTTGTCATGCGTTTTTCCGTCTTTAATGATTCTCTAGATTGTTTGGATGAAAATAGTATACCTCCCTGCAGGTCTATCAGTCGAGCGTGAAGGTTTGTTTGTGCGAAGGGTCTGTTCATCCATGGATGATTGACAACAATTTTTCGCGGGGTAGGGGTGGGGAGGGAGAGTAGTTGGAAAAAGACTTTTATGTCGACTGCAAAATCGTGCAATATTTTGAACTGGGCAGAATTCTAAAACAAAGATTTGGTTGTAGTTACAAATTTAACTATTGCTCTGAAGAGCGCGTATTTGTTATTGTTAATAACAATCGGGTGGTTTTTAAAAGAACCGTTGAAAACCAAAATAAAAAATAGCTATAAAATAAAATGACACGATGCATTTCGGCTATCTTCTCATCAGGGGCCAACGTATGCTTTAATGAAAACCAAAATTTTCTTCTATTTATAATGCTTTACCTACGCTTGTTCTTGTCATCTTAAAAGATGAATTGAACACGGTGATTTTGCGTTGTCTATTTACTTTTCTTTCTGGTTACGATCCGCTTCACGTGTTGCGTGTATTTACTTTATTGGAACAGAAAGAAAGTGCTTCCACAACTGCGTGATTCCTACTTTATTTCCTACTTTTCCTATTCCTACTTTTGATAAAACGCAATATGCCACAACTTGATAGTCGTGGTCTCAAAGCTTGTAAGAAATTATCTTTATTTTAAATGTGAGTATACTGCCAAATTGTTGAATCTTATTGTTCTCTAATTACGTAACTGTCACTTCCGCTTGTAAATAATTATAGAAAAGTTTCGCAGCCTGCATTGTAAACTATTAGATGTCTTTGGGATAAAAACGAAATATTTCACCATCTTTTGCTTTAAAACTCTTGTATTATCTTGAATGTCAAGAAAACGAGATTTCCGTTTTCGGAATTTGTTTTATTTTGTCCTACTTTATTTCATGCCCGCAATTTTCGACAAAGCACGGAGTTATGGTCACGTGAAACTAGCGAAGCTATTGCATTGTTTATGCACCTGAGCTTTACCTAAACTTTTTATGTGCTCCCTCAGTATTCTGTTTGATCGTCAAATGATAATTAGCAGCCATTCATGGTCAGATTTATACATGCATTCATGTGCGGATGAAAAAACTCTTGTACAGTTGCAACTCGTTTTTGTAAATGTATATGTGTTGCAAAAATAATTTTAAACTTGACCATCACAGACTGTTTCATTCGTTTGCCAATCGTAGAAAACAGATTTAACTGATTTTTTGTTTTATTTATGCAGCAATGCAAAGAGCAAAGTTCTTGTCTTGTCTTCTTTTGATATTGGCGAACATTGATTTGGTACATGGCAAATGGTTTTGTACTAAAAATCTGTGTGAAAATGGTGGTACTTGTAAGCCAGGATTACTATATGATGTTTGCAAGTGTACTCCAAGTTGGAAGGGAAGGCGATGCGAGATCAAAGGTATAACGAGTAGCTATGTACAGCTACGTACAAATATATGTTCATTTATATTACTTGTGTACAATGTCATTGCTTGTGGTGTAATGTCATGGTTACATGTACCATGTCATTGCTATTGGTATTATGTCATGGTTAAATGTGCCTTGTCATTTCTACTGGTGCAATGTCATGGTTACATGTACCATGTCATTGCTATTGGTATAATGTCATGGTTAAATGTGCCTTGTCATTGCTATTGGTGCAATGTCGTGGTTACATGTACCATGTCATTGCTATTGGTATAATGTCATGGTTAAATGTGCCTTGTCATTGCTATTGGTGCAATGTCATGGTTACATGTACCTTCCTCATTGCTATTGGTGCAATGTCATGGTTACATGTACCTTCTCATTCCTATTGGTGTAATGTCATGGTTACATGTACCATGTCATTGCTACTGGTGTGATGTCCTGGTTACATGTACCTTGTCGTTGATATTGGTATAATGTCATGGTTACATGTACCTTTTATAACTATTGGTGTAATGTCATGGTTAAATGTGCTTTGTCATTGCTATTGGTGTAATGTCATGGTTACATGTACCTTGTCATTGCTATTGGTGCATGTGATGGCCTTATGCACCATGTCGGACTATACAAACCTGTCATGTTTGCCTACCATATAACTATATGCACAATCTCATTTTTTGAAGTGCTGCCTTGTAAATTGGCTCCTTGCAAAAATGGTGGTAAATGTGAAGATGTTGATGACAAAACATTCAAGTGCACATGTGGTGATGATTTTTTTGGTGACACCTGCGAGGAAAAAAGTACGGTTTACAACTGCTTACATATTGTCATAGTTTTACACTATTTTGTTGTTATAGTTTTACACTGTTTTGTTGTCGTAGTTTTACACTGTTTTGTTGTCGTAGTTATATTTTACTAAATCGAACATTTGACTGAACCGACCTGCTAGTACAGAATAGGTTTGTGTAAATTGACAAGCATCGCTACTCGTCGCTAACAGCCACTTTGCCCTAACCGACAATGATTCTAGGAAACAATGCTTGTGCTTTTCAGAGAAATGTAATGCACCACTTGATATTTTGTTCGTCGTTGATACTTCAAGCTGGCAATATTGGCATAACTTCAAGTTGATAAAGGAGTTCATTTTGAAGGTGATTGAATGGATGGAAATATCAAAAAGCGCTGTTCAAGTTGGCATGCTTCCTTTTACGTACGAGGTGGGTGTTGAAATGAAATTGAAATATATGCACCCAATCACTCCTCTATATTATCAGAAATATGGTTTTCTCTTTTACAGAAGTACACAAATGTCCTATTTTATCCACATACATATGGGGACTTCCCTCATTTGAAAGACGGTATAATCAAGAAACTTCAGAAGAGCCCGCCTCGTGCTTTCATTGGTCACGAGGGTCATCTTACCCGTGCTTTGCAGATAGCCAATCGAAAGGTTGTACTTTTGCACTTTGTATCAGTGCTCTCACAATCAAATTTCCTAGTTCCTTAGAAAATGCTTAAATATTCCCCAAATTTCCATTAAATTCCTTAAACTTGTAAAAATTACTACAAGGCGTGATCACCTAGGCTCAAGAAGTGTTTTTTCGTGATTTTTCCTCCATTTTTTGCCGTTTTCAAGTTTTTCAATGTTTTATTTGTAAAGAAACATTAAATATTATTAAGTGTATGTTAATTTAAAGTATAAAAACATCCTTAAAACCTTTAGAAAATCCTACTTTTAAAGATAACTCCTTAAAAGTTAGAGCACTGCTTTGTATTGTTATTGTGTTTATGGCATTTCCGTGGTTAGTCTAATCACTAATCCAGATTTTCCCACTAAAATTAAGCGGATTTACACGGAGAAATTCGGCTGCAACACTGGCTCATACGCTAATGATTTCAATTTAGGGCCCATCTTATGCTGGATGGCGTTTCTTCTTTTAGTTTACTTTGACAACAGTTTTTTACCGCATCATTGAACATCCTTTGCATCTTTGAAAAGCCATGCAGTATTCATATATTTCGCTTGAGTTTATAACTGGAAAAGCCCAAGTTCGGGAACTGGTCGTTGTTCAACACCATTAGTTCATTATTATTGTTAGTGGTGTGCAAGCGACGTCATAGCCGCCATGTTGGATGATTTTAACAAAGGATTTTCCTTATTTACAATGCAAATGTCATCCAACATGGCGAACATTCCATTGTTCTCTCACTCCCCGTGGAATGGTTGCACACCACTTATTGACATTAGCTCTGTAGTCGTCGCTTGTATTATTAGTTAAAGCAATTTGACTGATCTGGTTGGTCGCCCGTTTTGGCTCCTTCCGGTTAATGACCCAGGACCCTGCCCCTTGGACCAGTGAACTCTACAATGAGCTCTAGAGTTCATTGCCTTGGACCGACTACTTAACGCGGTCTAGTTCCAGTTACTTTTAACATGGATTAGAATCGTGAATTTGCATTGTAAATATATGCTACAGTCTTTTAGCTGACGGCTGATGGTATCATTAGACATAAATAAATCTTACTTCGTATAAAATTCTAATTTAAATTCTACCGCGCACCTTTTCAGGTTTTCCCAACAAGTTCTGGGCGACCGAAAGCGGTCGTCATACTGTCGGCTCAGAAACCTTTGGACAACATTCAGGAATTTTACGATGCATGGCAAAAACTGGAAAAGAAAGATGTAAATGTGGTCACCGTACAACTTCTACCTTCTCCCTCGCAACTTCTTGTGCCTCAACGTATTGAAATCTTCGAGGACATCGCGAAAAAAGGAAAATTAATAAAGTCGAAATTCCCTGACTTGAATAACCATGTCCTTCAGCTCGTCCACATACTCTGTAAAAACATAAATCCTACCGACAAGTGTTAATGAATCATGTGATGGACTCATTCAGGTGTTAGGAAACACCGTTTTTGATATAAAGATGCTGGAGATAGGTAATTGTAGTTTTTACATAGTTATTCTTGGTATAATGTCTTCAGATTAAATTCTTTCTCATAATTACAATAATCGTGTGCTGTATCCAGACAAACCACAACTCACCTGCGTCTTTAAAACCGATTCATTTGCAAACATGAACGCTCTGAGCAATGGGGTGATCATGTTTCAGGTTTTTACTTATTCCATGTACATTTAACCATTATTCTGAAAACGATATCCACATTTTTTTACCAGAAAGTGCTGAAGCCATGAGCACTACTTTACATGTCGAGTTTCTACCAGCAACTTTCCTGGAAGACTCAACGTTCACTCTCCGAATAAAATTTCACTTACAAACCGCTTGGAATGTTTGAAATTGCCAGTTCTGAGCGGTTTCCTTTGTTTCAAATAGAATTTGCTTTCCTAATACACGTTGATTTTCTTGTAGGATATTCCACATTTGAAACATTACGTTAAACCCAGCCAAACTTGAAATATTTTTCAGTAAAAGTTTGCTATTTATTATTCGTCTATTGCGCTAATAATTCGTTGCTTTGCTCTATTATTCTACATTCAATGCATCTTTATCTACTATCTTTATATGGTATATTGATCTACTATCTTTATATGGTATATTGATCTACTATCTTTATATGTTATATTGATATTTTCAGGGGAAAATAATTACATGTTATATATTACAGATCCGTTTCTGGGCCTTCTATCCTCTGTATAAGTTTTGCTGTGGCCAGATCCACTTCTTGATGTATTTCTTCAGATGGCTCTCTGTGCTTCTCTTTCATCGTGCTATCTATAAGAGGAGTAGCACTGGTGTTCTGCAACAGCGTTTTATCTTCTGCTTCCTCCGCATGTTCCTTGGTGTCGCGACGCTTTTGTAATGACTTCCTTGCTCCTTTAGGAATCGAGCTTGTCTTCCTGCCGTTCTCGACACGTGACAATGTATATCGTCTTGTTGAGTTAGGTGTGTTAATGCTGAACGACTCTCTTCCGGCTTTCTTTTTGTACATTCTGAGAACTCTCCTCGTGAGAATAAAGCCAATCATGATGAACACTCCTACGATGAAATAAAATCATGGCGTTGTTTTAATTACAGAAAACCCTTAAACGTATCTACTTTGTTATTCGTTCACCTTGCAAGGAGTTCAGAATAACGAAAATGATCCTTAACGACACGTGATGCTCGGCTGCGAGGCAAAGAATCCACGTGAGACCGAATACTGCGGTCAGTTTCCAGCACATGCGCACGTCTTCTGCGGCGGTCGACGTATCGCGCACCTTTTTGGTTACCTTGTTTGAGGAAAAGTTGGATCATGTCATTGTAAAAATGGTTGTCCTAGTGATAATGTTTGAGCAACTCTTACCTTTCGTACTTTTCTTACGGCCACTAGAACTCTAGCTAACGCAACAATGTTGAACAACAACATCAAGACCACTGGGACGGCAAAGAATATCATCAGTACAACAGGATTAGTGATCCAGCAGTAATAGTTGTTCCCTTTAAGAAAAAAATTGAAATTCGAAATGTCCGATTGCAGTCATTTTTAAGCCAGTTTTCATTTCTCGAGATGCCAAAGTCTTAAACAATGAACTCGGGAAATACGTACCATAAGCCACTTCCATTGCCCCGTTTGATCTATTAGCAATGTTACGCCCGTTACAATACACGGTCCACCCCAAGCATAGAGAGAACAGAAAAGAAAAATCTTCTTTCTTGAACCGGAACGAGAACGTTGGCCTGTAACATAGACGTGTCATAATTAGTTCAAACTTTAGGTACCTTACTTTCTCTTTGAGCCCGCACTATACACGGACATTCTTACTTTTTCCGACAAAAGTCCTGGACACGTCAAAAGCCATTACATTCATCCACGAGAACGCGGACAGATAAAGAAAATGGAGAAGAATTGCAAGGGCCATGCATCCTCCTCCGGTGATGGGAAAGAACATGTCGAAGAGGAAAACGATCTGGGCCAACATCAAGGCGATGGAGAGATTGATGACTATCTTTCCGGGTAATGGACATCGGAGCTCGGGAAATATGAGATACGTCACGAGGACAGCTATCAATGCAAGAATTGACAAAGTTAGTCCAACTATCGTGATGACATATTCAGCCATGGAATAGAGCCTGTCAAGACGTTTAATGATCTTTGCCTGATACGTCGTCGTCAAATTGCCACAGACTGTGACGTTTCCCTCGTGCCAAAAATATTCCCCACGACGATACAGTTTACTGTGGGACTTGACGTAGATGGTTTGGTTTTCGTTGATCGTGATGTAATAGCTGGTGTTCGGTAATGTTTCGTTCATGTAAGAGCATGTCCAGTTACTGCTGATAGCCTTGTATGAATGTTGTTTTGTGCGACAAGATTTGAGTTGAAAATCGTATATTTCATTTTCCTTGCATTGCCTTTCTTCTGTTACTTCTATAGGGTCCTTCAAACTGTATATTCGAGAAGCTTTGGAAAAGTCAAACAGCACACCAAGACTGGATTGTGTGTGTGTGAACAGTGAGAATACTGAGAGATCGAACAAGTCAATGCCACTACATCTCGCACAGTGAGGATTCTTGTACACTATAGTATCCAAATGGTAGTACACGGGTAGTTTGTATAGTTTACATTTCCAAAAGTCTTCGTGTGTTTTATTGTCACACTCGATAGCAGGAACACACAATTTGCTCTTGACATCTTCCGGAGGGGCCATTTGTAATACGCAGCTATCGCGCACTTTCTGTCTTTCTTTCCTTGTGAACTGAATAATTGATTCGTTCAGTTTTACTTCAACAAAATTAGTAAAACTTGCGTCAAAGCACTTTAAGGCAGTCCTCCATTGCTGAAAATGCGGGATGTTATTGCATATAGCACAAAATTCATTTTTGTAAGCTCTTCCATCTTCATCAGATACAAATGGTAAAACGTCATTGTTTTCGTCGGCTGAAATTTTGCAAGACTCTTTGATACTCTTGTCCGGGTAGTTATGCGGACATCTTGTAACAACCTCATAACCCATTTCTTTAGGATCCTTCATCTTTGTGTCATTGGAAAAAAGAAATGTAGGTACCACACAGCTGAAGAGGGTTGGTCTTCCATAGACCTGCTTGAACGATGCATTACAGCTATAGGTTGAGACAAAAAGATGGATGGTTATACTGTATCATATAGCTTTGTCGTTGCTCTAAACGACTGTTCGTATAGCCTGGAAATTATTGTGTTAATTCACGAGAGGAAAAGAACAAAAAAAATATAAAATATACCTCTTCCAGTATTCCAAACAGCATTCACCCAACTTTTCACATTTCGAGTTACAGTAGCACTCGCCCGTATCCTTTTTATGTTGAATTCTTTCACAAGAGTTTTTACAAGGCCTTTTCTTCGTCCAACTGCCGTACTCGATATCCTTCAACATCTCATTCATTTCATCTTCAATAACTCGATAAACGTCCTCTATACAACGAAAATAATTTGCTTTAAGTATGGGCTAGGTAAATTGACATGCTGCACAAAATATGGGACGTTCTCTAAGCTTTTGTGGGGATTCTTACCACTAGTCGCTTCGTTTTTGATCGTTGATGCTTGCTGCGCCGTGAGCAGGACCAGAAAATAGGTGACCAGATGGCTTGGCATCTTTAAACTTCTGTTAAAGAATGGGAAGCTGACCTTCAGGTTCATAACAACAACACAATTGCTTTGTTTCATATACCAATAGAGGCACAGACAATAATTAATCGTTTTTACGTCACTCTATGATAACAAAAAAGTAATTACAATCTATCAAAATAGTTATTACTGCGTATTTATCTCTCCTGCAAAATGAAAATGATTAAAATTAGCCCATGCTTTTCGTAAACACCTTTCGATAGGCTCTTTCTCTATCATTTTTCTCCTTTTGTGCTCAAACTTATATTGACATTTCCGAGTTATTTACATCACTTTCATTCCTTATTTCTATCTGTTTGCTGCAACCCAAAAGATTTTTCTCTATGGTTCGAATAACTGTAGTACATGTCTTTGCGAATGTGTCAACTTGATGGGAGAGACCTCATTTAGATATAAAAGAATATACGTCTTTCCAGTTATAAATTCCAACAGTTTTTAGGCAAAGCTGGCTTGACTACATTTGCTGTATCAAGCTGCTAGCGAACTTTGACTTTGCTTTGCAATGAATACTACACTTGAATTCATGCCAGCAGGTGAGAATGTCCGTGTCGAGATAAGAATTTGGTACTTCAATAAGTAAACATCTTGAAGATTTGTCTGGCTCTTACCGGACAAATTTTCTCATGAGATACTTGGTAATCTTTATTATCGGAGTTCTGATGATTACAAGACGCTGTTATCGTGAAACTAAATACTCTTAAGCTCACCTCAAAAACATTTACTAGGCCTCTTGAAATTAAAATCGTTTGGTTAGAGTCGACGAAACCTGTAAATCAATATTTGATGGGATTTTTCTGCAATGTCATCTCTTCAGCATGCCAGCTATTTTATGCAGATATCCGACTGAACGAGTGCAATATATTAATCTTCTTCACGTTTTTTTCAGCGTTTCATCCTCGTATTGCAAAATTATCTCGAATGCGTGACCAAACGCTGTCGTTAGCAAACTTATTACTCATACCAACGATACTTGCGGATGGTTTAAGTGGCTTTTACTCAACAAGCGTCAACAGCGCCATTGATGAATAGCAGATAAAAATCTTCCCAATTATAATTTGCTTTTGTGTTGTTATTAACTATTGCGTTGACATCAACTAAATAGATAATACAGCTGACGCTTGTAATATCTTCGGCAATACGGATATAAAACATACTCTATACCTAAATTGTTACTTTCAAGATGACGTGCAAATTACGAGAACCAGATAAGAGACATTCACTAGTAGATAATTTTCATCCACATGTGTAGGCGATTTGTAATGAAAAATGACTTACTGTCGATCCTATAGTTAGGCTAACATACAGCAGTCGTAGTATGGAATTTGTTCACCACCACCAGACTCTCAGATGGGTTTCTTATTAATTGCTTTCAATTTGCGTACAATCCTACTTCTTGCATTCTCTTGTAAGACCAATCTCTTAAAACACCAATTGCAAAAACACGAAGCGAAAGTTGCAAATCAAGTCAGCTGGTGTAAATAACTGTTTATTGCATATATTGCATCGACAACACAATACATCGCGTTCTTTTATTCATCCTCGGTAAATCCTACAGCGACTCTTTCCGCTTAAAACGCCCTGTCAGCTAGTTGACATCTGATACTTAGCTTGTGTGGTATGTAAAAACGAGCAGTTGAAAAGAATGTCGAGGTTAACGGTCAAGACTGTGTTTAGAATTTCAAGGTGAATTTGAGGTCTGAAAAACGACGAAAGGTCAAGGAAATTTGTTGATGATAAAGAAATATACAGAAATGTGACATTGTATAAACAAGCAAAATTTATTGACACAAAGACAAATTCATTTTGGCCATTTTCCATGACCTTCGACTTGTCATCCTTAATTTCATCATGACTCAACCATTAACCTCGACTGACAACGCTTTTACCGTGTAAACGACGTCAAACTTAAGCTGTCATGTGGAAATACGTTTCAGCGATAGTTTTAGCGATGATTCATGAAGGTATGTACCTTCCACTCCATGTCTCTAATGTCCTACTGGCTGTTTTATTAATGAATTTGGAATTCGCACGGCAAGAAGAAAAATCTAATGCAATACGCAGCGTGAGTCCATTAGGTATTGTGTTTATATGACCTCTCAACATTTTTATTAGCTGTTTTATCTAACATGATTTCAACCAATAAAGAAACAGCGTTTACATCCAAAACCAACAACAAAATTATTTCGAAGAAAGAAAATTTGGGGACGATCTATCATTGTGAGCGATGGGAATTGACTGCACGAAAGTGCCTGACGTCATAAATACACTCGAAGTCTCTCGTACTTGAAAAAAACATTGAAAACAACGTCATTGGAAAGAATGCTTGCAATGAAATTGTTTGCCAAATACCCAAAATCCTGGGAATGAAACGATTGCGACAGGGGAAAATCGATGCGTTTTTAAAGAGAGCGCGTGCGGATGATGTAATAACAAGAAGGAATGATTGCAACCATTCCAGAGGTGATTTTAATAACTTTACAGTCTTTACTTCGCTATAATTTGTAGGCAAATGCTTGCTTTCTTACAATTTTTGCTGGCTGCTTGTTTGTTAATGAAAAGAAGTATAACATGTATACTTTTTGAGCATACGAGCTACTGAATTGTAGATGCAATTGCCATACACACCGCTGTGAATTTCCAATGGTTGATAATTTTCTGCAGGATCTGTCACTTAGTTGCAGCGTGTTTTTGCGATTACGTCCGGGCACATTCCGTGTAAATTCGACATCAATTCAGCATATTTACAATAAGATGTGTTAAGAAACTGGGTTGGTTGAATGTTAAGGACACTGCAGAGTTGGGCAGTTTTGCCCCAGATACGAGATATTTATCAATTGAAAAGCCGAAAACAGAAAAGTTACAAAACTTAAGGCTATTGGGTACATGTGTGCCACCCATTATCCCCCCGGGTTGATATTTTCCAGTTTTCTTCCACCGAGATATTAAGAAAAACTGACCAACTCTGCAGTCTGGAATGAGCATCTATTTGAATTACAAGTACTGTGTGAGACTCTTTGGAAAGTTTCAAGGACCCCTTTGTGTACATTTCAAATGTGCTTGTATGTTTTAGGCAATACACAATCAATCACTTTTGAAGAAGAGCACTTCATGGCTTCAGAAGAAAATATCAAATGTAGTAAATTTTCCCAGGACATCAAGCTGCCTTTGGTAAAGGACATATCCTTTGATGAGGATATCCAACCAAACCAAAATCCATCAGATGTTTCAATCACAGATATGAAGCTTCTATGTGCGCATCCTCCCAAGGAACCAAGCATTAAAGAGAAATGTACAGATAGTGAGGTACAATGCTTAAAATATTACTTGTGTTGGTAATTCTGTTTTTTATAGAAGTTTAGTACACAAATTTGCCTGTTGATTGTTTATTTTATTGCATTCTTAATTTCTTCTATTGTCATTACATTAAATTGTTATTTATTATACATATCGTGTATATTGTATAAATTATTATATATTATGTATAGTTAGCACAAACTAATAAACACAGCATATATAGGTTTATATATTTTAAAGGGAGAGGGTTTTGAGTTACATGAATGCCTATTTATAATTTATTACATAGGATGCAGTTAATCGCGATAAAGAGACAATGATGGAAGTTGATACTTCATCCGAAGTAAACAACGAATCTATTGTTGCCTATGACTCATGTAAGCAAGGTAACACAAGGCAGATGACAAGCACTGAAGAAATCAATGAGTCCATTGTTGGCATTGTTGCTTGTAAAAAGGATAACATGGAACTGATGACAAGTACAGAAGTCATCAAAGAATCTACTGCTGGTAATGTTGTATGTAAAAAAGATGACATGGGGCAAATGACAAACACTGAAGTAATCAATGAATCCATTGTTGGCAATGTCTCATGTGAACAACATAACATGGGTCAGATGGCAAACACTGAAGAAGGCTCCAAATCTTGTGATGCTTATTATGAACATATACCTGATGAAGACAATCTTGTTAAACCACTTGTTGAAAGTAATGCAAAGAATGAGTCAAACGAAGGCATTACAATTACCGATGACATTGATGAGCAACCAACAGAATATGTATGTATTAAAATCAAAACTTTATGACTTTCTAAGGCCTTTCAAATTATCAATGGCTGTTTTTAACATATCATCACTGCATGCAGCTTGATTGAAACATACATTCTCTATGACTGACTACAGTACAGCATACAATCTCTATGACTGACAACAGTATAGCATACAGTCTCTATGACTGACTACAGTACAGCATACAATCTCTATGACTGACAACAGTATAGCACATTCTCTATGACTGACTACAGTAATACATGACTGACTATAGCATACAGTCTCTATGACTGACTACAGTACAGCATACAATCTCTATGAATGACAACAGTATAGCATACAGTCTCTATGACTGACTACAGTATAGCATACAATCTCTATGACTGACTACAGTATAACATACACTATACAGTATAACATACAATCTCTATGACTGACTACAGTATACAATCACTACAGTATAACATCTCTCTATGACTGACTACAGTATAGCATACAATCTCTATGACTGACTACAGTATAACATATACATACAATCTCTATGACTGACACAGTATAACATACACTCTCTATGACTGACTACAGTATAATACAATCTCTACACTCATACAATCTCTATGACTGACTACAGTATAACATACAATCTACAGTATAGCACACAATCTCTATGACTGACTACAGTATAACATACACTCTATATGACTGACAACAGTATAACATATCTATATGACTGACAACAGTATAACATACACTCTCTATGACTGACTGACTACAGTATAACATACACTCTCTATGACTGACTACAGTATAACATACACTCTCTCTATGACTGACATACATGTATAATAACATACACTCTCTATGACTGACTACAGTATAACATACACTCTCTATGACTGACAACAGTATAGCATACACTCTCTATGACTGACTACAGTAAACATACACTCTCTATGACTGCTACTATAAAACACCTAACCAATGTTGTGCTCACATGACTTTATGATATTAACGGTGCTTTATTTAATCATTAGGGTATTGATTATGAAACATTGTTGAAGTATCCGAATTGTCTTCATACGGACGACCCGCTAATCCCGAGTAAGAATCATATAATCTTGTTTGAGGTAAGAGATTCAGATGTTTCAGATGTTGAATTGGCAATTGAACCAATGTTGTGTCCGTCATTACATTATAGTCTTCATTCACCTTAGAGAAAGTCGAGGAACTTTTTGTTGTACGAGATTTTGCTACATCCAGTTTACGTCTTTTACGTCATCAGTTACGTACTTTATTTCAAAAAGGATTATATCATCATTATGTAGACTACCAACCCACCTTTCCGATGGTAGGCACACGTGCCAAAAATACGAGATCGAATTGCAAAATTCGGACAATCGAATGGTCGGACATAGTATTGTTTATGTAGAATAGTGGCAATAAAATGGTCAGGAGATGCTTTTGAGTTTTGAGGCATTTGTGAATCGGATTCTAGTTATTCAGAACGATTATTTATACAAAAGTATTGTAAGATAAAAAGAAATTTACAATCCAAAATGAATTAGAATTTTATGACGTAAGGGTTCAATTTCGACGACAAATGGCTTGGCTTATTAAATGTTATCTTCGTAAAAATTATTATAAAAAAGTAGATAGTCTGTTTTTCCACGAAGCCCATGGATGCTTTCGTTCATGACGAGATAGGGAGGCTCTCGTTCATCACGAGAGAGTTATGAGAAAGTTACATTGTAAAACGTAACAAGTAAAAAACGTATAAACATGCTTAAAGTTGGTTTAAATTATAAGTCAAAAAGGCAGAAGTGTTTTGAACCTTTGTAGCATCCTTGGATGTTCTAGTTTCTTTTATGAGATAAAGAAAAAGATGAAATTCGAAAGCAAAAAAACCCCGTTTTCGGGCCATGCTTCCCGATACCTTCTTAAGCGTAAGGCACTAGAACGCCGCATGTTAACGTTTCGATGGGAGATTTCGGCCCCTCCACGCTATCCTACATGGGAGATGCAATAGCAAGCTTCCGCCCATCAGACCTATCAGACCCATCGGGATACGCAGGGAGAGTACGGTCGCAACCGAAGTCTGGGCCCCTAAGCCACTGCATACTATATCGCACCCAGCTTCCACTGCTAGTTGATATCTACTATATGAAGTTTTAGCTTTATATATATATACGTCAATTCAAAGGCTTACGAAAGTTGTGGTATTATTAAAGTCACTACTGCGCATGCCCAGATGATTTCTTTCATAATTTGCGACTAATTGAGCTAATTGCCGCAAATGTAGTGCAAGCACACATAGTTAGTCGTTGCCATGACTGTGAACAATTGGTCGAGTGAACTGCGCATGCTCGAGCGCATGCGCAGATGATTTCTCTATTAAATTGTTACTAAGCATGCTATTTACTTCAAAATCGGTGCTAGTAGATGCAGTTGGTCGTTGCCATGACCATGAACTTTGGTATCTGGTCAATTTTTTCGCATGCTCTTTGTCTGCTTAAGCTTGTTTTGACAAATACATATCAAACTCATCAACACTTTCTTACGGCACTCGTAATAACCGCGACAACGCTAGAAATGTTTTTATTTTTCTCTATAGTTTTGTATCTGCATATTGCGTATCATATCCAAGCATTCCTTTCATTGGACGGAAAATTGTTTTTATTCACTCTTATACCTACTGCTTTTATAATTAGTCGTTCTGTATTTCTAAAATAAGATTTACAAATGCCCCAAGATCATCTTCTTTTTTTTTTATTGCCACTATTCTACATAAACAATACTATGTCCGACCATTTGATTGTCTGAATTTTTTAATTTGATCTCGTATTTTTCACACGTGTGTGTCTACCGTCGGAAACGGGGAATAACTTTGACTTCAACGATTATACTGAAATGGCCTAAAATCAATTTTCAACTTAAGTATGAGCGTGGAAGACATTAGCCTGCTTGTTAGTGGAAGTGGGGAGTGGCAATAATTATATATTCATGTTCTGCTGTATTAAGTTCCTTTGAAACATGCTTATATGAATGTTTCGCGCCCCGCGCAAGTATCGAGGCTAGCTACGGCCTTGGAGCGGGGGTTGAAACCATAATCATCATTTGAATTGTATATGTTCATTATTTGTTGCTTATTAGCCGTACAATCCAAGTCGTCCTTATCCCAAGGAGTTCAGGTATATCCAATGTTCGTGTTTTGGTAAAATTGCACTGTGATTTACCAATTTCTTTTTGTTTAGAGATTATTGTGCGAAAGGCAACCAAGTATTGTTGCCTTGCTGTAAACCCAAATCAAAGGTGAGCATGTAAATACACGGAGCAGTTCCATAATACTTCCACCTTTCAGTTGCTTTATGCACATTTTTATAGCCACTTATATGATTTCGAAATAAAATCGACGTTGGCAACCACCAACCATAGGAAGTTACAATACGTCATCATTTGCATTTTAACATGCGCTCACCATTGATTATTTTTAAAGAAAGATGGAGATGGGGACTCGAAAGATCGTTGGAACCTCGTGGTTAGATCTTTCTCAGCGAAATCGATATACAGCGTCGAGGATTTAAAGGTTTATTGCTTTGTGTTTGCTTGAGCGATAGCTTTACCACCACCCCACCCCACCCCTCCACCATCAAAACAATTTGTATTGTATTTCAAAAAATCTATTGTATTTATTTCAGGACATTATATTGAAGTACAATTCCAAGCCATCAAATTTCAGGGTATTGGATGATTTTGTAAATGTAAGTAAGTAGTTTTGAGAAGTTTTTTTTTCCTTCCAGTAATCTAATCCAAAATCTTTGCATGACGTCAATGACCAACAGTTCAGTACTGATAGTGAGTCTGGACAAATTTTTTTCCTTCCAGTAGTCTAATCCAAAATTTTTTCATGACCTCAAGGACCAACAGTTCAGTACTGATAGTGAGTCTGGACAAAGTTCGTTCGGATGAGGTGTACTTCTTTGGTTTTATTGGATCACCACAGCATATTTTTGACTGTTTATTCTACAGAGCGCAGCTTGTGACTATCGGGAGCGTTTCTTTGAAATCGTACTTCCTGGTATCGTTGAATTGGTGTTAAATATGAAGGAGATCGTCACTCAGGTAATTGACGTCACACTTCATGATGTCATATGGTATTTTTGTGCTCTTTTCAGCTATCGACTTGCCTCTTTTATGGTAGGCAAATTCGATAAATGTCTATGTTGGTAGTGTATTGATATTTTTCATTTTGATGGTCATTAAAAGATTCGTGTACACAGCGTACTAGCCAAGACAACATTTTACCTCCCAAATTTGTCATATTAGCACCCCTTCATCAGTTACCCTTCAATGCTTTTGATTTCGGTGCCCCCTCCTTTACTTTTAATGTCAGTGCCCCCTGCTTTACTTTTGATTCACCCCTCTTTATATGTCTGCCCCCCTTTATTTTATATGTCAGTGACCTCTCTTTTACTTTTAATGTCAGTGCCCCCTCCTTTACTTTTGATGTCAGTGCCCTCTCCTTTACTTTTAATGTCAGTGCCCCCTCCTTTATTTTTGATTTCATTGCCTCTTACTTTCTATGCGTTTGCGAAGTGCCAGTAGTTTAAAAATTGATGCTTTTTCACTTGCAGCCTCCTCCTATTCTTAAACAACACGTTGAGAAGATGTTGACATTGTCCCAACGTCAAGTATTGTGCAATTATTCGTGCCATCGTGGTTTTTTTTGTCACCGTAGAAATTTTTCTCTTTCATTATTTAGGCGGCCTGTCTTCTAGCTTCGGCGTTTCTTTGTCTATTCCCTCGCAGAAATCACGGCAGTCGTGAATTTTCGCGCAGCTTACCATCGGTAAATTTCAATAGGTAAAATTCTTTGCCTATATATGTTGTGGAAATGGCCGTCAGCTTTGTACAGTTCTTTCTGAAGATTGATATCTACTCTTTGCCTGCCTCGTAGTGTAACGTTTACAAACGTGTAACAAACGCCTTTTGTTGCTCGAGGCTCTTGTAAATTATCAAGACTTTTCCAAGCAAACTACTGGAACTTTTAAATTGCTCTTCTTTCAGACTCTTTGAAAGATTTGACGAAGACAACGAAACAAACCTCCATAAACTGGCAGCTTTCATTTCGTACTTTAATTCAGTGATTGAAGATAGTAAGAGTCGCACATTTACCGATATATTGTTTGCTTACTCTACATAATCCAAAGTGGACGTGCCGACTTAACTTAGAGTACGATTATACCACTGCCTACCAATGGTATCTCTTACTGTCCCTTGACTTAGAGTACGATTATATCACTGCCTACCAATGGTATCTCTTACTGTCCCTTGACTTTTAAGCTAATATCTGTTTATGTTTTAGTGCCTGAAGGAACATTGTCCTTTCAAAGGCAAGTTTTACATCAAGATGAAATTCCTAACTGGGGCAGGTAATCACATTGAATGTAACGACATAAAAATCTAGGGTGGGAGAGGGTAGGAAGGGAAATATTTTAGGTGCCTAGTTGACCGTGACTGTTTTCGTAGGGTTGTGGTTGGATAATATTTAATTTCCTTATCTAAGATGGAACTATGTAACGTTTTTACGTGTACATGTAAATTTACATGATACGCTTTGTGGGACGTCTTGAGCTAGCATATATGATTAGGAAATAGATTTACAGATGCAAGATCTTACTTAATAGGTATGCATCCTAATTCATTAAGTGTTAAATGAAGCTATAGACGTTCTGGTGTGTTTTTATTCCATGATTGTGAAGCTTGCAATGGGGGAGGGAATGAAAGCTATGCCGATTAAGACGTATTTTGTTGGATAAAAATGTTGGATTCATTGGTACCTCTATGTACACTTCAAAGGTACCTGTATGTACACTTCAATGGTACCTGTATGTACACTTTAATGATACCTCTATGTAAACTTCAAAGGTACCTGTATGTACACTTCAATGAAAGATGAGTTTTGTATTTTAGGCGTAAGACAACGTTGACTAATTTGCGTGCTGTTAGTGAAGGTACAATCGAAGATAATGCTCCAGGGATGTTACAGGTATGTATGTATGAGAGAAACAACGAAAACGCAACAGGTTTGTGTAGTTTGATTTGTGAAGTTTGTGTCAGTAGACGTTGTTCATTAGAGATGAAATCAGTAGAGATTGTGTAAATGTAGTTAGTGTGAATATAGATTCTCTTGCTGCATTCAATAGACGTTGTTCATTAGAGATGAAATCAGTAGAGATTGTGTAAATGTAGGTAGTGTGAATAAAGATCCTCTTGCTACACTCAATAGACGTTGTTCATTAGAGATGAAATCAGTAGAGATTGTGTAAATGTAGTTAGTGTGAATATAGATTCTCTTGCTACACTCAATAGACGTTGTTCATTAGAGATGAAATCAGTAGAGATTGTGTAAATGTAGTCAGTGTGAATATAGATTCTCTTGCTGCATTCAATAGACGTTGTTCATTAGAGATGAAATCAGTAGAGATTGTGTAAATGTGGGTAGTGTGAATATAGATTCTCCTGCTGCACTCAATAGACGTTGTTCATTAGAGATGAAGTCAGTAGAGATTGTGTAAATGTAGGTAGTGTGAATATAGATTCTCTTGCTACACTCAATAGACGTTGTTCATTAGAGATGAAGTCAGTAGAGATTGTGTAAATGTAGTTAGTGTGAATATAGATTCTCTTGCTGCACTCAATAGACGTTGTTCATTAGAGATGAAGTCAGTAGAGATTGTGTAAATGTAGTTAGTGTGAATATAGATTCTCTTGCTACACTCAATAGACGTTGTTCATTAGAGATGAAATCAGTAGAGATTGTGTAAATGTAGTTAGTGTGAATATAGATTCTCTTGCTGCACTCAATAGACGTTGTTCATTAGAGATGAAGTCAGTAGAGATTGTGTAAATGTAGGTAGTGTGAATAAAGATCCTCTTGCTACACTCAATAGACGTTTTTTATTAGAGATGAAATCAGTAGAGATTGTGTAAATGTAGGTAGTGTGAATATAGATTCTCTTGCTACACTCAATAGACGTTGTTCATTAGAGATGAAATCAGTAGAGACTGTGTAATTGTAGTTAGTGTGAATATAGATTCTCTTGCTGCACTCAATAGACGTTGTTCATTAGAGATGAAATCAGTAGAGATTCTGTAAATGTAGTTAGTGTGAATATAGATTCTCTTGCTGCACTCAATAGGACGTTGTTCATTAGAGATGAAATCAGTAGAGATTGTGTAAATGTAGGTAGTGTGAATATAGATTCTCTTGCTACACTCAATAGACGTTGTTCATTAGAGATGAAATCAGTAGAGATTCTGTAAATGTAGTTAGTGTGAATATAGATTCTCTTGCTACACTCAATAGACGTTGTTCATTAGAGATGAAATCAGTAGAGATTGTGTAAATGTAGTTAGTGTGAATATAGATTCTCTTGCTACACTCAATAGACGTTGTTCATTAGAGATGAAATCAGTAGAGATTGTGTAAATGTAGTTAGTGTGAATATAGATTCTCTTGCTGCACTCAATAGACGTTGTTCATTAGAGATGAAGTCAGTAGAGATTGTGTAAATGTAGTTAGTGTGAATATAGATTCTCTTGCTACACTCAAAGACGTTGTTCATTAGAGATGAAATCAGTAGAGATTGTGTAAATGTAGTTAGTGTGAATATAGATTCTCTTGCTGCACTCAATAGACGTTGTTCATTAGAGATGAAGTCAGTAGAGATTGTGTAAATGTAGGTAGTGTGAATATAGATTCTCTTGCTACACTCAATAGACGTTGTTCATTAGAGATGAAATCAGTAGAGATTGTGTAAATGTAGTTGGTGTGGGTAAAGATTCTCTAGTTCACACCTTCCAGTCAAGATGTTTTCCGAAAAGATGTTGGCTTCAGATACATCAATGGCGTATTTCTATGTTTACAGGTGGACTTTGCAAATTGCTTGGTTGGAGGTGGTGTATTATCTCGAGTAAAAGTTTGCTGAAATTTGAACTCGTGTGTTTACCAGAATTGTATTGAGCAGCGCAGCTTGCTTATGCGTGCTCGTTCACTTTTAGGGCTGTGTTCAAGAGGAGATTCGCTTTCTCATGTATCCGGAAATGATCGTATCGCGATTGATCACGGAGAAACTCGAAGATAACGAATGTCTAATAATAACTGGAGCTCAACGTTTCGGAAAATATACTGGCTATGCAAAGACTTTCAGATTTATGGGACCAGTTAAGGATGACACACTAAGGTGCGGTTTTTGAAGCAGATGAGTCTGTTGGAAATATGAAGAAGGCCTGATTTACTCTCCAACCAAAACATACGTTTGCATTTCCATTTTACTCGTGTTCACAGTTCTTGCGGTGTCGATCAAACTACACTTCATTCGACGTATTATTTTGCTATTTATACAGAGATAGCTGGGGGCGAAGATTAACGAGTGTAGTCGCCATCGATGCCCGACCATTTGTCAATTATACTGAGCAATTTACTCCCTATAATATAACACGTGAACTAAACAAGGTAAGCTTGACGAATCTCGTTTGTCAAATCACAACTTGGGTTTTTTGCAACGTTGAGTTGGCTGCTTTTTACTGTGCGGTTTATTGCGCGAAGGTGTATTCTTTCTTGAAGAAATAAAAGATGTTTACTGTGTTTTCACAGGCTTATGCAAAACGAGGAGACCTTTGGGAGAACTCGAGAGCAGATCAGTGCAAGCCCGGGACCGAAGGTCGAGGGTTGCATCTGCTCGTGGCGCGAGAGTTTTCACAAACGTCTCCGAGGTTTGCATAATCCAGTGCAAACACGAAAAACATCTTTTATTTCTTTTATAAAATAATAATGATGCGAAACAGACAAATTTAAAGTAAACGTTTTAATTTTTCCTCTAAAATGTATTCATGATCGATTTGCAAATTCTCTTTGACTGATTGATTGTTATGATTGATTTGATCGGTGAGCTCAGATGTGTTTTGCACAGGCTCATGAAAACACAGCTCTAGACCAATCAGTGCACGCGTTTCATTGTGTTTATTTTATAATTTTCCATGATGTAATCGAACCTTTGATATTTTTTCTTGTTTTAAGGCATACGTAGGTTTTCTCTCGCGAAACATTGAAGATCGAAATCATTTGCCAGCTGTTGCAACGGGTATGATATCATAAGCTATTCATGGGATGGGTGGGATTTTAATTTTGTGTAGAGAGGGGGTAGCTGCCACTTAACAGGGGAAAGATTTACTATAAATCGTGATCTGTGTTTAACAATAGTATTTAAAGCTTCACAGCAGCATGACCTTTTCAATGTTTTCGCTTTTTAATCTAATTATGGTTACATCCCCTCGACTGTGTTTACTTAAGGGAGATTGATAAAGCTTTAATTTAATTTTAAAGGAAATTGGGGCTGTGGTGCTTTTAATGGCGATAAACAGCTGAAAAGTAAGTAAGCCAATTAAACTACTAAATGAAGATATGATCTTCGCACTGCTGGACAATTTAAGCAATTGTCTCATGAACCTGAAAAATTCAGGTGACTGAACGGGATTAAACTACTTTGCGCACGTTTCTGTATTGGATTGTTTTGCTCGCGTTTCGTCCAAACTCAATAAACTATTATCTAAAACGCTAACCCCGCCGCTGTTGTTTACATAAGCTTTTAAGGTTTTGACATCACGTGACGATGTGATATCATGTGACTTTAAAGCCTCAATGTTGGTGGCTTACTGCAAAGTTCCGACCTCAACAGAATATGAAATCTACACATTTTCCCCCCCTTTGTTTGGTGTTGCCAGCCCACAAGTTTAGTCGTGCTATGTGAATATTTTAGTGTCATATACTCACTGTAGAACAATAGATTTCTAATGAAGTGAGTTATGCTAATGATATCAAATTTACAAAGCACGAACAAAATATGCAGGCTGGCTACATCACTCAACTGCAGCCAGTTACAAGACCTAATGTGAAGGACTATATAGGCATATAATTAAATACGAACAAAATATGCAGGCTGGCTACATCACTGAACTGCAACCAGTTACAAGACCTAATGTGAAGGACTATATAGGCATATAATTAAATACGAACAAAATATGCAGGCTGGCTACATCACTGAACTGCAGCCAGTTACAAGACCTAATGTGAAGGACTATATAGGCATATAATTAAATACGAACAAAATATACAGGCTGGCTACATCACTGAACTGCAGCCAGTTACAAGACCTAATAGTTAGAAAAGTGAAGGACTATACATGCATATAATTAAGTGTGCGTACCAGAAATTGCCATGATGTATATTTTGCTACAAGAGGTATTGTAGTGAACAGACACAAAGAAAACTCAAACACGACTGAGCGTGCAAAAACGACTTGTTATCAATGAATTTGTTGACAGGTTTATTACAAATTATGGCCGCAAGTGAAGCAAAACGGGACGTCTTGTTTTTCACGTTTGGCGATAAGGTATTTGCGCAAAAGCTCTCATTTTCGCCTTTTGGGGGCCACGTCCACAATCCAGGGGCCGGTTGCACGAAGCCTGGATAGCGTTATCCATTGGATAGCAAAAATTTTCAAACTTGGTAAAAAAAGGTGTTTATATTTTTCTTACGACAGAGAAAGTTTGTAATCTTCGAAAAAATATTTTATTTCAGTAATTTCACAGTTCAAATTGAATATTTTTTTCTTCTAAGATATTTTATGAACGTTTACAAAAATTTTTTATCCAGTGAATAGCGCTATTAGGCCTTTGTGCAACCAGCCCCTGTTGCTGCATTGGATCGATCTAATTACTTGACAACCCATCCACTTTCAATAACATATCACCTACATATAATCCATCGACTTTATTACTTTCATTTACCCGGATGATTACGTCGATGATGCATGAGATTCCTTGCAAACAGTTTTACTGCCCCCCTCCCCTCAAAATGGGGCTGCAAACATTGGCAATGATCTTGTTGTTGCAGAGGTTTCTCTTTTTCAGTGTTTTCAAACTATTTCAGGAGCAAGCTAGAGAGCTCGCAAATATTCATCGAAAACTTAAAGAAAATAACATCACGATTGGTAAGAGGTCTTTGTCTTCACCCCACCCCACCCCCAGTTAGATATGCAGTTTATAGATCTTGAAGTACGAAGTTTTATCATTTAAAACACCATGACCTACAGCACCTAAAACCGAGCCTCATTTTATTTCGACTGACGTTAGATCCGCCATTGTTAAGGGTTTGAAAAATATTTTTCTTTTTTCTACGAGCACAAAGGAAAGCAAAACAATTTTTGCTTATCGAGAAATCAATTTTTGTCTTTACTTCAGACACCTGTTACATGTATCTATACTATCTAGACTATCAATTGTAATTTCCTATTTTTAACTGAAGCTCTGTTATCTTATATATCAAACGTCTTTAAGGTAATATATTTTCTGGAAGCTCAAAAATGAAAATGAAAATAGTGACACTTTTTCCTTGCTGTGTCTTGATAAAAAAATCTCTAAAATATTTTCTGTGACCAATGATCCAATTGTCCCGTCCATTCTCCACCCCCGACCATTGTCAAGATGAAATGGTTCTATTGCTGTAGGTTGGCTATGGGAGCATTTATTCAAGTATCGTAAAGAGGCGTTACTGAGTCGTAACTTATTCAAATATCTCGAGGAATCATTGGAAAGGAAGGAATAGTGTAAACACAACAGCATATTTTAGTTGAATTTTTAACTGAAAATATTTTGATTTTGTAAAAATCATCTTGTACATACTTAAATTATGGATTGCTATTGCTTAATTTGAAGGTGTTCGTACGTGACTAGGATCGACGTTAGAAAGTTAGAAACTCAATGTGTCACTTTATATGGAAGCGTTCAACTACCATTTGCTTTAAAATGATTATGGTACTCAACAGCAATCATTAAGGGGAGTTTAGGAGCGTGTGACGTCCCCAGCTTTAGTGAAAACGAATAAACAGTCGTGGTAGTAACTGATAGAGGACGAAAAAAGGCGGTCCGGATAAAATTGTGGCTTTTTCGGGGCACTACAAAAGCTTGTTCCAACGCCAAGACAGTTGAGAAAATACTGATGCTAGTTCGCCTGTATACTAAATTTAAGATATTTTTGGCTAAAAAGTTCAGTAAACAGTTTCTAAATGAAGAATCGGTAGTGATGACGCTATGACGAAAATACTCCTGTTCTTCATGCCAACTGTAGTACGCCTCGATTCCAAAGTTGCTATATATACCGATTTTGAAATTTCTTCAATAATTTGACTGATATGTATTGCATCTCATTACGACTGATGATGTGTGAGATGCGAGAACATCTCACATCCATAGTTTAAGATTTAGAAGAAAAACTATACCACATGGCATGCGTCTTTCGGAGTATTTAAACCTTCATTTGTGGGTTGCTTAACTTAATTTTGTTGTAGAAAGTATAAGCACTTTAAGTGTTTGAAAATATACTGTAAAGACAATCCTTAGTCTGTGGCCGTCATGAAACCACTCCCTGAAAGTTACTTTTATTTTTTCTTTAAAATGTGCGAGCGATGTCTGGAATTATCGCTTCGCTGGACGACCCCCCGTCTCTATCATTCTCGGGCAAGCTTCCCGTCATGCCATATCAGATGAAAACATAATAAAGCATTGACGAAACCTGTTCATTTTACATCTCACATAAGCAAAGTGCAGGGATATTTTTCATGGTTTTCTGCGAGAATTTCGTCGACTTGAAAGCTTAGAGTGCTAGTCAAAGGTAACATCGAGTTATTTGTAGAGTATATGGCTTAGTGCAAGGTGAATAATAGTATTTGTTCTTTCATATTCGCCAATTGTGTGATACTTTACCTTGGGTCTTTGTTGATAAAGTTAGAGTACTATTTCCTGATGCCCTTGACTCGTAATTTCATAACAATTTACTTGCAAAGAAAGGAAACAGAGATTAAATACTGTAGGTTACATTTGACATATTTAAAAGTTCCAAATCAAGTCAATTTAAACTTTACTCCCGTTGCTTTCCGGCCTGTGTGATGTTCTGATTTTGTAAATTTAAGTTGCTAAAAATATATTTTAACGTAATCATTTCTATTCAATTAGCCAACGTACAATGGCTGATGAGGTCCTGGATGAGAAGCAGGCAGTTTCACCATCGTATCAAAATAATGATCATTATGTGAAAGCCTTTCATACCATGAACAATTTGCGTCAACATAACATATTATGTGATGTCATTATACAGACTGGTTCTGCTCAATTTCCTGCTCACAAGGTTGTGCTAGCATCTTGTAGTGCGTATTTTTATGCCATGTTTACTGGCGAACTCTCAGAAAGCAAACAGGTGAACGTAACAATAAAAGATGTTGATCCCGTTGCCTTGGAGATGCTTCTTGAGTTTGCTTACACTGCAGAGATTCAAGTGACAGAAGAAAATGTTCAGGTAATCTAGAAAAATTTTCCAAAAAAGATGGTTTTATGTATAATAAAAAGATGTGTTGGTTGTAACCGTTTGGTTTTTTTTTTCAAATTTGATTCATTACAAAGATCTTGGACTGGAATTTTAAGCAACATAATGACAGAATGAAAGGAATGTATTGTGACGAAAGGATAATTTTTCACATCTTATTATTGATTAGATTTGCTTTTTATCGGTAGTACAGTAAAAAGAAATTCTTGCTCAAAGGAAACTTTCAGTGCAAGCATGTTTAAGGATCTTATGCCATTGTCACTGTGAACTCATTTGTTCACAATATTGTTGTGCTCCATGTATGATATTTTGATTACATAGATACAATGAAATACAAAGAACAAATTTTAGCTTAAAGGGACCAAAGAGCCAGAAGGGATTGTGTGGTTTATGGCTCCTAACCCCCCTCCCCCCCCCCTCCAATAATTTTGCTTCCATTTTAAATTTTTGAAATTTATGCCTACCTGCAACTGACTTCCGTGGCTATGGCGGTTGATGGCCCCTTTAATCAAAAATATGCTCTGTGGTCCTAGTTAAGCTGTGAAGCAATAAATTTGTGAACTAGTGAAGCAAGGAAGCAGTAAATTAGTGATGTAGTTGTATGGAAATGAAGCAGTGTAGCCTTCCATATGGTGTCATATAAATTGCATTTCATTATCACATTCCAGGTCTTGCTTCCTGTGGCAAGTCTCCTTCAGATGACCGAGGTCAGAGTTGCTTGCTCGGATTTTCTCAAAAAACAGTTGGACCCCTCCAATTGTCTGGGAATTCGACGTTTTGCGGACGTTCATGGCTGCATGGACTTACTGGCTGGTGCTCACACTTATACGGAACAACATTTCTCCGAGATCGTTCATGGCGAGGAGTTTTTGAATCTACCTGCTATGCAGATCTGTGAGCTCATCTCGAGTGACCAGTTGACTGTACCTTCCGAGGAAAAGGTATGTGCTTGTTCACATTTTTTCTACATCTATGGTAAGTAAATCTAAACAGGACTGGTCATTTCTTGAAATCTTTTATTGCCGAATTGTCTCCGCCCGAACGCTTGTAGCGCGCACAGTGGATAGTTGAAGTAAATAATTATGATGAAAGGCCGTCTTTAGTGAAATCAACCTTCGCAAGGTTTTAAAAACACGTTCATCAATTATACGTGCAGATTTGCAGACTTTCAAGTTTACATTCTGCAACTAAATCATTCATGTCACTGTGTACGCGAGTCAAGTTAATCAGTTCAATAATTTTACTTCAGATGATTTCTATTATTTTGATAGTGCAGCGCAGAGGAAACTTACTCTGCCTGGTAGCTTTATCTTTGAACTTTCATAAGTTGCATTGAATTATTACGAGCTTCGTTGTGGCGTTTCCCAATGGATTTTCAAATTCACGAGACCGCTTCGTTGGTACTGTGTCTAACTAATCGGAGGCTTCATTTTATCGTGTTTGACAAAAATGAAAGTTCGGGATATTTTGGTGGAATGTTAACTGAAACAGAAAACGACTATAAGCAGAGGTCGATTTACTTGGTTATCCCAACCAAGATTTAGCAATGGGAGGGGGGGGAGGGTAGTGCAGAAGGGGTTGGCAATTAATATACCAAGCAACAAAGCGATTGTAATACGTGCTTAATGGGGCACACTTTCAAAAATTTTATCGAACATGGTTTAAGAGTAACAAAAATGTAGGAATGGCATAGCTCCACCCACCCACCCCCCGGTTTCTAAAACCATCCTACATCCCTCCCTGCTATTAATCAAGGTTTCATTCAACAAAGTGCTAACCTCTGTTCTAATTATTGTGAACGACAGGTGTTTGAAGCGGTCGTGTCATGGGTGGAACATAACTGCGAAGAAAGACAAGAATACTTCGCTCAGTTGATGGAGCATGTTCGCCTGCCGTTGCTATCACGCGAGTATCTAGTCGAGCGAGTGGAGAGCGAGTCTTTGATCAAGCGAAACTTTGCTTGCAAAGACTTCCTGATCGAGGCAATGAAGTACCATTTGCTGACGAGCGAGCAGCGTTCCGTCCTGCAGACGCCAAGGACACGACCAAGAACACCCGTGGGTTTACCGAAAGTGATGTATGTCGTTGGTGGACAGGCACCGAAAGCAATTCGCAGGTACTCGTGATAGACCTTACCAGCTCATTTCACTTGAAGGAAATTTATTGGATGATAACACATAGAGAGCGGTGTATTTGCTTTGGTAAATAAAAACTTGGTAGTTCTAAGAGGAATTGAGATGAATTAAATGACGCGCTGCATTTTGGCAGACTTCTCATCAGGTGTCACGTTACTTAATGAAAAGTAAAAATTTAGTCAACTGAGAGAGAAAGACATCGTCCCATTTCTTGTCCTTTATTATAAATATTAGTAATGTTAAAAGTAGATTTTTTTAAATATTATATTTATATTTTTTCAAGCAGACGTGTCACCTAATGAGGCACCGTTTTTCTTAATTTTTGGTTTTCAACAGCTCTTGTTAGAACTGTCATTTACCACGGCAAATACACTATTCAAAGCAGTATTTAGTTTCTGACCGGCGCTCATCCATCTCTTACAGCACAGGCTTTCTTTTGTTGTACACTGGATGAAAGAACTACATTACATAGATAGCTCTAACTAGATCTCTTGGAAGAACAATATAGAACTGATAGAATTACTGACTAAAAAGTTGTGCTGGCCAAGGTGTCTTCTTTTACTTTTAAAGTGAATGAGTGAGAAGGAATAAGCTTGGCCGGATGTGAATGAAATTTAGCAGTAGCTAACGGAATTATTCTGTCTGTAAAGCCTTATTTTATTGTTAAGGCTTTCTCCCGTAGTACCCGTACATTATTATATGGCAAGCGTCACTTCCTGCTAAATGACGCGCTTTGATTGGCTCAGAAACATTCAACTCAGACAACGGCTCAGGACCGCCATCCAAAATGCGTAATTTTACAGTCAAATGTAAACAAAGTTCGTAAAGCAAACAACAAAACGTAAAAAAAAACAAAAATAAAAATGATTTGCAAATGTGAGTCGAAGGAAAAACACTTGGAAAACAGTTTAACTATCCAAACGACGCAATTTGAAACGATTTCTTTTTTACTGACAAAAACTACAAAAACGAAAGTCAACCCGTGCAAAACAGCAAAGACGAGAAAGAAAACAAGCTTCTATTCAGGTCAAATAATGCCATATAATAATCCTTTTAATAACCTTTCTTCCTTGGTCTTTACTAAGAAATACCAGACCTCTGTCTTTTTGTACAAACCTCGCTCTACGGACTCGCTCTGTACAAAAAAACCTCGGTCCGTTATTTCTCCGTAAAGACCTCAAGCTCGATTATTAAGGGCTTATTAATCACTTAAGATGCACTGAACGTTTTTACTTTATTTTCAGTGTGGAATGTTACGATTTCAAGACTGAGCAGTGGCACCAGGTGGCCGAAATGAACAGTCGCCGATGCAGGGCAGGAGTGGCCGTCATGAACGGTTGTATATACGCTGTTGGTGGTTTTAATGGATCGTTAAGGATAAGAACGGTTGATTGTTACGATCCATCGTGCAACCAATGGCATACTGTAGCATCCATGGAAGCTAGACGGAGTACACTTGGGGCTGCGGTCTTGAATGGCTTGCTTTACGCTATTGGTGGTTTTGACGGTACCACTGGCTTGAACACGTGCGAGGTAAAGATTTTATAATTATGACAACACTGCATGTACAAGTACTACGTCAAACACACGGAGCTGCGCAGTGTAATTTAATCAGTGAACAACGTGACAACAACTGGTTATATACACTTCGGCCTGTCATAGGTTTTAATAGTTTTTTTTTTCTTCATGATCTGCATCTCATGATACGTGAATCAAAAGAATATGACAGCTAATGGAGAAATGAAAAAAATGTATCAAACATTTAGTGATTTTTGTGATCAACTTACCAGAAGACGGTTTTTTTTTTTGAAAATTTGCTTTGAATCCCTAGTTTGTCAGGCTTTACTAAAAGATGGTGTTTTTTTGAAAATTTGCTTGGATCCCTAGTGTGTCTGGCAGTAAAGTAAACTTTAGGACTTTGACGGTGCTTATTTATCGAGTAGAAGCGATTCAGGCGCTTAGCGTGCTTATTTAGTACACTCAAGCCTTAGTTGTCCTCAAGCCGTGGTCCTTTATATAATTCTTTTTAAAAAGACTTTCGCTTTTTTATGCACAACTCGCCAACCTTTTTAAAACACGACTGTGGTCCGCGAACATCTTCTCACCTTTAGTGTGATTTATATATTGTTATGAATTACACATTGATCAGATTTGTACGACTAGATTCCATTTTTGAACCGTTTCAGATCATTTATGATCGTAGCTAATGATCAAGGGAATGTGATGGTTAAGGGAGTTCTGCTCACAATTCATAGAACAGCTCCTGTTTCCCCCCCTTTGAAGACGGTGTCCTTGCTTCACCATGACATGGTAAAGACATCCGGGGTTTTGAATCATTTGTATTAACCGTCTGACTCTGTCATCTGTCAGTTCCGTTGGGGCGAATTCTACCATGCTTGCATGCTACAGTGTTTCCAGATCGTGAAGAAAGTTCATAGATTTTTGAACATTTTTGCCCTCTTTATGAACTTTTCACGAACATTAAAATTTTGTGAACTTTTTGTAAACTTTTCAAAATTTCATGAATTTTTGTATCTACCGATCCAAAAAATTACAAATGATATGAACTTTTTGCCATTTTTGTGAACTTTTGACTTAAGCGAACATGAATATTATAAAATTTAATCTAGCAACCCTGGCTTGCTAACATCTAAGCCAATATCTGCGAGTGGCATTTGTGAAAAACACTTCTCGAGGCTGTGTTTTCTCCATTGAAAAACGACTGCTTAAAGGACGGTTTCGGCGTGTGCCTCGATTTTCTGTATCAAAGTTACTATAAAATGAAATCATCATAATACCTTCTTCTCGAGGGATGTCTTCATGATGTTTACGTGTACCTAACATCGATTTTTGCAAAAACTTTATCTCCATCGCGATCTTGCTTATAGGTGTACGATCCCAAGTTGAACGAATGGCGTTTTATTGCACCAATGGCAAGTCGTCGTAGCAGTGTCGGTGTGGGTGTATTGGGGGGTCTTCTCTACGCCGTGGGAGGATATGATGGTGCATCCAGGCATTGTCTCAGCTCAGTGGAATGCTACAATCCCGTCAAAAAAGAATGGAATCTCGTATGCGACATGAGTGCGCGAAGAAGTGGTGCGGGGGTTGGGGTGAGTGTTACTCGTTTACCTTATGCGCGCGTTTTTTTTTTGAGTTCATACGCCATGGGACTTTCTTAATTATCATGTAGGTGGCTGATGGTTTGCTGTATGCTATCGGTGGTCACGATGGTCCTCACGTCCGTAAGTCGGTGGAATGTTACAATCCAGAATCGAACCAATGGTGCCCTGTAGCTGATATGAGTATGTGCAGGCGAAACGCGGGTGTGGCTTCTGTGAATGGGCTGCTATTTGTGGTCGGTGGCGACGATGGTTCGGCTAACCTTGCATCGGTCGAGGTGTACAACCCTAGGACAAATCAATGGGGTTTGCTATCTTCGTGTATGGGAATTGGCCGTAGTTACAGTGGCGTTTGTGTTATTGACAAAAAGGTGAGAGATGTCGGACACTTGTCATCAGGTACGTGTATATTTGGTAGTGAAGATTCCCATGATACATGGAGGGGTAAACGATGACAGTATGCCGTACAATTGTTGGGACATAACTGCCTCGCACATTGTGGGAGGTAAATTTGTTGAGCGAGTTGATACTGTTTTTGAACCAACTGAAAAACATAAAGATTAGCGTTGACGTTAATCTAGAACAATGCGACATCGAGACGACTGGCAAACTCGACATGCTTCCACTCTTTTAGCGTTCATTGAGATAAGTAATTGAAGACTGCGCATGTTGTGCAAAAATTTTTTGCGAAGGCAAACTAAAGAGAGACTGCACAATTTATACAGGACTCTTGTGTACATATAAGATTACGTTGTATATTAGATATATTAATATAATAAAAGCGATCGATTCTAAGCCTGATAATGGTGCGTATATGAATTGATCCGAATCATTTCCTTGACGTAAAATGCATGGTAGTAAACAGAAGATTATTGAGCGCATGAGATGCTTCAAGTATTATCGCGGTACGTCAGAGAGGCTTACGAACCAGCTTAAACTTGTTTTGATACGAATGTCCTTCCTTTCTTTCATTAAACCGACTATCCTTCTTCGTCAGCTTCATTAGCTGCGATGTGAAATCTTTAGGAAATGCTCTTTACCTTTTTTGTAAAGTCTTCCAGACTTCGGCACTTTCGAGCACTTGTTGTTGCTTTGGGATTGTCAAAGTGACGAATGCCTAATGATGTTTGTTGTGTTAGTAAGAATAAGGTGGAAACTGACGTTTTTATGCACGTCTCTTGCGTTGTGTTTTGGTTCGTTCTCTTTCATTCGCAGTGGAAACTGACGTTTTTATGCACGTCTCTAGCGTTGTGTTTTGGTTCGTTCTCTTTCATTCGCATTTCTAGTTTTTGGTAAAATTCTAAACTCGCAGCTACAAAATGCTCGATAGGGAAAATCGTGTTGATTTAACAGAAAGGAAAGCTCCAACCCACATTCTCTGTAATGTTTTGATGCCTTGACAAATAACGGTGGAATTTTATTGTACGATAAAGGAGATTTTACACTTGCTGAAATACGGTTCATGGTGTATTTGTGTTATCTGATTTATGATAACTTTTATATGTAATTTAATAACCATGTAAATATGTGATACGATCAAAAAATGGGGAACAAATATGTTTAGCATTTTTTGCAGTCTTATGGAGAAATCAAAATTTCAAATTAGCTGCCGAAAGATGGCGTTTCTTAATTGTAGTTAAGTCTTGAAGAGATGAGGGCTTAAGCCTAGCAAAAGAAAACGCCGATAGCTCAGAGTTAAACTCATTCTCACGAATAGTTTTGATTACTGAACAAATAGCAGTGGAATTTTACATTGCGATAATGAGGATTTGTCTCATACAAGCCGAAATACCATTCAATATTCATCACGTTCAGTATAATCTATCTCTCGATAACTTCTTTATTAGTAATTAAATAACCATACAAATGTTATCTAAATGACAAAGAAAGATGTTTAGCATTTTTTGCATGAAGTTATTACGAAATTCTCTCGTTTGCCGAAAGAAGGCACCTTCAAATCTCGAAGAATTGAGGATTTATAACGAACAAAAGAGAATGCCAGAGTTTAATTTTGGTTGGTTTTATTTTAATGATAGTTGTGTATCGGTGGAACAAGATGCAGTGAAATAAAATAGATTTATATTGCGGGAGTCAAAGGAACGTTTTGTATGATCTGAATTCTGATGATTTAAATCAGTAACTCTATGTTATATTTCACATTTAAATGACGAAGAGGCTGAAGAGCACTTTACCAGGAGACTTTAGAAAGCAAATAAGAAGTCAACTAAATATTTAGGAAAGAGATTTGAGGTGGACAAAAGTGGAAATTTTTTCTTTTGCGCCACTCATTAATGAACAAGCAGGTTTATATCGAAAATATGCCATGAGATAAAGATGACCCATGTCCTGCACGAGTTGATACAGCGTTCATCGAATTCTTTATGATCTAAGATTGGGAAATTGTCGATTTCATCGCCTTGTACACATGATGAGAGCAAGATGATGTGACAGTCTGCTTAGCAAGTCGCGTTTTTATCAATAATTTATCGAGCAACGTATTTATTTACAATTTAAAAGTTTTATTTGAGAACTGTTTTTCAATTTGTTGCATGTCTAACACCACCATATTCGGCAAACGAATATCTCGCACAAACAAATCGCTTATGTGTGTCATGTAGTGTCAGCTATAAACAACAGACATTTTCAAAAAGTGAATAATGTACATTTATAGTATAGTATAGAGTAGGTGCATGGAAAACGCACATTCTTAAACACCTCCATAAATATGGATGTGTTTGATAAAAAAAAGTAAAATCTTGATGCAAAATCGGATGGAATTTCAAGTAAAAAAAAATGGTGTTTTATTTGTGTTTTAGCACCTCTTGTGTGATATATTAGGCAAGAACTTTGTGATGGTTTAAGTATATTAATACATTGCATTGCGCAAGTTGTTAAAACTTTAAATTTTTACTTCATTTGCCGTGAATCAACGTTTATTGACGCGCAATATCCCTCTTAAATGTTTCCCTTGCGTCCGTTTGTTGCGTCAGTAGTATTGTTTTATTTCCTCGAAACACGTCAATCATTTTATGTAAATTTGTAGCTAAACTCCATTAAAACTTGGGATGTTTCACATCGATACATGTGCGGATTGTTATACATTGCATTTGGATTCAAATCTGCTTCCTCGTTATAAATTTTTCAAGATATCGTTGAATTAAGCGTGAGACTTTTCTCTACTTAGGTTGTGACGGATTAGAATCGAAATATTTGAGGATTGTGAAAACGTTCGATTTACACAATAAAATATTTTCGGCGCATCCTTTGTTTCCTGTTCAACCAATGCGTCTAGCTAGCAACCCACACAAACCAGTTCGAAATGCGTGCTTGTCACCACATGTCTTTCAACTATATCGTGCAAATAGGTTACTAATCGTTCTGAGTGGGTATTTTTTTGAAACTGTTTTTAGACGTGTTATTTCCCATATTTTTACATCGGTGGTATGTGACTATGTGTTAGAGTGTTGTCATAATCATCAACAGATTTAGTTCTGCGTCCTCAAAACAATACAACTATAGCCATTTTTTGCAAAGTCAATAGAGGATTAAAATTGTGACATTCTACATGGTACATTCTAGTTCGAATGATAATCCCATTTACTGAAAAGAAAGCATGCACTCGAGCAATACTTGCGCCTATACATTGACGTACGAGCAAACTAATGGAGGGATATGATTTGAGAATAAAGACGATCAAAAAAAGGTTGGGCGTTTCTTGTAGTGCACGGCCAGCTTTGATGGCAAAACATTAGTTATCGGTAGGAAATTGAATCCTGTATTTCATGTAATTGTGCCTACAGCATTCAAAGATTTGGGTCCAATGAATGAAAGTCATGTAGACAGTGGGTGATTTTCGTTCTAAACTTGTGTTTTGTCTGTCGTATAAAATGTCTCTCGAACAAACGACACCATGCTGGTGTAAAATGATTTAATTTAAACTGTCGTGAAATGTATAAAGCAAACTCTTTCATTCTGTAAAACTTAAATCACACGTAATCAACCGTTGTCATTAGGTGATTTTTCGCCTATATTACAACACTATTCAGCTTGCCTTACTAAGGTAGTAGTGACTGATAAGACCTGAGAAGTACTCAACCTGAAGGAATTTACACTAAGTACTCTACACATACCATGTTCGCCATTCGGGAAATAACACTATTGCCATTGAATAAGGAATAGACAGAAGGTCTGTCTCGTTGTTGTGCAACCCGGTGCTGTATACGTAATCAGATTATTTGCAACGGTTAGTCACCTCCGTGCTTCTATTGGTCATACAAGGGAATCTACTGGCTGTCATGCACATGCGTGATAAAATATGCGGAGCACAAGAAATTTCAATGAAGTGGATCTTCTTTCTATTCCTTATACTGTTGCAATAAGCTATACACTTGGTCGTTCTACAGAGTGTTTCAACAAATCACTTGATAATGATGTTAAGTCCTTGTAAACATCTTGAATCGGATTTCGGATTAGACTTGGATTTTCCCCGGAAGTAGAACGCGCGTATAACTACCAAGTGTGTTGTTTTTCTTGAAGCATCCCATTGATGCGCAAGTCTGGGTAGTGCATGCAGGTCGATGGTTTTAGGCGATTTGTTACTCATCAATTCTTGTAATTATTTAAGTGCACGAGTGATAAATTTGTTCCAGAATCTTGATGTTTTCATCACCATGCTTGGTTGCGCCTCAAGTTTCGCCCATTCAACGTTGATTATCGACACAAAGAAATGGAATGCAAACTCTTTTTTTTCTTTTCGACTTACTCCACATATTTCTTGAAGCGTCACACATATAAAAAGCCAAGTGACGTAACCAGCCCGCTACGTAAATGCCCCCCCTGGTTTTGCTGTGTAGAGTTTAGATTTCATTTCTTATGCACACGACTACTGCGCAAATATATATTTTGCTACATTATACTTTAGATAGGGGGCGGAGGACTGTGTTCTCCCAGTGTGAACCCTTAGCAGTTACGCCCCTGTTTCAGGACACCAATAATCGTTTCGTTAGAAATCTTTCGCTTTCACAGAGAAGCATAGGAATATCAGCATAAAGCAGGACTAAATAAGTGGCTTGCTAGCTGTGCTTGCTAGGCTAGTGATGAAACTCAATACGAGAATGTTACACGATTTGACACGGAATAATCACTTAGAGAAAAGTTCAGAACCCCTGCTGAGGAGAGGGTTGGCTTCTCGACACACGAAGTTTGACCTTTAGGATTCGCCTGGAACGCAACAACCGTTAATGCATTTCAAAAATCAAACTATTTTATTAACTTAATACTTCCTATACTATAGTTTACATCAAATATATTACTCCTTTTTAAAATTCTCGATACCATTTTTACGATCCCCATACTTAATGTACGGGAATCCGTAACTGTTACGTAACATTTTTCTTTCGTGACAAAATAAAGTTCGACATTCCTGTATTTTGCTATGTTCTCGCGCGATCCAATTATTATATATCATGTACTCCTCGTTCGTAGTTAACTGAACGATGTGCTGCTTTTAGATGACTTTGCTTGACGGTTTCTGCCAAAACAAACTGATTGTTTGGCTTGCTTCGGGAATTTATTGCAATTCAACTCCTTCGGCCATTTTGCTCTTTTAAAAAGCTCTATCATTTTTTTGGAACAACTCGCTTTGACTGTCTTACACATACGACGACACGGTGGGACCATAATACTGTATGATGTGCACACCTGTAGGCACCGAAATAAATGAATTCAATTATTCTGTTGCATCGTTATACAATGGCATATGTAGTATATTATACTTATGTGTCTTTGCCATGGTAGGCATTGCTATGGACTATAAGGTGTTATCATGACCAATGTTGATAATATTCATACGAAGAACATTTACTGTAGTATTCTGACTATCATGTTTAATATGAAAACAAGCCGGCTATGTAGTTTACATGCTGTGTAGCAGGAACGGTGCATTGGAGTTAAGTCGAGACATATCTTCCCGTTTTCCCACATCATTCAGAACATCAGTCTGTGATTTTCGAATTTCGTAATCTGGCGCATGCAAACGTATTTCCTGGAACAAGATTTCAGGCAATTATTTTCATCTAACCAAATTTCTTACCGGTACGTAGTAAGAGCAGATAAAGTAGATAAGATCCTTCGAACAACCAGAATCAAGCAGTGGCTGAAGCGTTTTGATTGTCTGTTGTGCTTCTTGTTGGCTGCGATGCTTGGCAAAGTTTGGAAAGACGGTTGCATTGTAGCCGAGATCTGCGCACGTCTGAAAAAACAAACATTTGTGTTTACTTCAACAGACATCTTTACCGGTATGGGGAGACTAAAAACAGACAGATTATCTTATCTCCTATTTCTAGAATGTTCTGGTTTCAAAGAAACCGACGTCACTCGTTTTGCTTGGCTATACCAAGCACATCGTTGTACAATTTAGATTGTTTCGGGTATTGTTCTCTTGATTTACGACGATTTGTTGTTGAATTCAATAGAGCATTCCAGTTTTTACATTCCACGCCTTACCAATAATCGTTTGTTAAAAAAAATAAAAATTTACTGACTTTATTTCTAAGAGTCGCGTTCAAATGTATATCTCAGTTTTTTTGCCGATTTTTCTAAACGTGTTTAATTACAATAACCCTGTATATGCAAGGCCTTGCATCGTATAAATTCCAGTTATTCCTCAGCATGTTCCGTTCTATTTGATGCCTCGTGATTGTAAACAACCAATCAAAATCACTAGAATTTAAGAAGACGCTCCGTAAAAAAAATCGTATGTTTTCAAGATTTGTCGGCTTTTAAATCTGGCTCATTTGAGGTTGGCTGGGGTGTTATCGTCGGCTCAGTTGGCTTTAGGAAATATTAACGTCTGCCTTGCTAATTACAATCTAATAATATCACAATACCTAGATCGTGCCTTTTTAATCTAACTTTTCGATTGTATATGACTATGCAATAAAAATGTCGAGCACATGGGAATTATGGAGCTATAACCTTATACTAAAAAAATTCTTGAAACCAAGTCGAACCGCGCATTTCGTTGCTGCACAAATGAAATATTTCAAATATGAAGACGGCAAAAGCTAACGAGTGTTTTAATTGCCCCGAGGACATCGTGTTCATTACTTTGGTGGTTACATAAGGTGCGTCGTATTTGCACGGGGCACTGGAAAAACGAGACCTGTTGCACGAAATTGCCTCGAACTTTGTATCGGCTATTTCATTGTGGACTAAACATTCCACTCGCTTACGGTTAAACATTCACCTTAATTTTCAACGGCTCGCATTTATAGATGACTCCGGTGTTTGTTCCCTTCCATAAACTCAGTACAACGAATACAAGTGCTAAAGATGCGAAGCTCTTCATCTTTCTTTTTTTTTCTCTCTCGACGTTTTATGTGGTTGAAGTCTTCCTTTCTCCTTCTCCAGTGGAACTGTGTAGTGAATAATGTTTCTGACGAGTTCATCCGCCTCTTTTATATGCGAGGGGTTACGTTCTCCTGTGCGTCAGTCTCCACTTGACCTCTTCGTTTAAATCGCCTTCGGAATTTGCCACGCTTATCGCGAAAATCAGTTAAGTTTTGAAGTGGGAGCTTGTGGGAGATAGCAATCGCCTTTTCTCACGGTGTTTTGTAAGACACAATTGCCGTATGGCCATGAAAGGTTATACAAAGCACACATACGACATTGAGTCCACTTCAAAATGAAAAATACATTGTATAGCACGTAGCAAGTCTGATCCGATTTTGTTTATTGCTCATTTGGGTCGATAATAATGTGGAACAATTTACAAACAAATTTCCGAAACGTATTTTGCAAATTACAAAATACTTTGATGAAAGAAACAGTACTTAGCAGTTTCGCATAACCGAAATATTTTATGGCATGGCAAAAATTTAGTCAAGTTTCAATGAAGAGTGTTCCACACTTGATACAAGTATGCTGGCTTTCAGACAATAAACGTAGATCAATTGAGTAGCACGCAGTTTAATTGATCTGGTAAAATCTCTAATTGCGGTTTATTAAGTAGCTAGTCTGATTAATTTTCTGTACGTTAGCCAAAAGGAGCACACTGCGTAAAGTAGTAAAACTTTTGCCGCGCGTGACGCACGATCGATCATACGTGCAAACGATTCATTTATAGCGCCCCTTGCTTGGAACTTTCGAATCGTCATTTTGTTGCATTCGGTCTTATAACCGAAATGTCGTTTTACGCTCGTGGGTGTCAACTTTGCGATTTCGATGAAAAAAGTTCGAGTTGAAAGAATGACGGAGGTGGATCGAGAGAGAGACGCAAAGTTAATTATCGGAACTTGCGGTAGACTAAGTGTCATCTTAATGACGTTCCATCATGATACTAATGGTAATGTTATACGGTTTAACAAATTAACCATAATTGTCGCAATTTATCTTGGTTTACTTTAATAAATAGTGCGAAAACTGCTCTCGTCTTGCCAAACGAAATTTCTAATTATACGCTTTAATCCGCCGAAAAGCTGGCACTATACAATCTTATGATGGAATTGTGTTTATTTATGTCTCGTGGCCACCATTTCTCTTATGTTATTCTGGTGTTCTTGTATCTTGCCCTCCAAGTGCTTCTTGTTGCCCTGAAATTGAACAGAAAACACACAAATTAATAAAAAAGTGCATGTGTCTGCCCGGCACGTTTACCCCACGATAGGAAACAGACGGCCTGTCGAATTAGCTATAAACTACGCCCAGGAAGCCATTCCTTAAAATTACCTTTCTCAAGAAAAGTCTTATTCATCTTTTTGGGCAGTAGTTTTGTCGCAACGCGAAAATCAAGATGGACGTTTTAGAATTGAAAAATAAAATGTGCAATGTGTATCGATTAAAAATAGAAATATCTTATTTATAGCTGAACGTCATTGCGTTGTAAAAAACAAAAACAAGAAAAAATCAAGAACAGAATAAAAGAAGGCATCTAAAAAAAAGGACTTAGCATTTCTAATTATATCAAACTGATTTGATGGCCAAGTCGAAATGACTTTGACTGAATGCCAGAGTGGAAGACCGAGAATTTGAGAGCTAAATTTGACGTCCTACTTAAAGGGCTGAATTAACCTTCGGAATTTAATTGAAGGCCAAGTTGAGAAGGATGGCTGCGGACTATTGTCTATTACAATTCACGTTAACCTCAATTGTTTTAACTTTGACTTCTGCTGCCCGTATTTTCTCTTCTATATTCCCTAGGATAATATCCATCGGCTGTTGCAAGAACCTTAATAACAAAAAGAGTTACGCCATGTTAGAAATTATAACCGACTAATGATAATCGTGAGAATCATGTCTAGCAAGGCAAGGATTATCTTGTGGTTTAATTACATCCTTCCAATGGATTCGTAGGTCTTTGTCTCCGGCTCTAGGCCATTTATTTCCTCTTGAGTCAACTTTTCCCGTTTAATTGTCCCTTTTAACTGTTCAATCTGCATTTCCGATATCTTCATTTTCTGAGTCGATTCCAACATCAAAGTTTGCAAATCTTGAAAAGCCTAGAATTTAAAGTATCGTCGTTAATTGCTATGATTTCGCCGAAGTTGAAATACATGTATATGAGTGGCGTTTATTTTTGTACATGCCGAACCAAATAAGCAAAATATCAAAGAGTAACAGTGACCTTTTTAAGGTCTTGATCTAGCTGAGGATCCGCCATCTTGGAAATTAATTTACTTTAGTTACCAGTCTTTCGGTTTCTCCTCTTGAAAAATGGCGCTCTGTTTTAAATTGATAGTGAAATGTAAGGTGTTTTCTTTTAGAAATTATGGTTGTATTGCTCGTCATATCACTTCGGCATCTGACAGAAGTGTTTTAGAAAGATCAACATTGTTTATATTCAATCAAAAAGTGCAGAACTTTGGTCGTTTAAACATTTTTTGTGATAATATTGGCGTTCGAGTTTCTTCAACTAGCTTGTGGCAAGAAAATCATGCCACCACAGCCAGGGCATTTCTGGCCGCAAAATGTGACGACGAGGTTGCTGTTTCAAAGGAATTAGAAAATATTAAAAAGTATTTTGACTGGCAGGTGATTCATACGGAACAAGGATTATCGGAAATCACGGTAAACTTTAGTCTGCTAATGTTGTTTCAACTGTTGTTCTACGTCTTTAAGGTTGTTTTAAGAGCGTTAGGGTATGTGTTTATTTGGTTTAATGGCTTTTTAGGCGGGATATTTATAAGGTTGATGTATTGGCTTGATAGGTGGGGTAGATTTAATGGCTTGGTAGAGGGTTCAGGGGGGTATGTAGGGAAGATGTTTAGCTTATTGTGTAGGGAATATGTATGTTTGGTGTAATGGCTTTGTTGGTGGGAAATACTCTTATGCATTTTATTGCCAAATAACATTTAACTGCCTTATAAGTGTATGGTTGTATTGTTCAGGCTCGTGAGCTGTTTTAATAAGGGAACAATACATTTTTTCTGTTTTTACCAAGAATCTTGCCGATTAGTAAAGGAAGTAGAAGATTAAAATTCTTGCCATTGTAGGGCACAGATTAATTTGTTTTTCCTGATAAAACTATAGCTTAATAGTTGTCGAGTAAGTTATAAGATTTTTATCATGAGTCATTAACTGCTTTTTTTTACCATTCCTTTAAAATTTTTTTTATGTTGAACGTAAGCATTGATCCTGTTCCTTCTTATTTCCAAATCATCTTGTTTTCCTGCCAGAACTTAAATTTCATCAAACAAATTTTTTATGTAATTTTATTATTTAACGTATATCTTGAGTTGAGTATTTTTTTTGTAATATAATTTTATCCCCGTAGATTAAAAATTGCCGAAGCAAAGAAACATTGCTTCGGAAAAATGTTGCATTGGTGATCGAGGTGCCTCACTCCTACAACATATTCTTGAAAAATGCCTCCAAAATTCCTGTTGTTGTCGAGAAACTTGAGAACAATAAGGTAGAAATCCTGTCACTAGGTGATTGTATTCTCTCTCAACTCAAGAGTCACTCAGTCAAAGTTAACTCTGAATCAGGTTGGTGTTTTGTGTTGTTGTTAATTTATATATGAATCGTACTTTTTTGACACAAGAGTCAGGAAAGTAATGTAAGACACTGCATCAGTAACATAACTGTGGCTTTGATTTTTTTGCATTACATTTTTTTTTGTACTTTCTTTGATGTACCGTAATTCTGGAAATGGGGATGATCGAAGTATGTATTTTCTGGCGAGCCTCGCGTTATCTGTCGATTTTGACGAAAAACATGGCTTATACGGGGTTATTCGGTGGTTTGAGTACTGCTCTTTTGAATTCTTTGATTAGTATGAGATTCGGCAGGCAGCGCTGGGAGTTAAATACAGTTATTTGAGCACGTTATTTGGGGTTGTTTAGCGTAGATTGTATCACATATAAACGAACGTGATAGGATTAATCTCAACAATTTGCTTTGAAATATGTCGCAAAAGATTAGTTTTTTCCGAAAAAGCGTGACTTATCTCTAAACTTCAAAAGAGCACGCGGTCAGCTACTGGTATTCACGAAATGCCTTTTAATACCGTATTAAAAAGGCCAAGATCATTGTGATTTTTAAGTTTGATGATCCCAATCTTTGGTTAGTATCTACGGGTTATACGATCTTGCAGGATGTATGTTGACTATTTTTTTTCAAAAATAATGCGTTTCGTTCCTGTGCGCGGGTTGCACGCCAGAAGATACAGCGAATCTCTGTATCTGGCCATTTCTCTCCGTTTCTTTTTGCTGGGTTAGACGACGTTGGACTTTTTTTTGATAAAGTCCGTTGCTTACATATCGGGGGTTAGGAGATTTTTTGGAAGTGTAGCTACTTCATTCTGAGGCTAACTAGAAAGTTAACTTGTGGGGGGGTGGGGTGGAGAAGGATGGTATTTAATCATAAATTCAGTTTCCTCCTACTAATTTCTTTTGAAAGTCAATTCCCCTTAAAAAAGAAATCAGTCAGGCACAAATGCGTATATGAATCTTCACACCACCCCACCTCTTCAATTAACGTTCTACCTACGTCCGTGACGTCTTTAAACACAAATCACGCCGATTGCCTTTGCTTAACTCGCCTGGTATTTTAACAGTTTTTGTAAAAAAAATGGCACACACTCCAAGTAAATCTATCCTTGCCTTTTTGTTTTGTTGCTTTAGGTAATATAGTTAGTAGATCGTCACTGATCGGTGATCTCGAGTTGAAAACATGTGGAAACGGTTTTATAAACTTGAGAAAGATTCAGGGAAATAAATTTGAGATGAGCACCGAGCATGGCAGAGTTGGTGTCTCCAGTTTATATGGAACTCACGTAACGATTTCCACATCACGTGGTCATGTTGATATTGGCGATGCTCATGGTGAGTTAGTTCAAGAACGAAAAACACAGGTTGTCTTTAAAATCGATTATATCGATTTTAACTATTGTGCAATATGTAAAACTCGTTTAAGGGCGTTGAATAGTTTTTGGTATGATTTAAAATTTGCAATGTGAACCTGCCTGATCCGCACATTTGCAATCGTTGGCCAAGCTAAAGACAATTATTTAAACGTTATTTCGATGAACCACGGATAATAAATCGAAGTTGTAAATGAAATTTATGAATTCTGCGTTGATTTTCACATGATTTTTGTCTAGGGGGAATGACATGCGCAAAGATGTCGATAATTTAAAAAAGCACGACTAAGGAAAGACGCTTAAGCACGCGACATATTTTTGATAAGACCTCGAGAGAGACGTTTTAAACACAAATTGGCAAACAATCAAATTATTTTTTGGCAACTTCTTGGTGTTTTGATAGCTGATGTTTCAGAGCAGCAGGAAGCCCTCTCTTTTGTAAAAATTTGGGTTTGGTATAAGTCAAACATTTGTTTTTATTGTAGGTGAGATTGAAGTAAAAAGTCAATCTGGAGATATATGTTGTAAATCACTCTCTGGACATTTGACTGCCACGACCGAAGATGGGAACATTAATACTAAATTGACCTCAAATGCCAGCATAGATGCACTCAGCTTAATAGGTTTGTTATCATTCTCATTTTTGTCTTACAGGATTCTGTCCAGACACAAGCTTTTTAGCAAATGTTCCCCGAGTAGATACTTCAATTACCTCTTAACTTTGAAAATTTTCAATTCTCGCGAGTCGTTTATCTTATTATTTGATGGGACACAGGAAATGCAACAATTAAACTAGATCCCAATTTGGCCTGCGAATTTCGTCTTTCATCGAAGAAATTGCATATTTCAAATGATCTACACTTGTTTAAATCATCTAAAGAAGCGAAGGATGATGAAAACATTTTTATCGGGCGAACCCATGATAGAACATGCGAGCATCGTGTCAATGTAAGGTGTCCCAAAGGAAAAATTGATGCATTTCAAGAGAATTGGTTCAATTGGCAGGAATTGTGAAGAGTGAGTTTTTGATTGGCTGTAGTATTTTCTATATTTTATAATTGGATCAGACTGGTGGTAATTCTTTGCTCTGTGATTATATGAAATTGATCCCGAATCCAGTAATTGTTGACATGTCATCTACTGTTGATTTAGATTTTTCCGCAGAAATGAGATTGAAATTGTTATAAAATATCAATAACTGTTAATAAATAAAATGAAATTTACCCAGTATCCGCGTAACGTGCTCTTTGAAATTTTTATGAATAAATTGCGTCATATTTGTGACGTCATAAGGACCGGGCATTCGTACGACCGGAGTTTCTTCTCGGTAGCTTTGAATACCGGGTATTCGTACCCATACTTTCTTTTCGAAAATCGCAGGATCATCTGCTCAATCGTAGAAATTTTCCTCAGAATTTGAAGGTTTTTTCGGAGGTTTTTTTGTCCATCGATTCTGAATCTGTGGCAATCGACAATCAATAATGCCACCAAAATTCGACCCGAATGAAATCAAAATAGGTAGGTGAATATTTTTTCAATTATTGCTTTTTGAAATGTTACATATCGTGATGTTTATTTCTAAAGAAATTACGTGCTCTAACTTCTAGTGTGTCTGAGGTGCACCGGTGGTGAAGTTGGAGCGACATCATCTTTAGCTCCTAAGATCGGTCCCTTAGGCTTAGTAAGTCGCGAGGAATTCAAATGTCTAAATCTTGCACGCTTGAATCAAAATGTGTGTTATTAGTTGTCATGTTTACAAGGTATGTTGCTCTTTTGCTCCATGCAGTCACCCAAAAAAGTCGGTGATGATATTGCCAAGTCGACTCAAGATTGGAAGGGTTTAAAGGTGACAGTACAGTTGACCATCCAGAATCGACAAGCAAAAATATCTGTGCTTCCTAGTGCTGCATCCTTAATCATCAAGTACCTTAAGGAACCACCGCGAGATCGCAAGAAAGTAAAGAATAGTGAGTGTTATAATCATGCATTACACATCTCTGATGTGTTTTGAATATCAGTTCTGTGTTCAAATTAGACTTCAACTGTTTGTATGTCTTAAATTGTGTAGTAAAACATGATGGCAACCTTTCAATGTCAGATATCCTGGACATTGCTCGACAAATGCATAGCCGATCGATTTCACGTAATCTTGCTGGAACTGTGAAGCAAATGTTGGGAACAGCTCAGTCTGTAGGCTGTACTGTTGAAGGTGAACCTCCACACGACATTATTGATAAAATTAATGAAGGAGAAATAGACATCCCGGTAAGAGTTCACTTGATTTTCCAATAAAAGAATAATTGATAAGATTACTGAAGTGGCTATCAACATCTCAGTATGATTTTAATTGGCTTTCCAGGAATAATTCTTGTTTTATTTGTTTTACAGGAGGAATGAGGATCATTTCATATTTGGGTTGTAAATAAAATATGAAAATTGATGTATGTTTGTTGTTTGTTTTTTTTTGTTTGTCTCATAACTTGATTAACTTCATTCAGCCTATATCAAAACCGGACTAAACATGGCTTATTCACATAGCTGGAGAAAGATGACAACTGGAAGTTATACTTGTGTCGAAAAATGCTTGTCATCTTAACTAGACTATGTGATAATGATGGTTGAATTTTCCCATTTACACATGATTAATGCACTGCTCAATGGTATATTACCATAAGGCATAGGCATTGGTTGTTGAAATTGACTTTACGTCAATGTGGAGTCTATTCTGGCATGTGTGTTAGGCTGCTGTGGGGAAAATTTATCCAAGCTGCTGTGAGGCTAGTCCACGATAGTGTCATCTTCAAATCATTTTTTCACAACCTGTGAGCAGCAGTGTGTGTCACTGTCTTCTGAAAAAATCAACAATCCTTTTCTTTGGGAACATAAGTGCAATTTCACAAATAAAGATGTGGCCTGGGGGACCTGGACTATCAAGTCTGTCGTTAACAGTAAATTATCTAATAAATTCTTGGGGTGTTTGGTAAATGCTAGCAGTTCCGAGGGAGGCCATTGGTGCTAGATAGATGAAAGGTGTTTATAGACGACTTGCCTTGTTTACATTTTGCTGCCAGGCAGATTTGTTTGACTGCATTTAGACAATACGAGGAACAATGGTTACCCTCTCTTGGGATCAATCTGCCTTCCAACAAATCTAAAACAAGGCAAGTCATCAATTCCATCTTTATTTAGTTTGAAAAAATGTAAACAAAACTCGGACTAAATCAAGGGCAGGTATTTGCTTATTGAGTGGTTAATTTTCATTTGAATGTTGGCGACCTATGCCATTGTTACATAGGTATTTTATATTTAAATATAGCAGTTATAATTTATTTTCCTGAATCCTTGATCTCTTACTGGACAAAATATGTGGTTTCTTAGCCTAATCAACAACCCACACTAATAATTTTGAACCATTTGTGAATGGTGATATTCATTAGAGGGGTGTCCAATACAAACTCATTCTCCAAAGGGGGGGGGGGCATTTAATAGAAACGAGGCGATTTTTTGATAAGGGGCGTTTACTCTGACAAACATTTCGTTTTCGTCATTTCTTTTCTGTCATCGCCATCACGTTAAAGTGTAAGTTTGACATAATTTTCTATAAGTTTCTCTTCAGCCATTGTGACACAAGCTCTGTTATCATCCCTATTGTGGTAACCTTCAACTTGTTTGTTTTTCTACTGTTCGGTTTCCGCTGGCTTCTTTACTTGTAGGGAATAGTTAAACGTACTGTTAACTTTTAAGTATCCTTCGTGTTGTGGAAATGGAGGCATGCTCTGCGTGCTAGTTCTGCATCGCAATTTTTTCCTCATGGAGCCGTTTTCAAAGGATCAACTTTTCATCTCTTGTTTTCTTCGTGATTTTAATGCTTGCAAACCTGTCTGTAAGTTGCTTCCTCTTCAGCATGTCACTATAACGTTTTAAGTGTTACCGACGTCACGAACAATCTTCTGCTGTATAAGAATGTATGCCTTATAACCCCCCACCCCCCTTCCACCCAAACACAAAATTATCAACTTCACGAGCAATCTTCTTTTGTAGAAGAATGTAAGCCTTACAAATCTCCCACCCCCCTACTCAAACACAAAATTAAGAGCTTCACGAGCAATCTTTTTTAGAAGAATGTAAGCCTTACAACCCCCCTACCCAAACACAACATTACCAACTTCCCGAGGAATCTTCCTTTGTAGAAGAATGTATGTCTTACAACACCCCCACCCACCACCCCCTACTCAAACACAAAACTAAGAGCTTCACGAGCAATCTTTTGTAGAATGTATGCCTTACAACCCCCCGTACTCATACACAAAAGTAAGAGCTTAACGAGCAATCTTTTGCAGAAGAATGTTTGCCTTACAACCCCCGTACTCAAACACAAAGTTAAGAGCTTCACGAGCAATCTTTAGTAGAAGAATGTATGCCTTACAACCCCCCACCCTCTCCACCCAAACACAACATTACCAACTTCATGAGCAATCTTTTTTTGTGTAAGAATATAACAAAATTGCGAACTTCTTTTGTATATAAATGTGTGCCTTACAACCATCACACCACCCACAAACACAAAAACTCGTACTTAAACGCAAAATATGCTAAACATAATTCTAACAACGATTCTCGTGATATGCTCTTATGCACACTGTCTACATTTGTTCAACGAGAACGTCACGTCAGTTTCCAGGCAAGACCTACGACTCTTTTCTTGCGTGGAGAGTAATTCATACCATGCCTTTCTAAGAACTTGTGTTTTTTCGGTTGCAGCTCACACTTCGCTTACTTTTTTATTTAATTTTAGATGATACTTCATGTTGTACATGATGCTTGGGACCAGTAACAGTTGAGGCACTACCACGACACTGCCATCCTGAGATAAGTACATGGAGTGAAGGAAAAAGACTGGATTTCGTGCTCACACGAGCCAAACTTTCCATTGCAATGTCATCTTCGTGGATATTCAACTTCGCTGTGAAGACTGTACAGTTTGCATGCCAGACTTTTGGCTCTTAAGTAACTCCAGTTTGGTGAATCAAGTTCCGGGGAACGGTTTGAAAGACTCATTCAAAGTTTCTGTTGTGGCCAGACCAGAATGGCGAGCAACTGTTTACAATGTTATAAATACTGCGGAGTCTGCAAAATTGCTGTATTTTACTAACTCAAGCAAGTGAGAGAGAAAGGGTCTTTAGTTTTAGCATCCTTGTCCCTGCAAGCGCGGACGGATCGACAACGAAAGTAATTGACATTCTCAACCTCAGGATGTCTAGACGAACTTTGTGGTTTTTCATTGACGCAAGAGTAAGTGCAAGTTAACAATTTTTTAATTTCATTCGATATTTCTTTGACGTTTGCCATTTTTTTGATTGTCGATGTGAGCATTTCGTCAGCAATATTTGCTGCTGACGTAGCCATGGAACTTAGGGGGTGGTGGTGGGGTGTTATCTTCACATATTCGTGTGGTAATCCGTAATAGCAGTTGATTTTGACAGAAACCACCGCTAACAACAACAGTTCTCAGGACTTAACTAACCTGGACGATCTACATCAACGGACATGTAATGATACTCCCGGGCTCAAATTAGGGCACGCGCTTATGAATATGAGCTCTCACCCCACCCCCCTCAAGTGTAAGCTGCCTACCCCACTGCAGTTCTGCGTTTTCTATTTGGCTCCATATGTTGTTGTTGAACTGGCCAAACGAATTTTTACTGCATGCTCATTGTTGATCATTAGGTTTGCTGAAGCGTTTTCTTTCTGACTGCAAGACGTTCTCATCTTTACTGAAATTGGTTGCAGACACAGTGATAACGAAAAATATTGATGTCTCCCTGATATCAAAGATATGAATTACGTACAGTATTTTTTTTCAGCCCACGCGTCCTCTGTCTTGTCTTAACAAACTTTCTTCTGAGATCCTTCAAACTGTCTGGGACCAATACCATGACCAAACCTCCTCCGTTCTGACTGATTGTTTTGCATGACAAATGATGAAACGGGCTCTTATAAATCCCGACCTGCCTTACGGCGCAAATGCCGAAAAGGAAACTTTGAAACAACGGAAACTGTACTAACGAAAGTTATTTTGGTTTCCATAACAATTGTTGGGGGTGATACAGGTTGGTAACAAAGGATCCTTTGCTTGTGACGTTTTGTATTTTGCGAATCCTTGATAATGAAAACATCGGTGTAGAGCATTTATTTCCTAAAATATACACATTATCAGAGGCTCATTTGACTTGGGGGTATAGAACATACTACACTAGGTGATCTCAAGAGGATTTCTATATTTACATAAATAATATAGTCTGGTCGTTGGAGGATTATTGAACTAACTGTTGAACACATACGTCATAAATAGAAGACTCGTCTTTTCAGTTACAATCGTATTTCTCATTGTAGTCTCGGGTCTTCGTTCGGGAATGATGCGCCATGGACAAGACTCAGACATATTGAAGGTAGCCTATATTATATACTTTTACGTGCTTTTCGTTCACGAAAACACTTCCGAAGATGATAGCTGACCTTTCTGGTTTCAGTTGTATAATCTGTGCTTGTACATGGGGCGTATAATAAAATAAATCGTAGTTCATCCTAACCTGCCAAAGACACTGGGATCTTTGTAGGAATGGCCATCTTTTTTTATTTTCCCCTATCGTGCCATGGGCAGGTGAAATGAAGCTTCATCACTCAAAAATACGGCGTGTTTGAAGTGTTTTAATGGTAAGAAGGGGGAGATAAAAATTTATCATGGGAGATAAGTACATGTATATAATGAGCTTGATGATATCTCAGCTATGTATTTATACATGCTTGATGTTGCCTAAACGAAGTTTTATTGTTGATGGTTTCATTTTCTTCATGGCTGTACGATCTTGCTTTGTATTAGTTTACATCGCTCAATGAAAAATTCTCATCTCGAATCATTGGCGAACTCTTGTTTTCGAAACTCTAGTGGAAAAAGTAACTTGCGTTTTGCGTTCAAGGCTCTGTTATGGCTCGAGGCGAGAAAAATTCGGATAATTTTATTGGTCAGCAAGTATTCTATTTCTATGTTATATTTTATTGAATGTAAACACGAAACAGTATAGCGAAGACAGCCCTTTTTTGCTCCCACGACGCAAATATTTTTTTGTTTTCCTTACATGAATTATAATTTTGCTGGAACATTTGCGTCGCAAGAGTACGTAAGTGTTCGGGCTATCTTCGCCACTGACTATGGATATAATATAAACATAATAGGACTCGCCAGCTTCCTACGCAGGGTCTGCAGCTTATTTGTTTTGGCCGTGTAAGAATTTTGGCACTCAAACCTGATTTTAGCTTACTCCATGCTAAGCCGGTAAATCATTGTTTTCGGAGTTGAATACTTGATCGCGAAATATTTCATTGGCATTTTATAAAATGATAGTTATGTAACGTATGTTCTATATGATTCACTCTCGAGAATAAATGAAGTCATTTAATAAAACAAGACATCTACAAAGTTATAAAATTAAATTTATTGTAACATTTCGTCTTTACTCAAGACATCTTCAGACAAGTAATAAATAGGGTGTTCACAGAGCGCTTTCTGCATGTCGTAAGAAAATCCAAGTCGAGTTTGGCTTTTCCCAGGTTGAGTTCAAGTCGTTGGAATTTTCTAAATGCTTCGAGTGCTCCATTATTAAGCGACGACTAGCTGCTTAAACTCGTCTAAGTTGGGAGTATATCTACGAAGTTAGTTTAGTTAGGGCTGGAAGCTCCAACGAATCTATATGATACCCTTTATGAATCTCGTTTGGAAAAAAAAAGTTTAGAACAGATAAAGTCGTCCAGTACACAAGAATTTATGATCACTAAGATCTATTTGCGATAGCCTAAAAAGACTGCGATAATACATCTCTCTGCTGACGTGTCGTGCCTTAAAGTTAATCCTCAGATAGATCATATAGATTAGACCCTGTTACTTACTGTTTAAAATCGTCAATCTTAATTGCAAATGTTGCTTTAATCGGATTAATGACCGTTGCCTCTTTAATCTGTAAATATGTCTAAAATCGATTGGAAAACAAAGAATATTAATTCCAAATAAAAATGTCTGTGTATAGGAAAACACAGAGAAGGACAAAATATAAAAAACATGAACTTTGAGTGCAGAGAACATGTCTTGGAGACAGAGAACACGAATTGTTAAGGAAGTAGAGGGCATCGGTTCCTTAGCATAAAAATTCCCACAAAGCGTGGATACCTTAGGAAATATGAGGATCTAAGGGGGTAGAGAACGAACATGGATATTTCAGGAAACACGGGTATGGGGTACAGTAGGTATAGAACACGGAAATGATTAACTTAGTTCACAGTAAACGGAGCTACGTAAGGACACATCATATGGTTGCTTGGAAACGTATATAACTTTGGACACAAGAGAACATGCATGGTTAGTTTGGGAGACTGGAATATTTATGTAATACACCATAAGAGACTGAAAACAGCACAACTTCACTTAGGAGACATTCATGATGAACGAACGGAGCTTGAATAACTTTGTCAATTAGAGAGCGTGAGTATCGTGAAGAACTAAGAACGTGAATTTGCTTTTCTTTAGGTGGAGAACATATTAAATGAAATGGAAAAAATGCGAATCGTCTTCCAACACATGTTTTTCTTTTTTTACTTTTTCTCAAACAATGAAAGCATTTCCTCGCAACTTCACGAATTTATATTGTAAAAACCACGATGCGATTTTTCTTGCTCAATTTCATTTCATAATTGTTTTATTTTTAGCGAGTTGATTGGTGTACTTTAAATGTACACACCAACATCCTTCCCCTTGATATAATCAACCCACTTCGTACTTATGAATATTTGCCCGCGCGGTCATCGAACCGTTGACGCTAAATTGATCTATTGATCTTCGTTTAGAGATTTGTAAAGTAACAGATTCATCGGAAAACCTGAAAATCGTGAGTACTAGTCATAAGTTGTTAAACGTTTATTCGACGAGCAGGTTATCGAATTTCGGCCGAATTCCCTCGGTGTCTATCAGAAATATGCAATTCTTGATTATTTTATGTGAAAGAATTTGTGTGGGTTGGTGAAACAGTCTCAATCATCAAAACAATTTACTACGAAATACAACACGTTTGTGGTACAATAAGTCGCTCGGTCTTTAATATCTTATGTAATGTAGTATAGGTTAAAGTTGCCCCTCTATGTTTCACTTTTTCCCGTTCCTTTTTTTTGTCTATTTTTATTTTCATATCATTGCGTGATAAAAGACGGAAATATTCTTGCTTAATGACGTGTGTTTTCACATGATTTCAAACTCCGTCTTGTCGTTTTTTTTTATTAAAATGTGTGTCACAGTTTTTCAACTTCATGCAGTACTTTACAACCAGCGATATAGCTGACCAAATTCATAAATTTAACAGTTACTTGTTAGGGGGAATTGGTGTCATTAAGTCGTTCATTCGAGTTCATTCATCGAGTCTGCTGTATGTAGCAAGGCGCGAGATACACGCGAGACACTGTCACGTGATTTGGGCATGTTTACCATGTTTTCTGATTGACAGTTTAGTCAATGTTGAAACTTGCAAAGTGCGAAGACAAGTTTTCAAATTTTATTCACCTGCTTGAGACTGACGCGCTCAAAAAATTTACAAGAAAAAATTTTCATTCTGACAAAGCATTCGTATCAGCTATCTGAAACTAAAAGCGACAATTCAATTCGTTTCGTTTTTATGTGTTTCATAAAAAATTTAAACTGCTATTGGTGTATCTGTAACGTATATTTTTGGTAAATTCGCTGTGGCCGGACTTTATGTCGAAGCGTGAGTTTCGTTGATTCATCAAAATCTTTCCTGGGACTTAAAAAGAAACAACTTTCTTCTCGTTTAACCCCAGATTGGTGTACTTAAAATGTAAACATGTAAATGTAAAATGTAAACGTCTTTTTGCAATTGATTTGTTCACAATTGCAAAAACCTTCATAAAGAGCAATATGACTGAGGAATTTAAATGTTCACCCAAGCTAAACCTGACAGCCTTTGAGAGAACAATGATCACTCGACAAGCTCATTGTAATGGTTCGTTTTTAACTTTTAATTGTGAGATGAAAAGATAAAATGCATGAAAGAGTGCCACGTCATACACAAAGACTCAGTCACATATAAATTATGTTAATTCATTATGAATTGATTTCGTTCGTAATGATAGTCCAAAGAAGTCGTTAGATTGATCTTGCCAGATAAGAGGGAATGTTGGGATATTTAGACATGTTTTATAGTCAATTTGCTCTAATGATGCATGTACTTTCTTGGAAATAAAGAACATTAGTATTTTCGGTGACAGTAAACATGGTTGTCTGATAATAAGAATAAGCGTGAAGGCCGTGGAAGACAGAAACTAGCAAAGAGAAAACATGAATACCTCAATAGACAGAGAAAATTGATGCCTTAGAAGATAGGGGGAATCAATACTTTAGGAAGCAGAGAACATGAATATCTCTTGGCTTTAGAGATTCTGAATACCATAGAAAACAGAGAACACGAATACTTTGGGAAGCAGAGAACATGAATATCTTAGGAAACAGAGAGTATGCGTACCTTGGGGAACAGAGATTATGAATACCTTAATTAAGAGAACATGAATATCTTAGAAAACAGAGAACATGAATATCTTGGGAAACAGAGAACGCACGAATAACTTTTAAAACGGAGAACACGAACACCATTTAGGAAGCAGAGTTGATGAATACCATAAGAAAAATGAACATGAATACATAAGGAGACAGAGAACATGAATATCTTAAGAAAAGAAAAGAGAACGCGAATATCTTAGACAGAGAGTCATGATTACTTTAAGAAAAGAGAACATGAGCATACCTTATAGGAGACAGAGAATATGAACAACCAGATATATTTAGGAGACAGAGAACACGAATACATTAAAAGACAGATAACATGAATATAGGGGACATAAAACATGGATATCTTAAACAATATAATAAGTAGCATTCGAGTTATGCATTATTTACTTATTTGCGTATTTAAATATTTTTCCAATGAAGACAATGCTCCTCAGAAAGAAAGCTGTAAATATTTTGTTCAATTTAATTCCACTTGTTGTCGTCCTAGCTGCGATTATCGTCAAAACAGTTTAAATTCGTTTAAAAAAGAAAAAAGTGTTTAGTCACGATGTTGCTGATGGATATACGACTATAAAGCTTTGGGTTTGATTGTTTTTAAATTTACTATTGTGTTGGAAGGTGTTATAACGAGCTGATGATGTTGTGTATAATATTACTGATGGATCTTTCAGAGTCCACTTATCTACCTTAAAATCAGGATTCCCAGCATAGATTAGGAAAAGGGATAAGTGAGTGGCAATGGGTTTTACAGTCTAACATGAGAATGGCATTCAAAAAAGATCGTACATGTTTAGTGTACGCTAGACTGGAATTTCGGCTTCTCTCGTCACTCATCATCTATGCCGTTATTTCGAAAATAAATTTGTCTGATTTACCTTGGCTCTTCTGCGAAGCTTTTAAGCCGATTCTGTTTATTTTCGTTGTTTAGTAAAGGAAAACAAGTCACTTGAGATTTTAGTTATTTTAGCCACTCGACTGTTGCTAAAGTCAACAGGCAACATGCCATTGAAACTCGACCTAGTTCATACGATTTATAAATAAGAACAAACCTATATTTAATAATTTTTACGTTTTATTACTATACTTACGTCTGCCGTCTATGCATGCATTTACTAAACAAAATTATTTAAAGGTGGGCTTTGTGGCCCACTTGGCTCGTACCAACTTTCGAAACGGAGAGAAAAAAGACCACACGATTTTTTATCATTCTGTTCCGAATTGCTTAATTTTCAAAATCAGTCTGCCCGAAGACAGCATGGACGCCTGCTTATCGCTACGTCAATCTAAATGGGAACATTGTTGATTAGTTTTATGCATTTGACTCTGTGACAAAATTGATCTATTTAATTGAAGGAGCGTTTTACTGCAAAACCGCTAATCTTAATGGCCCAGTTCAATATTAATCTTTCTTTATGGTAATTTGAGGCCAGGTGTTATCGCCTTTTGTGAGTGGGATGATATTTCGTAAGAAATCATATAAGGAATGTACCTGCTCTCCACGGCGTCAGTGCTAGTCGGTGGGAGCTTCTTGTTCGTATGACATATCTTCCACGCGAGCAAATATATCGTGAATTTCCCTTGCGTGTCGCATTCTTCGATGGTACAAGAAAATGATTAGCTGTTCTTGAGATCCGATACTTTCCTGCGCAGGTAATTTGGACAGTTGAATACATTGTAAAAAATGATCAGGATTGCACGTCACGTCGGTAACTTGTGAAACACAAGCTGCTTCTAGGAATTGCAGCATGTGATGTGTACAATTGCGGAGTGCGTGAAATTGGGCCTTTGATGTTTCCATTTTTATATTAGACATCGATACAAATTTATTTGTCACAAACGCGCTCATTATACGAAGCCATCGCGGCTTATAAGATAAATCGGTGCGCACGTTCAATCTTTGCTAGGCAATTAGAACCACCCTTAAAAGATATTTTCTCATTAACACATGCATGATCCCTCGTCGAAATCAAAAAGAAGCAGTCGGGCACATTCTTGATATTTTTCGAAGAAGTGCCCATCTCGACAAAATTTAATAGACTCGATCTTTCAAAAGGGCTTGTTGGACAGAAAAATGAAAACACAAATGTCAAATATACTCGTTTTATGTAGAACGTCGATCTTAAAATTACATAAACATTTTGAGTATACATACATTGTTGTATATTGTTATCATTAATATACTCGATAAATGCGTGCCTCGAGGAGGTTCTTGAGTATGTAATATATAATGGACAATGATATAATGATAATTATCTTTTCTTATTCGCTATTGCTATAAATATTGATTCGTGATGATTTCTTTTGAACTCTCTTTTTTCTGTGATGTTGATTGCAGCAGTTTTGTGCGTATTCATGTGGTGTCAAGCTTTCTTAGACGAAACCTCAATTCAATAGCTGAAATGCCATTTTAGATCGAAAACATCTCTCTCAATGATGGGAGCAGGTTCACCGTTGAAAATTAGACCTCTATTTTCAAGTCGATAGCTGAAAACTTGGTGCATATCTCGTCTGCTTTGTCACAACATGCATGCACGTTTTTGTAGAAAATTAAAATACGATAACTTTAGCACCTGCCAAAAATAGTATAATAGCTATAATTGAATGGAATAGAATAGAATAGAATAGAACAAAATAATTTTTTTCTGTGAAGATATTTGATGCATTAAAGAATGCAAAACATCTCAGTGTTGCCAAAAAATATTGAAATTATAAGAATTGCCAGTTTATTCTTACTTTTCCATTTATAATTTATTTTGCGGGAAAAAAACGTGGAAGCTATGACGCAACACTTTGACACGTGACTTGTAGGATGAACGGATATTTTGTTTCCTTTTGCATGTAACTCCAATACCACTTCCCTCGCGCAGTATTTTTAGGCGATAGATAGAGATCGTAAACTCCGTCTTTATGCTTTTTGCGTGACGTATGTCGCGCAATCATGGGATAATGCGAGGGGTCCATAATCCAAACTTAAAGATACATTATTTTGTTTAATTCGTTTAATCTGGAACCGAAAATGGCTACATGAAACAATTTCGAAACGAAACTTTTCTAGATAACGCTCATAATTATAGAATTGACGTCAAGACGTTCCTACGTCACTAAAATATAGTTCCTTTAAATAGTTTAATCGATGCCAATTGATTCCACATTTCACATCCATTCCTCGTTTTCCCACCTATTTCATTGCTACTTAACTCAAGCAAACAGTGAAAGCTTCAGAGCTCTTTTTCTTACCATTTTTTTTAATCTTTTAAATAGCCATATGAGGTGTATATTCTATTGACACTCATAACACATCTGCTTTCGATTGGAAATGTACATATATTATTAATATTTTTCATTAAATTGAAGACAGTTGTCAAATATTACGTTTGGTATTGGATTATTATCAAGTCCCGAGGTTCATCAAAAAAACGCCCAGTCTAATTCTAATTTATGCGCAATATACTTAGATCTGTTTTTGCTGCGGTACGAATCTTTATAGTTATGTACAGTCGCATATGAGCACAGTTGTTTTGTTTTTAGACAAGCTTAGTGATTATCTGTTTTGCACATTAAAACTGCTCTTTAAACATGCTGCTTCATAGCAGGAAATGTAAGGTTGACGTCGATTTCGCATGTTGAGAATTAATTAATCATGACAGTGAACTAAATTTTTGTGGTTGACGTATGTGCTACACTATGTGAATTGTTGGTTGGAGTTGTTGTATGATCAATTTGCCGAAGTAAAATCTCTGTTTTCAAGGAATCTCATTTTGTTATAATAAATTCGGTATATTTGCTTGCAATGGTTTTGAAAACAAGCTTTTTGCTTTATCGTGTTTTGGGTATTCATTAACAGTGAAATGCACTAATAGATTCAAGTCCAGCTGCACGATGTTTTTACTCGATGGAGTTAGTAGAATAGTCTTCTTTATTACGTTTTGTCTTTATTACTAGATGGCAAAGTTCAATTGGCATTTGTTGGTCTTACTTATTTTTTCGATTCATCCTCGACCATCGTGGTCATCAAAGATTAACGTTACCATTCCTATACTCGCTCCATTGATGAACAGAGACTCTGATCGCTTTGGTTATGGTGTTGCGTCCATGTATGCGATAGATTTGATCAACAAAAGAAACGACATACTCAAAGATTACCACCTTGTTCCTAAGATCTATGATACTGTTGTAAGTAGAATAATATCTCTTTGGCTTTCTATTCGTTTCTTTATCGCTTTAGGTAAACAATGGATCTAGTGAGACCTCATGAGCTGCAAAGTAAGGTTGCCACCAAGTAACGTTGCCACCAAGTAAGGTTGCCACCAAGTAAGGTTGCCACAAAGTTAGGTTGCCACCAAGTAAGGTTGCCACCAAGTAACGTTGCATGAGCTGCAAAGAACAGGGCAATGGCAATTGGACTTTTAGAGATTGGCGGGGATTAATTCATATAGCACTTATGATATATTATCCAGGGAGGGACTTTCACTTTGTGTAGTGTTTAATTACATAAAGATAGTCATGTAATGAAGTAAATATGGTGCACAAATCCTTACCGTGCTTTTCTCTTGCTTTTTTAAGACAAGTGTTAAGGCAACATTGCACATGATGCCTCAAGTTATTGGTCTTTGTAAAGAGCCCTTCTCTCCGCCACCCGTGATCATTGGTCCAAGTTACTCCACAACCACAATCGCCTCGTACAACTCAATCGCACTAGATTACATTCTACAAGTAAGTTTGTTTTAGTGTACATTTTTAGTCGGCATTAGATGATGTATTTAGTACAGAAAGTTCCTGTGCTTTGCTGTTACCTGTTTGTTGTTTGTCGATGCGAAATCTTTACTAGATCTGCTTGTCAATTATTTTCTTCTATATATTTTAGTACACCTACGGTTCTACTTCGCCAGAACTCAATTCCTTCCACCAGTCAATTATTTTCTTCTATATATTTTAGTACACCTTCGGTTCTACTTTCGCCAGAACTCAATTACTACCAGTCAATTATTTTCTTCTATATATTTTAGTACACCTACGGTTCTACTTCGCCAGAACTCAATTCCTTCCACAAATTTAAATATCTCGTGCGAATGTATCCAGGAACGACGTTGTTCAGTCAAGGTCATCTGGCAATCTTAAAAGAATTTGAATGGAGGAGAGTTGGAATATTTTTTGATCATCACGAACTAGAGGGGCTGTTTAATAAGGTACATTATTATTTACTGTGTAAGCAATGCCGGCTGTGATTGGTCAACTACCTGCAAATAATTCTCAATATTCGTAATTATGACGTCAGATTTACAAATGATTTTCGATATCTGTACGTATTACGTCATATCTACAAATACTAGTTTCTACTATTATTGACGACATCTCGGTCTGAATAATTCCTAATATCATGCTCGACCTCATCCAATAATTGTTTATGAATTGATTATTTGACTGCACTTTGCGCTAGCGCTTTCCACTCAGCGTGATCACAGCAAGGATCTTGGTTTTATGGTCTGAACGGAACTAATGACTTTAAATCTGATAAAAATTTACGGTTCACTTTGTATAATTCAATGAAAACTGGCTTAGTCAATTCATCGCGATAGCGTATGTTTAGAGGTATGAAAAGTGAAAACTGGCCTAGTCCATTCAACATGATAGTGTATGTTTAGAGATATGAAAACTGGCTTAGTCCATTCAACATGATAGTGTATGTTTAGAGGTATGAAAAGTGAAAACTGGCCTAGTCCATTCAACATGATAGTGTATGTTTAGAGGTATGAAAAGTGAAAACTGGCCTAGTCCATTCAACATGATAGCGTATGTTTAGAGGTATGAAAAGTGAAAACTGGCCTAGTCCATTCAACATGATAGTATGAGAAAAAAGTGAAAACTGGCCTAGTCCATTCAACATGATAGTGTATGTTTAGAGGTATGAAAAGTGAAAACTGGCTTAGTCCATTCAACATGATAGCGTATGTTTAGAGGTATGAAAAGTGAAAACTGGCCTAGTCCATTCAACGCGATAGAGTATGTTTAGAGGTATTAAAAAGAGTTGTCAGATTTTTTTGTTAATTTCTACGTTTGTGAGATTCAATAAAAAGTTCTTCAAGTTTGGGAGAGAGAAAGAGTACTTGCAATGTCATCTAAGATGATAACGATGGTCCCGCTGCGACTGAAATTTTGTCATAACTGCTCGGGATGAGGGTCTAGGAAGTTCGTAATTATTTTCACTGCACTCCAATCTAATGAGTACTTAACAGTATCTCGGAGCAATTAAACTCGACGTTGGAGCCAATGATAGAGTGAACTTCAACACCAACGATTTATTGTTTAACAAATTTCCCTCTTCGCTTGGATGGACAGTCTTATCCCATTCGTAATAAACCGTGTGATATTCTTAGGACTTGTGACTGATGAACTTTCTTTTTCTTCGTAGATCACCAATGATCTAATAGAGACTTTGAAACAGTCAGAAGAAGGAATTTCTGTTGTGGGTGTTGAAAGTGCTGCTGCCGGCACGGGTACTCTTTCAACTCCAGATGAAGAAATCAAGAACAGACTTGCAAGACTTAAGGTAAATCAACATTGTGATGATTGATAAAAATGCGCATTCGTTACATCCCTTCCGCTTGCGCATGTTAGATTTATAAAATTTTGTTTCGTATTATTAACACTATGGACTCGACAAGCAAACTATCGTACGTCCCAACCTCGTTCCCAGGCCTTTTCTCTTGGTGGTTTTTCCCATGACGTGTTTAGACCATTGAACTAAAATACATGGAACGCTACCTCAAGCAAATAATTGAAGCCATATCTTACGCCAGACACGCGAGATTTTACCCCAGACACGCGTGTTCAGTGTTTCGAGATTCTCTCGTAGAGTAATAATTGATTGACTACACACGCGTGTCTGGGGTAAAATCGCGGGTTCAAAAATTTATTAGGGCTTTGTGTTACAGGTAGCGTTCCATGTATTTCAGATCAATGGTTTAGACTTCAAGTGCACTGAACATTTAACAAGTCCCTGCAATTTGATCATTACTATATATTACATCTTTCGTGTTTTTAGGCAGCTGATGCGAAGATTATTTTCGCTCAATTCACGCACGTTCGAGCCTTTCGAGTATTTTGTCAGGTATTTATTATTGTATTGTCAAATTGCAAAGAGCAATGCCATCAAAGACAGACTCGTTGTTTCAAACTATCCATTGTATGGGTGTTTCTCCGTAGTTTATTGTTGCAGATTATCACTTTATGCCGTTGAAAATGACTTTAGTACTACAGTACATCGAGTAGTGTCACGTGGTTGCATGATTTCTATGAAAGAAAGTATTGAAATACTTTGCTAAGCCTATCAATTGGTAGTATTTACATCATGTGACCCCCATTGTAACTCCTACTTACTCCCCGTATAGTTCTTAGTCGTAATTTCACGGTCACTGGTGCGCGAGGCATTTCGAAAGAAATGACCGAACTCACGCGTGCGGTGATGCTGGAATATTTCTTACTTCCCGGATGTTGGACTGACGTAACTGCTGGTGAAATTAAGCTTTCATAGAAGTCTTTACGATCTCCATTGATGTTTCTTTACCCAGGCGTATAAACTTGGCATGTTTGGCAGAGACTACGTCTGGATCATTAATGCGCGCGCGGAGTCCGTGAAGAAATGGCTAACGGCAACTGACACGAACTACCTAAAAGACAACGAATGTGGAGAAGCGGAATACCGAAAGATTAGCGAGAGGATGTTATTCTTTAATTACAAGAACTTACGCGAGGACAATATGACTACTTTTTCTGGCCTGGTAAGACATTAATGAAAACTGCCTGTCAGTTAGGGATCGTTAATATGAACAGGTGATAATAAGGATAATTTTCTTCGAAGTGATAATCACTCGTGGATACTATATGATATATTGGAGTGGGGGTCTCGCACCCAAGGCGCGAGATTTCTCAGAACATCCTGCCTAGAACAAAAAAGTGAAGTAGGTTTAATGCATACCGCCCCGTCATCTAGTGTCCGTCATTTGTGATAATGAATATTCCTAGTTGTTTTCTCCGCTTCGAATGCATAGTCATTCGCACCGTGTGTTTGTACAATCATTTGTTCAATCATTCTCTTTTTAGACTGTACAGGAATACAGCGACTATATGAGAGCACATCGTCTACATGGAAAGCATCGTAATGACGCGAATTTTCACAACTCGACTTATCATTCGTTCATCTTTGATTCTCTGTGGAATATGGCTTTAACTTTGAATGCATCTCTGCCTTTTTTGAAACGATTCAACTTCACTTTGGACCGAATGCCCAGTAGAAATGTGACGATAACCGATAAATTACTCGAAATTGCTCACGGCATCGTTTTCGAGGGAATGACAGTAAGTTGTTTGATAAGACTTATGCTATTTCTTTAGTTTCAAATTGTTAGATGAGAATGTTAAATTTGTGCATCATTCTCGACCTTTTGCCGCGTTTAGGGTACAGTTAAGCTTGATCAAGAGCGAGGACGAATAGGACCGTTGGGGTTGTTTCAACTGAGAGGTTCGTTATGTGTACATGTGAGCGTTGTTTATTATGGTCCTGCTTAATGTTTCGTGATTTTTCATATTTAGATACGCTACCAGTTGAAGTTGGAGTGTATTATGGTATAAAAAACAAGTTAAGGTTGTTTAAAGATAACAACTTCTTGTGGATAGGTAAATTTAAAATTGTTTTTAACTTGAAAACAAAATGCACGTATAAAATATTTCGATATAATTATTTGAACGAAATCACTGCAGTTGATGTTGCACTAAATAGCACGATACAGATGATACTGAAACTGAAGTATGGTGGGGGAGAATAATGTTAGAAATATGTAGATGATAAAACACTAAAATGTGGGAGACTAATGTTAGATTACATGTAAATTACATGAATCAATCTGTAAATGATTTTTTTAAAGATAGTTGAGTAAAGGAACGAGTTTCTCTTCATTTAGATGGTCAAGTACCGAGCGACACGTCTCGTAAGAAAAGAGTCATACGTAATGTTCAACTTCCTTTGTTTCTTCCGTTTTGTACCGTGGCTGGTCTGGGAATTGTCTTGGCCATAGCTGTTCTTGTGTTTAATATCTACCACAGAAATATAAGGTAATAGAAATACAAGGTAAATATCTACAATAGAAATATAAAGTAAATATGTGCAATAGAAATATAAGGTAAATATCTACAATAGAAATATAAAGTAAATATGTGCAATAGAAATATAAGGTAAATATCTACAATAGAAATATAAAGTAAATATGTGCAATAGAAATATAAGGTAATTATCTACAATAGAAATATAAAGTATATGTGCAATAGAAATATAAGGTAAATATCTACAATAGAAATATAAAGTAAATATGTGCAATAGAAATATAAGGTAAATATCTACAATAGAAATATAAAGTAAATATGTGCAATAGAAATATAAGGTAAATATCTACAATAGAAATATAAAGTAGATATCTACAATAGAAATATAAAGTAAATATGTGCAATAGAAATACAAGGTAAATATCTACAATAGAAATATAAAGTAAATATCTACAATAGAAATATAAAGTAAATATGTGCAATAGAAATATAAGGTAAATATGTGCAGTAGAATTATAAGTTAAATATTTAAAATAGAAATATAATGTAACTATCTCCCATCGAAATGCAAGAAAAGAATCTAAGGTAGCTTGAAACGCCGTGGAATATGTCTACAAGTTTCTTTTTAACTTTCAACATTTCAAACGTAATGAGTATTCATAGCGAGGGCTATGGGATTGATCTAGACGACAACCACGTGTCATTTATAATTTGATCTTTATCACTACAGTTACATCCGAAGATCGGCTCCACTGTTTAATAACATGATCATCGTCGGTGTAATGATGTGTCTATCGACAGTCGCTTTCTTTGGTTTTCCTGTGGAACTCGACGACACTTCAACGTTTCTTTTAATGTGCAGGGTAAGATTGAGTATAACACTTTGGTAAAGTTAAATAATGTTTATAGCAAATATGATGAAATGTGGTAACTACATGAATGGAGGTAAATCCAATGACGTAGAACCCAATCTAACAGATACCTGATCGGAATTTTATGAAATTACCGAGGCAAGCCACCATCTTGAAAGGTGGCAGTTCATGTGACCAAAATCAGCTTATTCTGCGTTGATATACAGTTGCAGTCTAGGTTTGGTTCTTAAAATGTTTGATAGGTTTGGTGTTCAAAACTTTTTTTGTTTTTATCAAGAAGTGTTGCCTTTTGTTACCTTTCAAGATGGCGTTCTCGCCTCACCTTAACACAGTAGTAAGACATGTGGCGGATTGGGTTACAAACTATTGTGTAGACCCCTCATGTTTTAATTAAAATGTCTATCAATTCTGGCACGTGGCTCTTCAATCCTTCACACGCGTAGGATTCAGTAGGATTCAGTAGGATTCAACTGGTCTGGCAGCCTGCCTATAACCCTATAATGCAGGCTGTTCCATAATTATATTCTGTATGCTTGTATTGCTCATTCCTTCAACGCATTTTCATTAAATAGCTGCGTACGTGGGTTCTTTGTCTCGGTTTTTCACTCGGTTTTGGCTCGATGTTCGTCAAGACGTGGAGAGTATACAAGATATTTACCAACAGGAGACTCAAATACTCTGTATGTTCTGTTATATTTTGTTTTGGTGATTTATGATACTGTTGTGACGTCATAAATGATATCATTTGCACGTCATTGATACTATTTTGACGTCATTGCGATTTTTTAGATTGAACGTTTGAGCAACCCAAGTTTAATAGCAATGGTCGTCGGCATTGTTGTCGTTGATGCTTGTGTGCTGCTTCTCTGGGAACTTATCAATCCTATGCACGTGAAAGTCAACACGCTAATAAGTGAGGTGCGTGGGGGGTTGGGGATGAACTTTGTGAATGTTGCATGACTGTTGCATGACTGCATCAACACACTGACGTTTGTATTGGATACCAGGGAACTGTTATGCAAACTTTGCATGAAAATTTGTTTTTAATCATAATTGAATGATAGACTTTAAATTTTTCGCCCACTGCTACATTTCAATACGCATAGTCTGTGTAGTCACAATGTTGCAAAAGTGCTATTTAGCGCGGAAGCACAACATAATATTAACGAGTCAAAGAAAGTACATGTATCCGTTAAAGAACTTAAGTCTGGAACAGCTGGAAGGACGACTGCTTAACGTGTTAACATAAGCACATGCACTCCTTCAAGAAGTTGAATTTAGTCTGGACAGCACGAAAACACTACAGTTTAACTTGACTGTCTCGTGACATGAATTCCCCAGCCGTCCAGAAAGGTATCTCGGGCTTTTAGCTTGCAAAAAGTTGTACAGTACCCACAATGGCACTTAGAAATAGTTTCCTACTTCTCCAAAAAATAAAAGTCATTGTTTAAGTTAGAGATGCTTATTACCAGAGAATTTTTTTCATATGTATTCAGGTTGACTCCAACGATCCCAATTTAAAGCTGATACCTGTCATCTACTCGTGCGACTCAGCCAATCAGGACAAGTGGATAACAACAGTCTACGTCGTGAAGGGAATCCTTCTTTTCTACGGGTTATTCCTTGCGTACGAAACAAGGAATGTTCATTACGAACACTTGAACGATTCCCGGATGATCGGAGTTAGTGTATACAACTGCGTGGTAATGAGTCTCCTTGGTGGAATATCGAGGATCGTCCTGAGCCTGAATTTCTACGAATTGAGCTATGGAATTACGGTGACGTGCATTATATTTCCTTCGCTTGGCACCCTTTTCTTGATATTTTTACCCAAGGTAAGATATTCCTTTTTTTTAGACTGTAAACTTTTAAGGTATGATAAAAAGTATGATCAAGTACGTAGCTATGCAGTGGGAATCACCGATTGTTGATCCTATCAGGATTGTTAATTACCAGATTGCAGAATCCCTGAATCTATACCCCTGGGACGCCGAAGCCGGGGGGTCAGCCCTCAACACACACACACACACTTTTGCAACTGCAAAAAAAAAGATATTTAGACCGAGTTGAAGTTGTTTACAGGTATTTTTAAGACACTACAATAGAATTAAAGACTTAGCCTCCGCAATTCATATGTTTCTCCGCCGTCCCTGTACCCGTCACGTCTGTAGTTAGTTTTCAAAGAATTGTCTACCTTAAATGACTCATCGTTCGTATTTTTATTTAATAAAGGGTAAGGAATTTATTCTCGGCATTGATTCCACACCAAATGGATACTTAAGGGTATTTAAAAATTTAAAACTTTAAAATGTTGATAACTGAAATGATAACTAAATATCCTTTATTTTGATTTAATAAACAATTTATTAATAAAAGCTAATTGAAGATAATCCCAAATAAATAAAACTAGTTAAATTAATTGACTAATTTAAATCAGACTACTTTGGATAAATCGCTAATGGATTTAAATCAACTGTAAAATTTTGCATGTCTTTAAAAATTCAAACTTTTCATCTCAAGTGAAAAGCTAACGTCAGCCTTTGATATTGTCGCCTTTCTGAAGCTAAACCTTTTTTCCGATCATCTATTTTTAAGGTGGTAAGATTTATGAAACACGATCATCTTTCTGAAAATGAAACGAGCGATGGTGTTGTGATAGAAGGGCCTGGGGCGAGAAAAAACCATTTACGCAACGACAGCGTTTGTAGTGAAGGAGTGACGTCAGTGACCAGTGTCAATGGTAGCATCCCGTCTTCCAACAGTCGCATAATGCCTATATATGAAGAGGCTTCTCAAGTGAAAACTTCAACGGAAGCTAGCAGCGAATCGCCAGCCTGATGATTGATCTTTAATAATAAAATCATGTGTCCGGAATTTCGATCATGGTCAAGAGACCAAAGACTTAAAAGTGTGTTGACGCTATCGAATGCCAAGATAAAGAAACGGACGCAATTCGTTGCTGGTTGATGGATCTTTGGATGCTCACCTCAGCGCAATTGGAAAGAATATCTTGGAATTACGGGTATTTCTCATTAGTCGTTAGCGAATTGTTGTAAAATATGTTAAATATAGCAGTGTGAATTGTAGAAACTTTTGTGTATGGTTGTATTTTACAAAAGTCCCTTCTCTGCCTTTCAACATCGATATGTTTTTTTGATTCCGTGACAAACTCTGTATTTCTCCTACCCATATACAATGGTGACTTCAGATCGTGGTAAATTAGTACCTAGCTACCTGAGCAATGAATTATGTCGTGCTATCATTTACGTCACTTATTTCAACTGGCTGATACGATTATGTCCTTCGATGTTTTTGTGTTAGTGAGCTGGACAACTCAGAGGCTATCACTGGCTCAAGTTTTCGAGCAAGCGATGTTTTATTGTTGATCATTAGGAGTTTTACACAGGGTTTTGTTCGTTGTCCTTGGGATTACCGATGAAATATGTCAGGACTAATAGTTTCTGTTCATTTACTGTATAGATTTTACCATTGTGTCCTTTGATATTCAAAAGATTTAAAAAAAAGGCGGCATAAAGTGTTAGCACCTCGACATAGTAAAGACTTTCAACTGATATAAATGGTGACTTATGTAATTGTTAACTTCAAGCTGTCAATAGGACAGATATTGGAATGTCATGGAATTAGAAACCTTTCTTTTGTTGGCCGCTAATCTTAATCTCACAAGCGCTCATAATAAATCTCATAGTAAATCCAAAATCCAATCCGAACATTATTGTGAGCCCACACATTCCACGGTCGGTGTCCGTGACAAGAACAAGGCAACACTTTACATAACAATAACAAAACGGAAAGAAAACATTTTTCTCTAAATGGAAACACTCCGTATTGACAGTTCAAAGTATTTATGTTATGTACTTTTGTCGCGAAGTTCTACAGTTCATTCAGAAAGTCGAGGCAGTAAACACTTCATTTCATCAGAAGGCTTTAAGAAACCTTGGATAAACGTCTAAAAATATCTTAAATAACGTACAGAATGACTTTTGTTGCCTTGGTGGTTCAATTTGTGTCAATTTCAGGTACGAGAATGAATTGTATTTTTACTTTGAGATTTGATGTTTACTCTTTTCATTCATTTCTGTTTTGTACAGAGATAATATTTTCATTATCCTTTTCTTGATCTGATATCTCAAATAATAATTTGTGTCATTGCTGTAAGAATTACTAAATTCTTCAGTTATTTTCAGCAGTTGTATTCGCATTCCTCTTGTAAATAGTTTCAATGCTGACAATTTCATTCAATCGTCGTCTGCATATTTCTGTTCACCAGCTTTACCCATAGACGAGGCAGTTGGTGTTCTTTTTAAAATATTTTGAGTTATATTTTTCCAGTGAACATTTGGGGAATGTGTTTTTGGTGGGGATATTTAAACTGTCGTCTAGGGCCTTCTGGTTCGATGTATTCTGTATTCTGTTATGAATTATGATATTGTTTGGGAAAAGACAAAGGATGTGATCAATTGTGAAAGTTTTTGACAATTGTTCTCATGAAGCAATATTGAATATAGTTACTTAATCACTTACTCAAAGAATTTGGTGATATTTCCTGAGTTTATTCTTTCATAATATAGTGCTCTATCAATACGCAAGTACTACTGGGCTAGCGTTCACTTTCAGTCGAGGATTTTTTGAAAAATACTTGCTTCTTAAGAGAGATTTTTCATCCAGTAAGTTATTTTTGCTGTGGGTTATTATTCGAACCCTAACTTATGCAATATAATTTGATTATTTTGCCATTTTAGATAATGTATCATTTGATTTTTCATCTGAGTTGAATCGACCTGAATTGCCACATTGGTTACACCTGGAGCAGAGGCGATCAAGTGACCCTGCATTCCTCTATGGTGCCCCAGGGGAACATGATAAGAGTACCAAGTTGGAGGTAATTTATTTCTGATACAGACAGCTTAGGTTAACAATGATTATGTTGACAAAATGTTTTGTTGTAGATCATTGGTTGGAATAAGGAAAAGTATTCCACAAGGAGGATTGTGAAAGACCTTGACGTATCTGGATCAGGTACATGTAGGGATTTAATGGACAATACAAAATTCAAAGATAATGTTACAATTTATGAGGTCCTGTGGCAGGAAAAGCTTAATTGAATAATCTTTCTTCTTCCTTAGCTGTGCAATTTCCATATTATCAAGCTGAATTTTTCATCAAAAACAAAAGGCTAGACTTGTTTCTTGATTCTGGCGGCTACAATGCCATACCTTCAATTGTTAAAAATTACTGGCCAGAAGGTGACTTAAAGTTGACTAAAGTTATCTCTGCTATTGGTCATGGAGGACGTGTGCCTTTGCCTGGATCAAATACTCATGAAGGGTACATTAACATTTGACAATTGAGTTTTCCCTTGACAATTCATTTTTTACAAAATGCTGGGATTATTTGTAAATGTGTAATTACAAGTGAAAGGTCAGAATTATACTATCTAGAAATATTGCCTAATAAATGATCTGACATCTATTCTTACAGAGTGATTGTTCGTGTTGGTAGCTCTCGACCTTGGCCTAATCCTGATGGTAGCAATAGTACATTACGTCCTGGCAGCAAACCTGAACCTGACTATTTCCAACGAAATGGTGGATTTGAAGTAGACTGGTCAAGGTTCAAATTGGTGAGAAATTGACCTGTGTTTTTTTGTATGTATTATTTATAACTGGATAATAGCATATTGTATTTTTGCAGTGAGATTGGTATTTTTTCTTTAGTTTGACTTGCGTAATATGCCATCACATGAAAGTGAACTTGAGCAGCTACTACTGCCTGATCAATTGGGACCTATTTCTAGTTACAATCCCCCGGAACTGGACGAGAGGGAACGTGATTTTGGCAATGATTTCATACTCATTGTGATCTTACCGCTCTTGATTATTTTGCTTGTTGTGTTTATTCTTGGTATTATCATGTGCTGCGGTAGAGAGGGAAGGTAAGCTTTGCCATGAATTTTAATGAATCAAGCTTGTGGTTTTATTTGAACATTTTTGTGCTTGTAGGAGAAAACGTGATCAGGAAACTCCACAGTAAGTTGTGAAGCAATAATTGCACATCATTAATTCATTTCTCATTTTGATGAGGTTTGCAAACATTTAAGGTTGTGAAAATCCTTACCATAATTTTGTCATTCGTAGGCTGAACCTAATTCATCATCATAATATCCGAAGATCTACATTACGTATGCGTGAACTGTCCAAACCAAGAGACCCTGACAGCTCGCATAACCAATCACGACCAACACATGCACATGGTCATTATGCAAAGTGAGTAAAATCTTTCACAATTATTTATGGCAAATCAATCAACCCTTTCACTGGTTCAAAGTTGAAAACATTTAGTGAGATATACTTAAAACTGGTGTAGCATCTTTATGATTATTTTTTGGCTGCAAGTCTTGTATTTAATGTTGTTGAAGGATTGAAAATGAGGAAGATGAAAAACATGGCAAACATGCTCCACCGCCATATCGTGTTCCTCCAGGAAGTAAGTGATACAAAAACATCCATTGCTCTTATCAAGACATGATCAAATCCTATCACATCTCTTTATGTGTGCTGTTTACTGCAAGTTAGTTTTCACATTTATGATACTCATTAAAACCTTTCCTTTAGCTGCAGGCAAAGGCGAAGCTCAAGCTGTCTGAGGAAGATGTGGCTTTCAATAAACATAGTAAGAATGTCTTAGGTAATTTTGCTTCATAAACGATACTTTGTCTTACTTTAGTCTGTACAAAATTGATCTGTCCTTTTTTATAAAGTGTTTGTTTCTTCTATTATTTAACATAACAGAGTGGTTTTAAGCCATTTTTATAAAAGAAGATTTCAGTAATGTGTTCCTCTCATCCAAAACCATTTTTCAACATTAGTGGAAGTAAGCCATTTCTGTAAAACAAGATTTCATTAATATATTCCTCTTATCCATAAACATTTAGTCAATATGTGTGGATGCAAGCCATCTCTTTACAGCAAGATTCCAGTAATATGCTCCTCTAAGCCATAACCATTCTCCACAGAAACTTAATAACCATGCCTAATTTCAAATAATAAAAGCAAAACAGTTTAATTTTAAGAAAATTTATGCATTTTTCTGAGCATCAATATGGAAATGACATTTTGTTTCTTTGCGATTAATGGTTTAGAAAGGTATCTTAGAAAGAGTGTGTAAGGAAAAGGTTTTGTAGCATGTAATGTCTCAAAAATATCAGCTTCTCGGAAACATGCTTCAGGAATTTGTTTGGACATGTTTCATTATATGTTTGAGGTACCTGTATACCATGAGAATAGTGTCCACAACATTTTCTTGCATAAGGTAGTGTGGCTAATGCATTTCTTGCATAACTTTCAGCAGTAGGAACAAATATGTTTGGAGTGACATGATATGTCATTGCTGTAGACACGTAAAAAGGTTGAAGACACTGTAGAGAAAAATATGAATTAAATGATCTCACCTTACTTTATGATTCTGGGGATGAGACAAAGTCTGTTACCTGTATTGTGATGTTGTCCTTTGCATATTCTATTGATAAGCCTTGAGAAAAATACTCAACATATGCCTAAAATAATTTTTAAAAAACCTGACTATTCTCATCCATCATTCTCCAAATAACCAGCATACAAGCATCATCATCCAACATGACAATTAAGTCCTTTTTGTATGGACTTAAATCACATTGTGCTTTGCATTAAAAAGACAAACATTTTCACAATTCAACCTTGGTAGCAGAATACACTGTAATTAGAGGTGTGGGATATTGAGCAGCACTTGAGGATAGGTTGATTATTGCTCCTCTCTTCCTAAATACGAGCAATGTAAAAAGTTTCACTGCAGAAAGGAGCATTTACAGTGCAAGTATGTAAACACTACCTGTTCACCATCCCTGGTAAAATTAGTTGAGTCATCTTCGAAAATAAGAAACAACACAATTTACATGTTAATTACATTTCATTTTTTCAATTTGACTAAACTTTACCATAGTCAAACTTGTCATGTTAACGTTGATTAATTCGTGTAGTTTCTGGAAAAACAACAATGTTAGTGCAAAGGTTGCGAGAGCTTTGTACTAACTTCTATGAGAAAATTCTCTGTGGAACTACCTTTTTTGGTACATCCATAAAGAAACTTGGAAATCCATGATGCGTCCCAACATTATTGACTAGAATGAAAGTGCAAATATACTTTGACAATCAATGAGAATGTCTATTTAACTGCTAAACCTTATTCTAATTTAACTTAACTCTCCAAATATTACCCAAAATTCCAATGTCAAGTCCATTAATTTGAACTTTAATATCCTCATATATAGAATCATCACTGAAATCAACTGCAACTACTTTTGTCTGGATGAAAAACTTCTTTTCTGCATTTGTTTAAAAACATGTTAATTTCACAGATAAATTACCAAAAGCACGGTGTTAATTTCAATGAACCAACCCTTACCCAAATCTGATGCTATGTCCTGAAGCTTTGACTCAGTACGACTCAACATAACAATGTTGAACTTCAGATTAGCCAACTAAAGATGTGATTTAAAGTGAATAACCTCAGATCTAGTCTTGATTTCACCATTGTGGATGACATTACCTCATAAGCAAATGCTTTTCCAATACCATCTGATGCACCAGTTATTACTAGAGAGTTAAAGAACAATTGGTGCTTTTTCATATTACGTGTTTTTGTGAATAGTTGTAAAAACTAACTGAAAAGTAGTATAGTAGTACCTGCCCATTTTCCTCCTATTATTTTGAAGTTAGTTCTGGTGAATAATTTTGAAATGAAGTATATTCGAAGAGATTTAAGAAAATGAAAGACAAAGAGAGAAAGTTTCTTTATCACAAACGCAGTTCCTGCAAAGAATACAGAGAGAGAAATTCACTGCATTTCCCAAATGGTAAACGATGTTCATGTGACAGTGTGACAATATGAGTTTAACTAAAGCATAAGTACCAATCAAGGCCAAAACGTTTCTATATCCTCCTAAATATTGAGTAATGTCGTCCAAGATAAACCAGATTGTCTGTTGGTCTAAGTTGGAGACGAAATTCATTTCAATGTGTTAGAAATACGACGTACAACCAAAGCCTAATGTACATTTTTCTTGAAAAAAATTTGGACAAGTAACATGTGATTTATCACCATCACCGTTTCCAGTATTACACATTGCATAACACAATACACACGAACACGTATTACTTCATGTAAGAAAACGGCGTGTCTGATATACTCGTATCCAGTTAAACGTCCGTGGCCTCAATCCCCCACCCCCTATTTATCCCCAATTTTAGGTTAATTAAAAGAAGCAGGAAGTCAATCTCATGATGAAATAAAAGAGAAATACTTTATTATTTGATATAAACGTTTACTCGTTTGAAACTTAGAAATGTAAATGTCAAAACACTCTCTTCAAACAAAATGAAAGTCATATCTTTAGGTTTTTTATTTTTCATTAGCATCCAGCCTCTTTAAGGTCCGCCCCCTAAAAGTAGACTCAAACGTAGACATAAAGGTCGACATAAAGGTAGACACAAAGGTAGACACAAAGGTAGACTCAAACGTAGACATAAAGGTAGACACAAAGGTAGACATAAAGGTAGACATAAAGGTAGACATTAAGGTAGACATAAAGGTAGACACAAAGGAAGACATAAAGGTAGACATAAAGGTAGACACAAAGGTAGACATAACGGTAGACATAAAGGTAGACACAAAGGTAGACATAAAGGTAGACATAAAGGTAGACACAAAGGTAGACATAAAGGTAGACATAAAGGTAAACATAAAGGTAGACTAAAGGTAGACACAAAGGTAGACATAAAGGTAGACACAAAGGTAGACATAAAGGTAGACATAAAGGTAGACATAAAGGTAGACACAAAGGTAGACATAAAGGTCGACACAAAGGTAGACATAAAGGTACACACAAAGGTAGACATAAAGGTACACACAAAGGTACACATAACGGTAGACACAAAGGTAGACATAAAGGTAGACATAAAGGTAGACATAAAGGTAGACACAAAGGTACACATAACGGTAGACACAAAGGTACACATAACGGTAGACACAAAGGTAGACTTAAAGGTAGACATAAAGGTAGACACAAAGGTAGACACAAAGGTAGACATAAAGGTAGACACAAAGGTAGACACAAAGGTAGACACAAAGGTACACATAAAGGTAGACATAAAGGTAGACATAAAGGTAGACACAAAGGTAGACATAAAGGTCGACATAAAGGTAGACATAAAGCTAGACACAAAGGTACACATAACGGTAGACACAAAAGTAGAAACAATAGTTGACACAAAGGCAATCAACGAAGCATGTAAAAATAGTCATTTATACAAGCGCAAGCATAAAGAGAGTAATACATAATTTAAAAGAAGAGCAAAGATTTAAATAAAATCCCAATCACTTTGTCTTTGTAAACCTCTAAGGTAAAAGAAATAAAAGTCTTATCGTTCAAGCATATGAACAGGCACACGTGTGAGCCAAGCATAAGGTTATGTCCAAATAATGAACAACAAAGCCTATAAGAGTTGCGTTGAATTCAGGTTTATGAATAAAAGAACAACAGCAAGTGAGAAATAGATGTACACAAGAAGAAAGGAAAAAATAGAACGGCGCTTTCAACATTACTTGAAAACGATGATTTGAGAGATGAAGCAGTCGTGATCAAGCTGAAATATTTACCGATATTTACGAGAGACCACTTGTAGGACGACTATTATGTCAAGTTTTGGAAGTGATTCTAAACGAAACTCTACTTTACACTGCTTGCTATCAATGCAAAGTTACAACGAAGTCCATCGCAACTCATGAGAACTCAAATAATTAAGAAAATTACGGTAAAGTCATTAATGGTATAGAAAAGAATCAAAGTTCTAAATCTGTTGATAGTTTTGAAGTATTTCTCTATGAGATGAATGAATATTAGGTAATTATGCATGTCGTGGAGCTTAACACTTTCAGCCGTTAAGATCAACAATCAAACTTTCACAACAATAACAATAAATGAAAAACCAATCAGGTGCAAGAATAATCATTGTTATAAAGATAGAACATTTTGTACTGTAGGATTAATCTGTTTTCGTTTATGCATGCATAATAATGCATGTAAGAACATAAAATCCACTTATAAATCTGCCTAGACTAAATTTGAACAGAAACAGCAGCAGCAAGTGCAATGGCAAGGATGAAAAGGCGAGACCACGTTAACGTTGATGTTAAGAGAAAATTACTCCGTCACTGGAGGGGAGTCTCAATGTGGATTGAACGTAAATTATTAACTATCAATGCGGAATTACTACGAGTTAACGACGTCTACCAGACAAACCAAATGTTAATGGTATACCTGACGAAACTAAGCATTTGATAAGCATACAGTTTGTATAGAAGCTATGGAATTGAGTGATAGCGTAACGCAACAAACAAGAGCGCCGTGAAGGCTATGCAGATTGGTTTCTTACAACATCCGATTTCCTCAACTCAATGTGTAGAGATAATATGGTTGCGTTGTCAAATATGCGGTGATATATTATAAGTGTCATAAACCATTGAAATGTAGGATATGACTCGTGAAATCGGCATTCCTAAAGAATACACCTCAAAATCGGAACGATAGGAAAATTCATTTCCTATGTATATTATATAAACACTAAAAGAAGACAAGTTATCGGCTGCTTAAAGCCTCCCCCAACGTCAAGCCAGAAATATGTCATCCTCTTATTTAACTACGACAAGTGCCATTGGGTTAATAAAGCAAATATCGACAGCAGCTGCTAAAGAAAACGTGCTGCTTTTGAAAGACTTACTTGTCTCTATCTTTTTCAAAAAAAGACATAAGAAACTATGGATGTTTTGCTAATGTATTACCAAACTAACATTAATATAAATGTATTTATTTGTACTACTCTTTCATTTTTTCTATCAATGTTCCTTCTTCGTGTAATTTTTACGAATATGATATTTGCTTTCTTGCATTCTCTTTGACCCGAAGCTCTTCCATAATCTTGTTTCGAGACCGTAAAGGTCATTTTTTTATGCATTAATTATTACAAAGCAGGAATGGCACATTAAATTGAGCTTTAGTCTCCAACGAACTCTCTGGTCTACTACAAGACACAACCTTTCGAGGTTGCAAAGTGGAGGTTCAAACCCTGTCTGGAATAAGATATAGTTAGGTCTAGGTTGAGCTAAGAAATGAAAAAATAGTGCTGGTTAACAGTGCAAAAGTGGCATTTCTATTACTGAGTTTTTAGAGAATGGAATGCGACACTTAGTATAAATTCAGAAAAATTCGCTCTCCGATGAGAAGGAGGAAGGAGGAGAGCGAAGAAAAAAAAAAGATAGGATCCCATGCAAAAAACCACTCTTAAAAAAACTAAGTCTTTTGCTCAAATTTTTTTATGACTCCCTGTGATCAGGGAGTTATTTTTTTAAATTTTGAAAAGTCAGGAAACCCAAGAGCAACAGAACGCCCTAATATTCCCTTTCTTACCTCCGAGCACTTGTTCCTCAGTTCAACTTTCTGTCTTCCACATCCGCCTCGTACACCTAAGTGTGTCGGCAGAGGGGCGAACCAAGGATCTTGTGCACGGGAGGTCAGTGATGTCGAACTAAGCGCCCAACATCGGCCAGTTGAGCTAAGCGCTCATCATCGAAAACGCTGTGTTTTTCGGCGTATATATTAAATTTTTTTCAATGTGAACCGAAAGAAAAGGAGAAGGTCTTGGCCCGGAGTAGAGATCACTGCACCGGCATCTCTACCACTCGGCCAGACGGGTCAATTGGAAAACCATTTAACACATGTCAAGTGCTTTTGACAAACAACATTGCCTTCATTTCTCTCGAGGCTCCTATTTTGTACTGTGTTTTTAACTTGTTCTTCGTCACCATCATTATAAAGTTAATCAAAGGGACTTATTACGCATTATAGCTGTCCAACTCTAGCATAGTTGGAGAATAAATGTTACTACAGAAAGGAGAAAGACCAATAAAGTATGCACAATGTCAGACTTTGCCATGTGGTGAATCAAAACAACAACGCGCATGTTCGTAGTCAATTTAATGGCGTTGGGAGTTTCTAGCTTGTCTGTTCAAAGTTAAATAACATATTTTTTACCATCATGCATGATAATATTGTAATGGTTTCTACAAAAGCATATGGTTCCTACAGAACAGTATCCACTTACTAATTTATAGTCTATTCAAGTCTTTTTGTCATTTTACAATCTTGCCATGTCTTCAGTGTCATCATTTAAAATATAGTCAATGTAATCAATAAAGCCAATGCGTCAAAGACTATAATTGCATTTTCAAAAACTATAATTCACGCAGTTTCACAAATTTCATTTTTTTCACACAAAGACTATAATTCACTGCATTCACTAAAGACTATAATTCACGCATTTTCACATTCATTTTTTTCAAATTCCATTTTCACTAAAGACTATAATTCATTCATTTTTTTCACAAAAGACTAATCACGCATTTTCACTAAAGACTTATTTTTTCAAACAAAGACTATAATTCACTGCATTTCACTAAAAGACTATAATTCACGCATTTTCACAAATTTTCACATTTTTTTCAAACAAAGACTATAATTCACTGCATTTCAAAAGATTATAATTCATTTTCACATTTTTTCACAAAGATTTCACTGTTTTCAAAAGACTTAATTTTATTTCAAAAGACTATAATTCACTAAAGATTTAATTACGTTTTCACAAATTTTAAATAAAGACTATATTCACTTTTCACTAAAAGACTATAATTCATACATTTTCACATTTTTTTTTCACACAAACAAAGACTTTAAAGAGTTTGAAAAAAAATGTGAAAATTTGTGAAAATGCGTGAATTATAGTCTTTTAGTGAAAATCCAGTGAATTATAGTCTTTGTTGAAAAAGATGTGAATTTGAAAAATGATGAAGTCTTTGTGAAAATGCAGTGAATATAGTCTTTTCAAAAATGAAATAGTGTGAAAATTGAATTAGTCTTTGTGAAAAAGATGAAAATCTTAAAATGTTTGTGAAAATGTGAATTGTTTGAAAATGCAGTGAATTATAGTCTTTGTGTGAAAAAAAGAATGTGAAAATGCGTGAATTATAGTCTTTTAGTGAAAATGCAGTGAATTATAGTCTTTGTTTGAAAAAAGATGTGAAAATGGAATGAATTATAGTCTTTAGTGAAAAAAAGAAAAAAATGTGAAAATTTGTGAAAATGCGTGAATTATAGTCTTTTAGTGAAAATGCAGTGAATTATATTCTTTGTGTGAAAAAAAATGTGAAAATTTGTGAAACTGCGTGAATTATAGTTTTTTAGTGAAAATGCAGTGAATTATAGTCTTTGTGTGACGCATTGGCTTTATTGATTACATTGACTATATTTTAAATGATGACACTGAAGACATGGCAAGATTGTAAAATGACAAAAAGACTTGAATAGACTATAAATTAGTAAGTGGATACTGTTCTGTAGGAACCATATGCTTTTGTAGAAACCATTACAATATTATCATGCATGATGGTAAAAAATATGTTATTTAACTTTGAACAGACAAGCTAGAAACTCCCAACGCCATTAAATTGACTACGAACATGCGCGTTGTTGTTTTGAGATTCACCACATGGCAAAGTCTGACATTGTGCATACTTTATTGGTCTTTCTCCTTTCTGTAGTAACATTTATTCTCCAACTATGCTAGAGTTGGACAGCTATAATGCGTAATAAGTCCCTTTGATTAACTTTATAATGATGGTGACGAAGAACAAGTTAAAAACACAGTACAAAATAGGAGCCTCGAGAGAAATGAAGGCAATGTTGTTTGTCAAAAGCACTTGACATGTGTTAAATGGTTTTCCAATTGACCCGTCTGGCCGAGTGGTAGAGATGCCGGTGCAGTGATCTCTACTTCTCGGGCTCAAGACCTTCTCCTTTTCTTTCGGTTCACATTGAAAAAAATTTAATATATACGCCGAAAAACACAGCGTTTTCGATGATGAGCGCTTAGCTCAACTGGCCGATGTTGGGCGCTTAGTTCGACATCACTGACCTCCCATGCACAAGATCCTTGGTTCGCCCCTCTGCCGACACACTTAGGTGTACGAGGCGGATGTGGAAGACAGAAAGTTGAACTGAGGAACAAGTGCTCGGAGGTAAGAAAGGGAATATTAGGGCGTTCTGTTTGCTCTTGGGTTTCCTGACTTTTCAAAATTTAAAAAAATAACTCCCTGATCACAGGGAGTCATAAAAAAATTTGAGCAAAAGACTTAGTTTTTTTAAGAGTGGTTTTTTGCATGGGATCCTATCTTTTTTTTTTCTTCGCTCTCCTCCTTCCTCCTTCTCATCGGAGAGCGAATTTTTCTGAATTTATACTAAGTGTCGCATTCCATTCTCTAAAAACTCAGTAATAGAAATGCCACTTTTGCACTGTTAACCAGCACTATTTTCTCATTTCTTAGCTCAACCTAGACCTAACTATACCTTATTCCAGACAGGGTTTGAACCTCCACTTTGCAACCTCGAAAGGTTGTGTCTTGTAGTAGACCAGAGAGTTCGTTGGAGACTAAAGCTCAATTTAATGTGCCATTCCTGCTTTGTAATAATTAATGCATAAAAAAATGACCTTTACGGTCTCGAAACAAGATTATGGAAGAGCTTCGGGTCAAAGAGAATGCAAGAAAGCAAATATCATATTCGTAAAAATTACACGAAGAAGGAATATTGATAGAAAAAATGAAAGAGTAGTACAAATAAATACATTTATATTAATGTTAGTTTGGTAATACATTAGCAAAACATCCATAGTTTCTTATGTCTTTTTTTGAAAAAGATAGAGACAAGTAAGTCTTTCAAAAGCAGCACGTTTTCTTATGGCTAAGCAATGCAGATTTCTTTAGCGGCTGCTGTCGATATTTGCTTTATTAACCCAATGGCACTTGTCGTAGTTAAATAAGAGGATGACATATTTCTGGCTTGACGTTGGTGGAGGCTTTAACAGCCGATAACTTGTCTTCTTTTAGCGTTTATATAATATACATAGGAAATGAATTTTCCTATCGTTCCGATTTTGAGGTGTATTCTTTAGGAATGTCGATTTCACGAGTCATATCCTACATTTCAATGGTTTATGACACTTATAACATATCACCACATATTTGACAACGCAACCATATTATCTCTACACATTGTGTTGAGGAAATCGGATGTTGTAAGAAACCAATCTGCATAGTCTTCCCGGCGCTCTTGTTTGTTGCGTTACGCTATCACTCAATTCAGCTTCAGTACAAACTGTATGCTTATCAAATGCTTAGTTTCGTCAGGTATATCCATTAACATCTGGTTTGTCTGGTAGACGTCGTTAGCTCGTAGTAATTCCGCATTGATAGTTAATAATTTACGTTCAATCCACATTGAGACTCCCTTCCAGTGACCGAGTAATTTTCTCTTAACATCAACGTTAACGTGGTCTCGCCTTTTCATCCTTGCCATTGCACTTGCTGCTGCTGTTTCTGTTCAAATTCAGGCTGCGTTTACACTACACCGGACTCGCTGATCACGACATTTCACTTGCTTTAAAGGGGTAACTGTTCGGAGTAAAGCTTATTAAGCTGACCGATTTAGTCTATTTGATTGTGTTTCTGACGTTGAACAATTTCACTGCCTTTTAATATAAAGAATATTCAACCTGCTACGATAGCAATCCGGTATAGTGTAAACGTGGCCTTAATCTCGGGAGATTTATAAGTGGATTTTATGTTCTTACATGCATTATTATGCATGCATAAACGAAAACAGATTAATCCTACAGTACAAAATTTTCTGTCTTTATAACAATTATTCTTGCACCTGACTGGTTTTTCATTTATTGCTATTGTTGTTGTAAAGTTTGATTGTTGATCTTAACGGCTGAAAGTGTTAAGCTCCACGACATGCATAATTACCTAATATTCACATCATCTCGTCGAGAAATGCTTTAAAACTACAATAGATTTAGAAATTTGATTCTTTTCTATACCGTTAATGACTTTACCGTAATTTTCTAAATTATCTGGGTTCTCATGAGTTGCAGACGTCATAGAAATGCCTTCCTCCAGCGAATGGACATGATCGTTGCCTGATAGTTCAAACAAATGCAGAATTTCATCAACTGACAAATTTGAAGAACTCGAAGTTTTTGCTGTATGAGCGTTCTTTTTGGGAGGTCGTGTCGCATCCATTACTTTAGTTACGTCAAAGCCGTAAGATTGCCTGTCAGGAACAAACTTTGTCTTCGAGTGAAAAAGTTACATAATATCAAAATATACAAAGAAAAACCAAACCTTTGTTGTTCCTTCTTCTCATTATTCTTCGTCACATCTTGTTGTAGTTTGACGATTTTCGCATTTTAGCATTCTTGAGTAAAAAAAAATATGATAATTTTTGTACCCCCTGAACATAGCATTTGAGCAAATTTTACAATGTACAAAAATCCTTCACTTCAACCAAAGTTTTTATCTTCAACATTTCTTTAGCAGTTCTAAAAAATTCTTCTTCACTCATACAATATAAAGTCTGATATCGTTGTTTCTTGGCAGCCTCCTTTACGTTGGCATTTCTACCTTTGAATTTCTTTTGCGTGTTGTTGATTGAGTAGTGCACGAAATTCTGCATAGTGGAAAGACAAATTATAAATTTACTTCAACTGCATTATTTTATCATTGTAAATTGTACTACAGCTGTAATTATTTCATCATGAATTATATTAAAGCTGTAGCTGTTTCATCAAACTACAACAAATATAAAAAACAAACCAGATCGTTCACATTGTTTCTTTGACAATCTTTGTTGTTCAATAGTAAGCAAATGACGTGTTTACAACTTCCAGTCTTTCCACCAACATCTGGACAGGAGCATCAATTAAAAAGACCTCATTTCATAGGTTTCTTTGTCCTTGTTTGGAATTATCAAACTCTCGCCTGTGCGTAACCAGCATCAACTGTCAAAAAAAATATGGTTGGTGCGAAAGATGAATAAAATTTATTGCCATCCACAGCCTTGGGCCCACAATACAGTTTCTTTGACTAATGCTTCTTCCCCATGACATTACCATTGCAAAGATGAAAAAAGGGATTCACTTGGCATCCCTGTCGAACTATAACATTGTTGCACAAGTCATGTTCTGAGGACGAAGACAAATAAAGTATACACAATTTCAGACATTGCCGTGTGTTGAATAAGAGCAATGACGCAAACTTGAAGTCACAAAGGAAAACTTATGAAAACTCTTAATACTTCATGTAATGACAAAGCAATGTGTCCATATATGTCATAAATATATCTTGTGGGATTTGCAGTTGTATTTTTTGCAATATAAAGAAAAACCTCGCTTTCACACCATTCTACAAAACAACACAATGAGCATACAAAGTATACCTCTATTATTCTACTTTCTTATAAAATGAATTTCAACATACATGTGTATTTGGATATTAACGGTAAAGTATGTCCTTATTGACCTTCGTATCTGATCTTCTGCTTTCACCATGATGTAAGTCATGGAACATGATTGATGAATTTATGAAGCCTGTTTTTCCCCAAACGTGCGGGACCATTCGTAGCTTAATAATTAGGCAGCCGCAAACTGATATAAAGCAGTCGAGTTATACTTAGCTATCTGAATGACCTAGAGTAGATACTGCAAATATATAGTATACATATATATAATGTGTAACAAATTAATAATCCCAAGTCCAGCCACTTAGTCCCCAATAGTGCTTAAAATGTTTAAGTTTCGTTGACAACTCAAGCAATTACTTGATATATTTTTTAAAAACTCACGCTTTGAAAAATGTCCAAAACAGGTTCCTCTCCAAAATAAGGAATCCCAGACTGAGAAATTGTCGATTGAAAAGTACAACTTTTTTCACGATGGTCGTCCGCCATGTTGAATTTGTACCGGAAGTACGTCATAGAGATCTGTCAGAAGCAGTGGTCAGAAGGAAATGTTATGATGAACTATGAACGTTAAAAAATTCGTGATGAAAGTCTGAAGTCACTTTTCTATTTCATTCTTTTTGTGTTGATAAAATAAAGTCTGTGTGTTGAAGAAAGCCGCGAATTTTTCATCAATGCATAGAACGGGTAGAACAGTTAAAGACAAAAACAATACTTTGTCCTCTGAAGATCTTAGAGAAATTTTGCGTTCGGATGAATCGGAAGATGAACTCGTTGAGTTTATCAAAAATTCTTTTCCCAAAAAGGGTCCAGCTATCGGGAACAACAACAAGACAAGAAGCAGGACAAGTGCTAAACCTAAAGACGAAGAATTAATGCACGAAATTGACCTAGATACGGCTGCATCAATAACATCACAACCAAACTCTACAAGGGCAAACGTCTACGATTTGTCAGCTAATGGAGAGTCTATTATATTGGGATGTAGAAAACGAAGTGCAAGACTTAGGACATGTCTTGCTATTGGATTATATATTTCATTCTTTGCATTGGTATGTATTCTTTCTATTGTATGTGTTAAATATAACCTATCTCCTTGTGAAAAAGACAGTGTTTTTAACACAAACCGCTGCATTTCATTCAGAAACGGTTATTCAATTTTTTTCTATTATTTCTCTGCAATCGTTTTAAATTTGGTCAACACCATAGTTTTTGTACAGGATGTATGCTGTCAGTAAGGTATCAATGGTCTGTTTCATGGATGATCAGTGAACCAACTTATTTTATTTTATTTATAGAAATTTAAACAAAGGACACCTTTGTTTCATTTATTGTATGAAACAGACCTTTATGAACTAAAATTAAATAAACTAATTTTCCACTCATGGCTTATCATAACTTGCAAATTGTTCCATGAATGAAATTTTTAACCGCAGAAATACATTTTAACTTTTACATTGAGTAGGAGAATTTAAATATGAACTTTGAAATTAAGGTTAAGGTCCAGTTAGGATTATGCCCTATTTGATTCTTGGTTTAATTCGCAATTACTGTTTCTCATTGGGAGATATAACAAATAGAACATACATGGTCAAAATACCTATGATCTGCTACAAAAATTCTACAAAACACTACCAACCCATGGCTGGTTGCGCAAAGCATAAATAGCGCTACCCTATGGATAGCATTGCTATTTGCTTCAAAAAAATAGTAATTTGAACTGATCAATTAATAAAATTAACGATAGATCTAAGTCAACAAATTTTCATTTTTGTAAAGAAAACATAGACATCTTTTCATATGTTTGACAAAGTCACTGTTAAATGGCTAATGCTAACACTTGTGTAACTGTGCTCATTTAAGGAATTTTTTGATTATGAAAGATTTCACTGTCATTTTTATGACTCATGTCATAAATTAGCCATTATGTATCTAAATTAATAGAAAAATAGTTTTTTCTAGTCATAAGAATGTCTATAATGATCCATCAAATTTTTTCAATACTGCTTTTAAAAATTTGAACTATAGTAATCCTTCCATTGATCCTTTAGGGCAGCTCAGTAGCAATACTTGGTCCCAGTCTACTTGATCTCAAGGATCAAGTGGGTGTTTCATCTGAAAGCATGTCGTCTATCTTCACAGTGCGGTCGATTGGTTACCTTATTGGTTCCATTATTGCCGGCTGGCTCTTTGATAAATGGAATGGTAACTTTTTCCTTGCTGCCGCATGTATTTTTGCTTCAGTTAGTTTGATCATTACTCCATTTACAAGCTCATTTGCCATGTTGATGATTTCCATCTTTTGTCAAGGACTGGCACTAGCATTGCTTGATACAGGTATTTATCAGCACTCATGTCTTGAGCCTTCTTTCAGTCTAACTACCCGAGTTAAGACAATGTTTGATTAATTTGTGGAGATTTTGACTTGGGAAAATTGAAATAGAATTGCAGTTGTATGATGTAGGTGTGATTTGTTGGTTGAAATTCAAAAAGTTGAGTCTCTTCATTCTCTTGTCTTATTAGCTAGCTGAATTGTTACAATTTACAACTTCAGCCTTGGTGAAAAATCCCTTTGGGAGTACGTGTCTCAAGATTTTATCTCTGCACTGTGTTGAATTAGAAAATTTGAGATTTGCGCTCGACCTCAAATTATATTCTGCCGTATACTTGACGTATTTCTAAATTTTAACATTAGTAAATCCCAAAAGCGAATCAATAAAACAATTGTAAACATGCATTGCTGCTTGATAGCAGCTTCATTTGTATGTGTACATCATTTTGTGAAGGCAAAGTTTATTTTTCAATTTACGCTTCCGTCAGACTCTTATAGTCACAATGCTATAATTACACTTTTACTTGAACAAAAGTTGTTCTGTGGCAGTAGCGAACAGAAAGGAAGGGGGCGGTGCGAAGCCTCCCTCCACAATAATTTCAAAAGACAAAAATCTTGCACCGAGTACAAGATTACAAATCACATCTATACAACGTAGTTTTGATAATAAATAATGTATTTCGTAGACTTAAATACCTCCTTGACTTATGTGGGTCTTGAGGACGAGCTGTCTCAATATTTCATTAAGTTTTCCCACTGTTTTGTGGACCAAATCAAAACCAATGGTTGTTGTTGATTTAACATAAATATCCTATTTCAGGTGGAAACGTGCTTATCCTTAACCTCTATGGGAAGAATTCTGAAGCCCCAATGCAAGCACTTCATGCAATGTTTGGTGGTGGCGCCTTTTTCTCTCCCCTTATGGTAAGGCCGTTCCTATCAAGTGCACATTCCTCCGCCAGTCACGTGCAAAGCATTAACATCTCGGCCAACATGACATTAAACGCTACATCCCATCAATCACATTCCGGTCTAAGGTACCCTTACGCAATAACAATGCTACTGTTCCTAATTCCTATTGTCATATTCATGTTGGCCAGCTGTCGCGACGATGGTCACAATGAAAGTCGGCAAATTTCGGCTTCGGTCGAAAGTTCAGATAACCGAGCCTACAGAGGTTTCACCTTGGTCCTTTTATTCATATTTTTGTTACTATATGTTGGTTTGGAGGTGGCTATTGGTGGTCTAATCTTTACCTATGCCGTCCAGCATCAAATTTTAAAATCCAAGTCGCTTGCGGCATACCTTACATCAACCTTCTGGGGAAGTTTTTGTCTTGGTCGTTTCGTATCGATACCGCTGTCAACTTACGTGCGAGCCTATCGAATTCTCCTGGTTGATTTACTCTGTGCCTTTCTAGGTGCGTGTTTATTGATAATTTTCTCCGTCCACTACCCAATATGGTTATGGTTGGGAACGGCTCTACTCGGTCTCAGTATGTCCTCCGTCTTCCCGTCCACAATGACCTGGGCGGAGACATTCATGCATATATCAAGTAGAACGGCATCCATATTAGTGGTTGGTGCCAGCTTGGGCGAAATGACCATCCCGTTTACTATTGGTACATTGATGTCACGTGGCGGTCCCCAGGTTTTCCTACGCTCCATCTTGGTCATTGTTATTTTAGCAATCTTCGTATTTATTATGGCGTCGTTTTTAGCGCGTCGTCAAAAGAAACAGGATATTAATGGTGTGGGCTTTCATTATCACAAAAGTAATGCTGAGCCATCAAACCACGGACTGTTTTCGAAATCGAAAGGTGATGAAGTAATTCAATTATTAGAGGACAGTAGCGAAATATTTTCTACAGAAAACTGATTGTTTTTATGTATTGACATTTCATAATTGGGATGGGGGTACTCGGGTAAATTGAGGGAGAGTTTATCTCACATCATGGAATGCTATGTATTTTGTAAAAAAAAATGTTGACCCTAGTGGTTTCATTAAGAAATAAAAGATGTTTACTGTGTTTGCACGGCTTATGCAAACCGAGGAGACCTTTGGGAGAACTCGAGAGCAGATAAATGCAAGCCCGAGACCGAAGGTCGAGGTTGCACCGTGCAAACACAGTAAACATCTTTTATTTCTTTTAGAAAATAAAATAATGCGAAAAAGACAAATATTTTAATTTTTCCTCCAAAAATGTATTCATGATCGATTTGCAAATTCTCTTTGATTGTTTTGATTGGTTGAGCTCAGATGTGCTTTGCACAGGCTAATGCAAACACAGCTCTAGACCAATCAGCGCACGCGTTTCATTGTGTTTATTTTATAGTTACGGTTGATTCACTTCACTTGCACGTAGATGTATATTCCCCAGCATGTTATCTTTGTTACAAGAATGATAGCGTGCATTAGAATGAAGTTCTACTCCTCGCAACCATCGTAGAAATTGAATCGTTGATATTGATGCTTGTATTTAACCCACTTCATTTCGCATTGTCGTCACCATACTCAAGTCACAGCGTGATTGTCCTCGTGAAAAGGTGAAATCCCGTTTAGGGGTTGACGATAACTAGTTGACAATCAATGTTCCCATCGGTTTATTAAAGCCTGGCTTCCACTATTGGTTTATCACGATAAAAGCGATAGCGATAACTTTTATTCGCAATGGTTGCGCGATTAGACGTGTTGTTTACATTATGTCGGACGGCGATTATTTTGTGAAATGGCGTCAGTAAAAAAACACGATCTGGTAGTAATTGCAGTAGCTTATGTTTTATGGAGGCGACGGAGACGCCGTAGAAAGGCATCGATGAAAAGAAAACAACTTTTTTGGATTCGCCATCTTAATTTCCTAAATTTTCATTCAAGATGACGTCATTTTGGCGATTAACGCGAATAAATATCAAAAATTTTTGATATTTTATCGCGATTGTTAGTCGCCGTTTACTGCGATCATTACCACGTACTCATATGGGATTATCCCGATTAAAGTTAATCGTTGTCGCGTTTGTTGCGTCAAACCAATAGTGGAAACCAGGCTTAAAAGTTACACGCAAATCGCTATTATTGAGGGACTCAAAATTTTCCCGGGAGAGCATGCACGCGGACATCTCAACTCTTTGCAATTCTTTTTTGGTTAAACTAAAAGCGTTGAAAATCAGTGTTGCAAATATTGTTACTTTTAGGTTAGTTGATTTCATCTTCTATCCCTCGTGTTAGCTTTTCGGTGTGCGGAATCGTCGCATAAAAATTGGTTGTTTGAAATGACAAAAACCTATTTTGTTTATTGGATATGATTAGACAAACCAAGAACCAATTTCTTGATACTATAAATAACAAATGAATACTTGTTGACCAATGGCTACATGCCTTGCAAATCTTGGATGGTTTTCATTAAGGAAACTCAAAATTAAATGCTACCAGATGTGAAGCAAGCATTCTTTAGTTTGTGCGAGAAGAATCGTTTACACACTTGTGATTCTTTAATAATCCTCTGACTCTCTTACGCTACGCATGCGCTTGTGAAGTTGTTGTCTACCAGCAAAAAAAGTTGTTTTTCCACATATGACATCCCTGAAATCTAGAATTTCATTCATTCTCAGCGTGAGAAATCGTTAACTGTCCGCATTTATAAACATGGAAGCCTTATTTTTCTCCTGCTCAAACTTGCTGTTTTTTCTTCTAATGAAAACGATGAACTCATCTTATGCGCAGAGGGAGAACACAAGTAAGTGGTTGTATTGTTAGTATTTCTCTCACGCTTCTTCACAGATTATCGTCTAATTAGTTCTGCATGTTGTGATCTCGTATCGCCTTACCACGCTCATTTGTGCCGACGTTTTTAAAAAAATCAATATTGAATGTTTTTCACGCTTTGGGAACGTCAACTTAACCGGTGCTCAAACTTGGTGGACCCTCGACAACTTGATCACAAAATAGGACAAGATGCAGCAGAACGGATGGCGCGTGCATTTTTTCACCTTGTGGTATGATGTCCTGGTGATCTCGAATTGATTGGAATGTATTTGGAAATATTTTCAATGTCGCGCGTAAATACAAGCAATTTCTTGAAACTCTTCTCGAAAATGAAGGCAAAACCAATCTTGACTCTGACTTTCCACCTTTTCCCTACAGAGCACGTGGCGAACCATTTAGAATCTGTCTTGTATTATTTGCATTCACATAAAAAAAAAGACTTTAACTGATTAATTGAGTTACCTCAGCTTGTCAAACGTGGGTTTTGGGAGATCACTTTGTGTCAAAGTGTCTATTATCCTTTCACACTATCGTTTTATTTCTTAAATTGTTTTTCCGACGACCGTTCGTCCTACTTTCTTTGATGTTTTTTCTCCATTCTTTTCGTCGTGTTTAATGCGAAGCGATGCTTTTGATTACAGATTCTTGTAAATTACTTGTCACCGACATGAAGACACAAAGCATGAACACTTTCGTTTACTGGAAGTCTAACTTTTCACGACATAGTCGCTTTAATGTCGAGTACAGATATGATGTCCATAATCCTTGGACTCGCGTGTCTTGTTCGCGACCCCCATATGATCGTAACGCCAGCGAAGAAATGAGCTGTCTTTTCCTGACTTGTGCGACGACTGCCGTAAATCCATTTTATGGTGAGATTTACGAAATTCGTCTCAACGCTTACGAGAATGAAACTACAAAGTGTAACTCGTCAACGTACCTATATGAGCCTGCATTGAACAGTAAGTTTAACGTCTTGTTTAACCTTGCACTACAAGCTGTATTTAAACAATTACATTTTCCCAAAACGATTTTGACCATTACTCACACATTTGCATTAATCCCAGACTTCTTGAAACGTTACATTCATTAAAATAATTGGAGTTGACAGATAATCTTAAGATGAAATTCGTGTAGATGTTCCGCGTTGTCTGAAAGCATAAACTTTACTGTAAGAGCTGCTTTAGAAGATAACGTAGCTAAGTCCAATTTTTACTTTTGCATGCACATGATCTCTCTAAAACAATCAATTTCGAAAAATGATAAAAATTGCAAATGTTCATGCTTGTGGAGGTACATATGGGTTTTATCTTCGTTCATGCACACAGCCCACAGACACATCACCAAGCTTCGTTATGGACAAGATGCATTAGAGACAGAGGCGTAACTAGAACGTTAATTGTGTGTGTGTGGGGGGGTTGCATATTCATATATTCCGTTGTGCCCTACTAATTTCTTTGAAAGTGAATTGAATTTCTCTGATTGGAGAACAGGGACATTTTCTTTTTTCTCTTCCCTCAAATTTAACTTAGTGTGATATGGTGCAGACAGATGGGGTCAAGCTCCCATTGGTTGGGATCACTTTACGAAGTTAAGGTCCAAATTGAAGAATTCCGCACAGCCCGTCTGCACCTTACTATACACGGGCAACTACTGATGCAGAACATGGCAATATGAAGGAGAAAAACTCATAAAATTTCGCATTGAAAACTGAACTAATTTTAATGTTTGATGTGCATGAGCAGCTAGTATTGGATAATTTTCGAGAATATTGAACTTGTCAGGTAACTGCAATTGATTTCAAAAAGGCTAGGGAGAATTTGGAATCTGCACCTTGCTCTTGGGATTTTCTCGATGATTCTGGCTGTACAAACGGAGCAGTTGTTTGTTCGCTAGCCAGGATGAGTTCAAAAGCAGAGCTCAAATTTGGTCGTCATGATGCCCTTTTTTTTCACTGCGATTCGAGTTTCATTATTATTCATTTGATCTGTAGATATTCCGGCAAGGATAACTGACGTGAATATTTCAAGAATTTCGTCGCTTTCTGCGAACATCAGCTGGGAACGTCCTCTTAATTCTTGCAACAAGTCAAAGTATTGTCTGGAACTTATATATCGGAAAGAAGATGGAAAAATAAACAAAGTAAGGCCCAGTTCAAACGTCGCATTTTACATGCGCCGAATCAAATGCGAGAATTATGTGCATGTAAAATGCGACGTTTGAATCAATTAAATTCGACTTTTTTTTATTTAATGCGACTTTAGTCGCATATTCGACTGAGTTAGTCGAATATTCGACGGAAATTCGATGTTGATTCAAACGTCGCATTTTACATGAGCCGAATTTAATGCATAATTTATTTTAAGATATTTCTAAGCAAAATCAATTATTTCCATGCTAAATGCCATGCGCAAAGTTGTAAAACATGGCGGCGGCGAGTGATGGTAATGGCCCTTGTATTTCGTGCACAAGTTTAACAAAATACACTTGTTTAAAGTGCAAAAATTTATATGTACAAGGAAAGTTTCCTCGAGATACACGAAATGTTTTTTTGAATCAGAATAAATACTCCAAACTTTCTTCCACCAGCCGGAATTTCTATCTTGTCTTCGACATGATCGATAAGGAGGGCTACGTATGAAGGCATTTTTTGACCAATTAACGGTAGAAAACATGGGAAATTTGCAGAAGTTGCCGTCTCGTTTCTAATAGTTTATTTATTGTAACATGCATCAATATTCGTCTTTTCCTATTAACACGAATCATGTTTGAAATGCATAAACTCAACATTTTCCTGTTCGCCATTTTAGGAAATTAGTAAAAGAAAATGAATAAACTATGAAAAAAGTGGAAGCATAACTATAATAAATGCGACTATTAAATTCGACGTCTGAATCAAACTACGCATAAAACTATTTTAGTCGACTAAAACTCAGATTTGATTCGGCGCATGTAAAATGCGACGTTTGAACCGAGCCTAAGGCAGCATAACTTCATGGCCCGACAAAGCTCACATTTCAATTTTTTGTTCTTGTGATTTCACCATAAACAGACCAAGACAATCTCGTCTACATCCATGACAAGCCGCTCAACGATAGTGAAAGGCCTAGAGGTTGATACAAATTATACGTTGTTCCTTGTTGCCTATCAAGAATACATGTGCTCAAGGCAGCCCTTTCTTTTGTGGACGAGTGAACCGTTCTATCTGCCATCTGTACGGATGAGTAAGTTCATTTACAATTGGTTACTCAAAACTCTTATCTACTTGATGATGGTGTTCTTAAAATAAAACTCCATCGGCACACACCCTTAATGCAAGCTTGATATGGGGTAGCCGTGCCCACGAGAAATGCACCATACATTTTCTATACCAATGAGATATCTATAGTATTTTTGATGGTTGTGATAAACACTTGACGTATTTCGATATTGTAGTATAAAACCAACTCTCTTTCTATCTGTAGTTATTTACGATTCGTCTGCCATCGATTTCAGCAATTTTGTTGCAACAATATCATGGAGAACTGCCACTCTTTCATGGCAAGTAAGTCCATCGGAATATAGTGTCCATTACAAATATGGAGACGTTGCAAATTCAAATTGGTCAAGATCAGACAGTGTTATTCAACAAGACATTTCAAGAAATATTTTTACGTGCAAATTTCTCAACTGTTCCACAGTCGAACTTCGTCCGTACTTAGTTCAAATACGTTTTCAAGGCAAGGGAAATCGTTCGGATAATGTCTTGCATTTCAATCCTCATCTTAAAAGTAAGGATGTGATCTTTTTTATTTTGTTGTGTACAGTTGTACTGCATATAAAGGATGAATTTTCTATATCACACGAATCATCGCGTTTGTTCACGGTTTGGGTCTTAACCAATCAGAAGGAGATTTGTATGCGTATTTTTGTGATACAGTTTCAAAATGATCATCATTAAAACTTGCAATGTCTGAATGTCAGTACGTTGAAATGAGAAAAATCCTCCCCCCCGACCAAAACGTCTTTAATTTTAAGTAGGTAACTTTTTAATCTCCTCAATCGTTCGCCTGCTCAAAAAACAATTATTTTTAAAAATTTTGGTTGCGAAGTGCGTACACAGGTTTAATGTATCGTCATATCACAGATGCTGTTGATCGTGTACATGATGTCACCGTAACTGCGATGTCTTCATCTTCAATGCGAGTAGCTTGGAGACTGCCACCACCATCTTGCTCCAAATTCAAATACTGTTTAACATTTCTTTACCACGAACGGGACTCAAGTAATAAGGTTTGTAAATTGATAAACTGTTCTTTAAGAAGAGTTATTTTTTATGTATATTGAAGTCCCTTATGGTCTTTACATGATAGACAATTGACGTTAAAGATGTCGAAATGTCCAACGAATTTATTGTTGTACGCGATCTTCTATCATACAAAAGATACTGGTTCTATGCTGTGACGTATACTGTGAGGTATTCTCCCAATATGGGTTGCCTGCATCACTCTAATTACTCCCGTCATGCAACAGGACCTTTCGTTAATGTAACCTTTGAAGACGGTTAGTACTTTTAATGATAAAATTTTTGCACGATCTTAATCATAATTAAACTAAATTAATTTTAGAGTCGAGAGAGGATGGGGATTAATTATTAAGGACTTTAGTTCACATCTACGTCTTGGTGAATGTCGGCGTTTTGATTAAAATATACTTCATTTGTTTGCGGCAAACTTTGTGTAGAAATGACGTCTTGCAACTTGACTATTTTAGATGACTTGAATTCTGAGGCAAAGAGATCATCAGATGCATTACTAATATCATTAGCAGTAACACTACCACTTCTCTTTATTATCGTCTTTGGACTTTTTCTATTGTACAAGTGGAATACTTCCAGAAAAAGGTAAGGCGCAAACTGAATGAATTTTGAGTAATGAACATCAACCTATAAATTTACAATCGTATTTCATTTAAGGTCGTCTCCTCCTGCAGAGGTACTGTGGTCACGTCTACACTTGTTTTCAAATGCATTTTACGTAAAAGTTAACATCCAGCGTAGCAAGTCATTTTTGATGATTTCATAAGCTAAATGTACGCGTACGTTCTTTCATTTTATTCTCTTTATTCTCCAAAGATTATAGACCTACAATCTATACTGCCCGACACAATTGGAACATCCAGTTTTTCTCATCACTTTGAAAATCTCTCTTACGTATCACTTACAGGTGATTAACCCCGTTTATTGTACGGTAAAATACCCAAATAAACGCTACCAATCAAATAATCCTCCCTTTAAGTGCTAGTTTAATATTACACGCATCTCTCTAATGAACGCCTTGTCTCTAATAGACTAATTCCACATCATCAATATATCGGAATCCGTATGTTTAGTCTTAGTTATGTTTTCTTTACATTCACACTAAAATGATAAGCATAGTATGAACGCCTCTCTCTATTTAACACCTCTACCTAGAATGGGCGAGGTGACCATATTGATATTGGTACGCAGACCGATATGATAAAATGTGAAGTGTACTGTGAATTCAAATATTATCATAAGTTACTATAGCGTTTCACTGACTTGTTTAGATACCGCTGACGACAAAACCAATGCAAAATCATTCAACTCTGCCAATCAAGAGTAACCTGCGTATTGTTTTCATGGTTGTCCTTTATGCTTGTATTGTGAAAAATTCGTGGAATGCTTGACGCATGTTATGATTTATCATATGATCGTCATAACAAAGTGCGTCCATTCTGCTGTTGTTGCCGTGTTTATTTTGTTTTTGTGAAAGGAATCCTCCACATCACCATGATCCCATAATGGAAAAATTTATCATCATTTCCTCTTATCGTGTCTGTACTGGAATTCTAGCTGCATTACATGTTTACACAGCGGTCTCTTCGACCACAAACTGAGTTGTTTTTTTCAATGAATGAACGTAGTAAGAATATATAGCCTGTGAACTGACCTTTTAAGAGTTAGAAACTACGTAATCAACAATTAGCGAGAGAAACCTTGGGCTCAAATAAATGTCTCTGTACAGCTTACCCTATTTTATACTTTACACGTCTTTGCGTGATTTCAAAATTATCTTGTGACAACAACGTCTAGACCATTTCATGACAAGAGATTTTGCAAGAAGATAATTAGATTTCTGATGCTTTCCTAGCCCCTTAGGGTTTGTTTTTTCGAGCCAGCTTAGCCGTGAATTGATGTAATTCATTTAATTTTCACCGAAAATAGGACAATCCTTTTACTTTAACACGATTCATATGTAATAGTAAAACTATGACGTTTTTGGTCGTAAAATATACTCGAGTCACAAGGGAACGATGAAAGATCCTTCAAGTGGGATTCTACCTTCTCATATCAAGTTTCATTCTTAAAAACATCGCGACGATACATCGTTGAATCGTCAGTAAGTGACACAGGCACTGAATACAAACATACGAGATTTCGATTCTTCTTGCCATCGTATTTACTTCGCTTTGGGTATGTTTTTTAAAGACAATATCTTGCTCGACACCTTGTTTATGTTGGTTGATGAATGCCGCTACACTTTCAGTCATATTTTCAATGGAGTTTGACACGAAAATAGCGGATTGCTCAATCCTGTCTATGATATTCATGGGTTGCAACGCTTTAATACTTTTTATTTTGCATTGTATTTCAGATTTTTTCAACTCCCAAATATGAGGAAATTTTTCTTCATCGTACTTGTGTTCTTCGCTATTTTCAACCACTTGGTATGGTCTCTTCCATCAGGCAAAGATTGCAAAAAGTTCAACAGTCAAGGTGAATTTTTTTTATAAAATAAAGCTAATCTTGTGGAAGGAAGACGCGATTCACGTTCACTATAACAATTTTATCTTTTAAACCTAGTCCCGAAGCCTAGACTGATGTACATGTTGGGAGGTACGATCCGCGTCATGTGGGACGAAAAGAATTCCGTTGGCGTAGCGTACAAACCTTATTCGTGCTCAAAATCAGTTGTGACGTATCCTAACGTTGCCTTGGATAACAAATGCCCAAAGTTCAAAGGGATGACTCTGTGTTACGTGACGAAAACGGAGAACTCCCTGACATCTCGAGAATGTAGTATGGCAGCCTCTGCATCGCATGAATATTTGATATATCTCTCAGCTGATGACGGAACATGCCAAGGAAAGAGTCAAGAGTTAAAAATACAACCTAATTTGAGCAGTATGTTTTTTGACAGTTACATATAAAAGCCTTCACCTCCCTTTTGTTCATCAATAAATTGCTTGCTATTGGGCTTTTCAATGATAGAACCCATACATCGAGGCATATTTTAATTAACATACATACCGGGGAGCCATTTGGCCTTCTTGTTGGTCACGAACTGAAACAAAATTGCCCTCCACAGCCCACTTCTTTTGCCATTTTTTGTAACGTGTATTTTAAATATTTTATTGCAGATGATATATAAAGTAAGAATGTTTATTTCATAATACGTCATGAAATAAAACAAATTACTCTACAAATGCATAAAATAGCATTTACGAAATTGCAGTTTTTGAAATTTTCACTCGGACCCTCGGCCACATGGCTCACAGTTCACAAGCCCTTTTGTGATTTTAATGTCCTTCAAGTGTAAAGTCCTTAAAATATCCCTTGCCTACATCATATCTCTTGTTCAATGTTGACAACATCAATCTATCAAATAGTTGCTTACCCAGACCCAGTACCCAAGTTCATTGTGTACAAAGGGAAGAACAGTTATTTCATTGAATGGACGAAGTCATTGCGTTATGTTCAACTCCTGTATAATTTGCAATGTCGGTCCTCTAACTCGACCAGCCGCCTCCGATGCTGCATACGCGTAACCCTACCTCATAAAATCTCACCCAACTACTCAGAGACTTGCAAATACGCCGAGGACACAGGTATGTTACTGAATCACGATTGCATTGCGATGGCGTAGACAGCCACCAGAAGTTTGGTACTGCTATGTAAATTTTTCTGTGTTCACTCACAGAAAACACGTTAAATTTCTATAGAAAAATGAGTAATGATAATGGTCTGGTATTTACAAAGTAGAAACAACACTTGCGGGCTGGCTGCGCTGCGGATACCATAAGACAAAAAGAGAGAGGGTTGATCTTATAGGATCTTGTCAAAAGAGGAACAGTGCTATCATTTGACGCAGACAACGAAACCACTGCCTTATATCGTATATCTCCACAAACGTTCGTAAAACGTCATGTAGTGCAACTTTCCTGCTCTTTTTCAGATGCACATAAACATAGACTAAAGACACCAGAGATTAGATGAACTAAGATAAGCGTTTCGAGATGAGCTAAGATTGACAGAATGATTATTTTGTTGCAGCTATACCAACGACAATCAAATGCAAACGTTCCCATCAATGTATTCAAGCAAATGTAAAGAATTTGAGAAACTTTGGTGGACCCATCATGGTGTGTAATTTTGGGTGTTAACTATTTTAAGAAAAGCAAGAAAGGCATCAGTTTTGTGATGGATTTTAATATAATTATGGTATCAGAGCAAAAATGATGAATCTGATCTCTTTTCTTTTAGCCAGATGATTCTAGTTGGCCACACTCTCCTCCTGCGATGATGTTAAAAGTTATGTGAGGCGAACGATACTATAGTCTGCCTTCTCAATAGTTTATAGAGCGCATCCTTGGACCATTATATATATCGTTTTTGGTGCATTTTTGACAGCAATTGATTGGCCAAGCCAGTTAAAAAATGTAAATGTAGAAGAGTGTCTAGTACATCAGTAGTATTTTTAATCATTGTGTATCTCTTGGATTGGCAATAAAATTTCATTTTTCTTATTGCTATACAACAACAGGTTAAAAGCTGTCTTCCACTCGGAAATCAAGACAAAAACGTATCATTCGCTCAGAAAATTCTAAAATACGTCGGCGCGCTTGTTAAAACATTAGTTCCCATCTATAGTCAAAAAAGCATTACATATTTTCAAGCTTTGAAAATATGGTTCCATATTCTTCACAAAATTAGAACTGCCGAGAATTCGCATCCGCTTTTAGATCGTAGCCCTCGACAACTCACAGATATATACCGTTTTGAATACAGTCACCGTGCGCAAGCGTTCGCTCTCACTCTAATCGCAGTAAGGATACTAACTCAATAATCGTGATGGTACATCACTATCATAAAAACAGCCCACTTCTAAAACTCTTCCAATAAATGTCAATCATCATAAACTAAGGAATGTCCTTCAGTGCCGACAGAACTCAGAAATCTTTGAATTAACGTTGAAATCTTTGAAATGTATTGATTGAAATGACAGAAGAATTCTCAGCCAGCGAATGGCGAATGGCGAATAGTGAGTCAGAGCTTGATGTTAATACCAGCGCTTTATCTAGGATGGTTACTGTTACACAAATTGATGAAATTAAGGCATAATCATTAGTAAATTCATTTTACCTGGGTTGGAGGTTAATTACTAATTGCTGAAGGTCGGAAGCTGAAGAAAGACAATCTAACAAAACTTCCGTTGTTTGCAAATCTTTCATCAAAATCGTGTCGGTAAATGTCGCCAAGTCAGGTAAGGAGAATTGCTCGTGTCATTTTCCGTAATGATTTTATGTTCAGTTGACTTTGTGTATTCATTTTATCTGATGTTTTTCGTGGCAAGTGCTCATCTTAGAGATTTGGAAAAATCCTTCCACCCGAGAATTGTTTTCTTGCAGACTAGAATTGTATCATTTGCAAATTTCAAAATGGCGGTCCACAAATTTGGCTTCATTTCAAGAATAGGTTCGTTAGATTTTTTCACTGGCTTGCTTTCCATTCAGGCTGAATCATTAAAGTCTTTTCATATCCTATTGTTTTCGTTTACAGCATTCAGGCAAGCCAGAACCACGGGTGAGTTTGCTGCGGTTGTGATATCTTCTAAGATGCACTATGTAAGTTCTCAATAAAAAGTTTTCGTTCATGTAATTTGCTTGCCGTCTTCATTGGTTAACTGAGACTTGTTGTTTTAAATTATCGAATAGGTTTTTGGTGCATGGTTGGTATTATTGTCTTCGTTTTTCATCAAATATTCTCCTTTTTTAATTTTCACAAAGAAAATAACAAAACAACGCGTGTAAAGGCTCTTTTCCATTCGTCGCAAAACGTACTCGCAAGCTCGCTGCGAGTGCCTGCGAGTTACTCGCAGCGGAGCTTACCATGACTTGCAGCATAGTTAAATTATTTGAACAAAGTGTTTTGATCGCGCGAACAGACTCGCAAGCTCGCAGCGAGAGCATTTTGCGATGAGTGAAATTTTGCGAGAGCATTTTGCGATAAGTGAAATTTTGCGAGAGCATTTTGCGATGAGGTGTGGTTCCGAGAGTTCAACATCGAAGTTCGGAGACCGGGTTTGGATCATTCTTAGTTTTCCTTCAGTGAAGTCTTAAGCCCCTGCACGACTACAACGTGATGATCCAGGCGCAGGGGGTCGAAACAATTTGCTATGAATAAGTCTTCCGCTTGGGGGAAGCAATATCATACGTAGTAAGAATTGCGACAAGCAAGAACGATTTAGTATTATGGAAGTTGTGGAGAATCTTATAAAAATGCGAAGGTCAAATTTCTCAAAAAAATAATCATTGAAAAATTCAAGAAAAAGTATGAAAATCGCAAAGTCAACAGACCAACAACGATGTGGCCATCGATTGATAATGACACTCCAGAACGTATACCGCCCAGAGTTAGAGGAACGAGAAATGCCTCGGGTCCTTTTACCCGGTCACGCACAAAGTTATTGTTTCTGTTGCATAATGTTTTAATGAGCGAAATATCTGTCAATCATTCATTAATATTTTGCTTTGCTCAATTCTCAACGGAAACCCAAATATTTCAATGTGAATACTTCGTCAGGCTATAGTGTTGGTGAAGGAGGAGCATTCATCAAACACTCGAATGAATAATAATTCTTTTCTACGGTAAATTCAAGCATCATCGAAAAAACATGCAACGATATAGACCAACACTTTGAAACCACGCCGACATTCGTGCCGACAAATGCAAATATAATCGAAATTTACGTGTTTCACCCTGATTGCCGACTGACAACTTTACAAATATTTAGTCACGCGATTATATCTAACGCGACACAAAGACAAACACACGGGGCGCAGCAGCGGATTGTTTATTAAAGAAGCTGAAATCTACGGTAAAAAAAATCAAAATGCTTGCGCCCGAGGACCGTTCAATACTTCTGCTGTTTATCTCATGGTGTCTTGTCGGACTCAATGTTACAATTGCCAGTGATTGCAACGCCATGAAAGGTTGGTTTAGTGTGTTATTCACCACTGTATAATGTATTTTGTGAAAATGTTGAACCAAAAAGATATTTAAGTGAATGTGATAATGTTAACAGAAATATCCAAAATTTACGCATCATTGCGTTGTTCGTTAATTTTATGAAATATAGATTGGCTTTCTCTTGGCCTGTAAGGATGTTTCTCTTGGCATTGTTTAAGGAATTTAAGAATATACACAACAAGTGCTCATGTAATATGAGTGCCAATGCCATGCTAATTAATATTTTTCATTCTTGTCTAAGTGAAGTGAACTTATTTGTCACACTTTCACTCACAGAACATCGCATTTGTTGCATTTAATTTATTCATGTAGCATTGGGGCATCATGCAAACAATGACAATTTCATAATTTCAAAAGATGATTACAAAGTGCGCCCTTGGGGCTGGCAACCTTTGTACTAATGTTTAAAGCATGCCATACATATATAGCTGTTATTGATGGGTTTTGCATGGTGTGATTATGATTAGCATATTTTGACTTGATGATGATTTACATATGGCATTTAATCATTGTATGAAATTCATGCCATTTCTTGCCATTTCCAAAATTGTGTTATTTGTATCTTTCCTTTTAAAAACAATCAATCTCAAAAAAAGTGAATAATACTAATGTTCTGAAAATTGCCTGAAGTGGCTTAACCAACTTCAATGTTTAGTCGTCCTATTTAAATTTTAGAATATGGCTTTCGGCTATTGTTTTCATAGTGAGTGAAAATAAAATTAGGTTAGCAATGCTAGTGCATGTTTGTCAGGCTCAATGATTGCCTTTTGACAAGGATTACTGTTTTTGTGGAAAAGCCATTTGTGTCCTACAAGGTGTATTTTGCCTCAAGGAAATTGCATGATAGAGGATATGGAACTAGCAGGTGTTTGCATGCATGGATTTTTAACAGATATATCTATTATGTTTTAGGATCAAATGTTGAACTTATTATATGGTATGATCAAATAGCGGAAGTAGCATGGTCTGGAGTCATTCCAAATGCTTCATATAAAGTAGAGGCTTGTGGAGGAACCAATTTGCCTTCTGACATGCATCACCTTGTTCATTATCCAATATGTCCCAAAATGGCTCTTTTGACAAATTGCCGCAACTACCCATTTAAAGTAAATGGAATAATCTGCACTATTTCACGTAACAGCATTACCTTAGGGGAAGATGTTGAAGCAAAGTTTGAAATTACAGCGCCGGGCTGTCCAGTGGAGGTGAAATATTTGAAATTAAATGTGACCATTAAAGGTATTGACCAACTACCAATGCTGTGAAAATCAATTTACAGTCATTTTGTCTTTCATGAGTTGATTCTATGGAATTATTTTTCCATAGATTCTAGAGCACGTCCTGTGAGTAATCTTCAGGTAGTTGAAAACAAGGAGGCCTTTCATTGACATGGAAACACAAGTCACTCAAGCATAACCATGATCATATTCGTTATTTCTATGTTGTCAAGGAGATTATAAACTCAACAAATTCCATTCTGGTAAGAATATGTTATAAAATACATGCTATGATTGCTAGATGTCTGTGTTTTGGACAGGGCAAAACTATAACGTTAATTGGGGGGTATATATTCATATATTCAGCTCAGTCCTGCTGATTTCTTTTGTTTGCAATGTTAATTTCAAAAGAAGTCAGGAAGGCAGAGCTGCATATATGAATATCCCCAATTAGCGTTCTAGTTTCGCCCTTGGATTTGGATCACGCCATCCACTCACGTAAATTTAAAACGCATTAGTGTGATTTTGGGATGTGTCTGAAAATGAAGATGATTTTTTTGGCAAAGTTTATTTTGAATGCATTTTTGGGAATGTAAATGTGAACTTAAATCAACATTGGTGATTTTGCTAAACTGCTAAAGGCACTAACCATGTTGTATTTTGACTTTGTAGTGTTTTTCACTTTGTTGTTTACAAAATTTTACAGCTTTGTTTGCTTGAGAAAATTAAGCATTGCAATTTAAGAGAATTTAACTTTTATACTTTAACTTTTTCAAACACTTTACGAATGTTGATCAAAAAGTGGGGCAAATCAGGCTATCCAAACACAGGAACCATGAAATAATTGTGTGATATTTTGTTATTTTGCTTGTCAAGAACTGTGTTGGCCAGAGTTACTTTGATAACAGATTCTTTAATAAATATTCCTTCTGTTGTTAAATTTATTTCCTGATCATATTTGTTTTCTACAACACCAATCAGAAGAAAAGGCAACAACATTTTCACTTTTCTGAATATCACATCAGTTCCATCAACCTAAAGATTATCAATTGATCGTATTGATTAGTTAGTGGTACATAATGAGTTGATGATCCAATAACAATTAAAATGACATGATAAATGTCATTTATCAAATCTGGCCATAGGTGTATGTTTGAGGTATCATTTCTGTGGAGGCAGTAAATATTTCCCCCAACTTACAAAAAAGGTTCCTCCGTATTCTTGGCTGACATTTGCCCAACTTTTCAATCTTTAAACTATATTTTTTGTGGGGGAAGCTTCCCCCCTCCCCCTGTTCCATACACCTATGATTATCAGGCAAAAGTTTCTTAGCTCTAGCTTTTTTATTGTCTGGGAGGACAGTTTTTAATTGCAATAACTTTTGTACCATGCATCAGTATTTATGTGACTACTTCCATAGTCAAGCCCATTCAAGTACTGTATATCTCAAATCAGTGGACTACAGTGACTACTTTTAGTTACTCTTTCTTGGTTTCATAACCATAAAGGTTTTTTCAGGAAATGACATGTTTTTAAGCATATGGATTTGTCTATTTGATAATTGCATAATTGTTGTTCTCATTTTGTGAATTCGTATTTTCTAGTTGGAAAAGAGGAGATCCCGTCGAAGAGTCTCAAGCACTTGTTGTGCTGCCTCTGGATCATGCTTTCAAGCTTTATGAGTTCTGTGTCAATGCACAAATTGGCGTGGGTAAAAAAACAGTTGTCAGATCCAAACTATCGCCGGACAGATGTATCCGAAAACGGCTAGCTTCTAAAGGTGGTATAGTTGAATTTTGATTCATAAGCAATTTATTGTTGTACAAAATATTGTTGTTTGATATCTGGGCTATGTGGCACGCGTCAGACAAATTTTGGGCGAAGTAGATACCATACGATCAGGTGGTTACTGTCCCAAACTTTTGGTGTTTTTTGACAAGCAAAACGTGCAGATTTCAATAGCGGTTTCAACTGGTGAACTGTACATATATTGAAAGCGTAATTGCCAAGTCTGCCACATCTTAAATAATAAAATCGTCTTGCGTATGCACGTGTATTTCTTGTTTGCACTAGATTTGTCAATCATATGAGCAAAATATTATTCGTCAAAAGTTAAACATTCTTGGATTATAATTTTGTGTTTTAATCTGTCAGTGGAATTATCTAATGTGTCATTGTTGTCATCCGTTAAGTTGTCAAATCATGAAAACTGGGTATAGGGACTTGTGGCAGGGGTGTAATGTACCCGCTTATTCATTCCTGCTTTTCAAATTTTTCTGTGGTCTTACACTGTTAAACAATAAATTTTTAAACACACGAATTGTTCTAGTGTTCTTAAATTTACATAGTACAGAAGTAAACCGCAAAAAGGGCAGGTTATTGATTAAATCGAATACTCTACTTCAGCACGATCATTTTAATGTGTTGGCAAGACTGACAATTATGTTTTTTGAATTTTCTGATGTATGTTGTGATTTTCTACACTGTTTGTTCTGTGCCAAGTTTGATATGCATTAGCGTTTAACTGGCAATTGTTTGTCGTCGTTTGTTAGAGCCATCCAAACCTTTAAAGATTCTTTGTGGAGTGCCCGGAGAGATGAAAGCTGTAAGGAAGAAAAGAACGAAACTCATCGCAATGTTACATTACTTTGGCAGGTACGTAAATGGTTGTAATGTGGATAATAAGATAAAACGATTCGCTCTAAATAGACGGTTATGGCTAGGCCCGATCATGCAAACAGCTCTTACCTGTTTGGAAATTGAATGATGGCATCAGATCCTGCCTATACCAAATAGAAGCTGTTACCGTTTCCCGAAATAAAAAAGTAATTAGCCAGACCTTCATTGACGTGTTGTTAGATAGAAACGTTAATTCGGGGTCCTTTGTTGTCAGGGTTTCACATCATTTTAAGACTCTCCTTCCATCTCAAGATGGCGATCATTGATAAACTTAAATGAAGTCCATGTTCGTCCATGCTACATACATCCTTTTCTTATCTCAAATATTTTGAAGGATTACCGTTTCTCTATTTGCCATGTTTCTATTATTTAACCTGCTTAGCCTCTTGGTCATGCGAAAGGCATCGCAGTTAACCCTTACTTCTGTCTTTGTAATACTTGATGGAGCTTCTTCGGTGCTTTCACTGTAAATGCATGCGATATCTTTTGATTTTTCTTCTCCCGAGCATTGGTGAAACTGGCCTGAATTTCTACATTTGCTACACAAATTCTTCAGCATGGTTATCATCTCAGTTTTAGTAGTCTTCTTATCCAAGCACAAAAATAATCAAGCAGAAAAATATAGCTACGCAAAGCAGGAGCGAAAACCGAAGGAGCTTTGTCACTTGTAACAGCCAACCGTTATTTAACATAGTAATATAAACGTGTTGTTGTCCACAGTTTGCAGAACGTTCACAATATCATTTCTTAGCTACCGGACAAAAAGTTTTGGCATGGACTCCCCACCGTCATTAAAGTGGCGGTGAACGTCGAGAGCAAGGAAAAGAACGCCACCGAAGTGTTTAATGTCAGCGCGACAAGAACCAACTGGACTTTAATGAATCTAAAACGTGATGCAAAGTATTACATTCAACTGACATTTTTTCGGATGGTGGAGATGGTCCAACAAGCAAATATCTGGTGATATTTGAAGGTGAACTAATTACTTATCACAGAGCAACACGGAAGGCAATTTCTTTTAGAACTGGGGTGGATGGGATTTTAGAACTGGGGTTAATGGGGGTTTTAGAACTGGGGTGGATGGGATTTTAGAACTGGGGTTAATGGGGTTTTAGAACTGGGGTGGATGGGATTTTAGAACTGGGGTGGATGGGGTTTAGAACTGGGTGGATGGGATTTTAGAACTGCGGTGGATGGGGTTTTAGAACTGGGGTGGATGGGGTTTTAAAATTGGGATGGATGGGATTTTAGAACTGTGGTGGATGGGATTTTAGAACTGCGGTGGATGGGGTTTTAGAACTGGGATGGAGGAAGGAAGTCATTCACAAAAAACATTCTGCACGAATTGACTTCTGGACTAGAAATTATTGAATGAACATATCAGTTACGTACGTATCAATGACGCAACACTGACATTTAATTGTGTCGTTCAAATTGGTTGTTATAGATGAGCCAACAGTTTCCCCAACTTCCGTCAAAGAAGATGATAACATGGATCGGACAAGATTAGCTGTAATTACAACTGCAACAGTGATTGGAGTTCTTATACTCGTCGTGATATTTTCGTGCTGTTACATAAAGTCGAAAAAGTTTGTACATTGATTAGTGTATCATCCTGCTGCTGTCAGTTAACATGTTTTTTACTTTTACTATTTTAGACTTTCCAAGCCTGCGACTTTGCCTGTGCTACAACCGGTGAGTTCGTTTTTGTAACATATTGCTGAATTTATCCTCTTCGACTTTGTTTTATTATTTTAATATTTCTTTCGTGTCGTTTGTCACCAGCCTGAAAAATCCACTGGTCGTTCTGGTACAGCTGATAATCTGTTGATGAATCATGTCGATTATGATTTTCTTATGGTGAACGATCCGCCAATCGGAGCATATCTCGGTACGTAATTGTTTTTGTATTTTTTGCTATCTTTTATGCAAAGAAAGATTGTTTTTAAATCATAATGAAGCGATCAGCGAGCAATATGCGTATCTATGTATAAGAAGTACGGGATGGTGAAGACTGCACATACGAGCATGCGCAAAAGCCTCCAATCAAATTTCTGTAGGTGATTAGAGTTTGTTAAGCTCAATTTAATGAGCACGAAGAAATATTAAAATAAAAAAAATAAGTTCGAAATACTACTAAGAATTTCCAAGCGACATATCTGACCAAGTTAATGAAGTCTTGAGAAGATTATATGTGTTGGTATTGGTGTTGATGTTGACTGATGTTTCGTCATCTTTTGTGGTAGTCATCTTCATAGTCAAGTGATTACTGCGGAGGATGTCGAAGAGTCAGTCAACATCAACACCAACACCAACAGTCCTTCTCAGGACTTTACTAATCTTGACGATCGACATCTACAAACATGTAACGATACATGATCATGCTTTTTTTCTTGCGATGTTTAGCCAAGTCGCAGTCCAATGGCAGGCTATCGTATGACGAGAATAAATCAACGGATAGCAGCATTGTGACGAGTTCCTCGTCAACGTTCGACGAATCCAGGCAAAGTATGGGAAGTGATGACGTCGGTGAAACAGCTGGGATGCGAAAGGACCTTTGATGATGCCCAGGTACAACTACGGTGTAGGTAGTATATATTATGTTCATACTGTTTTGTTATAGAAGTTGAAATTTTCACAGTTTATCAAGAAACATCCACATGTATGTTGTAGCAACAACCGTGATGAACGTACGTATGAAGAGATGTTGTTGCCAAGTGTGTGGAATTGAGGATTCATCTTCCTGAGCCGACATGGGCTTTTTTCATGTCAGGAAGAATAATCCTCGCACACTTCCAAAACACATACCAATTTGCGAGAAATGTTTGTGTGAAGTGTAATTGCACAACACAGGTCCAACATCATTCATGAATATACCAAAATTTGCTCAACATGACATATGTCTTTTGGCTAACCGAAAAGATTTTAATCGTTACTCAACAATGTGTTGAGCTTCTACGTTTAGAAATATTTTCAAAATATAACTGACAAAAACGTTTAAGTGAGGTTTTTCGACTCTTGTCGATTGCCCAACAACGTTTGCTCTGTACTTCTACGTATATGTATTTACGTCACACACGTCATGTCGGATGTTGTTTTTTTTGATAAAAAGGGAAATAATCAATGCTAGTAATGATAAAATATATAATCTGATTTATTCGTTGGCAATGCCACATGTTGCGTTTTTATGAACTAGATGTATTTTAACTTCCATTCTACGGTCCCGTATTTAAAGCTATCATTTTAGTTTTAAGCACGCGTTGAAATACATCCTGATTGTAAAGGCGCAACATGGCATGTCTCAACAGCATTTATTAACAAAGGAATTGTTTACGACTCACATGATGTAGCCGGAAGTCGTAATTGCATGCTTCGATACATAATCTGTGGTAATGGTAGAAACCGTGAACCACGGGCCTGGTTGTACAAACGTCAAAATGTGTTAATGAAACATTATTCTACGTGTTTATTAATATGAATTCTAAAGAAATTTTTCGTGTATCAGAACATCCTCTAACGCAAATTTCAAAAAACAGATTCATCTAAACTACAAACACATTTAAACAACAGACAGTCAGTGTGGTTTAACAGTTGCTAATCTCATTATTGATACATTTAAACATTGTATTGTCTGTTTGGTACGTTAAGGTTAAGTTGCAGTCTAAACTTCTTGTTTTCTCACGTTGTGGAAGCATACAGGTTTTGACGTTTGTACTTACTAGCCCAGGAACGCATGTTTTGAAAGATGATGTCCGCCTTCTTGAGATGATCCTTCAATAAACATGCGCTCTTTTAACGTCATTTTTTTTTTTTAACGATTAAGTTCCAGTCATTTTTTTCCACGTCAGCTTCGGCCAACTTTAGCATATAGAGTGTTTGCATGTGACGTCATGGCAGCCATGTTGGAGCCTACATCAACGTACCGATGCTCAACAGAGCATGAAATTATCATGAATTCTTTTCACTATATGAGACTTTCCTCCAACATGGCTACCGATGCAAATACCTTATAGAGAGAAATGATCATCAAATTGTTTGCAATTCGCATCAAAAATTGACGAAATTTCATTGATTTGACACAAGATAAGATATTATCTTTTTGCCATAATATAAAACATACGCGAGAATTCAATGGACACGTATGCTCTACGTTGGGGACTTGGAACTGTGGATGTGGGACGCCGAGAGCAAACAGACTCTTCATATTACAGTTAATAAGTACCAATTGACTTGGTTTCTAGAAGGTGTTTTCAACGCACTTGAGACGGTTTCTTATTGAATTGACCTACAATGTCAACCACTGCCAGCTCCGAGTAGGAGTCATTTTACTTTAACTACCCTATGGTAAATTTTATAAGAATGTTTTGGAAATTTTGTCACTTGCAAACGCTCAGTTCAAGTCTCTCTGCGATGATCCTACCCTGTGTCGATATCTGTCCGCTTCTTTACTCCTGCTGCTCAAATATATTTAGTTTGTTCACTCATTTCATAAACAATGAATATGAAACAATGAATATGAAACAATGAATGAATTTTTAATGAAATGAAAGTAGATTTCTTGAAACATTTGCTAAGCAGGAGTAAAAGCTCAGGCAGGCATCGTCCTTTGCCCTGCATCTAGTTTTCAAAATGAGCAAGTCCTTGAAACTAGCTTTTTATTGTAGTTTTATATGTTATTATAATTAAGAGTATGCGTACCTGGTATTTTTATTGCTTTGTGATAACAATCGTCGAAATTATCAGAAATACATTGTGACGTCACTAGGCTCAACCACAATGTTACCCAATGAGCTTGTCTGTTACATCATTATGTGACCTGATAGTTTTTTTGATTTGTTCAAGGAAAGAAATCTCAGCTACTGCATGCATTACTATATTATAACATAATTAAATTACGTGGCAGAATTTTTTTAAAAACTTTTAGATATAGTAAGAAATGCTTGCAAATATAGATGATCAAATGTTTTGTTGGACGATGGCTCATATTTTAGGAAGCAGTTGTTCCGAGGTTGCTGAACTTATTCCTGAATTTGACACTCGTAGACAACTTTATCAAATTAAAATGGTTATATATAGAGGTTTTTAACGCTTGTAAAACAGCTCATTTCCGAACTCGACTAACACGTCATTGTTTTGGAATCGAAGAATTTCTCGGGTACAAGTACCCAAGACAATTGTATATCTAGCAAAATCGTAGTTTGCCACATGTGTCATTTCTGAATGTCTCTTATCAACCTTGGAGCAACTGACTCAGTTCGCTGTTTTTAACATGTATAAACCTAGTGATGTTACACACTTGGTGTAGTTTTTCGTTGATAGCGTACAGAAACAATAAAACATTGGGAATATTATGATTCTATGTGTTCAACTTTGTATTATTTCAGCTGGTAAAAAATAATGCATTCTCGCGTGCGGAATTTTCAGTGAAGCGAAGCCAACGCATGTTTTGCCGTTTTTTGAGTTGTTCAGTGGTCATGTCCCATTCGTGACGTCATGAAACAAAAGAAAGACAAATTTCGATCACGAAAATAAGTATTCCTGTTGCCTACAGGCTACAAGCCTACAGCTGTACTTTCGAGGCATTATGTTTCAAAAATTTACCCACTAAGCACTTTGATTTGACGCGATGAGTATTTAATGAATTTTTTAAAGCAATTTAAGACACCAATAAAACGTGTAAATGTGTTACATTGTTTTGAGGATTGTGTTTGTGTGGTCGAAACCAGAGAGGGATTTCGTATAATGTTATAGCTAGTCCATGAAAATGTTGTTGAATTACGACCTTTCTAATTCTTGCATCACTTTCAGAATAAAATACTGTATCCGGTCTTACAGCCGTTGCTAGAGTTAGCATCCAAAAATACTGAAATAATATTTATAAAAGAAAACTTCACCTTCGTCTGATCTTGAATCTGGAACTGTCCTTTCTTTTAGAGATTATACATGATAAAATTGTCATTTGTCTGAATTCTGGGTTGCCCAGGAGTGTGAGACCACCTTGAACCATGACAGGATATGGTAAATCTGGGTAATTCCGTACACTAATTAGGGTCCTATATCGATAACACTTGACACCAAAATATGCTATTAAAAATTTAAGAGGAAATAACATCATGTGATGTGTTTACATTTGGGAGTTCCCTTAAACAGTTTCGAAACTTTTTAGTTATTGCTTTCAGTTTAAATGTTTGTTTATTCGCTCTCCTTGCTTTTAAACAGGCTGACTGCAGCAGCATGCTCATACTCAAGGTGTTGTAACTTATCGTCTTGTATTTGTGAATTTAACATTGGTTTCGAAATCGGACATTTGGAAGGACGACTGCGGAAGTCATAGCTTTTCGAAGAAAGTGCGATTTTTCCGTTGGTGCAACTTAAGCAATTTTTCTTGGAGTTCAAGATGACTTCGAAATTTTTAATGATTTTTGTCTTAGCCATGTTTGCTTGCAAAGGTTTGTAGTGGTGACTGTTATGTTGTTGAATATGCAATAGAAAGCACCTCGTGGTCGGTTATGTGCAAAGCATACATTATAAAGGCAGAGGCAGTGTTCATTGTTTTGCGTTTTATGAGACGTAGATGAATGAAAATTTCGTAATAATAATCATGTGAATTTCGTAGGTTGTGCTGATAAGCCAAAGTTCAAATATATTGAACGAAATCTTTTGAAGATTACGTACGACTCAAGCGTGAATCGAGCTTTATACCTGTGCTGCAATGTATCGGAGCAAGCAAAATATAAAAGACTTGAAATGATGAAATGTTCAGTACTACATTTCTCAATTTGTCCCGTATACAAGATGATAACAAACTGTGCAAGTAAAGGCAGTCAGACATGTTGCAAGATAGATTTTGTTGTCACTCAATTAAAATGAATGGGTACATTGGTAAAGTCAATGACAGTGGCAGTGTACCACCAAGCGAGGTTGCCACTTATGTAACCACCAAACTTGGTAGGTCTGAGTGGAAAATTCCACCCCCAAACCATCCAATCCCCTTCTCTCCTGTTTAGACCGACTAATATATTTTGTTTTCCAGGTCAAATACCAAAATCTGTATTGGAGCTAAACGTCACAACCAATTCGCAGCATGGTTTGACTATAAAGTGGATACCATTGAAAGAGGATGATGTGTATCTTAACCAAAATGCTGCATATACTTATCTTCTTCAGTGTCAGTCATCTGATCCTTATGCTAAGGCAATTGCAATTAATGTCATTTTTCATTCTATAGAGGTGTTGTCTAACAATGGCCAATCCTTGCTTTTGATAATTTTCTAGGTCATTCGAATGAAAGTTGGAGATGTGTATAGGACTGAATTGCCATATTTAAGTTACTTCGTTGATGCAAGAAGTTTGTCAGCCATTACCAAATACTGTTGCTGTCTTGTTGTTGTGAATATGGTTACTAGTTTAGAATCCGAAGAAACATGTAAAAATATTGTGACTTCGGAGCAAGGTTGGGAGAGAAACAGATTAATAATATGTGATAAAGAAAATACACTTTTTCTGGCTATTGCCTGTCAACTCTTTGCTTAACTACTGTGAGGCAACTCTGATTCACCAGTATATTAGATATTGCATGATGATTTGCAGTGCGTGGGCACTGAATGATTCTACTAATGTGATTTCTCTTTCTCTCTCTCTCAGCCCCTTCCTCAGCTCCTGTGATTCTCTGTGGTAACAGCTCACATGTATGCCATTCAATTGTCAATGGTAATAAACGAAGTATTATCGTGTTGTACAAGGTACCATATCATGTTCATATTCATAGATGTTTTTTCTAACATACTACCTATGACATAACTAGCAAAGGTGTGTGGGAATGTGGCAACTCTATATTTTTGAAAATAGTCAGTTAATTTTTATAAGAAAAGTGGTTGGTGATATTGCTCATTTACCTTCAGTATTACAAACTTTAGTATTATAATTTCCATAAACTGTAGAGAGTCCTTGTCGATAAACATTCACTTTATGTGTAAAATAATTGTGAAACATGCTCCTAAAGTAATCTGAATGCCCTTGGCCTCAAACCATGACAGTATTTCATCACAACACCCACCATTCATTGTTTTCAACCATATACATTATGTCACTGCAGCTTCCACCTCCTGCAAGCACAAATGGGAAAATTATACGAAACATGATATACTACAAGACTGCCAACAACGACACGTATGACCAACTTCTCGTAAATGGCTCAGAAACGCAGGCTGTAATTGAGAATGCAACCACGGATGAGGATTATGACGTATTCATGACGTCATGTAACACGGTGGACTGCAGTGCAGTCAGCAACACAGTCCGCATTGCGGCGATATTGAAAAAAATTACTTGTAAGTTGTGATGGTGCACCTGCATTTTTGAATCCTTTCAATTGTGTGCTGTATTTTTCTTTTGTAATATTTAGCGTGGAAAAATTACTTAGTGATTATATTGTCAGTGATCATGTCTATCGTCGTTGTTACTGGGTTCATTATTTTTGTCTTGCGAAGGTAATTTTTTAATATCGTTCTGCCACATGAAATGACTATGTTGTCAGGAGTCTATTGTTCGATGGTTGTTTAGCATCCAGGCACGTCGTCGGAAGCAAATTGGGAGGAGGGTGGCTGGAAATGTACATCGAAGAATTATTAAACGTTAAAGCCGTGCATTCTGCTTGGCTCATTAGTTTTTCCAAATAAATGTACATCTAGGAATTTTTAAAATACTGGCAAATTTTTTCTTTAGACATCAACGGCGGAAGTTGATCGACCCTCTCGAAACGTTATCGCCTGTAAGTTTTTAATTAAAAGTAAAAGATGTTTACTGTGTTTGCACGGGCTTATGCAAACCAAGCAGACCTCTGGTAGAACTCGAGAGCAGATCAGTGCAAGCCCGAGACTGAAGGTCGAGGGTTTCATCTTTTCGAGAGTTCCATCAGAAACGTTTCAATTTTTCTTTTACAATAAATTCATAATTGATTCTCATTGATTGATTGATTTGATTGGTTGAGCTCACATCGGGCTAATGCAAACACGGCTATAGACCAATCAGCGCACGCGTTTCATCGTTTTAATTTCATTATGTCCAATTTCAAATGGTCTTCACCATCACACTTGGACAAGTAACAAAAAATTATCTAACTCATCATTTTGAGTAAATGTATTATTGTGTTTGACTGTTTGTGTCAAGCAAGTATAACAAGGGGGGGGGGAATTGTTTTGGAAAATAATCCCAATCGTATCGTTGACGATGATTGTATTTTTCTGCAGAAATTTGAAGCGTCGTATCGTTATCCCGTGAATGATTCACCCAACACAGAGTACGATGTAATCAAACTCGACAACGTCAATCTTGACAGTAACTCCAACATCCGCAGGGACCCGTCTGTTGTGGTCAGTAATCCCATGGTAACCACCGCTGACGCAAAGTAACAACTCGTCCAAAATAAGCTCGAGCATGAAATGCGTCACATTAAATTCACGTGATACAATCCTCGCCTTCTTGCCACCATGTTGGATAAAACATTCTCACGTTTGCATAGAAAGGTTAAGTTTACCGCTCGTAATTACTCGATTAGTCACTTTCATTTCTACGGTAAATAGAAACATATTTGTATTTACCGGCTGGTGAAGGTCCGCATTGTAAACTATTTTCACGAGGTGTCAGAAGGCTAAAGGCCAATCCAGTCAGAGCAACTTGCCGCGCGCGCGACTATTTGAGATCACTTTCTTTTCAATCGTAAGCTCTCGACCGTAACAGTTTCACACTGCCGCACACAATTCAAAAGAACATGATCCCAAAAAGTCGATCGCGCGAAAATTTGCACTGAATGGAAATCAGCCTTAAGGGACGCTTCCGAGGCCGGGAGAAAATGTTTTTCCGCAAGGACCGAACTGAACTGTAAATAATGTTTTTATTTTTTTAATTTCATAATTGAGCAAGTGGTCTGGATGGTAAAATCACTTTTGCTATGATAGTTATTATTTGACCGAATTTTGCTTTATCCTTGAACAATTTGCTTAAAAATCAATTTTAAAAATTTTAATAACATTTGTTGCGAGAAAAAAAATTTTAGCCAGACCGACTTTTTTTTATCGCTATCATTTTCTTTTTCACTGGGCACATTGTAGGGAACAATGGTAAACATAAATATTTCAATGAAAATGGAGGCGTGCCACCCCCGCACCTCCCACAGCAATATGCCACTCCGAAACTCGCGCTAATTGAGCAGGCTGGCTACGCCACTGAATATTTCCCAGCGTTTAACGTGGCAAGCGTGTAGCCACCACGTTAATATCCATTTCATAGTTTGGACACGATTATCAAAGAAAATAATTAATTAATGGCGACAAGTTTTCTGATGCCTTTCTGCTTTAGCTGCACGATGAAATTCATTAAAATAAGCAAGCACAGAAGAACTTGCTGTTTGCCAGACTCAAACATCATTCAAAATGACCTTGGTTTGCTTTCAATGTTTTTGTTTAAATCACCTTGGGAACAAAGCCGCTTCACTAAAAAACGGATCTGCATGGATTAAAGAATTTGTAACGAGTAATAAATTGTGAGAAGTTTTGAATGGACCAGACGTGTATAATTGGCGGTCTTGAAATCCAGCGTAGGCGACACGAACACATTACGATTTTAATGAGTTTTTACATTGGAAAACGGGGCAGGTATTAATTGAGGAGAAGTTAACAAACATGTCTGTCACATCGCGGTGAACTATCGTAAACAAACATAGTGGTATGTAACACTGTCTTTTACGAAAGTCCTCTTTCCAGTGAGTACTCGTGAAACTTGAGCACTATTCGTGAGCGAGAAGTGTTTGTTTTAAAAAAATAACCGCCACAATAGTCTACTTATAGCAGAGAAAAAAGTCGACGAGAGATTTTTGTTATCTTTTGCCGGCAGTTGGACTTGAAGAACGGAGATGCCGAAAACTCGTTTGAGACGTCGTCGCGATAGCGTGAAGTACGGCAGTTCTACTGGGGATAAGGATTCATCAGTAAGAGGATTAAAGAATTATGGGTCACAAACTCAGCAGGAGATGCAAGGTTATTGGCTTTTACTGCTTCTTATAGCTTTTGTATTTCTTTGTTTTTGTTTCACGTGTGTAGGAGTTTTAGATATAGGCCACCCACCGAGCCTGAATTATTGGACGGTCCTGTTTTATGTGTATATATGTGCCTATAAGCACGTACAATGTATATTCTTGAATTCGCCCTGATATTTACATGAAAGGAAGGAGTGATCAACAGCTACGAAACGAGTTTTTCTAAATGGCTTTGATGGTTGAATGCAATGAAATGTGCCTCAGTTTATCCCAGGAGTTTATAAACCAGACCAGCCAGGACAACTCTACAACTCATTCAGCATTCAGTCCCTTAACCTACAAATAACATAGCTCTTCAGCTGAAAGAGTAAAAAGTAATGGATTCGGTTTTAGCTATTATTTATATTTGCTTTTGTGGAACGTTTAATTTAATCTCCCCCCCGTCCATGTTATTAAGTTTCACTCGAGGCTAAATTCCGTGTATCGCGTAATCGTTTCGGTCTTTCGTCAACGTGCTGGAATGATCCAAGCGATTAAATGTAACATTTTGTGGGTGGTTGTTTGGACAGATGGTTTGGAGGCTAATGAATGCGAATGGATAGAACAGAGGTCGATCACGCTGACTTTATGGAAACCAAACATTGTACGTTCCCTATGCCGTGATTGCTCCAACTTTAAAGAGAATTATAAGATAAAACATACTCAATAAAACTTCATCTTTTTTAAACTCAAGATTCGAGTTATATTGGCAAGTAATATTTTACTCGAATCTTGAGTTTACAACATGATAATTTTTTGAGTATTTTTTATCTTAGATGTCTTCAAATTGTTGGCTGGAAAAGGATTTTAAGGAGAATAAGTTGGCCATTGATAAAGGGAACAGTTTATTCGCTTCACAATGTATATTTTCCATCTGTTCAATAGATTGCGGTGAAAATTCCGAGTCGTACTTTGATGTCCCACAAAGTGGCGTCAGTAAAATTAGAAAAGTGCAAACTGAAGAAACGTTGAAATGGTGAGATTTTGTTTTCCACACTCCGCAGAGAAACATTCATCTTATCTTTGTTCAAATTCCTTCTGTTTTCTTCTGATGAATGGAACCTTTCAAAAGCTTCTTTCAGAATTGAATGTGATCGTGACAAGTTGCCTCTCAATTTTCTTACCTTCTTCATCTCTTCAAAGGTTGGATGAGAACTATGTCACGTGCGAAGGTGTATGTCTACCACGATGTATACTGTACGCTCATTACCTTGATTTCTGTCGACTAAAAAAGGTTGAAGCTGCGTGTGCCGCGACTTTTGGAAAGGTAAGATGTGTGCCGAGCGGGATTGCATAGGACTTTTCCAATGTGATATCCCCCCCTTCTATAAACTGCGTGTAGATGCGAGTTTTTGACATTACTGGACTCTCCCATGGCAGCAAAATGCCCGAATCTAAGAAAGATGACGATTTGTCATATATATCTTCAGATGATAGTCGAATAACTTTAGCGTACTAAAACGACGCGTCTACCCTCTTCATTTGCTTATTTGTTTTTCCCAGATTATTCGTCAGAAGTTTCCCAAGCTAACTACGCGGAGATTGGGAACTAGAGGACATTCTAAGTAATAAACGTGTGTTGCTGATTTGGTGTGCTTTTAAGGGCATTGTGAGGAAGAATTCTTTTTATTTAGATATCACTACTATGGAATTGGAATCAAAGAATCGTCGACGTATTATCATTCAGTCTATTCTGGCAAAGGTCTTACTAGGTTCGTTATTGAAAATGAAATAATTAAGATTGTTACAATACGTGGCTACTAGAGTTTTGGAGCTTTAAACCTTACAGATAAGAACCTGTACCTTCCCACAAAGCAAAGCAGATTTATCGACTTTTTTGTTGCTGTAGTTTGGTTAGAGGTACCTCCATTGAATGAACACAGCACGATAAGTTTTCATGCTAGTTGTGTAGCCACTGAAAGAAAATGTGGGGGACCGGGGTAAAATTCTGTCCCAGATCCCTGCTTCGTCATGATTCTGAACATTTGTGACTGCTTAGAATGAGTGAAACGTGTCCTGAAAGTCAAAATAAATATGATTATCTTAATTACTGGTCTTTTCTCAAATCAGGGACTTTTAATTGTATGTTTGGAACTGGGGCAAAATTTACCATTCTCGCGCCCTCTCAGGGGGCCTGCCTAATTACGGCACTCTTATTTCTATTATTGAGTCACGCAACATGCCGAAGACCGTTATTTTAATGTTTGTTTAGGTTTTCAAGCTGCAAAGTAAAAAATAAGGTAACTTCGTTGGCTGTAAAACATTCTCATTTCTCTGCACATGCTCACTAATGTGGTAGTCTATATTGTAAGGGAACTTTCCTCAGAAAATATTCTCCAACCTCGAGAACTGGAACGCTTCTACCAGATTTTCCGAATCCTAAAATTCTGATGTTCCCCCTGGAAGCACCTCTTGAAAAGGTTTGTTTAAATAGAGCGAACATATGTGTAGTGATTTGAGCCGCGTGATTCGTAAATTACACGTGTTCTTTCTACATGTGTGATGTTTTTCAGGTTGATACTTTGATCATGATGTACAAGACACATTGTCAGTGTATTCTGGATACTGCCATTAATTCCAACTTCAATGAGGTAAACGTGATAAATGTGATTGGTTTGATTTTTCTACGTCCAGGCGGTATCGAAACAGAAGAACGCTTTCGATCGTTTAGATCTACAGTTATCTTCTTCACTTTTGGCAAAGAATGCCAAACCATTTGCTTCCTGTTCTACGAGTTGACGTTGTTGTTAACCTCATCTGTCTTTGTGACTCGATTTTATATAAGGTAAGCAAACACTGTTTTCTTTGCGATGATCCACGTGAATAGGGACCTCTCCCTTCTCCTTATGTAAATGTGCGATAGGGCATTTAATGATCTCCCTATACGGTATACGTCAACTAACTTGTTTATGACTTGTCGGTGAATTGTTCATCTGACCATCTTTTCCTTTCATTTGTATGTAATAGGCTAGAATTTTGTCGTCAATTTACTAACATGGAGGAAACGCAGTGGACAGTATGAAATAGACAAATAGTAGACTTGAAAGTACACACAAAAGTAACGTAGACAAAAAAAACAAACTAATTGAGTAGGTAGTTAAAGGTAACTCGTTGGTAAATTACCAACTGACTTCGTGCTGTATTTAATAGGAAAGAATTTGCTGACAGTTAATGACACTTTTTAGATATAACAGTACACAGGAAGCAAATGCTAATATAAAATCAAAAGAAGACACAAAAGTAGAGACAAAAGTTGACAGCTTATAATAACAGAGTTGACAAGAACAGGCATAAAGTGGCCTGAGGTACCTTGTTGGTAAAGTGGTTAATCTGACATTCTGTTATATTTCATATTCGAAAGGCTACATTTCCATTAGGCGAGAACGAGAAGTTTGTTGGGCAATTTATGACTTAGATTAGACACAAAAGTAGGTAGCTATAGAAATAACTCGTTGCTGAGTAGTCGTAAATTGTTGATATAATATTCTATTAATTGGAAAAACAATGAAAAAAAATTTAATGCTCCAAAACGAAAGGCTGAAAATTAGAATAGAGAGAAGTAAAATTTTGCTTTTTGCCTTTAAAACAACAATTAATTGTTTTCATCTTTTCGTTGACTACAGGTTCTTCTTGATGTATTAATTCCAAGTACGATGCAAGATATGCCAGAAGAGTTAGTATTTTTAATCAAGTGCCGTTTCTATGCAAAAGCCACACAACGCTTTACTAAATTTTTTTGTTCTAAATTTAGATTGTTATCTGATGTGAGAAGTTTTGCGCGACAAATTGAAAAATGGGTCAAATCGTCTTTAGAAAATTTTCCGGAAAACTTAATTAGCTGCAAACTTCAAGGTATTTATAGATATGTTGTTGTTTTAATTCCGTCTTTATTTTTGTTTCTCAGAATATTTCTCTTCATAAGCTGCTCGTCAATTTGCTCTGGCCATCAAAAGACAGACATCATTTCTTCATTTGGCTCAAGTGAGTGCTCCTTAATTTACGTTACTGACTGTCCCTCATTGAGAATTAGTGTCCATTGGCTCAGGTGAGTGTTCCTTTACGTTACTGACTGTCTCTCGTTTAACAAAGTTGTCCATACTTTGGACATTTCTCAGTAAGACGCAAACTGACTCCGCAATGAACGTTGACTGTAAAAGAAGAGACTTAAAGATGGTAACATGCAAATATGCTACAATTTTCAGTGCATTTTCTGCTTCAGACAGCTAGACCAGTGATACAGGATGCAGAGATAGCCGACCAAATGGCCAGCGATCTTGATGAAGTTGACTTTAATTCTTTGGAAACTGAAGCCATGTTCACATCTTATGATGGGATGAATAAAAGTGGCGACAACGATAAAGGTTTGTCTATCGTATTGCTAAAGCTTCTACTGAAGCAGAAACAGTACGCTTTGAAATGATTATTTCTTTCCAGTTTTAGCAAAGTTGCGCAGTTTACTGGAGAAGCCCGCACAGATTGAGGAATATGTTGATTGGATGGATGGGATCATCGAAAGAAGGATCATCAAGGTTTGGAATAAATGTTGATCATTTATAAGAATCTTTAATATCACATAAGATAATTGTTTATATATTATAATAATCATCAATGTTGGGATACAAAATGACAGCAAATTCTTAATTGTTGCAGCAGTTTGTATATGTTAATGTACTTAATTATTTTTCTCCCAGCCTGAAGACAAGAAAGACGTCAAAACTCGTGCGCAGGAGTTCCTACTTCAGTGGTCTTTCACTTGTGGCAGACTCATGCACAATTTGACCTTAAATTACTGCACAACTTTTGGTGAGTTTTTAAATGGCTTTTCATCATCAAATGAATATCGTCTTGGAAGCATGTTATTTTTTGTCATTTGTTGTCGAACAGTGTTCTGTGCTCCTAAATCATCGCGTTAAATTTCGCTTAGGTTCATTTCATCTTCTGCGCATGCTTATGGACGAATACATGTTTCTGGCAATTGAAACAAAGTTGAATGAAGATTTAGAGAAGACAATTCAGGAAAATCTGGACAAAAATCTCAAGCAAGGTAAAGTCCTTGCATTGTGTTTGGAATGTGAATATCGCAGGCTCAGTTTCACCAGCGCTTTGCTACTTCTTTGCTTCAGATGGTGACTGCGATAAATCCATTCGAATGTCGACATTTAGCACAAAGACAAAATTTACAGTGTCAGCGGCGAGATCAAGGCCAGCAGAAAATGTTAACGCAAAAGCAAGGCCATCGTGTCGAGGAAAGAGAAGAACGTCTTTTAAAAATGATCAGTGCAGTTGGTCACAGAACAACACAAAACCCAAACGAAAGGTGTGAAATGAAAATATGATGAATATATGTTTTGACCACATCCGACGTATCTTCTTTACATCCTTTTATGTCCAGCTGATAAATGACAGCAAATATAAGCATCTGTCTCATGAAATAACACCCCTGACCCCACCTGTCTCGCCTCTCTTCAACATGCAAAATGGACCGACTGTACCTACCGCATGGTACTACGCTGACACGCAACCTAGAACGCTTGATTTTCAGAGATTCAAGATGAACAATATTCCAAACATTGTCCAACCGAGCCTCGAAAGAATAGATTATTTGGTCAGCGAACATTTTCGAAATTGTGGTGTAAATCCATCTTTATCTGGACCGGTGGATGTCAATGGAAACTTAATGCCCATGCATTTTACTTATGATCACGTGACTCAAACCTATCCCAGAAAGCAGCAGGTAATTTTATTGCAACAGGTTTGTTGCATGGTAATTTTCAAAAGTGACAAAGTATTTGTTTTTTTCTAGCTTGATACAACTAACTCAAGCTTTCAAAACCCACGCTTTAAAGCACAAAATGAAGGCGAAGCAATCCCATCTTATCCAATATTACCACCTCATACGTTCAACAACAGCCATCTTTCGTTCCAGACGTCTATGATATTTTACCCTGACGGGAATTCGTTGGATAATTCCAGTCACTTTGTTCCATTCACCTCTGAAGAGGCTGACGAAATGGACAGTTCGGTGGATAACCTTTTCAGCGATTCATGCGCGTTCGACGATGTCAATGCCAATAGTTCTTTACCATCTATTAATTCCCTTTTAAGTACAGCAGTTCAGATGTTCTGAGCATTGGATGAAAATTTCATTTGCAACTTGATCATCTGCTGAACTTCAGTTTTGTTATTTTCTTTGTTTTTAAATATTGCACAGGCAGCGAAAACGAACTGCTCAGGAATTGTCTAGTAAACAAAAAGAATGATAGCACAGCGCTATAACCAACAACTACAAACAATAACGACCTTATCTAACAACATTTGAGAAATTAACCTTCCACTCCTCTTCCTTGTAAACCAGACAAGTCTACTCAAAAGCAGAGAGCCTTATACCTTGTAATTGTCTAGTAATGTTTTATGGTGATATTATCATCCAAGTCAAAGATTGATTTACTTTAAATGTAGATATGACCTTCGCACTTGGCTGGACAATTTAAGCAATTGTCTCATGAACCTGAATAATTCAGGTGACTCAACGGAATCATATCTTCATTTAATTTCAAACACCGCACTGCATAAAACATTCTTTCATTGATTTACTTTATTAATCAGCAGTGTTTCTGACTGATGAAAACTGTAATTATAGCTAGAAGTGGATCCACTATTTATTACACATACTTTTATTTTTTGTGGTGTGAATTATATCTTATGTTTTGGAAATTCTTTTTCACTGCCTGTGTATTAATAATGTTAATCCAGGTCATGAACGTTAGCTTAGAGATCACCTTTGTGTGGTAATCGGTGGGGTGATATTGTGGTAATCAGAGCCCTCTATAGCTCTGGTGGTAATGATTGTCCTCGGACACCACTCGGAATCTTGTCGGAAAACCACGGATTTACTCTGCCATTTTGAAAACGGTAAACGTTTTACTCTTACTAACTTAATTTTGTTTGTAAATAATGTTAAATATATCGAAGTAAGGTTACGTTGAGGTCCAGCAACCGCTAGAAGATATGGCGACGGAATCGAAATTCCCAATTCAAAGCACTGCAGGAGCAGTTCCAGTCAAAAATGAGAAGGGTATTAGGATGAACATTGAATGAGCATATTATGATATCGTTTAAGAAAGGAATTGTATCGAGTTGAATTAATTTGTAGGTGAACTATCCATGCAGAAGGTTAAAGTAACCAGATATGTAGCTGGAAAAAGGTATTTGTATTTATCTACACTTCACGCCTAATTGTTTTCTTTTATATTTATCAATTATGTCAAAGTTCCAAGATTGACTATTGACTAAGATTGTTACAATGTTTAATTGAATTTGGGTAGAAAGTTTTGCTATAAAAACATTTGATGTTTTCATCCTAGTGTATAATGGTTGACTTAGGTTGTTCAGAATCTATAATCGAAACATTTGTCTTGTCAGTATGGAGTTTAGGCTTAGCCTGGATTGGAAAGTTTGCAGACATGGAGCATGGATTTAGTACTATAACTTCTACACTTATACAAGCTGTGTATGGTTCCAACCAAACACAATATGTATATAATATTAGGACAATATTTTAATGATTAATTTTGTTTCTTAGGCCAGGATATGCTCCTTCATCAAGTGATGAAGATGACGAGGACGAAGATGAGTTTGTTCAAGAACAACGTGAACCAACTGATATCTTGATGGACCGTCGTCTCAAAGAGGTATTTCATCTAATGATTTATGCAAAACAAGGATTATTTGGTTCATGAGTTTTGGATTATGCATCTCAAAATTCATAGACTAATATTGAAATTGTAGGTTGACTTCTTTTTGTGAACTGAAAATGTTAATGTGATATGAATAAATAAGAACATAATTGTTTACAACATTTAAAAAGTTTCATAGAAGTACACATTTTCAAAACAAAAATTTTCTGAATCTTGATCAATCACTTTAATGAACATAAAACACAATAAAATATTGCTGATGTTGTTGGTGGTGAGAAATTTATTGATTTCAGATAATGATATTTATTGGCATTGCCTTTATTAGATAAGTGCAAAATTTTGTGAAACACACTGATAAAATCTACACATGATTTTAGGAATATGATAGGGCAGAGGAAAGTGATCGCAGATTAAAGAGACTGCAAGGTCGTGATAAGGCAGACATGTAAGTTGAAGTTAATGCTACATACCTGTGGCCAGTATTGATGATAGAGATTTTTTTGATACGTATAAAGAGCTGAAGCTGTGCGAGAAAGACATCCTGAGGAGCCAGAAATATTAGCGACTGGCGATGGAGAACATTCTGATGAAGAGGTACGTCAAAACTTGTTAGGACTTTTGTTTTGTGTTAAAGATATTGTTACATTACTTCCTCTTTCCAGGTTGGAGATATGAAAGGACCTCATCCCATGGAGGAGAGCAGGTGAGATCTGAATGAATGAATTTACGGCCGAACTAATGAATAGTCAAGACTTTGCAGTTGTAGATTTAGGAGATCCACTGAGATGTATACATAGCTACCAGCCTTTGTTTCCCACTTCTAGTAAGTCTACCATGAGGATAGTCCGGATAGATTCTTTTCTATGCTTTAATTGAATTATTATGCTTTATAAAAGAACAGCTAATTGACTTATGAACTTATTGGTATATAGCTCAATCAGTTACACCAATAAAAGGGAATTTGCAAATCAATCACCAATACATGTTTGAGAAAAAATTACAACATTCAATGTTTTGAAGCTATCTCTTCTGCATCATTGTTATTTTATAAAAAATGTTTTTTGAGTATGCACTGGCCAATGCAAACTTCAGGCATGTTTGGTAACACTCACATGTGCAAACCCTTAAATAATACATACTTTATGTATTTAGACGAGGTATCTCTAAATGGTGTCCTGCACTCTTTTCTTGATTAGTTGTATGGAAAATAAGTTGCTTTAATTTCATTTATAGTGGAGATGAAGAAGAAATTGATGATGAGGTTTATTATGAATTTGCTCATATTAATACATGTTTTTTCTTATTGAGAATTAATGTAATGTTTATTTTAGGAAATTGAGAGACGTAGAGCTGCTTTGAGGCAGCGAATGGCAAGAAAAGAAGCAGAAACTGTAAGAGTTGAAAATTTTAGTGTTAATAAGTTTAGTGTTTTTGTGCATCACTTGAAAGAATTCCCATCAAAAATAAAGTGTTCAATATGTCAAATTACTTGCAATAAGTTAGCTTACAATTTTAAAATTTATACCATTCCACCCCTTATCTTCATTTATGTTCCCTGTCTTCATCTCCCCAGTTTAAAAGCACTTTGTTAAAGGGCGCAAGTATCGACACCCTGCATGAACACCTCTAGGTAAAGGCCCTAAATAAAGAGCCGCAGATAAAACCCCAGGAAAAGACCCCCGGGCAGCATCCTCCGGGTAAAGACTGTGGGGTTCTAGAAAGCTTTTTACTCCAAGTTGTATTGAAAGTTGCTGGCATAAATCTTGTGTTTCCATTCAATGTCCTGTGTAGGATTTATTGGATCTTGAAGATGAACCAAAGTCTGATCAAGATCAAAGTGACGAGGAAGAGGTTTTTAGAGGAAGTCCGAGTAACTTCCATTTTTAGCCATTGTTGTGAGCTGTCTCATTTAAATCCGTTTAGTCGTCTGAATACGAGGAGTACTCAGATTCGGAGGAAGAATTTGGAGCGAGATTAAAACCCGTGTTTGTGCGGAAGTACGATTATAATTTTGATGTGTTTCATTCAGAGGAATGTTTGCAATCATTTATGTAACAAAGATCACTAACCTGTATAGGTCTGAAAGGGTGACCATTAAAGAACGCGAGAAGATGTCTTTAGATGAAGAGAGAGGAGGAAAAGAAGAAAAAAATAATGGAGGAACGCAAAAGGACATCACGAAAGGTAACTTTTTGACATTGTATGTGTGAGGTTGGGGGGTGGGGGGAGGACAGTGGAGATTGGTGCATGTGGTATCTGATGACATAAATGTAATTGTTGTATTTACTATTCAATGATGTACGTACATTTATTGGTGGATACGAGTGATTAAATATATTTATTAAATGATATATACGTACATTTATTGGTGGATACGAGTGATTAAATATATTTATTAAATGACACTTGAGAAAAACGACGATTTTTTTGAGAGCAAACATGTTTCGACATTATCAGAATGCCATCTTCAGTGCAGAATGGTTAGTGTTAAGTAATATGATACGTAATATGATATGAATAAATTAATTACAATGAATAGGATTATGATTCAGTTACTAAATATAAAATAATTACAAAAAAGGAAAAGAAAAATAAGTATTAAGAACTTATAACAAAATATTATTATAAAGTAAATATAGTGTTGTAGTGGTGAACTTGGATATTTAAATCGGGATTAGTTTTATTAATGTGTAGAGCTTCCTTGATTTTGAGTGAGAAAGTGGATTGATCAGTGTCGATGATTTTAAAACAGGAAGGTGAGAATTTGTTTTACATGAAGGAGAGGCTTGAAGATGTTTGTAGATAGTGGAGTTTTGTCTGTGTGAGTATGTTCCTTTATCCTGGTAGATAATTGGCGAGAAGTTTCACCAATATAGCGGGAATTACATCCCGCACATGAAAATTGATAAACTACCATAGATTTGGAAAGTTCGGGAAGTGGGTCTTTAAACGAAAATAAAGATTTTATTTTAAAAGATGTGAAAATAAGTTTAACGTCAATGTCAGTGCAGTAGCGTTTAATGATTTGTGTGAGTTTGCGTTGTGTGTGTCGTGAGTAATCACCTATGTAAGGTAGTTTGAAATAACGTTTATTGTCAGGTTGTTGTATATCGTTAGTGTTAGTTGTGGCGTTAGATGAGTCAGTGCTTATCTTGCCTGCTTTTAGTTTTGTCGATGATTTTTTATCTTTTAACACTAACGCTCCACATGACAAATTCTTTATTTCTTTTGACGTTGAAAGCCTTTTTACCAACATACCACTGACCGAAACCATAGACATTGCTATTGATTTAATTTTTACCAACAACCCTACATTCAAAATGAACAGAACAGAACTAAAACTATTGTTTAACATCGCTACGGCCGAGACTCATTTTTTATTTAACGGTAAGTACTACGACCAAATTGACGGGGTAAGTATGGGCTCACCCTTGGCACCCATTTTAGCCAACATTTTCATGGGTTTTCACGAACGAAACTGGTTAAATAACTACGGCAACAACAAACCTTTATTTTACCGCAGATACGTTGACGACATTTTTTGTATTTTTCATAACAAAGACGAAGCATTACTCTTTTACGAATACATCAACAAACAACATCAAAACATAAACTTTACATACGAAACCGAACAAGACAATCAGTTACCCTTTCTTGACATCTTACTAACTAAATCACATGAAAACTGTATGACCTCTACGTACCACAAACCAACATATACAGGACTACTGACTAACTTTTTTAGTTTCACACCATTAAATTACAAAATTGGACTGATACGAACACTGACCGACAGAGCACGGAAACTTAACAACACAGACATCGGCTTTCAACGTGATTTAAAGAAACTAATATTCACTCTCCAACGTAATTCTTTTCCTTTTCATTTCATCAACAACACTATACAACACTATTTGGACAACAAGATAAGCACTGACTCATCTAACGCCACAACTAACACTAACGATATACAACAACCTGACAATAAACGTTATTTCAAACTACCTTACATAGGTGATTACTCACGACACACACAACGCAAACTCACACAAATCATTAAACGCTACTGCACTGACATTGACGTTAAACTTATTTTCACATCTTTTAAAATAAAATCTTTATTTTCGTTTAAAGACCCACTTCCCGAACTTTCCAAATCTATGGTAGTTTATCAATTTTCATGTGCGGGATGTAATTCCCGCTATATTGGTGAAACTTCTCGCCAATTATCTACCAGGATAAAGGAACATACTCACACAGACAAAAACTCCACTATCTACAAACATCTTCAAGCCTCTCCTTCATGTAAAAACAAATTCTCACCTTCCTGTTTTAAAATCATCGACACTGATCAATCCACTTTCTCACTCAAAATCAAGGAAGCTCTACACATTAATAAAACTAATCCCGATTTAAATATCCAAGTTCACCACTACAACACTATATTTACTTTATAATAATATTTTTGTTATAAGTTCTTAATACTTATTTTTCTTTTCCTTTTTTGTAATTATTTTATATTTAGTAACTGAATCATAATCCTATTCATTGTAATTAATTTATTCATATCATATTACGTATCATATTACTTAACACTAACCATTCTGCACTGAAGATGGCATTCTGATAATGTCGAAACATGTTTGCTCTCAAAAAAATCGTCGTTTTTCTCAAGTGTTTTTTAAAATTGCTGCTAATTAGAAATTATTTATTAAATGATATATAAGTACATTTATTGGTGGATACGAGTGATTAAATATATTTATTAAATGATATATACGTACATTTATTGGTGGATACGAGTGATTAAATATATTTATTAAATGATATATACGTACATTTATTGGTGGATACGAGTAATTAAATATATTTATTAAATGATATATACGTACTTTTATTGGTGGATACGAGTGATTAAATATATTTATTAAATGATATATACGTACATTTATTGGTGGATACGAGTGATTAAATATATTTATTAAATGATATATACGTACTTTTATTGGTGGATACGAGTGATTAAATATATTTATTAAATGATATATACGTACATTTATTGGTGGATACGAGTGATTAAATATATTTATTAAATGATATATACGTACATTTATTGGTGGATACGAGTGATTAAATATATTTATTAAATGATATATACGTACATTTATTGGTGGATACGAGTGATTAAATATATTTATTAAATGATATATACGTACATTTATTGGTGGATACGAGTGATTAAATATATTTATTAAATGATATATACGTACTTTTATTGGTGGATACGAGTGATTGTATATATTTATTAAATGATATATACGTACATTTATTGGTGGATACGAGTGATTGTATACTTCTATTGTTGGAGAACAGTGATCTGTGCAAAGGAATCATTAGTAGGTAATGAATTATTTTACTGCTTTTAGTTGGTCGAAGACATCATTCACAAAGAATTACAAGCTGAACAAGGCGGTAAATATGCGCTTCATATGTATAACTCATAATCATTTGACAAAAAAATGTTATTTGTGCTGTCATGATGTTTTAGTGGAAAAGGAGGAGGAAGTTATCAAAACAGATGATGAAAACGATGAAGAAGAGGTTTACATCATTATTATCGTCAGTATTTAGATGCTGCAGAATAATTTTTCGCGACATTTTTACGTTAACGTAAAAATAATTACTGCAGAATAATTTCACTCGACCTTTTACCTTACCTCATACATTATTACTTGCAAATAAAGTGATTTTTTTCCATTTTGGTTTTCGCTGTAGTATGAAGCATGGAAAATTCGTGAATTGAAAAGAATCAAGAGAGACAGAGAAGAAAGAGAGTTGTAAGTCGTCAACTTTATCAGAGTATTTCAAGCGTCACTTTCGGAGAGATAGCGCACTTTGATTGGCTTAGAAACATTTTCCGTTGTCCATTACGAAAAAAGTTCACTAAATGAAACAGCAAACGAACACATTGCGCATGTCATATGATAAACTTTTTTTGTCTAACCTTTATCTTTTGGTACAATGTTTCACGGGTAAAAACTGAGCAAAGAAGGTTGTATATTAATAAGAAGTTAGTCATTCGAACACCGTTGCAGCTATCAACTTGCTCTCGCTCATTTTAACTTTTTATTTCAACGTCGTCCATGTTTAACCGTGATTGTTTTTAATAGAATGGAGAAAGAGAAGATGGAAGTTGAACGCCTTCACAACATGACTGAAGAAGAAAGGTTAATCGAGTTGAAAAATAATCCCAAGGTTGTTGTCAACAAAATGCCAAAAGGCAAATACAAGTTCTTACAGAAATATTATCATCGTGGATCTTTCTTCTTGGTGAGCGAACGACCTTTATCTGGACATTTCTGTCTTTATTATCCTGTGAAGTTTTTATAAAAATCGACAAACTGCTCTCCAACATTGCGACGTTTAACTTTTTTTCTCAGGATGCTGAAGACAATGTTTACAAACGCGATATTACGAATCCAACGCTCGAGGATCATTTTGATAAAACTGTCCTTCCTAAAGTCATGCAAGTGAAGAACTTTGGACGATCTGGTCGAACTAAATATACACATCTTGTTGATCAAGACACGACCTCAGTGAGTATTAGATGAAGTTTCTCCATCTAAACAGGACAGGTTTATAAGTTCGAAATATGGGATAAGACTGCGTTTATTTACCCATACCATAATTCGAACCCATTCATTTTGGACACATTTTAAATTAACGACATATTTTTCGAAAGTACGTAGTTATGGTTCCGCATACAAAAAATACGTCGTTTATTTAAAATGTGTTGTATCTCGATAGTGCTTGTATCCTGCATATTTTGCGCCGAAAATGTTACAGCATAACCCGTATTTGTTTTCTTCCGCAGTTCGAGTCACCGTGGGCTCAAGAGAACACACTCAATCTGAAGTTCCACGCGAATCATTCCGCTGCCAGCAAACAAACATTTGAAAAACCTACCAAGAAACGAAAATGATGTTAGCGCAGCTATTTTAACCTCATTATTGTGTAGTTGTGGCATCATTCAAGGTCAGCATTCACATAAGAGTGGGAAATATCGGAAACTTGTATTCCTAATCAAGACATTGCTTTGTTTTTGAAACATATTTCTGAAACCGTGGTTTCCCGAACATTTTGTTACAAAAACTTTAACAACCTTTGCTTCAACAGCCAATTCTTGTATAAATACGTTTCTGTTTTCCTAGTCTTAAGCATAAAGATATAAGAGTAGTTATGGGTCATCAATAAGGTTAATATAGAATAGATTGGGGGGGGGGTGCAAGATATCCGAGAGAGATGACCAATCCCTTTTTACACCGGGGTGGTGTTAAAATTCCTCGTTTGGACTGATGAGGATGAATAAGAACTTTTACTGTATGAATCTAAAACGATGGAAAGACATCTCTCTTTGTCCCACTTGCATTATGCATTATCTTAAGACATCTCTCTTTGTCAACACTTGCATTATGCATTATCTTAACATCAAAATAGCGCTAAGCGAAAATCTTGGTGTGATGCCATATGAGAAAACAGTTAAAGATTTTTGAAATGCTTTTAAAAACCAAATAAATATGGCGGTATTTTGCGACGATTTGGAGGAGTCAGATCTATTATGTTGACAATTTTCCGAGCTATATATATGTATATATGTCAGAGCGTCATGCATGCATAATTAATTAATCACGTATCCTACCCAGTTTTACTCAGAAACATCTAGATTAGAAGAAGACGTATGCTCTGTCTATTTTTGTCTGTCCCACACAGCGGCTAGTCAGCGTGAATCGCTGCTACTGTGCTCGACCAAATACGTTGCTTACATCACAAGAATTTGTATAGGAAAAAAAGTGAGTTGTAAATTAAATCAACATGCCTTCGGCAGGTTGTAAGGCGTGTATAATGTAGCGCATGTGACAAACAATAGATTCTTCGCAGAAAATGGCTTTACAATACAACGGTCTGTCATGCGGTGAAATGAATGCTTTCTTACTGTTGTTCACTGACGGTGTTGCTCTAAACAAATTGATTATTGTTGATATTTGCGAAGTCCCTTTCATCGTCAAAGACATTCGAAAAAACTATTTTTACTTTAACATTGGTTCTCCCCATAGATATCCTCCAATTATCGACTCGGTAAAGTGATTTGTTCCCAGGAGATACGGGAGTATCCATTTCTAAACTTAATTAACATAGTTATATTGAATCTTCTTGGGTTTCGTGGTCCAATTGTCCTAAATTGGTTTAGTGATTGAAATAATAGCGAAGAAAACAGTGTGTTGTCTTATCTTTCACCAAAGAGTTACCACTTTGTATTTTCTTTTTCGAAAAGTTTCCAATTCAATGCAAAATTTCGACGAATCGAACTAGTTCATAGAAAATTATTTAAACTTCAACAGAAAGAATATATTGTCGATTTTGCTAGTCGCGAATGATTATCTTGGTGAAAGGTTTACGTCCGAAAATGGCATGAATCATGCCTCCCGACATAGATGTTTACAAAGTTATAAATAGGCTTGGTCATTCTAACTGAGCCAATCCATCCGCCCATTGTCCCAACCTTTTAACAACTGTCTCATGTTTGAAGGATTACCATTTCTCTACAAAAGTTATTCAACACATGCTGTGACATTTTAAAGTGAATCGAGAAAAATGTCTCGAAGCAGCTGTGATTGACTGTGATTCATGTGATGATCTTTAGTCTGTGGACAAAACACAGACAAACAGAGGACAAGGCTTTACAGCAGAAGAACACCAAGAGCGAGCTTAGCTCGATAAACAGCACAAATTTTTTGGAAAAAGTCTCAGTGAAGCCGAAGAAATAGAATAAAAAGAAAGGCGAGGACACTTTCATCGTTGTGGAAGGAACGATTGAAGGCTAGCGATGAATTTTGTCGCGATAATTTTGACCGCATTCGTAACCTTTACTTTTATTGCATTCACAATGGAAGTAAAAACAAGCCAACGGCGAAATATGGTATGGAAAAACGTCTTCATGTACATTAGTCAAAAAAACGCTCTCTGCGCTTTCTTTAGGTAGTGTAATGGTTTTATTAACACATGCTCATTTCGTGAAACAGCCGAAGCTGTGCTGTATGGAACTACGTTATCAATATTATCCTACATATACCATTAACTCAAGTCTCGTGAATTTGGTATAGGTCTTTGCTTTGCTGCTTTCATTAAACGTGCCTGTCATGCTACGTTTTTTGCTTTGAATATTTGCAATCTGTGTTGAGAAATTAGTTTTTAATTCATTTATTGATTTGTAAAAATCTGTTCACCGCGTAGTATTTGCTTTAAATATTTGCAATCTGTGTTGTCAAATTAGTTTTTAATTCATTTATTGATTGGTAAAAATCTGTTCACCGCGTAGTATTTTAAATAGTGCCAAAAGTATTTGATTGAGAAGAACAGTTCGTCTGTGAACAAGAAATCATCAGACTAAAGACTTTTATTATACACAGTTTGTTTAAACACACCATGTCTAATTGCTAAAGTAAAATTAGATCACTGTCTTTTCCTTTCTAAGAGAAAAGATTTCACACGTGGACGACGGCGAAACAGGGGTAAAAGAGGTCGTCCAGGACCAGTAGGACCGCAAGGAAATCCAGGACCCCCCGTGAGTATTGCGTATTTCAACTGTGGTACATTTGCTTTGGGTACCAGCTTTTGAAATGGCAAAAATGTCTCTTGAGGCATTGAAAGTGAGTATGTATTGTTATTTTTTTGATGCTAGGGTGTTCCTGGGCGAGATGGACAGCAAGGATCGCCTGGTATCCCAGGAGAGGTTTGTCTAGTAATAGTACCATTGTGTAAATCAGGGTCCTACCGAAACACTGACTCGTCTCTTGTTGTTTAGACTGGATTACCCGGAGATGCGGGTCTACCTGGTAATCGTGGATATAAGGGACGGAAAGGAGACAGAGGGGATAAGGTTAGCGTAACTTGTGGAGATGACAGGTTGTCTTGTGAGCGTAATGAGCTAAGCTCTCTGTGAGAAAACGAGTTCCTTGCCAGTGAATTTTTATCAACAAAGCATCAATTTTATGTTACGTAGGGTAGACAAGGGAGAGTAGGTGCTCCGGGTCAAGCGTGTTTTCTTGAGAAAAAAGGTGTAAAGATCTGTATGACGCCTCCCTCGGGTCCAGAGGGACCACAAGGGACGAAGGGAGATCCAGGAACAATGGGTGAAAAAGGAGATCCAGGTTTTCCTGGAATTAAAGGTTCACGGGGAGAAGCGGGTCAACGGGGTCCTCCAGGGAAGGCTGTGGATGCTATAAGTAAGTGTAGAAAAATACATTCGAAATTTTTGCTATCAAGAATTGATTTTTTTATGTCTATAGATGTTCGCTGTTTTTCACGTCATAATAAAATAACGGTCACTCAAAAGCGCGCAGAGGATTATCTCAATGATTTATTACATGCTCATTGTGATCCCCTGCAGTTTCTTCAAGGAATGAAGATTCAGAAAGATACCAATTCCATCGAACTCGTCTATACATGCTGCTCATTCTATTAAATAACCTAAATTGTATTTACGATGGATGTTGTATGTGCCAGTGACAATATAACTCAAGATGACCCACCGTAAGACTGGCATGTGGTTCTTATTATATCTTTAGCAAGGTTATTATTGTCACGTTACTAAATGTTCCGAGTCATATTTTTTCAATGTTGTATTTTTTGCCTAAAATTATTATTTTGTCCAGTGGTGTGTTCTGCATTTAATTCCGAAGGCAATACACCAATCAAAACAACTCGAAAAGATCTTAATTAGATCTTATATGACTGTTTTAAAAATTATTAACTTTTCTCTCTTTATCTCAAAACTCACAAAAATGACTTAGGCATGAGATTTCGTAACGTGACGTGACGTTATTAATAACTTCACGTTGTTTCAATATTCCTGACTCTGTAGTCAGTATACTCCTAAATGAGCAGCGTAGTTAAATATGTTTGTATTTATTCTTCTATTCTTTCATAATGTATTCGTTAGGTGAAAATCCACATAGTAGTCTATTCACGCTTCATGGAGCAAGGCACGTTGCAGAACGATAATTGGGGGCGGGCGGCAATATTCATACATGCATGATATCCCGTATTAGTTTCCATTCCTTTGTTTCTAACGGATTATAAATGAATGTACGAATCTTTGCCCCTCCCCATCCCCATATTTATTGCGTTGGCTACGTGCCTGCATATTCGAAATATTCGCTGCTATCGACATCTAATTTGAAGCACGTGCACCATCACGGACGCATTGTAATATTCGTCGTTGACACTACGACCGATCACAAGTCGCCGTATCTCACTAGTGCCTGCTCCAATCTCGTACAGCTTGGCATCTCTTAGTATTCTTCCAGTTGGGTAGTCTGATATGTAACCATTTCCTCCTGTAGGTGAGAGATGATAATTTGAACTGTGATACTAATGCGCATGTCAGTTTGTTTTATCATTGAAGTTCCAAGACGTAAATGATGACAAGTATTTCATCATACCTAGACATTGAATGGCATCTAGGGCAACCTGAGTAGCATTTTCTGCAGCATAGAGAATAATTGCCGCACAATCCTACAGAAAAAACAATACAAAACTGAATTTATATTTCCATCATTTCAATCTTTGACACTGTCCTCACCTTGTTGTTGAAATGACCTTTGTCACATGCTCTTGCTACAGTGTAGAGGTATGACCTGCAGGCCATCAGCCTTGTGTACATATCGGCCATCTTTGCTTGCATCAACTGCAATCATAGATGATTACGTGTTATGCACACATCATTTTTGATCAATCAGCTTTGCAGCTTACTTGAAATTCTCCAATCTTTTTTTCAAAAGCCTCTCTTGCATGAAGATAGGGAAATGTAATATCAATAGCTGCTTGCATCAATCTGGAAATAATTTACTTTCAACCTGAAGTTATGACTTGGCAATAACTGTTGGACATAAGACTTACCCTACTGGTCCTGCAGCTAATAACATCCGTTCAAGGTCAAGTCCACTCATCAAGATATACACACCTTGATTCAATCCTCCAAGAAGATTTTCAGCTAACAATGATGCATCCAACAATTGTTATGACTGTTATTTTATGACATAGCAAAGGAACTATTAATTTACCCGGCACTATGCAATCTTCAAATATTAATTCTGATGTGTTTGATCCACGCATTCCTAGTTTATCTAGCTTTAATCCTGTAGAAAACCCTGGAAAGTTTTTTTCAATAATAAAACATGAAATTCCATGTTGTGGTTTGTGAGTCTTGTCTGTCTTTGCATACACCAATAACACATCTGCATCTGGACCATTTGTAATCCACATTTTCGTTCCATTTAACACAAAGTGATCACCTGAAGATTTTGAATGTTTGGTAATGGTTGGTGGTACAAATATGACCTCTAGATATCAACTTACCTTTCTTCTCGGCTTTCAACTTCATGGAAACAACATCAGAGCCAGCATTTGCCTCACTCATGGCTAAGGCTCCAACATGCTCTCCAGAACATAACTAGTGAAGAAAGAGATTGTTAATTTTGCTTGCATTATTTAATCATTTTACTTATTTGCCAAACAACCTTGGGGAGATATTTTTGCTTCTGTTCTTCATTGCCATTACGGCAGATCTGATTCACACAAAGGTTTGAATGAGCACCATAACTCAAAGCAATGGCACCAGAAATACGACTCATCTCCTCCAGAACAATGCAGTGATCAAGGTATCCCATATCTGACCCACCATACTTTCCTACAACATCAATTATTAAAATAATGAGACCACACTCTACCTATTCTTATTTAATAGCCATTTAATAATATGTCAAGCAATGGTTAAGGCATATTTCTTTATGGTTTCAATTGACTTGGCCCTCTTTGGCTTAGATTTTTTATGAAATTGTCTGATTTACCAAACCTGGAGTGGTTATACCCAAAAGACCTAGTTCACCAAGTTTTTTCCAAAATTCCTAAAAGGGACACAAGTTTTATCAGGCTTGTAGGAAGTATATGAGAACAAGACACCTCAGATCAGTGCAAGCAATTACTCACTCGCATTTGTGGAAATCCATTGTCTTTGTCAATGGCATCAGCAAATGGAGCCAGCTCCTTTGCAAAGAAGTTTTCAACAGTGTCTCTCAACTGAAAAAGATGCATGAAAATACAGACCCAAATGACAGGTAGTGTTTTTTGCATTTTAGGATATAATACACATTCCATTTTATGAATCCATAATGTAAATACCCTGTTGTGGACACACCAAAAACCAAACCCCCTCCAAACCTTTCTTATAGTGCTAGATCTACTATCTAGCATAAGTAAAGAAAAAACAACACCCCATTTTTAGATTTGCCTACATTTGGAAATAGACAACCACAACTCGACTGGTTCAGTGGTTGATCCTTAAAAATTCAGAGCCCATAGCTACACTACATAATCCTACGTACAATAGCTTGTCATGAAGATATTTTTAATTTTATAACGAGCTGCTGTTATATATTTTTACCGACGATGCATCTGCTACAGCTTTCTTCGAGGTGTTTAAAATGCTATCAACAACTTATATTTTTATCGCAACCAGGTCAAATAGTTTCAAATTTAATGTACATTTTCATGGGTTCATTGCTGATAACAGTGATAACACTATATGACTATTAATAAGTTTCTGACCTGGCGCTGTTCGTCAGAAATGCCAGTTAAAGTATCATCTACGTGATAGGTCCGCTTAGAAAAATTTCCATTCGTCAAAAAATTAGAAATCACTTTGGTAGAAGGCCCAAACTGTCGAAAACTACGAGAAAGTAAATTTATTTTAGACGCCATGTTACCAGCTAAATGGAAAAATCATCAAGTTGCATGAGAACAAAAAAAATTCCTTAAAATTTCCTTGAAACCGAGCCAGCCATTGTATTACTCTCAGAGAAATGATGAATCCTGTAACTATTTAATTTGCTTGTGATGAAAAGAGGAAACTTTTTTCCCTTTAACTATTTCTTTTCAAAGAAAGAATTGGGTAAAAAACAAAGGATTCCACTCAAGTTGGATTAAAATTAGGAATAAACTGTTTCATATTTTAACCAATCATGATCAAAGCTCGAAAAAATTAAACCAATAAAATGCTAGAATCAGTTGAAATCAGCCAATGAAATCAGGCCACTAAATCATCTTTCAATCACTTGTCACACAATTACAGCTACTCAGCCAGATGTTCGAAGAGTTTCTTTTCAGAAGACTTGAAAGTGAAAGGTAGGTTCGTGAAATTTTGTTAATTATTGAAAAAGTTAGTCAAATGTCAATAAATTCGATGACAAAAGCCTTGTTTCATGTATAGTTACGTACTGTTTTACTTGTAAATCTTTTCGTCCGTTATTTTTGTGCATTTCGCTGTTCAACACCGTGTCTTCGCTGGTGTGTTTGCTATGCAAAAAGACCTTTTCAGTATAAAAACGACAAGATTTTACTTTAGTGTGTTGATTGTTGCAAGTATTTAGAATGTTTTCAAGTGAAACTTTGTTGATAATCTTTACTTTTAACGAGTCTTTGTGAATCGATATATTTTCAACAAGAAACATGTGCGAGCGACATCTTTCTCGTTTAAACGCAAAATTATGAACAAATTTTGGGTGAAAAGTAACAGTTATAGCAAAATAAGAGAAAATAAGGGTATCTCTTATTCTTTGGGTCGATTTTTGTAGGTAAAAACGATCATTTGAACTAAAATTTTAAAGATATCTGAAAAATATAAAATGTTGGTTCATGTTGTACGTTGGACTTTCAATTAAATTGCCGCCTTTTTTGTTCCGCGTGAAAATGAAGAAAACTGGGCATAAATTATGCAAAACTAACTAGCTCGAGTATGAAAAACAAATTTTTAACCGAAAACACCTAAAAAATCCACCTGAGTGGAGTGGGACACCATCGAAAGATAGAAATGTTAACTGCATTACTTGAGTATAGTTTACACAAGTTATGATTGAAAAGTTATTGATCATTTTTAAAATATTTTAAAATAAACGTTTTTCAATTCTATAGAAAAAAATGCCAATTTTCTTTTGAAATTTGACTACGAGCAACCATAAAGAATGCAACCAAAGACGTAGCCTAAAATTGAAAATTGAAAGAAAGATAAAACGAATAGCCAATTATGGAAAGAATTGGAAATGAACTATAAAAGAAGTAAGGCATACAAATTTTTTGTCGTTGAAACTTTCATAAATTGCCTGATTTGTTATATATGACAACGTTTTTGAAAATATCATCAAAATGTTTTACAAAGTCAAATGGATAAAAAAACACATGAACTCATTTTCGTTTATTTTAAATTGATTATTGATAGGATACTCAAATGAAACAGACAGTCAGACCTAGTGTATTTTTAGGGATTTACTTGTGCACACATTCAAAGAATTTTTTGCATGAACAACTTTTTTTTTGGCAGTATTTTATTATGCCATCATTATCTTCATATTTTGCTGCAAGTATATGAGTGCTATTTTAAAACAAAAAGCAGCTTTATAAGATTAGGGTAAGAATGATTTGACAATAAGTCAAAACTTCATTAATTGCGAATGATCTGTTCATAAAGAAGTCTATAAGACTTCCTTCTTTTGTAATCTATAAAATATCAAAAGAAATTCATTAGAAAAAATCCACTGGTGGACTAAAAGTAAAGGTGGTGTGAATGTTGCAGCTATGTTTGTCCATACACTGGGAGATCAAAGTTTTCATTCTGTCTACTATTTTTATTAAAGTAATTTAAAACAATTTTGTGAATGATTATCTGAACTCTACGTTCAATGGCATATAAAGAAGTCTATACGTCTTTCTTTTGAAATGTATAAAATGTCAAAAGAAATATTCTTTGGAAGAATTCTACTCATGAAAGAAAACTTGAAAATAAATTTTGTGTTGATTTTAAAACAAATGCTGCTCGATTTATGGGGTAAGGATTGTTAGATATAATAAGTCAAAAAATTATTGTTGTGCATGATCGATTCGTATAAATTATACAAGCGTGTAGACCGAATAAAGAAGTCTATACGACTTCCTCTTGAAATTTATAAGATATCAAAAGAAAAACTTTATTGGAAGAAATCTATTCATGAAGCAAAAGCGGTAAATGTCATATTTGTCCATACATTAGCAACTTTAAGACTTCATTTGCCTTCTATTCTCTTATTAATTAAAAAAGTGAATAGTATTGTTGTAAATATCATTATGAATGAAAACGTTATATAAAATGACTGCAAGACGTACAGAACAGCAACGAGTACCACACAAGAGTTGAAATTATTTGGAAAGAGGTGACTTCAAGAGCCAAAACTTCACCATTGGAAGAGAATACAAGATCATGTATACAATACATAAAAAATTGGGTAGAACAAACGAGAGTGTTGATAGAGTTAGAGTTGGTAAGAGTGGGATTTAGGACACTTATGTGAATCTATAATGACAGCACAGCATTTTCGTTTGTTTGAAATGCACACAAACGAAGCACTTTTTGTTGTTTAGGATGTTCATCAACTCTTTCAAGCAAAATGTTTTGTATTGTAGAGGCACTTCAGCGAGTCTTGCATGCACAGCGTCTTCTGTTGTCAAGGCACTTCAGGGAATCTTGCATGCGCAGCGTCTTCCGTTGTTGAGGCACTTCAGCTAATCTTTGTGCGCAGCGTCTTCTGTTGTCGAGGCACTTCAGCGAGTCTTGCATGCACAGCGTCTTCTGTTGTCGTGGCGCTTCAGCGAATCATGCATGCGCAGCGTCTTCTGTTGTCGTGGCGCTTCAGCGAATCATGCATGCGCAGCGTCTTCTGTTGTCGTGGCGCTTCAGCGAATCATGCATGCGCAGCGTCTTCTGTTGTCGTGGCGCTTCAGCGAATCATGCATGCGCAGCGTCTTCTGTTGTCGTGGCGCTTCAGCGAATCATGCATGCGCAGCGTCTTCTGTTGTCGAGGCACTTCAGCGAGTCTTGCATGCGCAGCGTCTTCCGTTGTCGAGGCACTTCAGTGAATCTTGCACGCGCAGCGTCTTCTGTTGTCGAGGCACTTCAGCGACTCTTGCATGCGCAGCATCTTCTGTTGTCGAGGCACTTCAGCGAATATTGCATGCGCAGCATCTTCCGTTGTCGAGGCACTTCAGGGAATATTACATGCGCAGCGTCTTCCGTTGTCGAGGCACTTCAGCGAATCTTGCATGCGCAGCGTCTTAAGTTGTCGAGGTACTTCAGCGAATCTTGCATGCGCAGCATCTTCCGTTGTCGTAGCACTTCAGCGAATCTTGCATGCGCAGCGTCTTCAGTTGTCGAGGTACTTCAGCGAATCTTGCATGCGCAGCATCTTCCGTTGTTGAGGCACTTCAGGGAATCTTGCATGCGCAGCGTCTTCTGTTGTTGAGGCACTTCAGCGAATCTAGCATGCGCAGCGTCTTCCGTTGTCGAGGCACTTCAGCGAATCTTCCATGCGCGGCGTCTTCCGTTGTTGAGGCACTTCAGGGAATCTTGCATGTGCAGCATCTTCCGTTGTTGAGGCACTTCAGGGAATCTTGCATGCGCAGCGTCTTCCGTTGTCAAGGCACTTCAGCGAATCTTGCATGCGCAGCATCTTCCGTTGTTGAGGCACTTCAGGGAATCTTGCATGCGCAGCGTCTTCCGTTGTCGAGGCACTTCATCGATTCTATCAAGCACGGCAGTACACTGTAGTAAAAATCACGGCTCATTCTTGAAAAAGCAAAATCTTCCTTTGTATGGGATGAATGGCCCATTCTTGGGAGGTTAGCTATTTGCATTATTTGAGTTCTTCAGAGACCCTTATCAAGTGCTATGTTTTGTCTTTTTTTGCGAGTGTCATGATTGCATGTTTGCTGGTGTCAGATATTTCAGCTTAGATTAGATAGAAAAATATTACGAACGTAACATAAAAGCGAGGAATTCAAAAAGAAAGTAGACAGCTTTGTATTAAACAGAAAAACAAGATGTAATGAAGCAAGATAATAGATGACAGACAAAGGAACCTTTTGACCAAAAATAAGATGGAATGATTTGGAACAAAAATGAATAGGCAATCAGGCAAATGAAAAAAATTAAGATTAAATAATGCAAGAAAAATTGACAAAGCAATATTGTGAAGAAATATGACCCAAAATGATGCAAGACAAAATGACACAGCATTGATAGCAAATTGTAACGTGGAATAAGATGAAATGATTAAGAAAAAAGGACAAGGCAATCTTGTGAAGAAAACAATGATCAAATAATGAAGAAAATAAATGATATAGTTAGCAATCTTGTAAACAAAAGATAAAATAATGCAATAGAAAGATGATATTGCAATCTTGTGAAGAAGAATAAGACAAATTGGCGCAAAACAAATATTTCATAAATTACATAACAATATTTGTAAATACATTGCTTATTACTTAAGTCTATACCAGACCTTTCGAGGATTCTTGACGCAGATTTAACAATTTTGTACATGTTGCTTTTTGTCTGCGGATTGCATTTTCTAACGTGTTTAGCATGACGTCATTGTTTTTTATAACTTACCTAGACTCAATAAGCTATCTATTGATTTAAGTTAAACTAATATACATGAATAAGCTAGCTCTAAAAAGTTGCCTTTGCCTTTGTTTTTATTTGTACGTTATTTTCGACCAAGTGTGCACAAGTAAATTTCTAGAGATGCTGCAGTTGTTGCAAAACGAAGGATGTATCTCAGGTAATGTAAAAATTAGACAATACACGGACTTTACATTAAAATTTACTTGATATTGTGCCTCTTGAATTTCAGAAAAAGCATACATATGATAGCACGAATTATTGTGCTTTGTCGAACTATGGCATGTTGTGGAGCATGATGGAAATGATAATCATGATGATGACATTGTGTAGAAGTTTTAAAAAGCTATGGTGGACTTCAAAGTCAATATGGAAACAAGCCATTTGTCCAAATGATCTTGCGCGTTACAAATATTTTGGTAAGAATGGTTATTTATACGAAGAAATTTGTTAGCTGGCAAACTGTGGGTTGTTTCAGGTGAATAGATGCAAACAATGTTTGAATAATTTTGATTACAGAAATTTCACTAAAAAAATAAACCACCTTCACCACTGATGAACGTTTAGGAGGGGCAGTTGGTTGCTTTTGACGACAAATCTACAGGTATTCAGATTTTCTTGTAGATATCTTTTGTTTTTGATCATCAATTACAATTTCTGAGTTCGTAAGATATCTTTTATTGCCGGAGTATGTTTCATCCTATGAACATAACCATTTTACAAAACACTGCTGGAAGTTGTGAAGAAGCAGTTGGTTGCTTACGAAAATCAATATATAGGCATTTTATGTGTATCTATTCTTTGAACAATCTTTTCAATTACTTTTTGGGTACATACAGGAAAAAAAATTTTGGAAATGGGAATTTGTCATGTAAAAGACAATTTATTACGATTAGTCAAAAAATAGTTCATCCTTGAAATAATTTGGAAATTGGAATGTTATTTGTTGGTAATGTTTTCTCTTTGAAGAACGTCTTTTTCATAATTAGGTTTTCAATTAAAATTCATAATATTAAATGCCATAAGTCTATCATTACTAACGGTTTTTGTATCACGTTTTTGTCAACAACGGTAAAACTTTCGTGAATTTTGAAGAATGTGTGTTATCTCGAACCTTTCATTTATTTTGTAGTGAAGAAAGAATACAATAATGGCGTATTAGTTCTATTCATATATTGCATCATGTTTACCATGGATTAAATCAAATTGTCGTTGGTTTCAATCATAGCCGTCGTTGATCACAATCATAGTCATCGCAGATCAACTCAATGCTGTTGTGGATTACATTATGGTTGTCGTGGATTTCTATCGCCGTTTTCTGGATTGACATCGCCATTGTCGTTGTGGATTTTATGGAACCAATCTTGGGGATTTATCATTTGAGGATTACGTTAATCTACGAATGAAGACCAAGAACGACGTTTCAGGTTGGACGTTTTTTAGTTAAAATCCTGGTGATCAACACTAACAGGAAGTTGATTGAACATTGGCTGTGTTATATAACAAAGTTACTTGTTCTTTTGATTCCTGTTAGTGGTTTTTTTCCTGTATGCATGTCTGGTGTCGAGAAAAAGGTCCGGTTTTTTTATGTTTTTCGTTTATTTGATCACCAGGATACACGATCCTAAGTTCAAGGAAATAAGCATGGGTTTCTTTGAGTTTTGGTCGTGTCTATTGTTCTTGAAATGTGCATATTTAATTATAATATTCACTAAAGTAAACATTAAAAATCTAAATGCACGAATTAAAGCACAACGTAAGTAACTAAACGACGGATTGCATGCTAATATCAACGAGAAAATTACGGTTTAAAATACAGCAAATTTCGAATTACAGATTGAACGGTAAAAATAGCAAAAACCTGCGGTCCGAAACAAATCCGGCATGTGAGCTGCATAGCGCAAACTAAATGTATTTAAAATTATAAATGTCTGAAATATTCTTTCTTGATGATGCTTTATCAACAATTTTAACGTTTTTTTATAGAACCGTCAAAGTTTTGAACCATGCAAAACTTAAAACGTTCATCAAACACTAGAAAATGAAGAAAAACAAGTCAACATGTTTAGTAATTCTTTTGAAAAATGAGTGATCTGCATCATCAAGAGGAATATGCTAGAAGTAATGTCTTATTGGTCTAATGAAGAGCAAAACAGAATAAGTGCATGAAACCCGGCATTGCTTTTGCTAAAAAACTCTCAAAATCAATGTTATGACAGTGGCATGTTCAAGTTAAAATAACGGCTGTTATTTAACTTGAAGAAAAAAAAGTCAGAGCAGGAAGATAGTTTAATTATTTTTGATGTATTGGGTTTGCTCGTCTCGAAATGAAGTCAATTATCTTCATTTATTTTATGCATGGAAGATGATTTTATAGCCAGACGAACTAATTGGATCCATTTAGCCTAGTTCCAGGTAGGAATAATCGTAAATGGTGCCATGATGGCATCTAGGTGATCGAGTGTTGGACACAAGAAGGATTGGTTGGCACGCCGTTTGGTAAAGTATAAGGCCCAGGGAGGCGGTTTTCCACCCCTTAGGTTCTCTTTCGGCTCGGGTACTAACGTTGTTTTACAGGTGTCTCGTCGTTCAAAGGTATGTTTTAATCATTTTTGTGCAGCGTAGGTCGTAGGTACTAGGAAGAGGTTCAAATCGGCTTTTTCATGCCACTGATCAACAGGGTTAAGCTAAAGATGCGCAAAGCAAAATGCATGAAAAAATTGCGTAATCTAAAAATGGCGTAATCAAAAAATGGCATAATCTAAAAATGGCGTACTCTAAAAATGGCGTAATTTTAAAATGGCGTAATGAAATGAAACCGGTTCCGGATTTTTCACTGCTTTTTTTACAAGGATGCATATTTCCTAAGTCACCTTTTTCAGCAACCTTGTAAAGATAAAGGTAGTCTAATGAATTTTGTAAATATAATTAAGGCCTTAAAAATGTAAAGCACCCTTTTTTTTAAAGATAACTAGTAAAAATAGATAAGGTGATTCCAAGTAATGTGCATCCATCAACTGGGTTTCGTAGCTTGTTTGATCTCTGAGGGTTTTCCTCCGGTGATACGCCGGTTTCCCTCATCTTTAGAGAATCGCTCTAAAGAATAAAAAAAGGATGGCCATGTCTGGAACCTGTATGGTTATTGGGTTGAATTCCCGATTCACTCAAAGAAACAAGATTGGAGATACTTGGACTTTCTTTTTGTGTAACATAAAAGATAACTATATATTGTCCAATGTTAAGGTAAGGGGCACAAATTTTTCATTATTTCAAAACTGATTTTATTTTCAGTATATTTATACCTAGGCATCATAAATTTTGCAGCACTGGAGCTTTTCAAGCACGCAATTAGATACAACATAGCAAATACGATTTTCAAAAATTGGATCCTGTGCGAAGAAGTCGTTATTTAGCATTAAGTCATCTTTGTGTAACCCTCTCACTCCGTCAAGCCTTTGTTGTGAGTTCTTTGTTAATTTACGTTTGGTAGCTATGCAAGTCTAAAGGCGATGTTTCAAAGCAAGCAACACGTAAAGGCGATGAAGAAGGAGGCTTGCAGAAAAAATTTGCAAAAAGAAAAAAATGATTGTAAAATAAGAATTTGTACTACAGTGTACCATGTGTAAAATAAGAATTTGTACTACAGTGTACTGCTGTGTTTCAAACGTAATTTCCATTTTTTGCTTGGTTTGTTCACAGAAAAAAAAATGAGAAACGTTAAACAGTTTAGGAGAAGCAGAATAAGAATGGCATGCAGCGCTGACTTTGTCATGTTCAACAAAGTCATCATAAGTGGGATCGTTTTTGAACAACACAGGCTTCAGAAATAAACAATTTGATATAGCATGTCAGCCTTCGGCTATCAAAGCGGTCCGATAACATTGTCTTATACCTCCTCCTACTGAAAACACAGTGATGAGAGATAAACTGTGTCAAGATTATGCATTAACATAACATTGCGCAAACAATTTTGATTATATTTACCAACAGAGCATGTGAAGAAAAGCTGCATGGTGGCATATTAGCTATGTAAAATTCGGACTTAGTAATATGTAACAACATCTTGAAAATTGTTAACAAACTCATTCACATTTCATTATTTTTTCACAAACTAATATCGATTCCAGAAAAAATCAATTGAAAAATTGTCTTATAACCGGGCCAGCTCGCTATGTTTATTTGTCTTATAAAATTTGCCTACATTTGTGGTACGTTTATGCAAGCCTGTAAACTCTCACAAAACAGTTTCGTGGAGTTCAATGCAACACTAAAAGCAATATTAAATAACATAAAATGTTGCAATGTTGTGACGCAATCACAACATTGTGACGCCCATACACCCGAAATCAACCATAGTAACCAAGGAAACGAGCTTCAAGCAAACTATGGACATAATCACACAAGCAAAAACAGATGTTGAAAACATTTGCGACCTTCGTGCAACGTACACTTTCATCTTATCGAAATATGATATAAAATGCAGAAATAATTGGAAGAATGGAAGCGGCCACCGGCACGTCTTGAGTTTCCGGTTCCCCCAGATGTTCACCGGGAACTTCATAATTCATTACAACATGTTGCTAATAAAATAATTAGAATAGTGACATCTCATCTTGTCCCTCTTGTTGAACTGGATGTTTCATGCTGTAGTCCACTAGTTCATCGTGCTTTTATGGTTTATACATCACGAAGACGGAGAATACTTCGCGTGCTTTCTCTTGGGGTGTTTTTGATAGGATGTTTTGCCATTGTTCAATGGTGGAAATCGCGATTACTTCCTTTTGTTGGAAGCATTACAACAAAGGAGAAGAACGACATTTTGTTAGGTGATTTATTTTTGCTTCTTTCCTTTTACTTTATCATTTTTGCATTTGTTTAGTCTTTAAGATTTCTTTATCATGTTGTTTGACGAGTATTGACGGAGTTGAGGTATTGAAAATACCGTGCGAATTATTAGTTTTCTAAATATTCTATTAGCAAGATTTCTTATCGATTAATTAAACGATAGATATGTAAATACCCGAACACGATGTCTGAGAGAAATAAAGTGGCCGTATTTTACTGATGGAGCAAGATGTATTTAGGGATATTTAAATTCAAAGAGGCTATTTTTAATAAACAATAGTTCTTTGAAACTATTGCAGCTGCAGAAGGCCGTTCAATTCTGAAATGAATTATTGATTATCCACGATCTTGTTGAAATTGCCTATGTTATAAACTGTTCTCGTAATGAATTAACCTCCAAGTCGGAAATAGCTTTATTTTGAGTGTTATTTTGCAAGAAAACAATTTTAGAGAAAATTGGATTTCCAGCGAATATCGCGAAATCGTTTGTTTGTATCAAGCTGCCATATATGTCAGCAATATATGAAGTTTACCTCGTTTGTTTACACTTAGAAAATTGAATGTTATGCGAGAAAGTTTTTTAAAGTTATTAGACCAACAAACATTGGCTCTGGAATTCAGCAGCATTGCATATGGTTTAGTGTATATGTTTTTGTGACTTTTGCGTATTTCTTTATAATTCTGCTGTGAGCCTGTGACTATGATTGTTTTGTCAAAGTGTTCCATCCGTTTCTTAAACTTACAATTGATTAACTTCAAGTGATAATAGTTCATTGCAATTTTATTAGGACTCAAGATTAATGTTAGAGCACAAAATGCCAAGGTATGGTCCATATGGACCCATTCTTTTGTGTACCTTTTACTGATCATGTGATCAACCTGTCTTTTGTCATCTTCAAATGCAAAATCTGGTGCATATCATGTTGTTAAATTTGAGTGTTATAGAATTTTTTAGCTAATCTGAGGGAACATTATTTCTTGCAATGCATCATTGTGCTTACAATTCGTCTTTCTAAATTTGACTTTTAATTTAATAAGAGATTGCATGCTTTGTATTGTACTAAATGGGTTGGTGAAGTTTTGTATTGATCAGCAATATTCTTCTCTGTAATTATGATTGCATGGATATATTGTCAATTTGTGGAATTTTTGTCATGTTGTTTTCAATTTCAGTTGGTTCTCCATGGCAAGTCATATGAGGATGAAGATCGAGAAAACATTTCTTGGGTAAAACACCCATGGACAACATCGGTAAGCTATTGCCTGTTACAGTCTTAATCACTTACTTTGTTAAATTACTTTGTGCGGCCAAAATCCTGTTGTTGATTTTAGTTGTATGGCTTTCTTAACATTCATGTGTGGCATGACTGGTGTGGTAGTGCAGTGAATGATCTCAGACGTAATGTACACTTTCCTAAATATCCTGATGTCAAATTGAAAACCAAATTATTTTATGTAAGCCATAATGCTGAAAACTTTGGACAAAGAGTGTTTGGCTTTGTACACCCACCTAGAACTGGTAACGACATTACATGTATATGTTTCATTTCTTAAACAACCAAGAGCTCTTAATTCCTGTAAAAAGGTTAGTGATGGTTTTGCTTTTACAGGCTATTACACATTTGCTATCTCTTCCGATGACTCCTCTGAACTCTGGCTTAGTACTGGTGAAAATCCAATGAAGTCGCAGCTGATTGCATGGGTTGGTAACCTGACGAATCCAAATTGGCAAGAGATCGTAGGTGAGGGAGTTCACCCGCTACAAATCCCAGATTTCCTCACCCGTTCTCTTGCATCGTAAAAGGCGTTACTTTATTGAAGCCTTACACAAGCAATCATCGTCATACGATCATCTTTTGGTTGCTTGGAAAATGCCAGGTTTTGTAAATTTCACGTACATAACACGTGCACGTATCTCGCAGTACATTCATCCTCACGAAATGCATAACCTTGACGTCACACGTTACTCATTGCATATCCCCATGAGTCCTGCCGTAGTTCAACCTGCCTATGAGATGGTCAAACTAAGTAAAGAAGTTCCCAAAGGTATCCCAACCTCAAATATACAGATACCTCGTTTCACCCGTGGGAAAGGCAATAACTACTCGAAGACAATCGCACCGGAACTTTTCTCTAGATTGCATTCTCGTATAATGTCTTTTTCTTCGTTATTGTACCCGAGTTGTGAATACAAACCAAGCTACCAAGTTGATTTCAATGTCTCACGATACGAAGGAGTTTATTTAATTCACGAAACTGCCGTATATCCATACGATAACACGCATCTGAAACATGTGGAGCACTATAAACCATGCTTTAAAATGAGAGTTCGTGATTCGCATGGCTTGCGGTTGCCTTGGGTGAATGATGAAGAATTTTATCAGATGGGGGACCCGCTAGATGACCATGGGATGGCTGATGTGAAACATGATGTTTTTCATCAAGAGACCTCTAGAGGTTATCTTGCTCGCTCTACTTCAAGGAATTATTCCCCTTTTGAAAGTTTTACACAAAGGAAAACCTTAGCCGTATTCTTAAATAGGGCTCGTTTGCCATACCACAGATATCGATTGTATTTACCGAAGAAAAAGGATATAGAAAGTCAAAACGTAAAGAGTAAGATGTCAGAGAAAAGGCATCGTGAAGAAAGTGATCGTAAAGGTGTACTGGATCATATTGCAAAAAAGATGATGGAAAAGATAACTGAAATATGGCGCAGAGCTGTAGCAGGACATGAAAACAGATCAGAAAGAGATTCGACCAGAAATAGTTTTCCCAACGAGTTGAAAACAACATCCAACTTCGTGCATCGTGAAAACAACGATGTTCCGCTTCTTGGGAAGGAGACTTTTCACAAGTTAAAAAGATCTGGACAGTGGAAAAAAATACTAGCGTATGCGAAACGAGAAAAATTGCTGGTAACAAGAAAAACATGGATGTACGTTGCATGGAAGTATTTTCGGTATGAAAAACCCGAGAAACCCCATGATAAACTGGTCGAATTCATATATAAACAACATCCAACCTTATGTCGAACTGATGGAAATATTTTATTGAATAAAGATGTAAGCAGCACTGTTCTTTGTGGTATGGTGTTTGTTGTGTGACGCGAAAGATGTCTTTTCAATAGTTTTGATGTTCAATTTGTGTGTTCAACAATACGAAATCCCGTTAACTGTATGTCGGTGTTTTCTACCATCATGGCGATCATTGAAGACACTTCATAATTCACACTACTCAATTTCAGGTCGCCAAAGGTGTTGTTAAGAGATACATCAATGATTTGCGATCACTTTATTCAAGGTGTGTAAAGCATTCACGTGTTGTGATTAAAGTGTGAGTTTTGGCCTGTTTACATGAAAGACGAGTCATCCTAGAAAAACGGTTACCCAAGCAAAGGATTAAGAAATCCTGATTGTTTTTATTTACAATAGATAGGGTCACACTTCTTTCATGGTTATCTTTTTCGGAAGGATGGCCCTACCATTGCGTCATGTTATCTTTTATAACATATGATATAAGTATAACTTTGATTTATAGTTTTTTCATATCAAATCGTTTCTGCTTAAGAGTTATTTGAAGCAATCGAAAATTTTTTATCACGATTCATGATGCAGTACATAGCGCAATACGGGCATTGTGCAATAATGAAATAATGAAAATATTCTTGTCATTCACCTTCAAAGTGCTTGTTTCATGGAAGGTTTTGTTCTTCGCCTTAGTGACATAAATCTGAGGAAAGTTTTAAACGTTGAAGAAAATCACGATGTCCTCAAAGGGGACAGATATCTCATCGAATTGGTAAGACCTATTTATTGTTCACGATAAGTTATTGTCGTGTATCATCCAATTAATGTCGTGTATTGTCCAATTAATGTCGTGTATCATGCAATTATACGTGATTTGGTTAATCAGTGCATTTATTAGACATTTTGCAGAGGTCACAAAAATTTTTGAGAAATTATTGTAAATCTTCTAAGATTCAAAAGCAACAATGTAGATATAATATCATTTTTCATTGTCTTTAGGAACTTGAACTCAAAGACAGAAGTATGTTTTTTTATGAGGATCGACGTTTGTGTTATATACTCCACGAATGTCCTTTCATCTGTTTCGTTTACATTCAGATAAACCCATTCTCGTTTCTGATTACGTCTACCAGCCCTTGGGTGCTAGCTCCTTTTGTGCACCAAAACACTTTGTTTGGAAAAAGAACGTGACTGTTCACGTGATAGTGCCAGGTATGACATCATTTTGCCTATGGTCAACCCATGTTAAATTCTGTTGGGCGCTACGAAGGTGCAGGTCTGGTAATAAATATTACCACGTCTTGTCGCACTGAGTCTGAAACGGCGATAATAAAACTGAAGCGATCATAGACCAACCGACACCTTTTAAATTCTCGCACCCCCCCCCCTCCTCCCCACCTCCCTCTCAATTAGTCGTGCTTTATCTATCACTGACTGATAATATTCTAAAGATTATTCTCACGACATCGTTCAATGAGATATATTGTTTGTCACAATGTCTATAGTTAAGAATCAAGGCAAATGGGTTCAACATTTTATAAACGACATGTCAGAGGTACGTATCTCTTTCACAAATCCATAAACGTCTACTTTTGATAACTTCGTATTTTAATGCTGCGATTTTTATTCATTCAGTTGTATGAAAGTACTAAGGATGAACAAATCAATGTTATCATCATTGATTTCAACAGTACAGACCTTAATATTGAGTTGGCTTTACGTCGGAGCTCATTGAAAAGGTAATTACGTAATTAAAATAGTGTCCCTTATGGTATCCTCATGTGTTTTGTGTAATGGTGTCAGTGTACAGGGACGGCGCTAGAACGCTAATTGTGGGTGGGGTGGGGTAGATATTCATATATTCATAGTGATTTCTTTTGAAAGTGATTTGGTTTTTTAAAGAAGTCAGTCGTGCACAACTGAATATATGAATATACACACACACCCGTTCTAGTGCTGTCCCTGTCAGTGTATCTGTTGTTATAACACTATCCTCAACGGTGTAGATATTAAGTTAGCTTGAAGTCGGAGCTCATTGAAAAAGTATTCTAATTATAACCCTGTCCCTTTAGGTATGCTAACGTCTTTTGCGTAATGTGCTCAGTGTACATTAGGGTAATGTCGAACAGTTTATAAATCAGTTTGTGTTGTGTATGCTTGGAACATTAGATATCGTGTCTTGCAAGTCGGCGGTTCATTTCAGCGTGCTCTTGGAGTTCAAATTGGTGCTAACTCTGTCGAGGTAATTTATTGTTAATGTACTTAATAAATATGATCTGTTTTTGTTTTTTCTGGCCACCATATTTACGTTTATTTATTCTATTAAATTATTCACTATAGAATCCAGATGACATCATCTTTACATGTGATCTCCATCTTGATATTCCTAATAATATGATTGATATCTTACGAAAGGTACACACAATACACAATCACTTTGCCGTTGTTTCATTGCCGCTGATTACATTTGTTTCTTTGTTTGTCAGCATTGTATCCAAGGTAGAATGGCGTTTTCTCCTATGGTACTACGTCTTGACTGTGGTTTTACACCATCACTTTCTTACGGTAATTATTAGTGTCCATTTCCCTCGCCTATTCACGCGACTCGATTAACTTCTTTTCACTTTACCCTTAGGAGAATGGGAAACGATGGGATATGGATTGTTTGCGATTTATAAATCGGATTTTGATCGTATTGGGGGGATGAACGTTGACGAATTTAAGACAAAATGGGGTGGAGAAGATTGGGAGATGGTGGACAGGTAAGATGTTGATTGGTTAGGATCTGTCAATGGTTTTATTAACTAGCTTTTAAAATAACAACAACGAATCGTGTGCGCTTATTGGTCTATAGCTGAGTTTTGCATACTGATCTGCGATCAATCACTTAAATCAATCAAAGAGAATTTGAAAATCAATCATAGCTAAACACTTGTTGGCGAAAAAATTAAAAAATTAATTTTAATTTATCTGTTTCCCATTATTGCCATTCTATAAAAGAAACAAAATATGTTTTTCGTGTTTGCACTGGCTTATGAAAAACTCGGAGAGGTGTGGGAGAACTCTCAAGGATTTGCAAACCCTTCACCTTTGACCTTCAGGGTGTACGCGAAATGTATATTTTCGGAATGTTATTCTTTTATTTTTGAGATAAAAACTTATATTTTATACAAACATTACAACTGTAATTATTGCGAAAAGCTTGAAGTTTTTCATCTTATTTCTATTTAAAACCCAGAGGGTTGACTAATTACCGCGCCCTTGTCTTTAGGTGCCTACAGAAAGGGCTGGAAATTGAAAGACTTCGCGTTCCTAACTTTTATCATTACTACCATAGCAAGCAGGGTATGTGGGGTAGTTATAGATTTGAAGATAATGTCTTGGGCAATACCGGGAACAGAATTGGGGAAGATGCGATTGTACCGACCTACAAAGCATATAGAACATTGAGATATCGGTATAATCAAGCTCTAATGCCGGAATACTGAATTATCTTTCTCGAGGTAAGTACGATCTTCGTACCAAGGTCAGTGGTGATTGGAAAACGTTGCGTCAACAGGGATGTCTTTCTTACTCACTACTTCACAAGTTCTTGTCAGTTAGTGTGCCGAGCTACATGCATGACAGTATTCAATCATGAGCCATTGTATCATGAACTCATGACTTGCGTTATTTACAGAATGAGAAAATGAACTATATTTTATTAAGGAGGCCAATGATATTTAATACATAGTGTTAATATTGTAAGAATATATCTTAATACACGTGCATATCTCAAGTCTATAGCGGCATTATTGTTCATGGTTCAATTGAAGGCACTTGAAGGTAATTTTCTATATCTCTACCTAATGCTTCAAGTGCATTTTTCATGTTGTTACGATGAACTTCTCCAAGCTTCAGATGTATTTCCCTGAGATAACTTTTCTTTTTCCCCATTTCCTCGATCATCCCTAAAGTTTTTTCATTTAAGACTTCAATGTCCTTCCACGTTTGTAATTGTCTGTCGTATTTTCTCTTCATGCATAGAAATAAAATCAACCCCACGAGACCAAAGAGGAAGAAACCAATTACTGCTCCCACTCCTATTGCTATTGGTTCTCCTAATCCTGGGATTACCTTACCCAAACCTGCACCCCCACCAGCTCCAAGTCCACCAAGAATAAATGCACCCAGTATTGGAAACTTCATAGCTGCACGACAGCCATGTTTAGCCATCTTTTCGACATGGTCTTTACTAGTTTCTATTTGTACTTCAAGATCCATTTTAAGGTTTGAACCAAGATTGGCCAAACGTCTGTGACTAAATAAATGGCAGTAACAAATATCTGAATACATGACCAACCATGTTTTCATTATTTTTTTGCCGTCCTACATCTTATTTTTTTCTTGTTTCACTTTCTCTCTAAATTAACTTACGTATCGAGATCGTTCTTCAAGTTCTCTTTATCTTGCTTCGTTCTTGTGAGTATGTCGTCTGGATTTCTTTCCTCGGCATAGAAGTCCTTCATCGCTTGTAGTTGGGCTTTTGTTCCATCACGAACATTTAGCCATTCTTCTTTAGTTTCTTTAAGTTTCGACTGCATGTCATCTTGCTGGGTTAAAAGACCCGTTTTTTCCCCCATCATCTGTAAGTATTTGAAAGAGAAGCACTATCACTCGTATCATCTTTAAGTACAAAATGATTTTTTCTTCAAAATGACTTCACATCGCTTTATTTTGACTGTTTAGAAAACGGAATGCAAATTTAGTAAGCGGCATGTATTTGTAAATGCCATAAGAAAACGACATGTTGAGATAGCTATGTTTAAAATATCTATATATCTGTTGGCTATACTTCGTAACGCATAGGAAAAATGTTGCAATACGTTTGCTGTGAAGTTTTTCTTAAAAGTTTTCGATTCTTTCTGATAATTGATCGGTCTGCAAGAATAGCAGGTGCGACTGAAATGAAAATAGCGAGCTATTAATTTGGCCAGTCCCTCGTTTCATGCTTACCATGCCATTCAAACCCGAAAGATGTTCATCTTTTAATTGAAAGATCAGTTGCATACCTGTCTTACTGTCACAAGTCAAGTGAGAAATGTGCAACAATCAATTTTAAGTTGTATCTCTTGAAGTTCACCACATAAATTTACAATGTCTTATCTCAAATAAGCGGCTACGCTTACATCATATATTTGGGCTATTCTAGCAATATTATTGGCCAGATAACTCACTTTAATACACGGCTGCTGTGACAAAATTTATTGCAACAAATATAACGATAAGATTTCATGTATATGTTATGGATTTCTATGTGGAAGTGAAAATGAAATTTTTCAACCTTTATCCAGTCGGTGCCTTAGTGCAGAAGTAATTTTTCATATATAGCCGATGAAAAATGGACATATCAATTTTATTATTAAGCTTTTCATATCGCAACGTACAGGTAAAAACAGGTGGGATGACAGTTATCAATGTTTTTATGGTTGACCATAATGACGTTTTTCTCATCGTAGATGTCTTTGCCGTAGACTTGTGCATGTGCATAGTTGCATGGGATGAAAAAGTGTTTGATCAAACCTTGCGACGATGAGAACGTTTTGTAAATCATCAAAAATATTTTGTATTTTGTGTAAAATATCAATAGAACTAACCTTTCAATTTTGTTTCAACCTTCTTCCGTCAATTGAGAAATTCTAATCTCGCAAGCATGCGGAAAATGATATGCGTCGTATGCCGGGTTCTCATGTCAAATTTATGAAGAGTCTTTAAACTGTGCATTCACAGAAAGCGCATCTTTTTTATTTGTATTTAAACATGTCAATAATGATATAACGTAGTCACTTGTGGAAGTATTGATGTTTTTGTGCTCTGTAAATCGAAGGATTTTTGCATGGTCAGTTGTTGTCAACTTTTTTGCATTTCGTCTATATATTGAGCAAATTTGCTTGAATCGTTTGTTTGATACTTTTCGTGACAAACTTAATTTAAGCAAGCACTGAGGTTTGTGGCAAAAACGAGACACAATATGGTTTAAGAATATTTAATTTATCTTACAACAGACCACGCCTAAAATCTCCAATGATGTAAATATCTCAGAAACTATATAATCTTAGGTTTATGCAGTAAAGATTAAGATATGATGTAAGCACAATTTACAGATTTTTCCACTAAAGGTTTTTGGTTAGCGTAAAATAGTTTCTTGTTTGCAACGTTTGCAAATTAGACGTTTTAACCCTAGAACATAAATGTACTTAAAATATTTTTTGGAGCTGTTATTTGGTGAGTTAGTGTTTTCACTGCAATTTAAGGAGTCGTTCCGCTCTTTTCCTAAAATCTGGACTTTCCCAAAGTTGGTATCCTTGTAACCAGGGCGTATATTGTTGTGCGGGATGTTGGATGGCGATTCAACACAAGCGATATGGGAGTGTATTTTGATGGAATATATTTAGACAACTACAATATTACAATGTCGCGATTTCTATGTGTTGTTTTGTTAATAACGCTGTAAATTATCTTTACCAAACGGTTTTTGGTTGAGTGCAATATCCGACGGCAGCGCTAACAGCTTAATTCTTCTCTGTTCACCTCAAAAAGAGCAACTCAACTTTCAACGTGTTTATGCCCTAATGCATAAAACCCAAAATACAAAACAACGCTTGCAGCCTCTATTTATTATGTCTCTTTGCTATTAGATAAAGTTTCGTAAAATCCACCACCCCTAGTGGAAAGTCTTCCTCAGCAACTGAATGTTTATTTCCCATACTAAGTGCAAGGGCTTAAAAGCTCTTATAATTTGAAATATTTTAAAAGCTTCATCATACTTACGTCTACAATACAGTGATAGAGTTTTCTTTCCTTGCATTTTCTTCCCATGTATTTTGTAACGAACTTTTGTTTCCCCTATATTATTCCACCCAACAGACAAACATTTACGTACAAACAACACATTTCACAAATATCTTCTTTTCCTTTTTTTCCATTTACTAAGCACATGACTTGGTCATGGTGTAGGCGTTGCAAATTAGCATTTTAGCCCGGCCGCAACAAGGTATTTTTGCATGAAGAAAACAATCTCTTGACTTGAATTTATTACAAAAAAATTGACTGTTGTGGAGAAGTACATGTTGTATATAGTTTTCACCAGAAACAAACGCTTTTTTGAGTTTTTGGAGACATGTTATACGAGTATTCTTCTGATTTTCTTGCTCTAAAACAGCCAACTGTCAGATAATTTTTTAGTCATATCATTTAAATGTCTGAATAAATTGCAGGAATTTACAATACATTTATCCTATGGTACCGGGCATAGAATGAGCGTCTAAGACAACAATTTATTGTATTTTCGGAAAAATACTTAACGTATACAGGCAACATGCTTCAAGTCCCGGTAAGTCCTTACTGGAACCGTTTTTTGCAGTTTCGTTTCCAATTTACACGTCAATCTGCTGACGCCAACGCAAGCTATTGTGGAATTAATTATAATACAAGTTTATAGTTATATAATTTAGGGAGTACTTAGGAACGGATTCAACGGAACGTCGACCAGATTGATCAAAGAAGAAGAGATTGTACGATATGGCAGTTTCTTGGTTCAGGATATTCTTTCATTTTGCGATGATTGTGTACACTTACGCTCAACTACAATGGATGAATTTAGATAGTGGCAATGCAAGCAATACGCCATCGGTAAGAAGAGATATGGCAATAGGCTATCAAAGAGAAATGAGGAGAGTCTTGATTTTTGGAGGAAGGGGAAATAGCGGTCCTTTAGGCGATACCTGGGAGTATAATTTAGATACCCGTCAGTGGAAGGAACTAACAACAAACAATGCAATTGATAAAAGATTTTCTGTCGTATCTGGGGTATGGAAAAACGGCTTCTATGTTTCAACTGGCGAAGGAGAAAACGATGCCTTCTTCGATGATATTTGGCGTTTAGATTTATCGAGTTTGAATTGGACGAAGCTGCCATCGGGCTCAACCAAACCAGAAGAACGTTACGGTTCAGCTGGAGGTTTTTATTTAAACTCTAGCCTTTTATACCTCACTCACGGTTTTGCTAGCAATAGGTTTTCCAACACTTTTGTTTATGATGTTTCAAAGCCAAACGAAGGATGGCGGGAGGTATTTGAAGGAACAAACAGCTATAATCCCAACTATCCACATGCACGTTGTCTTCATGCAGCTGCGATGATATCACAACACAAAATGGTCATATACGGTGGTTGCTTGGGGTAAGATTGTTCATCTATTTTAAATATGCCAGACATGCTTTTATAATTATGATAATCTACTTGTTGTTCATTTTTGAACCATGATTATCCATTTAAGACAACAAGGTCACTAGTTTTGTTTACTATGAAAACTTCAGAACTTTTATATGATTGCCGTCTTTAGAAGTGTAATATTTTTGCTTTGTGTGAAGAAAAAATGGGGGGACTAAACGGATTTGCCACACATGCTACTGCCACAATGTTGAAACCGTAGTCCACACTAAAGAAACCACAATTTTTTAATGTACAATGATACTTTTATATATACTTTTATATATACCATTTTAGCACTCTTTGTGTAACAAATTTTGCAATACACTATGCATGTCCTAGTTCTAAACATCGCTCTCATGTGAACACTGACTAATTTTCATTCAGACAAGTAATTAACTGACAGTTTTGTAGTAAACTTGACTTTCAATTCATTATCAGAGGTGGTGGCTCAGGTGGCCCATGCCCAGCAGATGACAATTGGAGCTATGATGCTATGAGGGACTCCTGGACACGCCTTCCAGAATGTGCATCTCCTCGGAAATATCCTGGCATGGCTATATTGCCTGTTGATAATAATACAAAAGGGGAACAGATTGTTCGACCTGTTTTATATGGTGGCGATGAAAAAACTATTCAAGTAATAACTGTAAGTAAAGTGATTGTAAAAAGATGTACTCATCTTTAAGTTACTTAGCCATGTTTTTCAAGACTTTGCTGTCATTCTAGGTGACCGAAGCCCCTGCAAATGAAGTAGTTGTCTACTATCCAGAGAAAGAAGAATGGAAAAAAAAGACTGTTGATGTAAGAATGTGAAATATGTCATCTTGTTGATAATCACAATGTTTACATGTGATATGAACATGTTAGCATTGAAATATACATGAACTCAAAAATTTTTGCATTGTTGGAAGAATTTACTTATCATCTCGTATCATCTTGTTTTTGTTACACAACTGAAGTAGATGTTTTTCCTTTGTGTGAGCTTAATCAAGCAAATATTTTATCTCTTTCACAATTAATGACAACACGTTCTATTTATATAGGGGGATCCCCCACCCAAGAGGTATAGCCATGCAATGGTAACTGTGGACGAGGGAATTATTATGTTTGGAGGACTTTCCAGGTAATGATACATTAATACTCACTACTTTGAGTCAATATATTGATGCAACGAACTCACATCACCCATTTTAGTGCAAATGCTATTGAAGTGTATAAAAATTGAGTGAAACAGCCTTAGCATAAATAACTAGATAGCAATACTGTTCTGCCATCTTCAATCTCATGCATTATGTTTGACACCAAACTCCTGCATTTTACATCTCATATAGCAATGGCTTAAACAATGACCTTTGGCTATTAAATGGGACTGCTAAGATGGTCGATGGCACAAAGGATGGAGATGACTGCAAGTTGCTGTACTTCAGTTTCATCCATCTTCATGGGATATTCATGTTTATCGGATGGGGGGCTCTGTTACAGCTTGGAATGTTCTTTGCAAGATATTTTCGACATCGTGAACCTTGGTGGTTTAAAATGCATCGTATTTTTCAGGTATATGTTTGCGATATACTACAAATCAGTGGGGTAGCCAAGATTTTTTGTCAAGGGGGCCTGTCATATAAAACATAGCATTTTAGGGGGCCAAGAATTTTTCCAGGTGGGATGGCCCCCGTTCCCTCTCTGGCTACGTCACTGCTACGAATATTGTTAATTTTTATCCATCTTCTCCTAATTCTTAAATTTTAACAACTGTAGCAAGTAGAAACAATGGTCTGTATGAAGCAAACGCACACCGAGTATGATTTGACTGTTTTTAAAAATATTTCAAGCATCATGCATTTCGTGCTACCGTCTATTTCACTGCGTAAATGGTTAAAACAATTTTCTTTTCTATGATTTCTTCGTTTTTAGGTCTCGGGACTCGTGGTTAGCTCCCTCGGTTTGATATTTGCCATTATCTCTGTGCCTTTTGGTCATTTTACGTTTGCACATGCTATTATTGGCTTGTTGATCATGCTCATTGGCTTATTTCAACCTTTAAATGCGTTCTTGTGAGTATCATCAGTAAATCGAATCCTTGTTTTTCATAAGTTAGCCTAAATTTTTACACTCAAGTTTCAATTAAGCCCCTAGCAATTGTAGGTTCGATCTTTTATTTGATACTTATGAACACATCTTCTTCATCCGCACTGGAAAATGTCTATGCATGTAAACTTGAAGGTTGCTGAAGGTCAGTCAATAAACTCGTGTTGACTTTGAAGTAAATAAAACGTGAAAAATCTTTGTTTTAACATAACTATGACGATGAATGTCAATATTTAGGTCAAGTCAATAATTGGCTTTGTTTACGTGTTGTTACGGCAAAAATGACATCTATGACATGAGCTTAACCAATCGTTAAACAGGAAAGAATTTCTCATAGGAAACAAAATATTTTGTCTTTCTGACAGTTGTTGGAAACAGATAATTTTTGCATTAACATTCAGTCGTAAATAATGGTGAAGAATTGGATCTTGCAGCCTTTAGAAAATAGAAATTCATCTCTCACAAGTCACTCTGGAATTCAGTCATTTAATTCTTAAAGCATTTTATGAAAATACCTTACCTAAATAACACTGCTGGTTTACTCAAGTTTGGGAAAAATAGGCTATTTGAAAACACTATAACAACATGAAAAAATGTCAAAATCTCGATCATACATCATACATTAATTCTCTCAACTTGTTTTTTGAAAATATGGCTAATTAAAAAAAATTGCAATTCGGAACTCTCATCAGCGGCTTGGGCAATTTTGACAATTTTTTAATGCCACTCGTTGTGTTGTCAGTGATTACCTTTCTTTCTTTTTGATTACTTGTTCTTACTATGATGACATTATAACTATTGTGTTTTGTCAGCCGTCCTCACAAAACGGACGTAAAAACGACAAAAAGATTGATCTGGGAGATTTATCACATCAACGCCGGCCGCTTAGCCTTAGTGTTAGCTTTGGCCAATATCACTCTGGGAGTTTTTCTCGCCGTTACTCCGTCTTCTGCTTGGATTACGTGGCTAGTCATGATGTGTCTATGGATAGCCTTTATTGTTTTCATGGAAATTCGTTTACATTATCTACGATGGAAGACTGGAGAGACCAATGTTGAAATGTCCAATAAATAATTCAAGTGTTTTAACTATACATGTAATGCAACATTTAATCAAGCCAATGAAATGAAGTCAATGTCAGTATCTGTGACGATATCTTTATTGCAAACACAAACATGCAGTTTTCATGATCTTACTTATGTATGATTTTACTCTAATCTATTATGAACGATGCTATGTATTTATAATTGTATTTCTGTGCACTCTACATAAAATGTAATTTGGAATTTGCGCCGATGATGTATTTTTTACGTATATTTACGTGTGAGAATAGTTCTAATAGAGTTCCCAAAAATACCGTAAATATTTTAGCAATATCAAATCCGGAGGAAATGACTTAGTCTGTTATTATGATCTGTTGTCAAGAGATGGAAATGTTAACGAAGGTTAGCCAGAAATTTTGAACTTTGGACATCGCATTCCTGGCTGTGTAAAATATGTACTTCCGTGGTTCATGGTAATTGTCCTTCAGGGTCACCTGTCGCCTATGACTACAAAGGAACGTAAACATTCATGCATGCATAACGGTCAATCAATGGCAGTCAAAATGGAATCGTTTTATCACTAACCCAGGGCCGGTAGCCTTAAATGTTACTTAAACTATTGTAAATATAGAAAAATATCATCGTCTTGGTATATTCTATGTAACTTTACCTGTCTTTACACTTTTGACGAGTTGCGTTTTCTAATCAATGTTACATAATTCAAAAGCTGGTAATTACGTCAAACATTTGCATTAATGCTTTGATAATATAAAAGAGGAATACAATTTTACACTTGTCAGGTAACAGCAAATTGCAAAAAGGATAAGGCTGTCACGAAAACGGGAAAATGAAATCTATCATTTCACTCGTTTATTTATCATGCGTGCTGCAACTCAGCAAGCAGCAGTTACAGTGGCGTCTACTTGCCGATGATGTTGAAGGTAAATATCCAGCTAAAAGTTTATGAAGTTTTGTGAATAAAGACTCCAACACTTAGTGAATGCATCACTTCACTCACAACTATTCTTTCCATCGAAAGGTAGGATTAAAACACCAGAGAAAAAGTTCACGGGCACTGAGAACGTCGTCTTTTTTCATGTTTCAAAAGATGAATGATTACTGTTTTTAATTATGCTGCCTCTTTGCGTTATATTAAAATAGAGTTTGCGATTTCTTTAATTGTTTCTTTTTTACTTGACAAGGCAGAAAACTGATTTTCGAATTTAGTTTTTTATCTTTATTTTCTCCTCATGGATTGTCTATCATTTCATGAGCTAAAAGACTTCTGACAATTATTGAAACATTGACCGCTTTGTTTTAGGCGAAGGACCCGGTTCAAGACGGGATTGCGCTTTGGGATATGATACAGTTGACAAGAAACTTTATGTCTTCGGTGGTCGATCTGGTGGCAAAATTCTTAATGATACGTGGTGTTATGATTTTAACAACAGAACATGGAGTATGGTTGACACTTCACAGTCGCCCGAACCAAGGTTTACAATGGCGTTTGGAGTATGGCAGGGAAAGATGTACATTTCAACAGGCGAAGGACCCGGAAAAGTCTTCTACAACGATGTGTGGAGGTCAGCTCTTATATAAACTATATTTTTACTCTAACTTCCTTGGTGTATCTTACTCGGTTATTTAACATCTTAAGACTAAGAGTTAGAATACGTTTTCGTGTTTTTATTGTTTGTCAAGGTAATTAAACGTATGCAATATTTGTGTCAATAGTATTGTTCCTATGGTGACACCTATAATGATGCTATCATCAACTACCGTTATTAAATTTTAATCATTCAACATATGAAGTAATTGAAAAAGACAAATGAGTTCTATTTCGTTCGGCACATTGTTCCAAAAATTTAAAACCTTTCATCAAGCAAAAAAAATTCGCACGTTGTTCTCAAAGTCTTCTTTATTCCGCAACATACATTGCCAATAAAGATCGGACAATAGGAAGCTACTGGAAAATAAGGAAAAGAAGTCTGTTAATGGAACATTATTTTTTCAATACTAGTATATTGATGCTTATTACATTGTTGCATTACATGGAAACGTGCATCTGCCTATTTTTCATTTTTATATAACATTAGACAAAAAAGATACAACTCACTTTGTGCCGAAGCCAATCCGAACTTATACTTCTACAATGCAAAATTATAGCAACTTAAGTATTCGTTTTTTAGAATCTAGATTCCGTTCATTGTTTTTCCAAGGAGCATAAATATATTTTACTTGGTATGAGCAAAAAGCGGCCTGGCTCTGAAATCACTATTTCTTTGTTTTATCTACTGTTCGTGGTTTCAAAAGAGTCTTTGAAAATGAAATTCCGGAGTACTTAGCGACAATCTAATTTCTTTTTTTACACGTGAATGTACTGTTGATGTACACGTGAACAGGTATATAACATATGACGTTTCATACTTTTTTGCGACAGCTTTGATTTTCGAAGTCAGCAATGGACGAAGCTGAGCCAAGGAACCAATCCCCCAGAGAAGCGCTATGGCGCTGCAGGAGGTATATACCCAGGGCAAAGTCTACTATGGATGAGTCACGGTTTTGCTGACATACGGTATTCCAACACTTTCACGTATGATCTCTTGAATGGAAGACGGAAGTGGGTGGAAGAATTTACTGGTACCAACTCATATAACCCTCTGTATCCTCATGCTCGTTGCATCCATGGTGCAACACCTGTTACCCCTGATCATCTCGTTTTGTATGGTGGATGCTTAGGGTAAGTGGGGACTGGGGATTAGCAAAGCTATAAGCGTTTGCACGGAGTACTCAAAATAACTTTTTATTTTCAGTGGAGGCGAGACGGGGGGACCATGTCCTTCTTCAGACAGTTGGTTGTTTAGTCGTGTAAATAAAAAATGGAAAAGATTAGAAGAATGTTTTTCCCCGCGCATGTACCCTGCTATGGCTCCAATTCCTATGGGTAGTGACCCTTTGCGATACGCAGCAGTTATGTATGGAGGAGGTCAAAAACGACCAATCGATGATACAGACGAATTCAGCATTGTTTGGGTAAGGGGCTTTGGTAGCTACAGTCCAAAAGTCATGTAAAAAACTGATTTGTGAATCATTCTTTGCGTTTTAGCTTGACGAAGCACCAATGGACGAAATTGGAGTATTTACATTGAAAAAGAGATCAATGTATGATGATGAGCCGGACACAAAGTGGGAACGGAGACGAGCTGTAAGTCAAACTTAGTTAAGGTTTATTGAAGGTTACTCTTGAGAGCATGAACTCAAACTACATGCGAGACAGAGAAGCATTAGGGAGATCATGACTCAAACAAGATTGATACTCCCAGATTTAAGGCTTTCATTCAAAATTTGAGACTTCAGTAAAATGCAACCGAGTGCAAACTACAAATTTTATTTTAACTGTAGACGAGTACCAACGGAAGTGGCATACCTCCATGGAGAATTGGTCACAGTTTTCTGACCGTCGAGACGATGAATGGTATAATAATGTTCGGGTATGTTGACTATTGTTTGAGTTTATATGAATGGTATAATAATGTTCGGGTATGTAGACTATTGTTTGAGTTTATATGAATGGTATAATAATGTTCGGGTATGTAGACTATTGTTTGAGTTTATGTTTAATCTGCTTGGTCGTTATAAAACACGTTGCATCCGTTTACTGAATTGTGTGAATTCTTAAAATCCATGCTCCCACGTCCCTAAATCATAAATCACCACGGTAAATAGGGCTATTCTATGACTAATGATGATTGAGTTACAATCTGTGGTACAACTACGAGTGATAGCTGATGAATAGATTAAATGGACTTTCTTTTAGAAATGAAAAACGTGAAGATCGATTTATAGATCGAGGAAGTATTTTTTCATCATATGAATATTTTTTGCTTTTATAGTGGAGGTAAAAAAGACGATATTTGGTTGTTGTACGGGAACGTTAGTAGCATCGATGATACAGCCTTGATTGGAGATGGTTGCTCATCAAAGTACTGGAGTTTGATCCACTTTCATGGTCTTTTCATGTTCCTTGGCTGGGGTCTGCTCCTTGTAGCTGGTGTTTTCTTCGCCAGATATTTCAGACGAAAGGAGCCATTGTGGTTTCATTTGCACAGAATATTTCAGGTACATGAAATAATGAATACCCAACTGCCTTATGTTGAATTTAGAAGAACATTGCTTTCTGTAATGCTTAATAACGGACCTCTAACTTCACTATGCTAAATTTAGAAATGACATTACATGCTGTATTTTATTGTATAGCAAACCTCTAATTGGTCTATACTGCAATTTTGAAGTAATATTCAATATTGTATCGTTTCAGGTAACAGGACTGCTCTTCACCATCGGAGGTTTTGTTTGCGGTGTCATGTCGGTTCCATTTGATCATTTTAAGTTTGTTCATGGAGCCATCGGTCTCGTTGTCTTCTTGATTGGTTTACTTCAAGCTGTTAACGGAGCACTGTAAGCAGCTTGTTTTAAATCTTTGCACGTGCAAATGCTAGCGCATTTCTGTTTGCCTTTAATGTGTTCGCTCCTGAGCACAATATCTTTAGCACTGTATTATTAAAATCGATCGTTAATGCATTGTTTCTCAATTTAGACGTCCCCATAAGGAAGAAGGAGATGAGCAAAGCATTATTCGTCGTGTTTGGGAATATTGTCATAAAACTCTTGGTCGATTAGCCTTACTATTAGCTCAGATCAATATTTCACTGGGCATGTTTCTTGCAGTTGTACCTACGGCTGTCTTCGCTGTCTGGTTTGGATACTTGGGAGTCTGGGTAACACTCTTTGTCATCATGGAGATTATGAAATCAAGACGAGAATGTGGGAAAGTGGTGAAACCTACAATATCAGCTGGACACTATGAAATGAACTCTAAAATGTAGAATGGGGGGTTTCCGCCCAGTGACATTCCTAGCTCGATAATTGGAGGGTAAAATTCATACATGCATGTTTTGGTGATGCCTCTGTTACCGCTTATTTTATTGTAAATATACGGAAGATTTGGAGGTTCTGTACTTGTCGGGCGTTAACCAGCATATGAGAATTCTTTGTAGCAATATATCTGTCAATTTCAATTGTAGTGTTTTTGCAGTGATTGCAGTGTCGTTCATTTGTTATTTTAATCAAAACAACATTCAACTTTGTAAAATCTTTTTGCTCTGAGCTCCGTTGGGCTCGTTATTTTACATGGTGTGGATACATAAGCATAAGAACAAGCAAAGACAACAGAAACTATAAAAGAATGCGATGAAGCTTCTGACACAAGCATCAGTATAAGCATAAACCCAAACACCGCACCTTGGCACAATCATAAGGTAAACTAAAATTAGAAAAGTAAATTCTTCTTGTTTTGTTTCCTCCAGCCTCAGGAGAAAATGCTTTGGTTTCTTGCTTGTACTTAGCTCGCTAGTGAAAACCAGTCTTAAGAAAAGACGACTTTTGTGCATATATTACAGTAAGAAATTACGTCAAATTCCCTGGAGCAGAAGAGCTTTTGTGCTTGTAACAAAGATAAGTAATAAATTCACGTAGATTAGGATATTTTACTCATCCATAGCTTTAGCATAAAGAAGAAAATTTAAAATTATAACAATATGTTAATTTATTAAGTCCTCCTTTTTACGATACAACATGTGGATAAACCTAATCAGTTTGTTTGAAAGCGAGCTTCTACTCAAGATATAGTATCGTTTAATATTGGTCTACTTATCGGGAAAGAAAGAAGTTTGAACTGTTATGACAAAGTTGTTTCAAGTATTTATTCTGCTTCTTGGCTTCGTCTTTTCTCGACAACAACTACTTTGGGAAAAATTTGTTGTTGCAGACAAATCTACGATCCCAACGTTTCGCCGTGATGTGGCTATCGGCTACTATTCCAAGGAGAATTCTCTTTACATATTCGGTGGGAGATCTAATAGAAACCAACCCTTGAATGATATGTATAGATTTGACCTTAGGACAAACATTTGGACGCTAATCCACGCAGAAAATAGTTTGAGTATAAAGGCAAGATATGGTATGGTTTATGGAACAACGGACGATTTTCTGTATATCGCCACAGGGAAAGGTACGCCCATAGCGAGAATTTCTTATGTATTAAACACAAATACTTCATCTTTCAATATAACCTACTTTACTATAGCCAACTAAGATTGATGGTATAAAATGAACATTCACTAATAAATGCAGGCTACTGCATTCAGTTACTCTATGCGAAGAACTTTCGTATAACTTTCTTCAATTACACAAACTTACATAATTATATTCGCTTGGTTTAGTAACACACATTTTTTCAAAATCGGGTTGATTTTTGTAAATCTGTCGACATTTTAAAATTGTTTTCAGTACGCTTACAACCCATCAAATTTTCCCGTGAAAAGTTTTACCTGGCTGATTTTTATTACCAGTAATAAAACCTTGCTCATATAGGTGAACATATTGTGTGACAGTAGCCTTTTGTAATGTACATAATTTATACGTGTTACATACTGTGTTACTTGGCAGTTTGTTCCGTTACATTCCCAGGGCTCGGCATTGATGGCCGCGAGACTTACTACAACGATTTATGGAGATTTGATTTTGAAAGAAAGTCATGGGAGCAAGTATCAACATCAAAAAATCCTAGTCCACGTTACTCAGCGTTTGGTGGTGTTCGTGAGTTTTACTTTTTCCTTTCACACGGTACTAATGACGAGGAACAATATTCCAATACCTTTACATTTGATGTGGATCGACCTTCTCGTGGATGGACGGAAATCCACTTGGGAATTAGCAAGTATGACCCCAAACAACCACATGCTCGACAACAGTCAACTGGTACTATCCTCTCTGATGATAAAGTATTAATGTTCGGAGGATGTCTGAGGTTTGAGTAACGTATATGTTATTGAAAAATTATTTACGGTTGATTCAAACTGGGATACAGGTATGGGAATTGATGAGAATGGTTTCAGAATATCCCACCAAATATACTTGTTTACCTGCATGCCCGAACCAAACCCCAACCATATTCCTGGTGATAACCTAGTCTGATTATTGGCGGAAGTTTTTGTCGCGGGGTGTTCTAAAAGTATGTACAGGAGTGTCAAGAAAAATCCTAAACCTTTTGGAGGAAGACAATGTTTCAAGTTTAGGGTGGGAATCGAAGATAGTTTCTTTCAATCTGGAATGCTAAATTCTCACAAGTAGGCAAAGGCAATACATTTTTAGGGGTTTGCATGGCCAATCACTGATTAACACATTATATTTTATAATAACATGTATTGCACACGCGCATAACATCAAATAAGAAATATTTAAGTGTAGCTACGCATGAAGTCCAGAGTAACGTTTGGTTGTTTTAAGATTAAATGGTCAAAAAGGGATGTTAACTTAATGTTACTTTAAAATCATTGCATTCAAGTGGTTTAGGATCCGGTGGACCATGTCCATCGGACGATTCATGGACATATACAGCTGTAAAGGGTTGGTCTCAGTTGAATCGTTGCTCCTCGCCGAAAATCTCCTCGGCTATGGCGCGTCTGCCAAAAGGAAATGCGTCATATGAAAGAGTGATTCTCTGGGGTGGAAATGCTGATAGCAGAACAACTCTAAAGGTCTGATGTTCTTAATTCTCAATCATAAGAGTACTTATACATGGGACCATTGAGACGGGAAGAGATAAATTACTCGTCCCCCAGCACGCTTTGTTTTCATAATTAATTGATTTCGTTTATAGCTGGATGACAATCGGGAGGACGAAATTTTGGTGTTTGATGAGAACGAAAACGAATGGAAGATCAAGAAAACCCAAGTACGATCGACGATTTAATATTTCCTTCATGACAAGTCACTGAAAATGCTCATCTTCGTAGGCAAGGATTGCGTTTCCATCTCAACGTGTGGGTCACGTGATGGTCACCACCACGGATGGCGTTGTCATGTTTGGTGGTGAGGAACTGAGGTAATGCCTCCTCATTATTTTTACTGAACTGAACTTTCATTCTCAATCAATGCAAGCGTGTCATTTTCAGCTCTTATCAATGCCCTCAACTTCAATTTGTAATATTAGAATCTACATTCTAGCTCTGGTCAATACCTCTCTGACATATGGTTATTACGGGGCAGAAGCATCGACGCTGAGCGAAGTAGAGATGGACGCGATTGTGGACGTCAATATTTCAATCTCATCATGCTTCATGGTGTCTTCATGTTCATTGGTTTTGCTGTCTTTTCTAACATGGCAATATTTGTTGCAAGGTGTTTTCGTTTTCTTCAGCCGCTGTGGTTGAAGATGCACATTATATTACATGTAGGTATATGAACGTCGGTATATGACACAAATTCAGTAGACAAAAAGAAATTTAAATATCTAAATCATAAAGTGGCTTTCTCTACTTTGTTTGAAAGTGGGTAAAGAGCTGACAGTCGAGTTCGGTTATTTTTGTTGACGCATTTTGTCGAAGGGCAAACATATATTAGTCACTATATAATTGACACCATTTAATTGTCCCTATATACTTGACATAAACAATTTTTTAAAGAAAAGAGAAAGAGAGTTGTTTTAACGAGGCAATTCAAATAGAAATCAGGCGTAACTTTTAAAGTGGGATTTTTTCAGATTTTCGGTATCCTGTTTATTCTGGCTGGTACGGTGTGTGGAATTGCTTCAGTACCTTCACATGAACACTTCAATTTTTTTCACGGTATATTTGGCTATGTAATTTTCGTTATGGCAATTCAACAGCCTTTCAACGCAATGCTGTAAGTTCTTCAATTCAGTGTATAATTTTTTATGATGAATCTATCTATAATTTAAGATAAATCGTCTATTTCAGGTGGAAAAATAGTTCATCAGCTCTTCTCATGATCTGCATGAATTATTTACCGTCTGTGATATCTTCAATTCCAACTCTTATTTCAATTATGATATTATGCATTGTACGATGAAAGTAGTTTACTTTTTATCTTGAATTCCAACCATCTCCCATTTTTTACAGACGACCTCAAGGGACAACTCGGGAGTTTAGCTGGGCACAAGCCATTTGGCATTTCTGGCATAGATGGCTAGGACGACTGGTTTTGATTTCGGCGACGGCAAATATCACTTTGGGATTGTTTTTGGCGGTATCACCTTCGCTCGTGTGGAAGCTATGGATTGTGTATGTGGTCTTGTGGATCGGAATTTTCGTCGTTGCCGAGATTCTCAAGCGTCCTACAGAAAAAGAGCTACGCAAAGAAGCAAAAAAGTCGGTCTTATACGGTGCCTCTAATCCTCACCGAATGAATCGCGGAGAAACAAACACATTTACCACAGTATTTTAAAAACAAAAGCATCGCTACTTTAATAATTATATCATATATTCTGTCCAGCCTTCTTTGATTAATGAAAATTATGTAATATGAGGATTTTCATTGAAGTGAATGAAATTTATTGATGATTTTTGAAAAATGTTTTATTTTTTGAAAGTTTCTTTATGGGAGTTTTTGTTGAACATATGTTTGTAAATGATGATCGTCCAGGTTAATAAAGTCCTGAGAAGGACTGTTTTTGATGTTGTTGACTGACGTTTCGACAACCTTAGCGGTAGTCATCTTCAGAGTCAAAAGATGACTACCGCTAAGGTTGTCGAAACGTCAGTCAACAACATCAAAAACAGTCCTTCTCAAGACTTTATTAACCTGGACGATCATCATTTACAAACATATAACGATACTCCCGGGTTCAAACCATTTACTTTGTTGAACATGCCGTTTTTTTTGGTATTTTTTAAACAAATGCAACAACACCTATGCTGTGAACTCCTTAGCTTGTGTAGAGCTAAGGCATGCTCTACACAACATACTGTGAAGGTGTTGCCTATTTCAGACTCTTAGAAGGTTGCCTGTATTCCAAACACTGTGAGTGCCGCTTTTCAGCTCTTTAATTGAGACATTTCATATCTACCTAGATATTTCGTTTTCTCTCCTACATTCCTATTACCAAAGAAACAGCTCTTTGTCAAGATATTTTTTGTCATAAATCAATGGCAAGGCCTTCGTTGCTTTGTTTCACATTGTTTATACTTGCACGACATCAGCAATATATATGCAATGAATAAGCATACCGTAAAAAGGGAAGAGGGCAGAACTGTACAAGGTTAAAAGAGAAAAAAGCAACAGATTTAATTGTTATATGAAGAATGTTATATGCAGTGCGGTGTTTGAAATTAAGCAATTGTCTCATGAACCTGAAAAATTTAGGTGACTCAACGGGATTCGAATTGCTTAAATTGTCCAGCAAAGTGCGAAGATCATACCTTCATTTAGATTTAATTGTTATTGTCACAATTAATGTTAACAGTTTTTCTGTTTGAATAAGTTTTTTTTTTAAATCAAGTTTTGCTTGCATCTTAATTTTTACTGTCTTTATACATTCTCATTCAAACGCAGAACAATTCAATTTTATTTTCATCCTACTCCCTAAGACCTTTTCCAACCAGCTCCCTCCCACCCCAGTCTCCAACCATTGCTATTCAAAATTCAAATTTCAAAGATGAAGTCGCCATGGAAATGACAGTTTCTCACGCCAGCAAGTGTTTTTGGTAAAAGAAACCATTACCTCTGCGAAGCTATTAGAATGGAAACATTTTACCTTTATTATGAAAAAGAAAATATGTAAAGGAGTGTTTGCTTCGGAATCTGTTCATTATTTACTGGTTATACGTAACGTTGGTTTAGTAAGAAAACTGGAAAGGTTAGTCAAATATTTATTTTACAATGTTTGAATTCATAACAAATTTCTGTTTAAATATGTACGTAAATAGCTTTTGTTTGTCAAGTCTTCTCTTGTAATGTCAATTTAACACCTTTAAAATGAAACTAATTGTAGAATATTTATTCAGGACTCATTCTACTTCTCAGTAACGGGATATTATTGTTGTTATTGTTGGTGGACAGTGATTTTATTTGTCAAATTTGTCAGCAACTGCAAACCCTTAAAAAGGTCAGTTCAACATCGTAGATGTATTTTCTTTATTAAAATTTCATGTCAGTCGTCATTTTCATTAACTCACCTGTTTGGATGGGAAGGTGCAGCGAAGTTCGATGTTTAAGTAAGTTCATGAAGTTTACCCGTGCTTTACCAACAAAGAGCTTCATTAACTTGGTCGACATTTCTGTGCACCTTAATATCATTAATTCTCTTCTCCCATTTGATTTGTTGTTATTAATGACAATGCTGATAATATGTCAATAGCATGCTGTACATACACTGCTCTGCTTCAAGTCCAAATGCATCCTTTCTATTCTATTAACTTTGGTTAACATGTGATCTCACTAAAAGATTGAACGAGTTTTGAGCAACAACCCACATAAGGGTTTTTTTTGAACAACCAATTCCCTCAGCCATTTGTAAGATGCACTGCAAATGCCACGCAAAGAATGAGATTCCGGCTACTTAGAAATTATTTATCAATGCTATATCAGAAGTGATTGTTTGTTAAAGGCTATTTTTATGCAACCTATAGTGAAATTTTTTTTATCAAAAAATAACGTAAAATGGTGCTGAGATCTAGGTGATGAATTTATATATATACCAGTATTACACTTTAATTAAAGTGGAAATGAATTAAATACTAAACAAACACAACATAAATATTTCAACACATTTGAAACTTTGCAAAATCGACTTGTTTGTAGAAAATATGGCTGTATTAATTGTGATCGCAACTTTTTTTCATTACTATTTTCCAACAGTTGCGGTTAGTCAGAATATATTCTAACAGCTTATTACAGTAGATATAAGACCAATGCTGTTGATTTCTGTACAAATTTTAGAGCCAAAATATTACCGATTTTGTAAAACATATATTCCATTGTATGAACAGATGTTTCTGCATCTGTTATATTTTTTTCTTTATTACATTTGGCATGTATTAAGGCTAAGGAGGTAAAGTTCTTATTATAAATATTTTTGAAAATGGAGCATTATGTCAAAGCAGTGAAAGTTAGATCAGGTGCAGTCTATTAGAAAAGAATTCATTAATTGTCATTTTCTCCCAAAAATTCCCAATGTGAAACATCAAATTTTCAAAGAAATCCCCATAATTTCTTCACACGTCATGGTTATGTGGATGGTTGTGCCTAAAAAATGTCATTTTAGATTATTTAAAACCAAAATGATTCAGACACTAAGACACTAGTTGACCATCTTTGACACTAGTGACCATACTTGACACTAGTGACCATACTTGACACTAGTGACCATACTTGACACTAGTGACCATACTTGACACTAGTGACCATACTTGACACTAGTGACCATACTTGACACTAGTGACCATACTTGACACTAGTGAGCATACTTAACACTATTGACCATACTTGACACTAGTGAGCATACTTGACACTAGTGACCATACTTGACACTAGTGACCATACTTGACACTAGTGACAATACTTAACACTATTGATCATCTTGACACTAGTGACCATACTTGACACTAGTGAGCATACTTGACACTAGTGAGCATACTTGACACTAGTGAGCATACTTGACACTAGTGACAATACTTAACACTATTGATCATACTTGACACTAGTGACCATGCTTGACACTAGTGACCATACTTGACACTAGTGACCATACTTGACACTAGTGACCATACTTGACACTAGTGACCATACTTAACACTAGTGACCATACTTGACACTAGTGACCATACTTGACACTATTGATCATACTTGACACTAGTGACCATACTTGACACTATTGACCATACTTGACACTATTGATCATACTTGACACTAGTGATAATACTTGACACTATTGATCATACTTGAAACTAGTGACAATACTTGACACTAGTGACAATACTTGACACTATTGATCATACTTGACACTAGTGACAATACTTGACACTATTGACCATACTTGACACTAGTGACAATACTTGACACTATTGATCATACTTGACACTAGTTGAATATACCTGTGGTAGTTTTTTTAAAAGTATTCTTTTGAACAACAAAACGAATTTAATATAATTAATATTGCCTGTATATTCTCTATACATAAGTATGGATTTTACCGTTTTCCATTTTCAACCAACGAGAACAATACTTTTTGCCTGTTGAGATAAAACATAATGATATTTTAGCGCACTTCATTAAATTCCAACAGAATGCATTTAGCAGGGATAAATTTCTTAATCAGCAATTTCATTGGTATTTGATTGGCTCGCGTTTACATTTAAGATCCGTTAACGATTATACCTAAGAATATTTAAAAACTTTTCTATAATCTGTCAATCCTTCTATATAATCTATCTATGATATCCTTCTACACTGCCAGACGGACTCTTCCCGGTTGCAAAATCAGCTTGATATGCCATATCTTTTACTTTAAGTTAGGGGAACAGAGCTTTTTGACGTCATTTGTATTCTCTTTTCCTTAGTTGAAGTTTAAGGACGTGTAATAACTTACCTGCAAACAATTCTCCAAGGGTGATTGCAACATGGTCAATGGTCTCTTGAGTTTTGCCTTTTCCTTTTGCCTCGAGAATGATATACATGCTTGAATTGATTGGTCCCCGCTGCTATAGAAATATTTCATTCTTTGATTCGTAATGGTTATTGGAAAATTGTGCACGTGATGACATGACATTTGCAAGAATTCTTGAAAATAATAAGACCCTATTGTGTGGCGTAGTTTGTTTTGTTTTAGTTCGACTTGGTATATCTTCGGTATGATTATTTTGGTTTCTGTGAAATCAATTACCTTGAACGGCATTCCTAAATGCTGTCGCGAAGAGTACGGAAGAAGTGTCGTCTTGAAAAGCACGTTCTTATGAGTGAAACTTGCTCGATTTTTTTTCCATCCTTTGTGGCTGGAAATTTCATCAAAATAAATGAAAGAGCGCAATGAAAACATCACAAAAGAAATCGCTACATACCTGTCAAGTCTTCCTTTAAAATACACCTGAGGCATATCTGAATGAAAGAAGTGGAATTATATCTTTAGCGATCGATTGGCAGGTCTCTCGTCACTTGTGTGTCAGTCACATGTTAAGTGTGTTGCTTTTTCTTTGCTCCAAGCGTGGACAGTAGTCAAGACCGTACAAAGTATAGAATATTTATAGTGTCCTAGGGTAACATCATCTGAAAACATATGCTGCTATAGTTTTTCACCATCTTTCTCAGTGATACAAAGGCAACGTCAAGTGTGTGACCCACGAATACTTAATTTTTAAGGGCTTTTTATGGCCATGGTGAACTTTAATATGGCAAAGAAATACAACATCCATTGTTTCTTATTGAAACTGAAATATACATGTTAACATGATATAACACATCATACAATTGTTTTTAAAATTTTTCTATGTAGGCTTGATGTTAGAGAATTGTCTTAATTTATGATATAAGTTCGTTCATACCTTTTTGTTCAGGTAAATTCTTTACATCACCAACTTCCCCTGAGACATTGTGAAATGTCACGTCCTTTGAGCTACTGGCATCTTAAAAAGGAAGACTGATTTTAACCTCATTATTTTTAGAAACGGTTTTACTACCGAACGTTAATTATTAAGGTGAAACCGCAGTGTTTAATTTAGAAAAGGAAGTGATGATTGCATAAATTTCTACAATCCTTGAAAGCAAACACGAGTTCGCTACATAACTGTGTTTAATTTGCTTAGTTTAATTCATTTCCATGCGAACCAATGAGAACATTGCGATTTACATCAATGCAAACACGATAGAACGTTCGTAAAATGAAAAATAATTAGTTAAGTTTATATTTCAGTAACAACTACATCGATATCATATACGAGGATTATCTCGACTGTGAGGAAAATGTATCTACAGCGAGTTTAAACTGTCCAAACTTGTCTTCATATTTCCTTCGTCGGCATGGATGAGAAATCGTCGTCATATTCCTCTTCACTTCTTTGGCAAAGTTCTCCATTTTCATTGAAAAATACTCCAACCCCGCCAAATATAAATTCTTCATCGTGTTTCGAAGTGCTTCGTCTTTTCTTATCAGACAGATCTGTTTTACAGCTGTCAATTGAAGCATCGTCACTCTTTTCGTTCGGGCTCTTTTTTCCGGTCAACTTGGCGAGCAAGGTATTTAGAAACGAAGGTTTTTGTTTCCATTTACGGTGATCATTGTTTTCACTTTTTAAAGACGTTGATACGTCTTTGCTTTTGTAACCATGTAGTTTCTTCGTCTTTCTTTTCATACTTGGAAGGCACCCTGGTGTGCTTTCCTTCAGCTTATAACTCACATTGGACAAGCTAGTCCAATGCAAATCTGGAGTCGAGAGAGGTCTCAATGTTTGTGAAGGAAAAAGGCTTCGGCAGCCCGAATCAATGGACATGTTACTTGCAGCGCAGTTGGCTTCTAGCTCGATAAATCAATTTATCAACAAAGGATTCAACCTGTTTACTATGCCCTATATTGATTGTTGGTTTTGATGATTTTCTATCATGTCCAAGAGTCAGTCGCACATCCAGTTAAAGTATGATTTTTGAAGTAAAATTTATTTATAGTGTTTGAAGGACAATGATCTCAGACTTTATGTTCTGAATTATTCATAACGATCGAAGCGTTATACCATTGTTTCGTGCTAAACACATGGAAGACACCTGACTATCGACAAGATGCAATTGAATATTTGATTGCATTTAACATACGCGCAGCAACCGAGCAACTTTAAAGATGCAAATGGCATCTTGGGATTTTGTTAAACTGGTTTCCATGCCCTGCGCACAATGCCGGTGAAACGTATTCTTGCCACATAAATCAGTTAGTGAAGGAAATTCTTTTTTTGCGTCGATGTTTTCTGCGCTTTCTACCATTTATGCTACTGGATATACGAAATTTTTGTTTAATACCGACCATTTATTTATTATTGAACACCGGCATTTAAATATTAACTATTAATTCCAACCATAACGCCCAATCAGGTTAAATTTTTCAGCCATGTTCATTATAAATTGATTCTCGGGGAAGTGGGAAGATGAGCATCATGCAGACTTTTATTAAAAGAAAAGCAAAGCTTACCATCGCCATTTTCGCTGTGATTCATTTTCTCGTCTTCCGTGTCTAACGTTGAATCTTGAACACAATTATAAAATCGAAAATTCGATTATTACAGTGTGCCGAGTCGATTTTTCACACCGGATAAAGTGAATGGGATAACTAATGCACTAATTAACGGAAGGACAGTTGATTCATGCAGTCACAGATTCATTCTGAAATATTTTTTCGAGATCATTATATTCGTACATAATGTTCCTACAACGGTTACGTAAACAATAAAGCAGTTGTCAAGGATACTATACTAACACAAGTCATCGATTCCATCAACACTCAAAGTAATCTTCGTTCATTAACTACTTGAACAGTAGAGATTACGTGAAACGGAAAGTTCAAAGAGTTCATTGGTTGAATTGACATTCTACCAACGCAGTATACTTATATATACATGCATCGTCATAGCGTAAAATAGTTATAGGCTCTAAAGGGTGTATGGGGAGAGACAACATGACGCAGTCACGTAACTATGTAGAATTGACCTGTTGTGCAAAAGTCAAAAACAATGAATAACTTCACATTTCTTGCACCTGATTCTTCTTCCTCCTCGATGATAGAATTACTCGTATCTTGTTCCGACTAAACGAGAAACGTTATTGAGCATTGCTTGAGAAACGATGGAATTGTTTGTTTGTTGATGAAGGGACATCTGCACACGGCGACAGTTAGATAATAATTCACGCGTACATAACGGCGTCTGTTTTTTTTACGTTTCTTGCCACAACAATTACTAGGGTCTTAACAGGGAGAACTCAATTATATCCATAAAAGTCTTTTTAAATAATGGGTTATCGCCTCCACATGATGTGACGTTTTTTTCTGTCACACATTAGCTGAAAGTCATTGCCATGCTAAGTCAAGAAGACGCAAAGTACATTATATTAAGCAGTAACAAAGTATGAAATTTTTAAAGAAATAGCAGTAATTTGTTTTAGGCAAGGAAACAGCAAAAACAATTTTTACCGTTAAGTTGCGTTGATGACTTGAAGCAAACGAGGGTTGTAAAATTATTTCATCACATTCATTAAATAAACATGTAAAATCATTTCAACAGACATGTTCGAACGCGTATCTTTCCAAGTCGCGAAAGCACCTGCTGTCAATGATGCATATAGTCCACATTGAACCACAAAAATAATTCTTACCTGAGAGGAAATGTATGTAAATCCTATTTGAATTTCACCGCTTTTGACTTTCTTAAGTTCGTACCATTCCTTTGCACCAAGACGCTAAAAATCGGAACGATACCTCGTTTGAAATTAAGCTCGCAGGTTAATTTACATTCATGTATCATCTGCTTACGTTTCTCATTTGTTTTAATTGTGCCAGTGTAAAGGTCACATGACCCATTTTTTCTTGACTTAATGGATCTTTATCCCAAACGTCCTGTCGAGGGATTGCATTTGAATGTATAAATCATGTTTATCGATAGAAGACAGGAATTTTTGCAATAAATTTAATACGTACAATGGTTAATTTATCATTTTTATTTGGAAGAGGAAGTCTGCAGGTCTCATTCCACACCGGTGTAAGAGTGTTGTAGATGACTTTAGTGCGATACTTCTCCTTTGTGCCGTATTTTATGGTAACGAATGGATCACTTTTGCCTGAAGTACGTCAATGAAGATCTTGCATCAGGCCGAATCATTTAAGCCAATTTTTTTTTACTGAACAATAACTTGCCTTTATGCGAGTTGTTCGATTCGCAACATTTTTTAAAAGATTGGGTTTTTGTGAAATAAAAATATGTTCACTATACTACGTGTTTTGTCTTCATGCAACAAAGATCAAATTAACGTTTGCTGCTTGTCATATTGACGTAACTATGTCTGTTCATGTTTGTTGTCATAATGTTATAACTTGTTTGTGGTTGTTATAATGTTATAACTGGGTGTGTTACTGATGCAGGGCAAATTATTTCACCCATGCCGACTGAACGATGCATAATTTTGTCCGAAGTAAAGGATTTGATTATAAAATTTCCTTTTTTGAAAATAGAACATGAAATGTATTCTGTAATTAATGATAAATTCATATCTAGACACTTTTAAGAAACTATAATCGTTTAAACTCGCCTGTCACATCCATCACAACGAGATCTCGCCCTTGAATGATCTGAATTTCCATTCCTCCTCTTTCTATTGTTTCAACAACATAAAAATTAGTTTTCTTGTTCGATCTATTCTGTTTCAATCAAATAATCACCTGCGATCATTAAAGCGTCTAAAGCTTGGCTATCTTTCTTCTTTTTAAGGTATTTCTATAGGATCACATAATGTTGTAAAGAATGCCAAGTATGAAATGATATCACGTGATCTTACTTTATGCAACGGCTCTCCATCAGGTAAGCCTTCCATTGGACGTAATTTTTCTATAAGAACGGTTTGCAAATGAATAAATCGAGTAAATGTAAATGCAGGTACGTTTCACAATGATTTTTCTTGATTTTACTTCTTACAAAGTGTAGATGTATATCGTCCAGATACGCACGATATGCCCCATTAGGTTCCTTTGAAACCCTACTGATCATAGCATGCATATATGAATTTGCCTCCTCTCGCAAATAAACTTGATTTTCTTATCAAATGTTAAGAAGTCGTATTATTTTTGCTAAGATGTCGCTAGCATTTTTGTGCTTTTTGGGTTTCGTGGAACTTAATTTCATGGTGTAGGATGTTTTTAGAGATATATCCCTCGCACAAATCACTTGCAAACATTGCGCATGCTTCATACACACCAGTCGTAGCGACGGTGGCGACTGGACGAAAAAGTGCGGAAATATAAATTATTCCCGCCTTTTTGAGGCCGTCTTCCATAGAGCTGATTCGGAACATCACGTCAATCTTCTTCTTGAAAAAATATGGTTCATCCTGGACATGGAAATGAAAATGGTTTGTTTGAAAACTGGGAATTAGATAGATAGGTTTGGAGAAACTACACTGGGAACTAGATAGGTTTGGAGAAACTACACTGGGAACTAGATAGGTTTGGAGAAGCTACACTGGAAACTAGATAGGTTTGGAGAAACAACACTGGGAACTAACTAGATAGGTTTGGAGAAGCTTTTATAATCATAGTCACAGTGATTACTATTGACAGTCGCCGTTAAATTCCTCGACATAGTTCGATGTCACATTTAAAAAAAAACGGGACGAATAATTTATTTGCACAAGAAGGAAAACTCTCAGCACATCCAAGTAATAGTGGTGCGATTTTAGTGAGATGTATGTCGATGTGGGGTATACGTGTTATTTCGTTTAATACCTTGCTTAGACAAAAATTGCATGATCCCATGAAGTCATCCGGATCATCTTTTATCCTTAATGTCTCAAGAGCTGTGACATCTTTGTCATGTATAACCAATGACATGACAGTTCTTGTGTAGTCTGCAGTACAAAATTCGATCACGTTATCCCACACTGGATTAAGAGTGTTTGCAACAGAATTCGTACGTTTGACCTGGAAGTTAAAAAGGCAAATAAAATATTGGCAGTTTGGCACCCGTTGGCAATTTTGAAGGATTGCTGGAGGCTTCATAGCTCACAGACACAAAGCCAGGAGGCTTGCGTCACCTCCCCCATCCCTCCTTTTAAGGAATGCTTTTTAAATGCTTTCATATCTTCTTACTTGTTTTGTCTTCAGGTATCAGTAACAAAGTACATGAATCTTACCAATTACTTGCAAGTTTTCTAACTTACTGCTACATAATACAATTGAAGTTAGAATTGATTTTGTCATTACTATTTTCAACATAGCTCGCTTTGCAGCTGCTAAAAGTAGACATGAAATACAAATTTGCTTCTTCCTGCTTACATTTACTACGCTCTACTGTCTACAAGAAAACCATCCTATTCCCTCTTCAGGGAAGCGCAGTGGAATTGTACAGGAGTACATACTCCATAGTAGTCCACCTATGTAGTTTACCTTGAATTGAAGGAATTTCAAAAGTATTTGAGTTATACCTCTTGTTTGTTTTTATACAAAATGCAGTAAGGATCGCTGAGACCGTTCTTGTCCATGGGAAGTAAATTTTGAGCACTGTGAACAACGACACATACAACACCTGCAACTGCAAATGTTCTTTTGATTAAGAAAATTTCATCACATTAATATTTATCTTTACGCTTGCACTACAACTTTGTACCAATCACAGCAGGCCTTTAACGTTCCCGTTCAAAGGAACAGGAGCAGCCAGAGAAATCTCATGCTCTATGTAGTGCGTTGATAGCTTTATTTCAAAAGAGACTATTGCTTGAAATATCTACAACTATAATTTTGAGCTTTTCTTTGACATCTTCGTTCACTGTAGTTGTTCAGTAAAAAGATGTTATAGTTCTGCCAAGCAAAGCTACGAAACTTGATCGTGTATTAAATCGTGTTGTCAACTTCTTTGCCATAAGCCGGATAAGTTTTAAGTTTTCTTCGGTGTAAAGGAACAGAAATTCTATCTGAACAAAGACGTTATGGGTCACCATTGTTGATACCTACCTTCATTTGTCTCAATATTGTGCTCTTTAATCTTATTGTAGTTTTCTTGAAAGTTTTCGTTTGTAGTATCCTCAGTAATGTTCACCACAGGAAGGGAAGTGTATTCAAGAAAAATTTTCATCTTTGAACCTCGTTGACGACTCTTCTCCAAGGTTTCCTCACTAATAATGTGTGATTTCGTGAAAAATGCCATTATATTAGGCATAGATATTATGAATAGCACGTTGTTCTGTAATCAACGTTTTAAGTTAACATGTTGTGGTCTTTTCAAACATATAAAAAGACAACATTTCATCCTGTAAATCGCCTGGACTACTTCTTCCCAATAAACCATAGACTAAGATTATCCCAGAATAAGTGTAACTTAAATACTTACTGACTTCCGACAACGTCCAATGTAAATCTTGCTAAAGGGAGGTGATACTCCAAAACTGTGTATTTATTACCCAGTTTTCTCTTCGCTTTCATTTTTATTGTCAGCTAAACGAATTGAAGAACAGTTTCTACATTGAATCGTTGCTTTACCAGAAACGTATTGCGATATGTCGCTACCTCATCACAACTTAAATTGTACACAAGAACAGAGACTTTGTCCGACCATTCGTTTCCATTGGTGATTTCCTTAAGTTGACAGTGCTGTTCGCCCAACCTCAATGCACACCAATGTGTATCATCTTATTGCATGCAAAATAGAAACTGTCATCCACCATGTGCACTTTTCCTGATGAGCGAAACTTGTCCTACCTGTAAGAGGGCCATCGAACCCTCCATTAATTGTCAACGTTAGAACTCCGCAAGCTGAAAAATACACACTTTCGTCATAAGTGATGTTAATTTGAGAGCAGAATTGATGTTCAACATTACCAAACTGTGAGCCATGGCCAAGGACATCAGGATCATCGCATAAAGGAATTGTTATTCTACCGGGATCAACCAAAGCTATGTTAAGAAAGAGATGCCTCACATTGAGTTTCGGGGCTTCGGGCAATGAGATAATTTATGCAACATGGCATACATAGTTTCAAGCAATCGTTGAGAAGACTAGCCATCCAGTTCTTCAAAAGAGGAAATTCCATCAGTTGAACTGACTTCAATAGTCGTATGTCGAATTCAACTTTGGGTCTAAAAAGCAAGAAGATAAAGTTAAGGGGCCAACAAGGGAAGGATCCTTCTCCTTCAATTTGACGTTGATTCTCACTCCTCAAGAAAACAGAGAGATATGGCAGCAAGATGTGGAAATGGAATGTTGCGATTAAATGAAAGCACAATCTGCATCTTTCCATTGATGTGAAGATCTTCTACAGAAATGCTAGTGCTGAGATCCAAAAATCTAAAAAATAAGGTTTATTTATTGTATCGTGATAAACGTAACAAGTGTTAAAGCAGTGCAATGTAATCAATAAAGATAACATGTTATCCTGTTATCAACCATTGAGGTAACATATTATCCTTCAGTTAACCGTAAAGATAACATCCTGTTATCCTGTTATCCACCTTAAAGATAAGATGTTATTGCTAGTCAACTCTAAAAATAACATGTCATCCTATTATGCACCTTAAAGATAAGATGTTATCCTCTAGTCAACTTTAAAAGTAACATGTCATCCTGTTATCCACCTTAAAGATAGATGTTATTCTCTAGTCAACTATAAAAATAACATGTCATCCTGTTATCCACCTTAAAGATAAGACGTTATTCTCTAGTCAACTCTAAAAATAACATGTCATCCTGTTATCCACCTTAAAGATAAGATGTTATTCTCTAGTCAACTCTAAAAATAACATGTCATCCTGTTATCCTCCTTAAAGATAAGATGTTATTCTCTAGTCAACTCTAAAAATAACATGTCATCCTGTTGTCCACCTTAAAGATAAGATGCTATCCTCTAGTCAACTCTAAATTGACATGTTATCCTGTTATCCACCTTAAAGATAAGTTGTTATCCTCTAGTCAACTCAAAAAAAATAACATCTTATACTTTTGTCAACCTTAGAGATAACATGTTTTTCACTATTCACTATAAGGAGGTACTTTGTTATTCTGTGATTAGTCTCAAAGATAACTTAGGGAAGTGTAATCACTTATAAAGATGACATCTTTTTCCTTTTTTAATGTAAATTTTAGCTATAGTATCTCAGGAAGGGATCCATTATCGAAGAATACGTATTTTATGTGACTTACCCTCCTTTCGCAAGTCTCACTCGAATGATAAACTTGGAGTCTGGACTAGATAAACCAACATCAAGGTTCATAACTGCTTTGTACTTAGGCATTGTTGCCAATCCCTCTGGCGGAAATCTCAACGTTATCTCCGACGCTTTTATATTTCGATTGTCTTCAAACGAGTCAAAGCATTCGATGTATTTAAAGTAAGGTGTACGATTACCTACAGTGAAATCCTCCACCTCAATTGACTCTATGAATGATGGTTTAAATTCTTCTAGATAAGGATCGAGATTAGTCTTGATCAGGGAAAGGATGGAGCTCTCACTAAAAACACACCTAGGGCAGAAAATGTTTATACCATTATTTCCTTTGTCCGCATTTGTAACTACTTTTATTTTTTACCATCTATTTATGACGAAGTTTAACCATTCAGCGGTCTCTGCATTTTGAAATGCGCGTTCCCGATGCGCTTGCATCTCAGCAAATCGCATTGAAGTCTTCAGAACGTGAGCTGAAGTTCTGTTCCACCAGGTAAAGACGAGAAAGAGGAACGGGATGAGCCAAATAAATCCAATACCAAAGCTTCCAAAGATCCAAGCGAGGATAAGGAAGATTGCTGTTGATACGGTCAAACGGGCATTATGTTTAGCAAATGTTTTCATATCATCATCCACAACGACGCCTGTTTCACCATCATCAGATTGTTCTACATCACTCAAATTAACACCAAAAAAAAATCTTGAAATAATGCTGTAAAATATTTGGTATACCAATGTGTTGCTCTTCATCGTTCCCATATTATATTCACAATAGACGAAAGCTTTATGTCACTACAAAAGAAAAATGCAGTACGTTTCAGCTTTATCAACTGCCTCTACATAGCTGGAATTCTCTATTTGTGTTTAATTTCATTAGAATAACTTCAATTTCATGTTTTCTGAAGTTATCAACCGGAAAAGGATTATATAAGTACTTCACTGCAAAGCACATGATATTTTCAGGTGATGTCATGAAAGATGACCGACGTGAAAGATACACATAACTACACTAAATGCCGAAGGGAGGTGAGGACATGATCTTTATCTCACTGGAGATGCGCTTCAGAAAAGAAACTTCAAAAACTGTATTTCCAATACAGACGTTTTGATATAACAATCTCTCGACTTGGAACCGAAACTGTTGATTGAGATATAACGGGTATATCGATCGTTAAAAGTTAGTCTACATGCAATAAATCGTTGTGAAATGGGACGGTCGTAACAATCATTCATTTTGAAACATTTTTGAGAGGCCAGTCTCTCCACCTAGCTTTGGATGTTGACTCAGATCTCGTAGTATGTCCTTGAATATATTCGTGTCGAGGTCATGTAAGCTGGTGTAGTGCAGTTGAACACAACTTTACAGGTCTATATGGTCTATAACTTGGAGATGTTAGGTTGGAAAACTGGTGTGAAATACGTGCATAGTATATTGTATATGAACAAATTTTATGAAGTATATGAAGAGATTTTTACAATCAACGTTCTTGGCAAAGGACACTAAGGATGTTGCCTCATACATGGGAGTTTATCTTCTGGAAGAATACACATATAGCCCAGATCCAGAAGAGTGACCCACGTTAGAGTGATGTAAGTGCAAGGGAAACAAACAATTGGCATGTGTGAAAGATTTCATAGTTCAATGATAGATCCTGTTTCTATGTGAATCTATGCAGAGAACAAAAATGGTTCAGCACTATGTTCTCACTCTATGAATAATGATGCTGAGTCATAGGGGATCTTAGGATAAGAACAACGTTTACAAAACGAACAACGAGCTAAGGCTTGTTGCTGATATGGAAAACCTTCATAACCACAGTGTTCACCGGAAAGTGGAAGAACTTGTATACTATTATGTCGTTGCTTGAAAAACTATATATCACCAAACAAGAAGCTCTTTATCAAAAAATAATTTTGTATGGGATCGAAGCCTTTTTCTACCAGTTTGTGTTGGCGGATTTAGACATTGTTGTGTTGATAGTTCCTAAACATTTTTATACCACAAATTCGTCGTGACACGCAAAATATGCAAACTTGGAAGTAAGGTTGACAAAACTGAAAACCTTTAAATGTTGTATAATTACGAGAAAACTCGATGGACTGACAAATAAAGAAGTTTTAGACAAATAAAGAAGTTTTGATTCCTTAAATTTGCAAACGAAATAAATGACTTTCTTGTTTTTTAGACTGAATGTATATAAGACATAGTTTCATAAATTAAAAACAACCTGTCAACGACCTGGTTTTCAAACATGCAGAGTTCTTATTATGAGAATACATATAATAACTCAATCGATAAATAGAATAATCCACGAGCGTATTAGGTGGAAAATACACAAGAGCTAGAAAAAAAAAGACTCCTGCATTCACTGTATTAACGTTTTTCTTATTCAATATATTAATTATTGTCATATGTATAAAGTTAGAGAAGTACCTCTGCAATTTAATCTTATTTAATGTGTATCTTTCAATGTAATATTCAAGTAACTCACACAACGATAGTCAGTGTATTGTATCACCACATCTTCTTTATAGATTATTCACAGCGACTGCAAGAAAGGAAGTTTTCCAAATGAACATTGCATCTTTAAGTTTACAATGCATTATGCAAATCAAAGCGTCTTTAGGTGTGCAGGTATAGCGTCTCGATCCAAGACACGGCTATAGCTGCAAAGACTGGATCCAAACATGAACTTGGTGCTAGATACATCATAGTAAGTATCGTCCATACAACTGTATGATGTACTCTTTATCAACAATACATACCATAAAGTGACGACATAATTTTATGATACACGTAGACCTCATCAAAGTGTCGATACCACTGTGTGATGTACTCCTCAGTCAACATTATTAATTGGTTTATTGTCGATAAAAAAATTGTCTGTCGCATGTTTGTAAGATACCTGTTAACTTTCTCGAAGGAACAGTACTAATACACAACCTAATTACGTTTTTAGATCAGGAAAAGCTAAAAATATTTCGTTCCTCCTTCAACAAGAAAAGTTAAATTTTTTGTTCCTCCTTCAACTAGAAGAGTTAAAATTTTTTGTTCCTCCTTCAAATTTTAAACCAAATTCACTTAATTGTTAATTGGGTAGCAGGGGGACTCATATATTCATATGCTACAATCCATTTGTTTCTCCATGTCCGGTCCATGACATTTGCTTCAAAAAGATTTCGTCCACCAAATAAGAAGCGCAAAAAATAATTTTGTTTGTGATCGAACCTTTTTCTGCCATTGCGTGTTGGCAGATGTTGACTTTGTTTAGTTGATGGTTCTGAAACATTTTTATGCCACAGTTTTTTGTGACATGTGCTAAGGACATGCAACTGGGAATTAAGGTTAAATTTGAGTGTTTGTTCCATTTTGATTTCGCTTCATTACCTTAGGTGCAATTATTAATTATTCTCATTTTCTTTTATTCCTCTATGTTGCTGAAGAAATTTTATTACAGTTGTTTGTTTCGTGTAGAAAAATTTGCAAAGAGAGAATCCTTACGTAGAGGGATCCTTTTTTGTTTTTCAAATCCAACCATATCCATTTCCAGCCTTATATATACATCTTCACATCTTTTCACAGTTCAACCCTTCACCCGCGTATTTTCAAATGCAAGATGGCGGTCAAACGACCTCTGTGGTCTTTATTGACGATTATTTTCATATTTTTTTCTTCTACAGCATGTTTGTTTGTCCTTTCACGTCATAGGCCAACATTGCAAGTGAAAGGTGGAACATTAGCCGGCGTGGATAGTAACACGACTAGGTAAGAAAGAACGTAGACTGTAGACGGAGAGGGTCACAAAGTGCAAACTTCATTATGACTTGACTTGACATAGTTGTTTTAGTTTTAAATGTTTAAAAATCGTATGCGTTCCAAAAATGACTACTGTACATCGTCTTTTTATCCAAACATCGTTTCCTATGATCTTATGTACACTTTACTTCGAAGTTCGACTCATTTCAACCAAAGTTACGAACCAGTCATAAGACTTGAGAATCATTGTACTGCTGTGCAGTTGACTTTATTGTGTGGTAAATAAGATTAGATGATCTTCCGGACGTTAAATTCAGAGTGGACGTTTATATCTTGTGTCCAAAGTCTCTGACTGCATTTTTTCGAAATAAAAGGTGAGAATAAATTTGTTACAGCTTGATGTAAATGGTTTTGCTCGTGTGTAATGCTGTAGGGCATGGGAGTGATAAAACTGAAATATTGAAAATATTTCGTCTATGGTTCTTATTGCTTATTAACGGGGTAGGGTCCTTTTTTTTCAGTGAATTGCATTTCCCAAAAAATCTTGAAGAACTAAACAAGTTGGTGGGCTTGTTAAGAAAGTATCAACTACAAAATCCTTTCTTTGTGTTTGTGTTGTTCTGCTGTGCTTATCTCTACAAACAGACTTTCGCAATCCCTGGATCTGTTTTTATGGTAAGATGTGTGCATAGGTATTTGTTACATATGAACAAAGGTCATGTCGTGGCATTATTTATTATATGTCATTTGTAGAATTTGCTTGCTGGTGCTTTATATGGTTTAAAGTATGGTGTGCTTTTTTCTTGTATCCTCACTGCATCTGGTGCTTCATTTTGTTACTTATTATTCAAACATTTTGGTAAACCTGTTCTACTTTATTACTATCCAAACAAACTCAAGATTTTACAAAACAAGGTTAGTTCAATAACATGTTGGTGTAGTTTTGTGTCAGTGATTTTACCTTTACACTGGTTTAGGTAAAAGAGAATGCTAACAATCTATTTGGGTTCCTTTTGTTTCTACGATTTTTTCCAATGAGTCCAAACTGGTTTTTGAACATGGCATCACCTGTACTTGAAGTACCACTGAGGCTTTTCTTTCCATCTGTTTTAATTGGTCAGTGTATATTATTGTTAATTCATATGACGAAAGTTCACCTGTGATCTTTGCAGTATGTATACTTTTATAGCAGATGTCTTTCTTTAATTATTTTTTTCTAATTAGGATTGTTTCCATACAACTATGTTTGTGTTCAGGCTGGTTGTTTACTAAGCGAATTGGTTTCCTTGGATGAATTGTTTACAAGGAATGTTATTTTGAAATTAGTGACCATTGCAGCCATGTCTTTAATTCCAGGTATGATTATAAAAAGAATCAATTCCCAATCAATGCCTACTAAACAAAATTAACATGATATTCTCAATCAAAAAAAATTTAAAAAATTTTATTTCTCTCATTTGAAAAATGTAATTATCACAAGTTTCTTTCAAAAATGAATGAACTAATGTATTGGTGTCAATAAATAAATGAGCAACCATTGTAAAGGAGGGCATGTCATCACTGTCCCAAACACTTTATCCTGGTAACAAAGATCATCCATGTTGTGGTCTACATGGTAAACGAACACAGCTGGAGTGATTTGCATTATGGTATTAAATCTTTTTTAAATTATATTGACTCTGTGATGCCAAATGATGAAGCACTACCTAACCCAAGACCGATAGCAAGGAAGTAGGCCATTATTGTTCCAGCAGTTTCAGCATGTTTACTTTCGACTAAACTATAATGCAGAATAAAAAGTATCTTGGAGGACATGTCACGTAAATTCAATGTCATTGCATTTTATGTACTTACTCTGGACCATACATCATGCAAAGACTGCCTAGATATCCATTACTAACAGAGAAGAGAAGATTAAACACAACTGGCCAGTAATCCTCTTTAAAATAGACTGTTGCATTACTTCTCCGTGGCTGATAGTTGCAGAAAGCAAACAATGGAATAAAAACAAATCTCAAGATAGTGCAACCAAGCATCCAATAGCCATCAGGTCCAGGCTAATAACGATGAATATTAGGAATTAAAATGTATTCGAATTTGATTGTGTTTGAAAATGTGAGGATACAAACTTTCTGAACGAATCCAGCAATAACTCTACCAGCAAAGTCACCAACATTGAATAATAAGAAACATACCACTGGTGTGAAAAACTTTCCTATAACAGGTAATGTCCAATCATTGAAACTGTTAGAGTGTTTGAATAGTAGTTTTGGCAATGGTTTTTACTTATTTATGTAAACATAAATTGTCTTTTAAAATGATTTTACTTTTGTAAAATATAATTGTTCAGAACTTTTAAATACAATGGTCTGAACGACATACCAAAATACACTTCTTACCTGTCCACTCTGAGCCATCACCATTGTTTTCAGATTTGATGCCAGACAAGACAGCAGGAAATGTGGCCAATGTTACCAAAAACACCAAGACAACAGACAAACCTTGGTGCCAAATCTTTTTTGAACAAGACTATTAGAATAATGATAACACAAAGTCTGAGTCACAAGAAATTTCACCTTTTTCATAATGAGTTTGAACGGGGGCACCGATTTCACTAGCTTTACTTCATGTTCAGGAAAGTTATTTTCCACTTTATCGTTCTCCACTAAATGAAGAATTATGAAGAGAAAAAATGAAACAATAATGTGTGGGAAGTAATGAAAAATACTTAAGTCAACAGAATCTGTGCTCTCATCATCTATTTGAACTTTTTCACCAAGTGAAATTATGAATGAGCATTTAATTCTGATGTGATATTGAATGGTCTAACCAGCACAGTATACTGCTTCCCGATGGCCATCAAGAAAATGCTTTGAGAATCTCTACAGTGCAATAAAGCTCATTAATGTGGTAAGTAATAGTCAATTGATAAGAATTGCCTTATTGGACTTACTATTTTATAAAGACCAAGATATGATATCATGCATATGATCAGCACAACTACAGCAGTCAAGAAGTACCAGAAAGCACTATCATACGGATCAGCACTACCTTGAAAGGAAGTAACTTATCATACGTCATTGGTAAAAGAAAGTTATCGAAAACACAACCAACCTAATTTAGAAGAGATATCGGCAACACAAGCAAATATGCCAGCAACACCTTGACCTGTCATCAAGGCCTGTGTGTATTGAGGTGGCATCATGCCAGCAAGACCAAAAATTCCTCCTTGATACACTGCACCAAAAGCTATAAGTGAAAACAGTTTCTAGGGTTGTTTGCAACAGTCAATAAGAGTACGTTATTGTACAAAATTAAGGTATAGCTACTTGTACAAAAGTTGTGTGACATCAACGTTATTTCTTAAGGGTAACAAACTGGGGTATCAAGTAACTAGTGGTGTGAATGAAATGGTAGATTTTGAACAACATACCGTTGATTAAAGCTATGATAATCAAAGTGATGGCAAAAAATAATCCTTTCCCTGTAACAATATCAGTAATTCATTATGGCACAAGAAGCAATATGAAATGGGTCATAATATCAGTGTTATCTTACATTTGTGAACATCAATCTTCACTAATATTGTTGTAACAATAAAGATCACTATCATCAATATCAATGGAACAATGATTCTTTTCTTAAGTGGAGCCCTTGCAAGAAATTGGCCATTTTATACGATGCATACCTTGTCAAGAGATTGTTTATGATCTTGTTTTACTTACTTGTGCTTAAACATGGTATTTAAAAGGAACGCAAGCAGTAGTGGTCCACATGCAGCCAAAGAAAAAAAATTCTCAAATTCATCTTGATAATTTGTGTTTTTCAACTTTGTAGAGAAGTACTAAAAGGGAAAATAGGTTATCAGTACAATGAATTTTTCATATCTTGAAATATGTAATGAGAAAATCTGACAGAGCGTACTGCTTGTGCTGTGATGAAAAAGTTCCAAGGTAGCACAGTTCCAATTCCTTGAAGTAGAAGGACGAAGTAAACAAGATTGAACCTGAACAAGAGACAAGCATGTAATTTGAGCAATATCTTACAATACAAAACTTTGCGTAATGATAAATATACAAACAAGTCAAAAACAAATAGATGAGAATACTGAATACTGACTCAAATGAACGAGACTTTGATGTTCTTCATGGTGAAAGTTCAAGTGTCATTGTGTAATATTTACCGTATGTCAAATTTTCTGAAGACTTCATCCCATGTTATCACTTAGTAAGACTTACCTGTCCTTCGGAATTTTTCTCTGGCCATTTACGAGTCCTTCAACACTTTCATCTCGCTCGTTCATGATGTCGACAGTTATAAAGATCAATTGTACATGATTTATAATGCAACTATCAAAATTACGAAACAGTTAGCACTTTGAAATTTTTATAAATACATCCACTCAATGACTCGAGTGATCATAAGGTGGTCGTTAGAAGTTCGTCAATGTAAAATGATTTCGTCCTACGAACTCAAGATTATGATATTAATTTCTTGAACTGTGAACACTCCATCAAATTTGAGGTACAATACACTTGAACAATTACTAATGTTAGCAATGAGATGTTGTGAAACAGAAAATGAGCCTTTGATAATACCCGGTAATCAAGATTTACCCGGGGGTTACAACTGTGCGGTCAAAGTCTACCGACTTTTGCAATATTGGCAGATGACGTTATTTTTTGCATAATTTAACCGACTTAATTCTTTCCAAAGGAAAGCACGAACGACCCAATTTGATAAAAAAATGACGTTTTTAGACGTCAAGAACGGAGGACCCAAGATTCACGACGATCTCTTGATGAATGAACGAGGTAAGAAATATAAGGATGTTTATCAAATACTTTTAACGGGGGCGCGTGTTACCCATAAAATTGGTAAAAGGGGGTACTACGTTGTGGGAGTAATTTTGATAGTTTTTTGTTCTTTGTAGGGTCAATATTTATGTGTTTCATAGTTTGAGATGAACCAACTGTTTGTCTCCTATCAGTTTTTGGACCAACTTCTCATACATAATTCACAAAAAGGGTATGTCATATGCCTGCCCCACTCCTAATGTGAGGTCTCTCTTGTGAGAATAAATTTGTCATTAGTATAATTGTTTAACACAGTGCTTTGAGAAAATGCCATAAAAGTCACATAATAACTCACAGTTATCTTCATTTTTAGCACATATAATGAACATTGCCTACCCTAAGAATGCCAGGAGGTAAGTCCTAAAATGATATTATAATAATTGATACAATTTATTGGTTACACATTGTTTTCTGCAACAAATAAGTTTATCATGCATGTATGTACAAAAATATAATCGGAAAGCCTATAATTTGTTAATGTAAGGTACTTTGCATGCTACAAAATCTTTTAATCAATGGGTTCAGCAATCAGGGGTGCAGTGAATTCAGAATGTCGTATACCAAATGAAAACTTTGGAGCAATTTTCTTGTTCATGTAAACCTTTAAAACATAAACCAAAAATGTAAATTTTAAGTGCATGCCTTAATATAAAACTAGTTGGTTGAAGTATATTGCCTTTATCTTACCTTTTCTGGGGAATATGTACCCGGGCCTGGTTTCTGAGTGTTATCGCCTGGCATTGCATTACGTGCAGTCATTGAATATGCTGGTAACCTTATTTTCACCATGTTAAGGTTATTGACATGATATGTGCCAGGTCCAGGAGTCTGAGGAAAAAAATACAATGGTTTAAATTCAAATAAAAGAGATCCAGTGTTGCTAAAGTTACCTTCTGCAGATCTTCATGAAAGCCTCCTATCTTACTTCTACCCACTAAACTGTAGGATGGGGCAGATTTCTTGCCAATGGCTTTTGGACCCAGGATTCCTGGTAGGTTGTAAGCATTTGGTCCAGGGGTCTGATCTTTCTTACCAATCTTTGATCTTGAACCAAATGAGTACTGTGGGGGGTATTTGTGGTAAGGATACTTTTGTTTCTCTGGTGAGTAGGTTCCTGAAAAATATGAACACTATTTTAACCATCACCAAAATTTTTGCTGCATCAAGATTTCATAAACATGACCAGAATTTAAACATCTGTACATGTTTGAAATATTTTGCAAATAATAAATACGTGAGGGTTAATAGTATTCTCTTTATAAGCGTATTTTAGACGTGCGTTTCCGGCTGTAGTAATTAGTAACATTTAAATTATAATTTTGGCATAATTAAAATATCCTTTAACTTTTGACCTCATGAATAATGCGCTAACATTGAAGCATTCTGGCCGATAAAAGCTTGTTTTTTTTTCTACAAATGTGCATTTCCCATATTATAAAACTTGTTAAAGGCAAAATAGCCAAAATAAGAAAATTCGCACTTTGTGTTGTCTCTCGATTGCTTCCCAAGTGCAAAGACCTCCCTCAATCAAAATGTCAATACAAGGTCCAACCACCTTGACAACCGCATTTCGCCTTTATATAAACACGCGCAAAAAACGAGTTTTCGTATCGAAACACGAAGAAAATACGAATATAATGATCGCGAGGCTAACTGTCCTCTCACAAACATAAGTTTGGAAAGAATTTCTGCGCAAAGGATTTTTAGAATTTTTGCCAGGTTTTCCTGTGTTTCGTCGTGCGACAAAACAAAATGCACTATTTTGCATGTCATCGCATAGGATTCGTCTACATCTTCCACTGTACAACTATGGGATTGTTACATTATTTAGTGTCTTTTATGGCATGGTTATAGCAGACTAACCTGGTGCAGGCGTCTTGAAAGACCCATTTAAATACGTTCTACCAGCCAGCGAATATCGAGGTGTGCCCTCTTTTCCCGTTTTTGTAACGTTTGAAGGAACAAGATAAGCTGGACCAGGTGAAGACACTTCAAGGTTGAACTGATTTGATTTAAAGCCAAAGGTATATGCAGGTGCTTTGTTTTTTGATGGATCGTGCTGGTAATATCCTGTACATCCTCGTAATAGATAGCGCGCTGGACCAGGACCGCGAAACATCGCTCCTATCTGAGGCCGTTTTATCGTCTCCGGTGCCATTCGAAGTTTAGTTTAGATGTTTGTTTTTTTAATGTTTGTGATCACTTGGCCAATAGTGACTAGTAATTATATAAAGAATACGAGATATCCCTTATGATGGCAGATATCAGCTCATTTGCTTTGTATCGCTATCGTTATGAGCGTCGCACTCTCGTTAGTTGAATATTAATGAATGACTGAAATTTAAGAAGGGCAAGTTTTGATTTATTCGATTATAAAAATGATCATAATAATAATTAACGTCAGCAACAGTTCAAAGTTTTCTTCCAGATTTCCTTTGACTTTTTTGTAAAATGTTTAAAAACTTCCCTCTTGTCATTTCTCGTGCTAAAAAAAGGAAAACACTTCATTACACTTTCATAGGATTGTGCAAATTTGCATCAATTACCTTCTTCTAAGCCAAGTTGGTAAGCAAGATTTTGAAGGCCTCGGACTTTTTCCATTAGTTGCGCTGTTGTCAAACTGCCAAATTCTTAATAACAAATACAAATTAATTGATCAATAAACTTGGCTTTTTTAAAAATAAATGTAACAAAGAAAACCTTGCAGAAGGTCCATATCTCCATCGCTTAAAACTGTTGATAAGTTTGTTTCAACAGCAGTATCAGGATAAGGCTAGAATGAAATTTTACATTCCGCATTTCACATTGTTATACGAAATAATGAGTTTTATTGACTTACACTTGATCTTAATTCCGCAAAGTCAGAGATTCCAGGCACTAAAGCAAGATAAATATACATAGTAAAAATATGGGAGGGATGAAATCAGGGGGGTGTAGTCTGTCTCAAGCTTTTGGGGAGGGGCAAAATTACTGTGAAATTTTTTCAAAATAATTAACTATGGATGAGCAATACTATTTTTACATGTTTGTAAATGTAGATCGTAAATGTAGATTGTTTTGACTCTGAAGATGACTACCGCTAAGGTTGTCGAAATGTCAATAACAAAACAGTCCTTCTCAGGACTATACCAACCTGGATGAGCAATACTATTTTGATTCAACATTGCTGTTTTAGTTATGGCCAATAAATTAGAAATACTTTTTGTGTTGAATGTTTTGAGGCATACTCTCAACTACTTAATATAAACACCACACAAAAAAATCCCCCCCCCCCAAAGAAAAATTATTGTCAGTTTGTAGATTCTAATTGAATAAACTCCAGATAATCAAATATAGTATTAACTATATAGTAACTTGCTAAATGCCAATGTAAAGATAAGGGCACTTGTGTTTAAGAATGACATATCTTGAATTCAAGAAACCCAATTCTGAAATTATCAATAAAAAGTGGTACACTCAGTTTCGCTTTTAATGTAGCAACATTATTTGTTGATAACTGTCATCGTATTAACCAGTTTGAACAATGCCCAGTTTATCATATTAAAAAAGAGCAATAGCAACTGGTCTTTTTGAGACTGGTTGTGATTCATTGACATAGCACTCATGAAAATTTATCTGGAGGGGATTTTCATTTTGTGTTGTGCTTGGAGTATTTTCTAATCAAATTTCTAACAGCTGAAATATGCTTTCCATAAGCACAAGTTTTAAAAGTCGAAAATATAAATTAATAAGTATCATAACATTCAATGAATAGCCTATTGTACTAGAGAAAGGGGCCCCATTGGTTGTGTTACGCCACTTGATGAAATATATCAGAAAACTATAAAATTAATATAATTATGAGACGCATACTCTGATCAGGCCACAAATCTGGCGATGAACGATCAAGTCTTTCAAAGCTCAGTAAACCTTGCAACGATGGATCTAAATCTATAACAAATCACATCAAACGCACACATGTAAAGCACTAAAACTTATTTAATTTCAACAGTACGTAAATTTACTTAGATTAGTTTTTATTTAGCAAAGTCTACCGTAATTTGGGGAGCTGAGTTTTCTCTCCATAATGTCTTACGTGAACATATGAAGATTTTACAATCGTTCTTGTTTTATGTTATCCGCCATTTTGAATAATAATGCTGGGAATATATTATAATTAATCACCATGTAATTGATGACCACCATGCTGTACAAAGACTAGAGTTGTACCATTAGACAGATTTTCTAGGGGTGCAGTCGGTTGCCACCCCCAAACATTAGATTTCACCTCCCAGATAAATTGTTCATCCCTCTAAGGAATATCTTAACCCCTTCCTTATTTTCAGCAAAACAAACCAGTAGTACAGTTAAACTAAATTTTTCAAGGAAATGTTTAGACTACCTTTTGTGGCGACACTACCCTACCCGACAGCCTCTAAAATCCTTACACCTTTACTTTAGTTTGTTTTGCATTGCTTGCCAGGTAATGCCCCTAAAACTCATAGCACCACCCTAGTGAAAAAATGAAAATTTCTCCATGGCTTTTCCAAACATAGACTGTGGCTTTACCACACACACACACCCTAGATGAACAAGTAAAGTCAAATTATAGGAAAGAGAATCACGAAATGTTTTCCCTTTGAATTGAATGAACAACACTATTGACAGAGAAATACGCAGAATTTCAAGGGATCTCTTTCCTAATTTCTTAAAACTTTTTTGACAATTGACACATTCATTTGGTTGATTTGCGATTTATCACGGTTTGTAAAGCGTTCTTTGTTCTCAATTTGTAGCTTGCAATTGTCAGTTTTTGTACTTCTTAAAATCATGGAAATGGAAGTGGTAATATTCAGAGGAAAGAACAGAAAAGTAAGATGAGAAGGTAAAGTGTACTTTTTCCCTTCGAATTTAAGAAATGGTGAAATATGTCGAAACCGAACTGTGTTTTTTGTTGTGCGCTTGTAGATCGTTTTCACTCATTCCTTTGGGATCAACATAACAATGGATGAAGTCGCCATATTGCTGTACCAAACAAAAGAACTTCGTTAAAATTATTTTCAATAGGTACGTCACATCAACATGGTGGCTATGACGTCAGGTGAAAACGATCTATAGCGGTGTGTGCATATTTTGATATTAGAAATTATATTAAATTCCCATGAGCATAAAGTATTGTGTGGTTGTAAGAAAGATAGATAATATATGCACGTTACAATATTTTAAGAAAAAAATTTCAACAATTGACCAAAGTCTAAAGGACTCCTTTTCTACTCCCTGTATAAGTGAAAATCATTTGGACGAAACAAATTTAATCGGATTTACGTATAACAATTGATATTTTCTCAGCAACCATAGCGACATATAAAAATACACTTGTTGCAAGAAAGAATCGCTGTAATGTAAAGATTTAAAAATGTGGTCCTGGGGGATTCATCTAGGTTCGGTTGTGTGCACTTAAGAAAGCATTAAAGCACATGAATTGCAGCTGAAACAAGCCAGATTGAATGTGAACAGGAAGAGCAACAGCATGGCAAAACAACGGAGAAATCGAGTTCGATAAAGAGCGATAACTTGGATATACATACCTATTTACAAAAAAAAGTCTAGATTAAAAGACCACATCAACGTTGATAATGAGGAAGAAGTAGCAGATGACTGGAAGGGATTTGCATCGAAGATTACACGCAAATTATAAACTATCAAAGCGGAATTACAGCGATGTCTACCAGAATATTCTTGTGCTATAGTACATATACCGGATCATACCTGTTAACTTAGCATTTTGATAAACATGGAGTTTATATCGAAGCAGCAAAGTTATCACAACGAGTGTCAACGTGACGAAACAGATCAGTTTTAGAAGGTCGTTACACAATGGTTCAAATAACAGCTAGTTTTCTATTCACAGTATTCAAAGAGAAATGTTTGCTGCGTCGTCAAATATGTAGTCAAAATGAAAAAACAATAAACACTTCGTTAATATGATCTGGATGTTTACAAGCATTTTGAGGCCCTTTCTTCAATCCCTTTGAAGAAGTTATCATTTTGGAACTTGGCTAATACCTGATGCTCTAACGTCGATTCATAAATGTATCGTCATCCTCATATATAACTACAAATTGGAATGATCAAACTAATACTGACAGAAGCCACTAAAAGAAATCCATCGCCGTAAGGAAACGTGCTGCTTACATGAAACATCTGTACAGAAATAACTATCTCTATGTCTTTCAATATAAGTTATCCAAGGTTATGTATACTTTATGTATGATCAAAATAGCATTGATGTATAAAATTTATAACAACGCTTGCACTCCTTCCGGACACCTTAATTTTACCAATACTGATATTTGCTTTCTTGCAATCTCTTTGACTCGAAGCTCTTCCATAATTTCGTTTCGAGACCTTGAAAGGTCATTTTTTTTGCATTAATTATTACAAAGCAGGAATGGCACATTAAATTGAGCATTAGTCTCCAACGAACTCTCTGGTCTACTACAAGACACAACCTTTCGAGGTTGCAAAGTGGAGGTTCAAACCCTGTCTGCAATAAGGTATAGTTAGGTCTAGGTTAAGCTAAGAAATGAGAAAATAGTGCTGGTTAACAGTGCAAAAGTGGCATTTCTATTACTGTGTTTTTAGAGAATGGAATGCGACACTTAGTATAAATTCAGAAAAATTCGCTCTCCGATGAGAAGGAGGAGAGCGAAGAAAAAAAAAAGATAGGATCCCATGCAAAAAACCACTCTTAAAAAAACTAAGTCTTTTGCTCAAATTTTTTTATGACTCCCTGTGATCAGGGAGTTATTTTTTTAAATTTTGAAAAGTCAGGAAACCCAAGAGCAAACAGAACGCCCTAATATTCCCTTTCTTACCTCCGTACACTTGTTCCTCAATTCAACTTTCTGTCTTCCACATCCGCCTCGTACACCTAAGTGTGTCAGCAGAGGGGCGAACCAAGGATCTTGTGCACAGGAGGTCAGTGATGTCGAACTAAGCGCCCAACATCGGCCAGTTGAGCTAAGCGCTCATCATCGAACTCTTAGGTTTTTTCGCGTATTTGATCATTTTTTTAAACTTTGAAGTGAAAGAAAACGATGATCCAGATCGGTATTGAACCCGAGATGGTGCGATAGCCATACTGACAACCACAAGTGTTCCACTCAGTAAAGAAAACAACATGGATTTGAACCTTGAAAGGTCTGAGCACCGCACCGATAACTATACCTCTCATCCAGAGGAGGGACATACGACTTCGATGAAAACATGTCAAGTGATTAGCAAAAACAACATTTATTGCATCCATTTCTTCTGGCTCAAATTTACAATGTTTAGTATGTTTGACTTATTATTTGTCACCCTCACTCCATTGATGAAGAAAGGAATTTACTTGGCTTACCTATCAAGCTCTAAATAACATAGTTTGGCATTTCATGTTCTTACAGCAAGGAACAGGACGTATAAAGTATACACAATTTTAGGAATTGCCATGTGGTAAATGAAGACATTAACGCGCATGTTCCTTAGTTTAATGTCGTTGGAGGATTATTTTGTCTGTTTAGACTTAGCTAACGTATTTTTTATTATCATACATAACAACATTGTAATAGCTTCTACAAAAACCAATAGTTCCCGTGGAACAGTCATCACTTTTTCTTATTCTGTGATTGAGTTTAAGCACTTACCTATGCAAGTTTACAGAGGCGTATGACATTCTGTAAAAATCGTTCGCTTTTCTTTGTGGCTAAAAATCATACTCGTGTTTAAAGTTGACGTTGTCCATTCAACACTAAACTTATACAGTTACGATGCGCTTTGGAACAAGAAATAGTATATTTAGCAAAAACGTGCTTATAGTAATATAACAGACTTCAAATGTAATCAATGTAATCGTCATTTTATATGAAAAAATGTTGAAAAATCTTGGGGTTGTCTTGTAGACTTTTAGTAGACTTTTTCTAACATAGTTTTTACTGGATTACGAAAGTGGTGTGTTTACAATTTTCAAAAGACTAAACTATAAAGAAGAAATTACTGTTTTTGGAAAAATTTACAAATAAAGTATATTGGAAATCTTTGAGGTACAAAACGAATCTAACAATATTGTACTTATCTTAAATACCTGATTCCATAGTTAAGCTTTGTCAAAGCAAAAACTTTGTTTTCAGAATTTCGTCTTTGACATTAGACAATAGAGTTTAGTGGAAGAATCTTTTAGATTATAATCAGTCTACTGGGAGCTAAGTTACTGACTGTTTTGTACATACTTCTATAGCTTTAATTTCTGCTCTGCGTTTTTCAAATAACTTCCAGCCAAGGGAGTTACGAGCTTACGCAGACTGACCTTGTTCATTCTTTACATTCATAATCAGTCTTGCCCTACTATTCAACAACTTTTGGAGTCTTTCCCAGAGATCTTTCCGAGTTTGCCTCAAACCTCACAACAATAGTCAAAATATGGCTGGATTAAAGCGGATTAACACCAAAACCAAACTGCTTCTATTAATAAATAATTTTATTTTCTTTACAGCTTCAATACCTGACGATATTTTATGTAAAATAAATATATATTCAAGGTGTTATTTCCAGTTCAACTGTTCGTCAATTTGAAATCCAAGCGCTTTGGAACACTTTACTTTTTTGACTTTTTTGTTATTGATCGTAAAGGTTGGTTTGATATCAATTCTATTTAAATTTGTGTCGAAAGACGGTTAAAATATATTCTGTCTTCACACGCCTCTGTAAACTTACATAGGTAAGTGCTTAAACTCAATTACAAAATAAGAAAAAGTGATGACTGTTCCAAGAGAACTATTGGTTTTTGTAGAAGCTATTCCAATGTTGTTATGTATGATAATAAAAAATACGTTAGCTAAGTCTAAACAGACAAAATAATCCTCCAATGCCATTAAACTGACTAAGGAACATGCGCGTAAATGTTTTCATTTACCACATGGCAATTCCTAAAATTGTGTATACTTTATACGTCCTGGTCCTTGCTGTAAGAACATGAAATGCCAAACTATGTTATTTGGAGCTTGATAGGGAAACCAAGTAAATTTCTTTCTTCATCAATGGGGTGCAATAAAAGAAATGGATGCAATAAATGTTGTTTTTTGCTAATCACTTGACATGTTTTCATTGTTGTCGTATGTCTCTCCTATGGATGAGAGGTATAGTTGTCGGTACGGTGCTCAGACCTTCCTAGGTTCAAATCCATGTTGTTTTCTTTACTGAGTGGAACACTCATGGTTGTCAGTATGGCTATCGCACCATCTCAGGTTCAATACCGATCTGGATCATCGTTTTCTTTCACTTCAAAGTTTAAAAAAATGATAAAAAACGCGAAAAAAACCTAAGTGTTCGATGATGAGCGCTTAGCTCAACTGGCCGATGTTGGGCGCTTAGTTCGACATCACTGACCTCCTGTGCACAAGATCCTTGGTTCGCCCCTCTGCTGACACACTTAGGTGTACGAGGCGGATGTGGAAGACAGAAAGTTGAATTGAGGAACAAGTGTACGGAGGTAAGAAAGGGAATATTAGGGCGTTCTGTTTGCTCTTGGGTTTCCTGACTTTTCAAAATTTAAAAAAATAACTCCCTGATCACAGGGAGTCATAAAAAAATTTGAGCAAAAGGCTTAGTTTTTTTAAGAGTGGTTTTTTGCATGGGATCCTATCTTTTTTTTTCTTCGCTCTCCTCCTTCTTTCCTTCTCATCGGAGAGCGAATTTTTCTGAATTTATACTAAGTGTCGCATTCCATTCTCTAAAAACACAGTAATAGAAATGCCACTTTTGCACTGTTAACCAGCACTATTTTTTCATTTCTTATCTCAACCTAGATCTAATTATACCTTATTGCAGACAGGGTTTGAACCTCCACTTTGCAACCTCGAAAGGTTGTGTCTTGTAGTAGACCAGAGAGTTCGTTGGAGACTAATGCTCAATTTAATGTGCCATTCCTGCTTTGTAATAATTAATTCAAAAAAAATATCATTATAGGAATCGTTAAAAGAGCTTTAAGCTAAAGATGGTGTTTGGAAAGAGTGTAAGCGTTGTTATAAATTGTAAACATCAATGCTATTTTGATCATGCGTAAGGTATCCTAGCCTTGGATAACTTATATTAAAGACATAGAGATAGTTATATCTGTACAGATGTTTCATGTATGCAGCACGTTTCCTTACGGTGATGGATTTCTTTTAGCGGCTTCTGTCAGTATTAGTTTGATCATTCCAATTCGTAGTTATATATAAGGATGTCGATACATTTATGAATCGACGTTAGAGCATAAGGTATTAGCCAAGTTCCAAAATGATAACTTCTTCCAAAGGATTGAAGAAAGGGCCTCAAGAAGCTTGTAAACATCCAGATCATATTAACCCAAGTGTTTATTTATTTTTATTTTGACCACATATTTGACGACGTAGCAACATTCTTCTTTAAATACTGTGAAGAGAAAATTAGCTGTTATATGAATCCTTTATGTAACGACCTTCTAAAACTGGTCTGTTGCTTTACGTTGACACTCGTTGTGATAACTTTGCTGCTTCGAGATAAACTGCATGATTAGATATGATCTAGTACATATACTAGAACATGAATATTCTGTTAGACATTGTTGTAACTCCGCTTTGACAGTTTTTAAGTCATAATACATGAATGTTACTCATGTAATCGATTACACGAGTTCTAGTTACGGCCCTGGTAGTAATTAATAGTCACATGCTAGTTTGTGTTCTAAATCAATGATCAAGTAAATTGCCATCTTTTCAAGACTATGAATGTCTACCTACCTTTATTTCTACCTTATAGTCTACCTTTGTGTCTACGTTTATGTTTACCTTTGTGTCTACCTTTATGTCTACCTTTATGTCTACCTTTATGTCTACCTTTATGTCTACCTTTATGTCTACCTTTATGTCTACCTTCGTGTCTACCTTTATGTCTACCTTTATGTCTACCTTTGTGTCTACCTTTATGTCTACCTTTCGTGTCTACCTTATGTCTACCTTTATGTCTACCTTCGTGTCTACCTTCGTGTCTACCTTCGTGTCTACCTTAATGTCTACCTTTATGTCTACCTTTATGTCTACCTTTGTGTCCACCTTCGTGTCTACCTTTATTCTACCTTGATGACTATCTTTACGTCTACCTTTATGTTTACGCCCTGCCTTTACGTCTACTTTTGTGACTTTGTGTCTAGTTTGATGCCTACATTTGTTTTTATCGTTTTCATAGGAGAGAACTTTTGAAAAAGATAAAATAAGATTAAATAAGATGTAGGGAATGTTTTTCCACTTTATGCATATGACAATAGTTAAAATATTTAATAAGTAGAACATTGATGAATCACTAGTTTTATCTTTTTGCAGCTCTCGTGTATATTACATCGAATCCGTTATTAATCTATTTATCGATCGAGTTACAGCAGGAATTCTCTGTTAATAAAACTCTGTTTGAAAAGCAGGTCGTTGACAGGTTGTTTTAATTTCTGAAACTATGTCCTATAAACAGTCTACAACACGAATAATTCATTTTAATGTAAATTTAGAAAATCATGAAAACTTATATAATATTCAGTCTGTCATGTTTTTTCGATATTAGATTAAAACGTTTGAATCTTTGATTTTTTTCCACACATCTTCAAAGTATTCATTTTTAAAAACATTTTACTGCAATATCCAAAAAAATAACAACCTAGATTGGCATCCAATAGATAATCTTTTTCATGGTTTAATCTAAACCCAAATCTAAGCCCACAAATTCAAGCTATTAGTCAATTACATCACTAATTGACAGACAAAGAGTTTCAATCATAAATTGATGTAATAATCACATTCACCAATTAGCCACTCGAAGGCAATCCGATTCACTAATTGATTAAGGAGCGAACCTATTGAAAAATCTTCAACAGCAATGGCTAGTAGCAAGGTAAAGACGGCCTACAAGAATTTTCCTGCAGATGCTGATTTTCCAGACCTCAGCAAACACAATAACTACATGGCCAAAGTTCTTACTAAAGACATTTACTCCGAGCTACGCAATAAAGCCACACCAAACGGCTTTACATTGGACGATGTCATTCAGACTGGAGTTGATAATCCTGGTATGTAAACAAGTATCCTTTTACACGCACTGACCTGCAAAAATTACCAATGTTCATCAAACTTCTACTTAAGGTCATCCGTTTATTATGACTGTTGGCTGTGTTGCTGGAGACGAGGAAACTTATGAAGTCTTCTCCAAGCTCATGGATCCCGTCATCGAGTTACGTCACGGTGGATTCAAGAAGACCGATAAACATAAGACCGATCTGGATGCGAGCAAATTGAAAGGTGGAGATGACCTGGATCCGAATTATGTATTTTCCAGTCGTGTGAGAACTGGTCGCAGCATCCGCGGATACAGTCTACCACCTCACTGTTCTAGAGATGAGAGAAGAAAGGTTTGTGTTAGCTATGGATACAGGGAAAACAGCAACGAATGAAGGAAAGTCTAACTACTTTGCTTTTTTTATCTAGGTAGAGAAGATTACAGTGAAAGCCCTTGATCAATTGGACGGGGAATTAAAGGGGAAATACTATCCGCTGGACAAAATGACAGAGCAAGAACAAAACATGCTTATCGAAAATCATTTTCTATTTGATAAACCTGTTTCACCATTATTGACGTGTGCTGGTATGGCTCGGGATTGGCCAGACGCTAGAGGTATCGCGTTTTTAAGATCGTGTAAACGGTAGCTATATCAGGTAGGCTGTAAATGTTTTTATCTATTCGTGTGTAGGTATCTGGCATAATTCACACAAAAATTTCCTGGTGTGGGTGAATGAAGAGGATCATATTCGTGTGATTTCCATGCAAAAAGGAGGTAATATGAAAGAAGTCTTTCAACGATTTTGCACCGGACTTACAAAAGTCGAGGCCCTCATGAAAAACGCTGGTTCAGAGTTTATGTGGAATGAGCATTTAGGCTTCGTTCTTACTTGCCCTTCAAATCTTGGCACGGGGTTGCGAGCTGGTGTTCACGTGAAACTTCCAAACCTGGCTAAAGATGAGAAACGATTGGACGAAATATTGAAGAAGCTAAGACTTCAAAAACGTGGAACGGGGGGTGTGGATACCGCAAGCGTTGGAGGCGTCTACGATATTTCAAATGCCGACAGGATTGGATTTTCAGAGGTCGAGCTTGTGCAAGCAGTGATTGACGGAGTGAAATTGCTCGTGGAAATGGAAAAGAAACTGGAGAAAGATGAATCAATCGATGCACTCATTCCACAATAAAATAATCAAAATAAACTTGGACCAAATGCAGTATCTACGTTAGCTTTCGAACTGTGTATATGAGTAAAATAGGATGTGATTGACTGACATAAAAAGCAAGAGTAATGGACATCTATATACAGAAATCCATGAACATTTTGAATTACTCTTATCTGGTTAACTTACGTTTTCATTATTTTGTTCTGAGATCCAAGCAATCTTGAAATATTTCAATGAATGAATGAACATTTTTTGAGTCTTCCATTTTGATAATGCACTTCATTTCCAATGTTGTACAATACATGCAAACTTCACACAGTATGAAACATTCTGCCTGCAACAATTGCATACACACGTTAATAACTGTTGTATTATATCTTTGTGTGGAGAAATGATGAGCTCACCTTAGCATATAGGAAATATCTGATTTCCTCGACCCCGAGAGGCGTAGAAGCCATAGTCAAAATATGATTGTCGTTTAGCTTTCTAAGAAATTCGTCTTGATCAGGTATTTCATCAAGCTGCATTTCATAAGATTCACTGACAATAAAAACAAAAAACGATCAAATTTTGTAGTTTATAAAAAAATTGCGTTCGGATACAACTATCAATAAACAAGTTCAACCTTTCCGGTAGTTGTGACCACAGCGTTTCGAACTGTTGAGGGGAAAGTTCTGGGTCACGGAGTAAGACTAGACAGGACGGTTCGGGATCTTGGAACGAGACTTGAGGGGTAAGTTGTGGATCGCAGAGAAAAGCCTGAAAGGAAGGTTCCGGATCTTGTAGCAGAAGTTGATTTTGATCACCACGGTGTTCGACAACAATCTCTTTAACACTTCCTTCGTTTGAAGTCCTTTCTTCTTTGAAGGTCGAACTCTCATTAACATCCTCAGAGATTCTTTCTGCGACTTTAGCATCGTCATCAAGTTGAAGTAAACTTGCGTCTCCCATAACAGGCTAAGATATGTACTTTATGCTGAGAGATACTAATAAATCACGGTGTAGTTTGTAAGAGCTTACCGTCACAGTGTTCGCTTCAGATTCATTTTTCTTTGTGTCGTCTTCCTCGGACATTTCGCGCTTTCTCAGTGTTGCTATTTTCCTATGAACTTTCTTCATTAGATGTCCACCATAAAGGACGGACAACGTATTAAATTCATCAAGCATAGTTTCCTGTGGAGCATGGTATGTGAAGAAATATAGAAACATATATGAAAATGACATAAAGATACGGCAGCAATAATTGCGAGTAGAAAATTGAGAGTATATATTAAGGCAAGACACAGTGGATCAGTTGCTCTTTATGTTTCTCTGTTGCTCTAGTATCAGAATGTAGTTTACGTTGAAGAAGACCTCTGTATTACTATATGGTCCATACCTTGTATTCTAATTCAAAGATATTAGATGTAACATTGATTTGAGCGTTTCGAGGAGGACAAACCACTTCTTTTGCCTTGTTTACATCAAGTTCCAACAGACGATAATACATTAATGCGCGATCACGAACATCCATATTGCATTCCTCTACTGGAGAAGTACAATCACATTGGTTAACACATAAAATGCAACATAGAAGCATATCATAAACAAATACCTGTACAATAGTAAAGTACATACGCCAAGATAGCTTGGCATTCAGGAGGTCGTTTGAAGAATAACTTCATACAAGCGGTGAGAAGTTCTAACTTTACCACGTGAGAAGTTTCCAACTCCATCTGTTCAGACATTGTTTCTAATACGTAAGGTGCTTCGGGGATTTTCTAAAAACGTAAAATGATGTAAGAATTAGTACTATTGCCTAATGCTTATATGCGTTTTTGCTGTGTTCCCGTCTACCTCGCCATATTCTCCCAGCATCCATATAACACTGGCTTTTCCATCGGGTAAAAGATCAAACTGCAAATACCGACTAATATTACCCACAAATTGAGACTCAAGGTCATATGGCACCATAAAATCTATAGCAAAGATATAGGGAAATAAATATCCCGAAAATTATCACCAAAAAAGTATGACGTCATTTGACTACTTCTAAGTGCCGCAAGAGCACGTGATACAATATGATGATCACGTGACTTGACAAGTGAAAGTAGAAGTTCAAAAGACTTGTCGGCCAGGTCGGGGTGAAGGATAGCAATCTTGCTGATACTTTGAATGGAGAATGAGGAGGTATCGTTATGTTCAGCATGGTATCTATAGGAGAAATTAGGAACATGCGTGGATAAACAATTAACTCATCGTAAAAATGGACAGAACACTATACAAAATAAGATTAACCTACCTAAGTTCCTCTAAGATTTCTTTTCCATTAGATTCAGTGACTAAATTTGAAAGAATTTCAAGTTTCTTGATTTTCAAATACACAGGATCATTTCGTCTGAAAAGTACATATTTTTTTCCTTAGTACTGTCTCCTATGCATTCAATATGAATGCTGGAAAAACACGACATACTTGCAGTAAAAAGATGATACATTATCTTGAAACAAAAGTGGACAATGATGTAATATTACTTGAATATGACAGGCGACCGAGTAAGCAATTTCTGACGACTTCGACAACAACGCAGTCAACAATGGTACTAAGATTAAAAAATTTCACACTCAGATGGCGATCTACAACGCGTCAACAGACAGCTATCATGTACCTTTGATGCGCTTGAAAACGTCATTCCTCAACACCGGAAGTTTAGACGTATAGAGCAAAAACAATCGGACAGCAGCAAGGACTATGCTTGTGTTGACGTGTTTGAGGCAAACGTCCAATCTATTCTATAAACATCAATGAAGTAGGTTGAAGAAATCAGACAGGAAGTGCAGTTAATTTGTTAGGGGAGGGAGTGGTGGGTGGGGTTTGTATCGTCATGACTCTTTGGTTACTGTCGCGACTTATACAGGGAGATCACTCAACTGATTTGAGTTTCACTACAGATCGTTTCTATATTTTTTGGCTGCGGGGGACTAATTTTAAAATCATTCAATGACTGTATGATTGTCAATGCTATCTTCAGCCATTGTTCCTCCAGCATCACGAGTGCCATTGTGCCATTTTTTAAACATGAACACACGTGAAATATTTGAGATGTTTGCCAGTGATACAAAACAAACAAAACAAACGTACCAATGTGCTGTATATATCTTCTTCTTTTTCTGGATAATGTCGTTTTAAAATATCCAGTGCGAACATTAGGCCCCATTCATCAAGACCAGATAAGCTATAAAAATATTTAGAAAGGCAATTCAATTAAGGAAACGAAAGACCGCCATTATATTCAATTCACCTTTTCAAAATAAATTGATGAAACCGTGCTGACTTCTCCGACAACATTTCCTCCAAAACATATATCGCATTACAACGAACCTAAAGAGAAAAATTTGAAGCCAACGACGATGATTATTAACGATTGAAGAAATTTTTTTAATCAGCCTTCAACTAAGTCCCCACCTTCATATCCTTATCTTCTAAAAATCTCTTATTCAAAAGCAGCACAAGTTCTTCTTCTGAAAGTAGAATGTATGGACTACAATTTCGTTTCCCCTATCAACAAGAATATAACAAAAACGACGTACCGTTAAATTCCTGTGGTGCTACTTGATAAAGCTGTAAACAACCAATTACTGCAGTTTTTCTGACGTACGTACTGTGATCCTCGAGACCTTTCATGACAACATCTTTTGTGTATTCAACGAGACTGGCGAGACTTTTAAACAGAAATTATGTTAACGCTTATAACATCGAAAGACATTCAACTTCACAATAAATCATCATGTTATCCCATCATGTACCTTAATGATCCAATGCTTCTCAACGCTAGACCTCTCACCATGAAGTCAGTATCTTGAGCATCTCGAACGAGAGTATTCACGGCAAGTAAAGCGAGATCAGAATGATATCTGGCATAATGGCAGATGTAGAGATAACATAATTTCTTTTGAATAAGATCCTTCGTTGCTGCTGCCTAAGTTTTGCAAGATAAGATAAAATGAAGACAAAATAGAGTTAGAGTTGGAGTTGATATAGAGGGGCCCGTCACACTCCTGATATTTTTCATATATATATATATACCACACAATGATTTTATTAGTCATTTAGATTACAGTTATTGGTATAAATTTTCCTTTAATCTTCTCTGTTCATAATTTCAAACTGCCATTTGATTTATTTTGTCACTCCCCCCCATTAATTAATCCGGAGTCCCCCTTGAGATAGAGAATGAATCAAATCTTCCATTTCTTGACTTTGAAGTAAAATTGTTTTGAAAAGAAATTAGCCAAACTGTTATTAGAATCATACCTTTACAATGACTGGAAACAAAGAAGTCATATCAATGCCTTTGGTCATGTAAAAGATGACTTGTTGAAGCAACTCAACATACTTCTCAGAATTTCTTTGTCTTCCATCAACATTTAATTTTTCTCTGTTGACAGACAAAAAAAACCATAAAAATCTAAAACAATGAGTTCACTTATAATTTTTTTTTCATTTAAGATGAAATATTCTTTTATATTCACCTCAATTCAGTCACTTCATCTTTGTACGAACATAATCCTGACATTCTTCACAATCTGAAAGTAAATCGTGAAGAAGACTCGGTTGCGGTTACAAACTTAAATTTTGCTCTGGATAGCATATTTGACATGGTGAATAACAAATGTGTAGTTCTTTAAAAAAACTGTTAAAAATCAAAATGAAGATAACTATAAACTTAAATGACATGATGCCAATAAAATGAATGCATTGTGTCATTGATTTTTATAGCTATCTTTAATTTTGCTCTTTGCACAGTGCTTTCAAGGACTACTCAATTGTCATTCACCATGAAAAATACGTTGTTTAGTGCAATATGAAAGTAAATCAGTAAATCTTAAACAGATACGTAATATTGAGCATAGATAAAAGTCAGTACAATCACAGTCATGCATCCCCAGAGAAACGTGAAGAAAAATAATACAATATCACACTGATCTTATTCAATCAAAATTTAATGATAAATATACATCACTTTCTAAATAAAATAAAAACACAATCATAATACTGGAATACAAAACCATGTCTAGAACAAGGATTTCATGAATCATGAACTGAGTAAATGCGTACAATTTGATCTAGACAAGATGGTATGTTGGTTACTGGGCAACAGCCATTTTCTGAGATATACTGATGAATGCAAGGGTAACAGTAGACAAAGCCAGATGAAACCAAAGCAGCCATGTTGCTTCGAACATTATGACATAATGGACATTGCAAAGGATGTGGAGGCAAACCGCAACCTCTATTTGACACCTGTAACAATATATAGATAATGATTTTACACCAATTAATAAAACAAAAAAAATACAAATAACATAAATCTTACTTTTGGCATTGCGGGTGGAGGAGGAACAGGCAGGTTTGTGAGTGATGATGTTATCTCATGATCACGAGAATACCACCATTCAATAAACTGAAGAAAGAATATGATTGCCGGCATCACAATGGTTGCTAAATGAATTGTCTTGTCCATTAGGTATCCGGGCAATGAATGCACCATTTGCCAAAATGATTTTGAAGTTGAAAAGGATTGCAAAGGTAAGCCACGTAAATTCTCTGTACTAGCTCTGACAAGTTGCATTTTAAGCGCGTGGAAAATAGGACTGTGATGTTTCAAAAGTTTCAAAGTGTATCCAAATTGATAAGCAGAAAAAATACACTGAATAGTAAAATGAACATAAGGATAGACAGCCAGAAAAATTCTCGTTGCAATTTTCTGCGAGGTACCATCATTAGCTCGTATATTTTGATCTTGTAGTCTCTCGAATGTTTGGTCGATTTTAGATTTTATGTAAGGCCAAAGAACCAACTCGAGCAGAGACAAACGCTGCAACTTCTTGCTTAAATTACCAACATGGCCATTTGACACGTTGACACGTTTTAAAAAGTAAAAATTCTCCGATATAGAAGCACCAAAACGTCTTAAATAATGCTGCTGGACAACCAAATGAAAAATCAAATAAATCTCTTCGGCATAATGATAAAACATGGTAAACTTTTCAGGATATTTTTGAACAAGAATTTTCACAACGTACATCCAAGCGGGTTTGAACACATTATCAACGGCTTGATGGGAGACAATCTCAAATATCGTAGGTTTGCTCAGGGACACCTCAGTTGCACTGGAATCTTCAGACATAGCTCGGTGAGTTAAGATATTTTTCTCGCTATTATTTAAAATTTTATTCTTATTTTCATTGTCAAAATGTCTGCGGATCAAAGGGATCAAAGTACAATTCCAATAATTCGATTAGTCATGTACTTCATGTAAGACGGTCAAATAGCATACGTTTTCTTTTCTCAATGGGGAATAGCTATGAGACTATGACTCTTTGGTTAGTGCCGAGACTAACTCAGAGAGATAACTCAAATATCCTTACGGACTAATCTTGCAATACTTCAATGATTGCCTACGCTACCATGAGCCATCAGAGTGATCAGACCCCAAGAATCCCCTGGATGATTACATAAATCCTATAGGCCTCCAGCAAGAGAAACTCAACTTTTCCTTGCAGATTAATCTCCTGTTTGCCAAAATATTGCCTGTTTGCTAATGGCATAATAATTCACCATTCTATAACTGATTAGTTCACAGTTGAACTTGACATTTAGCTAAATGATGTGCAAAACTGTAAGGGAGAATGCGTCCTTTGGATGTATTTACTTGATAACTCCAGCTTTGTCAATGATCTCACAATACCACACTGACATCGACAGTTTTTACGGCAAGCAGCTTTCAAAAAAACGGGGTAACATGACGTGATTATAATCTTTATGGTAATTATCATAAACTATCCATTGGTTGTACACAATGGTAAACGGGAACTGAAGAGCTTGGAAACGAAAGTGTACTTTCTTTGGAATCTCGCAATATTTTGAGAACTAACTTGTGATTCTACGGTGAAGCCAAATGATGCCTGGCAAATGTTTTCAACATGAAACAAATTTTTAGTTGAAGAAATGCTACGTTCAGCCATCATGATTACATTTTTTAACTTAGTTTGGAAAAGTTAAGACTATTAAATATCGAAAATTTTTGAAACCCTAATGTTACAGCATTATGTTTGTACGTACGGTGCAGCAAATAAATCAAGGTAAAATCTTGGAATAGCATGTCCAGGTAGTTGACATGCATGTCAGAAAACGACAACTGCAGAAGTGGAGGCATGTGTTTCATAAGACTTATCTCTTTATACCATGAATATTTAATGATCCCCAACCGCATCACACAAATCGCTTACAGACCCTGTGATATTGCATGTCAAAAGAATCTGTGTAAGAAACCAATATCTTCTGAATTACATAAAAGTGTAAAGAAAATTACACAAAAGTGTAAAGAAAAAGGCACATCAAGCAAAAAGACGGAAGGAATTACGACAACAGATTGGGGTAGACAACGAACTGAGATTTTCGTTCACTTTAAAAGATCGGAGAGCAGCACATCACTTGAGAGTAAACGGTTCTGTTCCAGACATTTAAACGAGTACAAAAAACTTACACTTTTTTTGAGCATTTGCTTTAGGGTAAGGCGCAGGAACATTACGACAAGAAGTAGACGATGTCGACAACCATGTCGAAACGTGATGCAGTGAAGGATCGAGAAAGGAGTGAAGATGTCAACCATAATAAGTATGAAAAGAAGGGAAAGGAGACGGTAAAAAACTGCAATGGATTTAAATTCGAGATGATAAAATTACCAAATGATGGTCAAGTTGAAATTCTTGCTAGTCGACCATTTGGTAAACCTGTAAAATCCTCGCAAGAGAACGATGCAGTGGAAATTATATTCGACAACGAGAGCGTGATTCACATTCACGTAGAAACAGAAAGCAAGTCCCGTGTTCATAACATCTTGACGTCTTGTGGAGCACGGATACCACATGGGCCAACTGTTCTTGACATCCTGGTCAGCAGTGTTTCATTCACATATGCCACCATTCTAGTCATCTTGCTTGCCCATATACGTGAGGAGAGGAGATATATGTCTATACTACTCATATGGTTCTTCTACGTCATCGTTCGTGTGCGTACATACAGCATGTTGGGTGAGCCAAAGAGGAAGATTTGGCATTTTTCTGGCATTTCGTTTAGTCTAATATTCGTGTATTTAACTATGATGATGGTATTTCCAATGTTGATCAGAGATGTAAACTATCGCGTTGAAATTCTCCAAGATGAATCTCAGTCATTGCTAATCATGTCGTACTTGAAAGCAAATGTTGGTATTGCTCTGCTAGGAATGGCTGCTCGACGCAGTTTTCATTGTGGAAAGATCATTCATCACATTGACCTTATCAGCTCATTGCTACTAGGAAACATGGACATTTTCAATCTGATTGAAAGTCTGAGTGAAAGAGACCAGAAGTTGCCTTTGCTCCCTGAAGGAAGCATAATGGAAATTGCTATTATTGTAGCATGCGAGCTTGGCTTTCTTGTCATTATTTTTGAAGCAATAATGCCTTACTCTCTCATCACTCTCGATAAAAAAAATGTTGGTCAGTTGAAGTATCATTTGAGCTTAAAACAGACCAAGGAGCAAGCCATTGTGTTGGTGTATCCCTACTCTATGCTAGCTCAAAACATTCCATTTCTTGCCATTCGTTTCCTGTTGTTGGTTTTTTATCAAACTCTACATGTTGGATATGTCATCAAAAATATCACTAGCATTATAATTGGAGTAATTACATTATTTCGTGCAAGGAGCACCTTACATAAAAAGTGCAATAGTATTTTCTGTAAAAAAAGTTTCATCCATAATGCTCGTAGAGTTTCAATATAAAGTAATAATATAATGGTCATCGCTTGTGATTATAACTGGGTATGAATAATTGGTAGAACTTACATATTTTAGCAGAAATGTGAATAATGAAGCACATGTATAATGTAAAGAGCTATGCCATCATCATGCAATAATTTCACCATTATTTGTAAGCCATTAATCTTTGATAGTTCAAAAATTACTTAATCACATCATTTTCAACAGTTACAAATTGAACAATGCTGTTATAAAGTCAAAAGTCATTATTATGCACATTCTATTAGCCACATTTTTAATGCATAAACCAAAACCGTTTTTGTATAATGAATGTCACAAAACTTTGAGAAGAAGCAATGTCAAGTTGTTAAGACTTATGATAAATTTGTTGTCAAATTTTTCACAAACCTTTAAGGAAATTGCAAAAAATATCCTTCAATACTGCAAGAACTTTATCTTTCTTTATGAGTCTTTGAGTCTTCGCGTCACTTAGCTCAATAAATGTTTGTATTTTTAGTGAATTTTTATACTCTTCTTATGCTTTTGAAATTCCCCATGTTTGTGAGTGCAAAGCATCGCGCGGCGCGGGAAAGCCGGTCGGTTTGTATCGGAGCGCTCCGACGTAATCCGGCAACGTGTCCTAACAACGTATGAAGAGATAAAGTCGAATTCAACCAGTGATATTTACACATGGCATCTCATGGAAATGTTCTTGTTATTCAAAGTGACGAACAATTCAACGCAGAGTTTCAACAAAATAGCAATAAATTGGTGATTGTGGATTTCACAGCTTCGTGGTGACGTAATTTAATCATCTAGTTCTAGGGTATAGGGTCTTGTTGGGGATAAGTGAGGATGAGGTCAGCTATCTTCTCTAATGCTTTTACTTTCTATGATTCCAACGCAGGTGCGGTCCATGTAAAAGAATAGCACCAGTATTCGAGCAGTTAAGCACGCAATTTACACAAGCAGTATTCCTAAAGGTGGATGTTGATATATGTAAGGTAAGATTAAAAGAACAGTTGTCAACAGTGCATGTTGCACCAACTAAAATAATGTATTTGTTGAGATGATCATTAATACATGTAATGGTGTTTGGCTCATGGAAAAAACAAAGTAACCATTTTCAAATGCAGTTACTTGATCTTGATGACATGCAATTTCTGTAAGAGGTTTTTGAGTATAATTCCCAATTTCAACTGAACCAACACCTACAGTACGTGTTTTGTTGTGTTGTTATGGAGCTCTAAATTCTGATTTATTTACTCATGATGTTGTCTTTTTTAAGGGGACAGCTGCCATTTATGGCATCCGAGCAATGCCAACCTTCCTATTTTTTCTTCATGGTCAAAAGTTGGATGAACTCAGAGGTCCAGACCCAAAAGCATTAGAAGAAAAAATTTTACAATTATCACTTCAAAGCAATCAGACAGTGAGTCATTAATCAACTTAAACATTCACTTTTATTGATGAGAAGGCTGGCTAATGTTAGATATGCTTACTTTTTAAGGCAGTGGATTCTTCTAAAGTGACTATTGGACGAGCTTTGGATTGTTTTCGTGAGCTGTTAGAAAACTCCCCTGATGCCTTTGATAGTGCCTCACAGCTGCTGCTACGAATTGCCAACAATGTCATAAAAGAGCCAAAGGAAATCAAATACAGAACTTTGAAACTTAGCACAAACACTTTTCAAAACAAACTCCTGCCAGTTAAAGGTGCTGTGGAGTGTTTGTTTGCCATGGGATTTGAAGATGTGAGTGTTGCCTTTCTAGTGTGCATCCTGACTCAGAACTTGAGGAATTATTTTAAATTTTTTGTCATACAGAATGATGATAAAGTTGTATTGGATGAAAAGAAATCTCTAGATGATTTGACAATCATCCGTGATACAATATTGGATGAAAGAAACAAACGAGAAGTCATGTTACAAACACTAAAGAAGTACTAGCTTGCTGTAAATTATAATGACTCGTGGAATTTTTAATTACTTTGGCACGTTGAGGTAAAACTTCACCATACATATAATATGTGCGTAAGATTGCGGTTACGAAAGTAATTCTTCAAGATTAATTGGTTAAATTGAAAAATTAGAACATCTGTAAATAATTTTAAGTTAAATTATTGTCACAATGGAACAAGGGAATAGTTGAAAAAGAAGCAAGTGTGATTTTTCTTATCTGCGTATTGAGAGTTGCCGGAGCGAGTTCATTGTTTTTTAAGGCACAGAAACAGAACGTTTTATAAAAGTATTAAACTTCAGTTAATCTCAAAGAACGATACACATTTGTTTAAAAATTTATTGTTGCGTCATTTACGCAATTATTTATTCTTCATATTTGTTGGTGAGTAAACGCATATGTGCGTTTACTGTAGCTTTGCTTCCGAAGTCTTTACTGGCTTTCAGTGACATTCCTTTTTTCCTTCCTATGCTGACATCTGTATATGAGAAACGCAGCAGAAAGCCGGAATGATGACTTAGTAGGAAAATGTTCAAGCGAAAAACTGTGATTGTAAAATACAATTGAGTAAATCGCGTGAAACTCGTCAACTTAGTTTTGCAAAGAGTTGAGCTAACTACAACAGCATGATGATTAATAAGTAAGAGATTTCAAACAGAGTCGGCTGTATAATCTCAAGCCCAACTCCCAATATGAAAGAGAAAGTCAAAAAAGACGTGGACAAACTAGATTTATAGCTAACAGTGGAAGTACACGGGTAAGGTGGCATCCCAATCAGAAAACCCACAAGACAATTATTTTTTTGACTTGAATTCAATCCTGATATCGAGTGGGAACTCCATCAAACTGCTCGATGATTGACGGAAAAGCTGTGAATGTTGCCAGCTATTCTCTTCTCTATTTGAACATCTCAAAAACCCAGAGAGCTTGACTTTTGGGTGACCACTGAACTTCACGGTTCTTTCATGGACTGCAAAAACGTTTGTGAAAATATGTCGTTGTAAGAACAGAAATGGGAAAAGCAGTATTAGTGACATGACGTACCTCCATCTAAAGCTTCGCTCATTCCTTCTTGCTTATCTTCGCCAATTACCATATTAACATGACCATCTTTGAACGTAGTATACGACGCTTTAACAATTATCATATCAATCTCGAAACCGCCGACATCAATTACCCAGGTAATTTCTCCCGAATCTTGGCTCTCCTGCATTGCCAGGTAAACCTAAGGACAAACCGCAAAACACTAGCACAAAATCTTCTTGAAGAAAATGCCAAATCAAAATCTACCATTTTCCAGTCATGTTCCTCTTTTCGTACCACTGACGTCATCGAGTTGATTCCATTCTCCCACCCTTTGATATCATCATCCCGTGGTATAATGTCATCATGACATCTGTAGTATATGTTGGCTGCTGTGGAGTAACGAACTCGCATTCTACAATAAAAACAGAGACGTTTCAGTTTGCATTAAAACACGCACAATCTCATGGAAAAAGTTACGATAATTGCAACTGAAGTGGGCGTGTGTTGCGATTCCAAGCAGACCAGATTGAGAACAATGTATTTTAACAATGTCGAAAAAAATAAGAAAGTAAAAAAAAACGAAAGATGAAACGATAGCGTCCATTCGAGAGATTAGGATGACATCTGGCTTAAGTAGATAACGAAATTAAATTCAATTATATTACTACAGAGGACAGAGGATGGAATGGACACATCATGTTCAAATAATTAAAAAAAAAATTAAAGGATAAAAGCAGAGAGCTGTAAGATAGAATTCCACATACGCGACAGCAGCGGTTCTAGAGACATCTTTGCAAGAAAACTTGAAAATTCAAATTTGAAAAAATGATTCAAGCCTTAACAGTTCTCGTTCTCTTGGTCCAGTGTTTCTGCACAATACAAGCAGAGTTTACTTCGGAAGAAAATCACAGGTAACTATTGATTTAACTCATTGATGTAATAAATATTTAAGAGCGCGTTATGTACGTACAACTAGCTAAATGTTTCAGAGCAAAGAAACGTGCGAATGAGCGAGAACACGAGCGACTACATTGGACATTTTCAATAAGAAATAAAGCAATCAGTAACAACTAATTGTGATTTAAAGCGGCTATGAGAAATTTTCGATAGCTTCGTTTCAAATTTAGCCACGCGTTAACTAATGTATAAAAGGACTTATTGGCATGATGATGTGTGTATTCCTGTCACAAATAAAATTGTACGGAATTTTTTCTACATTTCAGAAGTCACGATTTGATTGAATCGCCCAGAGGAGGTAAAAGAAATTTTGACTTCAATGAAGCACCAAGAGGGGGAAAAAGGAATTTTGACTTCGATGAAGCACCAAGAGGAGGAAAAAGGAATTTTGACTTCGATGAAGCACCAAGAGGAGGAAAACGAAATTTTGACTTCAATGAAGCACCAAGAGGAGGAAAACGGAATTTTGACTTCAATGAAGCACCAAGAGGAGGAAAACGGAATTTTGACTTCAATGAAGCACCAAGAGGAGGAAAAAGGAATTTTGACTTCGATGAAGCACCAAGAGGAGGAAAACGAAATTTTGACTTCAATGAAGCGCCAAGAGGAGGAAAATAGACAATATTGATGAACAATTATAATGAAATTATAGTAGGCACACTTATATTCCAAAGCTGAAGTAGTAGAACTAATTCCAGAGATCAAACATAATACTCATATATTAACAAATAAATTGTAAAATATGCGAATAAAAATTGATATCTCTTACACACCTTCCTTTTTGAATATCTTCTTCATTTGGTTTAAAAACAAATCCACATGTTCCAGTAACCTAAAATCCAACAACAGCAAATTATTATTTTGATATTTTCAATGCATATTCAATTTGGGCCATTTATAATAACTGGGTGATAACATAAAACTTAACCTAGGATCTTTTTAAACTAGGATCTTTTGACTTCTCTTAGGCAGACAACGATTGAAAACATTTGTCCGAGCAATATTAGTTCTTTGCCAACGAATCACAATAATAAATTCCATAATTTAGCAACATTGCACAAAGGCAAAATAATCATAACATGTTACACTAAATCAGACTGAAAAAAGATAATAAATTTTAATTATTTACGATTTTATAAAACAGAGACTTAATCTTGGTGACAAATCTATCATGCTTTTCAATTCACAATTTTATCATAAAAAATCATTAACTGATAATAATTTTACCTTTTGGCTATTACCCAGCTCTCCCCTAGCCCTCCGCCACTCCACATCACCAGAAATACGGCCTTGCCTCTCTTCAGCTCTGACATCCTTTTGCGGAGTAAGGAAACTAACCAATTCCTTGATATTTTGTACCTCAGCAACTAGTCTCATTTCCGGAGACAGTTGATCTAAAAACTGTCATTACGGTACAATATTAATATTTTCATGAAGCTAGAGCATATTAACCCACCAACAACAAAAATTGTCATTACACTTTTATTGAAGTTAGAGATAGTTAAAACAAGCCACTCTTCACGACATTCTCTGCGGCGTTTCAATACTTCATCATGCCTATTGGAGTATCTCCAAGTAACATCCATTATCTTGAGTCAAAGAGAACAAACAAAGACTTACTTTCCACAAAAACAACATCAAACATTCTTAATGAAAGCTCACATGGTCTTTTGCAAAAGCAATAACATATGTCAGCTGCTTATTCCATCCCGCCTCATACAATAATGGCTTATCGCATACACCCTCACAGGGGTCGCAGTGAAGCCATCTTTCTTGAGTATCGGAAAACACTTCAGTCCAAACATGGTCTGTCCAGTCGACAACATACCGAGTTTTAAAGCCTAACGCAACACAACACATCGTGAATGCATTTGCCCACTCCCCACATCGACCACGTCTAGTCTCTAAAAAGAAATATGCTATAGTTTTTGTTTTCTTTAAAGTAAGACTATAACAATACCAATATAATGCAATACCAAGCAATTTTTCTGGATCATTGTAACGCGGAAATCTCATGATTTTGGCGCATCTTGGACATCGGTATAGTTCTGTCCTGTTAGCACCCCATCTCCTTTCCTCCAGCGTTGCCTCGCATACACCGCTACCTACGCCATCTTCATTGCATTTCTCGCATCTCAAAGAACGTGTGAACCCATGAAAAAACTCAGCTGAAAAATATTCACGTTGTAAGCAACAAGGGTATTTTTATTATTAAGGAAATAGTTTGAGGACATACATTTGAACCACACGAGAAGGGCCAAGACAAGGCAATCTTTGGAAGACATTTTCTCGTTCGTTCTTAACTTCTCCAGACGAATTGCTTCAGCCCGAGTATGTAGTTCCACAACTGGAATACGTGCAAGATATAAGTCTTGTAGACGTGGTTCTTCATACTCAGTAACTTGGTTGAAATGAGACATTATTCTGGCAAAAAAATTTGCTTCGTTGGCCTCCATTTTGACGTCTGTATTGTTATTACTGCTGATCTCCGTAGGTATCTGGACTAAATTTAAAGGTAAATGACATTTCGACCACTGAATACGACACGTTGACCAATCATTTTGCGCCATGTAATGGCGGGTATACAATGATAACTCTAGTATAAACATAGTCACAAATCACTGATGTTGTTGTCATTGTTTTACACAATTACACCATCCTTATTAAAACGGCCAATAACTATGGCTAAAAAGAGTCTTCTCTTTACTTATATCTTGTGGCTATTCCTTGGAGTGTTTGGAATTCATCACTTCTATCTTGGACGAGATATCCATGCCTTTCTATGGTGGTCGACGTTCGGTGGAGTGTTCGGTTTAGGCTGGTTTCGTGATATTTGGAGAGTGCCAGATTATGTTGACGACGCCAACGAAGAACCGTCATACGTAGAGCACTTGAAAGGAAAAATCAAAAGAGGCACGCCGCAGTTTAATGCCAGCCGTTTTGCAGGACAGTTGTTGGTTGGCTATTTCTACGGTTTTCTTGTCAGAATAGCAATCCCTGAAGAATATCCTCTTTGGACGACAGGAGTGGTTGTACCTTTTGGAGTAGCTGTCGGCGTTTATCTGGTTGGGAACGTTGGACGAGAGAAAGGAGACTTCATTACTCCTTTATGTGTTAGCTATATATCTAATGTCATATTGGCGTGCATTACAAAACAAGAACCAGGTATAATGTACGTTGCGTTGTTCAGCGCCCTAGCATTTCAAAATTACCGTGAATTCAGAACGCAAAGACGACCTAAACGAGGCGTTTGCAAGCGATTTTTCATGATTTGCTTGGGAGGATGCCTTGTCATGGGATTGTGGATTTCATTCCTGTATCACAACGCGGCTGTTGTCACTGAAGATGGTGAAACTATCAAACTTAAGGTTGCGATTAATCATTTCTTTAGTTCACCATTGTGGAGGGATTTTAAAGATATTATGAGGCAGTTGTTCAAAGAAGCACGGACACATGGCTGGCAGAAGCTCTTTGATGAGTTGGTGCGAGCAGCTGATCCCACGGGTGAGCAGAATGCTTTGAAAGTGCTAAACTTGACAGAAAATGCTACTCAGCAAGAAATCAAAAACCGTTACAGGCAACTAGCCCGCGAATGGCATCCTGATGTATATCGCGGAGATAAAGACTTTGCGCAGAAACGCTTTATACAATTACAAGAAGCTTATGACATTCTGTCAGCAATCAAAGCACGAAGATTGTCGAAGAACCAAAAGAGAAGAGACGATTATAACAAATTTAAAAGATAACCCCTCATTAGTTCAGAGATTGTTGCATTATTTACCAAACAGAACGAACATGTTGACAATTAATCAATGCTGAAAGATAGTTCAGTTCCATGTGCTCCGTTATTAGACTTTATCTCTCTTCTGTGGAAGAGCTTAAGATTGCATATGTAAATAACACGGAAACCTGATCAAAACGAAGAAAAACTTGCCTTATCTTTATTTTGAAATTTAACACAACTTTTTGTGCAGATGGAGCGACTGGGACTAACGGCTATCTATAAAATGTGCTCTAAGTGCCAGATTTACTCTATCAGTGTTGAGAACTTCGTACTAGAACATATTCTTTTTAGCAATGTGTACAATACCAAGCAATTTTAAGCATCAACTATTGTATCAAAATACACACACGTGAGTCAAAACCATCGTCAAATTGGAATAAGTCAATTTTACAAGAGTTAGAATCAGTAGAATTTTACAGCAGTTTAACTATTTCGCTACAAAATAGCAGTTCAACTGTTAAATATTTACACACCAAAATCCAAGCGAAGGGTAAAGTTCAATCCAGGAAGAAAGACCGAACGCAAAGAGTACTGCACATGTTTCCACGCGCCTTCTTCCATTAACTAGAGATTTATCATCTGCCGTCATGTTTTGATTTGCATACCATGCGTTCATTACTATTGCGTAATCAACGCTACTTTCTGGAAAATATCATCGTTTACGGTTAATTATTTGACTTGTTTCAACTGAATTCTTGTTATCAACAATGATTTTTGCTTAAAATACAAATCATCACATAATAGTGATTTTTCGTGTCAGAATAGACACAAAGATTGGTGTTAAAGTGTCCAATTTGATCAATTGATCCACTTTTTCTAATCCTAATGGTAGTCATCTGCAGTTTAACGATTTCGCTTGTCATACTTAAATTAGGAGTTGAAAACAAGCAGAAAATCCGCTAGCCATAACTTTAACTCGGCTAACTATTACATAAATACGACTAACAATAAAGGAGCAACTTCATTTACAAATAAGCAAAAAGCTATCATTTCAAATGTCAGTGAGCGAGTATGGTCAACAGGAGACCATCTTCTTCACCAGACTAAACAACTCTCACAACGTCTTCAGTTGATAACTACATTGAATTACTTCAATGAGTATCAACCGGTATAAATTCCACTGGCATGGTGCGAACAAGCCATCATCTTGACATAACTCCTCAAACAGTCGATACGTACATTATCAACCACACTTTGCTTGTATACAATGAGTTCGCAAATGTGTTTCACACCAGGTGTGTAAAGCCGGAGCCATTGCATCTTTATTTCACATGCCTCTTCCTTATTACACACTTAACTTGCACACGTGACTCGCATAAGAACAACGTCGACAGTAGTCGACAGATTATGTTATAAAAACCACCTATAAATTGGATAGGAAAGGTTAATTGAGAAAAAGCCGAGGGCAATTGATGTAGTAAAAATACAAAAAGCGAAAGACAAACCCTGTCCAAACCAAGCTATGATTGCACATTGGATTGTGTGGCACTAATTGAGCCTGCAACACTAGCTGCCGCTTGTTGTTGCTTCACTTGCATTGCTTTTTTCTGAGCAATCTGAGCGTAACTGAGTTTCTCACTCAACGTTTCCTACGACAATAAAAAAAAGGTAATCAATGACGTGTGTACAATAAAACCGATCACAAAATGAAACGTGACACGAGAAACGGACACCAGTTACCTTTGCCTTTTCCGGGGTACTATTTGCCTTGTTGACATCATCCTTTGAAACGTTCTCTTTCGTATCCTGGGCACTTTTTGAGTAGGTCTTTTTCAAATCGGTCTTTTTCGTATCGGTTTTTTTCGAATCAGTTTTTTTCGTATCAGTTTTTTTCATATCCGTCTTTTTCAAATCTGTCTTTTTCACTTGATTACCATCATTAGATTCATCGAGTGCTAGGCCCTTCGTAACTTCGTCGTTGTCTGCTTTGAGCATAGGAATTCTGGAATGGCTGGAAGGTGAAGAAAAATAACCCATTAAAAAAATGCATGCACGAACAGAGTTAAAGATTTCACGACGATAAAGGAAAAAAAAAACTACAACGCTTCACCTTGTCGGTGTGACCGGAGGAGATAATGGTGGAGATGATGCGACCTAAACAAAACATGATATTCAAGGAGAATGGCACTCGATCACAACAAACGAAACTGCTTACAAAGTACCTTGTTATAGTCAGGTCTTGGACTCGACGATAGAAATGGAAGATCAGAAGTGTTCTGCACACGTAAAGCACAAACACAATTTACATTTTCAAACGCAAATGAAAAACAAACACGAAGTATTCTCTACTCACAAATGCATTAGCTGAAGGTAAAGGAGGAAATTGTGCGTTGGATAGATTGAAATGACTATCGTCTTTACTGCGTTGTGGTTCTTGAGGTATTGGTGATCGCTTGTATAACAATATCACAGGTTAAACAATCGCAAAATATCGAAATTTGGCAACGACAAAACACCTTCGGTACTTACACTAGAGTGAATGTCTTCACTGCTTCCTCGACGTCTGCGAGCTCTAGGACCAGGTCTAAACAAACAAAACGACAACAAACCATTGAGCAAAAACTCCTTAATCTTTATGTTATCCGTGACAATCAAATCCCAACCTGTATTCCTCCTCATTTTTTCGCCAAGCTGGGAATGACGTCATCGAGCTGGACGAAGATTTACCACCGCCATTGTTCGTAATAGGATTTGTACCAGTATTATTGCTAGCACCGCTGCTCATACCATTGGTACTGTAGGCTCGAGGTCGATTCGGTGTCGCATCTTTCTCAAAGCGTTCAGAAGTTTCACGATGACTTCGTGTTTGATTCCTGTAAAACACAAGGAACGTTTGTCACTAAGACTTTGACAACAACTGCTCTAGTACAAAATTTGTTTACCGATTTCTATTGCCTGAATAAAAAGCTCGGTTGCCTTGATGATCTACAGAATGAAACCATTTGATTAACATGAAAGCAGATAGATAAAGAAAATTATGTATAATCATTGTTACTCACTAGCAGCTTTACCGAAATTGTGGGAGTGATAGACATTGTTTACAAGAGTTGGAATCTAAAAAGCATGATCATCTCGGGTTAAGAAAGGATATTAATGATCACCATAAGCTAAGTAGCATATTAATGATGGTCACCATGGCATGAGTTGGATATTGAAGATGATCACAATGGGATAAGTTGGGACATTAAAAATAACCTGAAAAATGCTTATGAAATACTTACAAACGTTGGATCAAAGAAGTGCTGGCCAGCAGCCCATTGTGACATGACATGTGGTGGAAAAAATGAATATCCCTGTAAAAACCATGAATGTTACAGCTCAACAATTGTATGAAAGCTAAACACCATGTTTATGTAAAATCAACGCATGTCATAAGATATACAAACCTGGTTTCCATACATTGGTGAAATAGGATAACGGAAAGTAGGTGAGGCAATTGAAGAAATTGTCGAATTTTCAGGAGCCTGCAAAATATTTTACATCAGCTTCTTTTGTTTAACATTCTTGATAACAAGTGATTACCTGTTGCAATCCATTCTTCTGGCCATAGTTTGATGCAGCTCTTGGTATTGGTTTTGCTTTGATTCTTGCCTGTAATGCACCAAGATATTTACTACTTGTACAATGTCAAATTTATATCAATCTTTGTCGGAATGCCATTTACCATTATTGGTTTTCCTTTAAATGTCTTAACATCTTCTCGCAAATATCGGTAAGCCTAAATAGTGGAAAGCAGTGCAAAATTACTAAGACTGTGTGATAGGATTCAAATGAAATCAACATGTATAAGAACAAGGTTATGTAACACAGACATTGAATTCCACATCAATACATTCCATTTTCTAGAGCCAACATCAAAAACAAATAAAATTCAAGGAATCATACACAAATCTTACATGGTTTAGTCAATGACATTTACAATATGAAGTCTTTATAAACATTAGGATATTTGAAAAGTGATCAAGACTACTAGGACATTTTCAAATGACATTCAACAACAAACCTTTTGAGCACATTCTTCTGACACAAACTGTATATACCAGTAGTTATTATTAGCAGGCTCACAACTGACATATTTTGGACAACCTTCTCCACTAAACAGCTTTTCCACTTCCTAAATGTTCCATACAAACATTTCAATGAATCAATACACAAATACTTCATAAAGTACCTGAAAAAAACTACCTCAACTGTAGTGGAATCAGGTACTTCACGTAAGATGACTATACAACGTTTCATGTTTGGTCTCATTTTTGTGAAGCTATCATCCATTTGCAAATATGCAGATTCTTTAATGGCTTCCTTTACTAGCTCAATATCATTGGTTAACTTCTTCATCTAAAGTGCACAAAGGTATTCAAACAATCATGACTTTCTTGTGGCCATGAAAATGCAAGATAAAAGAACATTACCTGGTTGAAGTTGGCCACAATTTGAATTAACACATATTGATCACTATCCATTTGAGATACTGATATAATAAAAGAATTGAAGTCAATAAACTTATAGAGAAAGAATAAATATCTTTGTTTTTAACTCACCCAGATAGGTATCCCCAGCCAAGTTTTCTCTATTAAAACAAAAGCAACCAGAACTTTAAGTACTTTGTGATGGCAAATGATGTATGTAAACACAGGGTTCGAATTAGCACATCGCAATTGCAAACTACGAGCCAATTTTGTGCATTAGCAAATCAAAGACAAATAAATTTCAAATCAAAATTTGAAAAATACAATTAAAGCATAATTTTGACATTCTTTAAACGTAAATTTAGTAAAAATGTGGTAGACGATTTTATTGCCGTAACTTTCCACTGCTGTTTTGAAAATTTCAAACATAGGCATGTGTATGAGCGACGTTATAGCCAGAATGCAAATTTTGAAATTTCATTAGACGCATATTTACCTAGAGAAATAATATTCCAGCTGCTGTCTTATAAGACTTCGCAGTTCATCTTTTGGTAATTCATCAGGTTTTATGTGATCGGGGATGTTCCTTTTGTCAATAAGATTAACAAAAACACCAGAATCCTCGCCATTTATGACAATCATTGTCTCATCTTTTCCTGGGTTTGGCAAAGGTGATGGCATCTTAGCTTTTTGTTCATCCGCACTATCCGACTTCATGGATGACTCTTCATTTAAAGATCTAATACAAAAAGTTCTTCTTATTTTCCTTACTGCTTGAGCTAAAAGCCTCGGTTTGTCTGATAATTATTGACAAAACAAAATGGACAAATAAACAGTGAAATCTCAATAACCTTACACATGGTCATGCACCAATATTTAGATGTTTGACAATGCTTCATGACATTTTCATTTAAAATTGACCAGAAACACCCAACAAATTATGTAACATGTACATGTGCAATTTTAGCAATACCATATAATCTTATTTTTTATTTAAACACATGCACTTTCTTTTAGACAAAAATTCTTCTTTAATGTTTGCAGAACCATTAGAAATGTTATGTTGATCACTATAATTGACGATTTGCCTTGTTTATGTTTTGTTGGCCGGCAGATTAATCCCAAGAGAGGTTGACCCCATTATTGTACTTTTTCTCCAAAAGTTCTCAACTGAATCTGCCTGCCAGCAATCTGTAAACAAGGCAGGTCATCTAAATTTTTTAATAAAAGCAAAACTTTTGACTTATAAATAAAGACATAAACATAACAATGACTGAATGTAAAAAGAATATGTAAATAAATACATAAACAGAACAATGACATGTAAATCAAGATGTACACATTAATAAGAATGTAAGAAGGAAATGTAAAAAACATGTAAAATAAATACATAAAGACTAGCTCACGTATTTAACACTTATATGACCATTACACACCCGTTGGTCTCAAAGATCACTGCATCTGGATTAAGATAAGCTTTCTGAGACTCGGATAATGATGATGATGACAGCTAGAGAAACATTAATAATGAATCAGTTATAGCTATTCAAATTGATGTGGAAGGAATCGGGGCTTTCACAAGTGTTTCTATAAATCAATAGGAACATATAAATATGTTTTCTATTTCCTTCATAAAATGGCCTTTTAAAAATAGTATTAATTATTGGTTTTAATAACATATTGTTTACATTTTTGCCTTTAAAATTTCATTTGCAAAACTAACATTCCTGTGTTTCTTTCGAGTTACAAAAACACAAGTTTTTTCAAGCATTCGACCAACCAGCACCATGCTTTTAAAAGGTTATTTTACAAATTTATCTATAGTTCTATACAGATGCATATCTGAGATCAAATTCATTTCAACTTTGTCAAACACAATACCATGATAAACAACTTTAGCAAATTCAGAAATTTTAGCAAATTATATAATGGCAGTATTTGAATGGAAGAATCAAGTTTCACCACAGACAATATTGTCATTAGTCTTAACAGTATAATCTGGTAAGTTTAAGTTTAATCCATTGCAGGCAAATTGCACAATGTTAATGTTAAATGACAGGAGAAAGCATGAATAATATAAGGATTTGTGCACATAAAGTGTGATAAAATTCAAATGAAATAAATAGCTAAAATAACAAGGTTATGTAACACAGACACATAAGTCCAAATTAATGCATTCCATATCCTAGGGCCAACATCAGAGACAAAGAAAAAATTCAATGGATCATACTCAAATCTTGCATGTCTTAGTCATTTACGGTTTTACAATGCACTTTACAATACGACGAACTCTTTTCAAACGTAAGAATTATTCAAATGGTGATCAATTGATCAAAGACCAATGTTTTCAAAGTCTGAAAATGAATTACAAAAGGTGTTTTCTCGCTAATAAGAAACGCTTCAGTGGACGCAAAAATTGCCTGAAAACGAGTAAAATTCTGATTTCAGTACGGATATTTATAAGAGAAAAGAATTAACACGAAAAGGTGAAGTTGCTTCAGGCTTCAGCAACATGGCGACCTGTTAGATTCAACATCATCAAACTTCCCCCAACATATTTAAATATTCGCCCGAGTACTTGTGGCGAACGAGCAGTTCCCAAAACAACATAGATGGCGTTTCTTTTCATATGACTGTATAACTACGAGCAATTACATCAAGGGAAACACAAGTTCAGGAAACAGTTAGCAAACAACCCCACCTTGTTTGAATTTGAGATATCCACTTCAGGAACAGAAATTGCCGAAGTCATGCGGTTCCTCACAATGCTATGATAACGCTTATCCCACCAAAACTTGTATGGTTGAGGACTAACGTGAAAGGCCAAATGCAATAAACAAAATACGATAATTACAGACAGTGACGATGTCCAAAGACTGAACGCAGACAAACTGAAGCACACAATTCCACTCAACGTTTAACAACCGAAACCAACTTGCTTAGTGTTCCTTGTAATGACTACGTTTTAAGTTCGGGTTCAAATAATACTCCCGCTGGCTGTTTTCCAATAAATCCAGCTTCTCGAAAAGTATTCAAAAAATAAAGGCAAGAGCAGCTGCTGTAGAAATTTTTCTTCCTACGCCGCCAACACACGTGGCAACAGGACAGTTTAAACACGGGTATATAGCAAAATTCCCACTTTTTTAACGCTGCAGTAATCCAAGACACCTTCTTTGGTACAGGACGGTTATATATAAGTTACCCTACACAACAAACAAAAGAAACTCGCAAGAACAGCGAACAAGTTTCGACCATTAAAATTGTGCAAGAGATGCAACAAAGCCAAGCGGTTGCCTTTAGCTCCCTTACAGCCTGCACACACCTGGACGCACGCCCAATAAAATTAGGGTTAAAACAGAGAATGATTATATTTCACACGTTGAGATCATTAATTCTTGGAACGCCTAACAAGTAACAAGCAATAATAATTTTGCCACAATTATGATCATGGATTCTTGATAATGTACGATCATCATTTTTATTAACTGACAAGTCAAACCAACTAAAGACCACCCATATTTTCTTCGTGTTTGTGCTTATGGGACTGGAACTTAATCTAATACACGCATTTTTTGTTTGAAAAAATATCGATCAATTGGTAAAGTACACAAATCTTATACATCGAATTCATTAATAAGCGCTTTGCTTGTCTACGGATTATCGAAGATGCTGTTTGTTGCCTGCTTGCAGACATGCTAATTTTATTCAAAAATATGCTCATTATCATAACAATAAGTTCAGCCTGAACAGATAAATGAAACACTTGACTCGGAGATTACTTCATGAGTGGAAAGACTTTTTCAAAGAAGTAGATGTTCTTCCGACAGTCCAGGCTTCTAGAAATAAAAGGCAACAGCAGAAATTCGAGGGATATCCGACAGTGAAGAAAGGATGCTTTGAGAATCTGTTTGCAAACTTTATATTTATGAAAACAAATACAATACAGAATATTCGACATTTCAACAACACAACAATTCCTAATGTTGTTCAAAGCATGGTCGAGGTTCTGGGCTAACAGATCAAGGTATAGTATTAAGCTGCTTATAAAGAAAATGACATGAAAGTTAAACATCCATCCTGCTCGTCGATGCAAAGATATCGTGATAAAGAATTAAGTAGTGCGTCGACGAATATTAAATATGCTTTAAGAATATTGGATATAGAAACTAGCACATATGGAAGTATTAGTCATTCAATTTGGTCTCATTTGTCATTAATGATGTCATCAATTACCAACAGAACATAAAGTAGCATGACGTAGTGAGTGCCAAATGATTTTTGAAAAATTTATTAAGAGTTTTCGTGCGTACGATAAAGCACACGTTGCCTTTAAATTTATCTTCACTGGCCTCACAGCTTTGTCTGCATTGGTTCTTATTTTCATTGTATTTACTGCGTGGTATTTCATCAGGTATGGTACCGTTAACACATTTTTCAGCATAATAGTTTCCTCGTCATTCCATTTTTACTTTTTTCAGAAAACGCAACGATGAGCGGTCAAGGCAGTCAAAGGATTTAGAGGGTTCATTTTCAGAACGTCTTGCGAAAAAGCATGAAAAAAACGTCCGCTTTACCTCGCAAGTAGGTACAAATAAGGAAGCAGATAAACGTAAACAGATCTCCGGCAAAGTTTCGAGGATTTTTAAAGGCTCCGGGAACTCAAAAAGGGAAAATAGTGTTGAAGAGGGACAAACTAATGTTGTTTTTACCATTCCAACACCTGACGTATATCCTGAAGGTAAGAATCTATTCGTAAAAGATTGCCTCCGATAACCTTTTCACTGTCAATATGTCGTTTTTCGTTTTAGTGCACACAAAACAGCAAACGTACCATGAGAACACGCAACACATCAGTCACGTAAGTACTCATATATGCGAGATACACCGAGTGACTGATTTTGTCACGTACACCGTCGACAAATCGAAGGAAAACCGAAGAGAATTAAATGAAGAAAATAATGAAACGATACAGGATGGACAAAGCAAACACGTCAAAGGTAGAAATAGAAAAACAGTTTCGAATGAAAGTGATGTGGATTCTGGTTTGGGTTCATCGAGCCACGAAATAAACGCCGGGGAACTGACCGATGGCAGGTCAAACGTTGCACAATGCGATGTATTAAACAATGAAAAGGCAGTCGATGAATCAAATACTCAAATGAGCAACTCTACCCTTTTTTCCATTCATCAGGAGAAGCATGATGCAACAGACGGCTCATTTGAAGACTTGATCAAATTAGCCAAAGATGGAATGAGCATTTCAGCGAGAGAACGGGTGGATGGATTGCCAAAGATTGCCGGACGTATTGAAATCGCAGAAAAAGTAGAAAAGCAAGAATTTCCTTTATCAAATATGGAAATCACGCGCTGGCCAAGCAATTTCCCTCGTTCCGAAGAAGCTGTAACAAGAAAAAATTCATTTTGCAATGGTACCTTCAAAGAAGAAAAGGAACTTGATTCAATTTCTCAAAGTTTTGAACTCCCAGATTGTACCACCAAGACGACAGGAAAAGCGCAAATGGCGAATGAGGCTCACGAAGACCAGGTGAAGAAGCTAGAGAAAAACATCGATGTCTCATGTAGCATTACTAACACTACAATCAACGTTAGACCAGTGAGCGAAGATAAGAACGATTTCATAGATCCTCGTCAACAGTTTTCTCACGAGCAATACAACGAAGAAAAGAAGAAACGTGGCATTGAACAATTTGACGAAAACGCTGTTAAACGCCAGCAACATATTCACGTTCCATTAAGAATACAAGACAGTAAACACAAGACAGTAAAAAATACAAGACTGGTAAATAGTCAAATTCGTGACCCAAATGAACGACCAATAAGCTTAATTCTACCTTCGTCCAATGAGAAGGCAGGAAGCAATACATTAAACGGATTGGGAAAGGCAGATCGCGAGCACCTTTCATCGACCATTGGGATATCCTCGGGTGACAATGGCGTCATTCGTTCCTTCTCTGCAACAATTCGACGAAAACTTACACGCGAGGAAAGCGCAAGGGAAGATAACAGCAAGAAACAGGCAGGATTTCGAAGTTTTCGTTTCAACAAAAAAAAGAAAAATCACAAGTCTGCAAACATCGAGGAGTTAAATCAATCCAGCGGTATGAGGTCAGACAACATCAACTACACTTCCACCATTGACAAGATAATGTGGGAAAGAAAAGTTAGTGCTTGTACCGTTTTCAAAGACGTACCATTTACAATTCCGGACATAACTGAATGAAAACGTTCACGAGTATTTGCTAAATTTCGAAATCATTAATAAGGCGTAATATTTTATAGGAACATAAACTTTATTTAAGAACAAAACTCCTCAAACTGAAATCAACACTGAACATATCGTCATGGCACGATACGTAAGCTTTGTTTTACAAATCATTGCACATATGTAAAAATAATCTCAATGACAAACGCGGGTTGATATGATAAAAATACGTAGAGCTATAGGTGCTATTTAAATTGACAACTGATCGATCTTTTCTACAGGGTGTCCCAAAAATTCTTCTTTCTCTCTCTCTACCCCATATTAGACATGGTTTGTGCGTAGCTATGCTAGCTATCAGCACGAGTGATTTTTATGATGGGGAGGAGTAATCATGTGGGGACACATCGGTATGACTTACTTTAATTTGAGGAATAACATTCCATGCCGTTTTTTTGGTGGCATTGAGCCTTGTTCACTTTTAAAACTAACTTGATATATGACAAACTGTTCTATTTGACGATTACGTGTTTTTTTGTTGGTTAAAGCCTCATCGAGATTCACAAGAGCCCATCGTTACTTGAAGTCATTCTTGAACGAGTCTCTGCATGCTTTCATTCAACGAATCACGGCTTCCGTACGACTCAACGCTCGATGCAGTTTCCGGATTTTTTTTCCTAGGTAGGAACACATCGACTTCTTCATTTGATCCATAATACGAGTCGTACATTGGATTGGAGAAATCCACCGCGTTATCGTCATCTTCAAAGATAAGTTGACGACTGACTTCCGTATAATCATCTCTGGAAGGACCCTCGAGGAACAGAGAATTGTACACCGGGTTGGCAAAATTCACCTGCAAAAAATGTTAAAACCGTAGGTAGCTTAGCTATCTGCAAGAAAGTAGAATTGAATTTTTAAGTTCAATATTCATTTTGCTCCTCTTGCCAACATATTCTTAACGACAAAATCATAGGTAAGTATCCTGCAAGAAGGGAATCATGAAGGATTTCAAGTAAAAATTCGTTATAATGGTTGCACGCGTATAGGCGACGTCCTCAAATTCCGAATATTTCAAAAACTTCGTGCATAAATTCCAATACAAAGTAACGGTTGCGAAGACAAGCGCAACGGCGATTTGGAGAAGATTCGGTCATCTTGAAGGAAAAGACTGGGACTTTTAAAGTTCATTGCTATTTCATAAACTTATGAAATATACGACGGAACTCATTACCTGGAAGGTTTATTTTCAACGGATAGACAAGGATCGTGATGGATAAAAGGCGATAATCTGGTTTTCATACTTACTTCATTGTCATTTATGACAAACTGTCGCCTACCAGGTTCACCATATTCCTCGTCATCATCTTCAGAAGGTGATAACGGAGTAAACTTGCTAGATCTATGATAGAAAATCACGTAAGTTATACATGACGCGTGAATATATGATTTTCAGAGAAAATTTCCGTCGACTTACGTTCTTCGCCAACGACGACATAAAATGCTTAAAATTACAATCAACACGAGCAAGGCAACTGCACATGGAATGGTAATTTGAAGAAGTTTGGCTAAATACAAAAAATTGATGGCAATTATAAAAAGTCGCAGAGAGCAAGTTAAGGATATTTTATTTCAAGAAACAGCGCATCGTAGCTACAAAAACGACATTTTTAAGGGTTGAGGTTGCCAAATAACTTTCACTCCACGTTCCATATGTAAAACAAACACAACTATAGCGTTTGTCTTTTTCTTCGCTGAAATAGTAAACTACAAAATCTCTCGTGAAGTGATATTAATCATCTTAAATAATACAACGATCAAAACTTCGCTCAAAAATATCTCACTTTCGTCAGAACTGCTGAATCTTGCATGAACGTCAACACAATCCGCATGAATTTCGTTGTCCTCACATCTGAAACATAAAATTTTAAATTTTTCATCCGATTCGTCCTCATGTGATGCGATCTAGATTTAAGTACACCGCACCTGCATAGAATGGTCCCATCACGAATCACACACGTGCCGTTGTTGCTACATTTGTGATCTAAACACGTCAAATGGCAACGATCGCCAGCTGTTCCTTCTTGACAACTAGAGAATTGGAAATGTGCGATTTACGATACATTTAGATTTGAAAGCACCAAGGAAATAAATGAAGTGAATTTTGTACTTGAGGCCGTCACCACAAGGAGGGAATCAAATTGACTGAAAAAGGGTGTGGTTACTAGATGTAGTCAATTGAAAGCGAAACCCTAGCTATTCTAATAACATGAATAAGATATTGCATTCTGGCCACAGTTTTCTGAACGTTATTTCTAGCTTTGTATACTTCGCCAATGTTTGTGATTTTGTCATTCGGTCAGATTGACCGACCGGTTTTATTGTACCAATAACAGGGATGGAAGAGAAGAATGGGGAGAGGGGAGGATGGGCGTAATACCCACGTCATTTCACGAAGATGCTGCTTTTACTCACCGGCACTTTAAACTTTGATTTTCGATAAAACACGAGCCATTATTCGCACAATAATCCTGATTGCACGATAACTGACATCTATCCCCAGTTGTTCCCCCAAGACATCTAGGGTAAAAAAGACTTTAACAATGAACAGAAGTACAGTGCAATATATTCCTTCTTGACAACTAGAGAATTGGAAATGTGCGATTTACGATACATTTAGATTTGAAAGCACCAAGGAAATAAATGAAGTGAATTTTGTACGACTTGAGGCCGTCACCACAAGGAGGGAATCAAATTGACTGAAAAAGGGTGTGGTTACTAGATGTAGTCAATTGAAAGCAAAACCCTACTTATTCTAATAACATGAATAAGATATTGCATTCTGGCCACAGTTTTCTGAACGTTATTTCTAGCTTTGTATACTTCGCCAATGTTTGTGATTTTGTCATTCGGTCAGATTGACCGACCGGTTTTATTGTACCAATGACAGGGATGGAAGAGAAGAATGGGGAGAGGGGAGGATGGGCGTAATACCCACGTCATTTCACGAAGATGCTGCTTTTACTCACCGGCACTTTAAACTTTGATTTTCGATAAAACACGAGCCATTATTCGCACAATGATCCTGATTGCACGATAACTGACATCTATCCCCAGTTGTTCCCGCAAGACATCTAGGGTAAAAAAAGACCTTAACAATGAACAGAAGTACAGTGCAATATATTGGACACATACTATACAAAAAAAATAACAAGGCAAGAACGAGCTTGTCATGAAAGTGCTGGCAAGATATATAACAACTTTTAGGGATTTTTATCACCCTAGCAGCAGATGTTGAAGAAAATGCACAATTGGCCACTTCCCATACGTGATGATGTGAATGAAATACGACAAATCTGAGTAATGCCAACTAGACTCATACCGACACTGTAGTCGTTCATCCTTGATATAGCAAGTGCCATTGTTTTCACACTTGTGATATTTGCATGATTTTTCACATTTTGAGCCCGTAACGCCTTCTGGACATCTAAAGCATGAAAAGGCAATCTTGAAAAAACTACGTTTACATAACCTAATCTTTGCAGCTATCTAATCAGCAATATGAAAAAAGTAAGATGGCGCAAACCGCGGCCATATTGCTGTCAAAAAAATGAAAAGACAAGCTAACCTGCAAAAAGGTCTACCATCGATTATTTGACATTCACCACGAACGCAATAACCAACACAGGATGCATTGTTCCCTAAGAAATGAGAATATTGATGAAGCTGCAAGAGAATGACTAGGATAGTCCGAAGCTTCAAAAAACACTGCTTTTTGTCTATTAATTTGAATCAACAATAAAATGTAAACCTATCAGAAGCTATAGTCTAAAGGACCAGGGTGTAATGTCTATGGTTGTGTATTGGCTACTTTATTTTTACGCATGTTTGGGCACGCTAGTTTACACATGTTTATCACATGACCAACTTGAACGCATGCACTTTTCTACAAAGTTTTGCTGTTATAAAATTTTGCGCTTTACGGAGGGAAATGGAAATATTCAGGGAGGAAAAAGCGACCTACCAATACAAATCTTTTGATCAACTTTACCATCAGGGCATAAACATAAGGGACCGAAATCGCTAGGTAAACAAATATGACTGCATGTCTTGGCGTTGCACTGAGTACCTAAACAAATAGAGATTTAAATAAAGAAGACAGCAAACGATATATTCAATTGGTAGGCTATTGGCTCTTGCTAGTTAAGAAAAAAACAAAAGACAGAAAATAGGTTGAATTGCATGAACATAGACGAATGTTAAGTGCTTGAGATATACACAAAGGGGAAAATAAGGATGAAAATATTTGACAGTAAGCAAAAACTTAAATTAACTTATCACCAGTTATAAATTCTCACTCACTGCTGTTAAAGGTACATATGTAACGATATTCTTTAAATTAACGTTATTCATTTACGATATTCTTTAAATTAACGTGATATTGACAAATATCTTTCAACTACATTCAAACTTGGAAAAGCCATGAACCTTGGTAACTGAAAGTTGCTCAAAAGAAAATTGAAATAAGAATCTATTTAGGCTAAATTAAGCAACGGATAGGATAGGATAGGATAGTTGGGGTCGGATTTATGAAACATATAGATAGAATATAGATAGAAGTTTGATTCAAAAATGTCAGTGGAAAAAAAAACTGCAGACGCAACTGGGCGAGAAATAAAGAAAAACCTTACAAGATGGCAAAGTTTCAATGTCGTAAAAAAGTACAAACCACTTATTAATCCGTTATAAACTCACTATTGAATGGATAGCGATGTTTAGGCCTCGTGCAACAGAGCTTTAGTCATCATTCCTTACCATTTGAATGCGCATGTCTTATTTTGTGATAAATCCTGATATGAGCCAGTTGTACAGATATCTCAAACAATTTGAGTGGACGACCAAGACCAAATTTATTCCATTTTACAATCACACCCTTCCTTGTAACGATGTAAAGAAAATCTTCAAACACATCAATGGAATAAGGCTCTGAAAAGTCTTCTCTCAACATTCGTGAATTGAGAACGACACGTCGATCCCTTCCATTTGTAAGTATCGCCTCCACTTCGTTTTCTTTCATATCACACCAATAAAGACGGTCAGTGAGGACATCTATAGCTAAACCAGTTGGAAAATCGAGTTCGGAATTCACGAGAGCTGTACGTTGGGTTCCGTCAAAATTGGCCATTTCAATCTTGGGTACAAGACCAATATCAGACCAGAAGACCTTCCTATTAATTAATTGTACTTGTCAATAATAAAATTTTATTGAAAAAAGAGGCAGAATAGACTGAAGAAGTTGACTAAACACACAAATTTTTTTTCACATAGCCACATTACCGTTTTTCAGGATACAACACGAGATGATTCGGTTTGTCAAACGGTTCAATGTGGAAAAGAACACGACGTCCGTCCCGGAATAACGGTTTGACATTAATAGTATAACGAGAGGGATTTGCCTCTATCCAGAAGATATTACCACCCATCCAATCAACGGCAAACGTTTGAGGCTTTCCATTTGACTTAACAATTGTTTGAAAATGTTCCGCATTCCTTCTTTTACGCCTTTTCACACCTGAATAACGTAAAAATCAAGAAGCTTTAACAAATTAACAGGCTGCATAGGCCTGGAAGAAAAGGATTTGAGTGTAAACCTTCGTAGATAGAGATGTAGATTGTATGTGTCTTGTCATCTAGCCACAAGATGGCGGTAGAATTTTCACTGACATAAAAGTCCACATCCTTGATTTTGGCGTCAGTAGAAATTATGTTGTGACCGCCGTCTCCATTCGGACCATATTGCCGTATGCCGTCGTTAGTCGGAACGAAGATGGACGGTGAAGGGCCTGTGGTGAAAAATAGGAAATACTATTGTAGTTAAGGGAGATATACAAGATAGATTTCGCTGTCCTATTGTTAAGTACCTTGTATTTTGCAAACAGGAACATCCTTGCTGCGACTTAACTGATATCCCTCAAAACACGAACACTTGAATCCACCAATAAAATTCAAACATTTTTGACTGCATTTTCCAAAAATTTTGCACTCGTCGACATCTTCGCATTCATGCGGGTTCCTCTCGGAGATTTTAAAACCAAGTGCGCATGAGCAGTAATATCCGAATTTCACATTGATGCATTCGTGTTGACAAGATCCAAGAACTGGATTGGAACAACTCCCACCTTAAATAGGGACGAAACGCGGTTAGGTGAAGTCGTAACATAAAGTACTCGTTTACTAAGGTTATAATTTTTTTGACGAGCTTTGGGCCACTAGACTGTGATCTTCTACAGGTACAATCATCTTACTCCGTCAACTCTGATAATACAGAGATGAAAAAAGCTGTGAGCACACCATTACCACACATGAGGAAGATTTCCTTTGAACAAGGTTCGTGAAGAAGGCACAAAATTGAACACTCCACAATTGATCACATTTATGTACAGAAAATATTACATTATACTAAATGTGACTTCACTCGGGTTTTAAAGTGTACAACAAATGAACCAACCCAAGCTGCACAATTCATCTAATTAATGCGAGTGACGTGACGTCATATGACGTGACTTCATGACGTTTATATTCCTTGGCGAGTTTTTATCCTATACATGGGATTATACGTATTTATTTTTACGTCACCAGCGTGCGCTGTTGGCTTAAAAGTTATAAGACAAAATTACTTACTGCATTTTTCTTCGTCAGAAGCGTCGGGGCAGTCTCGTTTTTGATCACATCGTGAAGAAATATTGACACATATTGAGCTATTTGAGCATTTTATTTCGTGTGAATTGCAAGGACGTTCGTTCTTACAATGAATTTCGTCGCTATCGTCAGGACAGTCCCTCTCTCCATCGCACTCTTTGTATGTTGGTATACAGATTGGTGAATTCTTGCAGCGTGATTGATACAGAGAACAGGAGTGTTGATCTGTGAATGAATCGTTAACATTTATACATCTCAATGTAAACTATATCATCCCATTTCCCAATCAGGTAAGGAACTGGGCCTCGTAAATCAGGTAAGGAACTGGGCCTAGTAAATCAGGTAAGGAACTGGGTCAAGTAAATCAGGTAAGGAACTGGGTCAAGTAAATCAGGTAAGTAACTGGGCCTACTAAATCAGGTAAGGAACTGGGCCTAGTAAATCAGGTAAGGAACTGGGTCAAGTAAATCAGGTAAGGAACTGGGTCAAGTAAATCAGGTAAGGAACTGGGTCAAGTAAATCAGGTAAGTAACTGGGCCTACTTAATCAGGTAAGGAACTGGGTCAAGTAAACCAGGTAAGGAACTGGGTCAAGTAAATCAGGCAAGGAACTGGGACTAGTAAATCGGGTAAAGAACTGGGCCTAGTAAATCAGGTAAGGAACTGGGCCTAGTAAATCAGGTAAGGAGCTGGGCCTAGTAAATCAGGTAAGGAGCTGGGCCTAGTAAATCAGGTAAGGAGCTGGGCCTAGTAAATTGCAAAACCAACGTTTTGCGTTTGCTACATCAACTTTTAGAAACCATTACCACGTAAATACACTAATTTGTTTGAAATTTCTCGTAAAAGAACAAAAACATAAAAGTAGTCTGCCTAGGGTCCATAAAATAATCCATGAAGGCAAAGCATCGTGTATTTAGGTCCATGATGGATGGAGGAGAAGGGAGCTAACTATTCTACTTACCGCATAAAGTTTTGTTTTCGTCCGAACTATCTCCACAGTCGTTTATACCATCACATATGGAATATTTATCGATACACAATTCATTATCACATCGGAACTGATTTGTAGAACAGATTTTATTACAACCTGTAAAATCATGAAATTTGAGAGACACTTGTTTGAAAGTACACTAAATTACGAAAGCTGATATAGCCAACTCATTTTCTTTTACCGATCTCATCGGATGAATCTTTACAATCAATTTGACCATCACAGCGCCATTCTTTGTGTATACAATAACCACTGCTACGACACTTGAACTCTTTCCGTGTACAATTTAACGTACAATTCTCCTCGTCCGAGCCATCGTTACAATCTTTGTTGCCATCGCAGACCCAAGACGTGCTGATGCAACTTTTACTAGCGCGACACCTATAAACATCAATTCCCTATGTAGTCATCGACGTTGAAATACATGACATCTCAGAAAAAATTCGACCTGAAATCTGAAGTCTTGCACAGAGGGTATGTACAGTTCACTTCGTCACTGCCGTCATTACAATCATTGTTGAGATCACATAACCATTCCTGTGGAATGCATCTCTTGTTTGCACATTGAAACCTGTTCGCAGGACATGCTAAAAACAAAATGTTCATTGAGCACTGAATGATTCGACAACGTTAATGCGCTGGCCTATTCCACCATATTGCAATTATTTTATTAAATGGAATGTATTCTTCCATATTTTTATGACTATAATGTATTCCACCATATAGTAATACAAATGTATTTCACCAAATTGTAACAATTATAATGTATTGCAACATGTAGCAATAAACATTATGTATTTTTCCATACTGTCGTGACTGTATCTCACCATATAGTAATAAACATACTATATTTCACACAATATTATGTTTATTACTATAACATGATTTACATAATATAACATATTTTACCAAAAAGCTACCTGAGCAATTTTTTTCGTCAGAACCGTCAGGACAATCAACATCACCATCGCAAACCCAGGATTCATTAACACATTTGGGGTAACATTTAAATGTCCCAGGTGCACACGTCACATTCCTACACATCCCTTCGTCACTTCCATCGGGACAATCGTTGATGCCATTACACATGAGGAAATGCGGAAGGCAAAGGTCATATGAGTTGCATCGAAACTCGTGATGGAGGCATGTTGGACGAGTCGAACCGAGAGAACAATTCTTCTCATCGCTGCCATCGAAACAGTTTAACCGTCCATCACAGACGGATTTTTTCTCGACACATTGATAGTTATCGCAACGAAACTTGGAGGCAGGACAATCTAGCAACCGACAATCTTTCTCGTCAGAGTTATCGCCACAGTCATCGTCTCCATCGCATTTATAATAGACAGACGTACACAGGCCATTATCACACGCAAACTCACCTACAATATGGAAGAGTAAGTGTTTGACGAGGGCCATAAAAACATAATGTAATGATAGCAGACTAACCAGAAGTACAGTTTGTCTCAGGGCAGTCGCTTTCATCTGAACCATCACCACAATCATCGTCACCATCGCACAACCATTGCTTGAATATACATTTTAAATTCGTTCTACATGCAAACTCCATTTTTCTATCACAATTATACAAACACGAGCGATTGTTCTCGAGTAGGATGGAATCTTCGGAGCATGCGCACTCGTAGCCGCCACCGGGAGAAAGAAGACACAGTCCTTCACAAACCTCATCCTTCTTCGTCGGACATTTAGATGAAAGAGATGGTTGCCTTAAGGGATGAAAAACCTACATGGTAAGAAGATATGGGTTTAGGTGACACGTTTCTGACGTCAATCGTACACACACCACCATCATTAACAACTAAAGTACCTGAATGTCCATGGGTTTACTGGTTGTATTTCTTAAAACTTTGTGATTCTTGCCAGTCCATTTCTCCGCTTTATGCACACCTCTAGTCATCCAGTCAGTCCAATATATATGTCCTTCAAACAATGTCACTGCGAATGGGTGTAATACTTCGGTTAGAGGAACGATCTTTCGATTGTTACCATTGATATCAGAATATTCAATGACGTCCAACCGAGCGTCAACCCAGAACAACTCCTTGGTTATGTAATCAATGGTTATGCCGTTCGGCCAAATAACTTTCTCTTCGATAAGTTTAATAAGACCTTTTCCATTCATCCCAACACGAAATATTGCATGAAATTCCCAGTCGGTGAAGAACAAATACCCTGAAAAAGAAAATCAATATTCCTTATTGCTTGAAAACGATTATCCCCAAGCAGCAATTGCACTGAATCACACACCTTCCTGGGGATACACCACCATTCCACGAGGTTGCTTCATATTACTCACGAGCTTCTTAAGATTGAATCCATTCAGTTTACAGACATATATAATACCCTGCATAGCTTCGCAGAAATACAGATTACGTGCAACCCAGTCGACAGCCATACCATCCGGACTAGAAACTTCAAATCTCACGATGCTTTTTACATTTGTGCCATCCATTTTGGCCGACTTGATACCTTTAGGAGAGTTTGTTGACCAGAATATGCGATTTTCTTGGTAGTCGTAGTCCAGTGCAACCACATTAGTGAGCTCAGTTAGCACACTCCTGTACGTCTCCCCGTTCAGTCCTAATGCTCTTATGTTATGGTGATCAGAGAAAAGAAGATAAGGTGTTGGATAGTCGTCGCCAGTGTATTTACAAGATCGCCTATCAGATTTTAATTTATAATTCTCGCCACACTGGCATTTGAAGCTGCCTAATAATCACAAATTTATGGAATGAGTTTGACCATCAGGAGCCGGTTGCACGAAGCCTGGATAGCGTTATCCATTGGATAGCAATTTTTTTGAAACTTTTACAAAACCTTTTAAAAAAGCAAAAAATATAAGATTCGAACTGAGCAATCACTGAAGTAAAACATTGTTTCGAAGATTGCGAAATTTCTTTGTTGTGAGACAAATTTAAAAATTTGCGCTATCCAATGGATAACGATATCCAGGCTTCGTGCAACCGGCTCCAGAAATGTAAATGCACCTTAAGGTGTTCAAGTGAAGCGGACACAACAATGAAAAAATTGTAAAGGTCTAAAGTTTTTTCCAAGTTTATCAAATCAACATCTTTGCTATTCAAGGCGTAGCGCATGCGCTTGATAACTCTATTCAAACAAAGAACTATCTAGAACAAACTAGCTCAGCAGAAGCAACGTAAAAATCTAACATGGACCTGACCAAAGGCTAGCCACAAAAACTGTATGAATTAGAATTAAAATGTGGAAGAGTCTGGTTGCCATAGCCTCTAAAGCTATACATTTCTTAAACATGAATGAACAACTCAAAGATCGACTTTCACTAACATCTCTCATATCAATCATGGATGATCAAACAAACAAAAAAAGAATTCGCATCTTGAACAAGATTTGATCCCGAAGCGTTTAAGCAGTAAAAACTCGTATTTAAAAAACACTTGCCTTCAGTGTTCAAACACAATTGTGTACAACCGTTGAGCAAATGATCAACACATTCATCAATATCTTCACACTTGGTAAGATTCACTAACTTTTTTCCAGGTTTACAACTGCAGACAAATGATGTTTTAGTATTGGTGCATATCTCTTGGCACGGCTGTTTCTTGCAATGGTTAATATGACAATTCTTTTCGTCACTGCTGTCAGAACAGTCGGGTTTTTTGTTGCAAACCTTTCGAGAATCAATACAGGGAATGGTAGAGGTGTTGGCACATTGGAATTCACCAGGCCTAAAAACAGATCACATTAGCATTGAGCAAGTTAGCTCAAGATACGTGTATCCATTTTACCTGAAAACTATTTCCAGCCGACAATTTAAAGAAATATAATAGAAAACACAGTTTAATACACCGCAAAAAACATCACCTTATAAACTCAAATTTCAACAAGAGACAAGATTTACAAGCAATATATCGACTTTACTTGCAATTCGAGTGATGAGGTCTTCGATAACGACTTCGATAAATCTCATCTCTTGTTAACATAACGACTTTACTTGCAATTCGAGTGATGAGGTCTTCGATAACGACTTCGATAAATCTCATCTCTTGTTGACATAACTCGAAGTTTGAGTTGACAAAATGATCTTATGTTTTCTATTGTACAATCTTACCTGCATATCTGTGGTATCGTGACTGATGTACAATTCTCTTCATCGGATCCATCAGCGCAATCACGATCCCCATCACATTTATATGACAATGTCACACAATGCTTATCTCTACACGTGAACTGGTTAGGAAGGCAAGCCGCATATCGACAGCCTTCTTCGTCAGACCCATCGCCACAGTCATTTGCCCGATCACATTTCCAAGTTTTTCCAATGCAAATACCGTTTCTACACCTAAAAATATTGTATGCTTTTTAACATAAGATCATATAAGAGTATATAAGATCAAAGAACCAGATGTCAAACTACAAAGCTGTTGGCAAACTACACATTAAAGGGAAAGATTTGTCATCAGGATGTCTTCTTGACAAATACATATAAGCTTATGTTCTTTCAGTTCCACTTTCAATTATCGCTTGATTTTCATAGTTTGCGTTGTAAAACTGCTCAGAATGGGAAATATTCCGAACGAAAAAATACCTATAGGTAGTAAACTTCATTGTGTTAAAATAAAGAACGCTCTGCATGGATTTCCCATCTGAACAACGGCCTACTGGAAAATATTTTCATATAATTTCAGAGACATTTTACACTTCAAAAACTAATCCAACTCTGGACGTTTGTCAGCGTTTGTCTAACTCAAAAACAAATAATAAAACATCGAGACAGTTTTTCCCGCTACAATTCTACCAGTTTGCCCCAGTCTTAATACCACTGGTACCTGAACTCGGATTCTTCACAAGGAGATTGAACACATCCCTCACGAGGATGCTCATCTGACGCATCACCGCAGTCGTTGTCGCCATCGCACACGTAACTTTTAGGAACACATCGGGAGGTGTTGTAACATTTAAATTCCAAGACCCCACAGGTCCGCGAACTGCAGTTTGATACATCTTCGTCACTGTTATCACCACAATCATTGTCGCCATCACAAAGAAAAGTGGAAGATATACATTGTCCTAAATAAAATATGAAGATTAACAAAGTAGAAGATATCCATTGACCTAAATAAAATATCAAGATTAACAAAGTGGAAGATATCCATTGACCTAAATAAAATATCAAGATTAACAAAGTGGAAGATATCCATTGACCTAAATAAAATATCAAGATTAACAAAGTGGAAGATATCCATTGACCTGAATAACATATGAAGACTAACAAAGTAGAAGATTCTTGAAATAAAATACATTAGATGCACACTATACATAGTCGTACCATTCTTGCACGTGATTTCGCTCTCTTTGCACGTGACTTTAGTTCCAGTGGTACAGTTATCAGACTCGTCGCTGTTATCGCCACAGTCATCGTCACCATCGCAACGCCAACGTAAAGGTATACAGCGACCTGATTTTGAGCATTTCATTTCCTTAACGTCACAAGTAGTGTTGGAACACAACGCTTCGCTTTCGTCACTGTTGTCACCACAATCGTCATCACCATCACATATCCAACTTGCCCGGATGCACATGCTATTGTTGCTGCACGATACTCGATCTATAGTCGATGGATACATTCAATAAGAATAGATGATTATGATGATCGATTATATTTTAAAACATCAGTTCTATTCAACCATAGCTCGGTTTACAAAAAAATGGTGCGACGTTCGACCATTAACTAAATCGGAATTAGCTGAATTAGAAAATATTTACAAATAAAATACATGACGAATATTGATGACACACAGAAATGAACCTAAAAGTAAAATCAAGGGTCGAGGCAAAACTTTTTTTTGCAGAGCGAAGCTAACGATAGCGTACTTCCTATCTCATAAGGAAATCGATTCAACAGTTCGGCTGAGGAAAAAACATCTTAGGTTATTATAATTAATTTCCTTTAGTTTCAAAATACAGACTGGAAACTATGGTATTGACTGAGGTATTCTAGCTTTCAGTTCAGCTCGGCGTACTGCTGATAACTTCCGGATGAAGGAATTGGCATGAGGCACGCGACGAAATATTTGGGAAAGGGGATTGAGAAGACGAAATTGGTGAAAACAATTTCATAACTTACCTGCAGGACAAGTGACAGCGGGACAACCCGTTTCATCTGAGAAATCTCGACAGTCGTTGTCAGCGTCACACTTGAAGGTTTCACTTATACACCGTCCATTGTCACAAGCAAACTGCCCCTGGTTGCATTTCGGTCGCTCACAGCCTTCTTCATCACTGTTGTCATGGCAATCATTGTCAAAGTCGCAACGCCATCTCTTCGCGATGCATTTGCCATTGTTGCATTGGAACGAGTTCTCGGGACACTTGTGTTTAGCTGAAGTTGAACAAAAATTGATTATAGGATAAAAGAAGACGAGAATGGTGAAGGATCACATATTTACCGCAAATCACGGCGAATTCGTCCGATTTGTCCGAGCAATCGTCATCGGTGTCACAAAGAAATGACCGAGAAATGCACTTCCCGTTCGCACAAGTAAACTGGTTGTCTGGACAATTACTGTTTTCACGAACACACCAGAAGCCATTTGCTTGTAGTTTATATCCGGCATTACACCTGCATTCTTTGATACCGTTCACGACAACGCATAACTGACTACAGCCACCATTGTTGTAGCAAGGATTGAATGAGCCTTTATAAAAAAGAATTCATGAAATGTACGTGTAAACCCCGAATTCCCCCAAGTATCCCTTGAATGAACTTACAGTTTTGTCTTTCGGACGATATCACATGAATGTCCATGGGATTAGAATAGAGTCGAGAAGCAGTCAGAGACCGCTGACCTCCTCCACTCAGTTTGCTGGCTTTTTTGACAGTTTTTAGCCACCAGTCCGTCCAGTATACAGCACTGCCGAACACGCTGATCGCAAATGGATGTGGAAGTCTGTCCAACAAAATACGACGTCGGGCGCCATTAAGATCAGCCGATTCAATCCTAACATGAATACAAGATGTTCATAACATTCTTAGAAAGTGCTTATGACGCGAAATTTTATTACGAATTTGTTTGATTGTAAAGCAAAGAACATATATAATGACTTTATAACCTATTTAGTAGAATTTACCAATTTCACTTTTTCCTAGAGATATTAAACTTTCATCAATGTTCAAATAACATCGTTATGACATCACAGAGCATAATACTATTTCAAAGATCGTCAATTCTCTACATTGTTAAAACCTTAAATGCACAAATACAACAGTTTGATTGACACATGTTTGATGAGTGCAGCTTCAAAGTTGTCAAAGTTTGATATTTTTATGCTGACTGTCGACAAAACTACTATTTACCAATGCTAATGACGTAATGTGATGCCATAGCGATGTCATTTGCCGAGAGAAGAAAAGTCACACATATTAAAAAAGAAATAAAATTACAATTCTATTCAAGATGTTATTAAGTAATTTTAATTTTTCTTTACAATGAAATTTTCTTTACACTATGGTAAAATTTTGTGTCATAAGCAATTTAAAACAATTATCGACGAACCAGATGAATAAAGGTACCAAAGAAACGAGAGGTTACCTGTCTAACTTGGCGTCCACCCAGTACATAAGACTCTCGCGAGTATCAATTGTTAGGCCATTAGGCCAGGCTATTTCAGTTGTAACAAGTTGACGACGGTTCTCTCCGTTAATGGAAGCGACCTCAATACTGGGCACACCCCAGTCTGTCCAGTATAGAAGACTAAAAGACAAATTATGAGTCTTGAGTGGATAATTATATTTTTTTGAAAAACGAAAAGATTTTAAGGAGATTTTAGCGTGTACACAATGCTGAAATTGAGAGATTTTCAGGTACAAGTTTGAATTCGGCCCAAAATTTTTTAGATCAGTTTTACTTGTTAAGCTAAAGCACATACTTCATTAATTAAGTTTTACTAGTTAAGCTAAAACACACACTTCATTAAATTAAGTTTTGCTTGTTAAGCTAAAACACATACTTCATTAATTAAGTTTTACTAGTTAAGCTCAAACACACTTCATTAAATTAACTTTTGCTTGTTAAGCTAAAACACATACTTTAGTAATTAAGTTTTACTGGTTAAGCTCAAACACACACTTCATTAAATTAGGTTTTACTTGTTAAGCAAAAACACATACTACACATACTTCAGTAATTAAGTTTTACTTGTTAAGCTAAAACACATACTTCATTAAATTAAGTTTTGCTTGTTAAGCTAAAACACATACTTCATTAATTAAGTTTTACTAGTTAAGCTCAAACACACTTCATGAAATTAACTTTTGCTTGTTAAGCTAAAACACATACTTTATTAATTAAGTTTTACTAGTTAAGCTCAAACACACACTTCATTAAATTAGGTTTTACTTGTTAAGCAAAAACACATACTACACATACTTCAGTAATTAAGTTTTACTTGTTAAGCTAAAACACATACTTCAGTAATTAAGTTTTACTTGTTAAGCTAAAACACATACTTCAGTAATTAAGTTTTACTTGTTAAGCTAAAACACATACTTCAGTAAATCACCGCACTTAAAAATACCCTCTATGAGTAGTTTTTATCAACAAAAGAGCTCAACGTTGAAAGAACGTAACTGTCATACCAACACATTACTAGCGATCATTATAAACACTTGATTAGAAAAACTAAAATTTGATCGAAAAACTTCTGAGTGTGAGAGTGTCACAGGTTGTACCACCGAGAGCGGATCCAGAATTTCATACAAGGAGAATGCAACATTTGAAAATGTCGTAAACACGGTAACATTTTCAACCGTCAAGCTATCAGAGCTCAGGGAGGGGGTGCGTACCCCAACACAAACCCACCCCACCCTTCGGGATCCGTCTTTGAGTGATCCTCACCGCGATCCCATAGTAATAGAAATTAACATACTTATCGCATGGCATGACAACAATGCCACGAGGTTCTTTCATGCCGTCGGCTATAACTGTTTCGAGATGGAAACCAGTGTAATTCATTTTGCGTATTTTGTCGTTCGTGGGATCAGTTATGTACACTTGCTTCGATAGCCAGTCCACAGAAATACCGTCCGATACAACTGAAAGAATAGTTTGAAATTACTTTTCGTCATGTCGATCGATTTTTTTTATGAAAAAGAATTAAAAGCTTACAACTCATCGGTATTTCCTTTAACAGGGAGCCATTGAAGTGTGATTTCACTATAGACTTGGAAAGAGTCGTAAAAAATATCAAATGTTCTTCGTAATCAAAATCAAGACCAACAGGTGCGCTACTGAACTCAATATTAGCGTATGGAGCAACATCGTTGGCGCCATTTAAGTGCAAGAAGCGAATACTCGTACCAACAGCATAAGCAATAAACGCATCCGGTTCGTGGCAAGTTTTACCATCGCTAGTAAGTTCATTTCCACTACAAGCACACCTAGTGATATAAAAACATCATTACTATAAAATAACACATTGTAAATAATACGTCAACCATGCCACATATATGCTTTCTCTTTAACACTTCCTACATCTACCGACAACAACTATCACTACCAACATACCTCTACCTTTTACCTTCAACACTTCCTACATCTACCAACAACAACTATCACTACCAATATACCTCTACCTTCAACACTTCCTACATCTACCAACAACATCTATCACTACCAACATATCTCTACTCTTTACCTTCAACCTTTCCTACATCTACCAACAACTATCACTACCAACATACCTCTACCTTTTACCTTCAACCCTTGCTACATCTACCAACAACAACTATCACTACCAACATATCTCTACTCTTTAGCTTCAACCTTTCCTACATCTACCAACAACAACTATCACTACCAAAATATGTCAACCCCTTACATTCAAGACTTCCTACATCTACTAACCACATTTATTACAACCAAAATATATCTACCCTGAACCACTAACACTTCCTACATCTACCAACTACATGTAGCTAACATTACCATTATAATCTTTTCCCTTTAAAAATTCTAAGAATCTAGAGACCAGTAACAAATCTCCACGATCACATCTTTACCTGTACTGACTTGTGTTGAAAGGCAGACACAACTGCTGGCAATCATGACGGGAGCATGCTCCCTCTTCAGGTTGTCGACTTTCGCTGTATGCAAACATTGATCTTGGTCGAACGGAACTTCTCGAAGAATAAAAGATCGTTGAGATATTGTTGACGGAAGTTTTATTGAGTCGTATAACCGTCTTTGACTGATCGAATACAGCATAAATGAACTCTCCAAACATGGTCAAACCACGCCCTCCTTGAAATTCCGACTTTATCAATATGCGTGGGTTTTCTGTAAGGAAAACAGATTTTAAGATAAAAATCAACTCAACAAATAGTGAACATAATTACATCGTTTACCTCCGTTGATTCCCATGCAACCAATCAAATTGAGACGTCCATCAATCCAATACAATAGATCAAGATCGTAATCAACTGTTAAATCATTAGGCCAGTAAAGTAAGAGCGATCTCACAGAGAGCAAGATCATCCTTGAACTCCCATCCATGTAAGCCCTTTCAATCTTTGGCACATAACCCCAGTCTGTCCAAAACATGAGGCTTTTTTGTGGATACAAGACTATTGCTCTTGGTTTCATAAGACCACTGGAAATGACCGTAAGACGATGAGAACCATTAAGACGACTGACCTATGTTGAAAAAACTTTTCACGTATTTACTACTTCATAAGAATCGTATCTTCAACTACTGTAATCTAATTGTGGAGAGGTATACAAACGCTACCAAATATCATCTTAGTAGATCTGTGGAGTCAACGAAAAAATCGATTTTTTCGTTCCTTTTCTTATGCACAGTTAACATTACAGGCCAAAAAACCAATAGTTTCGATTTCATTTTTTCGTTTCACGTCCGCTCAACGTCTACCTTATTGTAGACGTAAACGTTTCAAAAATAACACAATGTCTGGAGAACAAAATAGTTATGTTCCTTCTTTCTATTCAAAACCGTATGAAAAGAAAATAAACAGGCTGGTCAGAGCACTGACCTTGCCAAGTATCATGTACGTAAAAGAGAAGCACAACAAAAGTATTACGAATCATTATCCTCACAATACCTCGATAAGTTTGGTGCCCATATCAGTCCAGTATATCTGCCCAGCAACCCAATCCACAGCAATCCCATGAGGACGGTTCAATCCATCGGTAATGACATACTGAAGGCCAGATCCATCAGTTTTGACGCGACCAATGACATCCTTCAAATCATCCGTGAAATAGATGGTACTTTCGCGGTAGTGAAAGTCTGTTGCATAGCAACGCACAGTCACGGAAATGTAAGGGAGATAAGCATGTTGATCGTCGATATTTAAAGAAATTCCTTGAAATTCTGCAATAAAAACAAAGACAATGCTTTCTAGGATCATGGAAGGACATTGATGACATAATTCAAAAGGTACGTACGATTTGAAGTGGCGTAGACAAGATATTCTGAATTTTGTTCACACCGCTTGCTTTCGTTGTTGAATGTAAAACCGTCGCGACAATCGCAACGGACAATCTCGCCATTCCAAAAACAAAGTTGGGAACAATTTCCGTTATTTTTTGCGCAAGGATTGGAGCCTGGGATGGAAAAATACATCAGAATAAATACAAAAAGAGCAATATCGTTTAATTCACGGAACTCGATTGTAGCTCAAAGACGCATCTTGCCAACTAAAGATTTGCAGAAAGCCACAAGACGACTTTATTCAACTGAAAATAACGTTTGCTTGATCACTTTTAAATAAACTCGCAATATCACCACAAATTTATGGTCTTGTTGTTGATAGCTTGAATCTCATGTTTGCAGGATAAATACCATCATAGTTTGTTTCGTTTCATATCTGACTACGTCGTATGTTAAAAAAGGATTTTCAAGAGTACCTTTCTGTCTTTTTCTGTCAAAAACACAGACATCCATGATCCCAGGAAGTCTCGACTTCACCACCGTCTGTTCACTACCATTCACACGAGCTTTATTGATCGATCGCAATCGCCAGTCAGTCCAATAGACATAACCCTCGAAGACTGTTATACCAAAGGGATGCCTGAGACCTGTGGGAAAAAGAAAAATGACCAAACCGTTCTTTCATGAAGTGCTATCAACCCAAGACTTTGGTGGTGAAGCCAGTCCGTGAATTTTGTCCTGCTGTGCAAATATTGCTGATTTTAATTATTGTGAAGTAAAACTTACAGACCTTTAAAATTTAGGGGAGTTCAAGTCCAACCTTTAAAATTTAGGGGAGTTCAAGTCCAACCTTTAAAATTTAGGGAGTTCAAGTCCAACCTTTAAAATTTAGGGGAGTTCAAGTCCAACCTTCAAAATTTAGGGGAGTTCAAGTCCAACCTTTAAAATTTAGGGGAGTTCAAGTCCAACCTTTAAAACTTAGGGGAGTTCAAGTCCAACCTTTAAAAGTTGCCCCTCCCTACGGCAATGACGTCAGGTATCTTTGTAAAAAACAGCCATTAATAGTGTGGTACCCTAAAAGATAAAAATACTCAAGTTACAAACCTGTTAAAATAACGATTTTCCTATCACTTCCATCCAAATTCGAAGTCTCCATCTTATCATAGGTTGCGTCGAGCCAGAAAAGACGGTCATTCGAATAATCAATCGCTAGACCATTCACGAAAGCTAAAGTTTCATTGATGAGACTTTTCACGTTTTTTCCATCGAGCCAAGCACTTTGAATCGTTTTTAGCCCCCAGTCGGTCCAAAACATCAGCCTGAATAAGACAATTACACCACAAAACTTGATGAACACTTCAAACAGAATAAAACAACTTGCATATTAGTAAAGTATCATGATGCCCGTTCGTGGGCAAGCGTTTCTCACCCTTTACTCGGGTACAAGGCAATATCACGTGGTTCATGTACTAAGGACGACTTGAACAGCAAGGTTTTATGAAAATTGCCATCAGTGCGTGCTACAGCTAAGACGTCGGCCCCACTATCTGTCCAATAAACATTCTTTGCGACCCAGTCAACTGCAATACCATCGGGCGATCGTAGTCCCGAACCTTCAAAAATCACCAATGGGGGGCATGGGTAAATCAGCTACCATAAAAATTCATTTCATGATTTAAACATAGCAGTAAAGGTACCTGACTTTATGATTTTCTCATATCCCGTGCCATCGATTTTAATTCTCGAGATGGAGTCATCAGTGATATCTGTCCAATACAAACGATTTTCAGCAAAATCGAAATCCAATCCTATGGCGTTTCTCAGTCCAACAACAGGAATCATTCTCTCATCGTGATCTTCACTCAAAGAGATCCCGCGTATTTCAGTACGACGGCTGTACACGAGAAAACTGTTCACTCCTTAAAAAGATTGTATTTATTATCATAGTAAAACACAATTGATAAAAAGGAACACAGTTGGAATCTGCTGATACATACCTGTACAAATTGTTGATGTCTCAGGGTCAAGATTCATATCAACTGGACATAAGCAACTGCTGCCATTCGGTTTAAGGACACAAACATGAGAGCATGCACTGTTTTCACAATAATTTATCCCTGTGGACGATATGAACATGAGATTTAGATGAAGCATGAGCTGTTTTCACAATAATTCATCCCTGTGGATGATCTGAACATTAGATTTAGATGAAACATGAGCTGTTTTCACAATAATTTATCCCTGTGGATGATCTGAACATGACATTTAGATGAAGCATGAGCTGTTTTCACAATAAATTATCCCTGTGGATGATCTGAACATGACATTTAGATGAAGCATGACCTGTTTTTCACAATAAATTATACCTGTGGATGACGCTAAGATGAACGCGATACTACAGGTACTCTGCATGCTTGAAAATCGATTCTGATCATTGTTTTAAGTTTTGAACCTTTTTCATTTCAGATCGCTACAAAGTTTTCGTTGTTTTAAAAAGCTTATTGTATTATTGGTCCATAGAATCCAATGAAAACCAGTAAAAAGGAAGTCTAAAATTAATGTTAGAATATTTTCTAAACTTTCCACATGAAAGTTTCAACACAATTGTTTATAACACTTCAAAGCTTTGATGTACACCATAGAGCATTGATGTATCAGTTGTAGTTTAGATGTACACGTTTATGATGTACAACTATTATCATTGATGACGTATAAGAGTACACTTTAAAAAAGAATTATTATCCACCTTTTCGACGGTAAACACACGTGTCGAAAATAGGAGATGAAATTACAAAATTTGGACAGTCAAATGGTCGGACATAGTATTGTTTATGTAGAATAGTGGCAATAAAAAAAAGACGATGCTTTTGGGGCATTTGTAAATCTTATTTTAGAAATCCAAAACGAATAATTATAAAAGCAGTAGGTGTAAGAGTGAATAAAAACCGTTTTCCGTCATATCAAAGGAAAGCTTGGAAATGATATGCAATATATATGCAGATACAACGTTATAGAGAAAAATAAAAATATTTCGAACGTTGTCGCGGATATTACAAATGCCGAAACAAAGTGTTGATGAGTTTCAAGGATACTGAGGTTCACACAACTTCTGCCGTTTTGACTTACAATTTAAACTAACACTGAACGTGTTTATACGTTTTTTACTTGTTACTTTTTACAATGTAACTTTCTCATTACTATCTCGTGATGAACGACAGCTTCCTTATACAACGCAACTCTCTCATCATGAACGAAAGCACCCATGGGCTTCATGGAAAAAAAGGGATTATATATATTTTTTCATATTAGTTTTTACAAAGATAAGATTTAATACGCCAAGCCATTTGCATCGTCTTACATTACAAAATTATTTTCATGATTCAATCTAGAAGGTAACTTCACTTCCGAGTAATTTTGCGATTAAATAGTACACTTTTCGGATTCAAAGGACTTCTTTTGATCGCATAGAGACAGCCGTCCAATTTATTACGTAAATGCATGTTGTATGCATTTCGTTGTAAGAAACCACCCTACCAAAGAATATCCAGTTACAATTTTAGCGGTATCAAGCGAAGAAAATTGCAGGTCAATTTTTTCAACTGCTATTTTTATGATAACGTGTGATGAGATTCGAGATGAGATTCATGACTGCCTTTGAGTACAAATAACACATATACACAAGACAATGTTTTATGTTATCATTTAGCATCATCGCAGTTTTATACATTTAAATTTATAGCTACAGTTTAAAATTCCATCTTTACGTATATAACTTGTATATGAATATGAAAAGCCAGTTATAGGAAGATTCCATCCATCAATAATAACAATAGTGATTAGTGATTATAAGACAGCAAGACCAACATGTAATAAAAATAAAAGTTCAAAAATTTGTATGACTTGATTTTTTGCGCTTTATGCAGCCGGAATCCGTCCTGGATAATCTTAAGTCACGCCGTAAACGCCGTAACAATCCTAACAAAAAAGTCATTAGCGCGACAATATGCTAGTATTTAAGCTTTCCTTTGGTCGTTATGCTTTTTCTAACTCAAGATGGTTAAAATTTACTGTTATGCCTTCTAACTTTATAAATAAGCGTTCTGAATAACTAGAATCAGATTCACAAATGCCCTAAAACTCAAAGCATCTCCTGACCATTTTATTGCCACTATTCATTCTACATAAACAATACTATGTCCGACCATTCGATTGTCCGAATTTTGTAATTTGATGTCGCATTTTTGACACGAGTGTCTACCCTTGGAAAGGTGGATTAAATTGGAGAATGAAGACGTAATGAATTACCTTCGGGCTGTTTCACGGGATGCACCACGTGAATATCCATCAAACGACTTGAACTGTTATGTAGGTAATGTACGCTGTCCCCGGGGTATTTGCTCGTATAACGAATGGAGTTATCAAACCAGTCTGTCCAATAAATCGTATCTTCAAACAAAGTCAATGAAAAGGGATGGTTTAGTCGCGAGTTGCCAGTCAATACTTGATAGCGGTATTTGCCATCGTAGTCACAAAATTCCAGATGATGTAGTTTAGCATCCATCCAGTAGACACGTCTAAAAATTCGAAAATGCTTGAATGTCATCTGGAGTCAATATTTTCTTCAATATACTGATAGAGCACTTTCTTACTTATTGGGGTAATCAAGTGTCATTCCATTGGGCCAAACAAGCTTGGTTGTCACAATCGCAATTCTGTTGCTTCCATCCATAAACGCCTTCTCAATACGAGGTGCAGAGCTCCAATCACTCCAAAAGAGATATCTACAAAGTATATAATTAGAATAACATGAAATAATGTTAAGTTAAATGTAAAGAAGTTTTACCTTTCTCTTTAATATATTTGTTTGTAATTAGAATAACATAAATAATGTTAAGAAGTTTTACCCTTCTTCTCAATCAATTTGTTTGTAATTAGAATAACATAAAATAATGTAAGGTAAAATGTAAAGAAGTTTTACCCTTCTCCTGAATCAATTTGTTTGTAATTAGAATAACATAAAATAATGTAAGGTAAAATGTTAAGAAGTTTTACTCTTCTCCTGAATCAATTTGTTTGTAATTAGAATAACATAAAATAATGTAAGTTAAAATGCAAAGATGTTTTACCCTTCTCTGGGATCAATTTGCAAAGCTCTCGGTGCGTCAATATCCGTTCTTATTAACACCGAACGATAACTTCCGTCTAATTTGGACACTTCGATTAACTTGGCTCTTGCGTCTAACCAATAGAGATTACTAGCAATCCAGTCCACGGCAATACCTAGGAAAGCGAGAACAAACTATTTAATAACGAGAGGAGGCACGAACAATGAATGGAATAGAAGACCTTCGGCTGACATTAGTCCTCCAGTAATGATAACGTCTTCCTGGGAGCCATTAAATTTCACACTGTAAATTTTATCAGTGAGTAAATCAGTCCAGTAAATACGTTGATTCTTCCAGTCGAAGTCAACACCAGTAGCGTAACGAAGGCCTGCCATGATCTCGGAATATATCACGCGCCCCTCTCTCCCGTGAATTTTCACTTTTCGAAGAGAAATCCGGTTGGAATACAACAAAAATGGTACTTTATCGTCAACTGAGAAGAGAGAGCGATGTCGTCAGCAAGAGTGGGCGATGAAAAATTTCAATGACGTAATAATTTACAAACCTAAATCGGCTCGACAATGTTTCTCAGCCTGCAATGTATAACCAGCATCACAAGTACAATAGTAATGTTTCTCAATGTTAACGCATGTCTGACTACACGACCAAGGCATTTCACATTCATCTTTATCAACGCATGTCTTATTGTTGTTAGCCAAAGTTAGCCAAGATGGACAGCCACATAAAGAGCCTGGAACGATATAAACGACGACGTCATGTTTAGAGGTCCCGACACCAGGGGCCGGTTGCACGAAGCCTGGATAGCGTTATCCATTATAGCAAAATTTTTTAAATTTTTATAGAACCTTTCAAAAAGCAAAAAATATAAGATTCAATCTGAGCAATAACTGAAATAAAATATTGTTTCGAAGATCACGAAATTTCTTTGTCGTAAGAAAAATATAAACACCTTTTTTGCAAGTTTGAAAATTTTCGCTACACAAGCTTCGTGCACCCCGGCCCCGGATCTTTAGTTGGAGATTGGATTAGTGATCAATTCTGCGTATAGTAGAGCACGCGATCGTGCTGAATTTTATAAAAATTTACAACAGGCTGATTAATTGCGAAAGTTTATAAGTTGTACTATACATCCGAGTGGGAAGTGTCAAGGTCTAACATCTTAATGCGTGGTAGGGGACTCGGCAAAATCAATCTCTTTTTAAGGAAAATGATGACCATATTTTCTTCCTCAAAATCAGTTTAACCTTTCATTTTTATCAACAAAACAATAAAACACAACAATAATTTCTCATTAGGAATAGGAATAGGGTTTGGGAAAGTATATTAAAGTTTTGAAAACGTAAGTAGTAATTTTTGATTTATAAGCGTGAAAACGTAAGATGCGGTGTGTGATCCCTAACCAAGGCGTATATATAATTCATACTGACGGAGTCGTCACTGATGTAATGAAGGCTACAATTTCCTACCACGAGGTGAATTGGTACAGTTATGTGAACATCCACCATTGCTGATACTGCATTGTTGATAAATACATCCGGGAGCCTCATCCTCGGCACCAGGACAATCCGCAACCGTATCACATAGACTTTCACGACTCAAACATACGCTGGAGTTTGGACATGAAAATTGATGAGGTGCACACGTGCGCGACACTGAAGAAAAAATAAAGATTTGAAGAAGTATCCTTCGAATCTATCACAAGCGAAAGCATTAAGATTATGAACATACGACATTTTGCTTGCGATTCGTCACTATTGTCTCCACAGTCATCAACACCATCGCACACCCATGATTGGGGAATACATTGACCGGCAAGATGACACTTGAATTTCTTCCCACAACATTCTTCATCGGAATTATCACTACAGTCCTTACGTCCGTCACACATTTGACTTGAAGAGATGCATTTGCCATCTTTACAACTGATTTCGCCAGCAGGACAAGCTGTAAAAAATCAAAACATGCTTTTTCTTCACGAAAAAATGCTTCATTGTTTTAGAATATCGTTTTGTTTTAAAATGTTTCCTATTTTTAGAATGTTTCATTGTTTTAGAAAATTATTTTGTTTTAAAATGTTTCATGATTTTAGAATGTGGCATTGTCTTAGAACTGTCAAATTTCTTAAATGCACTTCCTACTTACTTTTGTTGCAAGTAGCAAATGATTCGTCAGTTTCGTCGGTACAATCCGGAACATCGTCGCATTTTTTTTCGAAAGGAATACATTGAAACAACGTCTGACATTGAAACTTGCTTGATGGACAACGAATTTGAATCGTGGGCGTCGCTGGATAAAAAGAAAAATATTTAAAACACAAGGGAGGCCAATAACAGAGTTAAACTCAAACTGACTGACTGACTGACTGACTGACTGACTGACAGACAGACAGACAGACAGACAGACAGACAGACAGACAGAGACAGACAGACAGACAGACAGACAGACTGACAGACAGACAGACAGACAGACTGACTGACTGGCTGGCTGACTGACTGATTGATTTATTGAACATGCAACAAGAACAGCAAAGCAAAAGAAATTAAAAATTCATACTGCAGTTAACTTCATCGCTTCCATCATCACAATCTTCGTCGTGGTCACATCTCCAAGGGAGATCTATACATTGACCGTCTGAACAGCGAAATTCGTTAGATGAACAGAGCGTTACAACGCACTCATCTTCATCGCTATCATCGGGACAATCTTTTCTTCCGTTACATTGCCATGATCGTGGAATGCACGCCCCATTTGAAATGCAAACAAAACCATCACATGTCACAGTCTTGTCTGTAATATTAAACATGTATTTATCATCAGTAGTAATTAACGCAGTTTGCTTAAGTATCGGACGATTTCATAAAATCCTTACTGCAGTTTTCCTCGTCCAGACCATAAATACAGTCCTTGTCACCGTCACATTTCCATCGTTCGGGGATACACTGACCATCACTGCACTGGAAGTGACCGATCTCGCATGTGCAATTTCGTTCATCAGAGCTATCTCCACAATCATTGAAGCCGTCACAGAGCGCTGACTTTCGTATACATTTGAAGTTGTGACATTGAGCTTCGGTTGGTTTACAGGTCTTGGACACTGAAAAACATTACGAGCATTTCAACTATCGAAATACGGTTCGTGAGAAAAGAAAATGGATGTTAGTTCGTGGCAAGGTCGCTTACAGCAATGGGCATTGACTTCATCGGACCCATCAGTGCAGTCATCATCACCATCACAAAGCCAGGAATTTGTAACACATTGCGTGTTGTTGCATTGAAAATGATTTGGAGGGCAGGTCGAAATCGGCACAGGAGATGGAATTGCATCTAGATGTTGATTGAATGAAATTCGTCATAAAGATTTCTACTTTCTGATTGGCCGACATGCGACTGTATCGGCCATATGTTGTACAATAAACATTCTGTAATCTGAAATAACTTCTTCATTAAAATGAAATAAACTCACCGACACAAGCTCTTCGATTGACGTCAAAAGATAAACCATCTCTACAAGCACAGGAGTAATTACTTGAGGCTTTTAATAAGCACAACTGGCTGCAAGGAGCATTGGAACAAACGTTGTTCCCATCTGAAAAACACGAATTTTAATTTATTATAAGATACACGAGTATGTAAAGGATACACGAGTATATAGTATGTAAATTTCTAACGCAATTCAACCCTTGGGTTACAATGTTAGTTCTTTTCGACTAATAAACCAATCTCACCAGGTACATGAGAGCTCTTATAGGTACGAATTTCCATTAGTCCTCCAATATTGGACAGTAACTTTTCTTTCATATCGCCGGAACTCTCATTGATGGAAATTCTGTACAATGCCATTTCCTGCCAATCACTCCAATAGGCAAAACCATTATAAACATCAAGTCCAAATGGATGAGATAAAAAAGTGAAAAGTTTCCGTTTTTCTGAACCATCAAAATCGGACACCATCAGATGATCTAAACGCGCATCAATCCAGTAAAGTTTTGAATTAACATAATCGATTGCGAGGCCATTTGGCCAGCCCATATTGTCTCCTTCTGAAATGGTTTTTCGGGAACTGGAACTACCATCCATGTCACTTCGTTCGATTTTAGCATATCGTCCCCAGTCCGTCCAAAATAGCAAACTAAATCAGACAAAAAATATTGTGGTTTTTGTCGGATTTGAAGTGAAGTCGACACTTCTACGATCAACAGATCCATAATCCGTGATCTACTCGCGTCAAGATCAACGATCTTACTATCCACAGATCAAGATACACTGATACCCTATACAAAATGTCCTTCGCAACAAATCAAGATGCACATAAAGACGTACAAGTTGAAATCAAAGATCTAGCATCTGCAAAACAGGATATCCAAGTAAAAATAAACAATCTACGATGAGGATTTCAATCACAAGTTAAAATCCGCGACATAAATCAAGATCTAGAAGTTGAGATGTCCAATTGGTGATGGACACCTACAAACAAGGATTTCATTCACATGTCAAGAAATATGCTAACGATCTTTCATACGCATAAGAATATCTACGCAAGTTGTAATTGTAAAAAAGTCCTACCCCCTATTTGGATGAACCACAATTGCTCGAGGTCTGTTTTCTAAGTCAAGTCGAATGAGCGTGCGTCGATATCTACCATCAAGTTTTGATACAGAGATTGTTTTCAATCTCGCATCAGTCCAGTAAAGATTCCTCCCCACCCAATCGACAGCCACTCCATCAACTTCTCCTATACTCTCGTTCTGCACAGTCTGCATGTCCGAGCCATCAAATCCGATGCGATAGAGTTGACCAGAATTGCTGAAATATAACTTTTGTGTTTTTACGTCATAGTCAACACCGATAGCCGTACGCAGTCCAAAAACAGGCACAATAGCGTCTTGTTTTTCTCCGTTATTGAATACATAGCCACGAATTCGAGTTTTCATGGCGACAATGACAAAGCTGTCCAAACGTTTGCACGTTCTATTGTCCTTCATTAACACCATACCGATTTCGCATGCGCATTTGCATCCACTGGTCACATGACTAGAAAGCAAGCTAAGTTGCTCGCAACCATAGTGTTTACAGAAGTTCTTCGATTGACCTTGTCTCGATGGATGGTATATTTGAACGTCCCTGAGAAGTTTCCTGTCTTTTATCACTTCGGTCACCTTGCCTTGTACAATATCTACCTTGTACAGCTGTTCATCAACCCAGTCGGTCACATAAAGGTAGGAGCGATACAACGACATGGCAAATGGATGTGAGATTTGATCTTGACCGGGTCCTCCTGCAACCAAACGACGATCGTTCCCATTATAATCGACCACAAATATCGCATCAAAATGAGCATCCGCCCAGTACACCATCTGGTTGATGTAATCGAGTGAGATCGCATTAGGCCAAGTGATATTGTTACTGACAAGTGGTCGACAATCCGCACCATCCATGCTGCATCGTCCAATCAAAGCACGTCTACTTCCCCAATCTGTATAGAACAGATATCTTGAAAGGAAACAAAAACATGATCATGCTGAGTTAATCGAAATTCCAATGTACGAAACACAAAGTCACCATTACGTCATACCTCACTTTCGGATCAACAGCCAGACCACGTGGAGAACCAAGACCGTCGACCAAAATATGTCTGTAACGTCCATTGAGATTGACAACGTCGATTCTTCCACCACGAGATTCGGTGAAATATACGTTATCAGCAATCCAATCCACTGCCATTCCTTCAGGCATAGAGACCAGTGGATAAAATGGGCTACACAAAAGTGCAGAGGAAATTACGTACAACGTTAGAGTGCCTACATTAAAATAACTTCTTCAGATAGTTAAATCGAATTAAGGAACATTTGGAATAAATTTGATACGACGAAAATTTTATCTTAATGGTTTTTATGGCATAGTAGTAGTTGACTCCATACCGGATGTGGCGTAAAGAGTAGAACACATACATTGAAGATGTGGCTTTTATTACACTGAATAAAGCTGCTATAGCAAATCTTCTTTAAAAAACAGCACTGCAAATTTGTGAAGTCACATAGGTGTATAGTTTGACGATCTCGTTTGTGAAACCTACCCTCGCAATGTTACTTCCGTAGATGGAGCGGAAGATCTTCCTTTCTTTAACATCAGTAAAGAAAACATAACTGGAGTTGAAATGATAATCCAAAGCAACAGCATGGTTTAGATCAGCAAGAAAAACACCAGACCGACGGCCATCGATGGTAGAGTTGATGATTTTATCAATATGAGAAACTAGTATGATGGGCTGAACTGAATCTACAAATTCAAATCAGGATGGTGAGATTCAAACAAGTTGCATTGACAATAGATAGAAGTCGGTTGGTCGATGCTCAGAACATTGACGTACCATCTGGTTTACAGTAAATGTGATGGACTAACTCGTAACCATGGTAACACGCACACTTGAAGGAGCCATGCGAGTTGACGCAAATGTGATCGCAGACTTTTGACTTGCATTCATCCACATCTGTCATATATAGAGAGAGGTTGAAAACCAGTACGAGCATTCTTTGCTAAAGGTTCAAATTCAAAATCTCCCATACCTATGCAGCTTTTATTGTTGACATCTTTTTCATAACCAAGTCCACAGTAACAGTGAGCCCCGGATGGGGTCTGTTGGCAATTCATATCACCGCAATTGGTGCGATTAAGACACTCGTTATGTTCTACACAAACAATGGATAATATGGGATAAAGGAGGATTGCAAGAGATATTTATGAGAAGATGCTGGCTACCCACCACAAGATGATCCACCGTGATGTGAATGCTGCCGTTCGTCCGATTGATCGAGACAATCATATTTCCCGTTACAGACAGCTGTGATATTTATACATTGATGGCTGGCAAGACATTTCCATTCATTACTTGCACAAGAGCGTCGAGCTAAAATTCAAACAAAGAAAATTGTGTTGATACTGAAAAGTACATCATTGCCGTAACACTAAATTCTCACCACAAACATCATGTGATTCGTCTGAACCATCAGCGCAATCACTGTCACCATCGCATAAATATGTCAGAGGAACACATTCATCAGTTTCAGCACATCGGGTCTGGCCAACTGAACATGGTTTTGTCACATCTGTGCTCAAAGAGAAGAATAAAAATGACCACAAAGTGGACCAAGAGAGAAATATTTTGGGAAAAACAACGGATAAGATGCAGTCCGAGATAACACTTAGAGATGTTGAAAGTAAAAAAACCCACATTGATGGCAAAGGAAATAGAAATGAGGTGACAGAGACACAATCGAGTTGGTGCATAAAATAAAAAGACCAGACACTGAGCCAATGGAAGAGATGCACAAACTCTAGTTCCACTCATTTTTCAAGCTCATAAAATGAATAAACTAACTGAGCTTCAAAATTTATTCAAGATGACGAATCATCGAATCATTACTTCTTTGCATTCACTTACTCATTGAGCATTCCATTTCATCTGCGCCATCACGACAATCTCTATTTCCATTACAAAGTAAATCTTTTGAAATACATGTCAAGCCATCATCACATGAATACTTCACAAAGGACACGAAACACCTAGAATTCACACAATGCATGTACTGTTTTCTTGCCAATATTTACGATGGAGAGTTTAATTGTTGCTCTTCACTTACTGCAATTCCGTTCATCTCGTCCATCTGGACAATCGGCCTCACCGTCGCAGAGCCATGACTTGCGTACACATGGAACAGTGTTATTATAACATGGTATCTCCTCACTGCTACATGATCGACTGTCTAAATATCACACATAAAGACAATATGAGTATATAACAAATGCCAGACAACACTAGCCATAAATTAGAAATAACTAACAATTGCAGCCTTTCTCATCTTGTCCATTATCACAGTCTTCGTAATGATCACAATGCCAATGAAATGGAATGCAACGAGTGCCACAGGAAAACTTATTCTGACTCTTGCAGTCCAATTTCCTTTCTGCTAAGTTTAATAAACAAATATGAAAAGGTACACTAGTCATAAAAAGTATGAGAAAATGTGTGACAAATTTTTCGAGGCAAGCAGAAAAGAAAGTACAAGTTAAACTTGAAACACCCTAAAACCCATACATGTATCAAATAGTTGACAAGAAGTTATTCAAATTTATACAAAAAATAACAAAAATGGTAAAACTAACATACAATAAAAACAAAAATACACACTGAGTTGCTTTCTAAGTCACCAGCCATGTCAACTTGACACAACCTTTGAGATAAGCAACAATTACAAAGGTAAAACCAACAAAGACTTTTACTCCTAAAATACAAATTTTCAGCAAAATTGTAATGTACTGATTTCTTTAGAAAAATATCTTCATTTATTGGCGTTCCATTGACTGAATAAAAAAATGCTTGCATTGCAGGAATGAAAAACCTCAGGCTTCACTACTGTACACACTTGTAAAGTACAGACTTACTAAAGGTGAGCAACGGGGTATGCGTTTTCAAGTATATGCAAATGTTGTACAAAAAAACCATTAAAAACCGCACATTAACGATAAATCAAAACAAACAATTGCGTAATTAAAGAAAGAAAAAGATATGAAACAATATAGTTGTTTCAAATAAAACTAATCGTTATCGTGACATTTAATAGTCAAAACAAAGGCTAACTACGTCTATAATTGCTAAGTATGGATGTTGTGACATAAACATAAGCACAATATTTTAACTAAACTTCAATTCCGTTCTTATTCTTATAAGCAAGTAAGGACCTTTATGGTTATAAATATGTTTATGTCGTAAATGAGAACACTGATAAAAAGACTTTTATTGAGCCGAGGCAGACACAAATATACAAAATATACACTAAGACTAAATTGCATCGACATATTCCTACGTACCACAAATTTCTTTATCTTCGTCGCGTCCATTATCACAGTCACTGTCGCCATCACAAACCCAATCTTTAAACGTACATTGATGATCGGAGCACCTAAACTCTTCTATTTCACAAGCAGTACCTTGAGCAATTGAATGACGATAGAGTCAAATTACGGTCGACATAAAAAATTAACCCGAAACATAATTTGGAATTTCCGTTATGGGGCAAATTCGTCGAGATGTCTTCACCCAGAAAACAACTTAATGTTTCAGCTTGAGAAGATACTAAGTAAAGGATTGGGTTTAATAACAGCGGGATAAGTCTCGGCAAATGACTAATTTGGATATTATAGCGATAACGCGCCACGTGCATTCGTCAACTGTACGTTCATTGCATTACCTGCAACTGTATGATTAGGAATGTTATTGTATCACGTTATTTTTACTCCAGTGAAAGATTCAAACTCAAAATTGGTTTTAAAGTTGTTGTAGTTAATGGATTTATTAAAATTGAAGCATTAAGCAGACGCTGTGTAAAACATTCTACCTGAACCTTCGACGCGTAACTTTGCCAAAAGAATTACAGCAACGATGAAGAAGCTGAGGAAAGCCATGAAAAACAACTTTTCCAATGTTTAACGTCAAAAACGATTTCCCAAATTTTGTTTGCACTTATTCTTTGTAATTTCATAAACGTTTCGAGTTGTAAATCTTTATTCCATCACTCACAATAAAACATTACAAATGCGAGAAAGAACAAAGACAAGAGCTGAACAACAAAGACTCGGTCTGATTGGTCGAGTCAACCAATTTCATTTAACCATGGTCTTGTTTTCAAGTGCAAAAACCGGAGTACAAATCGTTTTCTTATTTGTAAAAAGAATTCCAAAAATTCGCTTATTTCGATACTGGACGCAAAAAATACACAAAACATCAGTGTGGGAACATTGTGTTCTTTTAAAAGCAATACAAATTGGCAAGATGACTAACGTCAGATTTACATAAACTAGGGATTAACATATTATCGCATAAATTACCATCTCATAAAATACGAAAATACTGCTTTCATCTGAAAGATTTTTATCGTCTTTGCGCAGGATATTGCCACTCGAGCGAACACCGTTTAATTAAATCATTTTACGCTTTGATTTGAAATTCCTTCGTTGCAACCACAAAGATGAAATAAAGGTAAAAGAAGTTGAATCTCTGTCATATACATATTAAATGCGGCGAATATAAAGCGCACAAATTTAACACCAATATCACCAAAGGAATTCATACAGCAACGCAAGCATTGCATAAGCCATCGATCCCGTTTAAATGAAGAATACGTTTGAGCAATGAAACCCTTGTCGGGTTATGTGTAGTTTTTGTCATAAAATCAGTCAATGTGAATAAGTACAAAATTTATTGACAGAAATACACAAAACGACAAAAAAATATATATAGATGTTCTCCAGTTTCAGGATTACTGAATCTGTATTTGCGCTTTCGGCTACTAGACAGACAAAGGAAGGGTTAGATGAAGAGGAGGAAAGTTCAAGGTTCCAAAAATGTAACAAAAATGAATTGAATTTTAAGTAACAGAAACAAATTCTTCTGGAAACAAACTTCAGTAGCATTGAAAAGGAATTAGTTAGTTTGATCACTTCTCGGCTACAACGAAACACAGACTTTTGTCATAGCTAGCACTTTGTTTTGTGGTTTGTGCATTTTTATTCACACTAAGACATATTTAACTTAATATGGAATACAGTTTCGGTTTTCTTGCTCCTTCCGCAATGTGTGTAACTTGGAATAAAGGGGGGGGGAGGATAAGAATAAAGGCATGGAAGAGAGAGAGAGAGAGAGATAGGACGTGAGTTAGTTTATACAATTTCGTTAACTGCAAGAAGTCTTGCTGGGTTTTTTTGCGAACATTACGAAAATTGCTGATACTTAACTCATTCATCAAAATTAGTCAAAGACCTTCCCGAATGAAAACAGGTGTCAAGTTTAGTAGTCCTGTTGCGAGTCAAAATATCATCTTCGTCGTTTTCTCTGTCATCGAAAAGCGAACCATATCTAAGGTTAGTCTAAGTCATATCTTATTTGCTAAAAGCAAAAAATATGTAACTGCCAATAATGAGACGCACACATGCGCATTAAATCAAATAAAAAGAAAAAAAAAACAAAAAAGTCCACCAGATTTCGCGATAAACATGCATATCTTCCCATATATCTTAATCTGTGCACATTGCGAAAAATACACTCACTTAAGTAATATTTACGAAGAGCATGTGTAAAGGCAGACATAGTTAACGGACTAGCGTGCATAAAGACTTCCATATTTCAAATATTTCAAATGCATATAGTCATGTTTGATTAGAACATCAAAAATTCTGTGATAAGATGTTTGCGGTAATTCTAAAGCAATCCACGGACCGATATTTAAAAGAACACGGGCACAAGGTGCGCAAGAACACATGTTCAAGCGATGTTATAACATTTAAGTGACGAAGAAAGACAAGATACGCCTCCGATCAAATTTGTCATCAAATATAAGCCGGCAATACTTACTGTCGTTACAGTCATTATCTCCGACGATCATTCGAGAAATTGATTCAGCTTGACCTCGACATGACTTCATATATTCACAGCTTATAAATTATTTTCTTTGTAGAAAAGTAAACCGAGTTATGATGAATACGGAAGGAAATCAAACATTGATGTCGTGTTCAGGAGTAAAAGCGCCGGATGTTCTCCTTGTGATGATCGGTTTTGCAGCGGCAGTTCTGAACGTTTTGCTACTTTTAGTAATGTACAATGAACGCAAAAGGTTCTTTCGAACCAGAGTGTCATTTCTAATCGCTAACCTGGCTCTCGCCGACTGTCTAACAGGAATGATGTTGGTACTAGTCATGGTTTTAAAATTTGCTCAAAAAGACAAAACTTTGCATGGTTTTCAGTTTCTTTTTTTATGTGGAAGCATTCAGTTGTCATTCTATACATTAATATTCATGTCTGTGGATCGCCTAATCGTGGCCATAAAACCAATGACGTGGTCAAACATTCTCACGAAGAGAAAGACGATTATTGGAATCATTCTGATATGGGGCTTTGCAATAGTTGGCAGTGTAGTTATGAAATACGCGACCACTAGACGTCTTTTGTTTCTGCTGTTTCTGGAAATAATTGTCCTTTCCTTCATATTCATCCATATAGTCATATTTCTCGTGTTACGTCGACAAAGACGTAGTCTGAGTAACTCCGGCAGTTCAGCGGATGTATCTCATGTGATGGATTTATCTTTACAAGCATGCCATGCCCACATCACCTCGATTGTCCTCACTCTAATGTTGGTTTTGATCGTTACCTACATGCCGTATATCGTCTTTTCCAACATCATTTTTGCTCGACAAGGAAGTGGAATGTCACTTCTCGTGTACGACAGTGGTTTTCGTTATGCACAAGCATTTTCCTATCTCAACTATGCTGCAAATCCTGTTGTTTACGCCTGGAGACTACGCGTGTATCGCAGAGCCTTTTCTCGATGATTCTTAAATTAACATTGTAAAATACTCCAGCTTGCGTAATGGCATAAGCGCAGCTGTAAAATATCCACCTAGGCACGTATCAAAAACGCAGCAGCAGTTCATTTGTTTCGCTCGACATATCTATTAGTTTGCAAGACGTTGAAACATTGAATGATTCCTTGTTGGCAAGAATTGATGTTCTGCCAAGGTCGACTCAAGCACTCATCCAACCTTTCTACGCAGGCTATCAACTGCGGCAGAGCTGCTTTATCATCACCTTCGATCATTTTATCGATGCCAACCTTTAAACAAGCACCGGCATCGTCGATCTCTTTCAATCTTGCAGCAACGTCCATTTCTTCTTTGCAAAAGGGGCATTTGTAACGGATTCGTTCACGTGAAACAACACGACGATGACATCGTCTGCATTTCAAAATGGGTACCAGACACTCCAAGTCGGCGTACAACGGCCAGGCTTCGATACAAGCGGGACAGGAACAAGTGAAATAGTACTGCTTTTTCAGTTCAGCCTGTCGTTCGGCAAGAGGAGTGACGGCTGATACGTAACCATAGTTATCAAAAACTTCGTCACCTTTACGGACAGTTTGGATTGCCCGCATCACGCATGTATCCCCGTAGAAATTGCGGGTCACACAGGGATCACATGAATGGTTGAAGAGACTGAATGTCGGATAGATAGCGGCAGCAATTTCGATGGTGTGAGAATTGACCAAATCTTTTTCTTTTTGAATAAATTCGGATATTTCGTGGGCATTGCAGGGTAAAACCTGGAGCATGCGCAGTATGTGACTAGCAGCAAAAAGTACATCGAAGTCATCCTTTTGTTTAGTGGTGGGTGAACCAAAATACCCAGAAGACGCTAGACATTTGACCAGTAAAACAGCCAAAACTGATCTACGAAACAGATCACTTGTTGAACGATCTTCAGTGTGGGCAACAAGATTGTACACTTCAAAATAACTATTACCGTACGCAGGTTTTGTGAATGAGCCATCGCCTGATAACTGTTCTTCAGGACGTTTATCGTTTTTGAATTTCTTTAACACCGGCCACGTCGTCTTCGTCATGACACGAAGAGCGAGAAAGCCAAACTTTTCGACACCGCAATTGGACAAGAAGTCAAGATACTTGCACTCGTACTTGTGATAAAGCCAGGCTGCTCTCTCGCATGTCCGACTGCAGAATGCGACTCGAGCACACTGACGACATGGAAATGAAGACAGCAGTCGCTTCAAACAATGCTGACAGTGCGTCAAATAGTTTTCACACAAAAGTACGGATGCATAAGGCTTCTCTATGGCAACAACATCACCAACTTTTATTTCTTCTACTGCTTTGACCTGACGACCTTTCTCATCATCTGACGTCACCTCAACTTTGGATGACAGACAAGGAAAAGTCTCATTTTTATCTCCTGTCACAGCAACCCCTATTGTGCAGTCAATGCGCTGTTCAATATTGTCACTATGTTCGTCTTGCTGTTTCAATACTTCTTTACTCCTAGTCATCCACATTTCCAAGGTTTTGCAATGCCCATTGTACTTTTCTTTTGAAAGATTGGACATTGAAAGCAGCTCGTGAGCTTTGTTAAAGTTCTCAAAGGCTTTCAATGGTTCATGCATGAAGAAGTGACATTTTCCTTGCCTTTCAAACAGTTTATACTTTAAAGTGTTCGGATAACCATAAGCTAATGCCAGATTGATATCAAGCAGGCATTGACTGTATTGTTTCATGTGGATCAAGACAGCTGACCGATTTGCCACTGCCATGGAGAATTCTGGCTCATCTCCACACAGTGGAGCAAAATTCACACTTTTGTTGTACAAGATTAAAGCATCTGAAAATTTTTTGAGCTGAAACTTCTTGTTTCCATCATTCCTTGATGATACCGACTTTGTTTTACACTTGCCTTGAAACTTTTCCTTAATCACAACTGCACTTTGAACACAGTCAAGTTGCCAAGTAAAGGAAACACGTTCGAGATCTAATTGAAGACTGGAGAACTGTTCTGACATTTGGATCAGTTGTCCTTCTTCCTTAAGTCTTCTATAAATAATGCCATACCACTCTTCCATCAAACACTCCTCACTTTGGCTATTTTTCCGGGAAATCGTTAAACGTGGGACAAATTCTAAATATGAAAGTAATTACAAAAATATACGCTATGTAACTAATTCAAATGATATTAAATTGTATTAACGTCTTTCAACATGGGATAAATTCTAAATATGAAAGTCACTACTAAAATATACGCCATGTAACTAATTCAAATGATATTAAATTGTATTAACGTTTTTCAACATGGGATAAATTCTAAATATGAAAGTCACAACTAAAATATACGCTATGTAACTAATTCAAATGATATTAAATTGTATTAACGTCTTTCAACATGGGATAAATTCTAAATATGAAAGTCACTACTAAAATATACGCCATGTAACTAATTCAAATGATATTAAATTGTATTAATAAATACGATATCGTGTCGAAGAATGCTTGATACTTACTTCTTTTACACAAACAACACAACACACATGCACAAGAGATCTGTGTAACGGATATAAATCATTTCAACACAAATGGCAACTTTAAAAATTGTTCATTGCCAATTGCCATGTCACAAAAGAACAAATAAATTTTAAAATTAGCCAGGAAATTTAAATATTTTAAAAATACCATCGAAATAAAGCGTTTTAATGACGACCCAAATCTTCGAAGAAAGTTCGTCGCAACTTACCGATAGATTATAACGCAGAAGTATTTTAAACATGGCGTTGTCTAACGATGACGTTATGATAAAGATTGGCGATTTTAGCATTCGACCAGCCACTACGAATGGAGAAAAACGTTTTTACACCGCATCCTTTCATCTTAACTAAGCCTGAGTAAGTATTTTGAAAAATCTTCTTCCTTTCTAGGTAATTACGGCTTAACAAAGTATGTTTATCAGGTGGATTATTAAATATTAGTGACACATCTTCATTATACGTTCATATTTGATTAGGTGATCAATTGATTTGATCATTAATTCAATAATAAATGTTTGGTCATTATTCTTGTCATGGTTGTAAAATGACGTGGAAATTTTGCTTGATTTCAGTATGATCTTATATATTTAATGTCAGGTGGATTCCTGATTCAAAAGCCAGTAGCTGTGTTTTATGTAAAGAAAGGTTTACACAAGTTCGCAGACGCCACCATTGTCGGGTTTGTGGAAATGTGCTGTGTGGGAAATGTTGTTTTGAAAAAGTAAGAGGTGTATCAACCATATAAATAATGAATGTTTCTCCAAGTATTATTAGTTAAGCTTATTTTTTTCAGGTATACCTGCCACAATATGGTGATGATGAACAATCAAGAGTTTGCAATGCATGTCTTCCAGTCAGCATTATGATCACCAAAGCAAGATCATTGCAAATGGTACATCCAAGAAAGCTTGAAATACTTGTGTATATATATATATATATATTGCTAAAATCAAATGCTTAAACCATACATTTGGTGTCCCAAGTGCAGGAGTCACCATTTTACTATGGTGATAGCCGGGAGGGCACATTGTTATACACTTTGTATATATATATATATGACATTCATACACACTTGAAAAAATTGTTTATAGGCATCACGTTTGGAGTCAGCAAAATCCTTGGCAGATGCATGTGCGGAGGAAAAAATGTTAAAAAAAGTAAATGAAAATATATTAAGCTCAATATGTGTTTTAATGCATTTCATCATTATTTTGATCCTTCTATAACAAAGGTTGTTGAGACAGGTGGAGTTCAAGCCATCATACATTTAGCACAGACCAACATCGCTGATATCAAGGAAACTGTTGCTGAAGCTTTAAATAATTTAGCCTTGTGCATACCGTTACATTCAATGGTTGTCGATTGTGGTGGAGTCAAAGCCATTTGCAGGTAAAATCTAATTGTTTAAGTATCTATTGAAGCATGGTAATTTGAGAAATCATTTCTGTATGTTATTTACTCTAGTATTTTATCTTCAACTGGTGACAGTCATTCTCAAGCAACAATAAAAGCTCTCAGCACTCTTAAACTGCTTGCAAAATCAGAAAAATTGAAAGTTTTGAGTAAGTGACAAGTTGACTGAGAGAGGTGTTCTTAGAATGAGAACATGCTTTTGCCTAAAAAACGTTTGCCTTGTGAATATTTTAGTTGTGGCAGAAGGAGCTCTAGTACCATTAATGGCCCTGTCTATGTCCACAAATAATACCACTGTTGTTCTTTCTCTAACTACCCTTGGGATTATATTGGAAAATCCTATCAATGTTGCTACTTTTGCACAGGTTTAAATTTTGTTTGTTTCAATTAGACTATCATTTACATAAGTGCAGATAATCTGTTAGATTTCATCATATTTCATCACGTGTCAGTATACTTGACCACGTCATAATTTATTTCTGTTTCACTACACATCTTTACATTTCATCATATTTCATCAGTGTACTTGACCATGTCACACTTTAATTCTGTTGCACGATAAATCTGTTTATTTCACCATATTTCATCACGTGTCAGTGTACTTGACCTCGTAGTTGACTTGACCAGCTGCCCAAGTTCATGGTAATGGAAACGACCAGCTGTAAATACTAATTACAACTATGGAGTAATTACCTTGCTCAGTCAAATTTTCTGATAAATCATCTGCGTATGCGCAGTCTGCTTGAGCATGCGCAGTTGACTTGACCAGCTGCCCAAGTTCATGGTCATGGCAACGACCAGCTGAATGTACTAGTACCGATTATGGAGTAATTAGCTCGCTCAGTCACAAAATTTCCGATAAATCATCTTCGCATGCGCAGTCGATTTGACCAGATGCCAAAGTTTATGGTCACGGCAACGACCAAATGCATCTACTAGCACCGATTTTGAAGTAAATAGCATGTGTAGTAACAATTTAATAGAGAAATCATCTGCGCATGCGCTCGGGCGTGCGCAGTCCACTTAACTAATTGGTCATAGTAACTATATGTAACTGCACTACATTGTGGCAATTAGGTCATTTATTCGCAAATTATTAAAGAAATCATCTGGGCATGCGCAATAGTGACTTTAATAATATCACAACTTTTGTAAGGCTTTGAATTTATGTATGTATATACATAAAGCTAATTCTAGGTTTAGTAGATGTCAACTGGCAGGGGAAGCTGGGTGCGATATAGTATGCAGTGGCTTAGGAGCCCACACTTCGGTGGCGACCGCACTCTCTCTGCGTACCAAGAGCAAAGCCTATCGCAGGCGATTTCGGGGTCTGATGGGCGGAAGCTTGCTATTGCATCTCCCAAGTAGGATAGCGTGGAGGGGCCGAAATCTCCTACCGAAACGTTAACATGCGGCGTTCTAGTGCCTTACGTATAACAAGGTATCGGGAAGCATAGCCCGAAAACGGGGTTTTTTGCTTTCGAATTTCATCTTTTTGTTCTCATAAAATAAACCAAGGAATGTTTCAATGAACTACTTCTGACACTGTGCCTTTTCTGACTTATAACTTTAGACAACCTTAAACATGTTTTATACAATTTTATTGGTATTTTATTGGTTTTATTGGTGACATCTTTCTGAGTAAACGCTCTCACGAGCAAACCATCTATGGGCTTCATGGCAGACAGGATTATCGGGTTTTCTTAATAAACATGAGACGCTCTAGTGCTCAACTATCTCGGGGTATCGGGGAGGAATAGACAGAAAACGGGATTTTTGTTTTCAAAATTTGCATTTCATCACAAGAATTCTTCTAATAAAAGAAACTAGAACATCCAAGGATACTGTAAATGTTCAAAAAAGCCTTTTTGACTTCATTTGTGTTCATTTGGATTCAAAGGACTTCTTTTGATCGCATAGAGACAGCCGTCCAACTTAGTACGTAAATGCATGTAGTATGCATTTCGTTGTAAGAAACCACCCTACCCTCCACCAAAGAATATCCAGAATTTTTAACTGTTATTTAAAGATATTTATAATTCGATATATAACACTGTATTTCTGTTTCACTACACATCTTTACATTTCATCATATTTCATCACGTGTCATTCTGTTGCACAATAAATCTTTACGTTTCATCATATTTCATCACGTGTCAGTGTACTTGTCCACGTCACACTTCGTTCATTTTGCAGAACTTCAAGAATGGTCTTCAAACAATGCTACGTATAGCCAAATCAAACGATGAAAAGGTGTTTGTCAAGAATATTTAGATTGTCCAGAAACGTCAATATGTTTTATAAAAGCATTTTGAAACTAGGTACAAGAGGTTTCGCTGCGCATATTGGCACTTCTTGCTCGTACCACTGACGAATTGCGAAAAAAATTCTTGAAGTAATATTCACCGTCCTTTGTCACATATTTCATGGTCTTCACCTGATGTATGTCATTTCGTAAAATTATTTTTAGGAAGATAATTACTGTGGAAATTGCATCAAAAACTCTTTGAAACGCTGTCCAAAAAATCTCGAGGTATTACCTGTTCCCTTTTATCTGCATGCCGAAAAGTTCTTAATCACGTCAGAATCAAAATGCTTCCCTTTTTTTTTGAGGTCTATTCAAATGGAGTCTGTGCGATTGCCAACCTTGCAGTTTGTCCAGATGTTCAGGTGATCTTTCTTACGTAGACTGTAGACACTAGGTGTATAATTAGGACCCTTACAAATCAAACAGAGTTGTGTATCGTGTAGAATTTGTGTATTTAAATTTTAAATCGCTAAAATTCAAAAAGTATATGATGGTCTTTGAGGTGAAAACGTTTATCAATGGAGAATCAAATTATGTTGTTTGGAGAATCGAAACTATTTTTTCTCTGTTTAGTCGGCGTTATTGGACTTTATTGACATCATTTGCAACCTTATTGTCTCCCATTCCGAGAACTCTAACATTCAGGTAACAAATATAGTAGTTCTTATAATGATTTCTCTCGTGTTAATGTTAATTTGTGATCCGAAAGTTACAGGTCTCAAGAGCTGTGGCAAATTTTTCTAAACACAAAGAGAACTCAAGGTTTTTGGTATTGCTTGATCTCTTTTTACTTGATCTTTTGTTCAAATTGAAGTCATTCACACAGCTTTTGTTCATTCACCTAGATTTTGTCCCATTTTTTAGTCATTCACTCAGCTTTTGTCCAATTTTAGCTCATTCACGCAGCTTTTGTCCAATTTTAGCTTATTCACGCAGCTTTTGTCCAATTTTAGCTCATTCACGCAGCTTTTGTCCAATTTTAGCTCATTCACGCAGCTTTTGTCCAATTTTAGCTCATTCACGCAGCTTTGTCCAATTTTAGCTCATTCACGCAGCTTTTGTCCAATTTTACCTCATTCACGCAGCTTTTGTCCAATTTTAGCTCATTCACGCAGCTTTTGTCCAATTTTAGCTCATTCACGCAGCTTTTGTCCAATTTTAGTCATTCACCAGCTTTTGTCCAATTTTTTAGTCATTCACCTAGATTTTATCCAAATTTTAGTCATTCGCGGCGTGTTGTTACACGATTTATTGTAATTGTACAAGCATGAAGTATTTTTCATAACTGTCTCTTGGGTTTTTTTTCAGGTTTCATACTTGCCGCTGATCATCTCGTCCCATGTCAATGTGAGTCGATGATGCAATTTCTGCTTAGTGAAAATTTTTTCTTATCTTTTGATCATGATATTTTCCCTCCATATGCAGAGCACGGAATGTGCAATCCGAACAAATGGCCTTCGTACTATATTTTACCTCGTCGAATATCAACCAGACGCAACAATATCAGCTTTGATTAAAAAGTAGGAAATACTGATTCATTCATTGTCTATTTTTGCCTTGAAGCTTTCTTTGATTGTCTGTCAGCTAAGTCACAAAGAATTCGACACTTTAAATTTATTTTGTTTCATCTTCGGATTAGAGGATTAATGATTTTCATCTTCTGATTAGAGGATTAATGATTTTTATTTCTTCTTCAGCGACGGTATAAACGGACTGATGCGTGGTTTGCTGCTGTTCCCCGAGTCGATTTCTCGTGTCAGAGAGACGTTGCTTCAAAACTTTCCCGAGATCGGTTTTCCATTCTGATAAACCCAAGAGTGGTGATGAATGTAAGTCGAACGAATATTCGAGGGGGGGGAGGGAAGGAAAATATTTTGCGCATTCTTGTATTCTAACTATTCCACCCACTCTCGCTCATTTCATATCAACTTTACTTTCAATTGAAATCTGCCTTGCGAAAGTCAGTCTTGAGTCACGTGTATCATCTTCGAACCATCACTCTAGTTATAGTTTTCTGTTTTCCAGGATTGTACGCGTTCAAAAAGTAATCATCGATGGAATGTACCAAAGACATTGCATATTATGTAGCATTAAATTTGAACCAGTCTTCACGAACCTTCTACTTCAAAATTGAATTTCCTGTCACGACGTAATTTAATTATTTTTATTTTTATTCATGTTTTCACACCGCACTGCATAAAACATTCTTAATTATTTTTAATTGTAAATATAATGTAAAGTAATTTTATTATTAATTATTATAACATGATTTCAGCCAGCAATGTTGTACTTGCCCTACCTTTGTAATTACGCACATTTATTTATGTGTAATTTACGTAGATGATATTTGATTATTCTACCAAACTTTATCCCCCGTTATCCGAAATGTTCTTGACCAGGTTAAGTGCAATATCCTTGGCGTGTTGAGCAAAGTTTTTGAGACGATTCTGCAACCGCTGCAAAGAGACAACGTCCTTGTTGTCTAGGACTTCTTCTCCATTCATCGTAAAATTCGCTATAGCTTTCAATCGAGCATTCAAGTTTTCCAACTCCAAACTTTCAATTTCTAAGTTATCGGCCCTCCTCCATAAACTTAGTGCTTCCTTATTGGTTGTTTTCGTATCGCGGAGCGAGAAATCAGGTTGATACGTCAATCGCGTCCTCCAGTCCGGTTCAAGGTTGCTGAACAGTCGATATCCAAAAGCCAGCATTCCCATTTGCTTGTGCGAAGCTTCGGTGAAGGATTTACTGCGTAAGCATGCCATGTATTGTTCGGATGACAAGGATGAGTCACATATCTTCGGATGATACATGTGAAATATACCTCTATCCGTCGCTCGTATCACTGTTAGGTCAGTGAGTAAAAATTTCCTGTATAATTTAACATCCTCCATTCCCCAACCTTGTATAGTCGTGTCAAATCCTTTCGTCGCTACGAAGTCGTTCCTATACATGCAAGTCATGCCAAAACCAAAATCTCGCCAGAATCCATTGTTCTTTCCAATATACATTCGCCTCTCAATGTCGGGAGGTCGACCGTCGTAGACAATGATAGGGTTATAAAGACTGAATACTATTGGATAATACACCATCTGTCCGGGTTCACTGTACAATCGACATCTTTCAAGGAAATCAGGATTGAAAAACACGTCCACATCGCAAAAGAACATGATGTTATTACCTTTTTCCCAGGCAATAACGCCTCTCTGCAAGCCGACACCCCGAGAAAAAGGCCCCTCCTCGAAAATTATTTTATAATGATGAAATTTTTCTCTTTTCTCGAACGCTTCAAGCAAGCTTTTCACAACCGTGCGGTTTTGCTCACCGAAATAAACGACGGTAAGATGAACTCTGCCATCATAACGAACACAAACATCGCCAAAGCGTTTCAAAAACAACTCGAATTTGTCAGTTCTTCCAGAAAGAGGTAAAATTAAATTGATGATTTCTTTCGAACTGTCCACGGTTTCCACATTTTCCACCAGTTCAATATTCGAGAAAGGTCGTCTTACTTTTACTCGATGATAAAGATTTGCTCTTCCAGTGCTAAAAATTAAATCATACTCCATTCCTGTCAAACGGTTTAATCTGCTGATGCCATTAACTAAATGATGTCGCTGCACTTTATGTTCACCCGGAAGTTCATCGTTCACAACGTCCACAGCAAACTTTAATATTTCTTCATGCTCTTGGATTCGGGCGCCCATAGGTCTTCTAGCCGGTCGGTCAACCAACCCATCTTTGTTTACACTATAAATACCATAACGTGTAAAACTATCAAACGAATTGACTGCAGTCTCGTCGGACGCACTTTTATCTTTGAGAAATCCCTTCTTGAACGACTCAGATTTCACTGCACTGAACTCTTGCGCACTGATGATCTTCTCGAGTTTCTTAAATTCCGATAGTTGCAACTTCAGTTGGGTATTTTCCTCCTTTAACGAAGCAAGTTGAGATGTCACGTCTTCAACGTAATTTTTCGCTTGGTCGTTTGAATAAGCTGTGCCATGCGGATGTCTCTGGTCATGAGCAGACTGTATCCGGTTGCGCGTCCTAACCACAGAAACAACGTCTCGTTTTAAGGTATTTTGCGTTTCCTTCTTGCAAGACAAGAGCAAAATATTGAGTGATATTTGAAGAACCACGACGACAAAAACGAGCAAAAGAAAAAAACAAAAACGACGAGCGTTAAATCTTGACATGACATGCCATCAAATTTTGGATGGAAAATCATCAAACCATTCAGTTTGAGGTGTAATGTTTCATGTTTCTCCTCAAATTTCCATAATTGAAAATACACCCTCAATAACATCTCGCACACCTTCATCCCTGCTTTTCTTGCAAGTTGATTTCTTCTAAGTTTGAACTTCGAGGTGTATCAACAAACAAGACAAATCTATTTTGCTTTTTTCCGGCATCAAACTTCACACCAAAACAAGATTTTTTACAGGTACATGTAGGCCATTCATTGGCGCGCGTGCTCAGCCAACCCGCAAAAAACGTAGATCCACACGAGGTGTTGACAATGAGATAATATGAAAAGACTGAACATCTACAATGGTAATACGTTGATTCACCAAGAGAGATAGTATAAATACGGGCTTTCTTGCAAGGTAAGGACACGAGTTAGACATGTTATGAAAGAATAATGTCTCTACATATCCATCATGACATACTGAATGAAAATCTTCAAGGGAATTCAGGATTCGTGTACAAGTAATGAAGTCATCCATCTTTGCTCTACTCATCCGAGCGTTTTGTATAATCCAACTTCTAAGCACGTGTTGTGCTTACAGCGATAAAGCAGTTTTGGGCGCGAAATTGCAACGCCATGTGCGAGCAAACTCGGGGAAAGGAACCGAAAAGAATGAAAGAGGAGATAGACTGTCGGAAGATATGAAGAAACAGATGAAAAAGATCGATGCGTTGGAGGATATATTTATAGGATTATCAGGATCCACTGGTGGTAAAAGGACTGGAACAAAGGTAGACATTTTGATGATAACATCAGTAAGAATCCATTATTTTGTGAATGCCAGTTACCATGCGTGCTAAAAACAAATGTTCATCTAGGAAGCAAGAAGATCATCGATGGACGACACGATGGCGTTAGATGAAGATCTTATTAAATATGGCGATTTTAGAATGAAGAGAAATATTGGAGACACAGCAGATGACAGCACGCGTGATGAAACAGTCAAAAAGAAGAATGGTCTTTTGATCAAGAAAAAACTAAGAAATAAAACCAAATTCGTTAAAAAACCACAAGCGTCAGAGGTTGCTCACGGTAATGAAAAAAATGATGCAAGCAATGATCTGATGGGAGGTACAGGAGCAATCGAAGATGATATTGAAGAAACTCGAGATGATGAAGAAAAGAATAACAAAGAGACTAAAAGCCTAGAGAAAAATGACAAAAGCGCAAACAAAGATAAGCTTGAAGAGAATTCTGATGACAATGATATGGAAAATCCTGAGAGCAGTGACACGGTTAATCATGATGACAAACATTCAGAGATAAAAACCAAAGATTTCAGTAAGATAGACGATGCGATTAGTAAAGAAGATGATAGTAAGACAGAGCTTAATAAAGAAAGACAACAATGAAGTGACGACAGAATGATGAAGATCGATGAAGATGATCAAAGATAGATAATAAGAGATAGTAGGAGCAAGATCAAAGATAGGAGAAATAAAAAGATGAGTAAGGAAGAGAGATGTCAGAAGGAAAAAAAGAAGAATAAAGAGAGAAAAAGAAGAAGTGACAAAGATCAAAGTGATGAGACAGAGGACGACGTTGAAAAAGAAAGCGACAGTGAGACTGAAGACAAAGCATGAGCGATGACGATAGAAATACAGATGATGCAATTGCGATAAGTAATACAGAAGAAGACAAAGATAGCGAAGACGATGGTCAGGAAGAGAATGATACAACGAATAATGATGGCAAACAAGAAAGAAAGCACAGAACAAAGCAAAGAAATTCCAGCAAATATGGCGATTCAGAAAATCACAACGACGAAAAAAAAGAAATGGAATGGGATAAGAATTCCACAAGTGATGATGATGGAGGTAAATTGAATCATATCGTGATGCTTTTGTGACGGAGCAAATTCACTAAAGAGTGAAATGCATACTCCTTCTAACCTTGAAGAGAGGAGTCGAGAGGAGTGAAAACTTCTCTATCAAATATCAACATAATGTCCCTATCTTATCCAAGTTTGATTCAGTTACACCAAGGTGGGAGGAACCATAGACCCGCATAATCTAGATCTCTTTCTCACACACACCCACACACTAAAATCTAGAGCCTTTGCTCTCATACATATACAAATCTAGACCCTTACACAAACATACGCAAAATCTAGACCCCACACTTACACAAATATATTCAAAATCTAGATCCCTAACCTCTCTCACACACAGACACAAAATCTGGACTTCCTCTCCCACTAACACATATCTACTCATTCACAAAACCGTGCCACATCATGCTTGCATGACATCAACTCAAATAATGTATTTACGATTAAAATCAAAGATATTTTTCAGAAGATGATGGCGAAGAAAGTTTGAATGATGAAGACGAAGATGAGAAAAAAAAATATCGAAACGGCGATCAAAAAAGCGAGAAAAAATCAAGCGATGACTTGTACTTCACCAACATTGGAAGTAAAAAAGATGATGTTTACAAAGAAGCGAATTGCCGTACGGAATGTGCAACACCAATGGATTACGCGACATGCGCCGTACCGCGATGCGACTACAAAGTCGGCACGATCAAAGACTTGTGTAAGTACTTATGTCGTCATCAAAAAGAAAGCTGCGAGGAGGTTTGCGATTAAAAAATGAAATGTATGACGTTGCTATAGCTGCTATACGAACTGTAGCACTGTAATTTTTCTAAAAGCGAGGTAATTAAGAACTCGTATGACAAAATAAATAACCGAGCTATGTCAAACAAATGAAATAATGAGTAAAGCAATAAAACTTCAAGCTTACGGTGACGCTCATCATTGATATTTGGCTTTCTCGTTGGCTAGTGCCAGTCTCCGAATGTTTCCCAAACAGCCTGCGGCAGCTTCTTGCAAGACATCATCGGATGAGCCAACCATTACTATCAATGGCTTAAAAAAATCCCGTCCACTTAGTATGATTTATGTTTACAAAAAAATGACTTTTTCGCCGTCATACCTTGACGACGCCACTATTGTGCATTGCAATGCAGTTGTTAGGATCACGTGACAATTGGTAAAGAGCACGTGCAGTGGCACGATGAACGTCCAATTTTTGAGACTTGAGATATCGAACTAACGGTGCAACAGCTCCAGCACGGCCAAAAGCCACGCGATTATTTCCCCAGGTGCAACACCTATACGAAAACATCTGAAATTTATTTCAAATATGGAAAGAAGATTTACATTGCGTCTATCTTGAACGTCAACTGCCACTGCACAAAAAATATTTCCCCATACACCAGACAAAGCTCTACACACCTTGCAATCGAGTCGGCCAAGTATTGTCTTAATCTGTCATCATTCTGTATACGGATGATAAATTCATGAGTTCATGACACGAGTTGTAGAAAATCTACAATGAACACTATATTACAACTAACTGTGTTAGTAAGTTTAGCCAGCATTGGAACGACTCCATGGTCTGTAATCACCGCAAGGTTTTCTTCATCTTTGCAATATTCGCTATAGCAGCACATACACTCGCAAGAACCTGCATACCATAACATCAATGAGCTACACGTGTTTTTACCATTGAACTAAAATACATGGAACGCTACCTGAAGCAAATAATTGAAGCCAAATCTTACACCCAGACACGCGAGATTACACCCGGACACGCGTGTTAAGTGTTTCGAGATTATCTCGCGGAGTGAAAATTGATTATACTACACACGCGTGTCTTTGTGTAATATCGTGTGTCTGGGTGTAAGACACAAAAATTATCAGGCTTTTCTATTACAGGTAGCGTTCTATGTATTTCAGTTCGATAGTTTATACGTTATACAACGCAGTAAAATCCTGAATATAGCTGAGAACCTAGATTTCAAGAACTTTTTGGATAAAATTTCTTCATACTATCTATATATAAGAACGTGTTGAGGCTAAGATTTGCGTAGCTTCTCATTTTATTTTTATCAATGTACCTAAGAGTTGAAACTAGAATAGACATATCAAAGAAAATAAACTCTTTACAAATTAATGAAAATGACCATAAGTCAGAATCCAACGTAAAACAAATATTGTAGTATCGGATTCGAATAAGAGCACATACTGTAATGTTTAAAAACAATTTTGGCGTAATCTATTGAAATATTTCCTGCACCAGCCGAAAAGGATTAAATTTTTCGCGGGGAAAATATAGGAACCTATTTCACACTATACGCAAGGTTTTCCTAGATTAAAATCTCCTCAAATGCCAACAAATAGGGTGCACGTACTTCTCTATCACTTGATTTCAGAAGACTGACGATAAGTTCCAGACCCCCAACAAACGAGCGAACCATTTCTCCAGCGTCCTAGTAAAAAACAGTGATTAAATACGAAATATATAACTAGAGAAAGATAAATGAATCAAGCAAAAGACCTTAGCATTTTCAATGCAAGGACACACTGCCCAAGCTGCGCTGGATTGAACCTATAACGAGTGATGAAAAGGTAAGTCAATCATTGTTTCAAAACATTTACAAGTGGAAGTCATGCACACCTCTGGATTCGGAGATTTCAACAAAGACCACAGTAAACGAACTCCATCCAAACGATCAATGATTCTACATGTAAATAAAAGAAAAGTGAGATCAACAAATGAGTGATGAAATGTTTTCTCATAGCAACTCACGTCATATTATCAGGTTCAGTTGCGCATGCTCCGACAGCTTTAGTGACATTAACCAACAAAGCTTGGTTTGTACTCGTCAAAAGGTTCACCAGCGGCGAGATTCCTCCTGCTTTACGTATCGAAGTTCTGTTGACAGGAATCTGAGCACATTCACCAAGAGCTCCGACAACATTAATGAGAACCTTAGAGAATATCGACATGGATTTGTTTATGTCTTGGGATATAAATGAATGATTAGGATCGGGCGTGTAAGATTTACCTCTTCCGGTTGATCATTCAGCAAAGCAACAAGCTGTTCAATTGCTTTTAACTCTTGAAACCTTTCAACGAGAAAAATTGAGCAGTTGGTGGATTAGTATCGCGTATGTGGATTAGTATGTGGATTAGCATGTGTTGCAGTGATGCACGAAGGAAACATCATCATTGAAAGTTATGAAGAAAAAACCTTGAAACATTCTCGGGGCTGATAGAGCACTTCCATATGGCACCAGTTGCGGCTGCCAGCAGATCTTTATTCTCAGCAGCCTGAAGCAATGTGACCAAAGGATCAAGGCCACCATATTCACGGACAAGATCACGAGTTTTGGCATCTTCAGCACACTGTTTAGTAAAGAGGATTATTCTGACAAACATTTCACCTCGTGGCCAGTAGCAACATAGAAAACATTTTTCGATAACCGACTTCAAAAAGTATACTCTTTTCCATGTCAAAAAACAGAATAGCATACACTCTCTATGGCTAAGTAAAAGATATCGTACAGTCTATTATCTATTTGCCATTGATATAGAAGAGTTTGATCACCTTAAATATTGCGCTTGCACAATGCATTTGCAATTCCTGATTGTCACTTTTCAAATTTCTTACAAGGTCTTCGATCATGCCTTCTGTGCGAATTGCAAGCCTATAACTTGGCTAAAATGAGAAAGTTTGAAAGTGCTCGATTTAACGAGGAGAAATATTGACTAAATCACACACACATAGACACACATACACACACCTCTGAAGCACATTCTTGTAAAGTGCCAACGACAGGTATCAGCATTTCATCATGTGTAGATTTCAACAACCTCGCCAGTAAAGGAATTCCACCGGCTTTCTTTATAGCTAACTTATTCTTCGTGCTCTTACTGCAGCTCCACAGCGCAAGTGCACCTGCCCTAGCCACGTTCATGTCCAAGTCTGCGGCATTAGACAGTAAGCCACAGTCTAATAAATTCACCTGGAATGAACGAAAATGAGTGATGTTGATTTCCATCAAGGGTGTGTTCTTGTGCAAATACAACTATATAAAATTGAAAATCACAAAGGAATAAAAACATAGCAGCTGTCTATATAGCTAACTAAACTAATAAAACCAAATCATCAAATGAAAATAGCAACTTCATTTCGAAAAAGTGACACACTTTTGCTGTCTCTGATTTCTGATGGAATTGAAGTCCAAACAGAAACCTCATCATACATAAAGCTTTTCTTCAAGGAGCTAGCACATGCCCATATGTATGTTGAGACATTTTGTAATATCACGAATATTGTAATTTGGGAAGAACAATGACATCTTTTATAGTTGTGTAAATGCATGGAACGCGCTCAGTAAGACACATATCATTGTACAAAGGATTTGTTCTCTGACCAGAAATTGTGAGTTATCATCATTAGCTTTTGGCTACCTAACAAAAGTTTGTAATGTATTAGGGGCCCAAAGCTCGTCACAATCAGCCGATTTTCTGGTCAAAGAACGACCACATTTACTATCTTGATGAAGGTACATTTTCAAATCAGGAAACTTGTAAAGACGGAGTTCTAACCAGTTTTGTTATGCCGCCATATTTACGGACAGTTCTTCTTGCACGTCTGAACTTCGCCACATGGGCGATAGTCTCGGCTGCAAGGCATTTCAGCTGCTTATCGTGAGATTGAAGGATTTTTACCATCGTTTCCAAACCTTAAAAAAATTATGCAGAGTTTTACAAAAAGTCATATTTTATGGTAATCATAGTGAGCATTGAGCCAGCTTAGACAATGTTATCAGTGTGAGTGTCGCCTTTTCAATTTGGCAATTTCGTTGAAAATATCAATATCTCAACAGAATACAACGCTATATCCAATCTGCATGCCAAACTTGCATGTAGAGCCACAGTCTTGTCGTTTCAAGAGATTTACAAAAATCACTTTCCAAAGTCCAGCTTTATTTTTTAGCTTCGTGAAGCTGGGCTCTGACATAAAATAAATGTGTTGCAACGATTTCAACATTTACCTCCTAAATCTGCTATCGCTTTTCTGATGACGGTATTTACTGATATCTCCTTGAGAATTTTCAAGGAACCGATCTATGGAATAAATTGAAACAATTTCGTAATGTATAGTTATCAAAAGGGAATCAATCTGTTAAATGAAATTGCAACACTTCAGTAATGTCTAATTATCAATACAACATATTATCAACGATAGTGTTATTGATGTTGACCTTGCATTTTATCTCGTCAGTTTCCAAAAGGTTTATGAGAACGTCTAAACCACCGACATCTCTTATCGCTAACTGACATGTTTCCTGAGAGAGATTGAAATCTCGCATCGAGCATAACGCAATGATTGTGGCAGTTTGGTTTCCTCCCTGAAAGACCAAGTATATATGTATTAGCAATATGGAACGCGAATTGGACTACAAAAGAATATAAGCAACAGATCTACGATATAATATTAAACAAATAACAAACACGAACTTTCAGGTATTTCACCAATTTCTGGATCTGCCAATATTCTGAGGGAAGATCAGCATTCGACTCCTATTGGATAGTTATGATGGATGAAAGAGACTTCTATTGGATAGATATGATGGATAAAAGAGACTTCTATTGGATAGATATGATGGATGAAAGAGACTTCTATTGGATAGATATGATGGATAAAAGAGACTTCTATTGGATAGATATGATGGATGAAAGAGACTTCTATTGGATAGATATGATGGATAAAAGAGACTTCTATTGGATAGATATGATGGATGAAAGAGACTTCTATTGGATGGATATGATGGATGAAAGAGACTTCCATTGGATAGATATGATGGATGAAAGAGACTTCTTTTGGATGGATATGATGGATGAAAGAGACTTCTATTGGATAGATATGATGGATGAGAGAGACTTCTATTGGATAGATATGATGGATGAAAGAGACTTCTATTGGATAGATATGATGGATGAAAGAGACTTCTATTGGATAGATATGATTAATGAAAAAACTGTCAAGTCTTTGAAAGAAAGCAGATATGACATGAACCTGTCGTCTGTCATGGCTTTCCTCTTCTTCTTCACTTTCAGATGAGCTTTCGCTGAATTCTTCAACGTTGTCGTTCAACGCAATTTTCATTGACGTTTCTTTAGCACTTGCAACAAAATATGAACAAATTTATATGTACGTATGAAAATATACGTATCACAAACGTATTTTTAAAATACAAATTATTGAGTTTCACGATTCTTTTGGATCGAAATTCGTGCAAACTTTTTTCTCGTTTAACTTCGTTGTTCTTTGATGACGTGGTTTCATTGTCGCACACAGTTGCTTTGAGATTTTATGTAAGTGTCCGAAAACTTTTAATGCTTCAACACGGTGTAGCGAAGCTTTTACATTTTAAAATGTTGTATTTAATGCTGTTATTTCGCTTCACAGCTATCAAAGTGTAGCACTCTATTAAATGATAAATGTTACGTCCATTTATAAACGCGCGAAGCAAATTGCCTATTAATAAATGCTGCATGTATATAAATACGTTTGAACAACTATCAATGCTATTTATCAGATCCACCTTGGATGACAATCTGCAGTAACTTATTATAATACTATATTAACCTCTTTTTCTCGAAACTAGAACGCGTTCTTTTACCATTTGACTTGTTTTGAACATTCTTCTCACTGAACAACAAATCACAAAAGACTTAATGAGTAAAATGGTGTTCTCCAGACTTTATAATACAACATACATACATCTCTTTTTCAATACTATTGTTTCCTAAACCGACTGATTTCCATTTTGGCGAAGGTTCCAAATGTTTAGGTTTAGGTTTTTTCTTTGACTTGTTCGTTTTTGTTGGTGCATTTGCCGTGTTCGTTGTTCTAAATGTAAATTTTCCCAGAGTATTTATTTTAAATTCATTAAAAAATTGCGAAGTACTCATCTAAACGTTCCGAACCACTCACACAGCACTTCCATCTGCGTTATTTCGAAAATCTTTGTCCACCGCATCTTCGCCATCCTTCAATGGACCAACATCATTTTTGAAAACAGTCTCGTTATCTGACCATTCCTTTTTACCATTTTCAAATGAAAGTTCAGTATTTGCCGTTTTTGGTAATCCGTGGTAGGCAAACTCCTATGACAAAGAGAAAGATAATTTACTTGACTTACACACATGTTAAGATTACACAAGTCACCTAACTCAAATGTAAATATGGACAAATTGCTTGCATTTTCATCTCCCAAAACTTTTAGCGTAATAAAATTTCCTCGCAAACAAGTGTGCGTTGCTGCTTACGTCATCATGTCAGCCAAGTTGCAGCCAACGACTAAGGGGTTTTCTTTAATTATACCCAACATTGCAGGAAAAGTAACGGTATAGATTTCTTAGTATAATTTCTATATTGGGTTGGGTAAAATTAAGATCTAATTAGGGCAATGATTGGAAAGGAAAAGTTGGCTTTTTGTCCTTTTTTAGTTTGTTTTGCAAACCAGGATGCAAAAATGAACATTCCATAACTAGACAAATTCAATATTATATAAAATATTGTAATCACTTCAGTGATAAGAGGAAAGATAATTTTCTTTTCAGTTTTGATATCTTCCCGTTAGCTAAAGAAAAACCACATTTGCCTCACCTTTTTATCAATGGTTGAAGCAAAGTGTTCACTTTTTGCCTTTAGCAGAGCCATCAAAGTGGGAAAACCAGACTTGATCGTTCATAATCTATTTCGTTCTCATCTGTTTTTCCTTTATTTTCAAAATAACCACATGTTGCCGCAGTAATAGAGAGTCGAGTTCCTTCTTTTGTTGTCACCAAAATATAAGCAATATCACCATGAACCTGACGCCATGGTGGAGCGCGACAACCGTTAGCAAACACGTAATCTGTAACAACAATGATCTCAAGCTTTCAATATTATCTAAATACTAATGACTGCAACCAAATATGAAGTCACTTGAATTTCAGGCGATATTATTTACTGGAAGTACAAATATACCATTATTGACTGGAATTCCAGATACCATGCACTATTTACCTAAATTCTGAATACCACTATTAACTAGAGATACTGACAGTACTGTTTACTGGAAATACTGACAGTACTATCTACTGAAAATACTGACAGTACTATCTACTGAAAATACTGACAGTACTATTTACTGAAAATACTGACAGTACTATTTACTGAAAATACTGACAGTACTATTTACTGAAAATACTGACAGTACTACTTATTGCAAATACTGACAGTACTATTTACTGAAAATACTGACAGTACTATTTACTGAAAATACTGACAGTACAATTTACTGGAAATATAGCGGCACCGATGCGTGTTTGAATACTCGTGAACCTGATGGTTACGATTTACTGAGCAAAAAATGAAATTGACTAGTTTTTCTAAAGTAAAGTTGAATTGTACTTTTGTGTCGCTGTGTAGCGGAATCATGCTGCCCATTGTTCGTAAAAGAGACCTTCGAATATTGCCATGAAACGATCATTGATGACAACGACTTCATTCTTTGAAGATGCAGACGCAAAGCTGACGCATGGATACGAAGGCACTGGCGAAGTTGGAAGACAACGAAGATGTAACATTGACGCATGCATGAAGACAGATGAAGTTGGAAGAAAAGATGTAACACTGAAACATGCATGAAGACTCTGATGAAGTTGGAACATGAAAAAGAACACTCGCCGACAAAATATAAACTCTTCCATCACACAAACTTTTTAGACGTACGCTAGACATGCTTACCTAAAACCCATTCAATGTTTTCCAAACAAAACTCTCATTATCATAGCCAGCAAACGATTTCAACAATTCAAACTCTCTATCAACGGTGTGTGGAGTCAATCGCGTTACTCTATGAAAATTATTGCAAAGAAAGATGGGTAACACTAATAACAATAACTGATCGTGGACATGCAGAAAAATAAAAAAATTTGAAACACACTTCGCCAAATGTTGAAGAGATGTCGACAACAGTTGCACGTCCAACTGATTCATCAACAACATCAAACGAAATCTGCTTTCCATTTCTTCCGATTCACTTTTGTTTGCATCATATTGAGATTTCACAAATATTTCATGTGCTTTTAACAAATGATTTTCAGTTGAGCTCACTTGCACATAAGCTGGTCCCATTATATTTGCAAGTGGGTCTCTGTTTGCTGGAACCAGAGTAAAATTAAAAAGATGTAAATTGTGGCCTTATCTCAAAGGACGATAACTAATCATACAAAAAAGTTATAAATGTTGTGACAATCAACATATGAGAAAGGACAGTGAAAAATGCCATCACATTACCTTCAAGACACAGCTGAACTTCTTTAATCTTTTGATCTCCGGCAGCTTTCAAAACATTACTCATTTCGTGAAAGGTCCACACTCGTAAAGTGTGCTTATTGTCATTCCCCTGTGAAATTGTTATTACACAATCCACGTGAATTAAAATGCAACATATAAAATGTGGAAGCAGTTTTATGAATGAACCTTTTCAATGCTTAAAATTGGTTCGCCATTCGGTGTTTTGCCTTCCGACGTCAACCTGTCTTCACTAAACAATTATCCAATACAATTAAAAGCCTTCTTATCTTGTCGATGTAAAGCAGTAAGGAAGAGAGCTCTCACCTTATAGAGTATCCAAGAGCGCCATAGTTCAATGAAATGAAGTTAGAGGATGTCAACGTGGTTGACCACTGGAAAGGCTCTTTAAATGAAATATCTGATTCGGACGGGTGACTTTTTACCAAAGTTTCAATGTACTTGACGACATCGTTCAATAGAAGTTCATTTTGGTCTGTGAACTCAAGTTTTCCTTTGTTCGTATCACTTGCTGACAACCATTGTGTTTGAACTGACAAAGCTGCACCCATCCTTCATATAAATAAAAAAAACATCAGTAAACAGTGAAATAACAAAATGGCCACCAATGCAGTGATTAAACTTCAAACAAACAAATGAACAGCACACAGACCAAAACATTCTTAGTTGGTTTTAAAATCAACCCGATTGACATGACATCAATTGTATTCATTAACAAAAACGTACCTCAAACATTAAAGAAAATTGACCGTTCATTTCAGAAAAATAACTCAGCTTTTGATAGATTGGTTGTTATAGCAACAATAATGAATCTGCGAATACTTTATGTTACACGAACTATATGTTATTCATTTAAAATAAAATACAAGTTACATGAAGTAAAGGATTACTTTGGCAACAACTTGCAAGAACCATCGTAAAAAACAAAGAACATGGTCATCTGATTTCAATCTAAAATGGAGATAACGAGATTAAACTTTATAGAAACCCTTCCAATTATAACTGAAGCAATTGAAGACTCGTCATTCATTGCGATTGACGCTGAATTCACTGGCCTTACCTCTCGACGCCGGGAGAACGCCTTGGACACGTGCGATGAAAGGTATTTGAAGCTGATTAATGGCACGAAAGACTTCATGATTGTTCAGTTTGGTGTTTGTACATTTAACTGGGATGAAGAACAGCAACAATACATAGCCAAACCATTTAATTTTTTTACATTTCCTCGGCCTTACAACAGGCAAATGCCTGATATAAAGTTTTTATGTCAGAGTTCTAGTCTTGAGTTTCTTGCAAATCAGGGCTTTGATTTTAATAAATGGGTATGTCATGGTATACCATTTCTGTTGCCTGTGAATGAAGATAAACTTCGTCAAATGGTTGCATCAAGATCATCCCAAAGTAATGATTCTACAGAAACAGAACCAATGCCCATACCACCAGCATTTGAAAAAACAATTGAGCTGATCATGAATAAAGTAGAGGCATTTATTGCAGATTCAGAGCAAAAAGCATTAAGCTTGCCACCATCAAGTCCTCTCGTTCGTAGACTTGTGTACAGCCATGTTAATGCTGTTCACAAAACCTGTCTTCATTTGGAATCGAAAACGAATGAGGAAAAGGAGAAATATGTCAAGATGACAAAATGCTCTGGTGATGAGAAGAAAGCATTGGAAAGACAAAAATTTGATAAGGAAAATGTTAAAGTTGAAGAGGCTGTTGGCTTTTCAAAAATTATCCGACTTTTGTCACAGTCTGGTAAATTGGTTCTTGGTCACAATATGTTGCTAGATTTGCTTCATACGATACGATTATTTGTGAGTCCCTTGCCAGCAACCCTCGATGGCTTTAAAGCTCTTGCAAAAGGGGTTTTACCAAGATTGATTGACACCAAAGTCATGGCAAGCACCGAGCCTCTACAAAGTTTGTTTCATTTGTCCCATTTAGAAGAAGTGTATAAAACTTGCTGCAAAGCTCCATTTGCGACGCCTCATGTTCTGTTTTCTGAGGGATTTGATCAATATGCAGGTGATATTGAGGGCTCAAAATCCCATGAAGCAGGTTATGATGCATACATGACTGGAATAGCTTTCCTTGCAATGGCATCTTACCTGGAGAAGCAGCGTGATGGTAGTAGTCCATGTGGTGAGGTAGATGTTGAAATCATCAAACCCTTTATGAACAAAATATTTCTTTTTCCAAGAATGGAAGATATTCCTTATCTTAACATTTCCGGAGAAGATCTAGTGCCTAGTCGTGATCATGTCTTTTATGTTGAGCATCCCAGTGAATGGCAGTTTACCGACATCCAGAAGTTGTTCAAAGATTTTGGTTTTGTTTACATCACCAAAATAAATGAAATGTCGGCATTTGTCTCTGTTGCTAAACGCGAGAGAGCCACAAAAGTTTTACAGAAGCTTCAAAAGAATAATAGACCATACCGAATTCAGAGTTATAGTGTTTACCATTCAAATGGCAAAAAAGATGATACGTATCAAGTCAATCATCATGAACCTAGTACATCATCTCAAGATGCAAACACAAACGAACAAGAGCATTGTATCACACCTTGTGATACACCAGATGGACCTTCATTTAAAAGATCGACTCGTGAGGAGTCAGATGTAGAAGATGGAGAGATTCCTGACTCTCCTGAACCTTTAAAAAAGAAATTAAAAGGAGAGCATACTTATTTTGACGAGCCTGAAGATTGGTAGATATCGTTTGTGTTAAGTTGGTGTAGCTCAATAATTTAAAATCAAGTTGAAGTAGATTGGTTTTACACTACCTAAATTTGGTCAACATCAGTTAATTAATTTTTTTAGTTACTCTTATTAGTACATGATAAAATGTTTTTAAAAACATTTCTAAAACAATGTCCGAAATTGATAATATTCTGGAAACTTGTGTAAAGCAATCTTTCGATAATGTTTAGTGAATCTTCAGCTGTTGTGTGACTTGAAAATCTTTCTTTGTTTAATGAGCCTTTTAGCTCTCCTGTTTTTCCTTTGCTATGAAATTTGGTGACTTTGGTACAACAACTTGGTGAGTTGAAAAAAAACTTAAAATTTTTACGCGAAGCGTAGCAATTAAACCGAAAGAGTTTATAGTAAAGTGTCCTTTAGATATTGGTGCTAGAACTTTTTGAGTGATGGAAACAAATTTTTCGACAATGCTAGAACTTTGAGCGATGGGAACAAGTTGAAAATGTTCTCACCGACAATTTTCAGGAAACATGGTTACAAAATGAATGGTTCAATTTGTCACAATTGATATGAAAATGGTTTTGGTTTTCAAATGAAAATAGCATTGTGATGGCTAGTGATTACGATAATGAAGATGTAGCTTGCTATTTTACCACGAAACATTCTTGGAGAGGAAAGTAAGTCTTGAGTAATTTCTATCTCAAAAAAAAAGATTGTGTACAAAGATTGTGTAACTTTGGTGTTGATTTTGCTTGAATTGCTGAGAGCTTTTTATATGCTAGCATGACTATTCCAGGTATAAGAGAGTGTTTTCTATTGGCTCAAAGGCGATAACGACTTACAATCCTTCAACATTTGAGGTCACGAATCAAGTAAGCTTTGATATTTCTTTCTGATTTTATTGGTCAGCACTTTCTGCAACATCCTGATTTAGGACCAAACAATGTGTCTGATCTTAAACACTTGCTTATGCTTGACTATTTTTGTTTTAGTGGCCATATCAAGATTTTATAAACATCACTCCAAGTTTAAAGGCTCCAAATGAGGTCATCATTGTTGTCAGGAAAGGTGAAACTTCTTTTTTGTCTTATTTCTAGATTTTGCATATTCCTATCAATCCACTAAGATCCCAATTTAGCTTTATACAACTTGAAATTGGAGAGATGTATGAGCAAGGTTGAAAGGGGATGTCTCCGTTTCAGAAGTGTATTGCCAAAACTTAAGCAAGAGCTTTCTGAGCTCCCTGATTCACCCCCCTCCCCTCAATATGCCCATTTTCATTGAATAAAGAGCTATTAGAAATGATATGGCTAAAGAAATTCAACAGTTATTTGAATTCAAAAACTATGCAAACTATTATAGCCAAAGAAGGCAAGAAGACACAGAACATGACATTTTCTACTGAACATAGGGAAGATCTAATTACTGAAGCATTGGTAATTATTTGTAAACTGTAAAGTTTTCTACCATGATTTAGAATGTAAACATGTAAATTTCTGATCACTACCCTAGAAATTTTATAAAGAGTTTTCTGGATATAAACATGGCAATGAGTTGGTATGTTATAACATAAATATAAAGTTATTATATGTAAATGATGGTACCTCCTGGTCATGTTGTGCTGATAATGGATATTTCACTCAGATTTGATAACTGGGGGAGAACCAGAAGGTAGTGCTAGTAGTGAGTCATGGTTTTAGATCTTGTAAGATCCTGTAAGATCTTAACCAAGATATTCAACATGGGCAATTTTGAGAGTAATGCACCTAGTCAGTGGATAAATCCTCTCATAAAATTATGATATCATTGGGATGAATTAAAGCAATGAAAAAAATTGTGCCTTGTGTATTTCAGAAGTTTAGTGGCTATAAATTACATTGGAGTGAACGAAAGGTTCCAGTTACTTTAGAGGTTTGAATTATATGCTCTTGTTTCATTTATTATATTCATTAAAAAAAATATTTAAGAAATAAAAGATGCTTACTGTGTTTGCACAGTCTTATGCAAACCGAGGAGACCTTTGGGAGAACTTGAGAGCAGATCAGTGCAAGTCTGAGACCGAAGGTTGAGGGTTGCACCTGCTCAAGAGTTCTCACAAACATCTCCGATGTTTGCATAAGCCAGTGCAAACACGAAAAACATCTTTTATTTCTTTTATAAAATAACAACAATGGGAAAAAGACAAACATTTTAATTTTTCCTCTAAAATGTATTCATGAGCGATTTGCTAATTCTCTTTGATTGATTGATTGTTTTGATGGATTGGATTTTGATGGTTGAGCTCAGATGTGTTTTGCACAAGCTTATGCAAACACAGCTCTAGACCAACAGCGCATGCGTTGTATTGTTTTATTTTATAATTCATATTAATAGATTTTTCTATGATATTGCTTCCAGGTTTCACCTGGTTCTTTGGATCAAATTGATCCTCGTGATAATAGGAAATTATGTTCTTATAATTATAAAGATATCGAGCTTATAACGTTGGTGAGTTCAAATGATTCTATAAATTTCTATTTTCTCAGCAAGTGAGCATAATGATTTCATTTTCATTTCATTTTCAGGTGTCAGATTATCCCGGTGGTTTTGTGGTTGTTTCTGGTGGATTTAGTAGGATGGTATAGAGTGCTTTATGGATGTGCGTGTGTGTTTTTCGATATGCAGTTTGCAACATGAATTTTAATGTTACGTTCTAGCATCTCTTTGCCATTGATAAGAGAGAAGAACTGCTGAAGAAAATGATGGAAGCAGCATTTAATAATGTCGGAGTTACTATTAAGTGAGTCAGTAGTATTCCCGGAAATCAAAGATATTTAACAGTTTACGTAGCAAAACTTCCCAACACTCGTTTATTGATATGCACAAGCCTGGATTTTTCAGGGTTTGTTCCGTTTGATTTGCTTACATGAATTAAAGAAAGCAGAATCAAGATAATTGCTTGGCGATGACTAAATGCTGAGAATGAGCTCTTTATCGTTCTCTTTTGCAGACAGAAGAAAAGTGCAATTAAAGTAGATTCATTTTTGATATACAAGTTTGGGAAATTCAGGTGCTCAGAACAATTGCCTCCTCATGTTTTGAAAAATTTCACCAGCCAACAAAGCTCGTATTCGTTGTAATCGCATCTATTGGATTTTAGTGATGATGAACATGTCACGTCAATGTCAGAATTTTCCGTTTATAAACAGTCAAAACGCCACAAGGTATAAAACGCGTGAAATCGGCCACGATTTTTATATGTGCTAGGGAGTCAAGTAGCCAGCCTACAGTCTTAGTTGTGCTATATACGTATACTTCATAACACTATCGTCGTTCTTTTCTTTGGAACTTTATTGTTTTCATAATAAGCACAAAAGTGTTTCCATATTTAGACTAAATAATGGCTATTTACGTCATTTGAACCAGATTAGACTTAATGTTCCACGTGTGATGTTGCTTACAAAACATACCTTATCGAACAGGCCTGCTCTGATCTGTTTACAATGCAGCAGAACAATACTCACGGCAGCTGACGCATACTCTTGTAAGCTCATATTCATTTTTTCCAGGATCCCGTTCAGAGAATTTTGTGTTTCTCAGAAATGTGTCTTCTTGAAAGAGATCCAGCAACGTACAATATTGTCACGCTGCATCCTCTAAGCTCAGTAAGCCTACTTCATCACCTGAGGAACTAACCTTAGTAGTTTTTATCCTTTATATTTCGTCATTGCTTCCAGGTCTTCTCCATCGTTCGCTATCGCGACCATCCTCAATTATTTGGTTTGGAGTACATCAGCGGGCAGTTAAGGCGATACTCTTCGCCCGACAGGTTCGTCTTCATTGAAACCCGTCATGCATTCACAGTACGTGAATCTTGATCGCGTGTTTGTGTATGTGTTTAGAGACACGTTATTGGCTGGTTTGTTAGATGGTGTTCGCGCAAGTGGTAACAGAGATGTTTGTGTCAAGACAACGCCCACGAAAAGAGGTGCGTCATGTGCTGATCGTGCTTTGACTCCAGGGGAGGGTATGAAGGTGTGATATAGCTACCTCTGATTACAGAAAATCTGTACTGCCAGCAATTTTTCTGACAAATTTGTGTCACCATTTATTTTTGAAAAAAAACATTGCACAGGATGCGTAAAAATTGTACAAACTTTGCTGGCTTTATTGCTCTTGCCTGTTACGTAAATAACAGGTCACTGATTTCATAAAAAAATATTACTAATAACATCGTGATGTGTTCAAAATTTAACCCTTAGAAAAACCTTTCTGTGTCATCATGAGAAATCGTTGATGACGCATATATTTAGATAATGGCCGACGTTGTCTATTTTGTTGAATCGTTTTTCACTTTCAGGCTATCGTTGGGGACCGTTGTATAAGGCTGTTGACGAGGAAGTTGAAAGTAGTCATTTGAAATTTCTTGCTTCACCCCCCGGTAAGATGTCTTCATCTGTATTCCCCCCTGCCTTACATTGTGCTTTACCTTTTTCTTTGCACCCTGGGTCTCTGCTACACAGATACAACACAAAGTATAAAATTTCCGTTGTCATGTTTTCTTCAGGTAAATTTTCGGAGACAGTGTACAGATTCAACTGCAATATATCGTACAGCGGTCTTTTACATGCGGTTACTCAGGACGTAAGTAACGTTACTCTGTAAATTTATCATTCAATTTAAAGACTGGCACCTTTCTTTTTTATCCATGAACAATGCTATCTTGGCAGGGTTTGTTCTCTGAAAACAAAGAAAGGTTAATAACTAACGCCATCACCATGTTAATCGCTCATGAAGGTATTTATGCTAAAATCATCATGTTAGATAAAGGCATCGGGAAGAAATTTATTTTTTACTAATTGATGGATCATTTGTAGTCGGTCGCACAATCTTCACATAATGATATTTATCAACATTTAGCCTGGTAATATGATGTACTTTTTACATGAAGCAGTTCTTGACTCACCCGACCTAGTTTTTCATTCAAAATGAGAAACGGAAAATCCACGATGTTTGACGTGTTAGCTACGTGAAAATTGCGACATTTATTTGCCAGGTGACCAAAGTAAGATTTCTGATAAAGACCTTGAATCTCAGTTCCATGCGCTTCGACGTTTAGTGGCATCAAAGGCAGGATTCCGTGCTTTTACAACGCTTCCTGGGTAAGCAAACCTACCTTTTCCGTGAATATGAGCCCCTATGTCTTTACTGAAATGAATATCTTCGATCGTTTTGTCTAAGATTCCGTGAAAAAGTTGGGTTGAAGACAGTGAAAGCTTTGAAAAGAAAAAACGAAGCCGTCACACATTCAGCCGTTGACATGTTGTGTGCTCTAATGCAGGTACGTAATCAATATGGTCGTTGTCGTTTGTTGTTATGAGTTGTCGCATGATCATAAATGGTCTCTGACGTCACGAGTTGTCACATGAATCATTAATGGTTATCGTATGTAATGATTTTATCAACAGCCTGTGGTTGTAACTATGACATCACACTAATGATTGTCATCTGTAATGACCTTTCTCAACAGCCAATACATGATTACTATGACATCACGACATATGACGTTAATCATTAATGATTGCCGTGTAACGATCTTTCTCAACAGCCAATGCATGATAACTATGACATCACGACATATGACGTTAATCATTAATGATTGCCGTGTAACGATCTTTCTCAACAGCCAATACATGATTACTATGACATCACGACATATGACGTTAATCATTAATGATTGCCGTGTAACGATCTTTCTCAACAGCCAATACATGATTACTATGACATCACGACATATGACGTTAATCATTAATGATTGCCGTGTAACGATCTTTCTCAACAGCCAATGCATGATAACTATGACATCACGAAATGTGACGTTAAGCATTAATGATTGCCGTTTAACGATCTTTCTCAACAGCCAATGCATGATAACTATGACATCACGAAATGTGACGTTAATCATTAACGATTGCCGTGTAGCGATCTTTCTCAACAGCCAATGCATGATAACTATGACATCACGACATGTGACGTTAATCATTAATGATTGCCGTGTAACGATCTTTCTCAACAGCCAATGCATGATAACTATGACATCACGAAATGTGACGTTAATCATTAACGATTGCCGTGTTACGATCTTTCTCAACAGCCAATGCATGATAACTATGACATCACGAAATGTGACGTTAATCATTAACGATTGCCGTGTTACGATCTTTCTCAACAGCCATTACATGATAACTATGACATCAAGAAATGTGACGTTAATCATTAACGATTGCCGTGTTACGATCTTTCTCAACAGCCAATGCATGATAACTATGACATCACGAAATGTGACGTTAATCATTAACGATTGCCGTGTTACGATCTTTCTCAACAGCCAATGCATGATAACTATGACATCAGACAAGAGCAGTTGAACAAGACGTCCCTGTTATCTTCAGAGAAGTTCCTGGATAATCTTTTGGACATCCTCACAACTAATGTTGTGAGTATTTTTGTTTTCTCGTTATATGTGCTCATTTTTAAGGTTTCACCGGAGCATTTGAACATACTAAATGTTGTTTTTTCTCCAGAGCCGTTCCACCGGTGCTCTTGTGATAAGTGGTCTCCTTGATTTTCTCACGTTTGCTCTTTGCCCGCCCTACAGTGAGACGACAAATGATGAACAGTTTGCACTCTTACTTGAGAAAGTTGCAGGTCGCCATTCTTAGAAAAACTGTTATTTTTTCACACTTATTATTTTTAACTGCAGAGAAAATGACGAACAGTTTGCACTCTTACTTGAGAAAGTTGCAGATCGCCATTCTTAGAAAAACTGTTATTTTTCACACTTATTATCTTTAGCTGCAGAGAAACGCGGAGGTTTGGCTCTTGTGGAGCAGGCGTAGATATTTTACCTTAATGTTTGAACGTATTACCTTTAAAGGCGCATGCTTAAAGATTAGGAAATTTACCCATCCAAATTACAATTTATGTTCCAAAAAAAGCTCTCTTCAGTGCACTTTCCAAGAACATGACTGCTTTCTGAATTTTTCACCTCAAGCAGCCTGTTCTCTGTATAACTCTTGATTTTACTGTTTGGTTTCTACTTTTCATTTATCATTTCTGTAGGTATGGGTCGCAATATTTACAGACTCTTTCAGGTACATCTTATTTTTTTCTGGTCGCTTGGTTTTTCACGTCTATACTTAAGAACATATATTTGTCCTGCATTTATCCTGTACCATCCATCTACGACCATTTTCACGTCTATACTTAAGAACATACATTTGTCCTGCATTTATCCTGTAGTATCCATCTACGACCATTTTCACGTCTATGCTTAAGAACATACATTTATCCTGCATTTATCCTGTAGCATCCATCTACGACCATTGTAAAAGGTGCTGGTATGGTATTGAAAGCCATTATTGAGGTGAGCATGTCAAAGTAGTTTCTTTGCTTTGTTCATCTCTTACTTTGACTCTCAGTACGATCTTCCTTCCCTTTTGCGTCTCGATTTCTTGTTTGTATAGGAAGGAGACGAAGAGACAGCCGCAAAAATGCAAGATCTCGCTCTTGCTGAAGGTGCTTTGCCCAGACATTTACACATGGCTATGTTTACGCAAAGTTCAGACAGACGCTTACTCATGAACAGGTGAGAACCAACTTACTAAGGTGCTCGACATCTTTGAAAGTGTCTTTATGCTTCTTGCGAGGTTCACCCTGGAGCCTGGTAACAAGGCTTTGATGTGGCGTTGTACCTCGGCATTAGTCGAATTAAAAGACGACCAAAATATTGCCAGGTTTTCAATACAAAATGCTTTATTTTCTAGACAATTAAGTCGACATTTAGTTGGACTGTGGACAACTGGACATCCCACTGCAATGGCCTTACTTAAAAGAATTTTGGTACGTGTGTCACGCAAATGACATCACGCGATAAAATAATTGATGATGTCATTTTATATTTCAGCCTGCTGGTTTGCTGTATTATCTCGAAAGCACCGAGGAGGTTAGATAGATATTCGTGATTCAACGGTCGTTGACTTTTTTATAATTTCAACTACTTTCGCAGCCTCCCGAGACCGAAGAAGATCGCCTAGCCATTCGAGATAATATCAAGCTCGCTGAAGTGAGACGCTCGCACCTATAGATTTTTAATGTTTTCAAAAACAGGAAATGTTCCAATATACTTCACTTTAACTTTTCATAGAATTCTGATAAATCTAAGAATTCACTACGTCATCAACTGGAGGGATATCTCTCTCATTGGAGGACGAAAATTGGCTTCAAATCAAAGAAAGAGGTTGCCACTGTTCTTGCTGCTTTAATGTATATGTAGAGCGTTCTTGTGTTGAATCTTTGATCGTTAATGGTTTGCGGGCAATTTTTGAGTATTTCTATTTTAATCGTGTAGACAAATCAAAAGCCCGTCGTTTTGCGAAACAGAAAACAGAATATTAAAAGTGAACAGAACTGGGACCTATTTTATTACAAGTAAATGTGATCAATACATGTGGATTTGATCTGTGAAGATCTTAGGAACCATTTATCATATGATTCAGGTTTAATCAAGATCTTACGGCATACAATCTTATCTGGAACTACAAGGTACTGCAAGCTGCAATATATATATATATATATATATATATATATATATATATATATGATAGCCATTATTGTTTATACACTTTTATATATATATATATATATATATATATATAAGATATATATATAATAAAATTAAATTTCTTATATTGCCTGATTATTTTCAAACTTATATATATATATATGTTTGATTTTCAGCATTGAATATATTATTTATTTAATGAGAGCTTTCGATCGAGCTTCATCAGAATGAAAATATTTATTTAATTTAGAAAACGTCTAAAGCACGTATATATTTTCATTCTGGATTACAAATTTTCAAACTTATATATATATATATATATATATATGCATAAGTTTGCGACTTTTGATTTACATTTCGTGGTAGACACGTGAAGAGTTGCGCGGAGCCCTCGAATCTGAGATGCGCGCCTTTTCTATGGATAAAGATCTGAGTGGGAGCTATGTCGTTTCCTGGAATCATCTCGAGTTTGAAGTTTTATATGAATGCTTGTCGGATGAACTCAAAATTGGTTCGTTCATTTTTTCACATGTACATCGCTTTTCTTCATTCATTACATTATGATTCATTTTTGTTTTAAAGGTGATTACTACCTACGTGTTTTGCTTGAACAGAATGAAGTTGAAACGCCAATAACGAATGCGTAAGTTATTTTTCTAACAGACATTCAACACGTCGTCTGGGAACTCGACTCGTACGAACATGCGTCGGTTGTGTGGTAGGGTTAGCTATTTGTCATACACCACGAGAATGCAGAATGTCTGTTTCCTTGTACAGACATGCGCTAGTCACTCTTTCATTGCATTTCAGCGTGCTTTCATCATCGAGTAAATCTTGAATTTCCCATATCTTTCAACCATTTAGTTTACTTCTGTCTAATAGGACGATATGAATAAATGATCTTCTTAGTAAATCGTTATATATATGTTAGATCTTAATCAGAACTTTTACATACAATAATATGCTTCAATATTAACGTTGTTGTTGATTTCCTTTTAGTCTCGAGTTCTTCAATGATCTCTACCACAGATTCCTATTGACGACCAAACCAAACATGAAAGCCATGTGTCTTCAGGTTACATCTTTTCTCCACAATCTCACTACGCTTTGAAATTATTACATGATTAATTCACCTTTTGAATTTCAGGCAATGACGAAAGTGTATGGCAAATGTAATGAAGAAATTGGTGCATTTAATGATACTAAGTATATTGTAGGAATGTTAGATAGGGTATGTCACATTTCATTATCCACAATCATCCTAAATATTACCTGGTCTCCTGTAAAATTATCTCTACTTGTTTTTGTTGCTCACAGACCTCAGATAAACTGGAGCGTGATCATCTCTTATTCTTTCTAAACGAGCTTACGAAACATCAGGTTTTCTTCTTTTCATGACGAATCTTACTTATCATTCGTCAATGTTTATGTTATTCAAATTTTTATGTTTTTAGCGCAATGTGAAAGCTTTGTTAGACGTGAACGCGATCAAAGGATTAGTTGAAATGACGACGTTGTGTCATCTTCATACATCTCGAGCTACTGTCCCTTTGCAGGTAAAGTTTTTCGTGTGGTCGATATGCTTTTAATGAATGCAGCGATAGAAATGCTTTTTCATGAGATTAAACAATAAATATTCTGTGAAACAAGAGACCTACTTGAATAAAATTTCATCTTCCACCGAGTGAAAATAGTTTTCTTGTTACAATCAAAACATAGATGTAAACCATTAACATTTATGCTATTTTACCGTTGTCTTTGATTATATTGACGTAATGAATGTTATTCAAGAGTAATCTGTTGGAAGCCGCTCCAGATAGCAGTCAAGGAGGTGAAAAAGAATGGTACTATGGCAATAAAGAAAGAGAAAGACTTGGTCCATTCAGTTTTGATGAGGTTGGAACTTTAATACTTTTGGATATTGATTAAGCCTTACATTATGAAAAGCTTCGTGTCGTTTTCCATTGCTAGATGAAAGATTTCTGGAAGGACGAGGTGATAAATGGAAGCACGCGTTGTTGGTGTCAAGGAATGGATGGATGGCGACCATTACAACATATTCCTCAATTAAAATGGTTTCTTCTTGCTACTGGTTTACCTCTCATGAATGAAACAGATATGACTGTTCTAATACTTAATATGTTAATACGGATATGCTCCTATTATCCCAATAGGTATGTATACATTCCTAATTGTACTACTCGAAATGGAACGATAACACTCAGCCATCTTCAAAGCAATGTTATTTGGCGAATGAAAAACAAGTTCGACGAAAATAGAACTGGAGAAACATTTGCAAACTATTATTATTCTCACTTCCCACCCTAGGCAAACTTCCTCAAGACGCATACCACATGTAGTATTGCTCCCCTCCTACAGTTACATAAATTAGAGGTCAGAAGAATATAACCATTTTAGAACTACGTAAGACCTAAAAAAATAAGAAACATTATATTAGTCAGATTGATCATTGAAAGGTTAATGTTTTGCTTCATGTTGTTATTTTCAAACTCGTAAAATGCGACAACGTTTTTTTGAGTATTTAGAACTAAACCGGACTTTAACATTTAGGGTCGTAACTTTGTCTCCTTATACAGATGTTCAGTTTGTTCCCGTGAAACGTTTTCATCACCGCTTATATTCTTTTTTGAGTTCTAGAAGTTAGCGTTGCAGTCTTTACAGAGTTTACCGGAGTATTTTTGTAACAATTTCGAAAATTTTTTGCAGAGATTTTGATGGTGCTATTGTACGTCCTCTACCTCGCGCCAAAGGATATTGTCAGAAGCAACTTGTCTCCCTCACATTGTCCAGGTTGTTTAAGCACGCGAATGCTCTTGAGATTTTTTTGAAAATATTCAATCAATCGTCTACTTCTTATATCTAGTTGCTGCTCACTTTTGACCCAATCATCGTGGAGAAAGTTTCTGTGCTGCTCAACGATATTCTCCTAGTGTGTTACTCACTCCTTTTTTCTTGTCTTATCTTGACGTTGTTATCTGCTTTGTTGAATCTTGCTTCGTGTTTTTTCGTTAGGATAATCCTGTGATCCCAAGATTGTATTTAACTGGAGTGTTTTTCTTCATAATGATGTATACTGGCTCTAATCTTTTACCCATAGGAAGGTCAGTAACCATTGTCGTTTTTCTCCGTGATTAAAACTACCTCTTCAATTCATGACTTTGTGATTAGATTTCTCGCCGAAACTCACATGAAACAATCGTTTCGCTCCGATCAGGTATTCACTTTAAAAGCAGTCGATGTTAAATAAGCGAGCAATTTTACTGAACAAAAGTTTTCTGTGATATACCTAGAAGCAAGGTGGTGAGATATCTCAGAGGAGTATACTCGGGGTTTTGCTGCCTGAAGCGATGATTTGTTACTTAGAAAATCACGGTATGCTTGAGAGGATCTTACTTCGTGCAACATTCTGGATTGAATCAAACCGCTTATCATCTTCTTAGGTTGTGATAAATTTTCTTGCATTTTCTTGGGGGAATTTGACACTCCCGAGGCGATATGGAGCAATGAAATGAGGTGGGAATGTTGACAAATGTTATAGACCAGTTTTGGATTTGCTGCAAGTCTTTAATACAAGACTATAGTACAAGTGTTCAATACAATTTTTAGTGCAAGTCTTCAATACAGTCCTCAATACAATCTTCAATACAAGTATAAATACAAGTCTTTAGTACAAGTCTTTAGTACAAGTCTTCAATACAGTGCTCAATACAATCTTCAATACAAGTATAAATACAAGTCTTTAGTACTAGTCTTTAGTACAAGTCTTCAATACAGTGCTCAATACAATCTTTAGTACAAGTCTTTACTACAAGTCTTCAATACAAGTATTTAATGCTTTATACTTTTGGAAGCACGTTAGGTCTGTTTGAAAAAAGTCATTAGTATGCACAATTTCAATTTCTCTTTATTGCTTTGCACTCAAAAATATTATGTCATCACTTTGATGACTTTGTAGTTTTTTTTTATATGTTTTAAAAGACGATTATTGTTGTTTTTTAGACGTTTCATGATAAGCAAGATTGCGTCGCATCTTGTTGATTTCTCGCCTCGGCTTCGCAGTAATACTAAAGCACTGTATCAGGTCTGTATCTTAGTTGTTAAATTAATCTCACTTGCATCTTCTATAGCATTTCCATTTGCATTTTAAGCACATTTCCTTTTTCATTTCATTCACACATCTTTCCTTTTGTAGTATTGTCCTATACCGGCAATATCGTATCCTCAGCTTGAGAGCGAACTCTTCTGTAATATATATTATTTACGTCATCTGTGTGACACTCAGCGCTTTCCCGATTGGCCAATCAAAGAGCCGGTTAGTAGTTTGTAGACTGTGGAACTCCGAGAAATGTTATCATTTCTGTCGCTTTCGTTATCTAGGTGAAGTTTCTCAAGGATTTACTGGAAGCGTGGAAAACTGAAGTGGAAAAGAAGCCGCCTGATTTATCTGTCGACCAAGCTTTAAAAATTCTCAATTTGAAGAAAAAACCTGAAGAGTTAGAAATACGTCATTATGAATTGCATTAGATCAAACCCTCACTAAATGAAGTCCTTATTTTATTTTCATTATGACACTTAGGTACGACGAGGCAAAGATAAGGAAAGCTTACTTTAGGATGGCCCAGAAATATCATCCAGACAAAAACCCTGAAGGACGGGTATAGTTTCTTAATAGGTCTTGCAATCACTTTCCATCCTATTTTGTACAAATTACAAGGTATGTGTACATTTAAGGACATCTTTGAACAAGTCAGCAAAGCCTACGACTTCTTGTGTTCGCGGTCGTCAAGGAAGATCCTAGGACCAGATCCCAGAAATATAATTCTCATTCTTCGGGCTCAATCTATTCTCTTCAGTCGCTGTAAAGATGGTTAGGAACTGCAACTTAAAATTTGCGTGAAGCTAGTTTAATGGCTTTTCTTAAATGCATTCATCTTGTGCTTTCGTAGTATTGCAACCGTATAAATACTCCGGTTATCCAATGTTGATCAAAACAATTCAAATGGAGATCGAGGATCCTAAAGCTTTCAGTAAAGAAGCAGCATTACTTCCTTCAGCTTGTGAGTTGTGTTATCACACAGTAAACACGTCTGCTTTGAATGCTGAGGAATTGAGGCGAGAGAATGGGATCGAGGTAAGCGATAAAATCTTAGCAGTGATCCTTTCTGTATTTTGTGTGTCGTATTCATCTCTGTGTTGGCGACACCTTAACGGTAATCTATATGATTTTACAAAGTTATCAATCTTTTTGATGTCATTCTTGAAACGTGTATGAAGTGTCGGCATGGATAAAGAATTTCGCTTCAAATATAATAAACAGAAAATTCTTGTCAAATTTTTCGTTAGTAACATTGAAAACTTCCGTTTGCACATTTCTTGTAAATTTCTTTTATGGTATTGTTTAGGTAGCGCAATAACCATTTCAATGTAATGCGACGTAATGTTTTACCTTTGCTTTCAATTTACTCAATATTTTGGGAAAAAAGTTTCCTAGAAATGGGGCAGCCGCCCTGCTCAACATATCGCAGTCCGGGGGCAGTTGCGCGAAGCCTGGATAGCGTTATCCATTGGATAGCACAAATTTTCAAATTTATAAAAAAGGTGTTTGTATTTGTCTAAAGACAAAGAAATTTCGTAATCTTCGAAACAATATTTTATTTTAATTTCAGTGATTGCTCAGTTCGAATCTTATATTTTTGCTGTTTTAAAAGATTTTATAAAGGTTTCAAAAACATTTGCTGTCAATGGATAACGCTATCCAGGCCTCATGCAACCGGCCCCAGATGAATAGCTCAACTCCCCAAACGATGTCAAGTTCGATCGTAATTTTTCAGATTCTCCAGTCCGCCCTGTCTCGAGCCATTGATCTCATTGGGAAATCAAGTAAACCTGGTGAAGTACCTGTTCTTGTGAGTCATTGACCGTGAATCTTAATGCTTACTGCTATCCATAGCTGTACATGCTATCTTTTATATCTTTTATATCTTAATGCTTACTGCTATCCATAGCTGTACATGCTATCTTTTATATCTATCTCCCCAGGTTTGTGGTCACATTGTTCATTGTTACGCTGTTGCCTCTCAGTTTGAAAAATGTCGAGAAAAGATCGCTGAAATGCAGATTATAGTGCAAGAACTGTGCAGATTGTTGTACTATAAGGTGATTCTTTTCGATGGCTAGCATGCGTTAAAAACATGCAAGCTATTGCAAGTCATGGAAAGTTATTCTTTTTGAATAGTTTGAAGAATGCCATTCGTTGTTTAGACAAAATATACGGGACATAAAATAACTTTTGCGAAAATTGATAAAACAGATGTAGCATATTTATATTTCATAACTATATGACACGTTTATTTAGATATGCATCTCGAAATCTCTTTTCAATGGGCGTGCCGTCCAAACTTGTCACGATGTAGAGCCTTACTTGCGTGTTTGTGTTACATTTAATTTTCAATTTTCAGAATCTCCCCGGTTTGTGTATTTTGAGCACCGATTGTGTCAGCAGTTTCTCCGTGGATTACTGGTTGCAAACACATTTACTGCAGGTGGGCGTTTATTTCGACGAAAACAGCTACTGAGCTACGTTTTTCTCATCATTTGTACTTCCACTTAGGCCGGTGTTTTGTGGCATCTCTTGTTGTTCATGTTTAATTACGATTATACTCTGGAAGAAGGAGGGGTCGAGTCTTCGTCGGATACCAATCAACAGGTTACTTCACTGTCACTGACACTCTTATTGAGCGCAAAGCATTCTGGATATTCAGAATGTGGGAAATTCATTCTCTGAAATCACGTGTTTTTCACCATTTCCCTTAGGAAATAGCAAATGAATTAGCAAGAAAATCGGTGCGTGCTTTATCACGACTTGGAGGATACATTCGTAAGTATTCGCTTGATTTTTTACGTCTGCATTGTGACATTGGAACTGATGACGTCATTTTAACTGATGACATCATTGATGATGTAACAATTGTAGAAGGTGAAGAGACGACTCCAGAAAACCCGGCGATTAAGAAGTCGTTGGATGCCATGCTGACCCCGTATCTTGCACGAAAACTTCACAATTCTTCACCGCAAGAGGTGATAAGTTTTTCAGCAAAACTCATTTCAACATGTTTGATCCTGGTGTGCGATTCTATCTCCTTGTAGTTACTCAAGCTGTTAAACAGCAACGCAGAGAACCCAAATCTGATTTGGGACAATGGAACACGGGCGAGATAATGAAATTTCTTGAGGAAGAACAGGAAAGAAAAATTACGACGGTAAGCATGTACATGTGCCACTAACCTTTATATATAATTAATCTGGATGTATCATCTTATGTAAACTTCCTATTTTCTATGCGAAAGTTTTTTGATCATGAACATGATGCCTTCATGCCATGTATAGCACACGTGTCACTGAGTTGTATATATCATTGATCTGGACGTAGCATCTTATGAAAATTACTCTATTTTCTTAGCGCGCGGCTTGTTATTATAGACATGCAGCTGCCATACTATATTTGGCGAATGAAAAGTTTAGCTAGAGCGTCCATTAACTTGCAATTTTTCCTTTGAGTCCCAGATAAAATACTCAGGCTTATTGATTCAGAAATTAGTACTATCGTTCTAGCTACTATTTGCGCACTATTTTGTTATTTGACCGCTGGCTCCAACCATTTTGTCGCATTCCTCAATCTTTAACAAAGCCAAAAAGTCCTACATATTTTCCATAACAATTTCCAGGCATCTATAGATATCCGAGTATTTGATATAAAGATAAGTGACATCGTGTAGGAAGTTCATTAAGAAATGTTTCATGTGTGTAGATATTGTAGATTTTCCAGGTTAGTTTCAAGTTTTGACTCTGAAGATGACTTCTGCTAAGGTTGTTGAAACATTAGTCAGCGCCAACAGTTTTTCTCACAGCTCTACTAACTGGGACGATCTATATGGAGAAACATGCAACGATACTACCTGATTCAAACAACGATACTACCTGATTCAAACAACGATACTACCTGATTCAAACAACGATACTACCTGATTCAAACAACGATACTACCTGATTCAAACAACGATACTACCTGATTCAAACAACGATACTACCTGATTCAAACAACGATACTATCTGATTCAAACAACGATACTACCTGATTCAAACAACGATACTACCTGATTCAAACAACGATACTACCTGATTCAAACAACGATACTACCTGATTCAAACCATTCACTTTATTAAGAAATGATTTGTTGACATTTGTTGCCTTCGTGGATTTAGGGCGAGTGTGATCCATCCTTTGGAGCTGAATTCATCTATAATGTGTACGAAAAAGAGTTAATCATTGGCGAGATCTTTGTCCGTGTGTACAACGAGCAGCCAGCTTTTCCATTAGAGGTAAACGCGATTTCGATCAACTCTGAAAACACATTGACAAACATCAGTGATGTTATTTTTTTTCATTTCTTTCAGAATCCGAAGAAATTTGCGTTAGATTTGTTGAATTTCATTGGCAACCAAGCGCAGGTATTTTTGATTGGTGTCTCAACAACAGAAGGACTTTTATTTATCCCACTCAATCTTTTCTTTTACAGTATCTCCATTCCTTGCTACAACTTCAGGCCTCGCAAACAGGCTCGTCCACGGAGCCTGGTGGACAGAATGAGCGATTCGAGCACGTTGCCATGGCGTTGGAAGCGTTGAGGAATATCATAAAGGCCTCGCCAGGTTCTTGATTTTATGAAATGGTTCGACCGAATAAGATGATTTTGCTCTTATTATTATACTTATGTTTATTGAAGGTGTCGAAGAAAAATGCATTGGTCAATTCAAACTGATATTTTCTTTACTGCGTATGTCTGAAGCAACCAAATTGCAGAAACTTGCTTTAGAAGTGAGTCTGTTGTTACACTTCATTTGTGTTACATTTCTGTACATTTTACTCGTCCACATTGCGTCTATATAATTTTCTTTGTAGGTGATCAGTAATGTCACTGGTAACAAGAATTGTGTTGCGGATATCGCAGATTCTAATGTTATCTCGTATCTATTACTGACTTTGTACACTCTCTCGAACTGTAAGTCCTGTAGACATCTGTTTTATCGTTTATCAATACAACTCTATCATTGCATACGTTGCTGTATCCTGTACATTGTATCCATTCTATATATGTAAACCATACGTCCTGTTCCCAAATACAGGAGTTGCCATAGCACTTTGCTGTGATTGGTGAATTGCATTGTATGCTATTTAAGACTGTACGCAACTTTATGCTATGTCGTCGTATTCTTCCGTACTCTTTACTATACTACTCTCGCATGCTTCATTCAGGTCGCCCACTTGTCACTGAGACGTTGCATGCTTTATGTTCCAATACAAAGATTGTTAAAGAAGCCCACAATAAAGGTATGTTCATAAGTATTGTGACAGCGTGGTCTTTACCCGCGAGTATTTGCCCCGGTCTCTTCATTCGGAGGTTTTTAACCGAAGGTGTTAACCCCTCCTTGAGAGGGTTTGTGAGGTAGGTGCGTGCCTCCACTCTCCAAAAACATAACCTTGTATTGTCCTCAAATTCTCATTTGTTCCTTACTAATGGCGACGTCTTCCTAGGAGCTTTGGTCTATCTCCTTGATCTCTTTTGCAATTCAAGCAATCCTGAGGTTCGTAGCAAAGCAGCGGATCTTTTTAACAAAATGATGGCAGATAAACTAGTTGGTCCAAAAGTGAAAATCACTCTTGCCAAGTTCCTTCCTACGATATTCATGGACGCCATGAGAGAGAATCCAGAAGTCAGTGTTCACATGTTTGAAGGTTTGCTTTGCTCCTTATTTCTCTCGTTTTCTTATTAAGTACGTCGGGCAGTTGATCTTTAACCGCTAAATCACACCTTAGGCATGCACGAGAATCCTGAGCTCATTTGGAACGATGAGTCACGCGAGAAAGTTTGTGATATCATTAAAAAACAGAGAGATGAGTAAGAATTGTATGAAACACGACTAACTGTGTAATACGTTTTATTGAAAATTTTTTCTTCTTTTTGTAGGTTTTATAAAAGGCAGAAGGACGATCCTGAGGCGTCGTGGAAGGTAAAACTTTTTGAAAACAACTCTCTTGGCAACATGTATCCCATGCAAAATTGATCATTTCTTTTTCAGCTTCCGGGCGATTTTGAAGTTGTTTACTCGAACGTCGAAGGAGAGTTGGTTGTTGCTGGCGTGTATTTGAATTTATTCGTCGCGCAACCACATTGGGTTAGTAACTGGCCACTTGAAACAACTTTAGTATTTTTTGTAGAAACAATTCTTGAATAAGATATATTTTCAAAAGGTGTTGAGAAAACCGAAGGAGTTTCTATTGGAGCTTATGAACAAATATACTGCGTTGCTACGCTCATCGTCGCCTGATGTAAGTTTTTATCTTTCATTGTACTTGTTTGAACGTTGCTGTTAATTAATCTGTTATTTCAGGGCCAACTACTAGAAACATTCACCCAAGCCGTTGTTTCCATATTCACAGCTCAACCTGCTTTAGCCGATCAAGTAAGAGCATGAAGATGTTTTTCCGCGCTTTGAATTCATCCGTGAAATGAGTTTTGCTTGTTTTTAAGATGCCAAGTCTCGGTCATCTTCCCGTCATTTTCAAAAGCATGAAATCGACAAACGACGCCATTCCTCGTTCCGCAATACAAGTTATCCATATCGTCTCTAGCAACGAGGCAAGTCTCGCAGAAGTTTTTTTGTATTTCTTTTTTTACTTCAATTTTTTATATTTTTCCTTTTCTTGTAGTTCTGTGTCCGCAGTCTTTCTGATGGTGATGTCATTAGACCAATGATAGCTGCAATGGATGCCAGGCCAGATGTCATCGTGCTTGCCTGCGAAGCTCTACATCAAATCTTCGACAAGAACCAAAGTGCCTTGGTGAAGCAAGCAATCGACGCTGAACTCGTGCAATACTTGCTGAAGCTATTAGATACAGACTTAAGAGCTGCATATAAAATCGAGAACGCCTCGGCATCCAAAGCTCAGATCGTAAAAGCTTTGAAAGCGATGTCACGTGATTTTATACATGGAGAAAAGGTAGCGTTGACTCAAACATCCGAGGGTTTGAGTAATAATGATGACAAATTCACGTATGAATAAGCAGGGATGGATCCAGTATGATTTTGCAAAGGGGGCTCTAATTTGTATTACTTTCTGGTGGCTTGTTTTATGAATGGTGCCGTGCCATGTCAGACTGTTTTATGCCGTTATTGAGTAATTAAATATTGGCTCTGGTAAAAACAAATCTCAATTGTTTTTGCTTAATCTTTTCATACATCGATGTTACGTAGGAAAGTTTTGTCCCCCCTTCCCATGCATCTTCTCTAGCCAATACGCACCCCCGGCAAATCCATCCCTGTAAACCAGAGAAAAGTGAAAATTGTTATTGATTATATGGCGTACATGATTTTTGCTTGTGAGGTTTCCTAAATATTAACGATGACGTCTTGATCTATGTTACAGGTGTTGGAAATACTGGACAAATCCGAAGTCTGGGCTTCATACAAGGATCAGAAACACGACCTGTTTATTTCGGACCGTAATGTTGCAGGTTACCTTACTGGGCCTATGGGTGTTGCGGGCTATCTAACCCAAGGCTCTGCTAATGCTAATTCAATTCCTAGCAAACCTCCACCAATTGAGAACATATTGACAGATGATTGATTAATCAATATCCAGAATCAGCCATCAGTACGAATTTCGATTTCCAATGTGTTAATGAAAATTTTTCTTAGGAGCGAATATTTGCAATTTTTGTACTGTAGTGTGCGCCAAAGACATTATATTTTAATTCGAAAGTCGGACTAGCTACGACTTACGAAAAGATAACTTTGAATTACAGACAATTTTGATTTTTTGGTAAAATTTTTCTCTAGTGGTTGTTTAGGTGAAAACAAGACTTTTGTCTGGTAATCATTGATCACTTAGGAATATTTCAAATGAATTTTCATATTTTCAAAATGAAATCATGCAAAAGATTAGACAAATGTTGGTTGAGTTTAACATTTGAATTTTCGTAACAGATGCACGTGGTACAAGTGAAGCATGTATGCGTTTCGTTTTCGTTGTAATTTATTGTTGTATTTTTAGTGATTTGTGTACATTCTGCACGTCATGTATGTTTCGTTTTGTTTTTTGTTGTAATTTATTGCAGTTGTATTTTTAGACGGTAAATTTGCGCTGTACATTCTTCCAACACAATTGAGTCATGTATGTTTCGTTTTGTTTCTTTGTTGTGATTTATTGCAGTTGTATTTTTAGACCGTAAATTTGCGCTGTACATTCTTCCAACACAATTGAGTCATGTATGTTTCGTTTTGTTTCTTTGTTGTGATTTATTGCAGTTGTATTTTTAGACGGTAAATTTGCGCTGTACATTCTTCCAACACAATTGAGGTTATATTTAGATCTTCATTTGCCTTACCTAAGCCATATAATTGAATTCACAACAGCCATTTGTTCGCGTTAAACGACGTGAATTGCTCAACCGTCACAAAATGTTTCACGTAAAAATTACAGTACCCGAAGTATTTGCATAAATTGTTTTGGATCATGTTAGTCCTACCCACGTACTCCGAAAATTAATATGATTTAAAAACTTTCTTCTTGAACCAGCAGCGTTTAAAGAATTTTTCTACTAAGAAGAAAAAGAAAGAGAAGAGCCCATCCACGGCTCTTTTCAAATCTTCTTCAATCTTTTGGATGAATGATATTTTGTTTATGTTTCTTTGTGTTGTATTAATCGCTCGTAATTCATGGCATAAAACTCGACAAATGACTGACTGTAATCGCTGTTTATGTCTCGTTAATGACTTGTTTCTTACAAAATTTACCATAACTAATATCGTTGTCGATCGTCTGCGAACTTACCCTCGATTTTCCTTTCAAAACTTTAAACGTAAACACAAAAATTCGTTATGTTAGATATTTCGACTGTACAGTCAGAGTTGTGAATATGCGTTTAAGAGAACACTGGTCCATATTACATTTGGTTTGATTTGTTTGTAATATTCATAAGAAATGCAAGGAACTGACCAATTTGAAGTACTGACAGTAAGTGTCGAAACACCGATGAATTTTATTGTCCTATTCGTATTTCTTACGATCATGTGTTCTCTTGTAGTTTCTTGGTGCTTGGGAAGGCAAGAAGTTCTTCGAGGTGCGATGTAAGAGATCTCTGGAGTTATTTACGATGGAAGTCATTTCAAAGGATTCCTTGGACAATAAGACATCTGGATTGCGTAATGTTGCAGAACATGTGGAAAACCGAGGTTTCTTCTTCATCATGCGTTTGCGATACGTGTTTGAAACATGCGAGAAGAGGCATTATATCCTTGATCATGCTGGTGACATATTACTAAAGGATCTTGTTAACGATGGTCTGCCGGAGCATACGGTATGATTGATTTTGGTATTGATTTTGATATTCCTGCATTGGACCTGGAGGAAAAAAAGACCTCTAAAAAATCCTAACTGGACGAAAGAGGTTTCTTCAGAAATGTGGGTCTGACGTACATGGGATTTGTCTGATAGCTAACTTTGCCCTTGTACCTGAGCACAGGATAAAATGGACAATGAGGGACACGATGATGATATAGTTGGTAACCTATACTGGTGTTTTTTTTTTGTCTTTAGGTGATATGTATTGCTGCCGAGCTATCTCTTGCTTTGATGATGCTACACGAGCTTGGCGTAAGCTACAATGAATTAGATCTTGATCATGTGATGGTAGACAGCAGCGGTCACGTGATATTATGGCGAGAGTTCGAAAACAAAGAGTACTGGTCTATCAGTGAATGTATATGTGGTGGGCTGGCAGTAAGATGCGGGAAGACTGGTCATCAGGTGAAGAGACGTGGTTCGAATTCGGGACAGTTGAAGCGTGATGAAATCTTGCAGAAATATGACTGGAAGAGTTTGGGCTCGCTTCTCGTTCAGCTATTGATTGGTCGGACAGAAATTCAGAGTCAAGCAAGGTTTGTTTTTGTACGAAAGATACCTTGATTTTATAAATATATTGATATCATTCGGTAAATTTCAAAGTAGATATTTTCTCCATACGTTTTTTAAAATGAGATATTTTCTTACGGTTAATGCCTCATTTCTTTACTTGATTGAATTTATAATCACACAATGGTGAAGAAAAAATTACAAAAAATTTTTACGTCGATGATTGCTCACTTGTTGTTTCTCGGTTTAGTCAGATCATCTCCGTTAATCAGTGATGTGTGTGCTAAAGGATGTCGTTTGTACATGAATGTTTGTACGTAGATGTTGATTGCTTTAGTTATGGCAGTTTTGAGAAAAACTGGTTGTGTTAGTATTGACTGCAGCTTCAAAATCCTTAGCGGTAGTCATCTTCAGAGTTAAGTGACTGTGTATTCATAAAAATTTGCACTGTGATGATTCCATGAAGATGTTTTTGTTCACTCTACTGTAAAGGCATTTCATATTATAATTTTAATTTTCGCAGACTCGAAAAAACACTTGCTTCCTTGTTCATAACGTCCAAGACCAAGGACTTTCTTCATGCTCTGGTCACGGGAAACTTGTATACATTTCAGGATCTTCAGTGTCATCCTTGTTTTGTTGGTTTTGACTGGAATGAGGTAATAAACTTTGGTGTGTACTACATCTTGTTGTAAGGGTTTCTTTCTTGGATCTTTTCCATAGGAAAGACACCATGTTATTATAATTTTTAGATACAATCGAGACGTGTAGCGAGTCCTTTAAAGTCGAGCTTTCAATCAAGAAATCACTTTTCAAGACCAAACTCAAAATCTCCTTCCTTACAAAACGTTCACACCGCGGGAATACTTGCTCGAGTAGAACGGAGTGACAAATTCTTGAGTCGCACCCACTCCACTAGTGATCTTAGATCATCCTCTGTCAGTGACGGTCCATCAAATTTCCTCGATTCTTTGAATCATCATCGGAATATGCCCGTTAGCTCGTTAGCAAGATTCAATTTCAGTCCCAGTCCATATGAAGAAAGTCCTCGTTCGAGTTTTAGAGATAAACCATGGTCAACATTGACATCACATCAACGTGTTTCTGCTCCCCATCTCCGCAAACTTCAGTGGAAAACATCCCTGGAAAACGATATCGTTTTAATTTCATCGACAAGCATGCAGACCCTTGTCATGCTGAAGATAATAAACTTTATGGTAGAGCTTCGCCTTCAGAAATCCACTCTGTAGGTTTTGTGGATAGGGAAGACGATAAAATTTTCAGTAATACCAGGGTCTTTAGCGTCAATAATGACGAAATTGACAATAATCGATCGTCAGATTTCAACGTGACATTTTCCGCCAATCGCGTGGCAGACCCCGTTCGAAACGTGTCCAATAACTGCGAAGCCAATCAAATGACAGACTCCATTCAAAACGAGACCATCGACGTTAAAGTTTTGAGAGAACCTGTTGATGCTTGTGGACGAAAAAAATTTGAGTGTGATTTTGTTTGTGGAGAGATGTATCCTGGTGATGAAAATAAATCGCGCTCTCAATCTTCATCTTTTGGCAGTCATGAAAATAGACGTTATAGCATGGACAATCACGATTCCAATTTCTTTGAAATGATGGAAGGTCCTGACGCTCAATTTAGTAGTCCACAAGAAATAGCTAAATATTTGTTCCGAAAACATTTCCGAAGCAAAAGAACAAACGCGGATGGCGAAAATTCTCGCCCAAGATCTAACCAATCAGCGCGCGAAGAGTCATCCTCGGAGTATTCAAGTGAATGTAGTTTTAACGAATCTATGAACTGCCACCAAAAACAAGGCTGCAGTCCACTGCAGTCCAAACGCACGGAGGTTTTTAATGAATGTAATCAAGCAAGATCATCAAATCCTCGCTTGTTTTCAAAGACAGCTGATGACGCTGTTTACTTATCTTCATCAGCTCACGAAAACAGTTCCATGACTTCTTTGATGAAACGCCCAGGTGTCATGCGCAATGCCAACAACTCTCTTACCCCACGAAGTTGCTTCAATTTTGATAAGCGACGGGTTAAGTCGCCCGAACCCGTCGTTGCTGTTCATCCATGTGACATAATATCTGATGAAGTATTTGTTGATGGCGAAACTGCTACGACTAGCTACGAAAAATACTCGACACGAAGACGAAGCAGTCCGGACATTACACATCTTAAATCGTTACATTTGCACGCTACGACACCCGTGTCTTCGAGTCGTAAACTCTCATTGTCTCGAAGCAAAAGTTACTCGAATATTGTTAATGAACAAACTTCAAACGATGAAATTCCTCGCCGTAGAAGCTCGTCTTTTAAGCCTATCCCATCATTTGAAGAATTCCGCTCAATGAGAGGGATAAATAGGATGGTCAGTGATCGCTCTAAGGATGGTGGACTACAAGACAGCCGAAAAAACACTGTTGGAGATGGTGAGAAAACTGATCTCAATAATAATAGCAGGAGTGAAATTGTGAATAACACTGAAGAGACCGTGAATATTCAAGATCTCCTTTTGAAGTATCGCATTTATAAAAAGTCTTCATCAGAACAAAACGAGAGCTTGAATCAGCAATACAACGACAAAGAGAGTTTATCAAACGCCGTCATTGATACGAAACAACGTTTATTAAACATCCTTGATGATTTTCTTGCGGTGAGGACGAAGCATAAGGCATCAAGCATGAGTTGTGTCACGACCAAGGGTAATTTTCCTACCGAAGAACGACGGCCAAGTCTTCCTACCACGTCCATCTCATATAAACACGTAAACAGGAAACGTGACTATGTTATCTCAGCTTGCAAGAAGAAAAACAATGATGTTGCCTTTTCACAGAACGCCGATGAAATATCCAAAAAGAAAGACACGGCGCGGAGACGAGCAGCGCAAATTCGAAGTCATGGCGTTTCCCATTGTAGCATGTCTAAGCATGAAAGTTTGAGCGATAGGACAATCTCGCAAAACTGTTCAATAGACGAGGATGCGAAGAGAAGGAAACATGATGAATTTCGAAAAATGTCAGTGAAAACCAGCACTTCTCGAGAATCATTGGAAGTGATCACAAAGAACGGGAAAATTGCGAAGAAACAACGAAGGAAATCAACGTATACAATAGAACGCCAAGAAAAGAACGGGAAACAACATGAGCCGAACTGTAGTAAAAACACATCCAAAGACGTTCCTGTGAAGGTTGATCACACCATTGAAAGTAAACAAACAAATACAGAAAAAACTGAGATGAAATATCCCAAAAGTATGAAGCAAACGAACAGTTTATTGAGTTTGACAGATGATGTTGAACAAGAGGAGATGTCCAACACTTCGCAGGGTTTTTATACGTTGAATGGGGATGACAATTCCACAAATCTACATTTAGGGCTCTCAAAGGCTCAAGCCAATGGTGAACCGAGATTACTGTCACGTGGTAGCAGTTTTCTGAGTAACTCCAGCACCGGCAGTGAGTCTGTAAGTGTTGATTTCGAAGAAAGTGAAGATGAAGATGTTATCGAATCTCGTAGAGTTCAAAAGCGGCCCGAGACAGATATTAATAGAAACGATAGCGGTCTGGGTGACGAGATCGAAGGAAGGACTCGGTCCAAGAGGCAACGGAAAAAGATTGATCACGTAGGCTTACGTCAGCCTTTGTTGCATAGGGAGACGAATAAGGCAAAAGAACAAACGGCTGACATGAGGCAAACGGTATGAACAATATTAGTATATTTAACCCTTTCTCTCCCAGCCTGACCGTATGGCAACATCAAGGAAACTATACAAAATTCAAAGGACCAAAAAACTTGGGAAGACAAGGGTTAATAACGTCAAATTTCCTACCCAATCTTCCTTTTTCTTAGATTAAATGCCCAGATTGTGAGCGTTGCTTCTTTGTGCAGAAAAACAGGCCAAGGTACTGTGAAGTTTCATATGTGACAGACAACGTTTTTATGAACTGACCTATCAAATTATGTGTGTATTTGTGATTTAGTGTGAAAAGTCATGGACCAAAAAAGACATTGATTTGCTATAAATGCCAAAAACATCGAGTTGAAAGAAAAGAGGCCATTGTTGAACTTTTAGAAACCGAGTTGAACTATGGGAATGATATTCTCATCGTGAAAGAGGTTTGAAACTTCCATTTTATTAATTTCGCATTCTCGAGTTGAAGTCGGTTGAATTGTTCTCTTTTGCAGGAATTTTTATCGCCAATGCAAACAGGAGGTATTGTATCACAGGAAAATGCAGCGAAAATCTTTTTGAATATTCAGGTAATATTCAAAATCGCTTGATATGAACATAGATATGTTTCACATCACTGTCATTTGTGCATTCATTCAGGAGTTGCTCAGCGTAAGCTCGAAATTGTGTGAGAAGCTTGAAAAAAATATTAAGGAATGTCGTGAAAAGGATGACGAGGTACTCTACCGGATCGTGTTGGATACATTGTTTTTCATAACTCACTGTAATAATGTGCGTTTTACCTAAGGATTTATGTGACGTCAATGTGGGAAAGATTTTCATTGAGAACATGGAGTTGCTGCAGGCTTATGAATTCTACTGTTCGAGACAAGCAAAGGCCATGGACATTCTGGAATTATTACAGAAAAAGAATGATGTGTTGCGTGTTTTTCTTAACGTAAGTTAAAAAATATTTTAAGTTTGTGTTAGAGTAGAAACGGTGATAAAATTTCCATTCAAATTTTACCCAGACAACCTGTCGTGATAATCCTCAGTGTAGAAAAATGGACATCAATTCCTTTCTCCTTGCGCCTGTTCAACGTGTGACAAAGTGAGGCCTCCTGGGGGATCTTTAGAATTTGATTTGAAAATCATTTCCACATATAGTAAGATTTCGTGTTTTTTCCTGTTTTTTCAGATATCCTTTGTTGCTAAGTAGAATCCATCGAGCTACGCCATGCTGGCATGTGGACAAAGATGATTTGAAATTGGCCGATAGGAAAGTGGCGGAACAGATTGCGAAGATAAACTCGGTATGTAGATTTCGTGAGATACGATCTAGCTCGATAATTTACGCTTTAAAAATGATTCATGTGCAAAATTGAACGTTTGGCTCAGATAAGAACAGTACCACAGGATGCACTTGAAAAAATACTTTTTCTCCTTTTTTTTGTTCTATTTTTAAATATTCTCGACGGTAAATCGTTAGAAATATGAAACATTGTTGTTCAATCGCATTATTCCGTTATCGCAGTTGACAAAATCCCCAGAAATGAAATCAAAAAGAATTCAAAACGACATTTGGACCTCAGATCCTATCAGATTAAAAAAATGGCATGCGATGTACTTAATTGGAGTTTTCAAGAAATGAAGCTTCTCCTACAGGGCGCTTTCAAGGAAGGTAGTCCTAACAACAACGAAATCGTCAGAATTGTAGTTATATTTTCCTGTCAATTCCACAGGTCTCTAGCTGCGAATTGGGCAACGGACAGAGTTGGACAAAACGAACTCTGAGTAAAAGCAGCGAAATGTATTTACTGCTTTGTATTCGTGGTGAAAACGAGGTGACTTCAATAGTCGTTCAAACTTCAAACATTCTTCGTTTAACGCAAGTCTTCTTTAATAGGAAATCGATGTTGATTCTGACGAAGACGACACGTTGCATTTTCCTCGCGTTTCTGTGGTGTTGGATGCATCTTTGCTTATATTAAAGCGAAAGAATAACGGAAAGTACACGCTGTACAGGGTAAGCGATGTTTACCTCTTTCATAGTTGTTGCTTTTGCTGATATCATTAAATACTTCCTGTTTTAAGGACGAAGTCAAACTTCGTGACTGCGTCATCTTTGAAGAAAATGGTACCGTCATCTTTAATGATCGGGTTTTTTTTGTATTCGACCTTTCAAATAGTGCTTAATAGAAATTTTTTTCCATAGACTCTTTTTCATTTGGTCTGATTCAAATGGGAAGAGAACACTTTCATTTTACTGTAAGCTGAATGTTTGCACTCCAAATAAAATGTCGATGATAATTCTGCATCTTTTCTCCGAATGAGTTTCATCAAACTGAGCGAAGAACTTGTCTTTAGGCGAACACACAAAACGATGCTAGAAAATGGATGAAGCATTTAAAACGACAAGCCAGGAATCAAGGCAAATGGAGGAGACGGCGAAATGCGTCTGCCAACATAATGTTGAAGAGCTGACATGAAAAAACGTCGAATTATTAGTCGAAGACATTTATTTTGTAACAGAAAATGTATCGAAATATTAATGCATCTAATTTTAAATGGTGCACCATTTGGTAGCGATTAGAATTGAATCCAAAATTAAATTCTGAGATTTATTGTCGTTGATAAAGAAGCCAATGAATTTCCAAGACATTCGTTGCTGACATTTAAACAAGTACTGCTTCGTATCTACTTTTGAGACATTTGAATACTTTAGTTAAATTCAAAGTACAATGTGCTGAGTCCATCATTTAATGATAATTGCATAGATGATAATTTGAAGCTTGTAATTATTCAATTCTTTTTCTATCACATCGCAATAAGGTTTTTCATTTTTTTCTTATTAAATTCCTAATTTTTAGCATATTTAACGTGCATGCACTTATTCAAATTAAGTTAACGTCTCCCACTCCCCCCGGTTAGTGTTGGAGTCTGCGCAAAGCTGTGCAGCCGGAGCGAGATGAGAATTTATGTTTTTAAAAATCTCATGCTTTAACTTGTCAAATTACAACATATTGAACGAATTTGTTCTGAAGAGCCAGCCAAATTGAAAGAAGAGTAAGAAGTCCCCATATTTTGTGGTAAAACTGCTGAAAAATAATCTTTAAATGATGATGAATGTGAGCTGGAATAGACAATATAAAAAAGCGAGGAATTGAGACCGATTGACAAGGAAGAAATTGTAAGTGAAATTCTTTCTTGTTTTTTTTTACAAAGGAAGTACTTGACATATTTTGTGATTTTAATCTGAAGTGTTTGACTTTCGAGCAAATGCTATTTTGTTGTTTGTCATAACAGTGTAACGTTTTGGATTAAACTTTCGTATCTCCCCCCGGTGTCAGGAGGGTGGTCTGGCTGTTTTTTTATTTTACTACGAGCTCCCATTTTGTCATTTTCTGTTTCTTTCAAATCGCACAAGTTGTTGTCTAAATCTTTTCTGCAAACTCTGGCACTGACATTGAGCTCTCTTGAAGCAGAGCTTTTTCGAGAAGAGCGAGTTTGCTGTAATGTTGTATTGAACTCCTGCATGTTCCATTGCATTTGCCCCGCATACATCAGATGAGCACAGGGCTTTATCAACATGCCACAGTAACTGCGAAATGACTTTCTGAATTCTTCATGGCAAACATTATAAATGATAGGATTAGCAAAGCTGTTCATATAAACCATGATAGTCGCCATCGAGTAGATCTCTTCAAAATATTTGTTTTCTTCTGCAACAAATTATTATGCAAATGAGCCATTTGAATTTTCAAATTTTGCTGAGTTTGAGCCAGAATTGAGATTTGAATTCTACCGATTTTTAATTCACGATTTATGCAATCACTTACTTCCATTAAAGAAATCTAGCCATATGTATACGATATGTACTGGAAGGACAAGGATGGCAAACACTATCATAACAACTACAAGCATCTTCAGGACCTTTCTTGTTTCTTTGTAGTAAGTTCTTGTTCTCTCATCTTGACTGGTGCTTGTGGTTAATTCTTGGGCAACTCTGTGGCAGGGAGAATGTTTTAGATTCAAGCCATAATAAGAGGGGCACATTAGAGGTGAGAAGCAGGTGGAGTGTAGGACCCCAGCTTTGTGAAATATGCACGAAAAGTTGATGGAGAAACCGAGAGAGAATGATAAAATCAGATCAGCTAAAACTGTGGGCTTTTCTATCTAATAAAGACTCTTTAAAAATTGCCTCCCATAAAGTTGAACACTTCCCAAGTTTTTCGGGCTGTGCCCTACAGGCCATAATTTACTCCCTAATCAATGGGAAATACTCACTTCATATACGAGAAAGCCATAATTGCCAGCGGTATAACATATTGTGTTATAAACAATCCCAATGTATAATACTTCGAGCTCATTCCAGCGGCATCAAAATCGTCGACGCATCTGTCGTCTTTCATCTTCAACGATGCCATATATGGCGAGACCAGGACGAAGCTCACTCCCCATACGGGTACAATCGTCCATCTGGCATGTGTTTTTCGTAGTTGTGGTTTCAAAGGATGTACTATGGCCACATATCTGTCGAACAAAGTTTATAACTCATTGTCTGCATGCTTTAAGCATATGGCTGTATTATAAAGGAAATGCTACCAGCGATATTATTCTGAATGATACGAAAACATCGACGTCTCCTCTAATCTAGCTACAGTTTCTTCAAATAAATACATGCATCATTCATTGATGTCAATGTCATATTGATATATTCTGCTAATCCCGGCTAATTTCTTTTGAAAACATGTCACTTTCAAAAGGAATCAACTTGGCAAAGTAAAATATACGTACATATGGTTCACCTCAATTAACGTTCATTTGACGCCTGTTGGCACCAGTACATTTTAATTGGGATGCGTGCACCGAACCACCCTCCCCCCCCTTTCGCTTTACTAGACACCAAATTTCAAAGGTTCTCAGAAAGTTCTGATGTTGAAACAATCAAGTGGAAAATTCCACTTCTTTTACCTGCTTATACTTATCGTTACTAAAGACCAAACCGATGCTGTCGTTGCCATCGTCTGAATTGGTCGCAGTACATGACACATGAATTTTCCATATAGCCAACTCCCGTTGTTCAAAGTAACTGCTACGTCCGCAGGAATGTTTAATAACAAGACAGCGAGATCAGCAAACGCAAGATTTACTATCAACTGATTTGTTACAGTTTTCATCTTACGCTGGCAATATACGACCAACACGACCAACACATTACCGATGGTGCCCAGAATACAAATAATTAACCATATTACCATTTCAAATTTTACATAGCCAGGACTTAGCATGACCTTAAATGCGAGACGCAATCGTTATGTATTTTCTTTTTCGAACATTAAACCAATGGTTTTGTCGCATCTAATGCCCGGGAAAAGTAGGACCTAAATAGTTCAATCTCTCATGGAAATCTTTGATTTATTGTGCCGTCAACTTTATATGTCGATGCTCAAATTTCTTTTCTGTCTGTCTGGATGAGGTCTTGTACCGACCAATCGTCGACTACTTCGTTCAGCTGATGAAATATGCCGTTGTATCTTGCAATAGAATCTGTTCAATTTTTACGAGAAAAAATTTATACCATCGTTTGTATATCTTCATTTTCAACAAGTACGATGCAAAATCTTGATTTTCAACTGCGTTTGAAAGGGAATGAGTTAATTAAGTATTTTACCCACTGTGATCAATGGTTTGATAATCTTAATTAACTTCACATTGGTACACCTTATGATTGTTTTTTCTCAGTTCGTATTCCTATCGTTTATCGATTTTACCCTTTCACAAAACTAACAAAAACAGAAAAGATGAAGTGTTACAAAGTGAAAAGACTTAACTATTTCGATGGAGAAGTGTTTGCTAAAACATTTGATGAGTTGAGTCTGCGACGGCACAGAGCTCGATATTATCATTAATGACAATGAAAATTTCCCACGATTAACTCAGAAATTGTTGTGTTATGTTTTTAAGTGTTTTTAAGTGTTTTTAACACGATTGTACGCAAGATAAGCGATTTCTAAAGACTTACTATCGTGAGTTCCCGGCATTGGTTGCGATATTGTTTGGCTATTTTTGCCATTGTGTTTTATCGAAGTTGCTTTTCGGGAAAAGACGTTTCTAGCTGCGTGCTCACTGCGTGTTGTTTTTAACACGGTACGTATACGGTATATCTGTGTTTGGACTGTCTGTTCAGCTGCGAGTTAGTAGAGTGAGACTGGAACTTTAGAATAGTATGATCATCTGTGAATCATCAAAAGTTGGGTGTTCTGAGCTTGAAATACGACAATCGTCAATGTTGTCTGTAGTTGCATCTCGATATTGTTGTGACGTCAAGAAGTGTCGATGCAGGCGTCTCTTTCTATGTCTTTTAGAAAAGGGTTAATTGAAAGTGCAATTGTTTTCTTTCTCGTTTTAAACATAGAGGTTTTGCTATTTTCGAAATTTGAGCCAAGCAATCTTCAATTATGTATTTCATCAAAATCAATTCCCTACATTGCTTCGTTAGACGAGTACAGAGGGAATTTTAAGTTAGCCTTATGAGTGGGCACAAGCATGACGCTCGACTGTTATGCGTCACTTTTAGCTGGCATAGTTCATTGACGTCGTTCCATCAGGCAACATAATTACCTTGTATATGATTGTTATGTTACAACTGTTGAATATAAAGTGACGGGGTTCTTTCTCACTTTTTGTATGTTTATCGAATATTGTTGGTTTGAAGAAACTCATTTCGTATTGTTTTTAAAGCCGTCACTCGTGACGCAGGTCTTATAAGATGACGAGTAATCACTGGTCAATAATCTCCTCACAAGCTATGTGTTTCGATGAAATCAATCGTCATAAGTTTATGCCTTAATGTCTTGAGGTCTGTCGAAATTTGTGGTTAAAGTAAATCACGATCGAATTTTAGATAAATTTTACGTGATTCTTGCAGTTTTCTGTCATTGGACTTTTGGATGCATAAATTTACTTACAGCTGCCTGTGAATGATTTGCCAAAGATAAGGACGAATAGGAAGCAATCTCTGAAAGTAAAATGCTCTGATGCTTGCTATAAAAAGTATTTCATCAATAAAGAAATACGTTTTTGTTATGAAGGACGTATTATCGTCTTGCTGTTCTTGCATTCTTATCCTTATATGTAAAAAGGCATTTTATACATCTCTTCTTTTACTAACCCACTGGAAATTTATTTGAACTTTTTCATATGAACTTACGTGGACTATATTATAAATTGAAAATCAATTTAGCAGGTGGAAAGAAATTCATTAAAATTATAACATAAAAAACGGTTGAGAAAATCCCATATAGCATCAGCCTTATCGTATTTCATTTATTTCGTAGAATATTTCTCCGGAAATTCTTGCACAAATATTTGAAATTGACAAGTACAAATTGAGTTAAATTAGAATTTTACGGTCAAATATAATGAATAGTATCATGTAAATTGAGTGCCAAGTCTCGTGTGAGCTATATATTTTGTTATTCATAATAAGTTTGAACAACGATATTTAAGTTAGTTTAATGATATCACCGTGACCATGTAATGGTCGTGGCAAGGTCCCACATAATGGATACAACATTTCGTGGTGTAAGACGCTGAAATTCAAAATAATTTCTACGGATGCAGTTTACCTTTGCTTGCCGTTTTTCGAGCGTCGTAGCCTGGGGGGAGAGACAGTTGAACTATCGAAGGATGCTTTCCCTTGTTCACGGTGAGAAATTCGAGTTTCTCGAAAGGTGTATTCGCATCGGTCGTTTCGTGATTAAAAACACATTTCTTTTTTGCCTCTCTTCATGAGGGCGGCAGATGATCATGTGACTAAACAGACGCCTCTAGAAATGACCTCTTGAAAAACATACAAAACACAGACATGTGTTGAGTTTATGAAAGCCTACTGTGCGTAAGTTTGTAATTCTATTATTTTTTTTAATGAACTTATCACCGTTATCTTCACCCGCTGAGTGGTTAAGTGTTCTTCTTTTGACGATTCTTTGTGTCTTCTTTCAATAAGTACTGTGTGGTCGGATGTGTTTTGAAATGGGCTGTGCTATATGTTTTGTCATGTGTATTCTTACGCGCCCCGTCAACTACGGTGATGGTGTACAAGTCAACTCTTATAATCGACCTGCAACTACACCGAGCTCGTACTAAACTTGAATGTCCTTGAATGTCCTTGAATTTACATCAAAAAATTCAAGGCTTTGAAGGTACTTGAATTTATTAAGATGTGCTTGAAAGTGCTTGAATTTTTGCAAGCACTTTCATCGCGCTTATTTCTTTTCGAAAGTGGAGTTGAAATTGTATCATTATACAAAAATGTGAAATCTATTTCACGGTCACGAAACCGAATCAAATTCGTGTAAAATAATAAGTTGTGTGCTAAAGGGTTGATGTCAGGACTTTAAAGTCAACGAGCAACATGGCAGCTTTCAATTTATAGGAAAACATCACCATTTGCTCTCGATTTATTGGAAAAATCTCAATTTTCAATCATAAAATTATGTACACCAACGAGCCTTGCATACTTCATAATCGTCGTATATGAAGTCTTATTCATATTTTGAAATTATAAAATCCGCCTTATGAAATCATGAATATGTATTCCACCTTGAAGATCCTGTATTCAATCTATCATATTATACATTGGTGCTTGCGCTGTGCTCTTCGTGATCTTCGTTTGATTGGACTGTTGGACAGTTTTCATTTGGAATGAGAGAATGTCTAGCGTAGCTGATTTGACTTGCCGCTGAGAGCCTAGAATTTGTAGTATTGAAGGAGAAAGCTTCCGATTCCCTTTGACTCGTACGGCGTCTCCTTTTTTTACAGTTCACACCAGGGCAGAGGACATTAAAGCACGGGGCAAAATACTCTCTGAAACCATCACGGAACTGTTCGTTACAAATATTGTATAAGATAGGGTTGCAAGCGCTGTTGCAGTACAACATCACCACGGCCATGACATGAAAAACCTTACTCAATGAAGATGAACCTACAAAAAGACAATAACTTCACTTCACTGTTTTTATATCTAACTGTACAGACAAAGGGCCTTCGCTTGAAACGTCGAGAAATCGTTTATTTGTTTGTTTCAAGGATTGTCATGAATAAACCCTATCGCATGCAAGGAAATTGTGTTGAAAAATCTTGTTTTGTCACCAAAACATGAAGATTTTGAATGTTTCAATCTTTTTAAACGAAGTGATCCTCATCAAGATCGATACATCACCTCCATCAAAGAAATCCAACCATATGTAGTACACGTGAATAGGTAACACAAGCACTGCGAATGCCGTCACGACAAGTCGAAGAATTTTGATCACTTTTTGTGTCTCTTTCTGTTGTTCTCGGAAAAGATGCATGTTTTCGTGTGCGAGATTGCTCTTTGACAACTCCATACCCACTCTATGAACAGATGAAATCGCATAATTATGTTTCTATTGATCGTGTAATCTAAACAATAGTGTAGCTATTGGTGGGTAAAGCGGGCAATTTCTCTCCTTTTCGTAAGATTCCCCCCCCCGTTTCCGTGATATTCCCCACCTCTTTCGTGAAGTTTTCAAATTGACAGCCATTTAAGTTGCATTTTTCGGCACGTGACCCACCTTCATAAATCCTGCCTACATTCTGTTATATATGATTACCTAACGTAACAGACCATAATAATGACCAACGGGACAACGTATTGTACGACAAAAACAGCCAAGGTAAAAACTTCTGTTGTCATGCCAGCAACTTCGAAATTTTCTCGGCAAGAACCTTCTTCGACTTCGAGAGCGGCACCATACGGAATGACTACAACAAGTCCTATTGACCATACTGTCAAAATAATCCATTTGGCGTGATGAGTCCGTAGTTGTGGACGAAAAGGATAGATAATGGCTATGTATCTTTACAGAAAAAAAAACTTCATATGTTCATTGTGGATACAAAGGGTAAATGATGGCTATGTATTTTTACAAAAAAAAACGTCATATGTTCATTGTGGATGCAAAGGGTTAATAATGGCTACATAGCTCGACAGAAAAAACGTCATGTGTTCATTGTGGATGCAAAGGGTTAATGATGGCTATGTATCTTAACAGAGAAAACGTCATATGTTCATTGTGGATGGAAGGGCTAATGATGGCTACCGATAGCTTGACGGAGAAGAACGTTTTATTTTCGTCACATTTTTCGCCGTCCTACTGTTGATTTTTATATAAATATAAACATAATTGCCAATAAACTGCTACGGTGACCCCGGCAAATTATTAGCTGTATGTTAAATGAATAGGTGTTTATAAGAACATCTAGGCTATTATGAATTAAAAAGTCCATCAACGGGAAAGGGGTGTAATTACATCAGTTTGTTTGCGTTAGCTCATTCTTATTAAATTTTTTTTTACGTGTTGTGTTTTCATTACGAAACTCTTTCGAATGCTGTGTCGAAAATGAAATTGACGACAAACACATTTCGTCACGTGGATCTTTTTTTGTGGTGTAAACTTAAAGCTGGTTTTCATTTACTCGTAAGTCGAGTCATCTCAGTGTTCTAGCTAGAGTTCTATCCTATCGGCTTGCGTTCTAGAGAGGACTGTGACTGCTCATTTTGCAGATAGAAATGTTTTCAACGCATGTGGAATAATTAAAAGAAGCACAAACTTAATTACACTGTTTTCCGTTCATAGCACCTTTTTTTAATGTCTTACGTGCATATAAATTCTTTTAATAAGAAGCTTTATCGTGAAATTTATTTCCTCCCCTCCCCGCTGAGGAATCTTCCATTATTGCTTCATTTACTTCAGTAGTTCCATCGGTTCGCAGTCGTTGAATGATTTATTTATGGTTGCCCAGCGGGCTTTCCCATTAGAATGTATTTTTGAGACATACGCAGGGACGCTAGAATTCAAAGTGAAAACACGACTATTTTTCATTTCAGTCATGCCTTCCCGTTAGAATGTATTTTTGAGACATACGCAGGGATGCTAGAATTCAAATTGAAAACACGACTATTTTTCATTTCAGTCATGCCTTCCCATTAGAATGTATTATTGAGACATACGCAGGGACGCTAGAATTCAAAGTGAAAACACGACTATTTTTCATTTCAGTCATGCCTTCCCATTAGAATGTATTTTTGAGACATACGCAGGGATGCTAGAATTCAAAGTGAAAATACGACTATTTTTCATTTCAGTCATGAGAATTTTACCTTCCAACACTTATGGCTACCAGGGACCACACCGACACAGTTGTCGCCATAGTTTGAAATGGATAAATCACCTTACACAAAGCAGGCCCGTATAACCATTTATTACCAGATAATCTGACGATCAGATCCAATGGTATGTTGAAAAATAATACAAACAAATCGCTTACTGCCAGGTTGACGATCAAATAGTTGGTTATTGTCCTCATTTTACTCTGCCGGCATACGACCAAAACAACCAAAATATTACCAATTCCACCAACAATGCAAACGAAAATGGTGGAAATAATCTCGAAGAATTCGATATCTGAAAGCTCGTCATGTCCTTTCGTGCTATTGTTGAACATATCGCTGGATAAAAAATCCCAACCTAAATAAACAAAATATCCGATTATGTCGACGTACCGCCACTCAAACGAAACACGCACATGTCCTTTTGCGATTCTCGCATTTTATGTAAATGAAGTCGGTGTGTGTGATATGTGCTCGTAAAACAAGGTGAAAAAGTAAATAGTTTCCGTTCGTGTTTTTTTTTTGGATTTGTCGGTGATTTGTTATGCCAATTGCGTAGTTTGAAGTCTTTCCTAAATTCTGCGAACGTTTTTTGTCAATCACATATCATCTTTTGGTATTCGCAGTCTGCTACCCATCATATTTAATGGATTACCCAAACTTCTGTCAGTTTATCTGCATGGTGTTACATTTTTGCGTCGTCAGAGATAAACATGGTTTTTATATATAATGAAAAGGTACTTTCTTGCACATAACTCATCTCCTTGCCTTATCATAGTTGCAGCTATGGTAGTAAATCTTTATATGGCATTCCATGGTCGTTCCACGCGCCTCGTCATGAACGAAAACATTATTATTTTCATTTATCGTTTTTCGTCATTCAGTTGCTCAGTTATTGATGTTTACATTGCAATTTGTCCGTGAAAACGTCAGTATATTTGATTAAAAAGCTCACGTTTCCTTTCTTTTGGTATGTAATTTTATCTTGATCGACGACAGGCAGTGCAATGGTTGGTAAATTTTTTTCTAAGTATTGATGAGTAAAATTACTTTATCTTAACGTCACGGTTCAAAAAATACTCATGAAGAGGTAGTCAATGTTTTTAGTTTGTACTGTCGTTCGTATGGGGCATTTTTGGAAATATTACTTAAGACGTTCTTCAGGCGAAAGCTGTGCGCTTCATACTTTTAGCATTCCTTTCCTCCATGCACACTATGTATATCAAAATGCGCAAACAAAGTTCAAAAACTCGCACGAGTTTTTGTTAAATATCAGAAATGCCTCTTGCTGCAATTTACAATCTCGGTTTGCCTAGCTGTTGGACTTGAATTCTTCACGGAAATAATTGTGTTCAAAATCTATATGTACTATATAGATTTATCCAGATGGTTACCTTATGTCATTTCCGAGTTATACCTTCATGTTAATTTTCTATATCTTATACGTGGATATTGTTAGTATTTGAGGTGTATCGTTTTGAAGAGGGTCGCCATTGTGCTATCTAGACTCCTAAATGTGAACGAGACTAAACAATGTGAAAATCGCTTCCAGTCACAACATTTAATGAAAACATTTGATCTTCTCAATCATCATTAGCACTTATTACTTTCCCTAAAGGCGACGTACGTTCACGTGTACTGAGCTTCCGTGATATAGGACTTCTGCATATTATTGCTTCTCGCTCGAAGAATTGTTTGAACATATTTATTTGCTCTCTTTTCCTGCCCTATTTACTGATCTCATCGACGTTGTCCTGTGATCTTGCGTGATTGTACTAATGATGATTATTGGAATGGTATTTCTGTTTGAAGTTGGTTCAAATGTTGTTACTCCAGTTGACATTTGCTGTATTTATTTGTCTTGTTTTGTAGTGCATGATTGGGTGTGATGTGCGTATATTCAATGTTGATCTCGACTTCTAGTGTTCAACCTGTGTGATCAATTTCTCTTCTTCAAAACTACAGGTTACTTTCTATGTGCAAGCAGTACATATCCTTTTGGTGATGAAAAACATTCTCTGATCGTTCGTTTGTTTTATAATAATCATCGACTTGTTGATCTTAGCTGAGACACTATACATTTTCCTTGTATACTATGACTGTTGTGTTACTAAATGTTAAGTATCGCGTGTGCAGTAAATCATGTAATGTCGTCAAATATATTATAACCTCCGTCTGGAATCTCACTTCTTTGATCGTAAAGTAGCTACAGTCAAAATGTATTCATGATGTATGCAGTTGACGTTACGTGTATTTCTTTGTCTTGTTTCGTGCTATAAGCTAGCCTAGCACCCAACTCCTCGCTTATAATGCATGACATCGTCGACATTTTTGTTTGGAAAAAAACTTGTACAAACCTGGAATTGCCTTTGTTCAATAAAGGTCATCCATTTAGTACGAAGGAGTTGATTCAACGAGTTGAACTTTCACGGCGACTGTAAAAATGGATGGAAGGTCAGCGAACCTCAAACTTATATTTGACCCGTACTGTCTGCAAGCTCAATATCTTACTTAATGTGATTCTTTGATGACGAGCTCTGGCAGCTGGTTTTTGTTCTACGTAGTTCTTCGAAAGTCGTTATAAACAGTTCTTAGTTTATATATATGTTACATGTTTTATTTCCAAATAAATATGTTGTAACTCATGCAGAGCGGTTTTTTTCACATTTACATAAGATATTAAAACTTAAGCGTCTAGGATCCATTGTCGCACCAGACGTCACTCGTCGTCTTTCTGATGTTCCTGGTACCTTCCATTCATAAGAACCACTGATATGTGAAATTAATGTCCGTTTTTGTTTGTTTTTGAACACTTTGTTGCTCACAGGTTATTGTAAAACTATTGTAAATATGCATTCTTTGAACCTCTTTATAATAAGGCTAAATTGTTAGTTACTTCTCTTTCTATTTCAACAAATCGCTTTTGAGGTTTTTTCTTTGGATTAAATTTACTGAGCTAATCAGACGCGCCATTCATTTATTTTTAGATGTACCCATATAGTTATGTTGAAGACGTTGATGTGCTTACTGTGAAAACCTATAGTCTGAGAACATAGAAATCATTCCCTCGCTTTTACCTTTTCAGTTTTTTGCTACTAATTTCAAACTTTTGATCCTTCATCGACTATTTCATCCGCGGAACGAAAAACTACAAAAATAGAAGTCGAACTGCCTGTAAAACTTTTCCAACTTCCGAGTCTGAACAATTTAAATCATGTATGCATTTCTGAAGAAATCATTATATATGCCCGCTGCATACCACCTGAACTTCTTTGCGTGTGATTTTGCCGACGTTTATTGCTTCAAAAATAATTCCATAATCTATATATGGCATGTTTTATCCTTGATTTGTTTACTGATTAACAAATAAATAATTTTTAATTTATCAATATGTTGAAAATCCGTCATTAATGATCGATGCGCATGGAAAAAGTGTTCAATGATGGATTTTTTCCAACAGTTATAGGTACATCTCTTTATAATTTTTAATACATCAATATGTTGAAAATCCGTCATTAATGATCGATGTGCATGGAAAAAGTGTTCAATGATGGATTTTTTCCAACAGTTATAGGTACATCTCTTTATAATTTTTAATACATCAATATGTTGAAAATCCGTCATTAATGATCGATGTGCATGGAAAAGGAGTCCAATGATGGATTTTTTCCAACTGTTATAGGTGTATCTCTTTAACTCAGTCCCCTGTCGAGTGATTGATCAAGAAGTAGCTTGTCTATATGATGTGGCCTTTAATTTCTTTATTCCACGTGGGAGGAGACATATTTTGCACATGATGTACAATAATAAGATCGACCTTCCTACAACGCTTTTGTTGTCTGCGACTTAAAAGCATTTGAAGAAGGATAGCGTGATAAATGTCGTATCTAAGATACAAAATTAAGGAAAGCAATTGATTTTTTTTTCAAGTTGTATTATGAAAAATACAATTAAAAATTGTTTAACTTCCTTTAGTATACAATTGCTGATATAATGATAAATATATTTATGAGGTTTAGCTTTGCTCTCTTACGCAAAAGTCCTTCCTAAACTTTGCTGGGCAAAAATTTGCGCGAAAAAAAAATCCTGAGCCGCAGCTACCGTGTAATTTTTTGAACGGAAACCTGAAAAGTTTTACGGATGCTGCACTCTACGGTTGGCAGCGCCATCAAACCAAAACTCGAAATACATATGGGTCTTAAAGCAAGACGTAGACATGTGTCTTCTGTGGAGGAAAGATGTCGAGTTTTTCAAAAGTTGAAAAAACTCTCACGACAATTTCATGACGTGACATGAGAATATCACTTATGAAACCAATCACCCTAAATTGTTCATTCTGTTCATTTCTGTTCATTTTCGTCAAAAACAAAGTGATTTTTACGCTTAACGCGCGCCCATTCAACCCACTTTGTATTGATAATCGATCCAATCTCTCTCACACTGTCATGGAACAATCACCCGCATTCAGTTACAATCATCTATTATTCACATTGATTTGTTTAAAGATCTTCCAGATTGTTGTCATGTTTACCACAAATATTCGAGATAATCGCGGTGTCGGTTTCGTTTCGGTTTTCCTTTTTCGTGTAACATCAGAGTATTTCAAATATGTCTTTGTAAATATAACAAGCATCTTGAAGGTTTTTAAATGAATCAATGTATATAACAAACCGAGATTCAAATCATTCGAAGAGATCATCTATTTTCTCTTTGATAGGAAGACGTTCTGTGATGTTTGTTTCATCAAGAAAATCATGACGAAGTAAGTTCTTTTTCATTTTACTTCAAAAAATACACCGATAAGAATTTAGCGGAAGCGCCCCCCCCCCCTCGTCTCCCATATGGAAAGAGAGTACTTAATGCCATGATAGAGTGCAGTCTACGATTTTGACCCGAAACTCAAAAATTCATTTTCTACTTTATACAGTCGATTTTAATCGTACATAAATAAATCTCAAGGTGCAAGAAAATTCTACGAATATATACATTGCATAATTTACATAGTTAAATTAAGTTTTAAATTAGCGCCGTTTCGATATCTTCTGATTCATATAAACGTATTCTATGGATAATTATCAACAAACTCGAGTAAAGTGACGTTGACCACTCGTTTCCAGGAAATCAAACGGCCGTTACATACGTCATGACGCCAGTTTCCCTTCTTCTTCTTTCAATTATCTCGCTTTCACGTCTTCTACTAACTTCCGCACAACGACCTCCACATGCCGATTCTGACATCACGATATCCGCGCTTTCTTTACGTCTTTGCTGATATAAAGTTCTTCGGTCGTCACGTGACTCTACTTCATCGGTGTTATAACGGTTTGTGTTGGCCATGTGCTGACATAGTTTTGTGGTTTTCATGAAAAAGTTACACGGTTTTAAAAGCGAACCGATCATTTTGGCAAATCCTTCGCGGAATTGATCGCTGCATATGTTGTAAATGATTGGGTTCGCGAAACTGTTTCCATACAGCATTATTATTGCTACAGTTTTTATGTATTCGTAACTGGGCTCTAGAGAAGATAAATTGAATAAGTTAATATTTGCCAACGAGAGATGAAAAAGTTTGCATGAAAACAAAAACCTTTGCGACCATGGAAGAAATCGTGCCAGATCCACACAATATGTAAGGGTAATGTAAGGACACCAAACGCCAAGACAACTATTGATAACATTCTTATAACTGTCCTTGTGTCTCTTCTATAGCAAGGGTCCATTAGTGTGCCACATTCATGACAAGTATCCCACCTCAATCCCACTCTTATCCTTCAATTATCAATAGACAGCGGTGTTAATTGTAAAGCCAATATAGGATACGGAAACTCAAACTACATACTTAGCTATATTACATGTTTGTAGATGTAAATCGTCCACGTTAGTAAAGTCCTGAGAAGGACTGTTGATGTTGATGACTGACCGGCAGCAATCGTCTTCAGAAAATCTGACTCTAAAGATGATTACCGTGAAGGATGTCGAAAAGTCAGCCAACATCAACAACAACAGTCCTTCTCAGGACTTTACTAACGTGGACGATCTACATCTACAAACATGTAACTATCGATACTTCCGGGCTGAAACCATTTACTTTAATACTTACCTATTGTATGCGTAGGTCATTATGATCATAGGTAAAACATATTGCATCGTAAATAATGTTATTGTGTATGCTTCATATGACATGCCGATGCTTTCAAAATCTTCCATACACTCGTGCGTCTTTGATTCGTACTTTGTCGCTACTGCGTACGGTATGATGCTCGCCATCGAGATTATCCATATTGAAATCACCACTACCTTTGCATGTGGCAGGTTCAACTGGCGATGAAATGGGTAAATTATCGCATGATATCTATACAAATGACGACCATTTACAATCAATCACTTAACCTGAACACTCCCTTTGAACTCGCCACCTTTTCGCTTACCTGCTCAAACAAATGGCAACCAAAGTCAAGATTGATGCAGTTGTGCCCAATGTTTGTAATGGGCGGATAATAAGACACATGACTTTTCCAAACACCCATTTTTTCATGAAATCCATCGTAAAATCGATTGGGATGTTACTAATAAGCACAATGAGATCACTAATTGCCAGGTTTAGAATGAAATAATTAGTGACAGTTCGCATCCTGTGTCGTTTGACGACGACGAGTACGACGAGTACGTTACCAATGGTGCCAAAGACTAGGATAATGCTCTCCATCACGACGTAAAATATGAAGAAACCTTTATTCATGGCGTTGTTTCCTTCATCCAACGACGACATGTTTTTTGCATCTTGAGAAAATAACGAAAACATGCAATGGCTGATATAATGTTGTAATCGTAACATAACCATGTGAGCATTGACTGGGGAAGGTAAAATGTTACCTGTGACATTGATTGAGCTGCTCTCCGTGGTCATCGACATCGTTTTTACGATTTACTTCACGTTTTGTCTGTTCTATCTGAAGACTGGAGTATTCAAAGGAGAAGATCGTCAATTGCCAGATAAGAGATTGCGGAAAGTTCTTGCTTGAATGGTTTCTCCTGTGAAAGGAATTAAGTTCGTAAAATTAACAATGAGGATGAAACAAACGGCTTTACTACCCCTTATTTATAACAAAATTATATTCAATAAGTTTTCATATATTTTCTATCGATACTTCCTCGTATTAATCTCCTCAACAATAATCGTATTTTATACATAATGATGATCATTCTACGAAATTAGTTGAAAAATGAAGAAGTCGAGAAGTGAATGTGATCGATCAAACGGTGTTCCATTATCATAGAATTTTTTATTTGCTTACTTGTGTTAATATTTAAACTCGAGTTTGGTAAAGCACATCCTTTCACTTACCGACAACAATTATATCAACGGGAGCTCTTCGAGGCAGATTAATTTTATTTATATATCTTTCCAACAGACCATAAGCTGATCAATAACCAAATTACTATGACTATTAAATATCCATATTCGTCGACACATATACAACCAATTATATGTAGAATTTCCGTTTTGTCTTCTTCTTCAAAATGTGGTAAGACCGTTTTCCCGTTTCCTGATAAGTTGAACTTTCATTTCATCTTACGATAAATATGTCGTCGATCTTCATCGTTGAGAGCCACTCAGCATGAAGTTTCCGCATTTCAATTGTCATACTTTTGGATATTAATGAACTTTGTGCGAATGCTTAATGAAAACAAATGCCACGTCTTTCCTTCTGGCAGACAGACACGACTTTATTCTTAATTTGAATGAAATATAATCAATAAATAAATAAAAACACGTCGGCCATTTGAGTGGGTCGTTTAGCTATCTACATCACTGAACTTTTATCAGACCTTTCGCTTGTTGTAAAAATTTTTGAAAAATAATTGCTACCTTGTCTGCCGTGATTTTCTCATTGCGGACGTGTTTGAAACACTTCATCTAACTCTCTTATCTCGTTAATAAATGCATTCATTATTAGCCAAATAATATCTTGTTATTGACTGAGCGAGTATTGCCATATTGCTGTAACATGTTTAGGCTCTGTTTCTTTGATTTTATTATTGTTTCGTTATCAAACTCGTTAATACAATATTTATGTCGTACATCTACATATTCTACGTGGTTCCTCGAGTGTAGTAGTCCATTTGCTGAGGCGCACTCTCTAGAGTGTGAATGTACATAATTTCTGACTGATTGTTCTGAATTCTGGTTCACTTTATTAATTTCACGTTTTTCAAATTACTGTATTTCTTGTGCGACGTCCTCTCGATATAATTATATTGGTTGTTCTAATTATTCTCATCTCATTCTTTGCTAAATAATTAATGATTGTTTTTTTCTACGGAGTAGTTTATAATATTTCTTTTTTAAAGTTGAATATTACTGACGTCAATATTTTCTTGCATTTATTTGACATTTATACATTTATATTAGAAAATTTTTGAATGTATATATTTGCCATGTATAAATGCATTTTTTATGCTCCCTCTTTATTAAAATGTTTGGAAAGGCAATGTTCATTGTATTTGTCGGAGCTGTTTTTTGCAGCTAAATGTTGTCCCGAAATTTTATGCCCTAGCACACATTTTCACCAACGATAAAATTGTATTGAATCACATTATAATCGGTTTGAAGTTGTTATCATACGAAAGAAGGATTGCTTCTCATAGTGAAATGCGAGCGTAATGATTGGTTGAATTGCTAGGACAAATAATTTTTATCTGTTCTACTAAAAATTATTTAAATTTGTACAAAACATCACCTTAGATCTGACGTATGGCCAGCTGATGTTGGCGATATGTCTATAGTTGTTAGTCTTCTTCTTTGACTTGGACTCCGAAAGGGCCTGCTGTACGATACTTTAACTTGTTTATCTGAGAAAATGCTTTCCGCACTTAATGTTTTGGCTGCACTTGTAAAATGAAATTTACAAATAAGCACTTATGCAAATTTTGCATGCAAATATTTGCTAGCCCCGTCTTCACGCTGAACACGTAAGTGCTTTTCACAAAACGCCATGAATTTCAACATTTGATCACTAAGTTGTATGAAAACTCTTCGTTACGTGCATATGTTTCTCGAAATGTCTTTCATGGAATTTTGTTTTAGTTTCCTTTTACGTGAAATTTATCGTTTTTCTTGACTTCTTTTTTCTTTTTAGTTACGTAGGCGGACTCTATTTAATTTTCCAGCAATTATGAATTAGAACGTCAACCAATGATAACACGAGATGAGTAATTTATTGCTATTCGCTCTTTCTTGATCCAGAAACCTAGTTTGTGCGATAACGGTATGTATTCTTATTTAATTCTTTCACTTTTTTATTTGTCACGAGTGGCTGTACCATAAATTATTGATCAAACACATATTCATCTATAATTGTCTTCTCATAATGTGATGCAGCTATCTCTTGTTTTAATGGAAGCATCTTGTGTTACGGTTAGGAGTTTCTGAATTAATTATAAGATCATACTTGGGACATTTAGCGGATTATATTTTCCCAACTTGATCGTCAAAATAGCAAAATTGATTCGGGTAAAATAATATTTCCAGGAATACTTTACTAAAATCGGTTTCACATTACTCTTTCCCTTACTGTTGTGATATTTTTGTTTAAATGCTCAGTATTCGGTTCCCAAGTTCGTACATATATTTAGAGTAACGAACTCTACAAAGAGTTACTGAACTATAACTTACAATCATACCAAACAATTTTGCTATATTCCTGTCACTCACTGTCCTTGACTTGGTCGCGTCCCTGGCTTGTGACCTGTACGTAACTGATGGTTTGGTATAGTTGTATAAGATTAAAGCTGATTAAAGTCTATTATGATTGAATGATTTGAATGTTCAAACAAATTTAAGCATTCCAGACTTCTAGTGAACTTTCCTCCTAAATTACATGAAGTTTTGCAACGTAACGTATTGTTAAAAGGACAAAGATGTTCGAAAAATCCAACTTGATTATGTACAAATCGAAACTGTTAATGTCGATTGTTAATTTTTTCAGACCAAAATTTGTGCGTTAACGCAGAATTTTATTTTGAGATAATGTTTATTTCGTTTCTAAACCGTCATCAAAAATCATACAGTACTGTTATGTTCACTTTATTAGAGACCGAATATTTTAGTCATTTTAACAAATGATTAGAGATACATACCGTGTTTGCAATACGCTTGAAAGAACCAAACTTCGTACATATGCACGTTTAGATAAGCCTATGGACGCACGATTATATTTATTTCCTATAAGCTCGTGAAAAACACGTGGCTTAGATTAGAGTCGATCTGGCACCTTTGGGCCACTACACAGGCCTCCAAAACGAACTGCTCGGAATTTGTCTCCTCGTGCTGGCCACACAATAACTTGATTCATATCTAATTTCAGTGTGCAGTAATATCCGATTTGTGCAGTGATAAGATAAAGGCGATAAGATCATTATTTAAAGGTACGGAGGAACATTTTCATCAGTTTCACGACCTGCCTTTCCAACTTTTTGAAGAAAATCTGCAGTGATAAAAAAGGCTTGAAATTTTGATTTGGAATGATTAACTTAATAAACACCATGTCCAACTGATGCAAGGTTACTACTCAATTAAGAAGAGGATCGATTAGTCACAAAATAACTTGTTGTGTAACTTATTTATAATGTTCTGGTACTTTGTTAGAATGTCGCACTGTCAAACTATTTTTTGCTATTCAGCAGTTCTTTTCGACTGCCTGTGTGCGCCACTTCACCCGTTAAAGTACGAAGCTAATCTGTCTCTTTTCAACGAGATGCTGTCTCCACGATGGCAGATGGCACAGTGTTTCGACTCTATTCTTTAGGCGATCATTAGAGAAAAAAAGGAAGTGTTTTATGTTGCCGTGTTGTTGGGAGTATTCGTCATTCGATCAACTCAAAACTTGTTGGGTAAATTGTTTTTCTCTTACACTTAGGCTTTCTTCTTTTACACCTAAGAAACACTTTATGATTTTTGTATAGAGGAGTTATCTTCCGTTTTCCCTTCAGGATTACTTTGATATCATGATTTTGGCTTTGACGCGTAGACTGTCGACGTCATTTTTTGACTAGTACAACAACAGCTATTGTGGCTGGGTGAATGATTCTTACCAAACAGTTAATCACTAGAAACTCTTTGTAAGCTGCGAGTTAAGTAAACCGTGTAGATTGCTATAAACACCTTCCTGTGACATATGTCAGAAGTTTGTATTGAACATTTAATTCACAATTGCGTACCTCTGTCTGTAACCTGGTCCCAGACCTCCTTTATGTTGGAAGAGTATCTTTTCCAATATGGCCGCCGTCGAGACGAGAAAATAACCGAAACATTGTAAAAATTTTTATGGTTATTTGCAGTTCATACTCAATAATTTTCAAAAGAATGGCGATTTCTTTATCAAAGAGTATCTTCAAGCAGCAATTTTCGACCTGCAGAGCAATGCTTGTGTTAGATAAACGAAATGTAGTATGTTGGTGTCGAGAAAGACAACAAATTGTTCACATCCCGTCGTCAAGAAATTTATCCATGAAATTGAGTTTCCATTTTTCAAATTCATGCTATGAAAGCTCAAGAGCAAATGGCGTTTGTAAAATTAGCTGTACTAGATATCAATATATGACAAAGAGATTGTTTTGTAATAAAGTATCGTTTCTTATCGATGGAACAACCAAAAATTTAGACGACAGGGCTCTTCACGAAGAAAATGTCGTGCTAAAAAGGGTGTTAGACAAATTAAGAGAAGATAACGGTGTCAACATATGCGTTGTAAAAACATCAGATGAAAGAAGAAAATATGCGGATTATATCGTGGTCGTTAGTGGTCGATCAACAAGACATTTAAAGGCCATGACCAATCATATCCATACGCAGGTTCGAAAATCTTTTTTTTCATTGTGCGTGTCGATTGATCGTTGCTTGAAATGGCCACATTTTTGCGTAGATAAAAAACGATTTTCCCAATGAATATATTCTTGTCAGTGGCGTGGACTCTGATGATTGGATGGTCGTTGATCTTGGTAAACATGTTATGAAATTACGTCATTGAGTAATAACAAAACCCACCTACGATTCGTAATGTGCACTTCTTTTTTCAAAGGTACGATCGTCGCGCATTTATTTCTACCCGAAGTTCGAGAGAAGTACGAATTAGAAAAATTGTGGTCACTGGGACCCGAGAATGATGAACAGTACCAACAAATGTTGAAAGATGATCGCTATGCGGAACAAGTTAAAAATGCAAAACTCGAGGATTTCTTTACAAAATAACAATGATCTGTTTTATATATTTCTGACCAAATCTTTACTAACAACTCTACATGATCTGTTTTTATATTTCTGATCAAATCTGAATAAACTTACCCGTAAAATACATCCGATATACAAAAGATAAGTTTCTTACTATATTTGCTTCTTGTTCCAATAAATTATAACACCGTCAATCATGTGCATTCCGCTTCATCCTGTAAACTGTACATTTTCAACATTTCGTTTGTACCCGACCCGTTGCTTAAAAGATGTTGCTGGGGATTTTTAACCTTCGCGTTCGCCCGCCGAAATACAGCAAAACACGTGCAACATATATAAAAACCTGCGCGCATGTCCTTGCTGAGAAGGTAAAGTATGACAGGGTTGATACAATGTTGCAGAAATAGCAAGTGTGAAACAAGGAAGAATATTATCACGTACTGTTCACGTGTCGGCATTAATACTTTCAACTCTAGGAGTAATGCGAACATTGTCAACGGTAATACACTCAACCAGAATGCCACCACGATCGCCATCATAAGTTTTACTGTCTTCAAGTTCTTCTCCAACTCTCGCTTCAGTGATCGTGCTTGAATGCCTGCGTCTTGTGCCCTCAGTTTTATCCGTTTACGTTGTTTGAACATAGCGAATCCGACACCAACATAGGCAAATGCTGTAAGGAAGAGCGACAAAAACAGGAAGCTGGATAGGAGCAAAATCGAGATTTTTTGCCATTCCGGGGTGAATATTGCCATGCACACCTCGTGGCCGTTCATTTGATGTCGCTGTATTTTCATGACAAATCCCATTGGTAGCGGTATGAGAAGGTAATCCACCAGCCATATCAACAAAATGATGAGTTTGACTTTGTACAGGGAGATAGGGGTCTTAAAGGGATATACAGTGTGAACGTATCGATCCATCGCTATGACTGTAATGGTTATCATAGAAACATGGAAGAATAGGTCCTTCAGGGGATTTATAAAGCGGCAAACTATCAGACCAAATGGCCAGTCTGTTATTTGAACTATTAAAATCATGGGCATTGCAATACACAGTGAAGCCAAGTCGGCAACAGCAAGATTCACGATGAAATAGTTGCTCGAAGAACGAAGTCGTTTCGTTCTACATATCGTCAAGATGACAGCGATATTTCCCAAAATTCCCAACACCCAGATGAAGGAGTAAATGCAGAAACTGCCCACTTGTAAGTCGCCGAGCAGTTTGTTGAAATCTTGGTTCTTGTTCGAAGGACACGTCGTGCTGTTGTTTGAAAACACCATTTTCCAAGTTGATCTAAAAATCACGAGACTTTTATCAGGTCCTCATTAAATCGAAATTGAGAAAAACAGCGCATTTTCATTACTCGTGAGCATACTTTCGTGCTGTAATCTTTTCCCTAACAGATCCAATGTGCAATTATCTTATCGCGAGGTGTTGCGCTCAACTGAGTAATTCTTCCTAACATATACGTTGCTAATAGCTTGGAAAGTGATCCGGAAACAATTTGTGCCATGGTTATAAAGCGGATCTCTCCGTCATTTTTGACATGTAAAATGTTGACTGTATCTTTTGAACAAAAGCATATGGATCTAACTCTAGTCCTAGCTGTCGATTAAACAGTTCGGTCTCCAATTTCTGAGTCTACATTGTGTAAGAACCTTTTATGTTCGTTACATGTTTAATTTCTTTAGATGTCACTACTCGTAGTTTCATTTTACCTACGTCACCTACGTGTTAATCTTAAGCAACGATACAAAACGTGAAAAAAGTTATATGAGTACATTACTCGACATTAAAAATGACGCGATTGTTATGCAACAATTTTCCCATCTATTTACACGCAATCACTGCACTGTGAGGCCACACGTTTTGTCCATCAAAAAAATATTGCATAGCAGATGTTTCCCAGCACTTATTTAGTCAACTTAAGATTTGACGATAATTTCTTGCTGCTCCGTATGTTCAGCGCACATGAGCGCAATTTCTTGAACAAGTTTTGTTTTCGAGTGAATTGTGTATATTTTATTTTTGATCTGAAAAAGCTTTATATTTAATCTGTGTATTCGACCTTTGACTGATGGATTGGAATATTCAGTCGTAAAAATAACTCTTTCTACTCTATATCTTATCTTTTTTATATCTCTGTAGAATTGTCGGCGATTACTCGAGATAAACGGAACTGCTTCATTCTTGGTGGTCAAACGCGCGACAAGGTAAGTTAAAGCACATAACTTGATCGAAAGTAATCGTAGGTGGTTTAACACCGATTTCTTTAAATTAACTGAATCATACTTAAAAACGCATTTAGCTATTTTCTTGTATCTTTGATGTCGACTAAACCCACGGAAATTGTAATCTCAATGCAAGCGCTGAACAAATATTGAAAATATAAAAATAACCATTGTTATTTTAATAAACAGTTGTTCAACACACACACTTCTTTACAATCGACCCACGCCATGCGTTCAAAAGCTGTTAACGGTAATTTGTCAACTAGTGTATTGCTTTTATATCTTTTAGAATGTTCTTTTCTTAAAACATGATAATTGTAGTGTTGGGTGCGTTAGGAAAAAGCTTTACAACATGATTATCCTTAAAGTGGGCTTATGCCATCGCAGATGTCACTCCTTCGTTGTTTATCGTTCATATTTTTATATTTTCATGAACATTGAACAACCAATCTTGTTCGGCTTTATTTACTGATCTTATTTAACTCATCGACATTGCATCCCAAATGGATGTGCTTTCTGTTTCTTTAGTCCTTACAAGAAACATACCTTAGTAATCACTTCTTGTAACTCTCTTTTAAGTCTGTTCAATGCAGCCAACTTTTTTCATTAAACACGATACAGTTTTTCTTACCAGGATTTTTTTTTTGTCTCGTTCACTTTTGCAAAGATAATTACCGATCGTGACATTCAACGTTTGTGTTTGAAGAGCGGTGATCGAATCAGCAGACCTAAGCAAATGACGTCCTCCGTCTCTGCAATGTTTCATACTTTAGCAAACACCTTAACACGACTACTTTTGCCATGCTGTGCAACATTCAACACTCCCCGAGAACCCTTCTTTTTTGCTGATTCTCCTAATTGAGGACAATGCCTTTTCAGTTTTCACTGCATGTTTCGGAATTTTTGTCAGTTGAAATGTCGTTTCCCGAGACTAACATATATCAGTCACAATTTACTCCTTGCATGGGATGTTTCACGAATTTTACACTGGGAGGCCATCAACTTCAATAGAACCCGTGAAGAAGTCTGAACATTGTAGTAGAGGGTCCGGAAATACCTTTCTCAGTGAAATTTAAAAGAAAGCGGTTTCTTAAATGCCATTTAATACACTTTGATAACAACGTAACACACATGTTATGAAATAAGCATTTTTACTTCAAGCGAGCTAACCTTTAAATACCAATTATAGATAAAACGACGAAAGACCCAAGATGTAGAGAGCGAATTTTGTTTCAGTGCTGGACCAGCAAGAGGCCAGGGAGGCCAATTGGCTTCCAGGTATGTATATGTAAAAATATGCCTTGAGACTTTTCTAAATAACGACGTCGTATAACCTAGTTTTTCGATACCTTCGCCGTTTCCTGCCCACATTTGTTTGCACCAACACCTTGCCATCGGTAATCTTTGTGCGCGCATTACAATTAACAGATGAATAATTTCACGCACACATACACATATTGTTGCTCGAAACGATCTATAAATAGCTGTCTAGAGATTATAGACAAACATATCAGGCCAAGTGAAGTCTAAAATAGTGTAAACATTCAACCACATTACACAGTCCGAATTGCTAACACCAATAACCGCGCATGTACATTGACAACATTAAACTACTCAACAATTTTTCTCTACTGTCAGACAGTCAAAATATACCGACGCTTTTTTTCGCCTGTCCTTGTTTCCATAGTGATAGCTTATTAAAAGCTTCAATCGTCATCTTGAACACACGTTGGAATTCTTCATTGCTTAGAAAACGCTGCAACGAAATAGCAGTTGACGTCATATATTTTTGGTTCATGTCCGAAGCAGTTTTTTTGAGATTGCAATCTCGGGGCTCCAGCGGCTAAATCTCTGTTATTCATTGTTCTTATTATTACATTCTTAGGAATTGTATAAAGCGAAACTAATTAGGACAAGTCGTGACTGGATGTTTGTCGGGAATGGAGTATTTTCTGCCCACTTTTACCCTTAAATGTTCTCATGCTGGTTCCACTGTGACGGAAATGTTTTTAAGACAAATATGGAACGCTAGAAAACACTAAATTGATATCTAACCATGGGAAAATATCGAAACTAAGGAGTTTATTTAACGAGAATAGGTATTGACTCTTTTTTCACACAACTCGCTCCATTCAACACTTCCCATTAGAAAGAAATAAAAAAACCCGAAAGAAGATCCAAAAATCTCAAGTTGACGCGCTTCACGTGCATGAACTAGCCCGAACGCAGGCAGCTTACAATTGCAATCAATCGCTACCTCCTAAGTTGTGAAACCTCTGACAACTTCATCACTTAATTTAAAAATATCTTTTTCCGCAAATGAAAACCTCATTTTCTCATAAATCTTCCCTGTTAAAGCGGAATCTTAGCACTATGATACTACTGAGGCTAGAGGATTCATAATCATCTTCGCCCCAAGACACACAGTTTTCAATTAAAGATCATAACGCAATGAAATTTCCGCTTTCTTGATTCTGACAAGGATTACCGTCATCGTCCCAGTCCCTTATGAACAGTTCTTACTTGAAGTATAATGCATTGAAATTCTCACCTCCTTATGACAAGGATCTACTCCTTCAGGTGGTGGATTTCTCTTGAGTTCTTCGAGGGAGTATTTTTTGTTATAAATCTTCAAAGCCTAAAATAAATTACTCTCTTTAGACTTGCCGCATGTGGCCGTATTCGTCAACTTTTTCCAATACTTACGTCGTCAACGCTCGTCACTCCAGATCCACTGAGCTCTTGTTTAAGTTGCTCGAAGCTTTTGCCATGCGTGGCTTTCTCGGAGTCCCACGATGGGAACCAACCGGTAAATCCAATCGGCTCGTGACCTTGTTTCACCACTAGCAAGTTCACTTTGTTAGCATCACGACCGTCATTACAACTATTCACGTATTTCTAAAGATGAAAATTAACAAAAGCAAGGAAGGCAGATTAGCACGTAAACGTTTGGAAAAGATAGTTGAACTGTTTGAGCTGTTTACGACACGACATATTATCGCACTGTTTTTAGTGCAAATATCAAATGACTAAATTAAAATCTTTACTTAAAGCATTACATCACAAACTTTAGTAAAATAGTAGTTTTCAAGGACAGTTCGCGGTAAAACATCTCAAATTTGTACGGTTGCACCCACATTCATATACACACGTATTCAATTGTGTACTTACGGATAAAAACTCTCGAAACAGGTACGCGACTCACCTGCAAAGTAAGTAAGCCTTCTTTTTTCTCAGTCTCATTGCAATCTTTGCCAAGCCACAAGTAGACATTTCTAAATGTGTCCATTATCATCACGTCATCTTCCTCGAGATCACTTTGGGTAAAATCAAACACCTCCTCCGCATAAAAGTATCCTTTATCGTTTGAGCAATGAAAAAGTCGTGGTGGTCTATCGTCCATCGTCGAATCATCTTTGGGAGATGACACGTATTCTTTCTTCCCGCCCAAGGCATCCCAGAATGCTTGCGGTTCTTGCCCTTCCATCACGAGCTCATATCGCTTTGCCGATTCCGAGATCATTTTCGTGGCTTCTTTGGCAAACTCTCGCTCGTCACCACTCGCGCGTTTTCCGCACCACACGTAGGATCCACGCGGGTTGACAAGAATGAATGCATCGTTACTGTTGAGTGATGTAGCGGTCAGGTCGACCTGGATGCATCGTACATTCCAGTTATTTGTGCCGCGTACTTTGTACAAATGAACAGTTCCTCCTTGTTCTTCTGCTTCATTTACGGTCGCTGCCCCCTTAGATCTTCCACCACGTTTCACTATCATATTCCCTTTGAGTATGCGCAGGAAATGTTCGGGTTCTTGACCTTGTACAACACGTTGCTGCACGGGCTGGCCTTCAAATTTGTCATCAAGTTTCGTAGTAAGTAATGCCGCGGCACCTTGCTCATCTTGAGTACTGTCAAGACCCTAACACAAAAAGGTTTCGGTATGAAATTTCAATTTCATTTGTTACAAGTACTTCATCTTGTGAATATTTTAGTACATTAATGCTGAAGCGTTCCGGTGTTGCATTATGTACAAAAATGCTGGTTTTCATACACTTGTGAAAAAAGTGAAAGCAACCAAAACTACCAACGACAACTGCTGGCAGAGTTATTCTATGGTTGGTAAGGAGTGAAAATATTCTCTAGTCCAGCGTAGTTTACTGTAAAGTCACTCACAATGTTACTGTTTGTATATTGATAAAAATGAGCTAAGAAGATTTATGAAAAGAAGGCATGCATGTACACAGGCAGTCAAAAGAACTGTTCAGGATTTGTCTAGTAATGTTAGATAGTGGTTATTATCATTCACGTCAATGATTGCTTTACTTAATGGACAGCTGCTGATGCGAGACTCTACTTGCATGAAGAGGATCCACTGATTTATTAAATTTGTGTAAGTAACATTTCATGTTTTGGCATATCAACAGTGACGTAACTACTATGGACTCTGAGTGGGGAATCCACGGGCCCCTTGGGCTAAGGGGGGCCCTGTCAGATTAGAAGATTATCATTATACTGTGGATTAAAACAAGAAAAATTGCTCATCTTGAACTTACGAACAAAAAATTAAAGGCTTGAAAGCGAAATCATACCAGATGTGGTTGTTTTTAGTTTTTAATATGGTTATCGTAGGGGGGGGGGCTTGTAATATTTTTACCACGGGTCTCCAGTTGTGCTGCTACGCCTTTGCATATCAATGTACCGTATTAAACTATTTGCACGTCGGTAAGTAGTTCTTTTTAAACTTACCAGCCAGTAGTAGATAATGTATCTGTCGTTTAACTTCCCGTATGTGTACAAAATGACGTAACTGTCTCCTTGAAAGAATATTCCATATCTGTCTTTTGGCCAGTCGACCAGCTCGTAATCTTCCACCCTCCATATTTGAATAGAACCCCGAGCATCATCGGGCATGGAAGCTTCCTCACGGGCGCTTTTATGCATGGCGCTGACGTCGAACTTATTGACGACGCTGCTGGCGATTCCTCGACCTGACAGAAAAGCGTCAATTGTTGAATTGTCTTCATTAAAAATTATAAAAATGGTTCATTATGGTTGCCATACCAGACGTTGCGCCGGGGCTAAGAGCGTTTTTTGGCACTTCGTAATTCCATTTGGAAAACGCCGCTTTGAATAACACCGTCTCAGCTCCTTCAATCACTCGCGTCACGGGTGTCCATTGAGGAAGGGATTTAGCTGTGATATAACCTTCCGCCTTTAGCATGGCACTTCTTCTTTCGACAATGCTTGCTTGCTTTCCAACCCAGATAAACACTCCGTTTTCAGCAGCATCCACAATGAAACAATCCTGGAGATGACGCGAAGAAACACGCGTGACCGTAAAGATCAATAATAGTAGTTTTGGGCTGAAACTCGGGGGGGGGGCTTTGTTCATCTCCAGCCCACTGGCTCCGGTGGTCAGCACTACTATATTGCTACGAATAAAAATTTTTAAGCGATCGTCTACCTTTGCATCGAGCATTTTTTGCTCGAGTGGCGCATTTGCTACCTTCTCCATGACAACTTTACCATCTCTTGTCGAGTCTGTAACTCTGTAAAATAATCAGGAAAACCACAGTCTTAGTATCGAGGCCCAATACAATAGGGCCACTTCATCGAATTTTTTCGTGCCACGCATATCATATTACGCGTTTGATTAGAATAGTGAGACAGGCAGGAAGTAGCATTTTCTGGAATGATGAAACGGCAGCCAGTAATCTTATCAATTATACATCAACAAGTTGCACAGCAAAGTGCTCCTTTCTATTCATACCTATACAGTGCCACAGAGTGAAAAGCTTCGTATTTTTTTGACGTGGATGTATTTGACTGGCAGATTTAGTTGTTCTAACATTTGTACATGCATGCTTTTCTATTCACCTGTACAAAGAAATCGGCGCGTTTTGTGTTTTTGTGTCGCTTCCTCCTTCACTGGCGTCTTTCACATCTTGAGGGCTACCCACGATTTCAAAGAACTTATGGGACGTTTGTGAATCTTCGCCAGATTCTGGGTCGTAAATAGATACATCAAATATGTTTTTTTTCGCCTAAATCAGGTGCGAAAGTCATTATCTTACCGACAAAAAAGAGACCACTTCTGCCTCCACGTTCTTCATCTCTAATCTGCCTCATCACTTCACTTGCCTAAACGGTAACAATGACGTCACGTTTGATCTCAAGTAAGGACTATGTTGTTTCACCAACCTTGATTCTCTCTCTACGGTTCGCATGTTCTCCAGACCACATAATCAGTTCTCCACCGAGATCCAAGATAAAACAATCGCCATCATTCATTGAAGACGCTTCACAAGGCACCTGTAACCGTGTGTGTTTTAATCGAAATTTAAACATAATAAACAATATGAAGGCAATTTTCTTATTCAAAACATCTGCCAAAAGACTGGACGAGATGAGATTTCGGCGAATCATTGACATTTTAAAGAGCGACGATGAAAACTGTTGAATACTCAACTGTATAAACTCGTGGGTGAAATCCACCTTTGATTTGCAATAACCTTTGAATGTTTTCCTTCTCGACATTTTTGAAGCCGGTTGCGACGCCACCTTTCAGATACTGGATGCCATTTTTAAAGTAAGATAGAAACTTCTTGCTTTCGTGCTCTTGAACCTGTAAGGCACACGACTGGCTTTAGTTTGATGAAAATATAGTATTTCGATGACGGGGGGGGGGGCAGAAATAAAGTTCAAATCACCTCTCTATATTGTACAGGAATTCCACTGAGACAGTCATCCAGCTCTACTGCTTTGATTGCTGCTGTACCAGCTTCATCCTACGACGACGTAACGTAATTACTACCCTTCAAGTGTACATTGACTCTATGTGTACGAATGTACAAATAAAAGCCTTGTTTTCCGTACCCTCGATGTGGTTTTTCCAAGCCAAAAATGAACGTTGTATTCCTTGGATCTTTTGTTTTTCTGCACACAAAAAAAGACGACCGTTTACGAGGATGTACGTTTGCATTTCTTTCAAAATTGCAACTACAACTAACGTAAAGTAAGATGTACGAATCTCCCGTATGAAAATGTCCGTATTCATTCTTGTCGAGAGCAACCACTTGCATTTGCTGCAACATTTGTATAGTAATAATTAAGTCGCCTCGCGAAAAATGGAAATTACGCGATCAAGTGCATTCTTCATGTAATTAAAACCTTGTATTAACAAACCTCGATCCGCCATATATGTATTCCATCTGGCTTCTCTTTTACTCCATGAAACGCAGGATCGACGACCAAAGGCATTTTCCGAACACTGAAGTTAGGAATGATACAAAGACGTTGAAGTTTCGAGACAATACTTCGTCTGAATTTTTGAATTGTTCTAGAAAGGTATAACAGAGAAAGATGTATTTGCATAACACAAACTGATTGTTCGATCTTATTAGCAATTCAAGTAGTCATGTAAAACCACCGTTTCTAACCTGCGTAGGCGTGTGGATATTTGAGCAAGCTTCAAGCACTCTTTGACGCCTATAAACACTTTCTTCGTCTCTTAATTGTAAATTATGAAGTTTTATCGACGTTAGGGCTGTAGTGTCGTTTCTATCCTACGTTAGGTTCCTCCCATCGCGCTAAAATTCTTATTTTCATATCCTCTCAGCATGGGAAACTTTCAAATATTCTGGGTAAACAAGTACATATTGACCTGACCTAAAATATTCTCACAAAACAGAACGACGCTTCTCTTCCACGGGTTGGAAAATACCAAGGCATTTAACACGATTATCAATATGACATATACATGCCAATCGATTGAAAGTTTGAACTTACATGTGTGCTTATATATTCAACAGATTGCTCATTGTAAAGTATAAGGATTATGTATTATTACTTTGATATCAAATGACAAGTCATGTTGAATCAAACTAATAAACACAGCAACTGCATCTAGTCGTCCAGCGTTTATGATATATATAATTTATAATAACGCATAATGCTATGGACTAAACAGAGAAATTTTGTGAACTGCTCGATTGTACAAAATATATTAAGTATGTACTTATTGAACTAAACACGAACAACTCATGACATGAATAAAATATGCTTTTTACCGATTAAATATTGTTTTGAATGTATGTTTTTATTCATTTTGTATAAGAAATGCACTCACCTTTCACCCTAGTGAAGTATTAACTCTCGAATATTATATATATAATGTATTTAGAATTAGAATTTTGACAAAGACAGCGCCCCCCAACAACACATAAGCTTAATTTATACACATTCCCAGGACAACGCTTTCGCCGTATATGGAAAGAAAGTAACCAATGGGATTGAAGAAATGCAATCACTCACGTTGCAACCACATGTGAAAGTTTCTAAGCAAAAATAAATGTTCTTTGACGTTGTTTTCAACATTCGATATGCTTGAGTGTATGTAAGTTATGATCGGATTGCTCACTTGCTAATTTGAAAAATTGCGCGTTGATCAGTTTGAGAAACTCGAGAGGCGTTGCTACTTGCAGCTTTTCTGCCGTATATAAAAATAACGTGCTATTGTGGAGATAATGCCTATGATTTCACTTGTACTAATGTTTGTTTCGCTTCAATGTGGCCATTCGAGGCTGAGCATTTACCAATTGTCTCAGTCAAATTAACGAAATAACGATTGAAATAATTTGTGATAATTGTCTGAACCTTACAATGTTAAATGTGAGTTGATATGACAGTAACAATTATTTTGCATGGGTGATTGTGAGATATTTCTAGCAAAGGCAGCACTTTGTTTTCTTTTCTGATTGTCTTATCCAGTGCCTGCTGTATTCGCCTGCCAGACAACTGACAATTTGTTACACTGAAATGCCATTGGCTAAATATTCCTGGCATGATTGGTTGAAATTTAATGGACGAAATTTTGGCGATGAATCAGCAATATGCATATTTGGCCAGGAAATTCAAAATGCGTTATTGAAGACCGCAAGGAATGATGGTTAGAGACCGTGAAACAGTAATTCGGACGCCATATTGAAAATTTGGAATAAACTCGCTGTAACTGTTTGTAACGCTTAAAGTAAACACAGATAATATCGCAGTACAATGAAAATGTTTCAAGCAACAAGATACTTTTCATCCAGGATGATATTTCGACGTCTTGCCACGTCTCAGGCTGAAGCAAAGCAATCGATGCCCGTATGTTAATTGCGACTTTATAAAGTAACTTTCCTAAAATGTTGCAAATTATAAGTAATAATGTGAATTTATTAATGAACTGTTTCTGATATTTTACCTAGAGTCCTGTTCAAGCAGTTTCTGTGTTTTCGATCATTAGTCTTGGAATACTGGGGCCTGCAATGTACATGTTATTAACAAGACCAAAATTTCATCAAGAATAAGCGAAATTTTTGTAAACTTTTGGACAATTGTACATTGCAATTGCAGTGTAATTTGATGATTAGAATAACTCCATTAAATTCTTATTGATTAGTGTAGAATTTTTGTTTGGTAAACTCTTGAACTGTAGAACATTTGTGGAAAATTAAGTTTTGATGAACATATGCATAAAGTACAGTTATCCTAAGCGTTAGGTCAACTTCAGTAGTGCAAACAATGTGCCTATGATATATGGACTATTCTTATGAATTTGCCTTTGCTGATACCCACATTTCCATCTTTGCATTTAAATTAGATGCAACTTACCTAATTTAGTAAATGTCATATAATGCATTCGCTGTGAAAGCTGTGAAAGCTTTATTTTATGGTTTTGTTTTATCATCATATCATAGACTCAACAGCCAATCTCTTCTTTCCAAACATTACTATGGGATTTGTTGAGTATCCAGTATGTCTTTATAGTCTTGAATGTTCAGCAGAGAGCATGACCAAACTTGTGTGCTGGCTCTGTCCTGGATGTTTAAACAATGTTGAAGCACCATTATTGTCAAATGCACTACTTTCAAAGTTGAAAAAACACCATTACACCATATGTAGATTTCAAAAGCCTTCCTATAATGTTAAAGCTTATCAGTATGCAGTATAACAATGAACACACCATTGGAACCAGGATATTTAGAGTAATAAAGGACTATTTCACCTTTCCATTCTTCAAAAGGGTTTACATGGATTTTGCAGTGAACTTAAGAGAACAAAGACATTTCTTGCGGATTTTACGCGTAGCAATTTTCGACCTCGTGTAGTGAATCGGGTGTAAAATGGCTGACGTTCGATGAATGAATTTAATTGTACCCTCGATACGTGCACGATCGAAAGTCTTTGTAGGTAATATCAAAGTCCTTTTGCAGTTGAATTGTAGCATACGTCAAGGAAAGATGCCTCCTAAAAAGAAAGAAGAGACGAAAACCACTCCTCTACTGGGCAGGATTGGTACTTCTTTAAAATGTGGTATTGTTGGATTGCCGAATGTAGGGTATGGTTGACCGCTCTTTGTTTGAAATTTTGTGGTATGCATTATAAGAGCAACCCGTGTTATTTCTGAAATACTTTAGGAAGTCCACGTTTTTTAATGTGCTTACAAAAAGCGCGGCAAATGCTGAAAATTTCCCGTTTTGTACAATAGGTATGGTAATACTATATTTAATTTTATGGTGTACTTGCAAATTATTGTTTACTAAATAGTTTATGCTGGTGCTGAAACGGCTATTGAAGTGGGATTTTTTTTGTTTTCTGATTTAGATCCAAATGAAAGTAAGTAATTGTCAAGTTGAACTGTTTACCTTGTGAATAATACTTGAAAAAGCTTCATATGGCGTTATGTGGCTTAAATTATTGATAAAAAGTCGAAGAGTCATTGAATGTAGGGGCTCAGTAGTTCACCTCATATTTTTTGATCAACTTTCATAATCATTGATATGAGTTTGAACTTTTAAGACAATATTAAATATTTTTGTAGGCCGTGTGCCTGTTCCTGATGAGAGATATGATTGGTTGTGTCAACATCATAAACCTGCAAGGTGAAGGCATATAATTTCCACAGGTGTATAATAACCAATTTTTTTATGCAAAAATGCTTAAATCGTTACAGTAAAGTACCTGCATTTCTTCTGGTCACAGACATTGCTGGTCTTGTGAAAGGAGCATCCGAAGGCAAGGCAAGGAGCATGTTAACTTGTGTTTGACTGTTGGTGTGTATATTTGAGAAAGTGAGCATTAAGTATTTGTTCGTTTCATTTTAGGGTCTGGGAAATGCATTTTTATCACATATATCAGCATGCGATGCATTGTTTCATGTTGTTAGTAAGTATATCAAGTTCTTGTGTTGTACATGGTCTTCTTATGTAGTCATCCATTGGTGATGACTGATGCTTTGCAGTTGGTCATGAAGAAATACATTTTGTAATATCATCAATCGAAGAAAATCATATGCCATCATGTACATAGTCTTAGCAAAGTTTGTGCAATGGTGTAATTTATCATAAGAAGGTGCTTGCTGAAGTGTGAATTTAGTCATAGATAATTGTGCAACAAAGTGTGATATGTCGAGGAGAGGTGTGTGCCAAAGTATTGATCAGCCATGTGATAAAGTAAATGGTTTGAACCCAGGAGTATCATTACATGTTTTGTAAATGTAGATCGTCCAGGTTGGTATAGTCCTGAGAAGGACTGTTTTTGTTGTTATTGACTGACGTTTGCTCCTCATTTGACTCTGAAGATGACTACCACTAAGGTTGTCGAAACGTCAGTCAACAACAACAAAAACAGTCCTTCTCAGGACTATACCAACCTGCACGATCTACATTTACAAACATGCAGCCACATAATGTTTATTAAACCTTTGTCACTCATTGAAAATGTTTGCTATGCTTGAATCTTTCATAGAGATGTTCTATTGTCCAGCAATTAATGCAATCAGTTATTAGCTACATACATCATGCAAACCAATCATCAGCCTAGCAATTGCGTTGTATGATATAATCCCCCTAAAAAGACAAATGCGTGAACGTGTGCTTACTATACGTACGTAATACCGTGAAAAATACCTTCATTGCAAGATTTGCTCTTAAAGGAGCCTTCGACGATGATGACGTCATCCATGTCGAAGATGATGTGAATCCTGTTCGAGATTTGGAAATAATATCAGAAGAATTACGTAAAAAGGTGTTTGATAAACTGACCGAACTGTGCAAATATTGATCACCTTTTCGTTATAACACTATAACTGTCCCTTTTCTAGGACGAGCAATTCCTCACAACTAGAATGGTGTGTGTTGTTATTTTGTTTGCTTTTTTTGTCTTTCTCGAAACGAAAACATCACACGTGAATATGTTTGTGTGTGTTCTTAGGAAAGTATGGAGAGAAATGCGTTAAGAGGTGGTGATAAAAAGGCCAAAGCAGAGTTTGTAAGTTTTTTTCAAATACCAACTGGAATAACGCGAGTAGTTTTTCTGAAGCGCGTTCATTTCTTGACGTACTGCAGGAAATCTTGAAAAAAATCCGTGACTTGGTTGCTGAAGAGAAGAAAGATGTTAGATTTGGCGTGTGGAACGCTAATGAAGTGAGTAAAAAATAAGTGAAATATTGGGTGTTGTTGCCCTTTAGAATGAAATCGGAATTTTCATATCTAACCTTTCCACATTCTCTTCACCAGATCGAAGTGCTTAACAAACATCTGTTGCTTTCTTCGAAACCTGTCATATACCTGGTCAATCTTTCAGAAAAGGATTACATTCGCAAGAAAAATAAATGGTACATTAGATGTTGCGTTCTTTAAAAAAATACCATCGTAAAGACTAGTGAAAAAGTTGGTTGAAATCTGGTTTATTTTCTTGCTTAGGCTTTTAAAGATCAAGGAGTGGGTTGATGCTAGGGATCCTGGTGCTTTGCTCATTCCCTTTAGTGGAGCATTTGAATCCAAAGTAGAGTCACAGTTTATTCATCATGGTCGTTTGATGATGATGAATGTTCTCATTGAGAATTTTTTTAGTTACTAGATATGCCAGACGATGATCGCGAAGCTTTCTTAAAAGAACAAAAAACATCCAGGTATTTTAATAACTCTCACTAGTCCTGCATGTAGATGTGAAATTTTTAATAATCCACCCTCGCGACATCCCCCCTTTGTAACTGGAGAACTCTGAAATTACCTGGAATGCTTTAAGAAAACCCGTTCATTATTGGTGAACTTTTTCGTCGCACGAAATGAGACCGAATTTGGAGTACTTACCAATTCTACAGTCATGTTTCCCTTGGATCAACATCTCCATTTTTTAAACTGTATAACTTGTGGGGCATTTGCCCCAGTATGCCTTAAGTTTACCACAGTGTAGTGAACTCTGATTTCCTAATATAATGACCTTGTCGTCCCTGTGAAGGATTAGTTTTTGATTTTAAATTGAAACATGTTGTTCGACAAATGGTTTTAAAGAAATATAGCCCGCCGTATCACAAGTTCACAAACATTACGCCATTTGTCAAAATTCCTTAAAAATGTCGTGAATATCTGTGACAACTTTGCCACTAGAGCCCATTCTTCTTGCCTACTCATTAGTTCATTTGTCTTCCCTAGCGCGTTAGAGAAAATCATTGTCACTGGTTTCAAGACGTTGCAATTGCAATATTTCTTTACTGCTGGCAAGGATGAAGTTAAAGCCTGGACCATACAAAAAGGAACGAAAGCACCACAAGCTGCGGGAAGGATTCATACGGACTTCGAGAAAGGATTTATAATGGCTGAGGTAGAACTGTCGTGGTTACCGTTTCTTATGTTAATGTATGAGTAAAAACGCGTTTCTTGTGTATGTAGGTGATGAAGTTTGATGATTTAAAGGAATTGGGAAATGAAAATGCCGTGAAGGTAATCATCTTCAACTACATATGAGTAGGGGCAATAATTCAATAGATGACAAAGATTGTAAATTTTACGACGGTTTTGGCATGCCCCACCGTTCATTATAGCAAAGTAGCCAATATACAACCATAGACATTACACCGTGGACAACAAGTGGTCCTTTAGACTATAGCTTGGTCAAGTTATAAATATATGTAAACTGGTGTGCCCCCACCATGTGTAAAAGTAAAGTAGTCAATACACAACCATAGACATTACACTGTGGACAACAAGTGGTCCTTTAGACTAAAGCTTGGTCAAGTTATAAATATATGTAAACTGGTGTGCCTTCACCATATGTAAAAGTAAAGTAGTCAATACACAACTATAGACATTACACCGTGGACAACAAGTGGTCCTTTAGACTATAGCTTGGTCAAGTTATAAATATATGTAAACTGGTGTGCCCCCACCATGTGTAAAAGTAAAGTAGTCAATACACAACTATAGACATTACACCGTGGACAAAAAGTGTTCCTTTAGACTATAGCTTGGTCAAGTTATAAATATATGTAAACTGGTGTGCCCCCACCATGTGTAAAAGTAAAGTAGTCAATACACAACTATAGACATTACACCGTGGACAACAAGTGGTCCTTTAGACTATAGCTTGGTCAAGTTATAAATATATGTAAACTGGTGTGCCTTCACCATGTGTAAAAGTAAAATGGTCAATACACAACTATAGACATTACATCGTGGACAAAAAGAAATTTGCTTACTAAAATCGTGGACAACATCAAGACGAGACTATAGCTTGTGATAGGATTCATCAAAAATGTTTTTATTCGCCATAACGTCGATGGATGTTCGCCTTGTCGTTAATGAATTAAAATTAAATGTATAAAAATTAAAATGAAATGAATGTGCGAAACATTTTATGACTGATTCAAATTCCAAGTCAGAAGGCTGTGTTTTTTTTGAAACTTTGCACTATCCCCTCGTATATCTAGTTATACGACTGCTTTCTTTTCCTTTTCTTTTTACTAGGCGGCTGGCAAATATCGTCAAGAAGGGAAAAACTATGTTGTACATGACGGTGATGTCATATTCTTTAAATTTAACGCCGGTGCTGGACTGACTGATAAGAAAGGAAAGAAATAGCGTCGATGAAAGCGATCTGTGGACGTTTTGTTGATGGCTGAATTTTACCACGGTACACACCTAACTTCATCTAGACAATAAATAGAATTTTAAGTTTAGGTGATCAATTATGACCATCCACTTTCAAGCGCTGAGAATCGACTCGCGTGCGCATTAAACTCGTCAATTTCATGCTACTTATGTGTCGTTTCTTGGGAATAAATTTTTAAACAAAAATGACAAAAATGAAGACGGTTTGCTATTTCGCCCAAGAATCGATCGGCATCTCCAGTTGCACCTATAATTACCTTGAACATATGGCGATGCATTGTATGCTCTGGATTGTCTATGTTACAATTTGTGTTTATCAAACATGTTTGCGATAAACGTAGACTCCGAGATGCCGTCTTAGATTATAGACATGTTAACTTCAGGATATTTTTAATAGTTTTAGCCACATGATGCAAGCTATCGAAGCAAGCTTTCTGTGGTCAGATTTCTGCACAACGTTTGCATAATCCGCGCGTTTTACAAGGCGTCGACCAATAGATTGACGCGTGCTTTACAGTCTGTTTATAGAAAAAAGATCTTTGACCAATAAAAGCGTCTTTTAAACTTAATGACAACCATTCGCAGACTTTCAGACTGGGTTTTTTTTTATCGAGTGATCGTTCTATTTCAAGTGCGAAACTGAGTTTCTTACAGTTTCTTTCACGTTTTAATTGAAAAGAAAGAGTCTCTTAATTACCTAACAATTACCCTGTCGTGACAGGAAAAAGGAAAGAAAGTGCACTTATAGCTTTTTAGTCATAATGTTAGAGCACTCTTAGCAACCGTTAAATGTACACCAGCGGCCACTGTATTCTAGAATGTCAAAGCACCTTTTTTTTTAAAACAGGCGTTCATTACGAGGCGCATGCTTGTTAAAGACTTCCACTTTCGGTTTCAGCAATTTATCATTGTGATATTTCACGCACAAACATGGCGATGGAACTCCAACCGTTGTTTAATCTCTCGTTATTAAAGCATTCGTTTAGCTAGGAAGATTAGAGTAATACTATTTAAATCGCTATTAGCACCTAGCGTGAATTCTCTGCCGATCGTACAAAATAATTTTCCTGGTCATTTTACCATCTTATATTATAAAGGCTTTACACTGTTTCTTAGCTGGCAACGCGACTTTAGAAGTGAAAGATAGTTTTCGTGAGGATATGTACTTTCAGCAGCCAAAATTCAATGCGTATTTTTCTCTGTAAAGCCGGAGGGTTGTTATTGGCATGTTGTGGACAGTTTAATTTATCTGAATATGATAGCCCGGAAATGTCATTTCGATGTTCGTAAGGTATTGATCGCATTTTGAACGGAACACGAGTTATTGCAAGTACTCTTAGCCTTCTTGAAGTGAAGACAAATACATTCCAGAAGAGAGTAAAGGAGAGGAAAGAAAGCTTTTGCCAATCTCTGAAAGAATTTCTCGTGCGTATGGCATGGAATATACGTCATTCCAGCTTATTACGATAATTTTACTGTCGCGCATCACTTTCCATAAAGGGAATTTTTCACATCATTTGGATGTTTCTATCATTTTCCTATCATTTCCATCATTACATGCAAGAACCACAGACGAGTTAAGGGAGCAGTGGTGTTTGTAGAAAAGCGGGTAGAACAGTCTTTGCACTGCCCATTGCCTGCGCAACATATGGGACTAGATCTAAGATCTTGTGCGGAAATTTGTCTGTCCGTCAAATGGCAAATTTGATCGCCGCTTCCATAAAAACAACATCCATGTTAAGTTGTGTTTGTTTGACACTGTTACTGACATCTTTCGGAAGGCGGTATTATTTAGGACATATTGCTTTTCTATCTATCTGCAGTGTTGATTTAAGATATGCAGTTTGCTTCCCTCCAATTAACATTGGTTTGCATTTGCACATCTTGTTCGGACAGATTCATTATGGAAACCTTCCAGTAGAAACTCTAATGGCGAGTGCTTAGTCATAGGAATGCCAATATGCAGCTGAAATGCTATACCTAAATTCATAGAACGCGAATTTTTCTTCATACATAGTCCTGGTATCGCAACATCTTGATACGTTTTGCGCAAAAGTACAAATGTCGGCTTCTTGTTTTGTTGCATATATAGCCTAAGGATTAAATCGTGATTTGCATAATCCTCGCAAGGCTTTTGGTTTTCTTCAATAGAATCGTATGTTGATGTTGATGCGATCAGAGTTGATGTTGAGTGCTTCTAGGCAGAGATAGTCGTCAGTTAGACCTCTAAAGAGAAGGAATGTCGACGTTTTGTCCATTTTCGAAAGTTTTATTTGTCTCTGGAAGGTATTAATTTTAGCAACTGAGCGAACTTAGCTGGATGCGTATTATTGGCGCCATTGCACTTGTGATTAAAGAGCTCACTATTGTTCTTTGGCTGCTTTACAAGATTTGTCTTGCTCACGGAAATTTCACTTTGCTGCGCATTTTCATTATGCCACTTCTCTCGCACGAAATCGTCTTCGGATATTCCAAATAAACACAACAAAACGATATATTAATCAATATTTCTTAGTCGTTAATGCATAGTTACGCGTTAATTGTCCAAGTGGCGAAATTGATGTTGTGCTTTGATGTTACCGCCTACTTGATTGTGGTTTCTTTAATGTTTTCGTAATTACACAATTCGCATATCGATGCGATTATTTGAGACGAGCTGTCGTGTAAATATCGCATATTCTTTACATTTTGCATCGTAAAGCGAATTGCTGCCCGGTTATTATAGGCGCGCAGTATTACCCTAAATGATTGACAGTATTATCTGAGCGTCATGCGTTGGGGTGGATGGAAAGGCGGGTCTTTTTAATTAGTTTTTGTTGTACTCGTATGCACCTTGCCGGTATGACACGTCTCGAATATCTTTAATAATCTTATAGTGTTCAAGCATTCTCCCACAACAGCGCACATATTGACATAGTCTCTGCGATCATTGACCATTATCGGAACCATAAAGGCAAGTGCTGTTTGTTCGTGTACGTTGCTTTCACAAACCGCGATAAGAGGATGATGAATTTTCATCCCTCAACACACTTCGGCGAGATGAAAGCGGGCGTATTGTCGAGCTGTTTCTATACTAACGCTAAAAACGTTGAACATTAGCTTCGTAATTGTTATGCTTTTGTTAGTAACACAAAGCCGATTTGCGAGAGGTCTTTCTTATTCTAATAGGGCGGTCTCTTTGCTCTCGACTGACAACCCCCTCAAACAAGTGTTGAGCATTGGGCGGTAAATGCGAGACGAATATAATGGACATGCGAATCATAACGTGTGCCCTGTTTACATGGATGCAACCAATGAAGGCGAGGCGGCTCTTCGTGCATCGCTTTGATGTATGGAATCCAATTATAAAATGCCCTCTCATTTGCTGTTAGTCATTAGTTCGCCGCCTATCTGACCGCCTAAATCATCATATCATAATAGGCCTTTATTTGCGATAACAACATATTTTACTAAGCACCTCTCAACTTTGGGCACCACCTACACTTATTAATTGCATGGCGGTGCCCTTTGAACAATTATGAGTGTCTGCAAGGAGACAGCTGAAAGAAGCTGCGCCTCGAAATATTTTTGTCATTCCGTCTGCGACGCTCGTTCCGACAAGAACGGCACGAAAGACAAGAACCTCGCTTTATAATGGCCGCAGTGATTCTACCGAGACCGGAGCTTGTTCCACTGCCACGAGTAAGTACTCCTTATTGCTGCTAGGCAATCTGGGATTTGTCTACAGTTTGCGAAAGTGAAATTATTTAGCATACATCTTAGCTCATTGCTTTCAATTCTTCATTATTGTAGGAATACACAGCGAAGCCATCTCCTTTGGCGATGCTGGCAGCGACTTGTAGCAGAATTGGAGAGACACCAAGCATCTATCAAGCCAGCGCAGACTGTCGAAGTAAACTGATACCTCAATGTTATGGGGGAGAGAAATTGTTCCTTCAACCTCCCCCTACAGTCACACCACATTACAGCTATTTGGAAAGAAATCTTCCACTTACACCTCCTCCTGAAGGACATTGTACACCATTCACAGATTACCATGGTAAAACTTTACTTCCACCAGCATTTCAAATTGCCTCGTCACCTTGTACCGCCACTGGACTGCCGTATTTTCCTATTACCCATCCGTGTACTCCAATACAAGGATTACACGGTCTTGCTTACGGGAAAAACGACAGCAAAGGATTATCGTGGTGGAGTGTTGAAACAACGAAATCACTACCTCGTATGCCACACAGCTCAATTCCTAGTTGGTCATCTTCTTTAACTCCTGTCTCGTCTTCTGTTAGTCCTCTTTCTAATCTGGCGTATACGCCAAGTCAAGTTCCAGCCACAAGACGTTGTAGACGTTGCCGTTGCCCGAACTGTGTGAACGCAGCAAATACAGGCAACCCAAACAAGCGCAAAGAACATATTTGTCATATACCGGGTTGTGGTAAGGTATACGGTAAGACTTCTCATCTCAAAGCTCATCTACGTTGGCATTCCGGTGAAAGACCTTTTGTTTGCCATTGGTTGTTTTGTGGCAAGAGTTTCACGCGCTCTGACGAACTTCAAAGACATCTACGCACGCACACCGGAGAGAAACGCTTTTTGTGTAGCGAATGTGGTAAACGATTTATGCGTAGTGATCACCTTAGGAAACACCAAAAAACGCATCAAAACAAAACAAGGGTTGAGAAAGCAGAATTTCAAACCACTGAAACTAAGAATTCTGAAGATCCGAAAGTCACAAGCTAAGATTTAATCAAACAATAAAAGATAGATTGTGTTTTCGGTGTCAACGTTTAACGTAAGGCTGTAGTCACTGCAGTACAACACCGAATTTCAGGAATTTAATCTCCTGTCCGATTCAGGTCTGTCTTTGAATCATACGATACAATGTTAACGAGACAGCAAGCCACTGCTTATTGTGGACATGTATATAATTGAATGATATAATGTTATTTGCCCGAGGGGGATGAAATGAATTCTGTAAAATACTTGATAAATTTTTACTTTGTTTATAATGAAAGTTATATTTAAATAGTTAATAATTCACGCAAAGTTTTCGTAGAAGAAAATAAAGAAGATTCATCTCGACTCGTTGTTTATCTTTCATTTACTTTATTTTTATCATGGTATCTGTGAATCTAAGCTTTATTTTGTGAGGTGTAAACTTATACATAGTATATTCTTCATTAGGGTATTTATTTAGTCATTTTTTTGCCCCTAGTTTAATGAATGTACTTCATTGGTATTGACAATAATATCCAGAAGTGTTCAGTAGAAAATTCGAAGTCTTAAACAGAATGAAATTAAAGTGCTTGTGGGCAGACAACTGTTCAGTATTCTTACACGGGCCTCATTCTTCTTGAACTCATGGAACTTCAAAATTGATTGGTGTTGCACGATTGCTAAATCGACGGGGCATGCTATGTTGATCCGTGAACAGTACAGTTGAGTTCTTCATTCTTCAATTTCATGGAAATTGTCGTGAGCTTGTATCAATACAAAATGTGAAAAAAACTATTGTATCTTCATGCAATGAGGGATGAAATCTCGGGAAGGATGGTCTACAGCTTGACTCGTTGCACATGATGTTCCATTAATTAAAAATAATAAAATTGTCAACTGACTTGCATATTAGACTTGATCACCGCCAAATGGAAGGAGGTTATTATAAAGATATAATATGTTTACATGCTGAAAAGCCTGAAATACCAGCTTTACACGAATAGTTTCAAAATTTCTAATGAGCGTATTTTAAATTGCTGAAGTTTTTTCAAAGGAATTGCCATTTTCCCAAAACGTCTCAAAGCCTCACAATTCAAAAAGAGAGAGAAGTTGTGTCGTCTATTTTGGCGTAAAAGTGGCGTCTCGCCATAATTGTCGACATTTGCATTTCACATTGTGCACTTTTTGTCTTCGTAGAATCAAATTGACGATGAGTATTTTATATTGAAAAAGTTTGTGCTTTTTATAATAATTTGAAATGGAAACCTTTGAATGTCATCGATATTTTGGGTAAGTTTCAGGTATCGTTGTAAATTCTATGCCATAAAAAACCCAACCACCTGATGAAGACCGTTTTCAAAATGGCTGCAAGTTTGCGAAATGTTTTCCTTCGCCATAAATATTTTCGCAGGCCAAACTGGCCTTACTTACTCAGAACTTTCTTTCGGTAATTTAATTGTCGAAGAGAAATCTCCATACTCAGCAAATTGTATTATACTGTCTGTGGTATGGCTTTGTCTCATAAGAATAGTGTTTCCAAGTATTTGTTGTGCAGAATAGCTGACATTGTCACCAATTTTCCATTTGTTTATCAATAATTAACCGTGCAACTATCAATAGATTACAGTCTAGAAAGTTTTCATTCTTTCATCCCTAGACGTAAACACGTTCTTTTTTTATTTGAACTAACATTTTTATCATACATCAAATATCATAATACCCTAGTATGATTACTTTTGTATGAGTTTTATGGATTGCAATCTGCAAATTTTCAATTTTGTGTCTTCTCGTATTCAGTGCGGTTTATAAGTACACAATTACAAAATAGAATACGTAAAGAATCGAAAACAGAAATTGAAAAATACTTAACTCGTAAAAAAAAACGAGGCTATTTTCAATTTCTGGCAACCCAGTTGACCTAACCTCTTTTGAAAATAAAATAGAGAAATGAGAAGATCTGGGCAACGAAATGTGGCCATCCTGAATGACAGGATGGCTTAAAATCGTTTTGGTAAACTCAAAGTAGGACACTGTATTATTTCTGCCGCTTTGTACAACTCAATTTGCTTTGCGTGATAATGACCAAAATAAATTAATTTAAACGACTGGTATTTACCGGTATGATAGAAAGATGTTTTATCTCAAAAACGAGTTGTTGACGACACGCTGTCTATTGATCGCAATTATGCTCTTCACGACTCTCAAAATGTCTCCAAACTTTTGTCTTATGCGCTTTTGTGCAGGTGGTAGTTCGTGTTACCTACATGCCGCGATACGTTTGTTGCACAAGCAACCGATTCCTTCATGGTTGTCTCTTGTGCTATTGTTGGACATGACAACATTTTCAATCACGTTTACTTGCTTCAGCTACGTTTTCGTCTTCCTTGTTTACCTGTAAGTGCGTTTTCAGGCCGTTTGTGGGTGTTCGTTTGTATATGTTTTAGTTCTGCATTGTGGTTAGCAATGTTTGCTAAGTTCAAGGTCGCCTTTGTCGAGCTATGACTCGAGGCCAAAAAAATTGAAAGGTATTTCGCTCTAATTAAAGAGTATTGAATGATATTTATGTCTTCAACGCCATAAACATTTAATTATACTCATTACATAGTCTGTATTTGTTTCGATCACCCCTCCTCCCAGCATGTTGTCTCTAATGTTTAGTTTCGTGGCAATCTTTTGGAAAGTTTGATTGGGGTACGTAAATCGTATTTCCCTTGGTATCATAAGGATTTTCGCAGGAGTGGAGGAGGATTTGACCAGTGCATACGAAGTTGTCGGTTTCGAGATCCTTCTAAACAAGCACTTTCATATTTATATTGAAATATTCCAGAGCAATACTTATTCTGTCACCAAGCAAATATGCCATGATTTCAATATGTTTGTGAACTCGTTTATAATTTACATATTTATTTACAAATAAATACATCCTGTTCGCCTAGAAGTCACACATCATCTTGGTTTTAAAACATACAATTTCATTTATTATGTTCACTCTGTTTTGCCTACAGTGACAGGCTCCTCGCGTTCATCTTGTGAGCCATGTTCGCCTGTTTTATCGTAGCTCGATCCATCTTTATCCTCGTGTGTCTTGTCATTACTTCCCTTCTTGCTGTTGCCACTGTGTGTCTTGACATGCTTTGATAAATGATCGCTTCGCATAAAACGTTTGGAGCAGACAGGACAAGCAAACCGTTTCTCTCCTGTATGCGTCCGTAAATGTCTTTGCAGCTCGTCAGAACGAGTAAAACGTTTCCCGCAGAATAACCAGTTGCACACAAAAGGCCTTTCACCCGTATGCCAGCGTAGATGAGCTTTGAGATGCGACGTTTTTCCGTAAACCTTACCACAGCCTGGAATATGGCAACTGTGTTGTGTTTTCTTTTTGAATGGTACTCCCAACGCTCCCAGCCGCTCGTTCTCTTGACAGTTGGGACAGTCACATGTTGTTCTACCTGTGTAACGCCTTGTCGCTCTTTGACTCGTCATCGGAGTTGCCTGGATGTAAGGTGCCGTAGATGTGATGTACGTCGGTGGATCTATGTACGTTGGTAAGTTGGATTTGTGAGATTCTCGCGTATAAGGAGATGGGAGTGGCGACGATGGATAGATAGTACCAATTTGAGGGGTTCTGGTCAGCATACTTCTTGCTTTAGACGGTTGGTACTCGGGATAACCTGGAAATTGGTTCAATCTATGATGGGCACCACCGGGTGACAGTGGCTCTAACCAACCACCTGTTGCTGCTGTATGAACATCCCAGAATGATCCACCGGGTTGTGGTGTTTCAAATCTTGTCGGCGTTTTAGATGTCGGACTCTCCTCTCCAAGCGAGCATTGATGAGGTGAATGAAGATTGAAAAGCAGCTCGGGAGATGTGTGGATTCTTGCTACTGCTGGTCCATTGTAATTCTCTGTTAATCCCAAATGTATCCCATTCATACCGTAACTTGTTGCCCTACATAACTCAGGCCTGTGGTCCAAATTTCTCGAATAAGTTTGATATGGATTAGGTGCGAGGACAAGCGATGGATCTTTGGGTATGGCAGTGTTGATCGAAACCATGGTTGCTGCGGTGTTTTCAGTCTTGCAAGGATGAAATCTCTTTCCTAGTGTAATTTCAGCTAAAGGCGGCGATGTCTGTTGTCCAATTTTGCTGCAAGTCGCAGCTAGCATAGCCAGCGGTGTTGACGCTCGGGCTTGTATGACTGCTGCCGTTGTTCGTATATTTGACACACCGGTTTCACACAAACGACGATCCTAAAGAGCACGGAAGGAAATATGCAAAAACATGTCTGTGGCAAATCATCCGTTCTCTTAAGTCATTCTTCTCAAAGCATTATTTCTATCATAACCGCCTATCTCAAGTGGGCAGGAATTAAGTTGTTCATTGGCGTGAACAAACGTATAATGAATAAAAACAATATCTATCACGCTTTGTACAAGACGCGTACTTGCTGATTTCCTTCGCCTTGCTGTGATCTTTTTATGGAAATTTTTACTTTTGATGTGTTTTTATTACCTCAGTACAGAAGAATCGTGCACAGTTGGTATAGTACATACAGTCACAACTGTCTATAATTCCCGCTTGACTTAGAGAGTACGTAGCAGATCAGACTAAAGTATATATTGAATATGATGAAAAATAACCATGGTGTAATAATCAACGTATTTTTACAATCCTATTATTAGACAGTAAAATGTTTTTAAAACGGTTGCGACCATCAATTCTTTTACAAGGTGAAGTTAAACATGCATGCATATTTGGATTTCATATCATTCTTTGCATTCGTCTCGAATTTGCATCTCGATAAATTTATTCATATATATATGAAGTGATGTTGAAAAAAATCACGAAAACTACAGTTTCATCAACATCACTACATATATTTACGCTCTGCTCTCGCGCATTGAGCGCTGTTTTACACGGAGAATCATCACAGATAAACTTCCTATATATTTATATATATATAACGTCTGCCAATGCCCTAGCTCAGACATCGTTAATGCAATGTTGCCGTTGACCTGACTTAAAAAAAGAATCAACTCTTTCGACTCGCATATAAGTCTTGAAGAAGTGCATGATCTTAGCAATTTTTGTATTCCAAAATGATCCTTCGACCTTCGGTGTTCGTCGCATACAGCCTAGAGCTTTGCACGATTTTGTTCACTAAACAGTTTCCTTTTTCACTGTTGGAAATTTTGAAAAGGACAATTGACGCAAGCGTCGTGAATGAAAAGCTAGATGCACAAAACTCAAACCAATAACCACAAATAATGAAATACCAGACATTACTCCCATTACGTGAAAACCGCTTTTTGGCTATCTTAAACCAGTATGGTCTGGCGAAGGAAATTTGTGGCTATTTGGTGTACGTAAAAAATTGAAATCACGACATCTTCATCTTGCTTACATAGAAGGTCTATATTGGTTAGAGCTAAGTATATTGACATGCAGCCAACAGGTTTGACTACCATGATTGACAACACTCTGCCGTGGGTTGCATGCTGATATAAAAGGATTTCTCGTTTAATCTACTTTTGGCCCCGAGATTCATAATGTAATATCACCTTTGTTGTAAAACCGAGTGTGTATTTTGAAAAATAAGTCCGCATGTCTAAAACCTTCAAACATATACACGAAGATGCCTGACATGTCTAAACTGTCGTGTGCTTAATACACCGTACAGGACTACTTGGAATATTTACAGATTGATAAGCCATTGGAGCTTTACGTAGTCGACATAATTATATAAAGCCTATAAAAATACAATAGCTACCATAAGATAGATGAAATCCCGTCATCGTTCTTTCATTTATCTTCAAGCAGTGAACCCTGCTGTCAGTGCAGCGGAGGAATGACTGTATGATCATCACAACAGATATGATTCACTTTGTTATGCCGCGCGTTTCAACAATGTCCAATCAAATTAGCGCCAACGTCTTGTCTCAATACAAAAACGTATATTCACACAAATACCTCAATGGAAGTCTGTCCTTACTTAAGGACATGTTTTTTTTTGTCGCATTGAAAACATGTACCATTTTTTTACCATGTGACTGCATGAGGTGTCTAACCTCGTTTATCTGTATAGTAACACATTGTATTGCTATGTTATGCTTCAATACATTGCACTCGCTCCTTTTGAAATTCTTACAATCTTGCGCAACGAGAAATAATGATTATATTCATGAATTCGTGCCCATCATTTTCCTTCGTCTAAAGACGATCTTTTTCCTCGGTCATGCAGCGTGCCGATATTGAAGCGAGGGAACTAGGATGGAAAATTCTGCCATTTCTTATGTGGTATTTCGATCTTATCTCTAAAAAATTGCCTTTATGATCGTTGAAAATTGAAGGGTAGAAAGGCGTTACGAAATTGCGATTATTTCATGAATAGCTGAGAAAATAATAAATATATTTTTTACTTTTGAGGATATCTATGAACCAAAATATATTGACGATGTATATCTCATTGAATTGACGCCCTTTTTCTCGGAGGATAGCTGCATGTTTCTGCTGTGGATGAACGGTTGGCTTAGTGTATATATTCTTTTCTCGAGTGGGTGGGCTAGATGGGCGGTTAGGGGCCGTCCTCATGGCCGGAAAGGGTTTCTGCTTTACAACCTAAATCTTTAAGTTTGTGCGAAGTGATAACTAATATTATAGCGTGGTGGGTGTAACATTGTTAATATATACTTGCCTGTTGTTAATTTTTAGACTTCATCTCGTTAATACGACCAGTTTGGTAAACAAACGGTCATGCTTGTAGATTGCTTGAAAATGATGTCAATTGCTGTAACAAACTCTTAGCGGTATGGTGCATATTTATACATAGACAGAGGTTCTTTTCTTTCTCATTGTTCTGCATAAATTCGCTGTTTTCATTATCATTTTTTCTTGATAAACCATCCTGTGTTGATATATTGTCTTTTAACGCATTCGTGGTGAGCTTTTTTTGGCAAAAGAGTTTAGGATTTTGTTCATATATATCATCGTGCAAAGACCGCGCATCTTACCTTTCGCTCTATACATGAAAGGAAATTTAAAACAGCTGCGTATGTGTTATCATGGCACAGAAGACATTGTTTCTACCGCCATCAGTAATTCATTGCTCTCATTTTGTCGCCTAATGTTGACCGTTGACATATGGTTATCTAACCAGCTTTCGTTTATACAACTATATATTGCATGCATACAGTGCATTTGCGCTCCTTTTGGGCGGTAGTCTTATCTCATTTTAAATCATCTATATGTTTTACATATATCCACTGTTTTCATGTGTAGTATTATATTGTATAGTTCAAGTGATTCTTGAAACATCGGTAAGCACCCATGTTATATTGAAGATCATAATCATAAAACTTCAAGCAACAAACTTTAGAATTTCTCGTTCAATTATTTCATATAGCCTATGCTTACATAATATGCTCATTATGTAGCTGTTTTTATGAACGGTATGTTCAAAAATTTAAGAAAATTAAAGATCACAATTATAACTTTATTATAGCAAGAAACTTTAAAATGTCTTCCTAAAACCTATTTCATATTTTATCTATGCTAAAAAAATATGCTTATTATATAGCTCATTTCATAGTATAATATGTTCAAACATCATTAAAAAGGCATGTTAGTATTGAAAATCACAATTATATCTTTTAGCAAGAATATTTAAAATGTCTTCTTAACATATTTCATACAATATATGCTCAATAAGTTCACTGTTTTTCATTAATAGCGTATCGTTATGAACATAGATATTGGTAAAGATCTTTGGTATAGTATTGGAAATTACTATTAAACCTTTGAGCAAGAAACTATTGTCTTCCCAAGTATTGACATTCATCATGATCAGGCTAACCATGTAGTTCCTAAAGCATTCTGGGCAAAATTTGTTTGCTTATGGGTACCTTGGCTTCACTGTGACTTATTTTCCGTAGGCATCACTCTCCTAGCAAGCTTTCTTTTTATTTTTACTGGTTCATCGCAGTGTACATGTTCTCTTTCGTAGAAGATTTGCTTTGATTGGATTATAGCTGTCGTACGATTTCGGAATGAATGATTTTATATTTTTATATTTTTGTACCCGCGTGCATGCATATCATACACACACATTTTAATTTTGATATTTACCTATTGACTATTGCGGCATATTCAATGTAGTTCAAATTAAAGATACTTTGATTGAAGTTTGAAGAGCAAGTAGAACAGATTTTTTTGTCACTCCACTCATCCAATTAGATCATTACATAAAAAAAAAGACAAATCTTTGCCACAGATCAGATTGTGTTCAAATGAAAATTACAGATTTACGCATTCAGTTTTCTTTCCTGATAAAAATTGGCGATCGTTAAAACTATACCCGAGTTATCAACCATCTCTTTGCTGGCATATCGGCATATATATATATACATATAGTACATATATAAATCGTGCAATTTGTATGCTTTTGTGAGTTGTGCTTTCTATACAGACTCTTTACATTAAACCATGCGTACATGCAATTTCGCTATATTCATTGATTTGCGAATTATAGACACTGTCTTTAAGCTAAAAGTGCATTTTCTAGTATATTGATTTTGTGGTAATATCTAATAATCTCAGTTCTTAAGCCAAGCTAGCAATCATAGCAACTAGCAAACTCTACAACACTATTGTTCGTGCAAGAACAAAAAGTCCTTGTTAAGAAGTCGCAACAAATCTCTGCTATCTATTCATGTACAGCGCAGTTAAAACTGTAATTCTTTGTACGAATAAGTCAAGGCGAATTTCTACCTAATTTTTAGCGCATTACCGTCTATATAGCTATTACTATTGGAAAGCAAACGATGAGAGATATTGGGGTTGTGCTATATTTTAGTCATGGATCTACAGTATAAATGATATAAAGAAAGGATGTGTTATTATGAAAAAAAATGACGAAGAAGACAATGATCAATTCAGTCATAAGCAAATATTTTGTCAACTTTGTAATTTCATTTGTACCTGTACACAGCAAATCATCTCATTGTGTGCCACACATATCGTTGTTGGTCTACCGAAACCAATACTTTGAAAGGTTTCTCCTGGAGCACTATGATCTTAAGTCCGTTTGTGCCCGAATGTGATTTGTTTTTGGATCAGTTGAGGTTTGCCGGTTGGATGAGAGACGAAAGAGGGAGACGAAAGGCGTGCTCTGTGAAAATTACCACCAAATTCTCAAATTGATAGATTTAATATAATTCGCTTTGATGTCACCGACCGAACTTGATTGAATTGTTAAAGGCATAATATTTATGAAAACATTTCCCAACTACCTGCAGGTGAACTTCTATCGAAATTTAGCGTGTGTTTAAAAGGCATCAGCATGCGATGACAATTTTCCTACTGAGATTTAACTGTTACTGTGATTTGCAGCGGATCGTGTATGCGTTCTCGAGTACCTTTATCTGACGTGCATGGCCTTGCATTTGTCATTGTCCATCTTCACACTGCACTTGTAATTTCCATTATAAATATGTCATTATGTAAAGTCTGCCCTAAAGCTCAAGTGTAAAATGAGTGAATGAAGAACAGATAGTGCCGAGAGTTGTTGTTTTTGCGCGCTGAATTTAGATAGTTGAGCCTCGATGGCACTGTAGACAGGTATCTTCTCATGCTGCGCCATCTCCACAGGCATTAAATGATATCTATTACCCGAAATTGTTTGCATATTGTATGCAGAGTCGGCAACTTCTAAAAGCCGATTGTTTGCACTCGCAAACAGATTAGCGACGATAAGCATCTATTAATCAAGCTTAACAAATGTTCTCGTTGTTTCAAAGTCTCTGGACCCGCCGTGATCAATTCTATTTGGACTGGCCATGAGTGGCAGATTACTGGCGCCTACAACACGCGTTTAATTATACCTGAGTAACCCGACCGCTGTGAAGGGGCAATTGTAAGAGGCAGTTTTGAGTTATAACTACAAGACATGGCATTGTAATGGACAATGCTAGAGAAATCCTAACTGCTACCTACATAGATGAACTCGTGTTGCTTCATAATTATAATAATGTTTAACATTTGCAATGTGTCGAGATTTAAGTTTTTAAGCACCTTTTTTTCTTCCGATGGAAGTACATGTAACTGGCTAAAAAGGATTTTGATCTTTTGTTCGTGTGTAAAACTTCAAAATGAAACAAAACGTAGCGAATTGAACGATTTATAGCAAAAATTTACCGACTCGTTAGCAATTTTAGCCATGCTGTTTTTACTTTTTCTATACACACATATACATGTACCAGCTTTTCAATTCTATAGAGCCTGTTTCATCTTTATGCGGTCGGTTCAACGCAAACCCAAGCTACTATATACATAATGTTACCTTTGCGGCACATTATGATGTAAATAATTTATGTGTTCATAGGAGTTTGGATATTTCAATGGACGTCAATTAACCACTTACGTTCTTTTCGATACTTCAATTGTAAAGTTGGTGGTGTAAAGGGGAAAACTTTTAATTTGGGATCGACCACTTCAACTGCGAGAGTTAAAGTATTCCACATTCCATGTGGAGTTTTGTCGTCTGATTATCTGTCTGCCCATGCTCCGTTTTGGCGACCTCCAAAATATGTAGTGTAATTTAGCTTATTAGTATTTGAGAACATTTTGAAAAACATAATGACATTTTGTCATTATGTTTGCTGAAAAAAAATATTAAAAAGAGTATCTTACCTCAAAGTTGCCGTATATAATATGACAGCCTTTCACCTGCGTGTCAGGCATTGGAAGTTGGCTGCGAGTTATGGCCCTATAATTATACTCAGAGTACCGCGCAGATAAATGAAATGCATCGAAATCAGTAATGATTCATTTTATAAATCTCGTTTTTAATGTCGCACTGATTTACTTGTCACCAATGCTCATTTATGAACACGGCCGCGTTTCAAAGTTCCGTGATTTGATGATCATACCAATATCATTGCTTGGAATATTGTAGTTTTGTGTTGTACACAAGACATCTTTTCTGTGAATTGTTCGGATATGCATGGAGGAATATAAATATCTAGCTACCGAAAAAAAATTTTCTCGTTAGTGCGTCTACTATATATGACCAAATATGAAGTGTGTAGATTCCATTCGGTATTGGTGTTGTCGTCAATCACATTTACACGGCGATTGTCCTCAAAAATAACACGGCACCGGTGCAATTGATTTGTTTGTTATGCAGCCAAGTTATTGAGCAATTGCGCATGCATTGAGATGTTGAGATTTGAAGCCTTCAAAGAAGAATTTACGTGCTCAGAGGAACTGTGAAATGACTGGTATTAGAAAGAAGATGCAATTTATGTGAAGTGAAACAAGTGGTAAATGGTTTACGTTGTGAAGTCGTGATAGAAGAAGATGAAGAAGAATTTGTTAAAGAGGTAATGAAATGAAAAGATGAACAGATAGCCGCGATCGACGTTTCATTGCAGAGACGATGGAGAAAAATGGTCGCGTAGACGAATGAAAAAATTTCGAAAAGAACACTCGACAGCAGCGCTAAGGGGTAAATTGTATATTGCAAACTGATATAAAGACGACTTCTGGAAGGAGAGAGTCGTTTTTGTGTTATGTTTGGACCCGTGCAACGGAAAGAATGAAGATCTATGACTTACCAAAAGTATAAACAAATATATTCACAATGGTCAGGAAATGGAGTCCTTTGGTTTGGGTGTTGCACAGTGATGAAGTTATCGTCTCTCCTACAGCTCTTTTCCGCTTGCTGATTGACCTGCTGTCTCCTAGCTTCTGTTCTCATCAAGATATTTTATATCGGCATACGTGATTGTAATTACTGTTTGTTTGCCCATGGCGGGTGCTTCTCTCAGCCATTTATAATTACACTGATAAACACTCGATTATCGAGTAAATGCAATTTCTGTATCAGAAAGTCGTTGTGTTTTAATTTTCTCTTTGCGTGCACACTGTTTGGGGTTATAAGGCAAGTTTGGCTCTAGTCCTTTAATCAAGAACACATGCAAAAACTAACCTGAGATTTTTCCTCTTCAATTCATCTCAAAAGCAGAACTCTATCGAACACAAAAATTTTTCAAAACATTGAAAATGAAAATTTTAGTGTAAGATTAGCTTGCCTTATTTATGTACGGACATGCACTTTTGACACTGTTAAAACATGTTACTTGTTTGTTTAAGAATATGTATAAGAACCGAGAAAAACCCCTTGTATAATTAAATTATTTAGGAAATTTATTACATACAGTTCACCAAGTAAGGATTTTTCTTTCTAATACGAGACTATGAGATTCTTTTTGTCACAGTTGTCAGTAAAATTTTTTGTTCACGTTTGGAATTTGGTCGTATAAAAACACATTTTACTGTGGTAAGGTTTTTTTCCATATACATTATAACGTTCCCACCAAGATAGCCGAACCAGTTATCTCTTGTCTGGGTGGGGTATGTTGCTTTTCAAATAATTAATGGGAAGGGAAATTTCCCTCCCACAACGTCTTCGTGGAAAGCCATGAGACATAGGAACGTTCCTGAGGTCGAACGACAATATTTTTCAAGCAAGCAAAACTCTTGTGTTCCATTTTAACTCTCAGTTCGGCACTCTAAGTCGATTCTATCAATTGTTTTTTGAAGTGAAATCAATTTCATGCATAATAATTATGCCGTGTGCCGCTAATCAACCTAATCTAAGTGAGAAATAATGTCAATTTTTATAAGATAACAAAAAACTCAATATCGTGGCCGCAGCATGAAAAGCATGCCTCCCATCCCATTAAAGACATGATATTTTCTTCCATATATGCTGGTCTGTGAGAGGATAGAAGCGCACATGTAGCTTTACAGGATCTTTCGTCCCACTCGTGCGTCCTTTTCACAAATGCGTTTGTTGTGTCAATATGTAATTTGGACTCAACTATTTATAATTGCCAGGAGCTTAATGGCTTTGTACTTCGTAATTTCTTTCTTTTAAAGTTCGGTTTATTGATTCGTTCACAGGTATCGAGAGATGCAGTCGATTTTCTGAAAATCTTATATGTACATTCGATGGACATGCTTAGTCTTTTGAAGTCATTTCACCAAGAAAAGACATTCGTAAACAGTTGAAGAAGTGCCATCTAGACTAAGAGTGTCATCTAAAAAGCATTAAACCCTTACCCTCAAACTATAACTAAGCATAAGCTGACACTAATTCCTTGAAGATCTGTCGTTGATCCTCTCTTTCATGCAACTATCAACCATTAGCCTTTGTAATAATTTTTAAGATTAATTACGCCGCTATTGACGCTAGCTACGCGTAAAATTCAATCAGAAAAATCGGCGAGATGCCTTTGTATGTGTTTGTTCCTCATTTTTGTCCTCGTAGATAATTAACCATTTCCAATCACAGATCTCTTTTGCCGCTGTGTTTCGCGGTGAGTAAAATCTTTAATTTGAAGTTGCGGTCATCAGAGATATGATCAACGACGTCCACAACTTTGCGTCTTCATTCTGTTCACTTCGAGTCTTGATGAGTCATTCTGTTCTCTTCGAGACTATGAAGTACCTCATAAAACAAGGCAAACACAACTTTTATTGTGTTTGATGCAAGTCGTCATTGACTTTATGCTTTTCTGAAATCACCTGATCCGGCCTACAGTTGAAAAAAAACAGGGGGGGTTGGAGAAATTGATGAAGGGCTCCAGTGAAGTCAGTTCTGGAGTGAAACAGCTCCAGAAAATGTGTTTCATATTTTCGTTTTTCACATAATTACGTTGATAATAATCAAACTATTCCCTAAAATGATACATTTTCGCAAATCTTTGCGAAAGAAAATATTTATTGATAAGTCCATGGGAGATGTTTGAGGCGGTTTAGTGGTAGAACGTCGGTGAAACATCGTTAGTAAACAAAATATTCGTTGCTTCTAAATAAGAATTCCATTTCTGTTCAACTTTTTAGTCAATTTCATTGCAGATAGTGCTTTCATGACTATTGGACAGTTTGGTCTCCTACGTATTTTTTTTCCACACTGCAAGTCTGCAACCTTTTTCGGTTGAATTTATCATTCTCTTTTCAGATTTCCTTCATTTCTTGTTGACAATGCGCTCGCGACTGATATCTTTGACTTTTTTTATTGTCTTTTGAGTTCTACAACTAAAGATGAATATAAATAGTCAGATTTCTTATACCAGAAAGATGGATGGTTCTTTAACTTCAATTCACTAGGGATTTACATCTTGAGGAAGTTGAGTGAACTTGAAAAAATTTTACCCTGGAAAGCCTTTCCTTGTTTTGACAACCGTATTTAAAGCTTTCGTGGTTTCCTCCGTTAGTTTAATTTGGGGAAACGCACCGCTTAAAAGCATGACTAAACGGACATAAAATCGTGTTAAACCCTCTTCTTTCCATCTTCAGTATGTCTATATCTTCTTCAGCAACCTGATGCGTGCAACAATGGAGATAGGACAGGGTTGTCAAATGTTGTTATCTGTGTTTAAAACTGACACTTGCTCTTGTTTATGATAGTGTGGATGTGATTCCCTCTTTTTTAATTCACTTGAGGAAATTATGTCCCGAAGAAGGTCATGAATTGTGAAACGTCATTCGAAGTCTTTGATGAGGGGAATCTTTGTATTCAAATTTACATGACTTACGTACCCCGAAAAGCTTTAAACTCCATGAAGATCGTGTGATTATTATTTGCGCATCTTCTTCTTCCAGTTATGGCTCAACTATATTGTTCTTCGGACGGTTTATGATGCTCTCTGTCTGGCAAAATCTACTGGCTTTAACGTCACGATGTCGTACATCATAATTTCTCTCGTGAAGTTTTTACTTAGGAAACCATGCAAACTAACAACTAAGTTAGAAGTTACGGTGTAAAAGTTTGTACGTTTGAGGAGACATATCAGCATGTTACCTGAAGTATAAACATGAGCCATATGTTCTAAAGCTGTTGCAGACTCACGTTTAGATAACTAGCTTTCCGAGCAATGAAAGAATCTTATCAGCTGTTTCGAAGGAGCGCTTGAATTAAATTTACTTTGTCACACACTGCCACCTCCCGATCTGTAAATACAAGTGATCTTCATGAGACCAGCTTCGACTGAATCTAAACGCTTCAATATACTGTGCAGCATTGGTTTGGTTTGATAGTGTTTTTCAGTATTTCGATTTCTTCATTCATTCCTCTATAGTCATCTCGTGTAGAACTTCGATTGCTTTTGCTCCTGCAAGATGGCCTGATTGGACGTGTCTCGCATTATACACCAGCCCAAAACGGCCATCTTCAATGTCCTCCAACAACTGACAATCGAAGTTGCTAAGTTTGATTTTTTGGTCTTCTATACTCGTCATGTACAATAATAATCTATAACTATTCTCATTTATGCGGCGATGCATTGATGTCCATCAATTATTAGTTTACGGTGTTTTCCTCGCGAAAAATTCTCATGAATTTGTATATCAAGGCTTTTTGAAAGAAGCAAGTCAAGCAAATCATTGCGCAACGTGGTACTTTCATTTCACAGTTTGAAGTATTACTTTGCTTTGAGAAAATTTTTAATATTTCTAGTAATTCTAATTTTTGTGGAATGTCAGTGTTTTTCTTGTCGAACTTTATTAAAAGATTCATTTTATTTTTTTACGATGCACCACCAGTTAGAGGTTTGCAGCAAGTGGTTATTGTGAGGACAGAGTTCGCTCGTACGATAACAAAGACTAACACGGTTGAAATGTTGAAAATGGTCAAATGAAACAGTTGGAGGCTGTGGCATAATATACACAGGGAAACAAGAAATAGTCAAGACAGCATGATTTGAATATGAAGTACCTGCTTACATACTAATATTTTTGCATTGAGATTGAGTGACACATGCGTCATGGGTAATCTGGGTATATTTCATAGAAATGGAGAACATTGTTATTAATTCTATGGAATAATTACTTTGAAAAAATTACTAGAAAAGGAACAAATTTTCTATTCGTGAAAGGATCAGATCACTCTTCAATTATAATGTTGAATATATTTAAATTCTACATTAAATATTTCACACAATTCATGTCCACAATCATTTATCATTATTATGTATTTGAGTATATTGTAATTCACTGTTTTCGAGGTTGTTGTATGGCATGTTGATGGTGGTGTTTGACCGGCTTTTCAACTTTTGGTTGTGGCTTATCATGGAACTGCTTTACCGAGCCAGGATTTGAAGCATCAGTGAGTTTCACTTCGGCTCCTGACACAAGAACTTTACTTGGTGGTCTGCAAATGCAACAAAGGGGTTTCATGTTGTGACAATAGAATAATCTACAATGACTATTGACAAGTAGGGCATCAGAATTAATTAAATATGAGGGAAATTGAGCCCTTTGTGGCATAGGGAAAATCTCAGTTAGAAATTTTAAACGATTAATGTAAGTGATGAATATTGACATATATTAGAATTCGTGCACAATCTATGACACTTGGGAAAACGGAAATTCTACATCAATCGTACTTTTCTTCACAATTTTCCAATATATGTTCTTCTTCCATGAATTTCTTGTCTTCGAGCTTTTGCTCGGGAGTCAAATTGTGATGCGTATGTGGATGTGCCTTGGAAGCAATTCTCATGCCCCCCGCTTTAACTAGAAATATACAATTGTGTAAAATGGTTCAAAACATCAATTAAAGGTCAAAGATGGTTAATTGTCACCGAACGATATCAAAGTTGATAAAAAATTTCGTACCAGCAGGCGGATGGCCACCTTTCAACTCCTTAGCATCGCTGGACATATTTATACTGCGTTAAAACGTTTTCAATATAGACAAAAGACTAGAATTTTTCACACTTTGTTTACGTACATATAAAAATTATCATTAATCAACATACTCACGGTTTTCACGCGTGGCCCCCTCGCAAACTGATCTTTATATAAGTACCTGGAACTGATCGTGGCGTCCTGATTGAAAATTTCAATTGATTTTTGCTGGATTTGAACCAGTTTGAATTGTTTTAAATCTTAGACTAGTAAGGGAAACAGTTTTATCTTAAAATGCACCAACTGTGAAATTATCTAAGCTAATCGACTTCTTGTGCACATGAGCCATGGCATGCATTGTTACCATTGAAGATGACCTAAGATATACGTTACCCAATTGTAACCGAAAAGTAACCAGTCGTCATATCCTAACCATTTGTCATTTGCAATGCTACAACGCAAGACCACTACCTACTAAAGATCAATAAACAAAATAAGTGGTGTACAAGCAAAGACACAAACAAATAATAACATTCGTGGTGTACAAGCAAAGACCCAAACAAATAATAACATTCGTGGTGTACAAGCAAAGACCCAAATAATAACATTCGTGGTGTACAAGCAAAGACCCAAACAAATAACGTTAGTTTGATCATGATCCAATTCTTTACAAATATTTCTAGTTGATGCTTGATACCTTGATGATTAGGTACGTGGAAGTATTGTAATAAGTTTTGTGATCTGTTGTGGCAAATATCGTGTTCAGGATTTGCGTTTGTTATTTATACAAAAGTTTATTTCGGGCCACTGTAATTGGAGAAAAATGTTGTTTGCACCCTATTTAATGTTCTGGCAACGTTAAGCAAACAAATAAATAAATACGTAAACGTACATCAGTATAAGATATGATGAAGAAGGGCCTAAAGCCGTCAAATGTTCTCTTAGACTTTATTTTTGGAAAAAAGAAAAGTATTCAATCGATGTAAACATTTTGTGTTGGCTGAAATTTTAGTCCACCATCTTGGGCCATTGCTAATTAATGAAGGTAATGTCGTTTTTGGAGAGATTAAATTTATGAAGCGTGACAAAATTTAATTATGTCTCATTTACAAATCGTTTATCTTCCTTCCATCAAGATGTAGACAGTAAAAAGTCTCACCCTAGAGTTCCGCTATCTGCAAATTGGAATCTGATATGTTTGGAGAAATGAGCTTTTTTCTAGAAAAGCATACTTTGCTTTGCCTTTTTGCAAGCTTGCTTAGCTAAAACAAATCATTTTACCAATAAATGAGATGTATTTAAGGAATCGTGACGATTTCGTTACGTTATGTAAGTCAAATCGACCTGAACACGAACTTTCGGGTCGATGAAATTGGAGACATCCGAATTATCCTATAAAACATCAAAAATGATTTATGACTCTTCTCTGTTGAATATATTCACCATGTTCTGTATTTATCATGATTTTTTCTTTGTTTGTGTATGGCTTCGCTCTATTTATCACGTGTTGTTTGCACATCGAGTACTGTACTCAAGAAGTGGTTTACATAACAATTCGTCTTGTGCTAATCTTTAATCCTCCGTGATACTAATTCCCTACCACTTCCATAATAACAGTATTTTGTTTCGATTGATCACCAAACATCGCCTCGTGTATTTCAGCATCGTGTGAAGAATGCTGCTGAAGACATACTCCGTGTTGACCGTGTTCGTTCTGCAAGACTTTTATGTTCGTCCGGCGAACTGTGTAAAGACATCAATTTACAAGAATATCGAAGATGACATGAAGAGACTTAAAGCAAATAGTGTAGAGTGCTCTAAAGCGGACTTCGATGATATTCTCAGAATAAAGTGCGAGGGAAATACACAGAAAGCTATGCTTTGTATCACAGAGAGATTACTGGTGAACGAAGGGAAGAATGACGGATATTTGTGGACGTTACTTGGTGATTTATATCAAACACTAGGAAAAACCAACAAAGCAAATAAATGCTACAAGCGTGCAGCAAAGTTAGACGGCAAGTTTCCTGGACAAATTTCACTATGGCACGTCCTTGGACCGTTTCAAATTGGCAAAAACGAAGTAGACGGGGATCCTTTACAAAGCATTGGCGGTATCGCGAAATTGCACTGTCAAAAGTACAACAAGAAATTCCGAGCACATTCCGAGCTGGTCTCTGGTGGTGATGTTAGCTGGAGAACAATCAGACCTGATAATAACGGTTATATCACAATGACTGCTGACACGTATCCACTTGTCTACGGTCTATTTTCTTATGCCGTGATGGAATGGCAAGCCTGGTTTGTGGGGGATTTCATGCTTAACAGTGAGATGTCTTTACTGGTTCAATGTGGTGGCGTGAGTACAATTTATATCGATGATCACATTCTTACTGGTGATGTTTATACTTCCAGAAGATACTATTGGTTAGTTTTATTTTTCATTTCTTGTCAATGACGATCTATATTTCGATGACTGTTATGATTTCGAATTACAGGCATCCTGTTCACTTATTTCCTGGTGTCCATTCTTTACGCTTACGCACGAGGGCCGTTGGCAAGGTAACCTTCACGTGCCGAATAACCCCTGCCGATCAGGCGCCGACATTTCAAATCCATACTCCAGTAACTCCTGATCTCTTAGACGGTAGAATCTTTAGCAATCTTATGGCGATCCCGGTGACCAATCACAATGCAGAAAATTGGCTCACCATCACGAAGCTGTCGATTTCACAAGAAAGTGGACCTACCATTAATGTGCATCTACAGAAGCAAAAGAAATTCATCATTGCACCAGGTCAAATCTACTCGATTATCGCGACATTCCATTTGAAGAAAACCAACGAAAATGAAAAGTCGTGTCCTCTAGAGGATATCCGTGGAAGACTGGAACTAAAATCGAACGAGGGAAGGAAACAAGACGTACCGTTTATCATACGTTGTCGTCCGAAAGAAATGTCCTTTTTATTCACGTTTATTGATCACGATGGTTCCGTACAAAAAGCTGCCGCCATATTTCCACCAGTCATTGGCAAGAAGAAAGATTATCCACAAAAGCATCCTGTACTTTTGACTCTTCACGGAACAGGTTTCTCATTCTTTACACATTTTGTTGCAGCTATCAGACGAAACTATATGCAATCGACAATCACGAGCGTGTTTCCTTTGTGTTAGGCGTATCACCTCAAGATCAAGCGGACGCCTACAAGAGAATGGAAAAAGGAAAGTGGCTGTTCGGTGCTGAAGGATTATGGATTTTGGCACCAACCAGACACGGTGCACACAACTGGGAAGGACCTGGCGATTTGACCGCTATGACGTCATTAGAAAGATTAGCTGAATTGACCCTTGAACATGATTGGATTATGGCAAAAGCCAATGATAAAGCCGTTGTGTTTGCTGGTCATTCAATGGGCGGTCATGGGGCGTGGTTAGTAGGACTTATAATTTTTTACATAGTGTAATATTCCCCAGATGCGATTTTTCTCGTTTCAGGCAGTTGTCCATGCATCATCCTGATATTGCTTTAGCAGTCGTTTCAATAGCCGGATGGATCTGCAAAGAGAACTATGGTGACTCCAATACGTTCTTCAAATACGATATTAGTTTGAGCTATGTAGACGCGAGTGTCAAACACGTCATGGAATCGTGTGTCATTGAAAACGATGCGGAAAAGCACATGTCAAATTTGAAGGTTGCTCATTTTAAACTGTCTCTCTTGTGAAGAGATTCAAGAGAGTGTATGCACCTGTTGTCATTTACTTTATAAAATGTCTTCAGGGCGTACCTGTAATGATCCGTATTGGAGAAAAAGATGAAACGGTATCACCATATTTCTCTCGAAGAATGTACCGACTGTTGACGGAACAAGGCAATGACGTCACTTATAATGAATTACCTGACAAGCAACATTGGTGGTGGGACACATATGAGGAAAATGATGGCGGAGTTGTGAATGATGGAAAGATGAGGAAATTCTTCAGCAAACATTCCAGTTTTGCTATAAGACGCGTCTCGACTCAAGGTTTTTTTTCTAACTGTCGTTTGTGCGATTTTTTTGACAAATCTTACGTTTTTGACATTATTTTGATATCTTTATGTCCACGAAGCCTGCGTCGGCGATGAACATGACAAAAAAGGATGTAAGATCGACGGCTCCATGTATTCTTCAAAGAATATTCCAAATCGTAATGATGAAAAAGAGTTTCTTCTCACTGTTTATAATCCAGCCAGTATCCAAGGTAGGGAAATTTTTATGCGTTTAAACTCCACGATTCTTTAATTCATTCTAACGTAGTTGTCGTGGTAAACCTTAGGAGTCCGCGGAGTTCAAGTTCTACAACAAGCAATTCCCTTTCGAAAGACAACTGTCCATATCAAGCTGTCTGATGACAATGCTACATTAGTGACATCAAACGCTATCAGATTAAGACTAAGTGAGCCTGCAATCTCAGCAGTTCTGTGGAAGACGAGACAAATTATCGTCGACAGTGTTATTTTATCATTTAGTCAAAATGATGAAAAACACGTTGATATTTGTAAGAAAGAAATTCGCGATTGGAAAATCTGTGAAGACTCTGATAAAAGATTGGAGTCTGAAGTAAGTCGAGGTCCTTTAAACTTTGGCCCAGCAAGACGTATTGCTGAGCGACCGCTGATCATAGCTGTAGGTAAGAAGAGAAGTTTCATATAACTCTACGCCACCCTCTCTCATTTACTGTGAGGTATGGTGTTTGCGGAAAATAAGATTTCATAAAATATATTTAGGTGCATCAAAGCAAGGCAAAGATGTGTCTCAAGCATTACTGCAAATGGCCGTTTATGTTGGAAATACGTTCTACCTTACGTCTGATCTTAGTCCAGTTATCTTGCGACATCACGAGATCACTGAAGAAAACACACACAGTAGGAATGTGATTATAATTGGTGATCTATCCCTCACCAAAGATTACCTTAAAAAAGTCTCTCTTCACGTTACAGAAGATCGCTCAATCAGTCTGGGTAAGCACTGCAAAGTTTAAAGTTTTCATTTATGTATATCATAATCATTTGTACAATTGTTTTTTCAGGTAATTGTTGGTTTCAGTGGTCAAATATGGGCATACTCTCCTTAGTCCCTCTTTCGGGATCACGGCTCGGCTTGATCATTACTGGCACATCGTTATCCTCAATACGAGACGTCATAAGTTTAGCAACACCTACCATTCCCCCAATGGCTAGATCACCTTTTTCAAACCTCGTACCTGATTACGTCATCACTGGACCTGATTTCAAGGCAAAAGGCCCAGGTGGTTATCTGTGTGCGGGATTTTGGGGAAACCGCTGGGAATACAGAAGTGAATTGTCTTCTTGCGCCTGCTAATGATGGTAGGATGTCTGAAATTTAGCATTATTTGTTGCTTAAGTAGTCGTTAACTCTACAAAGAAAATAGTTAGTGCAGCGATCTATTTAGCAAGAAGTTATTTATAAATGAAAACGGAGAAAAAGGTATTGTGTTTTTAACATTATGTAATAAATAGATTTTTAAAAATTTCTAGTTTAGGATGCGGTAGGAATTCTTTTCGTGAGATTTCTTTGGAACTTGTGCGGATTTCTTTTAGTTTTATTACAAAACAAAAAAAACACGTAAACACGCTAAACTTTCCTAATCTTAAACATCAGCTTTTCTTCTAGTTCATTCATCTCGTCAAGTTGTTTGACTTCTTTAAAGCTTCCAAGACAATCTTCGTGAATGAAGACCAAAGGTAATGTTCTTGTTCTAGCAAGATGGAATATCAATTCTCTTTCATCCTTTTGTAATTCCACATCTATGCTGACCCACACACCATCTTCGGCATTCCTACTTACCCCATAACGTCCCAATACGTTCTCGAGTTCTTTCGTAGCATTTATAACATTGGGATCTAAAGATGTGCTTGAGTAGTAAACCTTGATATGACTGAACTGTGTTGATCTTCTCTTCGACTTTTTCTTATCTCGAATGGCTGGCATTTTTGGTGGCTCATAATCATTGACACACACCTGGAATGGCCTCCCATTTATAAGTTTTAACCCCCATCTTACGTAGATAGTATACGTCCCTGCCAACGTCGGCATATATGCTACAGTATGGGTTGAATAGTTCTTAGAGCGCGTGCTCTTCACGTGTGGTACTGGTAATGATACAGCTGGGCAGTTTATGCATACACTCAAAGGTCCTTTATCGCGATTGTCTGTGATTACAGTGAATACAGCTAGTTTTCCGACTGTAGCGTGCCTCAATCCTTCCCCGTCCATCCCGTAAAACCCCGGTATGTCGTGTGACGTCCTCTATCGCACAAATCATTCAGCTGACTGCTGTTATTGAGGAGATCTGTTTTTGTGTCATCAGACGGTAAGACCAGCAAGCAATAAGGACTATCTGCTATATGTTCATCTTTATAGTACATGCTAACACGATACTTGCCAGCATAATTGGGAGTATAGTTAACTCGAAATCGACCTTTTCCCATCGAGAACACCTCGAGATTAGGTTTGAAACTCTCTGTCATTTTACCAGATGGCTTGAACTCTATAGAAACCGTTATTTCGTCAGCATTTACATCGTGCAAGTTCAACCTATACTCAATTTCTTCACCAGTCACTCCAAAAACGGTCTCGCTAGCCTTCTCTGTATTACTACTTCGAATCGTTTCTTCGTTATCATCTCTTTCAACATGCTCTCTTTCACCTCTTTCCACATTACGGTTTTTCGCATGTGAGCTCTGTTGCGCCGAATTGCACTCCAGGTCATACTCGAAGATCAAAGCAAGGTACGTCATCACACTTAATTCGTCCACCTCGCTACAAATCATATCGCTTGGAGAAATAATCATCGGTATTCCCAAGGCGCTCTTCGCCGTTTCCATGGCAATTTGAACATTACTAAGTGGCAAACTTCCTTGAAGGTATTGCTCCTCGGGAAGAAGTCCTGGTTTGATCGAGTCGATGAGTTGACAGATTACAGTACCATCATTCCAATCGGTTGTAAAGTTTTTTATTTCGTGGCCAATACGTTTAGAGTTCAACCACCTCAACAGTATTTCTTTGCGTTCATTGGTTCCTCGCAAGTTTCCCAGAATTCTTTCGCAGGTGTGACGTACGTGAATTTAATAAGATTTCACAGTAACCGGATGAGTGCAGGACAATCAACACTTAAGATAAAAAATAGGAAAACCATTATCTAATCGGATATATCTCAGGCGAAGTTCTCTCCTAGTGGACACAAGTAAATTCATTTTTTACGGCTAAGTCCAGCTTGTCAGTTTCACCCCAATATTAAAGTTAAGCTGAGACTAGTCTGTGTGCAATTGTGCTCTACTAGGAAATAAATATGGGCCCCTTATTACACCCACCATTGCAAAATCATATAAACTGAAAAGGAGTTTTTTTTATTTCTGTACGACTTGCCTTTTTAAAACATTAAAACGATTTTACTCAGTCAGCAACGGTCTAAAATCTGAAATTGTTCTGAAATGTATCTTGGGAAAATTGTTGTTGAATTTTGACGACAAAAATACTTGAATGTTTTTTTTTCTGCAGAATACGATAAAATTTTCATCTAAAATACAAGCATTCGAATTTCCAAATTTTTGGGGATAAATTGATCAAGAAATTTGAATAGGGTTGGATGTTTGGACAACGAAAAAATGTTTGAGTCCAATATAGTTACATCAATTCAATAAAGTAACGAAACAATTGGGCTTCGATCTGCATTAAAACATGACTTCCTTTTGATGTAAATGAAATTTGCATTTTAAAATAGGACGCGTTGTTGGATTTTGCTTCAAAAATTAAAACTTGCTTTCAGGATAAGATTCGACACGTATCAAACAAAACTCCTCCTCATTTTTCATTTTACAAAACAAATGACGTGATCGAGAAATATTCGACTTTTCTAAAAAAGAAGAAGTAGGTCACGATGCGTCCCTCCCGTGATTATTATGAAGCTTCAAATAAAACCGCAGCATTTGTTTGAACACAAAACGTTTTCAATCGATCCTGCCAAACATTGACCGACGTAGGGTCCATATACGAAAGATTTAAATAAATTTTCAAGCGAGTCTTTTAAGTTCATGTGTGAGCAAGAAGCAAAATAAATAAAAGTCGTGAGCAAGAAACACACGACTTTTATCCATACAACGGCTTCAAAACATTGTCTGCACGTTAATCGTTTGGACGTCGTGATGAACCAGAAATTTGCGGCGAAATTAAATGTCGTCAGTTTTAGAATACCTGGTTCATATTTCAAATAATTCTTCCTAAATCCCGACTTTCTTCATGAGATCTTCTCTCTCTGTTCTCTTTCTTCCCTGAGAAAGCTTTTTTAACTTCCCGTCAGACTTTTCTTGGGATATATCCAGAAATTTCTCACGAAATATGCTTACTTTAGGATAAGAACTGTTAACAGTTTGTTAGCCTAACAAGCTCGACCCTTAATCCTCCCAGTTTTTGAAGCACCGTCATTTCTTTGTTGTCTTATACAGTTTCCTTCGTCCCTTTCTCATTACAATACGATCAGAAGCGCCCTGTCATGGGACAAAGTGGTTACAATGATTAATAATAGCATTGATTATTTACCCGCATATCCATTAACGTTCATTGTTTCGAAAAGTATCAAGGACCATTTATCATATAACGTTAGAAGCCGGATTACTGAATTCAAGAAACTGTCAATAAGGTGTAATGTAGCTCTCCACAAGGGCAATATGGTGTAAAATTTTATCCTGTCAGAATAGCACACAATTTCTTTGTTTGTTGAATTTTTACTGCAATTTCTTTCTTTGTTGAATTCCAGATGAAGCCTCGTTTATGGAAATGAGTAGTTACAAAAATGATTTGTGGTCTACATTCTTAGGAATACTTGGACGACACGTTGAAAGTAATAAAAATAAATGTCAGGGTTTTTATGCAGTGGAAATTATACACAATAGCTATTGCCATTGCTGTTTATGTCAACACTTTTATCATTGTTGTTATAGCAGCTGTTTTTTTATGTGCTACGTGCGTCTAATAGCTGTCTCATTAATGTTTGATCAGAGTCTTACATAAGTATGTGTAACTTTTTCTTGCGTCATCTTGAAGGCAAAGTTGATGATGCAACTTTAAATGATTCAAGTAATATTTTCTGAGATGTTTTGTGTTTCCAGCCATGTGGTCCACTCTGGCATTGAAACAACGTATTTTTCCGAGAAACAATACTTCCCTCATTCTTTGTGAACTTTTAAATTACGAAAGAGTGAACATACTTTTGAAAGGCAATAGAACGTCACGGAATTTTCAAACAGCCACTCGAGCCAGGAACCAGAGGCTTGTATTCCGGGAGGGTCGAGAGGTTTTACAAAATTATATCATGTCTTTTTTTTTCTGGCAAATTAAATCGCCCGCCCCCTATCTTGAGACCTAAGTTACGCCATTGCCATGGACACGTACGTACTTGATTCGTTACACAATGTTTGGCAAAAGAATTTGTGTTGACCTGCTTGAGAATTTTTGCTTCCAATTATTTCGTCCATATTGTTATATAAACATTTTAATAATTTGCAATGATAAAATTTTGTTACACTCACACAATGTATAAATAAAATAAATCTAATAATATATGATTTTTAAAGAGACTCCGAAAGACCGCAGACCACCTTGTATTTTGCGCCGATATTCAATAATAAGTGGACACGTTTTCAAAAGTCTTCTTACTGGCAATCTGCAAAATAATCAGAATTAGCAAATACCAACAATATTATATATCCTGATGGCTTGACCATATTTTAATATTAAGAATGAGAGTTGACTATTACGTTATATTCGTGTTCCTTGGTTGTGTACTTGGTGAAGATTTTTACGATATTCTTGGAATTGCTAGAAACGCCGACAATAAGGAGATAAGAAGGGCCTTCAAGAAACTTGCATTGAAGCATCATCCTGATAAAAACAAGGTGAGAATTGTGTCAATATATTTCTTATAAATAGACGATCATAAATGGAAATGTAACAAACTGATGTTGTGTACACGACACGTGACTGTCGAATCTCTTACATTTTTTGTGTATTTTCTTTCGAGAGGATGCCTGAGATTTGTTTTGCGTTTTGCTATTTATGTTTGGCAAACTCAAATTCTTCTTTCATTGCTAAATGCTCAGTAGCTTAGAGCTTTATGACGATTGATTTTACAGGAAGATGTCAATGCTCATGAAAAGTTTATGAAAATCAACAGAGCGTACGAGGTGTTGAAAGGTATAGAGCTAGAATTTCATTGCAATTCTGTTGGTTCTGTAAAAACCGTAACTATTAACAAACGTCAAAATCAGGTAGCCCAGACAACCACTCTTTTAAACACAAATATTTCTACATATATTGCATCTTTAATTATCGATATGCAATTAACCTCTGTGTGTGTTTATCAAACAAAGTTGTTTGCCCATGTTTGACCACAAGCATGAAGAAATTGACAATAAATAATAATTGTGACTAAACACAATATATTTGAAGCAGTTAAGTAGCACTGCCATTATGCTCTTATGTCATTTCAGATAAGGATTTGAGGAAGAAGTATGATTTGTATGGAGAAGATGGCCTTAAAGATGACCATTTTGGTGAAGGGGATTATCAAAGTTGGCAATATTTCAATGAAGAATTTGGTGTGTTGGCATAAAGAGTAGTTTAGTGTTTTGTGGAATGTTGGATTGTTTAACTACCCAGTTACGTTGTTTTACTCCAGGAATCTATGATGAAGATCCAGAAATCGTAACTTTAGGATACTCAGATTTTGGTGAGCAATAAATATGTTGAACTTTCACATGATTTCATAGTGATGTTTTCATTTCATTTTTTCTTTGCTTAGAATCATCTGTGCTCAATTCGCATGAAGACATTTGGTTCATTAACTTCTACTCGCCTTATTGTTCACATTGTCATGATCTTGCCCCAACTGTAATTATTTATTCATATATGCTACTATATGTTGTTTTGGAAAGTAAAATAATCAAATATAATAAGTATTTGGTTTTCTATACTTCTCTTGCACAAGTGCAATCAAAAGAGGTATACCCCTATAGCTTATTATGTGTTTTTGCTAGTGGCGTGAGGTTGCTAAGGAACTTGAAGGTGTTGTCAGGATTGGTGCTGTGAACTGTCAAGAAGACTGGGGCTTATGTAATGATCAAGGTGTCCATGGTTATCCCTCTCTAGTCCTCTATCCAGGGGTATGCAGATTGCAAACTTTGACGAGATCTTTTGAACATTCAAAGCAGCTAACTATATCAATTACTGTTGCTCATTTTTTAGGGTGAATTTTACTCCGGCAGTCGCACCACTGACAGCATTGTGAAGTATATCTTAGAGAATTTGGATGCAGTTGTTGTACATCTCCGTTATGGTAGGAAGCGAATGCAGTAAGTGAAATTTTCCGAACTCGTTGTATTGTTTGGCTTGTTTATTTTATAGATTTATTTGATGCTGAGATCGAAGCCTCTCATCTTCCTTGGTTGATCTCGTTTTGTGATGAAAATTATGAAACAGGTTCACATGTTTTCCATTATCGTCGGCTACATGCATCACAACTAGTAAAACACCAACATTTTAAGGGCTTGATTCCATAAATTTAGATTGTATCTCGCACGAAACGCAGATCAAAGTCTCGGCAGTACTCAAATACATGGTGACTGTGGGCTCAATTGATTGCGCTCAAGAGGCAGCATTGTGTAAGACACTGGGACAAAGATCTGGTCTTGTTTTCTATCCTACATACAACGTCACTTCAGAGAGCGCAAAAGTGCGTGCATGTAGCTGAACTTTGTGCTTTATGTATCTATTAGAATATATGAGATAGGAACATTATGTGATATATGTATATATTGTAGGTGATCAACGAGTTTCATAGTGAAGATATAATTAAAGCTGTTCTCAGGCTACTCCCCTCTCTTATTTCCGTGGACGAAGATTCGTTCAAGGTATAAATTATGTCGTCACTTAGTTTGTCAATATTTTGTGTTGTTAGTTTAGTTTTACATCTGCTTTTATGTAGACGGTTGGCGTTGATTCAGAGTCGTGGTTGATTCATTTTGCTATGGGGGAGGTTCAAGAGTTGGAGATGAAAAAATTACCGTCGCTGTTACCAGAGTTTCAAGTAAGCTCATGAGGAAAGAGAATAAAATTGCCCCCATCAACAAAAACTTTTATTTGCGGTTTAAAGATGCCTTTTAATGGACCTTGTCCGTCGTGGCACGGAGCCTGGGTCTAGCCGAGTTCTGACGTCATCCAAGGTAGTTGGTGTGAATATTTTGTATTGAGGAGCCCCTTGTATGACGACCCAAAGTTAGTCATTCCAGACTTTTTGGACGACGGACAAGGTCCATTAAAAGAAGCCGTTTTGCTAACTTTAATTCACTATCGCAAATAAAAATTTTTGCTGAAAGGGGCATTCAAAGCAAGCGGTACAGAGCAGCAAACTTACAGATAATTCAATTCATTTACAAGGTGGGTCATGTTGATTGCGTACAGCTTCCAAATTTATGTAAGACCCATCATGTTCATAAGTATCCATCGGTTGCTCTCTTCAAGCCAAATGGCGCGTACGAGTGGCATCATGGTAATGTTTATCCTCATATATTATCAATTTCGTTATTAAGACATCAGGTGTAAATGTAGACTACTTGTAGGACGTTACACTGCTCAAGATATTGCAGTTTTTGCTCGAGAGACATCTGCTTCTAAAGTACATACCTTGGGCCCGGAGAGTTTTCCAAATCCGGTCACATCTGGCCAAGAAAACTGGTTCGTTGACTTCTTTGCACCGGTATGGGCTGTCAGTACATCTCGACACGCATGACGTCACTTTAATCGTTGAGGTGTTTTGGCGTTTTTTATAGTGGTGTCCGCCATGTATGAGATTACTTCCTGAATGGCGAAAAGCCTCTAAATTGTACAACGATAAGAACGATGAAGTTAAATTTGGCACAGTTGATTGTACAGTTCATGCATCATTATGTCAAAAGGTGCGACTTTTCTATGCAAAATATACTCCATGCTGTAAATATCTTTCCAGTTTATTTAGTGATCTTTGTTCATGATTTGTTTGTCTCATGTTGTAGTACAACATTCGTTCATATCCATCTACTGTCTTCTATAACAACTCCATCCCACACTCGTTCCGTGGAGAACATTCTGCCGATAATCTTATCGAGTTTATCGAGGTAAAATTTTCCAGGAATTTTTTTGCTTAAAAAATGCTTTTGCCATCCTTTTATTTGTGCATCGTTTGTCCCTTGTGGCTTTCAGAATACTCTACATCCTTCCTCTAAAATACTCACTCCCGAATCATTTGACACATTGGTGGGCGGAAAGGCTCAGGGTGAAACATGGCTTGTTGATTTCTTCGCTCCTTGGTGTTCCCATTGTCAAGACTTGGTGCCTGTGTGGAATAAACTTGCTAAGGTTTGTTGTTGCACTAATGCATGCTTTGTTCTATTTATTTTTTTGACACGAGTTGCTTCCTAAACCTTAAGCCTTATCGCACACTTGATTTTATTTCAGAAACTAAAAGGGGAAGTACACGTTGCCACGATCGATTGTCAAGAATACAACAATTTCTGTTCGCGTCAGGGAATTCGCTCATTCCCGACGATAAGATTATACCCGCATACATCACAGGGCATACGAAGATCGCTGTAAGTGTTCATTATATTAAGTCCTTGGCAATATCATACCGTGAACGTGCACAGTCCACTCGTGGATACAATGAACTTGCACAGTCCACTCGTGGATACCGTGAACTTGCACAGTCCACTCGTGGATACCGTGAACTTGCACAGTCAGTTAAATTACATGAAAAGAAGATCGTTTCATGTAATTTAACTGACGTTTCGACATTCGTAGCTGTTGTCATCTATAAAGTCAATGTACAATTAAGGATTGATGAACATAGTCAATCAACATATACAAGTGTATAGCAATATTCTCTGGTTCGAACCATTCACTTTAATATTCTACCAATTTTATTCGAAGTGGCCGTACTTTAACGTATTTTTGATTTAGACACTATCAAGGCTGGCATGATCTTGACTCGTTGTATTCCTGGGTCTTTCAATATCTACCTTCGATTGTTACCAATCTCGATTCCTTTACTTTCGATGAAAAAATGTTGGGTTCAAGTTCTCCGTGGATTGTTGATTTCTATGCCCCGTGGTGCGGTCATTGCATTCACTTTGCGCCCCACTTTGAGAAGTTGGCTAAGGTAAGTTGACTTTAGTGAGTGGTATAAGATCAGATGATGTTGCTCAGAAAGATGGTTTGCTTTCTTCAGAGATTAGAAGGAAAGGTTGAACTCGGTAAAGTGAACTGCGATGACCATTATGATCTCTGTGTTCAAGCTGGAGTGAGAGCATATCCCACAGTCATCTTCTATCGTGGTCTCCAGGACGGACGGACTCAGGTGATATAACGATCCTAGTGTCTGATGCAAATACAGAAATCGCCGTTTTCATTTTGCTTTAATACGTGGTATTTGCGTTTGTGTTTTAGCCCAGTCGAGGTTATCATACGTTTCGAACTCAAGATATTGATGAAATGTACGAAACCACAATGTCCCTGTTGAAAAAATCGCGGAAGAAAGTGAAGAAGCAGAGTCAGAAGGTTAGTGCGAATGAACGAATTTCGTCTGTGAAAAAAATAATGTTCTTTGTGGTTGTTTTTTAGAAAACACCTATTCACGATGAATTTTGAAGAAGTCTAGCCAGTTGGTGCCATTGGGGATGCTCAAAGCTCGTTTCTTTTAACGAATAACCTGGCTAAATGATAGTTAGCTAATTAATGTATTTTCTATGATGAGTTGGTCGTTGTTGAATATTTGCCGATAGTATGTGGAGTGGGGGACTGGGGAAGCCTTTATACGGCAATGGGCTGATTTTTTGAATGTGGACCAAAAACGGTCTTCGTAGGTTGTTGATTATGTCTTGTGATCAAAAAATCTGTTTTCCATCCAATGAATGATACATTAACGTAGGGTCAACAACAGTCAACTTTGTCTCCTGTTACTTTCAACAAAATTTTGAAGGACTGGACACTTTCTTTTTGCTGACGTATTTGACCCAAGAACGTTACACATACAGCATTATCATATACACGAAGTTTTGTTGATATTATTTATAGAGTTAGATATTGAAACAATAAACAAATACATGTAAAAAATAACTTCAGTCAATGTAATCGGGCGAAGTATACTTTTGGGTGAAACGTACGGATCGGGTGGAGCAGGGCATGGTGGGTCTTACGGCAATATGGCGACGGTTCTAGGAGTGATGGTTGATTTGAGTGGAACGATTCACATTGATCATTTTTTAATCCCTGGATCAATTGATGCTTTAAAAAGGTACTTGATATCTTAAAGATCATCATTATTTTAATTTGATCTCTCCTGTTTTGATAAACTTGTTACACAAATTTTGAATGTTGTCTTCAGACTTCGGAAGGCAGGTTTCCCCCTTCGTTTTGTCACCAACACAACAAAGGAATCGAAATCATCATTGCTCAAACGGTTGGAAAAACTTCGCTTCGATATTAAGGAGGATGAAATATTTACATCGCTGACGGCTGCCAGACGTTACATCGAAAGGAAAAATTATCGACCATTTTGCTTGTTGGAAGATGATGCGAAAAGAGATTTTTGTGGAATATCAACAGAAGAACCTAATGCCGTTTTGATTGGTTTACCACCTCAAAACTTTAACTATAATACACTAAACAAAGCATTCAGGTGGGCCTTGCTCATAACCAGGCATTTCCTTTAAATTTATCCAAGTTAATAACTTATATAACTGAATCATGAAATTTAGATTACTTCTTGATGGTTCTCCATTGGTGGCTGTACACAAAGCTCGTTATTTCAAACAAGACGATGGTCTTGCACTAGGACCTGGTCCATATGCTGCTGCACTCGAATATGCAGCCAATACAACTGCATTCACTGTGGGTAAACCGGGCAAACACTTTCTTCCAAGAGGTTTTAGACGATATGGGAATGAAACCTGAACATGTTTTCATGATTGGAGATGTATGCATTTGTATCCAATAATGAACTATCATTTTAATTATTCTCAATCGCTACATGTTTGTAGATGTAAATGGTCCAGGTTAGTAGAGTCCTGAGAAGGACTGATGTTTGATGTTGACTGATGTTTCGACAACCTTAGCGGTAGTCATCTTCATGACTACTGCAAAAGGTTGTCGAAACATCAGTCAACATCAACAACAACATTCCTTCTCAGGACTCTACTAATCTGGACGACCTACATCTACAAACATGTAAAGATACTCCAGGTTCAAACCATTAACTTTATTCTCAATCATCATAGACAATTTTGTGTCTTCATTAGGATGTTAGGGATGACATTGATGGTGCTCAAAAACTTGGCATTAAAGGAATATTGGTATCAACCGGTAAATATTGGCTTTAGTCATAAATGATGAATATATATTGTACTGTGTTATTTCTTCTCTTGCTCAAGGCAAATATAGAGTGAAGGATGAAGACAAAATCAATCCACCTCCTTTTCGAACGTGCAAGAATTTCGCTGAAGCAGTTGACATCATACTCGGGCAAACTGTTGAAGGGATCACGTCTGGCAGTTAGTGAAAGTGTGTTTGAAGGCGATAATTTTTTCATGTGAAGGATTAATGTCGTTTCGTGATGATAAAGAAAAGGATTAAAACAAGTACTATCTATAATATCTTTAGAAGGAAAAAAGGAGTCTAGTCTGAGCTAGTCTGTGTAAAAGAAAACACTATCTAAATAAGCTGTTAACGATTCGTTTTACTCGTCTTTGTAGCGTTGGCAATTTTTTTGGTGAGGTAATAATTAAAATGTAAAATTTGTTCTGATTTTAATTACGATAAGACAATTTGCGAATCGTTGTTCATTTAACTTATGTATGTCATGCGTCGTCCTCGTGTCTTTCTTTCAGCATATAACAGGTCAGACCAGTTCCATCCATTTTACACTTCACGGTTAGCTGGGATTTATCACTAATGGGTTATTTTTGTTGGTGGATTAATTTCGTCTACTTTAAAGAGAAGTAATTGAAAGCTTAAGTGAGGTAGGTTATAAAGTTTTTATCTGTAGAGTTTAATGCAAGGGATTGAACATGATCTATCCTATGTCTTGTTGTATTTAGCTAGCTAGCTGAACTCTAGACGAGTGACTAATTGTGTCTAGTAAATCTACTGTTCAATAAGAATCAAAGCAAAAATATGGGTACGATTTGATAGCTTGTAAAATTAAATAACGTTTTCCTATTCAATCATCACCGATCGATTGACTTAACATCTGCATTGCGTGTTGCATTTCCTTGATTGCATTTCTAATTTTATTGATAAGTATGCACTTTATTGATGCAGCGATTCGTTTAAGAATTTATGGATTTTCCCATCGTCACGGCTCGAAAAGATGCCTACTTTTGGATCGTAAATTTTGGCTTTAATGCATCTTTTTCGACCTAGCTTGGCCGGTTGCATACAACGCAAAATGTCTATAACACTTCAACTAAAGAGTCTGTGATAGCAATGGTTTTTCTGAAAAATCAATGGACTCAGTTTTTTACTCTTGATTTTTGACTCTCGGAAATGTACTTGCTACTTTTGTATGCCTTCTCGGAAAATCTTGTTGAACCAGACTAAGGGTTCTTTGTATATTGATCGGCAACTAAGCCGATTCGCGATGAATAGAATGATTCACAAATTTCGTTTGAGATTGCCTGTTTCTTTTGAAACCCAGACCAACACTAAATGTGCCATAAGGAACACAAGCGATTTAGCTAGCGACAACTTGTGTCTTAAAAAATGCGTTTAATTTTTCTCTACGGAATAATACACTCTAAACCGTAAAATTACAAAATGGATCAATTAAAAACGCGACCAACTACTGTGGATCGCCGACCGAATCTAAGATTAATGTGGTGACACATAAAAAGGTTCGTCTTATGAACGCGTGAACGTAAACTAAGCGATGTATAAAACCAACTATGACGCGGTTTTGTTTGTTTACGCTGTACATTTAATCCGCAAACGACTACACATTTTTTAAGAAGAAAGAGCTTACATTTTTTAAAAATTTACATGCTTAGAAAAGTAGTTAGCGTAATGCATCATTTGTTTTGTTTATAGCTCTGAGAAAGATTAACAAGTTGTAAATTCAACCCAGTCTCCAAGCAATCCCACGCACTTTGACACTTTGTCATTTAAAAGAAATTATCTTTTCACGGGAATAAATGACAAAGTGTTGCCTATGATTTATATGAGTTATATATTAGTTGTTTTTCCAGCACTTCGAGATTTAAGGCGATAAAAAACTCTTTACTGATTTATATCTTCATGAGGTAATGGCGTGGGGAAGGGGGGAGGACACAGATTAAAAGGCGTCGTTTCTCTATAACTCTTGAATGAATGGGCAGATGTTTTATTCAATGTGAACTGTAATTGCTTTCGTGACTCCTGTCTATATAATTGTGATAATTGTGAATGGCCAATCACTTGTAGTCGTGATTATTCACATTATTTTGTCGGTTCTGATTTCCAAATTCCGGAATCTCTATTGCAGATGGTAGTGTTTCTTCATTTGATTGTCTCCGTTGTGCAAAGATAACGCCCTTAATGTTTTTGTGCTGTTTGATATCACGATGAAAAACAAATGCCAGACATGTTATTTTTAGTTTTTACAAAATACCTTGCGTATCTCACGATGTTGAGCATTGATTTTCATTATAAGAATTTGTTTCTTTCCGTGCACATTATTGGCTATCTTTCCGGTGCTGTGTTTCAAATAAGTACTCGCAATGACAATGGAACTTGATGTAAAGATCGGGAAAATTAATATGTCGTTCAGATGAATAAATCAAGTATTTTCAATTATCAACGAATGCTTTTTTTTGTCCATGTGCACTAATAGAAAAGAATTACAATGCGAGAGCGATTCTCATTGAAACACAGCGGTTTTACTTGAATAGTCAGTACATTGTCGGGACCATCAAACAACATCTCCATAAGGGAGGTGAAAACATTGAATTTTGATTAGCGCTTGATAATGTTTTGAAATTAAACGGGAAAAACGTACATGTATGTATGGCAGTTTTTGCTTCATTGTTTCTAGACCAGACTAAACCAAATATTATTCACGTATTTATAAAATGCCAACTATCTCACTTCACTGTCGTGTTCATTATTACACCCCCATATATGTGCTGCTCGTTAAAGTTTCCAGCATGAGTTCACCTCGCTCTATATATTCCTGCCAATACAGCTATGTTTTTCAAAGGTAGGTAATCCATCAATTTCTGATGGTAAACAAAGATCGGAATGGGTGTGAGTGAAAAGCTATTAAATTTAGAAGAGATTTAAAGAATTCGAATACCCGCAGTGTTTCGACCTTTGAAATTGTTCACGTATTAAAACGTTACAGACAGTTCTCTTTGCTTTTGGTTTCCCCAGATCTGGTTTTTGGTCACCGAAAGGATTTTACAGTGGAAAAATTGCAAGCCTATCTATAAGGTAGTTCTATGTAAAGAATCTTGTTTTTAGGTGCTGGATGACTTTTTGCACATAAGATTGCAAGCGCCTTAAGAGCAGACGGAATTCCCCTGCATGAAATGATTCTCAGCCGTGTGGTAGTCAGGAAGTTGAAATGGACACAAACTTCCTCATTGTTGTGGCAATTTACGCTCCACCATTTATTAGAGGACATTGCTGTCCTGTTGATAATTTTAACCCCCATCCGTAGTAACATGTTAAAGACCGTCACATTATAAATGCAATCCTCCTTTGAACACTGGGCTCATTGAAACTTCAATTATTTTCATCATAGCGACGATCCACGCGAGATGATCGAACACAATGCAAAGTTGTAACTTGTTTATGAGATATGCGTTGTGTACGATGAGCTATTCATACTATTTTGTTATCTCTGCCCATTTAGGCAGTTGATTAACGTGCTGATAGAAGTCCGTTGGATATTTGAACCGTTTGAAAATTCCGAAACGTACGCAGGTAACAACATTAATCAATATCACAGGAAGTCCAGCACTGTTGAAAATGCTGTGATTTTAAAGATTTGTCCTCTTGACCTTGTTCTGCTACTTATCCAAGTGAACTTTCTTATCTATCTAGGTATTTTCATTACTAGATTCAAAGGTCGTCTGCTCATTCTGCTGTGAAGTATAAATTTGTTCTGATGAAAACTGTGAAAAACTGTTGTGGCTAAGAATTCGTAAAACATGAAATGAAAAGCTCTATCTTGAAGGTGAGCAAACGAATGGAGAAATGATCACCGGCCAAATGTCTACTTTAAAGATTCGTCGAGAACTTTTAATCTTTTTTTGTTTGTCCATATGCGCTAGGTTTTTACAAATGCATTCTTCCTTGGCGAGTGGCTTAATTATACGGATACGATAATTAGCAACTTCGTTTTCATCTTTTAACAACGCTTACACACACTATTGAAGGAAAACGTACTTTTTTCTAAACAACAAATGCATCACTTTATATTAGGCAAATTTTGCGTGAAATCTTTCGGCATAATAAGAAACAGCTTCTCTTTTATGGAAATCGTCAATGTCTCTAAGCATGAATATCCTTTGTTCGCATGATAGAAAGAAAGTTGATTGAGAAATAAACCATTTGACCTCTTCTGGGATCTCTTGAATCATTCTGTTCCTTGCTTGAAAAGAGAAAATCTTAAAATTGCTTGCAACACATTTTGTTATTTTGCATTTATAATATAATTTCTCACCGTAATATTGTGTTCAGGGTTCATACCTCACGCAACGATATTCACATGATCATGCAAAGAACGAGTTTCGAGGCCAGCGTTACAGTGCCAATTAAATTTCAGCTGGTGTCAAACGGTGTTTCTGTACAAATGTTGGATAAAATATGGGATGTGTTTATCTGTTTTCACCTAGAAATATCTATGGTGATATTTTTAATCTTTGATGCAGATGTCAGCCGAAAGCAATGAAAGTTTCGTAGTCTTTGACTACGTTGCGGCAATCTTGTACAACACGTCTTATAACCAATGCGGGACTATTTCATTCGGCTTAAAAAGAGTTTTGCTTCATTCAAGTACTGATGACAGGCTCTTCCCTAGCGTGACACCTTTTGTTGGGAAATTATTAACTCAGTGTGTTGAATAAAACTATCTTCTTCCTCTTCTTTGTCCGACAAGCTAAAAAATTATTTTGACTGTATTCTGTTTATGTAGCCATTGATGTGAAATCAACAACGAACTCCGAAGGGCTAGAAACAATGAATGTTTTACGCATGTGGCTGCACGTCCAGTCGGTCCTGCTCGGGATCATATTACTTGCCTCACTTTTTCTCAACGTTTTACTTATGAAAGTTCTCTGGATGAAGATGAAGTCAAAACGATGCAAAGGAGACGCGACGAGCAACAATATCGAAAGAATCTACACGTATTTACTGTACCATCTCGCGTTCTCCGACATTCTTAGTGTGTTGTTAAATATACCTTTCGACATCTTTTTCCACACTGAAGTTGTTGTGATCTACGTGTCTCATATTGGCTGTCAGATCTTGCCTCCTTTTCAACTGGCGTCCACTACTGCCCAAGCTGGGACCTATGTCGCTTTGAGTTACCATCGTTTTCGAGCGATAGTGCATCCATTCAGTGCAACGGTGACTGGCTACAAATCGTTTATTATGATCACGTTAATATGGTTCTTCAGTGTTGGTCTTTCCATACCTTATGCTATGGTAAACAGATTCAATGCAACTTCTTCTAAATGCTATGAAAATTGGGGTAGAAAATCGAAGACATTGTATACCTTTTCCATATTCATTGTTCAATATGGTTTTCCAGTGTCTTTAATGGCTCTCTTTTATATCGCAATTGCACGAACGTTGCAGAAGTAAGTATTCTCTTATTGCATCATATAGGCTACTGTACAGATGGTTATGTTCTCAGCATTGTAACTTTATATAAATGGGCTTGTTTTTTTTCTTCCGATGCAACGTTTACTCTGAACAACAATCCCTCTCATTCATTCATCGTTTTATTAGCTTTTTTTTGTCCGAAATTCGCTTTTTTTATCGTGTTTTCAGTTAGTCCTAGGTAACAAGTATAATATTTTTACTCTATTCTCATAAAATCTTCTCAATGTCCATAGTCATCGCACTGCAAAAGAAAAAGTGCGTGTTCCTAGTCGAGATGACGAACGCTGTCACAGACGCATTGTCAAGATGTTGGTGACTATAGTAACCGTTTACAGTGTGTGCATGCTTCCTCACCATGTGTATTGGATTTTCACCAGTATTCATCCGAATGTTGATCAATCTGCGTCCAAGATAGTATCGAGTGTATCATATCTCTTTACGTATTCAAACACTGTCGCCAATCCTATCGTGTTCTTTATTTACAACACGGAGAGTCATTATTATTTGAAAAGAATGTCAAGAAAGTTCTGTTGCGGTCGGACTATGAATATCACGTTTGAACTGGAAAAATGGTCAATCTCATGGTCTGGGGCAACAAAAAGTGATTCGCCTCGTTCATTTGATACGAAGACAACGAACGATGAACAGAAACTTAAGCAGTTATTTCCTCCTAAACCCAGCGATTCCGACGTCGGTGTTTCACTGCCTTGGGAAGCCCAAATTCTCAATTCGCCTGAGCTACTCAGCTACAGAGAATATTCTTCTTCGACTCATTTCAAACATTCCCAGTCCATGGAAGAGCCCATGTATGCAAGTGACCTCTCAAATCCATTGCTGCTCCAAGATATCCCAAGTGATGTAGTACAAGCAGGGTGTAGGTCAGACAATGATGAGAGTGAAAGTAAGGGTAGCAATGCGAATGACTACCGCACCAATACAAGCGAAAGTGATGAAGTATTTTTTGACCAAACAGTAGAAGTTGATCATTGTTTCGATCGAATAGACGTTTTGGGTCATCCTGATGAACACCATATGACTCCAGAAGAACCGTCCAATGAGATCAGGTGGAACGAGGCAACGGACGGATCAGAGTATAACGAAAACGAGGTGTCTTTTGTCAGTGCCGTGATTGATGAAATGATGCGAGATGTTCGAGAGGAACTCAATAGAGAAGTTGTTAATTACAATTTTCTAAACTTCGAAGACATTCTGAATTTGAGTGAGATATCACGTGAATACGTACAGTCCGGTAGAAATCTTGATAGGCAAAGAGAGGATGTTAGGGACATTAGACAGTATCAAGAGAGTGAAGAGGATGAGGAGGTCATACAGGAATACCTTGAAGACCTGCCTGAAACGCGAATGTAGATTTATTTTTCAAAGTATTCAGCCTTGTAAATAAATGTTGCGCTTCAACATAAAATAACTGCGCAAACAAAGACGAATTTGGTATCTGACAAATCAGAGTAGCTGCTTAGATTTTCGGTCTGCGCAAATCAGATTGCGGAAGTTCATCATTTGCAGAAAAGCAAAGGAAAAGGAGGATGTTACGTTTCAAAGAGACTATGTAAAAAATGCATGGTTTGACACTGGTAACAATGTTTTATCAGCGCTATATTTGAGAGGGATAGATTTTTAGCTGAGAGGCATGTTCTAACCTTATTACATAGAGTCTATGTCATAGACAAACAATTTATTGAGTAAAATTCAGAGTCCCACCTGAAGAGTATGTTCTCGTGCAATCCTGTCCTCTTCCCCAAAATTTGGAGCAGGCTTCGCGATACTGCGCCTTTTATTAACCTTTTCCCCCCCACAAATTACAGGCATTCTGATTGTTTTACACTTGAAACGTAAACAAAGCGTTGATTGGATCTGTTACGTAATTTCTTGTTATTCGTCCTATGGAAATGGCATCTGCGATTTAAATTATGCGCGATTAATACTTCCGTTTTTAAAGCGAAATTCGGCTATTATGATCTCCAGCTGTCCCCCGGCCTGTCATCTAATGTATTTTTTGCAATGATGCGTTAAAAAATGAAGCACTTGTGTCTGAAGTATCAAATCATTCTTCACAATAATGATCACTATTAAAAAAAACTATTCTAAAAATAGTAACTACGTCAAAAATTGTCATTTTACGCACTCCTCCTACGCATGAGCAAGGTATTGTGGGAAATGATCAAGATGGCCGATGGTAAAGATGATTCGGTACGCTAAATAGTTGTAATATTTTTGATTTGTTGTTTATGTTTTTTTTTGTACTGTAAAATTGATCATTGTGTTATTTTTATTTTGAACGTAGGAATGTATTTTACTATTACTGAAAACGTTTTCTCTCTTCAGTAGTCATGACGCTTCAATTTGCAGTTTTGTTGTCAGTGTGTAAATAAAATGGCATTATCTGGAAAATTAAACTTGCAATCATTAGTGGGGTTTAAAAAAGAGTGTTTTAGTTATTCATTTTTTTCCTAGTTTGTTAGCAATTGTTAACATTGAAATGTTCCTCGCCCAAAGTCGTACAAGCGATCAAAATTTATATATTTTTGTACTTTAAATTTTGTTCAGGATTTGTTTATGTCGGTAAAAGTTGAAGAGACGAAGAGAATATGTAAAGTGTCGGTTTCATCTAAAACCACTGGAAAAGATGTCGTTGAGCTATTGAAGCCAGACGATGAAAAAACTTACGTTTTAATTGAAATTTGGAAGGGCTGTGGTGAGTTAGTCATTGAGAATGCCGTATTTTTGGATGAAAAATTGGACGTTAAAAATGTCATCGTAATATGTGTTGTAGAAAGACCAATTAAAGAAGATGAAAAGATTAAGAATGCTTTAATACAATGGGGAAGTGATGTTGAGGATGTTGTGTTTTTGCTCAAACAAAAACGTTCTTCAAAACAGGTACTGTTATGTTATATGTAAGTTTGTAAATGTTGTCTGTTATAGTGAGATTGTGTATTATACTCTTTAGAAACAGAGTAAAACCTCTGAAAAACAAAGCTCTTCAAATGCTGATAAACTTTTAAAGAAGCAACGGCTTGTCGAAAGTCTTGAAAAAGAACTACAAGAGAAGGGAAAACAGTTAAAATCCCTTAGGCAAAAAGAGCATGTATCAAAAAATTTTCAATCAAAGTATGTCAGACTGTTGGAGTATCGAGTGATTGAGCAAGATGAAAAGTTGTTAGGCTTACAATCTATACAAGATGAACTTTTTCAGACGAGATTGGAGAACGAAAACCTAGGTATTATGCAATTTTCTTTCTCTATGGGCATGCTTAAGCTTTGTAGTAATAAAAATGCTTCTCTTTAGTCATAGAACTGGATCGTTTGAGGTCAATGCTTGTATTGAAGCATCAGCAATTAGCAGAAGCAACCGCTAGAGTGGAGCTTTTGACTCGTGAACTGGCAATATCTTCTCAACAACAGAACATCAAACTTCCACATCACTTACATGGAAATAATGGTCGCTCTTTTGACCATGGCATGTTAAAAGAACACATTCATCTTAGGAGTAGGTCTTGGCAAAATGACGATGAAAATGACACAGAAACAAGTGCTGACTCAGGTCATGTATCAAATGACTCCCCTTCATATCAACATAGACTTGCTCCAGGTTTCCAGTTTTTTCCTTCTCCTCCAGATATGTACAGTGGAAAGATGGAAAACTTTGAACTGCATTCTGAATTTGATAGGAATGTTAAGCCCTACCCTAGTGAAAGGTTTGGTTTATATGATGCTGGAGTGTATCATGGATTTGATGGGCAAACCAATCACCATCACCTTAAACTACAGCAATTGCAAAACAAACTTCCAGGTGAGGTGGGTGTTAAAAATTTACCAAGACAATATGGAACCATCTCACCACCATCGTCGTTATCATCTATGTATTCAGAATCATCGAGAAGTGAGAGTTTTCTAAGCAACTCTATTGATAGTACATTATTATCTTTGGGAGATGATTCAAGTACATCCAGTGTTCATTCGAGATCAAGTACCCCTACCAACAACCGCAAACAAGTTTTAGTATCACCAAACTCAGCTGAGATGCCAGATTTAAGGCATAGCACACAATTTGACACATCTTCCTCAAAACATTCATTATTGCATCCCAACAACATGGCCTCAGATGACTTGAAAAGAACTGCAGGATCAATATCACTGTATCATAGAAATCGTACGGGATCACTTGATAACAATAATTCCAAGAAAACCGAAGTATTGCATCAGCAATCACAATCAACAATGGAACAGGAGAATATTCCTCCCAATATTACTTTTGTTCCTGAGAAAAGTAATGTGAGTAGCAGTGTTGTATCACCAAGTTTGGCCCGAAGTTCCAAAGAATTTCAACCAAATCACTCACTTAAACTACCCAGTTCACCTGTTACACTGAAAGATGATTTGGTGAAAAATAATCATGTTCCAAGGCCCACAATTCTTGATTTACCAAAGCAAAATTCAAGAACTCTCCCTCAGCAGGGCATAACTCGCAAAAAATCTCCATTATCACAAAGAAAGTTCACTCCTCCAGGAGATTATGTCCACGATACAAAGGTTTTCTACTCGGCTCAGAGAGATACTACAAGTAGTCCTGCAAACTTCTCACATTCAAGAGATGATCGAAAGATGTTGACAGGTTCCGCAAATCAAAAGGAGGAAGCAAAGAGTGTTGCTTGCAATACTAAAAAAAAATGTGATTCTGTCAGCACTGAAGACCAATGTAATAGTGAGGGACTGGAAATGAGTAACATAACATCATTGAAAAGCAATTCACTGACAAGATTGTCTTCACCAGAAATAAAGGGACTCCTGCATGACATGTCTACTTTCAAGATGACAATGAGGGATGTTAAACCAATACAGATTCAGACAAAAGCAGAGAAAGACTCTGACAATAATCCAACTTCAAAACAAACTGAAATAGCTACAACAACATCAGCTGAGAACCATAGTCGCCGAGCATTTTATAAACCACCAAAACCTGTACCAAGAAAGAGAACAAAAACACCTCCACTTCGTGCGTCAGCTTCGCAGAGTAGTCAGAACTCACAGCAAATACTTGCTTCTGAGTTGATTGTAAAAGATGAAGAAAAAAATGTGGACAACATGCCAAATTTAACAAGCAAAAATGAAGATAGAACATTAGATTTAGGGCTTGGTAATAAAGCATATGATTCCATTTTGAGAAGCTCAAAACACAAAGGTAATGTGTGTTCTTATTATTTGAGACTTAAGTCACTTTATGGAAATTTTCTCTTTCATACATGTGCAATTTTGCAGGTAGAAAAAGTGGAAAGAGAGTGAGCTTGGACCCTCATGCTGTCTTGCTACATGCTGCACTTGAAGGAGAACTGGAGCTAGTGAAGAATGTAATTCATCAGGTAGAGTGCCATATGAACATAAAATTTTATTGTCATCAACATTGTGAAGTGGTTGTTGGTAATGCTCTATTAATTGGGATGTGGTGGTACAAATGATGATATTTTTTTATTCAGGTGGAGGATCCTAGTTATCCAAACAATGAAGGTCTTACAGCATTACATCATGCAGTTTGTAACAGTCATGATGATATTGTGAAGTTCTTGGTGCAATATGGTTGTGACATTAATGCAGCAGACATGCAAGGATGGTATGTTAATGCATTCAAAGTATACATCTTACTACCAACATATATGAAGTGTCTTAGGTGCAATTGACTTCTTGTTGTTTTTTCTAGGACATCATTGCATTGTGCTGCAGCTAACAACAGTGTCAGTATGTGTAAGTTTCTTATAAACCATGGAGCATGTGTGTTTGCTATTACATCTATCGAGGGCAAGACACCTTCTCGTTGTTGTGAGAAAGATTTGGAGAACTTTGATGAATGCTTTACATATCTTACTGGTAAGTAATTTAGTCTCGCATGATATTATATAGGTATTAGTATCATACAAGTTTGGAAATGCCTATAATGATGATTTTTCAGAAATCGAAAACAACTTTGGTGTAACCAATGAAGGAGTTGTTTATGCTGTGTATGCATACGAAGCTAAGCAAAAAGATGAGCTTAGTTTTGAATGTGGTGAACGTTTAACTGTTGTACGTCGAGGTGATGTAACAGAGAAAGACTGGTGGTGGGCACAAGACATTCATAACAAGTTTGGATACATACCTCAAAACCTGCTTGGGGTAGGTACATCAATTATTGTTGGTTATATGGTTCTACTGACAACAACGTTAACAGGTTTCATTTTATGATTTAGTTGCAGCCTCGTGTTGCACCTGATGTGTAACAAAGCTACACGATGTCAACATATCTATTCATATTTAATACCCAAGAAGTTATGACAATATAGCTTTTAGCCACAAATTATACATGTAACTTACTTTCCTTAAAATATGTAACTAATATAACAACAAATTAAATATTTAATTAATGCAGAATAGAATCCAATATACATTTTATTGTAAATATTGTAAGAGTAAAAAACATAATATTTACAGATGAGTAATACATACACCAACATATAGTATTGGGTAGTAGCTATCTATTACGGTTTCTTGGATCTCTTGATGTATTGATAATGTTCTTTGGAGTTGCGGCAGCATCATTGCTATTCCCTCTTTGGATGGTGTTTCCTCTGGCTCCACCATTGTTGTTGCCTCGATTACGGAGACGAGGATCCTTCGCCATATTAACTATGTTGGCTTGGTTGGATTCTCGTTGATATGGGTGGAACCGAGCTGAGCGAGGGTCTGTTGGCACTTGGGAGTGAGCAGTTGGTGGTGCAACAGGTGTATGTAAAGGCAGAGGCAAAGGTATTGACTGAGAGGAAGGTTGTACAGATTGATTGCTAGACATGTCTCTAGTTGCCTTCTCATTTGCTTGCTAGAATGGAAAAAAGTGTTATGGGTTGACAATCATGGGTGTTTTGCTAGCAAAACACATCCAACCTTTTTATATTGTTGCAAAAATTCTGCAGCTGGATCACTCATGTTTGGTTGTTCGGAAAAAACCATGCAAAAACTAAAGGCAAATCAGACAAATGTCATAAGTAAAAGTTGATGGATTATTCACAAGGAAGCTCAACTCACATACAATTTTGCCGGAATGTAATGTTTGAAAATTGCGCCACAAAAATTTTAAGTCTGGCAGTTTGGTTCAGTTGCTGGTAGTATTATGTAATTGTAACTTACTCGCCAATCTTTTCCAAAGATCCATTTTTGCTCATGTATAATGTCATACAACCTTTAAATATTGACGTATACCTGAAATGAAAGATGCCAAATGTTATTTTTTTATCAATTTAGTAACCATCGCCTTGACAAATGATCTAACCCTTTCAATAGACGTAATATATCACCACTTTGCATGACACTGGAATAATCATTCCAAACAGACAGATTTATACATCCCGTTTTGTCTGCGACACGACACGATCGCACTTCGTGGCCATCTTTCGTCTTGGTTGGTTTACCTGTGAAAAACGTGGACTCGTTTTTATAGGTTCGAGCTCCACAATGTCATTATTTTTCACTTTACTAACTTATATCAAGAACAATAAATACAGTGTTGATGTTTTTAACCCCAGGTCTGATGTCTTTGATGTTTGTGAACTTCGTATCATCGGACATAACTGCACATATGTTTACATTCATGCGATGGAATAGACAACAATGTTTTGACTGATTTTACAAAGTAATAAATTGACTCGACGAACAACTAATAACTGCCCTCCATTTTGGGATCTTTTCAGGGGGGGGTGAGAAATTGTGTCACTTTCTGGGTCGCTGGCGACATATGGCGGACATATTAAAGGATTAAAGGTTAAAAAATTAGGCTTGTTTTGCTGTCTCGGCTTTCATTCCTTCTAAGATGTCCTTTAATCTACTATATACTTTGCAACACCTAATTTTACTCGACAGCCTACAAGTTGAATAGCGCAAATGTAATAGTTTTCCTAAATCAATCAACAATAGCTCGTTGACAGTAGCCATTTATTTGAAATACAATGGAATGTTGAAACAATTTCTAGTGATAAAATACATTTTGAACTGTGAGTTGATATTGACATTGTCATGAATAACGTAAAACATTACATAATTCTGATTATGTTATGCGGACATTTAAATTTTTGTTAGCCAATTTAAATTTATGTTAGCCAATCACGCGTCGCGTGTGATCGCGGGGAAACCCGCGCAGTAAATTTTGAAACATTAAAAAAATCCAACAATTTTCTGAAAGCTTTCATCTTTCTACTTTCTTCTTGCGTACCTCTCTAAACGCACTGTTTTATGGCTGGCAAACAAGCGAAGTCGTCTAAAGGTTGGTTGTAGTATTATGTATACGAAATTGTCATTAGTTTTGTTTCCGACTATAGCACTATTTAAACGTTTTCCCGAAAATTTCGTTGTCTAGGTGTCAACGATTTGTATGATCCCAGTAGAAGGCATGTACACGCAGAGAAAATACAACCTTTACCAGAGAACATGAAAAAGAAGGTACTATTAAACCTATAAAATATTGACAGATGGCATAGCTCAAATTTCTACAGACACAATTGCCCATTATTTGTTGAAAGTGTGACCGGTGTGACTGTGCAATAGCAAACTGCCAAACATTTCGGTTACATAATTTCTATCGTAGATTAACCAAATTCTCGAAGCTATTCCTTCAAAAAGCAAAAGTGAAATTGCCGAAGTTCTCCAAGCTTGTAACTACGACGTGGAAACAGCCTTTGGCCATTGTATTGCTGGTAAAATAACAACGACTTTCGCCCTACAATTTACCGTGTTTCAATTCCAATGGTCTGACATGAAAGTTTTAAATTTAGCTTTACCTAACAACTTGGTAAATTTGAATGTTGTTCTTTACCAATAGACAGTGAAATGGACAATCAAAATGAATGGGTGGTTCAAGGAAAGCGGAAGGTTAGACTTTCGGACTCGGAAAGCTGTATTGTTGTTGTATTCAACCCGTTATTTACAAAACTTATGATTAATTGTGACTTTAGATGAATGTGCAACGACTCCAACGAGAGATTAGTTACCACTCTGGTAACTCTGGTTTTTTAATTCGTTCTTTATTTCTAAAAGCTTTTCTTGAATTTTGCAATGTGAATCATAGTTTTAATTTCAAATACCACATGAAGATATTTACAAACATTTTTGGCATGTGTTAACGTGTCGGCGACAAATTTAAATTTCTGATGAAAAAGACTTCTTAGAGCTCGATAAAAAAATTAAAAGAACTGCTATATTGTCTTACAATCAAAATTCTCCAAAACTCTCCTTCTTGATGTTTTTGTTTTAATTGGGAAGATAAAATAGTAATTTAATTTCTGAGTAAAGTCCACCTGTACGTTTATGTCTAATTTGTATTTTACTAATTTAAGTAATTTTCTGCACATTAAAATTGCCAATTGATTTAAAAACAATTTCATCATTTGTGAGTAGTTATTGCCATGGTGACTGGAGAGTTTAATGTATATAGTATATTATACTTTCACTTTCCAATATCTTCCAATTTACATTCAGAAATCAAATTGTTTGAGTTTTTTATTTGTTCAGCCGCACAAGGAAGTTTTTGTTTTGAATTTACTCAGCAAATATAAATACAGCAATTTTTTTTGTATGTATAGTATGTGTTTTTTGCATACATTTTTTATAATTTGACATGTTTAAAATTGTCATAAAATCAGGGCAAAATGAAGCATTTATGTTTTGGATGATGAGTGTATGTGATGTTTATTCGTACAGAATAGGAAAAGGAAGAAAACAAAGAAAAGTTTGAATGGTGATGGAAACAATGCATCGACACAAAATGATGCAAACAAAAGTGCTCCTACAGGTTGTTGTGCTGTGTTAAATTTGCTTTTAGCTTTTCATATCATAATTTCCTTCCATGTTATCAATTTAGAACCCCCAAGTCAAGAAAATGTAATTAACCATCAGGATGGAAAAAAATGTCAAGAAAAAAACCTACTTGATTTGACAAATACCAATGGCAAGTGCACAAATGTCTTTGCAAAAACTAACGCACCTCTATACCAATATGATTTCATATTTGTGAGATGTCGTGCAGTTGGCAGCTGCTTAATTCTTAGATTGATCCAAAAACGACCTAATGTTTTAAACACCATCTTAGAATCAATTAAACTATTTGTACTAAAATGGTATTTTATGACATAATATATCACAAATGATACACATGCATGCAAAGTTGAGTTAATATGTTTTGAGGTATTAATGTATTCATATTTTTCATTATAGGTCAACAAAAGCCAACAAAGATAGAAACTCTAAAAATTGAACAATCATTTTCTGCGTCAAATATTTCCCAAGTGGAAAATATTCCAATCTCTTCCAACGCATCTTCTCTCACCTCGGAAAATGTGCAAGGTGTACCCAATGCTGGATCACCTATAGTTTCTCATGCAGAGCAAAATAGCTCATCAGTGGACTCTCAAACCAAACCCAATCAAAATTCTACCAATGAAAAGCATCCAACAAGATTGCAGACGACTTCAGGCTCTGGTCATGAAGTGATTAAGAAATCCTCAAAAGACTTGCAGCGATCCTCCGTATCTATTGCTCGATATCAATCTATGTTGGATGAGGTCAGTATCAACTTGTCGTTTCTGGTTGAAGTAAATGGTTTGAACACGGGAGTATCGTTACATGTTTGTAGATGTAGATCGTCCAGGTTTGTAGAGTCCTGAGAAGGACTGTTGGTGTTGATGTTGACTGACAGTTCGACAACCTTAGCGGTAGTCATCATCATTTGAATCAAGACCCTGAAGATGACTACCGCTAAGGTTGTCAAAACGTCAGTCATCATCAACACCAACAGTCCTTCTCAGGACTCTAAGAACCTGGACGATCTACATTTACTGACATGTATCACCTTATCTTAAAGATTCTGGCAATTTCATCAAAATCGACAAAAGTATTGACCAATTCTTCTAAAAGGTTGAGATGTTTTAATGGGGCAGTTGTTGGCTTGTACACCCACATGGCTTTAGCTATATCCTTATGATTCACTGAGATACCGTTTCATTGTATCTTAGGAAGCTGATTCATCTGTTAAGATGTTGGCAAAAAGTTTTCAAGCCATCAGAAATGCGTGAGTCGTTACTTCATCCGTCCATGTTTCAATATTATTGCTTCCTTTGCAATGCTTTATTCTATGCGAAACATTTGCTTGTTTTCATTTACTATAAGTCTTGACGAGAGAGAAAAGATTTTAGAAGAGCAATTGAAGTCGGTCATCACCGAAGCAAGTACGCTCACCCATTCTTTGACTTTTTCTACTAGATAACCCTGTAAATGTCAAGCTCGTTATATTGACGATGTGTTGTTGATTTTCAGGGGAAATGTTGGAAGAAAGACAACAGGATGCTGTTTGTTTACAATTTAAGTGCAAAGGAGTGAGCAGTATGACAGCAGAGGATGTAGCTGAACTTAGGAACGAGATAAAGGTACCTTTGAATTCATGCTTATAAAAAAAGGATTTGGAAATAGGCGTCTGAATATTCATACACTTTTTCAGCATTTTGTTGGCGAAAGACGCATCGATGAAGATCTTGGTAAAACGGCGCGTTTCACACGAGATGAAGAGAAAATGTTAGAGGTATTGGAAACCTGTGAATCTTTCCTGTTCTCATTTCACTATCAATTTAAAAATCTAATATGGCATTACCCACTTATGTTTTAGATGGTGAAGAATTTTGGCGAAGGTAAGGGGGAATATCTATAGATAACGAAAGTCATGCACATGGCGTTCATTACTGGAGTTGATAGTTAAATCATCGTTTATAGTGCCTTCAATTAAAGATCATTACACAAAATACAAAAGGAAACTTCCAGAGTCTGCTGGAAAGAATTTATCTTCACACAAAACCGCAACTTATTATAAAACAAAATCTTCCAAGAATGAAATTTCGGCTTCTGAAATTCCCGCTAAAGAAATGAACAACAAGGAGAAGGATGACAAACAAGTTGCCCTCTCTCCTTCTCGACTCAAATATCAAGCAGAAATGCACGCAAAATTGCAACAAGCAGTAAAAGAGCAGCAGGTACGTACGTGAATGCATTAGCTGGAAAATTTCTCTTGTTTGAAAAATGTTTTCGTGATTGTTAAATTGCTTATCCCTAGGGCTCCTCTTCAGCCGATGAATTCAAGAGAGCATCAAGTGGAAAAAGTATGTCGTACCTCTGTGTGTTAAAAAGCATGTTACTTTGATGAACGAACACAACAATGTTCATTCGTTCAAAACGTGCATGTATTTTTTAACATCATTTTAAGAGAGTATGATGCACAGGAATCAACCATCGCGTGTCCTTTTTTTGTTTTTGCTGTTATCACGAAAGACTGACATTTATGTCCAGTTTAATGCATCTGTGATTACTATCGCTTGTAGATGGAGATAAACCTGTAAAAGGAAGAGATTTTGTTGGAAGAGCACCGCGCCATAACGATCGTCGCGTTCCAAACTCAAGATCCAAACAAAAACAAATAAATGATTCAAAGAATCATTTCAAATCAAGCGAGAATAAAACGGAGAACAAAGCCAATAACCAAGAACTAGGGAATAAGGCCAAATCAAAGACAATTCCTCATGGTGAATCTGAAGGAAGGACGTTGCCAACTCCCGCATCAACAGATAAAATTCGCAATGATCAAACTGTCTCACTAGATGGTACACAGGCCACTCCTAATGGTCATCATGTGCAGGAAAATAGCATGAAGCCTGAAGAAACCAGCAGTCATTTGGGAAATGGAAATCATCAACCTAAACGAACTAAACGAAAATATGTTCGAAAAACACTAACTAATGATGGTGCAGCTGTGTTTTGTGCAGGGACTGTTGATCCATCAAGTAACAATGTAAGCTTTGCCTTAATTAACGTCCAAAAAAATGATGATTCAACTGCATCAAACCAGGCAAATTCTGAGGTATTTGTACCTTTACCCCAGAGAAGCGGTAGACCACGTGGGTGTTGGATGAAGAAAGAATCAGCAAATAAGATCCAGTTTCCACCATCAAGAGAAAACAAATCTATTCCAGCCTGAGCTGAAAGAAAAATCTTATATACTGTATTGCTCCAACACAAGAGAAATAAAGTTGAAGTCATTTAATTTATATATATAAAAATCCCCATTGGAATTGAATTCCTCTCAAATGATTGGTAAGAATGAAATAAAAATCACAATTATCGGCATTGTTGTTACCTCACATTTCTTTATACTGTAAAAACAAGTATTTTGTTACAAATAACTAGTATTATCAAATATTCGCACTATATACACATTACATTGCTATTTTTGTTTACAGAAAACAAAGTGCCACACTCCGCTGCTTTTACCTTTCTACTAGAATTTGCTTATTTACATAAATATAGATCTCGATCCTGACGATTACACTTTTGTTTTATAATTTTCTTTGATATCTTCTATAAGACATAATGGTAAAAACAATCTATCCAAGTCCTTTTTACTTATGAATGTCTGAATACTTCTTTTGCACAATTCTTCTAATTTTTCAGCTGAAAGGTAAAGTCAAATCCATTTGAAACAATGTACTAGTACAAAAATGCTTTTCATCAGTTAGTACCTTGAAATAGTTCTTTTGAAACAACTTTTGTCTTTCCATACACATCAAATACACAAAATATTGGTTTTTGTGTTGGTATTCCATGGGCAGCAGTGCCCATATTAACACCATCAAGAAAAAATACAAGATCTCCATTTTCCATAACTTGTACGCCAACTTTACTACCAACTTTCAGGTTGTGTAAGTTCAAAGAATAATCTTCTTTGCTTAATCCACGATGAATTCGATTACCGGAGAGGACCCAGAAATCTAAGTGTTGTTCAGTAAAAAGATCTGTAACTGCTCGAGCAAGGTTTATGGTCCATAGTTCTGGGTTGGATGTGGTTACACCGAGTCTCTAAGGGGGGGAAAACACTTGCATGTTAAAAAATAAGTAGTTGCAGTTGCCACAAAAACTTCATGGAAAAGAAAAGAAAGAATTGGAGAAAATTCTCAAGAATTTGCACGCTTTGACTTTAGCATGAGGATAAGTAAGAGATTAGCATAAGAAAAACAATCTAGTTTATTACAATGACAGGCATAATGATGTAAACGCAGACAACAAATGTACAACTATGCAACAAGGTGAAACGTCAAAATGTATGAGCTCACCAAGGAACCGGCCCATTTTAAATCCATTTCATTGATTCTCAGTTGAAATATATCGCCAAGTCTAAGAGGTTTTTTACTAAAACAGACGCCGTTGTCGTACGTGTCTCCATTTCTAGTAGCTGTCAGATTGTCTGCAGATAAAGCCACGTTGCGTCCACGTTTTTGATGAAAGCCATCAGAATTTTCACCTTCAAATGGTTTCGCCATTATTCTTTGTTATGGGAAAGCTTACATCGAGGAAAAACCCAACAGAACGTAAAAAGATAAAGTGTCTTTTATCGTTGTTTTGTTTTTAATGATTTCACAGGAAAACCAGTTTTGCCAGATATTAACGGGAACCTCTGAACCACAATATAAAGCATGAAAAACAACAGTCCCAAAATGGTGATCTTATTGCGACACTTGCACGATTGGTATAATGGTTTCATAATTGTGAATAAGATAACCCAGACTAACAAAAATGATGTATCTTGGAAATATTTACTGTTGGTCTAATTTTGTTTTTCTCGTTTCTTGCGTAAAACCAGTTCGGTTTGTTTACAAACGTGAATATGGCATCCGGTCCAGTCGAACAAACACACGTCATGGAAATGTCCAGCGCTCGTGACGAAAGCGTGTCATGGAAATGTACGTTTATATAAGAACAATTAGACTTTGTTTTTTTTTGTGGAAGAAATTAAACAGAATTGTAATATGACATGTTGCTTTTCAAATCTTGTGACTGTATCACTGCTTAACTTAATTTTGACCTTAATTAATTACATTGTTGAGAGCAAAGCCAAACAAGAAATTCTAGTTTTTGTTGGCGTAGACAAGGAATTTACCGTGTTCTATATAAGGCCGGGGAGGAGGGTCTAAATTAAATAAACAGTAAAAGATTTTGTGATTTAAGTTAAGTGTAAACAGTATTTTTTTTGCCTCGCGTCAGTAAATGGTAAACAGTCACAAACTTTTCATCAAACTTCTCCATAAAATTATGGTGCTTTTATAACTGACAGACTGTAACGAAGTTTCTGGCCAGGGACACGACCCAAAGTGTCCCCTAACAACGCCCAATTTACCGCAATGTCGGGCAAGATATTTCTTACTAGATGTTTTGAGTTTTGACCTGTTTTTTACTCATTTGATTGATTTTTTTTAGAAGTCCACAGAGTGTTCTGCTGTAATGAATGAAAGATGGAAAGTATTTCGGAAATTAAAGCTTTTCGTAGTTTGATCATTTGAAGATTAGGTTGATTCAGACTAAAAATGTACTTTTGAAAATGTACATAAAGCTTGTAATTCTTCGCCTCGAAGCTGTACAAGTTGGTAGTACAATTTGTAATTCTTCACCTCAAAGTTGTACAAGTTGGTAGTATATACAATTAACTACGACAAGAGAAGATTTGAGCAACAGGCTCGTGCATGCGCAGTACGGACGAAAGCAAAAAGCGGTGAATTTAATTTTTATATTTGAATTTTGACATAAATCCACATGTAAATAAGTTGTTAACGGTTGATTTTGCTTTTATGATGCCTAAATCGAGCCAGCAGATGCAAGAATATGATCGAATATTCTTCAGAGTTTCTTGATTCGATAGGAAAACATTTATCATGCAAGAAAAGCTTCGAGAGTTCAATTGAAAACACGTGTCGTCAATCAACAAAGCGGAACAATGTTCGTTTGGAGGCAATTTCAAAAGGCCAGAGTTACAAGACGGTTAAATTTGAATGAGACAGGCTCCTGAAGTATTTAAAGCGAGGTATTGTGTTCAATAAGCGACATTGACCCACGTTGAAGTATATAAATGATTATTTAAATACCGATCCCCCAACCAGTGACCTGTTTCTAAGGTGTATATATGTTCGCGTGTTCACCTGTCAATTTGTTACATTACATTCAAGTGGTTTTATGGCGTCATAACGGAAGCTATACATTACAAATTTGTTACTGAATTTCTCACCACCGTTGCAATTCAACACTCATATATTGTACCATCACAAATATTCGTTGTATATACAAGTTTTCTATAAAAATATTTGTGCCTGCCTCAAGATGTGGTCAAATTTGTATTTGCAGATGTTAACTATTCTAGATGTTTTTCCATTAGTGTTTTGTTGCCTTCAGGTGAGCTCTGTTGCCGGCTAATGGCAGATTCAGACTCCTGGTATGATAATAGACGTAGAAGTAGACGACAATTGCTACACTCCACTTCAAGAAGTCTCTTAAGATCACCTCAAGGAAATGTCACATTTGGAAGATCTATGCTGGATGGTGATGCACATGATAAGGTTGAAGAGTTAGCAACCTCACTGAAGGCAACTTCAGAAGTATTGACGACTGCTGATTGCATGTTGGAACATTATAAACAAATAAATACAGATCAAGATGACGAAATCCAAAGGGTAACTCAAATATTTCTTTTGTATGTATTATCACAGGCATTTGGTGATCTTGTTGGTTGCATATGAATATTTTAGCTTCGAACAGAACTTGACATGTCTACAGAACATGCTAGGAACAAAGAAATCGAAGCTAGAAGAAGAGCAAGATCTCAGGTAAATGCTTTTTCTGATCATCTATAATATCTATGTGGTTTATCATATGACTTGTTTTGGATGTATTTAGGTAAGGTTTGCTGACCCTACCAATCAGGTAACCATTGAAACTTTCATCAAAGTTATATGTCATTTTGAAATGTGATTTGAATGTTTGTACCTTGTAGGAGAGCAATGATTGGCGAGATTCCCTAAAAGACTTGGAGAATGTACAGCATAGGATGTCAATGGAGATAAGTCGTGATAGAGAAGAAAGAGAAAGGTATTTATTTGTTGTTGATCATGGACATTCAGTCCTTTATGGTTGATATGCTGAGTCCGGAACATTAGCAAAGCCAGCCCGTTTCTTACTCCTGCTATGCAATTAATTTTGTGTTCAATCATTGGGTAACACAATCAATGGAATTATCTTTCTGAAGAAATCAATAAAAATTTGCATTGCAGGAGTAAAAGATTGGGCTGGTTTTCTAACTAGTCCCAAAAAAGGGTCAATGTACAAGCAGTCTTATCAAAGGATAGAATGAAATGATTTAATCAAAATCTTTCATATGTCTTGAAAACGAAATTTAATGGTAGCAAAAATAGATGATTGCTTTAAGATACATGTTGATTTCAAGACGCTTGTTTGAATTCTTTTGCATTATAAAAGATTTGAATTGGAGAATCGCGATGCGGTAAAACGACTTGAAGAGTCATTCAAGAGAGTTGAAGATGGTAAAGATAAATGTTGTTTTTGCCACCGGACGTGTCGTGCACAAAATTATAAATAACCGTGATTTTTAATCTAGATTTGCGAGGATCGTGGTCCGAACGGTACGTTAGGTATTCGTTGCTTCACGGTACACTCAGTGTATATACACGTTTTAAATAAATGGAGCTCACTGCCATGTTAGGCTAAACTGGTTCTTAAAAGATTTTATTTTCTAAAGAAAAAGTTCGTCATTTTCGGTATTGTGCATCATGTTAATACAGCGACTTATTTATTGGGATTTTGGCTTCTTCTGGGTCATCTTCATGACTTTTTTATATTCTTTGAATTATACATTTTAGTTTCAACTCTTGGATGTGATAAAAATAAAATAAGAACCTGTTTAAAGTCATAGCTAAACAGGTTCATAAACAAGCATGGTATAAATAAGAAAGTTTAGCCTTACAGGTTCTTAAAATCTAGGTTCTTATATGCGGGGTTTTGCTGTATTGATCAGGTTCAGTTATGGTATGTAAAGGATGTAAATGAGCAATGGCCAGTTTTCGAGTTTTATTGAAAAATGACTGAAAAAAATTCAATGGAGAACCGACAATTGAGGGAATATTATGATCATTGTGAAATAATATAATTGCAACTTAAACGTGTCCGAAATAATACTGCCACTTTTTTAAAGATAAAGCCTTTGACTCGATATAGTTTTTCAAGGGGTGCTGTGTGGCTCCAGAAATTTTATCACGGTTTCGGGTGGAGTTTTTTTTGGAAGAAGAACAAAACCTCGGTTGGCTTTAGTTTCTTTTTTAAAAAAAGGAAGAACAAACTTCAGATCATCGAGGTCGTACGCAGTTTTTAAATCATCTCTAAATCATGACCAAATAGTTTTTCTCGTTTAGAGAGCGTTATCGTAAACTACGCGAGGAAGATGATCGACGACAAAGGGCCGAAGTGCTTTCGAGACAGGTCGTGAAGATGCCGTGTCTTGCATTAGTATGTCATTTTTTTACTGTAGTCTTTCTTTGCAGGAGTCTAGAGATGAAAGAGAGTTATTGTCGGAGAGTGTTCGTCTTGCGTTGGAAAAAGAACGAGAAATACAAGAACTGCGTGATCAGGTTATTTTAAAGCAAAACAAACTTGTACTGTTCCATTCTAGGAGAACGTTTGCAAATTTTTAAAAGAATATCTAGGACTTCTGTGAAAACTATATTTAGCTTCGCGATAGTCGGAGACAAGCAGTAGAGGAGGAACTGGAAACGAAAGTGAAAAAGATTTATGATAAGGTAATTTGGAACCAAGTTTTTCAGAACATCTCAGTTTTTTGTTGCTGTAATGTTTTCTATATATATTGCAGGAGCGTTTGGAAAAGAAAGAAAAGAAAGAAGCGGGAAAACTACTCGATGAATTGAAATCAGTCAAGGTGTACTACGATTTTGAACTCGCCAAAACTAGTTGGAAACGAGATTAATTTTGTATTTTTATAGAACTTGATCAATGAAAGTGCGAATGAAAAGAAAATTAAGGATGAAATCAAAAGGTGAAGTCATTTATTGATAGGTGTTTTCATTTGAATAGAGGAAATTTATTTAGTTAGTCAGTTAGTTAGTTAGTTAGTTAGTTAGTTAGTTAGTTAGTTAGTTAGTTAGTTAGTTAGTTAGTTAGTTAGTTAGTTAGCTAGTTAATACTTCATGTATGGTTCTTAGAAGAGAGGACGAAAATTTTGACAAAAGATCGACAAGAGAACGTCGTCTTTTGAAGAGTTTGGATGATATTCAGGACGAATTGATGGAATGTAAAAGAGAGAAGAGAAAGGTATGAAATCAAAGATATGTGATTCGATGGTTCAGTGTTTCGTTGCATAATGTCTTATACCACTTTGTAGCTTGAGCAAGACTTGGACAATGCATTCAAGCGATTAGAATGGACTGAGGAAGGACGTAGTTCCATGTTGAAGCAAATTGAAGAATTAAAGCAAGAGTTAAAAATTGCTGGTGATGACAAGACCTTGATATCTGTCGGTTTACATGATTGCAAGACGAAACTCGAGGAAAGTGAAAGACAACGCGACCGTTTGACAGGTCGTATGGACAGTTTGTCTAACAAGAACGAGAGCTTAGAGAGAGAAAGAGAAAGCTTACTGCAGCAGCTTGAAGCTGTCAACAATAAGGTACAGACTATTTCAGGCTTTCAGGCTCTTATTAGAATTCATCAATTATTTACTTCATGTAAAGTTTCGTGAGAAGACTCGGGAGCTTTCTGAGAAGATGGATGAAGTTAAGGAACGAACGAAAATGGTGAAAGAGAGTGAAGATAAGAAGGAAGAATTAAAGTCACGTGCGCTGGATACGATAAAGGAGTGAGTTACAATTTTTTGATAACGAGGAAGTGAAACATGGAACTTTTATCTTGTATAATCTCTTCATATTGAGGTATAAAATTAAATGGAAGAGAAGTGAAAAAGAGGCTGAACAAGTAAAGAAAGAATTAATAGCTGCAAAGGTTTCGTTTCAGTGCTTTTATCATAATCATACTATCATAACATACCTTTCCATTTCTAGTTATTTTTTTATTTTATAACAGGAGGATTTGCGGAAACTTCAACAGTACGAGCACGAAGGTTGAATTTCATTGTGTATTTTTACATCAAAGCAAAATTACAATGACGAATTTTGTTTGGCGTGTTTCTAGGCACCAAAAAGTCAGAGGCTTTAGAGAAAGAGCTCAAGTCGGCAGTGGTATGGATCATTGCTTCATTCGTAAAGCTTATTTTCACCTTTCTGCGCTTGACAAAGTATCATTTTATTGTAATCTTCTCAGGAAGAACGAAATCAGTTGAGAAAACAGTTGGAACAAAGATCTACAGAGGTATGAGTACTTGAATGGTTTTCATGAAAGGTTTTTAATGTATTGACTCGTTTCGCTTTCAAAAGTTGATTACTCTATTTAGAATGAGAGTGAAGCTAACACTTTGAAGAAACGTTTAAAGTCCGCTCTTGACGAAAATAGGATATTACAAGAGGTGTGAACTTGGTGAAAACGAGAGAGATACAAACACAGAAGCATATACGCTGTAAATTCTGAATGACGTCTTACTATTTTTAGTCATTTTCTTCGTGTAAAGACGAATGCAAACTTTTGATAGATCGACAACAGGTGAAAGATATTCTATCAGTCGGTTTGCTAACACAGGCCATAATTACATGTTTGCAGATGTAGATCATCCAGGTTAGTAAAATCCTGTGAAGAACTTTTGGTGTTGATGTTGACTGACGTTTCGACAACCTTGACTCTGAAGATGACTACCGCTTAAGTTGTCGAAACGTCAGTCGACATTAACATCAACAGTCCTTCTCAGGATTTTACTAACGTGGATGATCTATATCTTCAAACATGTAACCAATACTCTTGGGCTCAAACCATTTGCTCTAATGCAGGCCATAATTGTTCGGTTTTCATGTATATTTTGTATCTCTTAAAGAAGCTAGAGCGACTGGAAGAAGCAACATCCAGTTCGAATGAAGAACTCAAGGTGTCGTGTGTACTATAGTCAATGTATTAATGGACTCGGAAAGTTATTTCACGAAGGTTCTTTAACTAGGAAGGAGTACGAGAGTTGGCCAGTAAGAAATCTCGACTGGAAATCAAACTAAAGGAAGAACAAAAGTTACGGGAGGTAAGAATGCTAATTTCAAAATACTGAGAGAATATGTGTTAATTGCATACGACGTGTTTGTGTTTTAGGAATTAAACAAAGCCATTGAGGATGCTAAAGAAGGACAAGCAAAGGCCAAAGATGAAGTGCTTCTCTATATCGTCAACTACAACGCGTAAATATATTTAAGTACAACTTCAACTTATCGTGACAGCGAAATATTTACCGACATGATACGAGGAACTTTTCCTCTACACTTCAAGTAATTTTGTGCGTAATTACAGTAAAACATGTCATTCTCTATCTCTTTGCTAAATACAGTACAGCTTGCACTAGTCCTATGCTAGTTGTAACATAACTATACATTTTTTGTTTGTAATTTTTCAGGAAAGAGAAGAATGTAATTTGACAGTTAAAGATATGGAGGAAAAGATGGCGAAAAGTCGAGTATGCGCAAAAGAATACTTTGTCGTTGTTTTGTTTTAAGTTTGTTATATTACAAATTGTCAACGAAAAATATATACATGATTTATAGGTGGAAGGTAATGATGATCTTAAGGAAAGTAACAGACGCTTTGACAAACAGAGAGAAGAATTCGAAGAGCTATTGGCTGATGTCAAGGTGAAAAAATACTTTCTTGTATTTAACATGTCTGACCATAGTGATGACTGAGTTTGATTACTACTGGCTTCTAGTTGAGTTTTTGTAGTTATAAAGACCATTTGATCACTTTACTCTAAGCTGAACAACGAGATTGATGAGATTGCCGCTTTGCATGTTTCTTGCTACCTTTATTGTAAAGTTTAATTCTTAACTGAATTCGAAACGCTTCATTGAGAGGAAAATTCAAATCTCTTGCAGTTGCAACTGGCGGACGAGAAGTCGACTGTTAAAGCACTGCGCAAACAACAAGAGAAAGATGGTTTTGAAATACTTAATATGAAGACACAAATAACCAGGTGATGTGAGCTTGGTTGTTACCTGAGTACAATTATGTATAGAAGAGTTTACGTGGGTACAAGTTTATACAAGTATATATAGGTGGGTACAAGTGTATACACTAAGACACCACTATGTTGAGTTGAAGTGAGCACCCTTCGAATTTAGTATAACATGAAAGTTTGAAAGGTCTATTATTGCTACTGACATATGCTTATAAGTACTGGCTTAAACATAACAATTAAATAATTTATAAAATTGACTGAACATATAGATTGACAGAGGAGAAAAGTCGTTTAAAAGAAAAATCCGATGAATTACAAAACGATGTCAGTACAAAGGTATACATTTTACTTTATTAAACGTCGTATATACTTCTTGAATTTATATTTCATGTATATTATTGAAGGATGAACTCCGAGATCAAGACAGGGCTAGGTAAGCTATACATGATGAGAGCCGAGAAGAATTCTATTAAATATAGAGTAGCATCAATCAGAATAATTATTACGTACATCTGACGTCATATGGTTGTTCTCTATGTAGAATCACCGAATTGGAGAGTGAAGTTCGAAAATGTCATCATTCTTTGAATAGAGCGTCCACGGAACAAAAGGTACAAACATATTCATACCATGTTAACGTTTTCGGTGTTCGTATATTTTTCCACCTGAACGGAAGGAACCTTTTTCAAAGCGATACAAAGTTAAAAGAACTCTACGTACGGTTGTCTTTCTATCATAAATTTTTAAATGTTTCAGGATACGTTTAAGAAGGCCGATGCAGAAAAAGAATACTATGTGAGTGAACTTGAAAAGCGATCGGCGTCTTTGAAGGAAATTTCTCGTCGAAATAAAGGCAAGTTGCGTGATTTTTGTTTTAATATTCACGAAGTTTTTGGAGTTTTGTGTTGACTATTTCCCTAACGGTGTTACAGAACTCGAAGATAAGGAAAGGGAAAATCAAGAAAAAATATCGATTTTTCAAAGAAGGATTATGAAACTTACCAAAACTTTGGATGATGTAAGATAAATCAAGACGTTTGTAAGTGTGGATTGTTCAGCTGAGTGCAGTGACGAAACCTCAGTCAACACCGACACCAATGTTTCTCTGGCTTGCACTAACCTAAACAATCAAATATTATGGATATGCAAGTGCTATTATGGATATGCACGTGTGATTGAGGATGTTATGTGGTTGTATTAAATTGTGATTTTAACTCCAGGTTAACGAGGCTTTGAAAAACAGTATGGCAGCATTGGTTGATAATCAAAAACTTTTAGATGAGCTGTATAACTTTAGGGTAAGATAAGTATGTTGTTGATAGTGGTGTTGTCAGTAAATGGGGGGGGGGTCTGAAAACTTGCTTCATCGTAGTACAGTTCTAGGGAGGAGGTGCGTATAAAGATGATGTTAATATTACTGTTGTCCATTAAACTGCTTTTTGGTTAAACCAGGGGGACGAGGAAGAACGTCATAAGATTCATTGCAAGTTTGCTCGGTAATGAAACGAATATGGCCAATCTATATCTAAAAAAATCCTTCGGTGGCAAAGATGTTTTTATATTTGTTCAGATTTCAAGAGCAAGTAAAGCTACTGACACGAGAACTACAAGATGCCAAAGAAAAGGCCGAGGAGCAAAAAGTAATATTTTTTTCTTGCTTGTAAAAGAATCATTTTATAATACAATGGCTTTCTTCCTATGTCTCTAGCAAGATACGAAAGATGCAAGCAATCTCTCGATGCGTCTCTTGGAGGTAGCTAATATTTCTTCACATGCTGGATTATGACCTTATTCCTGTATTCACCATGTTCTAATACAGGTTTTTGTCTTATGTAGACTTCAAACCGACTAACTTTCAAAACATTTATCATCGTTGATTGTTTTCCCCCTAATTTAGAGCTTAAACCAACTAACTACGCCACATTTATCGTCAAGAAGGACGAGTAGAAAGACGATTTTCGAATCAGGGTAAAGTTTAGTCATGATGATATAGTTTGCTTCGCCTTTTTATCCTTATACTTCATCCTGATCTAGAACGAAGTTACAAGACAATTTTCCATCTCCTGAGAGTACATCATCTTGTGATGGTAAAATATTGACTGGCCACTGCTGACTCTCGATTTTTTGTATGTTATATGGTAATCAAGTCTTATAACGCCATTTTATCTGTTATTTTCCTTTAGATTTCGACCGCCTGAAAGAAGATCACAACTTCAAAACGCCAAGAAAGCAGAGTTTAGAACAGAGGCAAAGGTAAGGATGACCAGACTTGAAATGCATTAAGGATTCCAATTGTACAAGATGAAGTACTGGCGGCCCGTTGTTGTTGCACTTAGTCATCACTATATAGCGAGACATATTACTAATATACGTACATGTATGTATCAATTGTCGTGAAGTGTTTGCTAATCAATGTCTCCCAAATGTTTTCATTCTGGATGTTATCAGTTCCTCCAATCATATTGCAGTTTAAGAACTTTCAAACTTCCATTAGATCAACACGTGACCTTTCATCAACTTCTTCCAAGACCAAATCATCTCCTTACGGATGGTGACAGAGAGTGGTAATGTAAGGTGTACCTTTACTAAGGTAGTGTTCGTAAGTCCATGTATAGAGTAGACTGATGCCCGGAATGTGATGAACAATGAATAATGTCGTGTTGTTCATGTACATAGTCGAAAAAATAACTCTTGTGGCACCCTGTCTCTGGGAGATTTTACCTCAAAGTGAATGGCTGGGACGTTTTTCTTCGTTTTGCTTTATATCTGCATTTCATTTGTCGTCAACTGAGTTGAATGCATTTTATGAAGTCATTATCGGCTTCATCTTAGAAATACGTAGTTAACATGTAGATTGGAATGAAGAAATTTAGAAAGATTTTACAAATAGAGAAAGTTGGAAGATTTAAACCGATTGCCCAACTTACTACATTGAGTTGAACGAGGTTGTGGGAATTTTTTATGAAAGTTATTTGTAAATTGTGTGTTACATTTCTAATACCTTAGGAGAGTTTTGTGTTTGGAAATTTTCTTATTTATATTTTAAATGTGTATATATATATATGATATGTATATTTATTGAAGAAAAGAGATTTCTTAAAATTTTTCGACGATTTTCTTACAATCTCCAATGATATTTGACAACACCATTTCGTTGTCTATGGAAGTGTGGCAGTGAGCACTTTCGCATTTCACTGAGGGAAATGGAACGTTTCTTATGCGTTAAGTTATATTTAAAAGTGACAGTGACGAAAAAGTCTTTCTTAATAAAAATGATTATGATACTCTTAAGTTTTTGAAAGATGTATTGGTAAAGGTATGATACTTTAAGACTTAAAACGTATTTCTTTATTTCATGACATTCTTCACAAAGGCGCGAACCTTCTAGAAAAAAATGTTACACATTTTTTTCTTCAATTCAGACCTTATTGCAATTAGAACATGTAAAATTGTTGGAGTCTTGGTCAGAAGCTTCAACTCTGTTTCATTTGGTCATTGTGCTGAAGGTCAAGATAGGCAAACTCTGGGACTTCCGACCTTGTTCAACAGCGGATGCTGTGCTTCCTACAAACATCTTCAACTTCCTAGTATCCTACCAACAACTTCCTCTGATGATTGACTTCGACGTTCTCAGTCCAGGAATGTGAACCGAGTGAAGATTATAAAGCTATGGAAAATTTTAACTCATTTTTATTGCGTATAAGCAAGAAAATTCGTAAAGCTGATTTGGATTCAATGAAATTTATCTGCAAAGACTACAACTTGGGCGAGAGACGTTTGGGTGAAATCACTGAAGCATATCAACTGTTCGATGAACTGCAAAAGAGAGATTTATTTTCAAAGAAGGATTTGAAAATATTGATTGAACTATTGGAAAAAGTTGATCGCAATGATTTAGCGAAAGAAGTCATAAATTTACGAGGTAGTAACTAATTATTTATGTTGTACAGTAGATGTGTTTTAGTATTGTTATAAATATGTACATTTGTATTTTGGTAGATTTTGTCAAATACAAGTAGAACGAGGAAATTCTTTAAGAACACGTAGTACGAAGTAATTAACATGTAATCTATGTAAGAATTTTAGAAATGTGTCAAATTGTGATTGAAATATTCAGAGTCCAATGGAGCAATACCCAATGATGTCATTCACAACATTGCTGAAAATATATCCACTGACTGGAAACATCTTGGTCGAAGGCTTGAGCTGTCACCAGGACTATTGGATGGAATCGATCATGATTTTCGTCAAGTGAAAGAAAAGACTTTGCAAATGTTGTCACGATGGAAGGAGCGAAAAGGTGATGATGCTACCGGACAAATTTTAGCTGATGCCTTAGTTAACATTCATCGACGTGATGTGGCTGAAGATTTACAAGGTAACAGTGGAATACTCTCATTAGCCAAAAATTTTCAACATTCTATGATAAAATGCTCAATTTTTCAAGAAATCTGTGGAAGATTATATGGCATAATCATATACATAAATGGTCAACCCCCCTGTCAACCTGATTCATCTAATTTAACTCGGCCTTCTGCAGCAAGAACAAATCAACACAGTAAGTTAATAATTAGATATGCAACTATGGTTGCTTATAAGCAATTTTTTTACCGAGGGGATTAACACCCCAAGGAATAGCCTTCAAAGATATTCAAACTGAGCAATATTTCCCTTTACCCAATTTCATTTTTTTTTTCATTTCAATGATTATATTCCAGGTGGTTTGAATACCATGCGAGCTGATCTTATGAATAGACTACCTACTCAAGAGTCAACATCCTAAAGTGACTTTTTTTCATTTTGGCATTTCAGTTAGTCACTTTTTATTGTATGTTTCAAATCCATACCAATGAGATCAATAATTTTAATAATAGTCCATAGAATATCTTATGTCGTCTGTCTATCTTTACATATTACGATTGGCTGTTGTTATTTTATAAAAGAATTATGATGAATTGTAAAATGTAAAAAAATCGCTTCATGTAATGAAGTTAATGTGTCTTTAGCTTATTTATTGTTTTTAAATTGTTAATTGATTAATTAAAGAGTAATTAAAATTAGTTTGCTGCTTGATCAATAATTAATTACTTCGGATGGTAGCCTGGTATCGAGAGCCAACAGCCATGTTGGTCATGTGTAGTCATTAGTAACTACAACATCGTCCGTATGGTACAGTGAATTTTCCTCGAAGTCCAAATTGTTGTACTTGGGTTGTTTTTATTTTCTTCTGCAAAGATGTCCGCACGTTTGTTACGACGGGAATATACTGGTAAATTACCTTTGCCTATAACAGATCACGCCTTGAGAAAGGGACTTTTGTCGACGTTTAATGCCTCGAATGAATTTTCAACGGTGAAGTATGTTTTCTACCAGAACAAACAATTTCTTCTTGAGCTAGGGAATGTACTCTTTGCCACTGAATGTGTTGAAATTATTGCCAATACCGATGCAGCCGTACTTGAAGATGTGAGCGATACATATCGTTTTGGTAAACAACGAAAAAGCGAACGACTTTTGGCTTTAGATGAAAAATTGGCTGAAGGTATTTGGGAAAGGATTCGTGACATTTTGCAAGAGAAGCTTAAGGAGTATAAAGTGATTACGAGACCTCTTGGTTTTGACGTGAGACGGGGTGATTGGGATCTTTATGGATTAAACGAAGCGATGAGGGTGAATAAGTATTGTTCGGAGACAAAAGGCTTCTTTGGACCTCATAAAGATGCTCAATATTGCCCCAGTGGAGATGAACGATCCATTTTTACACTTCTTATCTATTTGAATGAGGACTTCACTGGTGGTAGTACCTGTTTCTATATTCCCAAAGATCCAAGTCTACCAACGAAAGATATGACCATAAAGGAAGAAATTAAATTACATGGTGGATTGAATGTTGGTTATGAATGTATCAAAGTTACTCCCAAGGTTGGACATGCAGTTATTAGCAGCCAAAACTATTTGCATGAGGCACTGCCTGTCAACGAAGGCTCAAAATACATTTTGAAAACTGATATTGTTCTGAGACGCACCAACAAGCAGTTTGGTTTTTCAATAGGGGAAGATGAGAAACACGATTATAGCAAATGTGTTAATTATTTTAGAGAAGCACAACAAAAAGAAAATGATCTTAAGTTTGACATTGCCAGTGATCTTTACGAAAAAGCTCTTTCAATTCGATATTCTTACCCTAGCTCTAATCATGATGAGATACAAGTAATAGACACTAGTGGCTATCTCAGAATGCCTCTTGAAGTTTGGTTACTTGTGTTTCAATATCTTTCAGGGTATGATATCCAGAACCTTGTCTATGCATACCCACAGTTGAATATAACAAAAGCTGTTTTTGAACAGCAACGAAGAAATCTTGCTCCAAGACTAGTAAATGAGAATTTCATACCAAAGTTACGCTTCCAAAGTGGTGTTATCTCATCATTTATTTTTCCACATGCAAAGTTTTTTGAGGACAATTATATCAACTGCTGTCGTGTTATAGCAATGTATTCATTTTATCTTCTTGGGCATTCACCAAGCAATGATTGCTACACAGTTGAATATAATCCTCTTACTCAAGAGGTTTGTGTGGTGGCATTAGAAACTCTTCTTTCTGATGTTTTCTACAGTCGCAGGTGTTATGGTTCTGTGTACAATGTCCGTCAGCAAGATCCTAAAAAAAGAGATCCAAGAAAAGATTTCGAAGCCAGTGTTGACAGAAGCTACATGCTTGCAGTGCATGCAAATGAATTTATAGGAATGGAGCTTGCGGATCACTTCAACATAAAAAGTGCAGTTCATATAACAGCAGACTCTGTTGATAATGAGGAAGAAGATGACGAAAGTGATCACAGTGGAGATGATGAAAAAAGTGATCACAGTGGAGATGATGAAAAAAGTGATCACAGTGGAGATGATGAAAAAAGTGATCACAGTGGAGATGATGAAAAAAGTGATCACAGTGGAGATGATGAAAAAAGTGATCACAGTGAAAAAAATGAGTGTGACAGTGGTGAAAATGATGAAGAAGATGAAGAACATTGTGATGTTTACAAATCTCTGAAGTTAGGTGAACCTGCCACCAGGAAAGTTGGAATTTACCATGACAATATTCTTCCATTTTATTGGGAGGTCGACCGAAATTATTCTTTACGTGACACTTTAAGATGTTTACTTCGTCATGGTGACCAAATCAGGGAAAGGTATGAAATTGAAACTGACCCATTTGAGGAGTTAGATTGCCCTGAAAAAATAGAGGACTATTTTAAAAGTGTTGACAAGGTGTCATGTCTCCCTGGAGCTTCAGCTGCAGTTGTTGTTGAGCTGAAATCTCTCATGAATGTTGAGGACAATGAAATTTGTATTTGCTTTTTGGGACCAAATTATGAATTTTCAGAGAAACTTACACAGCAATGCCCCACCAAACATTTTAATTATCTTGTGTTTGATTTTGAAAAAGCGCTATTGTCAGTTGTTGAGGAAGATTTTGTTGTAGTTGAAGATGTGTCAGGTAGTTCAACAGTTGAAGACGTAGTATTGACTGATATGAAGGAAATTTGTGGTTTGGGGGATGCCATTAAAGCAACGGTGAACATTGAACCGCTTTTGTCTGCAGCTACATCTTTTAATCATGCATCTTGTCAGTGTGGACATCCTCGATTTGAATTAAAACAATTTCATGATTTGAAGAGATATCACCATCTTACATCAGTGACAATCTGGGCTAAAGAGAAAGATGGTGAAATGTATGTTTGGTCAGCATATAATGGTGTTGTTGCTATGTAGAGTTTGTGTAATTTGTAAATAATAGATACTACATGTTGGTTATTTTTCGATTTGAGTTGATCTGTCTGCCAGTTCAGCGAGTTCACATTCAGTGGAAATTTTGAATGACTGTAAATTGGTATTTCTATCTTTCACCATGGAGAAATGATGGTGAAATTATTTTTCACATTATTTGGTGAAGCATATAATGGTGTTCTCTTTATGTAGAATTAATGTAATTTCCAAGTAAATTTTTAATTTTAAAAGATAAGTGTTATATATTGGTAAATTTTTAATTTGAGGAACTATTCGCCAGTTTAGTGCGTTGAGTTCACGTTCAGTGAAATAACGAGACCAGTTTAGGCGGGAAACGTGTATTTAAAATCCATGAGGTTCCCATAACAATATACGAAATTTCAAACTTACTGTCAAGCAATAAAATTTGTTGAAAACTTCATGGAGAAATACAAAAAGCTTCGCATTATAGGCAGAGGTTCGTTTGGTACTGTTTGGTTAATTCGTTCGACGCATAAGCGGGGAAATTATGTTTTGAAAGAGATTTCTTTATCGAGTATTGGAGAACGAGAGAGACATCTTGCGTTGAACGAAGTCAGATTACTTTCACAAATACGACATATCAACATTATTCGCTATAAAGAAGCCTTTTTTAGCAATGATTTTTTGAGCATTGCGATGGAATATGCGGAGGAAGGTTAGTTTGACAACGTTTGAAGTTATTTAAGGCATGTGCAACGGACGCGAATGTTTGTAGGCGACTTGTCAGAATGGATCCGACGGCAAGCTGGACAGACTTCTTCAAAGGATCTAATTTTGGACTGGTTCGTCCAAATCTGTCTTGCTTTGAAATATATTCACGGGATTAATATTTTACATCGAGGTAAAATGTTATAAATGTACACCTCTAGCATAAATGTCTATACTTACATTGATTAAATTTTCTTCAGATATAAAGTGTCAAAATATATTTCTTTCGAAAGGAAATATTGTAAAACTTGGTGATTTTGGCATAGCTTGTGTGTTGCAGAATACTTTGGACCAGGCAAAGACAGTCATTGGTACTCCTTCATATCTTTCTCCTGAAATATGTTGTCAACAACCGTATCCTTTATCGTACTTATTTATCCCACATTGATTCCTCACATCGTTTCTTTTGTACTTGTGTTTCTTGACAAAGTCCATCTCAGATATAATCAGAAAAGTGACATGTGGGCATTAGGATGCGTTCTGTATGAAATGATAACATTGCATCATCCATTTGAGTCAAGGGATTTCTCCCAACTTGTCATGAAAATTCTTCATTGTGACTTCAAGCCCATACCCAAGTGAGTCAGTCCTACAGTTTATCAAACCATTTTTCATTTGCCAGGCATGATCTTTCCACATTACATCAGTAGACATGGAACTCTTCTACAAGATCTGGTCAACATACTTCTATGCATTGAACCATCTCGGCGACCGTCTGCCAAACAAATTCTTCATATACCCGCAATGCAACCTTATGTAAACAAAGTATTTGAGCGAGGTAAGGCGAAGAGATCTGAAAGTGTTGGCTGTAATGAAGATGCAACAAACTGGCACACATCTACAGCAGCTATGGAGAAAACACAATCTTCCTGTGGTGATTATTCAGGTACAGGTTTATGTTTAAGTAGCTGTTTAAATGTGCCTGCCATCATTGGGAAATAGCAAAAAGTAGGTCTTCTTTTCCTTCGTTTATAAGACATGTTTAAATATGCATGTCACAAAAATCGTGCCAATCAGGATGCAGTCGAACGTAGTCAAAGACATGGCAAATGTCTCTCTTCTGAGGTTTTTTTTGAAGACCAAGATTGTGCAGGAAATGAGTTTGCTGCATTAAGTTTAGAGAAAGAAAATCATTTTGAGCTGTATGATGGCGGAAACAAAGAAAATGTAAGTTTTTAGTGATATACTTTTAAGTATGATTTTTTTCTCATTGAAACATGACTTTCTAACCACAGGGAAACAATCAATTTATTCAAAAGCAACGATCCTACAGTACAAGTATTATCAGAGAAAACGATTATCCCCGCCCTATCCCTCGTAGTCCTTTGGCAATCCTTAATCCTTATCAGATGCGCATGCGCGAAACATATGACGTAAGATGCAGGACGCAGCAACTGTGCCACGAAACGTTCACGAAAATCCCTAGAAGTCAGTCGACGTCCCACGATTTTAGTAATTGTATTAGTTGTGAAAAAGAACAGAGAGAAGCTAAAAATATTTCATCCGACGAAAAACGTCTCCCAGTTCATGTCAAACAAATGGAATTGTTGAAATATCTTATTACTGGATACGATCACGTCTTTGAAACGATTTCCTCTCAAACTTCCTTACAAGAATATATGGAGATGATCAAGTCCGAACTACTGGACAATTTAGGCTCTCAAACCTTCATCAATATCCGGGAATATTTACATCATGATGATGTCACAAAAGTTGCAGAGACCTGCGAGTCTTTATATGATGTTCTAGGAAAAGATAAAATTCATCTACTTCCTCTCGTTCTCCATTATCATCAATGCGAAAAAATACTCAAGAAATAATGACTTCATGTTAGAATTAGTGAAAGTTTATCGTTAAATAGAAACTAATCGTTCGTGGAATCGATTTATTGAATTTATTGTGACATACATTTTTATGGAAATGTATTTAATGTTATTATCAGAGTAACATAACGTATCTAGCCTGCCATTTAATCTATGTATTTACTCTTTGAAGATCGTGTATTATTTTAGGCACAATAAGACTTTATTATTTTGAATGCTGTGTTGATTTTTGAATGGCCAACAAATAGTTATAACAGAGAGCACATGGTAACTATATTGAGAAATGAGATATGGGCTGAGGTCTGATTCAAACGTCAAACTATTGATGTGCCAAACGTATTAGACACAAATGCATTCGGCACATGAAAAGTTTCAATATTGAAACGTGCCAACTGAAGCTGGACAATGAGATTAACGATTTACCACCATTGCTATAATGATAAGGATCGGAAGCAATCATATTTTTTTGCCGCCAATCTGTCTCTGTTATCTGAGAATTGAATGATTTATCTAAAAAGATATCAAACAACAAAAGCATTTTTTACTCTTTCTAATTGGATGGTTATTAGTGACTCGTTCAACTTGTAGCCAGTAATATTTTTTCATATTATTTTGCTGTACATTTGTTAAAAGGCTTGGGAACGTTCGAATATTTAAAAACATGAGAAATAAAAATGATAAAAAATTGGCTATTATTCGCATTGCCATCACGAGGGTGATATATTGTTATTATTTGCTTCGTGGGTCTCATGTTGAGATATATTTAACTATAAATAAAAAAAGTGTTCTCCAAACATGACGTACATTTGCATTTGTCATTACTTCATTAAACACAGTAGTATCTGTATGTGATCAAAATTGGGAACTGTGGCGAGGGAATCCACGAGAGGCCATTTTTTATATGTTTAAGTACTTTCAACTTTTAACCTCTTTCATGCGTGATCTCTTATTTACGTAGGGATCTATATTATACCGAGGTTTAATGATATTGATCGGATAATTGATACATGATTGCTAAAGGAAATGCCTCTGCTTGCCAATGAGACAACCCCAGCGTTATGTTTTGGAAACCGTACGACGGTAACAAAGACAAAGGTAACAGGGGGGGGTTACCCTGTCGAACGCCCTCTGCGAAAGAAAACAAAACTTAGAAGATAAATATCAGGCAGAGATTTGAATATTGAAGTATCTGACAAAAAACCGGTCAAATGTTTATGCATCATTTTACGAGGTTAACCCATACATTTTCATTTAATTAATGTTATTCCTCGTTTTCCGAAGCACAACTTCCCGTGCACGACCCCTACTTTTCCACATGTAGACAAGTGATCGATGCGTGAAACTTTTTTTAATCGAAAATATCCCATTTTTAGTTCCCAAGACTGGGTGACAAGCAAGCTGTCTTGTGAACAGCGTGTGTGATATCGTGTACAAATGCTCACAGGTTATTGATGAACTGAACCGAATAGGTCTCTTGCTGCAACTCAAGCAGGGAGATTTAAATAAACAAAACGCTAGTTTATTATTAGCGAGCGGACCGCAAACAGATGCTATTTGGATTTGGAGAAGCCTGACGCAAAAACGTCTGCAGCTGGTTTGAAGACATCGTCCTTAGGTAAGTGGGGCTGCTCAATCTTAATTCTTCAGTTCTTCTTTAGAATGATGCTTGATTTTAGAAATTTTAGGTTCTTGATTTTAGAAGATTTTGGAAATTGTACTCATATTGGCATTTCGAATTGAATTAAGATGTCATCGGTATTTTTTGAAAAGTAACGTTCTTGTGTGGTAAAAACGTCTGTAATCTATTTTATTTCTCAAGACATAAACGTAACTTTTAGATTTTAAATGAAATAGGAACTTTTGTGAGTTTACTGCAGAGAGACACGTATACTCATAAACATCTTATCAGATTCACTGCCTTTCTTGTAGGATTCACCACGGAGTGTTTCAGTTGTTTTTTTGCTTTTATCAGTTTTAAAAATTATCACATAAATGGCAGTTTTGAGTGCGGGGATAGTCCATATTTTATTCGTCGAGTCGACGATTTCTTTAAAATTTACTACAATTTACGAGGAAAAGTTCAAAAATTCAGAAAACCGAATTCACTTCTTATAATGTCGGTCAATCAGAGGCAAGAGGCGGCAACTATTGACCAATAATGAATAAAAGGGAAAACATCTGGATTTTTATTTCTACTCTTTGTTGTGCACGTATTCATTTCACCCGCAAAAAATGATTGGTTTTATCAATGTTTGCACTGTTTTCTTGTCAATATATACATAGCACTTCGTCATATCCGACGCTTCATAAATAAGTGTAACTATTATTACCATGTAGATGAGGTTTTGCGTTAATTATATTGATGATTTGGTTAAAGTCGTTTGTTGCAAAACCACTGGTTTGTTTGAATTCATTGTAGCAGATGATCAGGAAGTGCAATTCTTCGACTTGCTTAGTTTATCTTATTGCGTTCGGCTCCCGTTTACAAAAATTGCTGGAATGGAAAAATCTGACAGTGACTCGCGATATTTCGGTTTCTCGGCAATATTTTACCGTATTTCATTCAGACTGCTTCATTGTGGGGGTGTAAGATCAGTTTTCTAACTCGGGAGGGGTAGTTGGACGTGCTCTTTTCTGCATTGTTTCATTAGGAATGTAACGATTGTTTCATTTGGAAATATGCTGTGTGGATGAGATAGCCTGGGAAATATGTATGTTTGTATGTTCCGCGATGTTAATTTCTGTTGAAATCAATTGTTATTATGGTTTATGACATAAATATTTGAAAACTAACCCTTCTCCAGTGACCGAAGCTGATTACTACTCGTGATGTACTGAGGCTGAGCTAAAGCCGTCTTTTCTTTTCATTGGGAGGAGGGGTGGGGTGGTTGTCAGAGCCAACTTTTTGCTGACATATAATGACTTGGTTTCGGATGTTATCAAAACAAGCAATATTGCACAACAATGTGAGATCATTTAATTTAAAAGAAGTCATTTGATTAGAATTTTTAATACTTTCTTAAAATATTCACTGAAAATTAAATTAAACATGCATGTCAAAATGTATAACCAAGAATGTAAACTTTTTAAAGCTGTTCAAATTATTGCCATGTTAAAAACGCATTTTCACATGTCATATATCATTTTTACAAACGACTACAGCTACGCCTCCGTTGATTTTCCCCAATCATCAAGCTCGTTGCATATGGTGCGGTTTTTTTCATTCATTTATTGAAGACGATCTTTGCGTCGATTTGGATTGAACATTTTTTTGCATGGTTCGCTTAAATATCGTTGTTGTGTATTCTCTCAATCCTCGTAAATCGCATGCAAAATATGAACTTGTCAATTTAACAATTGATTAGTTAGTCTTTACTGCCATATCAGTTTATCAGATAAAAAATTTGCAAATTCTCTGAGTATTCTGTGATTTCTACTGAGCTATAGAGAAAAAGAACACTTTTCCATGAATTCTTTTCTAAACCTTCATTTTCTTGTAAAACTACTTTAAAGTCATGTACAGATTGAGCAACTTCCTCGATAGAATATGAAATACGTCCACTTGTCAATCTAGCTTGGGTGAACAAATTAATTTTTTTGTCAACGAAGGGCGGTTGTTTTCACAAAACGAGTCATTTTAAGATACTTTGAACCTGTTTTGACATCTTATCTTGGTCAACCGACGTCAATTATTTGAATTATTTGAGATATTCGCCCTTGCGATTGTTCGTTCAGATACGCCACATCGACTGGGAAAAATACGCACTTGAATACAGTACTACGATAGAGACTTTAATCTCAAGTAGAGAGGCATGCTGTTTTATCAAAAGTAATTTTGGCAACGTTTTTCTCAACTTTCTTATAAATATTCTCTTTCAGCGTCGGAGAGCGGATGTACACACGTTGAAAATCAGGTCAGAAAGTGTTGAAGTATGCATAAAAATTTCAATGAAAAAATACAACTGTTTACGTATGCAAACAGCAGCAAGTCTGCGAATGAGAGTCGACTCTTTTCGTGATTTAATTGATTCGACCGTTCCTGAAAAACTTAAAAATCGCAGCGATTTCCATCACAAATTACAACTATTCCTATTATAGAAGCTAATCAATTTTGGTATTTTGTGCTTGACATACATCGTCATAAACTTGCGTTTTACCACATTTAATACAATCAAGATTCTAATTTTTGTGTTCTAATTTTCAAGTACCAAAAACCAGGGCGCGTTGAAAATCAAAAAAAAGAGAGACAGCAATTTTAATCTTTAGAAATGATTGTTGGATTGAGTGGCTATTTCATTGATTTATGATTGACCAAATGATTTGTCGCTCAGCCAATACAAGGCAAAATCACCTGCTTTTTCATCTTGTCGTCAAGGCAACTCTTTTTTGGTGAACCCTTAAACCACACATCGCAACTCTAAACAAGGGTCATGCTAGATCTAAATGCTGACAGGAGCATCGTCACTACACTTTATACATACATGTTGAAGTTGAAGAATGTATTGCTATCTGTGAAAAACGTGAATTCGAGCTGATTGTTAATAATTGTGATATGTTGTTTAAACTAGGTGCCTCACACTTTGGCTATAGATTTATAAATTTACATGTCGACCTAAAATTATTAATGCCGTCCAACGCATTGTTTTGTGCGATCAATTCCGTATAATGTCAGTGTTGTTCTATTCAAGGCATATTCATCTAAGTTTGTTTTTGTACAACAGTCTTAATATATCCCATCACTATTATCGTGTCACCTATTTACCAATGACGTCATACACACATAGTTATCTCCTATCAAAGGTCCATATTGAGAGATTGAGCATAGGTTTTTAGGCGCATTTTGTTTTTTCCTCCCTGGCTGTGGGCGAGGGCTAAATAAAAATTTATAATAATAGCAAAGTGAGAGATAACAGCCTTGTTCAAAGCCCTGAATATCTCCACTTGAATGTTGTAGATGGATAAGGTTACTTGTTTGACACATAGTTACGAGATCATTTTGCACGAGTGCTATGAAGCAGTTAGGATGTCAGTCACACTGAGAGAGCAATAAAGTAATTAGTTTTAACCATGATTGTGATAAATTATTTAGTCATGAATGAGCTGATCTAATGACGCATTCAGTTTTGAAGTTAACAGCAATAAAACGATGAGTACTGTATGGTAGTTAAAAAGTCACACAACTTCAAGGAAATAAAGTAGTTCATCCGACAATAAAGCGCCATAGTAAGTTATAGTTGTAACATGTGTTACTGTGCATGGATTGTCGCGTCTTTTTGTTTAATGCCAACGATTGGTTCGTATTTCAAAATTGACAAATAGACGATTTTGATTTTTTTTTTTGTGAATCGCTTTTTCATTTTTCAAGCATTCTTGCCGCTTAATGTAATGGAGCTTTGTATTTTAGCTGGTGTTGGCTGCTATGTTTCATTCTCGCATTTTCATTCACCAGAATTTATCTTATCCATTTATGGTGTTTTTGTGCCATCTATCCTGAGTAGAGTCTAATCTCATGTTTCCTCCTTTCCTTCTTACTTTTCTCTTAATTAGAAAATGCTTTGAATTTTCTGTAATGTCCGAGCATTTACAGATAAACACGTATTTAACATAAGCAATTATCTTTTTTTTTCTGATAAAGACTAAGCTCATTCTCGTAAGTTTTTTCGAACGATCGAATTCGTCTAGTTTCCTTATCAAATTGCTGATACTGGAATCAGACGTAATTGAAGCATTTAGGCATCTGTAAGAACGAGTGTTGATAGATTTTCTGGCGTTGATTTACCAGATGGCTTACACATCAAATTGTGTACACTACATTTGCTTATCGACAAAATATTCTTTAGAAAACATCGTCTTCTAGATTTATCGAGTATTTTTACGACCTTTACGTCACAGCAAAACAGAGGTTCTATTTTTACAGCTAAAGCTCTTTCTTCCGTCTTAAGATGAGAAAATTTAGCACAGACGAGAGGTTAAGTGCATTTTTAACTTTTACCACAAAACTGACTCACCCTTGTTTTCGTCCATGCCTTGCTAATGAGATTATACTTCTATGGCATAAGGATAATTTATTGCTTGACCAGAAGGAATCACACACGCAGTGACTTTCCCCAGGGCCTATTCTGACATTTTATGCGAGTTTTCTTTTCCGAACTAGTCAGTTATATATTCTAAATCACGCCAAATGACGCCATGATGTGAGAAATAAATCTTTCAACCCTTGAGGGCTGGAAGGTGTTTTTAAAGTATTAAGAAAAATGAACACGTTTGCGTTAACTCTTCAATTCGGCGTGAATATGTGTGTTAGGATTTATAACGCCTCCATCAGTTGTGTTCTCCCTTTCAAATCTGCTTTCAAACTAATTCATGTTGCCCGTATTGATGCCATTCTTAGCAAAGAAGTAAAGCACACCCGATGATATAGTAAAATGCGCGTGACATTAGACATGTCGAATCATAGAAATAGATTTCAATCCCTGTGAAATTTGTCATCATTTTAAGGAGATTTGTGTGTGTGTATGTGTGTGTGGGAACGAGTGACGTGCGTTTCATCTCATTACGTGTCATTTCTCGCATTTTAGATTATCTGTTAATGAATGTTTTTTAAGGTTTTCACTGCCTGTTTTCAGTTTTTGCATTCATCATAATAAATAACGTTCCTTCTTAATTACGCACGATAGATAAGAGAGAAATTAAAGCGCCATTCTTATCCTGTTATGATCTTATTTCAGGCAACACAGTTGTTTTGTGCGCATCGATCGTGTCTGTCCAGAAGTGCACACGTATGCCAAGGAAGGAGAGAAAGCACTTGGATGCAGTGAAACGAACCATAAGAGGTTTGTGTGTATCAGCATTTGTAGAGTAATTTATTGGCCATAATTATACACCCTCGTTGTTTTTGTCGGGTTCAGATCATTATATGTGATGAACTTTAAAAATATATATTTCCTATATCGGTGCGCCTTTTGAAAAGGTTTTCAATTGTAAATCGAATATTGGTGGATTATTGATGTTATCAAACAGTCCAATATTTGAAAATGTCTACTAATTGGCAAAGACGACTTAGATACACGGTATGCATAATACAGGGATGTCTCGTATACTTAATTGCTATTGCAATATACGAGACATATTTTTCTTTTCCCAATGAACCACTTGCATTATTATGTTTGATGAAACGGTTCTCTGTGGTGAATTTTCGCACTGTAATGAAAAGCGTTAAGTGCTGATAAGAGGAGAGTCCTCTGTTAATGTTGTTTTTGTCCGAGAACAACTCGTGGATTTTTTTACATGGTTACATAACTGTATCTATTTTGGGTCTTTCCTCACCCGTGATAGTAGAACTGTATTGTTGATTTCATGCTTTATCCCAATTCCTCCCAAAACACTACGAATTCTTTCCGTAATGCATGGAAATGATTTGAACAATGTTTTCCACGCCCGTCACGATCGAGTCACTCGATGCTTCCTATTTGCCAAGGTGCTTTTCTATTTACGTAAGCATCTCTCCCATATTTCATATTGCATTGTTAAGTGAGATGAAGTGGCAAAAGTGCCGAAATCCTTATCAAAGTTTAAACTACGCCCATTTAACAAGCCGCGAGTTCACTACATCAACAAATACTTTACATCCCAGCTAGAGAGCTAGATAAATAAATCGTCTGTCAATTATTTCATAAATCTAACATGCTAATGTGCTCTTTTTGCATCGCATTCAAATTGTCAGCACGGAACACGGGGATTGACGATTTTCACGTTAGCTAAGATACGAAAATTTTAAAACGTCAATTTTTTTCTTTCCGAACACGAATTGTTCGTATTACAATTTGGTAGAACAGCGTGTCCTCATCATTTGGACATTTTCTGTAGGTGTACGTGCTTATGACCGTCTTCAATGAATTCAACTCACCTATGCTTCTTACTTTTGGGATTTTCGATGACAAATAGGCATTTTTTTATTCCCGTAATCCTGTTTGCTTGTAGTAAAATGATCTCTTGACTTAACTAATTGCTTGCACACGTATAGCAAATAATCTTGTATCGATGCGCATTTTTTTATGATCGCCAAAACATAAGTGGAGTCCATATGGTGAAGTCATTTAGTGTAAAATGCCAGATGCTGTTTTGAAACAACGAATATGAAGTTCGAACGAAATAACTTCTTTATTTATCGAACAGCGTGAGTTTACTCATTTTTTTTTGTTAACTCAACACATTTTCACTGAAGTAGTTTATGTTCACTGCGAGCTCATTGCCACTGTGCTAATTTTCGAGATCTAAATGGTTTTGTGCAGCAATTTTTGCACACACGTCAAAACAGGCCAACTACGTGACTATATATAGATCTTTTTGCGTTTTCTTTTGAATTGCTTGTGCATGCATACATGGCTTTCTTGTGTTTCATCGTTCGAATGCTATGAGTGACCCCCAATGTTACTCACACAAACGCAATTGGAAATGTATTGTTTCTCGTGAATTTGAGGCACGTTAATGGATGAACAAGCCGCTGGATGCACGATTTTGTCAGAACCCCACGAAGCCATGTATGAGCTGTTAGCTACGATGTTTTAGATTATATGTTGATGTTAAGCGCTTCTGATGACAAGTATATTTATCGTTTTGTAGAATCATTCTAAAAAAGTGATAATTCTTCGAACAAATCGGAAAACTCAAGCAAGTGACAGGTTGTGTTTTAAAGGTAAGTGAAAGTGTGGCTTTGTTTAGTACGTAATAGTCTTACTGAGTTGTATGGTTATCGTTTTTATATTTTTACTTCATAAGTAATGGAATTGTATGTCCTCTTATAAAGCAATCTTAAGTAAGATTTGTCTTGTTTGATGCTGGTATGTTATTGGTGTCATGACTTTGATTGCGGAGAAATGCGTGTGAAAATTCGAGTTAAAGCATTCATTTTGTTTTAGATTATATTTACGCGTTTTAAATCCGCATAATGTTGTGTGTTAGATCGATTTTCGCGTCCAATCATTCATTTCGTTTTAGATCGTGTTTTCCTGGTAAGTCCTGGCATATATTATTGTGTAAGATCTATTTTCGTGTCAAATCACGTCGTTTTACATCATATTTTCATGTTAAATCATTAATTTTGTGTACGATCTATTTTTGTGTTAAATCACTCATTTTGTGAAAGATCTTATTATCCTTTAGCAATTCACCGTTTTCTTTGTGCTCAATCACTGTTCACTTTAAACAAAACATCTCTCTGTACTTTTGAGACAATGTTGACAAACGTCTATTTTTTGATGGTCTAAAGTGATAAAAAAAACTAATGATATGGGAAAAAGATAAGCACACTGTACGTCTCTGATTTCAATCACAAGTTTCACCAAAGTTTATACCTTATAATTTGTCTATTTTGTCTACCAGATGCAAATTCTGGCAGGAGGATTTTGATGAGTTGAGAGAAATCGTTACTTCATGTGATGCTCTGCATGCATGTTTTAACGTTTTAAAAAGACAATCAACGTCGGGAACAGCATGTATGTATGTTTGATATGTAAATGCGATAAGTATACAGAACGTAAATCTTTCTGGGTTTATTAAACTTTGCTTAATGTCAACTTGAGTCATGTCATCGTATTGTTTAGCGTTGTGATAAATAGCAGATTGCATGCACATACCTGCATGTTTAGCATGCTGGAGGATGTCCAAGAACACATAGATTGATTTAAACCATAGCTTGTTTGTAAACCGATGTATTTTCCAATCAGTCATCCTATTTTGCATACAAAATCTTTTGTGTTTTGTAAAATAGCTGTTAGCCCTCCAAACACTTAAACTTAAATGCATCTTTCCCGGCTTTAAATTTTCTTTTACCTCTCAATATCTAATTACGTACATATGCGTGATGTGAAAAATTGCTCGATTCCCGGTGAATATTGATTTTCAAGCACTTAAATTGAATGTACATCATGCATTAAAAGTATAATCTTACTTATCATTATATCCAAGTCCAATTATCTGGGATAAAAAACATAATGCCTTAGTTTACAGCTTTTGATTTAGTCTTTCGAAGTAGCTATGCTGAGCTGAATATTTACAAACTACTTTTTATCCGGTTAATAAAACTTTCGGTTTATAGTTTTATTCTCAACATTTTGTACTGCTATGTTACTTACATTGCTCGTGCTAAATTTTTGTACGTTCTCTGGAAATGTCGAACGTTATCTCGCATTCAAATAATATGTACATAAATATAACCTTACGTTGGGTAACGAGATGCGCCATTTGTGAAGGCTTAGAGGTACAAAATGCCTCACAATAGGCACATACGTTGTTTCACTAAATACACACCCCGCATGTATGTAGAGAATTTTCACAAGTTGCTCAAAAAATTCACACGTGTTCACCATCATGCAGTGATATTTACATTTGTTCATTCACGTTTAGAGCATAGTGATCGCGTTCCTTGGGATTGAGCTTCGCTTGCTGGCATTCAAACAAAATTTTGAAAATGTCCAACAACAGTTCCGCTATTAGCGAAACTATTCGTATCATCAATGTCCTTAATTTTACCCTCTACACGATGATAGTGGTTTTTGGTGTTCCTGGAAATGTTCTTGTCGTCTGGTCACTCTTCTCTATCCATAGAGAAAAAGTGAATCGTAGTTTCAAAATTCTTGTCATCAACTTGGCCATCAATGATATCGTGATTGTCCTCACTGCCGTCTTTACTTTAATTGAACTTTTGTCGTATCCCAGATTCCCATTCGGGCCCGTTATGTGTTCAGTCGTTTGGCCAATCCAGACCGCTTGTTTTGGCGCCAGCGTATTCAATATGGTAGCGTTAAATGCTCATCGTTACTATCTAATTTCCTTTCCTACAAGCAGAGCGTCTCTAAGGCGGATGACTGTAGTAGCTGTGGCACTTTGCTGGATTGTACCCTCATTAATAACAGCGTTGCCATATGCATTAACCTTGGAATATAAATCAAACGATTGTTTGGAAGGTTGGAGTGACCACATTGGGAGAATATTCACAGTATATCTATTTGGTATCCAGTACGTCTTACCGCTCATTGTTATTGCAACCTTGAATCTTTTAACTATACGACGATTACAAAGGCAAGTGCAAGCTATCGTATTTAGTGTGTTTTTTCTTCCTGAGTTATTTTATTTGCACAAGCTATTATATTTTTCACGAAACACACTTTTTAGCCAATGTTGTTTTTTTTCATCCTAAGTAGAGCGTTAGAAAGCGGGTGACGTTCAGTCGGTCATATGATCAGAACTCTGTCACACCAATTTGCATGAGAGAAACGACTACATACGAGATTTCTTTATTTTATAATCTCGCTCAACTCTTCCATTTCAGGCGTTATAAGTTCCAATCAAATTACGCTAGGACGTCAGCTGATAATCTGCACACCCATCATAGGATTATGAAAATGTTGATCGTCATAATTTTTGTCTTTGCATTATTTGGCTTACCCGGTCAAGTCATGTGGTTGTTACCAGTCTTCACCAATGTAGACGAATATGAACATTACATGGCCGTGCTCTCTCTCGTGGATGTATTCAACCATATGTACTGTGTGTTGAACCCCTTGATTTTCTTCACCTACAATAAAGAGTGCTATGACTTACTCATGAAATTACTTGCACCACTTGTATGCCGCGATTGGGATATGTCGTCACCAGTCGGAGTCCGTCGTGAGGCGGCCGTCAATCTTTTGACTATTTCTCGAGCGTCCGATAGTCAGGACACCAACGGCAGTGACGTCATGCGAATTGATCCTAAATGTGCCCCCGCGTTTCCGAAATATATTTTAGAAAGACTTGATGAAAATCCGATAAAAGGAGACTTTGAAATGGAATCAAACCAACACTCGGTCCCATTTGCTCTCTACTCTTCGCTCGGTGGCATTTGTGCACCTGTTTTTGGTCGTCATGGCAACTCTGATGAGCAGCCAAAGAAGCCAGAAGATTTGATGAAAGTTACAAAAGATGAGGAAAGTTTTAATGAAAATTTCATTGAGCTATTTCGAAGTGAAAATGTCAGTAGCGATTTAATTCAACGTCTCAACGATTCTCCTGAAACTGCAATAGTTGATATATAAGCAGAGAATGTTGCACGCGAAAAGGAAAGATAAGTTATTAAGGTGAACACTTGTAAGCCTTTTAAGTTGTAGATCTTTTAAATAATTTGAAAGTATTTACGCATATGTATTTTATATTATTTACAGCAATTCGTTGTTGCTACTAGTCTACCTTTCTTCACTTATGTAGCGGATCATTACTAACAGAAATCATTACTAACAGTATTTGGTAATTTGAATGTAAAATTCAGCATATATTATCATATTTTGACCAACGCCAGATCCGCCACCTCTTCACCTAACATTTACATTCTGTATCATTCTCCTATTTAAAACATGTTAAATCATTAGCTACCTACGTTTTCTATGCTAAATATGACGAAGTCTTTTAAGTATTTAATACGTCATAATTTTGAAAAAAATCACGTCATAATTAAACTTCAGTCACTTCAGCCACTTGAACCACGTGGCTTTCTTGATCCCTGGAATCCAAACTACTAGGATTAAATCTTAAACACGCTCCAAATTTTCCCAAAGACCATTCTCCATTATATATGAAAAATATAACAGGATTGAGAACTGAGTTAGCTGATACGAATAACATAGATATATCTTGCAGAACGGGCCAATTAACTCTGCCGTTTGAAAAAGTGTACACCATCCATGCAAGCTGGAAAGGAAACCAGAACACAGCAAATATGACTACGATGGCTACGAGCATGCGCACAACATTATTGTGGCGTTTAAGGATTGTGTCGTCCACAATTGCATAACGTTCCCTCTCGCGATTATGCCTGTTTGGAAGAGATGGAAAAAAATCAAGTTTGTTGAAAAGATAACAAGATTAGATTTTACGTAACGCGTAATGTGTTTGCATAAAGAAACGTTATGATTCGTATTTTCAGTTGTGAGACGTCTATTCTTGTTGTGACTAAACCTTGGGTGCAAATCGTTGATATGAAACGAGGAATCAGGACCCTGCTGCTGAGGTTTAGTGATTCATTGAATAATTGATAAACGTTGAAGTAGATGGTTTACTGACGACAAATAAGTGCTGAATAAACAATACGTTCGTCTTCTTCTAATTAAAATTGAAGAGATGGAGACGAAATGCAAACTAAGTAGTAACGAATTCAGTTTCATTATCTTCGTGCAATTTTTCATCGGAAAAGGAAGAAGAAGTTATCATTACCTTTTCAGTTTTATTACCGCTTTTCCATTACACAATGTAATGACAAAAAGCGGTCCAATGTATTGGATAAATGTGAGATAGACTGTAAAATAGCGTTTTAAAAACGACGACCAAGTCTCTTGACATGTATGATTCTCATACTCGAGTGCGATAGCAAGCGGTATTCCCGCAAGAATGATAGGTACCAACCATAGAGCCAAGATTGTTGCTAATAACGTGGTTTTTCGACACTCTTTCGCATCCTCTGAAATCCGAACGATCATGCAATATCGTTGACAGCTGAGGGCAACTACGGTATATATAGAAGTCATTACAACCGTCGTTTGGAAAGGTGAAATGATTTTACAGAGGAAAGATCCAAAAGGAAAACGAGGCGAATGCAGACGCTCCACAAAGTGGAAAGGAATCGTTGAATATACAAACATTATATCGGCTACTGCGAGGTTGAGCATAAGGCAATGGTAGAAACGAGATGAGCGTGTAAAACGACGCTTCAATGTTATCATCAATGATATATTTCCAATAGTTGACACGACAAGTATTATCCACTCAATTGTGATCGCGATTACATGAACGCGTTTCATTCTAAAGTTAGCCAACAATCGTGTGGTTAACGTTAGGTAACTTTGGTTCCTTCTGTCGGGGAGACTGCTCTGGTTAACGTTAGGTTCTAGTAAATGTTATTAAAGTAGGCAGAATTATTGTATGCGTATAAATAAGCAACTTAAGCCCCCTTCAAATTGTCATTTTTAACCCGATTTTGGATAGATTAAGTTGGATCTGTCTTTTTAATTTTTGTTGCGCGTACTGCCAATATCGAGTCTTCATCTATAAACAGACTTGGGCCACGGGGGTTATGCTTAGTCCATAATCCGTTGCTTATGTCATAGCACACAACTCGTGCTGTAGAGGTCATCAATTGTTTTGAACATACGTAAGAATTTAACTATGCCTTTTTATTTTAATTATTATTAACATGTGTCCATTGCACCAGGCAATGATAATAAGAGAAAATGGCAGTCAATGCAACTATCATTTAGAAAGATTAGGAATTTTACAATGAAAAGGGGCTTGCATCTTTGTATGCTATGGAAATCTCTTTAATACACTTATATAGGAATGAAATTAAGCTAAGAGCTGTTATGTACATTGATCTGTGCTATACACTTGTCGATGTCTGCGACTTAGTCGTATATTACTGTGTGTTTTATTAATAGCTTTCTTTTTTTAGCAATGCTGCTCGTCACTTTATAGCTATGTGCAAATGTGCATGAGCCTGACGAACTCACATTTATAAGTATCACATGAAGTACAAATGTGCCTTGTGCTTAAAGTGTCTAGTCTTTCCAACATACGCATTTCTAATTAAGTAGAGTATTGATTTGTCAAACTTTTATTATCTTAAGGTGGTCATATACAAATTGAAGGCACTATTTTTTCTAAAAACTCAAAATTTTTTTTTGATCATTATCGGTACTTTATGCTGTGGTTTTTATGAATATTCTAATCGTTTTTCGTTAAAACTATCATTTACCCACGAAAAATGCTTTCCAAGTTGTCTTCTTATAGTTTTTGGTTCATAGCAACGCCTTAGCAACGGATTTTTACCCAAATTTCACCCTAAAAACTCCCCTTCTAAAGCCAATTTTTTGTTTCTACTTTTGGTGGATGTTATTCAAAGCCTTCTCGTTAAGTTACATTGTGATTGGTTGCAATTTGGCACCATGGTAACTCTTAGAATTTCAAATCAAAGATGATCGCGTGCTCGCATTGTTCGAAAAGTTGCTCTTCAAAAAACATTATATTTTGTATCTCTAATGCGAAAAGTCTTTTTGGTAGTATTTCGGACCTTTCCTTTTGTTATTCCGATAATAATCAGAGTGAAAAATAATGAGGAATAGTCGAGATAGAAAGAGAAAAGCTGTTAGAACTCCGCCATCAAAAATGGCAAAGAAGTCAAAACATGGCGGAAACGATGACGCAAACCCTGGACCTTTTGGAAAGAAAATAAGTCATCAAACGAGGAGCATTGGCGAAGCTTTTAATAATCTACACACTGCAAAAGAAGGCACCGTGTTTATGGACTTGTCTTTGCTGTTTTTCATGAAATTTTAAAAGCCCTGATTGCGAAAGCAGTGTGGAATCCCATGTTGACTTGAGGAAAAGGAAAGGCTATGCGCATTATATTGTTCTTCAATGTAAGAATAAAGAATGTGAGTGGAAGTATAGTTTCAACACATCTAAAAAGCAAGGCTGTTTACACGAAGTTAAAGTCCGAGCAGTCCTAGCATTTCGAGAAATTGGTTGAGGGAAAGCTGCAATGTCACATTCAGCAAGGTCATGAATATGGCTCCACCAAAAACTTGCTGAAGCTTTACAGTGATCCAAAATGAAAAGCTATTACCAGTTGTTCAACAATTGGCCAATGACAACATGCTCAGCAATATTATGCATGTTAAAGAGGAGAATGGAGCACCAGAATGTGGAATATCTTTGGATGGTACATGGCAAAAGAGAGGCCATGATATGGGAAAGATGTCCGAAGACCACATATGTTGAACAAGAGACTGTTTCTCTTGCTACATACTTGGCTATACTTAAATTTAATGATAAGGACATAAATTTGTTAAAGATATTAAGTGAACTGGACACAACTCCTGGAATGTTTCCAAGTAAAGGGGCTCAACAATGTGACCATCATCGGATAAAGTTGTCGGCAAAGAAAAGCTCAGAGAAGGTGAAGAAGCAAAGAAAAACATTAAGAAACATTAGAAAGAATTAAATTAACAATGCTAAACATAAGGAAGGAGTTACTTATGAAGCTGGCAATTTTTAGGGCTTCCAGAGGTATAATATAGGTTATGTAAACTTTAAATGCTGTTTTCTCATTTTGTTGATTTTAGCACGTAGTAAGAACTTTGTGACATCATAATATCTTTGTTATTTGTCAGAGATGCCTGAAATTTTGTATATTGAAGGCTAGTAATATTATCTAGTGCTTGACATTTTTCAAATTTTGAAATTTTGCATTGTTGATGAAATATTTACTCGTTATGTCATAAAATGTGTATCAAAAATGCAAAATTACTGAAGAAAATCAAATTTTGGAATATATTTTTTTTTATAAAGAATTAATAAAAAATTGAAAAGTGTCAAGCACTAGATTATGTTCTAAGCTTTTAAAAAAAACTTTACTCATAGAATTTGGATCATTGGTTCCCAAGATATCATGTTCGCAGCGAAGTTCATTTATTGGCTAATTAGTGGCCGCCATGTTGGATAATTAGTGTAATTAGTGATTTTCTAAATTTTTTTTTCCATTAGTGAATTCTCTTCATTAAAGTCTTTCAAATACTGATAGTTTCTTATAACTATCTTTAAAAATGAAAAAAATTCAATTTTTTGTATATGACCACCTTAAATTATACTTTTTATTTGTTCCTCTCATTCCTGTTACGACGAAAAATATTTCCAACGACGGATGAAAGATGAAGAAATATCAGATAGAATATATTTTGGCGTAATGACGTCTATTTAGGACTTTTATCTTTAGGAGTTTATAAAATGTCAATCACGTATGTCAACAATGTTGTTAACATTCTTGAGTTGATTTCACCATCAAACTTTACCGTCCTTTGCTTTCCAGAATTTTTCACGAGTAGATGTACACAAGCGTACCTATTTTTTGCAATACATTTGCTTAATTTGATGTACGGCCTAACAAGGGAAGGCAACTTGTATATTTTAAAATTTTTGTGTATTTGTATCAGAGTCTTTGCACTGATTTGTACTTTGACATTTTTGAAATGAGCTAGACATTTTATTTTGTCCTAATCCCTTCTTTGAAAGTTTCAAATAAAGTTTCCATTTCTCTTCCTAGAAACTTTCAAATAAAGTTTCCATTTCTCTTCCTAGAAACTTTCAAATAAAGTTTCCATTTGAGCCATAATCTATATTTATATTTTTCCAATGCTGTCATTTTTCTCCTCATGCCTTAAAAACAGAATATCTTTTTAAATAATGAAACAGAGACTTTGTCGTGGTGACAAATTTAAAGATGGATTTCAAAATAGCAAATACCATTGTGAATGGTGATATTAACAATGTAATAGTTCTTAAAAGAACTGTTTTAATCAGAACACTAACCCAACAATTCAAAGGAACTGTTATTTACAGCTAGAAAGCAGTGGCGTGCGGTGACCGAATTTAATAGGCAAGCGCTGGGGGTGAGGTTCGCGGCTTGCCGCGCCATGCCCTAGGGGGTCTGGGGGCATGCTCCCCAAGAAAATTTTTGGATTTTGAAGGCTACTGGAGCGCATTTCCCGCGATTTCTGGGAGTACTTTGTCGAAAAAAATGTATCTGTCATGACTGAAACAGTTTTGAAAAAATCTAAAAAATTCAAAAACTTTTATAGAGTATATATCACAATTACGGTTTAAAAGTATTACATGTGGTATTGTGATATAAAGTCGTTTTAAGTAAATGGCTACGCGTGCATTTCTATTGTAGTGAAGAAGTAACAGAACGAAATAGTCCAAAATCCTACAACAGATTTACTTAAATGTAAATTCCATCCGTCTTTCCTTTGCGCAAAACTCCTTTATAACGTCCTCATAGAATCGTGGCTTCCCCTGCAAACTTACCAACATCTCCTTCTCGATTGAAATTGTAGCCAATGCAGAAAGTCGCTCTTGCCCTTGTGTACTGCGAAGATACGTTTTGATACGCTTGAGAGCCGAAAATGATCTTTCTGCAGAGGAGGACGTACTTGGCATAGTAAGAATGAGCTGACACAATCGGTACACCTCTGGAAAACAGGCTTTCAAGTCAAGTTCGATTATTTTGATATCATATCAAAACAGGTTTCGATTTGAGCTCGGCAGATGCGTATACAACGATTAGTTCACTTTTAGTGCTTGAAGATTAAAGAATGTTCCATATGAATCTTGCAACGATTGCAGCTCTCGTTCGGGAAAATTCCGGCTGTACAATTCGTGCTTTGAATGATCCAACAAAGAAACGAATGCTCTGCTGTTAAGACTTTCGAATCTAGAGTCAATCTGCACGACAATGGTATCGACTACACAGAAAAACATTTGACGGAAGGACGCCTATACATCCTCTTCACTTTGCCCGCGTTTCAGTGCTACTTTGACGACACTTGACGTAAAATTCCAATAATCAACGAATTTTGTTCGTTGTTCTTGAATCTTATCTTTCGTCTCGCGAACTTTCGTGACACAGAAGACAATATCGAACTGCTTACTCTGAATGATATTATACAAAACATCCGTAAGACCAAATATTTCTGAAAATATTTTAAGGCAGAACACAAACTAGAAATCTGCAAGAACTTGTCGGTAGCCCCTCGCTTCGTTTAACGTCGTACCGTCAAACTCGTCATCATTTTCGATGATGTATTCGAAAACTTCGAGCAGCTTTGCTCTTGTCTCCAGTACAGCATGGATTAACCTGCTCTGATAGTGCCATCGAACAGCTGTTCCAGTGGGAATGCGTCTGCCGACAACTGTGTCCAACAGGTATGTTCTCTTGGACGAGGCGTGAAAAAAGGATGAAAGACAAGTGACGGTTTTAAAAAATATACGACACTCTTTAGTTGACGAGACAGCTTGAACAAGGATCAAATTTAATGCGTGTCCGCAACAGTGGATAAAAAGAGCATGTGGATAGTCTTCTCTTACTCGTGTTTGCAAACCGGACAGTTCTCCTGACATCACACTCGCACCGTCATACGTTTGGGCAATCAGTTTTTCGCCGCATCCGTACTCGTTCAGGGTTTTACCGACTTCTTGTTTCAGTCTAGCCGCAGTTCTATCCTCACTTACATCGGTAAATCCAAGAAAGCGCTCCACAGCTTTACCATCTGAGTTGACATAGCGAACTATAGTTGTTAGCTGCGATAAGGTCTTAACGTCGGAGGTTTCATCCAGGGAAATAGCAACAAATGGGCTCCTCATCACTTCATCTTTTATTGCTTTCAACATAACGTCCTTGACAGCAACAATCAAATCGTTCTGGATACGATTAGAAAGTCCAGAAAACACGGTTGCTGTATGAAGATGCTGTTCAAGCGTGGGGTCATATGCACTTAGCAGTTTTATCAATTCGACGTAATTGCCCCTGTTGGCAGACTCCTCCAGCTCCCCGACCTCTGAAAGAAAGTTCCTGTTTGCCAAGAAAGCAAACAACATCAATGAAACGGCGAAGTACTTCTCTATTCTTGTGCACCATCAAGTTGTGAGCTGAGATGTGTTGACGGGCCTGTTCGTCTAGCTGCATGTCGATGCGTGTACGCCCAAAACTGGCATTCATTAGGCAACTGGACAAGTGTGTCTTCGTTTTCTCGTGTCTGTTGACGGCATTACACAGGTTGGCCAAATCATCGTATCCCTTCTTGCACCAGACTGTCTTGTCTGTTGAGTTGAACAAAAGACACGGCCAGCAAAATAACTTATTCAATTTTGAGGAGCCAGCCAGCCATTTGTACTTGTCGTAATTTGACGTCTGAAAACTTCGAATAAAGACTTTACCACTTCGCTTGGATGTTGTATGTAGTCCTTGCAACTCAGGAGTGGGACGGCCACCTTCGACGATCTCTCGTTTCTCGGAAAAGGTCTCAATCCAAATGAGCGGGATAATAGTGATTCCACAATGCATTCAGTCATGTTGTACAGGTGTCGTGAAAATACCGAATGTAGAAGTAGAACATAAAAGGATGAAAATTCCTATGCTATATATTTTATAGGAACATCAATCTTATTTATACCTTACATCAGTTACATGATATCTACCGGATACAAGTATCAAAACTACTACGCAAAAGGAAGCTCTTGTCAATATCATAATCTTGTATTACATGCTACAGATAATATCTTCTACATACATAAATTGCAAGACAATAGGCGCGAAATGTATTGTAGCAGTCGTGATTATAACAATTAAGAACAGCCAGTTTCGCGCACAAAATTGGCACGGTGTGTTACAAACTGAGGCCATGGCGTTGTTTAATGTTTATATTTTGGTATAATGACGTCATGGCAACGTGTTCTCCCGTTCTTCAAAATGTGTCTGGCACTGACTCGTACGTTTCAGAATATCGGAGAGTCGTGTTTATTATTTAGTATCTTGTACCTTTTATTTTAGTCATTAATTTACGAATTCAACGACACAAGACTGACAAGAGCATAGTGTTTTGGTCATAACGCTAGTCATACTTTACCACAACACACGTTTGCGTGCATTTCGATATCTCTGCAGACTGCGGCCCCTGCTTGTTTACTCACATTGTGCGCAGAAAATAATAAAATAACCAGTAAAGCACCTACTACTTTGAATTAGAAATCAGAACATTACCTTTCGCTCTCAGTCATCTTTTAATAAACGATAACATTAACGGCGTGAATAATTCGGATGTCCAATGTGTTGAATATACGAATATTATTCGTGCGCTGATATGTGTTTAAAATTGCGAGCGTACAAGACTGTTGACCAATCGCTATCAAGCGGCGCCCTTAGAAGCGCCGCTTGCCTTTTCTCGATATTCCTCGAACAAGAAGCCTCCAAATCTAGATTAACGCATGCGCAAATGTTCAAATTGATCTCCGAAGGCAAGCGCGCTTGTTTTGGTTAATAAATAAGAAATTTTTAAGGTGTATTTAATCCACTTGACTCATTTTACAAGTGTAGCAAAGTGAAACCGAAAATCACGACAGTAAATCGCGTATAAATAGCAAGCATTTCAACTGTAAAGACAATTTAGACAAAAGATTACATTGACATTGTTTAGAACAGAAAAATTTAAACTGATTTTGCTCAGAGATTGATCCAAAAAATTTTTGTTCGGTAAAATGCTTAGGCAAGCGGCGCTTGCCTACGCTTGCATGACCGCACGCCACTGCTAGAAAGAGACACTATGCATTTCGGCAGACTACTCGTCAGGTGTCAACGTCTGCTAAATGAGAACCTCCAAACCATGCTATATTTATCTCTAAAAATAGGGATGACATTGACCTTTTGTAACGTTATAAATATAGCATGGTTTGGAGGTTCTCATTTAGCAGACGTTGACACCATTGACGAGTAGTCTGCCGAAATGCATTGTGTCTCTTTCTAGCTGTAAATAACGGTTCCTTTGAATTGTTGGGTTAGTGTTCTGGTTAAAACAGTTCTTTTAAGAACCTATTACATTGTTATTATCACCATTCACCATGGTATTTGCTATTTTGAAATCCATCTTTAAACATCTTTTTAGTCATCTTGGATCTGAAAAGAAAGAAGAAAACGACAATGCTAATCTGTACTCTTATATGAAGTACGGCATGTTCTGCTGACCAACTATTGTCAAAGAGTATGGGCGCAGGCACGAGACAAGTTGAGAGGAAACGGATGAAGGTGGAGAAAGTGAAAACGTGATTTTTTTTTGGTTTCTGATAGCGAAAAGGAAAATAAAAATGAAGTAGACAATTTTGACAAAAGTGCAATGAACGATGCACGATGCGTTTGAGCATGCTTCGATATTGGAAAGACTACCTTTGACGATTGAATCCATCGCTACATATGGTACACAAGAATTGCTGTTCGATGCTTTGCTTGGCTTATAAACGTTTACATATGTTTCTTTGTATTTGTGCAGAAAATCACTTGCTTGTCGGTACGAGACCAGGTCATTTACTTGTTTACAATATCAAAGATGGATCAGGTATGCTTTTTACTGCTTTCTTCAGATAAGCTCTTTTACTGTTTAAATAACGCTTTTAAATGCACTGTGTATTTAAAAGCGTTATCTAATCAATGAAATTATGCACTCATAAGATGCATTCGAGTTTAATTGACATTAAATACCATTTCTAATTCAAGCTACTTGTTTTTCAATTGGTGCTTATCACTTTCAGTACTTTTCAGTTCTCTCTAATGGAATTATGTTCAACTTTCAAGAGCACAATTTCTCTGTTATACAATCAAATCATTTGTTTGTTATTATAAACAACTTTTCCCATTGCACTATAATTAATGCATCATGTGTGTATCTTGTTCACAGGTGATAAGCGATTTGAGGTTCAACTCAAAAGATCTAATAAACTCTTCTCTAAAAAGCCTATTCTTCAAGTAAGATATATTTATGTATTGTTCATACATAAATGCTTAGTTTTATGGATTTAGATTGAACCCAATTATTGTAAAGTTTCTGAAAGTTGATCCTCTAGGCTAGTGGAATAGCTTTCAATCAATTTTAAATGGTATTCATAGCTTCAAACCATTTATTCCAATTGATATTTTTGTTTTTAGATGGTAGTTGTTTGTGAATTCAATCTATTAATCAGTTTATCAGGTGAGAATATAAAGTAGTACAAAAGTGTTGTATGTTATAGGATAAAGCATGTTTAAACCATGTATATAATAGTACAAAAGTGTGGTATGTTATAGGATAAAGCATGTTTAAGCCATGTATATAATAGTACTAAAGTGTGGTATGTTATAAGATAAAGCATGTTTAAGCCATGTATATAATAGTACTAAAGTGTGGTATGTTATAAGGTAAAGCATGTTTAAGCCATGGTGTAACCAGATTGCAAATTTGGTCATGCTTTGCTCAAATAAACAGGTTTCAAACTCATCAAATTGTGGCACTTTGTGAATTTGAAACTATTCAATTTGAGGCACTTTGAAACAGTTACCATTGCTTACCTTTAAAAGAATTATCATATCTGAACATTGTATTGCAAACCCCCCCATTTTCACACTCAAAAATTCATTACCTGAGAAAAAAGTTGTAGTGGCTAGGAAAAATGAAATATATTGGTCCATATTATGGCTTAGCTAAAGTACTGCTCAGCAAAGGTCTTAGGTATGTTTGATGTTACTGTACACAAAATTTTGTAAAAATTCAAGTTTGACAGGAAACTTTATTGCATTATGTTTCACTTACTGCATTGTGTAGTTGTATGTAATGTTGCAGTTCTTGTTTGTAGATAATGTAGTCAGTGTACATGATCTTGAGTCATTTACGCTCAAATATGTTCTTAACAAAACAAGAGGAGCCACTGTATTTGCTGTTGATGTTCAGGTTTGTCATTTTTACTTTCATTCATGTTTTCAAGTGTGGAGTTTTTAGGTTTCATTTTATCAATTTGATGATTTTATGGTTTTAGAAACACAAGAAATCCACCGTGTTTGGTATGATAATCAGTCTTTTTAATCTTATAGTGTTTACAAAATGTAAGGATTTCACTCTAATCTTTATTTGTTTATACAAGATCCAACTCCAACCTTCACCTTGCGGATGTGTGTTTCGGTTCGGAAGAGATTATTGGTAAACAGTGTAACCTCAATTCACATATTTTACAGAATATACGTTGTTACTTTTGGAGGAGATGCCAGTTTTAGGATGTTTCATTTGCCATGTGCTTAATCTTGTTCATAAATTTTCAGCTGTTTGTCTGGAAAAATGGTCAGTTTGAAGATCTCGAAGAGGAGTTGGGCATTCCAGATGTTGCGAAAACTGTTGCATGGGCTGGTGATAGTGTCTGTGTTGGTTTCAGGAAAGATTACTATTTAATTAAGGTTTTTAATTTTTTTTTAATTTCTTATCAATGGTCGACTGTGCTGTGTATTGTAGTCTGAGTCTTGAGTGCAAACAAAATCTCCAGTAGTGAGATTTCAGTAAACGTCTAACAAAATAAATTTTTCAACTCCGACTAAAATATAGGGTGAAAACATGAAGTTATTGTCAATAAAAATGTTAAAACTTCCATTGAGAACTAGCATTTCATGTCATGACAAACAGCTTGATGCCTTTGAAAACAAGATTGTCCTAGGGCAACAACTTCGATCAATACGGCGAGTCATAAAGAAGTTGCTTTCTCCGGTCAAAGTAAAAATCAAACGCTAAATAATTTTTGCACACGAGGAGCTGTAGTTTCTTCGTCTGGGACTGTAGTTTCTACAGCACAATTGTTGGACGTTATCATGCACACAGTCAGTATTGATATTTTTGTGTAGATTAACACTGGTAGTTTGAAAGATCTTTTTACTACCGGTAAAAATATGGAACCAAGTATTTCTGTGTTGAAAGATGGCAATCTGCTGCTTGGTCGTGATGAAGTCACCGTATTTATCGACTCAGATGGGAAACCAGCTAAACGCAAAGCACCTGTTTGGACTGACGTACCACTTGCTGTTGGTAAGAATAATACATTCTAACAGTTAAAAATATACATAAATACTTGTGGTACTTACATGCATATGCACGAATGCAGTCCCTCAAACAAATAGGGTGGAGCGTGTTGGAATGTTGCTTATTTGTGATTTTGTACAAGAAACATTTGTGAAAGCATGTATGACATGATAATCAAAATTTTCACGTTTTTTGTTAGTAGTGCTTCTACTACGTATTACTATATTTTTACTTCTGCTTGCACGAGCTAGCCATATTGTTATAATTAGTGAAATGTTGTCTGTACTTTGTGTTACTTATGCTTGCACTAGCTAGCCATATTGTTATAATTAGTGAAATATTGTCTGTACTTTGTGTTACTTATGCTTGCACTAGCTAGCCATATTGTTATAATTAGTGAAATATTGTCTGTACTTTGTGTTACTTATGCTTGCACTAGCTAGCCATATTGTTATAATTAGTGAAATGTTGTCTGTACTTTGTGTTACTTATGCTTGCACTATCTAGCCATATTGTTATAATTAGTGAAATGTTGTCTGTACTTTGTGTTACTTATGCTTATACTAGCTAGCCATTGTTATAATTAGTGGTTTTAGCTTCTAGTTAAGTGCTGTCTGCACTTTGTACCTATTTAACTCTACTTCCATGTTCATATTTGCATATTCCATTCATGTCATACAGTTAGTAAGTAATTGTATTTAATGCATTATTACACCATTGATTTCGTCAACTTTGACTTGTTTGACTTCACTGTAACGTCTCATTTGTTCTAAATAATTATTTTAGAATTTCACGAGCCTTATATGATCGGCATTTTGCCGAAATTTCTGGAAGTTAGGACCGTGGAACCTCGAGCATTGGTTCAAAGCATCGAGCTTTCTAAACCACGTTTCATAGCTCATGACAAGTTTATTTACGTTGCCTCTTCAAGTCACGTATGGCGTCTTGTTCCTGCGCCACTTCCTATGCAGATACAACAACTTTTGAACGAGAAGCAATTTGATTTGGCACTTTTGTTAGCTGTAAGTATATATGTTATATGCATTACGTATTTTCTTGATAAAAACATTGTCTACATCATTGTCTTCAAGAATCCGTCAAGGCCATAGTTCCTTCTCCCCCCGCCTCGTCATTTTCAATTGCCTGTTTAAATAATGTTTGCAATTTTTTGTACTGCACTTTTTCTGAAGCTTCTGCTTTTCTTTGCTTGTCGATCTTTCGATGTTTTTGTTCAACTGTGCTCTTTTTGTTTTAGTATATTGATTTTTGTTATATAGTCAAAAACTTTTTTGTACTTTTTGTGCTTCTTGCGTCATTTTAAATTTGTACAGTTGGTTCAAGATAGTTGGCAATGATTCTTAAATGTGTCCTTGATCAGCATAAAATCATTTGATCAGCAGAAAAAATCTCACCCTGCATGCATTGCGAACTCATTGCCTTAAAGCTTGGAGTTAAAAAACTTCAGTGTGTACACTTCTACTTGTGAATCAGTTTGATAACCGGTCCATCATTACCCATTTGTATCCTTGTGCATCCTATAGCTGTGATGTAAACCTTCGTGTGAATGCCATGTTTTATATTGATTAAATTATCGATGTCGTCTTCGTTTGTTTTCAGAGCAAAATTGACGAAGATGAAAAAGAGAAAATCAAACGAACTCAGACCATTCAATACCAACATGCGTTTGAGTTATTTTGTCAGAAACGATTTGAAGAATCGTTCAGGATATTTGGTGAACTTGATACAGGTAGCATTATCTGTAATATACTATTTAAAATTCCTGACTTAATATGAAGGACGTTTTTTTAACATGAAGTTCTAATAATGGCGTTATGTCGCGTGATATTTTGAAAGACTTACATTTTCTTTAGATCCGCCTGAAGTAATCGGTCTTTTCAAAGATCTTTTGCCGGAAAATTTTCGAGAACACTTCGAGTATCCTTCCTCTCCTCCTTCTTTTAGCGGAAGTGAAAGGGAAAGGGGCTATAATGCGCTCATCCAGTATTTGTTAAAGGTAGATACGACAAAATGGATTTGTAGTGTAACAGATTTTCACATAATAAAGACACGAGTATCGTTACTGCGATATTTTACTCTTCAGAAACGAAATATGTTGTTGAAGAATGCTGACGATAGCAATAGCAATCACGATTCAGCTGAAAGTAAGAAAGCATGCTTTATTGAGGTTGTAAATGAGGTAGAACTCATCTTTTTTCTGTCGTTTAAGATGCAGCTAAAATGAAGAAGACATTACGACAAATTATCGATACAACTTTACTTAAATGTTATGTTCACGTATGTGCTTTATATGGACGTTCGATTTCATCAATAACTTTGCTACAGCATGCATCATTGATTGCCTTGCTCATTTACGAAGTGATGTATTCTTTCTAATTTCTTTTAAATAGACAAACGATGCTTTGGTCGGTCCATTTTTACGTTTGGACAACCATTGTCATCCTGTTGAATGCGAAAAGGAACTTTATAGACATAAGAAATATGACGAACTGCTTATTCTTTATCAAACAAAAAATAATCATAAAAAAGGTAAGCTATGAACTTCAGTAAAACTACTTAAAGCTTAAGTATCCAATGCTTGTTCCATCTCATAGTGTCGTTGTATTAACTGTGGTTTACTGCCGCAGCACTAGATCTTTTGCTGAAAAAAGCCCAAAAGCCAGGAGCATCATGGGAAGGTCCATCAAAAACCGTGGAATATCTGCAACGTTTGGGAAAGGAAAATTTACCGTTCATCATTGATTACTCCAGATGGGTGCTCAAAAGTCGCCCGGAATATGGTCTCAAGGTATCAAACAATGACTTGCCTTGAAATTTAGCCATAGTATAGGAAAATACAGTAGGGCCACTTCGTTGTGCAACTGGCTTCTGTATACCATTATTACCTGAGTTAATTAGTTTACCATTTGCCACATCGTCAATCCTATTGGTCACACAATGCAATTTACTGGCTGCCAATATGGTAATCACATGCGTAATAAGATATGCGTGGCACAGAAAAATTCAATAAAGTGGCCCTACTGTACGTTCTATATTGTGCTTTAGCTTTATACGAGAGTATAGAAACACAAGGTGTATTTACATTTATTGATCCGAAATCTTTTGCCTCGCTTTGGGCATCCTCCCGCTAAATAAATTGTCAAGTCTCTACCACTGATATCAAACATTTATTCGCGTGATCGTAAATTACTTTTACGTGTTTTTTCCCAGATATTCACTGAAGATATACCGGAAGTAGAAGGGTTGCCACGTGACCAAATTGTTTCTCACATTGAACAAAACGCTCCGCACTTAGTCATACCATATTTGGTAGGATATACATTTATACAATATAAAAAGTATTAAATTTAAGTTGTGTTCTTTGAAGTCTTTAATATTTTCAGGAGAAGGTTATCCAAATTTTTTGCGAGCAATCCTCCGACCTACACAACAAACTTGTCAATTGTTATCGCGAACGAATTACCGAACTCATGATTTCATATAAGAATGAATTACCCGAAGGTGAGTGACGTCATCTTTCTGAATATCACTCTCCAGTATATGTTATAAGATCATTTGTAAATTCAGGTGAACCGTTGCCTCGCGCTGGCATGGAACCTGGGGAGTTGGGCGAGCTACGCGCTACTTTATTGTCATTTCTTCGTGACTCGAGATTTTATCAACCGCAGAATTTGCTGATTCATTTTGACGACAGTAAGTGATTGATTCTTGAAATTTACATCTAGAAATGAATAGTGACGTTCACATCTCTTTTCTTCAAACATATGATTAACCTTAGTCAAAATTGTAGGTACGTATGAATACTCATTGAACTCTCAAATGACATCATGTCAATGCTAAACCCTCACTTAACATAAAATTGATATCCTCACTTAACATCATTTGATATCCTCACTTAACATCAAACTGATATCCTCACTTAACATCAAATTGATATCCTCACTTAACATAAAATTGATATCCTCACTTAACATCAAATTGATATCCTCACTTAACATCAAATTGATATCCTCTCTTAACATAAAATTGATATCCTCACTTAACATCAAATTGATATCCTCTCTTAACATAAAATTGATATCCTCACTTAACATCAAACTGATATCCTCACTTAACATCAAATTGATATCCTCACTTAACATAAAATTGATATCCTCACTTAACATCAAATTGATATCCTCACTTAACATCAAATTGATATCCTCTCTTAACATAAAATTGATATCCTCACTTAACATCAAATTGATATCCTCTCTTAACATAAAATTGATATCCTCACTTAACATCAAATTGATATCCTCTCTTAACATAAAATTGATATCCTCACTTAACATAAAATTGATATCCTCTCTTAACATCATTTGATATCCTCACTTAACATCAAATTGATGTCCTCACTTAACATAAAATTGATATCCTCACTTAACATCAAATTGATATCCTCTCTTAACATCATTTGATATCCTCACTTAACATAAAATTGATATCCTCACTTAACATCATTTCATATCCTCTCTTAACATCATTTGATATCCTCACTTGACATCAGACACAAATGAAATCCTCACATAGAGTATCTCATTCAAAGTATCTCATTTACTTAATCTGTTTCAATCAACGCATATCTTATTTCGTTGTGTTCGCACTACAAGTCACCAGTTTTATTTATATGTGACGCCTGTCTGAGAAGTCGTAAAGTCTTTAAGCAAAATTCGTTCGTGAAAATAAGGTTTTGGTTTGTATCGTAACACCAATAAACTAACTGTTTTTGCTTAGGCTTTTTTGAAGAGCGCGCACTTCTTTTGGGAAGATTGGGAAGACACGAAGAAGCACTTGCTATATATATTTTTGTGTTAAATGACATTGAAATGGCTTCAACGTAAGTTATCTACAACATTACTTGACCTTCTTTTTTCTCTACAAAGAAAGTGTTACCAACATTATTTGACCTTTTTTCTCTGAGTAAAAAGTGTTACCAACATTATTTGACCTTTTTTTTCTCTAAGTACAAAGTGTTACCAACATTATTTGACCTTTTTTTCTCAATGTAAAAAGTGTTACCAACATTTGACCTTTTTTTTCTCTAAGTACAAAGTTTTACCAAAATTACTTGACCTTTTTTTTCTCTAAGTACAAAGTTTTACCAAAATTACTTGACCTTTTTTTCTCTGAGTATAAAATGTTACCAACATTACTTGACCTTTTTCTTTAAGTATAAAATGTTACCAGTTACCATTGACAATATCGCCTTCTTTTTTGCTGTGGTTTTCTCTAATAGTTTGTGTACTTTTTTACAGCTATTGTAAACAAACCTACACCGAAGAATGGGAAGACAGTAAAGATGTATTTTATTTGTCATCTATGTGTCTTACTTCGTCAAAATCTTGTTTGTGCTTCCACATCTATAGTTTCACATTTTGTGTTTTTGTTCATAGGTATACGCCTGTTTGTTGCACATGTATCTGTCTCCTCCAGATCCGTCCATATTAGGGGCGAAAACCGCTGATCTTAAAGCCAACGTTGAAGCAGCGCTAAACGTATTGAAAGAACATTATGACAAAATTAATCCCATCAAGGTACGATGTGTTTATTTTAAACAATCGACTTTTCTTTTATTTACACTCTTTATTTATGATGTTGATTAGAACTGCGTGATTTTATTTACACCCTTCATTTATGATGTTGATTAGAACTTTGTGGTTTTATTTACACCCTTCATTTATAATGTTGATTAGAGCTGTGCAGTTCCAGAAATTTTATTTCAGATTCGGTTTTTTGTGGAAGGAAAATAATGTCGGTTCGGTTGGTTTTCGGTTTTCTTTATTTCTTATGTCTCTAGATTTTCGACTCCTCGCAAATTTTAAATTCATTGGTGGCAAATGGTTGTTCTACGTATATATATTTATGATTGAAAAGGTTTTGTTTTTAAAATCTTTGATTGAGAGTCTAGTATTTTGCCAAATTTTAAAATGGCGTACTTACCTCACCTTGACAAAGTTGAAACGTTTACGCCTACAATAAGTTGGATATTTGGCGAACGTTAAACGAAAAAATAAAACGTAACATTTGGTTCTTTGGCCTAGAAGTTAATGATGGCCAGCAAGCATGGAGGCAACAAAACAAACAATTGTTACATGTATTCAGTATATTTTTGACTGACCGTTTTTTTATCGTATTAAGGCGTTGGAACTACTTCCTTTGACAATTGAAGTACAAGAAATATTCCCATTTTTGGAAAAGATTTTGGAAGAGAAGTCGAGTAAAAAAAAAACAAACCAAGTTCTAAAAAGTCTCCTCTTTGCCGAACATTTACAGGTGAGAAATATTTGGGTGTGCTACAATTTGTTTTGGTTGATATAAATACCACAGTTTTGTTGAAATAGTCGCTGTTGATTTGTAGTTTCTGTTGAAACATTTCCATTAGTCTCTCGCGATCACAATGACGTTAAAAAAATCTCAGAAAAATGAAGAGTGGATTATTTAATTGTGACTATTTTATTTAATTCCCCTAGATATCTAACTACTTTGAAAAGTGGTAAAACGCCAGATTCCCAATAAAAAATAAGTTAAAAGAAAGTTTAACAAACCAATCTTATCAAACACAGACTAACACCTTTGCAACTATTGCATCAACATAGAATACGCACATTTTGGTCATAAATATCGTCAGTTCTGCCTCTTTTTAAACGGCGGTCCATGTCACGTATACAGTTGATGGGGTTTTACGTCTTTAGTTAGATAAAGAGAGGGAAAGAAAAACCTCTGCTTTCGTTTTATCTTGGATAATGATCAGTTGTCTTGCACTTTGACACCGTTTGAGAGCGTTTTCACCTGACGTCATAGCCACCCTGTTGGTGTGATGTACCTATTGAAAATATTTTTAATAAAGTTCTTTTGTTTGGTACAGCAATATGGCGACTTCATCCATTGTTATGTTGATCTCAAGTTCATAGCTTACTGTCCTAGAAAGAGCCTCCTTTGTCCCTAGGCTGCAACTGCTTCCTGGAAATTTACTTTTGGTTACTGTTAATATGGTATAGACCGTGTTGAAAATACTTTATGTGTTATTTTTTTATAGATTCAAGAACGCCGAATGTATTATCATACTGGCAATGTCATTGTAAACGATGAACGAGCTTGTCGCGTTTGTCATAAAAAGATTGGGACGAGGTATGTGCGTGAACATAAATAATATGTTACCAAAGATATTTTTGTGGGACAATACGCGCTGTATTTCAATTACAAGATAATTTCCAATCTCCTCTATAGCGCATTCGCATGTTACCCAAGTGGAGAAATACTGCATTACTACTGTTATGAGACTCCAAAGAATGGAAACAAGTGAACAGCAGGTGCAAAATGACGCTCAAACTTTGACATAGATAAACATTCATAAATCCATAGTAGATTTATCCACGCACTAAAAATCATTTAAGATCAAAAATCATCAAAAACAATCACGTGTAAAGACAATGATGATTTTCTTTATTAGAAATATTTGGAAGCGTTTATGTTTCGTTTCTCTTGTAAGAATTTATCATGGATTTGGTAGAGATTTTGATCTCTACCAAATCAAGATACCCTATCAAGATCTTGACAAGATCACGCACAAAATCTTGCAATTTGTTGCATGATTCTTCCAAGATTTTGCTAAGATCATGGTAGAATCATGCAACAACACAAAGGTAGACATAAAGGTAACATAAAGGTAGACATAAAGCTAGACACAAAGGTAAAAACAAAGGTAGACACAAAGGTAGACATGAAGGTAGACATAAAGGTAGACATAAAGGTAGACACAAAGGTAGACATAAAGGTACACAAAGGTAGACATAAAGGTAGACATAAAGCTAGACACAAAGGTAGAAACAAAGGTAGACATAAAAGTAGACACAAAAGTAGACACAAAGGTAGACACAAACGTAGACATAAAGCTAGACACGACGTACAATAGTTGATCTATAAATAAAACTGTTACTTAGCTATTGTTGTCAGGTTTTTTAACCTGGTCATGTTCATGTCAGCGCGACAGGTTATTTCATTGATTTAAAAAGTTCGTACACCTATAAAATCATAGCATTCAATATATCATAAACGTTTAAGCAAAAGACAAACTTTTTGGGTGCCCATGCACCGATAACTTACCAAGCTCATGGACTCAATGATAGAGAGATTCAAACCAATGAAATTCAATAATGATCTCAACATTTATAGACGTCTATTGTAGTTATTAGTACGAGAATATTTATACTCGTAGACATAAGGGCTGGAAAGAGATGGAGGTGGTCCACTGTTTCTACTTTATTCTCTTGTTCAAAGTGTCTTCAAAATGCTGTAAATGACGATTTACAGATTTGAGAAATCATATCACATAGAGATCCTCAATCTTGCGATTTTTGCACTAACAACTAGCAGCCTGACCACTTTAAAACATATATCCATGGGCTTGAAAGGATGTTAGTCTACTTGATTATTGATTTAGAACACAAACTAGCATGTGACTATAAATTACTACAAGGACCGCAACTAGAACGTTGATTGGCGGGGGTGTATATTCATATATTCAGTTGTGCCCGACTGAGTTCTTTTGAAAATGAATTGTCTTTCAAATGAATCAGTAGGCCACATCTAAATATATGAACAATAACCCCCTCCCCCCTCTCCAATTACTCTTCTAGCTACGGTCTTAATTACTACATCAAGTAAGCTACCTCGGCAGAAATCATACCTTGATTGTGAAAGTGAAGAGCAATGGGACAAAACACAAATGAAATACGTGTATTTCTATTATCACCTCACTGTTATACAGGCTAAAAATGTGGTCCTTTGGGATTCATCTATGTTTGCTCATGTGTACATAATTAGCATGAAAGAAGATTAAAGTACAGCTGAAACTACGCAGAATCAGATTGAATCTGAACAAAAACAACAGCATGGCAGAGCAACGGAGAAATCGGATTAGACGAAGGGAGCAACTACTTGGACATTAACCTATTTACAAGAAAAGCTTCAGATAAAAGACCACGTGGAGGGCAAAACCATGTCAACGTTGATGTTCAGGAAGAATTAGCGACTGACTGGAAGGGATTTTCAATGAGGATTACACGCAAACTATAAACTATCAAAGCGGAATTACAGCGATGTCTACCAGAATTTTCTTGTGCTATAGTACATATACCGGACCATACCTGTTAACTTAGCATTTGATAATCATGGAGTTTATATCGAAGCAGCAAAGTTGTCACAACGAGTGTCAACGTAACGCAACAGCCCACTTTTGGAAGGTCGTTACATAAAGGATTCAAATAACAGCTAATTTTCTCTTCACAGTATTTAAAGAAGAATGTTGCTACGTCGTCAAATATGTGGTCAAAATGAAAAACAATAAACATATGGGTTAATATGATCTGGATGTTTACAAGCTTCTTGAGGCCCTTTCTTCAATCCTTTGGAAGAAGTTTTCATTTTGGAACTTAGCTAATACCTGATGCTCTAACGTCGATTCATAAATGTATCGTCATCCTCATATATAACTACGAATTGGAATGATCAAACTAATTCTGACAGAAGCCGCTAAAAGAAATCCATCACCGTAAGGAAACGTGCTGCTTACATGAAGCATCTGTACAGATATAACTATCTCTATGTCTTTAATATAAGTTATCCAAGGTTATGTATACTTTATGTATGATCAAAATAACATTGATGTGTAAAATTTATAACAACGTTTGCACTCTTTCCGAACACCTTAATTTTACCAATACTGATATTTGCTTTCCTGCAATCTCTTTGACTCGAAGCTCTTCCATAATCTTGTTTCGAGACCCTTAAAGGTCTTTTTTTTGAATTAATTATTACATCGCAGGAATGGCACATTAAATTGAGCATTAGTCTCCAACGAACTCTCTGGTCTACTACAAGACACAACCTTTCGAGGTTGCAAAGTGGAGGTTCAAACCCTGTCTGCAATAAGGTATAGTTAGATCTAGGTTGAGCTAAGAAATAAAGAAATAATGCTGGTTAACAGTGCAAAAGTGGCATTTCTATTACTGAGTTTTTAGAGAATGGAATGCGACACTTAGTATAAATTCAGAAAAATTCGCTCTCCGATGAGGAGGAGGAGAGCGAAGAAAAAAAAACATAGGATCGCATGCAAAAAACCACTCTTAAAAAAACTAAGTCTTTTGCTCAAATTTTTTTATGACTCCCTGTGATCAGGGAGTTATTTTTTTAAATTTTGAAAAGTCAGGAAACCCAAGAGCAAACAGAACGCCCTAATATTCCCTTTCTTACCTCCGAGCACTTGTTCCTCAATTCAACTTTCTGTCTTCCACATCCGCCTCGTACACCTAAGTGTGTCAGCAGAGGGGCGAACCAAGGATCTTGTGCACCGGAGGTCAGTGATGTCGAACTAAGCGCCCAACATCGGCCAGTTGAGCTAAGCGCTCATCATCGAATGCTTAAGATTTTTTGGCGTATTTCATCATTTTTTTAAACTTTGAAGTGAAAGAAAACGATGATCAGATCAGTATTGAACCCGAGATGGTGCGATAGCCATACTGACAACCATAAGTGTTCCACTCAGTAAAGAAAACAACATGGATTTGAACCTTGAAAGGTCTGAGCACCGCACCGACAACTATACCTCTCATCCAGAGGAGAGGCATATGATTTCGATGAAAACATGTCAAGTAATTAGCAAAAACCAACATTTATTGCATCCATTTCTTCTGGCTCAAATTTACAATGTTTAGTATGTTTGACTTATTATTTGTCACCCTCACTCCATTGAAGAAGAAAGGAATTTACTTGGCTTTCCTATCAAGCTCTAAATAACATAGTTTGGCATTTCATGTTCTTACAGCAAGGACCAGGACGTATAAAGTATACACAATTTTAGGAATTGCCATGTGGTAAATCCAGACATTTACGCGCATGTTCCTTAGTCAGTTTAATGGCGTTGGAGGATTATTTTGTCTGTTTAGACTTAGCTAACGTATTTTTTATTATCACACATAACAACATTGTAATAGCTTCTACAAAACCAATAGTTCCCGTGGAACAGTCATCACTTTTTCTTATTTTGTGATTGAGTTTAAGCACTTACCTATGTAAGTTTACAAAGCCTTGTGAAGACAGAATACATTTTGATCGCCTTTTGACGCAAATTTAAATAGAATTGATATCAAACCAACCCTTACGATCAATAACAAAAAAGTCAAAAGAGTAAAATGTTCCAAAGCTCTTGGAATTCAAATAGACAAACAATTGAACTGGAAATAACACCTTGAATATATATTTATTATACATAAAATATCGTCAGGTATTGAAGCTGTAAAGAAAATAAAATTATTTATTAATAGAAGCAGTTTGGTTTTGGTGTTAATCCTCTTTAATCCAACCATATTTTGACTATCGTTGTGAGGTTTGAGACCAACTCGGGAAGATCTCTGGGAAAGGCTCCAAAAGTTGTTGAATAGTGGGGCAAGACTTATCATGAATGTAAAGAATGAACAAGGTCAGTCTGCGTAAGCTCGTAACTCCCTTGGCTGGAAGTTATTTGAAAAACGCAGAGCAGAAATTAAAGCTATAGAAGTATGTACAAAACAGTCAGTAACTTAGCTCCCAGTAGACTGATTATAATCTAAAAGATTCTTCCACTAAACTCTATTGTCTAATGTCAAAGACGAAATTCTGAAAACAAAGTTTTTGCTTTGACAAAGCTTAACTATGGAATCAGGTATTTAATAAGATAAGAAGTACAATATTGTTAGATTCGTTTTGTACCTCAAAGATTTCCAATATACTTTATTTGTAAATTTTTCCTAAAATAGTAAGGTCTTCTTTATAGTTTAGTCTTTTTAAAAATTGTAAATACACCACTTTCGTAATCCAGTAAAAAATATGTTAGAAAAAGTCTACTAAAAGTCTACAAGACCACCCCACGATTTTTTGACATTTTGTTCATATAAAATGACGATTAGATTGATTACATTTGAAGTCTGTTATATTACTATAAGCACGTTTTTGCTAAATATACTATTTCTTGTTCCAAAGCGCATCGTAACTGTATAAGTTTAGTGTTGAATGGACAACGTCACTTTTAAACATGAGTATGATTTTTTGCCACAAAGAAAAGCGAACGATTTTAACAGAATGTCATACGCCTCAGTAAACTTACATAGGTAAGTGCTTAAACTCAATTACAAAATAAGAAAAAGTGATGACTGTTCCACGGAACTATTGGTTTTTGTAGAAGCTATTACAATGTTGTTATGTATGATAATAAAAAATACGTTAGCTAAGTCTAAACAGACAAAATAATCCTCCAACGCCATTAAACTGACTAAGGAACATGCGCGTAAATGTCTGGATTTACCACATGGCAATTCCTAAAATTGTGTATACTTTATACGTCCTGTTCCTTGCTGTAAGAACATGAAATGCCAAACTATGTTATTTAGAGCTTTATAGGAAAGCCAAGTAAATTCCTTTCTTCTTCAATGGAGTG